TTCCTTGCTTTTCCTGCATTACCAAAACCCATATACAGAAAGACATGAAAAGAGAAAAAAAGCGTGGTGTCCTCACCCCTTCCTCATTTCTCTTGCATCAAAGGCTCGCATTTTTAAGTGCTTCTTATTTCCTTCTGTTCCTCTTCCACCTCCTCCTCTTTTCAATCACACTTTTTAACCCCTCGTCCTTTTCCCCCTTCCATCTTGCACTCCTTTCCCCTTTTACTTCTCTCTCTCTCTCTTTCTTACCCTCTCTCGCTACCACCTTTCTCGATTGCTCGCTTACCCCCCGTCCCTTCGTGCATTTCCTTTCTCTGTACGGCGCTCGTGCCCCCTCACTTGCTTCTCAATCGCGCACTTCCGTCTCACTCCTTTTGCTTTGTATTTGAAAGTATCCGGAGAGTCGGACCCTTCCCCCACCTCAACTCATACACTCGGACCAATCTTTGTCCATCTCGTCCACAGTCGCACACCCCTTGAAGAAAAAAGTTGGTGAACCCCTTCTTTCCCCCACCCTTTTCTACCTTCGATTTCGTCTCCTCGGGTGATCCATCCTCGATTGGAAAGGTCATATTCAGACCGATAATTGTACAACAAAGAGATGAAGAAAGAGGAGTAGGAATGGAAACAAAATGTGCGCAAATGTCAATCGGTACAACCAAATGAATGTGTAACGACGCTGAGCAGGGACAGATCTCTTGGATGGCTGGTAACCGATCCATTCCCGGAGCGTATTTTTTTTACTGTTCTATATGAGTAGAGTCATTCATTCTTCTCTCTGGTGTTTGTTTTGGCTGTATCCTGTTTTCATCTCCTTGCCTCTCTCCCTACCTTTCCCCTCGCCTTCTTCTCCCTATTCCATCCCTCCTTCTCTTTTCATTTCATCGGACTTTATTCTGTTTACTTGTTGTTTTGTCAAGCGATGCAGAGGTAGGGATGGACAAGTCTCGGCGATGCTGGGAGATTTCTCTTGTATGAAAAAATGTGTGTCAGGAGTTGAACGTCCCATGGATCGAAAAAAAAAGATGAGCTTGAGCGCAGCGAATCCTTTTTGGATGAATGTGATGATGGTGTGCTCCAGCGGATGTTGTTATCACCAAAAGGTATGTACCTCATCTTATCTTCCTTCCCTGTTTTTTTCTCCCTTCTTCTTCTTCCCCCTCGTTCCCTTCGTTCCTTCTTTCTATAGACGACCGACCTATTTCGCACCTTTCTCCCACTCATCTCCGAAATGTTACAAGGCACCATCACCATCAACCCGTCGTGTTGCCATTCTTCCCACCTGGCTGACTGACTGGTGGTGTGGACGCGACGGAACCCTCTATTCTTTTACAGCTGTTTTTATGCCGCACATATCATAGTCTTCTGCCGCTGACCATGCGCATGTGCTGGATGGCTTATTGGTTGGTATGGCTGGATTTTTTTGGCCGGATGGGCTTGTTGGAGAGAAAGAGGGAGAAGTGTGGAAAGATCGATGGGAAGGTAGGGGGTAGAGAGAAAGGGCATGAAAACCCTGTCCATCTTCCCTTTAAAAATATAAGCCAGTACTGTACAGGAACATGTCTTGTGTGCCCATGCCAATGTGCGGCCCGCATCGTCATCCTGCGTTTTTGAATGTAAACATTTTGGCCTTTACCTGAGTAGAGCATTCGGCATTAGGCATTATATTTCCTTTTTTTTGCCATCGAAAACAAAAGAACATTTACATGTATCTCTGCACAACCCTTTCTTCCTTCCTTCCTTCCACTCCTTCTCCACTTCCTGGCCTGGAAGGATGCAATTGAGTGTTGTGGATGCATCTCCTTTGGTTTCTTTCCTTTTTTGCCCCTCAACCAAGAAAACACCAATGCTTCATTTTCAATTGACTGTATCTCTAATAAAAATGTAGTGATGAGATGCCTTTTTATTTCTTTTCCTGGCGCCAATGCACAATCTCTTTGACCATTGTCCATAGTCACTGGGCATGGTTGCCAATGCTGCTTGTTTTTTTATACTTTTTTTTTTTTTTCTATTTTCATCCTCCTGCTGCTGCCTCCTAGTCGCTTCGACTCCTTTGTCTTTTTTTTCATTGCACGGCCGTTTTTCAATTGCTCAGCGTTTATCTTTCTTTACCTCTCTATTTTCCCCCTTCTTCTCCCATTCAACCAACCCAATCAACCCAATCAACCCAATCAACCCAGCCAGCCAGCCAACCAACCACCCGCTCACTTCTTTTTCTCTTACAATCTTCTTTCTCTCTTCTTTCTCTGATTCTCTGCTCGCTTCTTCTCAATACTTCTCTCCCCCTCCACTCCCTCTATCGCTCTTCACGCCTTCGCTTTCCCCCTCCCTTCAACCCCTCTCCTCCGCTCCTCTCTTCTCGCCATCCAATTTCCTATTCCTCTGCCGTTGTTATTCTCACTCTCCGCCCTTCCAACCTAACTCTGATCCATCCCTCCTGGTGCTCTGATCTCATGTGTATGTGCCGTCCATCCATTCATCGTCACTACTCCTTCCTTCTATCCACTCTTGACACAACCTACCTCGATCAACTGTTCGTTTCGAATAATATCTACGAGGCACAAAGTCTTGTTCCTCTCTCTGTATACCATACCATTCTTTGAATCTAATCGAGTATCCACCGCAACAACAACAACAACAACAACAGACAGAAAGCAAGCAACACAGCAATATCACTGCCATGCTCCCCTTCGCACTTCTGCCTTTCATCCCATCTATATCGATCCAGCCACACCACCTGAATATAGCCTTTCTTTACTTCGTTTTCGTCGTCCGGTGTATTCTTTCTACGTTTCTTTCCTCTCACTCTTGCTCCTTCTCTCCCCTCTCTCTTCCTCTCCCCTCCATCCCTTTCCATTCCAACCCTCATATATCCATCATCTCCTCTTTCAGCTCGTACCACCAACACAAACACAAATTGGGTTCGTCCATCCTACGAAAAACTATCGTTCTCTATCGGCATCATCATCATCATCAACATCATCTCTACCCTTTTCCCTAAGTCTTTTCTCTATCAATCTCTTTCTCTACTCTATTTTTCCTTCCCCAAGTGCTCGCTCACTCATTGCTGTTGTATCTCCTGCTCAATTGAACCATTTGTCGACAGCGTCTTTGTCTTCTTCTGAGGGGCATAGCATCGTTTGTATGTGTGCACAACAAGTATATTTATACAGATCGCTTCGCTCTCTATTCCCCAATTACCTGCACACCGGCTGATCCCTTGCAAAAAAGAATATATTATCGCTCTCTCTCTCTCTCTCCTTCTATGTGTGTATGTGCACCCCGTTCGATCCAGTACAGTCTCCCTTTGTCGTTCTTCTCCCTTTCTGTCCTTTTTCCCTTTGTCCTTTTTTCAACCTCTCTCTCGCTCGCACGCTCCACTTTTTTTCTCCACTCCTCCTCGAGCCACTCGATCAGGTAGCCAGTCAGAGTCTCGTGTCTCTTTCTGTATGAACCTGTCTGTATTCCCGCAAACCAACCAGTCAACCAATTGAACTAAAGAATAAGCCAAGCAACCAGCAACCGATCCCATCATATTTTTATCTTCGTCTTTTTTGTACTTCCCCCTGAACCATTGGTGTCCACCACTCCCTTCCTTCTTTCTTAGTTCTCCTCTCTTTCCACTTCACTACTTCACTCTTCTCCGCCATTCACCTCATTCATTCTCTCTTCCTTCTCATTGCAATCCTTTCAACACACACACATACACATACTTCTCCTTCCTTCCCGCCTTCACCCCTTTGTTTTAATATACACGCGTTCACAAGGGCTACTGATTTCATGTATTAACCGCAACGTCGCACACCTCTCTCTCTCTCTATCTCTCACCCTTCCCCTCTCCTTCTCCCTCTCCCTCTCCCTCGCTCTCTCTTTATCTCCACTCTCCTGTTTTAACAACTGTATTTTCTTCAGCTATGCGCCGCTCAACTTCCAGCCCCACCTCCACACCTCCCACTCCTACACCTATACCTGAACCGGCCTCGCCTCCCGAACGTCCACGACCCAAGCCATTGTCATGGCGTGAACGCCGAAATAGCCTCGTCGGCCTCGTATGGCCTTCCTCTCTTTCATCCTCTGCCTCCTCAACACCTGTCACCACCCCACAGACCGCCTCCTTTCCACATCACATCCACCATTCACCTGGCTCGGCCTCAACCTCCCCCAAGGCCCTCGTCAACTCTCCCTCCTCCACCCACTCTTCCAGCTCCAAACCGCCATTACAGCAGTCAGAAAGGGAAAGAAAAGGCCGCAGTGGCTCCTTCTCCTTCTCCACTTCCAATTCATCCCCAGCCATCTCCTCCCGCGCCAGGGGCAACAACGATCCCAAGAGTAACAATATCAACAACAACAGTAGCAGCACTAGCAATAGCGATAGCCCTCGCAAAGCGACCACTCCCCATTCCTCCAGCACCAACACTCTCTCGAGCTCCAGCGGCAGCACCAGCAGCAACAACAGCAGCAAGCACCACTTTTTTCACTTTCCCAATCGATTCCTGCCCCATCACCATCATTCGTCTTCTAATCCACCGACAATGGACCTGTACAACACCAGCCAAAACAATAGTCGCTCCAACAGCCAGAGCAAAAAGAAGACCAACAACTCCCACAAACGGCATTCCACCTCCTCCTCCTCGACCCATGCCCATACTACCACAACTCTTGCCACACAACACCTTGCTGCTACTACTTCTCCTTCTTCTCCGACCTCTTCTTCTCCTTCTGCTGCCACTGCTGCTACTTTTGCTGTTGCTACCTCTTCTGGAACTGTCACCACCATCAATTCCAACAACAACGACAGATACAACGTGAGCACCTTGTCGTCGTCCTCGTCTTCGCCTGTCTCACACTCCGCACGGAGCATGTCTCCAGCTCACCCCAGAAGCAGTCCTGCTCTCAGTCACAAACGCACCTCGTCTCTTCCCGCCTCAGTCCTAGCCGTCACCATGGCTGGTCCAGGCCCTGGTCCAAACCCTGATCCCTCCCCAGAACCAACAATACCAATGGTATCTCTACTACCACCCCCTGTACTACCATCCTCTCCGCTCTCTCAGTCTCAGTCGCATTCGCATTCTCAGTCTCAGTCTCACCACCAAGACAGACGGCCGCCCAGTTTACCTTCGCCCTTGTCTATTTCCATTTTTGCTAGCATTGAAGAGTCACAGCACCAACAACCACAGCTTCAACAACCACTACAGCGGATACAGGATGCCGCCAACCTCGCCCCTCAAACAGAAACAACAGACGTTTCGACCGATACAACAATAGCAATAGGTGAGCAGAGAATAGAGAACAGTCCCCCTCAATCGCCTCCTGGGTCAGCAGCAGCTTCAATTGCATCAAAGACGACAAAATCACCTCAGCAGACTTGTCGACATGCCGTGACCTTTCTGCCTGTCATCGAGTCCGTCCCCGAGGAGTCTCAGCCAACTGCCGTCGCACCACCTGCACTCCCAGTTGGAAGCGATAAAAGTAACATTGATGGACCTGCACCTGGTAAGTATTACAGAGGCGAGTATCATATTCTTACGCCTATTATTTAAATATTTATTTACGCAACCGGTCTTTAACCAACAGGAAGAATATCCATGCACACCTTGACCTTGAAGCAGTAATAGGAGCGAGTATCGAGCCAGTGCCAGTAACGTTATCGCCACGGATACCACCAAGAGTCAGTGGCTCCTTGAAGAGTCTCAACGCAGCGCAGGGGTTGCTCAGTGCAGCACCAAAGGCCCCGCTGGAACTCTCTCCGTCGTCAACCCAGCCAAGCACGGCAGTGACCTCCGAGAAGAATGCCTGGCCAACATCCATCTCGAATCCAGAAGAGATTGAGCAGTATCGAGCAGAACTAAGCATTTCAGCCTACCGCTCATTACTCAACACTCAAATGAAGTCGGGAAGCTTGATTAGCGGGAGCGGGAACAGTAGCAGTAGCGGATCTCAGACGGGATCATCTTCAGCAGTACCAACGGCACCCTCCGGTGTTTCGACCTCATCCTCCCCAGCAGCCTCGCTAGGCTCGTCTCTGTCACCCAACATGAATCACAACACAGCTGCAATGACAGCCACCACTACTTCTTCTCCATTGGGGCATTCCGACATCGTGTCCAGCTCCAGTCCTCAAGATCAGTCATGGTATCACTTCAAACAGAGCACAAGCAGCGGATCCATGCTTTCGAGTTCCTACTCGTATGGATATGATGACAGTCTCGATCCCTCTGCCCCCGGTTCCCGGACGTCCCTTCATGTCAAGCGAGGCTCAATGGGGAGCGCTGCAGCTGCCAAGCTTCGCCTCTCGCCTGTGAACATCAAACTCAACCCTTCCAGCAACGACCAACAACAATACAGCCCCAGTTTGTCCAGCGGATCAGGATCTCCTTCTCCCAGCTCCGGATCTCCTCTCATGTCGTCGGCATCTTCAATATCCTCGCCCCATTCGAGCGTCAATTGGAAGGCGCGCCTTAGGCGGTCTCTGTCGAACCAGGAGAAGATCCAGTCGCCACTCTCAAATGTCTTCAACCCAGATATGACTCAGTCCGAGAGCGGCGATGGAAAGTCCTCTGCAGAAAGTCTTCATCGGGATGGTCAAGTCAACTATCGAGTATCCCGCGAGAAGAGCTATGACATAGATCCTGAAAGCCCTGCGGGATCAGGAGACGATGAGGACTATCTAGAGGAACACCAACGGACGGTGACGTCGACTTTTCTCCAGCAGACACAAACAGAAAGGAGCAGATCGTCCGTCGACAGTAATGGCTCAAGTACAGGCGACCAAACATTCACTCCAGCCTCCCGCCGGGAGCAACTTTCCGACTGTTTCCTTCCCATCAACGTGCCCCATTCACCACAATCACAACCAGAGTCGCCAGGGCTGGCCCTCTCCGCACCAATACGATCAGCCTACAGTAGCAACCCCCAGCACTTTCTCCCTTCTCATCTTGCGTCACAGGGAAGGGCGCAGAGCAGGCAGCGACAACGACACTTGAACCGATCTATCGACTCACAAAAGTCATCTTCATTAGAGGAGCAGGACTCTTCACCACCTGCATCTCCTATGGCAGTCAACATCCCATCCCCTTACTCGATTTCTGGATCAGGAACCACCTTGCCTACCGAGATTCCCATAGCAAGGAGGTCATCGTCCCTCGCGTCATCTCCATCCTCTTACCAACGACATCATTCGGTCTATGTTCTCAGCGGTCAGATGTTCAAAAACTCGCCGCAAGGATCGCCCAAATCTCATCTGGCACGAGTTCTGGCATCGGATCAGGAGAACTACTACACCACCGACAGTGACTCGGATTGTTGCGGTGGAAAGCCTGTTGGCAGGAAAAAGTCGATCGACCGAGTGTTTTCTGATTCCGATGCAGAGGATGACACCAGGCAGAAGCGCGGAGCTATCAGAGGGTTCCACTTCCCCCCAAGGACTGCTCTTCGTCTGGAGTACGACTCGGACCACACCACCGGATCGACTAATGGACCTCCTTCAAGCCGGATCGACAAACTAATGTCATCGCCTTCCCTGAGTGCCTTTGGTAGTACGCCAATGGTTCACTCGAGCTCTCTTCCAGCCTTCTTCCCCGACTTGTCCGCCAACGCCCCTCAAAACCTCGTCTCTCAGATCGGATTTATGGACGACACGAACGAGCTGAACGCTGCGAACGCTCTGATCCATGAGATGGTGCGCGCCAAGACGAAGAGCGATGCTGAGATTCGGATTGTTCTGGATGGCTGGTATGAGTGCAAGCGAGACAAGGACATTGCATGCATGACGTTTCAGCAGGAGATTCCGGATGCATATGCACCCATATGGACAGAGGACAAGCCTGCCATGGACTCGCCTAGTCAATGGAGCGTGATGGACGATATCCAAGGAACTCCCCTCCCACCCTTCTCGTTCGGCGACGCGTGGTATGAGACGAGCGTCGGACCACTCGACAAGGCACCCGCGACAAGGAACGCGGAGACACTGGGGAAATCCTCACGCCACAACAGCATCGGGCACAAGGACGCCCTGGCAGCATTGATGGTGACTTCCCGATCCTACAGTAACAACACTGCCCTCCCTGCTGGAAAGGAAGTGAACAGGAGTAACTCGATTCCCTCGGGCAACCTTGTACCGAGCTCGGCTGTTGTAGTATCCACCGCACCCGTCGATGTACCCTCACTTGCCCCAGGGCACATGCCGGAAGCGGAGGAAGCCACCAATCTCAGAGCGATTTCTCGCAAGCAGTCGATCCTTTCCCGCCGCATTATTGCATCCAACAGTTGGCCGCCCACCATCCTTGCAAGTTCGCACACCACCTTGCTCATCTCGATTGAGTGTATCTCTCAACAGATCTTGCACACTCCAGTGTCGTCCATCATTGCACATCCTCTACGAGCGGTCGAGAGTATGAAGTCATTGCAGACTCTTATGGACCGACAACGTCGCATGGCAGTTGGAAACGCAGAAGCCGAGGACCTGTTGACCAAGCTTGTCTATGTGTTTGCCCCAGTGTGTCGACTAGCCGAACGACTTGTAAGTATTTTGCATCCCTTTTCAACTGAGTACAGGTGTACTTCGAGATTATGTGCTGATGCAAGCCCCATTTCCTGTAAAATATTTAGCATGAGCAACGCTTGAACGAGGATCTCCAAGCGACGGAACTTCCCTCTGGGAACTTGATGCTGGAGCAGAGTATGCCGTTCTCACATCTGGACTGGTCGCCTTTGCCGTCACCTGCCATGCCGATTCAAACTGCCGAAAATGAAAAGTCAAAGTCGGCAGCATCCATGGACGAGCAGATCGAAAAGAGTACAAGGGCAAGGTCTTCCACACAAAACTCGGCGTCGACAGAGCCAGGATTGCGCACCTCCATCCATCGTTCTCCCGAGGTCACTCCGGTGACGACAAGAACATCGCTTGATCAGCATCTCAAAGGAAAGAGCGATGTCTTTGCCCCTGCGAACTGCGTTGTGGCGGAACATGCAAGCGCGTTCTCTGCGGGTGAAATCCAGCTCCAGTCGACCGCGACCGCTCTGGCCTTGCCTCCATTGCCCAGCAAGCGATTCTCTGCCCCTCCTCTGTCAAGAGCCATGACCTTAGACATCAAGCAAGCTATGACTTCGCCACTTATCAGTCAACTTTCGCCTAAGTCTCCAGAGGCGCGACGGTTAACAGAGTCCAAGCCTGACCAGGAACAACACCGAGATGCACCTTCAAGCCAGGAACGTAGAACCCTTACAGTTTCGGCTGCACAGCCAAGCTCTATCTCCCTCCGCTCCTTAGACACCAGTTTGCAAAGGATGGAGAGCAAGGATGCCGCCAACGAAAGTGACAGCTCCGGTGTCTTAGGCGCCTCCAAAGTGAGGAAACCCGGTGATAAGAAGAAGACGACTATGGGCTTACTCAAGTCGTTCAAGTCTATATTCAATCACCAGCAGAGCAGCTCAGGTGATAAGTCGCTATCACCCATGTCTCCTTCCCAATCCGCGCAGCTCTCGCCTCTATCGCCCCTGTCGCCTGGACTCTCATCCCCATTGTCTGGTCCAGTCAAACCCGGCCCCTTTGGACTTCGACATCGGTCATCAGTCACGTCTACGAATTTGATCCGCTCCCAGACGATCGACCCTACGACATCCCAACAATTTCCTTCGCTGGATGTACCCACAAAGTCAGACTCCCAATCCGTTGCGACTGTGGACCTCTCCCAGAACCTCACTGTCTGCAGAATCTGCGACGAAGAGATTTTGCTATCGCTCTTGGATCGGCACAGCGAAACCTGTAAGCTCCAGCATGAATGTAGTCAGAAGCTCGAGAGCTGCAACCATGCCTTGGGCAAACTCAGCGCCTGTGTTTGGCAGCGCAGAGAGTTGATCGAGGCCATGAACCGACCGTACGTGGACTACCACAGCATCAGGGACTCAGAGAAGATTCAGATTCTCTCCCAGAAGGCATCCCTGGTACTCGAATCCAACCCTCGGAACGCGATACGCAAGCTGGAGAAGTACCACCAGAAAATCAGCAACATGCTCCAGGACTCCAGGAACCCGGCATACGACGAGGAGCTCATGAGCATCACAAAGAAGATCGCCCATGTGATTCGAGAGAAGCTGGCAACGATGCGCACGATCCAGGGCCAGCTCAGTCAGCTGACAGGACGCGACGGCGGCGACAACGGCATCGTCATTCGGTCTCAAAGTGCTAGCGCGATCAGTTCCCAGAGCGAGCTCCAGCAGCCTTCTTCGTCGACTTCGTTTTGGGGTGGTAGGAAGAAGTCAAAGTCCAAACCCAAGGATGGTGTGACACGATCAACCAAGCCGCCATTGCCCATACAGTCTTCTCAGACCATGACAGGAATTACCGGTAAGCGGATTAGCCCGATCTCCTGGGTCGATCAAGGATTTGCCTCCAAGCATTCGAGACGTGAGAGCAGCGGATCAAATTTCTCGAATAATGGTATGGTATTCTCTTTACTATCTAATTGGACCTTTGTCTCTCAGCTTTCAGCTGCTAACCAATTGAAATGTACCACTTTACGTTCCTGGATATAGACTTGGAGACGGCACACCCTGGTGCGGACATGACTGTCGTTAATAGAAAGAAACGATCTGGATCTATGTCGGCTGCTCAAGGACCATTGGGTCTGTCAGGTTCATCGGAGAAACCGAGCAAGAACTTCAGCACCATCTTTGCTGCTTTTTTGCGAGCATCGCGCCAAAGGATCAACAGCTACAACAACCTTGCGGGCCAGTCCAAGGGCATCTCCGGCGAGGCAGAGACAGGCCGCAATGGCTTCTTCGGAGGCGGAGGCCCCTCCGGTGTTTTGTCGCCTCCCTTCAACAACGCGTCAGCTTACAAGAGTCGCGTGCCAAGTATCCAAGACTTTGAAATCATTAAGCCTATCAGTCGTGGAGCATTCGGGTAAGGAGCCGGAACTTAGGTATGGGATTCATCTGAGTGTTTGCTAGGACATTCATTGATTTTCTTCACATTTTTTATGCACATATAGTAAGGTGTACCTAGCGAGGAAAAAGACGACGAAGGATCTCTATGCCATCAAGATTCTCAAGAAAGCTGACATGGTCCGCAAGAACATGGTCAACCATGTCTTGGCCGAGCGACGTGTCCTTGCCTTGACGCGGACGCCTTTTGTCGTGCAACTGTTCTACGCGTTTGCGAGCAAGGATTACTTGTACTTGGTGATGGAGTATGTCATCGGTGGGGATCTCTCGTCGCTCTTGGCTGTCTTTGGATCGTTTGACGAGGACATGGCTAAGATGTACATTGCCGAGTGTATTCTGGCACTGGAGTACCTACATTCGAACGGGATCACCCATCGCGATCTCAAACCGGATAACATGCTTGTCAACGCCGAGGGCCACATTAAGCTGACCGATTTTGGACTGAGTCGTATTACTGTTCCTGATCAAAATGACATGTTCAACTGGCATGATCACAAGGCTCCATCGCTGAACCGGCGACATATTGCTCGGCCTCCTTCTCACCCACCCAAGACATCGACCATCAAGAAATCGGCGACCATTGGCAGCCTCGAGGGCAAGGAGGACCCGGCAGTCACGTCAGCAAGACTTGCCGCCGCACAGGCATCACCACCAGGCACCTCGCAACAGCATGGCACACACTCTGGGCGTGCGACGAGAAGGCATCGCGGGAGCAGCAAGGCTCTGCTTGGAACGCCCGACTATCTGGCGCCTGAGTTGCTGTTGGGCATTGGCCACGGTGAGGCAGTCGATTGGTGGTCACTGGGTGTGTGTCTGTTCGAATTCCTAACTGGCTATCCACCCTTCATGGATGAGGCGCCTGAGGCCATCTTTAAGAACATCCTCAACCACGGTATGGCCTTTTACTCTTGTATTTGTTGAACCTATTTGCCATTTGGTAGTGCATATGAATAACTGAACACATCTCGTTGATTGACTCGACTAGATATCCAATGGCCCGAGTATGGATTGTCGCGGGAGGCCCATGATCTTATCAACAAGTTGTTGAGCAGAGAGCCTACGCACCGCCCCTCGCCCGCTGCATTAAAGGCTCACCCTTTCTTCCAAGGTGTCGACTGGGAGAACATCAGGAACCAGGAAGCCCCGTTCATTCCTTCACCCAACGACAACACCGACACAAGCTACTTTGACGGTAGGAGAACGCAACTTTCTTTTTCATTGGTATTCCAGACAACGCATACATTCATGATAAGTACGCATACAATCAAGGTAATTAATATTCATCCTGCCTTGGCCATCAATCAAACATAGCCCGAAATGCCAGACCCGACATCAGGCGATTGTCGAACGGTAACATGGCGGAAATTGCATCGGGAAACGCTGTTGTCTCGGACAATGCTGCCAACGCTACTTTTGACAACGCTGCCTCGTCCAGGAGCTCAGCATCAAAGCAACTGGACCCCAACATTGTGTTGACAGCGTCCCCCTCGATGGTCCCAACAATTACCCCATCAACGTCGGCGGTGGAACTGGAGTCAGGTTCGTCTTCGCTCAGCTCCACAGAGCAAACGTCGATGCAGACTGTCCGGCCCAGGCTAATGAACCATGGTCGCTCAAAGTCAGTCTCAAACCGAGTCTCGTTTTCTCCTGGATTTGGTTCCTCGTCCTCACCCTCTTCGCTCCATCGCATCCGACCTTCGTCATCCTCCCAAATGGGAATTGGCATGCCACCATTCTTAGCAGAGCAGCCACTGGGGTCTCCTTTAGCTAAACAAATCGAGAGCGAGCTTTGGGCTCAGAACCACTCTCTTACCGGTTCGGCTTCGATGCAGGTGGCCAGAGTCGGTGGCGATCCAGCCTCGAACCCAAACTATTTTGCTGGGCTCGACTATGGAAAGCCGCTACCCAGTATGGAAAGTCGTTCCACTTTGGCCAGCCTGCATGAGCGTGAGCAATTCCAAGAGACGCCTTTTGATCCCGTTTACAACCCAGTGACAGGCGTCACTGACTTGCGAGATCTCCAGCCCGCGCCCGCCTCTTCGTCAAGCGCCAAAGACTCGCTATTGGCCCTGTCAGAGAAGCTCAGCGGACCAGAGCGGGGACTGAGAGTCGAGACCGGATATCGACAATCTTCGTCTCCAATGCGCAAGGCCAGCGACCCTCGACTGCAGCATCAGTCTAGCAACCAGCAAAGCCTCCGGTCGTCTGGACTTACGTGGGCCTTGCAGCCACAGTCTCCTTCTCCCTCATCGCCCCTCGCCGCTCTAGACGTTGATGGCCTACCTTCAGTGCCCCAGCAGCCGTCCAGCTCTTTAGGAACTACAGTCCATCAGGCCTCTGACATCTCTACTGAGCCAGACCAAGAGTCCTACCCACGACCTCGCGTCCACTCTCGCCGACCTTCTCGCAGCCACGAGTACGACCATGATCAGGAACCGGATGAGATGGATCGGGATATCATGAATCAACAGCGGCATGGCGATGGCAACGGTACGATGATGCAGCGGTCCCTTAGCATCGAGTCCGAGTTTGAGAGCTTCTCGTACAAGAACGTGACGCTGTTGAACGACGTCAACATGGAGGCCATGATGACGAAAGGCAAGCTGGCGGCGAATGCGAATATGACAGGACTTGGACCAGCTGGAGGACCCTCTACTCCTACTGTCGGCGAACTGGTTATTTCTCAGGGACCCCTTGATCCTCTTGAGAGTGGACAGTCATTGACAGGAATGAGCGATTCATCCAACTACGGCCCGGGACCATTGTCTGCATCTGTTTCGGGTTCTGGGACCAGTACATTAAAGTCTATGATCCAGTCGTTGGGAGTCGGCAGTGGCAGTCAAGGAAGCCACTCGAAACAGTCCAGTGGCAGCGAGCCAGGTAGCACCAATTCTGCGGCGCCCACCTCCAGCACTTTAGCGACAAGTGAGGCGAGCAGGAAGGATCGACCACGAGAACCTCGCAGGGACGGCAGTTCTGGGTACCTCCTTGGATTGGGATCCCTGGCTCGGTCTCGTTCAAGATCCAGGTCGCGATCAAGCTCTGCGGCGCATTCTACGACGGCTGGCGGCACACCTCCAGTCTCTGGTCTGTCTGTCGCCTCCTCGACGCAACAGTTGACCGAGGGAGCATCTGGATCTCCGCTCTCTGCCCCAGCGTCGACAGGAATTGTCGCCTCTGCTACCGCGCCACTACCTCCTGCCAGTTCCGGCCATACGATATTCGGGTTCGGCAACGGATCGTCCACCAAGTTGCCGAGATCCAAGTCTGGATCAAGGGCAGGATCCAGAAACGGTAGCACGACCAGTCTGACGCTACAGTCGATGGGTCCTGGGATGATCTCGATGATGCTGAAGCGATCCAGCCCTGGCGGAGGAAACGGCAGTGGGAATGGCGGTAGCGGTGGTGGTGGTGGAGGAGGAGGGATGTTGACGCCAACCAAGAAGAACAGCACGAGTAGTCTTCGAGACCCATCTCACCCACTCGCACTCCATCATGCAAATTCGGAGGACGAGCATGACGGTTTGATGGCACTCAGGAGGAACAACTACAACTGTGTGAGTCGTCGAGGGAGCGCAGTCAGTATCACGGGCGGAAACGGTGGTAGTGGAGGTGGAGGAGGAGGAGGAGGAGGAGGAGGAGGCTCTGGTGAGATGGTAATGTCTTCTTCGTACTCGTCCAACAAGGAGAGGACGTTCTTTAGCTCGCCACTCTCTGCAATGCCTATGGCTGCCGCCCCGGCCGCCACTAGTGCCTCGGCTTCCTCGTGCACTGTTCCAATCAGTCCTTTGGTCTTGGAGCGGCATGAGGATTGGGGCCAGGGGTTGAAGATGGGCTCTTTGTTAGGACCCATGTTGCAGACTGACGCTGCCGTTGCCACTGGTACTCTTGCCGGTGGTAGTGGTGCTCTTGGTGTGAGTGGAGGAGGAGGAGGAGGAGAACGCGAGAGTAGTATTGTTCAAGTGGCTCACGCTGGTCCAATCGGCGGGGAGGCGACCAAAGGCGGAGTAGTTTAGATAGGAGTTTTTTTTTTCTTTCAGCTTTGAACATAAAGAAGAGGAGAGAAGATTTCAAAAACTATATCGTCTCCTTTGATCATGTATGGTTGTCCTACACACCTCACTTCAAAGAAGCGTAGCAAAAAAGAAAGCGACGCGAACAGTAACTGTAGTGTTTGCGACTAATTTTTTTTTTGACTAAGTTAATCGGTTAACCGGTTAACCGATTAATTAATTGACCGATTAACAGAACTGATTAACCGATTAACCCATTAACCCATTAACCCATTAGCAGATTGACCATTTAAACTAAATCGGTTAATCGACCAAATTAACCAAAATTGACTTGACCTTTTGACCGATTAACCGACACGATCCGACGCACAATTTTTTGTCTTGACCAAAAAAAAATCGATTAAAAACCCTGTCGCGAACGCCAAGGTCAAAAAAAAAAAAAAAAAGTTTACCACTGAACGAAATGACAAAATATAATTCCCAGTCCGGGGATCGAACCCGGGCCTTGTCGGTGAGAGCGACAAATCCTGACCACTGGACCAACTAGGAACTTCTTGTTTAATGGTAGTATCCTTTGTCCTAATTGTTTTGGCAAGAATAAATTCACGTGATGATGCGGCCCTTAAGTGATGGACTCTACCTGGCACCTGGTACCTGGATGTGTACGAAAAAAAACCTGGTACCTGGTTTCCCAATGTCCATCGCCAAGACAGTCCTTCATGAGATCTGGAAGGAGGCCATGGGCAAGATTAATGAGTGGGGTGTGCAGGTGACAAACAGCTACAACGCAGCCAGGAAGCGGGAATACAAACGCGCGGTGGACAGGGGTCGTCAGGTACCGAGGCCAGTACCCATACACTGGTGGCCCCCTTCGGATGCGGATCATGTACGAGGATTTTCCTCCATCGGTGGAGCTCGAGCCGTGCACAGCGGTAGTCCAGCTCTCGATCGAGACGAGAAACCGATGTGGAACGTGTCGGATCTCCTCCGCGGCATCACCCCCTTAAGCATGTTGACTGAATGGTCCGCGGTCTTCCGGACCCCAATGTCCATCGCTAAGACAGTCCTTCACAAGTTTGTTGGCTACCTGGAGGCGCAGGCCTCGGAGCTGATCTGGAAACCTCGGTGCTCCGCGACGATCGCATGGGAGCAGACCCAGGGTATCTCCGCCAAGAACAAGACATCTAAGTACACCGGCCCCCGAGGTGACTGGAGTCAAGGATACGGTTACATTACGCACGATGGTTTCTGTCCGTGTGGCGCTTCGCTAGCCACACATGATGAAGGAAGGTGCCCTGGAGTGACCAAGGACCCACGCGCTGCTGACGAGCGGTTGTTGGAGAGTTTGTTAGAAAGGAGGAGGTTGTCAATGATGGAGAGGATGGGAAGAATCCCCTTTTATTCGTATCTGGTATTACTTTGTCTTCCGTTAAAACTGCCTTTTTCTCCTCATCTATCCCTATCATTCTTGCAAGGCACTCTCAATGCCTCTCACCTTTTCCACGCCCTCTGCATCTTATTTTTATGTCTATATACGCCTCTCCAGACTTTTCCGCACTACTTATGCCTTATTTGACGATGCTTCATGACTTTTCACTACCCCTACCCGCCCTTCAAGTGTTTCCATGACCTTCATCCCCCTCTCCTACCATTTCTTCCTTCTTCTCTTTTTCTTTGTTACTTGGATTAGTTTGATTTGTGGTCCAAAAAAAAAAATGATAACACCAGTAAGACAATTTATGCATGTAACGCGGGGGAGGTTTTTGCATCATCTTCGTTCTTGTTGGTGGTTTTTCCTCGACAACGCGCCCGCACGTTTGGAGATGAGTATAAATAAGACACAATTGTCACCAAAAATAAAGTCGGATAAGAACCCGCAGAGAACCAGTCCAGTAAGGAGGCCTTTCAGGTCCAAGTTATCATATGGTGTTTGTTACATCTCTGTAGATCTCGACAATATCCATAGCGACTATGGGATGAGAATGTATATATGATACCAAGCATATAAGACAACCATTGTAACATTTTTTGTTCAACTATCCTACTAAACACCAACCTATTCTCCAAACAACAAAGTCTTCTTATTTTTCGCACACCACACTCTTGAATATGTCCATCTACTATTAACCTGTAACCCTCACTGCAAGATTCGCCAGAGTAGTTCTTGTATGTCATCATCTAAAGCACTTGTACTCTCAACTGTATCTTTGGGGCGAAATACAGGGGAGAGATTACATTTTAAAAATTCTTGTGCTGTCTATTGCTATTTTATTCTGTGTTCTGTTGCCCACTATGAAGAGATATGCCAGTTATGGAAGTCAACACTCCGTTCCTTGGACTTTGGATATTTTTTATATGCCTTTTTATATCCTCTGCACATGAAGGGGCCGCTAACCTTTGCACACAGCCCTAGCCTAGCCTATCCTAGCCTTGCCCTTTGCCCTTCTGACACTCTTGACCAGCACTCTCTAACTTCTCCTTGTTCCAGTTCACAATGTTTTTCTCATTTTTCCTTCCATCCTTTTTGCTCTCCATTTTCATTTGTTTCTGTTGTAGTGTTGTTTGTATCCTTCATCCAGACTTCATTGTAACATGAAAACTGTTTTTCCAAGAGCCAGATAACTCCAAATAACGCCACCAATTCGTTTACATTAGAGGTTGGTGGCAAAAAGGGGCCTCGATCTATTTATTATTTTCATCTTTTGACGCGTTGAGAACCTTGAGGCACTGAATGTTCAAGTTCATGCTGTTAAAATGTATCATCGAATGGCTTTAAGGTACTCTTCTCAAAGTTATATTTTATTTCCAACAAAAAACACAGAGGCTGATTCTTCATTTCTCCTCGTCGAAAAAAAATATACTCACACGCTACGCAACGCAGACCAACTCTCACGCGCGAATAGCAGCAGGAACCTTGGATCGCTGCACACCCACGAAATGCTGGGGTCGGAATTTCCTCAGTCTCCACCAGTAATGTGTACAAGTACTCCACCAAAGGGCAGTGACTTTGCCCTGCTCGTTCTGGTACCAGGACTTGCAGTTCGAGGACCAGACCATGCCCTTCATCTTTTCCTCGACCTCGTCGACAAAGTCCTTGCAGGCCTTGGGTGTTGCTTGAATGGAGGAGAGGTTCTTGTCCATCATGTGCGAGATTGTCATAATTGCGTATTCGCAGGCTGTTTCGATCATGAATAGGACCGAGTTGTGGCTATGTTTTTGTGTGTATGTGTGTATGTGGGTGGGGGAAAGGTGGTAGTGACAGAAAGAGAGGTGGACGATTAGTTTTAACAATGCCTTTTTTTGTTTATCATGAAAACGAATAGAAAGAATGTTACCCGAGTCCGGTGTTGGGTCCGAGGAGGAAGAACATGTTGGGAGTTTCGGCGGATGTGATGCCGTAGTAAGTCTTGGGATCCTGGCCCCAGACCTTGAAGAGATCACATTTGTCCTTGCCAATAACAAACCCCTCCGCAAGGCTATCTTTAACATGGAACCCGGTCGCCAACACCAGCGCATCCACTTCCTGCCGCGACCCATCGCTAAGCTTCAACGTCCGTCCCTTGACATCCTTGATCGTCGCCGTGTGAACGCAAACGTTCTTCCTAGCTAGGGCCGGGTAAAAATCCGACGAGACGACAATTCGACGGCACCCCAAGATATAATTGGGCGTCATCTTGGCACGGAGCTGCTTGTCACGGATCTGGTAGAACCGATAAGACCAGGCGAGGAGCATGGCGACGCGACGGGTGAGGGCGTGTTGCCATTTGGTGCTGAAGATGCGGATGATGGATTCGTTGGACCAGTAGGTGAGTTTGTAGTAGAGGAAGTGGACGAAGGGGATGTGTTTGAAGAGGAACTTCCAGAAGGCCGAGTTGCTTACGTTCCTACGGGGGATGATGTAGGTTGCGGATCGTTGGTAGAATTCGAGTTTCTTTACCTTGTCGACGATTGCGGGGACTACTTGGATCGAGCTAGTTGAAGGAGAGCAAAATGAAAGCAATTAAAAACGTGTGCTTCGGGCAATTACTTTTTTCTAAACCCAGTCGCAAACAAAAATGTGCAGGAAAAAAAAACGTACCTAGCACCACTCCCAACAACAGCAACATGCTTGCCGGTCAAATCATAATCATGGTTCCACTGAGCAGTATGCCACTTGGGTCCCTCAAAGGCCTCAAACTGTTTAGGGATTTGCGGGATTCTCAGAGGTCCCATTCCAGAAAAGACTATATCGGCGTTGGTCTGTCCTGTCTCGCCAGTGTTGTGGTTGATCCAGTCCAGGACCCATTGTTGCAGCTCCTCGTGCCATTCGGCATGGGTGACCTCGGTCCTGAAACGGATCTTTTCGTAGAGGTTGTACTTTTTGGCAACTTGACGTTGGTACTCCCAGATCTCCTGCTGTCCCGCATATCTAGTTGCAAAATAAAGGAAACGAGAGGGAGATAGTGTGCACAGACGCATGCAGCGGAAGGATTAGTAACATAATATGTCCAACGACGACCAGAGGCGGAAATGATCTAGAAGCAATTGAGGATGTAGCTTACGTCGTGCTCCATTCGTAATTGGGTTCGAATGAGAACTGGTAGTTGATAGACTTGACATCACAGGCACAGCCAGGGTAGGTGTTGGACCACCAGGTGCCTCCAAGCTCGGGTTCCAGCTCAAAGATGGTGTATGTCTTGAGATTCAGCTGGGTCTGAAGGCGAATAGCGGCACACATGCCCGAAAACCTGTCGAAGCATGGGTTTAAGTAATGGTAGCAACAGGAAGAGAAGGTTAGAAATAGAGCAATTGGATGGATTAAAGGAGAAAAAAATGGCGTGGTGTACTGTATCCTGTCTGGGTAAAAATGGTACAGCTTGAGGCAAAAACCTTACCCAGAGCCAATGATGCAGACGATTGGAGTCGTCCCATCCTTGTAGGTCTTGGTAAGTCCCATTCTTGTCGGAGTTGCGAGTTCGTGCTGAGAGTTGTTTCTGGTCGAATGGGCTGGAGGAAAGGCGATGGCGAATGGAGGAATCGCCAAGAAGGAATGAGAATGAAATGGGGAGTAGGAATGTCGGAAAGGAGGGTGTTCACTTTCAGTATTTATTCAAGTGAGCGTGCATCGTCCTTTTCATACCTTGGGCCCGTGTCCAGGGTGCATAAAACTTGAAAACTTGTTTGAAAATGAGCCGCACTCCAACAATGCCACTTTCTCCCCTCACGCTTCTGCTCTTGTTTGCCCTTACGACAAGAATGAAATAACACTTATCGCTCCACAGGACAAACAAGTCTATCTTTCTATCTGTCTGTGTGTCTGTTTCGGCTCGCTCAAAAAAAATAGGTCAAGTGCTTCTTTCTTTCTATTGCACGGATCGAAAAAAGGTATCTGTGCGCTCGGCCGACTTTACTTATTTCAACATTTGTACCATATGTTTGTGGGGGAGAAGAATGGAAGCTGTTCGGTCGAAAGTGTCGAGTTGAGTGCAATCTAGGGTTCTTGCTGAATAAACTCGTTTTAGCTCCTCTACACGTCGACTATCGCGGCCTTTGTTCTTTTTTTCTGTCCGTCGCGTTTTTCTTATTGTCGTTTGGTTTTGTGCTTTCTAAGTGAGTAAGAGCAATGTATATCAAAATCTTATTTATTTCCAACAAGAACAAACCCTGATCCTTTTCTTCCGCCAAAAAAACCGACAAGCACCACGCCAACCTTAACAGCTCACATATGGACGGCAGCAGACTTGGACCGCTGGACAGCAGAAAAGTGCTGGGGTCTGAACTTTCGCAGTCTCCACCAGTAGTGCGTGCAGGAGCTCCACCAAAGCGCCGTGATCTCGTCCTGATCATTCTTGTACCAAGACGTACACTTTGTGGACCAGACCATGCCTTTCATCTTTTCCTTGACCTCATCACCAAAGTCCTTGCAGGCCTTGGGAGTGACTTGGATGGAAGAGAGGTTCTTGTCCATCATGTGCGAGATTGCCATGACTGCATAGTCGCAAGCCGTCTCGATCATGAACAGGACCGAGTTGTGCCTATTTTTTCGTAGATGAGAGCAAATGAGGTGAAGAACAAAATTGAATTAGAAGGAATAATATGCTTTTTTCTTCTCTAAATATGTTACAGAGAAGCAGTCGATCAAAGCAAACGAAAAAAATTCACGTTACCCAAGCACGGAGTTGGGTCCCAGAATGAAGAACATGTTGGGGGCTTCGGGAGTGGCGATTCCATAGTAGGTCTTGGGCGCTTGGCCCCAAGCCTTGGAGAGGTCGCACTTGTCCTTGCCAATCACGAACCCCTCAGCAACGAAATCCTGAACACGGAATCCAGTTGCCAAAACCAGAGCATCCACCTCCTGCTTAGACCCGTCATTCAATGTCAAAGTCTTGCCCTTAACATCCACGATGACCGCCGTGTGAACGCTGACGTTCTTCTTAGACAAGGCCGGATAGTAGTCCGATGAGACGGCGACACGACGACATCCTAGGGCGTAGTCGGGCGTCAATTTCTTACGGAGTTGCTTGTCACGAACCTGCCAGTACCGATGGGCCCAAGCGACGAACATGGTGAAGCGCCGGGAAAACATGTCTCGCCACTTTGTGCTGAAGATGCGGAGGGTGGCTTCCCTATTCCAGTAGGCCAGCTTGAAGAAGATGAAGTGGACAAAGGGGATATATTTGAAGAGGAACTTCCAGAGTGCCGTGATTTTGGGGTTACCGCGGGGGATGACCCATGTCGCCGACCTTTGATAGAACTCGAGTTTCTTGACCTTGCCGACAATCGCAGGAACTACTTGGATCGCGCTTAATGGAAGAATGAGTAGTAATAAAAGTGAGCAAATTGAGACTCAGCTACAGTAAAGAAGTGGGCCAAGAGAGAAAGTGTGTGTGTGTGTGGGGGGGGAGGGGTTACCTGGTTCCGCTGCCAATAACAGCGATACGCTTGTTGGCGAGGTCAAAGTCATGGTTCCACTGGGAGGTGTGCCACTTGGGTCCCTCAAAGTCATCAAACTGCTTGGGAATCTGAGGGAGGCGAAGGGGTCCTGTTCCAGAAATGACAACGTCGGCCTGCATCTGTCCAGTCTCTCCAGTAAGGCGGCTTGTCCAGTCAAGGACCCATTGCTGCAGGCTCTCATGCCATTCAATATGGGTGATCTCCGTGCTGAAACGTATCTTTTCGTAGAGGTTGTACTTTTTGGCGACCCGGCGTTGGTACTCCCAAATTTCCTGCTGTCCCGCAAATCTTAGATATTAACGACGCACACAAAAAAAGAACGAGCATGGACACCATGGATTAGTACAAAAAATTACCAAGAAAAAAAAGAAAGAGACGATTGGGAACGGAAACGATGGGAACAGGCAAGGGAGGGACAGTCAAACTTACTTCTTGGTCCATTCATAGTTGGGCTCGAACGAGAACTGGTAGATGATGGATTGGACATCACAGGCACACCCAGGGTAGGTGTTAGACCACCAAGTACCTCCAAGTTCGGGGTCCAGCTCGAAAATGGTGTATGTCTTGAGGTTCAGCTGGGTCTGAAGACGAATGGCGGCGCACATACCCGAGAACCTGTCAAGAATGCATTCGAAGTGAAGCAATTAGATTGGCAAGACAAAATAAAGCAAGCGGTTGGCGATGAGGTCCCAGACTGAGTTAAAGTAATATGTGATGAAATCATATTGGGAAAAACCTTACCCAGCACCGATGATACAGACGGTTGGCGTCGTGCCATCCTTGTAAGTCTTGGTGAGTCCCATTATCGACTGAGGAGATAGTTGTTTTGTTGGAGAAGTGTTTGCGGAAAGCTGAACGAATGAGTTGAAGTCAAGACGTTGGTGAGCGGAGGAACCCGTGGAACAGATAGAAAGGGAAATGAAGGCAGTGTGAAAAAAGAAAAGGAAAAGTTGTTCGACGAGATAATCCATTCTCCGTATTTATGCAAGACAGCGCGGCGCATCGTTCTTTCTCGTGCATTGACTCATTCCTTACCCCCTACCCATTCACCCTTGACCGCACTAATGTGCTCTCTTATTTTGTGAAAAATAATGTGGTTTCTAGTACATGGTACTATCCTCCTGCGTTTGTGCTCTTGCTTCTTCTCACGGGGCGGAAAAAAAAAACGCTTATCGCCGCACAACACCCAAGCATGTCTCCTCACACATCCTGTTCGCTCAGAAGATGGTGCCTCTTTGTCTTTGAGCGAGGAAAGAGAGGAACCGAGTGTGAGCCACGGTTATGCATGATTTAACCTAGGCGCTTTTTCTCTCTTTGAAGTGCGAAGCTCGTAGTAGATAAGCTCTTCTTAGTTCCTCGACGCGTTTATTGTCGCGTCCGCACCGTTCGTTTGTTTAGCAAACCGCACGTGCATGATGACGAGGTGACTGTTTCTTGTCTCCTTTTTCTCCCTGCCCCTTTGCCTTGGCTTTGAGACGACTTATCCTCCCCTCCCCCCCCTCCCTCCCCTTCTCTCTTTTTCTCCCCACCTCCCCGCATCCTTCTTTTCATTCGACTCTCCTTTTCCCTTCACTCCCTTCATTCCCAACAGAAACAAAAGAAACCATACCATGCGCCCAGAAGACATCAAGGAGGCCTTTGCTCTCTTCGACCCCCAGAACACCGGTAGAATCGAGCCTTCGGTCTTCCAAAACTTCCTCAATGTAAGGGACTCGTACTCATTCGCTCAGTCGCACCGCTACATTCGCTCCGTTATCTCACACCGCTTATTGCGTTGTATGACTTTTCTGCAATCATGCGTTGTTGTATCACTGGCCCACTTTTGTGCAGTCAGTTGCAGCTTATCTGCTGCAGCGACATTGCAGAACACCTTCAAAGAACTAGTCTGCAAAGGACTCGAGTAACTATGGTTGAAAAGGCTGCTAAAAAAACTCCGCCTACTTTCTTAACAACTGACACCTTCTGGCCTTCTATTTGTGACTTTGCAATAGACTTTGGGCGACGAAGAGCTCAAGCAGTCCATTCGTATCCCTAACCATGCCATTGACCTCAAGGAGTTCACCGATCTCATGAACCGCTACAACAACGACACCACCAAGGACCCTGAAGAGCCCTACCGTCGTGCTTTCCAGTCCATCAACCGCGATGGCTCTGGCGCCATCTCCTCGCAGGAGCTCCGTGCTGCTATCCAGTCCTTATTAGGACCTAACGTTCTCTCTGAGGTGCGTTTTTTTTTATCATCCCATTCTAATATGTCCTTGCTCATGTCTGCTCGTTCTTTTTTGATGTTGGGGAGTACGCTCTTTATTTGATCCCTGTATCTGTTATTCAGGTCTTCTCCGGTATCGAGTGCGCAGCGTCTGCAGCCCATACTAATGCATTAGCATGCCTTTTGATCTTTTTATCCAATACTTCTAGGCCGACATCGATGAGATCATCACGGAGGGAGACGTCTCGGGTGACGGTCGAATCACTCTGGAGGAATTCTTGAAGATCATGCAGAAGAGTGAGAAGAAGCACCGCGGTGAGCACGTCTTGTAACTTGGAGACAGACACATAACCTCAGCCTAGCTGATGACGGGCGACGAGTCCCTTTCCTTATTTTATTTTGTTACAAAGTTTTGATTGTAAATAAATGAACATCATTAAGAATGTGCTACGATGGTTGTTGTTGTTGCTGGTGTTGTTGTTGTGGGAGGAGCCGGCTAAGCAGCATCTTGGTCTCGGAATGGGGCCGGATCCATTCTGCAGCGACGGCCCAAAGAATGAGAGGTGGTCGGACAAGGGACTCTATCTTCTTCCGTTTTTGAATCTGCACGCGTGACTTTCTCAGCACTGTCCTCCTTTTCGCCGCCCCTCTGCTGAGCGCTGACTGGGAGGGAGTCGACCCATTCTCTTCCATAGGCGAAGTTGTCGCGTACAACACAAACGACTGTTGCTTCCGAGGGTGGACTGTGCAGATATCGAGCCACAGTTTCTCCTCCGTTGTCGCCCGCTGGGATCGATCCAGATCAATGCTCTCGACGTGGCCCTTCTGTGGCACGACCGCAACGGCGGCCTTCTCCTTGTTCGGTAGTAGGCTCCTTGATGAACTCGAAGAAGTCAAGTCAGGAGCAGGGCCGGACTTGAATGTGAGGTTGCCTCGCCGTGCTAATATCCTGAGCACCTTGTTCCGATGTTCCTCGTGAAGGTCTGCTGGCTGGGCAGCAACTTTGTCTACATTGTCCCTGCCGTCTCCTCCTACAACTGATGTCACGCTGTCTTTGCCCGTCACACTAACACTTCTGTCCCTGCTCGCCTCCTTCAGCCCCAGTAGAGTCCACATAACAGCTTCTTGATCACTACCAAGTCGCAGCTCAGCAACGGATGTCCCGTCGCTAATCGTGCATTCCATCTCAACCTGCGTCCGCCACCTCCGCGAACTGCATCCAAACATACACATCTGAGACCTGTAGTCGTTCTCACACTCAGCGCAGACAGCCCGAATTTGGACACGTTGGATGGTGTTAATCCTGCAAATGTGTCGAGTTATGGTATCGCTTCCAGTCGTCGAGCCAGTAGTGCCGTCTGATGACGATGGTGTTCCCGATATGGAGGTCGCGGATGAAGGTGCTGTAGGAAGGGAGCACCACACATTGCAGATGTAGTCAACCCTGTTGCATGAGCCTGAGCGAGAGATCCGACTGTCTAGAATGCGTTTCCATTTCTGTGCTGGAGCATGGAACTTCAACGGGTCGAGGTCTCCGGAGTTGAGAGCTTGATGCGACCAAGGCTTGGGTAGTTGTGTGGGGGAGTTGTTAACGCCCTGCTCGTCCCTCCTTGTCCGTTTCTTGTCCTTTGAGCTCTCCGGTATCAAAACCACGCCTTCATCAGAGTCACCATCCAGTACCGCGTCGCCCGACCGCGACCTCTTCCGCGCCCCGCTAGGCGTCGATCCCTTCTCGCATGTTAGTACGGTGCCCGATCGCGACTTCTTCCGCGCCTTGCTGGGCGTTAATCCCTTCTCGCATGTTGGCACACTGTCCGATCGCGACCTCTTCTGTTCCTTGGTCTTCTCGCGGGTTGGTGCAGTGGTGGAAAATGGCTTCTTGGGGGGTCCCGACTGTCTCCTGACGGGTATCTGCACATCGGGTAATTTGGTCCGCAAGCTCTGGTGAGCGGGGGATATCCTGTAAAATGTTGTGTCTGTGATGCCCACACATGTCACAACCCTGTAACATGCCAGTTCCTGCTGCAGCATCAACGCGTCGGTCACCTCGACAACATCACCGCGTTTGAATGGCCGAGAGGAAGACGGTCCATCTTGTTGAGATGCAGTGTGGAGTAAGAGCGCGACCATGGTCATCGTGAGCGCATCCTCGAAATGTTCTTCTGCTTCAGAGCGCGATACGTTGGAGTCGGACCACGACACACAGGACGTGGCTCCATTGTCGACTTCCTGTTTGTTATTGCTTGGTTGGGGTGGGTGCTCGTCCGTTTCTGTGAGTGGCTTTTGCTTCTCCGCCTCATCGCCAGAGTCGAGGACAACGACAACAGAATCCTGCTTGTTCCGTTCCTTCAGATTTTTGCTGATGGCAGGTGTGGGTCGAGTAGTAGAGGCGCGCCTGGAAGCAGCCCGCCGAGTACAATGAGCTACAGGATCATCGGGTACAGTCTGAAGCGGGACAAGCCAAACAATTTTATCGGGGAGAGAGCCGTCGCCGCGTGCCTTGAACGTTGATAGGGCGTCTGAGTGAAGAGGGAGTCTGTCCAGTTGCTGATCTAGTAGTTCCTGATCTTGTTTTGCTGCTAGGAGACGAGAGATCTGGGACGAGCTGATGGAGTGGGCTACTTGTCCAACAAAAGAGAGGATGTCGCTCTGTTGTTGATCGGAAGCCTTAGCAGTCGAGGGAGAGGAAGAAGCCTTGAGGAAGAGGTCGTGGATGGTCAGGAGGCGTGGATGGGTCGACATGGGACGGAGGGGTATGGAAGCAGAGTCTGTTGAGACGATGCCAAGTCAAAATTTAAATTGAAAATGGTGGTGCCACCATTTTTTGTGGCGCGTGATTTTTACACAATAGGGTGTTATTGTATTTCTGTTCTTTTGTCTTCTTCACACACTTGATCATTCACACCTCATCATTCGCCTTTGCGGTACCGCCCTTCGCTCCCCTCATCCACTCACCCTCCTCCTATCCTCACAACCCCCCTCACACCTCACTACCTCAGATAGGCTCACTCACTGCTGTCAACACCCAGGAACACCACCCTATGGCGTCACCTGCCAACCCGCATGGACCCCCCGAATCCACCATTGCCGGTCAAGTCTCTGGTGAACCTAAACTCGACAAAGTAGACCCCTTCGGGATCCTCAAGCAGCGGCTGGTCAACATTGCGAAGGACAAGCACAAGAGGCTGATCAAGGGTGTCGAAGGTGTCCTTCAAAGTAAATCGTTTTGCTTTTGTTGTTCGACAGCAGAAAAACATGTTCGTGAAAGCCTTTTTATGCCCCGCTATTATTGACACGCAGGACCTAATTTATCGTTTTAGCGTACGCCTCGGGAATGGAGGCGGACTTGATATACATCGTTAACGAGTACACCACCGTCAAGTGCGAGCTGGAAAAGCTCAACAATGAGAACACACTCCTCAAGGCCGTCAACGCAACCATGAGCGAACAATTAATTAGCGCCCAGCATAACAGACAAGGGTCCGGCAGCTCCGCGAATGACAAGGCCGCGATCGAGAATCTGCGACTGGAGCTCGAAATCACCACACGGGAGCTTTCCAGGGCATTGGAGGACGTCGAAAATCTCAAGGCACAGCGTTCGCAAGTGGATATGGCTATCCAACACAAGGACGTAGTCAACCACCAATTGGCAGCAATTATCGACAATCGGCAACTGGATCTTGACCTCAAGCAGAAGGAGAATACAAGATTGACCGCACAACTGATCGATACTCGGGCCAAACTCGTACAGGCTATGGATTTCGTTGGCCAGTATTACCCTGTCCTGGAGCCGGAAGTCTTGAAGAGGAAAGCACTTCACGAACAACAGCAGCAGCAGCTTCAACAACATCAACAACAACAACAACAACAACAACAGCCGCAGCAACAACAACATCTACAGCAACAACAACAACAACAGCTGCAGCAACAACAACATCTGCAGCAACAACAACACCACCAGCAGCAGCAACAACAGCGTTTGCAGCAACAACAACATCTGCAGCAGCAGCAACAACAACACCAGCAGCAGCAGCAACAGCAAGGATTCCCGCGTCCGGCTGTACCAGTACAAATGCTGAACGGACCGGTGGGACATTTCAGCCAAGGTCCTTCGACATCACCAGTGTCGCCTTCATCACACCATCCAGCACACATGCCCTCCCAATCTTTAACAGGGGTTGCTTCTCCGATACATCAAGGACACCCACACCAGCCTTTGAGCGTTCCACCATTGAAAGAGCCATCAACACCTGCCTCATCGACATCCCAAATGCCTCCAGCTCAATTGGGGATTGTTGGCCCGACAGTGACTGCTCCACCGGTATTTCCTTCAACAGGCAGCAGTCGTGTATCGACGGCAAGCTTACTCCAGCAAGTCAAGAGCCAAATTGAGGTCAATTCCACCCAGAGACAGGGCCAGGACCGGAAATTTCAGGACTTGAAGCGGCAAGCAGCGGTCGTTTGGCGGGAAAAGAACCAGAAACAGGCATCACAGCAAATTCAATCCGAAACTGTTGTGCTAGGCGCACCGCAGTATCCGAGCCAGCAACCCGTGCCGCCTGTGACTCAACAACATCAGCTTCAGTTGCAGCACCTTCAACAACAGCGCCCTCAACACCAGCAACAAAACCCTCAACAACAGCAGCTACTGGTGCAGCGGCGCCCGCAAGAGCAGCCGATGCTACGAGAATACCAACAGCAGCAAATACTCCGGCTTATAAGCGCATCGACCTCACAGGACCAGGGCATCGGGCCGACTTCGTCACAGCAGCTTCCAGAACCGCAGCACCCACAGTCATGGGGTATTAGGTCAAAGCAGGACTCAACATCTGGAGCATCGAATGCGGACCCAGTTCTCGGAAACACAGTCTCTTCGGCGGAGCCAGTATCCCGACCGATGTCTAACTCGACTACTCATTCTTCAACACCTGTAATGGCTACAATCGATCCGGCACCACTCTTATCAGCATCAACAACACCACCTGCAGAACCAAGGTCCCTCTCAACACCAGTATTAGCTGACAAGACGGGACCAATAGCATTGGAGTCAAAGTCAACATCGACATCTACGGAGCCCATGGAACCTACCGAATCCACGGAGCCTGCAGAACCAGGGTCCCTCTCAACACGAGTATTAGTTGAAGAGACGGGACCAATAGCATTGGAGTCGAAGTCAACGTCGACATCTACGGAGCCCACGGAACCTACCGAGTCCACAGAAACTGTAGAACCCATGAAACCTACGACACTCACCGCAGGATCGACCAAAAGTGCCACCGCGTCACCATCGCCATCACCATCGCCATCGCCTTCACCTGAACCCATAGCTGCACCAATAGCGGCTACGTTAGTGTCAGAAGCTGTAGCTGAACCAACGACAGCCGAGTCATCGACGACGGCAGCACTACCGGAGCTGCCATTTCACTCAACAAAATTGCCCTTTTCCGGCATGATCAGCCAGTCACCGTCAGAGCAACTCACACAACCGACTCAAGGACTGACCGGCAACAAGAAGAGGAGCTATGAGTCTGCAATCCTGCTGGAGGAAACGGATGACGAAGACGAGCACATCAACACCGACGCCGACAAAGGACATGACTACGACGAGGGGTTCTCTCAGCCCACACCTGTCGACTTTGACTTTGACCATGACTGGGCATCACCACCACCGCCACCCCACAAGCGGTTGCAGACACCCGCCGATAAGTTCAAGCTTGAGCCTGGGAAGTGGTATATGTCCTCTGTCCAGATCCCAGCGTTTTCTCCGTCGCGCTCCAGTCCTGTTATTGACAACGTGACCCGTCAGCGGCGCCGAATAATTATCGATGACGAAAGCGACGACAATGAAGACGTGTTTGTTGATGTTGACGACTCCTTCGGAAGCACCGGCAATGGAGTCCTGTCCTCGTCGTCACTATCACTCTCAAAGGCGAAGTCCACTGTGAAGGAAATCCACCACACAGATTAGCTTTCCTTTTTCCCTTTATCTTATCCCTTAAAAAACGCTAAATGTACTATAGAAAAACATCATTTGGGGGGTATTCGTGTTTTTCATTGTCTACAGTAACAAGTCATTTTTTTTCTTGACGCCATCATCTATCTATGTCGCATTTTGTTTTTCCCTACGCACTAACGCTTAATCGTCGCCCTGGTGGTACGAGACCTTTCTCATCTCACCAAGCACTCTCCTGGCAAGAGTAAGTTCCTTCTCGAGCTTAAGGATCTCGACCTGCTGACCCATCTCTCGGATCTTGAACTCGTGAGCGTTCATGGCCTGGTAGTCGACCTCAGCCTCACGGGCCTTCATCTCCCTCTCCATGATGGCCTTGACAGCGCGGACAAGAGCTCTAGAAGCCTCTGTCACAGCCTTGGAGGCCCTCTCGAGGTTATCCTGGGCCTTGGACATAGCGTTGGCCTTGACACGGGAGGCGGCGACCAACTGGGCAGTGGCGGCAGCGACCTCGTTCGAGGCGACCAAGAGCTGCTCCATCGAGTGGGTCTTGGAGATCACACCGTCGGCAGTCTCGACAAGCAAGGTGGTGGCCATGGCGACGGCCTTGGCCGCAGAGATGAGACCTTCAGTCCAGCGGTTGTTCTTCTTGTAGAAGGCAGCGTTGGTCGATGATCCTCGGCCCTGGGCAACAGACTCCTGCTGAGAGATGGTAGCGCACTTGATCAAGTGACCAATGGCCTGCATCATCGCCATGGCGCTCTCCAGAATCGACGCGTTGACCTGCAACTCGATCGCCGACAGACCATCGTTCTTGGGCTTGGCCATCAAGGCCTGAAGGCGAGCCGTGGCCTCCTCGATCGTACGGGCAGCGTTACCCATCTCCAACTCGACCATGTCGCCCAGATCCAGCTTGGTAGGATCGAGCTGGTTGTTCTTAGGGATCAAGTTCTCGGCAGCCTTGGCAACATGCTCCAAAGCCGACTGGACAGCCTCGTTCGAGCGAGTGATAGTCCTGATGCTTCCTTCGGGGGAGAGACCGCCCAAATGCGACGACATGACGTTGGTAAAGAACTCCTGGATGGCGGTGGCAGAGAACTTTGTCTGGTTAACAATGTGCTCGGCGTCCGCATCCTGCTTAGCCAAACGAGTGATGCCCTTGGCGTTGATCATCACGTCCGAGAGGGTCTGCGAAAGGTGCAAGGCTGAGCGGATGGCTTCGACCTGGTTGACATCGCTCGAGGCTGACGACCTGAGGTATTGCATCAACGACAACTCAAACTCGGTGGAGGCAGTCTGCGCCTTCTCGATCATTGACAGAGTGAACTCAGGTGTGGCAGTCTGGTTTCCGAGCTGGGTAGGCGACTCCAGGTCGTAGATGCTCTCCTCAACCTTGCTGATGCAGGTCTCCAAGATCGAATCTAAGATGACAAGCGACGTCAATAAAAATGTTAGTAAGCGCATTCGTTGCCATAAAAAAATTGCTCCCCAATGCTGCTTGAACGTATGTGAGGAGACATACCCAGAATCTGCTGAAGCTTGCGCTTGTGAGCGCTCATCATGGTGTCGAGGCGACTCTGGAGGACGGACGAGTGCTCGCTCTGGTCATCTCTCAGGGTAGCCAATTCCAACAAGGTCTCGTCCAAACCACTCTCAAGAACAGCCTTCTCCTCCTCGTTCTCGATCTCCATGCGCTCAATCTCGGCTCTCTGATCCTCCACCTGGCGCATCAACGAGTCAATCTCGCGTTGACGGCGCTAAGTGTTTCGCATAGAGTTGGAAAGAGAAGGTTAGAAATAACTTTCGGAGCGGTTATTCCAAGAAAGATCCATATGGCAAAGGGTATCTGACAGTGCGACTTACGTTGGCAAGATCCTCGAGGTCCTGCTTTTCCTTGTTGAACTTGGCAACCATGGACCCAACCTCGGAGCTCTTGGAACGTCCAAGGTCCTCGACACGACCGTTAGCCATCTCAAGATCTCTCTTGAGACGAGCAATCTCGTCGTTCTGGGTGTTCTGCCATCTCAAGAGCTCGTTCTTGGCACGGTCTCTCTCGCGGACCATGTCAGCCATCTGCAAGTTCTTGTCCTTGATCTCCTTCTGCATCTTCTCCATCTTGTCAACAGCCTCCTGGGCAGAGTTGGCCTTGAGCTGCACAGTCTTGAACTTGCCCAAAAGATCCAGGTGCTCCTGACGCAATTGAGAGTAAAGCTTGGCCAAAGCCTCATACTTGGACTTCCAAATGTTAATTTGCTCTACATTAGTGAAAAATTAAAGAAAAGGTATTAGATGCGCTGTTTGTTGAGTGACGAGCTCGAAAACTTGTCTAAAACAACGAACGGAAATAAGATCATACCTTGAATGCTCTGAATCATGGCATCTTTGGATGCGAGTTGCTGCTGAGCGTTCATGTTGATCAACTGCATCTCCTGTTCCAAACCCTTGACTCTCTATTGGCAAAAGACATATCCCAAAAAAATGTGTTGGTAACTCGGTACCTTGACAAGTTCATCCATTCAACCAAGCAGCGAATATCGACATGCTTGAGACTTACTCGGTCATACTGATCAATGAGCATCTGATCACGCTCATACTGTCCGCGAAGAGCCAAAACATCTCTCTCCAACTCGGCAAGACGACCCTCGGCCTGACGCTGCATCTGCTCTCGTCCCAACTGCTCCCTCTGAAGACGCTCACGCTCCATTTGTTGACGCTGCTGCTCCTCAAAGTTCTGCTGAAGACGAAGGGCCTCCATTTGCTGCTGCTGCTGCTCCATCTCACGCTGCTGTTGGAGACGGTTCTGCTCAAGCTCGTATTCGCGCTGCTGCTTAGCGATTTCCCGCTGCTGGGCAGCCCAATCAGGCTCAGGCGTCTGTGGTGGCGTATCCTTGACAACGGGCTTGCGACTGGGAGTCATGAGTGGGGAGTCGGATCCCAAAAGGCTTGGTGGGTCCTGAGGCAGCTTGGGAACACTGATCAAACTGGTAAGGTACTTCAAGTTGGAGCACTCATAGTAGAACTTGATCAAAGCATAGTGTTGAGCATTGTAACGCTGTCTCAAGAGAATCAGTCCCTCGGGATCGTTAGTGCCTATTAAATGATGTTTTCAGCAAGTCTAAATTAGCAACATGAAAGCCTCGGTTGGTTTTCACAGCCAACAGATGGTCAGGACACGAGAAAATTGTGTATATCATGGAATTCTTACGCTTGTGCATGGCGCGCAGCATGCTGGTGGCAAACTTGTAAATAGCATAGGTCTCCTCGACAAGAGGAACAAGGGCGGCGATCCTGCACTCATTATTGGATGAAGGACGGAAGTTGGCAAACACGAGCTTTTGGAACTGGTCAATCTGATCCTGCAAGTTCATCAAGTCCGTAATGGTCTCGTATCTAATAATAATGAGGGGGAACCGAGAGGATTAGATCTCTTAACTTCCGCTCACGTCGTTTCCACACCAATCAAGCACAAGGGCTCCAGTCCACGCAGCAGGGGAGATCTTGATGAGCCAACTTACCCCTCGTTGGGATCGTCAATGCCCTTCAAAGAAATGTACTCCTTGTAGTCAAAGTTGCCGTTGAATTCGGGATGGTTGTTGTGGTATCGCAGCTTGGCGTGCAAAAAGTCGACGTAGTTGCGAATCAAGGTGCTGTAGCCTGGAAGATAAAAATACGCATCCACAGACAAAAAATAAAGTTAATTCGAGGTCCTTCCATGGACAATGAGAAAGGGAGGCAAACGTCCGTCTGTCATCCATGCGCTTTGCCGTATTGTCCTTTGTTTTCTTTTCTTCGTTGCCAGTTGATGATTCCTTACCTCGGCCGTCGTATTGCGAAGTTGAACGGGCACACTGGTCCAGCCAGTCTGACTGATTCTGAGCATCCTTCAACGCCTGTTGTCATTGCATGGTTCAAGGTACAAATATCAAAAGAAAATAGATTTATGTTAGCTGAGAGCATTTCACTTGTATAAAAAAAACTGGGATCGTGTGTGCTGTCGAACAGATAATGGGCCTTTTTATCGTTCGGCTGCTCCCCAGGCGGACAGTCAAGTGGAAGTGCTGATTATGAGAGCCAGTTTTCATTCCACGGTCCTGCCTTCCGCTTTCTCCTCATTTTCCCCCTCTCTTTTTGAGTGCATTATCAACAACGCGCCCAAGTGACGAATTAAATAAAAGACAAGGCATTCTCCACGTTTTTCCTGCTCCTGAACAATCGGTTGCCTTTCCTTTTTCTTTCCCTTGTCCCTGGTTCCTGTGTTGTCCGAGAGACAAGAGTGGGAGGTGTTTGATTCTCATACTTCTAGCACTGTCTTTGATTCTCTCACACTGAAATAGTAAAAAGACCTTTCCCTTTTCCCTGGTACACACCCCCATCGAAGACATCAACTTACCGTAGGGTGTCCGTCACGGATAATTTTGTGGACCGAGATCAGCGCCTTGAAGGTCTGGACCTCATCGCCTAACATAGGTTGTGTGCGGAAGCCCTGCCACACCGACGACGACGAGCGGTAGTCCCATGTGTAGACAATACAAGCTGATTACAATAACAATTATGATAATGAAAAGGGAGAGAGAGAGAGAGAGAGAGTGTAAGTCGGCTGAGTTCTTGTTGTTCGATATTGCAACGATGGCTGTTGTTGACGGTTCAATAACGGGTGTGGTTGCTTGTGACGGAGAAAGTGGTGGTTGCTGTTTGTTATTACCTCTAACATGCTTCTGCTTGGGGGCGGTCTCTTCAGCACTGGTGGCCTTTTTGATGTGAAGGACGAGTTCAGTCTCGGCCTTGTCTCTGTCGACGGGGCGTGCACCAAAGGACATTGTGAATGGACGCGAAGATGAGAGTAGAGTGTTGGCGAGTTTCCCGTCGTAAGTGTGCTAAGAGGGTGGAGGGTGGGTGAGAAGGATTAGATGGTGGAGGAATGTGCGTGCGGGGAAGAAGGAAAGTGATGACGGTGGCGGCGAAGGAAGAAGGTAGAAGGAAGAGTGTGTCGTGCTCACTTTCGAAACGGCCGTTGAGTTTCTCTCTCTGCCTGTCTGCATTTCTCAGGGCGCTTAATCGAAGTTAAGGGGATCGCATTCCATCCTCAGACGGCAGGCACTTCCGATGATTGCGAGATAGGTGAAGAGCGCGGGAAAAAAATACACACACACAGTTGAACAGACTTCTACATCTATGTCCATGGCGGCAACACTCGTACACACAAGCAACACACAAGCAACACACAAAACCAACTGAAAAGAGGCAAAAGTGCGCTTGTGTATCTTTTATTTGATTAGGTAGATAGTATTGGCAGAGGAAAGCCCTCCGTCCTACAGAAGCGCGGCATCAAGAAAACAAAATGGCCGCCCTTCTCAAAGCTCCTTGGCAATGACCTCCTTTAACGCAGTCGCGGTCTTGCGATGACCGCGCTTCGCAGCCTCGACAGCCTGTTGTTGCCAATTGGCCTTGGATACTTTGGCGCAGTGGGCTCCTTGACCCGCCGGATTCTTGAAGACCGTCACCCCTTTCGTGAGGATCACCTTGATACGATTGATGTCCGTATTCCATCGTTCCTCCGCCTCTGCCGCAAGGACATAGATCTGGTAGGTACACAAGTTCGATTGACGGGCGTCTGCAAAGAGGCGTCGACGTGTGCTGGAGTCCTCTTCGTTGACGGCTTTGTTGTAAAAGTCGTCTGCTGTCAGTCCTGTTTGTGGGTATCCAACGTTCGACATGGTTGTGGTTGTTGTTGCTGTTGTTGTTATGCTGTTCGTCTATGTGTTTCCTTGCGTGTGTCTTTGGTGGTGGATTGGTGGTGGGGTCGTGTGAAGTGTGGAAGAAAAGGTGAAGCAGAAAAGTTGTGGTTGTGCTCTAAAAGAACATCGTCCTTGTGACGGCGAAAATGATGTCACGATAAAAATAGCTATTAAAAATGCAAGGGTTAGATTGACCCCCCATGAAAAAGTTTACCAGTGATTGATGGCAAAAAACCCCCGACTGTTAATCTCAATCCATTATTTACAGTCACACCTTTCTCTGAGTATAAAAGAAACCCGCAACCGTGAACCATTTTGCTCTTTACCCGCTCTAGCTTTTTGGCTAAGATCAAGTGTAGTATCTGTTCTTATTATTCTAATCGAATAATATGGTGGCCACGGCCACCAATCGATTAATTTCATTTTTGAACCGCGCTGGTCAAGCTCTGGCTTGCTATCTTGACTGGCACTGGTGTCCTCGGTATTGCACTACCTCCGAGTTGTACGCCGAACTCTTATTCCTCTTTAAATTCAAAAACATATCTATTACTTCTCATGCGTCATACCATAAACATGTCGTTCTATATCATTTCCTATCGTGTCTGCATGAACTGCGGGTATGTATGCTGTTGTCATGGAATTGGTGCCGATCAATGAAAAGATACATCCGTGTGTGTGCACTTGCGTTTATGTTTTGTATGCTAGATCTAGAATGCTGTGTGAAGGAGCCAGCTCCTTCTACTCGATGATACGAAGTTCCTGGGTGCGTCCAGCAGCGTACTTGTCTTTATAGCGCTCCCAGATGGCCAAAACTGCATCGATGTACTGCTTCTGAAGCTCATGCAACTGCTCCGACGTAGGGCTGCCCTCGACCTTTTCCACATGAATGGGTTTGCCAACAACAATATACACTGGTTTCCGCCTTGGTAACAATCCATAATCGTCTAAAAGCAGGTGAAGAGAAAGCGAGAGTAAGTAGTCTGTACTAAATAGAGTGAGATTACAAGTAACAATTATGCAGATCCTTGAGCCTTACATTGAAAGATACCGCGTCCGTTGAACATGGGGAAGGTGAATCCGAAGGTGTTCTTGACGAGTTGCTGGAACCGGTAGGTTTTGCTAGTGCGGGTGTTGCTGAAAATCTCGTAGAGGTCGTTTTCGCCAAACGCCAGCGTTGGGACCAAGCTCGCTCTATTATCAGTGCATGGGAGAGATGATCATGTCGGCGTTAGTTTGTTTCATTTAAATGTCAGCCTACCTCCACTTTGATAAACTGAGAGCACCACCAGAAAAGAGGAAAAAAACACAAGCTAGGGGTAAGGGGGAACTGAGGACGTTGAACTGAAAAGGGTTCCTTACCCGTTGACAAGGGCCAGCTTAATGAATCCAAGACGCTTCTTGAGGGTCAAGTCCAGAGTGCCAGGCTTCGAAGCTAAACTCTCCTGTGCGCCGCCGACAACAATGACAATCGAGTTGCCTGGACCGGATCGAAGGTTGTATTCGCACGACTGTCTGGAGACAGAAGCACATCCATGGGCCAAGATATAGTCACGGTAAAAGGGGATGTTGAAGTTGGTCTGCAGCGTCATCAGGCGGGGCTTAATGCCTGGGAAACGCTTTGAAAAGTTGAGGCCCTCCGTGGCAAAGGTGCAGAAGGCTCCCATTGAGATGATCCCATGAGGGTGGTACCCAAAGATATAGTTCTTGGATGGATCCAGGTCTCCCTCCTACAATTTGTTTACAGAGTACAATGGCAGCGAAGGTGGTTAGAAGGTCATTCGTCCTAAATACTGCTTAAACTGTTCTTGAGCACACTAAAGTACACTCCTCTCATTCCTGTCCATTCATGCATATTGTTCTTTCTTTCTACTTTACCTTGATGAGCGTCATAGGGTAGTACTCTGCAAAGTGTCTCCAGAGTCTCCGGTTACGCAACCATTGAATTCGCCTTCCACCCCTTTCCGGTGCCTTATCAATCATGAGGACCCAAGAGAGATAGGCGATGACGAGTGGCCAAAGGTACTTGTAAGTGCAGAGGAAGAAGAACAGGGTGAGAGACACGGCAATGGCCGAGATCCAAGTGAGAACGGCAAGCGTTTGCAGCCTGCGCTTGAAGGGCATGCGAAGTGGCGCAAAGAGCGGCATGGTATTGTTTGTGTGTTTGTTTCCTTGTGAGTTTGTCGTGAGCGATGCGTTTTTTGTTGGTTAGGCGGGATGAGAAAGAGAGAGTGTCCGTGCTGATGAGAGATGAGAGAGTCGTTACGAATGCGGTGTTTGATGAGGGTCGTTAATCGCGGTGTTCCTGGTGGATCCTGGCGAGGGTATCGTGTTGGGTGTTGGGTGCTGGTGGTGTGAGGTAAAGGGGGAGGGAGAAGAGTAGAAGAAAAGAGAAGCGAAAGAAAAGTGAAGAAGATAATAATGACGACCACTGCTTTTGTTTTATTATTATTCTGACACGAGCCCCTTTCTTCTCTTCTTCCCTTCTGCTCTCGACATGTGTTCTTTCCTATGTTATTATTGTTGTTTACAGTGCCAGTGCGCTCTCTATTTTTCCAGTGCTCTCTCCTTTTCAAACTCTCTCTCACACAATTGCATTTCACATCCCGAAAATAACATGCTTTATGCGCATTGCGTCTTCACGTCCCTCCTTTCGACGGTGAGAACCAAACGATAATTAACCCTCAGCACATGTCCAGGACCTGGCATGATGATAATGAGATAGCAAGCAACAGAGACTCTGAAAGGAAGCGCTCCATACCCATGTGAAAAGATCGCTCAATGCTGTCATGTTATCTTCACAAACGCTTCTCCTCGTGTGAACAGACCAACGCCCCGTTCTCTTGCCCCTGCCCTGTGTCGGAACACTCCTTCCGGCAATGCAATTGGCACATTTTCTTTTAATCTGTGATTTCTATCGCTTTATCACCTGTGTCAACTTCTATTGCGTGCCTGAGGGTAGAGATTGCCGCATTGATTCACATTCACTTTAGCATAATTCACCCTTTACCAATGAACGTACTTCGTCTTGACAAGCGAGCCTTCATAACGGTTGTTGACATGCTTGTACGTACTTTCCGTTTTAACACCTCTGCACTCTCCAGCACAGACTCCCGCATCAGCCAACCGGCTTCATACAACTTTTGCTGGCCAACTTTGAGTGTTTTTGAGCTATTTGTTTATTTATCTATCTATTTATTTATTCAACACAGGTACTTTACAGTTGTTCACAAACGACTTACCTGCAACGTTGTTCACGACGGCTCACGAAAAACTTGTATTTACTCAATCATCCGGCACCTCAGACCATTCAGAACGACGGTTACGACCAAAGGAGACACAGCTGTACTTCCCTCTCCACTTCCTGAGGCAAAACTCACTCTACAATTCAACCGAGACACATTTTCTATGCACCTCGATACCATCACGCACCCACTCCACATTCACGTTTATAACCTTGCATGCCACTCATAAACATCACAGCAGCGAACCGATTCTTCGCACATAGACTCCTTCGCCTAACTGGTCCCTCTTATCAAGCCCGTCGGTCCATGATGACCCCTGACAGTGCCTTTTGTCCGTATCCACAGATCCAAGAATCCAGAGCGCTAACAACCGTGTTCCTGAAAAACGCTTGATGTCCCGCGAAAAAAAGGAAAGAGAAGGGGAGAAAGATGGCCACGAAGGACCTTGTTGCCCAAGAGAATTATCCAAGCTTTAAAAGCATGGTTTATTACTACTCTGCAACAGCGAATGGAGGGAGGGGGGATGATGTGTTTTCCGTGGTAAAATGTACAATTTAAGCCTCCTATGAATATAAAGAAAATAAACACCAAGTTAGCAACCATATCTATGCACAAGAACATTCATTGAACAGAACAAAAACCCCAATTGTAGAAAAGATAGTAACTTACGGGAATCTCAACCTCACCGGCATCGATGGAGTCACCAAGGTCCTTGGGGTTCTGGCCATCGACGGTGCATCCAACGGAGAAAGCAGTTCCGAGGATCTCCTTGACGGTTCCGGAAAGCTCACGGGCCAAGGACTTGTGGCGCATGATGCGAGCAATCTCAATAACATCATCGAGGGAGATGTTACCGTTGTGCTTGATGTTCTTCTCCTTCTTGCGGTCACGGGGGGCCTCCTTGAGGGCCTTGATGACGAGGGAAGAAGCCGAGGGGACGACCGAGACGGCAGCCTGACGGTTCTGGATGGTCAACTGGACGGTGACACGGAGACCCTTCCAGTCCTGGGTGGCCTTGGCAATATCTTCACCGACCTTCTTGGGCGAGAGACCGAGAGGACCGATCTTGGGGGCGAGAGCAGACGAAGCTCCGACCTCTCCTCCGGTGGCACGGAGGTAGATGATCTTGATCTCGTTGGGGTCCAGCTTTGGTGGCATACTGTTTTTGAGGGAAAGTTGAAGAAAGTAGATTCTTGGTCAGTTCATCTGGTGCTTTTTGGGCATGAGATCAGATCAGATCAGGATGAAGTGCAAGATGCATGGAGATATCGATGGCAGTGTCGAAAATGCGATTGGCGATGATGAGATGGTGCTGATGAGCGAGGAGATGATGACGGATGGATTGGATGGATGGGTTGGATGGATGTGCCAATGAATGGATGTATATCTAGATGTCACACATACTTGATATATTTTCTTGGGAAGGGAAGAAGAGAGGGAGATCAATCTACCCCTCTGTTGCGCTCTTTTGACTCCTTTGAACGAAAGATTTTGGTGGCGCACTCTCACTTTTTTTAACCACAGCTACCACTGAAAAAAAAAACTTCACCGACACTTCACTCGCACCTTCATTCATAACTCGGATATATGGACTAACAAGAAGTGGTTTATTTACATCGTAAAATGACAAAGGAGTGGAGAGAAGAAAGAAACGTTGTAACGTTGTTTGCTTATTGGATCTTGAGGAGTAGCTTGCTGGTAGTCTTGCGACCCTCAAGGTCCAAATGAGCCTGCTGAACATCTTCAACAGGGCACACCTTATGGACCGCAACCTCCAACTGACCCTTCTGTAAATACTCCACTGTATCCCACGTCAACTTGACATTCTTGCCGGCAAGACACACGAGATTCAGGGGTGGGGGAGGGGGGGGGATCTCGCCACTTGCGCTATTAAATACTAATGTTCCCAACGGATGGACAATGTTCAAGCTCGACTCGAAGTTAGCCTGGCCGATACTATCAAAGACGGCGTGGACTCCCTCGCCGTTGGTGAGTTTTGGGACTTTTTTTTTTTTTTTTTCTCGAGGGCTTCGTAGTCGTTGTTGATGAGGACGACGTGTTCTGCGCCGTTAGCGCGAACAAGGGGCGGCCTTTTCTTCAGTCGAGACGGTGCCGATGGCGTGGGCACCCAAGAGCCGGCCGAGTTAGGAGAGGAGGAAGCCCACACTTCCGGCAACGGCGTGGACGACGATCCAGTCGCCCTTCTGGATGGCGTAGCCCTTGCGGGCCAGTCCAACAGCCATCAGACCTTGCAAAAGAAATGCCGCTCCCTATCAAGCCAATGTATTCAACATGGATAGTTGATTAGTATGTCAAATAAAAAATGGCGTTATATCCTTCCTCTCGCAGGTGTTTTTTTTGAGAGAGGGGAAGGGAGGGGAGTGTGTTATTTTGTTGTAAGATGAAGAGTTGAGGTTGGAGTTTGCTTGATATTGATAGTCTTGAAAAAAAAGTAATGGCGCATCGTTGGTATTTATACGAATAAGGTCTATGCGACCAAAAGAACAAACACGCCGCTCGCTTCTCGAAAAAACCTGCCCATGCGTTGAATTGTCAACCATCAAACAACACGTCGCAATTTTCCTCCGTTCTGTTCACGAAAAAAATGAACGACAATACAAACGCTCAGGCACGTTGCATCATTACAATGAATAATTCAACTTTCGGAGGAAGAGCGGAAAAAAGGAGGAGGGAAAGGTGTCTCCACTATGTTTCTTGTTTACTTTGCTCGATCCCGACATCACGATATGAGAGCAAGACGTTGGAGGGATATTGTTCGAAAGGAAAAAAAAGGTCAAACGCGTTCTCCGAACAGGATGTTCCCCCCCTCCGACCACACACACAACGTTCACATATTATTTTCCGCAAGACATTGCCCTAGCGCGATTATCAGTGGCGTCTTTTTGTACTCTTTTCGACCGCCTTTTTTTTGCAACATTGTTAAAGCTTGTGTTGTATCCAGCATCAACATACTGTGTGCTATATACTGATTGCACGAATATGCTTTTCACTTTTCGTTGCCATTTTTTTTTTTTTTTTTTTTTTGGTCTGACATGCGTGTAGGTGTATGACAGCGAAGAGATACCACTATCACATAATTCCTTGTACATTCAGAGACGACGTGTCGAGTTTGCCGGCCCCCCTCTCCCAACGTACATATCCAACACCAAATAAAGGAGACAAAGAACAAACAACAAACCAAGAATCCTAAACAAAAGAAAGAAAAAAAAAATTACCCCTGTAAACATTTTTTTATTATCTAATGCTCCTCCTTAAAAGTAGGCCACTTCTTACACCCAGGAAACTCCAACTTCCTATTCAACCGCTGAGAAATCTCCAAATAATCCGGCTCGTTCTCGGGCGTCAAAACCGCATGACGGATCATGAAATGGAGACAGACACATGCACAATTGGGCTTGAACTCTCCTGATCGGATGGAATCCAAGACTTGGTCCATCGACCAGAGACGAAAGTTTTCGACCTCAGAGTCGCATGGTGTTGGCGTGAAGTCTGCTGGTAGTTCCAAGTCGTATACGATCTGTTTTTTTTTTTTTTGTAATTTTGAGGGTAGGGACGGTGAATAAACGAGAACAGAGATCAGCATGCAGAGGTCTTTTTTTTTTTCTTCTTTTCACTTTCGTTCTACAATGTCCATGCATGCGTATTTTCATTTTGTACCACACATAAATAAAAAAAAGAAAAAGAAAAAAGAAACAAACTCCTTACCTGAGTCTCGGGCTGAGTATCGGTCTCATCTTTCGACAACTTTGTATAACTAATAGTCCCCACCGGCACCGCATTCCTCGCAATCTCAATAGGAATCGTAGCCTCCTCCATCGACTCCTTCAAAACCGTATACCCTGGCGAATGTCCAAACCCCATCCCACCTGCAACCATATTATCCAACATCCCCGGGTACGTAGGCTTCGTAGCCGATCGACGCGCAACCCACATCTTGACTTCATGAGGGCGTGGGCCGGTACGAACATAGCCGTTCATGTGGACTCCGTAGGCGTGAACACCAAAGATCCCGCAGGCTGATCGTTCGATCGCTAGAGCTGCACCGCCCTTTGTGGTGAGGGGGGAGGTGTTGTGGGTGTACACGCCGTAGAGTTCGTCGCGCCAGCCGGAGAGGGATGGGAATGATTTGGGATTCTTTCTCCAGATATTCTGTTGTGGTATCAAGACGAGAGTGATGAGAAGGAGAGAAGATAAAAGTGAGACGGTTAGAATTATTTAGGAGGGGATAAATATCAGCTATTAGATCACTTCCAAAAACCCAAGCCTAGATAAAATATGTAACAATACCAGCATCTGTGCAATCGCGTCAGATCGCGAGTCATAATCCGCCAACCAAGGCATAAATGAAATTGTCGTCTCCGTGATATGGAAAACAGGTCGGTCCTGCTGGTTGAAGGCAACAATATCGGGGACGACCGAGGAATGAATCCGACCACAGGGGATCTCGTCGACAATGAATGTCAGGAACGAGAGTCGTTCCAGACGTGGATCGGAGGGGTAAGGGAAACTGTCGCATCTGTTGACGACGTCAATCAGACTGAGTCGTTGTTGTGTTGACGTGGCCATTGTCGAGAATGTTGGAAGGTGGTTGAGGTGTAGGTGAATGCAGAAAGAAAGTGAGGGGGGGTAAAAAGCCGTTCAGGAACGGGTTGGGCGTAACATTCTTCGTACTTAAGGGCGACATTCAACCCCAGCCAAAAATCAAAGGTCGAAGTCAAACACTACGCGTTTATTTCTGCTTTTCCTCCCCGGTCATCAATGCGGGTACCGCGGCAGGATCGGCAGCCGACGACGCCTCTAGCTCCTCAAGGGTGGGCAAGAACCGAGGCGACGAGTTTGTGTCCGGCGAAGGCGTCGAGACCGAGAAGGGGGCCAGGGCACGCCTTGCCGTCGCAATCCGAATGGCCAAACGCAAGCATGACATATCGACTGCAACGACCTCCCACGCAAACTCGATCCCGTACATAAGCTGGATACCCTTAACGATCCGCTGCGCAATCTGCTGGTTGATCATGATGAACTTCTCATCCACAGTGCAGGGCATCGTGTCCTCGTCTTCGTTAAAACAGCGCTGGACATAGGGCAACAGCGTCTGGCTGATCGATCCCACAGGGATGTCCTTCAATTCTTCATAATTAGGCACTAAAGAGATAGAGAGAGATAGAAAGTGATGTCTGAGTATCAATGGCAGAAAAAAAACTGCGGCAGATAAGAATGCGACAAGACATAGAGAAGCAGACCTACAGTTGATCTCAAAGGGAGAGGTATGCGCCATGACGTTGTAGCGGTCATGGTGATGGTATCTGAACTCGAATGTTCCTTGGAACCACGGCAACTTGTCTCCTGAAAAGACAACCTGCCCACGACAGATCTCCTGCTCGTTCACCCAGACGACCTCTTCTTCCGAAACATCACCATCTCCCAATCCAGCATGGTCACCGTCCAGTCCTGGGTCTTGACCGCCCTCGAGTCCTTTGTCACGGATCACAAAGAGATAGCGACCATGTGATGCAATGTTGGTGACCTTGTGAGTCTGGTTGCTCGAGACCTTGTAGATGCCAATCCAGTCTTTGGTGCCGTGATTCAAGGGTGCCGTCCACGAAATGATCAGTTTCTCCCCCAGCTGGAAAGTGGGCACACCCGCGGCATTCAACATGGGTTGCTTACTCGTTTCCAGTTTAACCGAGTACTGCGACATATCATACACACCCATATCATCCCAAGTACGCCTACAAGGTCCAGAATATGAATAATAGAGCGGTTAAATTACCTTATCTATACCTTTGAAGTACAAATGACCGATGTAGAGTGCACCTGATACTTACACGACAAAAAGACGGTCCTTAGAGTTTTCGAGCAGTGTCTTGGAGTTGGAAACAATCTCTTGGATCTTGGGCGCGACACTCTGGACAAGGCCAGTGGTGCCCTCAACAAATTCATGAGCCCTTTCTAACACATCCTGGATCTCGGGAGTCTCTTCCAGCTTGCCACGGAATTTTGCCACCTCATCCTGGAACTTCTGTGGAAGGGTCGTCGCTGCCTTGACGGTCTTAACGACCCCTGCATCTTTGCGGACCTTGTCACCATAGATCATGCGCATGTGTGGGGACTCGACGTAGTGCAGAAACAAAAAGTTGGAGATCTGAGAGAACATGGCCAGAATAAAGATTGACGAGCTATTGCAGATCAGCGCCATACCCCAGAACGCCGCATGGCCCATCACCTTCTCCGGGTTGTTCACAAATCTATCCATCGAGTTCGACAGAACGTAGAGAGGGTTAAATATTTGTACTTCACTAGTTGTGCATTTCAGTAAAACCTACACAAAAAGGGCGCCCATGTTACCTGTAGATGCCGGTGTAGAAGAGACCGCTGGAGGTTTCCTCGATAAAGAAATCACCGTAGAACCAGCCAAAGTCACCCAGGACCTCAAATACCGAGACAGAAGCCCAGATGTGCAGAGCAATCAAGGCAAACCCAAGGACATGTCGCAACAGAACCGTTCCATATGTCCAGTCATCAGGGATCGAGTACATCTTGAACGCTGCCAAGAAGAAGGTCGCATAGGTCATCGAGTTGGAAAGGTTGAAAATATTCTTCCAGCTCTGGAATGCGTCCCGGACGGTGCCTCCGTGCTTGATAAAGTGCTTGGTATAAAACTTGTTGACGCTCTGCATCCTCAACACAGCTCCCAGGACGTACGAGTGGAAGATTCTCCAGAGCAGCGCTTGGATCACAATTACGAATGTGATGAAACTGGGGCCCATGTTGGAAATCAACAGCGGCACAATGGTCGCATAGACAATGATGAGTGCCGTAAAGGTGTCGGTCGATCGGAAGATGTCAAAGTTCTTGAAGACGATGAGGTCTCGTCGGAAGTAGGTGTTGTACATATCCTTGGATCCGCAGGGGACAAGAGTCGCCGCAAGTTCCACATCGGACGTCGTGCTGCTGCCACTGATACTGCCGGTTCTGGTTGCCACTGAGGTGGATGCATTGTTGGCGCTCAATGCTTGCTCGCTCAAGACCGCCGTGCGCCTCTTATGGACCAAAGGAGGATTGTACGTCTTGTCAATGTCTAAAAGTGTTCAAGGGTTATATTCATGTTGGTCAATGTGGATCGTTTACCGTTGGCGATTATCTGGCGACGATTCCCATCAATGACATGTTAACTTACGAGGGTTTTCAACAAGTGCCAAGAAGGCAAACTGGGCAGCGTGAGCAAAGAGCGAGATGAACAGAACCATGTAAGATGCGGTCATCAACGAGATTCCGTAGTATCCAGCATACCCGACCGAGTACATTGGGTGTGGCGCCATTTCGAAAACGCCATCGAACGTCAGCGATTGTTCGATCAAAAAGAAAAAGTCGCCCCAGTCTATATGTGTGTCCATGTGGAACCAATAGGGAAGAAAAAGGAGGCGCGTCAAAAGCGGAGTTCGTGCATATTGTGCCATTTCCCTCGCGTAGGGGGGATTACAAATGACTGAGCTGCAAAAAATCACGACATGGGCCGTGAGCCGCACTTACACCAGGCGAAATCCTTGACGACTCTGTGAGCATCCAGCTTGACCCAGATGTTGAAGAAGACCAGGACAAATCCTCCAATCCAGCGCAACAGGTTGCTGAAAAATCCAGCGCCTTCGGGGATAGTGAGCCAAGAGAGTGCGAAGCAGATATAGGTCGTAAAGTCGTTCATCAAGATCAGATCCACCAACTGTCTGTACAGCAGCCATGTGTTGAATTCAATGGGGGCCGTCTATTGTGACAAATCAAAAATAGTGAAAAAGGGGGGGTGTCAACGAACCAAAGAACCAAGGAAAGCAAAATAACAAGAGGAAACCACGAAGAAAGAGTGAAGTCGAAGATCGAGATGGATGGGTTACCTCAAAGTCATAATCGGATTCCATTTTACAGGTCAGTTCGTCCTTCAGCCAGTTATACCAAGGACTTCCGCGGTTCTTGTCAAAGATCCCCTTCTCTCTCGCCAGAGCGACCAGACCGCGGCGGTGGCTCTGCATCTTGAGAAGGTAGCCCAGTCCGGCATTATAGCCTGCCCTCCAGAAGACAAACAGGATCAAGAAGAGCCACTTCTTGATCGACGTGGGTAGAGTGAGGAAGAGCAGGACCTGGACTCCCATGACAACAAGCGTGATGATGTCAAAGACAGACTTGCGCTTCGACATGTCAAAGATCTCTGTAACCATGTCCTTTGTTACAGGCACCCTAAAGACTTGAAAAGAGAGATTGATAGTTGGGGTCAGCCATTCAGTCAGTTGTGCAATTGTATATTCCTTCTATTTTCCCACGGGGGCAATATATGTCATTTGTTACACGATTCCTTTATTTTCTTTCTTGTCCTGTGAACCCCAATAATAGAAATGGCAACAATGCAACCTGCGTTGAAACGAAAGCAAAAAACAAAGCAGAGCAAAGCAAAGCCTGCCAACCACAAAATAAAAGAAAAAAAAAACTTACTAGTGCCATTGGGCGTTTTGCCATAGGCCGCCTCTGCAGACTCTTTGACGAGGTTCTCTTTTTGAGTCTCTGTCAACTTGCGGCCCAAGGGAAACCTAGTCAAGCCATCGCTTGGCACTCGGTTGTGCCCGGTCCCATTCTTTTCAGGATCGGCGCCAAAGCCATTGACGAAGGCCGAGTCGAGCGGGAGCGTCGCAGAGGACGAGGGTTGATGGTCGTGATGTTTGTTGGCAGACGAGAGACCAGTCGACGCTAAGGGGTCTTGTTGGTCGTCTTCTGCAGCCTTGCGGTTGCGAAGCTCAGTGTCCATTCGTGCGGGATTGAAGGGAGAAAGGGGAGGGAAGGAGAGCGCTTGGTCTTTTAGGATATGAAGAAGATGTGGGTAGCTTAGTTTTACGGCTTGGGTGTCTCGCAGGCTGCTTCGTTGTCTGGTCTGTGGTAGGGATGACAAAGGTCAGTTGAATGACCTCTTTTGTTCGAATGAATGAATGAAGAAGCAGATGAATGCGACTTGTTCAGGAAAAGGAAGACAGGAATAAGGATAAAGGTAAAGTAGAAGAAAAGGAAAGGAAGAAAGAAGGGCGAAAAATAAATAAATATCTGATACGGTCCAATGCGTTTATTCGATTGGCTACCAATCGCCCTGAGGCTGAGACACTCAAAAAAAAAAAAAGAAAAAAAAAAAAGGCGCGTCTAAAAGATTAATATTCTAGGTTACTTGTCTGAGGACAGGATCCTCACAACCTGGGCAAGATCGCCACCTTCCCGGTCAAGAACACTCTCCACTCGGGGGTCATTCCATCCCCACGACCTCAGCCAAGCCAGCTTCTTGATGCGGATCTCCTTCTCCTGAACCTTGTACCATCCCTCCTTCACCTGCTGCTCAACAACTCGTCGCTGTGCTTCGTCGATCCGTTTCACTCCTACCACGAATCCTCCACTGATCGGTCGGTGGTCCGAAACACGGCACTCGTTGCGCTTGTAAAAGAGCTGCCTCACATGGCGGCCTCTCCACAGGATTCGATCGCACCAGGCGGGGGTTCGGTGCTTGGACGAGGTATCGTACGTGTCTGTGCCAGGGTCATACTTGTAAGTAGGCGCAAACCGCAATTCGCTCTCGTTGAAGGCGCGAAGCACGAACTGAGGGTTCTTTTGCTTCTGTTGCAGCAGCTGGTCATGGGTGTGCAAGTGCGACCATTCCTGCGCCTGAACTCGGGAGACCGCCTCGCTGAACTTGACGTCGATACGGTAGTTGAGATCGCCCGAGAGGAAACAGATCTCGTGATCCATGGCCATAGTACCGTCTCCGAACCAAAAGACCTCTGGGTGAACTGTTCCTGACGAAATGGCGGGGTTAGGATGACAGAGCTTCTTCAGGACGTTGGCTGCGTCCGTATTACGCTGTCGGGTATGCGATTGTCCTGCTGCCAAATGGCAATTGACAAACGAAATGGATGTGTCGTCGACGATAAATCTCGTCGCAATTCCACCCTATGAAGCAATTAGAGAGAAAGACGCGCGTTAATTATAATTCAATAGCGCAAGATAGAGAAGAAACATGAAATGAGAAATATGCGGTACCTTGTTTCCGTGGTATCCTTTCAGACCAGTCTTGACCATGTCGACATGAGTCCATTCGCTGCGGATGTTCTCCCACTCTTTATCGCGTACAAAGACGCAGCTGAAAAGACCAACAAGGTTAGAGCACTCCAGTAGCTTGAAATTGACGCCCATAGGTGCATAGAGTTCCCGAATCTTGGTGGTCAAATAGATCTGCCAGCGTTTGTATTGCTTGGAGATCGTTTCCGTCTCTGCTCGTTTCGATCCTTTCAACAATGATTCTACAGAGCGATGAGTCATATAAAGTAACGCGTCAGAATTAGACAATAATTAGCAGCCAGCAGGAACGAAGAACTGCACAAAGAAAAAAAAGAGGCTCTTACTGGCAGTCATCTTTTTGCTCTCGAGGTCGACAATCTCCTGGAATCCAACGCTGATAATGTCTGGCGGCCCTTCTTGATCCATGCCAGTGAGCCATGACTCGAACAATTTCCTATCGGCGCCACCATTAGCGTCCTGCGCTGTCGGTTTCGAGGCGTCGATGTTCCATGAGCAAATCAAAATCTTGAGATCTCTCCAGTGACAATACTCCTTGCTTCTATCCACCATTCCTTTGGCTATAAAGTTAAAAGAGAAGGTGAAGAGGCGTGTTAGTTAACACAGTTTGGTTGCCAGACGGAACCACCGATCAACAATGATAGTCGACAGAAGTGAACTTTAGTATGTATAAACTTACTCAGGCGGTCTTTGGCCATGAGTCCGTCCCAGATTTTGATCTCGCCATTCTCTGCGCAACTTCCAACTTGGTGTCGACCACCAAGAATGAGACCCTCTTCGTCCAGTTGCAGACAAGAGACTCCTGACTCCTTGTGCGCCTGCCAGTCCTTCATCACAACGGGCACCTCAGGACGGAGATCGAGGACATAGATCTTTCCTGTGGCGAAGCCAGCCCAGAGATACGAGCCAACGCCAAGTAGCGACATGATCCTGTAAGCGTGCACATTGATAATCCTGACCTTTTCACGAGTCTCGATCGACCAGAGAATGACCTTGCCGTCCTCGTGTCCCGAGAAAACTTGACCGCTTCCTGCAATGGTAGCCAGACAAGTCAATGGACCAGCGCCGTAGGGTATATCCATGGATGTAGGTGCAAGCTTAGGTCGTCCTGCATCATGTCCAACGCGAACCACATGAACCTTGGAGCCGTCCGACGACCACAACGTATCCTGGACAGCAATGGCACAGATCTGCTTGGGTGGGATGGTAAGCGATTGAAGGGGCGATTGGATGGTGGGTCTGCCAAAAGTCCCATCCTCAGGCCAGACAAAGACCGATCCTGTATCGTCGACTGTCCAGACCTGACCTTTAGAACGGATGATATGGGTGACGCAGCCGCCTTTGTGTGTCGCACGCTTCTTTTCCATGACCTCCTTTGTCCGGGTGTCGATGACCTGTAGAGATCCGTCGTTCCATCCTGCCCAGAGGTACTGGCCAAGCGAATCCGGTCGTCGACTCTGTGTGAACATAAGCGCCGTGGGTTTGTTGTCCTTCTCGTGACCATAAGAAGAAACGTTCTCTCCTGTCAAGAGGGAGTAGACCCGAATGTTGGATGTTGCCGTTGCGACCTGTTCATGCGAAATACTGAAAGCCCGGACGCCATGTGATTTTTGTCCAATGTCGTGAATATCAACCGAATCCGAGAACAGCGGAAGACGTCGGTTTGATCGAGAATAGTCTGGGAATACGCCATCGGTTGGTGACGCTCCAGAGGCTGCTTGCTGGGTTGACTGGTGGTGTGGTGCAAGGGCATTGTTCCTTCCTGTTTCTGATTCAGACTCGGCCAGAGATAAGAGCGATCCTGGGTCCTGAGGGGGCTGGGGTCTTTTGCGCATGGAAGGTTTGGGAGGAAGAGCTGGAGCGACTTCCTGGTCAGATAATGCGCCTGACGGCCGACCAGGATATCCTTTGGCGTTTGGACGCGCAGGGAGTGAGGGCGGGGTAGGTGGTTCCTTGAAGGTCCTAGCACGGGTCGGCCGTGGCGAAGCATCCACAAAGCTTCTGAAGGGATTGGATGGCGTTGCAGCAGATTGATATTCTTCAACGTCGTCATAGTCCTTATCCGAGTCATCGCTTGTCTCGTCCGAGTCTGACTGAGAGTCGCTCAACTCTGGTTGCTGCTGCTGGGCGAATCCACGTTCAGGTACAGGACTCGTGGCGCCAAAAGGAGACGGGGACGAAGACGAGGAAAAGACACGTTTTGGCGTTTGAGGCGCAAGGTGGTCGTACGCCTGTTGAGGGGCCGTCATGTTACGGAATCGAGACGCATTGGCTGACATGCCGCTCTCACCCGAAGAGGGAAAGAGAGGCGAGGGTCCTTTGGGCTGTTGTGCTTGCGGGTGGTGGTGCTGTTGCTGCTGAGGAATCGGAGGAGGGGCTAATTGGACACTTGTGCGCCTTGGCGGCGGAGGAACAGGCTGAGAAGGAGAGGCCATGGCAAGATTCTGGGCTGCAGGGAAGGAAGGCGGGACAGGAGGAACACCCGAGAGTCGATGAGAGGTTGAAAAGATGTTCTGGCGCGCTGGTGTGGGAGGAGCCGTATGGTGTTGAGGTTGAGTAGGCTGCTGGGGTGACGAGACTACACCAGAGAGTGGAGAGCGTGACCTTGGAGGAAGAGACGGGACTGAGGATGGATGGATAGGAGGAGGCGAACTGACCGCGTTCGAGCGTGGGCTAGTCGAGTGAAGACCACCGTAGTGAGGGACAGGCGAATGAAGGAGAGGCGAGGGAGCAGGTGGGATTGCCTGAAGTCGCGCTGTCAACAAGGACGACTGGTTGTGGGCTCTGGGAACGAATGAAGGCGACGTTGCTGGCACAGGCGAAGGCACAGTTGGAGCCAAGGCTGAATGTGTTGGTGGAATGGAGTCAACGTTAGAAGGGTCGCTGAAGGGGTTGTCTTCTTGTTCGACATTGTCATTGCGGTTGTTGCTGTGTGGCTGGTTGAGGCTGTGATGATCGTCGTCGTGCTGAGGAGGGCTTTTGGCGGTGTTGAAGAGGAGGTGCTGCTTGGCGGCGATGGACGATGACGCTGCTGCAGGCAGGAACGAGGTGGAGCCGGAAGGTCTCAAGTGGGCAGGTGAGCTTGGAATGGTCTGGCTCCGGAGATGTGGGTGCAGATGGGCGTTTGCTGGGGTCGAAGGAGACAACGTCGTGGAGGAAGAAAAGGTTGCAGGCGGGGGGAAGGAGGCGATGTTGGTAGAGGTTGGCGAGCTGGCTGAGGAGCCAGGGTCGGAGGTAGTAAAGCCGTTTTGATGGTGCAAAGTGCTGTTGTTGTTCGTGGTGTTGCCGCTGTGCTGGTAACGGATAGGATGCTGCTGCTGTTGCTGTTGCTGATGGTGTTGGACGAAGGAAGGGGAGGTGGAGGAGGAGAAAGACGGTGACGTCGAGAGGGCAGAGGAGGATGGGCTGGTAGCCTGGTGAGGGTGAGTCGCGGGGGAGTGAGCGGAGGGGCGAGGGGCGGGGATGGGAGCAGGGGAAGAGAAGGAGTTGGATGCGATGGTGGCGATGGCCGCTGCAGCGAGAGATATGGGCTTGCGCGGGGGCAGGGGCGACTGCAGCGACGATGGTTTGGGTGGTGGGGAGGGCGCAAGGGCGGTTTTGTTGTTGTTTGTAGGAGGAATGTTAGGGTTGGGGGAGGCAGAGGCAGAGGAGGCGGAGGAAGAGATGGTGGAGGAAGGGAGGATGACGGTGGAGCGACGGGAGGGGGGGATGGGTGGAGGAGGGGCACGATTCGCGGTTCCTGTTGTTCCTGAAGTGGTTGATGTAGAAGTTGTGATTGAGTTGTCCATGGTTGATTGGATTGGATTGATTGTGGTGTGTGTATGTGTGTATAGGTAAGTACGAGTGAGAGGGTGGAAGGGGAGTGTGAAGGTGAAGGTGAAGGTGAGAGTGGTTGATGATGCGAGAGAGAAGGTATAGGATGAGAGGAGGATGAGAGGAGGATGAGAGGAGGATGAGAGGAGGATGAGAGGAGAATGAGGATATGCAGCGATGGAGAATAGAGGAGAGAGAAAGAGAAAGAGAGGAGAGAGAGAAAAGAGAAAGAGAAAGAGAGGGAGAGAGAGAAAGAGGAGGAAAGGAAAGAAGAGAAAAGACAAGAGAGACAGGAACGACGAGTGTACAAATAAGGGATGTTGCATCATATCGCCACACCAATAGATTCCTAACCCTTTTAACCAGGCTAACCAGACTGTGTACGATATACGATGTGGGTGCGATGGATCCATCCATCAGAGAGAGGAGAGACGAGAGACAAGAGATGAGATGCAAAAATGGGGGCAAGACGACCACAAAGGGCTGGGAGTCACTTTTTCTTATTTTTTCCCTCTTCAATCCACACCCACTTGTCCCTTCTCAATTCACTCTTTTCCTTTCTCTCTTCCCTTCCCTTCCTTCCCTTCCTTCCCTTCCCTTCCCTTCCCTGCACTCTTCCCTTCCTTTTCTTCTTCTTTCTTCATCATCTCCCCTCATTCCCTCCCTCCTTGTCTTGACTCCCTCCCTTCCCTATTACACCCCCCCCCCCCCCCACCATCTCCCTTTCTCCCTTTCCTTCCTTCGCTCCTTCCTGCCTGCCTTCCCACTCGAGCTACACTCAAAGTGGTGCTAGCCTCTTATTACTAATACCTCGCACCTTTAACAACCCAGTCGCCCACCCCACACGATGGATACCAGATACCCCCATACAAAAGCCTCACACTACAACAACAACAATAACAACAACAGCAACAGCAACAGCAACACAAGCAGTAGCAGTAGTAACAACAGCAACACAAACAACAACAGCAACACAAACAACAATAGCAACGGTAGCAGGAATAGCAATAACACAAACAACAACAACAACAACAACAATAGCGCAAGCGACGACGACGAAACCATCTACCCTTCTCCTGCTCCCTCTCCTCGCCCCGGACTCCGGCTATCGCTCCATCTCTCCAACAACAAGGTCAACGTCACCTCCCACCCGTCCTCGGCAACTGTCCTCCCTTACTCCTCCTCTACTCCCCGCCACTCGGCCTCCTCCTCCTCAGCTTCGTCTTCAGGGCTTGCATACGCATACGGATATGGACAAGGGCAAGGCCATGGACATGGGCATGGAGGACATGGTTATGCACATGGATATGCCCACCCTCAACACAACCACAACACTATCCACAATCACACCCCTTCTTCTTCCTCCTCCTCCCCTTCTTCCTCGTCTTCTTCCTCTCCCCCGACATCCTTTTTGAACGACTACAAGAGAATATCCTCCTCTTCTGCATCCTCAAGAATGTCCACCCCCAACAATGGCTCAACCAGTCGACCTCGCTCACCCACTTCTTTAACTTCCACCTCCAATGCCCGGTGTACACACTGTGCGTCGTCGTCATCTTCCCCGTCTTTATCTCCTTCCTTCGGATCTTCATCGAGAGCCTCAATCCCTACACTAGCTGACACTGTCAGCGCTCACTCCTCCTCAGCAACAGCACTAATCATGTTGCAGAGAACAGCAACAAAACCTCCAACCCCTCCAGCCGATACAGTCCCTTCGTTGATCCTTGCGTTCCAAGGGTTAGACCCACCGGCTCAAATGGCCTTCCTCAACGACCTTGTCCTCCACTGCGCTACCCCTCAGCTCGCCCACCTCACCAACATTATCGCTCCAAGGCTTAAACGCGACTTTTTGCGCGACCTGCCCCTGGAACTCTCACACCACATCCTCTCCATGATCGATGAGCCAAAATCCCTTGTCAGGGTCTCCCTGGTCTCCAGGTTTTGGCACCAACTCGTCGAGACTGAGGACTGGATCTGGCGGGCCCAATGTATCCGACAGTTCGGTCCGACCTCGTGCTCATCCTTGCCCAGTCCGAGAGCATATCTGGTACCCCCCACATCATACCTCTACACCACCAGTCCAACCTCACTCGATGCTGTTTCGAACACCTTAAAGTCTCTCTCACTCAGCAACTACTCCAATTCATCTGGTTCAACGTCAAGTTCACCGGCTTCTCACAGACTGTCCCTGGGCCCTGCATCTATAGGATCCTCTGCCGTCTCGTCAGCTCACCATTCTCCTGCGTCATTGAAACCAGGCGACCTGTCTCTCCTTGCAGCTGCAGCGGCATCAGCAGCCAATACCCCGGCCTCTCCTGTCGTCAATGGATCCTTGAGCAGTAATAGTAGCAGCACTATATCAACAACCACTTCGACTGTCCTTTCGTCTATGCTACTCGCCAACCAGAGCTCACTCGCGTCCCCAGGCACATCCGGTCATAATGGCAGTAGCAGCGCCAACCACAGTCGAGGCGCCTCTCCCGTGTCAACCATAGCAGGGTTGCGGACATCCATGCCATCGCGCCTTTCACTGACCACTCTGACGCCACAGTCACCGTCGACGCCAACAGCCGCGACTGGATCATTGACCTCTTCGCTATCGTTTTCTCCAGGACTCGCCTTGTCTGCGTTGTCATCTCTAGACAACCAATCGGCCATCTTGACGACCCCTCTAATGACGGACGATGATTCTCTGAAGCAAAAGCAACAACAACAACAGCAGCAACAGCAGCAACAACGAGCGCAACAACAGGAGCTTCAGGAGCTGCAGGAGCAGCGGCAACTTCAACAACAACAATATGCTCGACAGCTCAAAATAGCCACCTCCTACAAGGCGTACTTCAAACGGCGCTTTATGATCGACCGCAACTGGATTTCGGGTCACCACAGTCTGATCTCGTACACCACCCCCGAGACAGGCGTTGTCACGTCGCTGCAGTTTGACCACCACCACATTGTTGTGGGATGCGATAACAGCCGCATCCAAATCTTTGAGACGACGTCGGGCCGTTTGATTAGGACATTGCAGGGCCACTTGGGTGGTGTTTGGGCCTTGGAGTTTGTTAAAGGCGTTGGTCCCACAGGCGAAAAGATGCTGGTCTCTGGAGGCTGCGATCGGTAATGCTCCAAATCCAATTCATTCATTTGTGGTTGTGTTTGCGTTTATGTTTTTGTTTTCATTGGCTTGTGACCTACGTGCGTCTATTCTTTTTCTTCTTTTTTTTACGCTCTTCTCGTTCGTTCGTTCGTTCACCCACACTCCCCTTTCGTCATTCATGTTGCCAGTTGTCATCGTCTAGTGTTCTTTTTGAGTTTTGGTCGCATTTTTATTTGTTTTTAATTTTTTAAGCTCAACAAGAGAAAAAATGAGGGTCATGGCATGATATATCTTTTATTTTTCAAATCCGCTAATTAATTGCTGTATCTCTTTTCATTTTATCAAACAAACCTGCGTTCTAGTGAGCTGCGTGTCTGGGATATGAATACGGGCAAATGTCGTCTTGTGATGCCAGGACACACAGGAACCATCCGATGCCTCAAACTGCACCAATTGCCTGTTGCTGACAACAGCACTAACAGCAACAACATTCCCAGTAATATCAACAACAACAACATCAACAGTAATGGCTATGATTATGGCGACGGCGGTTACAGCTATGACCGACGATATCAAGATCCGCAGGACTACTTTGGACAGGATGGTGATGACGGTGCTCCACTCAGGACCAAGCGGAGAACACAACATCAGTACCACCCACACCGGCCTTACTTGGCCATCACAGGCTCTCGCGACGCGACCTTGCGGGTGTGGGATCTGCAAACGGGCGAGAACAAGTTTGTGCTGCAGGGACACCGGGATTCGGTCCGGTGTATTGAAGCCTATGGCGATCGACTGGTCTCGGGATCATACGATTGTACAGCTCGGGTCTGGTCCCTCGTCACGGGCGAGTGTCTTTTGATCCTGCAGGGACATTTCCAACAGATCTACTCTATTGCCTTCAATGGCGAGTACATCATCACTGGATCGCTGGATTCGACGTGTCGCCTCTGGTCCCCCGTCACGGGCGCCTGTATGGCTACCCTGCAGGGGCATACTCAACTGGTAGGCCAGTTGCAGCTCTCGGGTGATAGTCTGATGACAGGTGGAGGGGATGGGTTCATGTACCTCTGGAACCTGCGGACGTTTGAGTGTCAGTACCGAGTCCAGGCGCACGACCAGTCCGTCACCAGTCTTTGTTTTGATCCTAAAAGGATTGTTACGGGAGGGAATGATGGAGCCGTCAAGTTATGGGATCGTCAGACGGGCAAGTTTATTCGGTTGCTAACAAAGACGGATGCGGCTATTTGGAGGGTAGCCATCTGTGAGGAACGGGTGGTGATCTGTATGCAGAAGAATGGCCGGACCGCAATGGAGGTCATGTGCTTTGACTCGGAGGTGCCCATCTTGCCCCCGCCTCCGCATCCTGTCTCTCAGTCCGGTGTGGGTGGTCCCAGTGGTGGTGGTGGTGGTGGTCAGCTCCTGGCTGGTGTAGGCGGTGGACTTTACTCATCTGTCATGACCATGCCTACTGCGGCTTCTGTCCAGCATGAAGTCCAGAGTACCATCATGCCTCCTCGACTCTGGGGCGCTTGAACCCACAACAGTGGTAATCTATCAGTAATAAAACCCACATTCTGCCTTTTTTTTTTTTTTTTTTTGTGTTTTTGTTGGAAACATTCCAAGCATTTTTAATATCTGATACCAACCCCCTAAAATTGCAGATCTCACTTTGAAACGCATAAGCTTTGATCTGATTCACACCTCCTCGCTTTTTATTATATTCTCTCTCTCTCTATCCCTCCCTTCTTTTCCTTCCTCATTATGAAGAGATGATGGACGCAGCTCTGCTGGAGGTAGGGCCGTGTTCGATAGAGACTTCTGAAGCAGCTACAGATTTCAGACCAAGTGTCTCCAAGATCTTGATCACCTGCTCGTCCGACTGGTGGGCTGGATGACTCGGGTCCAAAATACTCACGGTCTCCACCACCACTGCCGCCGCCGCTACAGCCTCCTTCTCCGTCTCCGTGTCCTCAGCCTTCGCCACATCAGTATCATCTCCTCCGCCGACCACAGACGCCGCAGATATCGAAGCGCTCGACGCCGCCGAGACGGTCCGCTCCATACCCACAGGAAGAACAGCGCTCGACCTAGACTTGACAGACCTCATAGAAGACGCTGCCGAAGAGACCGCCGACGCACCACGTCCTCCTCCTCCTCCGCCGGAAGCTCTTTCCTCATTACTACCACCACCACCAAGGCCAACGGCCAAGGAAGAAGAAGCATTCGACACAGACCTGAACAACGGATTGGCCGCCAGGGGATCGACGACCGACTTCTTGATCTTGGCGCTACTCTTCCGGATGACCTCACTAACACTAATGCTAAGCGGATCCAGATGGGTCGAAAGCATCTCATTCATCTCGTTCATGAACGGATGCGATCCTCCTGTAGACGCGAGATTATGTTGTTGTTGCTGTTGTTGGTTCGTGTGCGCCGCTGCTTCCAACGCCGCCGTCGCTGTCAAAAGAGTCCGCGACCCAATGATCCGTCCTGACGCAGTTCCGGTTGCAGGCTGAGAGAGCATCGCCTGCGCCGCAGAGGAGGACGACATGGATGAGAGGGACGATGTCGACGACGATGCCGAAGAAACCGTCGAGTTGGCTTGTGTCGAAGGTGAGGAGGTCAACGAAGAGCCAACAGGCAAAAGTCCTCCTGCTGCTACTACCAATTTAGCTCCCAAACCACTCGCATCAGGACCAACGGCCATGGCGGTTGTAGATGTTGTCGTTGCAGTTGTTGCGGGTGCCTTGGCGGGAGTCGAAGCACCACTTAAGTTGCCAGTCGAGATATTCCCGGTGCCCAAAAAGTCGCTTGGTCGACGATCCAATGTTCCAGGTGCGGTGGTACTTTCAGTAATAGAAATCGTCGGCGAGTCCGATTTGGTGGCGCCAGCTTGAACGACTGCTCCAGCCAAAGTTCCCGAGACGGTCGAGGTTACCGAGAGTGAATCTTGACTAAAACTCGCAGAAATCGCTGCAGTCGCAGCAGCAGGGTTCCGACACAAGAGCTGGCGACACTGGATCAAGATGTGAAGCCACTTGATATACCGAACGACCATGGCCTCTAGTCGGCTCAATGCCGTGGGGGAGGGTCGATGAGGGTGAGGTGAAGGGGATGGTTGCTGGTGAGAGTTTACAGCTGTCGGACCTTGCATCTTGGACTTGATCTTGCTCTTCATTCTCGCCCGCCTTCCTTCATTGGTGCTGGATCCAGATGAGTTGTTGCTCGTCGGAGGCAGGTCTATCGATCCCTTCAGCGTCTTGTCGTCGTCGCCCATTGACAGCTTATCAGGGCTCATGCTTGTGAACTCTGGATCCAGATCAAACAGCTTAACAAGTTCCGGATCGGGATTCAAATCAAGCTCGTTTTCCAAGTCTCTGTCTGGCCCATAGATCACCGATGACTCTGCAATGACATTCACGACCTGCTTGTCCATGCCCACTAATGACACAAAGTGCCCATGTAAAAGTAAAGTTAGAACCACTGTGCCTGTCATAATTTCTTCAGTCATGTTGGTCTCCAAACGTACATGCAGCAAATAACACTTACGTTTAGACTCAGTCAACGATCGCTCGACGCGTCCTGTCAACATTCCCAGAGGCTGATCCTGCGCTCCTGCCTGCCCAGCTGCGCCGCCCCCATTACTCTTCTTCTTCTTTTCTAATGCTCTAATGCCTTTCTGAACACGATCTCGGGTCTGCACCTCTGCCAGGGCCAGCCTGTACAGACGTGCTTCGCCCAACTGACTCTCTGCTGCCGCTTGCTGAGCTGCCTGCGCTGCCGCGGTCTCCTTTCCTGCGCCTCCTTTGGTATATACAAACTCGATCAACAGTTCTGCCGCCACCTGGATGGTAAGGACACGGAACCGGTGAGCTCCCGATTCAGGCTGCCCGCAGATAATGTCGACGAGACGATCCATCAATTCCTCGCGATTTTGAATAATCGGAGCCACCTGGGTCGAGACCGATTCCTGAATAGAAGCATTCTCATCCTGCTGTTGCTCTACTGAAGGTCGTGGTGGGAGAGGGGGTGGTTCGACCGAGTCCTGCTCAAGGTTTTTGGTTCCACTCGTAATGGCCTGTCGCGACGATTTGCCCTCGCCTTCCTCGTCCGTGGAAGGATACATAGAGGCGCCTTCACGGTCTTCCTTGGACGTAAATACCGGTTTGAGCTCCTGTACCATCGCTGGGGCATCCAAGTGCCTCATGCTCGGAGGCGCATCTGATCCTGAAGACAAAACGGGTCCCAACAACGAAGAAGGCTTGCTGTTGCTCCTGCGCCCACCCGATCTCGGTTTACGCTTACTCTGCGAGTCAACATCCGTAGAGAGGTTCCTGGACATGAGCGACGACATGTTGCTTGAGGACGGCAGACTGGTTGACAGTGGTCCTGTCCCAGTTCGCCGACGATTCGGGGAAGAAGCTGGGGGTTCAGCCAACTGACTGTCAGCGCATGCCAACAGCTCCTCTGTCTCTCGGGATTCTTCATCGGCCTCGTCCGTCTCAAACAATGGCGACTCGGTCCTGGTTCTCATTCTCGCCGCTGATCCCGCTGCTCCAAAAAGACTGCCGGTAATAGATGACGAAATGCCCAGACCCGGCGGAGGTGTCGTCCACACGACAGATGAAGCGACGCCAGTGCTATTTGTGCTCAAGATTGAATCCGACGATCGGTCCCGCGACATAGGTGTTGCTCCAGGTTGGGTCCGTACAGGTGGAGATGAAGACGACATAAGGTTGCCCTAGAAAATCAAAAGTGAGATATCTCATCAGTACTGTAAATCTTGATGGGTTTGTGCGCTTGAGGAGTGTTCGGCAGTCCTCAGTGATTTACCATCAGCATCTTGCTCTTGAGTAGCCGTTGTGGGTAGATGTCAGTACCCAAAAGCACGTCGGGCATGACACCTATGTAAGCAGAAATCGCAAAGTGATGTTAGCTTTTGCAAAGCTGTCGTAGGCAATGTCTATTAATTGAGCTCGATGTGACAACTCACCTGGGTTGCGTCCTGTAAGGTAAACAAGCAACAGCGCCGGAAGAACCAAGCGGTCAGAGTCTACTTGACTCAGGTACCCATAGATGGCAGCTTTGAAGGGGTTCTGCTGCTGAGTTGCTCCTGACGCGTGCGATGGTGCCAAGGAGTGTTGATGGTTGAAGCGTGCCGTTGGTGCACTGAGTGATGGCATGAATGACTCAAAGCCGGCTGGACTCGTTCCCAACAACCCGAATGACTGAAATTTAGAGGTGACAGGACTAGAAGGTCGACTAGAGTCCGGAGATATCGTCAAGTTTCCAAGAGCAAGAGGCGTTGGCGAGTGGCGCAGATTAGGGGGGGGTGTGCCATGCGAGTACGTGGTATAATGTTGGCTGGAAAAGAGAGTCGATGTCAGCGCCGAGACGAGAGGGGCATGCTTAAGAACGTGGAAGGCGTGAAGCATAAGCGACATGGCAACGAGTGGCGTCAACTTGGCACTCTAAAATGTATCAACAATTTGGTGCTAGATGTTAGTTTTACGAAGAAATAATTGGTCCCATCAAGATTCAGATGATAAAAGCCATCCTTACTGTTGAGCTCTTGTTTCCATTGGAGTTGGAACTGGTTGAAGGGTGTAAACTGTCCAGATACATGGGCCGCAAAAGTCGGTTCAAAAGGTGCGAGATCAAGATCTTGTTAATCTTGGGCACTTCCAGCTCGATAATGTCGTTCACATAGTAGAAACAATCCATGTGCTCCGCAAGATAGTAGTTCATCCTTGAAAACTCGCCCTCCCTATATGACAGTTTAGAAAAGTACAGTGTGAGAAGCGAGCTCCTTCTGTTTAGCGATCCGGTGATACGCGGAGATAATTATTTGTCCTGAAATAATGAGCGACTCTTTACCCTGGATGCAGAAGCATATCGTTCACTGTGGTTCCATAGTTGCCAATGAACCAGACGAGATTGGAGAAATAGGTTGTCGTTGTACGGTCCAGAATGAAATCTTGCATCTGTCGATCGTTGACGCTGTACACGTTAAGCGTGATCACACGGACCGCAATCCTGACCATTGACTCCTCGTGGTTGAAAAACTTGATGGCTTCCGAATAGAGTGGAAAGTCGTCCAGATGCTCGTTGAAGAAGAAGTAGATGGTGTCCTTCGATAGCTTGAATGAGAGGGTCCGGAGGAGATAGATGTAGTAGGCGAGGATCTCGTCGTTTGAAAAGTCGTATCGGAGTCCAATGACCTGATTGACATAGTTGTTGGACAGTAAGAAATCTAATTGCCAAGGCCGAAAATGAAGTCAGGCACATGTTTTTCGGAGGTCAGGATGTTACACATGCCAATACGACGCTTTGATTCGAACACTTACAGAGTGATTGCCTTGACCGGACGTTTTCAAACATGATATTGAGAGTCTGGAGGACTTGTACAATAAGTGTTCCATCATCCTTGCTTTGAAGAATCTTGAGAAAGTGCCAGTGAACATTCTGCTCGAAAAAATGCCTATGGGTGTTGGAGTCATATGGAAGAGTCAGGCATGATTTCTGCACGGGCAATCGCTCCGAGAAAAAAAACCCTGAGAACTGGACAGATTAGGGAGTAATGATCATCTTTGTTGTTGCTCCACTCCTGCCCCTGTTTCTGCACTTGATGTGATGTGATGTGATGTGGCGAGTAGCCCCTCCTTCTTCCTGTTCCCCCTGTCTGCTTTCTCCTTTCTGTTGACTCCCCTGTTCCTGAATGCAACAAAACAAATAAAGCGCTCCTTTTGTGGCGTCCATTGGGAATTTGATCTCTTCCCTGCCGACCATAAAAGTTAAGATGTTTACATACTCAAGTAGCGAAGGATCGTGCTGATCCCCCCAGATCAAGAGCTGAGTCAGCTCCTTTAGACAGCTGACGATACTCTCTTCGTTCGCATCTCCTGGAAACTGTTGTAGTTGCGCGCAAAGCGACCTATTTATAATGACATCCGAGCGAACCAAGGGGGAACGAAGAAATGTTAACAGGGAGCAATGGACTATAGTGAGCAGATGGTCAATGCCATGCCAAATGAAAAGAAAATGAGCTGATTGATATGACGAGCGAAATTCGAAATTCGAAATTGGTGGGAAGGAGTGAGAGGACTAGGGGAGTTCGTTGGAAGAGTGTAGAATGCACAGTGTAGTGTGGTTTTTTGCCCAAGGCGAAGGTAAGAAGAGAGGACAATGGTGTCTGTTGTCATTCCTTGGTCTTTTGACAAATGCCCATTAACAATTGGTGTGTGCGTGATATGAGGCCATGGTGATGTTAGTTAGTGACATAAGAATCGCAAACAGCGAATGAAAACCTCAGTTGAGCACAAACGAGACCCATTTGTTGGTGTGTCGCACTCGAAGTCGAGAAAGCAATAAGCACCAAAAGGTTTATCCACTCTCTCGTCCTCGTTACCATCCTCTCCCTGGTGTGCCGTGATGTTGGCGTTTCTGAGGTACGCATTGGAGCGTCAGTTACATCCTGGGCATAGGGTAGAAAAAGAGTATGGAGGATAGATCCATCCGTGGGGTTTGCACATATCGCATACAGTTGGAGCACAAGTCGCCGTTTGTTGCCGTCCTATGGTCATTGGTCCACATCCACATCCACACGCATATCACAGAACTGAGGACACCGAACTGAGGCATTATTATTGATCCGCTTGATGGTGTGTATATGTATGCGTATGTGTGTGTGTGTGTGCGTGTGTGAATATCGAATGCCATGTGGCAAGGGCCACCGAAAAGGAAGAAGAGAAGAAGCGTACTTTAGGTTCTCGAGACTGAAACGTTCTGGCTTAGGCTTGTTCCACAGCAGGTTGAACATGCCGGGGTTATGTTGTCAGCACTTGGGCGCTGATGGTAAATGAATGAGAAGAATTGAAAGGAGGAGACAGAAACGGGGCGGGGGGAAGAAGATGGAAGAGTTGTTGATGGAGGAAGAACAAAGAAGAACAAAGGTAAAATACCAAAAGGGTAAGAGAAAAAAAGGTTTGTAAAAAAAAAAAAGCGAGAGAATAGTGACTGAAGAGAAACGAGACAGAGCGAGCAGAGGGGGATTATGGGTGTGGGTGTGAGGGTGGGTGGTGTGTCGGTGAGGGCATGTATGCATATGCACATAGATGGGATGGCAAGTGAAAGGGAGGGATCGAAGGAAGGAAGTAAAGTGATAAAGAGCAACGAGGAGGAGGAAAAGTGTGCAGGCGTGAGTGAGGCGTACAGTAACAGTCCGTCCTGGCACAGCTCATTCACAAAAATGCGTTTTTATCTCAGCTCCACTCCAAGTCTATGTCCATATACACTTTCGCGATCACCCTTCGCGTCTTCCGTTGCTTGAGCAAGAGAGGACCAAGTGAGCATCGCCCCAGGCTGGAAACCCCGGCTCATTCGCAAGCATACCTCGTTCTTTGAAAGCAGAGACTTGAAGCACACACACACACCCACATAGTCCAGGTCGATCAACATATTTCGCAGTCCCCCAAGAGCAACCAACCAACCAACGCTCTCTCTCACACACACACACACTCTCTCTCCCTCCCTCCTTCCTTTCTTCCTTTTGACACTCATCAACCCACCCTCCACACACACTCTTGCCACCAATTACAGCAACAGCATCAACTAAAAGGCAGCAGAGCCATTCCATACACTCTCACAAAATACAAACCAGCCTTGTAACAGCCTGCTTCTCATTCCTACTCTCCTTTACATCACTCACCAACCCTAAAGAAAAACGCCACCATGGCAAACACCCCTGGTTCCCCTCCACCTATTCCAACCACTAAACTGCTCACCCAGGACTTCTTTCCTGGGGACCACTCCGCTGCCCATGGCTGCCCCCACCTCAAACCCGTCAAAAGGACTGGTGAGATCCTCAGCAACTACCAAATCCTTTCTCGCTACAGTCTTCATTTCAAGCATCGTCACGCCCTCGGCATCCTCCCTCCCAAAAAGCGATCCAAAAGCGGAGCTGAGGCAAGTCTATGACCACACAAGGAACAGTTTTTTTTTATTATTATTTAGCGCAATTGGATACGAGACAAGCACACACGACCATTGTCTTGTCGTCAATTGATATTGGCCTCCCCTGTCCCTGAAACGAAAGGATAAAAGAAAAAGAAAGACGCACCACGCAGGAACATTCATCATTACATTTATTGTGCATTGGGAGCCCAGCATCAAGAGTTCAAGGAGGCTGCGTATCACAAGAGAGCTGGACATTGGCTATCTTTGACATTAGCTATTGTTACCAAATAGAGCCTCAGGATCTACAAAGCACCATTGTCCTGGAGACAACACGCCATTTTTGTTTACAAGTCGATGGATGAAACCATTTGAAAGCGTCACACTAACCCTCTACACTTCGCGTTGTGTTGACAATAGGATTCCGCAAAACCAATACCACAACTGCCTATCCCTTCTTGCATGACCTGCGAGACGACCATGGGTAGGATTCACGCCTGTCTCCAGTGTGTTTTCGTTGGCTGCTGGAAGGGAGGCCACTCCCAGAGTCATTCACAGGAAACTGGACACACGCTATGTACGTCGTGTCTCATGTCTCAGCTGCTTGAGAACTTTGCAGTTGTTTTTTTTTGTTTCAAGTACGTTCATCTCACCTGTTCGCATTTTTTCAAACACTATCGACTAGCTATCGAGATTAGCCGATGTGGCCTCTATTGCGGCCAGTGCAAGGACTTTGTTTACGACCGTGACTTTGACGGTATCCACAACGGCGAAGTTCTGAGAAACTCGGAGATCATCTCTATGGTGCAAGGTACGACACAATTGTACATTGATAATCACTTACGATTCACAGATCAGAGTGCTTTACTGATATTTGATTGCCATTTTTTGAACTTATAGAACCAGGTCAAAAGCGACCTCGATTCTCTAAATGGCATGCAGGAAACAAAGAGGCCGCGCTCATCAAAGCAGGATCAAAGTTGCAGGCATGCCAAGGTATAGTCATGGATCGAATTCAACAGTGTCGATTTTGTGCTAAGGAGACCGTATCCTGAGGTTCCTCTTGCTCACTTTTGGCGATGTTTTCCTCTCGCATGATTTTTGCTTAGGTCTGCGAGGACTTCGCAATATGGGCTCAACGTGTTTCATGAACGTAATCCTTCAGTGCTTTATCCACAACCCATTGTTGCGAGGCTACTTCCTGAGCGATCAACACAGCTCCAAGAGATGCGAAGTCAAGAGCGAATGTATGGGCTGTGAAATGGACCAGCTCTTTACTCAGGTACACAAACAAAAATAATTTTTTGGACAGTGATGTTATTTGGTGGCGTCAATGAGCTGGTGTTTCGTAGATCATAAGGCTCACATCAGTGCGCAATCTTATGTTCACGTTCTAGTTTTACTCTGGAGTGAAGACGCCCTATGGACCTTGCAGCTTCCTTCACACCATGTGGATGTCCTCTTCAGACTTGGCAGGATATGCCCAGCAAGACGCACACGAGTTCTTCATCAGTGCCCTGAACCAGATTCATGCAAAGTCTCCAAGTAATTCATCGCTACTCATTGTATTAATTGGGTTCAATTACAGCTCGTACAACGTGCTAATCCGAACACTGACGTTTATTTTCTTCTTCCTTACGATCTAGCTTCCAAGCTTCATCATTGCAGTTGTGTCATCCACAAGACCTTTGCCGGTCTCCTGCAATCGGACGTGACATGCCTGAACTGTGCCAACGTGACGTCCGCATTCGATCCTATCTTGGACATTTCACTTGACCTGCGGGCCACAAAGCGGAGTAAATCAATGAGCAAGGTGCGAGGACTGAACGACGAGCGAAATGATGGACCAAACTCTCTGGCAGATTGTCTCGACCGGTAAGTTGCTTTGCACACGGGTTTTACTTTCTATACCATTCAAGCTCTTGATCACGAAGCTTTTGCTAATCGTTCTCACCAATTTTTGAATAATAGATACACTCATCCGGAAAAGCTGGGTACAAACGAGTACAACTGTAGCAAGTGTGGCAAGACAGGACAGGAGGCAACCAAGCAGCTCTCCATGAAGGTCCTCCCTCCTGTTCTGAGCTTCCAGCTGAAGGTACATCGGATGCTGCCATCCCTGCCTGGTTGTGCACACGTGGAAGTCGTTATAACACAACACTCATGGTTATCATACTCTCTTTCTAGCGATTCGAACACTCAATGGGCGCGTCCAAGATCGAGACAAAGATCAAGTTCCCGGCACAATTGGACATGACTCAGTACACGACTTCGACCCGCAAATCGAAGAAGTCAAAGCTGCAGAAGCTCAACGGTGGATCGGGATCCGAGAATGGATCCCCGTCCAACGCTTCGACTCCTTCATCCACAACCTCCTCCCACGCGGGTTTGGAGCCCATTCCAACTTATGTCTACAACCTCTTCGCAGTCATCAACCACCAAGGCAAGATGGATACTGGCCATTACACGGCCTTTGCCAAGCATCGCGGGGAGGTGCGTACAGTGTTCTATCGTCTGAAGTTGAATGTCATTTCTTGATGTACTCGTTTTATTGGTTATGGGCAGGTTTCTGACTAGCATTGCATCTACGTTCATAGTGGTTCTCCCTGGACGATCACAAGGTGACTTTGTCAACCCAGAAAGAGGTCCTTGACAGCAAAGCGTAAGTATCGTTCCAGATGAGAGGGGCTCCCATGCGATTTGCTAGTTTTCATCGTTAGTCTCGATGAAAGAACTAACGAAAATCTTGAAACATGGGAAACGATAATTAGGTATATGCTATTCTACGTCAAGCAGAACTTGGACTATGACTATTCCAGCGCCACCAGGGACTAAGGAGGAGGAATGGCGCCGCAGAAGGACTTTGTAACGTTGCAGTATTAAATTCGCTGTGCTTGACTTTTCTTCTTACGTTGTCGTGCATTCCGTTCACAGCGAGGCACCGCGTTATCTTTTTTTTTTTTTTTTTTTTTTATCAGGTTTTTATTTTGAAGGGGAATAAGTGTACATTGATGTTGGAGATAAGAAAAGCGCAGAAAACAAAAGAAGCTGTAGGAGGGTCTATGCTGAAATGTTGATGATAAGAGGGGTTCGATGGAAGGCTTTAGAACCACTTGCGGTTGAAAAAGCTCTCGAAAGGAGACTCGGCCGTGGGGATGATCGATCTACCATAGACATAATAAGAGTTCAGAAAAAGATGGTTAATTTTGATCCGAGTTGTCATCGCATGAGACTTTCTGAGCTCGATCGAGAACTACACAGTTCATATCTTCAGTGCGCCATTTGTCCCCACTCATCTCCTCAACAGCCATAAAAAAAAAAGTTACCTCGTTGAGGAAGAGTACTCCCTCTTCTCAGCCTTGAGCCACCTTCCGTTCAAACGACGGGCAGTCTTGGCGTTATTCTTTGTGTTCTGACCACGGACAGGCAAGCCCATAGCGTGGCGGCGGCCGACATAGGAACCGATGGAACGATGGTGCATAATGTTGGCACGGATCTGCTTGCGGAGGTCAGACTCGATCTTCATGTCGGAGAGGAGGGTTGAGAGCTGGTTGACCTGGGGTTCGGAGAGATCGGCAATCTTGCAGGTCTTGTGGATCGAAAGTGTTGCGAGGACCTTCAGGGCGGTCTTTTGGCCGATACCATAGAACAGAGGGAGGGCGTATTGCTAAAAGGTAGGTAGGATATGATCCGCGGATAGGGTATGTGTCGTTTAGTTCTCTGCTGTTTGTTTGCTGCCGGGTTGATAAATGGGTTGTGTTGGTGTGATGTTCGTTCCTGGGGGGTGCTGTGCCTGATGCGACGGCTGTGCCTGATGCGACGGCTGTGTTGGGTGATAGAGCTCGTAACTTTGCTTAGATTGCCATCCTGGATCCTGCAAGTATCAATCGTTCGCTTTTCGGACTCCTCCGGACTCCTTTGACAATAGCTCGCTTGACTCTTTTTTTTTTTTGGCGGTATCAATCCCGTTCCTGAATCCTGGTCCGGAGTAGCCTATGCTTCTTCTGCAAGCCAGTGTCCAAGATCCTGATCTCCTCCGTTTCAAAGGAAAGTAGCGCGGAATCCTGCATGCCGAGTTGGGGAATAGATCGTGGTCGCTGGTTTGTCGATGAAATGAAACTCACCACCAACTTCTGGTCGGGCAGGTTGACTCCGAGCAAATGCAACATCTATGTGAAAGTTGGTGTAAAAGAAAGTAATGGGCAAGTTGCATGCCTTCCTTCCCGTTTAAAAGATCGTCTGTTTCCCGGGGGGCGAACCTGAATGACGTCACACAATGGGTGGAGAGGGTGTGACCGTTGGTTTCGCCACCCCACACCCGCAGCGCCAGTCGTGAACCCAGTTGCTACACTTTCCAAACCAGTTCTGGGTCACACACACACACATACAAAAAGAAAGTGGCCACTCCTTCGTCAACTTGGGCATCTCTCTTTTCTCTCCTCATCCCGTATTACACATCCCCTTCGACCCATGACCCAACAAGTAAAGCCCATTCCCTTCTCCATGAACTGTTTACGAAAAATTACTGACAGCAACAAAAAATTGCGCGGACCAACTTACAAACTATCACCCCTATCCTTCTCCTCAACTCCTACCAGTTTAAAGTACTCTACTTTGCATCAGCAAAGGACGCCTCCAAGACTGACGGCGACAAGTTTGAATGGTCCGACAACATTAACGCCGAGGCTCTCACGAAACTCTTGCTAGAACGGCATCCAGACCTGGCGCCTATCCTCAAGATCTCAATGTTTGCTATTAATATGGAGTACATGGATCAGGATCACTCCTGGACTGTTCAGCCGGGAGACGAGGTTGCCATTATTCCCCCTGTTAGCGGAGGTTAAATAAAACGTGTGTTCTGTATCTTCTAGTCCGTTGGGTGTCTTACTGTATTATGATGGTTGCTTGTGTGCCAATGACAGTAGCAGTGCGAACAGTGCGAAGTAAGGGTATGCATTAGGATGGTCGTAGTCAAGCGCAATACGGGGCAACTTTGTTGTCAGGAAAATCAGGAACAATTGCTAGTTCAAACTTTCCCTGCATAGCTCCATGGCTATGGTTAATAATTGAATGTCGATACAATCGTGAATGCAGGCACAACATGGAGTCTGATACTGTCCACGACAAGGCGCGTTGCGTTGGTTCGGGATCGGGTCGTACCTTTTTTTTATTCCCTGTATGCTTCAACGATTTTCTTCGACTCCATCGAAAGGATCGATTTGTTAATGCCACATGAGGTCAGTTATCCAATGGACGTGCACGGGCATAGTCTCACGGCCACACAGCAAAGTGGTTCATTTTGAACGCCGCTTTCTTCTTTTTCTCAACCTGTTCACCCCCCTTTCTCTCTGAATCAACCCCCACAGTCACTCCCGGAATTGGTACCCCCATCACCGCCGCTTCCACACTCCCTTTACTATTCCAACCCTTCACCATCAAGAACTTAACCATCGCCAACAGGATTGTAGTCGCCCCAATGTCGATGTACTCTTCCAAGGACGGGTTCAGGACCGACTTTCAGTTGGTGCATTTAGGATCCTATGCTCTCCACAGTGCGGGGGTTGGTCTCTACAGAGGTTTCTGCGGTCGACGCTAGGGGTTGAATTACTCCTGGGGTGGTGCAGGTATTTATTCGGACGACCATATCCCTGGGATTAAAACGGGTTGTTGACTTTGTGCATTCTATTGGTGGCACGATGCATGTAGGACGCAAGGTACGAAAAGTTAAACTACGTTATGCTGTGGTTTTAGGGTGTGTGTTGATTTAATTGTGTAGATTGGACCTATGAGAGGCGTCGACTCGGGATTGTACTTACCCTATCCTCTCCCTTTGTCTTTTCTCTTATAACTTGGTGGCGGCGGCTGGGAACAAGAGGACTGTCGGTAGCTTTCTTGTTCGAACTTGACAGGAAGAGAAGAAAGAAAAGATAAGAACAGGGTGCATGATGTTTGTTTGTTTGTGTGTGTGTTTGTATGTTTGCATGTGGATGCAGTTGTGCACGAGCGGACAAACTAACATTTCGCCCTTCTTTGCTTCAAAACAAAAATATAGGCATCAGGCAGACCAAAGCACACTCCAGAGGTTTTTGGGCCAGAAGAGTATTGGGGCGACGATGTGGTGGCCCCCTCCGGAGGACCTGACTTCAAAAGATACTAGTGGCGCCATATCACTCGCGTATTGTCGATCGGTGAGATCCAGGACGTTGTTGCTCTGTCGGCTTACACTAACGGTCGAGATCAAACAAAACAAGCTGTCTTATCTACCTGTTTAGCTCCCTTTAATTTAATTATGTTGATAGAGCCAATACCTGCTACCCACACCTATTCAAAAAAAAACAACAGCAAATGGCAGCTCTGGGTACGCGTAACACTCATTTTTATCGTCCATTACAAATCAGACCTTTTACTAGGCTGTACTGCAAGTTGCTGTCCATTCTCCTTGTTTTCGTTTGCTATGTGTCCTTCGTTAACCCCATTGGTCAATTGCCTGCACCTGCACCTCTCTTCGCCTCACCCTTCATTTCCTGCAGGCCGTTCATCTTCACGTTCGTCCAATCCTTTGTGGCTTTGCCCAAATCTTCGATTTGTCAGGTGGGTTAAGAGGAACAAAGAAGAAGATGACAGAGGAAGGACGACGAAAGAATAGAAGGGTTTAATGAGACATCGCGAAAACGTTCATCCTCAGAATCAGTATAAATATCGGCCCAAATCTCTACTTTTTTCGTTATCTCTTTCGCTTCTCTCAACACACACACTCCGTTCTCACATACCAAAAGAAAAAAATGCCTGCCACTCAGCACGATCAGTCCGTCGACGCCGTCGCCGATGCCCTTCTCAACAAGGGCCACATCTCTGAGAAGACCTTCCCCCAGGAGCACTTCCACATCGTCCCCCCAGTCGCCCCCGGATCCGGCACCCCCGCCGTTGCCGCCGCTACCGCCGATGGAACCGCCGCCGCTCCTGCCCTCCCCTTGCTCTTCCAGCCTTTCACCGCCAAGAACCTCACCCTCGTCAACCGTGTCGTTGTTGCCCCCATGTGCATGTACTCGTCCAAGGATGGTTTCATGACCGACTACCATTTGGTCCACTTGGGTTCCTTTGCCCTTCACGGTGCTGGGTTGGTCCTTGCTGAGGCCACCGCTGTCGAGGCTCGTGGTCGTATCAGTCCTGGATGCGCTGGTATCTACAAGGATGATCATATCCCTGGTCTCAAGCGCGTTGTTGACTTTGTTCACTCCACCGGCGGAAAGATTGGTATCCAGTTGGCCCATGCAGGTCGCAAGGTATACAAACAAAAACAAGATCGAATGACGCTTTGTTCATTATTTTTCTCCCTGCGTGTAACCACATCGACAGAATTACTAATCCTTTTCAAAATGCTTTTGCTCACAAATAACATATCAGGCTTCAAGCCAGCCCTTCCACACCCCCGAGGTCTTTGGCCCCGAGGAGTACTGGAACGACCAGGTCGTCGGCCCCTCGGGCGGCCCCGACTTCCAATGGGACGACAAGCACCGCATCCCCCGCGAGCTCTCCGTCCAAGAGATCCAGGATGTCATCAAGGCCTTTGGAGCCGCCGCCGTCCGCGCCGACAAGGCCGGCATGGACACTGTCGAGATCCACGGCGCCCACGGCTACCTGATTCACAACTTCCTCTCGCCCATCACCAACCACCGCACCGACAAGTACGGAGGATCCCTTGAGAACCGCGCCCGTTTCATGCTCGAGGTCATCGACGAAGTCCGCAAAAACTTTAACCCCGCCAAACCCATCTTCCTCCGCCTCTCGGCATCAGACTGCGTCGAGCACCTCGACATCACCTCCTTTGAGATCAACCAGGCCGTCCAGGTCTCCCAGTGGGCCAAGGACGCCGGTGTCGATGTCATCCACATCTCGTCAGGAGGAAACACCGCCCTCCAGAAGGTCTCCTACTCCCCCGGTTACCAGGTCCACTACGCCTCCCGTATCCGTAAGGACGTTCCCGGCCTTCCCGTCGTCTCTGTTGGTTCGATTACCTCGGGCAAGCAGGCCGAGGAGATTCTCCAGAACGGTGATGCCGATTTGATTGCTGCCGCTCGTGCCTTCTTGAAGCACCCAACTTTTGCCCTCGATGCCGGTCGTGAGCTTGGCGTCAATGTCAACTATGCTCCTCAGTACTTTGCCGCCCGCTATGCTTAAAGATACCCCCCCCTCCTCCTCCTCCTTTCTACTCCTCTCACACAACATATTCTTATCCATAATAAATTCGCCCACCACCTTATTAAATAAAACTGGCATTGCATATTTCCTCTCTTGCTCTCCATGCGGAAAATGAAAAAAAAATTGTTTGTTTCAATTTTCAAGGGTATCAACTCGACCCTCAAAACGGTGCACTGCCTTCAGTCTGTTCTACATGTGCACCTCACTTAAATTCATGTGCCCATCGCTTATCATCGACATGTTGGATTGTCGGTGTCACACCATGTGCCTTGTACGCCGGTTCTCTCAAATGAAAAAAGAAACAGTCTTTATTCCAATTGCGCCCGCAGAAGAAGAAAACAAGTTGCAAGTTGAAAAAAAAGAGTCGTCTGTTATTGCCTTGGTTTTCTTCTGTTGTTTTACTTGTAGAACTCAAAGTCGGTATCGGTCTTCTTGACGTTGCTCTTGTAACCCTTCTCCAGATCCTTGGCCAAGATAACATATCTGTTTTTGCGGACAGCGTGCATACCAGCCTCTTGACAGATAGCAGCAATTTCTGCTCCAGAAAGCTTGTCAGGTCGAGACACAACTATATAGAATGAAAAGAAAAAAAATAGTCAGCAAGGCATTCTCAGATTCATAAAGCAAAACAGATACAACTGAGTTTGTGACTTACAGTCTTCGAGGTCTACTTCGTCGGAGAGGTTCATCTTGGAGGTGACGGTGGCAAAGATGAGACGCTTCTGACGACGGTCGGGGGTAGGGAACTCGATCTTACGATCCAGACGACCGGGACGCAAGATGGCAGGATCCAATGTGTCGGCACGGTTAGTGGCCATGATGACCTTGACGTTCGAGCCCTGGTCGAAACCATCCATCTGGTTCAGCAACTCCAACAGAACACGTTGAACCTCACGATCGGCACCTGTCTGAGCATCGAAACGCTTGGTCGCAATAGCATCGACCTCATCGATAAAGATGATTGCGGGTGAGTTCTCGCGGGCCATCCTGAACGCATCACGAACCATCCTGGGGCCCTCTCCCAAGTACTTTTGCACAAACTCTGAACCGACCATACGGAAGAATGAAGCCGAGGTGTGGTGAGCGACGGCCTTGACTAACATGGTCTTTCCGGTTCCGGGGGGTCCATAGAGCAAGACTCCGCGTGGGGGGTCGATACCGATCTGGCGATACAAGTCGAAATGGGTCAATGGCAGCTCAACAGCCTCCCTGATCTCCTGCTTCTGCATATCTAATCCTCCGACATCTGCGTAGGTCACATCGGGCCTCTCATCAGCTCCGACCATCTCGACGCTTGAATCAGCGTTGGGGGGAAGAACATCGACCAAGGCATTGGAGTGGCGATGAAGTGCCACAGAGCACGAGGGCTTGAGCAACTCACGATCGATTGTTGAGAGGATCCGGACAACATGCTGGGCTCCAGTGGTTGACGAGACGATACCGGTATGCTGATCAATAGGCTCCAGGAACTGACCGATAACCAACGGGACTGATTGAATCCTCTTGACTTCCTCTTGAGCACGGATCAGTTCGCGCTTCAGGTTCTTTTGTTCATCCTTGATATATTCCTCTTGAAGATGCAAAAACTCCAAGTGACGCTGGAGGTTTTTGTAGCGAGTGTAGAGGTCGTTTGAGGCCAGGTGGGCGAAAGGTCCCTGGTTGTCTGCCTGTTCTGCGGCGCCAACGGCATCCTATTTACCAGAGTGTCAACGGGGGTTATGTGAGTTGGAGCTGTATAGAAGCTGGAAAAAGCGGTGCGAAAAGTATGCGGTCGTATGAAGTTTAGTTGCCGTACCTTGCCCTTGTTGGCCTCTGATGCGCTGACGGACTTAATTCCAAGTTCCTCCATGTGATATAAAAGTAGTGTTGGTGGTTGTGGTGAGTTGTAAGCGTGGAGGTAGGTAGGTAGAGGGAAGGAGGGTAGTTGTAATGAGTAGTGGCGAGGGGGATAGAGGTGACGTGTGAAGAGTGTGAATGAAGTAGAAGAAAGAGAGTATTAAAAAGTAACAGCTTTGCTTTACGCTTGCATGACACTCACAAAGGGACGGCACACCCACTTGACGCGTCGCCTTGTCTGGTTGCCTCCAACACGCACTTTTGCTGATGTGATGACGGAAGCGAAATTCGTTATTCAGTTATTTATTGTATCACGTGCATACCCATTCATTAAAACCTGGATCATGCGTTATCGTCTTGGTCGACTTGAAGAAAGGAAGCCATGTCAAAGTCGACGCCCCATTGCTCTCCCCGAGTCCGACACATACCTTGTTCCTGTGCATTCGCCCTGTCCATCCCGTCGACTCTTAACCTTTGCGTCCTGGGAAGCGACCACAAGAAGAACACAGCTATATAAATATTGACTTTCCTCTCGCTTGTTTGCACCCAACAGCATTCCCTTTGCCCACATACCTTTCACTCGCACTACACTCATTGAAACACCGCCTCCTTGTCTTTTCTGCCTTGCACCTCCTTCGCCCACTGACACCTCTTGTCCATCTTCACTTCACTTAACTTCACTCTTCTCGATTTCATCTACCTTATTCTTCGATACCTCCTCTCCCTCTCTTTTGCCCATCTCGTCATAGACTCAACCCTCATCCTCCTCGCCAACTCTAATACCACACGTTTTCACAAACACACACATACATCAATGTCAAGTTCAGGGACACCCTTGTCAGAGTCGCCACCACCCACGGCAATCGCACAAGACCCAACAGAACCAACAGGACCACCAGCATCACCGTCAACCGTCATCGCCAACCACAAACGCAAAGACACTTCCAAAGGTACACACCGCTCTTCCTCACTATAAGTTCAAAAACAAGGACGCCTCCCTTCTCCCCACTTGCCTCACCTAGCTTGTACTCCCTAAAAAAAAACATATTTTCACGCTCTAACCGTTTCCTCGACCATTTTGTTACGCCTTTGATAGTCATTGTCCGGTTTCGAGCTATCGGAAATGCCCCAATCATGAAGCAAAATGTCTTCAAGATCACGGCCTCCAACAAGTTCATGGCCGTCATTCAGTTCCTGCGAAAGGAGCTGAACTACCAGCATTCTGACCCATTGGTAAATTACCACCTCTTTTATCCTAAAAGTCAAGGATATCTATTAGAGATAGATAGTAATCAATGTATTGACAGAGTTCGTTTTGCTTTCTCTTTGCTGGTAACAATAGTTCCTATATGTCAATAGCGCGTTCTCTCCGGCACCGGATGAGATTGTGAATAACCTGTACAAGGTATACAAATATAACTGGCTTGATTGTCTTGCCAACGTTATAGGATTGATAATTCATTCATAATTCATTACATCACACTGACTTGACTATTTGTTTATCTCCTACACCCATCACCTAGTGCTTTAACACGGACGGGAAGCTAATTGTAAACTACTGCACGAGCCCCGCATGGGGATAAGCAAAAGTCAGGCATCAAAGACCGATACTTCATTTTTAGCTTCTCGAAAGCCTTTGGGGACCAAAAAAAACAAACAAAAACAAATAGTAATAAAATAATATTAAAAAAAAAACTAATTACATGGAACCATTTTTATTCGTGGTCAAGTCGGTTGTATACTTTATGACCAGGCGCGTAGCGGACACGGTTACCGCGGGGCTTATCGGGGATCTTGCCGAACCGGTTCAATGGATACAGCACGTACTCGACTTTTGATTTTACCAAACCCAATGGCACCTACAAAAAATAAATTAGGAATAAAATAAAAACGCATTGGGTTAGGTTTCAAGAGTAAAAAAAAAAAAAGTATCCATGAAACTGAACGAGGGCAAAAATGAAAGAGAAAGCAAATGTCATACAGGTCCATAGTGGTTACTATCTCTGCTATGAAACATCTCATCGCCCTCAACCCAGCAATGTCCACGAGGGACACGAACGTGAGCCTCTGGGTAAGGTGACCGTGTCTGGACAACATCACCCTCCAGCGCGACAATCCGTTTGATCACTATCTTTTCTGGTAAGTCTGGGTGGCTATCATTCCAATTGGGACCACAATAAACAATAAAGGAGGAATGAAAGGAAAAGGTCATCAAGGAAAGGATGAAGGTTAGAACGCGAGAAAGGATCGACGTGCGGCGGAACTGTGTGCTTGCAAGAAGAAAAAAAAAAGGCAAGTTGGTAGCAAAATCCTGTGTACCGTAGTGTGACAACATCGCCGATATTGTAATTGCAGCGATCAATCGCCCAATGGTTGAAAAGCACAACATCCTTCTTGAGCTGATTGCTATCTGGGTTTAATGTCGGCTGCGTAGAAGAAGAAAAAAGAAGCGTGAGAAAGCCTGTGCTTCAACGTTCCTGTTCATCCATGAGGAAAGTGTTGAGGGTTGCTTCCTTGCCTGCATAGAACGTCCGTTCACGGTTCCTAGACTGTATCCGTGTTCTGTAAAGTAGATACCGACTGGCACCCAGGGGAGGACTGACCAAGCCCATTGACGAAATGCAGAAACAAATGCCATGGAGATGTAGAAGAGGAGAGGAGAGTGATCAGCCCACGAAATTCGCCGCCCTACTTTTTAAATGTGACGGCTCGCCCACTAACCTCAAATAGTAAAAATGAAAACGCGACCGTAACTTGTCTCATTCACACACACACACACACCCTCAGGTTTTATTCAACCATGTCATCGTCCATATCCTCTTGCTCATCGTACTCTCGCTCTCGCTGCGAATTAAGTCTACGGTGATGGGCAGCATAGCTGGTTGGAGAGACCATGGATCTGGACGGTGTTTGTGGATACCCCGACGACGATGGCATATTGTCCTGCTGCTGCCGATGTGCTCCGTAACGATGTTGCTGCTCTTGATGCTGTTGGTGGCGTTGGCGATGTTGTTCCTGCTGCAAGCGATGAAGTTGATGCTGAAGCTGCTGTTGTTGTTGCGGTGGAGACACATACTGCTGCTGACCCTGGCGTGGAGTAAATAGGGACGTATCTAGGACTCGATTGTTCACGTTGGGCGTTTGCTCAGGCATCGGCTGTTGGCGGTTGTGAAACCGCTCCTCCTGTGGCTGTTGCGCCAGAGCGCGAGCTCGAGCTGCAAACAACGACCCATTGCGCTGTGGCTGATGCGGAGTGAATTGAGGTGATTGCATACGGTGCCCAAGGTGGCCGTCCTCATACTCTTCGCCATGATCCTCCTCTCCCGTCAAGATATCATCTTCGTCTAGCTGTTGCTCTCTCAAGTGGGGGCTCTCGTCTTGATGTACATCCATCTCGTCAATCTCAAGTTCGTCGTCCAAATCTTGTTCGTCGTCAAGCTCGTCGTCGCCGCCGCTCAGGATCTTTTCCACATTAGCTATGCCTTCCCTCGCAATAACGTTTAGAGGATTGAAACTAGAAGGGAGATACAAACGAGTTGTCAGCAGTGAACTATTGGTGTTAGAGACACTCAGTGGGCGCCGAAAGGGTACGTATTGACCCTTTGTTTTGTACCTTCTGGCGCGCTCATAGCTAGAAAGGGCATCCTCCCAACGTTCCATGCTCGAGTAGATCTCTGCCTTCTTAATATGGATCTCATCGGGTGGCTGGTGGTCAAGTTGTTGATCCAGTCTAATGCGGTAGACAAGGCGAACGTTAGACATCTGATATCAAGAGTAGAGCTTGAGGGTAGCAGGGCGCGTATGCGAAGCTGATAGCCAAACTTACAGATCAATGGCTTCTTCGAATCGCCGTTGGTTTTCGTAGATCAACAAAAGGGTGTGCGCCGCCAGTTTACACGATGGGTCTATCCGAAGCGCCTCATTCACTTGATCCTGTGCATCCTGTGCTACTTCGTCATTCGCTGCATGATAAAGCGCCGTTCCATACAATGCAAGAGCTTGCGCGTTGCCCGGCATCCGAACTTTGGCCTCCTCTGCCTCTTTGCAAGCTTCCAGATGTCGTTCCAGCAAAATGTACGCCTTCACCATGCCTAGTCGTAAATCAATCAGTATAGTTCAGCGTCACTGAATCGTTTGAGGTATATGTGCTGAAGCTATAGAAACGCGTTTGTCCATACCTTCATAGGTCACAAGGTCTTTCTCAGTCTTGGACGCCTCTCTGAATGACCCCAATGCTCTCACAGGTGACGACTCCAGGTAGATCAGTCCGCGAAGTTGGAGGGCACCGCAATGATCAGATCTGAGTTGCAGCGCCTAAAGTAACATGTTAGAGGAGGGGGGGTATTTAGTCGGCAACTCAATTTCGCAATGTCAACCAACTTCAATATGAAACGGCTGTCGATCCCCTTACCCGTGAAACCATTTGAAGTGCTTTGTCCCTCTCACCCTTCATATTCCAGTACATTGCTTGGACGCACCATGTATCTGGATGCTTGTCACTGATATTCAAGAGGTCTCCGGCCAATCTATGCGGTACAATGAGAAGTAATGCGCATGGATGTAAGCGATTAAGAAACCTAGGAGGGAAAGCATTTCTGAGGCATCTATTGCAAAAGGGTGATCCGTTGTCCGTACTTGTTGATGAGCTTTGCGTTATACAGCTCCTTCAAGCATTCTGCGTAGTGATATAAATCATCGATGACATAGAGATCCTCCCTGCGGACCTAATTGTTCAAAGGTGTCGGTTGCATAAATATTAGCAATCAGGTACATTAGTGCAATCAGCAGGCTGGAAGCAAACAGTGCATCCCTACCTGCGAAAATATGAGACATGCCCTGACAGGGTTGCCCATCCACCTCAAACAAAGCGCCAGGCGAATCTTAATATCGGTGTTGTGCGGGAACATCCCGTCCAAAATTGTGAATGTCTGGTGAGCTGCCTCGTACCGCATGTGAAAGAAGCTGTCCAAGCCCTGCAAATACAACTTCATCCACTCATACTCGGGAGAATCCTTCGGGATCATGTTCGAAACAAAGAAAAGCGGCGTTCCTGCGCGCAACATATGTACGTATGCCTCCAGCGCTAGTGGTTGAAGCCTATTGGTAATGGTAATCAAACATTGTCGGTTGGTATTCCTGCTATCCGTAATCCACGCGTCCTTCGTTAGGCATTTGAGAGCGATATGCAGGCATGTAACCTACTTTGCGATCTCTGACCAGTAGGTATCTTCTCGACTAGAATGATTACAGAAAGCGAAAGGGGTAAGAATGAGTGAGCAATCGCGTACTTGAATAAACTCCGCGCACAAAAGATACCACGAATCGTAAATCACCTACATCTGCAGACTTGTTTTCTTGTGCAAAAGCTGAATCAACAAAAGGTATGTCCTGACTGTCCGCTTGTCCTCGGGTATCTGCAGAAGCTGTAGAGTCATCATAAAAGAAAAACAATGTGTAGCCGTTAGTGTTTGAATGGTGAAAAGTTGAGGACGGTCGATGCAGCACGCATGAAGGCATCAACGTACCAACTCCTTTGCTCTTATGTAGTCTCCCGATTCATAACATGAAAGTGCAAAGTCCATCTTGAGATCGTTCAAATCCTGCATGAGAGGCTCGCGCGACAGTCCGGTGATGGGTGTCACAGATCCAGCTGATGACGCCTTCCCGGATGCTCGAAGAGGAGTTGTAGTTGATGGTTGGTCCACCGAAAGGTGCTGCTTCTTTCTGGTATGGTCATCGTCAGAACTCAGTTGACTCTGCTGCTGCCGCTGCTTGGATATGGTCACAGAGAGGGGTTTCACTGGTGGGATGGAAGGAAGCATGGTCTTTGTCGATTTAGCGGATTCTCGAAGGTTCGGCTTTGCTATACTGCTCCTTGCGGTGGCAATAAGCGTGTCCATAAGCAGTCCGCGATTATCTCTGTCCTTCTTCATCTCTTCTTTTCCAGCATGGAGGGCATTGAACAACTCCATTCCTCTCGTCATTGGCCGAGATGTTGCTGTTGCTGCTGCTGTAGTTGTTGCTGCATCGGATACTGTAGAGATATCAGTGACGGGGGCGGTTCCTGAGTCGGACATGGAAGGTCGTGTTTTGAGTAGGTCTAGCGGTACTGCGATATCTTCGATGTGTGATGCCCACATGTAGTATTCCTATTGATACGGAGCGACGTGGGTTAGCCATCGGGCCTGCTTTTCTTTTATCTGCCTATGTTCCACTCAGTTTTCTGTGGCATACAAGAGAAAAATAAATCGACTAGTTGAATACCATACAGTCGCGCGCCGATGTTCCTCCAGTTTGGTCAGACTACGAGCGTACTGGTACATGGCATTCGCCTGAAACCATTTTTCGTCTTTCCGGACAGTGGAAAGGTGAATGCCCGTCTATGATAGGTACAAAAAGAGTTGCGAGCAATACAAAGTTGAGAGTCTGGGTAAGAAGGGTATGACGCGTTATACACAAAGTGATGACAATGTCATGCAGCTGCCGGTTTTCCAGACTTACGATGAGTTGCGCTGACTTGTAGAGCCCTGCATCGTGCAGTGACTCAGCGAGACGCAGTTGTGCCAGTCGTTCCTGTGAGGTGTAGGTCTTTTCATTTCTCGTCGCCATGGTGGTTCTCGTGTGGGGTGGAGATGCAAAGAGTGGGCGGACAAAAGTGTCAAATTCACGCAGCTGAACGCCACGAAATGTTGAGTGCGTGACTGGCTATTAGATGCAGCAGTCCCTTGTTGTTTTCGCACACTCACAAAAAAAAAAGAAAAAAAAGAAAGAAGCTCGACAACCTCTCACTCACACCCTCACCCATACACCAGACACTTATATACCATGGACAACAAAGCAGACGCAGGAACCAAGAAGAAGTTTGTCAGGAAGGTGGCTCCATCCAAGGCACCCGGCCGTGTCTTGAAGAAGCAGCTCAGGAACATGGAGCGTCTTCTCAAGAACAAGGACACCTTGAAGGATTTGCCAGTAGAGGTCGTTGCAGAGACTGAGAAGAAGATTGCTGACGTCAAGAAGAAGATCGAGGCCTTGGGTCCACAGCCATCACCAGCATCAGCATCGGCAGCAGCAGTAGCAGCACCCAAGTCTCAGATCAACAGCAACTCAGTTGCAAAGGGAGGCATCAAGGCGACAGGTAAATTTACAAGAACAATGGGATCCCCTACTCAGCAAGCGCCAGGGCAATTGACGGTAGCGTCTTATTGTTACCAACGCCAATTACTTATTATGTTCTCCGCTTTCATGACATTGCATCGATAGAACTCAGACGTGCAGGACGAAAGATTGTAGCCTTCAAGAAACAGCACCCCAACCACGAGGCTTCCGAAGCCGAGTCAAAAGAACTTGCCGAGCTCGAGCTCGACCTCATGTACATCAAGGTACCATTCTACATCTCTTGCATCTCATAGTACATTCATTGGCACAACTGACAATAACTGATGCTATCATGCTAATACGTTGCTTTTATTATTCCATAACTTATATAGCACTTCCCCAAGACACACGCATACATCGCTATTTACGCAGAGGCTGCTGAACAGGACGAGTCGCAGGTCAAGGTCCGGACACAGATCAGAGAGGACACAAGAAAGGCATTGGAGAGCGGCAAGATTAAAAAGTCGACAGGAGGAGACAAACCCGAAGGAAAGACTGAGCCGGCCACAGGAAAGCACCCTATCAGCAACTGGAGCGACGACAATGATGAGGAGGGTTCCGATGATGAGGAAAAGGAGGATGAGCGGGAAACCAAGAAGCAGAAGAAGGATTAAAAAAGGAATCGACATTTGTTTGATACACTACATTTTTATTTTCTGTGTGTATGTTGCTAAAAGTACAGGCAGTAGAGGTACAGGATTTCCAATGGAAAAAGGGAATCTTGAAAGCGGAGAAATAGTGTGGCTCAATATTTAACCCATCCAGGGAAAAGCGCGGCGCATGTCGCGTTCGCTGGGCCAGAGCTTGATGGTTTCCTCGGGCTTGCTAAGGTCTTCCTCGTCCCTCAGGTGAGGCAAGACAATGTCCGACAGGTTCTCGAGCTGCTCAAAGAGGGTCGCCTTTTGCGCATCAAACTCGAGGCCGTTCTGGTCAATGCCCTCTTGGGCCAACTTGCGGATGACATCCAGCGTATGGTCGAGTTCCCTGTGGGAGTGGCTCCAATGCGAGATGTTGGTGACAGCAGCAAAGGCGGGGAAGATGACGGCCTCCTCGAGGTCGTGGTGGCCCTGGAGGTGACGGCAGAATTGGAGAACGTTGCGCATCGAGTTCTTGACGGCTGTGGGCTGGGTGGCTTTGGGGATGGTTTGGAGGAGGCTCTTCAATTCCCGGCGGAGGCCGTTGTGGATGGCAACCAAGTGGTCGGAGTAGTACTGGTGGAAGCGAGACATGGTGAAATTGTGTATGTGGGGAGGTGTATGTGCTGTGCAGTGTGGCGTGGGAAGTCTTGGTTGTCAGTTGAGGGAGACTTGTGGTGGGAACAACTTGACGTTTTTGGGACTCGTGGAAGAGTGAGGATCCCCTTTTATAGTTTTTCTCTGGAGGAGTTTTTTTTCTGATCTCGGATGGAATAGAAGATCATCACCACTTTTTGTGCATTACTAATGAAGCCCATGAACCTTCTTTTCCGACAGGTTTTGCCCATCCAAGAAACTGGGCCACCGAAAAGTGACACCCCAGCCACCGCCACCAAAAATCATGAAAGAAAAGAACCCAATAAGAGTGACTGAAGGGTTGTATCAGACCATTCATGCAAGGCCGCCTATTGGCCAAGTCCCGAGCTGGACGCTGTGGCCCCTGCTTCCCTTCTGTCTTCTTCTTGTTCTTTCTAGAAAGACCATGTCTCCGCAGTTTGGGCCATTGTTCCTGCTCCTTCTGGAGTTGAGCTGTTGTGCCTGGCTTGACTCCTGTCGACCGTTCAAGTGTCGGGTATTTTTCCATTGTTCATGCATGGTCTCCTGAACAGTCAGCTCTCTTTTCTTTTTTCTATTGGTGTTCCAGGGGGAAGGAAGGGTGAGCGGTTTGGATGCATGCACCCACACAGATCTCTCAATTAAAGACAAAAAAAGGAGCCAAGCAAACAGCAATAGATAGAGATTCAGGGGTGGTGAACCACAATTTCATTTTGCGAAACAAAAGAGCTAGCTCACTTTTTTTTCTTTGCGTTTGGAGCTCGCAAACAATAAACCAACTTTGTGGTCCCAGGGCCCTGGCGAAAAGGATGTAATAATGCACCGAAGAAGATTGAAGGTGTGTGGATATGTTTTTGCGCGAGACCCTACTGTTGCTACTCTTTTTATCCCTCTCCCTCCCTAACTTTTTCCTTCTCCCATCTTTTTTTTCCTCCGCTTGCGGCTCTTCCCCTGCATTCATTAACACAACACCCGCTGGGTTTTTACCCCGTTTGCGTTGATTGACACATCGAGTACTTTTTTTCCTGCTCAGCATTGTAATAAGTTACAGCATACTCCGTTTCCCCTTTTTCTAAAAAAAAAGGGAACCTTGTCAAGCCAAGACGAGATCCTCTGGATATGAAAAATCGATCAGGGCGAGGATGGATGAACGCAACAAGGTCTCGGAGCGTTCTCGTTTCTTCGTTGCCATCGCCCCTTCTTCGGTTGCCTCTGTTTGTTGTTTGTGTGTGTATGTCGCCATTCTCTACCTCTCCAGACATCCCTTGTTTACTTTCCTGCCCAATGGTTGTTGTAATGCTTTGTTTTGTCGGTTGGTTTGGTAGTCTAGTTAGGACGGGAAAGGACGGATGTTGGAGTGTAAATGTGTGTGTGACATACACAAGAAGTGTACTCTGTCTCCTTGAATTCTGTTACTCTTTGTCGCCTCCTTTCAAGAGGTAATGCTCTGCCCAACGAACGTTTTGCAATATGTGACGGAATACAGTGCGAGTCAACATCATTTTCGCTGGGGCAAATTAAACCACCCGCTGGGGCCTATTTGCTCTCGTGGATGTTCTCATCTCCATGGCACACGCATTGATGGTCCCCTCGAATCTGTTGATTCACCAACAAGAAGAAAATAAAAGAGAGCACCGCGTGTTGTGTTCCAACTTCCAACCAGCCAACCATTCAGCCAACCATCTGGCCCGGTTGAGCAACTTTCGTACTGTTGGCATGCAAGGGGTATCCCGGTCGCCCTCTTTTTGTTTTATTACTCGCTCGTTCGCCCTTTGCCTTTTTACATCTTTCCTTTTCTTTCTTCTTTCTTCTTTCTTCTCGTTTGTCTTCTGTTTATTTTTTGCGCGATCCTTTATTATTTAATCATTAATCCTCCTCCTCGCATCCTCTCATCCTCCTTGCCTTCCTTTCTCCTTCTCTTTTTTTCTTCTTGTTTCCTGTGCTGGGCCATATTGTCCTTTTGAACCCCCCTCATACTCCTCCCCTCTTTGCCCTTCCTCCCTTCTCCTTCGTCTCCCATCCTTGAACGCCCCTACCCTTACCCATCCATTGTATCATCTAATCATACACATACACAGGACTTTCGATTTTTGTTTCTTTTCTATCCTACGCTTTGCATAATCCCTTTCTCTCCTTTCTTCTCCCTCTTCCTCTGCGCCTCGCCTCCGCCTTCGACCCCGTTTTCCCTTCAATCCTAATTTCTCCAGCTCCCAGAAAGTCACCCTCAATCCACGACCACCACCGCATCCACTCTTGATTTTCTTGCTTGTACGCACACTTCCATTGTCTCACTCTACTACAACTCCTCTTCCTCACTTTACACCTTGTTATCCCGATTTCAACGCCTCACGTCCTCCTTCCTCCTCCTTTGTTACCATTGTTTGACTCTTCCTGTTCCTGCACACACCTTCTACCTCTTCATCACCCTTCCTCCTTTTCTTTTTCTTTTCTTTCTATCACATTGCTGTTCGATCTTACCTCCAACAGGAGGCTATAGCACCAAATAGCAACCTCACACACTCAGGGTCGACCACTCTGCTGTTGAAAGAGAGAGAGAGAAGAGGTGTGCCAGGATGAATTGTATGGCGGACTCGGATCCATATTGGTTTTCCAATGTCCACCTGCCGGCGTTCAAGAGGAGATCATGTTCACTATGTTTGCGCTATACCTGCATGCTCCTGGGCCTAGGATGTTCTGTCGTGCTGATGCTAGCCGAGATTTTTGTGGGGGTGACTCTTTTGTTGACCAAAGACTGGGCGTTGCGGGTCATCCAGACAGGGCTTGTCCACACCAACACACCCCTTCCAACACAACAACAACAACCACCTACCTCATCGACGACCACACCACCACAATTGACATCATCCCTCCCTCCAATTGTCGCTGACATGTTGCAACGACTTGGAGCAGCAGCCTGCTGGGTAGTGATAGGATCGACAGGACTGACGCTGTGTGTGATGATTTGGGATTGGGCCAAGGCACGGTCTATCGTACAGTCAGAGAGTATCCCTCGGGCATTCTTGAGCACACCCGCATTCCAGCTCTGGGGGATCAAGTCGTATACGCATTTCTGTCTCCTGTCCAAGATTCAGTGGGGCCGGACCATCCGGCAACGGTTCGTGATGATGATTTACTTTGGCCTGCAAGGTACGTACTCTTTTGCCTGGCTCTCTTTTGACAGAAAATGAAACGCCGCCAAAATAATTTGTCTGTTGTTCCACCATCCATCCATCCATCCATGCAGCATGCAGCATTTCAGCATACGCCACTCCATGGTTGAGAATACAGTTTCATGCTCTCACATGTTATTAAAGACACCGCATGGTTCCCTTCGTTTCTCATCTTTCTTTTTTTTGCTCTCTCTCTCTCTCTCTCTCTCTTTTTGCGTCCCTCATACTCAAACATGGAATGGTACCCAAAACAATAAATACAAATGCATACATACACGTACCTTAGGATTCACTGCAGTGTTGGTCTCAATCCCAAGGCTCATGGTCTATGCGAGCATCCTCTTGGCTGCCAAGAACATTCCCGACCTCGCAACATCACAACAGGGCTTCCAGGCAATCCAGCTAGCCTCCTTTGCGACTCTTGAAGGTGTCCTCCTGAAGGTCGCCATGGCTATCATGGCCTTGTCAACAGCTGTCCATGGCCTTCACCTTGTCCGCATCGTGTTGGCTGGTGTGCTATGTACCCTCTCACTTTGCTATCTTGGGCGCATGCGAAAGGCCATGACTAGAGATCTCGAGTCGAGGTATGTACTGTTTACTGTACCTTTGAATGCACATGAAATGAGGGATTCAAATCTCCGAACGCGTCCGATTTGCTCTCATGTTCTTCCACCTATGTATATCTAACCACACTTACACTTGGGCCGCTTGGCGTGTGCATGCACAACCCGACAGAATCACGGGTCTCGTACGTTCAACAAGTTATCAAGGGCGCAACGACGTGAAAACGTTATCGCAGGAACAAGAACAACAACAATACAGCATGAGCGACAATGCGTTCCAACTCGACAGCAGCATCACCGTCAGCTTTGTGAGCGAGAAGAGTCTCGATGGACGTCCTCAGCCAGTGTCGGAGCTCAATCCAAGCAATGGTCGTCGTCCCTCCCAGGATGCCCAGAATGTGTTCTACCAAATCGATCTGGAACAACAACACACGCAGGCACCAACGGATTCACCAGCTGACAGGCCACTCGCTCCTGGATTCCGTCTCTACCCCTCATCATCCTCTGATGCTGTCCCTCTCGTCAACCTTTCCCTCAGTGAACACAATCAGTCCCTACCAGTCTTCTCTCAGCCACCTCAACATGTACAGCCCTCGATCTCTACATCCTGCAGCACAAACGGAATATATCTCACGGCACCAGCACCACACACACCCACTGTTTCGACCCGTGGTCAACATCAGACAGGAGCACCCAACGAGGAAACTGAGCGGCGCAGCACCATCGATCAACTCGGACCCAATAACCGACTTGCAGCTCTCTCGTTCTATGACGACCTGCTAAAGAGCATCAACTCGGAGAGGATGATCTATGCCAATCAAGCCATAGTTGACACCAGACAAAGCATTTATGGTCCCGAACCTGCAACAAGGCGGGAATACCACAACCCATCAGTCAACTCTCCTTCGATCGCCATCTGCTCCTCGATCCCCTTGCCTTATTCGAGCTGCAGCGAATACGATGATCGACACAGCACCGACCAACCTGTACACCCCTTTGACATTGGCCCAAGTCAACCGCGATTCCCTACCCCTAGGTCTGAACAGGACATCACAGCAACCATCGCCGACATCTACATGCATCCTCTAGATCTGATGGATATCCAAGGAGGACTCGAGATCAACCTCCAGTCTCGACCAGGAAGCCAAGAGAGCCTTCATGCGGCTAATTTCAGGGACCTCCAGAGAGCGAGTCGGTGTGGAAGCCCTCATTCACAGGAGACGATCGAAAACTGGAGGATCCATGTTGCGCCTAGTTCGCCTGTCATCCCAGCGATCGAGTTTGACATGCAGGATGGCCATCAGCAGAGACAGCAGTCGACTATACCGACGCCCATCGCTGGAAGGTACGACGGATACAACAACTCGAAGGGCATGGAGGGAGAGACCGACAGCAGGCGAGGGACCATCCCAATCATCCTCTCGAGTCACCTGCAGGAGGCTGCAGCCATGTACGAGGACGACCAAGACTACTACGGCTTGGCCGACGACCTTGATGTCCCTCGCCCTTTTTATGCATATGGACAAGGACGATCACAGCGACAAGGGAGCATTCAGAGCAGCGTCGGTGGATACAATTACTCGACAGCCTCATCCCCATCCCTGGCAGACTCGCTCTCCAACCCGATGTACCAACAGCAAGCCGACGGAATCTTGGATGCAGCTGGCGGAGGAGGATATCCACGTGCCTTTCCACCTCGCAAGGGCTCTCTGCCCTGCTCTATCAGCAGCTCTATCCAAGAAGATGTCGTCACTCCTCGTGGACCTCAGTTTGTCTACCAGCAGCAGCATTCTCAGACCCAGAGCCAAAACTCTTTTCTCTCAGCTCATACGGCTCTTCCCGCGGCGCGTACTCGACCCAGGGCACCTAGTCATTTGAGCAACATGGTCAACCATGCCGATAGGCTTGTTAGCGACTCTGAGAGTTCAACTTCCTTCCCGGCGAAGCATGGACGCGTTCGTAGTCAGAGCCAAGGAGGCCACTCTACAACAAACAGAGGTTCGTCCTGGGATCAACTCGGTGCGTTAAAGGAAGCTCAGGCACGGTATGCGACTCTTATCGATATTCCTGCAATATCGGTCTCGCACATGGGCTATCAACTCGACGACCGCGATGACGACGATGACTTGATGCTTCGCGAGAGCGTGAGGATGTCGATTAAGGCTGGGATGAGCCTGAAGGAAGCCCTGGCGATTGACAACCTTATGTACAGGAACAGTATACAGCAACAACAACAATCTCTGCATGGTCTACCTTCGACCAGCTTCAATGGCGAAATCGACGACAAGATGGTACACCCTTTAGACCTCTCCCCGCTGATCCTCCAAACGACGCGCTCAGGAACTCAGCAGCGTAGCTATGGCTATTCCGCACAACGGCCTTCACCAGTTCCTGTGATGACATCGTCGACATCGACGGGTTATGTTCCTCCTCGCAGCAATGACTCGCCTTCTACTGCTACCGCAACTCAGCAGGCTTGGGACGAGACCTGTGTTGGACTGGGATTAACCTTGACCACACCTACACCCACACCCACGCGTTATCAAGAGCCACTTCACGCCCACGCCCATCAAGTGCCCACTGCAGATGAGTGCGATCTCCCTCGACGACCCATCCCTCTCAGATATCACCAACTTGACTCCTCTACGCCACTACAACACCATCAAAACCAACATCAAGACCAGCAACAACAACACCGACGACCCGAGATGACCACGAAATCGACCTCTGGACTAACGACTCACACGCTTCAATCCAACGCGACCCTCCACTCTGGCTCGTATTCGTACACCACATCAGCCACTTCCAGTACCTTTGTAGATATGTCCTATACGAATCATCACCATTCATCCTACCCTTCCCATTATCCAATGTCATCCTCCAGCCAACATAACAAACACGCAACTAATGATTATGACCAGGACACGACACCCACCTACCCTCACCACCAGTACCACCAGCACTACCAACAACACTCACAGCAGCCCCAGTTGGATCGGCAGTACTCTTACTCACAACCCCATGAACAACAAGAGTCCCCGCTCTTCCGTAGGGACTATAATAACCCTCCTCCTGTCCAGCGCCAACCCAGTCAACGAAACAAGAAAAACCTGGTCGTCAACGTCTCTCCTCCCAACCAGATGTACTAAAACATGATAATAATAAAAAAGTCTAAAAAAACCACGAGCAGCAGTGGAGTGTGATGTGAGGCAAATGGGGATGGATGCAAAAGCGAGCCACTTGAATGTGAATTTACATTTTCATGGATTTGAGCATAAAAGGGGCATGGGTATGCACGAGAACACAAACACAAACAAACGAACAAACAAACAAAACGAAATATGAGCAAAAAAAGCGATAAGACCTTTTTTTGCTGGAACCATGTTATCCATCATCATCCAAACTAAACATCAGAAAAAGGGATGTGGACAGAAAGACAGGGCGCAACAAACAGAAAAACCCCTACACCAGACGGGTTGGCAGTATCTCCTTCATCCCTTTCGTCTCTTCCTCCCTCTTTCCCTTTTCAATTCTGCCCGAGCCAGCAGCCCCTCACTCTGTTTTTTTCTCTTCCTTCCTTCGTGTCATTCCTTTCACTTCTCTTCATGCACCCGTAAAAGCAGTAACTAAACTGGAGAGCGGCGGTGGAAGGACGACAAGATCGGCCAATGCCAAACATACGGGCCTGATTTTTAGTTTCAGGGATTTTTTGTTTCTCTTCTTTTCTCCTTCCTCTCTTTCTCTCTTCTCTTTTTTCTTCTTTCTTTCTCTTTCTTTCATTTACAACCACCAACCACCAATACCCACAACGCAACCAGCTTAACCCCACACTACCAACTGATATCAAGGAATCATGTCCGTCTCACGCAGGATCGTATTAACCAACGCCGCACGCCAATACCTCACCCGCTCGTGCACGACCAGATCATCCACCTGGAGAACAGCAACACCGATTGCCTCCTCATTTATCTCCCAACAACAACGATCCTTCACTCACCAGCAATCTTCCCGCCAGGCCACCCACAGCGATGACCCTTCGCATTCTCCCACCGTCACCACCACCACCAAAAGCAATGACACTCAACTATCAACACAATTCGACCCCCCTCGTCAAATCTCTAAGATCCTCACCCACTACTGCCGCGAACCGCAACTCGTAATGATCGAAGATTACGGGATCCTTCAGGGCGAGATGGATCAGAGTCGGTTGTTGACAAAGTATCTCAATATCCCCTTTGCCAAGGTCCAAAACCGGTTCCGGGAGGCAGTTGCACCTGAGCCATGGAAGGGAATCCGCGATGCGACACTTTACGGGTAATTGTTTTGTTGTTGTTTGCAGCATTTATTCTTGAGTTCATTTTTGCGACTGAGCGAGTTTATGAGTGACGATAAACAAAATGTTTGATCTCGCATGACTTGAGACAGACGAGAAAATTGTTATCTTTGTTGGTGTAGGTTGGGCAAAGCAACATTAGATGTACGCAAATTAGATAAAAAGCTGACACATTTCTTGACTTATCTCCGATCTCATGCGTACATTTCAGACCCATGTGCCCACAAAACTCACAAGAATCCAACAACCTGTCGACCTTGATGCTGGGCCTGCCAGGGCCAGGATTCGAGTACTCGGAACACGACTGCCTGAACCTGAACGTCTTTGCGCCTCGGTGCATCGTCGGTCATGTCCCCGTTATCTGCTACATTCATGGTGGATTGAGTCAAGGCGGGATTGCTCTTCCCAAGCATGGTAAATAATCATCCCCATTTTTAACGGCGCCTCGCACATATCACGTATTGGTATACATATCATTGAGTACCTTTGGACAAATTACGCAACCCACTTTCCCTGTTCTGACATGTCCCGACGAAACAAACCCCATTTTTTTTTGTTTGCTTTAGATGCAACGAATATTGTGAAAAAGTCGGTCGCGAGGGGTCTTCCCGTCATTGTGGTGACAATCAATTACCGCCTTCTCCCGTCCGCGGGTCTTCTAAAGGGGCCTGCAGAAAAACAAGGAGTGAAGGACGGGAAGCAGTCGAAGGATGGCAATGAGGAGGAGGAGGAGGAGGGCGCGTCATTCAACTGGAGCCTGTATGACCAAAAGGTTGCGCTGGAATGGATCCAGAAGAACATCCACAACTTTGGGGGTAACCCGAACGAGATTACGCTGATGGGGCATTCTAGTGGGGCGTCTTCAGCAGGATACCATATGCTCACGACTGCGACGAGGGGACAACAGGGAAAGGATGGAAAGAAGAGGCTGTTCAAGCGGGCGATTATGCATTCAGGGGCACGAGAGGGGTCTTTGCAGCATATGGAGAACACTCATCGATTGGACTCGCTTATCGGAGATATGGTTCCTATCGGATCATCATCGCCATCATCATTGACCTCGTCGTCAGCGGCTATGGCTATAGGTAGTGTTCCTAAACAGGAAAACAAGGACGACCAGCAGCAATCGACGTTCACGTTCATGTCGGATGCATGCCTACCCTTCATGGACGAGAATGAAAAGCAGGCTGGATGGCGCGTTGTTGACAAGTGGATTGATTTTGCCTGGGGTCAAGAGGGTGCCTCTACCAGCGACAGTGTCCGTTCGTAGAGATCAGTAGGGAAGATTTTATTAGTCTCTCTTAACCACAGCTAGCAAGCGTTATCAGGCTCTTGTGGGTGAAGAATGGCGTGAAGGTTAATTAGCCTTCGTACTTTTTATTTCTGTCTGTCTGTGTACGAAATACACTTTGATGTGAGGGCCAGATATATGTGGCCCTTCCTTGCTTGTTCGCGTTGAACTGAACAGTCGATGGTATTTTTAGGACATCCGCTTCTCGCCACTACTCGCGAAAAGAGATGGAGCATCGCCACAGGTTATGGACAAAGGATGTCTTGATGTACAAGGAAGAGGCGGGCTCAACTTGGTGGCAAAAATGCAGCCTCGACTCAAAAGTATGCCGCGCTTTGTTACAAGGTGTAGCTCGTCCAATAGCGGTGGTTTGCCGTTGTGTTTTCGATTGCTCTTTTCGACTCTCACAGACCCTAAATGACCGCCGCCTTGCATGACGATTGACAAGGCAAAGGCATTTTGTGCAAAAAAATAAGCATTTCGAGACGGGTCTGAAAGACATATATATATAGTAACCTTGCTCTTTCTCATTCCTCATCTTCTCCTCCTTCTCCTTCTCGCATAGTACACAAAGATGTCGACGGCATTATCAATCACTCGATTCATTTTAATCCTCCTCTCAACAGTAGTGGCTGGCTGCTCAATCTACCTCCTCGTCCGCCTACAACTAGGCATCCGCGCCGAAACCTGGATCGTCTGGACCCCCCTCATCGTCTCTGTCCTCTCCAACATTCTCTACTCTTGCTCACTCAACCCCAAGAACCGCGTCTCAACCGCCCGTAACACTTTCGCTTTCCTCTTGGCAGTCGGCTGGTTCGTCTCCCCCTCCTACCGCATCCACGAGCTGATTAGCAGCTCAGCCGGTAGCACTTCCAGCTTCCTTTCAGTCTGGAGTTGTGGCACGATCGCATGTACACTGTTGATGGTTATGGATATTGGAGGTCTATTGTTGGGGGTTTTGTCGCTGTTGGAGATTGGGTTGGCAGATCAGGCGTCGAGGGGTGTGATTACGCCGGCGTCAAACAAGACGTCGATCTTTGTGTTGCCTGGAAGTCAGCAGCAGTATATTCCTTTGCAGCAGCAGCAGCCACCGCAGCAGCAGTTTGCTCAACAACCATTCTATCAGCCTGCTAGTACCCAGCCTTACTATGCCCAGGCACAACCTCCTACCGCTGCCACTACGTATCCACACACTTATTAGAATGAAGCCCTTCTACCATGTTGTACATACTTTTATCATTCCTATACGGCGGGATAGTTTATTTCATTATGTGTTTGTTCCGTTAACACGATGTGTTAAATTGGATGTCAGTGGGCAGTGAACGACAAAGACAAGAGTTGACTGTATGCCAAGCTGTCCACCCGTTATCCGTTATCCGTTGTTTTCCTTTCTTTTGACTCCCATGCTTTCCCTGTCTGTCTGTCCCCGTTTACCCACACTTGCACCCTCTGGATGCTCGGGGCAGACGCACGTTGTTGAATCGCCAGCTGTCACACGCCACCACTTTTATTTCCCAGTGGATTTTCGTAGTCAGCCGCTGCTGCTTGCTACGCGGGTGAAAATCACCGTTTATGTAAAACCCTTTCCCCTTTCTTCTCTGCATATCACCACCACCATTATCATCATCATCCTCGGCCTCCTTTTCCTTTCCTTTGTATTCTCTCGCTGTCTTGACCCATATTCCTTCCTTCTCTTCTTCTCTTTCTTCCCCCCCTCACTCCCCCTCAACCCTGCCCTTCCTCCCTTCCTCCCTCCCACCCTCTCTGATCCATCAAAGCATGACATCGTGAACCACTTCTAATCACCTTTTTATTTTCTTCGTTATCAATACCCTTCTTATTCCTTTTTTGCTTTGTGATCATCCCTTACGCCGGCCGTATCCCAACAAGGACCCTCTGCCTGCTTGCCTGCTTGGACTTTTGTGTCTATTCTCTCCTCCCCTCGGCGTCACTTGGACCCCGTTTGAACTCGCACCAACCAGCAGACAAACAAGTCTCATTCACACTTTGCCCCATTCACTCGCACCATGAAGGTAACGAGAAATACTAATGACCTTATTTTTTCAACGTCAGACAGACAAACGAAAGAATGACCCCTTGTTCGCTTCTGACCCGAAAATACTCACGCTCTCGTTCTCCTCCCTCCTCCACCTTCTGTCCTCATTTACCGTCCCCATCAATAGTTCGGAAAGCAGATTCAGTTTCAACAGATTCCAGAATGGCAGAGCCATTACATGAGCTACAAAGGTCTCAAGAAGATCATCAACTCGCTCATACAGGAAAAAGCACAAATATCCGTCACCATCGCTGCGTCTCCTCCTCCGCTTGGATCAGAGCCCGAACCCGAGTCCCAGGCCGAGGCGGCGGCTTCGTTGTTACTAGAGGATGAGAACTCCACGTTTTTGCAGTCCCAGAAGGCTGCCTTTTTCTTTAAACTCGAGCGTGAACTGGAGAAGGTACTCGTTCTTTCTTTTTTTTTTTTTGTTGGTCGCGAAGTACTGTCCTCGTGGTTCCACTGGCATTCGATTCAACGGGACACAACTACTCACACCATTCCATCGCCTTTGTACGTGTGTAAAATGTAGGTCAACTCGTTCTATTTGCAAAAGGAATCGGAACTGAAGGTTCGGCTACGATCCCTGATCGACAAGGAGAAAGTCATCCTGTCGCGTCAGGGGAGACCAGGAACCAGTTCTTCGATCAATTCTCTCAAGGAGGCGTTCAAACAGTTCGAGCAGGACCTTAACAAACTGCAGGTACTACTTTGACTTTTATGCTCGACTATGCGCCCAAGGTGGAGGGAGGCAACATCCATCGCGCACAGTTAAATGAAATGAATGCATGATAATGATAACGAATGATGAGGTGAGGGAGAGAGAGAGAAAGAACAAAGAGCTCTCGCCCAATGCAAGACCCACCTATTGTACTAATTATGACCCAATCGCTATCAATCCTCGTTCTGTACCTCGTCATTGTCTCTACCCCTGTAGAAATTTGTCGAGACCAATGGTACCGGGTTCCGAAAGATCTTGAAGAAGTGGGACAAGCGGTCAAAGTCGACCACCAAGGAACTCTACCTCGCCCGCCAGGTCGATCTCCAGCCATGCTTTAATCAGGACGCCATGGTCGAGCTAGCCGACAGTGCCGCACATCATCTCCTCGGCCTGGAAGATATCCAGCAAGGTCGCCCTTCATCGGCACCCTCAAGTCCTGTCACCAGCAAATCTGCACCTGCCCATTCATACGCCCCCTCCTCCCCCATGCAGCAACAAATGGATGAGCTGGAAACTGACCTCTTCAACGCCTTGACAGCCAATCAAGTGTCTGTCGTCCAAGAGATCCTGGAACGTCGTCTCGCCACACCATCGGGCACAAAAAACAGTTCCCTAGGAGTAGAGTCTTCCCAGCAACGACTCCACTCGAATCTTGTTGGACCTGAACATGCCCGCGAAGTTGTCTCGCGCTTGTTTTGGAGGTGCTGTTCTGAGACCAATGTGTCGGACGCTGTGATCCAGCAGCTGGTCGACACGGGGCTGGTCAACTTTAAGTTTGTGGACGATATCAGTGACCGGACGTGTCTGCACGAGGCTGCTATGGTTGGGCGTCTGTCTCTTCTCAAGTTAGCAGTTGAGCGGGGGGCTGCAGTTGAGGGCTCGGATGTCTACGGGAGACGACCACTTCACTATGTCTCGATGTACGGCTACGACGACTGCGCGACCTACCTCCTTTCCTTAGACGCGTCCCTGACGGTGACAGATCATGATGGATTCCAGCCTCTGATCTACTCGGTCATGAACGGTCACTCCAAGTGTGTCGAGATATTCCTTGCCAGTAATGTCGAGATTGAGGCCAGCCGAGAGGGTGATCCCATCCCATTGGGTCTTGCCTGTCATTATGGTCACGAGGATATCGCCATGATGCTAATCGGTCGCGGTGCTAATGTTCTTGCCAGCAATGCGGATGGTCTCGAGCCCCTTCATATCACTTGCCGTGAGGGTCACACCAGGCTGGCCAAGACGTTGACGACACGAGGAGCCCGTCTCGATCAAGAGGACAAGTACATGTGCTGGACGCCTCTTTTCTATGCTGCCAGTGAGGGTCATGTCGAGTGTGTCAAGATTCTTCTGGAGGCCGGCTGCAAGGTGAATGTGATCGATGAACACAGCAAGAACCCGATCTATTATGCTGCCAGTGAGGGTCATTCCGATTGCGTCGAGTTGTTGGTTGAGGCTGGAGGCAAGGCAATCGCATCCCCACAGGACACTGTTATGGGGACTTCGGCTGCAGTCACGGCGGGCAGCATATTGGGTTCGTCTATCACCTCAGCCTTGGACTCTCACCACCCTGTGCACCCGGACGAGCTGGACAGTCCCACCAACATGGACGACCTCGATATGGAGCTGATTCCTTCGCTCTCGCTCCCTCCACCCATCATCCCCTTCAGGATCTATGGACACAATTATCTGGACAAGAAATTCCAGGTCAACCTGACGCTGGGTCACACTTCCTCGCCTGACCAGATCGGAGCCCGGCCATCACCTGTTCACCTGTACGGCACGGCTCAGATCTCGTCCTTGAAACTCGTCATCTCGTCACGACCCGACAAGGGCATGATCCCGCACAATGTGATTCTGCCCCTGGGCGAGAGCAGGAAGGTCTACGGCTTTCAAGTGGACTCTTTGGATCAGTTCACAGTCGAGTTTGACATCTTTCCTACCTACGGAAGCAAGGCTATCGGACGAGCTGTGGCATTGCCCATCACGTTCCTGTCGCCTTCCTTGTCCGTGGGCAAGGGTCTTCTCCCGCTCTTTGATGCCCATTTGAAAGTTGTTGGAGAGCTTGCCTTTGAGTATACGGTCATCCGGCCATTTGAGGGTGTTCGGCTGGAGGTCGGAGGGCGGTTGGAGACCTACTGGAAGTCGACAAACAGCGTCGATTCGACTATCTCTGCCACCGCCACACCCGTCACGGGCACACCACCCTCGCTCACGCCTGTCAGCACGTCCACCCTGCGGGGCACATTGCCTCTCCCCGCGCCACAGACGAATCTTCCCGGCAACGTAATCCCGTCCTACATCACGGCGTCGTCGCTGTCAGGAGAATACATCCAGCTCTCTATTCAGATGACCAGGGATTGTATCCCTGTTGTCTTTGGCAACTGGCAGCTACCCGTGGAAGGATTTGATCTGGCACTGTCGGATGTGAGCTTTGCGCAGTTCAAGCGGTTTGGACAGCTGATTCACCAAAAGGACGCGAGTGAGGATCTGGAGAGCGCCAACGTCCGCCTGGCAAACACCTGGATGGCTGCCGAGTGGCGACGCAAAGTCTATGACCGCTGGATGAGTCTCGAGCAAGTCCTCAAGGTACCTATGGTTATGTTTTGTTTATTATTGTGATTAGACATTGTATGAAGTTCTTTAATAACTTAAATATCTCTGATTCGGAACTGACTGTGCATCTTAGATCCTACCCAAGAATATTGGAGTGAACTTGGAGCTAAAGTATCCGACAGCGGCAGAAAGGCGGTTTTATCGACTGCACAATACGGTCGAGTTCAATAAGTTTGTTGACACAATCCTTCAGACTGTCTACGACTCGTCCTCGGCATCGCACCATCGCAGCTTCATGTTCTCCTCCTTCAACCCCGTTGTTTGCTCCGCTCTCAACTGGAAGCAGCCCAACTGTATGACTTTTTTTTTTTTTTTTTTTTTTTTGGCTTCTGTTGTCTATTTTGCCCCTGCTCTGCTTTTCCATCTTCTTACTCTTCTTTTTTTATCGCTTCTGGATGATCGATTTAGACGCGGTGTTCTTTAATACGTACGGAGGATACAACAAGGGACACAAGTCAGGCATTGCATGGACAGACGAGGTTGCCAAAGCTGGCTCCAAGAGGCGAGAGCCTGCAGATCCAGAAATCCTCCCTTCTCCCAAACATGGCTCAGGAGCTGGTATGTTCCAAAACCTGGGAGTCGATCGAATGGGAGGAGGAGGTTTACTTTCGAGCGCATCCTCGGATACTGTCACGTCGTCGCCTAGACTGGACTCGCCCGCGACTTTCCCGTCGGTTCAGAGCATACTTTCGGACAACTCGGAAAAGTTCCAAGAGACAGATAAGCGATGCATGTCGATCAAGGAGGCGATCAAGTTTGCGAGGACTAATAACCTCCTTGGTGTCATCTGTGAGGCAACTCCCTTGGTAAGAAGGCCATACAAAAAAGGATTCTGAAAGAAGGCATTTTTTACACTTCTAGGAAAACCTACACCCAACTCCTACTCATCATTCTTTGCTACATTTTTCACCTACTATTGCAATAGATCCAAGTCCCGAGTCTGATTACACATATCAAAGAATCCGGACTGATTCTGACCAGCTTCGGAAGACTCAATAGGGATCCGGCACTGGTCCAGGTGCAAAAGAGTCATGGCGTGGATGCGTTTATGATCACAGATAGTGATATTGGTTCGTTCCATACCTTGTCGGAGAAGCTTACTAGGACTGCGTCTTCTTCATCGTCGTCGAGGATGCAACAAGTGTCAACGTCGTCGGTGATTGAGGTTGAAGAGGGGGTGTTGAGATACCATAGCGGTGTCGATTCGTAGATATCACCCATGTTCATTCAGATACATTTATTTGGCAAACCAATTAATATACACGCGTGTTACGCGAGCTCTGTCAACTGTATTTTGTATACTTCGAATATGAGAGAGAGAAGAGGGTACGACGATGAAAAAAGATGGCTAAGGTGCGGAGGTGAGGATTCCTTGAGAGAAATCGAAAAAGACTTGATGGCCTCGGCCCTTGGTAGTCTTCTCGACCGCGAATGCTGAAGCACGTTTCCAGAACTCGATTTCGTCGATCGACATGCGTTCTGCGATATCTTTGTGGATTTGCATGTCGTTCCCGAATACAATTGCTTCCTTTGGAAGAGTGTCGGCCTCGTTATTTGTTGGGAGGAAGGAGAAGGAGGAAGAGACTTTGGGCAAATAAGAGGATTCAGGCGAGTGGGCAGTGATGACTTCAATCCAGACCTCCTGAACCTTCCTGATCATCCTCCTCTCATTCATCTCCAACAAGTCCTCCGCAACTTTACCCCCAAACGTGAAAAACATATCGATCCCATGATGTGCCCCCAACCCTTGCATGATCTTCTCCTCGCCCTTGATGTGTGTATCGAAATGGAACCGGGTCAATTGGGCGGTCGGGTGGGCGAGGATGGCCTGACTGACTTGGAGGGTGGGGTATTTGAAGATCCCGTTCCCTGTTAGACGGGCAGAGATGATTGCTGCTTCTGCGTCTGTGCTGGGGATCCCGAAGAGGGTGTCGAAGAAGGCAGAGTCGGAAGGTGGGCAGAGACGGGTTTTGAGGGATGCGAAGGCTTCGAGGGTTGTTGCGCCAAACATTGGGGCGAATACCGATCCTGGTTTTTTTTGTGTTGTTTTCCAAGGGAGAAGGGTGGGGGGGTTCATTAGTGAGCCATCCATTGTTCACAAATATTATGTTTTACATGATAACATGTAAAGCGCAGCATCATACCTTCGTCGTTACAGGTCCCAGTAACGACCCACTCCAACTCTCTCCCATACGCCTCAGGATCCCCCACCAGAACTCGACTATCCTCCCGAAACACAACACCATCCAAAGCAGGACGGAAACACACCAACTCGACCAAATTCAACTCCTCCGCCAAATCCTTTGCACAAACCCCTCTCAACCTGCGCACCTTCTCCAACGGCTCCAATCCCTCCTCAACTCCAAAGCGAAAACACAAATGATCAAACAACGCCTGGCCTTCCTCACCTTCAGGCCTGACCAGTGGGAAAGTCCCCGCCCCACCAGATTGTAGGATCGCCCTCCTAAACAACCCATGTGCCTGAGGGATGAGCATCAATAACGAGATCGCTACCGCCCCCGCACTCTCCCCCATCACCGTCACCTTCCCTTTATCCCCGCCAAACGCGCCAATGTATTCCTGGATCCATTCCAGGCCCAGGATTTGATCTAAAAGTCCCCAGTTCCCGATCGAGCCGTCGTACCATTTCTGTTGCTGTGGAGGGATGATGGTTTGGATGTGGTGTTGATTGTCGAGGAGGAGTTCTGAGGAGGAAAGGAAGCCGAGGTAGTTGACTCTGTAGTTAATCGCCACGGCGATGAAGGGCTTCTGGAGGTCTATTCCCGTCAACAGCATCTCTGTACAATCTATTTTGTTGGTTTCGAAGCAAAAATGAAGTTTTCTCTTCAGTTTTTTTTTTCTTTTTTCCCTCAACATCTGTTATATCATCTAATTTGTTTTGCAGAATTTATTGGGTTACCGTAGAGAGGACTGGAGTTGGTGCCAGCTCGGAAAGAACCTCCATAGATCCACACCATGACCGGTAACAATTCCGACGACGTCAGAGCAGCAGAGGTGGGCATAAAGATGTTACAATTCAAACAATCGCGCTCGCTCATGGTGTTCTCAAAGTCGTTGGTACTCGGTGCACCAAGGAGCATCGTGATGAACGGATGGTTCACCGTCTGTTGCGGCGACATCGGCCTAACATATGTTCTCCCCGCACATACACAAAAGTGTGAGTTTCCGAAACCAAAGGTCCTTCAACCCAAACAAATAGGAAAACAGGTAGAGGGGGGGGGTTACCCGTTGCAGGAGGCATCAAGAACGCCGTTCCAGGGTTGGGCCTTGACGGCTGGGCGCCATCGCTCCTGGACGATACCAAAAGGGACGTTCAAGAACTTGGCGACCTTGTGCGTTGGGTCTAGGATGCCCTGGACGACTCCAAGACCGGGGATCGTGATAACTGGGTTCTTGTCTCCTTCGTGTGACATTTTGAACGATGAAAGTGAAAAAAAAGGAAGAGGGGATAATGGCGTGGGAAAAAGGATGGAAGCGAGGGGAAAAGAAAAGAATGGATGTGACGAAAATACAAATCTACAAGAAAAAACAACAAAGGGGATAAAACAAGGTCTTGCAATATTCACTTCATTTTCCTACCTTCTCCTTCTACCCATCGTAACACGGCAACAAGGCCAATTGGTATCCGACATCGAACAGGGGACAACGAACTGCAGGTTTTTTTTATGTTTTTTTATTCATTTCTTCATTACTCGATCTACAACATAGCATTCTTGATACATCAAATAACCTAATCACTCTGAAAAATCGAAACAGAAAAAAACAAGCTCTCGGTTAGAAAACACGTTTTTCTTCACTCAAAAATATACAATTCCTTCTGTCTCAATGGTCGATCCAACAATCATGGTCGCAAGAAAAAAAAGAAAAGGTATAGTAGGGCTCAGAGATCTTGGTGTATAAATGGTATGGTCCGCATGGCAATAAAGCTCTCAGGAAGCGAACATCTTTCTAATCATTGCTACTATCTTTTCTTTTTTTTTCTTGGATAGGTGTCGGATGAGATGGGATAGAGAAATAAAGGGCGTAGGGATGATTTTTACTTACCACCTGAAAGACTGATCCCGTATGTCCTGTCGTGTCGTGATCCTGAGCGAGGGAGAGAGTGCGTGAAAGAGAACTAAAAGTCTGGAAAAGAATAACACAAAGTATCGTTAGCAATCTCTTCCATAATGAAAGGAAACGCGTATGAGAACTCCCATTGACCGCGTTTTGAACGCGAGTCAGACAAGAGATTGTGGGTGTAATGAAGAGGCTTCAGCAAAGTAGGGGTTTCATAAAGCACAAGACCGCTAGAGTAGACCCGGCAAGGTCCACGGCAACAAGGCCCAGATCAAACGCAAATTACAATAAGACATCGTCAGCCGTAAACGAAGATGGAGAGGGGAGCAGGTAAGGGGACGGGAAACAGGACGGGAAAGTGTACAGGATGGTCGTAGTAGGGCGACGAAAAGGATAGCTTACCAAGTGGATGTGAAGGTGGGAAAGGCGGAAAGGGTGTGAAGAAGAAAGGTTAGGAAAAAACATTGAAGCAAAAGAGTTTTTATTGTTGTCCGCTGCAAATTTTTCGCGTGAAAAAAATTAAATACGATGTAATGGAAGGATTAAATGTTGCAAGTGCTGTACTCAATGCTGAAGGGTATGTTTGGGCTGTCGTAAAGAATCGCCGATTGAATGAAAAAATCTAGGACTCGCATTGGTGATTGGCTTGGTTGTGAGACAAAAGGAACTCCTTCTCGCTTGAACCAACATTGGCTCCAAAGAGCGCCATCGGTTGCGACTGTTGCGAAGCAAGGACTGCCTCAGCCTTCTTGGTTGCCTCAACAAGCTCCTTCAAATACGGATCCTCTCTGTCCACAGCCCTCACCACCAGGTCCGGAAAATTGAGCTGGAACAACAGCTGCACGTTATGGAGCTCGTCCTTGCTAGGCGCGTATGTGCCCGAGTTGTTGTCGATCAACAACGTCCAGTCATTGTTGTGGAGCTCATCCTTGTACAACCTAAACTCTCCCGCAAACAGCACCTCCGTTGCGCGGTTGGCGTGCATCGCATGCTTCGACATGAAATCTTGAAAGAATGCTGTTCCGGTCTCAGAGAAATACATGCCCTTGGGGACAATACTGTAGGTGAAAACCAACGTCTTCAAATCTTGACCAGGGTTCTTCCTCCACCGATCGCCATGAAGCAACTCGCCAAGGTCGTTTGCCGTTGCCACTGCACCATAAATCGTGCCCCGTCCGTGACGGTACAACAGAGCGTGCTGAGAGTGCAGGGCGTTGCGGATGTTTTGGCCATCAAGCGTTTGGGCAAAGATACGCTGACTGGCATCGTAGTCGCGGTTCCAGCCTTGGTAACGCTCAGAGTCTATTCCAAATATGTCGGCAAGGTGGTACAGACGGATGCGGTAGGCATAAAACTCGAGCTTCTTGTCCTTTGTCAAGACTCCTGCGGCGTAACTAGTGTGTCGAGAGTAGCGAGCTGGGCCCTTGGTCGATGGTCCCTTCAATTCAGCTGATGCACCAAAGCTCCTGATTGCAGTCGTCTAAACAAAATGACATCAATTGTAAATACAGCTGCTGCATTAGCATAATTCCTTCCCTTCTTCCCACGCATGTTAAGCAAGTTCGCACAAAAGCATGAAAGCTGCCAAGTCACAACAAAATGCTTCAAACATACCTCGATGAGGAGTTGACCTTGACGACGACCACTCGGCCTCCAGAGATCAATAAAATGTTCCCGGGTACCGTCAAGATGAGCTCCAAGGACGAACGACGCATGACCGAGATCAGTATCGGCCATCATCTTGTTCTTGTCCTTGACCTGGATCTGCAGCTCCATCCCATCCATCACATTGAGCAGGTTCCAGGTGGCGTTCCAATTGGGGTTCAGCGTTGCCCATTCAACACCCGTTCTGTTGTATAATGAAGCAATTGTTAGGTACAGAACACAACGAGTACGTCAGTACATGGTGATCTTATTGGAAGCAAACATAAACCTATTTGTGGTGCCATCTAACACTTGCTCATTTGCCTACTGAGCACTTGGCTTTGTTGTTGTTGTTGATACGAGTGTTGATCATTACGAAAACGGAACACGGAAAAAACTTACACAAAGGAAAGAGAGGCCTTGTCCTCAGGTGGGCCAAGGTAAGCCTCCAAGAAAGGGTCAGAGCTCAGCAGGTCACCTCGAGGAAGGTCCTATTAATGCAACATTATTAATTGGGTAAGGGAATTTTTCGCATACAAGAGGAAAAAGAAATGTCGGTCTGTTTGTGCATAAAAGCATAAATGCGAAGGATGAAGAAGTAGAAGTTTACCTTGGCGCCTTTGAAGGTGATCGTGATATCCCACTTAGTATCGCTGAGAGAGCGAGTTTGGGCAGGCAGGCTGGCGGTGGAGGGGGAAGAGGGGTGGACGAGCGCCGAGACTTTGCGGTGGATGGAGGACAGCATCTCGGAAGGGTTGGTTTTGTCGCTGTGAATGAGATGGGAAATGAAGTTTGCCATTCAAAAAAAAAAGGTGAGAGTTTATATAGGAAAGAGGAGGAAGGAGTGAAAAGTGGTGGCAAAGCAAAGAAGGAAGAGAGAGTGTGTGCGTGAGATGGCGATGGTTGAATTGATAAATTAAAGAGAAGAGAGAGAGTCAAAAGACGAGTGGGGCGGTTCTCACTCCTTTTAATGTACTGTGAGGGTATCGTTCATTCCTTTCACAATGCGGGCTGTGTTCTCGCCTGTCCTCTATCTATGAATCCGCCACACTGAGTTTTCTCTCTTTGTTGTCACATCCGGGCTGAAGCGATCGGGAGAGAAAAAGAGAGAAAGAGAGAAAGAGAGCAGCCTGTTGTCCATGTCGTTCATTCGTACAAAGTGCTCGTCCTCTTGTGTCTCCGTTCGCATTTTGTCCACTTTTGTCATCAGTTGATACCCCTTTGGACATATCCATCTCTCTCCTACTCTCCCGCCAGAAATACGCCATCAACTCCGCACTCGTCTCCCGAGGAACCAAAACTAAATACAAACTCGTTTTTTTTCTGGTTGAAGTCAGTCTTGGCAAACAAACGACACCTTATCCATAATTGAGTTGAACCTAACAGGCTGCCTTCATCTCCATCTCCAATCGTTACAATAAGCGATCATTCCAGTGGAGTACAAGAACCACGAGTAAGAAAAATACTATATTGTACAGGCTATGTATGGTAAAAAAAATATTAAGCGTCGATCGAAGGCCAATCTCACTAGCCATTGGCAACACTGCCTTGAGAACCGGGAAACAACGAGTTGCTATCGGGGAGGCTGTCGCATGACATGCAAAACAAAGAAAAAAATATGGGCGTTAGATCAGAGGAACAAGCGGCAATAGGCTACCGGCAACATAGAAAGTTACGCCATTCGGCCCTGGGCCATGCCCTGATGCACCACACACACTCGTTTCGCCAAATCGTTCTTCCGTTTTGTCATTCAGTCTTCTTACCTGAGTCGTTGCTTATTCACTCGCCAGCCTCCGGAAGACGCCGCCAGACTCTGCATTTGCGCCCTGGCTGTTGCCTGGTCGATAGGCTTCAGCAGTTCGAAACTGCAGAGCAGATCCTCGTTGACGCTCATCACCGCCCCAAAGTTGTCAAACTCGCCGCAGTAGTTGGGTGCCGAAAAGACAGTGACCAACGTCCGGTCGTTGAAAAACTCGTATCCATCCTCGACCACCATGTGTGCCCGGCACACCAGATCAAAGTCGTGTTTGTTCAAAAACTTTTGGATAATGCTTCCTCCAAAGCAGTATGAAACGCCACGCTCGTTATCCTCCCAGTCCAGCGCCGTCTCTGATGGATCCGACCAGAGCAAATCGTTGAGCAAGCCATAGTCGGGAACGTCTGTTGGTCGTCGAATTGCACGGATGTCGGCCATGGTTGAGAGATTGGGAGACAATCCTCCGTGGACACAAAAGATCTTGTTGGCAACAATCGCTGCGATCGGCAGGCAGTTGAACACATCCACAAACGCCTTCCACATCTTGATGCTCGCCCGCCGTTTGCATTCGTCGTAGAATCCGTAGACTATGTAAAATATGAAAGACGTTCCACAGAATTGGTTAGCAAGAATAGAGACCTAACTCTAATCAACAGAGTTATATGAACACAAGGCCGCGAGTGTATATAAATGTTTTTCATGATGTGACGAGTTCCCGAGAAAAGGTAGAAAGCCTCGAACCAATCTTTGTTATGACCAGTTTTGTTCCCTGTATGACCAACATTCATCTGTTACGCTCCAGATCTAGGATTTGCGTCCAATATGAAAACGTACTCAAAAGACCCATGTGCGACTGCAGCTGTGTGATCTTGTCCAGTGCCCATGATGATACCAGCTGGTTGACTCCTGGTTAACTGTCGTGCATCATTGCTTTCCCTCTACACCGGATAAAATCCAGGCATGCTTACCTTTGGTAACGTTGGCGCACTCGTGGTTGCCACGGAGCAAGAAAAAATTCTCTGGGTACTTGATCTTGTAGCAAAACAAGAGCAATATCGTCTCCAGACTCATCCTGCCACGATCAACGTAGTCGCCCAGAAACAAAAAGTTGGCCGAGGGTGGGAATCCGCACATCTCAAACAAACGCAGCAGATCCGTGTATTGGCCGTGAATGTCGCCGACTATCTTGACGGGAGCGTTGAGCTCGATCAGCGTGGGTTGCGATAGGAGGACCTCCCGTGCTGCCTGGCAGATGGCTAAGATTTCGCTATTCTTGAGGCAGACGCTCTTTGCGATTTTTCCTGAATATCCAGCATCCAGCAGTCGAGATATCATGTCGTCAATGTCCATGGATTTTCCACTTTTGTCCGATCCAATGAATGGCAGGCGAGCATTAGGTGACAGCTCAGAGGACTTCTTTTGGCCAGCAGACAAAGGAGACGAAAGAGGCGGAGTTCCCTTGAGCAAGGATGAGTTGTGCGGTGTGATGACCAGGGGTGCAAGGTTGTGTTTCCTGATCAAAATAGGGTTGCCTGGTGATGTCACTGCAAAAGGAATGCTCGGTGCTGGATACGAAGATGGTTGCATCGATGACGGCCTCTCCTGGTGCTGTTGTTGCTGTTGTTGTTGCTGTTGTTGTTGCTGTTGTTGTTGCTGTTGTTGTTGCTGTTGTTGTTGTTGTTGTGAATGCTGTTGTGGTGAGGGTTGCCTCGCCTGGGTATCTCCATGGGTGCCATTGCTCTGAGGATGGTTCGTCTGCTGTCCGGTTGTGTTGTTGTTGTGCTTGCTGTTACTATTATTATTGTTATTGTGTTGCTGGTTAGGGGTGTTTTGATGACTCCCATTGGTCCCCTGAGCAATTGTCTCCATCGAGCGTCGTGGTTGATCTTGCTGTAGAGAGCCCTGTCCATCGGACCCTTGTCCTCCTCCTCCTCCTCCTGTTGTCTTGGCTGCTGTTTTTCCTGACGGTGGGTTCTGCCCAGGACGACCTCCTGCCGATAACGACGACGAGGTAGCATGGTCTGCACTTCCTCCTCCATGCGGGGCGATGTTGTTGTTGGCAGAGGTAGTGGAGCTCCGTTTATCTGTCTTTGAAGCTGCTGCCGATCCTGTTCTGGACTGTTGGTCACGCTGTTGTTGCTGTTGCTGTTGCTGGTGAATTGAACCTTGACCGACTGTTGCAGCTGTGGTGGTTTCACTGTTGGTTGTCTTCGAATAGATCGGCTGCTTGTGTGTTGCCCCCGCGATACTGTTACGGTTATTGTCGTGGTTATGAGGTGTACCACCAGTAGCTGATGTTGTTGTTGCTGCCGTTGTCGTATGAGTTGGTTGAGCCTGCCAGGAGCTACGGTTGACGTCTTGTGAGGATCGAGTTGGATAATTGGTTCCCTTTTTGTCCTTTAGACCGTTACTGCCGTTACCGCCGTTGCTGTGTTGTTGCTGTTGTTGTTTGCCATTGGTATTAGTGCTGTTGGTATTAGTATTAGTGGTGGTGGTTATTGGGGTGGTTGGTTTGGCGTCCAGGAGGGTCGAGTTGCGATTTGCTTTTGCGCTGGGCTTTTTTGAAATCTGGTTGCCCATGGCGGGTAAATGGGGAGGTATGAGGAATGGCGCTGTTGTATAGAGCTGTCTGTGTTATTGTGATTTGTGGTGGTGGAAAGGAGACAGAGAAGGGTAGGGTGAGAGGAGTACAAAGGAAGTAAGAAGAAGGGTGCAGAGAGAGAAAGTGAGAGTGAGAGAAAGAAAGAAGGGTGCAGCGAAGAGGGGAAAGGGGGAAAGAGAGAAAGAGAAAAATGTGCCAGGCAGACATTCAATTCGTCAAAAGAAAGAAGGGCAAGACAAAACGATGACCGAATCGATTTCTTGCTGACCACACACATTGTACTCGCTTGACACTCTAGGACGCAAAGAGAGAAAGAGAAAACCACTCACTCGATGCACATGCATGTCATACCCCTAGCTGTCCTTTGCCATTGTTCTTCTTTGCTGTCCTCATCCATCTATTGTCTTCTTGTACTTTATTTCGATCCGGTCAAGTACTCTCGCTCGCTCATCACATTCCCGCCTCGCTGTATATCCAATTGCTCTTTCTCTCTCTTTCTCTCTCTCTCTCTTTCTCTTTCTCTTTCTCTTTCTCTCTCTCTCTCTCTCTCTCTCTCTCTCTCTCACACACACACACACACACACTCTTCTTGTCTTTCTATGCTCCCTTCCCTCTTCTCCCTCTTCTTTTCTTACCCTCTCTACCCAGTTTTGCTCAAAGGGCTCAACTGTTGTTGATGTTATTTCACGAATTTCGCTCACTTTTTCTTTGCTATTTATCCATTTACCATTCTCGTTCTTCTCTTTTCACTATGCAGATCGAATATCAGCGCATTCTTTTCAAAATGAACTGCAAGAGTGGCATGATCCTCTTCTTTGTCATGCCAAGCTGTCTATCCTACTCTCAGGCGATACAAAAGTATGCGTTTCGCCGTTAAGGTACAACATACCTCTGAAGAGCATTTATTCGACCTGATAGAAAGCAGTGAACACCACATAATAGGGGATGAAAACAATGTAAAGCTGTCGTCCCCCTCGTTTGCTTTCGTCTTGAAAAAAAAAGATAGGGGTTTGTTGAGTGCCAGCAAATAAAGCAAATAACAGCAAAACACAAACAAAAGAGAAATGAAAGCTGGTATTCATTCAGTGCCCTGTATTCATTCATATCCGGCGGGTGATCACTCTTCACTTTTCAAAATGAACGCATGGTCAAGTGATGGAATTCATGGAATGTAGAACGTCGTTCAACGAACTACTCTTTCTTCTTCCTCCGTCTCTCCTTCCTTTCCTCTCGCCTTCCTTTCCTCTCTCCTTCCGTCGCATAAGAATGAGCTTATCCCTCTCGACAACAACAGCCATCTCGTTGTCTTCAGAAAATAAACAAATGTGGCATGCATGACATGCAAGGCAAGGCAAGGAAGGAAAGTAGAGCAATCTCTTTGGGAGTTTCTTACTTTTTTTTTTCATCTCCGTGATAGTATGCAGAAAACAAGCTCTCAACTTTCGATGCCGGGTGTTCTCTTTTTGTGTTTCTTGTCTGCATGTTTGTGTCCACGTCAAAGAAAGCAATTATCCCATTCGGTTGGGCACCTTTTTCTTCTTGCCCCTTCCTTCCCCCCCCTCCTCTTCCATTTTTTGTTACCTGCTTCTTGTGTTGCCATCATGTTCATGTTTTGTTTTTCTCACAGGACAAAGAGAAAAAAGCGAGATGACAAGCTCGGACCGACATTCATTTTTTTGCTTCTTTCTGTGCGACCAACTCACGCCGAACGAACCACAAATGAACGCACCTCCTGCATCTGAGATAGCGTTAGAATAGAAAAGCAATAGGCTCCGACCTACAATGATACCAACGATGATGTGTGTTTTTTTTAGCTTCCTTCTATGCTAAATGAACACTAGCGTTAAACTCACTTGAACAATGAACGTCATTCCGATCTTCATTCTACATAACGAGCTCTTACTTGCATGCATATGGCGTCAACGTCGACTCATCAAGAGAGCTCGTCTTTGTCGAAGCAGACACCAATTCTACCATAAATGATGACTCGATGTGGTTCCCCTGCCCCTGACACACCATACCTACCCTACACCTGAATACTTTCCTTCCCCACCCTCCTTCTTCAAGAAAGGAGAGTGGTTGAATATCTCCGACATCATTTGTATCCTTTTACTCCCGCGCTTTTTTTTTTTTTTTTTTTTTTGTTTGTCCCATTTCCGCTCAGGAGTCGTCGCGCGCCGTCCTCATGATCTTCCCCTCGTGCGCAGGACTCAGGACAACGACTCGCCATTTGATTTATTTCTCCGCTTGGGATAACCGTGAAACAATTTTCAGCTTTGTCGTTTCTCCTCAGACGATACTCAGACGACTGATCATGGAGTTCGGACCATCGTTCATACAATAGTGACACATAAAGGTATCAATTAAAAGGTATGTTCATTAGGAATAACTTATTCTACTGGGGTTCGGTTCAAAAATGTGTTGCGAAATGCGGAAATTCGGTTCCTGGAAAAAAAGAAAAGAAAAAAAAGTCGATCCGCGAAACGAACTTCTCTCCATCTACCCAACCATCGATAGCAGCACTCTAGATGACGAAGAACTGGTCCTGCTCCTGCTTTTGACGTCTCTTTCCAGAGCAAAGGTATCCGATCGACGAGAACCAATCGCTCCACTCCCGAACAAGAGCCATCTTGAAGAACACAATAAAGATCATCGTGCCAATCGCCGAGACCAAGAACTCGGCCGCAATCATCAATCCATACGGTGGCAAATAAGGGGTCAACTCGTCCGCACAGGCATCATGTCCCTTTCCTTGGCCAAGACATGTTGCAAAGCTCAATACATGAGGGGCAAGGTCAGTGGGTTTGATCTTGCTCAGCTGCAAGAAATAGAACAACCAGTAGAACGTCACACAGAGCATCGCACAGATGGCCATCAGAGCCGCACGCCATTGGATCCTGATCGCCATCATGACATGGCGACGGTGAGAGATCACGGCAGCCGCACTGGCTGACAAGGTCGAGCGCGACATGGTCTCGGAATCAGCGCTAGCCTGGGCAGAGATCCTGGCGATATGGAAGAACGTAGCAATATGAACCAGGAAAGCGGGGAAGATCATCGCGGCCATGGGGTAAAAGAAGATAGTCGACGACTTTTCCTGAGAAATCAAGCAAAGCGTCGCAAACTCCCAGCGGACCTGGCCAGTTCCCAGAGCGACAGCGGTGATGGTGGTGGCGAAACCCCAGCAGATGGTGTGCAAGAGCCAGTACTTCTTGGCGAGCCATGCCGAGTTCCAGACAGTGTGCAAATGCAAGTTGACAATCAAAGCCGAGCACCATGCGCAAGTCGAAACTGACGCAAAAATCAATATCGCACCTATATCATACACAATGAAATGTAAACAGTTAGATGTTATGCTCGATACAAACCTGAGTAGCAATGCGCTTTATGGCGTAGGCATGAAATGAAAAGAAATATTAAGTACCTTGAATGGCGCACTTGAGGTTGTTTTGCTGGGTGCTTGGAGTGTACTCGTCAACGCACTGCATGGCATTGGTGTCGATCAAGGGGAAGATGACGACGACCGAGAACAGGAACACGCAGATGGAAAAGAACAAAATCAAGGCACTGGGATGGGAGCGCTTGTCGGGCAGGCAGAAGTACGAGACCATCAGGATGAAGGAAAAGACCATTGAGACGGCGCGCATGATGTTGGTCATCCTGAATCCCTTGTCTAATGCTCCTTCGCGGTAGAGGTGATACTGAGCCGGGCAAGGAACACAGCAATCGGCGTTACAGGATGAAGAGGGTGCCATGCCGGGCTTGACAGGGATGAATGGAGGAGGGCACTGAAATCCAGTTGCAGGCGATGTAGAGTTGGAGGCGCCCAGGGGCTGGACGACGTTACATCTGTTATCGGGTTGGAACAAGATACCATTTGGATGGACCGTCTGGAGTGTAGATTGGATGGCGCCATCACAGTTGGGAATCAACCCAGATTTACCAGCCAGCTGGAGAATCGACCCACAATTCGTCACCATGGTCTGACAAATCGACTTGCAAGCAAATAGAACATCTGCCTCTCCAGCTATTCAGGGCACGACAGAAGTAGGATAAGTACTTGCAAGATATTGATCCATGCTGTTACATGTATATAAAAATGGCCATTTTTTCCTTACGTCCTTTAGCGACAACTCTTGGGAAGGAAGCGGAGCAGACGTATTCGATGAATGGCACGCTGCAGGAGGGAGGGATCTGGGAGATGACATCTGCACTTAATCCAGCTTGAACGAGTCCTCCCTCGATCATAGCAATGGTGACATTTGGAGGCACCCAGACCTCGTAGTTGATGTAGTTCGAGCAGAGAGAACCGGTGTAATTGACAGCTATTGTTGGAAGAGAAGGAAAAAGAGATAAGCAATTTTAGTACACATGATGAGCGTTTTTTTTTTTTTTAATTTTTCTGGGTCTTGACAATGGAGACGTCTAAAGCGTGGGAGAAGAGAGTAACAGGAAAGGGCTTCTGGCCCTGTTTCTGCTTCGTGCACTCTAATTCCAAATCACCCCCAAAACCTTCTCTCTCCGACATGGATGGGGTACATGAAGGTAAACTACTGTAGTCGGTGTAGGGAAAGAGACGTGGAGCCATCGAGGGCTCTATTCTATCGGGAAATAGAGAGCCAACAATTATACATTTTTTTTGTATATGACAACCCCAACAAGAACGTAGATTGCTTGATTGGGGTCAACAGGGAAGGAAGATGTAGATGTAAACGTCCATGTCAAGAGACGGACAAAGACACGAGCGACAAACAGGGTAGTGTGTGCCTTCATTTCATTGAACGTCCACATTGCTCTTGTTTTGTTTTCCTCAAACGTGCGTGGTTGTGTGATTACGATCTAGCCCCTTGGAGTCCCCCTTCCTTCCATAGCACTCGAACACAAATAAGCGACCCCGGCGTACACATAGACATCACAGAGCCTTTGATCTTTTTCTCTTCTTTGATTTCTTGTTAGTCGGGTCTTGTCGTTTGTTTTGATGTTGTTATTGTTTTGGTGTGCGGTATCGTGTTTTCGTTGGTAAGCAATGGGGCATGAAAATACAAGGCAGGGCCGGCAGATGTAAACAACATCCACAACACCACCTTCTCAGTCTTCGGTTTTCAGGGTTGATTTGGTCGTGATTTGTTGTTTGTTGTTGTGGGTGAGTGAAGGATGAGAAAGATTAGTGAGCACCAATACAACCACCATGGTGTTACTTGGGTTGCTGCATCCAGTGTATGTCACCATCCTCAAGAATTAAAAAACCCCACCATCTCAATAAAAACAACAACCGCACATGCTAGCGCCCGTTATTGCCACCTTAAGCTGCATTGGAGGCCGGAGGAGTGACAAAGTGTTGGTGTTGATTGAAGGCAGTGTGTCGGCTACATTGAAGGGAGTGGCACTTCTGGTATTTGGTCGGTTCGACTTCTGTATTCCCCAGTTTCCCCCTCCTGCTCAGAACAACGCGGATCAAACGTTGGAGAAAGTGCACACCCGTAGGAGAGTGAGAGAAAAAAAAAACGACAGACAGGCGAAGTGAAACCAAAAAAAAACAGAGGGGAGCCGAGGTCTGAAGGTGTAGATAATAAATGTTCCTGCGCCAACTTAAGGCCACAGTGGAGAGAGAAGGTTTTGATTGTTTTGCATCTCTTGTTTGGATTGTCGAGAGATTGGAGGAGGAGAGCGGGTGAGTTTTAGGGGGAGTGAATATAACTGCTTGTTACCTGAACCGACGGCTTCGGCTGTTGACAGCAGGCCGATGGCCAAGGTCGCTAGAGCGGAGACCTTTGTAAAGAATCGTGTCATTGTTTTAGTGAGAGGGAAGAGAGAAGGTATATATGTGTAGGCGGGAGAAGGATGGTAAAAGCAAGTGAGAAGGGAGGAAGGAGAGTCGAGTGAGAGGGAGAGAAAAAAATACAAAGAGGAAAAAGAGTGGGTTTCGTGAAAGAGAGTGTGGAGGGAATGGACACCGCTGTTCCGGTGGGGAAGGGAAGGGAATGAGATGGAGAAGAGGGAAGGGGCGATGGAGGGTGAGAGATTCAACAGGGGAGGAAAGAAGAATAAAGAAAAAGAAGAAGAACAAGAAGAAGAAGAAGAAGAAGAACAAGAGAAGAAAAGAAAGATGGAAGGGCAAGGAGAAACGAATGATAATAAGGGGTGCACTGTGGCCATGGACTTTCATCCAATGAATGAGGACAGGGGGACAGGGGAGTCCAATCGAAGGCTACAGGGCTAGGTGACTCTGTGCACTCTGTTTGTGCACAAGCTTTGTCTTGTTCTCTTGTCGACAGGCACACCATGCTCTTCTGCATCCTGCGCCCTCGTTCTCTCTCATTTTATCTGTCGAAGATATCCGCATTTACACTACCCGCCTGCAGCTTTGCAGCAGTTGCAATGGCAATGAACACACCACGCTTGACTCTGACAATCACCTACTCGACCCATTCCTTGTTCTATTTTTTGCCTGTCGCTACACTCTCATACTACGTCCAATACCACCCCTAAGTACCATAATAACTGCTTCGTCGTTGTCTTCCAAAGTAAAATGAAGCCGACTCGATTCCCCCTTTACTTTATCCAAGCAAGGGCTAGAGCCAACCTCGAGGCAAAATAGGGCTCCCGTTATTTTTCAGCGCCCCGTAGCCAATCGAATAAAGTGAACAGGTTCACCTACAAAACGTTATTATTTCTCTTCACCCACACCCCACATCCACATCCCACTCATCATTCTCTGCTCATTTTTTTTTGTTGCCTGTCGACTTGTCAATTCCATGGAAATATGGGGGGGTGCGCACATGCGTATGGGTAGACATAATTGAACCTTCCTCTCCTCGGGGGTAAAGCGGGTAAAGCACAAACACACAACACACGAGGCAAAGAGAGATGAGAGCATGCGAAGGATTGAACGCAAGGGCTTCAGTTACCTGCCGACCTGCCCCTCCTCTCCATTTGTTGTTGTCAGTTCTTTTTGAACTTGAGAGCCGCTTATTATTTTCTACAACGCCCGACCAACCGACAATGACGAATGGCGAGAACATGGCCCACTAATGAAAAACACATCAACATCCATGCTGTCCGCTTTGCTAGCTTTACAAACCAACAAACCAATTATTATTAATCCCGAAGCACTGGACTCAGAGGAATGAACCTACTATTCCCTCTGCCCCTGGCCTTTTTTTTCGCAGCTCAACAATGACCAAAACTCTATCCGAAAGGGTTCGTTATTTCGTGTCGGTAGAAATAGGTCATTTGGTGTTGTGTCCCTGACTGTTCTCGCTCAGCGAATAGTAATAAGAGATCGGGTTGGCGACGAGAGTGGGTTGGGTGGTGACCTCTTTGGTACCCTGACCGAGTCATCTTCGTTATTCGTCTTTGTCCAATTGGAGTGGAGGTGCCAGTATTTTGTTGTTGGAAATGCCCCGATCAAACGGATTTGACTTTATGTTCGACGAACAACCAGTACCGGATGTTCCTTCAACTGGGTCCAACGTAAACAGGAGAAACCCAACCAAGAACAACAATCCACCACATAAGCTGCGATAACAGAATATGAAAACAAACAAAACAAGAGAGTTAAGATAAACACAAAGGTATCATCCAAAGAGTACCAGGACCGAGTGTTCCACAACTCAAGGACGAACAACTGCGTGAAGGCACTTACAACATACCATCCAAACAACCCGGCCTCAATCTCTGTCTATTTTTTTTCTTGCTCTCGCTTAACGTTGAAAGGCCTCGACCAAGCCCTTCATGTTGTTTCTTTTCCGTTTGTAGTCACCTCAGCCAGCCAACAAGTCCGTTCATGGTCGCAGAAAAACACAAAAACAAAAAAGCACAAAACACAGAAAAAAGCTCTTTATTTTCTACCACTGCCTGTTCCCTCGTTCCTTTGTTCTTTCCTGTTTCCGTTCCCATCACCCACATTCTGAGAGCCGCCGCCCATACCTTCCTCTACCGTCCATGGAGAGACTAGACAAAGACAAGGCAAGACCATGAGCGAGGTATATACGCTGCTCTTTTCCTCTCCTCTCTGCATTCATCGAAACCAATGGCTGCGCGGAGAAGAAAAAAAGGACCGATTGACGATAATTTAAATTATTGTGAAGGGTCAGGGCGTCTTGTCAATTTCGATCTTTTCTTCCACTCTCTTATCCTGTCACCCACAAACATGCAGCCATACAAGCGTAAACATGTGGGAGAGGAGGAGGAGCAGATTGGACTGGGGTGTGTCCGATCATGTTCAACCGAACTTAATTATCGCCAACACATACTTATAACCCTTCCTCGTCAATGGATTATTCTCATTATTCGCCTTTTAGATGCCCATGCTTTCTGCCCAACAACAAACAAGCAGCAACAACAATAGCAAAAGTAAAATGGCGAATGCTCGGTAGAGGTCAAAGGTTATTATAATTGTTGTATCGTATCAATCAACGTTAAGGTTTTGTTCAAGGAAAAAAAAAAAGCCGACCCAAATGTTCCTTCTCCACATTCTTTCCAGTGCTCTTTCCCACCACTCACCTGCCATCATTCAAACTTTCGAAGATGCGAGACTCGGTCACCTGGATGCATATATTAAATCTCCGAAAATAAGGCGCGTGGGCGCCACAAAGGCACTCATCCGCCTTCACCACGATGTCAGGTACAGAATAACAATGCCTTTTTATGTTCATTACACTAATACAGAGAAGAGGCTCAAGGCGCTATGCTAGTGGCGTTCTCGGTGATGTCAGCCTTGACAGCGTCTTCGCTCTCACTGGCCTCCTCAGCGGTGGTGATCACAATGGGGGGGTTGGTCGCAGTCGAAGCTGAGGGAGCCACGGCAGAATCGTCGTCATCCTCGTCCTCGTCGTCATCGTCAATATCAACGTCTTCATCAGCCGTATCCTTTTCCGACAAGGTCTCATCACCATCCAACACATCAACCTCTTCCTGCTCGTCATCATCTCCGTCTTCTTCCTCGTCACCTTCCTCCTCCTCCTCAGCCTCGGCATCAGCTTCGGCATCAGCTTCAGCCTCCTCAGGCTCATGACGTTCTTGCATCTCATCATCACTCGCTGCTCGAGACTTGTCGGCATTGTTTGCTTCAGTTCCTGCCTGAAGAACCTTGGGTGACGCCGCACGCTTGGCCTTCTTTTTCTTTGGTGTTCCCAACGAGGTATACTCATCTTCTTCCTCTTCCTCCTCATCCTCCTCGTTGTCACCCTGCTCACCCTCACCTCCCTCACCTCCCTTGCCACCCTTGGACGATCCCATGTTGGAACTCTTGCGCTTCTCGGGGGTGGTGCTGGGTGGCTTGACAGAGGGTTCCTCGAAACGCTGCATGACATACGATTTGCACTCGTCAGCGTGTGGCAGGTCCTGGATCATCTTGGCAATCGTCGCGTTGGAGAATCCAAAGTAGTCCGGTCCCGAAGCAGAGTTCGAATGGTCTCGTTTCCTAATAGCGTTGGCAGTCTTGACAACATGTGTCCATGCTCCCGTCGCTGTTCCGGCAATGATGGGCTTGCTAGGCTGGTCCTCTGCATCGATTTGGAACTATCACACAACAGTCAGGTGATGGGTGTTAGGTTTTTGTGAAGCATTGATCAACGCCACCAATTTGATCAATAGCACTCAGTTTCACATTGTTTACCTTTGGAGCTTCGCCATCGTCAATAACACTGCAGGTGTACACAGTCTGCTCGTTCGGGTTGACCATACTGTTGTAGGACCGGGACATGGTGTATCCGACAGGCCAGATGTAGCGCTCGTTGTGGAACGCCTCGCGGTCAGAGACCACATGGCCAATCTTCATAATGGTGATAATACCAATCGTCACCGGGAACTTGATGCTGCCATCCTCATTTTTCTCCAGCACCTGAACCTTGCGGATTTTGTTCGAGTTGGGCTTCAGCTTGCTAGAGTTATGGATCCGTTTAGGCTTTTGGGTCGCGGACCCAACATTGGTGATCGTCGAAGGTGTCGATGCTGGTCCTGGCTCTTTGTGATCCTTGCGGCCTGTGACAGCAGGGGACCGACGTCCTCCTACCTTGCCAGCCGTCTTTTTAGGATGGTGAGCGACTGGTGAGGAAGAGTTGGTCTCTTTGGCGGCTGGCACTCGAAGGTGCTTGTTGTTGGAGGTAGTCGGCGCAGGAGCTTTTGTAGGGGTGGCTCGGCGAGATCGGAAATGACTGTGCAATGAAGAGTCGGACAGGTCGCTGTCACTGCTCATGGACGAAAGAGTATCGGGACTCGAGTCTGATTCCCGTTCATAAGTACAAATCTTGTCCAGTAGAATGCTATCGACGAGGGATTGCAAAGTAAAATGAGGTTGATAAGCGTCTTTGTCTTGTGACAAGGTATGTCTGCATAACTTGTTTCTTAACACTCAGCATGGAACTCAGAACAGTCGCTTACTTTTTCTCCCTGCGCAAGTTCCTTGCTCTCCGGTTCGATCGATCCAGCTCAATGCCCAGTCGCTCATTTTCCTATGGATGTTAAGAATGACGAGAGGTAACGAATGTCAGAATGGAGAGTTCCTTCTAGGGCGCTCGTGATATGGAAAGGAATGCTGAGAAATGCTCCATACCTCTAAAACTTCCTTGAGTTTCCGCTTCAAGCGCCTGTACTTTTCATCCGAAGGGTGGTGCTGCGCTTGATGTTCCATCTCGTGCTCATCCTCCTCGACTGGATGGTGCCCATTGGCCTTGGATGACTTTTGTCCACGCTTTGATTCCCGCTCGGCATGTTTCCTAGGCTTCTTTTCGGCGGTTTTCTCTACAGGATACTGCCCAGCAGTGTATATTCCGTTGGTCAAAGATGTGGCGTGGTTGCTTGTGTCGGCGTCAGTTCCATCGTCCGTGTCCATCTTGAGTGTGTCATGACTATCGCCTTCGGTCTTTAGTGGCTCCTTCTTGTCCTCTGCAGCCGACAATGAAGCATCCTCCTCAGTCTGAAGCGAGTCCTTGGTTGCCATGTTGTCATCCTTATCTATCTCGTCCTGCTGCTGCTGCTGCTTCTGCTGCTGCTCCTCCTCCGGTCGCATTGTAGTGTCCTTGTCCTTGATAGAAGTCGACTCTGAGGTACGTTCCAAGACAGGTGAAGTAGGTGCCATCTCAATATCGCTGTTGGAAGGGACCATGGCTTTTTAGAACTATGAAGATAAAACAGAAGGGGTAGCAAACAATATGGTTAATTCGCTTTGCTGAGGTGGACTTGCATATCGCCAGTGGAGAATCGTGTTATGCCTGCAGAAACAGAGAGAGAGCTGATCAGGTAGCTTCATTGCTGGTGCTGTTTCGAACGGCCTGACTGTATGTGTATAGCCTTCATTACCTTTGGGTATTTCTTTTATCGGATCTTGCTGATCGGAGATCGAGGTTCAAGGAGTATAGAGGGAAAAAGATGACACGCACGAAGGGGAATGAGCCGACGTGTCGATGGAGAAGTGGGGTTGATTCCTTGTTTGTGCGGAGAGTGGTTGATGTGGCGAAGGTGAGGATTCGTTGATGTCGAGTGTGCACTTGAAGGAGAGGAGTTGTGGTTGAAGGGTGAGGGGTGGGTGGATCTCAGAAAGAGAATGAGGGAAGGAAGAAGTGGAAAAAAGGGTCTGCGGAAAAAGAAGAGGAAGAGTTGAAATCTCTTTTCTCTGCCTCTTCTCTCTGTGAGTGGTTGTTTACATTTCGGTGTGAGGGGTGAGCGGAACGATCAACCGGCTGAGATTCACGAGAGACGAGAGAGGGAGGGGAGTGAGCGAGGGAGAAGGGGAGGGAAAAAAATAAAATAAACATAAAAGCAACAAAAAGGGAAGGAGTTTTTCTTCTCTTTGACTGGTCAATGAAACTTGTCCAACATCCACCGCCAACAGTTAGCAAGTCGGTCGAATGAGTGGTGAGGAAGTAGGGGTTGGTTAAACATGTTTATTGAGAGTAAAGTGCTGTTGTAATGTCAAGAGGCAGAGGTTCAGTGTGGCGAATGGGAGGAAGCACACATATAGAAGAGGTACAAGAGGGAATGGAAGGAGGGAGGAGTAGAGTCGAGAAGGAAGAGAGTGTCAAAGGAAAAAACTAGTTGCCAGGGGGAGGAAGGGAAGAGAGACAAGGGAGGGGAGAGGAAAATCAAGCGCTGTTGTGAGCCACGGGGAGACAAGCAGACATTGATATGCTGACTGTTGAAAAGGAACAGGGGAACGATAGCTAGCACTGGCAACGGGTATTAATGGTTCTACAAAAGAAGGTTATCACTGGGAAGAAACCAGGAAGAGCACCTTGGTTCGGGAAGGACACTGCGCCAACAAGGACAAGGTAGCTTGTCTTTACTGTAGCTGCTCTTCTCTTCACAGCTGTCGACGCGTCCTTTTGTCTTCTGGATCTATCAAGGGACGATTAAGGGCTGTATCAGTGCCTGATCGCATCAGTCCTCTTGGATTTAGGGGTGTGTATGAATGGATCGTTCATTATTATTCCCTTCGCCACTACAGACGAGACCGCACTTCTTTGTTCACACACATCCTTCTCATCTTTTTGTCTTTCTTTTTCCTTTTTTCTCGCGCATTCACTCCTTCAACAACAAAAAAGCCCACACAACTACTTCCTCTCCACTTTTCATCGATAACTCATTAATAACCCACTCCAAGTCTCACTTTCCTCGCTCGCCACACATTACCTTACACATAACTACATCATGAGCGGCTTCTTCAACATCAGGTGAGTCTTGCAAAGAGACGCTCACATGGCGAAACCCCGGACTGTTAGCAGGGAGAGTTTCCTTTCTTCCTCGTTTACCTTTGTCGTCGACTTTATAGTTATTTGTTCTGCTGGTTGTTGTTACAGGCAACGAAAAAGAAGAACGAACACTCACTCCTCCCCCTTTTTTCTTCCATGAATAGTGGTAAATTCGGAGGCAAGACCAAACCAAAGAGGTCATCATCAGCAGTGCGTCCACTGTTCCTCTGCCCACCCTACTGCAACAACTCAATCGTCAAGGGCAACTTCAAGACGATTGTCCAGCTTCCAAAATACGTCGACGGGAACGAATGGCTTGCCGTCAATGGTAAGTTTGGGTGTATTGTTCTTTTTAAAGAACTGGGTGATATGCATCAATTGAGAAACAAAATGGAGGGCGACTGACTGGAACAACAAACAACAAAAGAAGTAATAAAAGAGGGGAAAGAAGAGAGAGTGGTTAGTGTAGTTGCTGCACCTTGACTCTCCACAAGCAAGTAATTGGATGGAAGGAAGGCGATTCCCTTCTCGGGATTTTTTTTTCTTTTATTTCATTCTTCTGTCGGCTGTGAGAAGAGCCTTTTGCTTTCTTTTCTCCCACACATTCATAAATACACAAACATCCACACTCTAAACAGATACGCGCATCTCGTACGATGTACGATGGATCATGCGGTTCATTTGCGACACAACAGCAACAACAAAAGTAATCCCAAAGTGGTGCACCACAACGAATCGATCCCGACCTTGATCTGACCTTATTGGCTCACTAAACAATCTTCAATCGGTTGTCTGTCGCTTCTTTCTGTTATGCAACATCCTTCTTCCCTCTCTCCCCGTCTACCCCATTGCAGAATGTTATTTTTTCTTCCCATTCCCCAGAATGACCTAGGCCTTCTATGTATCTTTGAACTGACTTTATTCGTCCTTTTTCTTGCCTGACTCTAATTCTCTAGTGTTTGACTTTTACAACTATATCAACATGTTCTATGGATCGATATCCGATTTTTGCACACTCAGGGATTGCCCAATCATGTCAGCAGGACAAGGGTATGTGTATGAAAGCTGGTGGACATACTATTCCCTTGCGTGCGCTTGACCAGGTCTTCGCTCTACAGGAGGATTGCACCATTCGTATTCGATCTGAACTAGTTGTCGCATTTTATTTCCTTCTTTCCATGTGTTCTGACAATGTTTCTATTTTCTTTTTCTTTGATCAATTTTTAGGTTCGAGTATTTGTGGATGGACGGACAAAAGAAAACGAGCAGGGTACCGGCACCTCAGTACATTGACTTTGTGATGAGTTGGATTCAAACCCTTGTCAACGACGAAAGCACCTTCCCCACCAAGGACGGTACGCTTTCTCTCTCTTTCTTATACCGTACATCACTTCCCACATTGACCGAGGACAAGGACTTTGAGACTGACATACATATTCTTCACTTTCTGTTCTCTCTTTTATTATTCATCGGAATACTAGGTCGCGAGTTTCCATTGACGTTCCAGCAGACGGTACGAGGCATTTTCAAGCAACTGATCCGGGTGTTTGCACACATTTACCACTCACACTACGACAAGGTGCTTTCACTATGCCAGGAGGGCCACTTCAACTCGCTCTTCGCACATTTTGTCAGCTTTGGTCGGGAATTCGATCTCTTGGACAAGAAGGATATCGTGCCATTGCAGGACTTGATCGACATCATGGATGGCAATGGCATCCTCTGTTGAGAAGCTACCGGTATTGACGGAAGAGTGAATGCCATGTGCAAGCAAACAACACTTAGAAAGGAGTGAAAGGCAGGCGGTACCGAAATAAAGACATGGAGAAAAAGTCTCATTGTACATTTTGATATCAATCGACGTCCACAGTATTGTCTATGTGTGATTTTCCCGCCCTATTCTTCGAAGTGAACGTGAGTGAGATTCCCCCTGAGACCTTTGTTCCTGAGAATCAAACCACCATCACTGACCCCAACATGACTGGTCACTTATAACATTGATAACGGCCGAAAAAGTGCTGATACCCGTGAACAACGTCTCAGACCAAGATTGCCCCCATGAACAGCTTACTATTCGAACAAAGATGAAAATAGCCTCCGGTCCCGGCCAACAACATATCAAAACATTTAGCGATCCCGAAATTTAACGAACAAGATGGACATGTGTATTAGCTATACTATCTGATAAAGACTGATGCTGAATGCTACGATGCCCAATGTCGGGTGGGGGTGAATATTTCTGTTATTATTCTGTCAACACAGTCCCTTGCTTGTAGTTGCAAGAAAGATCGAAAGAAAGAAGTGAAAAAGAAGTGTAACCTCTTCTCATATCATCTCCGGTCCTCCTCACAAGGTCCAAACAAAGATTTTTACCTCCTCGCAAACCCTTCTTCATATTCAAGGTAAGGGCTCGCTTTGCGTCTTTTGGTAGTTTGGGAGTTTTTGTAAGAAGCTCATGGCTAAGGAAAGGCGGGGGTGTAGTTGGCGAGTTGATTTTGTTGGTTTTTTTTGTTGTTTTTTTGTGCTTTTTGTTTGGTTTTGAAATGTTTTTGTGTGCTTTTTGAATTTTTTTTTTGTTGGATGCCGGTTTGTCGAAAGGTGATGGTGAAAGAGGGGAATGTCGGATAGGTAGGAGGAAGTGGCGGCGAAAGTGGGGGAATAGTGTATTTGCCTTTGAGTTCATAACATAGTTTTTTTTGTCGCTTTTTTTTTGGGTGTCCGTGTGTAAGATGCAAGAAGGTATAGGGGTTTAGAGGAGAGTCTCACCGACGGCACAGCGGACGAGCGAGCATCCGATGGTGACGGTCTGGAAGACGGCCTGGTCGTCCTCGAGCGAGGGGTTGACCTCCATCAAGTCCATGGCGACGAGAGCACCGGTCTCGTGGACGGCCTCGCAGATGTAGTGGCCCTCACGGAAGGTGAGACCTCCACGGACAGGGGTACCTGAGAAATGATATAAGGGAAAAAATAGTCGCTGTGTAAGTGAAACCTGCTCAACGTAATCACCACTCTGATCATGTCGTATTTTTTACCCCGCATTACTGTGCTGTGGGACAAGAACTTACCAGTGGAGGGGGCAACGGTGGGGTCAAGGGCATCGACGTCGAAGCTGAGGTGGATGGGGCGGGAGCCGCCGGGAGAGACGTGCTCGATGGCCATCTCGACGACCTTGGCAATGCCGTACTTATCGACTTCGTGCATGGAGAAGGCCTTGATGCCGTTCTCACGGAGGATCTTCTTCTCGCCAGCGTCGACGTCACGGAGACCGATGTAGACGAGACGGTCGGGAGTGAGGCAGGGCTTGACCCAGGCAAACTCCTTGAGCTGGCCGGCGATTCCGAGCAAGAACGAGACGGGGCAGCCGTGGATGTTTCCACTATCGGTCGACTCGGGGGTGTTGATATCCTGTTGGTTGAGGTTATGAACACGAGAACAAGAACGAGAACGAGGGATTATTAGATAGAGAACACAAAGAATTATGTGTGTGTGTGCATGTGTGAGGCATTAGTTTATCAGTTTCTATCCATGATCCCATGAGGTAATTAATTTTCTTCTGCTCCAAAGATAGGCAAAATGTCCTCCTATCTGGTTGTAATCAGATTCTTTTTTTGCTTGGAAGTAAAAAAAAGCCACACATTCCAGGCACACAATCAATGAGGCGACTGTCCACGTATGAAAAATGACCCCTCATCCTCTGTCCATGCGCCTTCCTCCATAGGATAACAACGCCAATCAGATATCCGTGGGTTTCATAAAAATAAAAAACTTACAGCATGGGCATCAACCCAGATCAAACCGGCGTTGGGGTGGACAGACATGGTGCCAGAGACAGTGCCGAGGGCAATCGAGTGGTCGCCTCCAAGGGTCAAGGCAAGCGAGCCCTCCTTCAAGTGCGCGGCAACAGAGTTAGCAACAGACTCGGTCACGGCCGAGACAAAGCGAGCGTTGAGGAGCTTGCCAACTGGAGGGTCGGAGGCGGGCTGCATCACGCTGTAATCGCGGTGACCGTCAAACTTGACCTTCCAGTCAAGCTCCTTGAGCTGGTCAAGGAGGCCAAACTCGATGATCTTGAGAGGGCCCTGATCGACACCAGCTCTGGGCTATTTATTGAATTGTTATGTGACGAGATAACAGACGTTTTGTTTTAATACCAGGTCAGATATGAACAGGAACAGCAGTGATGGCAAAGGCAAAACAGTCGAAACAAAGAGAAGTCAAAAAGTTCAGTTCAGCAGACAGTTTAGGGGCCATCAGTAAAAGAGGAATGAGCGAATGAGAAGGAAGGGAGGAAGGTGAATGAGAACAAGAGTGTGTGTCTTACCTGACCGCCAGAGAATGGGACGCCAACGACACCGATGGACTTTTGCTTGAGGAACTTGTGCTGGACAGCGGACATATTGTGTGAGAGTGGAGTGTTGTTGTTTGTTGATGAGAGAAGAAAGGAAGAGAAGTGAAGAGTGATGAGATCAGTTTTTTATTAATAAGAAAAAAGAAGGAAAAAAAAAAAGTTGGACACGGGTCCACTCCCCTGTCCTCTCAATTCGTCGCAGTCGCCCTCTCCCCTGTTCTTTTTGCGCTTGTGTTCAAAAATGGCATTTTTCCCACCCTCTCCCCAATTACAACGGGATGCAATTTTTTTTCTTTTTTGCCCGTGTCCCTCTTATCGACTCGTTGTTAGTCCTGTCATCGAAATGTCTACTGCTCCATCAAGAGGTGGAAATAATCACAAAGTTGAGTAAGGTTCTTCCTCTTCTCTCTTCTTTTGCAAGCTGTACGAAGACACATGTACCTTTTAGGCGGCCACTCTCTTCTGTTCTTTGACTACTGTCGCCCAATTTGCAACTCCTTCGCTTCCTTTGTACGTTAGTGCCATTGGCTGACTCAGTGAGGTCATCTTCCAAGGAGTGGACTCCCTTTTGTGAAGCTGCAGTGTACTTGGTCAACATCACAAATAAATATGGTGGCCACCACACATTGTTGTTTCGCCAAATTGCCCTTTTTTTTTTTTTTTCTTTTTTGTTGGTTTGTTTGTCTGTATCCATTCAAGCCTGGCGGATACCCCCAATCGTTTTATGAAGGAATGGTCCAGTCAACCAGTTAGCCAGAGTATAATCCAGCGACCTTAGAAGCCATGCGAGACACACGACATAAAGCAATCAAGAAATAGCAACACAGCATAGGTGTGAATGATGTAATATCATAATATTGTGCAGGTACGACAAGAGAACAGAGGCTTTCGAGACACTTGTTAGGAAGAATGGCTTTGATCAATTAAAGGACAAGCCACCCTATCGTCAATAAGAGAGGGCTTGAATTGTTGTCTGCATAGGGACAGAACCACTCTTTGCTCCCTTATCCCTTATTGCTCTCACTAGCTGTCTCGCGGACACTTCAGCTGTTCAAATGGTACGAAGAGGGGGTTAGATGATCGCGACGCGTTAAAAAGATGACGTTTGCTCTATTCTTTTCTCACTTTCGGATAACTATCACTCAAACCCAAAGGTACAATCATGGACTGGGTCTCTCTTGCCACGTAACACTGTAACAGCGAACAAGAGGAGATGAACAGTGATGGATAGCACTTGCTGTTGCCAATTTCTTCTGTTCCCTATTTTTTTCTCACTCGCCTGCCCCATCCCGCGCTAGTTTACACAAGAAAACCGTTAATGAAAAGTCATCCCTCTGCTCAAGCCGCCCTTGAAAAGCTCTTATGAGAACGTGCTATCATCTCACATTTCACCACCAGGAGATAAAAAAGACGAAAAAAAAATGAACGATTGATATCCTCCCTCATTGTCATTCTTATTGATAGTCGTTGTCGGTCATAAAAGTGAGAGAAAAAAAACAGTGAACAAGGTAAGCCGTTCATTCATTTTCTCTGATTGATTTCTTTTGTCGGTGTCTCCCTATTCTCCACAAGAATAATGTTAGTTCCTCGATGCTACTTCCAGACACTTCGAGGGAAGAAAGGAGGCAAGGGAGAAAAACAACAAAGAGAGAAAGAGAGGCAAAGTTCACCCTTAAGAAAATTGACGTCCAAAAAGAAGGTCAACTCTCACCCAGGCACCAGCACTCCATCATAGATAACGGTCGTAGAACCATCAACAGCATCTCTCTCTCTCTCTCTACTTGCAGCTTGAAGGGCAATTGCACTGAACAAAGCAATTGAGAAATGATAGGGGTAGAAAGGATTAAAGAAGAGAGAGAGAGAGAGAGAGAGAGAGAGAGAGAGAGAGAGAGAGAGAGAGAGAGAGAGAGAGAGAGAGAGAAAGAGAGAGAGAGAAAGAGAGAGAGAGAGAGATAGGGAGGGAGAGAGGAGAGAGAGAGAGAGACCATTGACAGGGGAAAGAAGGAGGGATGGATCGGAACACATTAATGTTTGTGCACAAGTCTTTCGGTTTTTAGTACATTGGATATTGGATTCTTTTCAGCCTCCTTTCCAGCCTCCTTTCCTTTCCTTTTCACTTTCTTGACTTTTTCCTCACTCACTCACGCACCCACAACAGACCCTTCCCTTCCTTTCCAGTAAGCATAACCCTTTCATACACTGGACTGACGGACAAATACACAGGAGCACGACACGAACGCACACACACACACATATCACCACACCCCGCCCGGCCCGTGTGATGTCCGTCCTGGTCTGCTGCCTCCGATGCACAACCTTTGTCCTGTCCCCTTCCTGGCCTCTGCCTTGTGTTGCAGTCCCCAGTCTCCCGTCAACACGATGACAAACCGCTCTCTTGTTACCTTTGCTTTTGATGGCCTTTTTACTCATCGCATCTTCTTCGTTCCTTTTTCCTTCTCTTTTGTTCTATTCTTCCATCACTCCTGAATAGCCTCTCCTGACCTTGCACAAATCCCCATCTACCATCAACAACACCGCCTGGAATACAACCACGACCGGAAACTACCACAACAACAAACAACAGCAGCACCAAATCACATCATGTCGCTGGCAAGATCACACGCCCGAAAGATGAAGCCTGCGCTCCATGTGCAGCTCAACTCTGCACCAGCCAACTCGGCCTCACCTTCACCAGCACCTCTTCTGAACGTGAGTACCAACTCTCTCCGTGCTCGTTTGTTAACAATTGATATTAGGGCCAACGCTTTTTCTTCTCCTTATCGCCAAATGACCCGACTGACTTTGTATTGCTATTCGCTTTCTCCTTCCACTTTTCTAGTCAAGGCCATTGATGGATTATCTGGAACGGAACCCAAGGGACCCCGCGCGCGAGAACCAATTCTCGGCAGCTTCAGGAGCGGATCGCAATGCTCGATCGATGAGAGGAATCCCTGAGACCCCCAATGGCTCGCGAGGACCCGATCCATTAATGAACTACACTCTTCGCCCAGAGGACATGATGACGATCAAAAAGCTTGGCGAGGGTTCGGCAGGAACAGTGAGCAAGGTCAAGCATGTACCAACTGGATTTGTTATGGCGCGAAAGGTATGCTGTCCTTGAAGTATTGCCCCGTCTTTATTTTGTTTGGTCAGCCCTGTCCTCATCCACAAACCCTCCTTGCGTCGTCTCTCTCCTCATCCTCCCCCTTGCTGTGGCTATAAGAAGGGAAAAAAGTCTTTTAGTTGTTGCTTTTGTTCTGACTTTTGGAACTGACCCCCCTCTTTCTCCTTCCTTCCCTTTCTTTGATCCGTTCGACTGTTCTTTATTTTGTTATAACGTCAGCATGTCCGCTGTGACCCTAACCCAGATTTTCAGAGGCTACTGGAGCGAGAGTTGAAGACCTTGGACCGGTGTCATTCACCATGGATCGTGACATTCTACGGCGCCTACATGGACGGAGACGAACTCGCTATCTGCATGGAATATTGCGAAGGTGGAAGCATGGAATCAGTCTACAAGCATGTCGCTGAAAAGGGGTCAAGCATCTCGGAGAACGTCTTGGGCAAGATTAGCGAGGCCGTTCTCAATGGCCTCGTGTATCTACACAAGATGCACCATGTCATCCATCGAGGTAGATGCATATACCCGGGATCTTCAAATGCTCGTTGTATCCATGTGTCATTGTGGAGATCGGAAGAGTACTATTGGATTAACCTTGCCCGCTCGTCGTTTCAATGATTTTGTACAATAGACCTAAAGCCGTCGAATATTGTGGTAACCATGGAAGGCAACATCAAGCTTTGCGACTTTGGTGTCAGTGGCGATCTGGTCAATTCTCTGGCAGAGACGTTTGTTGGAACAAGTTATTACATGGCCGTAAGTAACCATTTCCACACTCTATGTCCTTTGTTCTAATATAGCCAATTCTATTGTTGTGGAATGTACCCTGAATGCATTCTAACGATCAGCCCTTCCTTATGAATATGAATAGCCTGAACGTATTCAGGGTGGCAAATACCCAGTGCAGTCGGATGTCTGGTCGCTTGGACTGACGATGGTGGAGATCGCACAGATGAAGAACCCCTTCCCAAGCAACCTTGCACCCTTTGAGCTGCTGCACTACATTGTCAACCAGCCCGTGCCATCTCTACCGGAAGATGAGCCTTGGTCCGCGGCATTCAGGGACTTTTTGAGCCAATGGTAAGTTTTCGACATTGCTATAGTTTATTTGCTATGACCAGTAATGTTATCTGTCGTGACCCTAACTTTTTTTCTCTTGATTGATATTGAAACGATTTAGCATGATCAAGGACTTTATGAAGAGACCCACGCCGGAGCAGATCATGGAGCACCCGTTCATTGTCGAATCATCAATACGCACACCTGAGGATGTGAACATGCGGGCCTGGATCCGTGACGTATGGGACTATGCAGACAGTGCCACCGAGCCATCGATTCCTCAAGCCATCTAGTCCTGTCTTTTTAGCTTGTCTCCGCATCACTCGGTCCTTCATTCTTCGCCAATGCTTGTGTTTTTTCACTTGAATAATGCAACCTTTTTCTTATGAAAACAACAACAATATCATACATATGCTATCCGTTTCGGATGACAGAAAAGGAAGGGAGAGGTTGGTTTCCTGTATTAAAAAAAAACGAGTCCTTCAAAAGGGTGAGTGTTCCCAGAAACCATCTACAGGCTATTGGATTATCTCGACATTTTGCATGAATGTGAGTTCAGCCTCCAGCTGCTTGTTTGTGTTTTGTTTGAGTGAGGTCGCACTACCAACGGAAACAACATAGGTGACGATTTCTTGCACTCATTGCTCTGCTTGTTTGTTGCTTTGTTTGTTATTGTTTTGCCAGTTGACCGTCCAGGAAAAAAAAGACAGAGGCGGTGTCTGCTGTTCAAAATGTCACATCTCCGAGTGAAAAAATGCCAACTCAGAGGGAATAGAAGAGAAGGAATAAGTAGCCCTTTGACGTACATATGGTAGAAGGAGTTGACAAGACAACACGACTGAGGGATTGTTTGTACTTGAACCATAATAGAAACAACAGCGCCTTGGGACAGAGTAGCATGGCACACAGAGCAGGGCTGGGCGCAGGTGATAAGGAAGAAAAAAGCCTCACAAAAAAATGAAGTATAAAAAGGGTCTCGTAGGTTTATGTTGACTCCCTTTTTCTCGTTTTTCTTTCCATCCTTTGCGTTGTGATGGTCTTGGCTTTCCTTTTTTCATCCTCTTTTTCCAACATCTCTCACCTTCTTCATTCCGACAGCACTCATCAGATCACTTTCCGCATTCTCCCTTTTTCTTCACCTAACTTCTTGACATTCCGCTCTCCACTTCATTTCCAATACTCCCTCAGCACAGGTACGAACCGTAGTTCCCAGCGTCACTATTACCCTTTGGATATCTATCGTTGTTTTTCCCACTGCAGTAAATGAGGCTGCTCCGTTGGGCTCCTTTCAGGCTGCTTGACTTTTGCCACCGTTTTACCTTTCCATATATTTATGTCCTTTCGTTGTTCAGCTGAGAAATGACTTGGCTTGATAGAAAGCGGAAGGATAGGGAAGGAAGGAGAAATTTTGCCACCATTTTTTATTTTTTTACTCTCGTTTTTTGTCGAAGGCAAGATGCCATAACGAACAACAAACACAACGAGAAACTATCTGGGCAATGATACATGAGAGAAAAGGCATTGTCCCCTTGTCTTTGTCACTTAGCTCCTGAAGGAGGAGGTATTCTTTTTCAATCGAAAACTGGAGATTAGGTGATTTTTGAACGGGCTGACTGGACTGATTTCATGACAAACAACAACAAAAAAAACAGGCTCAGAAGAGCTAAAAGAAAACTATGCAAGTGGCGGGAAAATGAAAAGGATCGATTGCAAGCAAAGCGGTCGTAGTGGTGGTGCTCTCTTATGTTTTTGTTCGTTTTTGATTTTTGAACTCCAGACTTTTGAGCGTGTGCACCCTGAAAGACTTGGCCTTGTGTCTTGTTACAGCCCTGTTTGTGTGCTTGACAACAACAACCAACCAACAACTATCCTCGTCCTCGTTGTCTGTGTGTGTGTGTGTGTGTGTGTGTGTGTGTGTGTGTGTTGTGTGTGTGTGCTCTAGCGCCTAGATCTAATATCTGCTCTCGCTGGCTGTTTGTTCCCTCATTCTTTCTATCCCTCACTCCCATTACTTTGTTGTTGTTGATGTTGTTGTTGTTGTTGTTGTTGTTGTTGTTGTCGTCGCTCTATTCAGTCGCAACTCCTTCCTTCCTTCCTTCCCTTCCACTCTCACTTTATTTCTCTCCCCTCTCCTCCTTCTACCCCTTTTTAAAACGACAAACTACACTACATTTTCCTGCCCAAGGTTCGAACCCTTTGTCTCTTATCATGCAATCGTTTTTTGTTCCTCCACTTCCTCTCCTTCACGAGTCGTGATTGAATTTTGTCTTATGGTGGTGGCGACCCTCTCCTTTTCCTTTTCACTTTTCCCTTTCCTTTTCCGAGGGGGCGCTCAATCTTCTTTCTGGCACACGTTCTCCTTCCTTCTCCCTATTGTTTAAAAGCTATTCCATGGCGTATCTGGTGGACAGTCTCTGTATTTCTGTCCGTTGCACTCGTCTTTCTTTATTCTTACCCTTTCTTCCTGTTCCCAGCTCGCTTCCCATCTTCTCCCTTCATCTGGTTTCTTTTTTTCTTGCCTCCTTCACTTCCCATCTCCATTTCTCTCTTTCTGAGGAATACACATACCATTCGACTGTCCCTTCTCATTCCCCTTTCCTCCCCTCCGACCCGACCTAACCACCCCTTTTCCCCAGAGGTTCGCTTCCTCCACCAACTTTGTCATAATATTACAGTTTCCCCTTAAACTCGATAATCTTCAATTGCTTCCTGCTTCCTGCTGCTAACAGTTCCCTCTCTTCCACTTCTCACCCTTCACTCTTTCGCTCTTCCCTTCCCTTTCTCTGTTCCTCCCGACTATGCCAACCTGGTCGCTCAATTCAGAAAAAAAATCAAATAGATTGACAACTCATCATACACACACATACACCAATTCAGCTTCCCTCACTACCAACTCGCCATTCCTGGGCGGCACTCAACTCGTCAACTCGAAAGAGAGAGTCTAGCGGGTGGGAATATTCCTAGTGCAGCCATCTAACAGTAAAGAAAGGTAACCCGCAAAAGAAAGAAAAAGGCGTATTAGGAACGAGGCCTATTACTTAAATGAAGCATGTTCAATCCTTTTTTTATTCAATGGATATCCGCACAATCAACCCTGTCTTTTTTTTACACTCCTCTGACGCTCTTGCTTTATCTCCCTCGCCTTTTCCTGTCGTGCTCTTGATGTCATTGGGAACTCCAGTCCTCGTTATTTTCAGTTGTCGTGAAGACAGTGAACACACCCATCCACCTATATCGTTATCGGTCCCCGATCTGCCGTCATGTCCTCCAATGTTGCTCGCCATGCACCCGCGAAGTCAGAGACAAAGCGACCCAAGCGAGTTTTGACCAGCACACGCAAGAGCAGACAGCAACGGGAAAACATCGAAAACACCTTGTCCGCGTCGCACTCTTCAATGACCCTTGCAAACCTCCCTATCCAGAAGCAGTCCACCCAGATCAGGAAACGGCTCTTAACCGAATGCCAGTCTAACGCCGCCCTGACCCCTGGAGATCGATTGTCCAATAAGCGACAAAAGCTACTCCTCGATGATCCTCCTCGACCCGACTCCGCTGGCCCCTCTTCCTCTGTTCCTCCTCTCCATCGCACCCTTTCTGACAAGTCCTCCTACCTCAACCAAGCCCCCCTGCACGAACTCAGCCCCGATGCAAAGTCCCACTCCACCTCGGCCTTCTGGAAACGACCCTCTCAGCTTCTTCGCACTGCTTCGGACAGCGACGCTGATGCTGATGACGAGGACGATCCACTTCAAAGGATTACCTCTCCAGCCGCAAAGCCCCAAGCATTGGCTCAGAGCTCTGCAATGTCCGCCAAAGGGGATCCCGATCACCCCTCAACTCTCAAGAACAGTCTCCAGCCAATTGTCAGTAAGACTCTCAAGCAGAGTCCATCGCCCCCTAGTCACCAGTTCCTTTTCTCTATGGATGATGATGAGCTTTTTGGGAGCGACACCACCTTGACCAGCCCCGAGGATGACTCTGATGATGACGTCACTGGGCCTTCACACTCTACGACCAAGGTCGAGCGTACTCGCTCAACCAAGCGCGAGGTGCCTTTTTCTATCAGGACCCGTAGCAAGAGGGCCGCTTCTTCGACTGTCGCATCACAAAGCAGCAGTGAATCCAACAAAAGTCATCCTTCCATGAACGATACGTCGGTGTTGTCTCGAATTCAGAGCTCAGTCGAACAACGTGCCCCTGAATTGGCCGTCAGTCCTGTAGTGTCAGTTGCTCCGATATCGCTGATGGCTCGCATTCTCGAGGGTAGAAAGAGGCCCACGGAAGCTGAACTGGATGAGGACGAGGATGACTGTTCAGATGACGCACAACCCGAGGTGTCTCCAATCGTTTGGCCCAATTCCGTCAAGACAGAATCTCCCCTCGCACCCGCTCCCTCGGATGATGTTTCACTCAATGCAACTGTTGTGGAATCACTCCTCAAGGATATCTATATAGCTGTTTGTCTCCCAAGCGAGAACCCGTCTCTTTCTACTCTCACCCCTACCGCCCCTACCGTCCCTACCGCAGCGCCTGCGGGACATGTCTTTGCTATGCCAACTCTTCCAGTCCTCCGAAGAAATCGAGGCTACTCATCGAGCCGGTGTAAGACTTCCAGTTCAGCGGATCTGATCGATCGACCCAACACCAGAGAATATGCCTCCCGGCAGTCCACTCGCACCATGCCCCGTCCTCGCTTATTTCAAACTTGTCGCGACATTATGTCACAATCGGACCCGGATCGCCATCGAACCGACATCCAGTCCATCTCGATGATGCTCAAGCATTCGCTCGAACAGGGTATGCGCAAGATCCAGGACGCTGCCGCGGAAGCTCAGGCAAAGTCGGAGACGAAAGCGGAGCCCAAGGTGGGCTCGGTCAACTTGCAAGCGTGGGGTGCTGTCATCGGCAACGGTAAGGGCCTTTTCCGTGAATCGCCACGCAGGCAGCGGGAGTTGGAGCGAGTCGCTGAGAGACGGCACTTCGTTGAAGAGACGTATCGCGCTTTGGATTTCCCATCACCTCCTCTTGGCTGGGACAAGTCGTCCCAGGTGATTTTGGACAAGCTCACTCCCGAGAAGAGTCTGACCAAGACTCGGAGCAGCAAGGCTGAAAAGCGCTGGCCTAGCGATCTTGACAACACTCTTGGATGTGATTATTGTCGCAAGACTTACCAGGATCAAGCAGGATTAGCGCACCACATGGAGCGATGTACCATGGCACAGATGGTAAGATTGACGGTGCAGTTTATTATTGCTGCTGCAAGGAGACTGCTTTTGCCATCGTTCACAAATTTTGACATGTTCACTTCGCTTTTGAATTTGTAGCAAACATCCATTGTCGCCGATATGGATGGCGATTCGACAGCCTCAGAAACAGAGGACCAACGGATGGCGCGATCCCCAACGGCTCTACTGGAGAAAAAGGCAGGACTTAAAATCATGGACGAGATCTCTGAGAACGACGATGAGGAAGAAGATGACGGAGGCGACGAAGAGGGTATCATCATGTGTGTCTGTGGATCCAAAGAAGACGAAGGCGCCATGATACAATGCGACAAGTGCGAGGTATGGCTTCATCTCGAGTGCCTGGATCTCTCAGAGGATGACGTCCCTGAAGAGTACTTTTGCCCAACATGCCAAGGCTTGCCCACACCAAGCACTGGCGGAAAGTCTTTTAGACACATCCCTAGCAAGGCCTCCGAGAGATCTCGCAGCCAGACTAAAGCTGGTCGACCTCGCCGCAAACCGGAAAGTCAGGGAGCTTCGTCAGCCAAGGGCAGTCGTCGAGTTGCTCGATCCAAACCAGTCCCTCACTGGATGCACGTTCGACAGGACACCAAGATTGAGACAAGTAGCGACTCTGAAGACACTTACTCGACAGGCACAGATGAAGATGAGAGTCAGCATTCACAGGAGAGAATGGGTTCGCCTCAAGTGACCCTGAACCATGATTGGAGATCTGTCGGTCAAGGCTCAGGAAACATCCTGGGGTACGACAGCGAGTACATGAACACATTGTTTGGTGTCTCTTCCTCCCATACCGTCTTCAAGAAGTCAAAGGCACCCGCTCTGATGTTGAATGGATCTTCAAGCCAAGAAGTACAAGAAGAGTTGTCGAGCAATCTCTTGTCGACCGATCTTGGTTTCAATGACCACGAGGAGATCGTCTTTCCCGGAGCATCCAATCGTCACACGATTATGGGGCCCAACTTTGACTCGGAAGCGCTCTTTGACCAAGGTTACATCGGTGGTGCTGATTCCCTCCCTTCCAGCCAGAACTTGGGCTCTGACGACACCATCGACTCTGATGGGTAATGATTGACTGCTATTGCGATCTGCGGACCCCGATATATACTGTGGTCGAGTATGTGTGCTAACCGATATTGTTATTTTCCTTCTCCATCTAGCCTGAGAACCCCGATTGACCTTTGGCGCGACACGGACCAACGTGACCAATGGGTGTCGAACAGCTATGGAGAGGTTATTTCGGAGAATGCAGCCGAGTTTGGTCTCGAGAGCAGTGCATCCGTGGGCACAGAGTGCAAGAGCACAGCTGTGGCCGTAGGACTGGAACACTACCCTGAACTTCTCACGAACAATGTGATTGACTGGTATTGCGATCAGGATCTGCTTCCTGCCGATAACTTTGACATTGATGGTAAGAGTCGCTACTTACGTTTGATGAACTACTTGCGGCTGTCTTTTCCAGTACGTTTCTCGTGCTCCCTCCTATTCACCCCTGCCAACTCTAAACTTTCCTTACGTTTTTCTCTCTGTTGCATGACTTGTGATAGGTCTTATTGACCTGGAAGCTGTATCGACGCCTGAGGAGAATTAACTGGTTTTCCTATCATTCAATGATGCGCCTGTATATGGCTACTGTTTATCTCACTGCATTGTCCTGGCACAACTTCTTTTTCTCCAACCCCTCAAGCACTATTGCTCTTCTATGCATTTTAGCCTCTTTTGCTCTACCTTCCTAACGTTCTATTCATTTACCATTCCGTTACTCATTTCATTCTTTCCTTCTGTATCATTTTTCCATTTCCCCCATTCTTTTTCTCAGCTGTAATTTAACACCCTCTTTCCTTCTCGCGTTATACCTTTTCTTCTGTTCTTTTTTTTTGTTCGTTGCCTGCAAGAAAGCCTCCTTTGTCCAATTCCTTTCTCACTCCCTCTCCTCATTCTGTACATCCTCCTCCCCCTTTTTTTTTCTTTTCTTTTCTTTTGCTTCCCTATTTTTTGGGACTTCAATCCACATCAAAAAATAAAAATAAAACGCGAAAAAATGCGCCTGTTCGCGCGCTCTGATTGGCTACAGATAATGTAATGCCCAATTAGGAAGGTCTTTGTCGCGTCGAAAATGATTCCTGTGCGGTTGTCATATGACCAACAAAGTGAGAGCCACTGAACAGAAATGTCCAGCCGTTTTGTATTTTCTCGCTCTCCCTCTTTCCTTATTGCCTTCTTTCGTCCCCTACTCCGCCTTCTTCTTTTCTCTTGAAGAATTAACGTGCCTCTTCATGTACTCACATTCTTTTTTTTACTTTGCCTTAGTGTCTCTTTTTGTCCAGTCATGAAGGTGAGAAGAGGCTCTCAAAGGGACCATGAACAAGTAGCGTGTTTTTTTTCTTCGCTTTCTTTGTGCGAGGTAGGAGGCCGAAAGAAGAGAGGAATAGAAGGAGCATGAAGCTGAACGAACTACAGCCTTGGATAGTGTATTACGCCCAATAACATAATGTCGTGGCCGTGGCAAGGTGACAAACAACAACGATGCGCTTGGTCTATAATAGACTGTATAATTAATGTACTTTAGCATTTTTTTTATTTTGTTCATCTAAAAAGAACGGCAATGTGTTGACTTGTTGCGTAGTTTGGATGGATCGATTCTCAAACAAGGGGTTGGGGATACACAGAAAGAAAAAGTGAGAGAGCCATATGTGTCTTGTGGTCTTTTTTTCTAGGGTGTATATTGTTAGACAAATGAATAATGCGTGCGTGGGAGGGAGAGAGAAAAGGATGCCGTGCTGGGTATCATATTTAACCATATGGATTTATCGTGGTGACAAAGGGACGCCGGCTGAGCATATACTGTAAATTACACAGGGTCAGTTTATAAATTGAACAGACAATAAAAACTGTTGCGCCCGAGATGGATCCGTCTCTCTGGCGACCAGCCGCTTCCACCTTTTTTTTTTTCTTTAGTGCTCTTCATCTGGGTGGATCTTTTGGCCATCTTTCACACAGGTGCTGTTCTCCATATTTTTTTTATCAAAAGGAGAAGCATTTGGAGGGACTTATTACTTTTTCTTGACGATTTTTACATGTTTTTTTGCTGGAAATAATTGTGCAAGAAATAGGGGTGAAGGACAGAATGAAAGAAGAAAGGGGGGATGGTTCAAGGATCGAAAATGCGTGAGGTACCTGTTTAACATTTTTTGTTATGACTTTGAACGAGTTCATAAGCGGTGGAGAAAGAAGTATGGAGGTGATGATGTGCGAAAGATGCCAGACATAGGAAAGATTTCCTACTTGGAAGGTTCAATCCATGTTTGTGGAGGCGAAGGTACTTTAATATAGTCCTTGTTGTTGTTGTTGTTTTGTGTATTTTTGCCTTTTGTTGTTGATATTATTTTCGTGCCTATGTGGTTGAGCTTCGTGACATATTTACACTCTCACTCTGGCTTTTCACTCGGTCTAATCGGGATTCTATCGTTCGCCTTCTTACTTCAAGTGCAGCCGCCAGGGAAAGGACCCAAGTCAGGAAACTCCAGGCTGGAACAACAACCTACCTCCACAAGCATAAGGTAGAAGAATATAAGAACGCCTCTCATCTACGAACAATTTTCTTCCTCCCCATTTCTGAGAAGCCTTTTTTCATTTCCCCCATTCATTCGTCCTTTCCGTCGTCTCTCTCCATTTCCTCATTCTTTCCCTCATCTTCATTTTCCTCTCTTCTCTTTCTCACACACTGCGTCAACACACCGCAGCGCATTTGTTTCCTCGTTCAAAATTACATTCGCCCAAACCACGCAGCACTAGACCCAACCTGCAAGGACCCTTGTCCTCTTTACCTTTTATCTTTCTCTACCTTCTTCGTCCCTTACGATCCTTCCACTTTGTTTCCACACGTATCCTATCATCACATATCACTCTGAGAGTGCGTTCTCGTCTCCTCTCCTTATCCTTTTTAGCTCCTTTCATCTCCTCGCAAGCTTCTTTTTCTTACTCTCCCCTCTACAAGCAACGACCACTTCCACTCACTCCTCATCATTCAGAGACGTTCACTTCCTCCCCATCCGACATACGACCTGCGGTTATGGGCGACCACAAACCAGAAAACAATAATCCAACCATTTTCACATCATCTGTTCGTCATTGGCTCCACAGCTGCCCCTACCCCAGCCACGGAACCCCGAACTCTTGCCCCTCCTTTTCTTTGAATGAGTCCGGTTTATCGCTCGACGACCAGTATCGGCATCAGCACAAGGACCAACCTTATCCTCACCTTCATCCTCATCAACACCACGATCAGCTACAACGGAGACAACACGCACAGTCCGTTCAGCCTTATTCCCCTTACTCGCATATCCTGGACGACTCTGACAAGGCACTCTTGGCTACCATTCAGTTGGGTCCTGGATCTGCTGACCGGGCTTTCTCTTCTCAAACCACTAACAACACCATCACCACTGCGGAAAACACCCAACAGATCTCGATGTGCAACATTCCAGCCATGTTGCCGGGCATGGAGAACAGTTACCGCCCCTCGACCGACTGGGAATCCAAGCAACAACAGCATCATCTGGAACTTCCCCAGCCCATTGGTGGACACCGCTCGCGTTTCGTTCGCCATCTCACACCTGTGACTGAGCTGGACTCTGCCAGTAGCAGTGGACATAGCAACAATGGCAGCGCTGACTCTCCGCATCTGTTGAGCTCTTGCGTGTCCGACAACCACAGCCATCGCTACCAAAACCATCAAGACCTTGCGATTTACAATGCTGACAATAGCAGCAGCAGCAACCCAACCGTCATTCTTCCTGACCAAGGGACCCCTCTTCTTCATCATCCTTCCGCAGTGACCCACAACCACCACCATCACCGCCACCAGTATGGCGCGGTTGACGGGATCTCGGCTGCATTCCTGCATTTGACTCACTTGTACCACCCCTTGTCGCACTCACCCTCGGCCTCGGCCTCGCCTCCACCCTTCCCCAACTCACCTTGCTCACCCTCCAACACTCCCTTATCCTCTTCGTATCCACAATCCTCTCCATCGCCATCATCACCACTCGCGTATTCATCCCCTTACCATCCCAATTCTTTCGGCATAAACAGCGACCCTGTAACCTTTGGCAGCCCTAACGAGTCGACGTTCCTTGACGGTCCTAGGTATGGTATGTACGCGCCCCAATGGTCACACTCACGTTCGTTGGTCACTCGATCAACGCCCGTCATGACCCATCGTAGTTCTCAAGCTCTCCTGGAGAAACAGTGCTTGCCCACGTCGTCGTTATCGTTGTCAGCCTCGCTTGTGGTGCCACAATCGTACATCGTGACCCGCCATCAATCTCAAGCCCTACTTGCTCAAAACTCTCTCCTCTCCTTATCCAAGAAAACGACGGACCCCTCGATGGTGGCCAAACCCAAACCCTTGCCCTTCTCCCGTCTCTCCACATCCAACACCTCGTTGACGGCTGCCGCCGGGGGCGCTCGGTCTTCTTCGTCGATCACCTCGCCTTCTTCACCCCTGAACCCTTCTGGCTCATTGCCAAGAGCTATGATCTCATCTCCAAGGTCCTCGTCCTCGTCGCGGTACAATCCCTTGATCTGTGAGATCTGCAGGAAAGAATATGCCAATAACTCGACCCTCAGACGGCATGCTAAGATACATGCCTATGCTAGCGCCTCGTCAGATGCACGCAGGATCACTAAGCCCTCACCTGCAATGTCGTTGTCTTTGGTCCATGGCGGCGGTGGTTCTCCTGCCAGTGGATTTCACCCTGACGGGGTCTCGGCAATGTCTACCCTTGAGGCCGTCAACACTCATCTCCTATCGTCCTTCTGGCCTTACCGTGACAACCCAACCCCCACTCTCCCCCGCAGTCTCATGGCCACTTCCAGCACCAACACCTCCTATGCTGCTGCTAGTAGTGGTGGTGGCAGCTCGAGCTCCATGATTGGTAACGCCATAACTACTCCTGGGCAGGTGCTGCAGGTTGCTACTACGACTGCAGCGATGACGATGCTGCCAGGCTACAACCCCGGGTATGACCCGGCGATCAAGAAACCTGAGTGTGCTGGGTGTAACAAGCCTTTTGCGAGACGCGATACTGTCATCTTGCACATCAAGAACCAGAAGCGAAATTGGGACTTGATGTGCGCTACACTCCCTGAGCTCGCGGCGATGGCGGGGTCTGATTCGTCGACCTCAACTTACGCCGGTGCCCATTGTGGTGGTGATGCTGACGCTGGTGGAGATGGTAGCGATGGTGAGGGTGATGATGGTGACGATGATGATGCAGATTCGAGCAACCGTCGTACGTCGAGTGGGGCCAAAGTTTCTGGTGGTAGGGCAGGAACTACCGCGGCTCAACGGCGGAGTGTTCGTCAGAAGAGGGTCCATCCGTTCAGAGCGGCTGAGAAGCTATGGCACTCGACCCTTCAGAAGAATAAGATCCACTTTGGACCCCACAAGAAGACCACAGCCACGACGGCCAAGAGAGCGCCGTCAGTTGCAGGGTCTAGAGGTCATGGCTGTACGTCGCGTCCGTCGTCGTCCTTCGGCAACGATGACATGTATGTCGACGACCAGCTCCCTCGCCAGCATCAGCGCCAGATAGATGGGGATATGGAGATGATGAACGCCTATGTGGAGACCGACAGCAATGAGGATGAGAACGAAGGAATAGATGAAGGTGGATGGCCGAGTGAAGAGGCGTTGGAGTCGATGGACAATGCGACAAAGATCCAATTGATGATGAAAATGGCGGTCGTGCCCCCTTGCTGGAGTGAGCGTAAAGTCCGCATCTTTGGTGTCCAGGGTACAGTTGAGGAGACCGTCCTCCAGGACTGATGAGGAAAACAATTGTCAACCCTCCCCCGTCCTGCTGCCATCTCATTTCTTTTTTCTTTCTTTCTTTCTTTTTTTCTTTCTGTTGTACGATATTGTTTTTGTATTATCTTTACTCTTTCATCTTTTTTTGCATAGAACACCAGCAAGCTACATCATTTATTTTCATAGAATTGCAATAACACACAACACGTATAAAATATCTATATAAAAAAACTTTACGAACTCTCTATCGCGTGTTTTGGTTCTGGTTTTCGGGGGTGGAACTTGAACTCGGATGGGAAGGAGGGTAGGAAAGGTGAGAATGAGAGTGAGAGTAGCAGACGGAGAGGGAATGAGGGGAGGAGGTCATCGTGCATGCCGCAAGAGTTGATACTGATCACTTGTTATTATTTTTCTGTTTGTGTTTCCTTGTCGGTGTTCCTTGTTCTGGCGCTCGTTTCCTGTGTGCGTATGTGTATGTCTATATATATATGTGTGTGTGTGTTTTCTGGGAGGCCGTGTGGTGAATGAGTGTGACCAAATGAGAAGAAATGGGCCGAGGTCAGAGAAGATCAAATGGCAAGTGGGATGGGATTGAGGATTTGGGGGTTTGTCTGCACAAAGGAAGGAGAGAGGCGAGGCACGTCCAAAGCGAAGGAAGAAGGCAAGGTGGACATTTTTTTGGCCTCTGTACGTAATGCTGGGCAACTAAAGTAGACAAATCGAAGAGGAAAAAAGGTTGTGTCCATGCCATTGGAGAAAGAGGGCGGATGAGTGTGTTTGTTGGTTGCCGTTTGTGCACTGAGTTCTGGCGATCTCGATCTCTTTTTCTTGTTGTTGTCTTTTCTGCCAGCAACCCCTTTTTAGCGCTGCTAGGATTCCAGCCCGCAGATGGTCTGCAGACAGGAACAAAGAAAAGGGAAAAAAAAACGAAAGCAGGCTTGCCGAGCCCGACTGTTTTTCCACGGGCGGCATACCTTAGCCAGAGATAGGACAAGAGGGAAATGGGGTACAAATTCAATGGTGTGATTTTTCTTGCAGGACGTCACTCCTCACTTGACTGTACCCTTGAACAAGCACATGAAGAGAGAAAGGAAATCTCATTGCTATCTACTTTTAGTCATTTGGATGATAAAGTTTTGTACCTGGTGGAAATTACTAGGGTCGTGCGGCTTTCTTTCTACTTCTCGCTCGCTTGCTGGGCAATGAGCAGGAATGGGTGGCGGGAACAACTGCAACAGGAAGAAGTAAACAAATAATCACGAATACTCAAAAGAACTTACACGGGTTTGGTACGGACGAAAATCAATAATGCACGGGAAGAAATTGGTAAAACAGACAAGAAACTGCCACAAATTCCTGAGCGTCGCCCTGTTCACCAGGGCGAGAAGGAAGACAGTCAAAACTGGACTGGATTGGGGTAGAACAGAAAGGAAGGGAGGACCGAATGTGTTGTCCATGATGCAGCAATGTTAGAGGGTACATTTTGGCTGTGTGTGCTTGTCTGCTTGGTTAACAGACGAAAAATAAAAAGAAAGGCAGGGGGTGATTGATATGCTACATTAGACCCATGGGCCACCTGCGCGAAACTTACTTTTTTTTCTCCTCTTTGATTTTTCTGGCTGACGACCAATTGTTCGCATCCTCTCTTGTAAAAGAGAGAGTAGCACAATCGCAGTACGTGCTCTGTCATTTTGCCTTTCGCCTCTCTCTCTTGCCTCTGAACACAAGAAAAAAAAAGAGAGAGAGTTGAGTGGGGTCTACGATAACAAAGCCGAACAAACCAACCTTTTCCCCTTGCTCTCTGTTTTCTCGTCCCTAACAATCTCTTCTGTCTCTCCTTCCTTTTTCTGTTCTATTCTTTTGGACGACGACAGGGCTAAGACCAAAGAGGGTCTGCATTGCGCCTCCATCCCTCCTTCTCTCTTTCTTTTCCTCTACTCTGTTACCAGGAATAAAGGACAAAACAAACAAGAAAACAAACAAAGAAAGAGACAATAAAGAACGAGAAACGGTTATAAAGTACCTCCTTCCCCTTCATTTTTTCACACTTTCTCTTCATTGCTTCGGCAGCTATCCTCTCTCCTCACTACCACGCCTGCTTATCATCCCTCCACAGTTTCAATTTCCAATCACTGTCGAAAAAATATTAACCACATGGAAAATATCGAGCATCAGAACGTCCCCGTCAGCATGTCATACCTGATCTCCTCCATGAGTCAAGCTCTTGCCGCTTCCGAGAACGATTCATTCTATTCCTTCCAAAACCTCCTCGATAACGGATTGATGCCTATCGACAACGAGGTTTACGGTCATGGCCTCCACGGAGCGGTGCATTATTCGATGTTGTCGTCCTCGTCGCCGCGATTATCTCCTCGGGCTCAATCTCCAGTCCAATGGATTGATCCGACCACGCTGTCCAGTCTGTGCTTCCTCCCATCATCACCTGATGCACAGCTGCAGCATCAACAGTTGCAACCACATTGCCATGCGCATGAACAACAATTACAGCCACATCAGCATGGTACCTCGAACAACCACTACCATCACCACCACCAGCAACAATTGCAACAACGGCAACAACATTATCAACAACAGCAAGCACCAGAACATTATTCACTACCACCACACAATCACGCCATTCAGCAGCAGCACCAGCAGCTCTATCTGCTACAACAGCAACACTTTTATTCAGAAAAGGGCATTTGCTCTCTTGAGATGCGCTCGTTGCCATCTTCAACCCCTATCCGAGATATCTCGTCTCCCTCGATGATCTCATTGCCATACCACCATCCTACCAAAGTCCTGCTGAACCGACCCACCATGCCCGTGGCCCAGCTCTCTATGGAATTTTCAGCCAACCGATCAGTCTCCATTGACCGCCTCTCCAGTCCTGAGGCGCCTTCGCCTGTCTCGGACCAAGGGTTCTTTGAAATAACCACTGACGAGGAGACCGCATCCGGATGTCACAGCCCCCAGTTGTTGACCTATAAGACGCATCTTAACAACAACAATAACAACAACGACAACAATAAGGACAAGAACGAAACGATTGCTATGGAGCAACTCAACAGCTCTGGATCAGTCCCAACAACTTTGCCTCAGCGAAGGAGAAGGACGCCGCCTTCTTTGGTCCACAAATCAATTCCGACAACGACCTTGGAGCAAATCATGCTACTCTCCCCCCATGCTACGACTGCTGCCTTGACGGCTGGTCCAGCCATGATGTCGTCTTCTTCGTCCTCATCGCTGCCGACGATGCCCACGCTCTCTTCGCCACTGAAGCAGCACTTCAGCTTCTCGACCTCCATGTCGGATTTGGATACTCTTGGGGGAGAGGAAGAAGGATTAAGGAAAAAGGATTTTTCTCCTTCATCCTCTCCTACTTCTGTGGCAGCGGCAGCAGCAGCAAAGAAGAGGCGAGAGCGTAAGCCCGCCAAGAGCGGACACAAAATTCCCAAGCACCCGCCCGTCAAGCTACCCGTATGTTGTGTCTCGCTCAGTAAATCAACAAATGGTTCTTTACGAACATTCTTTTATTGGGAGTCCATTCAGTATCTAATCGGGTCATTTTTCTCCACGTTTTCTTCCCCTCCTATCAGTGTCAGTTTCCAGGTTGCACAATAACATGCTCAAGCCAACCTTCACTAGCACGCCATGCCGAAGCCCACAAATGGCGGGGCCTCTACGCACCTGTCCGATGCGAGGCCTGCCAGAGCGCGCTCTCGAACGAGTTTTCGGTCCAGAGACACATTATCCGATCCCAGCCCAACTCGCGATGTTACCGCCTGCGCGTCTATAGCATTATGATGTCCGAGACTGAGATTGATACCAGTGTGAGGTTCTACCCGAAGCGGGCACATGGCAAGAAGACTGTCGAGATTAACTTGATGTATGCTCGTGCTCGATACCTTGGCGATTCTCCTCTGTGAGAGGAGCTCCTTTGTCTCACTTCTTACGTACATTCATAACTTATACCCCTTCAACATCTACGTCCTTTTTCATTGTTCGTATCCATCCTTCCGCATTACCCTCCTTCCACTCTAGACATCCTTCCTTTTCAGTCAAAATAAACGTACGTGTGTTTTTTGTCTACGAGACGCGATCGATTTCTAGACTTGGACTTCCTCCCGTTCTTATTGTTTTTACGGATTGTTTGGTCTGTGGAGAAAAAAGATGTGGCAGGCATCAAGTCATAGAGATCGCTTTACTACCGCTGCATCTCACGCGTCCACATGAACGCCATATGCAATTGGTGGAACTCCAAAAGCGAAAATAAAGGGCCATACCTGGTCAATTGCTTTTTTCTCCAAAGTGGATCCCTTTGCTGAAAGAAAGATAATCATACGCGGTAGACCACACTTACTAACAAAAAGAGATGCCATGTGCGCTCGACATGGATCATCCAAAACGAACTAGAGGGACGAAAATATGTTTTAATAAGAGGTAAACCTCAGTTTTGGCAAGTTTCGCGCTGTTCTTCCTGTCATTCGATCATGTTGTTGCCTTGAAAGAAAAAAAGAACAAAGAGAGAGAACTCTCGAGACCCTCTTCGCCAGAGTTCAGTCCTCTTCCATTCTTTACCTTCTACCATCTCTATGTGGTCTCTTGTGATCACCACCACCACTGCGGGAAAGAGTACTTCAGCCTCTTTGGTTTCTCTCTTCACACAATTTTTCGATTTTTTTTCTTTCAGCCCCTTTGTCCTGTAGGAGTGGTGTGTCGTAATGGGGTTTGTGTGGAACCATGAAACAAAATGAGCGTTTATGCAACGTTGTCTGTGGGCCCTTGAAGGAGCCCACAAGTATCCGCAAAGAAAAAGTATGTGTATCGTAAATCTTTCTTCATGTTATATTTTACGCGTATACGAGCAATGGAATCGAACTGAGGTAATTGCAGGGAGGCTATGTTGCTGTGTATGTGTGTCCGTAATTGAAAAATGTTGCGCCACTTTCTTTTGACCCTGAGGCAACCAAGAAAATAATATCCCGTTCAGTTTCTTTCCCTCTCCGTACACACCCACTCACTCTAGTTCTCTAGTCTGGAAGGCTAGCAAGACCGCGTTTGCCTTGGAATGGAGAAAGAAGGAAATGAAAACATCACTGTTGACAGTAGAGTGTTCTCACTGCCTGACCACACAAGGACTCGTCGTGCTCTTTTAACATAGCCTCTTTGTCTCTTCGATAAATAAACGAGCCTTCACCTCGACAATATGTGCTGTCTCATTTTTTGCGTCCTCGTTTGTGTTCTTTCCGCCAGCTATCCCTCCGCCTTCCCTTCCGACCTTACGATAACGACCCCCCACCTCACATGCACCCACGCTCTTTGTTCTTTTCACGTCATTTCCAACTATACCTTCACGTCGCCTATCCGCCAACCTCGAAACCACTGCACCAATTGCACTCTGCCATTCTTTCATTTCATCCTTCATCCGTTCATTTCCATACCACAAAGAACCCTTCGCCCAACTACACAAACGTTCAAAGAACAAAAAAAATGGACATCAAACCACTCCCTTTGGAGGGGTACATCTACACCCCTCTGTCCAACACAGGCGAAATCCTCGACAATCTTTCATCCATTTCAGCTTGGCCTTCTTACGATGGAACAAACGGATTCATTGCACCATCTCTTCCCGAGAGGCAACAACAGCAGCAGCACGATACCTTTGAATCGATTACCAGCATCAAACAAGAACATCAAGTCCATCCTTTCAACGCTATATATTCCGCCGATTCCCTTTCTCCCTTCAATTCGACCGCTCCCCCCACCGATTCCTCAACTAACTCTTCCCTCTCTCACGCCAACTACCCAAGCAACGACACCTTTGCCGACTTTAACAGCCGCCACCTCAACGACGCTAACGATCCCAACGACAACAAAGACATTCAAAGATCGTTTGACTTCAACAGCCTATTTGAACGCCCTGACACGTCGTACAAACACGACAGCAACATTGAGAGCGCTCAAAAAAACAAAGACATGGAATTGTTCTCGACCACCTACACCACCAAGAGTACCGCTGCCCTCAACGTCAACAAGCCCTCTCCCTTCTCGATTTACCTTCCCTATCTGACCATGAGCCGATCCTCCAGCTTTACCAGCGCAGTCTCCTATATCGATCCCGCCCTCCTTACCAAAAACAACAACTACGACAACAACGATGCTTCTTCAAGATGCGCTGTCGAGTCCAACTTTTCGTCCCCTCAGGCTCGCCACCTCTTGACCTTTTCCGATGGTGGTCTGAAGACCGGAGATGACAGCTACACGACCATGCAGATCGAGGACAGTCTCCAAATGGGTTCACCTGAATTTATATCATACTCTTCCGACCAATTCGAACCCCAGTCTCCTCTCTCTTCGTTATCTGTCGCCGCTGCCGCTTCTCCTACTGTCCCTGCTCAAGGGAGTTCTCTTCGTGCTAACCCCTTGACATTCCAGGACATTCACATGGCTGACGGGTCTATCATCCGTTTTGACGGGGCCTCTTTCCGACCTGTGCCGTCGACCACCACGGCCACGATCTCAACTATGATGAATAACCCTTACATATCCTCTAGTCTCATGACTGTGTTCGATCCAACCCTGTCCCCCTCGTCGTCAATGATGATGACTAGCCCTCACCAGTGCATGGCAGCTGCTGCTTCGACTGACGTCGCTTCTAGTTACTATAGCACTACGAGCTTGGACCCCTTCTCTTACCACCACCACAAGTTCCCTTCGATCAACGACTCTTTTAAGACCTACAACAAGTCACCCTACCACAGACACCTTCCTCAAAAGTCGGCCGCAACCACGACTGATTCGGCCGCGTTTGCTGCTGCCCTGTTGACTCCTCAGCCCGCTCGCTGCGGTTCGAACAACTTTCCCTACTCGACAGGTTCAATTGCCTGCAGACGATCCAGACGTCTGATGGGCAATCACAGTCGCCACAGCAGCGCAACTTCTTTCAAAAACTTTGATGAGCACAACCACAAGCGGTCTTCGGCATCACCCTCGTCCTTTTCCTCGTCTTCCTCACCTTTGGCGTCGTCTTTGTCGACCTTCACTTCAGAGGCATCTACCTCGTCAGACTCTTCGTCCGAGACCCCACCTTCCCCCTCCAGCCCCTCGAAATCATCCGCAAAGTACCGCAAGGATAAGAATGGCCAATTCCAATGCCCATATGCCGGCTGTGACTACCGCTACAACCTCAAGCGCGAGTTCAACCGCCACCGCAACGTCCACGTCTTTGCTGGAAAGGACAAGTACCGCTGCATGAACTGTAACAGTGGACTCTGCCGCCTGGACTCTGTGAAGCGACATATGGAGGCCAAGGGCAAGGCCGAGTGTCTGAGAAAAGGGTTCTATGAGGAGTTCCATGAGTGCGGACAGTATTCGTTGATCCGCAAGTGTAAGCCGACTTGGTACGAGGCTGCTGCCGCTGCGCGTGCTGCTTCTTTGAAGGGCAAGGCTATGGCCTGATGATGCTTTGCTTTTTGTCGACACCCTTTTCTCTTATGAGTATTGTACGTTTTGCCTTTTCTCTTCTCCTCTTTTCTTTTTCTCTCTTCTTTCTTTCCATTTTGTAAACTACCCTGTCAGAGCTGTATATAAAGAAAATAACAAGTAAAATACAAGCGACAACAATGCTTGAAGGAACAGTGTGAATGAAGGGTGAATTAAGACCAAAGGAGGTAAAAAAATGTCCATGTCTTCTTTTTAAGGTTTGAGCAATTGGCTTCCCTATTTTTGAGCAGTGTGTCCCTAGGGATTATCTCCTTGGGCCTAATATTTTCTCCTTTGTTGTCCGTTCATTGTTTGTTATCTGTATGTTCCTTTTGCCATTGAATATCATGACCAGGTGTCGAGGAGAAAAGAACGTTTCCTGTTCTTACTGCTCGTTAACAAAACAGGTAATGATGGCTCCCTCCTGATCAAAACTCAGGCACCGAGCCCGATTATTTTATTCAGGAGCAACAACCAGTCACGCGGGTCCTTTTTCTCGGACTGGGGGTGTCAGTTTGGCATCGTCCCACTTTTTCCACAAGAGTAACACGTCCAGTTTCGCATCACCTCATCTCTTTCTTTCTTTCTTTCTTCCGCAACTCCCTTCTTCCTTCTCTCGTAGCAGACACAAATGCCTACTTACTTCACATCCTCCCCCGGAAAGGTCATCCTCTTTGGTGAACATGCCGTCGTCTACGGCAAGGTACCGACCCCTTTTTACATTCGACAGCCTTCGCTCATCACAGGGACCAACAAGACCGTGTGAAACTTCCATCTGATGGAGGAACCTAACATCAAAACGTCTTTTTTTTCTTTTTTCTCGGCGTGTCATTTTCTTTGTAATATCTTTCGTAGGTGGCGACGGCAGGCTCGTTGGGTCTTCGTTCGTATGCTTTGGTCCAGACTAGGGAGGACAAGAAGATCGAGGTCAACTTGCCAAATGTTCAGCTTGCTCGGTCCTGGAACATCAATGACGTCCCCCGTCAGGCTCGCTGGGAAGGTACCAAAAACACTCTACACCTTCAATTATACGCCACATCAGAATTCAGACAAGCGATTCAACATTACAGAGTATTAACGACGCACCTTTCCAATAATGCAACATCGTAGGATACCCATACCCACCACAATCAATGAACACAGACCTCCTCGACCAACTCACAAAATTCGTCGACCTGGGCAACCAAACCAACAGATCCCAAGCTGCCATTGCACTCCTCTACCTCCACTCCTTCCTCACCACCGATGAGACCCTCGCCCTGGGATACGACTTTGTGGTCCGATCCAACCTCCCCGTCGGCGCAGGGTTGGGATCCTCTGCATCTTACAGCGTCTGTGTCGCGACCGCCTTGTTGCAATTGAATGGATACTTGTCGGCAGGGACGGGACTGGATGTGGCTGCTCAGCGGGATTTAGTCAACCAGTGGGCGTTCCAGGCAGAAAGGGTCATTCACGGGAACCCAAGTGGTATCGATAACACTGTCTCTACGCTCGGAGGCGCTGTCATGTTCAAGAAGGGTGAGAAGATCGAGCCCTTGCCTGGGTAAGTTCCTGAGAAGTAGTTTTGCTTTGAGTTTCGGGAGGAGTCAAAGTTTTGGAGATGATTGGATGCATGTGGAAGAAAGTCACTTAACGCTACATACTACATGCGTGCTTTGTTGTATGTGTTTATTGCGTATATAGATTCCAGTCGCTCAGATTCCTTTTGACGAACACTCGTGTCCCAAGAGAGACACAAGTCCAGGTCGCCAACGTCAGGAAATTGCACGACAAGGTAACATACACGGGCATAAGAGACACAACGGAGAAATGTTAAATGGACTCCCTGTTCGCATTCTGAGAAGTTAATGAGCGTGCCAATTATTCATATTTTTTTTGTGGCACTGAACATATAGTTCCCAACGGTAGTGAACCCAATGCTGGACGCCATCAACGAGATCAGCAACTCTTGCAAGGATATCTTTAGTCAGGACGGATTGGACAGATCCCACCTACTCACTCGATTTGGTGTAAGTATCTCTCATCGATGATCTAGAAAGAGAGGAGCGAAGGGCACAGTGGCTGTACATTTCGCTATGGACCATGGAACTAACAGCAGACAACACTCTCCTCCTTTTGAATAAACGAATAAAATAGGAATTGGTGGATGTGAACCATGGGTTGTTGGCTGCATTAGGCGTCTCTCACCCATCACTGGAGAAGGTCCGTGAGATCTCCTCGAAACTCGGTCTCAAGTCCAAGTTGACGGGCGCTGGAGGAGGAGGTTGTGCATTGACCTTGATCCGCGATGGTAAGAAATGCTTTTTTTCAGGAATTCTGGACAAGGATATGTGTTTGGTTCTGGGACTGAGTAGAAAGATAGGGGATGGGATTGGAAGTCCTTCTAAATTTCATGGATATGAACTCATCCTGTCCTCTCCAACCCCTTTTTTTCCATAACCGAGTCACGTCCTTCCTACGTTTCCTCGCGATAAACATATATTGACCACCTTCTAAACTTACTTTCCTAGATGTCACACCAGAGACAGTGGCGGTTGTGAAACAGTTGCTGGAGGCAGAAGGATTCCAATGCATGGAGACCAGTGTAGGAGGACCAGGAGCTGGTATCTTGACCCTCACCCACCCAACCACCATCGCTGAATTCCTCGCCCACGACAAAACCTACTTTGATACCACCCAGAACTGGACCTACTTTGTCTAAGCAAGGAGTAGGAGTGTTCAGGATATAAAAAACAAGGGATGGATAATTCTTTCGACAACACCGACAGTCTCGGCCCCACTCCATAACATTTTTTCTTGGCCTCTCCGTATTAATTTCGCCACCTGAATGGATGCATAGTTGAGGAGCCGACGGAGAGGGTCCTCCGGTCTCGTCAACATTCCTGTGGTTCTTGGAACCACCCCACCGACTTTTTGTACTCCCCTTCCTCAACTTCTGTATCTCTCTCTCCCCGAAAGCATCATATCTTAATAGAACCCATATACTACGCATTAAAAAAACGGATGTCTACTATCATTGTTCATCGGCAAATTACCACCCCGGTCCATCCGGACCCCTCGTATTTGCCCTTTTTGCTATGGACCTTTGTCTAGGCACTCTGCGAGTGACCCGGCCCTTGCTCTTTATTTTCATATCTCGTTATGCCTCACACTGGCATCAATTGCTCTTCATATCGCTTCTCTCCCCAATGTCGAGGGATCCCCCTGCTTTTTTTCATTGCTCACTTTCTCATTCCTCACGCACATTGCCCTATCTGGATTGTGGCCTATGCCACCATCCTATTTGAAAAACAAAACACAAAGAGAGTGAGTGAGAGAGACAGATAGAGGAGAGCTCAGCACGGTTCATTTATTGGAGCAATTCAAAGCGCGACACCGTGCAACATCCGAGCGCAAAAACAAATGACTACTTGACGCACTTGCGCGACTTTTAGGTTGTTGCTGTATCAGACAGACAGACAGACAGACAGACAGACAGACAGAAAGAAAGACAGAGAGACAGACATGAAAATAGGAAGAGGAAAGGCATTGGGAGGGAAAGTGGAGAGGAAGGACAACATGAAGTAAGGGTGCTGCTTTTGCTCAATGACCAAAGGAAAAAATAGATTGAAGTGATAGGACCATCTATCTCTCCCTTCCGAACGCACCAATCCAATTAGCTGTGAGGTTCCCCTTCATGTCCTCGGACCTCCTCTTTCCTCATTTCCCTTTGGCTCATGACTGTATGTCTTCTGTGTTGCCCCAGCATTTGATATTGTAGTTCATTGTTATGGAAAAAGGGAGTTACTTACTTACCTAACAAGAACAGTCGGGGTCCGTTATTTTTTTCTATTTTTTAACGCGCGCATGCCCGAAAGTGACAGTGAGCGAAGAGAACGATATCAGTACTCATGCAATGCGGGTACAGAAAAGGGAGGGAGACAGAGAGAGAGAGAGAGAGAGGGAGAGATAAGGAGGGAGGGAGAGACTCGTATCCAAGGCAAGGCGGGATGTAAGCTGTACGTGTCGTCAGCAAAGACATGGACCCTTGTCGAAAGACGACAGACAACCAGACATGGAAATCGTACAGTAAGGAAAAATAAAGGGTCAAAGTCAAGAAGACACGCTTGCGAAATGAATGAAAAATAGAACCCATTTCCCTTTTGACTTTTCCCGGAGAAGAGAGCGAAGGCGAGTGTGTATGTGTGTGAGAGAGGGTCCAAGCCGACGAGGAAGGAAAAGGATGACGAGCTGAATGAAAAAGTGATGAGCAATGCTGCGATTACCAAATGCCCAACACACACTCTCCAAAGAAGAGCAGTCTAGTCCCTGTCTGGCCTTTTGGTTAACCCCGAAGAAGAGGAGAAAGGAGGGGCACGGGGCAAAAGGAAAAGAAATGAAAGGGAAGAAGCACCAAAAATGCGCAAAGGGCAAGACGCGTAACGGTAGGGGGATCAATAGACTTTTTTTCAAACAGTTCAGGGTTTCTCCGTGAATAGATAGATGGGCGAGAGCAGAGAGAAAGGAGAGGGAAAGGGAAAGGGAAAGATAGGGCAGATGCGTGTGTTGTTAGGCGAGGCTTAGGCAAAAGAAATGAAAAGAAAGACGCGAGAGAGCCACTAAGTTAGTCGCGGAAGCAGGGGCAAGAAGTAGTTGAGAGATGAACAGGTCAGAAGGGAGAGAGAGCATTCTGTACATTTCTCTTAGTTAAATGAACTTGTTGACGACAACAACGACAACGAGGACCAAGATGATGATGCTGATGATAGTTAAGTTTTCTTGTTATCGTTCGTGTTTGTTTTTGTTGTCAAGTGTCTGGAACACAAAAAAATCTTACATCTGTTTGTTGCTATTGTCACCACCCATTCAGCGTCAATTGGCTGTCAGCTGCCGTTTTTTTTCTCTGTGCTTTGTCCTTTTTACTAACTCCCCTGGTGATCACTATTTGGTACTACCGTGCCGTCAATATCATCGTTGTCAACCATTACTCGAATTGTTTTTTGTTGTTCTTGTTCCTTATTGCTCTTTTGTTTCGCGCTTGTTGATGTTGTCCTTCGTACTAGGTTGGTGCCACCCAGGTGAACGCGTTCAGCCCAATGGAACACCCCCATCCCTTCAGAATAAAAAAGCAGTAGACGTCGTGCTGGAGAGTAATAGAATGACAATACCAATAGACCCTAGAAAAAGACCGCATGGACCAGTTCGAGTCCTATTTACAACGCTGCAAATATGAAAGAGGGGAGGAGCGCCATGTTCGACTGTGATACTCATTTGGGTTGTTTTTTTTTTTTTTTTTTTTTTTTTTTTTTGGCTCAACTGGAACAATTGGAATTAGATCTGCGCCCTTGACCACTTGGTCAGCAAAACGGGGTTCAAGGAGAAAGGGGAGACAGGAGAGAGAGAGGAGAGAGATAGAGATAATGAATGAAAGATGGAGGTGCAAAGGGCTCTCATTAATCACTCACGCATTCATTCAGACGCGCTCACTCTCCTTTTTTTTGTGTATTTATCCAGCCGAGATAGAGTCCATGTGGAAAATAGATGTCGTTCATGAACAAAACAAGAAACACTAGACAGTCAACACCAAGAAAGAAAAAAATGTTTGTTTTCCCGACTACACCCTTTGGATGTTGCCATAGAGTGGAGTGGCGTCTATTAATCCATGGACCATGGGTCGATTGGGGTTTGCTGCCAGCAATTGACAAACGCGCCATGCTTCCTCCCATTCATACCGCCACAGCGTACCATTCATATATACTTTTATGGAGAAGCAGTGTAGATAAAAAAAAGAAGCCATTGCGGAATGCAGTGAGCCAAATACCTTTTTTTTTTTTTTTGCTTCGGTAAAGGCTCTAAGCGACGCAAAAGTAAGACAAAAAAACAATGAACCATGGTACGCAGGCACATACACATAAACATACATAACACCAACTACGTCTACAACGTCGACATGTATGAATATTGTTTTGTCCTCCCTTCTTCCTGTCCCCCCTCTTCTGCCCCCTAGAACACAAAAAATATGCTTGTAAGCAAAAGAGCAAAGATCAAGGAGACAGGCATGGAGAGTGAATGTCTCCTTTCCTCTACCTCCTCCTCTCTGTCTCCTGTCCCTTTTTTCCCTTTTTTTTCTCCTTTCCCTTTTTGATGCTCATATAACTTTTTACTATTGTATGAGTATGTTCGTCCATTGTCAATGCCCTTTGCAAAGCTCGGTTCGCATGAATTGAAAGAAAGGAACAAACTTGCTAGCCTTTTTTCGAACTTCTTCCGCCCAGACCCTTTTTTGGGCCATGATGGCCATTGGGTGCACCATGTGTGCATAGAGAACCAGAAACTAAAATAACCTTGTCTTTCCCTTCATCTATGCCATCGACCTGCCTATGCCTGTCATTTCAGGAGTTTCTCTATTTTGTTTTTCGTGGCGTTTGTAAAAAATAATACGGACTGAGATAGAGTTAAGTAAAAAAAACGATCAACGTGCACATGTAGATAAAAGAGCACTCTTCAACTGATGTTGGTGAAGAACGGGTAACTGCCAAAAAAAAAAAAAAAAAAGAGCAACTGGCTCATCATCTAACGTTGCTGAGTGAGAGCCTTCCTCCCTCTATCTCTCTTCTCCTCCTTCATCCTTTTGGGGTCGGTTCTGTCATAGCATTCGCTAATTGCACAATTGCCCAATGCCCATTGCCATTCATTACCACCGCTCTCTTTTCCTCTTCACTCTCATAGACATAGAGACACACACAGTCCTCTCAAACGCACTTCCTAATCTCACTGCACCGAGGTTTTCTAGACCCAGCATTGGTCCGGGGTACCATGAATTTAGATGGAACGGGGTACTACACACTCCCTTTCAATCTGAGTGAGCGAGAGCGAAAGATAGAGAGAGGTAAGTGAAAGGAGTCACCAATCCATATAGGGGCGCACATCAAAAAGAGGGTCGATCGGGCTTGATGATGCAAGTAGGATAGGAATGCCACCCCCACACACTCAGGCTCAAACTCATGTACATGCACACACCACAAAAGTAATGAAAAGAACGCTATTCTGATAGCAATTGCCATTTGCGATTCGTCTCTGTTTGACTTACTTGCATGCACCAGCTCATTTTCTACCCTTTATTAGCATTTCAATTGCTTACATGCCGACAATGCCCAAAAAAATTGATTATGGTCATTGAGTCCATATCTTCTTTACTTCATCTGCCCAGACCCATTCGACCGAAATGAAAAGGCGAGGCAGTCCTAGAAGAAAAAGTGAGAGGGAGAGGGAGAGGAATTGTCATTTTTCTCATTGTGATCGGTCAGGCCACTGTAGTACCACCCAGAATACTTGGCCTTTGCTTTTCCAGACTGCCTGAGCGCCATTGTACCTTTTGTTGCTGATGCTGTTGGATGAGGTCACTCATACTATGCAAAAAAGCAGTGGTGGCACAAAGGAAGGAGGGCGCAAAAAGGGACAGTGAGGCAATGGTGAAAAAGCTTTAATCCCGAATGGACGGCGCACAGCGGAATGTTGCATAAAAACCCCCTTCTCCAGGCTTGCGAAGATCCTGACCCCTCTTTTTTGTGCGTATATTGTTTATGCGATTGCGGTATTCAGGACCGAACGAAGAAAGGAGAAGCAATGGCAGCAGGAATACTGCCCTGTGCTTGTTTGCTCTTCTTCGTTGCTACACAAAACACACACATACACACGTTTAGAGTGGTCCGATGGTTAATGAAACGCTATTTTGCCATTGGCATTGGGGTATAGCCTGAGTATTTCGTGGTGTTCCTGTTGGTCTTTGCGCTTTGTTGTTTTGTTTACATTTCTGTCTGCCACTTTTCTCCCCCTTCCGTCTGCTTGCCTTTTTCGTTGAGACGCATTGATCTCAAAGGAAGAGAGAACAAAGGGAAGAAATGAGAAGGAGGAGTACGAGACGGAGACAAAGCGGAAAATGCAGAAGAGGGGGGAGTCATCGTGCACAACCCTACTAGGGTTGGGCAGGGCAGGGCAGGGCATAAACAAGCAAGCAATGACGGACGAGGGCAAGGGAAAGAGGTTTTTGTGTAACCACACCGGATTTGAATTGGCAATAGTAAAGAGTAACCCACGTTTTGAAATGAAGTTTTCTTTTCTGTTGGGCGTATGTCTCCTTATGCCCTCTCCCCCTGTCAATTTCTGTGTGTGTGTATGTATGAATGTGTGTATGTGGGTGTTTGCTTCCCCTGACAATTTTGATTATAGGTAACGCGACAGTTCGTTGGGGATAGAACGCGTTCATTTCACGAGTGTGTGTGTAATGTGAATGCGAGGATCGAATGAAGGGGGTGTTTGAGAAGAGAAGAAAAAAGGGAAAAGGGAGATAGAGGGAATTGCTGGGCCAATGGGAGGAATGAGAGACTGCCCGAGTATATGTGTCTTTGTAATAAAGGGTAAAGGAGAGGCATGTACAAATTCCCGGCTACAGATGATGGGGAGGATCAATGACTCTGGTACCTGAACCTGAATAAGAGAGATGGAAGGGGAGAGAGAGAGATCGAGACAGAGACGGAGGAAGGGAGACGGTGTGTGTGTGAGAGACGGAGCAGGCATCATCTACTGTTACTCGGGATCCCTTTTCACCCTTCAATATTCATTCCTTTGCGTTTTTTTAGGAGTGGAAGGGAGACCAAAGAAAAGGCAATGAGAGGAACGGTTGACTGTAACCTTACTCCTCTGGATCCTTGCCTTTTGTCACTCAAGTACGACAGCTATTGGCCGTCTCGAGTAATGACATCGCCATCCAAGGCTTACTTTCTGGCCACTGAAGAATAAAAATTACAACTCTCAATGTCAATATCGATGCGAAATGAGGGACTCTCCAAAAAGCGAGAGTTTCTCTCCTTCCTTGTTGAACGTTCTCCCGCAAACCTAATGAGCATGGAGACAAAACAACAGACCCTAATCTTCATAGACCTCAATATTTGTCCGAGTTTTGGGGGAGCCACTGCCCGCCACCGCCATCTAGTTTTATACTTTCAGTCGCCTACTTTTTCTTGTAACCCATGCAGGCGACGAGCTGTGTTTTGGTTAGTATCTCACGATAAGGTGCGAGTGCGCACCGCAATTGAGAATTATGAATGACAACAAGGATCACAATGTGCAACCATGAGTTGCTTCCATGAGCATATGATAGTTCATTTAACTATGAGAAGAGGTCGATTAGCTATGGATGATTGGTGGATTAAAGCTTGAGGTTGGTTGCGAGTGGTTTTTTTTCATTTTTTGTCGGGAACATCTGAGCGATCCTGAGAAGAATGGTGGTGTGTTTTGGTTAGTATTGTTGGTACAGTGTATTGTTACTTTTTCAATGGCCAATGGTGCAAAATGGTTATCAGTGGAGATTTATGAATGATCGAGTATTCAATTGGCGTGAGTAGCGGACAAGTAAACAAAAACTGAACCCCATAGGACGATTGACAGAGCATTAGATAGGATGAGAGTATCAATTGAACTCGGGATGAATGGAAGAATATGGGATAAGAGTTGTTGAGCAATATGGTATCAGTCAATACGCCGTAACCCTTGGGTTCATGCTCTCGGCCGGGTCGTGCCATGGACAGGGATATGCTTGATGGATGATGAGGTTGGCGGAAGAGGGTATAGTTTTTCTTATTCAGTCTTCCATTATTGAAAGGCTGTTTTGTCATGTTTGCTGGGTTCGTTTTCCATCTTATTTTTTTTTTGTTTTCTTTTGATGCTAGTGCTTGCTTGACTCTCCGTCCTGGCCTTGAGGAAAAAAGAAAATGGAAAATGGAAAATGGAAAAGGGTAAAATACCAAGTATATGCTTGTCTGGGTGAGTGAGTTGTATGTTGTGTGTTTGGGAAGGAAGAAAAGTATATGTGTGTGTGTGTGTGTGTGTGTGAGTGTTGTGCTCTCTTTGCTTTGTTGTTGTTTGTGTTTGATTATTATTTATTTTAATAAGGAGACAAGCAAGGATTGAATCGCGAATGAATATACACACCAGAATTTGTTACGAGCATGAGAGAGAAAGGGAAGGATAGTCAGGGATTTCATTTGTTTGTGCCGTCCATGCCCATGTCCAAGGTGCACACACACACCATCATTATTTTGGTGGCCCTCTACTCCCCCTTTCTTCGCTCTTTTCCCCCCTGTGTTGTTGTTGTATTGAATTGAGTTGCTTGTTGTTGTTGGCCCATGGTTGATTTCGACTCCGACCGAGTATAAAACCATTTCCCTCGCCGCCCACTCTCCCCCTTCCTTCCTTCTTTCTTTCCTTGTCTTTCACTTTCACTTTCACTTTCATTCACATCCATCATCATCCTCTCTCTCGCTCTCTCTCTTACTCACTCTCTCTCTTTATCTCTGACTCTCGTTGTTCATTCTCTCACTCCCGTCTCACTCTCTCTCGACTCGACCCTCTTCGTCGTTCTCATTCCTCTCTCTTCTCGCTATCCACTTCTCTCTCTCTCTCTCCTTCCCCTTTGACATATCAACACTTTATTTGTCTTACTCCCCTTCTTTGTCAGCCATCGAAACCGGCAACCATTGAGACCCTTTTGATACAATATCCACACACACACTCTCCGTCTTTTTTTTTTCTCTCTCGTTTCTCGGTCAATCGATTGCACTTATTCCCTTCTTCGCTACCCACCCTTTTGCGATTCAATTTTCCTTGCAAACTGTTGTCACTTTCTCGGTGTTTACTTTCCCTTTTACTTGTTTGCCTTATTTTCATATTGCTATCCTGCCCTTTTGACGTCGTACCTTACTTTCCCTCGACGACCCTACTGTTATTTTCCTCTTCTTTTGTTTTCTTCATAAGAGTCACCATCTATCATCACTCACTCAACCCTCATCAGTCCATTTTTTCGTGTTCACACTTGCCACTCTTGTATATAAACAGCTCTTTAGGGAAAACTTTTTCTTCGTTTTTTGCGCCCTCTTTTTTCACCCACACTCGCCTTCAACACTCACGCAACCCTATATACCCAACATGTTCTTCCACGACACAACAAGCGATCTCAACAAATACCCCATGAACTACAACATGTTTGCCGACAACGCCATGGCCATGGCAGCGGCGCCGGGTTGCAACAGCGACATGCTTCCCACGGAGTTTATCTACCCAAACTACAACCTTAACCAGTACGTAAATCGCCTAAATAGAAACGTTCGATCCAGCCATATACACAACCAGCTCCAATTTTCCGCTGGGCAACACGAAATGATCAGCGTCACTAACCTCAGGAAACCCTCCTCCTCTTCTTCTTCCGCACTGCACTCCTCTTCATCCTCCTTGCTCACATCCGTACGCACCGGCAGCAGCAACGGGCTCGCTGATCTCTCCGCTGGATTCATGGCCCACCAACAGCAGCAGCAACAGCAGCCACGGCCAAGGGGACTCCACCACCACCATAGCAGTACCAGCAGCACAAGCAGCAGCACAAACAGCAGCACAAGCTCCATCGTCCTCGACAATGCCTACCTTCTTTCCTCCTCTTCTTCTACACCAGTATCGACCTCGTCATCTCTCCACAGTTACAGCGAAAGCAGTAACGCACCATACTTCCTCACTTCCGACACTTCATCCTCTACATCTTCTACTCCTTCCTCTTCTTCTCCAATTTCATCTACTTCTTCTATCGCGCCCAACCCTGCACTCATCTCGACAGTGACAGGATCATCCTCTTCTTCTCCAACTTCCGCTTCTGCGATGGATTACATGCTTACAAACCAAAATTCCCTTTTAGTGCAGCCGCACCAGCAGCATCAACAACAACACTATCGTCAACATCAACAAATCGATCATAGACCCACAGCCCGTGTGCAAGGCAGTTACCCACATCACCACCACCACCACAACAACAGCAACAACAACAACAACAACAACAACATGCAGCAGCAGTACGTTCCCTTCCCTGCGAACGACTTTCAGGGGGTGCCTTCTTCTGCCGCCCCAGCTTCCTCGTCGTCTGCTGTCATCACCCCTGCGGTCATTGTCTGCAGTCAACAAGGTCCAGGCACAGGTCCACAACAACAACAATACTCCCCCTGGAACATTGACATGGCCACGTCGTCCAATCCCACAGCGAATGCTCAATTGCAATTGACTTCGGCTCCCTTTATTTCGAACCCAGCTAAATCAACACCAACACCTTCTTCCGCCGCAACAGCAACAATATCATCTGTCGCTTGGACCAACGAGTCCGAAGACGGAGGCGGAGGGCAGACGACTCATCGTTCTAAGCAACAACAACAACAGCAGCAACAGCTCCACATCATGACCTCGCTCGATTCTGGTGTCGCGTCGATGTACCCTCATATCTCAGGCTCGCACAACCACCACGGCTTGGCTCTCTCCGTCGCCGCCTCGTTAGTTTCACAACACCAGCAACAACCTTCTTGCATCACCTCGCCTGCTCAGCAGGCTGCCATGTCGGCCCACTTCCAGAACCAGCCTCAATACCAGCACCACGCGTCGTGGGGCATGGCTGCCACCACTTCGTCACCTGTCGAGTCTTGCTTCAACTCTGGTTCCTCGACCCCTTCCTTCGCCTCGTCCATGTCGCCCACTCTGTCCTACTCCAGTTTCGAGCTCGGCAGCAGCGACGACTCTTCTCGAGCCACTTCTCCTTCCCGCCACAACCAGCATCATCACCATCACTACCACCATGGCACTCCTTATGACGCCCCTTCTCACTTTGAACGCCGCCACCGCCGTCGCGACTCGGATGCATCTTCTAGTTTGATCATCCGCTCCCGCAAGTCCTCGACTTCGTCTACATCCTCAACCGCCTCCCAGCGCCGCATGTCGACCTTGCGCGAGTCCACCCTCCCCTCCACACCCGTCTCTTCCTCCAACAACAACACCACCACAACAGCAACAACTACATCGGTTTCCTCTCCAACTCACCAATGCCCAACCTGCAATCTCTGCTTCGCCGGCCCTGCAGTCCTGGTCCGCCACATCGAATCCATCCATGACAAGCTGCTCTGGAACTGTGTCGGCTGCAAGTCGAACCTCTCTCGCCGCGACGCCGTGACTCGCCACATCAACCTCTCGCCCATGGACTCTGTCTGCCGCGCCGTCGGCACAATCGGCCAGATCAAGATGTTGAACGGCTCCGAGGTCCATTACGAGATCTCATCCTACAAGGCCAAGCCCCTAGACGAGGTCATGAACCGCATGGGGAAGAAGATCTCGGCTACATTGAGACAAGAGATTGATCGTGCCAAGGCCATGACGGAAGCTAACAATGCCATCGCGGCTGCCTCTGTCGCATCTGTTGCTGCCGAGCCTGTGGTCTCGACGGTTGTTGCCATGGGCGCCCACCATCATCAGTACCAGCAGCAGCATGAGTATGGGTTCACCGAGGATATCATGGCTCGACTCCGCGAGGCTGCCGTTGCTGATGGTATGACTGCTACCGCTGCCTCTGGTTAGCTGCTGGATATAGATGAAGAATTGATGATGGTCGGAGGAGAATATGATGACGAGATGGAGTACGAGTCTGATGGGTCTGTCAAGAAGCGTCGCCAACCCTTCCAGCATACCCTCGGTCAACGCGAGAAGTAATCTTTACATTCAATGGATATACAACAACAACAGCATCACCACTGCAATACACACTGAGTAGTGCACATACACTCCAACTCATACATACATACATACATACACACACACACACACACACACACACACACACACACACACACACACACACAAAATCAGACATAGCATATATATACCCTTCATTTCTTTCATTTTTGCCCATGTACTTTCTTTTCATTAAAAAGTTCTTGCCTTTTCTTTTCACATACTTTCGAACTACATTCGTTGCAATATACTTGTAAAGTAACATGGGCCTGATGATGATTTGGCTAGGTACATAATTGGAGGTAATGATAGGTAGTGAAGAGGCGGCTTGACGTTTGACAGTAGCAAAGATCATGACCACTTTCATTGGCTACCGATTTGACGCGAAAAATAAAATGATCTTCGCCCTGTACGTGTATGTGGTGGCCGTCGCCTGTTGATCAGTCGATGTCGTGCGCTGATCTCGGGTCATCGTCATCGATAGCAGCAAAAGAAACTTCATTACCATCACTACAATATACATATTCACGCGTGCATCGTCGACGCCACAAACAACCACACAAAAAAAGGGCATATCTACCATTCGTCTTTGTGCACAAGGAGGGAGCGAACTCAAACAAGAAATAATCCCTCAATGGAACGAAATGTATTGGTTATTTGATCGTGCCTGAAAAACACATCCCCCTTGCCCCCCCTTTTTTTTTGCAAAACCTTAATCGCACACCTGCATTCACAAACATAGACCATTGGAACGAAAGCACTGCTTTTTGATGACAAACATATCAAAGCAAAAAATGGGAAGGGACTGGAGGCGGTGGAATGAGAAAACAGAGGCAAGAATGCGGGGAGGTAATGAGAGAAGGATGTTCGTTTAGACATGTCATTGGCAAATTGTCAAAACACCACCGCCTACCATTTACACCAAACCTCCAAACACTACTGTCGCCTTTTCCAACATATAAGAAAGAAGAGAGCCTCCCCAAGCAAGGGGAGTAGAAACAAAGATAAACGCGCAACTCCTAAAACCAGGAGTCGATCGTGTTTCCGCCCTCAAATTGGTGTCTTACTCCCCTTTTTTCCCTTATGAGACGCCAGGGCTGCTTTATTACGCTAAAAGGGAAGGAATCCTTAATAAATTCCTCTCTTCTTCCCTCGCTATCTACTCCCTCTTTCTCTTAATCCCTAGTGTTGTTTGGATGTAGGCAGAAGATAGGAAATTCGTTCTCTTGCATATTTTTTTTCGCATGGAGGTTTTTATCAAAAAGCCCTTACAAGAAATGACATGCATGTGTGTATGCATGCATGTATGCATGTATCCACCTGGTGTCCCTTGAGAGCGTATACACACCACGCCAGGGGGTACGAGTGCATGAGCTAGTGAGCAAATGAAGAAAACAGAACGAGGGATGGAGCCCACAAAACACGCGCCTTACATCGTCTTCATTTCCCTTCCTCGATTTTATCTAACGTTTGTTTATATCCAATGGATGAACCATTAGGGTTGCACAAAAAAATATATGAATATGTGTAAACAAATGCCAAGGGACATAAAAGAAGGTCTCGGCCCTTTTATTTTAGTCCATGGTGTATGAATGACGAATCGGTGAGTGTTGGGAGTAGAAAAGAGATGACACTTGATGGATTCATGGGGCACGATGGATGTTTTTGACCAGAAGTGGGAACGAAAAAACGAACTCGACTAAGACGTTTAACGTTTCTGCTCCGTTTGGTGTTGTGGAGGAGCAACATAAAAACGGAGATGAACCGACAAGACCTTTCTTTGTATGCCCTTCATATTTCTTCAGCGTTCTTTTTTGTTTTCCTCTTTCTTTCTCAACTCACCATTTCTTTGTCCCCAATCCTGGTCGTTTTCGCATTTCATTCCCTTCTTTCTTCTCGTCGTCGTTTGTTACTCAACCTCCTATGTACCTTCAGACGCATACTTCCTTCCGTGCATATCTCATATTTCATATCCCAGCAGCACACTTTTTTGTTATCTTCGTTTTTCCACCTTTCATCCTTTCGCATATGTCTGCCTACTAGTCAAGAAAAACAAACATGGTCTCAACACATCAACCTCCATCACATCCACCACCACCCCGGTCACCCTCCACTACTTCCTCCTCCCAATCCTCCCACATTACACCCCACTTCTGTCACCCCTTCCCAGCCACAACAAAGAAACACCTCTTACTCTTCCTCCGCACACTAATCCTCCTCCTATCCCTAACAACCCTAACCCTCGACATTGTAACAATCTCTTTCAACCACACCCACCACCACCACCGCGACTTGCCTCTCCAGTTCTCCCTACCCTCGTCCTCCTCATCCTCTCTCCCCGACAAAGCCTTCATACCGCTAGTACTCGTACCCGATATCACTGCCGTGGCAATAATGATCGTCTTGCTTTGGGAGTCGGCGCATTTGAGGTTACGCGATCGGTGGTGGTGGAAGTGGTATGTTGGGGCTAGGGTTTTGTTTGGGGTGGTGCTTTTAGGCGTGGGGACTGTTGAGCCAAGTATGGAGGCTATTTATTATGCGCAGAGTGGTAATGGATTGAAAGAATATTTCTGTGTGGGACCGACGCGGGTCTGGAGGGGGAGGAATGAAGGTGATCCAAGGTCAGGAGGCGCTGGATGGTTCGAGAACATCGATCGTGATGGGACTTACACCGGTGGAAGCGACATCAACAACAACAACGGCGCCAACTATAGCAACGACGGTACCAATACCACAAACGGCGAATGGCAGAATGGCAACGGCAACAACAGCAACAACAACAACAACAGCGGGATGTACTACGGAACAACAAACATCCAACATTGCAAATTATTTCGCTCGAGATCTATCCTAACATTCATCTGGCTCCTCTTGGTGCTTCTTGAACTCCTCCTCACCTACTCTATGGGTGAATTCCGGTCGCGCTCGCGACGAACAAGGCGAGAACAACAAAGCGGTCTCGGATCAGCAACCGGAAACTGTGGAGGTGGTGGAGGAGGAGGACGATGTGACACGAAACGACCGGCGTCGATCGGCTCGAGTGAGCTGTGGTACAAAGACCAATATCACCCCAACAGACACAACAACAATCAACAACAGTATAAAAACGACAGGACATTAGACCATGTTGAAGAGATTGACTATGAAGATTACGAGGACGAAGAGGAGGACGATGTGTACTCTCGTGCAACATCTTCGCGTCGGACATCAGAGTCGTCGACATCTTCAAGAGTAATCACTCTACAGGAAGGGCCTCAACCACAATCACAACCACAGCACATCGACAGATGCGTTGAGGTCCCGATGCAATAGATCACTACCGTTACCACAACGACAATGGTACCTACTCCATCCATCGCCTTCACATCCTTTATTCTACAAGCGCCAATTTAGACCGCCAGGTGGAGGGACTAGACCACGTCAAACACATTCTCCCGCCCTTTCACCTGACTCCATCACATTCACGCAAATAATAAATGATCAACATCATACCAATACTGAACCAAGAAATTCGTTGTTTCATACCTTTATTAATGATAGATATTCCTTGTAACCCCTCTCGACATGGACAAGTACGTCGGCCATAGGTCAAACACATCAATCATTCACGCTGATCAACATATCCAACCCTGCAGTCAAATTACCCCATGTCCATCCGGCCAGTTGTCCCATTAATAGAAAACCCATGGTATCGAAAATCCCTATGTGCATCGAATCACACGTCCCCCAGCTACCAAATGACAATCTTCTCGTCGATCCGTGCATTCCTCCGTCTCTTCTTCTTCCATGTGATACACCATCTGGTGGTCATCCTGCGGGCTGCTTACGTCAACTGAACAATCTTGATGCTATGACGATACCATGCATCAAAAAACAAAGGGCGGAAAAGGCGTTTTCATTAGTCAATTGTTTTGCCTCTCCATATAAACATGCAAGCATGCAAGCATGAAAAAAATGACTTACATGATGGTGGCACTGATGCCAATCAACAATACTGTCAAAGCGCAATAGGCGACCGCTAATCCCGGAACAGGACTCGATAGGGGAATCGCACGCATTACACTTGACTCGTCCTTGGTCTTGTTGGCGACATCATTCTCTGGGAGGTAGAGCGTACGGTGTCGAAGCTCCGAAGACTTGACCTCACAGTCCATTCCTGTCACCGTAATCGAAGTCTCGCTCGAGTTGATCACTGCCTCCTTGGATGAAGACAAATCCTGAAGACTGGTCTTGGAATCTGCGCTGCCAGATCGAGCAGACTCGGCGAAACTCTTATTATAGGCGCCACCATTGGCATCGAGATTCTCCCCTGAGGCCTTCTCGCTCCAGATATCCCGAGATCCGCTTTGACCATCTGGCGACTGCAAGTGCTTGGTATCATGAGAATCGCACTCCAAAGAATCAACGGCGACAACAACGGCACCGTGACCCTCTCCATGCTTTTCCATTTCCATGTCCGTGTTTACACCACGTCCATTAACAAGCTCATCGTCGCCATTTTCGCTTTGAGTAATCTCAGAAGACTGCTCAGAATGCCCAACCTCACACTCTGAAGAAAGCTTTACAACCTCTGCAGCCTCCTCCGCCGTCAAAGTACCACACAACTCCTTGTCCAGCCGTTCCTGAATAGCGCGGTCCGCAGGCGTCATGGCCATCAATCTCGCCTTGTACTTTTTCGAGTAGATGTAAAGCAAAAAAGGAATGACAAAGTTCGCCGACGACACCAAAAACAACGAACTCCACCCAACCACGGTGGTCAATCCAGATCCAGTCATACAGGGGATCGCCACCAACCAGGGCAACCCACCCGTTATCACGTTCGCCCAGGCCTTGCGACACGTCTTGGACTGGATCAGATTGTACCGCAGGACAATCATGTTGATCGGTATCGATGTCACCAGCGCCGCAATCGGAAAAGTGTAGCCCGCAATCTGTGACAAGGTCGTGACACCCGGAGAGGAGGTGATCGCCTGGATCATGGTCGAGTTCTCCGGAATCGCATACGCCATCCCGCCAAGCACCGACACCAGGGCAAACAGGGTCGTCATCAGCGTGACATCGGTGCCAACAGTTTTGTGGGCGGAGACATGACTCTGCTTGGCGTTCGCCCAGGACGGGATTGCAGTGATGAACGCATAGTTGAACAGGATCGACCCAAACGTCTGTGATAAGTCGGCCCCCACCGCAGGGACGCGTGACGTATCGAGACCACGCTGGAAAAAGGTGACGATCCACTGGACAAAGATCAACATGATCACCATGCTGGACCCAACTTGGAGCCAAATGTTCTCGCTCAGGTTGAGCAGACAGAGGGGTACGATCAGTATCATCGCCACCAGTGCTCCTGTGCTTGTGATTAAGTTTCCGGAAAAGGGGCTGGCAGCGGGGAGCTGCTCGCTGACACAGACAAAGGCAGCGTTCGGGTACACCTGAATGCCACAGGTCCGATGGGCGATCTGGATCAAGAGATTGTCAAAGAGCTGGGCACAGATGGCAATCGACGCAATGATGGTCGTCTGCAGCGCGAGGAAGCAGATGATCTGGACCACCGCCTGGTATCGTCGTCCAAAAAAGCACACAACCATGTTGGAGAACTCGATCTATCGATAATACATTCAGAAACAATGATAGGACCCTTTACTGGTTAGAAAATGTTGCCCTGCCTCTGCATCTCAAAACGAGCCAAGTATCAGAAAAATAAAATTTCGGAAGGAAAAGTAGCAAGGAGAGCAACTTACATTTGCCTGGTGACGTTCGTTGCCCGGAACCTCTGTCATGGCCTCGCAAACAAACATGCAGCTCAGATAGCTCAGGACGCCGACGAGTGCAAATCCAATGACGGTCGGGACCCAACCGGCACTCTGGGCTATCAAGGGAAGCGAAACGGCGCCTGGTCCAGTCGTGTTGCAGATCAAGAGACAGAGGCCTCCTATGAACGAGATATCCTTAACCACAGTAGCAGTGGCAACCGGGCCGGTTCCTGTTTCGTGAGATCCATGAGAACCGATCGTGACAGAGACATCTTGATCTTGCTCCTGGCGGTGCAATGAGGACGGACCCGAAAGCGACAGACGACGACAGCGTGATCTAGTAAGAGAATGGACTCTCTCAAAGAACCCACCGACAAGAGTTCTCTGTTCGGATGGTGGGCTCGACTCCGATCGACGTGCTCCGATGCTGGTGGTGGTAGACGACATGGCATCGGGGGAGACAGAAGTAGGGCCTGATGAAACCCGCTGAACCTTATTGGATGCTGGTAGTGGCATTGTTTTTTTTTTTGTTGGTTGGTGTTATGGTTGTTGTGTGGTGGGTTGGTTGATGTTGTTGTTGCAGGGGCAGGCTGGTGTTGTGCAGGAAAAGGAGAGTATGGATGCTCTGCTTCAATTGCTGGGCTGGTTCGGCTTTGGTTTGGTTTGGTTGTTGTTGTTGTTGAATGATGAGGTTCTCCTTGATGAAATAAGGAGATATCGGTAGGTAGGTTTGGTTTTGTAGTTGTTGGCTTTCTGTCGTAGAAGAAAAGCGCAAGATATGTATGTGTTGTATCGAGCGCCTAACCACTAATGTTTTTTGTATTTTGCTGTCGCTTTCAGTCGTATATGTCGGTCTGAGTATGGATGCATGGACTCGGCTTCTACTCATGGCAGATGATATTGAGGGGTGTGTAGAGAAGAGAAAAAAAATATTGATATTAGGTATTTTACTAACCTCCATTCAAGGGGGAAGAAGAAGACAGCATTGGGCTTCGTGTCAACTGGTACAACCACAGTTGACAAGCACCTTTAACCCAGTGACTATATGGTTGCTTTGATTCCATTGAGAGATCGGCCCTTTATGTTTGGTCATGAGATCCATCCCGCTCCTTTTTTTAGCAATGGGCTGGATTCAAGTGCGTGTCAGTTCTGAGAGGGATGTCCGAGTGTTCCAAGTGGTTGTGCCCCCACACGACAAAAGAGACAAAGTGTCTCCCAAAAAAGGCTCGTCGTATTCACTTGGTGTGTCAGTTGGACTAAAATCTACATGCCATGAGTACCGTTGAGGTCAACGAACATACCCTGTTAGAAAATAATGGTGGAGGGTTTGAAGAGGAGTAAGGGGGGGTGGACAAAGAGTAGCCTTTTTTGTCGACTGGGTGTGTAGCTTTTGGGCGAGTGGAGTGAGAGTTTAAGTGAGTGCTTGAGAGTGCGGGTTTAGAGTGAGTGAATGAGAATGAGGATCTGAATGAGAGTGATGGATGAGAGTGTTGTTGTTGTGTTTAGTGAAAGGAAAGAAGAAGAAAAAAAAAAAAAAAAAAGTTAGAAGTGCCTGCGAGTCCGTTTTATACGCTGTTGTGTTTCTGAGTGGTCCATCCCATCTCCGCTTGAATGGCATATCATCATCCAGCATTCTTTGCCTCCGAATCACATACATCACATATGAGTGGAGTCCTTAAAAAAAAAAAAAAAAAAAAAAATCACACTTGCGTGGAGTGGAGTAGAGTGGCAACGAACCCTTTCTTTATTTGACACCTGAACAGCCAGTCGGAAAATATAAAAACGACTGACATCATCGCAATTGATCGCAAAGGTCAAGACGCTCGACCCAGGCAAGGTACTTGTCCGCCAATGCCCCCTGCAACTTTTCCGGACCACCACTCTCCTCCGCTGCCTTTTCTTCATCCTCCGTCCCTTTTCCTGTCAACAAACCCTCCACAAACGCTCGCTCGCTGGCCAATGACACAAACCACTCCTCCCCTTCTTCTTCCTCCTCCTCCTCCTCATCCCCCGCTTGCTCCCCCACATCTTCATCCTCAATTCTAACCTCCCTATTGCCACCAACAAAACCATCACTAGAATCGAGCAACAACTCAGTCTCAGAATCCAGCCAACAGACTCCATAGTACACGAACCGAAGATGGTACCACAGCGACTCGTGTCCTGGATACGTCCGGACCATCTCCCGCGTCCTCTCCAGCTCAGAAACCCACAGCCGGACCACCCACGCGAAACTTGCTCGCGCCAATGTCAGTGGAAGCGATCCTTCGGCTTGTCCATCGCCGCCACTACTTCCAGAGGAAACCAAGGAAAATGAAGATAGACCCTGCACTTGACGCCTGATAGCACTCTGTCGAGATCCAGCTCGGGTTTCTCCTTGCATCTCCGTCCTCTCTTCTTCCTGGTTCTCTTTACCTTCCCGCTGCTTCATCTTCCTACTCCTTACTCCTGCTTTTGTCCTTGTCCCCGCAACGGCTGTCCTCCTCCGCTGTCGCCTAGACATCAACTCCTCTCGCGTCCACTGCAGCGCAACCTCAACATTCGACATTGACTCTTGAACTTTCCTCTGAACAATCCATTGTCCACTCAACTGAGTCATACACTGCTGAAGGTGTTGCTGTCCTGAATGATCCGACACGTTCCTCTCCATATGCCTCTTCATCCGCTCAAACTCCCTTTCCAGAGGAGTCAAGTAATACTCGTCGTCCTGCTTTTGTCCCTGGTCGCATTTCATCTTGCCTTCGTCGCCGGCTACAACAGCAGTAGAAACAACAGCAGCTTCATGGCGGACAAGACTAGCTTTCCACCAATGGACGCCAAGATGCTCCACCAACCAATGTCGCATCGTCCAGGCATAATAGCATTTCGGATACCGCTCTGCAGCATCCTGGCAAATCTTGAGCTGGCCTTCTACCACCAGCGGATCCAGTGGTACCGTCCTGTAATCCTTGTACATAAAGCATAACAGCCATTTCCTATAAACAACGAGGTGTATTCGATGTCAACTGATGATGCATCATGATAAAGCGAGGAGCATCTACCGGTGATAACAAGGCGAACGAGAACTGTAAGCTTCAAGTTTTCCTTTCGTACCTGTGATGCCAGGCTCCAGAACTCTTGCAATTCCTTGGGAAAGTAAGCACAGTGTCTAGAAGCCGGACCTCCTCCTCTGCAGATAGATACCCCTCCTGAACAAGTCGTTTCCTATAATCACGGCAAAACAATCAAAGGTCTATAGAATATCCTACTTGGGCAAGCCGAACCACATACACGCTCCCCCTTCGAAAACAAGAAAAAGGTGATATCGTTACCTGGCATTGAGAGCCGTGAAAGAGTCTGGACAAAAGATCATCAAACACGTACTCGAATCGGTCACTCTCTTGCGCCTTCCTATCCATTATGAAAAGAAAGTGTACGCCATCAGCTCATCTCTTCTGCAGGGTAAAGAACGAACAAGAACTATGCACGCGTGCCGTGTGACGTGTGTGCAATCGTATGGCCAAGGCAAATGAAGAGAAGCTGAGAGGCAGTACCTGGATCGTGCCACCAGTCCACTGACGCTCCACCCGTCACTGTTGAAGAAGACCTAACTGCGTCCTTGAACACGCCATAGGCGGCATCCAGAACAGGCACCCAGCAAAAGATGGGGATCCCCAGTTTAGTCCTCCGTTCTTGAACCACAAAAGGATATTGAACACAGTCTCCTTCTTCTCCACCAGTCTCTCCTTGACATTGCTCTGGCTCCGGAAGGAATGGCAACACACCAATCTCATCTCTAGGACGTTATTCATCGCGTGTTGTGTAAAAAGTCGAATGGTCAGTCAGCTTGTCGAGCTCAAACGACGACTTCCATGAAGTCGCTCCTTGTACGCAACGAGTAAGACAGGCGAATGTGATGCGCGCTTTCTTTCTTTACATCTGACTTTTGTCTAGAAGCTCTACTAGTCGAGAGTAGAGGACATCTTTTGTGAGAGTAGGATCCAGTTGAGTGATGGATGTGTTTGCCAAACGCGCCTCTGCCGACATGGTTAAGAATCAAGAGATGAATGTAAAAAAAAAGTTCAAGGTTGTATTAAGAGTGAGAAGGAGAGAAAGAAAGAAAAATGAGCTAGACGACAACTTTGCACAAGAAATAAAGCGGAGCGATATTCCCCATCCTGACAAAAACGATTCGCATTTAAATGTACTGGGACATCCAGAGGAAACCTGTGAAAGGATGATAAGAGGATACGCAATGGTAGTTACATGTGTTAGCATAAGCACTTTGACCACCAGGCCAAGAATCGACAACAATACGAGACAAGGAGACAAGTGATCAAGAGACATCGAAGAGAAACGTACCATCACCGTATCCCTGCTTCATGACGACAGAGCACATGAAGACCTCGATGGGGCGCATGTCCTTCAATGGGACCTTGCCCTTGCCAGTGGTCTGGATCAATCCGAGGGCAGAGCGGAGCTCCTCCTCAGAGACGGCGCCGGGAGCGTCAATCTTGTTTCCGAGAATCAAGAAGGGAACACGCTCGAGCTGCTGGATGGCAAGGAGAGCCTATTTTGTTTTTTCACACAAGTAAGAAGCAACGTTGGTTGTGAGCATTGGGTCGGTCCAGTAAGCATACTGAGAGATTGGTCCTCGTATGATCGAATCACTCTGGAAAGAAATAACAGCATAACAGCCGATCCTTACATCCAACTCAGCCTTGGACTCCAAGAAACGCTCGCGGTCCTGGCAATCAACCAAGAAGACAATGCCGTTGACCTCGGCAAAGTAATCCTTCCAGATACGGCGGGCTATTTGTGTGCAAGAAATAAAAAAGTGGTGTGATTAGTACGACATGCTTATGTGGTTGTTGCGTATTTTTTTTCTTTGTCAATCGGACACGTAAGACTTTCACTGTCGAATTGCCATTTCTTGTCGTCTGGCAAGACCCTTCCTTTCCATCGAAATACTCCTGACTGGCTGTCCGCCCACCGTATTCGACTTTGCCCCGATACGCTTCTTACCTTGCTGATGTCCACCGAGATCAAAGGTAGTGAATTTGACGTTGGCGATGGAGAGCTCCTCAGAGGCTATCAAAGATAATGACCAAAAAAAAAAAGAAGGGGGAGATATTCAGTCAGTTGATGATTCCTCCTGAAGAACTGCCACGTATTGACTTGTCGTAGCGACAACAAAAACACACATCGTTTCAGTCCAGTTGAACAGGAAAGAAACAAGACACATCAGGAGACATACTGGGGTGAAGAGTAGGCTGGAGAGTGGCCAAGCGGTCATTCTTCAACATGTGAAGCAAGGTGGTCTTTCCGGCGTTATCAAGACCGAGGAAGAGGATCTTGGCGTTCTTGTTGAACAGACCTACACGGGTACAACAAAGCATGTGAAAAAAACAGGTAATGTTAGATCTCCTTGTCATCGGTTTTGTAAGGCCATTTGGTTGGATCGAAGATCACCCAGGTTGTGTCCAGTTAAAGAGGTCAAAAAAAGTTGGTGAGCTCAAAAAAGAGATGATGGCCAAACAACATCACTTTTTTTTTTGTCCCCGGTTCCAGAGGACCCTCGTCAACAACGAAAAAGTACATGGGCCTTCTCTTTGCGTGGGTCGATAAAAATAAGTAATATATAAACTAGCTGGCTTCTTTCTCAAGTGTTATTTGCGTAACCATGACGATAGATAAGGCAACAATAAAGGCCAAACAATGCAAATGTTGTTGGGTGGTGTAATATAAGACAAGGTGTGGTTGTTGGGTGTGCCGAATGCATAAAAAAGAAGCGGTGTCGCGCCGGCACCCAGATTGGTCATCGCAATTGCGTGAGTGTATGCGTGTTTCCTCCTTCCCCCAGTATGTGAGGGCGTCGTCGTCGTACCCTTCCTGTCTACCTTTGCTCACTCCTTATTCCTTATTTCCCGAGTCCGATGAAAGTCAAGCCCCTGAGCCAGTTTTTGATGAGCGTGTTTCTGCACACTCAGGCCAAGTGGTCTTTGTTGTCTCTTGTTGCCTGTTGCGTATCCCTGATCAGCGAGTCAACTTGTCAAGTCCTGTGTCTTTGTTAAGTGAGGCGATGAGTCCATGTCCAGAGGCAAGGGCTGTCGCGGGACGTGTGTGTTCACCCATAAGCTCAAGTGTGGCAGTCGGTGTTCTCCTTTTCAGAAAGTGGTGTTGCAACAGGCAAGAGAATGAGGGAAAGAGAAAGGTCGCTGCTGCTGAGTGAAAGATGAACTCACCAAGGGAGGAGAGGACGTCGCGGAACCATTCGATGATGAACATGATGATCTGTGTGTGTGAGAGAGAGAGGGAGTGTTGAATAAGAAGAAGGAAAAAAAAAAAAAAAAAAAAAAGGACGAAGAAGTAAGAAACAGGTTCAAAAAAGGGGCAGAGAGGTATGCTAACAATCACGTGCGCAGTTACTTAGTCGCTGGAAACAAAGACAGCAAGCTCGATCATTTTCATGGTCCGTCTTCACGACCATGGAAGCGGTCATGGATTGAGCCATTTTTTACAAAGCAAAGACCGACAAAAGACATGACATTTCATATGCCAGACAGACAGCAGGGAGACACAAAAAAAATAGTCTGTTGCTCAAGTGCTTTTTGTCTCTTCCGGCACATGGGAAATGTCCTTGTCCGTTCAACATGAACACCTTGTCTTCCTCACTTTTCCTTCCCTCTGATCTCGATCTATGCGCCACTTTTCATTAACGCATGACTTCATTCAGGGTATGGGCCTGAGCGTTGGCCCTTGAAATGATATTCCAACCAAAACCAACCAATGGAGTGATGCCTGCTCACAACAGTGTGTCTACATTGGACCACAAAAAAAAATGATAACAAAGACACGGTTCGGTTTTTACCCAAGGTGAGGCACCAGGAGTACAAGTAGGTTTATTATTCTATTGAAGAAGAAAAAAAAGAAAAGGAGAAAAAAAAGAATAAAAAAAAAAAAAAAAAAGAAAAAGGTAAAGTGCGCTATGGTGGTTGTTGTTTTTTGTGAGATGGTGGAGAGAGTTTTCTGAATGTTTTTGGTAGAATGCAATGGCATCCATATTGTACAAAGTAGAGTGAGTAAAGAGTCAGAGGAAATAGGTGCGAAGAGTGGATACAGATAAAGTAGTGTAGTTGTAGTAAGGCAACAAGGGGCGATATGGTACATGCCCAACAACACGAGAGTTGAATGGACTAGTCGTTGGTCGTCGAATCCTCCTGTCCTTGCAGGTTAGAGTATTCGGGCCAGACGACACTGTTGAACAAGGGACCTTGGTTAAAGTCAAGAATGTACTCGGAATCCGTCATCTCAAACCCATACGAGATAGCCGATGAGTCCAGCAACAACAAATCGGCCTTGTTGAAAGACGATGATGAGGTCGACCTGTTGTTCTGCTGATCACCATAGTATCCGTCGAGGTCGCTGTCGCAAAGAAAATCGTCATCAGAGTCGGAGGACCAGTCATCTTCAGAGGCTACCACAATCTCTCGCTTGCCCTCGCGGCATCGTCGTTCATATGTCGTCTCCTGGAGCGAGTTGGATCGACCACGTCCACGCGGAGGGCGGTGTTGACGCTGATCTTCCCGTCGCCACTTCTTGGTCGTAGTTCCAGGCAACATATCGTCGCGTGATCGCTTCAAATGGGTCATATGGCTCAGCGAACTCAACGGAACCGACACAAGGCGATGCAGAGGAACGTCTTCGGGCGACTTCTTCGAGAGGGATGGCGCAAGGGCCAACGCTGCGAGCTCCTCTGTAGGCGTGGTAGGCGAAATCTCGTCAGTGGAGGGGGCAGAAGGCGAAGATTCCTTTGCAAGGGCTCGCCCGGAAGAGGCAATCCTTTCTCTAGAAACGACAGTAGGTAGAGTCTTGGAACGCTTCCTCTCGACCGGCTTTGGTGACGACGGAGTGTTGGGACCAGCCGTCGAAAACTCTTTGCCAAAGGAGGCCTTGAAGTCTTCGGATGATACAAACTCGGACAAGTTTTGAGGAGGGCGACGGACACGACGGGTGGTCGCGGGAACAGGATCGGACGAGGGTAACATGGGTGTCTTTGTCTCAAGGGGATTGGAGGCCGAGGAAGCTTCGTCTGTGGTCGATGAAGTTGCAGACTTGTTGCTAAGAACAACTCCCTTATCCTCCAAGTCCGCCTCATAGTCGGGCGATGAAGGAGGGGTCGAGGGCGCATAGACCTCTTTGACCATAGTCCGGAGAGGTCTCGGACTCTTTGGATCGTCATAGAGCTCAGAGGCCGCGGGCGAGGGGAGGTCGCTTCTGGGAGAGCCATCTTGCTTGCAATTGATCTTGGGAAGCGAAGAGGTACTTCTGGACCGAACCGCCGTGGCTGTAGATGTGGTTGTGGGTGTGGAAGGAGTGAGAGGAGCGGCAGTAGTCAAGGAGGACGTAGCAAGGAGGCCATCGTCATTGTCTGCGAGACTCTTTCTCCCCTTCTTGTTGCTTGAAGCAGAGAGGATCTCATGGGCATTTTCGTGCAGTGTCCAGAAGCAACCCTTGCCATGGTCGTTCTTGACCCTCTCCAGTTTGATGAAGGCCTTGCTCGACGACAGATTATGTCTAATCGAGTTCTGTATAATGTATCGAATGTATGTATAAATGTAAACAATGGATGTTGTAAATCGACGAAGGTACAGTAGACCAAAAACACAAACAACAACAAAAAAAAACAAGAGCACAAAGACGCCTGCTGGCCCTTTCGTTTCATTGCTGACGTTACCTGCCAACCAGTGGGACTGTCCCGATAAAAGGGATGTCGGGTCTCGATCCACGCATAAATCTCACGCAGGGTCAGACGTTCGTTGGGTGACTGGGAGATGGCGTGGAGAATGAGATGAGAGTACGAGATATCCGGCTTCCGGTGCATATCTGCTGATGTCGTGGTCGTCGTTGCTGTTGCTGTTGCTGTCGCTGATACTGGCTCACTCTGGCTCAGGCCGTCTGACGAGGCAGCATTAGTGACACCACTGTCAACACCACCACGAGTCGAGTCCATATCGATTCGGTTGGTCTCTTTTGAGATGTCTCGGCCCTTGTTGACCCTGGACCTTGAAGCCTTGGACTTGCCCTCGACCCCAACCTCAACCTCGGCCAAAGAGGCAGCTCCACATTTGGAAGAGGTGTCACCTCTCTGCAAAGGGAGGACGATAGAGAAGGTCTGGGCAGGCATCGACTCGATTCCCTTAGCGACGACGACAGTGGACCGAGATCGCTTGCGGGCGGCGTTAAGTGGTGGGTAGTTTTCCTTGCTGTCGGGGTGGTCGTTTGTATGCACTGACGACGACGACGAGAGAGACTCTTCCTTTTCCTTTGCTGTGAATTCCTCGATGCCAACCAGGGGCTGGCGACGCGTGGAACTGCTACAGTGGACGCGCTGCTGTTGTTGTTGTTCGTGTTGTTGTGGATGCGGTTGTGGGGGCAACTGTGAGGGCTCGTTCACGTCAACAAGGACGGGCATGGTCGCGAGGGGAGGGAGAGTGTTGCAGGCGATGCAAGGAAAGGGGAGGGAGTAGGTGCTGTCGAGGGAGGGGGAGAGAGAAGGAAGGAAGGAAGGGGAGCGACAACAGCTAGGGGGTCGAGCGCGCGCGCGTTTGCACTTGCTGATCCTGAAAAGACCGAAAGCAAGATATTTATAAAAAGGGGGGTAGAGTGGGAGTGGGAGAGAGGGTGGCGAGGAGGATGGGATGGGATGGTGGTGGGAAACACACGCGGGGAGGGGAAAAGAAACAGCGGGTGACGAGAAAGGTGAAGGAGGAGAGTTGGAAGGGAAAGAAAAGAGGGAAGAGAGAAGTGAGATGGAGGGTGATTAAAGAGATTAATGAGAGACGGACGGTTAGAACGTGCTTTAATATCACTTATTAGCAATAACAAAGGCAAGAGGCAAGAGTGGGGGGTTGGAGAAGGAGGGTTGATGGAGTCAACACAAAAGAGAAGGAAAGGAGAATGAGCAAAAAAGAGAGAGCAAGGACAAGAGGAAGGAATGACGATGACAAAGGTGTGCACACACTCAGACATACACATATACATACAATCAGGAAGGACAGAGAAAAAGGACAAAGAGAAGGTGGAAGAAGAACAAGAAGAACAAGATCAAACAACAGAAGAACAAGAGGAAGGGGCAACAAGAAACACAATAGAATTCAAAAAGAGCAGAAAAAGAAGGAGAGGCGGAGGATGGTGGGAGGACGAGGATGAATAGGGTTTGGGGTCCATGTCACTTCCTTCTGGAGGGGTGAGAGTTCGAGTCAAGGAAACAACAGCACTTGGCGAAGAGTCCTTTTGCAGGAACAACGAGGACAGAAACAAGAAGAAGTTTCCGACTTACACGAACAGGAGGGAGAGAGGAAGAAGGGAAAGTGATTGTCGTAGGATACAAAGAGTTGGAGAAGGAACGAAATGGAAAGGGAGGGGAGAAAGAAAAAGACAAAAAGAATAGGGCGAGAATGTGATGGACTGAGTCAAAAGGGAACACGCAAAAAATGCGCGGCGGATATCTGAAAGTGAATTGCATGAAAAGGCAGGCGCAGTGAACGAGCAAGGAGTGGCAGGGTTTGGGAATAGAGAGAGAGAGAGATAGGTGGTGGTGGGTCACCGTGGGTCGGAGTGAGTAAAGTGAGTGGATGTGCTTACCTGTGAGAGCCAAAGGAAAGTCGCCGAGGAGGGGTGACGGGAGAAGGGCGAAAAAAAGGGAGGGAAAAAAGAAAAAGAAAAAGAGAGAAAAAGAAAAAGGAGACGAGGGGGAAAGAAGGAAAGAAAAGAAGAAAACAAAAAAAGAGGAGTCGCAAGCCAACAACCACAAAAACAAGGACAACACAAGGTGATGAGATGAGAACAAAGACAAAGAAGTGGCTCCTGAATGAACAAAAAGGAATGAGCAGGCGCTGTAAAGTGGGGTCACCGAGGAATAGGGAGCACAAAGGAAGACAGGCAAGAACGCAAGAAGACAAGAGGTATGGCCCATCATCATCATCTTTCCCCACCTTCCTTCAAAACCACAACTCGTCTCTCGCTTTGCGAACGATTGGCCATGGGAACAACTGAACGATCGAATTGTGCACAGTGAGCGTTTGTACTTCATCGATCGACCCACCCGTCCATTTCCATTTCCATAGCCCAGCCCATCCCAGTCTATGGAGACGGTGCAGCGACAGGGCGTTGCTTGTTGGTCCCTGTCTTTTCGTCTTTTCCCGCACCTTGACCATGCAACTCGCCTCTGTTTGTTCGAGCTTCTTTTTCCGTTGAGTCCCCCCTCTCCTTGCATCATTATGATTTTTTGCCACCACATCCAAAACATTTATCACAAGCTCCCTCGACACGGCGCTTCCTTCTGTCCCGTCTCTCGCACACGTCTCACTTCACTTCTGTCCCGTCTCGCGTGCTAGGGAAACCGTTTTATTTACAATGAAAAAAAAATTACAACCTACATGATAGTGCAGCAACAGATCCCCCTCTCCACATCCCTATCCACTCCCATCGATGCAACAACCTGTCCTCCTCCACCCACACCTCCACCTCGACTCTTACTCCCCCTCCTATTCCTACTCCCATTCCCTGGCCCATTAATTGCCGGCGGCGTCACATTCGTCGAATACCCCTTCGTACTAGCAGCCGGCGCCCCGATCGTATGCATTGCGATCCCAGTCCCAGACCTGATCGAAGAACCCCCTCCCGCTCCCATGGGAGGTATCAGCGGTGGTGGGTGGGGGTAACTCCGGCTTCGACTACTACTTGTGCTAGGATGATGTTGATGCCGTCCACCAGGTCTTACTTTGCTGTGGGTGCGGTTGTGGTGGTGATTGTGGTTGCTGTTGAGATTGCTGTAGCTGTATCCTGCCCTGACTCGAGCACGTTCAATCTCTCGGACGAGTTCTGTAAACATCTCGTGAATATTAACCCCTGTCTTTGCACTAATTTTTTGTTGTTGTTGTTGTCGTGCCAAGAAAAAAAAAAGGGAAAAAATGAAGTAATAAAAATTAGCCCATCTGACAGATCCACATATCCAAACAAACACGGGGGCACACTCCCAACACCAAAAACACAACAAACCAAAGCCAACAACTAACCTAGTCTCGACAAAGAGCGCGTTGGATCGTTCAGCAAACAGGGCACCAACATCGGTATGGACCTGTCGCTCGCCTCCATCCTCGAGATCACACTTGTTGCCCGTAATCACAATAGGAACTCGTCTGGATCCCTTTGCACGCCAAATCTGGTCACGGACCCCGACTAGCTCCTGGAACGAGCTCATTGACGCTATCGAGTACACACAGATAAATCCATCGCCTGTTCTATTTTGAAGAATGACAAGGAGAAGGGATGGGAGGGCGTTGTTGGTGAGGTTAGTTCGCTCTGAAGTAATAAACCCTAGTAGTCCCGTCCAATTCACAATTCAGGGGATGTCCATGATCGATCATAAAAAGGGAGGGAAAATCAGAGGGGTCGACAAGAGAACAAAGGGCTGTCAATGTACCTCATGAAGTGGTCGTCCCATTGGTCGCGATATTCAGACTGGCCGGCAGTATCCGTGAGTTCCAGAGTGTAATCCTGTCCATCCACCTCAATATGCTTGCAGTATGAATCCTCGATCGTTGGATCGTATCTAAACGCAAGTAACAAGACAAACCGTTATGAACGGAGACAACAAAGTATTCAAACCGTAACTGTAGTCAATACGGACAACCCCCTGGACTTACTCATTGGAGAATCTAAGAGGTACGAGAAATGAAACCGAACAAGGGCACAGAGGGAAACGAACAATGGCGGGAAAAAGAGGATGGAGAGTGAGATACGTTAGAATAATGAGAAAATAAATATTGCTCAACGAAACACAAGGGGGTAGGAGGACGAACTAGAACTTGGACACCCTCTTTCACCCTGCCCCTTGGCGATGTTATAACGTACTGGTCTCGAAGGAACCGGAGGGTCAATGCAGACTTGCCGACAGCTCCATCTCCAACCACCAGGATGGTCAGCTTGCGTGGAGGACTCTTTGTCATCATGGCCCGTTTCTCGAGATCGATCGTGGACGAAGAGGCAGTAGCAGTGGTGACCTTGTGTTGTGAAGAGAATGATGGTCGTCTGGCAAAGAAGGATCCTATCGCTCGGATGGTGCTCGCGTCGTCTGAATTCCGGTGTTTGGAATGCCGACGGCTCTCACGGTGTTGACTCTGATGGCTATCGTGCTTGGTCTTCCTTGACTGTCGCTGGTCCTTCTCGTTGAAGCTCTGCGCAGAAGACGACAAGCTGGTGGCCGAGGCTGAGGTGTGGGTAGAGGAACCGGTGGTCGAGGTATCGTGAGAGAGTTGACGGACAGAGGCCAATAGTCCTCGCCAGGTACGGGTGGTCTCTTGATCGAGAAAGGCGCTGCTGGCTCGGCTGTTGCGACTTTGATCGTAGCCCGACGATCTTAGTCGGGAACTGTTGGTCGGTGTTGTACCTGAAGTGGTACTTGTAAAGGTGGTGTTGTCGGTGTATTGGCTTGGATTCTTGGAGATGACGACGTTGTTGTCAGTGGAGGTGGTGGCGGGGTCAGCGGTGTTGGATCTTTGGACCTCTTTGTGTGATGGTAACGTGGAGGAAGGGATGAGGGCGGGGTCACCAGCAGATTGGAACTGTTCGTACCAGCTGTAGCGGATGGCGTTGAGGCGGGAGCGTTGTGCTTCGACGTCGTCGGTATCGTCGTTGGGCGATGAAGAAGGAGGAGAAGAAGAAGAAGGATAGAAAAATGAAAAGTCGTTGTCGTTGTCGTTGATAATGTTATTGGAAAGAAAAGGAGGAAAAGAAGAGGAGGCAAGGGAGTGAGAGCGAGGCGAGATGGCAGCAGCGGCAGCAGAATGAGTTGTGGACATGGTTGCGATCGGTGAGCTCAAGGGTGAATCGACGATCAGGTCGCCATGGCTGCTCCTCCGTTTGGCCGCTCCTGCCGTTGCCGGAAGGACAGAAGAGAAGAAGAGAAACCCCTTGTTCTTTCTCCTTGACCTTGTTGCTGTTGTTGACGCTCCTCTGTCTCGTGCTGCCGTCGCCGTGGCCTTGGCTGTGTCTGTCAGGGAGACCAATGCCCGACCGTCGTTGTCTGCATCTGTGTTAATGATCTGTGACGGATCCCCTGTTGGTGTTGGTAATCCTTGTCGTTGCCGTAGACCACGATCGCCATTCTTGAATAGGAAGGAGGGCAACGTCAGCGACGACGATAGTCCTGACATCTTCTTGATCCTGGTCCGAACCCGTTCGCTGACAAAAGCATCGCCATCCATTGACTGCTCTTCCTTCTTCCCTTCATGTTCGTGCCATTTCTTCTCCTGCTGCATGGTTGGTGATAACGCGCTTAGCTCTTGGTGCCATGGCTGTTCTTCATGTGGAGATGACACCTCAACGATACCAACATCATCTTTGCCACACATGGTCGTTGACGTCGTAGATGTTCTCGCTGTTGTCGTCGCGATCTCGCGTTTGATTTCCTTCTGCTGATGCTGCTGAAAGTCGCTGCGATTCTGTTGGAGCCATGATCCGACCATATTGGTGTTATTATTGTTATTATTGCTGTCGCCGTTATTATTGACTTGTGTCGGATGAGAGCTAGCAGGCGTCGTCGTCCATTGATCGGGTAGAGGCGCCCGATAAAATTGCTGTACCTTTTCGTTTACTTGCAGCTGCTGGTCCTGCTCCTGCTGATGTTGCTGCTCCTTTTGACGGCCCTCCTTGTCCTTCCCCTTGAAAATATGACTCTTGTTCCTCTTGCCTTGAAGTGTGCCTGTGAGCAGGACATTGACAAGGCTTTTCGCAGATTGCTGTTGTCGTGTCTGCTGTTGCTGATGTTGCTGCTGCTGCTGTGATGTTGAAGAAGGCTCTTGTTGCTGGCGACGGTGACGGCGTATTATTGAAGCGAACTTTGCAGAAGCAGAGGACGATGGCGAGGATGACAATGGTGGAGGTGACTGTTCCTGTTGGTGTTCCTGACCGTGCATTGTCGCGTCGCTTTCGGATGCAGGGAGGATCTCTACCGTTATTGCTCTTCCCTCCGCCTCCGCTGCTAATTCTGCTGCTGCAAGTGCCTCATAGATTGATGTTGATGAATTAGCGTGTTGTTGCCAATTATCCATTACATCCGCTGCATTCGGATATTGCTGTTGTGAGCTTTGGAGATGATCCTGAGGAGTTGGCCTTTTGCGAAAGGAGTTGGGTGAGAGAGTGAAGCGGGGCATGGTGTCCAATTGAGTTGTTTCGTTACTTTTGCAGGAACGGTATTCAACAGCCGAGGTTGTTTTTTTTTTGTATGGAAGAGTAAAACAATAGGAAGATCTGATGTTGGCGTAAGCGCCAAAGAAAAGATGTGACTAAAGGGCGAAGGGTGGAACTGGAGAATGGTGTGGATGTTGGAGTGAGCTGTGGTGCTGTCGGGGTGTAACGAGAGGCAGGGCTTAATCGGAGATGGGTAGTATCAATCCGAGTGCAGTAATGACAAAAGAAAAGGAGATACTCTCGGAGAGAAGAGAGAAAAGGGGCGGTATGGGAGAAGGAGGAGAGCGAGCAATGATGACAAAAATAAGCAATTGCAATAAGCAATGGAATTAGGCACGAAGAGCGAGAAGGTGAATACGAAAGAATAAGATATGAGAGCGGAGAGTGAAGGTGTAGGAAAGTGAGAGCAAGAAGACTAAGAAGAAGGACGAGAAGAGAGAAGAGAGAAGAGAGAGAAGAATGAGGAAAATGGTGTGCATGCGAGGGTAAAGGGATAAAGTGACAAAAAAAATAAAAGAAGAGAATGAAAAGAAGAGAGAGAAGGGAGGGAAGAGAAACAAGGCAGGAAGGGTGGTCTTTGGTGGATGGGTGCCATCTTTTTTGTCTTTCGTCCTTTGACATAAGGACACCTCCTTGCATCGATGTCCCAGTGTGTTGCTTACTTTTGCGGGATGGACCTTTCTTTAGCTTGCATCCATGTTGCATTACCTTACTCATCTTCTTGTGGTTATGTTATGCTTCTCCTTCTTCCCTCTTTCTTCCTGCTTTTGAACAAACAAACATCACAGATTACAGCCTTGACTTCGCCCACCCTTTTACTCTTAGCCAGATTTGTATATCCGTCCTGTCTGCCTTTGTATGTAGAAACATACAAATGCGCATGCGATGTGTGGACAAAAATATGCGATGGCGATAAACATGTTCCCACCATGTTACCAATGCCAATGCCATTGTGCATTGCACATTGCACATTGCACATTGCATATCGATCTCTCCTATTTCTCTTTTTACCATGCACATACAATGACTCCTGCTCATCATTCGTCCACCTTACTCGCATCTTCGTTCGCGCCGTCGCATCATTATTTTTTTTGCCACTTGCTTTATCATCACACCGAATATGACCAATTACCCATGTATGGGCTCGCATTGGCTTGACTTTTGTCTTCTTTCTTCACTTTGCCCCTTTTGTGTGTAGGAAAGGACCGATCAAGGTCTACTCGAACCAACCAAAGCGCTTCTCATAGATTGACCGCCCCTTGTCAATATCGTTCTCTGCGTATCTATTTCTAACTTCTTACTAAAGTAGCCCCCCATTTCTTGGTTGACGAACCCTCCCCTGTCCCCTGTTAGGTCTTGTCGCGCCGGTGTGGAAAAATAGCTGACGAACCAAAAAAAAATAAAAAGAGACAACCTCAAACAAAGACCATCCCTAAAACCCCATCCATTACCCATCCGTGCTTTTTTCAGCTGGCCCCTCTGTACCCTTCTCCTTTTTTTGTAGTCTCTTGGTGTTGTCGGATGCTGGAGTCCTGCCTGCTTGCCTGCTTGCCTGCTTGCCTGCCCTTGAAATTGTCATATTGCAACAAACGTACCAAAGGAAAAAACTAGCCGGCAAACCCCACCCCGATGTGCGATTCAGATGCCTACAGGTAGTAAGTATTGCATAAACAAGTAGAGCTATTAAAAAAAGGGCGCCAAAAGCAGTCCATCTCCTGAATGTATGTTCCTATGGTTTTTTGTTTCGAGATGAGCACGAGAGAAGGGAGGAGAAAGAAAGGGGAGGATAGACCCGACTTGTTGGAGCGTCATGTCAGGGTTTGTGTGGTGTCTTCCTTTCTCATTCATTTGATGGTTGTGGTTGTCTCCTTTTGAGGAGACACACACAGAGTGAGAGAGAGAGAGAAAGAGAGAGAACGAGAGAATGAGATAGAGTGAGAGAGAGAAACCTACCTCCCTCCCTCGGGGTCCCCAGTCCCCAGAAACCATCCGTGTTCACGATCTTAAACATGGCCCGCTCAAGAAGGAAATCCAAAGTGTCTGGACACCATTTCTTACTTTCTAGGTGGATATCTAGTCATTTACTAACTACGACTTAAGCTATCAACTAATAGCAAAGCGCGCCTCCTTCGCTCGCGCCTTTCATTTTTCTGCTCAATTGCTGGTCGATCCTACCCCTCCTCAGTGGTTCTACTCCTCACCAGTGAGTGCATTGTTGAGCCTGCAGTAGTATTTACCCAGAGCAGGCGTCTTCGTTGGTTGTCCATCCCTTCCGTCGTCATAAATTCGAGACATTTTTCTTTTGGTTTGTTGGCTTTATTAACTGAACTAACACTCCTTTGGTCTCACATCCAGACGATACTTCGTCCAATGTCCACTGGGCTACCCAACCGGACCCCACGCACTCATACCACTCACCACTCACGGCCCTCTCTTTCATCCCCCTCTAGTCATTCTGTTTCTCGAAGGGTCAAATGGCGTTATCTTCTTTCATCACTTCCCACTTCAGCTCACCTCTCCTTCTCTTACACTTTCTCTCCATCCCTTGTTTTGCCTTTCATCTCTCTCTCTCATCATCCAATACACCCACGAATACCCAGTGAACACTTTGAACAAGGATAGCCCCTAGCAAGCTACTACGCTCACAAGTCACCGAACCCTTACCCGTCCCCCCTTCTTTCTAACCCTACTCCTTCCCCTACCTACCCATTTTTGCTCACAATACCCAGAAGCTTCTCCTTTCCCCTCCTCACGACAACAAAAACAACCACAACAATGCCTTACAGCAGATCACACACTCTAATCCGGATCCTCCAACTCCTCCTCTCAACCTCCATCGTCATAACCGCCGCATTCCTCCTCACTTACCGAACTCGATCTCACACAAACTTCACCAACGAACCCCTTGCCTCTTGTATCTCAGGGGCCGTGGCCTTTATTTATGCAGCTTGGGCGCTTATGAACCACCGGAGGCAGCCTGATAGTCGAAGGTGGATATATTTACATGGGTTTTGGTGTTTTTTGGTCGGCGGGTTGCTTGTGGCGGGTGCGGCGCTGGCGTTTGTATTGGTAAGGCAGGGTGCGCCTTGTCAGCGGATTCGGGATTCGCAGGAATCGCTCCAGCTCTCTAACAACGACTCTGGAGCTGGACATGATGGTTCCTATCCTACGGACGAGATGATTGGATTGGCGAAGAGGAGTCTGCCGACATACCAGGATGGGGTCCAGTACGCACCGGGCCAGTACTGCAAGAGCGACTATTACATTCTTGACAGAGCGTGCGCGATCCTGGGGACTGTTGCGGCAGGGATGTGGTTGATTGATTTCTGCATGATCTTTGGGCTCTGTGGCTCGAGCGGGCAGTATGGCCCCTTCCGTCGGGATGAGCATCGTATTGCGGTTGCCGGAAGGAACAATAACCCGTCGAGCAGTGTGGCATACCATCACCAGAGGCGTGGGCAGGTCGGGGTGGAGGAGTATATGGTTGAGGAGGATTATTACCCGGCCGGAGGTCAAGCGCTTCCATCTTTAAGGCATCCAGGAAACCACTACGACGGGGATACGATCTACAACGAACAGGATCAGTACTACTACGATTTGCTGGAGCAACGGAAACAGGAGCTCGAATGGCGGGACCAGAACAGGACCGTGGATGACCCCAAGGGACATGTTCAGGGTCCTATCCCTTTATCGATGCAGCAGTTTTATTACGCGACCGCGTACCCGGATAATGTGGTTGCTGTTCGGGAGACTTTGATGGCTGCTAACGGGGTCTTGAGTCCGCCCGGTAGGATGGTGATTGGAGACGACTTTGTTGCTGTCCCTGGTGGTGCTGGTGTTGGGGAGGGAGTGATGACGGCTCTTTCGCCACCACCTCGGCCGAATTCGACGGCGGTCGTCAACCGGTTTGTTCAGCCGCCGGATTCACCTACTCTACCTGGACAGGAAGATAAGCAGAAGCAGGAGGAAGATAAAAGACAACTGCCTCAACCGTCGCAACTACCCTCGCCCATGAACCACACTACCTCCTTCAGCTCCATCGGAACCACCGCAACCAGTACCTCAACAACCACCCAACAACCAACACCAGCTCCAACATCCCCACTGGTGGCACCAAGAACACCCCGCCTAAAAACACCCCGCCAAACACCCTCCACCTCAACTTCCACCCGCCTGCAACACAAAAACTCCCTCCCAGCACTCGAACTGCCCCCACACCAACCCCTCTCCACCACAACCCCGGAGGACAGCACATCTGCAACCTCTCCACGTTACGTCGTTTACCCCCCAGGCCCCGCATGTTACGTCTTTGATTCGAGTCAACAAGCGTATTTGCCGAGTTTTGTCAACATGGCCGCCAGGATTGAACAGCAGCAGTATTTGAAGCGTTCATATTCGGTGTCGTCGAGTTCTCGTGGTAGTGTTGGCTCATGTACTAGTCCCTCAACACTGACATTGCCGCCGATTGCCGCTGCTGGCAGTACAGAATCTGCGAGCCGGTCAGTATGTAGGGTCATGGTAACTGGACTGGGTTTTGAGGCTATTACCCGCAGCTCTGAAGAGATCGTGGCCGAACGCTTGGCCGCTGCTGCAACGACCAGTTCAGAATCTCCCAACACATCAGCAGCCGCAACCCTTGGATCCACAGAATCCCTGACCACTCTCGACCTTTCCTCAGGCTTACCAACCAGCCCGGGCGTCGCAACTCCCTCCTCGACTGCATCACGCCCACAACGGATCGCCATGCCTTCCGGCTTCGGATCTTACTTCTCTCAATCACAACCAGCGGTTGGGTCCCCAACAGGATCCCTGGAATCCTTCACCAGCCGCAGGAGCTCCGACAGCAACCATAGCAGCAATCATCCACACCAGTACCTCCAACGGATGCGCTCACTCCCGCATCTACATAGCCCGCTCGGCACTGAGATCCACGACAACGAGAGCGAAGAAGATTCTCAACTCCCACCGCCGCCACGACCACAACAGCAACAACAGCAATTAACAAAGAAGCCCACGATGCTGATGCGCAAGTCGTCAAGACTGACCATCGTCACCCCTACTCCTCAACCCCCACCCTCTCACAACAACAACAACAACAACAACAACAACAACAGCCAACCAGCCTCGGCAAGTAGTGATCTTCAATCCCCACAACATCCTTACACACCTTCACCACCCATATCACCGTACATTGGCGATTTCTGAAGCAAAAAAAAAAAAAAAAAAAAAAAAAAAAAAACCAATAAACTTGGCGAGAATATTTAATTAATCAAAAAGTGGTGTCTGTGCAAATGACATATTACTACAACCGACGCGGGGAAGCACTAGAAGAAGCCTGCAAACTCTGCCGCTGCGACGACCGCGAAGACGGACCAGATGACAGGGGAGGACGCGGTGAGATGGGAGAGATAGGCGAAACAGGGGACCCAGGCGGAGGCGTCGAGCCACTTGCAGCCGCCAGGAAGGCATGGCTCGAACTCCTCCTTGACAGGCTTGACGAAGGCTGTGAAGAATCTGTGACTGATGAGGGCAAAGATGACGTTGCGGAGGAAAATGAGGGTCGGTTGTTGAGGTCCTTGGTGTACGACAGTCCTGTCGCGATATCGCGCTCTTCTCCTTCTGCGTACGTCGGTGGCGGCGCTGCCGCTGTGGGGTCGGATGAAGGAGTGGTGACGATCTTGGGTATATTGACAGACAGGCGGGAGCGTGGTTGGTTGACAGTAGCAGCAGAGTCAAGAACTGCGGCCGTGGTCGGGTCGCTGTGTATGCTTCTTGTAGATGTTCCACTTCCTGATGTTGTAGCAGCTGCTCCAAGAGTGTTCAAAGCAACAACATGCCCTCCAGTTGGTGAGCCTGCGTGCTGATGTCGCGCACCCTCAGCTTCCTTCGAATCCAAAAAAAGTGAACTCCTGACAGACGAAGAGTTGCTCCGTGTAGTCCTTGATGCCGCAAAATCGCCCTGCTCGTTCTCCATCTGATCCTCCGTCCGACTCCTCCTGAACCAACTACCAAATCCACCACCGCTGCCACTTCTCTCGTGTACAGACAAACCCTGCTTCTCGTTGTCCATCAAAGAGGGTTCGGTAGAGTGCAGCTGAAAGACATAATCGCTCTCCTTGTCGTCGTCATCTCTTCCCTGTTGGTGTTGGTCCGGGTGTTGTGAATGCAGGGGTAAAGACAAGGACCGTCGCCTCTCTCGGTCTCGATCTCGTTCTCCCTCTATCGCTCCATCTGCTACCTGGGACCGTGCAGACCGCCTTCTCTTCTTCATACTCCTCTTCTCCTTGTCCGCCGCCATTTTCTTCTTCCTCCGGACCAGACCAAAGATGATCGCCAATCCAAATACGACCACAATCGCAATAATCCCTCCAACCCATCCCGGAAACTTGTTCGGTTTATCATCTCCATTCCCACTTCCTCCCTGTCCACTACCGCCATTATTGGTATCGCCTCGGTCGAGTTTGGACGGTAGACAGACGGTAGCCCCGGTATTGCCTGCAGTCGAATTTCGAGGCCCATCTCCCCCTACTCCTTCTCCCTCAGACCAAGAACTATCACAACGGAGAGAGCTGCATTGGGCATAGGATGTGCAGGTGTGAAAGTTGGGCAGAACCTCCTTGCAGATTCCAGCAACGCCTACAGCGACTTCAGCTCCAACTGGAGGAGGAACAAAGTCGCAATAGGACCCTTGCTCGCAATCTCCTCGAAAATTGAACACCTGCACTCCAGCACCCACTCCCGGCGACCGACTTCCTCCAAATGATGTTGGTGATGTTGATGATGTTGGTGATGATGATGTTGGTGATGTTCCCTCTCTTCTTCCATTAAGGGTGTCGTTGAGCCGCTGGTTTGCAATTGCGACCAACGTCTGAAACAAAGGGTCCCTAGTTGGTGGGAGTGGAATAGGGTAACAAGTCTCGCCTAGCCGGGCTGGGCCTTGATAGTTCACCGGTTGCCCATCAACACCCAGCAGAGGCGGTGAAGGGTTGGTCGTGTTGTCGTTTATTACTGTTGATAGGGATGGTACCCAAATCGTCTGCTGTTGTTGTTGTTGTGTTGAATTGAGGGAAAGGAGAAATCCGCGGGTGGTGGAGATGGGTGCGCAGAAAAGACCGTTGGTTTGGAAGAAGCAGCCCATGGGTTCTCCTACTCCATTAGGATTATCCGGGCTGCTGTTGGCTGTCGCATTGGTGTTTGGACAGTGTGGGATGGGTTGTGATGCAGTGATGTTCCCGCAGGAGGGTTGCGAGGAAGGGATGATGGTGAACGGTGTGGTAGTGGACATCAATATATTAGATGATCTGAGTTGATTGTTTGGAGAGAGAAGGACAAAATACAAGGAGAAAGGAAGGAGTGGGTGATGGAAGGAGTGAGAGGGAGAAAGAGAGAGAGTAAGAGTGTGAGATTGGTGGTTCGTTGTCTGTCCGTATACGAATGTAATGTGAGCATCCGTCAATGGAAGGGGACTGAGGGGTGAGAGTAAGTGAGAAGGAAAAATTGAGAGGACAATCGAGCGACAAACCCGGGAATACTTGCATCCATGACAATCATTATTAATTGACCAGCAAGCGCCAATCTTACCAGGGACAACTGACTTTCTTTTTTTTTTGTTTTTTTGAGAGTCTTTAGGGGGTTCTGGGCCCAACAAACAGTGTTCATGCACCGCCAGTCAGCGTCAATCTAAACCTGTCCCTTGCTAGTGTCTTCTGCCTGGGTCTGCTGGATTTGTTGCCTCTGAACGCAATAAACGGGGACCCTTCCTCCTCCAGGATAGTGATAGAACGCCTGTTGCTGGATGTAGTGATGAACACCCTGTTGCTGCTGTTGCTGAGGTAGACGAGACATGTCCTGCTCATCAAGGTGGCAATATTGCTGTTGCAGATGTTGCTGCTGCTGCTGGGTCATGCGCTTATAGTATTGCTGGTTCTGAGCGTCGGAGTGACTGTGGTAAGAAGTAGTAGAGTGCTGCAGAAACTGCAAGTTATGACCATTGTTATCAATGGACTGCTGCTGCTGTGCATCTGGACGCAAATTACTCGACGACTCGGTCGATCGCTGGTCCTGAGACTTTAGGCCTCCTTGCTGGTGCTGCGTCTGTGCTAGAGGAGGTCGATCCTGGCCGCGCCCTTTTTTCTTTCCAGACCGACGTCCCTGGAAACCTCCATTGTTGTTGTCTGTGGGCAATTCCTTCTTGCTGCCTGTGCCGCTGACCTTGTACCCAAATGAGGTGCTCTCCGATTGCTGCAGAGTCATCACACCACTGGAATGACCATAGACAGCCTGTTGTTGCCTCAATTGGTCCCCCGACAACGGCGAAACGCCTCGTCTGACTTCTGAGCCAGCGCTCTCTGTAATTGTTCGTGCCACCATACGGTCCTGAGTACCTCTCTGGTTTGGATTCGTCGCCTGCAATTGCCTTGGCTCCTGATAGATCGGCCCTGGAACGTATGACACGTATTGACCATGACTATGGGCTCTAGCGCTCGAACTGGCGCCACACTCCTTTTCATCGTCCTCATAAATCACCCCCAGACGATCATCTCCACTCTCCCCGTAACTCTTCTGTGAGACGCGATGAGCACGGAAGGAAGTGCTCTCCTGAGAAGGACCGCCGCTTGGACGACCGAATCGACGACGAGAATCACTCTTGCCAGAGTCCTTGTCGTCTGGCTGCGAGAAGATTGAATGGCCTGGTTCATTGCTAACGTGCATACCAGGAAGAGCTGGTGGAGCTTGCATCAGGGAAGGGTTGCTGACATGAGGATCGGCGGGATAGGACGATCCAGCCACCCATGGAGGAAGCATGAACCGATCTATGTTTCAGCAACATATGCAGAGTTAAAATCGATATACAGCAAGGACGCCAACTTCGGTCAAGGGCATCAGCAAAAAGGAGAATGGGGCATGTGCTAGTTACAGCCAGACATTGGATGGACGGGCACCAATGGGACAACTGCTGGTACCATAGGTGCAGTGACGGCTGGCAGTGACGATGGCTCACACGACGCGCTTGGATCCGTCTGTGATGCAACCTCTCTACCAAGACAGACCGGCACAGCCGGAGTTGGTTCTGCTTGCTTCGCGTTTACAATTTGAGCAACCGCCATGGATTCTTGTCCTGGAGTAGTCTTTGGTGGCGACTCGGACGACGGCGGGTTGGAGGAACTAATTTTACTGAACCAGTTCTCGACCGTCGCGCATGACTTTTGTGCAACCGTCAAAGTAGGCTCGGACATCAATGAACGTACGGAGGTTCCTTCAATGTCATCCTCTTTTCCGGCTCCGGTATGAGCCTTCACAATCGATGATGGACCATCCACTTGACGGCCGTCAGAAATGAGAGGAGTGTCCCTCAGCTCCAAGTCTGCAGATGGGTAGGTGAGGTGATCAATCTCGTCGTAGATGCACTTGTCTACAAGCAGAGTCGATTTGTGAGAAGAAAATAAAATGAGCGATGAAAAGGTAAGTGTGTGCTTGTGGATGTGCGGATGGGACAAGTAATTTCATAAGTCAGATCACAGTGAAGATGATGACTTACAGGTGATATCACCGTCCTCTGCGACATTGTCGGTGGACTTCTCTGCCAGCTTGCGCACCATCGAGTACAACTCCTTGCGCGAATGAATGCAATCGTCTCCGTCCGACAACTCGGCTGCCTGTGCAACCTCAAAGAGACGAGATCGAAATTTTTCCAAAACCTTGAGACTGTTGGACAGGGGCAAGGTTAGGTACTCCTTGGCATCGTCCAGCTGCTTGAGAGCGTAGAACAGGCGGATGACCTGGATAAACGCTGAAGTGGCGGATTCTTGCGTCTCCCTAGTCACAGTTTCTTTTGATCTCTCGATATCGCGCAAGTGCTTATCGATTTGTGTGTTGCGCTCCAGTTTGTCCTAAAAAAGTAGAGTGAAATGACATAAGTTTATGATTTCAACCCTCAAATACGAGCTAAAAAAGCATAAAGAAACGCAACCACAGACTACTTACATTTGCTTGCAGGACAGTCATAGCCTTGGAGAGGTCCTCGAGTTCCTTCAAGGATGCCGACATCTCGAGCTTCTTCTCCAACGCCGCTAACTGGTCTGGCTCCAATGTGGCTTTCTTCGATGGGTCTTCGTTCAGAGCCGCTTCTGTTGTCTCGACTCTTGTCTAACAAAAGGGGAGGGTATCAAAACAATAGCTTCAGAATCAAAGGAACAGAAAAAAAGCCTTTTCGAGTGCTCATGCATGCATAACGAGGCACGATCACAACGATAAACAAACAGATCAAACGTACCACACGCTTTTTCAGCCTGCGCATACGTCGAAAGACGAGGCTCAGATACGGGTTCGGACCTCCAGCATCGGTCTCTGAGGTGGACCCAGCGGCCGAAGGTCGTTTCATTGCTAACGCGCTGTTGCTCTTCGACTGGAGTTTCTTGGTCGCGGGCTGGTTCGTAAGCTCTGTTGCTGAAGGAAGAGGGAGTATCAGGTGTGTAAAGGTTGTTGCTGGTGGGTGCTTGGCGCCAGACCGCGATCGACGCTTGGCAGCGGTGATAGTGGTGGTTGCTATGGTTTGGGCGCGTGCTTCGTTCATGTTGGCAACGGGACCAAGGTGGAAGGGGAAGGAGAGCGAGGGGAAGAGGAAAGAAGAAAAAGGAAGACAAAAGGAGAAGATTCTGATCTAGGGTTGAAAGGCCAAGATGGCGGTTTGTATCACCTGACACATTGGGTGAAAGCGCGTTCACAAAGAAAAAAGGCACCGTTGGAAGTTCTCATTGATATCATACTGGAGGAAGTACTGTACCTGATAACACGGGAACAGTCTAAGGCGTAGGTCGCCTTGCTTACACGCGACTTCAACGCCGAACGTGTCATTGGTGTCGTCTCTCGTATCTGAAATTAAATGACACGAGAAGAGGGAAGAGGGAGATGTTGACTCAGGATTGTCCTGGCCTGGAAGCCTGGGTAAACTCCCGTTTTCCTCACGCCAGACCTTTCCTCCAAGAACCTCTGGCTGTTTGAAGAAAAAAATGTTTCTACTGTGCATTGTGCATGGGTCTCCCAATCGTCGACTTTCAATTGACCAATAGCCTTTCAGCCTGGCCACAACTATTATTTTTGGTTCTGGCTGTGTGTGGATGTGCTTAGACATGATCGTTTTTTATTTTCCTCTCATTCTTCCTATAGGTATTTTTCCCTCTTCCCATTCTCTTTCCCTTTGTGCGTTAGGGATTCCTTGATGGTTTTTTTTGTACGTGGATCAAAGCTTGATGGCGGAAAGGTTACACGGGTGTAACAAGGGAGTTAGTTGTATCTCTTATGAACTATGGGCGCGAGCCATTGCTGACTATTTTTCTTTCTTTGTGGCACACCCCCGCCCTTACCCTGGCACGGTGAAGAGAATGTCATAGAAGCAAGGTTCAAGGACGCTTCAATACGGATTTACGGAAATTGGAAAGTAAAAAAATAAAAAATAAAAATAAAGCTTCGACTCTTCTGTATCACAAAAAACAATTGCATAGGATGGGTAAGGGCTCTGAATACTCACACCACGGAGTGAACTTATTGTTTTTCCATGCTTGACGCTCACTCAATTTTCTCACTCCTACACGCCACTTGTTCTTCCATTTTTTTTTCTCATTGATCCGATGCCCTTTCATGAGGAGGTATGATGATAATAGTTTTGGACAAGTTTGAAGTGACGGGACTGTTCATGCCGAATGAACAAAAGTTCCCGTCGCCTGGCTGGAGACTGCCTTGCGGGATGTTGCCCGAAATGAAGACAATGTCAAAGGTATAAAAGCCAAGGGCGATCCCTCATTTTTCCTTCACAACAAACAACTACTGCTACTCGTATTCACAGCACACCTCCAAAACCCACACATATATACCCTTACCACACACAACACACATCTTTCATCATGTTCCTTGCTACCGCTTCATTTTCCCTCCTGATGGCTTCACAGGCCTTGGCAACAACCGTCACCTCTCAATCACACGACATAGCACCCCTCATCACCCCAGAAGTCACAGCGAAAGTTTCCCCCGACTCCTACATCATCGTTTTCAAGGATGGCTTCAAATCCACCAACTTTCCTTCAAAGAGCAAGCAAGCAGACCCAATCCAACAATCTCACGACAACAATAAAGCTGCTCTTTGGGACGAGATCACTGAGGGCATCAAACACTTCATTGACCTAGGCTCCTTCCAAGCGGTTGCCGGCAGATTCTCTGGTAAGGCTCTAGCCGAGATCCGCCAACACCCTGCAGTCGCCTTTGTCGAACACGACACAGTTGGGCAGCGACTCAGCAGCTCTTCTTCTTCACCCTCCGAGACGCGAGAGTATCACTCTTGGAGTCTTGCTCCTACGAGCACTACTTCCTCCGCCGCCATTTCTATCGCTGCTGCTGCCCAAAATACAGTGCTAGACACAAGATCTGCTCGAATCTACCTGTATGCCGCTCAGGAACACGGCGAGAACATTAATATCTCTGCCGCTGATGCCGACATGATGTTTAGTCCTCAAGATCTCCAGGCCGCCGACGATGCCACTAGCACGCCTGAGCTGAGCACAACAAGCACCGACGAGAAAGACATTACTGTCATCACTGTCACTACAACACAGGCCGCATCTAGCAAGATGGCTTTCAAGCTGGCCGAGGAGACACAGCCGGTGATCGTCTCCACCCTCCGCTCTAATGGCAACAGCACAGCCTCAGACTTTATTGCCGTGGTCGACTACATCGTCCGGAATCAGCTCAGGAGGACGAACGGTGGTGGTGCAGATGAGAAGAAGGTTAGCCATGACGGGTGTGTTCTGAGCGTCCCCTTTGCATTCACCAACTCTCGGTCAATGGTTCTCGCTGTCACCAAGGCGTTCGAGTCTGGACTCCATCTTGCTCTTGGAAATGGCGTAACGGTCTCAAACACTATTGTAGAAAAGCTTTAAACACTTCGTTTATGCCTATACCCTTATCTTAGAATATTATTTTTTTTGGCAAGACAATACACTCATTCTTTTTCACTTTCCTTTGCGTTGGCACTATGCCCAGAGGTTTGTTATCGTGTGTGTGTGTATGTATGTATGTATGTATGTATGTATGAAATGTCTGAATGTGTGAATAAATGAAAGTATGAATGGTACCCCATTTCACCATTTTTGTTGCGTGTCAATACCCAAGCACAAGACAAAAGCTGTGTGAATTATTTCAACAGCCCAGAATTGTGATACTTTGAGCAGTCAAAACTCTAATCGATTTCTTGCATCGCCAGGTCCGAGAGAAACCTGGAGCCAGACATGCATGTCACTGTGTCTTGGGGTGTCCAAGATACCTTCTTTTTTTATTGATCAAGGTTTTGTACTCATACCAGGTCAAGAGCTTCTTTGTTTTTTTTTGGCCCCTTTGCCGAATGAGGGGGAACGGAGGTGGTGATAACTTTGGGCTGTTGTCTCTGCTTGATCTAATTTTGTTGTTGTGCGCTACTCTTGCAAGTTGGTTGAACACGGTGTCTCTTTATTTCTCTTTTGTGATGTCCGTGTATTCCTTTGATCGATGCGGCATGCTGACCATGCACACAGAGAATCAAGAGCCCAAATCGATAAAACGAAGAGGAAGAACGAGTTAACATTCGAGCGGCGCCCGCGGTGGTCGGATATCGATCCCGATCAGCTTCTTTGTTTTATTTTTGATGCTGTTCAAGAGCACACCTTCAATACTTTTTCCAGTTAAACGCAAACGCGATTTTTCCCATGACTTCAGCTAGAAACAACCACAGCTACAACAATGTCGAGTCCAACCGGGCCTTGGTCGTCTTCAAGAACGGCGTACGCGCTCACGACTTTTCTCGGCCCGTATCCGATGTTTCGATATACAACACAATACAGCCCACCAGTTGTCGTAGGGATCAAGTACATCTACAACGGTAAAATCGCGCTTTCGAACTACAGATCGTGTGTCGATATGTTTGCGCCTGGATAGGCGGTCTTGTCGATTTGGATTGGTGGTAGCGAGACCGCGACTGCCTTCGGGTCGGGGACACCAATGGCGCCGCCGTATGTTGCTGGATTATTGGCGTAGTATCTCACCATTTCACCTCGTTCCTCTTTGACGTTCCATAGTGGAGAGTGGGCACTCAAAGAGTTGAAAGCGGTGATGATTTCAAGGGTGACTCGGAATGTCTTGAGCGACGCGCGGTAAATTTTCTTGCATACAGTAGTGTTCAGGGACAATCATACTGTGCTTGATAGGCCAGCTCATGTCTGTAATATTCAGATGAAAGAAAAATAAAACATAAAACGAACCATTGCGGCACCTCAATTGGGAAGTGCGTACCTGAGTAAGCTTATTTTCAGGTCCTGCCAGAATTGTGGGAAGTAGAGGCCGTGCCAATAAGTCCCGGACTCCAATAATTCGATGACTACTGAATACAAATGAATCGATTTCCTTTTGAAGATTTAACAAGTGCGTCCGCGTCCGTTGTTAATGAGTCGCCTTTAAGTTGATGATGGAGTGGCGGATTACCAACTTTGCTCGAAATCAATTCAATGTAACTATTATAAAAATATAGGGTCCGGGACTTATTGGCGCGGCCTCTACATCATTTTTTTTCTTGCTTTCTGAGAACCATTTTTTGAGGGCACTCTCGCAGGAAACGACTATTTGGTAAGAACATGGCGTACCTGAAAAATGATTTTCAGGAATCCCTCTTTTTCTTTTTATGATCTCTCTCAGTTTCACTTACTCCATCTATCGCCACCATGCTACTCATGTTTACATATGCCCTTCTATACTTTCAACATCGTCGACAGCATTGGTTACCGCCTCTCCTATCGGATTCCAGTCCAATGACACCACGGCCATGGCCCCGCTCCTGTCCCTAGCAGTAGAATCTAAAGCTTTCCCAGATTATTACCTGGTCGTCTTCAAGGACGGTGTTCGCGCCAATGATTTCTCAACTCTCGCTGCTCAGAATTTCCCCTCCAGCGGCTTTTCTTCCTCTCGCCAATTCACCTTTGGAGGATGGCCTATAAGTGTATGGAACGACATCGTCAGCGGGGTCAAGCACGCCTACGACATCGGAACCTTCCAGGGTATCCCCGGTCGTTTCCACCCAGGGGCACTACACTTGATCCGCGCCAACCTTGCAGTCGCATATGTCGAATGCGATTCTGTGGGTCGACTCACTAATCTCAAGACGCAACATAATGCCACCTGGGGACCTGCACGTCTCTGCCAACGAAGCTCGTTGGCTGTGAAGCAGAAGGATGCTGGAGAGCCGGCCTTTGACTATGTGCATGAACTGCGCAGTGGACTCAATGTTACGGTTTTTGTGATTGATACGGGGATCAATCTGGACCATAAGGAGTTTGAAGGACGGGCCAAGTGGAGAATCATGACTGTGGAGGGGGGAACGAGTGTGATGACCATGGACATGGCACCCATTGTACGGGCACTCTGGGCAGTCGCGCCTTTAGTGTTGCGAAATCTGCACTTGGTTGCTGTCAAGGTGATTGGGGAAAATGGCCATGGGAGTGTGTCAGAGTTTATTCGGCGACACCTTGAATTGAAACGAGTTCAGGGAGCAAGTCATCGAGGATCGGTCGCGATTCTGTCGATTGGGTACGAGCGGTCCCGGGCTATGGACACACTTGTTAGAGCCGCGATTGACGCCAGGGTCCATGTTGCCGTCGCTGCTGGGAATACGGAGCCGACTATTGTGAGATCTAGTCGCCTAGGGTGGAGGGGGCGTTTACAGTCGGGGCGTCGATGGTTGAGGATGAGCGGGAGAGTTGGTCAAACTATGAACCCTGTCTTGATATTTTCGCGCCAGGACGAACGATTCTGTTGACTTGAATCGGAAATGATACCGCGACTGAGGTTCCTTCAGGGACTTCGATGGTGACTCCTCATCTTGCGAGGCTTTTGGCATACTATTTGACGCTTCAACCTGTGTCGTAATATGGGTTCAACTCGGGGGTCCTTACGCCCAAGGAGCTGAAGGGGTTGGTTCTGTCCAAGGCTACTCGTGGTGCTTTGATTAATGTGCCTGACGATACCGTGAACCTTTTGGCGTCCAATGGTGAAGAGGAGGATAACAAGCACTTTCATACATGGTAGAAAATAAATAAATAAATAATTATTAGACTAGCGTAGCCATGCTAAAAAAAACGATGACCAGCTCCGGAACGATTTTATTATTAATAAGAGTAAAGGAAGAGAGAATGGTAAAAGGTGTGTGTGTGGGGAGGAGGGGTCTACTCCTTCCACGAGTGTGTACAAATCAAGCTGTGGTAGCACCAGCAGCAGTAGCAGCAGTAGAATGCTCCTGCGAAAAGTGATGGTGACTATCCCAGGCCTCACAAAGGCGCTCAAAGATCTTTTTCAGCGTCGAGTTAGCTCCTCGCTGCTGGTTCAGCGTCACCTTCACGATCTTCAGCGGCAAAGGTGGGAGGGTTGGGTTACCCGAGTGACCCGGTTGTGTGATCCCGCCATGCACCGAATGACGGTGTCCTCGGTTGTTGGTCGGAAGGATATGGTGTGTTTGCTTGCTGCTCTGGCTGCTGTGCTTGGGATGGTTGTTGTGATGGTGGTCCTTATGATGGTGAGAGGAAGTGAAGGGTAACCGTGCCGTAAAGTGAGAAAGAATCGATCCGCCATCGCTGGCTCGTCGACCACTACTAGCTGCTGCCGCTGCCGCTACCGCTGCCTGTGCTGCTGTTGCTGTATCGTTGCTGCCACTGCCGCCGCGACCTCTTTTGAGGATTGATCCCGAATGAGAGGTGGAGGAGCCGTTTGCTGCGGCGCAGGAGGATGAGGATGAGGATGAAGAGGTCGAAGACCCTCCACCCCCACCTCCTGATGCCTTGAAAATACTCCTGAGCGTGCTGTTGTTGGTACTCCGGTCGTTGTGAGAACCGCCCATATAAGTTATGGCCCCGTTGCTGGTATTGTTGTTGGACGTACTTGTCTGCTCAGCAGAGACAAGGGCGGTGGCCATAGCGGAGGATGATATAGCCGAACTAGAACCGGTGTTGCCATTGTTGTTACTGTTTTTGCTAACAGTCTTTTCGGTGATATCGACCTTGAACTTGACTGCTTTGACCATTTGATCGTCAATGACTACAATTTTGAGAAGTGATGGTTGCGGGTATTTTTCTGTCAATGTCCGAGCGAGGATGAAATGCGCTTTGCTTAAGTCACTCGAGTGAAACGCGTGTCGTTCATTACCTCCGTCATCGAACCAGCACTTGAGACCGAAAGATGGCTTTCGGGGGTAGTCGATACGGACGCTGGGTTGGAAGAGGTCTCGGAGGATGCACTCGACACGCTCCTGGGTTTCGACCGCAGTTAGCTTGCTCTTGAACGACAGTGGCTGGCAAAATGTGAAGGACAAAAGGCATGGTTCGTTAGAACTTTGTTTTGCATTGAGAGAAAGACGGGTACGAAAAGGCAATAGGGCGAATCTTGCTTACCTGTGGCTTAAAGTCAAAGAGCCGGGCAAACCATGGTCGTTTGGGTCCTGTAGGCGTAATGGGTGTGACCAAACAAATGCTTGAGGCGCCTTCGGAGACTAGAAGAGAATACATACCAAACTGTTAATACATGTCTGACTTAAATATCCAACAAGCCAACTGTCAGAGGATAATAGTCATTCGTTCAACATACATTTCCGCGAATGCTGCGAGGCAGAAACATTCATGGTGGTCGTTCCAGCCGATGTCTTTACATCCAGTGGGTGCAGAATCGGTCGCTGTGATCGAATAGTTGACGCCGCAGACAGAATCTTCTCATTAAACGAGGCCTTGAACGAGAACCCAGGCCCGCCAACAAACTGGTGAGGCGGCAAAGCCGACCGCGCAGTGCTAGAACAATGACTGTTTTCCGATATTTGGGTCGACATGACCTGCTGCTCGATAGAATCCTGGGGAGATGCTACCTCAAAGGCCTTGGTCTCTCCTCCTTGGCTGTTAATAGCAGTGGCCTCTTTTGGGTGGATGGGAGGCAGTTGCGAAGTCGGCGTCGGCATGTGAACGAGAGGGTGGCAAGATCCTGTCAAGGTCGTTACGGCTTGTTGGTGAGAGTTAATGCTGACAGTCATCAGACTCTCGTGGATTGATCCACTGACGGGTGTCAGTTTGGGCGAGAAGGGCGCCTTGCGGTCGTCCTTGTTTCCTGTCGCCGCTGCTGCTTCCGCGATGATGCTGCTATCGTCTGTTGTCGAACTGGTTGAACCATGATCCCTGTCTGACGACGACTGGGTCACTATAGTTGTTGACTCGTCACTTCCATGTCTCGATGTCAAACCACTGATCTTTGTTGAAATCGGCCCACTTTCAAGAGACTTTGTTGAACTTTGATGCCGTTTGATGCCGTTCGTTACTGATGAGACCTGTTCTGGGTTCAAGGTGAGTGGTGTGGGGTCGACTCCTTTGATGATGGGTGAGAGGGGTGATCCTGGAGATGTCAAGGGAGATTCGCCAGGTAAAAGAGGCACGCGATTGAAGTCTGGTGTGGCGGATCGAAGGCTTTCAATGGTCGAGTTGGGGAACGAATCTGCTCGCCGCCGGGGAGCGTCTAACGGATACCAAACAAGGAGTAGCAATCTTATGAGTTTAAGTTCACCGATATCATATTTGTGAATCGCAAAAAAAAAAAAAGTTGAGTAAACCTCTTACCTGGAACTGTGTCACTGTCGTCGCCACTGTAGTTTTCAAGCAGGTCTGTTTTGTGCTGGAATAGCAGCCGGTAGAATAGCTTCTCCATGTTCTCCTCCGAACTGACCATCTTTTCCTGAATCTCTGAAAGAAGAGCATCCTCGTCAAAGACCTCCTTTGCCTCTGGATCACTATGCGATGGACCGGGAGCGAATAGCCAACGCATATGACGAATGATCTCTGCATCCAGTTCCTCGACAACCATGGACCGGATGACATCAGGATCCTGTGCTGGCTCTCCCAACGTGTTGCGTTCCAGATTGACTAGCGTGAACCATGGGTGCATCATCACTCCTTGCATCTAGTATTGATGAACCAAATATCAAACATTATTAGCAAAACTCCCGTCAGCACTCCAATGTAGATACCTTAGTAATTAAAATCGTCATGTTCATACCGTGATCCTGCGCCTGGGGTTAACTGTAAGCATCCGGCTGATCAAGTCTCTTGCGCTGGCCGAAATGTCGGTAGGCATATAAAACTTTCCTGCCTTCACTTTACTTAAGAGTTGGCGGATGTTCTCGTCGTCGAAAGGTAAGTGTCCTGTCAAAAGGGCGTAAAGGATGATCCCGCACGACCAAATGTCAGATGATGACCCGTCATATTTCATTCCCTAATTAATTGAGGTGGCAAGAAGAAGGAAAAGAAGAAAAAATAGTAATAATGAGTAAGGATGTCGAGTTGCTATTACAACGAATAGAACATTCGTCTGTGTACGAGAACTTTTTTTGGGGAAGAGGGAGAGGGTGGTCGACTGACTTTACCGTGACAACTTCAGGGCTGGCATAATGAGGCGATCCGCAGCTCGTCTCGAGAAGTCTTCCTGACTTTTGCAGCGAGGCCATTCCAAAGTCAGCAATCTTGACGTTCCTGCGATGGTCGAGTAACAAGTTCTCAGGCTTGAGATCACGATGGCTACATGTGTTGTTGTTGGGGGGAGAGAGAGTGTTCGATGTGTTAGGTTCTTTTACCTATTTTTGTCTCTTCGATTTAAGAAGCTGTATGTTTCCTGTCGATAGGAACACACATCACTTTTCATTCTGAATTGCAAGCGAAGCAAATGAGCAGTAGTACTTACCAGACCTTCCGCTTGTGACAGAAGGCGAGGCCGACGATGATTTGCTGAAAGAAGCGAAGCGCCTCGGGTTCGTCGAGTCTTCCTTTGTTGACCAGGTACTCGAACAGCTCCCCTCCCGAGACGTACTCCATGATCAAGAACCTAAGCAATGGCGAATTGAGCCAGAAAGGGTAATTGAATCAGTACACAGAGATAATCATAATTGTTGCCACCAAAACACATATTTCAGATTGATCAGACAAGGAGTGAGACATTTACAGTTCTTTCTCAGTTTCGTAGACATCGTAGAGGCGAATCACATGCGGGTGATTGATCAGCTTCATGATAGCAATCTCGCGCTCAATGCCTCGGTTCACCGCCGCACGGTTGGCCAGCGAGGCTTTGGAGATGATCTTGATCGCAACTTGCTCATTCGTCCTCCGGTGACGAGCTAGCTTGACGCAGCCTGTGGGACGGATTCAACATACGTGAAAAGGTTGAAGAAACGGGTTGGTGTGAGATGCGAATTCCACATTGGAAAGTGAGCGTCGAATGAGTGATGTGGCCTCAAAGACTATGGGATGATTGAGGGCTTGGTGTTGTTTTGGTTGGTGCAACCAAGGGAATGAATGTCGCGCGCAATATAAAAAAGCCCAGTAGGACCGAATGGAAATGTCAAAAACAAAAACAGGGGAGGGACAGGAAGGAGATAGAGAGAGGGGCAGTGAGCAAGGGTGAGAAAGGGACAGAGAGGGGAAAGGGGGAGAAGGAGGTACACAAATGGAAAGGGGACAGACAGGAAAACGGCATAAGAGGGGCTACAACAATGATGACTGGGACACAAACACAATACACAAACAGGCGATCCATTGAATAAAAAGGCAAGGCCCTTCTTTTTTGCACGATGCACGTTTTGACCCTTCACTGTGAAAATGCGTGGGGTCGGAACGATAGGCTGGCATGAAGAAAGGGAAAAAAGGTTCATGACGGGTGGTATGGTAGCATGTGTGATTTGAAAAATGTGGATGTGTACAAAGAAACAGGGTCGGCCTTTTTTTGTTTCACGAACATGCAAGTGAGTGGATGATTTGGAAGACAAGCAATGGGCGGTGAGTGAGCTGTGTTACCTGATGATCCCTTGCCCAATGTCTTGCCAAGTAGATATGGTCCAACATATTCGGGTTTAGATGGTGCGACAGGTTTGGATTTGGAAGAAGAATCTCTTGTACTGCCTCGATCTGAAGATGTATGCCGGTATTGATTTGCCTGCGCTCTTGGATGCTGTTGATGTGCGTACTGCTGCTGTTGTTGTTGCTGCATATGCTGTGGTTGCGGTTGTGGTTGAGCATGCTGCTGTTGTTGCAGATGCTGTTGTTGTTGAAGAAGTTGGGGATCATGAGGGTAGTAAACTTGATGGGAGCGTCCATCCACGGTGGATGTTGGGTGAGAGGGAGGGTGGTGGCGGTACTGTGGTTGATTATGTTGGTGGACGTAAGGCTGTGTTGGATGGTGTTGTCCTGGGGGCTGTGAACGACCAGGATGGCATTTCTGCGTGGAAGGTGATTGAGCCAGATCCCTATCAGGGATCCGGCTGCGACCATCCGTGACAGGTGAAGTTGGCATGCTGGACGAGATATTTGTCATTGATATAGCAACAATCTCTGAGTGAATCCTTTGTTCTGTGGCCATTGTCGAGTGGGTATAAAATGAAAGTTACGGGTCAGTGGGTGTTGCTGGACTGGGGCGTGTAGAGGAGAGAGTGGAGAGAAGGAGGGAAGAATGAGGGAAGAAGGAAAAGAGAGAAGAATGGATCCCAAGGTCAGATCCGATGTGGCGAATATCAAATCGCCCGACAATGGCTTCAAGAAGGTTTGGTATGAGAAGTGACGAAGAGAGGTGAGGATGAAAATGCAAGATGGACTTGCGTGATCTTTTGATCGTCGACGGCAGGAGGAAGAGAGGGAGGTACTGGTGGTGGTGGAAGAGGAGAGTAGGAGGGCGAGGAAGAAAGAGTAAGACCAGGAGGGAAGGAGGGAAGGAGAAGCGGAGAGAGAGAGAGAGAGAGTGAGAGAGAGAGAGAGAGAGAGAGAGAGAGAGAGAGAGAGAGAGAGAGAGAGAGAGAGAGAAAGAGAGAGAAGAGAGGGAGGAGAGAAAAGAGAGAGTGAGAGAGAGGGATGCAAAGGGAGAGAAGCACAAAGTCAAAGACAAAAAATAGTAAGGAGAACGAAGGAGGTGGTGATGGTTGGTGGGGTAGATGTAGATGGATAGAAAGAAGGGCTTAAATAAAACGAATGCGATGGAGAGCTCCAAACGAAATCGGAACAAAATCAGCTCGGGTAACTAATGGTAGGGAGTGCAAGACTAGGCGCCGGGTGAAGGGGAACAAGATGGAGGGGAAAAGCACAGGGTTGGGCTGGTTGGGAGTGAGCGCATATGGTGTTGATCGATATGACTGATAGCTGTGCCAAGGTGGGGGATGTGTTTGTAAAAGACGATAATGTGAGGACGTCTTCGGTCAATGCGAGTCGGTGTGTTCTCGTGGTACCTACAGTTGTCCTTTTGGTGGTTCTGTGCCCCTCAACGTAATTGACGCGTGTCTTTTTTTAGACGTTTTCGCTCAGGGTTGGGCCGTGGTTCTGGGAAGAGAAGGAGAGAGAGGGATAAGGGAGAAGGAGGGGCGCGAGGACGATGCAAGGGCTACTGACAATAATGAAGTGGTAATATGTTAGCGTTGCCGTGCTTGTCGTTCTTGATCCGTTTTCTTTGGAAATAGATGGCAGGTCGATAATGGGCGATGTAACCTATGTACGGGATTAATTAAGGCAGTCTTGCTTTACTCTACCGACTATTTAATATGACGGTGGTAACGCAGAAGAAAAGTTCAGGTGTGATATCTCGAGAAGGTTCTGAGTGGCCAGGGTATAATAAGAAACAAGAGTAAGAGAAGGAAAGGGCAAAGCAGGGTTTGGGCTAATTGGAAGATTGCTCCAAACAGACAAATAAAGGTATGGGCGTACAGGTGTGTGGCAGCAAAGTAAACTGGCAAAGGACGAAGAAAAAGACAGAGACAAATGAAAGAGAGGCGAGGATGGGTATTCGAGTGTGATCTCCGGAAAAACGACTTTGTTCAGTTCGCTTGAATGTCGACAAACTGGTCGAGAAGAATCTAAAATTGCGGCCAAGTTAAAACAAATGAAAGAGCAAAAGCGAGAAAGAAAAGAAGAGAGAAAGCGGAAAGACGACAGAGAGAGAAAAGGGGAAGAGAGACGGTTCAAAGCGGAATGGGCGGAATGGGAAAGAACGACGTCTCGCAACAAAAAAAAGGAAAAAAAGTAATTTGGGCAATGTTCGGCACCCTTTTTACCTTTTATCCCGGCTGGATTCTCCTAAATGGGTATGCATCCACACATCCACTTCACCCGTAGTCTACGTCTGTATCCACCTCCAAATTCACTCCTGTAGCCAGTAAAGAGGCACGCTGCTGAATCCAAGTGGTTCACAGGAACGACTGTCCATCCCTCTACTGCGGCCGCCTGAGCCATACATCAAATATAAGACATGGAGAATGAGAGTGAGAGAGTGAGAGAATCAAATAATAGGCAAAACTATTGGCATGCTGTCCCATGGAGACACTGCGGAGAGTTGCACTCTGGCATCTTGCCCGCCCAGGCATGACGGAATCATCTAACCAAAAAGCGACCCTCTTTCCCAGACGGCTTTTTTTTTATGGGACCAAAAACTCGATTGACTGGGCCATTTTTCTCTTACATCTTTACTATTCGCCGCACTCGACGAAAATTCAAGTACGTCTCGAGTCAGATGACAACTTTAACGACGGCTCCTTCGAGTGAAAAGGTAACAAACGAAGGACGGGGGTGGTGAGGGAAGAGAAGAAATAAGGGGAGAGGGTGGTGCCATGATCCAGCAACCACCACGATATGCAAATGGAGAGCCACTCCCAATCGGAAGGTTTGTGTTATTTTCATGCGACTCTCTATCGATTGGGAATGAGAATGATAATACGAATCTCGGCTTAGAAGTTGGTTCTAGCACTACGGGTGGTCAAGTGCCTGACAGTGTGGTGTCAGGGGGTCGTATGCTATGAAGTTAACACAGGCGAGGCGAAACATCCCGCAGTGTCAGCTGGGGATCGTTTGCGCATGAAGGCAACATAGACGATGATATAGTCGGAATGGATATTCACAAGGGAGTTTAGAAAACTGCCTGTGCCTGTGTGTCTCTGAGAGTGAGGGAACACTAGGATACTCTTCGACGCGTTCCTTTCGCGCCATTTTTTTTAGTCGTCCCATCAGTCAGCTATTAAGGGTCCCCTCACGAGGCGACTAACTTCGATAAAAACGCCGCGAATGACACCTTCCTTGCTTACACTTACTCACACAACTCACATCGACAACACTACAGGAACTCACGCCAACAACAACAACCATGTTCAGTCTCTCAGCTTTCCGCTCTGCGCTCACTCTCTCGGCCACCCAGCCTATGCGTGCTATGTCTGTCAAGGCCGCTGCTGCCTCGGCAACAACCACGACCAAGGCCAAGAAGGAGTCAACCACCACCGCCAAGAAGGCCGCCTCCACCAAGGGCAAGGCCACCAAGAAGGAGGCTGCCAAGCCCAAGGCTAAGAAGGTTGTCCCCGCCAAGCCCAAGAAAGGTATAACCCTACAGGCCTTTTTCTATACAACATCAATCACGGCGTGATTCGTTGCTTTGCATCTGTCTCTTGAGCCATCTCTTTATAGGGAGGAGAATCAGCAAATGGCAGCACTACAGCTCGCGCCGTTCACTCAGACAGGAAAGTTTGAGGAACAAACACATCGGCAGGCATGAGGATCAAGGAACCAGAGGAACTCTGTTTTGATGAAGATCAGGATCTCCTGTTGTTATTATGATGCAGGATTCACCCTTTGCAGAGCGCTTGGGATGATTATGTCACAATGTCATTTTCCGGTTATATTCGCTTCGTGCGATCTTTTCACATAAGAATAACAATAGGAAAAGAGGCGGGAAGTGACAAGTCGCGAGCGTTGGAGACAAACGGGAGAAAAGCGGCACACGGAAAGGAGGCAACACCCAACATAGGCAGGATATCAACAATCAATCAGGACAAAACAGCCCCTGTATAGAGGCTGGCTGAGATGCCATTCAACAAACAACACACCCGCGTTGTTCTAATTGAAATTAATGCTATTACCTCGTCGATCTAGTCGAGGCCCTCTCTATGCCCAAGCGTCCCAGCACTGCTTGGGGTCTCTTCTTTGTCGAGCACTTGGACAAGGTCAGGGCTTCAGGAAAGGCTGTCATCCCCACCACCGAGACCGTCGTTGCATCTGCCCAGTGGAAGCAGCTTTCTGATGCCCAGAAACAGGTACCAACTATGCCATTCTTCAATGGAACTAAACCAGTATATTTTTTTATACCGAAACAAGGAACAGAAGTTACGTGATTGTTCTAATCATGTCATTCTATTGGCCTGATTTTTTTATTTGCAGGTTTACAAGGACAAGTACAGCGCCAACTTGGTTGAATTCAAGAAGAATACCAGCAAGCGTTTGGAAGAATTGACTCCCGAGGAGTTCAAGATCGAGAATGCTCGTCGTCAGGCTCTCCGTGCTGCCGGAAAGCGTGGTCTCCCTTCGCTCAAAGACCCCAACGCACCTAAGCGTCCTTTGAGCTCGTTTTTCAGCTATGCACAGGACCAGCGCAAAGAGGGCAATTTTACTAATCTCCCCATCAAGGAACAGGCCAAGGCCATTGCAGAGAGCTGGAGCAAGGCCCCAGAGCTTGAAAAGTCTCGCTATTCCGAGCTTGCGCGTGAGGCCAACGAGAAATACAAGGCTGAACGCGCAGCCTACCTCGCCTCCAACCCCTAAGCATTGACTGCCGTCATTCATTCGTTCACCACACACACTCTTCCTTCCTACCCCTCTTCCTTTCTCCTTTCACGCTCTCTCATCGCCAGTTGAGATGTGAAAATAACACTCCCTCTTCTTTTGTTTCTCTTTTTCTGCAGTAAATAAACTACTTTTTTGCCTTCCCCTTTGTCTACCGCTTCGCAAGCATGTGTTCTTCATGTTCTTGGCCACTCACAAACTCGCCCCTTCGTTTACACACAAGTTTATTTCACTTACACAAAGGAGGCATTTGGAAGTAAGGGGCTCCAGACCAAACTCCTCAGTTCGCCATCTGCACAGCTTAACGGTAAACAAATAGAATTATACGCGAATAAGAGGATTCTTCACATCCTCTGCATAACTGAATTCTCCAATGACCACTCGTCACCAGCGCGTGGGTACTTGGTAGGCCCAGCTTTTTTTTTTTTTTGCGCGATTTTTTGGTAGGCCCATTTTTTTTATTTTTTTTTCGTACACAATTTTATTTCTCTAACAAACAGCATAGAGAAGATATTTGGAAGTAAAAAGGGACACAGACCAAACTCTTCGGTGCACCATCCACCAGTCGCAGTCCGGTCCAGAACCTGGCTCTGCGCAACAATTGTCGCTGCTCTTCACAGCTTAAACGGAAGAAAATAAAACTAGATACGAATGAAGGGGATTCTTCCCATCCTCTCCATCATTGACAACCTCCTCCTTCCTAACAAACTCTCCAACAACCGCTCGTCAGCAGCGCGTGTGTCCTTGGTCGCTCCAGCCTCTTTTTTTTTTTTTTTTGTACACAATTTTATTTCTCTAACAAACAGCATAGAGAAGTTATTTGGAAGTAAAAGGGGACTACAGACCAAACTCTTCAGTGCACCATCCGCCAGTCGCAGTCCGGTCCAGAACCTGGCTCTGCGCAACAATTGTCGCTGCTCTTCACAGCTTAAACGGAAGAAAATAAAACTAGATACGAATGAAGGGGATTCTTCCCATCCTCTCCATCATTGACAACCTCCTCCTTCCTAACAAACTCTCCAACAACCGCTCGTCAGCAGCGCGTGGGTCCTTGGTCGCTCCAGGGCACCTTCCTTCACAATGTGTGGCTAGCGAAGCGCCACACGGACAGAAACCATCGTGCGTGATGTAACCGTATCCTTGACTCCAGTCACCTCGGGGGCCTGTGTACTTGGATGTCTTGTCCTTGGCAGAGATGCCCTGGCTTTGTTCCCACGCGATCGTCGCGGAGCACCGAGGTTTCCAGATCAGCTCCGAGGCCTGCGCCTCCAGGTAGCCAACAAATTTGTGAAGGACTGTCTTGGCGATGGACATTGGGGTCCGGAAGACCGCGGACCATTCAGTCAACATGCTCAAGGGGGTGATGCCGCGGAGGAGATCCGACACATTCCACATCGGTTTCTCGTCTCGATCGGGAGCTGGACTACCGCTGTGCACGGCTCGAGCTCCACCGATGGAGGAAAATCCTCGCACATGATCCGCATCCGAAGGGGGCCACCAGTGTATGGGTACTGGCCTCGGTACCTGACGACCTCTGTCCACCGCGCGTTTGTATTCTCGCTTCCTGGCTGCGTTGTAGCTGTTTGTCGCCTGCACACCCCACTCATTAATCTTGCCCATGGCCTCCTTCCAGATCTCAGTGGTGTCGCTCCAGCCTCGGTAGGCCCATTTTTTTTTTTTTTTCGTACACAATTTTATTTCTCTGACAAACAGCATAGAGAAGTTATTTGGAAGTAAAAGGGAACTACAGACCAAACTCTTCAGTGCACCATCCACCAGTCGCAGTCCGGTCCAGAACCTGGCTCTGCGCAACAATTGTCGCTGCTCTTCACAGCTTAAACGGAAGAAAATAAAACTAGATACGAATGAAGGGGATTCTTCCCATCCTCTCCATCATTGACAACCTCCTCCTTCCTAACAAACTCTCCAACAAACGCTCGTCAGCAGCGCGTGGGTCCTTGGTCGCTCCAGGGCACCTTCCTTCACAATGTGTGGCTAGCGAAGCGCCACACGGACAGAAACCATCATGCGTGATGTAACCGTATCCTTGACTCCAGTCACCTCGGGGGCCTGTGTACTTGGATGTCTTGTCCTTGGCAGAGATGCCCTGGGTCTGCTCCCACGCGATCGTCGCGGAGCACCGAGGTTTCCAGATCAGCTCCGAGGCCTGCGCCTCCAGGTAGCCAACAAACTTGTGAAGGACTGTCTTGGCGATGGACATTGGGGTCCGGAAGACCGCGGACCATTCAGTCAACATGCTCAAGGGGGTGATGCCGCGGAGGAGATCCGACACATTCCATATCGGTTTCTCGTCTCGATCGAGAGCTGGACTACCGCTGTGCACGGCTCGAGCTCCACCGATGGAGGAAAATCCTCGTACATGATCTGCATCCGAAGGGGGCCACCAGTGTATGGGTACTGGCCTCGGTACCTGACGACCTCTGTCCACCGCGCGTTTGTATTCCCGCTTCCTGGCTGCGTTGTAGCTGTTTGTGGCCTGCACACCCCACTCATTAATCTTGCCCATGGCCTCCTTCCAGATCTCAGTGGTGGTCTCAGCTGCCGAAGGGCATTTCCAGACGTGATCGTTATCCTCCTTCTCGAGCTCGCATCGTCGGCACACGCATGTTGGGTACAGGTTGGGCTTGCGAGCCCTCGGTAGGCCCAGCCAAAAAAAAAAAAAAAAAAAAAAGAGTTAATTATCATAGATCACGTGACAATAAAGCGCCATCATCTGAGACCGATTGAGCTATTCAAGAAGCTCTGCGGAAACCAATTACCTGTGGGGGCCTCGAGCAACGTCTGCAGGAGATACCACGCAGTCTCAACTAGACTGGCAAAGAAGTGGAGGAAGAGGAAGAGGAAGAGGAAGTGATCTCAACTAGATCACGCTCAGGGACGACAGGGGAATGAATGCGGATCTTCGGCGCAAAAAGGGGACAACGGGTTCGAGGTTCTCAACCTAGAATGGTATGATTAACAGTGGGGGGAAGATCTTTATTTAGTGGCTGTTCGGACAACGAGAACAGCCGTTGACAGGGGAGGGGGAGAGGAACTTACCTAGAATGGTATGATTAACAGTGGGGGGAAGATACTGTTCAATCATCCATTCCAGGTGTCCTTTTATACTATCTGACTAAGGTCGCTAAACTACTACTTGTGGGGTCACTGAATGAAAGAGAATAAGATGAAGACGTAAAAAAAGAGATGGCCCGGGGGAGCTACTACTAACTGGTGTAAGAGTTAACAACTTGATGAACAACGAAAGGAAGTAGGAAGGGGCCATCAACAACAAAGAAAGGGCCTTTGACAAAGAGGGTCTTTGTCAAAGGGATGAACAACATAAAAGACAAGAAGAGGAAATAATAAAAGTGACTCGGGGCGATGGCTCCTTGTGTCACTGGGTGTTGAGAGCGAGCGGGGCGACGATAGTTGTCATCAACAAAGGGGAAAGGTGTAAACGAAAGTGTAAAAGAGGTAGGAGTCGCGTTTGCGGGTAAAAGGGAAAACTTTTTTTTTTTTTTTTTTTTTTTTGTTTTTTTTTTTTGTCCACGATTTTATTTCTCTAAAGAACAATTCATGTAGGTAATCCAAAAATAAAAGGGCTATTTGTGAGGACCCCTTCCCAGTACACCATCCCCTAGTCACAGTCCGGTTCTAATAACGCTGGCTCTGCGCAACAATCGTTGTCGCTCTTCACGACAAAAACGGAAGAAAATACAAAAGCGATCTATCCAGTTATTACTCTCAACTAAAACACCTTCATCTGAACAACCAGGAGATAGCAAAAGTACTTTCTTCCCAGTGCCGTTTTTCAAGTGTTCGACGTCACCTCCATCCATGCACATGCGTGCAACGCAACAACCCAAGTTTTTTTTTTTTTTTCGTACACAATTTTATTTCTCTGACAAACAGCATAGAGAAGTTATTTGGAAGTAAAAGGGAACTACAGACCAAACTCTTCAGTGCACCATCCACCAGTCGCAGTCCGGTCCAGAACCTGGCTCTGCGCAACAATTGTCGCTGCTCTTCACAGCTTAAACGGAAGAAAATAAAACTAGATACGAATGAAGGGGATTCTTCCCATCCTCTCCATCATTGACAACCTCCTCCTTCCTAACAAACTCTCCAACAAACGCTCGTCAGCAGCGCGTGGGTCCTTGGTCGCCCCAGGGCACCTTCCTTCACAATGTGTGGCTAGCGAAGCGCCACACGGACAGAAACCATCATGCGTGATGTAACCGTATCCTTGACTCCAGTCACCTCGGGGGCCTGTGTACTTGGATGTCTTGTCCTTGGCAGAGATGCCCTGGGTCTGCTCCCACGCGATCGTCGCGGAGCACCGAGGTTTCCAGATCAGCTCCGAGGCCTGCGCCTCCAGGTAGCCAACAAACTTGTGAAGGACTGTCTTGGCGATGGACATTGGGGTCCGGAAGACCGCGGACCATTCAGTCAACATGCTCAAGGGGGTGATGCCGCGGAGGAGATCCGACACATTCCACATCGGTTTCTCGTCTCGATCGAGAGCTGGACTACCGCTGTGCACGGCTCGAGCTCCACCGATGGAGGAAAATCCTCGTACATGATCTGCATCCGAAGGGGGCCACCAGTGTATGGGTACTGGCCTCGGTACCTGACGACCTCTGTCCACCGCGCGTTTGTATTCCCGCTTCCTGGCTGCGTTGTAGCTGTTTGTGGCCTGCACACCCCACTCATTAATCTTGCCCATGGCCTCCTTCCAGATCTCAGTGGTGGTCTCAGCTGCCGAAGGGCATTTCCAGACGTGATCGTTATCCTCCTTCTCGAGCTCGCATCGTCGGCACACGCATGTTGGGTACAGGTTGGGCTTGCGAGCCTGCATGGAGTTCAGAGTGGGCAGCATTCCATGCAGCTTTTTGATGTGATGTGTTCTTTGGTGGGAGTCCTTGCTGTTGCTGTAAAAGGTGAAGACTGCGTGCCTGTCGTGGACATAAGCCAAGGTCGAGTTCCATTCCACGTCCTCGATGTCAGGGATCGCCCTCTTGACCCGCCTCTGTGACGTCCAGGCCTGATGGTGACGGATTGTCGATTGTTGTTTGAGGAGCTGACGTAGATCGATTTCAACAATCCCGCCGTAACAATGTGCAAAGGTCGTGATATCCGTCTGTTGAGTGAGATCCACCATCCAGGGCACTGAACCACTCTGTGCTGCCACCTTCGCCGCCTGATCCGCAAGTTCGTTTCCGTGGATGTTGCTGTGACCTTTGATCCACACCACCTCAACCCCGCCTGGCCGAGATTCCACAACCTGACAAAGCACCGCCCAGATACCCGCATATGTACTCCTGAATCGCTTCCTCGGTAAGGTGTCCCGACGATTCTTCACCAGGCGACTATACTGATCCACCACTGACTGATTGTCCAGCTTGACCACAATGTCCTGTTCCGGTGGTGCTGACAGGACTGCGGCTAATAAGCCCATGAGCTCGGCCTTAGCCGAGGATGCGTGACCGTCCGTTCGTCCTTGTACTGTCAGAGGGTTGTCCTGAGTGAGATCCACCACTCCAAAGGCCTGGGATACTTCTAGCGTTCCCGAGTTCAGAAGAGATCCGTCAGAGTACAGGACGCGAGGGGTGGAGTTGTCGACGTGTGTGTCCTGAACTACGCGCATGGACGCCGCCTCTACTGGAGACAGGCAAAGGGGGCCGATCTGTGTGGTCGGGGGTCCTGGTACAGGCGGTGGCTGGACTTGATGGCGTTCTTGCAAAGGAAAGCTAGCATCTGTGTCAAAGGCTGGTTTGTATCGTGGTTTCGTTTCCTTGAGGCTGGATAGGATCTCTTTTAGGCGAGCGACGACCAAGCGGTGTTGTTGACGGAGTGCTTCCTTGTCCTTTTTCTGCTGCAGTCTCCTGGCTTGGTGTTGTTGACGGAGTGCTTCCTTTTCCTCATTCTGCTGCAGTCTCCTGGCTTGGTGTTGTTGATGGAGTGCCTCTGTTTCTTTCTGCTGTTGCAGTTTCCTGGCTTGGGAGGATTCCAGCTGTTGCACCCTCAATCGATAGTCCTCTGCTTTCCTGGTCAGCCTGATCTCCAAATCCGAGCGAAGAGAGACAAGGCGATGAGCACGGTATTCGTTGACGGCCTCGGTGGCCCGGCGACGTATCCCAAGGGCGACGGTCTTGCGACGACTAGAAATTGACTTGATGCGGGCGGCTGCGTTGTCGGCCTGAGTATTGGTCATCAAAAGAATGGCAGCCAGTTCTTGTGGTTTCCTGGCAAGTTGACTCCGGTATCGGCTTCTGAGTCCATCATACTTTGTGTTGTCTGCCGACTGTTTTTTCCTGGTGTCGCTGTTGATGCGAAGGATCTCGGCATCGTATTCGGCCGCGGGACGGAGGAGACGCTCTCTGCAAGCGTCGTCCAGTGTGTCGACTGCTCGCTCAAAGACAAGATCGGTTGTATCAGGCGGGAGAGGTGAGGGGGTGGTGAGAGTTGCTGGAGTGGGGGTGGTGAGAGTTGCTGGAGTGGGGGTGGTGAGAGTTGCTGGAGTGGGGGAGAATGTTGGAGTAGGGGGACATGTTGGAGTGTTAGGAGTGTTGGGTGGTGGAGTACCTGTCAGAGAAGGGCCGGGACTCAAAACTGGAGTTGGAACAGTGACAGGCGAAAGAGCCGGCGATGAGACGGGACTCGAGACTGGGGCAGGAACGACGACCTGCGAAAGGACTGGAGACGATAATAGCGAAGGAGGAGTGGATGAGAGTAAAGGAGAAGGTGACTGAGGAGAAGGTGACTGAGGAAAGATTGACTGAGGGAGAGAGAGGAGAGAAGGAAGAGAAGAGAGAGAAGAGAGAGAAGAGAGAGGAGAGAGAGAAGAGAGAGGAGAGAGAGAAGAGAGAGGAGAGAGAGAAGAGAGAGGAGAGAGAGAAGAGAGAGAAGGATCAAAGAGAATAGAAGAGATTGGCGCAGAGAAAAGATCAAGAGGGTTGAAATTGGAGAACGAAGAGAGGGGAAGCAAAGAAAGAGGGGCAAGGGAAAAAGAAGAAGTAGAAAGAAGAGGAGGAAATATAGGAGGAGAAGAAGATATAAAGAGGGAAGACGATTGATTGACAATAAAAGAAGAAACGTCAAAAATAAGAGAGGTATCGGAAGAGAAAGGTACAGAAAGAGATAGTAAAAGGGAAAACGCAAACAAAGAGAGCAAAAAAGAAGGGAAAGGAAGGAAAGTAGTGGGAAAGAAGAAAAAAGGGAAAGTGGTGAATATAGGGGTGGCAATTCACGACATACCATCAAGCGATTACAAGAGCGTGGTTGGTTTAGTGGTATAATTACCGCCTGCCACGCGGTAGACCCGGGTTCGATTCCCGGACCACGCAACTCGTATCCTTTGATACCTTCTGAGCTATGAAGAAAACCGCGAGCATCTCATCCTGATGATGCAACTCTTGGCTTCGTGCCTTGAAACAGTGCAACAAACGAGCTCTTCTTTTTTTTTCTTTTGCTTCAAGGTCTAAGAGAAGAAAGTAAAGAACGCGTTCATTTTCTATTTCTTTCGTTCAACGACATGGCTGTCGCCGTGAAGTTTTTTTTTTTGCACCTTATGTCGTTGACACGCTCATAGCTTTGACGTCCTAGGCAAATCTCCTTCATTTTATTATCGTAACCCTTTGAGTGAAGGCGCAACGCTTGCAGATTCAACTCCTTACCGATCTCACGTTCAGGTGCAACTGCACTGAGTCCTAGTCTCTATCGCGTCAATCTTCTTTCTTTCGGTGTGTAATATTCTTTTCGCGCGTAAGATAGCATACAACAATGATTTTGGTTCGCCGAGGTGCATAGAAGACGAAGCCGAGAAGAATACAGGGCGCGTCTCTCAAGTAATCAATCTGGTAGTTCTTTCATCATCGCGATGGTGTAGCTCGAGGTTTATGGCTGGTAGCTTTTGCGGGGGGGTTTTTAAACTCCTTGGTTATTTGAAGAACGCGTCCTGGTCGACGAGTGTTCAAATCTCGTGAACGACGTAGTGCGACCTCATACAGATTCAATTGCTCATTCGTGCCAGATATGACTACAAGGCGTCTGCCCAGTGTCTTACACCCAGCGATCACTGTCACTATCTCGCCGTTTTGCTCTCTGCGCTTTCATTCCATTCAACATTCAATTTGACGGTGAACAACAGCAAACAAAGGGACTCTTTAGGGGGTTCAATTGTTCGCGTTCTGGTACACGACTAGCGTGAACGCCGATAGATATTCACGATCGGCTGACACCGCTTGTTCCCTGCGCCTGCTTTGCAAGCAATAGAATTATTTTAACGAAGCAAGGGTGGGTACAATGGTATTCAGGTTTTTTTTAATGGGATGGACACTGGAGAAAGAAAAGGAGTAAAGATCTAATTAACGATGATGACACCTTTGCCTATCCTGCTTGGGGACTCGGCGGCATATTACAAAAAACAACTACAAAAACTACAAACAACTACAAGAAGAAAAAGTGAAGAAAAATGAAAGTGACTTATGCGTAGTAGTAAGGACGGTCAAAGACATGGAAGCGGTGCTTCCGAACACCCTCGCCATAGAACATGGAAGGGAATCGAAGACCCTCGGGAACTTGGTGTTCCGAGATCTGGGCATATGTCTCCTCCTTCTTGAAGTCCTCGATCGACTGAGACCGGTCCCAGGAGGTGGGGTGATCCTCCAAGAGCTGGTATTTGCCAACCTGGATCTCGGTATCGGTAATACCTCCGTGGGAGACGCGGGCGTACCCAGTACGCTTGACGCCACGGAAGGCGAGGTATTGGCACCAGCGATCCCAGTCCGAGACCTCGATATCGTGAACATGGCCTCCATCCATCAACAGCTCGTAGATCTCCTGTCCCTTACCAGGCGTGGTGACGACGTATCCCAAGAACAAGAAGGGATTGTCAGACTCGCGCATGATACGACCCAACTCAGTGGTCTGCAACTGACGATCCAAAAGATCCTCCTCTTGACCGTTGTGAGAGACAATGACATCGACCTCTTTGCCATAGACATCCAAAGTAGCATGGATGGCGCAAGCAAGCTCACCCTTAGGCGAGGGCAAAAGGTGGTGCGTCGAGCGCTTGATAGGGAACTTGGAGAGCATAGTGCATCCCCAGGTGTGCTTGGTAGGACCTGGACCATAGTCAGCATACATGTTGAGGTCCTCAGCCAAGAACTGAGTCAAGTCACGGTTGCCCATGATGATCCTCTGCAAGTCAGACTCCAAGAGACCAATGACATCGAGCTCCAAATCCCTGATGACATCGCGCATACGGAGCTCACTGCTGTACATGTCGTTGTCGATAGCGAAGTGGATGGTCCAAATACCGGCAGTAATGAGCTTGTGCTCGGGGTGGTGAGGCTGAGGAGTTGACTTGGGAAGGCGGTTGTAGCATACACCAATCGAGGCGAGGACCAAACCGACCAAGGAGAGCTTGGCATAAACACGAGCTGCGTTGAAGGAAGAGCGAGCCTTAGCCTCGGAGATGACTGTCCAGGCAGAAGAGTTGGAGTTGAAGATTCCGAGCAACAAGCAGGTCTGCATGGCGATCAAGACATAGTCGGTGCGCTCTCTCATGACCTCACCACCGGGGACAAAGGCATATGCGACAACCCATACGTGAGCCAAGGCCAAAAAGTTGTAGACGAGCATAGCCAATAAAAAGGTGCGACCTGGGGGCTGACGAGACAATGAGCGGAAGAGGGCGGGAAAGAGCGACAGAGCATATACGGTAAAGACGATTCCACCCGCGAAACCAATGTCGCCCTCATTGAAATGGAGAACAGCGAGACCGGCGGTTCCAATAGCCCACCAGATCAAGGAAGTGACCCAACGGCGCTTCGAAGAGAGAGTAAGACCCATGGCCATAGCAGCAATCACCATCAATCCGCCAGGGACGGGCTGAGGACCAGTGTTGGGGTATCCGCCAAGAGACCAACGGCTGATAGTGGTCGAGTCAGTAAACATGGAGTGGAGGCAGAAGAGGTATCCACCACCGCCGATAGCAGCCAAGAGCCAGCTCTCACCCTTCTTGTGACTCTCGATGGTCTGGGGTTCGTCCGTACCAGGTTCTTTGCGCAGCATGACCTGGACAGCAGCGAGAACTCCCAGCACCAATCCGATCATGTTTTGACCACCGGTGTTCTCGTTCATGATGGGCCAGATGGGGTTGTTGGCCCACCAAGCCTGTTTGACGACGTTATGAAGGATAAGACCCAAGGCCAAGGTCAAGACACCACGCTCGGCACGTCCATTTTGATGGCGCTGGCCAAAGAAGGTGGCGCCCCAGGTAAGAAGGGAGAGTGAGACACCGGCGGCAACAGCCATAAGGCGGTGGGCTGGATCGGCAATCTTGTAAGAAAGAACTCCGACCAGGGAAAGCAAATGAACAATGCCCTTGTAGCGCTCAATTCCACGACGAAGGAAGTTCAAGCCCAACAGCCCAGCAGTGACGTTGCAGAAGAGGAAGGCCTCATATCCCGAAATACCCATGTGCCAGAGGGGGAAGTACCAGATCATAAGAGGCAACGAAGTCAACATCGACCAGAAAACAAAGCCTATATGATAGGGATGGAGTAGAAAGCGTTAGTAAGCTTGTCTTTTTTTTACACCGAGCAGAAGCGCAGCCATGGTTAATATTATTGAGGACGAGCAATTGGTTTTTACCAAGGTAGACATCGGCGGCAAAGGAGATGATCTCGAAAGGCTTGATGCTTCCGATGGCAGCTCCGACACCCTTTTCGCTTCCTCCGTAAGTCTTGAGGTCATTCAGGGCGCTGCTGTTACCCTCCCGCTTGCCACCCATGCCAATGTCGACTACACGGAACTCGAAGGTCTCAAAGTCGATCAGGCAGACGGCATCGAAGGCGAGGTCCGAGAAGATCAGAGACCACTCAAAGAAGGCATAGTAGGTGTATGCTAAGATTCCAAGAGGAAAGAGAATGGAATAAAGTACGAGTTGGTAAACATTCTGCACTCCCTCTCCCTCCTTTTTCTTACTTTGGCTTGTGGTATCACCAAGGGGAAGACTAGATCGTGAGAATATGAAGACTTACCTCCAGGAATGCGGTGGACATTATGCTGGATGAAAAAGTAGACCATGGGGATCAATGCTCCGAAGAACGTGTAGGCAAACAATTTTCTGTACTGCTGGGCCTTGGGGTTCTGAGGGGCGGTCTTGATGGTGCCAACAACGTGAGGGATGGTGCAGAGCAGGTAGACAATCATGGCAATGTCGTGGATGTCGTGATCGTCCGAAGAGGTAATGTAGACCCATCCACCACAGGCAATTGTCCTGACAATGTCGTTAGTCAAGAGGAACTTGGCAAAGCCCTTGGAGCCGTCCGCGGGGACATTGCGGATAGTCAACAAGTACCAGAGGTAGCACAACCCCAAACGAGGACCTATTTTTTTCCATGAACAAAAAAGAAGGTTCGAGTTAACGCCATTGCGGTTTCATGATGTCGATAGCGACCCTGGTTTCCATCGAAAAGTACAGCGGTTCTTCCTTGTCTTTACCAGAGGCCAGGGCGATAAAGATCTGGCAGATGTTGCGTTCAGGGTACCAGTCTCCTGTAGTGGCGCTAACACTGGGGAACCATTCCTACGATGATGTACAACATATGAGTATTGGCGAAAGCATTGTGTTAGGGGAGATTTGATTCGAATATCTATCCTTGATTTTTCCTCCTTTTTTTGTTGCAAGCAGAAGAGGCCTACATCGGGATAGCCGGCGACGCCATTCTTGACGATCTTGTAGTAGTGGCCGTAGCATCCGATGAAGAGGGCGAGAATGAAGGCGGCTAAAATAGGTCCCGGGTCAAGAAAGAACGAGAGATGGACATTCAATTGTAAAAAACAAGCGATTCAATAGAGTTAGTCGGCAGGGACGGATCAAAAGACGGCTCTCTATTTTTTTCTCAGTGATATCGGCACATGGGACAAAATAAAAGAAAAGATGAGCGATGACGACCTGGTCCCTGTCCCTGTGCCTGCGTGCAGAGAGAAGGGCCATGTCCAAGGCGCAAAAGTGGAGGAGCAGCGGGAAATGGAAGGGAAGTGGAACAGAGAAAGGAATTGGGATATCCATTGTCCCGACTGACTGAACAACCCAGTAGAAACATACCCACAGGCAGGCTGTCAAAAATAATAGAGCGCAAGAACCAGTTTCGCGCACAAACACTCACCGCTCACACCTACTCACTGCCCACTCCCCGCTCACACTCACTCTTTACAGCCCCGTCGTTATCGCTTCCTTTCGCTCACTCCGCAGCCTCCCAGAACCAACCGGACAGGTTTGTGTCGGTGAAAAACAAACCCTCACTCCTGTCTTGCCATTACTAATCCTTGAAGCCCAAACCAAATAAAAGTGAATGAGAGAGGTCATGCCCACATGGGAAGTGGTTGAGTGCTTGCCGCGAACAGGTTCAACAGTGTCAGTTCGGTTCCTGAACAAAGGCATGACTAAGAAAACTTACACGCGCCAAAAATGGTGTGAACCAAGGGAACTGAGGTTCCTGGAATCTATTGAAGAGTCAAAAAGGAAAGCAGAAAGGAAATCAGTTTTTGTTCTTTGTCAGGCGCGTGTTGGATGGAGCGAATGAGTTGCGTCGCCAAGAAGGAAAGGGGACTCCTGTCCTCATAGTATCCTGGTGTTGCAAGGAAGCGACGAAGACGCGTTATTGTATATGTGTTTGTACAACGAAGGCGATGGCCATGGAAGACTCACCCTTGCGAGGACCAGGCCCTTCTTGTCTGTGACGAGGGCCATGTCGAAAGCTAGAATGCGTCGGGGGGGAGAGAGGGTCGAGGGGTTGAAGGAGGAAAGTGAGGAAGGGAGAAAAGCAAGAAAATGCGGGTTATAGAGAACTTCAGGTCTGTTCGGGTCTATTCGGTGACGTTTTTTTTATTTTGTTTCCGTGCCTGAACCTTTTGAACAAATTCGGGCGTACAGGACACGACAGGACAGGACCAGCACTGCTTTCTCAGGGACTTGCCTCGCATGGAAAACATTCGCTCACTTCAGCAGGCAAGGTTCTGGCGGACGCCGTTGTTTCACACGACAGCAATGCACGTGGTGGGACAACTATCTTCTTTCCTTTTATTCGGAGGTGTGGCTCTGGGTATTTGCTTTTCAAAAGCAATTGGGAATTAGGAAACAAAATGAATAAAAAGATAGCTCCCATACTCTTCTTATTATTTGGAAGGAAGAAGGGGTGTGGTGTAATGGTCGTCAAAGGGTACTCTGAATAGTATGTGGTGGTAGTGTTGAGGGGGGACCATATACGAATATGGTCATAAAAAATCGTTACAAAGTAATAAAACAAAGAAAAGCAAAAGAAAAAACAAAAGCAAAAAAAGAGAATAGAAAAACTGCGGGTGATTTTACATGATCAAGCAGGCCTTGCCGTCCTTCTTCTCCTTCTTGGTCTTCTCCTTCTTGAGGCTTGGTGTTGCGACGGGTGCAGCAGCGGCAGCGACGGGTGCCTCAGCAGCGACAGCCTTGATTTCCTCTACAGGCTTCAAGCTTGGGATGGCGGTGACCTCTGGGATATCGGCTTTCTTCTCCTCTGCAACAGCGGGGGTTGATGATGAAGCCTCCTCGATAGCGGCGACAACGGCAACAGGGGCGGCGACAACCTCGTCAACCTTGGCCTCAACGGCAGCCTTCTCAGCAGCGGCCTTCTCGTCAGCAGCCTTGAGTTCAGCAGCAACCTGATCCTCGGCAGCCTTAACCTCGGCAGCAACACGGGCGGCATCCTCTTCGGCGGCCTTGGCCTCAGCGGCAGCCTTAGCTTCAGCAGCAGCCGTCTCGGTGGCGCCCTTCTCCTCAGCAGCGACACGGATAGCCTCGACCTCAGCAGCAATGCGAGCAACCTCAGCCTCAGCGGCGGCCTTCTCCTCGGCAGCCTTGGCGGCGGCAGCAGCAGCGACCTCCTCAGCAGCCTTGGCCTCAGCGGCGGCCTTCTCCTCAGCGGCAATACGAGCAGCCTCGACCTCAGCAGCAATGCGAGTAGCCTCAGCCTCAGCGGCGGCCTTCTCCTCGGCAGCCTTGGCGACAGCAGCAGTAGCAACTTCCTCAGCAGCCTTGGCCTCAGCGGCGGCCTTCTCCTCGGCGGCAATACGGGCAGTCTCGATCTCAGCGGCGATTCTCTCCTCCTCAGCCTTGGCAGCAGCGGCGGCGTCGGCCTCCTCAGCAGCAATGCGGGCGGCCTCCTCTTCGGCAGCCTTGGCCCCAGCAGCAGCCTTCTCTTCAGCAGCGACACGAGCGGCCTCAACCTCAGCAGCAATGCGAGCAGCCTCCTCTTCAGCGGCCTTTGCCTCAGCGGCGGCCTTCTCCTCAGCAGCGACGCGGATAGCCTCAGCTTCAGCAGCGGCCTTCTCGGCGGCAGCCTTCTCCTCAGCAGCAATGCGAGTAGCCTCCTCCTCAGCAGCGATACGGGCAGCCTCGGCCTCAGCAGCGGCCTTCTCGGCGGCAGCCTCCTCCTCAGCAGCCTTGGCCTCAGCGGCGGCCTTCTCCTCAGCAGCGATGCGGACAGCCTCAGCTTCAGCAGTGGCCTTCTCGGCGGCAGCCTTTTCCTCAGCAGCAATGCGAGCGGCCTCCTCCTCAGCAGCCTTGGCCTCAGCGGCGGCCTTCTCCTCAGCAGCGATGCGGACAGCCTCGGCCTCAGCAGCGGCCTTCTCGGCGGCAGCCTTTTCCTCAGCAGCAATACGAGCAGCCTCCTCCTCAGCAGCGATACGGGCAGCCTCAGCTTCAGCAGTGGCCTTCTCGGCGGCAGCCTTTTCCTCAGCAGCAATGCGAGCGGCCTCCTCCTCAGCAGCCTTGGCCTCAGCGGCGGCCTTCTCCTCAGCAGCGATGCGGACAGCCTCAGCCTCAGCAGCGGCCTTCTCGGCGGCAGCCTTTTCCTCAGCAGCAATACGAGCAGCCTCCTCCTCAGCAGCGATACGGGCAGCCTCGGCCTCAGCAGCGGCCTTCTCGGCGGCAGCCTTCTCCTCAGCAACCTTAGCCTCAGCGGCGATACGGGCAGCCTCAGCTTCGACAGCAGCCTTCTCCTCGGCAGCCTTGGCCTCAGCGGCGATACGGGCAGCCTCGGCTTCAGCAGCGGCCTTCTCGGCGGCAGCCTTCTCCTCAGCAGCCTTTGCCTCAGCCTCAGCCTGTTCCTTGAGCTCCTGTTCCTTCTTCTCCTCAGCGGCCTTGGACTCAGCAGCAGCAGCATCAACAGCGGCAGTAATATCGGCGGCAACAGCCTCATCAGCGGCGGCGACGGCCTCCTTGACCTCGGCGGTAGGGACGACAACGGTTTGTTCTAATTGATAAGGAGAAAATAATCCGAAACACGCAAAAAGGCATAGGTGGTCAGCAACAAAAAAAGGGGAGCACGAGATCAATGTTCTGGTTCGTGCATGTGTGTGTGTGTCTGTGTTATCGGAGTTGCATTGTAGGGAGACAAAGGGAAGAAGGGAAGAACGACAGGTTACTGTAGCCAAAACAATAACAAAACAAAAAGTTGGATCGGGGCAGGGAAGAGAAAAGAGAGTTCCCTTGATGCAGGAAGGAGTATGTAGTCTATGCAGAGTAGACATCCGATCGTCTCTCTCCCATCCTCGTCCCATGCGACCAAAACAAAAAAGGAAGCCGATAGAACTTCCTTCTGGAAAGGGGTCATTAGCGACACAAAAACGACAAGGACTCGCTTTCTATTCATCATTCTTTTCTTCCCAGAGTCCCAGAGGAGCGGGGAAAAAACGACGTGCGTTCGAACAAATCCAGTGCCTCTCAGGAAAAAGGAAAAAACGGGAGAAAAGGTGTTGGTTGCTTTTGATGACCTCAGTTGAAGGGAAAAAAAGGAACCAATGTTTTTGTTACCCAGGACCCCATGTGAGATAAGGAATTGTAGAGTCAACATTCTTTTTGGTTGTCCTTTTGGTCCTTGTGCATAATCGGTGTCTTCCCGTCTTCCCGACCATCCCCCCCTCTTCCTTGATTGCTCTACACTCTCGCCCACGTTGTGCTCCACACCTCCACATTCCCGTATGTGCAAGATACGCCACGGATTGATCGCCATGGAGAAAAAATAAGCGAAGGAAGAAGGAAAGCATGGTGGTCGTAAATTGGGGAACACAAAAAAAAATGAAGACAAAAGAACGTTGCCACTGTCCATGAGTCCTGTCTGACGCTGACTCAAAGCTGTTCCTTGTTGTTGTTGTTGAAATATATCCAATGAAGAGGCGCATGTCCAACGGCCAATAAAACCGAGCACCAAACAAAAGCGACTCATTCAAAAACGTACAAGTGTAAGAAAATGGCAATATATCCTTCAAGCGCGTTTTTGAGACGACACAGCATAAACCAAGAGAGAGGAAGAGACAAAAACAGAGCAGAGGCAAGGCAAGACAGAGTGCGAATGTGTGTCTCATGTACAGAGGCATCACTCAGGGACATATTGGCGAGCAGAGCTTGCGTGCAGGATGACATGCAGGCTTGTGTCAAAAAGACGATTGGAATAGGCGTGGGACATACCGGTGATATCAGACATTATGAAAAGTAAAAGGAAAAAAGTATTTGGTCGTTACAGAAAATGGAAAAATTGGTTGGGTGGTGGTGGTTGAAAGGATGAGAGTGAACGGGTGTGAGAATGGAGGGTGAGTTTATGGGATGAGCAAAAAAGAAAGTGAATGAGCAGTGGTGGTGGATGATGAGAAAAGAGGAAAGAAGAAGAAGAAAAGAAAAAAAGAAGGGGAAAAGTAAAAAAAAGAAGCGAAAAGAAGGAACGAAAAATTGAGGACTGGAAGGACGACGACGATTCGCAGGACCCAAAATAACAACAACGCACAAAAACATATGAGAGCACTCTTCTTTGCTGCTCTTGCACCTGAACTCTCGCTCACTCTCTCTCGCTCACTCTCTCTCGCTCACTCTCTCTCGCTCACTCTCTCTTTTACTCTCAACTCTCTTTTGCATTCTTGTTGACAATTATTGCATTATCATCAATATGCCTCTCTGCTGATGAACGCCCTTGATTGCATTCCTTGCAATCACACAAACATGTACACTTTCAACTCGTATGGACGCATAATTACAACCATCAATGCATGTCCCTACATCATCTAGGTCCCTTCATTATTATTATTATTTTTTGTTTTTTGGGCCACATCTCGAGCTCGATTGCGAATACCACAGAACCCTTCACAGACTGCTACCCAAAAGTTTAATGCCAATACCGCCGCCACTCCTCACTCAATGGTCGAGCCCATATGCGGCTCTAGAGTCCCAGACTACCGTTCCTTATGACAAAGCACACGACTCTATCTCCTTGGTTATTTTCGATGCTCTACTCTTTGTACTTTCGCCACTGATGAGTTTATTCGCATGTTCCTCGTTTCTAAATTCAATTCACTCTCTCTCCTTTGATCAACGCCTTGACAGCATTCGTAACGTTTGTGTGGAATAGGATCTGCCGGCCTTCATTGACCTGTCATTAAACCTTCTTCGCTTGCCCTTATCTCCCTTTTTCACTTCTTCCGTTCCGGCGAACTGTCGGCAGGGCTAGTTGAAGTAATAACAGCCAAACTATTGAAAAAAAAACGTACAAATTCGACAAGCCCACTTTCAACCAAAGGGGACCCGATCCCTGGACATAGATCATGATCCTTCAAGCTCAATCATCATCTCAGCCTTCCATTGCACAACGACGGCTTCGGCTTATAAAAAGAAAAAAATAAACAAAGAGCAAATTTCGTCGTTCGTCGTTTGTTATTGTTTATTTGTTTTTTTATGTTCGTGGAGTCGAGATGGGAGAGCACTGTGAGGCGAGTGTGAAGAAGAGAAAAAAAATGGAGGGAGAAAAACAGATTTTTTTCTGAAGAGCCCTCTCACAATTCTCAGCAATAAACAAAAAAGCGTGGGCTGAGGAATGAGCATTGTAAGAGTGTTGTGTGTGTGTTTCTGCAATATTGCATTACCTTTGTTTGTTGATGCATGCAATCGGTCATCCTGTCTCTCTTTTTTTCTCTCTCTCCTCCCTGTCTGTCTGTCTGTCTGTCTGTCTGTCTGTCTGTCTCTCTCTCTCTCTCTGCGTCTATGACTCTATCACCTCGTGGAATGACAATCACTTTCCGATGGGTCGTCCTCGGGACATGGAGAAGAGGAATCCTTATCCTTGCTTGAAGTTTTTTTCCGTGTCAAAGATAAATGCACAATGCATGTAAGCGACCGTCATGTCTCTCTGCTATTCTTTTCTTTTCTTTTCTTTTTCTCCCTGCAGGATAGAAAGAAGGAAGAAGCGAGTGGATTGACGACATGGGAGTCTCTCCCTCATCACGAGAGCTATTTTCTGGTTCGAAAAGTGAATGTACCTCTCTCTTCTTTTTTTAATAATATCTTTCTCTCGCTTTGCTCATGAAAAAGAGAGCGACTTTCTGGGACCTCAGATTAGTAAAGCAAGCCCTCTATTATTTCATATTCGATGTCCAAAACATCGTCATTGTCATCATCATGCAGACCCCGAGCATCCATCCTTCTCTCGTCTTGCTTCTCACATATCGATTGGCACCCATGACCATTAGTTCCATGACTCAGAAGAAGAAGAGCATTTCGAAGCATGCATTAGGTGTGCTGACACATGGTTCTTAGCATATTCTGAATAGATTGGGCTGAGTCCTAAGCGTCAGGGTCCCTTCCCCTTTCTGTTCTTCCGATGCAGCTCTAGCCTGGAATTTCAATGGACGGGAAGGGATCACCAGACCCCTATCTCCTCCTCCCTCTCCCCTCCTCCCTCTCCCTCTGCATCCCACCATCCACCGCTCAGGCATGAATGGCTGACCAGGTAGGCACAGACACAGACAGAGGTCAAATTGCACAAGACAATGAAAACAAAAATGTTCCCAAACTCCCAAACTCCTGACAATGTCGGCGTTTATCGAGCAAATCAACAGCACAAAAATAAAATAAGATGGACGACAAGGAGCGCCAAAGTTAATAAGAGGAGGTAGGAAACAAGACACAATTAAAACATATGGATGTTGTTGGATGAATGGGCCAATAAGAGGATCGATAGGAAGAAGGTGCACGAAAACATCCTTTTTGTTATACTACAAGGTTATCGCGCCATTCAGTTAGGGGGTAGTGGAGACCGTGACCAAAACAATGTGAATGCGAACGTTGTGTTTGTTTAATCACTTATACTTGACGCGTCCCGTTAAAGATAAGACGCAAAGGCTTGTTTATTCAGGCCATCAAAGCAGGAAGAGATTCCCTCTCTTCAAACAGGAGGGACAGGAACAGTCTTAACAACACATCCTTCCCGACCACCACCAACGAACAACACAAACCGCTTAACATCGCCCAATCCACCACCACCATTGCTCGAAGGCGCAGCCCCCGTCGACACTTGGGCATAAGCGAATCGACCCACCAGATCAGTGTATCCATCCTTCCAGAAGGCAGTCGTCGATCCCTCGGCGGTGAGCTGCTTCATCTCCGCATATACCTTGACATACCCGCCGCGGATGGGGCGTCCATTATCCGACTTGGAGATCACCTTGATTGTGCCCGTCTGTTCCAAAGTCTGCACAACAATTGTCTGAGAGTAGTAGGTCTTCCAGGTCCTGTTGGCGGCGGGTGGAGAGGTTGTGACGGAGACCATGACGTTTGAGTTGAGATACTGGGGCAAGATGGGGATCATCAACAGACCGTCCGTCGCCACGGCGCGCTTGACATTGTGGGTGTCGATTCCGTTGGGCTTCACAAGGCGGTAGCTGTTGCTGGCATCACCATCCCTGGAAGAGTTGGACGACTCGCTGTTCTCGCCTTGGTCGCTGAACGTCAATGGCGAAGCCGAGAACATGGCCTCGGCGTCAATGGAATAGTACTCCACCGTGACCTCACGAACTCCACGATGACGGACCATCACCATACTCTCGGCTCCAATCTTGAAGTCGACCGTGACAGGAACCTCGGATGCATCATCCTTTCCGTCCTCCTCCTCCGCATTACTGTTGGTTTCAGAGGCAGCTCCATCAACAATAGGAGAAGCCGCTGGGTTGGGCACAGCAGTGAGAGACTGGTTGATCTCATCTACATAAAGCTGCATCTCCTTGAACATCTTACTCCAGCGCTCAACAGGGTAATCCTGGTACTTGTCCAGAATCGCCTGAACCCCCGGTACATCCAGATCTAGTTCCGATCCAGACACATCTGCGGGAACCTCGATACAGAGACTTAGGTATGCCCATAAGTAGTCGTACTGAAGCTGCTGGAAGTATTCGCGAGATGCTTCTTCGTTGGTAGAGCTGATGAGGGCGTGGAGTTCCTTGAACTTGTCCTTGGCCTCCGAGATCCTGTCCTGGGCCAAGAGGTAGACAATGAGGACTAAAAGGTCGTCGACATCATGCTTGGGCTTCTCGCTCAGCAGTCGCAAGAAGTGGTCGTATTGCTCCCTGAACTTGTCGTTCAAAATCGTCGCCGTACGAGTCGCCTTGTGAGCTATAGGATGTTCGAGAAAAAAGAGAAAAAAAAATAAAAGTCAGCACTTAGTCTTGCATATAACTGAAGCAGATGCATAATTAAGGTCCCCCGACAAGATACATACTTCGAGAGTTGATGAGGGGGAAGTACTCGAGGTACTTGAAAGAGTCCTCCCAGGTTCCTTCAAACCGACAGTGAGGTCGGCGGCTATAGAGACTCGAAGTAAACCAGTCGCCAACCTTAAAGTCCATCGGGTTCCGGTTCATTAGATACTCCTTGATCAGCTCCTCGTTCTGCACCGCAAATGCAGCACTCCAGATCTGATTATCGTACTCCTGGCGAGAGCGCAGCGCCAAAGTGACACGCTTGAGCAGCTGACGGTCTTTGTACAGACGAGGAACCAACTGGTCGATGGGTAAACTGCTCAGGGGGCTGGCCTCCAACTTGGTCAGGATATCCTCTCGGTTGCCGTTCTTGAGGATATGTCCCCAGGTGTTCATCGGGGTCTCCTGGCGGTCGGGGGCTGGTTCGCGGACCTTGAGAACTGCAGGGGAGCCAAACGCGATAATATCCTCGTAGTTTGAGACATGGGCTGGGTAGTGAGGGAAGTCACCCTGTTCTGGGAAGTAGAATCCGTACTCGTACTGGAACGTAGCGTGGGGTCTCAGCTCAATGTCGTGTCCCGACACCACGCTGCCGTAAATGGAGATTGCTCCCTGAGGGATCTGCACCTCCAAATGCACCTTCATCGGATTGGGCGTGCCGTCTATTGTCATTAGTGAACAACAATATGTTAGCGTTTGGATGTTGGGAAATTGATAGCAAAGTGATAAAAGGTAAGACAGACAGGTAACTTACTCATCAAGACAACATGTGCTCCATAGGACTCGAGGGGTCGGAACTCCTGGCCTGGCTGAATGTACTTGCGCACCTGGGTCATCAACACCTCGTCAAAGGTCGTCTTCTCGCACTGCTCAAAGTACTGCTGAGTCACCAAGACAGTTCCTGTCACCGGTGCTTCAAGTAACTCCTTGGTAGAGGAGTGGAAGACAATGGCGGGGGCTTGGGACGTGATGACCAAGTTCTGGTCAGACGAACGTGTGAGCGAAGCGTCCTTGGGACGGAAGGTCACATCCAGCAAGGCGAGTGTCGCCATAGCATCCGTGAAGTTACCAGTGTTGACAACAAAGTTCTATAGGTTCACAGAGAGGCATCGTTGGTACCAGCTAAGATGGTTGAACACTGCCAACATTTTTCAGTCGCCCAACGTCAAACAAATCGAAATGAAAAACTCACCTGTGACAAGAAAGAGCCCTTGGATTCATCCCACTGCGCCAGATCAAGCCAGAACAAGTTGGCCTCATCAAAGCTTCCATACTTCCTAAAATCATCCCGGTCATAGTAATAAGTCTCGCCCATCTCCTTGGTCAGATCCACAGGCTTGAACTGGTTCCTGACAATCCTCTCCGATCGTGACCTCTCCGCCATAGTGTTCATGAGGGACTTCTTCTTCTTGGACCTGGAGTAGGACACTGTGGGCGCAGCGGGCGCAGCATAGGCCATTGGCATCATGGATGCTCCTCCCCCTGGCGCGGATTCCAACATGTCGTAGTTCGCGTCCATGAACCTTGCTGAATGTGCACTACCCACTCTGGTGGTGTCCAACAAGTATGGAAATTTGCATAGTTAGTTTCAAACAACATCTACGTGCAACATATTAAACTATCAAAACATCTGCACATGGCAACTTACTCTGCTTCGTCATCATAAAGAGCGAACCCCATATCATCGTCAGATATCGCGTCTTCATGAAGTTCCTCTGTATCAGTTGCCTCCTTAAGATTGCCAGAGTTCATCACGGTCTGGAACAGCTTGACATGACCTGCGCCACGAGCGTTGTGGACTCGATCCTTCATCCATCGAACCACAGCGGGCGTCAGAGTAGGGAGACGCTGAGCCAAGAGGCACTTCTCCATGCATGTCAACTGGCCGAACTCTTGGAGTGTCGCGTAGCTGTCCAGAGGCGCTCCAATGAAGTAATTGTCCATGAACGACTTCATCAACTTGTTCTATTTCCATCCGCACATAGTAAATGAAATATAAAAGGAGGTGTTGGTATGATCTCGCAAGCAATTATGCCATACCTAGTCTTCACAAGACAAGAAGAGTGTAAATTACCTTCAGGAATGGGGCGACCACGGCATCAAAGAATGGCCTGTCCTTCTTGTAGAGGAACAAGTTGAGCTCATGGCAGTTCCACTTGGAGAACTTCTCCTTCTTGGCCTCATTTGACAGTCTACCCCAGTCAGCCACAAAGCCAAACTTCCTCAAAGCCTGCTTGTCATCCTCAGCGGGGAGCAAAGTCAACATAATGTCATAGACCTGGCTGACAGAGTTGATGACCCGAATAGCAGACGACGAACCGTTCGATGCCAGAGTGATCGACTTCAGACTATTCACGTCAGCACCACCGCCGGGCGCCATAGGGTCGAGGTCAACTCCGGTACGCTCACCAATGTAGTGCTTGGTGTGATCCAGTTGGCTCTTGAACCTCAAATCCCGCTTCTGGAACTCAAAGTCAGCTGCAGCAGAGAGACGAGGGACGACAAACGATCGCTGCAAGATCTGATGTCCGTCCGACGCAACAACCTGGAGGAACGATCCATCCTTGAGAGCAGAGAATGGGACACTCACCACTCCGGTAGCAGGATCTGGAGACAAGTTGACGAGGGCCACACTTGGGTTGGCCAAAAAGTTGAGCGTTGGGGGTGCACGGCTGCGTGAGGAGGTGCACATGCGAGCGGATTTGCGAAACCTGTGACTCCGGAACTCGGAATCCTCACATAGCGCCTCCATGGCATTAGTCATGGCTTTCGCGCCCGCTACGCCTCCAAGCATGACTTGCTTTGACTGGGTTGTCTCAGCAACAACCTATAACGTAAAAGTAATAAAGTACTAGCATCAATTAAAGGCCAAGGCAGCAAAGAAAGTGGAGGGAGTCATCTGATAACTCAAGACAGGTATGATAGCTTACTCTTGGAGTGAGAAGGGTAGTTGGCTTGGTCAGCAAGTTTCCGGCCCACCGAGTCGTATGAGCCTTGCGGTTCAGCACATATTGGTATTCTTCTCCGAGAACACGTCCACTCTTGAACGCCGTAGAAGTCTGCAGAGTCTTGTCCATCCACCATGGCTCTTCCGCATCCAAAGATTTCAAGTTGTTGAACGCGCGATCGCCATAGGGGACAAACTTGGAGGCAAGGACACAGACGCGAGTCTCGGAGCTCCAGTTGTACAACTGGATGTTGACCTTATGTTGGTCTCCTTCGGCGACGGAAGGAGAGATGTACAGTGGAAGCTTGGCGCTCTCCAAAAGCTCCAACATGGGGTTCGATCCGACGACAAAGTCCTCCAGTCCTTGAATATGAGATCTTGTTGTCTTAGAAGAGGCGACTACAAACCTGATCTTGACGTGGATGTCGGACAGGAAAACGTAGTATCCTGCCTTCAGCCCCTTGATCGAGAGTAGACCATTCTCATAGTGAACGTTCTTGGTGTGATCATCCAAGACAGTTCTATTAGCAAAAAAACAACAACATGTTAATACGTTAGACAAGAACCAATAGCTCATGTTTCACAGACTTCGCCGATAACAAAGGGTGCCTTACAGGTTTCCCAAAAGACTCTCGCCTTCCTTCTCAGTAGTCGAAAACAAGGCAACCTTGCGAATGGTGTCAACATCACCGTTCGCAATAGGGATAGAGATAACCTCGCCCTCAATGCTGTTGATAGTCGAAGGGTACACATGCAGGTCCTGCTCTGTAATGTTCCACTTCATTGTGGTCGTGTTGCAGGTCAAAGAATCAATATCCTGCAAGTGGCCTAAAAACACCTGTCCACTGTTGTCAGTCCGCAGGTAGACCTTGACGTTCTCGGTCCAGATCGGGTGAGAAATGTCAAACTCCAGAGGGATGTTGGCCCGTCGTTCACCGTTCATTCCAAGCGCCAAGACTCTGTAGCCGTCGGTGTTCTTTCTGAGGACTGTCAAGAGTTCACCGGGGATCCTCACATTGTCCCAATTGCCCTTGATCTCGAAGTTTACCGACTCGTCCGAGCTGGGGCTATTGTTGGACAAATATCAACGCGTGTTTCGTTCAGAGGTTAGTTTCCTTCGCCAAAACTGCATTGTGCTTCGGGTGCAGAATAATATAGCCGCGTTAAACGCACCTTTCAAAAGTGAATTTTTTTGTGGCGGTGAGATCCTGGAAATCGCCAGAACAGATGACCTTGATCTTGGCCGAGAGGGTGGTGGACAGACTAGCAAGGTTCTCAGGAACCTGGAAGATGTACTCGGACCAGTCAACGTCGTGAATCTTGAAGTCAGGAACGGTTGTCTTGGAAGAGATACCGTTTGTATCCACATAGTCGATCGCGAGTTCAACCTGCTCCAGCAAGTTGACTGGGACATTGACAACCCCGTCGATCTGAACCGTAGGCTTTAGAACAATCTAGCGAAGTTGTTTGGATGGTTAATTTCCGTTTGTTACATCACTGAAGCTAGAGAACATTTGAAAATCGCTGATGTGGTACCTTGGAGTTGGCTCCAGCGACTAAGGACTCGTGGTCGATATGGCAAGCTAGCTTGAGGTCGTAGTGCTCGACGCGGTGAGTGAAAGGACGGCGAGTCGCAAACCCATCGTGGATGAGATAGATTAAGTCTGATGCAGAGGAGGCTTTTCTGTAGGGGACAATGATATCTCCATCGCCATTTGACTAGTGGAAGGATACGCAGCAAGCAAGTGAACAAACAAGAAGTGTGAGGATCACAACATGAGCAACAACAGTACAGTAGGGGTAAACAAAAAAGACGCGACAGAACCAAAGAGGTCGCATACCTTGTAGTAGTGACCGTTGATCCAGACGCTGCACTTGTCGGTCAGCTTTTGCTGGTTCTCGTCGATGATGGTGAGGACATGTCCCGCAGCACTCTGGCGCTCGATAAAGTCCAGATACCCCTATGAATGCAAAGCATTTGTTAAGAGATCAGTTGGCCGGTTCTGAAACATATTAATTTGAATGATGATTACCAGACCCAGTAATAGAAAAATCGACTCCGCCCATTAAACACTGGTGGACATATGGCGCCAAATGTCTGCCTCTGCACAAAAATAGATCCCCTCAACCGTGTTATGTCATCTTACCTTGGTGAAGTAAGCAGAGCTGCTCTCACCATTGCTAATCACATCCATCACAAACGCGCCTCGCTTGTTGGACAACTCTGGCAACTCAATCGTGATCTCATGCGTCTCCAAGGCCGGGAACTCCTGAACAAGCGTGTGCTCCCAGTTGGGTGTCAATCCATCCAGGTTCAACTTCTCGCCAATGAACCCACTCTCGTGTTGCTGGAGGTAATCAAACGTCTTGACCTCAAAGACGCGCACAAGGATCTTGGGTGCGTTCTTGGCACGGAGCTTGAAGAACACCGCATCTGAGGGCAGGAAACGACTTGGGTTGTTTTGAGAAAACTTGAGGATCGTCTGCTTGGTCAACAAGGACAAGTTCTCGTGCTTGGACAGCATGTTAGACCTATATAATAAAATCAGCCGTAAATATTAGCATGTGCAGGCACACCAATTTCTCACGGTCGGATCGGATCGCGGAATAAACTATGGGAGCAAAAAACAAACATGGTTCATAAAACGTCATACGTACCACTTTGCAAGGTCCTTGTCGCCCGAAGTGAGCATGATGCGTGCTAACAGCGGATTCAAAAAGTCATTAACCTCATAATAGGGCTCAAACTCGGCTGCTGACTTGGCCTCACGAATAAAGTGAGACAGGTACTCTTCCTCCACTTCATCGTGGCGCTCCGCCTTCGCGGCAGGGACCCTCTATTACATTGACATTCATGCAAAAAGGCACGATGATGAGTATTACTTTGTTACAATTACCCAACGTCAGTTAGAAGGTGCGTATGTATGAAGGTGTGAACTTACAGAAGACCACGATGAAAGAGTCCAATACGGAGCGTCCGACACTGGTTGCTGGAACACGGAAATCTTGTCGTTGCCCTTCTCCTTTGGTTGCGAGTTTCCACGAGAGAGAACGACGTATCTAAATTGGGGACATCGTTACGCCATGGTGTTAGTCAAGGGGTGTTTGGTATCACATACCGCGCCACTTCACAAAATCTATTTTTTGCGCATTGTGTTGCATACCTTAGGAACTTTGCCTTGTCCAAGGTACCCCTCTTCAAGTCGTGCGTCAAACTCAAAAGGTAGACCGAAACCTTGTACCGCTCAAACTTTGGCGACAGACCATCGACGAACACCACCATCCTGTCCAACCACTCCTTGTAAGCAGCATCCTTGTCGGCCGCAAAGGGTTCAGGAACGATCCTGTTCTCGAGCAACCCAACAAACTTTTCATTGTCCATGAGCGACGGATCCTCTTTCTTGAGCCACTCCAACTGTGCGCGGGTCAATTGAGAAAATTGGAGAAGATTGTCCGAGAAATCAATCTTTTGTTCCTTGTACAGTCGGAGCAGGGTCTTGATGACAAAGAGGTCGATCCTGGTCGAGTCTGCTTGACCAATGATCTCTAGACTCGAGGGCGAAAACTGTCGGGCAAAAGATTGGAAGAGGTTGAAGAGCTCATCCGGATCAAGTCCGTCGACGATCGACTCGAACTTCGGTTGGGCAAGGAGGTGAGGCCAAGATTCGCGAGGGATTGAAGTACTGTAGATGTTCGACTGGATCTCCTCCAACAGTTTCTCGGTCATGGTCTCTGTGCTGACCAAGGTCGGATCCAATGCCGTTGGCAAGTTCTCGACCCCGCGCGATTCCGAATCAGCCTCTGCCTCGTCATCATCATTGGTCGTATTGCCATCACCACCGCCAGTTGCCTCGACGCCCTGGATGGCTTGAAGGATAGCAGGGTCGAGGTTGAGCTGTTTGAGGAGGGGATCAGGCTTGATAGGGTAGGCCAGGAAGGCCAATTGGGTCGTCAGTTGCTCGACGGCTCTCGAGTCCAGGACAACGTTAGAGTTTACTGCCGCGTTGAGGAGTGCCTGCGCTTCCTCGATCGCCTTGGCAGTCACTGACACCTCGCCGGTCTGTAGTTGCTGGGAGAGATATCGGAGACGGTAGAGGTAGTACTCTTCTGTGTTGGGCGTGAGGTCCTTGACCAGCTGTGGACGCGAGGCCGGGTTCAGGGCGAAGTCCTCTTGCAAGGTCAAAGTCGTCATGGTAGGTAGTGGTTATTGGTCCGGGAAATATGTATGTGTGTTAGGTGTGAAAAAGTAGCGGGAGGCAAAAGGGATAGTAAAAGGTGACGAAAAGGCAGGGGAGATTGTTTGATATTTTTTGTTGAGAATTAGAAAATGTGGCCATGAAAAGTGGGGAAAGGATGTGTTAAATACAAAAAGGCTGAGTGGAGTGACGTCGTTTTTACCTTTTGCTCTGGATGGACTGGTGGCGCTGCGGCAAAGTGAATGATAAGTTCACACCATGTCTGGTAATCAACTATGCTGCCATATGTCTTGTGGTTTTTTTTTTTTTGGTCTTTTTTATTTGTTCAAGAAAAGATTCATGCATGTAAAAAAAGGAAAAAAGAAAGAAAGGCTATGGTACACAACCTGGCGTGGGTATTCTGTTTGTTGTTTGTTGTTGCCGGTCTATTTTTTTTTGCCTACTCGATCTCCATCTTGTCATCGTACGACCGTTCATTCCGAGGAGAACCGGCTTTTCGTGGGGGTTGAGAGGTCGTAGACGAGTGATCAGAGTTGGGCTTGATGTGATAGGTATCCTGGATTTTCTTGAGCGCAGGGTAGGCCATCAGATTCTGGGTGGCTCCGTCGTCGCCATGGTTGTATTCCATGGGGATTGAAGGCTCAGACTCGATAGGATCCTCGTCGATTTCGAAAGGCTTCTTGGGCGTGATGATCCTGCTCTTCTCGGAGATCAATAGACCCTTACCGTAATTCCGGTAGCAGTATATCATAAAGAACAGGGTGATCAACACCAGCACCAGTGTCACCGAGACTATGGGTGGGAAAGAATAAGGACGTGCAAGACAGAATTGTGTAAGTTACTTTGGACCTCACGATCACTTTTTGAAAAGTATGTGAACAGAAAAATGATACTTACTGAAGAAGGTGAGGTACTTGCGCGAGGCCTGGAACTTGTCCTGATTCCGAGGCAAATGGAGATACACGAGCTGATAGATAAAGTAGGGCTCGGCAGCCGCGAGGCAGATAATGACAAAGATGGAGACGATTTTCTTCTCTTTCATGACGCCAAAGAAGGCTAAGGCCAAGAGAATAATGGACGCGGGGATAGAGAGGCTGACCAACAAGTGCTGGCGAAACACTTGGCGGCCGCCGATAGTACCAATATACGTGTGGTCTGTCGTTCCAACGAGCGCGAACATCTGGGTCGCAAAGCCCACGAAAAAGAACACGTCAAACTTGAGTAACGTGATGAGGATCTCGTAGGCCTTGTGCATTTCTATGACAAAAATGGGGGTGAAGGACAAGCGACGTTAGGAGGGCTGTTTGCAGTAATGAAAGTACGATATCCGAATTGAGCTATGGGAGAGACTACTCACTCCGCATCTTCAGGTCACTATGTAAAAGTTGCGCGAAGATAAGGGCAAAAGGAGAAAAGAAAGACGACAATGAGGTGTAAGTCTTGGGTATCACACGAGAAAGAATTAAGATTATTCGGCGGACATGGGTAACGTTTGTGTTGTGTTCAATTGTTAACCAAGTCAAAGGAGAAAGAAAAATAATACTTACGCGCCCAGGAATCGAAACATCTCCCAGCCAAAGACCCTGGCGAGCTTGAACGCGCAAAAGATCAAAAAGATGCTACTCACTCCCATGGTGACCGAAATGGCGAGGTTGAAAGCAATTAGCTGGGTAGTGGCACCATTCCAATCTGCGAGGGTTTGAATGACACCGTCTATTTGAATCCCAGGCAAAACAACAAAAAAAAAAAAGGTCAGCGGAGGCAAAAAAAAAATATGACGAGAGGAGTTAATACTTCAAAAATGCACGAGCCAGCTAGTGCAGGGGAGGAAAGGAAACCCTTTTTTCCCCTTTGGTTGATGTTATTGTTCAGCTATTTTAAGACATGGTTCACACTTACAAGTGCAACAGAGGATGTTGAAGAAAGTGAACGCCACAACCTGGATCTGGTTGCGATGGTACATGGCGTCAACGCAGAGGGTGAACAGACTGACAATGGCGAACAGATAGACGATGGGGTAGATGGTTTGTGGGGTGCTGTAGAGCAAGAAAAAAAATTGTACCCGGAGCAAAGTCAGATACAGAATGAGTGTCAGCACATGTTATTAAAACGAAGCCTCTCAGGTACAAGCTCAACCGCCATCACAGATGAAAAGAATTTTCTTACCTCAGAGCAGTATCCAACGCAGGATCCACACCAGTATCGTGTGATGCAGGCTTTGTGATATGTTCTCGCAGAACAAGGCTTTCGAGGACGAGTGCGACAACGGTCTCCAGCGTGACAATGAACAGCGTCGCCCGTGGCCATGGCACATCAGGGATCTAGGAAGGGCGTGTTCGAATGATAGATTCAGTTAGTTATAGGTGAAGTGAATGAATCTCTTTATGCAGGGAATGAATGGATGTTGAGAGCTCGTTGGAAACAGAAAAAAAGAGAGTGAATGAACTCCGGAACGCACCAACTTTCTGCGAGCCATTGTGGTATTGGTCGTTGTGGAAGTTGTTGTAGTTGTAGTTGTGTTGTGGTTGTCGAGGAGTGGTTGTTGAGGGTTGGTGGTACGTGAGTGAGTGAGTGAGCAGGAGAGGGGTGAATGAATGAGAGAAAGAAAAGGTAAAAGGCGCGAGGAGAGATGAGCGGGAATATGTAAAGGGGGAGAAGAGTGGGCTGAAGTCCACCTGGCAAAGAGAGAACGGGAAATAGAGCGAAAGAGAGAGGGCTGAAATGAAATGAGGCGCCGATGTGATTTCGTGAACAAAGAAAAAAAAGATCCGATGGCGAGGAAGGAAAAGAGTGGCAGGTGAAAGAGTGTAAGAATGTTTCTGTAGCTTGCTTTCCTTTTATTTATGTTCACAAAAGAGAGTTGCTTCGTGCACTGCCCCATGGGACTTTTGTTCGTTCAGTCGTCAACTGCTCTTTTCTTTCCCCTGCTCTTCGGAACTGGCCAAACATGACTCCATTAAACCAGCCACAACTGCGCCCTTGCACATCTCGGTTAACACCATCCAGCTACCAATTGTGGACCTTTTTGGCCTGTTTATCTGCACCGCCCGCATATATCAGACCGGCGATGTAATGCTTTTGCCTCCTTACTTCCTTTTGACACAGCCAACGACATTATATCTCATCTTCCCTACCCTCTACTGTCAATCGCCTCTCTCCTTCTTTTATTCCGTTCTACCCCTCTCTGTACATCACGAAAAGACTGTGTGACATTGTCTGTTTGTTGCCACCACCGCTTTTTTTAGTTTTGATCCCTCAGTGAGACAGATAAAGTGATCAGTGAAGGCGCCAGGGATCAAAAGCAAGACACTGGCAGAGGGGGCGATGGTGCCTGGACGGGGATCGACCTCCGCGTTGATTGTCGATCTTCTTTTGGATGAACGAGGGACACCGACTATGTGCTGCCACTGATATGTGGCGAGAGAGATAGCGAGGGAGAGAGAGAGAGCGAGGGAGAGAGAGAGAGCGAGAGAGAGAGAGAGAGAGACTTCGTCTAAGGCTGTATCTTGCGAGCAAAAATGAGGTGCAAACATCGATTAAATTTTTCTTTTCGCAAGTTGTTTGAACGCTTCGCATAATAAGAGAACAAAAACTAAAGTACCATTCATCACCCACTCTACGAACAACTTGTCCTTTGTGCACGCCTGGCGCCCTGCGGGTGCTATTGCAGTACAAACATAACCATTTCACATCGTATACAACGCGATAATTTATTCTTCGTCAACAAAGATAAAAAAAAAGGGTCATCTATGATCCATTCTTATCACCACCGTTGCCCTTCCAAAGACCCCGGAACATTGCCAGCAATCCTCCAAATCCTTCAGTCGTCGTCGTATTAGCGTCCGTGCCCGTCTTGGCCTTCCCCCCTCGTATTGACTCTTCCTCCGCGGGATTCTTCTTCTTCCCTGGGCTCTCCTTCTCACTCCTCGCTGTGGCCTTGTTATTCTCAATTGTACTCTCGCTTGGTATCCGGACCTTCGCCTGACTCTCCTTCTTACCTCCTTCAACACCAGCTGGCTCAACCGCAGAGGCAGCATTAATACCACCCTTGCTACTACTACTACTACCACGACTAGCGGCTTGGGTATGATATCCTGACCGTTGTTGTTGGTACCGAGCAGCACCGCCAGAACCCCCACCAATGCCACTTGACCCGCGAAGCGTCCTGATCATACCTCCACTACCACCAGCCGCACTACTACCACCTCTGGAACTGAAAGAACCGAACGATCCAGCCGTTGGGAAACTGCGATGACCAGTTGGCGCCATGGCTCCTTGCTTGAGGAAATCCTCTGCCCAATTCCAAGCCCCCTTCTCTCGCACCGGCGGCGTCACTGGCTCGGGTTTTTGTCCAAAACTCGACGTAGACGTAGGCGTAGTGGGGACATCGGCTGCTGTAGCAAAAGTCGATGATGAGGAGAGCTCGGGCGATTCTTCTGATGAGGACTCGGTAACAGCAGGGAAGAGTGGTGAGTTCTCTTCCAAGAACGTCAACCAGTCCGGATCCAGTTCCTCTTGAGTCAGGCCGAGATGAGTCATTGGCGAACTTTCGGTAGAGGTAGAGGCTCCTGACATTGGCGGTGAGAGTGGACTGGTTGGGTCGGTCTGGATGGCAATGTCTACCCGTGGAGCTGAGGACGTGTTGTTGCTCTCTCGGGAGATCGACTGTGTGCTGACGGCCACCTTGGGGAACAACGACGGCCAGGCAAAAGAGAAACCCGAGTCGTTGCCATTGATCAAAGGATCGTCATGCGTCGTAGCAGCATGCGCAAAAGGCGAAGAAGTCGACCAGCCGAGTCCACTTTGCGAGTAATCTATGACGAATGGTTGCTGCTGCTGTTGCTGAAGTAGAATCTGCTTGCTGTCTCCTTCTGACAACAAGACGGGTGTCTGAGCCATCAACAGATCAAAAGAGGCGGACGAAATGTCCAATAGTGTTTTGGTCATATGGGGGGAAGAAGAGTGGTCCTGTAGGTCGAGTATACTACTGAGAGGTGAAGAGTGAAGTGACAGGTCCGTCGACGCTGGTGAGACAGGGATCCGGATCGTGGTGTCGCCACTGTAATTTCCAATAGGTTCCGAGTATCCGCATGACACCAGGAGCTCCTCGATTGTAGAGATGCCGAGTAGTTCTGAGCCTGACAGCCGCCTCTGCTGCTGTTGAGAGGCCGAATCAGCAAGGGTACTTGAGGGGTTGGCAGCAGAGGTGATCGCCAGAGCTGGTGCCTTCTCAGCCAACATGTTCTTCCTGTGATTCTCTAAAAGGTCGTTCAAAGCCACCTGGTAGACGGTGTTGGCCTCGATCGAGGGGAGCGGCAATCCATGCTCCAAGAAATCGTCGCCTGTCAAGCCCGGAAGCCTCGCCTTATAATGGCTCAAATCCAGATCTCCTCCGAGCTGTGTCCGCACTGGTGATGTAGGTGACTTTGAGGGGGGCGGTGAAGGCAGCGACGAGGCACCAAGTCGTCGTGAGGTAGAGTACGAGTCCGAGTCGGTGTCGCTATTGCTTTCACTCGTATTTTGTTGCCGCCCTTGTTGTTGCTGTTGTTGACGTCGCCCTTGCTGTTGTTGCTGCTGCAGTTGTCGTTGCTGTTGCTGGTAGTGATACAGAGGTGGGTGCTGGTTGTGGGGGTGACCACCGTGGCTCATGGACTCCATTGTCTCAGCTTCCTCCCATTGTAGCTGAACCCCCACAGGCAGGTTGTGAGCTTTGGCAGACTGGAAAGACTTTTGACGGACTTTGTGGGCGAGTGCTTTGGCTTGGAGACCCAACGCTTGGTTCTGTGGTAGTTGTGAAGAGGAGGTGCCGGCGTCCTGTGGGTTGGGGTCTTCCTTCTTTTGTCGTTTGGCTGCTTTTGCTGCTCCGGTCGAGTAGGGTCGCCAGCGTAGCTTGGCTGGCAACGAGGCTTGGGGTCTGGCGGAGTGGTTCTCAGCCGTATCCATGGTGCATTCGCTGGTATATCGAGAGTGAGTATGTAAGTGTGTAAGTGACAGCGAGTGTGTGTAGTTGTGTTGGTTGTGTAAAGGTAGGTGGTTGGTGAGTGTTTTGCTTTGAGAGAGTTGCTGCAAGTATGTTGTCAGAGCTGAGCTGAGTGTGGGAACTGATTGTGTTGTACCAAATGATGTACAAGAAAAAGAAAAAGAGAAAAGGTAAAGACACCGATCGCAGTCACATTGTCACACTTTTTTCGCCTTTTTGGGCTGGCTTGAAAGAGTCAAAGAACGACCGCGTTGAACTCCCGGCTTGCTCCTGTTGCTCAGCCAAGTTGTTTTTCTATCGCTCTTTTGTTAACCCCGGAGCACAAGCCATCCAAGCAACGTTCTTCCGAGCAACTCCACATTCCACACCCACCCAGTTGCCGGAACATCCAATTAAGGACACCCACCTTGTTAACATCGGATGAACGAAAAGGAATAACCAATTGGGCTGTATTAATACTATTGTCTAGACCCTAGAAAACATTGACATCTAACTAGCTGCGCCTCGACGTTTACTTATCGCGACGACCACGCTCATACTGTTGTGAAAGCTTGGCCTTGACGTTGAGCTCACGAGCAGCCGAGCTGACAAAACTAGGTTCCCTCAGAAAACCTCTAGCAACTGCAATCAGATCAGCCTGTTCATGCTCAAGGACTTGCTCAGCCTGTTTACCACCTGTCAAAATACCAACAGCCACTACATGAAGACCGGGAACCTCCCTCTTGACTCGCTCAGCAAAAGGGACTTGGTATCCAGGGAAAGCGGTGATCTGCTGCTGGGCCACATTTCCACCACTCGAGACGTGAATCACATCAACACCGGCTTCTTTGGCCCACTTGGCCACCTGAACCGTCTGCTCAATCTCCCAAGAGGGTCCATCAATCACCTTCTCAACCCAATCGGTTGCCGAGACTCTCAAGAAGATGGGCCTCTCGGCAGGGAACTGGGATCGGACCTCCTTGATGACCTCGAGCAAGAAACGGGCACGGTTCTCGAGAGATCCACCATATTCATCGGTACGGTGGTTCGACACGGGCGAGAGAAAGTTGTGGAGCAAGTAACCATGGGCACCGTGGATCTCGACGGTATCCATGCCAGCCTTGGCAGCTCGGACAGCGGCCTCTCCAAAGGCGCGAACAGTCTCCTTGATCTCCTCGACAGAGAGTTCGCGAGGGGCGACGTAGAGGTCAGACCACTTGAAAGCCTCTCCTCCGCTTGCACTGACAACATCGTCAGGCCAGTATTCCGAGGAGGGAGGCTGAGAGTAAGGAGCTTGTGAAGATGCCTACCCAGGAATAAATTGTATAGATACATAGAAGTATTAGTCTCGTTGTTCTTGGTTCTTAGTACATGGTTTGGGTTTGCCGCTCGATTTGTTGTATTGTATACCTTGCGTCCAGCATGCGCCAATTGGACACCGATCTTGGATCCTTGAGCATGGACCATCTCGGAAATTTCCTTCAACTTGTGGATGTGGTCGTCAGACCAGATTCCTGCATCCTGAGGCGAAATACGGCCTCTAATCGCAAAAATGCATGCAAACATATCGACATTCATTAGGGGCTTGTGCTTCAACAGAAGAACTCAGAAATCAATATCATAGGTCACTATTATTTTCTTACCTGGCCTGGACAGCAGAGGCCTCGGTGAGAATTAGACCAGCTCCATGGATAGCAAAGGATCCCAGATGGGCGACATGGAACGCGTTCATAAATCCGTCCTGCGACGAGTACATGCACATGGGGGCGACAATAACACGGTTGGCCAACGTCAGATCCTTGACTTTGAAGGGCTGGAACAGTAGTGGCGGCTTGTCAGCACCGGGGAGGGACGCATCGATCGGGCCAAGATAGCTACCAGGGCTAACGGGTTGGGAGATGTGGAAGCGTTCCTGAGGGTAGACGATGGCCTGTTCCTTGGTGAAAGAGACTTGGGAGGAGGACATTCTGAAGACTGTTCTTTGAAAGAAGGACGAGATGAGACGGGGGTTGGTAGTATGTCGAGAAAAGAGCAGAGGTGAAGACTTGAATGGAGTGAATGCAGCAGAGGGAGATGCAGACAGACGTGAGTGAGAGATGGTTCGGTTGAGGCGATGAGAAAGAAGAAGGGGGAATCTGGTCATGACTAGAGGAGTTCTTTCGTCATTTTAAAGGAGGAAAGTAAAAAAAGAGCGCGTTTGTGTATGACAATTCAATGGTGGAAGAAGGGTGAAAGGAAAAACATCTCAAATCCAAGCCCCTCGCCTTCACGATTTGACAATTTGTCATCGGTGGGTGGGATAGTAACTCATAAACACCTCTACCATGTCATGCTGCATAGACAACTTACTGTACATGTCATACCATAAGATGACAAGAACAGCCTTTCGTTTTGTTTGTTTGCTCCTCGTGTTTGTTGTTACTCGCGTCTTTCATTCTCTATCCTACAGCGCCTATGATATATAGTCGTCGTCACTTTCCGCTATCTGAGTCTTCTTCCGCTTGGTCCTCGAAGGACGTGTCGACGATGCGGGGGACTGGTAGCTGTCCTGCTTAAAGTCATCCAAATCGTCGTCGTCGCCGTCCTCCACCTGTGCCGATGCATCATCGTATTCCTCTTCTTCATCCTCTTCGTCTAACTTGGCTCCATTCCTCCTCGTGGATACTCCGCCACGGCCGCGGCGACTTGCTGGTTTGCCCCACTCGCCATCCTCGTCATCGTCATCATCATCATCGGCCCTCTTCCTGGACTTGCTCTTTCGACCTCGCCCTCCTTTACTCGTTCCACTTGTCGTCACTGCTGCCCTGCCACTACTCTGTCGACTCCGTCGTCCATTGGATGACGGTGCTACCGCTGCTGCAGGTTTTGCCTTCCGGGTTGGAGCGGCAGCCCGGGTACTCCTCCGGGTTGAAGTCCGAGAGCGAGACCGCGTCCTGCCTTCTTCTTCCGATTCGTCAGCATCACTAATGAAATCAAAAACGGTACTTGTTTAGTCGGTGGCACTCATAATATTTTTCAAGGTATCGGGACAACATCACTTCCAACAAAGCTTCTTACTCTAGGAAGGCATTGTCTGCGTCTTGATCATCTTCCTCCTCAATGTCCTCATCCTCGAGATCTGGTTCAGGCTCTGATTCAATATCCACAAGTTCATTCTCGCTTCCTGAGCCATCAAATTCATCGTCCTCGTCTAGCCGACTGGACTTGACTTTGATCCGCGTAGGGAGGGCTTTTGAAGGATCTAATAAATAAGGAGGGTGATGGGGGTTAAACTCAGTCGGTATAAGTCATTGTTATGTACACACTGGTAAAGAAAAAGGAGGTACATACTAGCGAGACACGCCTTGAAGATCCGAGCAAGTTGCTTGGCTACAACCGCGATTCCACTCCGAGGGTCATTGTATGTCAGAGCGTTCTTTTCCAGCAACTCAACATCGAACTGAACAGCCTATTATCGGGAGGTAATAAAGTGCGAGCGATTAGGACTGAAATAAAAGAGCATTTTATCACGCTGTCAACCAATACTTACTCTGGTGCGTCTGTAGTATCCGCTGGTAACTCTTTCTTGGATTGCGTCAAGGCAAATAGGGTAGGCGATCGCCTTGCAATAGTCAGGGTATGATTCGAAATCGACCGATTCCTTGAAAATCTGCATGTCCTCCATCTCAAGGAAGTGGTTCAGGATCTCTTCAATGCGCTCGAAATCTAAACATACAAGGAAACCAACAAACGTGTTAGATGGGAGGTGGGCTAATCTTTTGTACTGATGCGCTTGAAACATCGCTGTTACGATCCGAACAACAATGCTGGGTTAATTACCTTCAGGCGGGATCTCCTCACGACCTTGAGATCCGTCCTCCTTCTCTTCCCGCTGAATCTCCCAAGGCGACAAATTGGTAACATCCTCGTTGTTTGGCCTACGAGGGTTCACGATAGACGGTCGTGGTTAGTAACCATACACCCTGTGCACTTGTCCACCAAAAATAGCGATAAAAAGTGTCAGCGACAGTGCTTACCATGAGATCTCAAAGGCCATCCATAGTGATTCAGGCAGACTCTGGTCATCGACAACCTGGTCCGAAATGGTTCCAGGATAGTTGCTGCCGTCAAACGACGCCCACACTTGCTCGCCAACGTTATATTGCGCATTCACTCCTTCTTGGAAAACTGAGTAAAGAACAATAAAGTCTGGTACATCACCGAGATCGTGAAACTCAATCTCGAAACGTCTCCGTGAGGGCGAGAACTCTGGGTTGGGCGGGAATCCCCAGGAAGACGACATGATCTGTTCCTCAAGGGTGATGGTGCACCAGGTTGGAGGTCCCACATTGTAAGTGATCCTGGAGACGCGACCAAAGATAACCCATTGCAGTGATGGGTCCTTCAGGTACGGGACAATCTTCAGATCCAGCTTTGGTCGCAGTGGTGTCTCGTTCAAGTACATCGCATGACCCTGTCGAAGGTAGGCGACATAATCTCCAATCTATGCCATGGTAAAAGAAGGTGATGACAGTCAGTTATACTGCCAGGAAACAAATATTGTAGTGTGAGGGTTAAATGTAATGGTTCTCACCTGGGGGTGGTAAGGCGTTTTTCGAGGCTCGTTCGTCTTGATCCAGTCGCTTGGCAGCCACTGCTGGAGCTCCATCGTCTTGTCATCCCGCACGACAGCCTTGCCCTTCTTACGACCATTGCCGCGCCATTGCTTCCTTTTCTTGGGCGACACTGGGGTTGGAACAACGACATGGGCGCCGAACGATCCAGAATACGATCCACCAGCAGAGCTCTCAGAGATAACACTCACATCCTCGTCCTCATCCCCCGAGGACTCGGGTGCCTCGTCACTAGGGTAGTCGTCGTTGGCAAACGACTTCGGCCGGGCGCTCCTTTGACTCTTACTTCCAGAAGGCCCACTGTTGAGTCCCTGTCCTCGCTTCCCTTTCCGCGTGGGTGACATGGGATAGTCATCAAAGTCGCTTTCTTCGTCGAAATCCTCCTCCATGGCTTCCTCCTCCTCATCACTTTCCCGAAGTCGAAGCCGCTTTCGTGGTCTCATTTTACGCTTTCTGTCGTTGGTTATCCGCTGCTTCCTCGGTGTCCCACTGGAGCTGGGGGCGCGCCTCTTCCGCGATCCCTGACCGGCTGCAAAGTAGTCATCGTCATCATCGTCGTTTGCGACGAAATTAGACACCGGATCGGCTCCATCCTCTGGCGCCAAATCGCTGTCATCGCCATCTTCGCTCTCTGATGACGATGAGGCTTCAGAAATGGCACCGCCGCCATACTCTTCACCACTCGACTCGTTGGGGAGTGGGACAATCGGCACCTCGGTTGTCATGGGATCGTCGTCATCGTCGTCGTCCTCCAGAATGAAATCACGTCGACGCTTGTACAGCTTGCGCTTGTCCGTTGTTGGGATGATTGTCAGGGCTTGCTCTGTCAGATTCTCCAGCTCCTGTTCCAGAAGCTCTCGTTTCAGTGCCTCCTCCTGCTCCAGAGAACCAGGCGGCAGCCCGAGAGGTAAATCGAGTCCATACCGCGGTCCTTTCTGCCTGGCATAGTCACGGCCGTTGGTATCCAGGATAGGCGTCCGTTCCATAAGATGAGGGGCAATCTGCGTTGTGTCGTCCACGACATTGTGGTCCGCATCGTATCGAACGGGTGCATAGTCGCTCCAGAAGGTCTGCTCGACGAAGGAACGGGCATCCTGAAAGTCGTCCAAGTTCCTGCCGGCGCCAAAGAGGATACACTTTCCTTCCTGATCCGTCACGGCAAACATCAAACCGTCGGAAGAGAACCGGCCATCTAGGAACTCTTGCTCCGCGTACATCCAACTCTTGAGCTTGGTGCCCTTGGAGATATCCCAAAGAATGACCTGACCATCGTATCCGGCTGTCATCAAGATGCGACTATCATGAGGGTGGACATCAACCACGTAGATGGAGGACCGTGGGGAATGTCCTTTGAGCGTATGCATCCATTCTCCGGTAACCGAATCGAAAATCTTGATTTCGCCCAACGAAGTTGTCAGAATAACAGCCGAGTCGTCCAAAGACCAGATCGCCATTGTTGGTACAATCCTAGAGTCTTCTCCTGATGCCTGCCCGTTTTCATCTGCCGTGTTTTCGTTCGCGTGAGTCTGGCTGGCGGTGGTAGATCCATTCATCTCTGAGTCGGTATTGTTAGCATCGTCGTTTAGTGAGTTGGAGGCGTTGGTGTTCAAGAATGGGTTTGAGGGAGCAGTGACAGCAACCGGCGAGGGCATCATGGGCTTGGCAGCAATAATGGTGGCGTCAGCTTGCATGTTCTCGTCCCGAACATCAACTATTCATCGCGAGTTGGTGGCAAAACAGACATTAGAAAATTGAAATATTTTTCCTGCAAACTTGACGAGGAACACAAACGCCTGCTGGGTTCACAGTGATCATGGATCTCACTTACTGGCCATGGAGGTCCACATCTTGCTTTGGTTGTCGTATTTCCATATCCTTACAAACCCATCAACGGAGCCAGAAAGGATCCTGTTGCCTCGCCGACTGTAACTCAAACTTGTCACAACTCCATCATGACCATCCAGTTGGGCAATAAGAACCGGATCGCCCCAGTCCTGATACGCGGCGCTTGACGAATGTGTCCCTGCTGCTGTGCCGTTTGCTCCGGCACCCGACCCTTCTCCTGTAGACGCTGCAGCCTCAACCTTGGACTTGTCGTAGCTCTTCCGCCTTTTTCCTGCCTTGATCGCCTCGGGTCCCTTTTGGATGGTCGAGAAGACGCGGATGAACAAATCAGTTCCGGCGACGGCAAACTGCGATCCTATGCAGTTCCAAGTGGCGCATTTTAGTTTCGAGTCGTTGAACGTCTTGCAGTCAAGGCGGGTGGGCGGAGTCGTGAACTTTTTAGTATCCCTGTCGTATTTCCAGACCCACGTATAGCCGTCCAGTGAGGTCGCGATCAGGTATCGGATTTGGGGTATAGGAGAGGGTGAGAAGGTAACTGTGCTGATTGGTTTCCTGCCGCGGGCGCTGGCGCCTGTAGGGAGAACAGCAATAGGGGCCGATGTCCTGAGGTCCCAAACACGGACGATGCCGTCATCCGATGCGGAGGCAAGCATGGTGTTGTCTGTGCTGAGATCCATGTATGTGACGACTGCCGCGTGTCCACGAAGAGTAAAGAGGAGGTATCCTGATTGCGCGCTCCATATCTTGATCAGATAATCGTCGCTTCCGGTGATGATCCTGTTATTGGTGCGGTCAAAGAGGAGACAGAAAGTCGGGAATCTATGTCCGTTCATAATGACGAGTTCTTGGAAGAGGGAGGGCACGAATCGAGGGATCTTTGACCCGCGTATTGCTGCGCCCTTGAGCTCCTTGGCTCGCAGATATGCCACTATGTAAGTTCAATGATCCATTATATACATTGGACTAGCATGTGTTAGACCATTGACTTCGCTGTATGCCCAGCATGTGTATTTACGTGTATGGGCTCAGCAAAGCCAAATGAAAATCAAAATTTCGAGGTCACTTACAGGCGTGCTTGTCCTTGAGGGCGCTCCTCCGACCAAATACATCCTTCTGCAGCGTGCGGCCGCCAACATTGTCCTGGTTCGTCTGCAACCGCTCAGTCTCGTCCTTCTCGCGGAGAAGAGAGCTCCCTCCCGTCGAAAGCAAAGACCGGATCCCTGGCACAAGCGGTGGGATCTGGGCATCTGCGTGTACAATCAATTTCGACAACAGATGGGGCAGGTGGTCGGCATCGATTTTCTCGTACAACTCCATCTAATAGTAATTATTATGATTTTTTGGGTTGGACGTTAATAGCGAAAATTCTCTACACACATGGACGTTGAGTTTCCAGAACAACGGATTTTTGCTGTGCAGGGTCCAGGAATGAACTGAATCTTTACCAGTTCGTCTCTAGAGTAAGGACGTCTCTCCCCCTTCCAGTTGTACCTGGCCGGCAGGAGGTCTGGGTGCTGTGAAATCTCGGAGAGAAGAGCATCGGCTGTGTTTGGGCAGGGTCCTTTGGAGAGGAAGCGAGCGATCAGAAAGTAGAGCTATCAAACAGCCGACCAGGATGCCAAACAAAGGAGTGAATTAAAGAGAGAAGGTAGTGTGAGTAAGATTTGTGCTCGGAGTATATATAGTTTTGTGGAAGTGATAGTGGCGCATGGTGTTGCTAAAACAGGTATTTTCTCTAACAAAGTGCGGTTCTATTAAAACGAAAAAGAGAGTCTTGGTGGTTGTCTGTTCAACTCTTCGTTGTTCGCCAGGTTGTCCTTACCTCTGTAGTTACCGAGTTAGTGGAGGAGGCATAGTGTGAAAAAAAAAAATGTGACAAGTCAAAAAACAAAAGAAAAGCCGTTAGCGCCAGGAAGAGGGGAACCGAGAAAGAACGTTTGACGATGGGGAAGACAGTGAGTTTGCTTTTCCCGCCAGCTTTATGTGCTTGTTGATGTTATTGTTGATTGCAGCGATTGTGAACTGGTTCTTTCCTTTGATGTTTTGTTGTTGTTAGTATTTTTCTTCTCGTTACCTTGCTCCATCAGACTGTCCATGGCGCTTTGTTGTTTTTTAGGGTTGTTCGACGACGAGTATAAAAGTGTTGGATTTTTGTGCAGGTTTCCCTTTTTTTCCTCTCTCTCACTTTTTTTTCACTCGTTCAACACCTTTTTTTGGGTGCAGTTTGTTGCCAGTTGCAGATAGAGCTCTGAAAAAAGCGAAGCTGCGGGGTTTTAGGTGCTGCTGCTGGAGAAGAGTGGGTGCGAAGGGGGAGGGGGTGGGGGTGTGTGTGTGATGTGTGTGTGCGATGATCAGTAGCGTTGATGTATGGACGCGACAAAGGGCGTGCCTGGGGTTGTGCACAAAAAAAAAGAAAATAAAAAGTCAAAGAGGAGGGCGGGAGTGAGAGAGAGAAGCCAGACGAGCGAGTGATCACAGCAGAGGAGTGCGAATGGTCTCAACTCATCTCTCTCTCTGTCTCCTCTTCATTCGCTCGCACATGAGAGGGGCAACAAAAAATAAAAAAGTGACGAGTATTAACATATACGATCATTTCCACCTCCTGTCAGCTGACATCATTCGACAATGACCTTGTCAGGGGCGCTCAAAGGCCAAAAAAGTGAACCTGACAGTCGTGCATCTCTTCCTCTCAATCGTCCCTCTTCCCGTCATCGCTCTCTCCTCCCACCTCTTTTCCTCCCTTCCACCAAAAACCCTCTCTCTCTTTTCGTTCTTCGGCCTGACAAGGAGGCAATTGGTATCCCACAATGGCCCAAACGGTACAGTCCAACTCTCTTCCTCATTGTCGAGCAGTGCTGTCGCTTTGTTTTATCTCCCACGCATAGGCGTCACAACACACACCTACCACATACACGTAACTCCTGTCGACTTTTGAACTGACAAGCGTGTACTTTTCACTTTTTACTTTCAGCAGGAGCGCACGTTTATGGCCGCCATTGGCGATGAAGACTCGATCACCGGTCTTCTCCTCGCCGGTATCGGCCATATCGATTCGCATCAAAAGAAAAACTTTTTGGTCGTCGACGCCAGTACGTATCCTTTTTCTCACTCTTCTTTTCCGTCGTTCGACTTTTTCTGGCCATTGGAAGTAACTCGACGACACCAACTCATTATCTTTGTTTTCGTTTTTCTCTTTGATAGAAACGCCACTGTCGGCTGTTGAGGATGCCTTCCAAGAGTTTTGCAAGCGCAAGGACATCGCTATCATCTTGATCAACCAACACGTAAGACACATCCTTTCGTTTTTTCATTCGTTATACGCTCTTACTCTCTCAACTGCCCTCCACTCTCAGATTGCTTAACCTGACGCATGCTTTTCATATCTGATACATGAAAACATAGATCGCCGAGGAAATCCGCACATTGATTGACGAGCACGACCAGGCATTCCCCACCATTCTCGAGATCCCCTCCAAGGACCACCCTTACGATCCCGAGAAGGACAGTGTGTTGAAGCGCGTCAGGAGATTGTTTGGCGAGTAGACAAAAATAATAGCAGCATATCAACAACCACCGACAACCCTCCCACCTCTCCCCGCACTCCCTTTCCCCTCCCCCACCTTTCTCTTTATCACTTTTTCAGGAACCATCCATACAGATTTTTGGGCTGCAAGCCAAAAGAAAATAAAATATCTCGCAACAACATCTCTTTTTGCGATACCATGGTTAGTGCAACATGTGAGGACATGGCGGACACGGGGGTTGCTGCGAAGATGAAAAAAGGGTGACCCCATTCGTCATAGGACTGACAAAGGAGGTACTCGGAGCATAAAGGAGAAAGAAGAGGAAGAGAGGAACGACCTTCGACCATTGAAATATCTGAGTGTTTTTCCTGATCTTTATTCGAGTGCGCACACATGATGTGCTAGGCGAAAGAGAAAGGAGAGGAGTGAGAGAGTGTCGATGAAAGAGATAGAGAAGAGAGTGAAATGCGAAATAGAAGAAAGAAACGATTTGCAAAAAAAAACAAGAACGGATGACTGAAAACGAGCGAAAGGATTAGGGAGCATGCAAAACAAACGATAAGAAGAAGAGAAGAAGAGGTAGGGATATATGGTACATGTGTTGAGGGAAAGAACTGGGACAAACTACTTCTGGGCGAGGACGCGCTTAAACTCGTCGACGTACTTCTTCTTGGCCTCTGCATGGTCCACAATTGGCTTTGGGTAACTAAAAAATATAAAAGTAAAGGAGCGCGTTAGGTTAACTGTCTGGTGTGTATCGAAAGTGGTGAAAACTCAAATAATTGACGAGCAAAAAAAGAGCTCTTTCCAAACTTACGCCAACTTTCCAAAGTCCTTGGCGGACATGGTGTGGTATGGATCGTGCGCCTGCTTATCGGTGAGGTTTCTCAACTCGGGGACCCACTGGCGGATGTAATCGCCAGAGGGATCAAACTTCAGGGATTGCGTGAGAGGGTTCAAAATGCGGAAGTAAGGCTGACCCTCAACACCAGTCGAGGCGCACTAAGCACAAAAATAAGAGCAATAACAACAATAGTCCATTAGCGGACGAAATTCAGGGTACCATTGCACACAAAAACAAGATAATATAGACAACGCGTTCGCAAGCAAATCGGTCCTTACCCATTGCCAGTTTCCATTGTTGACAGGGAAATCACCATCGATCAAGTTGCTCATAAAGTATCTCTCGCCTCTCTGCCAGTTGATCAAAAGATCCTTGACCAAGAAGCAGGCTGCAATGTTACGAACGCGGCTGTGCATATAACCAGTCGCGTTCAGCTGACGCATACCTATCATACATCAATCGCACGAGTAAAAAACGCGTTCTAGTTAGCAATTTGGCCTTTCATTGTCAACTTTTCATTACCACTTCGTTTTAACATCGAGAAAGAAATTTTAGCTTACCAGCGTCGACGATGGGGTATCCAGTCTTGCCCTGGCACCACATCTGGAACTTGCGATCGTCGTTGCTGTAGCGGAGGTGTTCAGTGAAGGCAAGGTACGCATGGTTCTTGCAGACGTGAGGGAACGCGAGCGCAATGTACCGGTAGAAATCCTATGAGATCCAAATTAACAAAATCACGACTTAGTAACTCCGTGGCAGTGGCACGTTGCAAATAATCATCTAGGTAACAGTTGTATTCCTTACCCTCCAGGCAAGCTCCTTGACCCAGGCTTTGACACCATTGCTTCCGACTATGATCTTGTTGTTGTTGACGGCGCGTGCAGCGGCGACGCATTGACGCGACGAAAGAACACCGCTGACAATGTAAGGGCTCAAGGACTGATGGTCCTGCTCCTGAAGGCAATCCCTAGTGATATCGTAGCGCTTGACCTTTTCCTGGACAAAGGCATTAAGACGCTTGTGGGCAATATCCTCGCCAGCCGGGTAAAGCTTCTCGACATCCTCATCGTCCAATGTGTGTTGGGGCAATGTAGGGATTGTGGCGCTGAAAAGTCCGGCATACAACTGTTGAGCAGTTTCGGGGTTGGCGCTGGGAGACTCTGAAAACTTGAGGAACTTGGGGTTAGTCTCCACAAGGTTGTGCCAAGTAGTGCTGAAGTCTGTAAAAGAGGTAAAGTACTCGCCGATCTATCAAGAGACAAATATTAAGGTAGGTCAGTATCGAAGAAAAGTCAAATTATTTACGTGACAAATATTCTTAGCAAATGAGAATGCTTACCTTGGTCTTAATATCGGCGGGAGGCACGACAAACTGGTCGTCAAACTCTTCGACATAGGTTCCAGGTAACTTGACCAATGCCTCCTTGACCTTGGCATCCCGAGCCTTCTCATCAACCAGATATTCCGCGTTCCAGAACACATGACTGACTCCGTGATCCTTGACAGTCGACTCGACCAAACCCACAACCTCTGCCTTGGTTCCTGCCTTCTTGACAATCAATGGGATGTTCAGCTTCCGCAACGACTCCCTGAGCGTCTCCAAGTTCTTCATCCAAAAGTCAATCTTGACCGGCGCCTCATCATGGCTGGCCCACTCCTTCTCAGAGATAATATAAAGTCCAAACAGGTACTTCTTCTTCTCCTGATCAATCTGGGCCCGCAAGGACGCCTCGTTCAAGGCACGGTTATCCTGCACACGAAGGTCGTTCCTGAACCACATCAAGGTGTTCTTGGAAACAACGGGTGGTGGCGCCTCCTTCTTGACAGTAGCCGTTCCAGGCAACCTCGCCCCTCCACGGTTGGCCAATGCTGATGCGCCGACTTTGCGAATTCCTGGCCTGGGCGTGCCTCGAACAGCGCCTGGTCTCATTCCTGCGGGGCTGGGTCTGGTGGCTCCTGGCTTGGCAGCAGTGGGGGCTCCTGGGGTCGAAATACTGACAGACTTGCTAGCCGCTGCTCCTCCTGTGGTGGTGGCGGGACGCTTCCTGGCCTCCTCGCCATGCGCCTCCTCTCCAGCAGGTCTCTTCTTAGGGGGCATTGTCTTGTTTAGTCTCTGAGATGTTACGTTTGTCGATGGTATGTTGTCGATAAACAAGTAGGAGGCTTTCTTTTTTTTTCCCTCAGAGATGCAGATGTCGATGATGAAGACAAAGTCGAAAGGGCAGAAGCAAACAAAGAGACGAATGAAAGTGCGAGTGATGTTTGTTCTTTTTTGAGTTGATCGCACTGCCTTAAAAAACAAGTGGCTTGTTAACACGCACACATACACAAAAATTCCAGCAAGTGCTGCGCCAGTTGGTGGCGTAAAGATTCAGGTCCATCAAGACAGCCAATCAAAATTTTATTTTTGTATGTCAAAGAACTGGACACCGATACCTGCAATTGCTACCAAGGGCCTTTGTTCCTCGCGCATAACAATCGTATCCATCGTTGAAGGGTCAGGCACATGGACGAATTGGGTCTCGAGCATATGCATGTCTGCGCCTCCATCCTCCAGCAGGTTCAATCCCCACACAGTCAACATTTGGTCCTGACTCGTCGTGACAACCTCGGTCGTGTTAATCATGACCACAGCTACAAAAAAAAAAAAAACAAGGGGTGACAAGCAAGATAAATCATGTTAGCAACAAATATTTTCTTCGCGAATCTGAGTCAGAAGCGATACTCCAATAATTCCATTCGCACACTGTACCTTGAATAGCTGAACCGTGTGCATAGGCATTCCTGTGGACAACCTTAGCCGAGGACACTTTGACTGTTCTCAGCTTAGCATCCCAAACCGTCCTGATTCGAGTCACGCTCAATGCGTTGTCGTCGCCTCCTGACACGGCTACAATGCCATCGACACCCATGTCTTGGATGAATAGGCCATTGACGCCAGACATGTGAACTGATACTTCTGCAGCTGGTGTTCCAAGAGTCTGGACATGATCCCTCCGAGCCCGCTTCCTCTCCCTTCCGACCGACGATGCCTGAGCAGTCTTGATTTCATCCGTGCTGTACACCTCCAAGAACCTATCCAGTGCACCGGTGATGTCCCACACAGCAATCTTGCCATCAGTTGCGGCCGTGAACATCAACACTCCGCCCTCCTTCAGCTTGAGATGCGAGACTTGAAGGATACATTTAGCGTGGTGGCTCGCATCAATCGCTAGCACAAACGAGTTGACCGCCTCGTCAAAGAGCCAGACACGGATCGCAGCGTCAGAATACACTGCTGCCACAAAGTGCTTTCCCGAGAGGCCGTCAAGCTTGAAGACAGAGAGGTCCATGATACGAGTCTCCATGATCTCACTAGCGTGAGGGCACTGCGCCAACTCCAGACAACCGAGCGACAGAGGAGTATGCTCAGGAATCATGTTTCCAGCATGGTCCTCGATCATTGGCACTTGGTAGCTGTTAGGGATGCTCATGCCGACCTGCCAGGCTCGCATAGACTCCACAGCACCACCAGTGAAGAGGAGGTAGGAGTGTGGGTCGGAGGTGCAGCTCCACTCCATACAGCGGAGAGCCGAGCCAACGCTCGGTTTCAAGTTGCAGAGAGGTTTCAACGCCGTGCAAGAGTTCTTGGTTTTGTAAGGGATATCTACCCGAGTCGAAACCATCCGCGAGTTAATTTTTCATGTAGATAATCAAAACATTGATCATGCGGAAGTAAGATCCAGCCCTGTCACTTACATTGGAACATTCGCAGGCGGCAGTCTTCTCCTCCAGAAGCAAAAATGATGGGCGCGGGGGCACCCTCGACCAAGGGCTGAGCGTCATTCAGAAACCTCATCTGGCGCACCTCACGTCCGTGAAAGTTGTTTTGAAGCTTGGCATTCTTGAACAACTCTGATCCAGCAGTAAGCTGCCTTGCAAAGCTCCTAAGCTGTGTAACCAAAGAATGCATTTTATAAAAGTTAGAATTTGCTTCACGGCGAGTAAGGTGGAGACACCAAGACGGGCAACAATTTAGTGGCAACATACCTTGTATCCACTGTGGTACATGAGTCTCGTGTGCTCCAGTCTTGCATTGTTGGTCAAGAACCTCCAGCGACGCCTGTTGGCAGCCCCGCTGTGCATGGAAAAGATCTATCATTGCAAACCAACAAAGTTAGCATATGGACCTCTGCTGCCGGAGATTATCCATGGAGCGACTACCTTTGCATCTGTTCTCTTACCTCGAAATGCTTCGACTCGTTATACACAAAGAGCTTCTTGTTGAAGAATCCAAGCAACAACAACTCGCCGTCCATGATAAAGACCTGCTCCAACCAGCCGCGTGTGATCTTGGATCGGAAGATCTTTTGAAGCACGATCGTAGTTCCGCTTTTCCGGTCATCCAACGATGATTCCTGTCCTCTCTGCAACGCAATCTTGCCATGCGACTTACTGACATCATCGCCTTCGTTGTCAGAGTCACCCATGTCGACATCCTCATCGTCATCATCGTTAACCGAAGAGGCGGAACCTACAGTCTCGCCTCCAGGCAACCCCAAGAAACGGTACTTTGTCCAGCTCCCGTCACGGCCAGTACTGTAGACACTGATCCTGTCTTTGCCACCCACGCCTTCTCCTGCTTCAGTGACCATCAAGATACTGGAAACAGTTTCACTCCCGTGGCACCGCTTGAGATCGATAATACTGTCCAATGTAGTCGAAACATCGCTGTCTCCGTTCAATTGTGACAAGTTGTAAACCAAGACAGTACTATCTCTGGATCCCAACAAGACGAGGTTGTAGTGTGGCGAGAAATAGGCAGCATGGATGGCCTTGTTGTTGTTTGGCAACCTCAGATCGCAGATGTGGGAGCATGTCGCCGTTGCTGATCCCGCTGAAATTGTCAAGTTGAACACTCCCACTGTGCAGTTGGCCCTGAACACCACGATCCTGAAGTTGTCGCGATCCGAACCATCCAGCACAAAGACAAACTGTATCTTGATGCCTCCCAATGTCTCTGCGATTAGCGGCTCAAACTCGTTGGTGACACTGACGATCACAAGCTTTCCTGACAAGCATCCTGCTACCACAACACGGCCACAAGTCGAAGACTCCAAACTGGAGTAGTTCTTGAGGAGAGGCGAATGGAAAAGGGTATTCCAAGTCCCCTTCTCGTCGTCGCGGACCAAAATATATCCCGTGTTGGTGCTGTAGACCGATTGCTCCTGTGAAGTGATGACAAAATCGCGTACAAACTCCTTCTCGTTGCCAGTCGCGTCCGGAAAGTAGGTTGCAATGGTGGGCAAGTCAACGTCTTTAGTGTTTTGTTCAGCATCTATTGTGATTCGAAGAAAAAATGAACTTTTGTAAGTTTTCGCCAGTGCCGATCCAAACATGCATAAGATGTCAAAGATAGCGCCCATGACATACCAGTCGTGCCTGCAACAATGCTGTCCAGTCTCCAGAGATGAATACCTCCATCGCCGCCTCCTGTTGTTACCACTCCATGATCAGACACTGCAACGCCCCAAGCGCTCTTGCCCTCATGACCCTCCCAGCAGGCCAGACAATCTGAAGCATCATCCGCTTCGGCAGCGTTTGTCAACAATGGGTTCCTCCAGACACGACACGAAGCGTCCTCTGAGATCGAGATCAAGTAGGGTCCAACAATCTGGCAATCCCAAACTCTTGCAGTGTGTCCAAAGTGGGTGGTATGGGTACTAATGGAGCCAAAGAAGGAGATATTAGAAAGCTAAATAAACAACTCTCCATTCTGGCATCCATGAATCCATTATTGTTCAACAGTGCAAAGCTTACATGTTTGTTGGATGTGTAATGTCCCAGATACGGATCGAACGGTCATCACTCACTGTGCAGACAGCATTGCCATCGTCGTTCCATCGAATGCCAAACAGGATACCCTCATGTCCAATCAGACTCTTGACCACAGGCGCCTCAACGCCGTCGTCATGGTAAACCTTCCAGAGTAAAGCATGGCAGAACACCGTTCCACTGGCGAACCACAGGTCTTCCAGGGTGTTGTTGTGAAATCTCCCGCAGAAAAGTGTACAGTGCTCCTCTGACTGGACTGAGTACACAACAGGGAAGCTCGAGAGGTTATCGTCCGTCAGCAAATTGTCACTTGTCTCCAGAGAAATCGTAAACGGGTCCTGAGGTAGTTGGTAGATCTCGACAAAGTTGTGCGCGTAGCCGATGGCGATAGAAGTAGGTGGCGAGGTGACTGGTGGACGCAGGCTTGATCGTGTCGTTGGGTGTTCTCCTGGAAGATCCGCCTTGTTCCAAAGCCATTGAGCGTCCACGATCCAGTCCTTGAAGTGAGGGATATTCCACAAGTTCTGGAACCATGTAGAGGGAGAGTTGCCTCCCGAAGATCGATCGACGCAGAGGCGGAGCACCTTCAGACTCTTTGCTCCAAAGACCATAAACAGACGCGCCTCGATCGACTCTGAGATCCTCTGAACATTGGCTATCGGATTAGGTCAAACATACAAATATGGTCAATCAGTCTGTGGTTTACAGTCGTAGTGTCGGCGTTGACTGAAGAATGGATACCGTGGCCATAATCTTGTGATATCCCATACCCATGACAATCCGGTGGATCTTCCAGTCCTGGCCCAGGTGAATACATCCAAGAGTCTCGGCAGTCGAGATAAGAGTTGTCTTCAGGTATGGGCCTTGCCCTGAGAGGAGAATGTCGTTGTCATGGTATGCCAGAGCCGTCACCGGTGTCGTCAAATGGACGGGTTGCGCCCGTCTGTGAACACTGTCCATGTGTGTATGCGTGGGGGCGAAAAAGTTGACGGACGTTGAAAAGCGTTGAGAGGCGAACCAGAGCAAGTGTGAGATCCATTGTTTTCTTGCAGCTCAGCCACAGCAGCGAAAGAGCAGGACTGCTAAACGCATTCAGGGACTTGGAAGCATGCAAAAAGAAAGATCAAGTTTATTACGATCTGTAGCCTCAGACGGCGGTGGGGATGATATTGAAAAAGTGAAAGACCTCATCCTGATCTATAAGGGCTACTTTGGTATTACAAATCTCACATACGACTGGGTTGTAAACTGCATCCTGATCATCGTCAACACTCGGCTTGAACTCCTGTACCTCGCTCTGAGCTGCCGTGCTGCCTTGTAATGATGTTGATAGTGATGATCCTGACTTGCTGGCTTTCTTAGACTTGTTGTGGTTGTTAGCCTTCTTTGGTACGTTGGGGAAACGAAGGCGCTCGTTCTCTACTACCCGACAGTGCTCCACAAACATTGCCCTGAATTGGTGGGTGTAGGCTTCATGTCTATGTATAAAAAATGTTCGAGCGTTCAGACAAGTGTCAGTTGATCGATGCATGGTCCATTGCGCTGTAACCAAAAAATAACAATCCCGAACAAAGCACATACTGTTGGCAATCGAAGCAGAGCTGAGTAAGGCACATTGGGCAGGAGAGGATGGCATCAGTCCAAATATCCTCTGGTCGACATCCAGGCGGCCGATTTGCTATCGAACATAAGTATATGTAGTTTCAGTTAGCTGCCTTGTAGGCCTTTGACATGTTGCTTGAGCCTGCCTATGTGATTTGTTGAATGACATGCAATCGCCTTGTTATTTGGTCCTTTGTCCACTCACCTGAGATCTTCTTGATGAGCCAGTTTTCGTCCCTGTCGTCTTCGTCTGGGTCGTATAGAAGATCAGCGTCTGATATCGTTGCGCGCTTCTTGTTGATCTTCTTTGTTGGCTTGGTGGACTCGCGCATGGAACTCTCCTCCAGCTTCTTGGTAATATCGGACATCTGACTACTGCTCGATCCTGCTGCGGCGGCGCTGCTGTCGTTGAGGCCTGAGCTCAAGCCGGCAAGAATATCGTATTCCTTCTCGTCGTCATCTTGGTCGTCGTCGCCGCCCTGTCCTTCATCATTCACGGCTTCGTCCGCTTCAGGCTCGTCCTCTTCGTCCGAGTCAAAGTATATGGGGTCATAGTAATCCGGTGCATCTTGTTGATTAGTTGGTGGCGCTTCGAGATTGCCGTTGGAATCTGAATCTGAATCTGAATCTGAGCCTGAGCCGACGTCTATTGTCCCGAAGCGGATTTTCCTTTTGAATGCCGGCGTTGATGTGGGTAGTTGTGATGCGTTCATGGTTGTAGGGAGGTGATGTTCGGTTCCTGGTTCTTATGTTTTTATTGTTTGTGTTCGAGAAAGAAGAGAGAGCAGAAAAATGAAAACAATAAATTTTATTTATTCAGGGGAGTGGGAAACCTAAGCGCTTACTTTACGCTTGTCGCTGTCGGGTTCCTCTTCTTGTTCATCCTGGCCAATCATCCGCATAAACCGGTTCAGCTCCTCCTGGGGCATAGGGTAGCAATGCTCTGTTGCTGGGAATGATCCTGACTTGACATCAGCGCTGTACTCTTTCAGAGCACCCACAATCTCGTCCGCCAAGCCACGATAGGTCTTGCAGAACTTGGGGACACGGCCATAAAGACCCAGCATATCCTGTTGGACCAACACTTGACCAGAGCATCCGACACCGGCGCCAATTCCGATGGTGGGGATATTGAGAATATTGGTGACATGTGTCGCCACCGGCTCAGGAACTGCCTCCAGAACAATGGCAAAACAACCAGCATCCTGCAAAGCCTTTGCGTCCTCAATGATTCCTCTGGCCTTGGCAGCGGTCTTGCCCTGAACCTTGAATCCGCCCAAGCTGGCCTGTCGCTGAGGTGTCAGTCCAATGTGTCCGAGAACAGGGATGCCGACCTGGGTGAGACGAGCGATGGTGGGTGCCATTTCCTTGCCGCCCTCCATCTTGACAGCCTCGGCCTTGCCCTCCTTCATCATTCTGACAGCAGTGTTGATAGCCTGCTCTGGGCTGGTCTCGTATGTTCCAAAGGGCATGTCGGCGACCAAGAAGCTCGAGCGAGTTCCACGGGCGACGGCTCGGCAGTGGTGCAGCATTTCATCCAAAGTGATCTCGGAGGTCGAGGGGTAGCCAAGAGCGACCATGGCCAAGGAGTCGCCGACGAGGGTCATGTCCATACCGGCCTTGTCGACGAGTGTTCCTGTGGGGAAGTCGTGGGCGGTCAACATTGTGATCGGCTCGCCTCGCTTGTACAATTTGCGTAAGGTTGCCAATGTCACCTTGGCACGAACTAGTTTTGACACGGACATTTACAAAAGAAGAGTAGCATGAGTTAGAGAGTAGGCTCGCTTTGTTTATGCTTTCCTTGATTAGTCAAGTGTCAAAGAAATGAACGAGGTGTGACAGAACCTCATTCCCCTCATTTTTTTACTTTGAGTTGATAAAGAGAGACAAAGAGACAAACGTACTGTGGTGAATAGGTTGATCCGAGGGTCTTGAGCTATAGTGCCTCCTAGACTCGGAGGGAGTGTTTGTCTGGCAGGAGGAGATGCGTTGGTTGATATGGCTCTGGAGGGCCATGCGGACGGGCTGGGCAGATCGGGCCATAGCAATAGCCGAGAGCCTTGTCCTTGCGAGCAGTGCAACGGAGGTGCGCATATTTTATGTTGGAAGTGGGTAGTGGTAAAGAAAGTAGTGATAAGTTCAGTTGAGTGGTGCGAGTATGTATTGATAATAAAGAGGGAAGGTGGGAAAGTGGTGAGAATGGGGAATGGAAAAAGAGAGGGAGTGGGGAATGGTGAGAAGAAAAAGAGGAGTAAAGAAAAAAGACGATGCAAAAGCAGAGAGCAGGTCAAGGACTTTTTATGTTGTCAGTCCATCAATTTTTTTCCTCCTGGTAGGCTGTTACTCTCATTGGCTGTCGGCTGGCGGGGTTGGGAAAGAGGAAAAGAAAACAAGGAAGAAAAAAACATGGCATGGCTGTATTTGGGTAAGCCTGGATGGACAGCCGGCAAAATGGCAGGCATCATCCGAGGACCTTTTTCTTTCAAGAGGAGGGCGCCCTTCTTCTGTCTCTCTACTGACTGACCAGTTCAGGTACCGAGGGTTTGCCTGCCTTTGCGGCATGTGTCGGATGTTAAATGTGTCTACGCTATGCAACAACGTGTGGAACAAACAGTAACTGATGATGATCAGTCCAGTTCAGGTACGATCACCTTCATGTGTCACATTTGTCTTCTATGCCATTATGCTGGCACACTGCCATATGGTAGGAAAAAAAAAGACCGCTCCGGGCTCAGCTCGTAGGGCAGCTATCGTCACTCTACTTGCTGCTGCTGTTGATGCTGACAACACGACAAAGGGTTGTACACCATATTACTTTCCCTCCCTCTCTTAATTGTTATGTGTGCCGGGAACCAATGTCATTAACAACGACAGCTCATTTTGACTTCAAACTCTAATACCTGAAGGACTGCCCCATGTCTCTCTGTCTCTGTCACTTGCACCTGGAGCCCTTCTTTTCTCTTTTTTTCACACATGGGTGCGAGGTATGTGTTCCAAGACGAAGACAGTTGCGAGAGAGAAGTGAGCAATCACATTTTTTTTCAATTGAGCATTAACAACTACGACAGCAACATCAATATCGATATCCATCTCGTCGCAGCCTAGAAGAACCCCTGTAACCAACCGCCCCTGGTTCACTCTAAGTGGCGAAACGAAGGTTGCTCTCATAATTTGCCTTTTTCTTTGGGTCTTTCCTGACCTTCTTGACCTTCTTGTGTTCACCGTTCGTGGACATAATTTTCATTAGTGTCATTTTCATTTCTTCCTTCTCTCCTCTTTCTTTCTCTTCTCTTTTCCCTCTTGTGTCCGCACCCTCGTCCATTCCTTTCCTTCTCTTTAACGAACCCTTCCTTCCTCTCCTCCGCTCTTTCTCTCTCCTCTCTCCACTTCACTCCACTCTCCTCGACTCCCTTTCCCTCTCTGCCTCTTGGTGGATCCTTCCCGGATTGAAAGATATCTGCTCCTTCTCCCTCCCCCTTCCTCCACGGTCACTCCTCCAACCCCCTCCTCATCTGAAGAAGCCTCATCCCCCTCTCCTCCGACATCAACCTCTCCTTCGACATGTCAGCATCAACCACAACAATCCGTCCAGTCACCAAGACACCAACGGTAACAAAACCGGCAACAGTAGCACCGACTAAAACAGCAACCGGAACTGCTCGCACCACAACAAAAGCTGCCGCAACGACTGCACGAGGCACTAGAACAACAACCCTCCGCATAACTACCGCCACCACCGCAACCATCTCCCCATCGCCCACCCCTGAACAGCCAGCCTCGGGAGGTCTTGCTCCAGGTGCCATTGGCGGTATCGCAGGCGGTGCTGTGGCTCTGGTGGCCCTTGTCGGGGTTCTGTTCTACAAGCGCCGCAAGAGGACTACGGCGGCCGGAGCCGCGTTCAAGAAAGGCGACGGTAGCAAGGAGGAGCCCATCTACATGCATGCCACCAACTACTCCAGCAATAATCATAAAAACCCGCCCTCCAATAACGCCATCTCGGGTCCCATGGCCTTGACTGCCGAGTCCGACTATGAGGCACCCGCCGCCGCTGCGGCCGCTGCCGTTGCTGCACCTTCGCCCTATGGACGACCATCGCAACAGGACAACAGCCGTGGAGGGCTTCCTGGGGCTGGCCCCTATGGCGGCCCAGGAGGCGACAATAGAGACGATAACAATAACAACAACCGCAACTATCCCGGCGGTGATCACAAGAGCAAACAGGACGACCTGTATAACAATAGTAACAACAATAATAACAGTCGGTCGCCTCGCTCTCCTCACGACGACAAAGTTCCCCTGCAGCACGACTATTACGACGACGTCCAGGATTACTACGACGGTCCTCAAGAACCTATTGGTGCCCAACGCTCGGCTGTTACCCCTCGAGATCTGGTCCAAGGCAACCTGACCCCTGCTCCTGAGTACTACCTTGGCAAGGCGGATATTGACCCTCGGCGCGACCTTCGTGGACTGGACGAGCCCGAGACGTACATTCGGAAAGCCAACATGAACAACAATAGTAACCAAGAACCACCTGTCGACCAGCAGGGCCTAGCCAGAAACCGTCGGTCGTCCGTCTCGTCCGATGGCGAAAGTGCCTACATGACCCTGGAGCAGGCCCAACAAGCACACAATAAGAAGATGCAAGGCCACAAGGAGAGCATCGGATCTGTCAGCATGTTAATCGATACCTCGAACAAGAACCATAAACCCAATCGCGTAGAAGAACTTCAGTCACCTGGAACCCCAAGTTTTGCCCACGACAACGCCTCGATTGCCATGTCGGATTCTGTCATGTCGATGATGCCCTCTTTGCCAGCTATCAGCAGTCCTATGCCCTACAACAATAACAATGGAGGAAACAACAAGCCCTCATCAAGACCCAAGGAGTCTGGCCCCATGTCCCCAGGCGGCTATGACGACCCCTATGCCGAGAGTGCGTTCAGCGAGGACTTTAGTTCCTACCCCAACAGTCCTCACTACGCTCCTTACAATGGCGCCCATCCGTCGCAGCAGCATCCTTACCCACAGCATCCATCAAGATCTCATTCTCCTTTCCCTCCAGGTCCCAACGGTTCAGGCGGCGGTTATGGCGGATACCCTCAACAGGGCGGCAGTGGTTATCGCGGCAATGGCTATGGCCCAGGACCAAACCAAGGTGGATACCCTGGCTCTCCTCCCCATAATGGCTATGGCGGCGGTGGTGGTCGACCCCAGCGTGGCCCCGGTGGTCATCATGGCGGTCCACCCGGTTATGGCGGAGGCGGTGCTCCTGGTTGGAATGGTCCCGGATATGGACCTGGAGGTCCAGGTGGACGGGGCCCTCCTCCTCCTTCCAACTACAGCCCTGGAAACGGCTACAACAACGGATACCCACCACAGGGTGCCAGTCCTGGCCCTGGAGGCTACAGACAACCCCCTTCACAGCAGCAGCGCGATCCTTATTATGGCCGTGCCTATTAGACTTGCCCATGGAACTTGCTCAACAAACCAAAAAAAAAAAAAAGAAACAAAATAAAAACAAACCACAACAAACTATCTGGCCCGCGATGCACCTCGTTTTTTTTTTTTTTTTTTTTTTTTATGTGTGAGGAGGATGCTACAAAGAAAAAGTGGACTAACAGGTTATTGGATGTGTGGAAGGAAATGATGTTTCCAAACCTTTTTCATTTAATGATGCGCTCACAGGGCAAGAAAAGATGTGGTTACATCGGAATGGGATCGCATCTCTCCCTACGTCCAATTGACCTGGGGGTTGCACTGTTGATGTATCTCTCTCTTGAGTCCTCGTACCATGAGAGACAGAGCTAGTTGGTCTAGTACCATCCATCGTGATAAAAAATGTCGCACCAAAGGGTTTATCCCTGCTGCAGGTTTACCCATGAAGGGCAACTTTATTTTTCTGTCCCTTTGACCGTTGAAGCCCCCCCCCCTCCTCCCATTTATCATCGTCAGTCTTTCTTGTTCAGGGGCTCATTTTTTAATGCGGGCTTGATTGGTTCGAAACCATCTTGCTCATCAGAGACATTACCAGGGTTAGGGCGAGTTCGTCCAATGGTTTGTTGGAAAAAATCATGACCGCGTCCAGCCACACTCTTCGCCAAAAACGTGGTTGTAATAAAAAAAAAAAGGGGGGGGAGGGGATGTTGACTTGTTTATTTTGATTCCCTACTCACGATAAAAGTTGAAGGTGTATCCCAGAATGTCATCTCAACACCCAGTTACTACGTCGACGCCTATTACTGGGATTGCTACATCTGCGCCTAACTCAACGCCCTTACCCAATGCCCCTTCAACTGCAACATCCACTGTCCGACGGAGCCCAGTCTACGGTCTTGTAGAGGCAGCAATGGAAAACTGCACTCACCCAGGTCGCGTTTGGCGACATGTAACAAGGATGGCAAGGGAGTTCCGCAAGACTATCAGGCGGCCGTGGATTGGTACCTCAAGGCCGCTAGATAAGGATATGCTGTCGCCCAAGACAGCATCGGACTTCTCTACAACTTTGGTCGCGGTGTTCCCCAGGACCATGAACGAAGCTATGGATTGGTATCTCAAGGCCGCCGATCAAAACGACATACTCTCTCGCAATACAGCATTGGGTGTCTCTGCGACGACTGCGAAGGGTGTTTCCGAGGATTATACAAAAGCCGCGGAGTTGGCAAAAAACAAGGGAAGGCCAATGGGCGTGCGCTTTCCCATGCTCACTCGTTACTGTCCACCTCTTTTTTTTTTTTTAATCCTCCAGTCGCCTCGACTTTACTTTCCGTTTGTTTCTCACCATCAGTCCGACCGGCAACCCTCTGACCCTGTTCTGTCTTGTTTGATGGAGAGGCAGCCTGTAACAAGACGAAGGCGGACGGGAGCAATTATGCGCATGGTTGTCATTTGTGATTACTAGTGTTCGTTTCTCTTGCTTCTGCTCCAAGTACTCCTTTCTCACGCCATCGTTGTCGTTGGAGCAAGCATAGTTGCCATTCATACTTACTGGTACTCGTTCTTTTTCGTTTCTAATCCAACGTTCTGCTCCAATGACCCGCTCCAATGGCTTCCCTCTAAAGTTACACCCCTCACGCAATACCTATTTTCAACTCTTGTGACTTTGTTAAAGCTTCATTTGGCAATAACGTTTTTTTTAATACCGAAAAGAAGATTTTTTTCTACATGTTCAAAGAGAAAGGGTTGGAATAAGCAGAGGTGGAATTGCCTGAGACGGGCACAGCACCTGAAGAAGAAGATGACAGGGTAGCAGAGAAGGGGTCGAGATCGTCGATGGAGGGGTATTTTGACGTCGCGGCCGCAGGCGATGGCTTCATCCATTGCCCAAACATATCGTTCATGTTTCCTGCTCCTCCTGCTCCTCCTGCTCCTGAATTACTAATCGTTGCGGGGACAGTCATTGACCGATTGGGTGCGCCAGGCATGGAGAATGCGGATTCGTAAATGGATGACGAGGAAGGCCCTGCGGTGCTACCATTGAAGGCGCTCTGAAAGTTGTATGATGACTCTGATGCAGACCGCATGAACGCAGTCTGTTGTTGCTGCTGCTGGTACTGGTTAAACTGTTGTTGAGGCTGACCAAAGGGCGAAACTGGTGCTGCAGACTGCGCGTGTTGTTGTCCACCAGAGGCCATAGCGAAGGGGTTGGGAGACCTTGTTCCAGACGAGCTGAGTCCAGAAGTTGAAAAGTAATCCACTTGCTGCTGCTGTTGCTGCTGCTGTTGTTGTTGCTGTTGTTGTTGTTGTTGTTGCTGGTAATGTTGAGGGACCGTCATGTTGCCAAAAGGATCTGAAAACGAGGGTTGAGGCTGGTTATGCTTTGCAAACATGGCGAATGGGTTGCTCTGCTGTCCAGATGATGCAGGGCCTGCACTGACAGCACCGTTTCCGCTGTATCCGGTGGTCGTAGAGATGTGATCAACCGTGAAGGCTCTCTGAAGTTGCTGGGGTGATTGTTGCTGTTGAAGTCCAAAGGGATTGGCGGATCCGGTGGACTGGGGAGACAAGGTCGTTGTGGAGGATGCAGCGACGGAGAAAGCAGAGGAAGGCGAATTAAAGATGGATCCATTTGAGCTGGCTGGTGCCTGTGAGTAAGGCTGTTGTTGCTGCTGACCCTGACCGAGAACAGAGAGGTAATCGTCAAACGACTTGGCTCCGCCCATCATTCCTATTCCTGCTCCTGCTCCTGCTCCCGCTGCGATTTCAACTGATGAAGAAGCACCACCGCCAAAGTCCAGTCCTTGGAATGCGCCTTGGTTCACGTAGGGTTGGTGCTGCTTGTATTGAGATTGGTGGTCCTGAGACTGTCCAGATGATGCCAACGAAAAGGGGTCGCTGTTGGTGGTACCCTGGAGAGTAGCAGATGGAGATGGCTGAGAAAACGCAGAGAAAAAGTCGTTGGACGAGTGGGCTTGGGATGGAGGCGCCTGCGCCTGTGAGAACGCAGATTGTCCAGCATATCCTCCGTTCAGTTGAGTGCTAAAAGCGTCGTTGCTGTTGATACCGGCGGGGCGCGACGTGTTCATACCCATGTTGCCGAATGCGTTCGTCATCAATGAAAAGGGGTCGGACGTTTCCGTTGCGGCAGGTGTGGCGACAAAGTTCTGCCCTCCAAGAGCCGGCTGACTATAGTTGTTGCTGTGGTTGTTGGATGTGAGTCCCATCGCGTTGTCAAAGGATCCTTGTCTCCACTGTTGCTGCTGCTGTTGTTGCTGCTGTTGTTGCTGCTGTTGTTGCTGCTGTTGCTGCTGCTGCTGGGCCAGGAACTGAGATGGAGATGGCTGAGCACTCTTGGGAGCTCCTGCCGGGTGGAATGGACTAGATCCTGCGCTGGAAGGGTCTGTTGACTTTGAAAATGTGGTTGATCCGCTGTCTGAGCTCAGTGTCGATGACTTTCTGCTGAGGGTTCGTTCAGGAGTCGCTGCAGATGGTGTACTAGGCGATGTCTGAGAAGTACAAAGCAATATATTTTCCGTTAAAAATAGGTTCGCGGCGAATCGAATTGAAATCATTCAGTCCAGAGAAAGCACCACAACCCTTCTCGTTTTCAAAAATAAAACAAGAGCAAAAGCTTGCACTTACAATGTGGTTATTGACGTCAATAATCTGGCTCTTTGAAATGGCGCGGACCCGCTCTGGAACAGCAAGGCCACTATTGGATCCATTGCCGATGGTAGGGCTCGTAGGGGAGGGGATAGCGGAAGTAACAGCGGCTGCAGCAGGAGAGCCGCCATTCGGATCCTGGTACCATAATTTCTTGACATATTTGGCTCTCATAAATTGTCGGACATCATCAACCTCGTGGGCGTCTGGCTCTGGATACTCTCGCCAGGACCATGTTGCCAGCCAGATCTTCTTGGCGACCTATATTGCATAAAAGAATATTAAGGGCGGGCAAGCAAACCAAATGAAAAGAAGGAGGAAAGGACGGATGGGATGGGTTAGAAATGGGGACGCCTTGATCCGTGAGAGCACGAAGAAAAGAGGCACGCCTTTCTTCCTTCCTGTTTGGGCTCATTGGTTTTGTGTTTGCTCGTTGGGCCGGTCGTCTGAGCTTTCCGTATTCGTTTTGAACAACTGACATCCTGTGTCCTTTCACTCTCTCTTTTTTCCCCCTGAATTCAAATGATAAAAGAGCAGCCGGTGAACGAGGGAAGTTGAGGGGAAGGTTGTAAATGATGGGAGGAATAAAATCCTTGGTTTGTTTGCGCTTGGACAATGGCGTATTATCATCACAATGTGAACCTGTGCGCAAGTGCATGACCCACAATCGCATTGGTTGTCTGCCTGTGCTGACTGTCCAAGTTTTTTTGTCACCCCAAAGGATTCTTGTCGTATGACGCCGTCGAATTCAGATGTGAGGATCCTGTTATCGTTTGATTGCTCCAGTGATGTATGCTGTGCATCTGCAGCGCTGCTCAGTGGGAAGGAGGAGAAGACAGACGACCTCTTACCGCATTGCCTCCTTTCTGGAGACCAGCCATTTCCTCGGAGGTGAAAGTTGATGCAGAAATCGATTTGACCCTATGGTTCAACTCGCGGCTAAACGTGGGAGAGAAGAGTAGGGGAGGGTTTGGGTTTGAAAGCAATTAGTGAGATTTAGTGTTTCCTGCTCCAAAACACAATCCGCTTCGATTGATCATTTTTTTCTTCCGCTCAGCGCCTGGGATGAAGGAGGTATATCTTCATTCGTTCTGCAGCAGCACAGGCCGGGGGTAAGGATAAACAAAGGAGCGACGTGCAGGATGTGGCAGAAAAACAACAACTTACAGCAATCCGGAGCACTTTTCGCAGATGAAGGTGTTGTTGAACAAGTTGGCATAGACATTGACCTAAATCGGTGGTGTAGGATGCAGAAACGAAACAAGAGAATAGAAGCCGATTTAATAAGTCTCGTCCAATTCCATTAGGAAACCAATCTTATCCGGATATAGCTGGTCTACTGGTCTGTACCTTAGACGGGCAGTCGAAGCATTTCTTGTTATCTGGCAACTTCAAGAGTCCTGTCAGGATCCTGTATTCGATCGCGAAAAAAGAGAGTATTAGTTGTCTTGTCGGCGTTGATTGTTTTTTTCTCAGTCCATTGACCATCCACGGTTATGCGAAAAAAAGGTGTGGAAAAGTGCGCTGCAGGGTGGGTGACAAAGGGGGTGAGAGGTGGTCGTCAAAAGGAAGAGGCAGTGAACGGTTAGAGTGAAGGTGGGTTGTTGTTGAGTTTAGTGTTCAGTTGAAGGAGAGAGAGGGGGAGAGGGAGTCGTTGGGGATAGTGGAGTGCAGTGTGGTTGAGTTGAGTTGGGCGTTGGGTGAGGGTGATGGCGAGTTCTTGTACCTGGAGTGTTTTTCTTCGATTCTCCTAGACATGGTGAAGTGAGGCGGGTGGCAGAGTGGTGTTAGGGTAGAAGAAGGAGAAGAAGAAGACGACGACGAAGAAGAAGAAGAAGAAGAAGAAGAAGAAGAAGAAGAGGATGAAGGAACGGAAGAAGGAAAAAAGAAGAAAGGGGAATGAATGAATGAATGGATGAGAGCAAAAAGAGAAGAGGAAAAGAAGAGAGAAAGTGATAGAGGGTGTGGCGATCAATCCACATATGAACATGTGTACAGAGACATTGAACACTCTTGCAAATTGCAAAGGAGAAGCGAATGGGTGGCTTCCATTGGTGGTTGGTTGGGTGGCGGTTTGCTTTTCGTCGCTCAGTGCATCCCATCCATCCGACTCGCCTGCCCAGCCGCTCCTGTCTCCTTGTCTTGGCTGTATCGATATGAAAGTGCCGAAAATAGGGTTTCTAGTATATGCCTTGGCTTTGCTCTCACTTCTACTTTATTTCTTCTTTCGCCTCCCTCTCTCCCCTTCTCTTTTTCTTCTTCTCTTCTTCTCCTTCTTCTTCACTCTGCACTACGCCAATAATACCCTCACTCAACCCTCAACCAACAGGACCAGGACCCCAACCACCACCCTCAATAACAACAACCATCAACGAACTCTCTGTGGCCACCAATGGGAAACGCCATCACAAAAAACTACGAAGGTCCGCTCATCATCTCTCACATCATCACTCCCTCACGCACTCACTCTCTCAGGAACACAAAGGAAAAAGACCACTCACGCTGATACCCCATCACTCTTCTTTTCTTATTCCTTCCTTCTAGTCGGCGGGCAGATCGCCAGTGCAGGACTTTGGAAAATTCATCGAGGAACAAAGCGGACTACAGGACAGGAAGTCGCTGTATTCGTATCACACTCGTGTCGTCTCTTTCTTTTCTTTTTTTTTTTTGTTATGTTGAGCCATTGATCGCTTTCAATGCCATCTTCACAGCGTGCAAGCAAGGAACTGTTCCTTGCAATTGCTTGAAAGCGGCGACCTCCTTTTGTTCCATCCCTTTGCAACCAATGGGTTCAACCTGTCATCCAGGTCTCCCATATCTGTATCATCCTTGACTTGTGAATGCGCTTGTCTGTTTGTTTTTTTTTCTTTCTCGCTCTCGTCCTCTTGGAAACATTAGATCTTCGAAAAGAACATTGTCGAATCCATCTCGTCACTGAGGAGACAAGCGCCATCGAAAAGAGATCAGGAACGCGTATATGAGTTTCTAAAGAAAGAGGTACCAGGACACGACTCAGTCATGCTGTCACCACTTCCCGCCAAATGTCGCCTGTGTTGCATTGGATCATAACTCTAACATATCTATATGTGGCATCGTCTTAGGCGAGTCAACTTGCACGGTTGCGGCATCCCTGCATGTTGGAAGTCGTGGAGCCAGTGGATGAATCTAGGACAGCAATCGCCTTCGCCACGGAACCGATCTTTGCATCGCTGTCAAATCTTCTTGGAAACTACGAAAACCTGCCATCAGTCTCAGAGGATATCCGCAAGTTTGAACTGGATGAGCTGGAGGTAACGACGCATATAGGTTCAATTAATTCCCACGCCGGGATTGAAGAGGCTCATTCAAGAACGATACGGCCATTGAGCGACAGCTAACGTTTTCTTCTTTAATCCACCTGATAGGTTCAAAAAGGATTGCTGCAGGTCGGAAAAGGACTCCAATTCTGTCACAACGACGCTAAAATTGTTCATGGAAACTTGGTACCCGACGCCATCTTCGTCAATGCTAAAGGAGACTGGAAGATTGCAGGGTAAGAGAGTACCATCACCAAATCATTATTTCATCGGAAAACAGGGCAGGAAAAGGCTAGCAAAGGTTTTGTCAATAACTAACGATCACTTTGAACCGTCACGACATTGCCTATGTCTCTAGCTTTGGATTCAGCACTTTTCTTCCACGGGATGCGAGCTCACCTCCTCCAGCCGAATACTGGAATTACGACCACGAACTTCATTCATACTGCCAGCGGGATCTGGACTACCAGGCTCCTGAGTATATCCTGGATCACAAGCTGGACCCATCCAACGACATGTTCGGGATCGGTTGCTTGGCCTACTCGGTTCTAAACAAAGGAAACCCTTTTATCCAGTCTCGCAGCAACATGAACACCTACCGCCAACAAATCGACAGAATCAGCCAGCACCAGTTTGAGAAGCTCCCTGCTCACCTTGCAGGTACAGATCATGGCGATTACACTGTTCAAGATCGAGCATGCCCTTGCCTCAGTTATCAAGCTACATACATACCATAGTTGCTAATGCTCTGGTGATGTGACATATCTATCATAGACGCCATGACCCGACTGATCACCAGGGAGCCAAGCATGAGAATGAATGCAGTGGAGTTCCAGACCAGCAAGTTCTTCGACAACATCCTCGTGTCGACGATGAAGTACATGGAAAACTTTGCGGAGAAAACCCGGGATGACAAGGGACAGTTCATGAAGGGCTTGCTCCGTGTCCTTCCTCAGTTCCCAGAGAGGGTTCTCATGAGAAAGGTAAGGCTCGTCTGGTTATCAACTTTGTTGTTGCGCCACCATTTCAGGAAAGCCTATTATTCATACATGTTTTTTCCCTGCGTAATTAGATCCTCCCCTGTTTGCTGGATGAGCTCAAGGACCATGCTCTGTTGCCATATACCCTTCCAAACGTGTTTTACATCATCCAAAAGATGTCGCCCAAGGAATTTGAGGAGAGAGTCTTGCCTTCGCTGAAGCCCATCTTTTTGGTCCGGGAGCCCGTGCAGAACTTGTTGACACTCCTGGAGAAGATCGAGCTTTTACACCAGAAGGCCGGAGGACAAGTGTTCAAGGAGGACATTATGCCGCTCGTCTACTGCGCTCTGGAACCCAAGAACCCACCCTCTGTTCAAGAAAAGGCGCTTAAGACTGTTCCCTCCATCATGGAGGCTCTGGACTACACTACCGTCAAAGCTTCGCTCTTCCCCAGAATTGCTGTGAGTTTGCAGAGTGACTCTCTTCGCCTCGGGCGTACTGCGATGTTCTTGTTCATATAGCTAACGTTACAATTTGATCGTTTGATATAGACCCTTTTTTCTCAAACGACAACCCTTTCCGTCAAGGTCAACACCCTCCTCTGCTTCCTCACCATCATGAAAATCCTGGACAAGGTACGCAAGTTTGTCATATTTTTCTTTGCTTGTTTTTCCTCCGCACCCTCAGGATTACATCTAACATTAGTCATATTATTTTACAGTTCACCATCACGGAAAAGTTGATTCCGCTGTTGCGCAACATCAAGACCCGCGAAGTCAATGTCACAGTAAGCAGCGTGTCTGTAGAATGAGATACGCAGGAGGTACAGTTTGTCTACACTTACTAACGCAAGTAACATCTCTGGCGATTAGATGGCGACATTGCAAGTGTACCAGGAGATGGGCAAGTACGTGGACAAGGAAGTCATCGGAAACAGCATCTTGCCTTCGCTGTGGGGCCTGGCTCTCGGTCCCAACCTCAAGGCAGAACAGGTAACGATTGCTTGGTTGATATTGTTCACTGTGACTTGCTCTAAGGCTTCGCCAACAAAGATGGTATGACTCACACTTTTATATTTCTTCGGTGGTAGTTCGAGTATTTCATGTCGACGATCAACGAGCTCTCGACCAAGGTCCACCAGCAACACTTGCGACACCTTCAGGAATTGAAGAAACTTGAGGATCAGACAAAGAGCTTTGCTGCCAGCTCAGACCCAACAGCGGTTACCAATGGAACTGGATCGACCTTGAATGACTTTGAAAAGTTGGTCGGAGGAGGCGGCGTACCAAGTGCGACCTCCGGAACAATCACGCCTAACACTGCGCGCCAAACGTCCTCCGATAACCCCTTTAAGATTGCATCCGACAATCCATTCTCTCCCAGCAGCAACGGCCAGGATTCTCCAATGGACATGTTTGGCGACATGGTATGGTTTTGTGAGCGTGATTGCTGATTGTCTTAATTAGTGAATGGGCGCGAAACCGAGCTGTGAGATCCTGCATTGACACTGGCAATTTATCTGACATAGGCTTCAGCACTCCCTCCGATGCCATCAAAGCCTTTGGGATTCAACACGGCAAGTACCCCAGTGATGAAGCCAGCAACTCCAATGATGTTTGGCGCTACGACGAACGACTCGTCCTCGATGAGTGGATTCGGATCAAGACCTATGACCCCGACAAGCAACTCGGGCTTCCAGTCACAACAGCACAACCAGAATGGATTCGGCGGACAGCGCACATCGACAAGCAGCAACGCGTCAACCCCAACGGCTGCCGCATCGTCGTTCACTATACCCCCACTCAACAAATCTCTCACAGGATCGTCGACTTCATCCAACTACTCATCCTCTGCCAGGCCACCGTTCTCTCAGCCTCAGCAGAAACCAGCAGGAACACCTCCTCTTTCACACACTCTTGGCAACATGTCCACGTCATCGTCGGCCTTTGGAGGATTCCAGTCGGCTGCACCATCCATTCAACCCATGGCAGCCGGCGGCATGGGTGGATTCCAGTCGCAGTCATCAAACAATAACAATGGATTCAGTACTGGCATGGGACTGGGCATGTCCTCGAACAATACCAACAACAGCTCTGGAATGGGAATGGGCATGGGTATGGGCATGGGTATGTCTGGTTCTACCTTGACCACTTCACGACCTGCGTCAACGGGGATGGGCATGACGCCCATGGCACCCATGATGCCTCTTCAGCCCATGAACGCAAGTTCTGTCGGCGCAAACAAGTTTGGACAGAACAACCAGCAGCACAAGGGCAAGAACTCTGACCTTGGCATGTTTGATCCCTTTTCATAAATAACTCATTTTTTTAACCCATCGAAAAGTTTTTTTTTTTTTATGCCCCCCCCCCCCCCCCCAAAATAATAAAGACATTTGACAGTCATGACTAGAGAGCCTCTTTCTACCACATGAAGTTTGCCGCCCAAAAGGCTCGCGTGGGATATATATGAGTTTTAGGTAGGCGAGGCAAAGGGCATACCATCGGTTGATCCGATCACGTCAACGCCTCTATTCCCCATCGAGGTGCATAGACGGATCTCGTTTTCGTTTGATAACTACCTGATATACAAACAAAGAGGATGGCTATTTTAGGTTCTCGGAAAACCTTTTTGCCATTTGACTACAAGGGGCGAAGTCAACAAATGATTAGCAATTGAGATCTCCGTTTGATTATTCATCGAGTGGGTTGATTGACACGGTAGACGCGCACTTTTTTTTTTTCGTCGTGATCGGATACTTTACGTTGCTGACAATTGTCTTTGCTTGTTTTGTTGACTGCGCAGTGACGAGGCCCTGCCCTGTTTTTGATTGCCTGTCATGAAGTAAGTTTACCAAAGAGAGTGTTATCCCGGTGGGTTTACAAACTCAACACATGGCGTGTCGAAACACACTCTTATTCACAAACCCTCACCTTCTCCCTGAACAAAACAAACAAAGAAAAAGAAAAAAAAAGCCGAGCTCATGAGGTGTGAACATGGCAGTTTTCCAGTTGACTATGGTGCGATATCTTTTCCAGTTTGTGTTTGTTAGATAGTCCCCAAGTTTTGTTGTTCTTTTTCATTGGTGTTATTGTGCTCTTTTGCGAGGTATAAAAGGCTTGATTGTCCTCTCCTCAATCACACTCTTCATCGACAAGATCTGACAAACAGTCTTTTTTTTTTTTTTTCCTCAGCTCTACTATTGCAAGCCTCACAGAAAACACAAATACCTCTTACTCCCCTCTCAGGTAACCCTACCCCATCAAAAAAAAATGGTCAACTCAACAATCCGTGCAATCCGCGTCGAAGAATACGGTGACGCCTCAGTCCTCAAATACACCATCATCCCGCGCCCTATTCCACAACACAACCAAGTCCTTGTCAAGGTCGCCTACGCGGGCATCAACTTTGGCGATGTCGGACAGCGCTCAGGGTTCTACCCCACCCCAGTTCCCTTCACGGCTGGTGGTGAAGGTTCGGGCGAGATTGTGGAATTGGGGCCCGATGTTGAGCATGGGTTCAAGGTGGGCGATCGAGTGACGTTTATGGCGTATGGAGCGTATACAGATTATGCAGTTGTTGATACTGGGCGGTTGGGCAAGTTGCCTGACCATGTCTCCCTCGAGCTGGTATGTCACTTTTTTTTATATATATACTTTGAACATGACAAAAAAATATTGTTGAATTGATCATCTCAAAAGCTAACAGCGTTTTTTTTGGTGTCTTCTTTGAGATAGGGTGCCGCGTTCCTGGCGCAGGGGTTGACAGCAGTGGCGTTGACTGAACAAGCCTACACTGTCAAGAAGGACGACTGGGTTGTTATCCATGCTGCCGCCGGAGGAATGGGTCTCCTCCTCACCCAACTCAGTCACCGCCTCGGCGCCCACGTCATCGGCACCGTCTCCTCCAACGAAAAAGCCGCCCTCGCCCGCGCCAACGGCGCCGACCATGTCGTGGTCATCCCCGCCAACAAGTCCGCATCCTACGAAGCCCTCGAGAAAAAAGTCCACGAGTTGACCAATGGCCAAGGCGTACATGTCGTGTACGACAGCATCGGCCAAGCAACCTTCGAGTCCAGTCTCGAAATCGCCCGTCGTCTCGGGACTTTGGTTCTCTTTGGCAGCACCAGTGGCGATATCTCGCCTCAGAGTCTGACCCGGTTGGCCGGGAAGAACTTGAAGGTGACTTGGGTTAGTCTGCTGCATTACACGACTACGTTCGAGGAGTTTGATGAGTTGTATCAGAAAACGTTGAAGTTGTTGGATGATGGTGGGTTGAAGGTGCAGGTGTCAAAGGTGTATGAGTTTGAGGATGCGAAGCAGGCCCATTTGGATCTGGAGGGACGCAAAACCACTGGCAAGTTGCTACTTAAGGTCAACTAGATTGAGAGGAGGAGGAGAGGTGCGGAGATGGAAGTAAGGAAGGAGAAGAGGAGACGGTAGCAGTTTTGCAGCAAGAAAAAAAAACGCACGACTGAAATAAAAAAAATAAAAAAACCAAAACGCGCAAGGAATAAGTTGTTGTTCGTGTGTTTTAAAAATTGAAACTGGCCACGTTCAAAAACCATTTTTCCAGCATAGCCCCAAAACAAAAAAGAGTCTATGTCCCTGGCACCTCACTTTCTCTCTCTCTCCCTCTTTCTACTCTTTCTCTCCCTCTCTCTTTCTTCCCTTTCTCTCCTTCATCCACGCATCCCAAGCCTCAACAAGAGTCCCCACACACGTCCTCTTCCTTCTGTCCTTGATTATGTCGAAGATGGTTTGCATTTGAAAGCATTTTGGTTGGGTTGTGAATGGTCGCGGATGTTGATGGAGTATGTCCAGACGACCTTGCGGATCAAGTATGAATAAAGTCCACAATGAGGAATCATCGAAGTGAGAAAACAACAACTTTTTTTAATTATTGTGGTTAAATAAAGACAACTTGAGACTTTTTTTTTCAATTCCTGGGGGGCACATGCACCTCCTCTTCCTCCTCTTCTTCATCACCCTCAGATATCCGAGTAGGGTGATTGGTACGGCTAAACACGATCGGATGTGCCGAGGATGGCAAAGTCGCCTCAGCATTGTCAGGAGTAGTAGAAGAACTGACGAGAGGGGTCGCAGAAGTCGTGGGCGAGTTGGGAGTTGTCGACAAGGGTTCTTCTGATCCTGAGGCCGAGACCGATCCAGATCCAGATCCAGATTCAGGGGCGAGGTTATCTGTGGTGGTATTAAGAGCTGTGGCGGGTTTTGGTGGTGACTTTGAGAATATTTTTCCAAAGAACCCACGTTTCGGTTTTGATGTTGCTGTTGTCACTGGATCCGAGTCTGTCGATACTGCTACTGGTGTCAAAGTGGACTTGTCGTCCTTGTCATCGCCATCCTTGTCGTCTTCGTGCGAGTCAGTTCCTTCCGCTGCAGTGAGTATATCACTCGGACGCGTAGACCCTTCCTTCTGATGCCCGTGACCTTGATGAGATGCATCACTGGCATTAGAAGTTGTACCTGTAAAGGACGTCGAGTTGATGATCGACAGGTTGGGTTTCGGTGTCTGATGAAGATGAGATGGTGGTGGGGGGACATAGAGCGAGAACAGGGGTTGTTGTTGAACAGGCTCGATAGTGACGACAACGCTCCTTCCTGCATGTCCCGGGTCGTTCATCTCCATGATGTCGCCAGATGCAGTGGAGGGGGACCGGAATTTGGGACGAGTGAAGAATGAGCCACCCACGACCATGGGTGCTGACAGTGGTGGTTTCGGTACACCACCTCCTCCTACTACTGCTGCTGCTCCTGCTGGTTGAGAGGCGTCATCGGGGTCAGAAGCATCAACTGGTGAGGGTGGTGGTGGACTGAAAGTAGCAGCGTTGGTTGACAAGTTGGGTGTCGGAGGACTGACTGCCAGTTTTGGGGGCATGAACAAGGATCCAGAAATCGGGCTCGAATGTTTAGGCAACGAAGGCGTCGACTGCTCTTCATCTTTTTCGTTCGGACTCTCGTCAATCGAGGATCGGGTAGGGTTATCAGTGAACCGGATCGAGGATGATCGAGAGTCGGCCAGGAGACTGCCACGTGGCGCCAGGAAGGGAAATTTGAATCCTGTCGAGTTCGCCCTTGGTCGAAGATGTTGCTGTTGTTGCTGGTACTGGATATGATCGCCACCCTTTTCGTTCAAAGCATGAGGAGCCGCAGAGGTCAAGTCGCCATGAGGGGGGACGGGTCGGTAGACTTGATAACGATTGGTCTCGTTCTTGTCATCCGACACTACAATTTCACAGAGCTGGAGTCGGATCTGCGAGCCGTTGGGGCCCATAACCATGGTCGAATAAGCGCCCGTTGTACTTGGGTAGAACGCCGTCGCTCCACCTGCAACCGATCCTGTTCCTGCTCCACCTGGAATCGCCAGATGATGGTGTCCACTAACGATACTCTGCGGGCGAGACCTCAACGCCGCATTCGACGCAGCCCTCTTCCTCTGCAACAAACTCTCTGCCCTCGGGTTCAATGGCGAGCTCTGGAAGACACTATGATTTCCCGTCGCTCCAACTCCTCCACCGCCAATAGTGCCAATAATACTGGGCTGCCGAAGGTCGCGTGTGATCCTGCGAATAGAACTGAACGGCGAGGCGCGCATATCGGCAGCGGTGGGTTCGATATCGTCGTACGAAATGGTTCCAATGATACTGGCGGCAGAAGATCCTGGCATATGTAGGGGGACAACAGGTTTTGAGGTCTGTAGCAAAAGGACACCGCCACAGATGACCAAGAAGCCAAGGCAGACTGTGATGATTGCGGTGACGGTTGCGTTAAATCCTTGGTAGAGGATGGCGGAGGTGATGATTGTCGTTGAGGTGAATGTTACATAGTACGTCGGTGTCACCATCGCTATTTTCGAAACCGTCGAGAGAGACAAAGAAACAGGTAAGTTTGTAATACACCTTTACAGCTACAACCTCGTATCTGTAAAAAAACAAAGTAGGCTTTACGTACCAGTGTTGAAAAGGTTGAGCGCCTTATTGAGGTAATTGATCTCCGTCAGCAGCGTAACAACCATGAACACAATGACGAAATAAATAAACCAGTTATCAAACTGCGCCTCGCCTGTCGAGATATTATGAACAATCGCCGCGCCCAGACCCTGGGTCGAGACAACCGACAAGGACCCGATCAAGGAGCAAACGCCAATATAGACCATCATATGTTCCTTTCCCCACCGAGGTCCTGCCTTGATAATGAGCACCAACGATGCGATGATGATGAGCGCCATCCAGGAGAGGAAACCGGGTTGGATCATGAGGTGTTTGAATTCCTGGATGGTTTTGACGGATGCTTGTTCGGGTGCGTGGAAGACGATGATGGTTGCTCCGACGATGCATTGTGCACATCCGACCTTGCCCTGTAGGTTGAGTCGCTCTCGCAGGAATATAGACGATAGGATGGCGCTATTTTGTGAGGAAAGACACTTTTGTGAGTTTTCCTTCTTGCTTGTGACATGGTCGGTGCAGTGTGGAAAAAGGGCACCTCTCCTCCCCCATGCTCTCGAACCTAAATGTACCCTTACGTAATATAAACCAAAAAACAAACGCCATGCGACTCATGACAGGGCACATAATTCTCCTATACACCTACCATATGACCACGCTCAGAGCCCCAAGGGGCGTCACCAGGATGGGCTGGACAAACGCGTACGCGACAAAATTGCACACCTCCCCCACCACCACTAATATCATCAATTGATCAAAAGGTGAAACATGATTTCTTGTTAGTGACTTCCGCTGGGTGCTGATTTCGTATTTGAAGATCCTTTCAGGAACCATCACATCAAAATCCACTTTTTCGGAAACACGAAACAGAGCTAAACTTACTCATGAGCATGCCAGTCCACCACATAACAGATTTGAGGTAGGCATGTCCCTCTCCGGCGAGCATGCCGTCCTTGGTACAGTTGATCAGGCCCTTCTTCTTGAACACAAAGCTGGATCCAATCAATAGTCCTATTTTGATGTTTTGATGTTAAGGTAAAAAAGAAAAAAAAGGGGTAAGTCGGTCATGCTGCAGTTTTTTTTTCTGTGAGTGTATGTATCTCTGTGATGGGTGAGGGTCTTGAACCAAAGAACAACAATAACAACAACGACAACTGTCGATGTCAGCTGCTCCTTCCCAACCGCTGGAGGGCTGAGAAAAGCGGAACGATAAGAACAGGTGTATGTTGAAAGCAAGAACTTGTTGAAGATGTCAAATCATCATACGAAATCATGGAATTGTCGAAAAGCAGAAAAGGAAAGAGAAAATAGATAGAAGGAATAAAATAGAGGAAGCGAGAGGGGGAACTGACCACTTCCGATAGCGAGGGAGAGTCCGATGATCTTGGAGGAATCAGAGGCTGTCGGGGCGTCTCCTGTATTCAGCATAGGTAGAGCTCCTGACGGTGCCTCACTAGAGTTGTAATTCGAGTAGTAGCTCATGTTTTTTTGGTGATTTTCTTTGGAGGAATTAACTTTTAGGATTAAAGGGAATGGGAGGAAGGAGAAGAGAGATTACAGAGGTACAGAATAAGAGGAAGATGTCTCAAAGGGTAAGGGTATAATTACGAAAGGTAGATACAAGAAGTGAAGGAGGTCGACGAGACAAGGAGGGAGAAAAAAGAACAAGAGGTCGTTATCGAGCAGGCATAAAAAGGAGAGGAGAGAAACAACTTTCGATCAGTGGATGCAAGGTAGGTCAAAAAGGACAAAGAGCTGCGTCAAAACAAAGAGTGAGAGAGGGGCAGAGGTGGAGGATAAGAAAAGGGCGGCAAGAAGAAGGAAGGGAGGAAGGAGGATGAAGAGGAAGGGAGGGGCCGCGAATCGTAACAGCCCTGGTAACGACTGAAGAAAAGAAAAGAGAAAAGAGAAGAAAGATGAAGGAAGGGAAAATCAAAGACAAGAAATAAAGAAAAATACGAAAGGAACCCCTCAAAACGATGAACACCATCCCCTTCCACTCCCCTTTCACCATTCTTGTTTACTTTTTACCTACTTACACTAACGAGCGGATGTCTCGACAACATCAACCCTCACCCCCCTTTTACCGACCATCTACCGCACACCCATCCAACTCACTTTGTTCACTGTCTGTGCCGCGACCTGAGTCTCTCAGGCGCGTTTATCCATTTCAAACCCCTACCTTCCCTTTGCCCATTTACGCCTACTTGCCTGCAGGATTTCACCCCTTATTTTTTTGTTGTTGTTGTGCTTTCCCTCTCCTATTCCACTCTCGCCCTCTCACTCACTCTCATTCACCCTGCGAAAATTACCCCTTGTTTCTGCCATTGTGACCTGGCGAAAACCCTCACACCATAAAATCCGCCCCTCTGTCCAGGTCCAGGAACAGGCAACGTGCGAAAGCCAAAAAAAAAAATAGAGATGATCACGACAACGACAAAACAAACAATAAAATCCTTAAAAAAAGGGGTTCCCTTTCTTTTGTTGCAGGAAGGTAATCAGCTGTTCACGCGCCTGTTGCTCCGCTATGTCTCTAATCCTTACATGTCAAGTTCATGGGCACTCAGGCAATGCTAATTGGCCCACACGTACACAACCCCACGCGACTCAAAAACATTTATGGAATCTTCATGCAGCATGATATCTCTCGCTTACTCACTCTAAGGTCTAAGCCCAGGAATTCGTGGAGAACACTTGTTGTGTTATTATTCGTTTATTGTTGTCCACCGAGAAGTGCAATCGGTGAAAACAAAAAAAAAAGGCTTCCCTCCAAAAAGAAACTACATGCCGCCCGTTCACACCACAGGATTAGGCACAAAAGGGATGAGAGACCCATCATCGATATGTCGCTTCGTCCAATGATAATAATACAGTAACGCACAAGCTGGCTGGCCCAGAATCGTAAACGACACCCAAAAGATCATGTTGCCCAACCCTGTCCCAGTCCCACGCCACTTCTCCAACGGTCGTGTCAACGCAATCAGGGGGATCTGGAAGAACATGCCCGCAAATGCATATCCGTAGATCAGATGCGTCGGAAGTCCAATTAGAATCTCGTGCATAATCGCAGAGAAGGTGAAGATCACAAATGAGGCCTGATGGGGGGATGCTCCAGCTGTGATCATGGGCAGGTAGATGTGGCGCTTGAAGAATGTGTACACGGGGCGGTTCCAGAGGGCCCAGTATCTGCCTACTGACCCGGCATTCCACCATGCCAGATAGAACCCACGATCACCAAAGTACAACATCTATTGGATAAGGCATGGTTAGGGTACAAGGAGGATGCAGACAAAGTTAGTAACCACAGAGACCAAAGTTCAAGAAAAGAAACCACTGCCTAATCGACTCGTTTTCTTTTTTGTTGCTTGAACATACCTCGGCGAGGGCGTTAAAGGTAGCGTGGAAGAATGTATAGAACATCAACAGCCAAATAAGGACGCTGGTAGTGCTCAGCTTCAGTATCCGCTCCAGCATAGTTCCGAAGGCCAACTGGTCGACCGCTCGGACAGAGTTCTGGAGGGTTGGTGTTGCGTACTGCTCGATCAAAAAGTACATCATACCCAAACAAGTCAGCGCCTCGAGGATACGCTTGAGGAAAAACGACTTTCGGAAGACAGCCGACCGGGGGTACGAGGGCTGGTAGCAGAGCGTAGGAGCGAGCCAAAAGTAGGCCATGTTCTTGAAGGTGATGTTGTTAGGATAGTTGACCTCGTATTCGTAGACCTCCTGATGTGAGACAAATGTGTTTGACGCCGCGTCGTGGACTCTCTTGGTGTGCAGGAACTTTTCGGGCGGCAGGTCATAAATGAATCCTGCTCTAAGATCCTGGTTGGTGAGGGAGTAGGAAGTCATCTTGAGGAACTGGATGGCTCCATTCATCAGACAGGTAATCGACATGAAGGGGTGGAAGATCCTGTAGTACGACATGTAGGAGGGCCAGGCCAGGATCGCAATGACATTGAGGGCATGGAGCCAGCCAAAGACCTTTTGGGTCCTCTTGATGCTCGTCTCGGCCTTGTTGAGGTCCTTGATAGCCTGTTTCGGGTCCTTGTCATCATTATCTGCGTTAGCGTGAGTGTGCCCGTGCGAATTCGAGGACGCTAGCGAAGAGAGTTCAGCCAGTCGTTTTCGGTGGCCCATAGCGCGTTTCATGGCCCAACGTTCCAAGTGATAGGACAGGATGACGTTAAGCGGCACGAGCAGATGAGCGAGTCCAGTCAGAATCCAATCCTCGTTCGAGACCTTGGATCCGGGGAGAGAGATAAGGATGCCATATTTCTGATAATTCTCGATAATGAGTCGGACATTGTTGCCAAACAGCAAGAGCACTGCCCCAATTCAACGAGTTAATGCATGTTCAAAGAATAAGTGAAAGAAGGTGAAGACAAGAGTAAGGAGGAAGGCGAGAGTCCCGAGTAAAAAAAAAAAAACAAATGTCAGTAACTGTCCAGAATGATTCGCACAAACCATATACATTCACAGATACACACACCCAAAAAAAAAAAAAAAAAAAAAAAAAAGGCGTCACCCAACAACATCAAATGGTCAATGCCTACTCCATACAAATTTGCGTATTTTTTCTCTCCCAACTGAACACAACCCCATGCACTCAAACGCGCAAGACGCCCTTGTTACCAAGCACAATGATGGCTTGATGACTTACTTCCAAGGTTGACAAATCCACGATAGCTCTCTGGGGGCGCCTCCTTCGAGAGTGGACTCGGGGCGAGCTTGGTATGGACGGCATATGTATGGCGGTAAGATTTGCCCTCTCGTCTTGATTCCTTCAGGTCCTCGGCCTTGGGAGGGACTTCTGATAGAACTGTGTCAACGCCTCCTCCTGCAGCTGTTGTGGTTGCTGTTCGGAGTTCTGCCTCTGTCATCGTTGCGTGATATGAACGAGAGAGGTGTGTGCTGTAGTTGTTGTGGTTCTCCTGTTTCCTTGTGTGAATAAAAGTGGTGGGCTGAGGATGTTTCCTTTGTTAATACGAGACAAGGCCATGCAGAGAAAAAAAGTGAGCTGGAGAAGGAATGAGTACATGAGTGCTTGAATGTTTGTTTCATTCACTTTTCTCATCCCACTGTCAAGTTGATTCATTTTACCAAGTGACAAAGAAAAAGGTCGATTGAGAGTCGAGTCGCGTGTTTAGGATACGGGTGGAGTGGGTGTGGAGGTGCGTGTGGTTCAAATGAATTGATAGAAGGTTACAAGGAAAGAAAGAAAGAAAAAGGGCAAGAGAGAAGAAAACGAGGCAAAAAAAGAGAAAGAAAAAAACAGGCAAAGAAAGGCGAGAAAAAAGGAGAAGGGGACAGGTGTCGACCATGTGCAGGCCACCGGACGGACGAATGGTGACAGCTGGGTGAGTATCCACTCACTCCTCCCCTTGGCCTACTTTCTCGTCCTCCTCCCTCATGTCCCCTTACTCATCGACAACCACAAAGTCATTTATGTTCGTGCGCTCGGGCCATGCACGCAAATCCCTTGACGATGAGACGAATCGGTTGGTTCGTCTTCTCGCTTCCATCTGCTAACAACAGAACGCCCCTGTTGTTATATTTTTTACGCGAAGATGGGGGCATCATGTTAGCACCACAGGTGGGAAGAAAAATACAAACAAGTGTAAAGAAAGGCAGCCGAGTCTGTTACGCCGAAGCAGAGCCAAGGCTTTGACCCATTGACCGTTATCTCGGGATGAGGAGTGTGTCGTTTTCATTAGCATATCATTGGCTGGCTCTAGTCTTTGTCTATGTGCGCGGGTATTGTAAATGTCAATGGTGATTCAATAGCTCTCATGTTGCATGAGGGTGATATGAATGGGACGGTCTGACAGATTCTGTGGTCCTTGATGAGGCGAAGATACAGCTGATGCAGGCAGACATGCTTCTTTTACATTCTCTCCATCTGCTGGTTCGTTTGGTGGTGGTCCTGTGGGAGGTGGAAGAGGTGGCAGAGGTGAGGGTGACAGAGTCATCGTCGATGCTGGTGCAGGTGGAACAGGTGCATTGAACATGTGTGTTTCTGCCATATCCTGGTCGGGCATCAACCCACTTGTCGAAAGCAGCGCAGACTGACCAAGCCCCTCGTCCACTTCCACATAATCATGGAACTGCTTGTCCAGTACAAACAAAGTCTCGAGCATGACCTGTCGCTCCGCCTGCATACTCGTCGGCTGCTTCTCCTTGAGACTCCTGGCTCGGACCAGGTCGAAAATAATAAAGTTGAGTGTTCCTCCAGGGACGGCAAGTATGGCTCTCGCCTTTGCTCCCGAAAAGAGTGCCATTGGTCCTTCCTTTTTCATAACCTCCTTGAAGACCTCCATCCATCTGAGGGATGGCAGGGGCAACTTGATCCCAGATGCATTTGTTGGCTGTAACCTCTGCTCTGTCTGCACTCGTGTCTTGACCATGTCTGCCGGTGACGACACAAAGACTCCTGCCAAGGACGCGATGCTTCCTGCAATGGATGAAATCAGAAACTGGTGTGAGCTCTGCCGAGGGAAAGGGTTCGGGTTGTGCGAGCGTGCTGCTTGCACGTCCCGGATGTAGTCGATCCCGTCCTTGACCCAGACTCTAGAGATTTCGTACGCCGGGAAGTATGCCGCAAAGAAGGGTCCTGTCGAGAGGAGGGAGGCATAGTATCCGCGGAACAAGAACCGTAAACCCTCCTGTTTGAACTGGGCGCGTAGAGACTGGGAGATGGTCATTTGTGCTGGTCTCTCCAGAGGCTCTTTGGATCCTGTGACGTAGAGAGGAAGATCTGAGGCGTTGGGCAGAGTTCCTGCCTTGGTGATAGTGATTTGTTGTGACACCTGTTTAAGCAAAATGGTCGGACAAGCAAAGCACAGGAGAGTTAGCGATGACCGAACTATGAGCAAAGTGCATTCACGCAAGAAAGAGATAGATCATGCTTATTGCATGATTAAAATGAATATTTCTCTGCTGGCAGGACTTGCCATGTTAAAAGGTACGATAAAGAACGTAGTAACGACCGCTGAAAAGGATCCCAAAACACCGCTCAGTACATTCGAGTTCTGAAGGACAGGATACCCAAAGTACTTGTTCTCCTTGATCTTTTGTGCAGAGTAGTCGTACGTCGCAAACTGCACAATCTTGGTCGTCGTCACTCCCGTGGTAAAGATGGCTGATCCTGCGAAGAGCGCTCGGAATCCGTTCTTCTTGTAGACATTTCGGATGACTTTGAAGACCGAGGTCGAGACGGGGATAGAAGTTTTGCTTTGTTGAAGTAGGCGCACGGTCCTGAACGGGTAGGTGAGGAATATTGGTGGTACGTTGTATATGGTCGCGTAGAAGTAGTATCGTCGAAAGTCGATGACAGAGTGGTCGACAGACTCTGGTACTCGTGGCATGGCTCCTTAAGGATTGGGTTCTTGTGGCAGCACTTCGGTGAAGAGGGAGAGAGAGAGTGGAAAAATCGAAGAGGGGCGAGGATGGACGAAAAGAGACGAGAAGAGGATCCGGTCAATTGCAGCTCTGTGTATCAATTACATAGACAAAGAGACGCACTCTTGCTGCGAGTACAAGTGAGAAAGGGAGGGAGAACGAGAATGAGGTTATGGTGAGCAGGGTCAAGTAGAAGAGGGGTAAAAAGGAAAGGTGTTGTTGAGGGAAGGAATGAGGAAAACGAATGAAGAGAAAGAGAAGAAGAATGCGAATGGGTGAATGGAGGATGAGGACTCGAAGCACATAAAAAGACACGACCTGGAACAGAAAAGAGTTGTCGATCCATCCCTTAACGCCAAACACTCAATCGATCTAACATATTAAAAACCGTAGGGCTTAACATTTGTTCCAATCCATCCTCTCCTTCCTTATCTTGCCAATTACCTCTCTTTTTTTTATTCCTTTCCACTCCTATACTTTCTCTTTTGCTTTGTTATTTGCAATTACCCATCACCCTTCACCAGAACTGTCCATTCGCGCTGAAAAAGAGTAGTTGCTGCCCGTTTTGTGTTTCTCGAGGACCACCTTTTATTCATGACCAAACGAACCCTCTGTGGGACAGATAGAGAGATCAATGATGGTGCATGGTGTATGGAAGGCGCTCGACCTCCTGTTGATCGCCGACCACAGTTATGGTGAAGGAGCGGCACCATCAGTGTCTTTGGTTGCATGTCGTGATACAAGTATAATAAAAACAGTGGGACTAGCATCAACCATTATGAACTTTATTGAACACGTTGCAATTATCAAAGGAGTGCCTCTTATTTTAATGGTCAGTGTAAGGAAATAAAGCGCGTCAACCCCGCGTCTTTGACATTTCGACTACCCACCAGACCTACAAGTACAAAGACTTTATTTGAGTCTCTATGGTCTCTACCAATAGGTAAACTACATATTCGCCATGCAGTACAGTACCTTTCCGGTATCCGCCCCACGGATAAAAGGCAAACTGTCGGACCTTTGAAGCGACGGCGATCAAAAAAAAAAAGGAATGCAACTCAAAGTTCAAGGTTCATCATAAACCCTCTCAAGGTAGATCGGACAAAATTCAGGGGTGAAGGTGAAGGAAAAGGAGTGGCAAATGAGCGATTTGCGGGTTTGGGTTTTTGCCATTGCCATGGAATGACTCTTTTCACTTTCTGCAGCGTATCGGAGAAATTTGTTCAAGGGGGTGAAGGTGCGGATATAAATGAGTAAAGAGTGCAAGAGTGGGTTAGGATCTGAGTGGATCTGAGCTGAGCTGGCAGTCCTCGTTGTTGCGTTTTCCAGAAAAGCATTCTTTTTTTTGTTTGCTTGTCCGACATCGATCTCCATCTCGCCGAAACAAAAGTGATGGGTCTCATTCTTCTTCCGCGTATATTCCTCGGATTAGTAACCGGGGACAAAAACAAGAACAAAGAACAAAGAACAAAAAAAACGCTCTCGAAATCATGGCTCCTAGGAAGTACTGGCAAATGTCGTTGGCTGCCATCGCCGTTTACTTGCGAGGGAAGCATTACCGCATGTCGCTCCAAATGGCGCTTTTGTGTTTGAGTTGCGGGATAGGCGAGTGTATGGGCAGATTATCAGAAAGAGGCGCGTAAAAGAAGTATCATTTTTCGTGGTCGTTGTTTGTTTTGTTTGTATGTTTACGGTCAACCTTGTGAGAGCGATGTAAGAATACATAAACGTGAATATGCAAGACAAGGAAGAGGGGTGAAGGGAAAATAAACAACAATAGGCCTACCCTGATTCCCGGAGAGAAAGCGAGAAAGAGAAACACGTCTTCGTCTACAAACCTGCCTTGCCTGCCAGACTGGCATGTACTGTACAACAGAAAGACAACACGACTGGAGTTGGACTGAAGGAAGAAAACGAGGACGGCAACTCATGAAGAGTCAACAGGCATAAGGGCGAAAACCAATTGGTGCAACAAACAAAAAAGAAAAAAAAGGCAAGAGAGTCGCCAGGTTCAAGTACGACAATAGCATCCCGAGTCGCGAATATAAATAACGAAAGCGATAAAGATTCCCTTATACTGCAAAGATGCTTTCAGCCCGAGTTGCCGACGAGAAACAAAGGAGGGGCGATGTATACAATGGAGCAAAATAAGTAACAAGAACATGCAAGGCACTCCTCTCCGCGTGGTTGAAATGAATAAATGAATAACGAATATGAATACCCTTTTACCCTTTTTTTTGTTGTGTGGTTGCTTGCTGTCTGTTTGGTTTTCTCTGTCTCTTTTTTTTTTTTTTTTTTTTTTACGAACTCACTCAGATCCAAACCTTGTCCGCATATTTTTTCCTTCCGCAAACAAGGTTCTGGAGGGGTTCGAAAAATAGCTGCATGGGTTGTAGGCAGGTGTCTTGCAGTAGGGAGAGGGTTCGCACCACTCAATCAACCTCGTTTTTCATTGATCCCCCTGCTGCAGCATGCCCATTGTCGTATATCCCTAGTGTGGTATTGAATGCGGATCATTATTGCAATTGATTGAACATACTAGCGAGTTCGGTTATGACTTAGAGATGACTTGAAGATGACTTTTTCTTACTTTTGGCCCTACAGATGAACTGTATCGATCGCAGCAGCGCAGGCGCAACACCAACGATGATGGGTGTTTTTTACCATCAGAAAAACAACAAACCACTTGACACTTAGCAAAAAAGGGCGTGCGAAAACATCAAAAAGAAAACCATCAACAGAGATGTCGCCCAGCTACAATAGCCGCCGCATGTTGCTACTTTTACATCCACAGCGAATACATGACAAAAACCGTACTCAAGCACAATTCATTCAGGTAACTCAAGCACAATTCATTCAAGCAACTCAACAACAACAGCAATAACAATCGTTGCCCATATAAAAAGCTTCAACTGTTGCTTGTCGGAGGAGGAATCTCTCACCAGCACTTTCTTCTCTTTCCGCATCTCCTTCATATATCAATAAACCTCTTCCCCTTTCTCTTCTTTCTTTCTTCTCTCTTGACCCCAGTTTCGCCGTCGTTCACCTGGACCACCTACGCCATCATCCGTCACCCCCCCCTCCTCCTCAGACACGCAGATTCTCTTTACCGCCGTTGACAGGACAGAACGAGACACCGGATTCATTCATATATCCACCTACAGCTGGACCCTGCACCGCACCCTTGCGATTTTTTTTTAGACAGCCACTAGTTTCACACTAAACCAAACATATACATACAACACACACCCCCAACACATACAACACACACGTCCCCAACACATACTACAACACATACAACAGCCGCATAACAGAGAAACAATGTCCACACCTTCTTCGGGCATCCCCAGGATCACCACCACCGTGGCAACCCCTGCCGCCACCGCTGTCTCTCAGGATGACAACACCTACTTTCATGCCCCGACCAACACCGCCGAGCAGGAAAAGGCCCCCGAGTACACCTCAAGAGACTCCCTGGACTCGCTGAACGAGGACGAGGTCCTCCAGCCCCACCAGCGCCGAGCCATCGATTCACAGGACGTCTCTTCTCACACCGATGCCCTTGCCTCATCCAGTCTCGGACTTGCCTTCTCGGACCCCATGTTGGCGATCACGCAGTTGCCCAATGCCGGTCGACGATCCTCGATTGCCTCGTCCATCCATTCCAGCAGGACGGCTGCCTCGTCTCTCCGCCGCCATCGTCTCCAGCAACAGCAGTTCTCGCTGGACGAGAAGAAGGATCATCATCTTCATCATGATGCCTCACAGCCGAATATGCAGGAAGTAGGTCATCCTCACGCAGGTGTCAACGAACCTACCATGTCTGGACTGGACGGCGCACACCTTGAGTCGGCCCTGCATTCTGACCTGATCGAAGTCGACGATGGATCGCCACCCATGGACAGCTCCTGGTACGGCTACGTGATCGTCGCCTGCTGCTTCACCATCTACTTTATCGTCTTTGGAACCGAACATACCTTTGGTGTCTATCAGGAGTACTATGGTTCCCCTAATGCCGAACCCTGGCTCAGAAACGCCTCTGAGCAAGGCATCACCATGATCGGAACCTTGGCTACTACCTTCACATACCTTTTGGGAGCCTTCAGCGGTCGGTTTGCGGATATGGTTGGCTACAGAGTCTCTGCGGTCCTGGGAGCGGTTATTATGGGTGCTGGTATGATTGGCGCCAGTTTTGCGAAGAGTTTGTCGACGCTTTATATCTGCCAGGGTGTGGTTCTCGGTGTCGGGTCGAGTCTTGTTTACTTGCCTGCCGTGTCTTGCCCTGCCCATTGGTTTGAGAGGTATAGGTCGATTGCGATCGGTATTGTGGTCTGTGGTTCTGGATTCGGAGGATTGGTGTTGGGACCGCTGACTGAGTATTTGATTTCAGCGGTCGGTGTGCAGTGGACGTTGAGGATCCAGGGCATTCTGTGTCTGGTTGGTATTGGTGGATCGGGCATGATGCTCAAGACGCGTGTCAAGCGTGTTCCTGGACAGTACAAGCGTGTACCAATGGATTTCACTATCTGTAAGGAAGTGCCATTCCTTACTCTGACCCTGGCCAACTTCTTGACCTCCCTCGGATACATGATCCCCTTCTTCTTCCTTTCCGGTAAGTTTTTTCTTTGTGTTGATCAGATAATATTATTTATTTGCAAAGATACATTCCATCTAACCATCTCATCAATTCTTCCCATGTCATGCATATCATATGAATAGCATTCGCTGTGCTCCACGGGGAAACCCCCAAGACAGGAGCCCTCATGATCGGAATCATGAACGGCGCCTCCCTTCTTGGCCGTCTCTCCCTCAGCTTCGTGACCGATCGCGTCGGTCGCATCAACATGCTCTTCATCTGCGCCTTGATCTCAGGCCTCAGCATTCTCTGCATCTGGTCCGTCGCCTCGTCCGTCGCCGTCCTCACAGTTTTCTCCGTCATTTACGGATTCACCTGCGGAGGCTACTTCAGTGTCATCCCCTCCGTCATTGCCGACATCTATGGCCTCGACCGTCTCACGACTGTTACGGGTTTGCTGTACGGAAGCATTGGGTTTGGATACTTGATTGGATCCCCTGTCTCGGCGTGGCTGTTGGATATTACAAAGCCTAACACGACGTATATCTATGTGGTGATCTTCTCTGGTGGTTCGATGACCTTGTCGAGCGTGGCTGTGTTTTATTTGAAGTACTGGAAATCCAAGGGTCGCTGGTGGATTCATGGATAAATACCAATTCCTTGTCTCTCATTATCCCTCCTCCTCCCCCTTTCCAACTTGTACATACGTTCTCCTTTCCATCATCATCTATCTTTACATATTCCAGTCTTCTTTTTTTCCTCTAAAGAGAATAAACAAATCATTCATTGTCGTCACATCCTTTGTTAAAGGAAAAAAAAAACACGACCCTTGTGGTTTATTATGTGTTTCAGGAAGCGTACAGGAAACGAAAAAGAAGGGCGGCTACGAGGGATAAATCGACTAGTAAATCCTTTACAGCAAGGCGCTCACGAAGGAAACAACAGAAGCGACAGCGATCATGGCAACAACAGAAGTAGCCATTTTGGCATTGGCAGCAGACTTGGGGCAATGATCCTGGTTGTACTCGGCCAAGAGCTGGGGGGTCAAGTCGGCAGAGGCGATGGTGTAGACAAAGTTGGAGCCGGTAGCCGCGGCCGCCTGGGTGGGGAGGGGGGCGGCGGTGGTGGTTGTGGTGGTGCCGTTAGTGATGGCGGTGGGTGCGGCGATGGCAGCGGAAGAGGACGAGGAGGGGGTGCCGGCGGCGGGGGCAGGGACCTGGACCAGGAAAGTGGCCGTGCAGACGACGTTGATTCCGCACAGGGGCTTGGCTGTAGGGTGGAAAAGGGGAGGTGTGGACAAGTGGTTTGTGAGTCGGGGTTTGTCATTCAATTGGGTTCACAGAAAAGAGATATCCGCTGTGAAGGATATGCTGTCGCGAAAGTGCATCTATCCTTTCATCTATGACTGTCCTTGTCCGCGTTGTCGCTGTGTTGCTGTTGTCGTCGTTAGTGTGAGTTGACTGGCGCGTGGTGGATGAATAACCAAGGGAAAAGGGCGCGCTGGTTGAAATATTACAATTCACTGCCCTTGAGGACAATGGCATGTGGGAGCAATGTCCGTTGTAGTTGAGCGGTGATTCGATTGGCTGTTTAAGTTGTTTTCTTCTCCACATTTCATATGAAATAATAATTAACAAAGGAGCGAGAGTCCATTCCTCTCTTCTTTAAACCCTGTCCCTGGAAGAATATCCCAACAAGACAAAGAAAGAAAGGTGACATACCATTGGAGATGTTGGTGACATTGCAGAGAGCATTGGCGCCGTTGAACGTGGCGCTATTGAATTAAAATGAAAGGACAGTGTGCGTTAGATACAAGGTGTCACTTCAACCTGTGTGCCAGTGACCCAAACCACCCTGAAAAAAAAATGAATGCAAGATGGATGAGCAAAAATCGTGTTTCGAGTAAAAGTTGATGGTGGAATCACTCATGTCGCCGAGTCGAATACAAAGAAGTGAGAGAGAAAGAGAGAAGGGCTAATTTGATAGAGAGGAAGGAGAGACCGAGGTAAAAGGAGAGGACGTTACTTCGTTCCGTAGACTTGGACACCCAAGGCCCTACAGTTGGTCTGGATGGTGGTGCAGTTGAAGGGGTTGCCGGGGTCGATGAGTTCAGCGGCCATGACAGTCGAGGAGAGGCAGACAAAGAGGGCCAAGAAGGCCATGATCATGGAGGACTTTGTGGCAGACATGATTGTATGATGTGATATGGAGTGAGAATAGGAAGGTTTTGGGAAGTGAGAAGAGGAAAGGGATTGAAGGCGTGTGTGTGATAGTGTGTGTGGGGGACAAGGGAAGGGGAGTGTCAACTGAAGAAGAAAAAGAAAAGAAAAAAGAAAAAGAAAACCAAAGGCACGGGAAATAAAAGAAACGACAGAGCCGTGGAGTGGCGGTGGAGAAATGAGGAGACGCGAGGCAGGAAAGGTTAACAGGCCAAGAGAGCAGAGCAATGAAGGGACGGACGGACGGGGTCGATCAAGTGGAGTGGACAACAGTCGATGTGTGTGCGGCGGGGGCATAAAACAATTATTGTACTGTACACCTCACTCTGTGTGTGGGTGTGCCCTGTTTGGTTCTTTTTTGTCTTTTTGAGAGCACTCTCATTCTCTCATGCTCAATTCCGCGCCCTCTCAACTCTGTCTCTGTCTTTCCTGTCGGTCCACACTCCTGTTAGGAAGGGACTTTTGTCATCCGTAATCAACTTTCTTATTCTCGTATTCTTTACTTTCATCCGGAAATGGGCTGTTGGAGTGGATACAGACGAGCGAGTAAGAGAGAAAGAGAGGGTGCAATTGAGCATGAATGAATGGCCATGGCAGAACAGCAGTGGCAACGGCGGCACGTCCTGCTCAGTTCGTTCGACGTCGCCACACTAGCTCAGGTCCCAATTTAACCTACCTAACACCGAGCCCTCGAACTCAACCCTCAGACCATCTCAACCTTCAGCAAAGGAATGGATGAAAGTCTTCTAAGGGTTTAACGCCGAGCCCGTTTGTTTCCTTTCAACCGCTTTTCTTCTCCACTTATGCTAATTAAAAATAAACGCCCGCACAAATAAACAACACGCAGAGGTGAACTCTCTCTTTCCTTCTTGAGCTTGAGAGTCTCTGTTTTAGCGAGTTTTTCAAGGTTCAATTCGTTTTTGCACATGCCTTTTTCTTTCCTCTGTGCGACAACGAGCGATATTTTATTTCTTGTAGCCTATTAGAAGTTTATCCTTCTGGGTCAATGGTCTGTCACTAGGGGTCTTGCTACCGACAACTGTCGTGGTCAAGGATGATCCGGTATTTACCCTTGATGAAGGCATTGAAGACTAGGAGAGTCCACCGCGCAAGTTAGGTCCCTAAACCTCCTATTCCCTCGTTATCGTTGGCAAGGTACATCGAGATACAACCGGCAGTGCAGACTAGAGGAAATGTAGGCGACACATACCATGCCACTATTCAAGGAAGCAGAAGAAAAGCTTCTCCCAGCCGCTATTGGGGCTTCCTGCAGGGTTGAGATGACCCCAATTGATGTGCTTTCTCGTTGAGGGGACTGAAAAGTAGTCTCCACCCATCCCTTATAACCGGAGCCGACCTCTGAAGGAGGTAGCATTCTTTCTTCCCTTCTTCATTCAGACGTCGGCCCCGGTTATAAGAGATGGGTCGAGACTAGGACTCAGCTGGATTTCATAGGTTCCAGTGGGCAAAGCTGTCGATGAGTAACATTGTAACTATGTGTTCCATGTGTGATAGATCCTTCTACGATAGTTGATGTGGGTTTGTGGCAAAAAACGATCGAAAACTGAATGGTGAAGCTAAGCCACACACCCTTCAGCAGTCGCTCCCTGTGAACGGTCGTCCCCATCATCTTTGAGTGTGAACGCTGACACCTCCAACCATCTTTCAAACAAACCGACCAACAGAACACGACAGCAGACATCATCACCATGGCAGCCCACAACTGGAAGTTTGACTTTGCAACCTCAGAACCAAAGTAATAAGAACAGCACTCATACCAAGGATGACACTTTGCATGGAGGAGAGCGAGATGATGGGACACAGTTCCATAGAGCGAAAAAAGGACACGACACTTACTCGAGTCAACGTTTTCTTCCCTATCCGATCGTCATGTAGGCGTCCTATCGTTGACCCACCAGGATTTTCTGGATTGAAGGACGTCGCATCAAAGAACCAGGTATGCACATACGCGCAGCTATAATTGCTTTTCAACAAGAGGAGTAAAGGATCTGAATACAGGGAGAGCAGAGATGGCTAACTTATCGATCTATCTTTGTGGTGAATGTGAAATAGGGAAACCGCGGCCCAGTGGTCGACAACGAGTTGTTGAAAGTCAAGGTACAGGACCAGCTCATTTATCGACAATGGGATCATATCTACAGGACTTGAGGACTGGCACCATGTGAGATTACGACGAATTACCAATGCGGGAACTGATAGGACAAATCCGTATACTCCTTTTCATTCACATTCTGCGCCGTATAGAAAGCTTGGGATGTCGCATTGGCGCCAGGAAAGCAATTGCCTATGCAGGCGTTCATGCTCTGGATGAGTGGAAACAGTGTTCAGATCTTCTCTGTCGCCATTACCGCTATGCTCATGTTCTCGCCTATCAAAGCGCTCATGTCCATGTCCCAAGGTTCGCATTCCATTTTCATTGTAGTTGCATTGATGATATGGAGACAAAAAAGACAAGGAGTACAAGTGATAACCAAAAAATCATGGCGATACTAACGAGAAGCTTTTCTCATTGCCTTTTGCGTGGTCTAAATCTGACAACAACAACAACAACAACAACATTATAGTGTTTGAGAGATACGAGACCCCTTCGCCTGTGAAGGTCAGCTTCATGGACAGCAAGTTGGCCCTACCCAAGGTGACCTTTGTCGCCCTCCAGCTGTTGACTATTCTCTTTGGAATGTACAAGTTGAACGCGATGGGACTGCTTCCTACCTCACACTCAGACTGGCTGGCATTCATGGATCCCAAAACGCCTCTTGAATACGCCGCATAGACAAAGGAACTATCTAAGATAGCATATGTTGTACCTCTCTCGAATGGAATAAAGAATTACTGAGAAAAAGTAGTGCAGTTTGTGTGATGACTAGATTGTCCGATCTGACCATTTATTTTTTCTGTTGGTGTGTTTCCCTGCACCCTTGTGCGTCGTGGGAGAAAAAGACACAATCGTGCCCTTTTACCCGTTCAATTACGTCAAGGGTTGATTCCCACAAAGCACTTCATCGTTCCTGAACGAAGGTCGTTTTGTCTTTTACAAGTTCTTTGTAATAGGCGCAGGACGCCATAAACAATACGGGTTGGACACGGTGAAGACCAAGAAAGAAAGGGCTCATAAGGTTGAATGGTACCTGACTCGGTTATGTCCGACGAACTGGTATGCTGGCTGAGTTCTGGGCAAAGTAGCTATCAGGTTATTTCCATTCACCCTTGTTGCTTCGACTTCCTATTAAGGAGAGAAGGAAGAGAAACGAAAAGGTCCGACACTCACGATATCTTCTCGGACAATGAACACCGCCACTTTCTTCATTTCCACATATCCTTCTTTTTTCGATTTTCGAGAGGAGACCTGTTGGTGACAACGAAGAAACACCCCCTAAACCCAACCTTCTCTGGAGAATATGGAATAATAGAAGTATTCTCCTTGTACAACCTTTTGTGTCTTTCCAATGGAAACATTGGAAGAGAATGTCGAAGAAGATTGAAGAAAAAAGGTCAGGTGATGAGGGACTGCGGCCAGGTTTGGAGAGGATGTCAAGCCCCACTCTGTAATAGTGTTGGCGGGGGGCCAAACTCCAAATTTAGATGAAGGCAATGACGCTCATAAACATACAAACAGGTGAACAAGAATAACAAGTCTCCTCGGAGAATAGAGTGGAAGATATGTTTGTTCCTGATGGTATGCAAAAGGTTGGAGGAAGTCAGGATGAGACGAGAGAATTGAAAGTAGTGAAAGGAGGCCCCATCGTCGTCATGTTGGGGCCTTCAAATGCATACAGGAGAAGTGTCATCCGGACTAGTGATCAATGAAAAACAGGGAGCCAATGGGGTTCATATGAAAGTTTATCTGTTTCAATTCAATCTGGGCGACTGGAACCCCAGGGACGATGATAATGGGATCTATGCCACTGATGCTGGATGCATTGATCGGCAGATACAAGTGTTGAGCTTGTCACCTGGGGAGCATTACTGATTGAACAAGAGATGCTGGGACTCTTTGTTGTTCCGTAAAAAGGAGTCTGGTATCTGTTGTTGGTCGGATAGTAAGATTAAGAAAAGAGGAGGATAGTTGTGTTCATGCTGGATCGTCCATTTACCATAACGCAAAAGGAAGAAAGAGACAAAGTGCAGGGGTGAAGAGAGGGAGTTGTGAATCCTGGGTTGTTTGATACTTTTTTTTGTACGTTGAAGTAAAAAGACGAGAGCCCCTGCTTGATGACGAGGTGAAAATCGATACATTTTTGTTGTTGTGATGTATTTGAGTGAAGAGAGAAGAGAGGGTCCCTGGTAACCTTGCATGTAAGGCATATTGGGTGGCAATGAACGTAAAACAAACAAATATCATCACACTGTCATCACAATACATTTGGACCTGTCCTGTCAGGAATACATTCTTCCTGCCAGTTGTGCCAGCCATCATCATCCATAACAAGAGGGCAGTGAGGGGGTTCATTGCTATTGTTCTTGCTTGGAAGCGAGAGAGTAGAGAGAAGAACCAAGACGAAAGGAGGACGGTTCAAGAGAGGTGACAGGATCAGGAAGAGGGCGTTCTGAAATTGTACTGTGGTTCTCTACCCGTTCCTGGGAAACACGAAAAACGAGAGGGATGAAGAAAGAAGAAGAAAAAAAAGAAAGGAGAGAAAAGGTAAGAGAGCAGGCATGGGAAGAAGTTGTTCCGCTGAAAGTGTTCTTTCTCTTTTCTTGTGCTTCTGCACAAATGTATGTGCGGAAAAGAAGCGCTTCCTTTTTTCTATTGTTGATTGTTGTTAGGCTGCAGGGTGGGACAAATCAGGCAACGATCCTTTTTTTCTTCTTGTTCGCGCACATATAAAAGGGGCCCGTTTGATCCATTTCCCCTTTCTTCTTCTTACTTTCCTTCCTACTTCCCCTTCACACCACAAAGCAATAAGCAACCAAGCAATCCCCAGCTTGTTACATATAAACCAAGTTCAACAAAACCAAAAAAACCCAAACCACTCCCATTAACTTTCATTTCTGAATGGCCGACGACCAACCCCCGATCATCAAGTCCGAGAACGAGCGTTTAGGGAACCACGCCCCCGCCAACCCTGTTAACCTTCCCGCCAAAGCATCCGCTTCCGAGCTTGTCGCTCCTCTTGCCCCCTCAAGCAACTCCCCCCACACCTCTGACCACACCTCTGACCATACCTCTGACCATACCTCTGACCACACCGTCGCTCAGGCCCAGCCCCACGCCAACCCCACCACTCATGTCGATGACCACGCCAGCTCCACCACCACGGCCGCTCATGCCAAGGACTTGAACGGCCTCTCCTCTCCCTCTTCGCACCACCACGCAAGGAACAACCTCTCGTTCGCTCCCAAGGACAATCTGTACGAGATTGACAATGCGCCTGCGGACAATCCTGCCTCGTTGGCGGGCATTGCACCCACGACCAGCGGCACGAATGAGGGCTACTCCATCTACTCCAACGTCAAGGACGGCAAGGTACCCCGCCCAATTCATTTGTTGCATTTTTTTAAGCTATTTGGTGAAACAAAGTCTAACATGCTAAGGACACTGAATGAATCTGCTTGTTAACAAATAATTATTTTCTCCCTTGTATCCCTCCTTTACTATCACTCTGACTCCTTTCAATTGTGTCCTGGAATTGCCATTGTCTGGTGTCCTTGCTGTCTCCTGCTGTCTCTGGATCCACGACCTGGTTGACTCGTATTGTCCTGAACCTGAACCCCTTCTTTTTGTCTTTCTTGTTACTTTATCGCTGGTCGTGTGTCTTTTCTCCTGTCTCATGTCGCATGCATGTGCAACACGTCTTATACTACCTGCCCTTCTAGGTCAGTATCGAGCACCAGATCGAGATCAACGGTACGTACTACCTTCGTTCTATCCCTTTGCTCTTCATTTTCCTCCAGCATTGAAGTTGGATATCGACGCGTATACCACCGTTACTGCCGCACCCCTCGCACCTTGAGTTTTTCCATAACCCATCGCCAGCATTCAACCATCAACGAACGGAAAAATGAAAACCACGGTTTTGGTTCTATTGTTACAACCCCTCCCCTTCTCTCCTCTACCACTGCTCGCGTTTGAAATAGTATATTAATCCTTTTTTGTTGCCCTTCTCCTTTGTACACTACTAGTCGTCGACTTGTTCGATGTCCAAAGCAACAAGGACATCTCCTTGGAAGAAGTCATGGACAGTCTCCGTTATGTCATGGAGTATCGTATCAAGGGCGGACGCTACCCTACCCTCGAGTATGACATCATGAAACGTCTTGCCGATGGTCTGCTCATGAACATGGGCCACTCTGAGAAGAAGCGCAAGATTCGCTTGACAGAGGAGGCCGATGTTGCCTTCCAGCTCTTTGGAGAGTTCTTGCTCGAAGGTAAGAAAAACACAATTTTTTGTCGCCATCTTGTTTGATTCTTTTCCCAGTTGTGTATGCATCAGCGGTAAACATCACAACCTCACCAATCTTTTTGTGTTCTACTTTTTTTTTCTTGCTCTCAGTCCAAGAGTTCCGTCAGGCCGTCGGTGAGAAATCCGTCTCGGATCTCCGTTTTGCCCTCAAGCTGGATGTCCGTTGTGGTTCTTCTTCAACTGAACAACAGCAGCAGGCTGCTGTCGCTTTGATCGCCCTCCTGACCACCATTTACCCCCAGTTCTCTGACTGGCGCGAGTTGGTCAAGGGCCAGGCCCATCCTGAGGTCCAAAAGTGCATGAAGCAGCACGCTGACTTTGTCAAGGCCGAAAAGATGCCCGAGTTGGGCGGTCTTATTCTCGCACCCCAAGGTAACATGTCATGTTTTTCGTTTGACTGAGCAAATACAGCTGTGGACCAATTAGTTAATGGTTGCTGACCAATCCCACTTGTCACTATAGCCCTTTGCTTCGATCGCAGGATCAAGAGATGTTTGAAGATGTTCAGGACTTCATTGGAGACCGGTCTGCCTTCGGAGGCCATTCCCGCTTTGCAGGAGCATTACGGACGCAACATTCTCCCTCAGCCTCCAAACCCCTCGATCGCCAAGATGATCCTGGCCCAATTCACCGACTTTATGATTTTGCTCCTCTTGGCTGTCGCCATCTTGCTGGCTGCCATTGGGGAGTACATTTCTATGGCAGTCCTGTTGATTGTCGTCGTTCTCAACGCCATCATCGGTTTCACTCAGGAGTACAAGGCTGGGAAGGCTCTGGATGCCCTAACCAAGCTGTCGGTCCCCGTCGCCCAGGTTCTTCGCGATGGAATGACCTCAATGATCAACTCTGAGGAGCTCGTCCCTGGTGATATTGTCATCCTCGAGGAGGGTGAGTCCGTTCCTGCCGATTTGCGTCTCGCCGAGGTCTCCCAGTTGGAGATTATCGAGTCCATCTTGACTGGAGAGTCCGTCGCCGTGAACAAGGATCCCAAGGAGATCAAGACCTTGACCCGCAAGTTGCCCCTTGGTGACTGCAAAGGTAACGCCTTTATGGCCACTGTTGTCGCCAAGGGTCGTGGAAAGGGTATTGTTGTTCGTACTGGCCATTTGACCGAGATGGGAAAGATTAGTGCTGCCATCGCTGGTGCCCCAAAGATCTTGACTCCCGTCCAACAAAAATTGGCCAAGCTCGGAAAGCTGTTGGTCGTCTTTGCTCTCGTCCTTTGTGCCGTCATGGCTGGTATCCAGGTAGCTTATATTAAGAAGCGCAACCCTCCAGGCTACCGTGCCAAAGCGGTCAGAGATGCCATCATCACCGCTATCAGGTAACAATTAATTGCAAATTGACTGTGGACATTGTCTGATACTCTCAGACACAAAGTTGCTAACATTCTTACTTTACTATCTTGTACTTCTAATAGTTTGGCTGTTTCTGTCATTCCTGAGGGTTTGGTCGCCGTTACAACTGTCACTATGGCTATGGGAGTTCGTCGTATGGCCACCCGCAAGGCTATTGTCCGTACCCTTCCTGCCGTCGAGACCTTGGGAAGTGTCACCTTTATCTGCTCCGACAAGACCGGAACGTTGACCGAGGGTAAAATGGGTGCTGCCGAGCTCTGGACCAGTGACGGTGTTGCCTATGGATTCACCGAGAGCACCAGTTTGGACCCCAACAAGGGTGATGTTACCATGAAGATCAATACCGGGGAGACCCAGGTGATGGGCAAGACGCTCGAACAGGTCCCAGCTCAGATGCTTATTTCGTTGATGGTCTCGTCTCTCTGCAACAACTCTTCCGTCGTCCAAAAGGACACTGATGAGGTCTCTGAGGCCAGCGCCGTCGCCGTCGCCGTCTCTGCCGAAGAGAAGCCTGTCGATACCCCTGCCAAGTCTGCTGAGTGGAAGGGTGTTGGAGACCCCACCGAGGTTGCCCTGGTCGTCGCTGCCCAGAAGGCTGGTTTCCCCAAGTCCTACTTCCACGACTTGGGTTATACCCGTATCTATGAGCAGGCCTTTGACAGTGAACGCAAGGTCATGAGTGTCGTCTACAAGGCCCCAATGAATCGCGAGGATGACAAGGGAGATCACTTTGAGTTCGTTCTTGCCAAGGGTGCTCCTGAGGAAATCTTGAATCGCTGTGTCGGCTACCTGCCTACTATCGGAGCCGGATCCCTTCCCTCGCCCATGGATGTCCTCAAGGCCCACGAGCACGATTTGGCCCTGCCTGTTACCGAGGAGTTCTACGATAGCGTCACCGAGGCTTCGGGCCGCATGGCCGACAACGGTCTCCGTGTCTTGGGATTGGCGTACAAGAAGGTCAAGGTCAACGGTGGTGGTGCTGTTTCCTCAGAATTGGGCGATGGTCTGGACCACATCAACAACATCAAGGATAAGAAGGAAGCCCCTGCTTCGACCTTGAAGCCCACCAAGTTGGACATGATTATTGCCGCCAACGCCCAGCAGGACGATGACGACGATGAGGAAATCCCCCCAGGCTATGCCGAGAACGAATTGGTCTTCCTTGGTATGATCGGCTTGATCGACCCTGCCCGTGCTGGTGTCAAGGAGAGTGTCCGTATCTGTAAGGAGGCCGGTATTACCGTCGTCATGATTACCGGTGACCATATTAAGACTGCGTCTGCCATTGCCAAGGAACTCGGAATCTTGGAGGAGGGTGGTCGTGCCATTAAGGGAGAGGAACTGGATCTCTTGTCTGAGCAGGCTATTGCTGAGCTCAAGCCCTTCCCTAACGTCTTTGCCCGTGTCTCGCCCGACAACAAGTTGAAGCTCGTCACTGCCCTTCAGAGCCGTGGTGAATCCGTCGCCATGACTGGTGATGGTGTCAACGGTAAGCATTCTTTCTTTATTTATCTGCATAGCGCTTTGTGCTAAGCATGTAAGGTTGAGCACGATGACTTACTTTTTTTGTATTCTTCGTTCATTAGATGCCCCTGCTATCAAGGCCGCCAACGTCGGTGTTGCTATGGGTATTGCGGGAACAGATATTACCAAGCAGGCCGCCGACATTGTTTTGTCGGACGACAACTTCAACACCATCGTGGTTGCTGTCGAGGAGGGTCGTCGTGTGTTTGAGAACATTCTCAAGTTCATTGTCTACCTTTTGAGCTGTAACTGTGCCGAAATCTTCCTGTTCTTGCTCTGCGCCGCCATCGGCGAGGAGCTTCCCTTCACCGTTGTCATGATTCTTTGGGCCAACATTATTGGTAATCAATATGGTCTAGTTTTGTCGCTTTCCTTCGCTCCTAGTGCGCCATGTCATACGTTTTCATCCTTTAACATCTCCATTTTCAACCATTTCAAATAGCTGACGTCCCTCCTGCTATGGCTCTTGGTGTTGAACCTGCCGAGCCTGGTTTGATGAAGCGCGAGCCCCGTTCCGCCAAGCGTGGTATCGTCACCAAGGCCTCCTTTGCCGTCATCATCTTCCAGTCCTTGATAATGACGTTGATGACCTTTGGTGTCTACATGATGAGCGATCGCGGGGAACCCACCGACCCCGGTTACAAGGACGCCGAACGCTATGCTCAGGCTGAGGCCTTCAGCGTCTTGACCTCGCTCCAGTTGCTCCAGGGCTTCTTGTCGCGTACTATGTGTACGTCGGTCTTCAGAATCAACCCTTTCAGCAACCGCTGGATGATCGCCGGTGTTCTCCTCAGTTTCGTCCTCATGATCATGGGTATCTATGTCAACGGATTGAACGATATCCTTCAGTTGCAGCCCATTAATGGCATGTCCTGGGTCAAAATTGTCGTCTGCTGTGCTATCTTGATCGTCTTGAGTGAGATCGAGAAATTGATCCTTCGCATCACCAAGGTCGTCGTCTAAACTTCACCAAACAATCCACACCAACAACCACAGCTCCCATACCACTCCCCTCTTTTTTTTCACAACCTACTATCTACTAATTATATATATAATAACCTACACGTAATTTTGGTCATGGCACCACACACACACCCATCTTGTACAAAATAAATCTTTTCCCCGCGTTTGAATACTTTGCAAAGTAAAAACCATCTCTTCTTCCCTTCAATGTCCATTTTGATATCCTGCACCGAGAAGTGAAAGGGATTGAGCATTCGACTTTGTTATTTATTCTTAAGGCTGAGAAGGAAACAGGACTGAGCTACTGTTGATGTTGTCGTTGCCGTTGTTATGGTGGCGGTTGAAGTTTTAGTTGCTGTCGGCGACCTTGAGCAAGAGCTTTCCAGTCGACTTGCGGCCCTCCAAATCCAAATGGGCCTGGTGAATCTCCTCAAACTCATAAATCTTCGACACCTCCAACTTGACCTTATCATCACCCTTCAACAGCTCCAAGCCTTCCTTGAACAACTCATCAAACTCCTCGAACGTATTAATATAGTTGTACAGGCTGACATGGGTCACGCTCAGGTTCTTGGGGGTCAGACGTCTGAGGTTGAAATCGGGGATAGGTCCACTTGCGAACCCGTAGAGGACGATTGTTGAGTGGCGCCGGGCAATAGCGAGGTCGGCTTCGAAGGTTGCATTTCCGACGGCGTCAAAGACTGCGTGGACGCCCTTGCCGTTGGTAAGGGAGGCGACGAGGGTCTCAAGGGGTTCGTATGCGTTCTTGGTGCCGGGTGCGGGGGAGGAGGGGATGACGACGACGTGATGGGTGCCGTTTGCGGTGGCAAGGGCGGCCTTTTCGGGGGTGGAGACGGTGCCGATGACGGTTGCGCCCAGGCGGCGGGAGGCGATTTGGGAGAGGATGAGGCCGACGCCTCCAGCGGCGGCGTGGATGACGATGAAGTCATCCTTTTGGATGGGGTAGGATCTTGTGGCGAGGGAGAGAGCTGTCAGGCCTTGGATCGTCAACGCTGTGCCCTATTTTATTATTATTTTGGTACCAGAACAGTGGAGAAGATATAGAGTGATTGTTTAGTATCAAGATCGTAAACATATTTTTTTTTTCCAGTTCAGTGCAATAAACAGAGAAATAAATTACTTACTTCTTCGTAGGAGACAGAATCAGGCAACTTTGCCAACTTGTCAGTATCAACAGCAACATAATCCGCATAGGTCGCAAGACCCAAAAACGCAACCCTGTCCCCGACCTTGAACCCATGCTGGACCTCGGATCCAACCTCCACAATCTCACCGGCACCCTCACGACCTGGAACGAAAGGGACAGGAGTAGGGAAGGCACCATTACGTTCGGCGACATCGATAAAGTTGATACCGGCAAAGACGACCTTGACGAGGACTTGGGTGGGGTTGGGGGTTGGACGGGGGACGGTGGTGGAGGTGAGGACGGAGGCAGGGCCGTGGGTTTCGACGCGGATGACTCGGGATGTTGCGTTGACCATTTTTACTTGTTTGGGGTGGTTGTTGATTGTGGGAAGAATGAAGAGTGTTGTAGGTTGTTGTTGTTGTTGTTGGAGCTTGAGTTTGATGAATTGGATTTTTGTCGACGATTCGGTCTCCTTTTATACTTTTTTGCACCACTAGAGAAAGGAAATGAGTACAATAGCGGCGAGGATTGTACCATTGCTATCATATTATCAACTTTGAATGGAAGGACACTGCCGGCCCGAGGGAAGAAATGGCAACAGGAATAACAATAAGAATAGAGTGTGTGTGTGTCCTGTGCAGAATTAGCTATAGCACGCGCAAACAACGCCATTTTCCAACTCCTAATCTCACCTTTGACTTGAACCATATAGGCATGACCAACAAACATTCAATTAGTAAGACGAGGAGGGAGGGGAATGCTGACATTTTTTCCAATTCTAGATCAATCACCCACTGCGCATATGATGTGAGTACGTGTACACACAAGTGCTTCGCAAAGATGGGGACCTAGTTAGTGGTCGTAGTGGTAGGTTGTAGTGTAGGTAGCTGGTGGGTGAGGCAATTCGTCAATGGCCTTAGTGAGTGAGCCAATTCATCATTGCCCTTGCGTGCGCATTTTTTTTTTGCCTTTTCTGCTCCGCCGCCAATCCATGGTCAATTTGCAAATGGGTCATGGGTGTTCTTATGTGTGTGGAATCCGTAGTATGGCGTGTTTTTTTTTGTTTATTGGTCGAAAGCTAAGTTCTCATCGTGGGCAATGGCGACGTAGAATTGCTCGCCTGCTGTCCCATAGAAAACTGCCTTTCGAAAGAGAAAAAAAGAGTAGAAAACAACAAAATTGCGCTGATGTGGGGCCAAGAAAAATAATAAGCGGCGTGAACAAAACGCGTGTTTTAATCCAGACGAGGATGAACGCCAACCAAACCCAAACCTAAACCTAAACCTTCCCCTCGAGTTTTATCCAGCACTCTAGAAACCATCCATGACATGCTAGTGTTCATTCGATAAACTCGACATTATCGTTCTCCTATGAGAAACATAAATTTGCCATCTCCTTCGTCCAAATCGAGACAACGATAACCCCGGCGATACCATTGACCATGTCTCCTGTCTTCGTCTTTCGTTATCCTCTCACTGTTGCTCCATCCTATCATAATCACTAATTGCCTTGTTATTTCTTTTTTTTTATCAAATAGCCAGTGGCTGACAACAGTTTGCTCGATAGCCCACTCCCTCGATAAGCTCTCCTTTTTTTTGTCGTAGAAACAGACATACCAACAAGGAAAGATTAAAGCATCTCAGTTTTGTTTCTTTACTTGTTTCAAAAGAGTGTGGGTTTGCTATTTTTACATAGTGCAGTACTCTCGCATCAAAAGCTGTGCTTCGCCCATCGCGCCACTGAGCATATAGATCTTGGCAAGGTTGTACGCTGCCTCCCGCTTCAGATCCGTCGGGTCCTCATCATCTTCGCCTTGAACCTGAGTCCGCGTCAACATAGGCACCGCTGAAGCCTCATTATCACTGAGAAGGTCCTCGTCTTCATCCTCAGGTTCCTCAGCCGCAAAGTCGTCCAAATCCTCATCCATCTCCTCAGCCTCCTCCTCCACATCATCCTCGTCCTCAGCAATAGCAGCACCGCTAGACGCAATAGCCATGGCCTTGGCTTCCGCACGAGCCGCCTTCACCTCCAACCTCTGCTTCTTGGCTTCCTCCTTTAAGGCTTGCTTTGCTTCCCGAATCTGCCGGATATGCTGAGCACGTTCCATCTTCCTCTCAATCGCCGCTGACCGAGCCTCAGCCCTCCCCTGCCAACGAACATCCTTCAGTGCCTGCTCCTGTAGCTTTTGGGCCGCCTCCTGTTCCCGCTCGACTTGGCGCCATGATGGCAACTCCAAAACACGGCGGTAGTGGATAACGGCAAGATTCTTTTGTCCAATCTGATGGAAGGCACGCGCAAAATTGTACTCTGCCTCCTGCTGGCATTGTGCCAATAGTGGCAGCTCTGTAGATGACGAACTGGACACTGGTGGTGACGATGACAAAGCAGCAGGTGCCGGTACGGTTTTGGTAGACGAGGGTTCTGAGAAAGTGGAGGGTGTGGATGACGAGTCGCCAGTAGTGCTGCTGCTGGCACGAACAGCCTCAGCAGAAGCTATCTCCGCCTGATCCTTCCAGTCATCGGACTTGGACTTGATAATGGGGAAAACAGGCGCGCCAGTACCGGTAGCGGCAGGGGCCTCCGTAGACTTGCCCTTCGCCTTGATCAATTTCTCTCTCTCAGAAAACGCAATCGATCCGTGACCAGCCCTGCGTAAGTGGTAGTAGTTTTGAAGAAAGACCAGTGCCTGTCCCATGACCACCTGTCGGTTGGTTGTCGTTCGCTGCATCGCCAAGTTGAAGAACTGGATAGATAGGTACAGCTGAATCATCGGGTTCTTGGGCGCATGCTCCATGCACTCTGCGATATGGACTAGCGATTATCAAGAAGTAAGTAAAAAAAGAAGGGAGGTCAGTCGTTGAAACACAGTTATAGAAACAGCGTATGTATCTTGAGCGGATATTAAGACCAACAGTGAGCATACTTGCAGATCCGCGATGGGTTCGTGAATGGGACAAGATATGTCCCATGAACATGACGAGCGACATTTGAAACTTTGGAAAGACGTCCTTTGTAAACATCCTCATACCCCTGCCACGCTTTTCAACCAAGTCGTCTCCAACCTCTCCTTCACCTTCGGAACGATTCGACTGCTTGTACTGGTCCCGCCAGGCGTTCGACTTTTTCCGTCCTCCTTTGCCTGATCCTCGTGACGAGCTACGACTGATGCCCTCCTCCTCATCCTCATAATCATCAGCATAGCTACCCGAGCCAGACAAAGGTCCTCCTCGCCTTTTTCCAAAGCCTTTGGAAGTTGGCCGAGGAAAGTCAGGGTCGTCCTGGTCCCACTCTGTCTCGTATTCCTCCGGATCATGCTCTGCCTCTTTGCCCTCTTCCTCGTCGGTCTTGTAGGCTTCGTCATGGATGTCATAGTCATCATCGTCATCCTCATCCTCATCGTTGACATCTTCGCCGCTTTCATCAATATCAGCCTCCGCTGTGTCCTCGGCCTCAAGCCGTCGCTTCCTCCGCAAAACAGGTTCCTCGCCATTGGCAGCAGTATCATCTAATCCAGCGTGCGGTGCAGCGGCTGATCCTGTTCCATCATTACCGGCCTCTTCAAATGTGACCTTGGGACGCAAAGACTTGGTCGATCCCTCCGCAGCAGCAGGAGTTGTGGCCATCGAGTTCGATTCCTCAGTTGCTGTATCGCCCGCACCGTTGGATGAAGAGACTGGGGTTCCTGTCTCCGTGAATGGATCCTCATCTGCCGCTACCGGTGTGCCCACGCTGGACAATTGACTCTGCGAGCTCTGCCTTGAAGCGTTACCTGCGATGACCTCGGCCATCGTGATGGGCGTTTCGAGCACATTGGAGGAACCTCTCCAGGGGAAGGCAGGCATCTTGACAGGTGATGCTTCCGTATCACCTCGGAGTCGCTTCTTAGGCGAAGCCAGCGACGGGTTCAAGATAGGGAAGGATCTCCTGGGACCTCTCCGTTTCTTGAACACCGAAGCCTTCCTGTCGACTTTGTGGATCTTGCGGATGGTATGTGTCTTACTGCCGAGACATGAGCGCATTGTGTCAACGCTCCGCTTCAGGTACTTGTATGTGTTGGCTTGAACCCAAGCAAAGAACCGCTGATGTCCCCGAGGTCCGTGTGTATAGACCGACTGGAAGAGCTTGAGTGCGAAGGGTCGGACGCCACCAAAGTTGCACAGCCATCGTCCTGCATTGATAGTCGCGTCATAGTCGCCAACCCACATGGAGCAGGACAGCACCACCAACATGATTCCCGATCTCCGACGAGGAACTGCGTAGAAAACGTTGGCACTGTACATGACCATCAGCAAATCGATCGCCTCCTCATATCGATTCTCGAAAGTGAGATAGACAGCCTGTCGAATCATGAGCAAGTACCAGGCATCGAACGGCACGTCCTTGTAGGAAGTTGCAGGCGCACGGGGTGGCGCCGCCTCGACCGCCTCCGGGACGACTGGCTTGGTTGGCGCCAGCCCCATCATCGTGCCCAATCTGTCCGACATCTCGCTGGCGTGCTCCGACAGAACAATGTCCTGATCTTCCTTGTGGCTGCGTCGGTACCGCCATGCACGGGTCTCGGCGCCCATATAGGGCTTCAGCTTCTCCTTGACAAAGAACGCCTTGTTACTCATAAACATGTCGATTAGATCTCGAGCCACTTGGATGTACTGGGTCCGGTCCTCGCGCGTAAAGTCGACAGCCTCTCGCTTGTTCTCCCACACCTTTGACTTTTCCTTCTCGTCGATCCTCTGGAAGATGAGATCCACTCGATTGAACTTCTCGATGACCTCGCGCAATTCCTGTGTATGGAACTCTCTCCCGGCCAACTTGTCAGCGCGTTCCTGTTCTCGTGCGGCTCGCACAAACTGAATGTCACGATCCCGATCCGCGCTATTGTAGCGCTCAGCTGCTGTCCTGCTCCGGCTGGCCTCTGTGATACGTGCCAATGCGTTCTTAGCGGCATCAGATGTTGTAGTCTGGCGAGGAGCCAGTTCACGGTACCCATAATTGTTCACCGGAAGGCTTGATGTGCTTGCAGGAGTTCTAGGCGTAGATGGTGCGTCTTTGTTCTTTGCGTCTCTGATTGCTTTGGCTTCCTTCCGCCTCTGGTCAGCCTCTGCCTGCTTTTCAGCGTTGACCCGTCTCACTATACGCGAAGGCAGAAAAAAGAATGTGAGCTTGCCGTTATGAATACAACAGACGCGCCACCAATTTTAGCTCAAAGTCATTAAGTATCTTTAGCTTATTATTTCTTACCAAAGTTGGCGAGCTTCAGAGCCTGCTGCAGCTGTCCTGTTTCCTCGTACACCTCGGCCAACATCATGCTGAGTTCAACACTATCGGGGTCTGCACGGTGTGCTGTAGTTGAAAGAAAAGCGGTATATGATTCGTTTAGAACGGTCTCTTTTGAAAGCAAAGTATAATTCCTCCGCAGAGTGCCGAGCGCCTGTATTACCTTGCTCAAGGTAATCCTTGGCCTCCTTGAACTGGCGCATGTGGCGAAGACATTCTCCAGCCATAATCCAGATCTTGGGAACATCCATTTCATCGTACTGAAGCATTGCCCTGATGACGTTGTATCCATCCTTCCACATCTGCTTGGTGACATACAGTTCGGCGATCTCCTCGTACAGATCTGGAAAGTCCTCAACACTGCACCGCCAGAGGTACTTGAATTGCGCCTATGAGGTGGAAAAGTGGGTTTTGTTTAAAATACTGTTTGCAAACTGTCACTGTTGCTTTCAGGAGCTTATCAAGGAATTCTCTCACCTTGGCCTCTTTGACTTCTTCCATCATGAGTCGACAAATTCCGAGTTTGACACGAAGATCAATTGGGAGTCCACGTGTCCGGTTGTCACCCAAGGATGCTTGAAGATCCTCATCGTCTGGCTCAGTATCAAACTCCCGGTCGTCCTTGTAATCATCCCACCAAGTCTGGTGAGACCTCCGCTGCAGCCTCCGAGACCAAGTCTTGATCATATCGATGGGCTTTTCATACTCCTCAAACATAATGTACAGTTCGCTCAGCATGTTCAAGGCAGAGTATCCATATGGCTCGCTCTGCTGACTGTCGTAGTCCATGTCGGCAACATCAAAGGGATCCGCACTGTTGTTTGAGAACTTGTCCGGAAGTGACGAGTAATGGAGGTAAGCCGCCTCATAGTCCAACATAGCTTGGTGCATATTCTCCCGGTACTTTTTGTTGTCCTGATCCAGTGAACTGTAAAGCTTAACCAATTCTTCGAGCGCCGGCATATAATGGTGTTTGACTTTGAGCAGCTTTTGAAATCCCGAGATGGCTTTAAACGGTTCGTTCAAAATCTGGTACATGATAGACCGATCCCAAAGCGCATCCATGTCGTTCTTGTCCGCACGGAATGCTCTTGTGAAACAGTACAGCGCCTGCTGATCATAGCCACAGTCCCTAGTTAAAAGGGCATGCAAGCGTATTAGTTCACATTTCGAGGTCCTTTTGGCCCTGTAGTAAAATATCGCCTTCTGAGTTGTGTGAATAAGACTCACTTGGAGATGACGGCCAGTTTCTTCCAGAGAGTCCCATCTTTGGGTGTCAAATGAGCAGCCACGAGGTAGAGCTGAAGAGCCTTTTCCGTGTTTCCCAGCTCCTCTTGAATGACTCCCATGATGTTCCATGCCTGAAAAACATTGGGGTGGGTCACAATGACCTGTTGGAAGTAGTCGACTGCTTGATCGTAGTCTCTGTTAACGTAGGCGTTGTTGGCGAGTCCGAGCAGCTTTTGAACCTCAGGAGGGTAGTTAACGATACCCTTCTTTTGCATCTGTATAACCAAGAAAGCGAAGCGATATAAGTCAGCCTGTGTAAATCACGTCAAGGACCTTGTTGATTGATGTGCGACATGTCGTACAGATTTGATTCAAGTACCTTTTTCTTTTCACGTTTTGATTTAGGTGCCAAGGCCAATCCAAGCTCTTCAATCGCCGGGTCGTCCACATCCAGATCCAGTTCGTCATCGTCGTCGTCTTGCATGGTTGGCTCCAACCCAGCCGCAATCTCCCATGGTGTTGTTGAGCTAAATGATATGGAAAAAAGTAAACGTTAACCACCTTGACATCATCTGCTGCGGCTGACATGAGAGAACAGCTCCTGAATTCGCAAGGACTTACCCTTCCGCTGTGGCACTGTATAGTTGCGTGGGATCGACAGAGGTTGCCATAGACGAGGCCACCACCTGTTTGCCCTTACTCCTCGCTCTCTCTGCCTCGTTATCACCCGCCTGCAAGCTCGAACCTTGACTGAGATGGAGTCCGAAATCGCCAATATCTTCGTACTCCTCGTCTTCTACTGCATCCAGGTCGTTGAATGCATCATCCAAGCCTCCGAGGCGAATATTGTCCATGGCCTCGCTCATACTCTCGGCACCGCCCGTGCCGCTCCTGACGTCCATATTACTGTGCAGACCAACAAAATCACCAATAACTCGAGGTGCGGCAAGTGTTCCCTCTGGGCCCAACTGATTCCCAACCGCTGCGACATGTGCTCTCTCGGCTGAGTTCTGGTTGACGCGCGTCAAAAGCAGGTGGCCGGCCGAGGAAGAGGAGGCGGACGCACTCTGGTCCTGGTTGGCCTTGAATGTGGCCTCCAAATCGGCGAGAATGTCTGCATGAACATCGTTGTTGGAATGGGGTGTGGAGGTTTTGGCGGATTTTTTCGAGCTGCGTTCTCCTGCTCCTTGACCGAAATCCATTTTGTCCAATGCGCGTTGCCAAAAAAAAGGGGGAGGTGTTGGTTTGTGCGGTTGGTTTTTTGCATGCAAAAAAGTAGAAAGTAGCGGACGCAGCTCTAATAAAAAAACACACGTTGAAGTCGAAACAGTCACAAGCACCTTTGTGATAAAAAATGATGATTTAATGGTGCTAACACAATAGAGTGTCGCATTATGCCTGGTCACCCTCGGAGGAGGCAGCTGCGGCGGCGGCGGCAGCCATCTCTGCCTGACGGTCAGCAATAGTCTCTCCCTTGATTGTATCAATAATATCGCCCTCAATGCTCAAAAATCCAACCTGGTTGCACACGCGCACAACCTCCTCTGCCAACTGGACGCTCATACCCTCCAGCGACTTGTTCACATTGTCCAGTGATCCAGAAAGAATGGCCTCCTGAAAATCTTCAGGCAAAGCAGCAAAAATCTCGTGCACCTTGGGGTCTGCGTCCTCGGGAGGTCCAGTGATGTGAATCTGAGTGCCGGGGTCAGCGGCCTGGAGCTGGATAGTCTCGACACCAGGTCCTCCACTGACAGCACGCTCCTGAGCAAGCACCTTGCAGCGCTCTTTGATCCTTGTGTACGTATCCTTCCAGTCGTTCTGGAAAATCTTGAGTGCAGGGTGTCCAGGGTCACGAATGCTGTTCATTTTTTTCCATTGACAAAGCAGCATTAGTGTTTGTCACTTGTGATATAGTGTCCTGAAATATCGCCGAGAATGCCTGTATGCAATCAAAAGTCGCCTACCGGTGGAAGAAGAGGCCAACACCGTCCTTGCCGAGCTGGGCGCAGTATTGAAGGATAAGAGCCTGGTGGACACAGGTGTTGGCATAAGCCTCGTCGCCGTCCATCTGAGCCTTGAAGGCTTGAGCCATGATTTCATCAGAGTACTTTTGGGTGCTGAGGTATGGGTGCTTGGAGATGTAGGCGAGGGAGGCGTCCAATCCTTTGATACGAGAAAAGCCAAGGGCGACCTCTGTCACCTCGACATCATCCTCCGAGTCTGAATCATCATCCTCTACTGGTGCAGGCGCCGATGCCTTCTTGCCCTTTGGTGCCGGAACTCCACCCTATATCACACGATTGAACACAAAGAACATTAACATGATATACGAGACCCAGGGTGGTTTGTATAATCTGGCATCTGGCGGGTTATCGAAGTAGTATCCAGAGTAAGAAATGACTTACGGTGCTGCCAGGGTTCAGTGTCTCGATGACCTTTGTCTTTTCTACGACCTTTTTGGCTGGCTTTTCGTTCTTGGGGGGTTGGACAGCCTTGGTGACAGCCTAGAAGCGAGAATTGTCAAGACGATGGGGTATTAGTAGGGCACGAAACAGAGAAAAACGCGTACGACAACAACGTTAATTGACAAGGATGCATACGGTCTTGTCGAATCCAGTGACGAGTTTGTCGGAGGTGAGCTTCTTGTTTTCAATCAACTCAAGTTTCTGGAGCTGAGCAAGGGTGTCGTTGTACTTTTTCTCGAGGTCGGGCTGCTGGGCAGTCTTTTCTATCCTGTCAAGCTGCTTCTTGAGGGTGTCGGCCTCGTGTTTCAAGGCGACGATTTTGGTGCGACGAGCATCGCGCTCACGGTGGATCTGCTCCTGCTTCCAGCGGATCATCGAGCGCTTATCGACCTGTATGAAAAAGTTTGAACAAAGGGTTAAGTGTGCGGTGCTCACAAGGCGTCTGTTGTTGTTGGTGTTATATGCAGTGGCGTGTGTGATCTCGTTTTGTTAAGGCCAGAAAAAAAAAAAAAGAAGGCTTACGTTGGGGTGGCATTCGATATCCGAGTCGTCCGAGATTTCGAGGTCGTCCCACTTTGAGTAGTTGATGGCGGACATTGAGTGGAGTGCAGACTGGGTGGTTGTCGATGGTTGCGAAGGAGTAGGTGTGAGATGTATGGTATGGGTGCAAATGGGGAACAAAAAAGGATGGCCAAAGAACAGTGCAGAAGGAAACGTCTGGAAAGAGAGGGTGACTGTCTTCAATCTGGTTGGCTGTCAAATAGCGATGTAGCGATACAACTATGCGGCCAGGAATAGCGGAGGGGACAAGGTTTTGGCTTCATTTCAATCAAACATTTCGAGAGACAAAGGAGAGCCCCCACAAGGCTTTCCTGTGCCAGGCACAAGAGAGACCGATTTCACTGATGGATGGGAGGTGATCAAAATCAGGCACCATCCTGGGCACCCTGCCTCGCCCTCGTTGCAGACTCTGTTTTAGATGACCCCTGGGCGTTGCCGCTGCTGATTCTCTTCTTCTTTCACTCTCCTCTTCCTCTCCCTTTCTTATAAAAAAGAAGCATCCACTCTTGACCCTTTTCCGCGAGTGATCACCCATTCCTCTTCCTTCATCACACTGAATCTCTCATCCCCTGATTCATCACTCCCAACAACAACAACAACAACAACAACAACAACAACAACAACAACCTTCATCCCTAAACCATTTCCTGGGACCTCGACTCTTCTTGTTCCTAGATATCTTTACGACTTTTGACGACCTTTGACGACCCTTACGACTCTCACGACCTGAACGATTTTCTTTCTCTTCCCTGTCCCCTTTATTTTATTTCTTATTTTTTTTTCTTCCATTGGAACACAACCATTCTCTCTCTCTCTCTCTTTATCTTCTTTCTCTCTCTTCCCTCTCATCTCTCTCATCCTTTTCTCTAGTCCACCCCACATACATTCGATATATCACCCTCATCTATCTATTTTCTCTCTTTCTCTCACTCAATCGTCTGTTCCTTGGCTCCCTTGTTTATCTCATTCCTCTCCCCCCTTCCTCCACGCTTTCTTCTCTCTCCACAGCTTCCTTCTCTCCCCTTTTTTTGTCATACCTACTCTTTCATTCTACATACCTTTCGTCCCACCACCACCACTTCGCTTGGGTCTGTGTCACACCTTTTTAGTACACTTCCACACCACACTTCATCTCTTTTTTTCTCCAACCTTCTTCTCTTCCCTTCACCCTCCACCTTCCATTTCCCAACCCTTCAAACAAAAAATGCCTCAGATTCTAGAATCAACAAGGAACTATCTCAAGACCTCGACCAAACTGGGCCGACGGATGAGCAACTACAAGCTCGAGGCCGCCTCCTCTAGTCAGTCAAGTCTTAACGAAATGACCATCGGCACAGCCAACAATAGCAACAACCTTTCTTCCCACAAAAGGCTCTCCGGATTGTTTAATACCGACGGTCGCACCAAAACATACTCGCTCTCTTCAGAGGACCGAGTGCCGACAGGACCTGGGTCGGCCATTCACCAAACAAGGACGAGTCCCAGCACCCAGGATACGATCGTTCCCGACGAGTACGACCGCAATGATGCCGACTATCGACGCAGGAATAGCAAGAGCAGTGAGGGAACCCACCGGAGCAGGAGAAGCGACAAGAGTCGCCTCAGTTCTCATGATGGTACTCTGAACAGCAGCAGCAACAACAACAGAAGCAGCAGACACCACAATAGAGACCGCGATCATACTTCAGCCCATATGGAGCATGAAGTCCCTCGCGGTCGGTCGCCCTCCTTGTCCATGTCCAACACAGTTAGCACCGCCGCCTCCTATAACACCCGTCCGTCGACTACAGACCCTACCAACCATCGCCAGGGCCAATCGCATGTCTGGAGGCGAAATCTCTTGGAGGAGAGCATCATGTATTCCCTCAAAATCGGCTATGCCGAACGTCGTCGTTCCTCCTCTCGTCATCGGTCCTCCCGGTCATCCAAATCCGACTCCCCTCGTGCCCGCAAGGCTCGCGAACAGGCTATGTTGGCTGCTGCGACGGGCAGAGACATCCTCGACACTGTGCCAGAATCCACAGGACGACATGCCTTTGATGTCGAGACACTCCATGAGGAAATTCTTGACCGCAGCTTTGCCTCACCACCAACCCTTTCAGCACACACAGGAACAGGTCAACACCACCAGAAATTGGAACAACACCAACAGCAACAGCCACAAAAGGCAACATTCCGCAGGGAAAAAGACAGCCCATACCAGATGGAGTACAACACATCGATGACCAACATTACCCAGTCCTTTGCCAGCTTCACCATCGAACTCCCCGAACAACAAGTCTCGCGCATCATCACCTCCTCCGCCATCCCCGATCTCTTCAAAATCAAGACGACCATGTCCGGTGTTCAGGAACAGCGTCCCAGGTCGCGGAGGAATTCGAGGACCCTTTCTATCGGAGGAGGTATTGCCCTCTCACCTCGTGTTCTCACAGGTGGTACTACTGCTGGACGGTCTGCACCAATAACACTCCACAAACATACCCAACAGCAGCAGCAGCAACAGCAGCAGCAGCAGGGCGCAGGACTTCATGTCGAGAAGTTGGTGGAAGAAGAAGAGAACGAGGATGTCAACTCGCCCGTGTCACCTACCACGGCCACCTGGGTTCAATCTGTCTTTGCCTCACTGGATGAGGCCACTACACCAAAGTCTAAGGCGCCGCTCTTCCAAGCTCCCAGTGCCCAAGCTACGGCCGTATGACACGCGCGTTGAACAGCGACTCTTTTCTACTCGTCCACAAGACACGCGAGCCTTTCCCATTTCCTTCTCCTTCCCCATCCTTGTACCCCATGAACACCAAAAAGCATACAATATCCCGAAAATAGAAGCAATACCTAAAAAGATCAACACACATACACAAAGTTACACAAAAACCAGCCTTTTGGATGAATGAAAAGGGCTTGCACAACCAAAACAAGCTGTGTTGGTTTTTTTTTTTTGGTTCATTCATTGAAACAAAGAAAAAGTCGACTTCAACTATGACTACAACCCATGGAATTACTTCCACTGCCCACCTGCGGAGTGAAAGAGAGGATAATAGAAGCGCACAGTGAGCATCAACGACACCAAAAAAAAAAAAGTGGATACTCAATACCCGCTTCTCAACACCAACAATCAAGCATCAACAAAAAGCACATCAACAAAATACCTCCTTGATTTTTTTTTTCTTGTGTTCATTTGCGTTTCATGTTCAATGTCTTCTTTTGTGTTCATGACAACAACAAAAGCATACGCACGCACGCACACACACACACACACACACACCCAAGTACCGCACTGCTTGATGACGATGAGATAAGCGGGGAAATATGCTTGGTTCTTGTGGCGTATTTGGCATAAATGACATAGGAGAGGGGAAGGAAAGAGATAGGCGTAATTCGCAGAGGTAAGAAAAAGCGAGGAAAAAAATGCAAGGGGAGGGGAAAGAAGAGCAAGAAAAAAAAATGAAAGAAAGAAAGAAAGAAAGAAAGGAGGTGGAAGTGCTGATGAGGATTTGTGTATAGGGGAGTTGGAGGGAGGGGAGGTCCAAGTGATTCTGTGTTGATGGCGGACGGCAGCACTTGAGAAACAACACCTCGCCCCCATTGACCTTTTGATGATTTCAGGAATATACTTTTTCGGCTAGATACACATCGTGATACACTCGAGCACTGACAACCTTGTCCCAAAACCAATTCTCCTTTTCTTGCTGTTGATCGTTGTTGCCTATGGCTCCAGGTATTGTTGTTGTCTCCTCCGAAAAGTTGGTTTGGATTTTATTTAGGTGATTTTTGACCGGACCGCTCACTACTCTCTGCTCCCCTGTTCGCTTTTTTCTTGTTTTCAGTGAGTTTTTTTTGTACATGCATGCAAGAAGTAACGAGGTACTCTGACTCCGAGAATGCGAATGGTCGGGGGAAGTGGAGAAGAGCATTAGTGGGTCATTATACATGCAACATACCTCCCCTCCTTCGAATTGGGTTTAGCTACAAAATTCGAGATTGAGTTTAGGTATGCCTTTGTTTTCTAAAAGGCAGCAGGGGTAGTAAGGTCACAAAGAACATGGATGATTCGATATTCCGGGGCACATAGATGGAACAGGAAAGAGTCGAACGAAAAGAAAAAAAACAAAAAAAAATTAGATGCAGGAAGAAAATGAACCAATGGGCGACAATGCAATGGTTGGTGCCAAAAATACCTTGGGTGGGGCTATACTGCAATAATCACATACCAGACAAAAAAAAAAAAAAAAAAAAAAAAAGAGGGGGTTAGGGGTCAACCATTGGATGATGAGTGAGCCATGACCCCTCCTTTTTCCTCTCTCTTGTACTCCTTCATCATGGACCCCAGGGAGGTTCTTGGCCTGGAAGGACAAGAAGTGAAAAATTAAAAGACGGCCAGCCAGACACGCCGTCAGAAAGGAAAGGAGGAATTGTCGAGACCCGCAACATTTTGGACGCTCGAAAACAAAGGATACATCTAGGCCAAGCACCCACAAAAACGACACCCAAAAACCAAACCATGGGTAGGGGATGGAGGGTTTGGTTGCCGTAACACAAGACAAGACGCACCAACAGTATGCACATGATTTCATCCTCTCTGCTCCCCCCTTTTTTTAGGTCTGGTCATTTTCTCAATGGTAGTACGAACTCAAGGTCCCCAGTCTCTACTCCCTTACCCATCTTGTCCCTGCCCGCCCCTCCCCGCCAACACCATAAAAAGATGAACAACCGTCCGTCAGTCGGGAGAACGGGTTTGATTTTTTTTCTTTTTGTACTGTACCTAACAGAATTGGGCGAAGAGAATGCAGAGCAACGGGGTGGTGCCTAGGAGGGATAAAACGCAGAACAGACGAAGGCCCCAGCACACACACACACTCTCTCTCTTGTGCACCTGTGGTAGTTCAGGATGTCAACAAACATGCGCGTTAATTACAATGCTAAGAAAGTACTCAAAAAAAACGCGCCTCGGTTGACCGTCCGTCCATGCAAGGTGATGTTTTTGTGTGTTGTTGTTGGTTGTGGATATTTTTTGCGACAGTCGCAGCACCAATTATGTTCGCGACTTTGTCTGTAAAGAATGAATGCAATGGGCCGGTCACTCGGAGGGAATAGAAGGAAGGTTCATATCCCATTCGTCCACATCAGTTCTCAATCATCGGCGTATTATTTAAACAAGCAATTGGGGCGTGATCCTTCCTTTCAGTCAAGTCCGGAGGAACAACCTCCTTGTTCAGATGGTTCCTTGCTTGGTTGGGTCTCTTTCTCCTTTTCGTCTTTTCACACCAATACAAGGAAAACACATACAAGTAAACGGTTCTTGGATCATAACTCCTCCTTCCTCTTCTCTCCACCCCTTTATTATCCTTTCCTCTCGTTATCTCGCTCTCTGTCTGGATTGGCATGCCTCTTCGTCCGCATGTCCATCGTGATCCAAGCATACATTATTACCTATACTTTTCTTTACTGCCCTAGCCGTTTGTTAATCCGCCTTCAATGTCAGAAGGGCGAAATCGAACAAGTATGGTCTTAGTCCTGGTCCTGCATGATTTTTTTTTCTTTCTTGTTTGTGTTCAAGTGTTTTTTTTTTCCTTGGTCTCCAAGGGGGTGAAAAGGATGAGGCATGAACAAAAAAAGACTGGAATGAATGCGACTGAGCACCCACCAACACACACTCACAAAAAAAAACATTCAAGCAACCACGTAAAAAAAGAAAGAAAGGAAGAAAGATGGAAACAGAGCTGGAGCAGAGGACAAGGAGCAAGGAGCAAGGCGAGACAGGGGAAAACGCAAGCGATCGAGAGCGTAAGGCCCTGGATGAGCAAAAAAAAAAAAAAAAAAAAAAAAGTGCTAAGCGAAGGCATTTCTTCTGGCAAAAGAAAATAAAACATAGGGCCATGAGCCAGCTGACGGCATCCTTTTTTCTCTGTGTCTGTAAATGTGGGTCGTCCTTCCCTTCGCCCATTGCATTTGCGATGTTGTTGTTGATTGTGTGCCTTGTACCTTGCGCGTGTGGGAGAACCTCCTCGTCAATGCAAAACTCTTCACTCTCCCTCCTTTTGAGTCTTCCTCTTCCCAGCCCTCGAGAGCATGGTCTACTTCATTGGGCCCATCTCCTTACTCTGCTTGCAAAAGTGTAGTTAGTATTGGTCATTCAATAGGGGAGGACAGGTATTTGGATAGAATAGCGTGTACATTGAATACCACCGAGGGAAGAGGAAGGTGAAGAAGGAAGGAAAAGAAAAAGGGGTATTTGAATTCAGTGGTGTATATGCCTTTGATTGACTAGTGAAATGGAATCAAGTGCTTAAAATGCATACGTGCAGAGTGTTTGCCGTTTTTCCCGCCCTTTGATTTTGAACTAACTTTCTTGAGGGTATGTTGAGTTCAGTTTATCGGTCAGAGCGTTTCTCATCAAGGCATCGCCCATTATCATTTTACATCATCATTTTTTTACATATCTCTCTTACTAATTACAAAAAAACAAAAACACCCGATCATAAATGTCCTTCTTTGAGATATGAACGTGAGCAGGAAGCAGTTCCAATATGAATGAATGGAAGGAAGGATGGAAAGGAAGAGAAGCAAGCGAGGGGAAAACGAAATGAACAACAAAGGGCGTCTTGTTGTGATGGTGTGGGGGAGGAGGACAATCGATCAACCTGGACCTGCATCATCTCTTTTCTTTTCATTGCCGTCCAGAAACAACGAAACACAAAATGGGAGTGAGATGTGAGTATGATACACTATTCAGGTATCCTTCCTACCCTGCCTGCCTGCCTGCCTGCCTTACACCAATATCGGTCATCTGCACTTCATTTCACACACTAACACAGAGGGATAAATGCGAATGTGTGTGTGTGTGAGAGTGTGCTGCCTTTTTTCTACCCCCCTCTGGCTATCTTGTGTTGTCGTTTTCTATTATTGCTGCACAAGAGATGCAATGTGGTTCCCCATCTTAATTTTTGAGCAACAGGCCAGCCCGACCGAAGAAAGGGCAGCAGGAACGGGATAGGTTGTATCTATATATGTATGAAAGTATGGATGGATGTGGGTTGGATGGTTGCACAAAATATTATTTGTTTTGTGTATTTTCAAGGGGTGAACAAAAGAGACAAAAGACCGAGAGCCTTTGGGTGTGCTGCGATGCGGATTGAATTGAAGGTTGTCTCTATTAAAAACAAACCATTGGTTTAGCAGGTTGTTGTAGGTGAAGTGGGAGAGGGAGTGGATTGCAATGCGCAAGTGAAAAAAAAAAAAAAAAAAAAAAAATTACATGGTGAGAGACTAGCGCAGAGAATAGGACTCGACCCTTTCCTCCGCACTATGATGTGATGGTATCTGAGGAGTGACAGTGTTGACAGAGGATGCCAAGAAACGCTGAGTGCCGTGTGCACTACTAGGTAACGGAGTAGCCTGCTGCTGTGTATGTGAAGATGGTGTAGAGATACCAAGTACTAAGAGAACAAAAAATGCGATCGGCCCTTTGTATCTCTCGTCATGTTCACAATTGCAAGCTGCTGACAGAAGGTGCAGTAGATGGTTTTATTTTTTAGCTCTGTCTCTCTCTCGGATGTAGTTGGAGGTGATTGTCTGCCTGGTGGTGTGGTGCTCCTCCTGCTCCTCCCATCCCATCAATGATGTCCTCATGCTCCATGGGTAAGTAGACGATGTTATTGTTCATTCAATTGCGCGAGTCCCATGGTCAGAATCAAAGACAACAACAACAACAACCACCCCTCGTCGCACCATCATTACACTCTCACATACCCTTGCACATTCACCCACACTCGACACACCCTTATTAATATACTCTTTTATCTCTTTCCCTCGCTTTTTTCTTCCTCTTTATTTTTTCCTTCTTCCTTTTTCCTTTCTTCTTTTTTCCCTGCCTTCTTCTCCCTTCACCCGTTCATTCATTCATTTCCTTCCTTCCTTTCTTCCTTCCTTCCTTCCTTCCTTCTTTCCTTCCTTCCTTCATCTCCCCTTCTATTATCCCCTACTCCTTTTATTCCCTTACACTCTCCTTTACACCAACCCTGTCATCTCCTTTATTTCTTTTGCCTTTTTTCTCATCTCTTTCGTTTCCTCCTTCCCCCTTCTACTTTTTTCATTTCTCGCTCTTCATATCCACTGTCGCCACTTTTCTCTACTTCATTAATATCCCCCTTCACTCTCTCTCACTCTCTCTCTCTCTCTATCACACATACACGTACATATACATACATACATATACCGACTCTTCTATCATCTTTTCGTTTCCTTCCTTGCCTTCCCCATCTTCTTCCTTTCCTTTGTCGTCTCCTCCCTTTTCCCACAACCCAATTACTCCGTGTCTTTCCAACCTTTTTGACTTTTTTCTCACTCCGCCACCAATTTGCAACAATATTGTCTCCCTTTTTTTTAACCCTTTCACAACGCAGACAACTCTCTCTCTATCTCTTTCTCTCTCGCTGTTGTAACTAAGCTTATCTCACAGACGGTCAGATACGCACACGCACAAGCACTTACTGTCATATTTCACCGCCACACATTCTCTCCGTCTCATCCTTTCATACCTCCTTCTTTTACCGTATCTTTGACTCTCCTGTGACCACATCCCTCGTCCTGTATTCATACAAAAAGCTCCCTTCCTCTTTTTAAGCTCTTCCTTTGTACCCTTGTATCATTGTCACTTGGCCTTGTTCGATCCATCGAAAACGATAAAAGAGTTGTACAGATCGCATCCCATCTGCATCAGTCAGCCCGTCAGTCGGTCAGCCACCAAGAAAGCAAGCGAGTCAGTCAGTCAGGCCCAAGGTTCGTACCAGTTACCAGAGTACCAGTACCACTAGCAACATCTTTAAAAAGTAGAAAATGCCTTAGCATACTACATGTTCCCTCGGACAAATCAACAAACAGGGTTCATAATTATAATTACCATGATCGGTCGAGTGGGTCGCACATATTCTCTCTCCTTCCTTTCCATTCATTTCATTTCCACCATCTCCCTCTCTCTCTTTAGTCTTCTCCACCTTCCTTCCCGCTCCCCTTTCTGCTCACTTACCTTCGCTTCCCATCCCATCCCATCCCTTCGCTTACCCCCTGATTGTTACTTCCCTTTCTTTTTCATATTAACAAATTATTGGAGCGTGTCAAATTGCAGAGAGAGAAAAAGCACCGCAACTGCAACGACCGCGAGAAAAAACTCACACAATCTCGAACGATCGAATGAACAAAGTGAGGACGATAACAACGAAAAAACGCAACGAACAAATGAAATGGGCGAGAGCAAGGGGGTTCATGTTCCTTTCTCTCTCTTAATCCTTCGCCCATCTTGATTCTTTCTTCCTTCTGTCCCTTGTCAAATTATTACTCTCTGCCCTACTCCTTCCTACTTCCACTCTCTTTTCATTAATACCGCTTCAGACTTCACCACGCCTCTTTCTCTCACTTCTTTCCTTTCATTTCTCTCCCTCTCCTGCTCCTACTGCTGTACTATTTTCCTTCCCATATCATCATTTCTGTTTCCTGCAACTTTTTCCTTCGTCCTGCGTCCTTCTAGTATTAATTTTTGTTTACTCCATCCCTCTTCATTCCACTACTCTTTGTGGTTATCGTCTGACCTCTTTAGCCTGTGCTGTGCATAAGCAAAAAAAAGCGACCAAAAAAACAGCGGTCTGCTTACCTTCCTCACCCACCTCTTGTGTCCTTTGTCGTCTCCTTTCTCTGTCCAGGTAAGAAAACAACATAATCATCAACGACAACAAAACCACGACGACGACCCAGCAGAACTAAACACATCATTGGGACGCAGTAGTCAGATCGAGAAGCCCACTTTTTTTTCCTTTATTCATGCCAGCTTTCGTCCCTTTGTCCCATCGACCCCCTTTCGCCTTCTCTCTTCGTATTCTCCCTTCCTTCCTTCCTTCCTTCCTTCCTTCCTTCCTTCCTTCCTTCCTTCCTCCTCTCTCCTTATTCCTCGTCTTTTATCTGTCCTCTCTCCTTTCAAGGAATCGTCAATGCATCGTAACGTTGCAAGTCGTTAACCAAGGAAGAGACTCGGCATATTGTTCTTTCTCTCCTTTTTGTACTCCCTCACCTCCAGCCTTTTTTTCTTTTGTTCTCCATCTTTGAACCCACCATCTCCTTTGATATGCCCTTGTTTTCGCCATTTCTCCCCTCCGCCCTCTCTCTTTTTTTCTTTCTGTCCCCTTCTTCCTTTCCTATCCTTCTTTCCCTCCCGCCACTCGGCATCTCATCGACCCAGGAGTTAGATACTCATACCGCCTGATTTTGTTCATGTGCATGATCTCCCTTTTCGCTTGTAATTCTCCTCGGATAATTGCCTCTACTGAAGACGCACGCAACATCGCCACCCTTTCATCTTTTTTTTTTTTTTTTTTGCAATGATGCACCAAGTAATATTAAGTACATATCTCTTCGGCACATCACACACACTTGATAATTCGGTCATTGTGCAATTATGAAGGGCGAAGGAACCACAGACAGAGATCCCGATCCTTCTCTACTTGACTCTCTCGACCCATGCTCCCAGATAACACCAAAACTTACAATTAATCTCTCTTTTATTCATTTTTCATGTCTTCTTATCTTTTCACAGGACACCTTCACCAACTCTTTCCTCCACGACTTTCCCCACAGCACATACCTTCCCTTCTCCACACAATTGCTCTCCATTTCTCTGCCACTTTCAACCAATACAACACTATTCACCATGAGCGAACCTCACCATCAGAGCACAGCCACGGGTCCCGAACACAAAGAGCATCATAGCACCTCCCGCATCCATATCTCACACCTACTCTGCTCCATTGAAGCTACAGAACCTACAGAGTCTGCGCCCTGGGACTCCCCACGGACAGAGACCCTCCATCTCGAAGATCCATCCCAGCAGCGCAACCAACCTCGCACACTCCAACAGTCAGCAGATATCAATCGCAAGCCAGAACACCATCAACAGCAGGACTCGGATTCTGATTCTGATACAGAGGATCAATACGACAACCGTTCATTCACATCCCCACTATCCACCTTTAACAAGACCCCAGTTGAATCCAGTCCTGTCAACCACCTTGCCAAGAACTTCTCTTACTCCTCCAGCCTCACATCACCCTCAGGACGAGCGGGCTATGCATATCCTCACACAACATCGCCACGGCACCCGATGGACGTGCACGATCGACGCGACTCGGGTTTGGGACGGCGAGAACTCGATAACCGAGAGTCGACTCATTCTGCCTACACACATCCTTATAAGGCTTTAGGCCGCGAGCCACTGTCACGCAGCATCATCCCAGAGCGGGGCCCACCTACGTCGCCACCATCCACTACGACAGACCCCGGATACTTCGCCTCTCGTCCAACCTCTTCCGGGCAACGATCGGCCTCACTGAGTACCAACCTATACCATGACCAGCTCTATCCCCACGAAGTCGAACAGCAGCAACAACAGCGCAGAACCGACCGTTCCAAAAGCGACTATGCTCTCCATCAGCAGAACTACGGACCCTACTTGGATGCGTCACCTACGATGCCTCCAGCAGCGTTGTTCTCCTCAAGTCGCCCTCCCGTATACCCGCAGCATCCTAATGAGCTTTCCACGCCACCGCCCTCGCTGCCAAAGCCATCCTACTTCCGCGAACATGTCACTTCACCTGAGGACCATTCACGGCCTCCTTACCCTAACGCCCATCCTTCCTACCGGTCCATTCAGAACGACCCTCGGCGGCCCAGCCAAGGAATAATCCTGCCGCCACCTGATGTAAGTATCTAGTCTGAACGGATGATTGGCATGCTCAATGTACTCTGTTCTTCACTTCATACTTCAAGGTCTCAAATTAATTTAATTGGGACTTCACTGTAGGCCATGCTTTCATTGGAAACAAAAAAGTCTGCGAGGATCTACGGACGTGATGCCGCGGATGGCCCTGGCTTATCCTCGTTCTCGTCATTCACTCCCAAGCCCTCATACGACACGGCTGACCAAAACAGGATAGACTATGTTCGGAGGCCCTCCACGCAGAATGTTACCAAGGGCTTTGAGCACTACGCCGAAGAACGTCGAGCTTCTTCAGCAACATCGTATCCTCACGACAACCAGTCCCGCTATCAGAGCTCGGCCATGGATCGACCTTCATACGACTACACATCTTACGACAGCCGGCGGCCCTCAGCGGCAGTACCTCCACCACCGGCCCCTCAGCCACGGTCATCAGACCGCAGTGGGCACTCGCCAAGGATGGATATTCAGCCTCCTAGCTGGTATCAGCAGTACGCTAATGCCGTCCCCCACAAGTCCCAGACCCGGCCTTCTTTTGCACAGGAAAACACGTCTCTGTACTCCTCACGCGATCAGCGAGAGTCAGGCGCTGGTTCGTCGATGGATATACAACCTCCAAGTTGGTATCAGCAATATGCCCATGCCGTGCCGTCCAAACCTCAGCCTCGAACACCCCATACGCAGGAAGACTTGTCTATGTCCTCTCCGCGCGATCGCCGAGAATCGGGTGTGGGTCCATTGTCTCAGCACCGAGCGCATCCCGACTCTTGGTCTCCTAAATCGATCTTGCCGCTGACACCTCCCACAGCCGAAAATGACCTGCGACGAATGAGCTCTTCTGTTGGTGGGGATGGCTACGGTCATTCATCGTCAAAGCCCGGCCCCAAGAGCTCAGCCCATTCTGTTCACCCCTTTGACCTGCCAGTCGACAATCCAGCCTCGCCCTCAAAGGCCAACAAGAGAGAGCGCGATCAGGAGGATGACCAAGCCATGCCCGAGGATGGCGTGAAGGCCAAGCGCAAGCGAGCCAATGCAGAGCAGCTGTCAGTCCTGAATGCGGCCTTCGAGCGATCCTATTTCCCGTCGACTGAGGAGCGTCTGCGCCTTTCGAAACAAACCAAGATGTGCCCTCGAACCGTGCAAATTTGGTTCCAGAACAAACGACAGAGTGTCAAGGCTCGAACAGATGCAATGGATGTCGCTTTGGCGTCGACTCTTGCGGGACGTCGTCGAGCTTCCCAGGCTGTTGATCGACCTTCGATGGAGGAAAGGCGACTGGATGCTCGCAGGCAGAGCAGAGGCGGAATGGGCGAGATGATGATGGGAGGACACCACCGACAGACGAGCTCGCCACTTTCTCAGAGCACCACCAACACCAACATCGTCACCCCCATCCAACATGGCGAGAAGCGCCGACGGTCAGGCCCTCTAACACCTGCGGATCAAGACGCGACTGTGGATTCGCTCCAGATTCAGCTCGATGGACGCAGTGTCGATTACTTTTCAAGAAAGCGTCGTGCGACCATTGCCAAGATGGAACAGAACCAGAGTCCCTAACTGCTTCCTCCTCAATGTCACTTGTAACAATACACCTCCAATAATGACCTTGTAATAAATAAAACGAAAACTAATTCATCGCGTCCGTTTCGCGCTAGTGGCTTGGACAATTTTTCTTCAAACCCTTTTTTCCTTTCTATATTCCTGCCCGTGACAAAAAACGAGCCATCAACTCACGTCTGGACCATTGTTGTGCATCGCCCTCAGGAGCCAGGACCTACATAAACATATACACCCACACACCACACATAAAAAGAGAAATGGACAACGCAGATCAGGTCACACAAGCTGTCGATGTGCTTGTTCGATTGCTGCTGCAGGATGGGTCACAAAATGCAGACGCCATGGACCTAGACCATGATTCCGCTGGTCAAGCGGTGTCTGGCGACGAGGAGGCCAAAATAAAGGCTGCTCGGGAGTACTGTCTGCGAATCCTTGGAAGGTAAACAACCCCGGCAACGAGCTTGGTCAAGAATCTGTGGTATCTGGAGTTGACGGCTGCATATACGTCATTCAGACCGAGACCGGGGTTATCGCGATGGATGCAACGGCTTTTAATAACACCAGTAACTACGTCGTCGTTTTCTATGCGTCTTCTAGTCGGTTAGCTCCTTCTCTTGTTGCAGATGACATTCATATATCGGACCTCATCAAGAAGAAACGTAAGGACTTGCAGAGGAAAGGCTCACAGGATGCCGCGAGAGTAGCTGTTTTGTTGGGTACCACACAAGGACAAACGGACTTATCTGCTTCATGCATTGGACCTCTTTGCCTTCTGTGTACTCACTAGTTGTCCGGGAAGACCCTTCGTCCGCAAAAGCCATTCGATTCTCTCACCTTTATACCAAGCTCTCCTCTTGCGTAAGTCTACCGGTGCCTCCTTCTCCTTGACGAAGCACTCTTCGATGCATGTGGCCTGCTACCGACGACGTACATGATGACCGCCAAATTGACACCGCTTTTGATTACTACTATGGAATAGTCCGTGTTGACCAAGAAATGGTCCATCCTGTACTTTCTGCTCGCTATCAGTGACCAGACATCAGCGGCCGCACTAGAAGGCCGCTCCAACCAGCAGCCATTGTCATTTTTGGGACTACACAACCTGGAAACTGGAGCAGGACGGGGGAGAGAACGGACGAGTACTGAACAGTCCGACACAACTATGGCAACCCACTCTCGACATGGGTCTCCACAGATTCCTTTACCGCAACAGTCTCGGAAAGTAACAACAGCTGGCTATGCCAGTCCTTCACAAGGAGATCACCATCAACAGAGTAACTCTCAGCACAGCACTAACAGCAGCAATGTTCACGAGATGGAAGAGTCGGTTCTTCTCCGGGATTTGATGTTTGTCTTTCAAGGGATTGACGGAAAGATGGTCAAATTTGGCGCAGAGTCGGGAACATGTACGATCGACCCTTCATTCAACATCTCACATTCGACCAGGGGTTTAGTCAATCGGCTGACAGAACTGGGATGGCTCTACAAGAAGATCAACCAATACGTGCAGAAGACCTCGAAGGAGGCTAGCACAGGACTTGTGGAACAGGTAGCCTTCTCTTCAAAAACACTTGAGCAGGCGCCTTGCATACATTCACAGCTTTGCAAGACGATACTAAACCGGTAATTATTTACTTGGTTAATTTGCACTGATAGAGTTTTTGTTCCGCACTGCAACACGAACTGGTGGACTATTTCAGGCTCATTGCAATCCTGGAGTCACATATCGCAAATGATGCTGATGCGACGGGATCAAAAGGACTGACGTTGAAGCGACTCCTAGTCTGGACCCAGGACTCCTTGCAGCGTCTACGATTGATGTCAGTTTTGGTGGAATGTTGTCAAAGTACGCCTATGTCTACTTTGCAACCTGTCGTCATGAGCAAAATATAGAATGTGGAACCGTCACTTTTTAGAAGTCTCACCACAAACCTGGCACATTGTTGTTCCTCTCAAACCCAAAATAGACTTGCAAGGAGGCGCACTTGTGTCTATGGTTCACGATTATACCCAGCATGGTGACCCCCTCATCCAGCAGTTCATCCATCACATGCTTGAACGTATCTCGGCGCCATTCTACGTCATGCTTCAACGTTGGATCTACGAAGGCGAACTGGATGATCCAAGGACAGAATTCTTTATTGCGGTCAATCCCGACGTCGAAGAAGAGGATATGTGGCAGAGCAAGTACTTCATTCGGGAGGAGATGCTGCCGGCCTTCATTGGCATGCCCTTGGCCAAAAAGGTACCCATGGATATCTTGTTATCCGATACAGGATCCATGGACCACTTTTGTATGTAATTTGATCTGATATGTCCACGAAATCATAACAGCTTACCAACCCTTTTTATGTCCGTCTACAATAGATCCTTTCTATAGGAAAATCACTCAGTTTCCTCCGACACAAGTGCGATGACTCGGACTGGATTCTGCAAAACCAAGGCGTGGGAAAGTGTAAGGACCATCTGTTTTTCTGTCTGCTGAGTTTTCTTATTGCTCCATTGTGATGTAGTCTTTTTTTTTTTGTTTGTTGGTTAGTGGTATTTTTTTTTTTGGCGCTGCATGCACACTATGGTACACTTATATGACCCCTTTTTCTCCTTTTTATCTTTCCGCTTTTGTGCTCACCTTACAACGACCACGACAACTGTTTTAGCACTCAAGTATGGCGATATCGCCGAATTGGAGGGGTCTATTGACGCGGCCTATGTCGGGACAAGCCAACGCCTACTTCATCTTTTGTCAACCAAGTTCAAGTTGATTGAGCACCTCACTGCCATCAAGAGATACATCCTCCTCGGTCAAGGTGACTTTATTCAATACTTGATGGAGTCGTTAGGGTAAGTCTTGGACAGCGTTTGCGAGGGAAGCGATGGCGAGTAAGAGAGAGTCAGAGAAGAGTCGAAAAGAGCTGAAGAAGGGGGTGGTGATAGACGGAGCTCTAATCTATCACCTCATCTGCACGTTATCGTTGCTCGTTTTCTTTCTGTCATTTTTTCACGGTGCGTTTCTTTAGGACAAATCTTTCCCAGCCAGCAAACACTCTTTTTCGACATAACCTCACAGGGACCTTGGAGACGGCCATCCGGAGCTCGAATGCACAATACGACGACCCCGACATCCTACGTCGGCTGGATGTTCGCCTTCTGGAAATATCCCCGGGAGACAGTGGATGGGATGTGTTTTCGTTAGACTACCACGTGGACTCGCCCGTGAATACCATCTTAACGCCCGTCGCGATGCACCAGTACCTGAAAATGTTCAACTTTTTGTGGCGTCTCAAGAGAGTGGAGCATGCACTGTCCTCTGCTTGGAGGCGCCAGACGACGAGCGCCAGAGCCATCAGGCCAATTCTAGGTAAGATTTGCTAACGGAAGAGAGAGTATTCTGGACAGTAGTCGATGATGATGAAGCCGGCTTGCTTATGTTTTTCTGGTTGTGTGTGTGTCTGTATGGAGCGTGATCCGTTTTTAATTGGTCGTGTTCCTTTTGTCGTCGGAGCAACAACACATAAGCAGCACGTAAGAGAGCATAATTGAGTTGGGTTCATGGGTCTATCATGCGATTGTTGCTTATTTCGCACCGTTCTGTGCTGTTTTCTATTTGCCTATGCTGCAAACATCTGAGAAGAAGGGGAGAACAAAATAAGGCTACTCGTCAGGGCGGAGAAAGGATTTTCGGGTGGTGTGTGTACCTTTTTCGTTATGTGAGTGCTTTTTCTCTCATTTTTAGCGCACCAAATGTCGGGTATTGCATATGAAAGTAGAAGAGCGGGGGGAGGTTTAGGGTGAGACAAACATCTCCTTGTTCGTTGTTTTCTGTTCAGCTTTCTCGCTGCTTTGCTAGGGATATACTTTTGTTGGCCTTTCTTCTATGATAACTCAGTTGACTGACGTTCCTATACCACTATTCGTTTGGATGGTTGAACAAATAGAACTTGTTCCGGAACTCCACCACTGCAGGATAGTATGCGGCGAGATGATTCACTTTGTGTATCAGCTCCAGTATTACATCCTGTTTGAAGTTCTCGAGTGCTCGTGGGACGAGCTTTTGAAGGCAATCGAGAACAACAACACGACCACGGACCTGGACTCACTGATTGAGGCCCACTCAAAATATCTGCGAGACGTGACGTCCAAAGGGCTTTTGGCGGCGTCCCACGATGTAAACATGATGCCGCGATTGTTGGAGCTTCTGGCAACGATTCTGGACTACAAGATTGCACAAGATAATCTATACAACTATGCGTTGGCCGAGATTGAGCGCCGTGAACGACTGGCCCAGACGGCCGACCGGAGGACGCGACATGGACAGTGGGGTCTAACGGACCAGGACGAGACGCTGGATCGGATTCCTGACGAGCAGTTTGAAGAGCTGGTGCCGGGCCTGTTGAGGACGTTGAACGAGTACTCGATGCAGTTCAAGAGGGAGCTGTCTCAGCTGCTGATCACTCTGTCTGCGGATGGCGATTCAGACCTGCGGTTCTTGAGCTTCCGGTTGGATTTTAATGAGTTCTATCTGGGATCGTTGAAGGGTGCGATGGTTGGTGGAGGAGGTATTTCTTCTTCATCGGTAGCGGCGACGGCGGCGACGACGGGTAGAAAGGCGACCATGAGGTAGTCAGTAGTCGGTAGTGAGAAGGAGGAAGGAGACACGGATTGCGAGGGGGCCATTGTCGGACCTAACAATTTTTATTACTTTAATCATCAATGAAGATACATGCCCGGCCTTTTGTTTTCTTTTCTTTTCTTTTATCGGACGGTTGCCTTTTTTTTTCATTGTCGTCAGTCCTGCCAATGTCAGGTCTACGGCTCTTCTTGCCTTTGGACTGACCTAGTTACGCGCAAGCAAAGCAAGCGGAGCAGACATACAATGAGATAAAGGAGGGTGCGACAAAAAGTCGAGTCGGGTCCGTCTGTACTTTGTACTTCTGTATTCTATTCAGTTGTGCATTGCTGTTGACCTCGAGAGAATAACCAGATGGCGCGAACTAACTCCTTTTCGTATTTTGAGTCTCCGTAGGGCCCTGTATTAGTATGCCACCATGAGCAGCTACTCTTCTCTCTCCCTATCACTAAGCGAGACCGAAAGAGTACAACTACAGCGAGAAGACGACGGGTATATAAAGAGACTACGAACTCGTCGCTGTTCCTGTCGCGCGTCTCTACACTTCCCCTCCATTCTCCTCATCAACTTTGGTGTCTCATCACTTTTTTTTCCTCCTTCATTCCTTTTCCTTTCATCACTTTTTTCTTTCAAGATGCAGTCTGCGCTGAATCAGTCTCCACGACTGCTAGCCTCCGTCCAAAGAGTCTCTTCGTCGTCCTTGTCAAGTGGCCGTACCCTCCCGCAACGAAGCCCCAAGTACTCTTCTTCTACCTTGTCCTACTCGACTTTCTCCGTCGCCCAGTCTACCCTTGCCGCGTCAAGAACTGCAGCTGCTCCTAGGTCTCCACTGGTCACCACCACAACTGCTACTACTACTACTACTCTCCTCCAGAAAGTCTCCTCGACGTCGAGTACCACTACTGCTGCTGCTGTTCTTAGGTTACCGCTGGCGAGACGCGCCTTCTCGACACAGGTGCCCTCCCAAGACCAAAAACACGCTACCTCCTCTACGACGACGAGTACACCTGTCGTGAACGACACGATCGAGTCGTTACTTTCCAATAGCCTTCATGACCAGGACTCGAAGGCAGCAAAGAAGAAGAAGGCGGAACCAGGACCATTGGATGGGATCCGTGTTCTTGACCTGACGCGTATTCTTGGTATGTCGTTTGCGTGTCTGGTTGTTGTCTTTTTTTTTCATTCTTGCATTGATAGTTCTCTAACCCGCCTACGAATTATCGCTTCATTTTTCTTTGTGTTCGTTCGTAAGTTTAGCGGGACCATATTGCACTCAGCTGTTAGGAGACCTAGGGTACGTAAAAGTCCCTCGCACACACGTCTTTTCTCTAATCTCTGTTGCAAATCGCGTTCATTCCTTCTAACCTCCCTCCCTCTTCTTCCCTCATTTTCATCCTCTAGCGCGGAGGTGATCAAGGTAGAGAACCCCAAGGGCGGAGATGACACCCGCGCATGGGGCCCACCCTTTGCCGCAAACCTAGACGGATCCGAGACCGAGTCTGCCTACTTTCTCAGCGTCAACCGTAACAAGAAGTCCATCACTGTCAATATCCGATCCGAGGCTGGCAAGCAATTGATTCGGGATCTGGTCAAGAAGTGTGATATCTTGGTCGAGAATTATGTTCCAGGCAAGCTTGCGGGGATGGGGTTGGGGTATGAGGATTTGTCGGCTTTGAACCCTGGGCTTATCTATGCTTCTATTACTGGTAAGTTGGAACTTGAAAGGATGGACGATGATGTTGAGGGTAGTTGGTGCTGGTGAAAAGGTGAAGAAAGAACAAGGGCCATATTTTTTTCTTCTTTTTTGTGACCAATGGAAAATAGGGTATGGACAGACGGGACCGTTTGCATCGAGACCTGGATACGATGTGATGATTGAGGCCGAGGCTGGACTGATGTATATTACAGGCGAGGAGCGTGGACCCCCTGTCAAAGTGGGTGTTGCTGTTACTGGTAAGAACAATCTTTTCTCTTGTAGTCAAGCATCGAATTAGGGGCGACAAATGAGAGAGGCACATGACGGGCACGATAGCAACAATTAATTAACAATAATGTGATCCAATGAACCTAGATTTGACGACGGGGTTATATGCACATGGAGGGATCCTGGCTGCACTGTTGGCACGCCACAGGACTGGTCGTGGTCAACACATCGACTGCTCATTACTCGAATCCCAAGTCGCAACGCTGGCCAACATCGGAAGCTCGTACCTGATTGCCGGCAAGGAGGCGAAGAGGATGGGCACAGCACACCCTTCGATTGTACCCTACCAGGTCCTCCAGACACGCGACTCACACATCATGATCGGTGCCGGAAACGATGGTCAGTTCCGAACCCTCTGCAAGGTCCTCCAGCTCGACTCTCTTTCCGATAACCCACTGTACAAGACCAACCGGGACCGTGTTCAGAACCGAGACGAGTTGATCCGGATCCTGACCAACCGTTTGCAGACAGAAAAGAATACCTTCTGGCTCAAGGCCCTGGAAGGGAAGGGAGTCCCCTTTGCGCCGATCAACAATATCGGACAGACGTTCTCACACCCACAGGTGTTGGCGAGGGGGATGGTGCATGAGGTGGAGCATGTCAAGGCAGGCAAGATCAAGTTGATTGGTATGCCTGTCAAGTACTCTGACACCAAGCCGACGATCCGTACAGCACCGCCACTCTTGGGTGAGCACACTGACCAGGTCCTGAGTTCTGTGCTTGGCTATAAGGATGATAAGATCCGGGACTTGAAAAACTCTCATTCTATTTGAGAGTATGTACCCCTTTGTGGTGTTTGGTTGTGTGCCTTTTCTCTACCTCCCTTCCTTCCTTTCCATGTGCTTTGGCCCCCTCTTACCTTTCTCCTTGCTCTATTGTTTGAACCTTGCAGCAGCAAGGTGGAAATTGGGGGGGGGGGAGTTCGTTGTTATCTTTTTGATCTTCATCATGACCTGTTTTATTTATCCTCATTTTGCATCATTAAAATCCGTCTTTCCCTCGACTTGCCACTTTTTTTTTTGTCACGCTTGACTCTCATTGTTTCCTTCGTCATGGACCATCAAGACAACGTTTTACTTTGGTGAAAAAGCAAGAGAGGCGAAAAGCAAGGCATAAAGTATAGAACATGGAACCATCAACCATCTCTCTTTTGATCTCAATTGTAAAGCGAAAATAGAACAACAAGCATGCAACCCATTCCTCAGAAAAACATTGCCGTGCAAAAATCAACAAAAGGGAAACAAGTATGATACATTATTCTTTTTTTTTTTTTGGGTGGCAGTCGTTTGTTGACCAGCAACGAACAAAAAGCCTGAAAAAAAAAAGGTTTCTTTGTTTTTATTAATGTGCCTTTGTTTTGTTTTTTTACTCTCGATGCGAACACACTGGCCACATCAGGGAAAGAATGAAAAAAAAGGAAAGGAAGAGGGGAGCAGCCACAACAATGAAAAAAAAAGAAAGTGTTTTTCGTATGGGGGTTTTTTTGAATGGGGGGTTTTTTTAGAGATGGAATAGCGAATCAGTTATGAAGGAAAGAGGGAGGGGAATGGGTCGTTAAAAGAAAATGCTAGAGACAAATGCTAAAGAGTCCTCAAGGAGTCTTTTACTTGGCCTTGGCGACCTTGACGGTGATAGACTTGCGCTTGGCGAAGAGGTTGCTACCATCGGGCTGGTTGGCGTTGGGGAACTCGCCGATGAGGGGGGACTTGGGACCATAGTTGGCAATAAGGGGAACAACACCCTTGATCTGACCACCGTTCTTTCCGTTGATCTTGATGTCGACACAGTTGGAGTACAACTCACGGTTTCCGACGGCGTTGTTCCAGAGCCACATGAAGACGGCGTTACCAGAGGGAGCCGAGTCGGGGATCTTGACGCTGACAGAGTACTTCGAGGTGGAGACAGTTCCCTTCAAGCAGTCGCGGAGGACGGTCTTGATGACGACCCAGGTCTTACCCTTGTCGTAGGAGAGGGCGTACTGGCAGTGTCCACCACCGTGGGAGGCGCCGATCGAGTACTCGGTCTTGATGGTCTGGCCGGCCTTGAAGGTCTGACGCTTCGAGGCGGCGACGGTGTGCTTGCAGATGGGCGAGCCGATGGTGTCGTGGGTACCGATGGGCGAGTTGAGGTCATAGTCGACGGACTGGCCCTTGGGAGGGGCGGGGCAGCCGGCAAAGGAGCCGTAGCGGGGGCAGGGGGAGCGGAGACCGACGTGGGCTTCGGTCATGGGGGTGTAGGAGAGAATGGCGAGGCAGGCAGCGGCGGCCATGGCGATGAAGGAAGTCTTAAGCATCTTGAAACGTTGGTTGGTTGGTGGGGGGAGGGGAGGTTGAAGGTTGGAGTTTTGAAGGGTATGTAAGGCGGTTGAGGGTATTAACAAGGATTTGTTAGTTTGTGAGGGGATTCGCTAAGGAAGGGGATCGTTAACTTGTGGAGGTGAGTGATGATGAGAAAAAAGAAAGTGGGAAATGGCCACTGACCGTCTGGCTTTTATACTTTGGAGAGATGAAAAAACTAATATGAATTGACCAAGCCCAACAGCAGTAGCCAGGGGTCGTTTCTCTGTGTGTGGGGTGGTGGCAAGGAGAAAGGGTAAGATGAATGACTGGAACACAAAGAAAAAATAAGGGGTACCATCTTGGAGGTACCTTTTCTCTCCAGAGGCAAAAACGAAAGAGGGCGATAAAATGATCGGATAATTGGTTGGTATGCGTTATGAAGAGCAGGACAATCAAACAGACAGACAAACCATACTTTGTTGTTTTCTCTTCTTCTTCTTAAGACAAGGACGGGGAAGTCATTCATTCTATGGAGATTGAGTTCTGAAGGTAGTAAAAGAACCATAACCGAAAGAAACGAACGGTCGCGAAGCGAAAATGAGAGAGGCGTTAAGCCATTCTTGAAAAACTCAAAAACATGCACATAAAAATATGCTTTCAGGCACCACACCTATGCACAAAAAGGGGGGTGATGGCTCGAAGCGACTAGTAAGCCTTAGTTTAAACACAAAGAAACACAGACGGGGACCAGGTAGAGCCAAGAGTAGAAGCCATAGGGAGAAGGAAGGAGTGCTGTTTGTGACATGAACAAGGATGTACGCAAGGAGCTAGCACAATGTGAAAAAATGATCTCTGCCTATGTCCATGGCTATACACCTGTTAACTGGCAGCCCTCAGGAATGGGTGAATGCCTTCGTTGTTGACTACCAATTGGCTTCAAAAAACTGAATGATCTAATGTCGGCACTTCTATCCTATCCATCGATCCATGCAACCGTACAGCCAACGAAAAGAAAAGAAAAACAGTCAGCTCAAAAAGGAGGAGGGAGAAAGTCAACCTCAAGCAAGACCAGACTTTCAGGTTGTAACCACTGCTGCATATTACAGCAATTTGCGCAAGCAACTCCTCTTTCCACTTTATTTCCGTGATCGCTCTCAATTAAACAATACCAGCACAATACATAAGCCATCGATTGTTCAATCAATATACCGCCTGGCATGCCCTGCGCCAAAAATTAACTCCCTCATTCACTGCATAATCCACTTCTCACCGCCCACGAAACACTAACTATCATTTGATTGCAATTTCAACCATACAGTTGGTCACTCTAATTGAAAAAAGTGGAGAAAGAAAAAAAGTAGTGAGCACATCAACAACACTGAAAGTTAAACAGTCAAAACAGCATCGCCTCCAACTCACTAACGAGTTGCTTTCTAGACTACATCAAGGACGCACTAAAACTTATGCAGGAACAATGCTAACCATTGATTTGGTGCCGGACTATCAGAAACCGTTTTTTTCAGGGGATCAGGGTCACAAACGCGTAACGCGTCGAGAAAAATATCAACACGAAAAATCATCCATCACCATTCCTACGCCTCCCTCTCCTCATTCCCCTCTTCACACCTCTTACCCTGCATGCCACTCCCCATCATGGCGCCGTACCCCTCATGAAAAAACAACAATAACATGAACCATAAAAATAATTCCATCTTGAGTTCACCATCCTTGTTTTGTTTTGTTTGTGTTTTTTCTATAGTCGCTCTTGGGATCTCCTTCTTCTCTTCTCTCTCTCTCTCTCCCCTCGCTCTTGTTATATTCTTAGTAACGTTTCATTGCAATTGCGGATCATTAACCCTATGGTTCACGGAAGAAACCCTTTCACAAACAAGTGTGAGAACAAAGCTTCCATTGAATGATTCGGAAATATTAGCCTTGACTAGACCCGGCGTTTCCTTCCTCGTTTTTTTTTACGCCCAGTAATACAGGGACCCCTCCTCCCTTTCCTCGGCTCCATATCCACATATCCACTGTACCCATGCAAATCAGGACGGTTCCAATTTTTGTTGGTCTTGCTTTTGGCTCCTTTACCTGTACTTTTTTTTTGTCTCACCCATCCGCCCCACTGTCTGACAGCCATGCTGTTGATGCTGCTCTACCCAGACCTGGAACCAAGCCCGTCCATTTCCTTCTCAACAAGGACTCAATACTAGGAGACTCGTACTCTGAATATCCCATAGTTGAGGAGGAGACCGAGGAAGAAGATCGAAAAGGGATGAAACGAAGGTGAAAGAAGGAAGCTCAGTTCGTTTACAATGGGGGTTCCGAATGTTCGGCGCTCAACTCTCATATTCTCTCTACATCTCTCTTTCCTCACAAAAACTGGTTTGATGCTTCTCAATTGAACCTACAAGATAACTCTCTTCTTTCTTGCCTCTCATCCTTCTTCTCGAACCTATGCTCTTCGTTTCTTCTTCTTCCTTTTCTACGCTTGTACTGTACATCACCAATCGTAAACCCACGTCGTCCTATCCAGCGAGAAGAATTGTTAGGCTGATTGAAAAAAAATTGCTTCTATCGAATCGGAAACTCTCTGACTCTAGCATGTGTTGATTTACTTGCCCCATACATTATCTCCCTATCTCCCTTCTTCCTCTCCACACCCCACGCATGTACACCTTTGTCCGCCCCAGTGATAATATTTCTCAATGGAAACACAATCGGATCATAATCAAACTAATGAAACCACATTCTCCCCTCCTTGGTGCGACATTGATACATAACGGTCAAGGAAGAGCAAAGTAGGGTCCCAGGTCTGTAATATTTTTTTTTCAGCATTCGAACAAATGAAGGCATACGCAATAGCCTAGTGCGACCATACGTCTTCATAGGTACTGATGAAAGATATTTTATCCTTCTTGTTTTATTAGTTCCTTGACAGATGATGGACGTTTATTGGAGCGGAAGCATGGACTGTAAGCCAACCTTCTGGCTGGTTCGAAAGTATCGAGAAAAAAAAAAGTAAGTAGGAGGCTCACCGATTTCTCCAGAAGTGAAAACGATGAGGTCGGTCATCAATGGAGGAATCGGAAGTAAAGGAATAGGTACCTAACTGACGGAAGGAGGTAGGAGAAAAAGGTTTCAATTGGAGATCGAGAGTGGATGGGTTTTTAGGGAAACAAGGATTGAAGGGGTGCGTTCGGATGTTGAGGGTGCCGGAACTGGGGCATGGAGGCGGAGAGGAGGGGGGGGGGCAACCAAGGCGCTGGAATATTAGAGTGTACATTAGGTAACATACATGTCTTGCTTGAGGGAATAAAGTATCGCGTTGTTGCATAAGGGACGCGTTCCGGGCTGGTTGTATCTCCTGAGGCGTACAGAGATCGAGAAGAGACAAATGGTAGTGGGGGAACCATTGGACCTTGTTTCTCGATCTACATTTTAGGCAAAATGTCTATTCACCCATCCATCCTGCTGGAATAGATAGCTACTCAATGAACATCCACAATAAGATAAGAAAAGAAAAGAAAAGAAAAGAAGGAATGGTAACATTGCATGGTAATAAGATCGCCATCGATGGCTGTTTTTGTCTTTTCCTTGCAGAAATGTTTATTAGGCTTTGTGGAATGACATAGAAAACATGGAAAGAATATTCTCGACAATTGTTTATTGCTTACTTTGCCTTTTGCTTTGCTTGGACATCTAAAGAACCAGCGAACGAATAAACAAACAGAGACAAGGTCCAAAAAAACGTGGGCTGCCCGAGAGAGACATCTTTCTTCCCGCCCTCCCTCCCTCCTGCTCCCTTTTCTTATTCCACTCGAGGCCCTTTCTCTTGGATCCTTCTTTTCATTCCTTCCATCCCCTTATTTCTCATAAGCGGAATGAGAAGGAAAAAAATATATTATCAAACGAAACAGTTTGTTGCGGCTCTCAATTGTGTGCAGCGGCGGGTTCTACCTGCAGGAAGAGATCAACGCAGGAAAGGACAGACAGGGCCAATTTGTTTGCTTCATTTGATGCATTATCGCTCTCTTGATCGCAAATGTATCACAACACAGATGGATACATGACGGGAGTATGTTCGCAACAGAAAGAAAGAAGAGCAAGAAAAAAAAGACGAACTACCAATTAGGCAGCTCCCCCAGTGTAAGTTGACCGTTGATCGTTGGAATCCGACATAGCATCCAGATCTAGGCTCGTCATCGCAATTCTCTTGACAGGGTACTGTACTCCGCGAGTACAGTCGTGGGTATCACGGTGCGTGGTAGAGTGTATGAATTGTGTGTGATGAACCCAGCAAATGAGGATAAATTGCGCCGCTCTTTGAAAAAATAGGGACCTTGCAGATCATGGTGCATCTGGAGCGGGAGAGAGGGAGGGGCCAGAGGGAGGTGGCTCTGGATCACAAAGGTAAGAAGGAAGAAGGGAGGATCAAAGAAAGGATCAATAGGAAGAGGTCCCAGCTGCTTTGTCTAGCCTGGCCTGCATTGTTTGGCTTTGATGTCTTGTCCAACTGCGACGTGCATGAGTATGGCGCGATCGACTTGACTGGTGGGTGGTAGGAATAGAGTAAAGGAACGATCTTCGTGGATGGGCTTTTGCAGCTTTTGTTTTTGTTTCTTCCTGATCCTTCCACGGGTTCAATTGCACACACTCTTCCTATGCATATCTCCCTCTCGCTCTCTTGGAAATTGCAATAAGTCATGACCGAGGCAGCGGAGTGGTGAGCATTTTGTGTCGTCCCACTTAATAGGTCTCACCTCGTAGACATACACTGGTACCCACCGCTGCACTGTTACCATTGTCGATTACCATGACTGTGACTGCCACTCTTCTTCTTCTCTTATGAGAGCTCTCACTTTATACCAACCTACATTATTCCGTTGCATCGGCATCGGCTTTGGGGGCCATCGGCATTGGCACTGGGGTTGATCGATCCAGTTCAGACGCCGAAAGAACACCTTCCGGGTTACCAACCAACTCCTTCTTTCTCCTTGACGTGCGGAATACCAGATGCCGTTTCTTTTCTGTTCAAGTAATCAAAAACCTCTATCCCACGCATACTCCTTCGCTCTCAACAATGATGGGCGTGCAGTGAATTCGTCAATTTCACAAATGGTTCTTCCGGATTTCTCCCTTTCTAACGAAAAAGAAGTACCATAACTGGCCTGGGGCCTTATTACCTTCCTTCATCCCCCGTGCCTTTTCCCATTGTCTCTTTTTTCGTTCTATGCATATCTCTCTCTAAGAAGCGCGCCTACTCCGACATGCGTGTTAGGTTCCTAGTGAAGCTAAGCCTACAGGTTGAACTCACACGCGTGGTGTGCGCCTCCTAGATTCCTCTCAGGCGCATAGCAAAACATTCATAGAGGACAAAGTATCATCCATCCATCCGTTCCTCCTTGTACACCTCATATGCATCTTACTGCCTCTTCAGCCCTTGACGCCATGAAAAATAAAGGGGAGAGACATGGAAAGGATAGGAGAAAGTGAAAAAGTTAACAGAACAGTAGCAGCGGCGTGAGAATGCACATGAAAACGAGATAGGAGAGAAGGAGAGTCAGAAGGGAGGCAGGAGAGAAAGAGATCGGCTTAGCATGCATACATGGCAGCGATGTAAAGGGCGAGACTGGGAGTCCTCATGCCTTTTATATTCGGTTACTTTGCCGACTTTCAAATGAAGGATGTACCATGAGTCAGACGACAGTGCAAAGGGGACGGGATAACAGCCAGGAGTGTCAGTGCGTTTTCTTTCTTGCTCGGCTGATCCTCGCTCCAGTCCAAAGGTGGATACGGACATGAGGGAAAGGGTATCACATTGAATGCTGCCGCAGTTGTCACACAAGACTAGTGGGGTTCATCTCACAGGAGGAAACGAACTGATAGTCAGAGGACAATAAGGCAAAGCATGCCTTGGCCATAGTTGCCTCATGCATTAATGATAATTCTCGTTCGAAAGGAAAAAAGCAATGTCCATGGCCTGGAATATTCATCAAATGTGCACCGGTCATCAGCAGCAGTGTAGTATACCTAGTGCGCATAAAGGTGCAGTTGCGCACAGACTGAGATTTCTGATATCATGCTGGTGCCTGGTGCCTGGTACCTGAGAAACATATCAACATGGAGTGTCTTGTCGAGTTTAAATTATGATCACCTGACGATTGTCGTGAAAGCCACTCGGTTCACACACATGCAGTTTTCTTTTTCAACTCTATTGCCTTATATGCCAGAAGATACATCTACTGGCTGTCTTCTTCTTGACGTCCATTACGCCCTATGACGGGAAAGAACAAGACAACAAAGAACGGAAGAGAGAGAGAGAGAGAGAGAGAAAGAAGACCCTGTCTAGCTACTTGCCTATCTTGTAATGGCTAACAAGAGGGCGTTCGTCGATATGCATGTCTCCCCTGTAAATTATCGTAATTTAACAACGACAACAGCCCATGCTGTGTTGATAAGCCAACGGAAAAAAAAAGTGCGTAGAGAGAGAAGGGACGCCGCAGTGGGCGTAGGCGGGAATCACAAAGCAATGAATAAACAACAACATGCCACTGCCTCTTCGATTAGTTACCAGCTCACCAATACATATACATGCGACCCGCCATGGATAGAAATGGGATCGTTCCTGCATGTCCAGAAGGTCCAATCACTTCCAAAACAAGAGAAGAGAGGGACAGTACTGTACGTAAGTAAGCTGCTTTACTCACAGTTCTGACATCTCCCCGTTTTCTCTACTAAGTGGCGATTCTATCAACATCTGCCACGCGAGTGAAAAACAATCGTTCCAAGCTCGGATCTTTCGTTACTGCTTCACCCCAACTCCAACTCCTTCCTTTTAGTCTCCATCCCCTGTCCATGCCTTTTTCTTACCCCTTTTTCTTTGTCTTTTTCTTCTACTTTGATACTTTTCTTTATTTTCCCCTGGGCAAAACGTCGTTGTGTTCGATGTTGAGTCCAGAAAATTCCAATCAGCACTAACAACAACGAAAAAATAGAAATACAAGGGGTAGCATAGTAGCATCCAAAGTACCTAAGCGAGCGCCAAGGGAAAAAAAAAGAAAAAGCGAGAGCCAGCCAAATCAGTCCGTCCGTCAGTCAGCCCTTTTGAAAAAGACAAGAACGTGAAAAAACGATCCCCAAAAACACTCTCTGATGGCGTCGGACTCTCCCCTTTCTTTTAATCGTTCTCTTTCCTGGGTTGACTTGGACTTTTCCCTATGGACTTTTTTGGCCTTAACTTCTAGGCGTGGGCTTGAGCTTGGTTGGCGAGGTTGGTGTTGGCGGTCTGGCTGTCTCCTGAGAATCCGTTGCATCATCATGATGGGCGTTACCATCGTCACTCTGGCAAGAATAGATCCATTGTAGAAAAGTAAATATGGATTTAGTATTATGAGTATGAGGTCAAGGTTTTGATAGCACTTCCAACAAGGACACTTGGCAACAGTCCGGCAACAGTCCGATCGGTTGAGGTCACAATTGAAAAAAAATGTTGAATAGGATGAGGCAAGTGGTATCTTTTGAGCAAAATGCAAGCATCCAAAATGCAGATATGTACTATGGCAAAGCAACCATCCAGGGGACGAGAATGAGGAGGAGTATGAGAACGAAACGTCAAAAGAGAAATGAGGAGGCTGGCAGCAGGGGCGAGACTAGGCCTGTGAGTGGATAAGGATCATCGTCTGCGTTTGCGGAAATATGGGTTTTTTCTTTTAGACAAAAGTAAGCGAGATGAGCACAAGCTAAAGGAAAGAAAAGGTTAAAGCTGGGAGGACAAGACAGGATTCAGCAATAGTCAACGTGCCCGTGGTGAGGAGGGGTTGAAGAGACCAAGTGAGTTCGGACGAGCAAATGGGCGAGGGATCAGCTGCCTTTATGCAGCATAACTCATCATCATCATCATCCCCCTCTCTCACTGAGGGGGTCGTGGATTAACAAGAAGACTAGGCAGGCAGGAGACAGAGCAAGAGCAAAAGTAAAACGAAGAGCAATGTTGGATGTGCGTGCTTGTCCTTTGCGGAAGAAATCTTTTGTTATTTTTACCTTGTTTTCCTCTTCCCAGGCCAATAGACTGGACACCAATCGTTTGCCCCACATGGGCGTAAAAAAGACAGAGAGTAGCTGTCTCTCCGACGTCCTTCGCATGGAGAAAGTGAGAACGCAGCAACTTGCTCTCTCTATCTCTTTTTATCCTCCTAAATCCTCTCCTTGCTCTCTCCTCGCACCTCCAAAAGGCCACTTGACTTTTCTTTTTCTTTTTTTCCCTGTGTCCTCGGCTGTTAGGCTGGCAAGCCAACAACAAGCCTGACAGACCCACTCACTCGAGCCACGACCTTGCATGAAATGGACCCTCTCACCCAATACACCGCAAACAACAAAGTTTGTATGTGCTTTTTCGTACATAAGAATACTCTCTCACACGACCAAACTCCATTTCAAATAAAAGGTTGTTCTTCTCCTTCTTTTCGCCTTTTTTTCCTTTCTTCTTCCCAACACCTACTTCTCTCTCTCCTCTCTCTCCCTCCCTCCCTCTCACACTCAAACAGTCAAAAACAACCACAGCCAACAACTCTACCAAGAACAACAACACCAACAACAACAACACACAGCAACCATGGATATCCTCTCACCTCTGGCCGAGTCCCCCTTCAACACCACTGCCACCACGACCGCCAACCCCATGCCGACCACCGACGGTGCTACCACCACTGCCACTGGCGGCCTCCGCCGAAAGAACACCCTCAAGGCTTACCTAGCCAACAAGAACAAGCTCAAAGAACGTCAGGCCATCAATGTCATCGTCGATCCCTCCGTCCTCCAGCGTGAAGACTCGTCCGGTTCAGAGCACGAAGGCGAGTCCAAGACGCCCTTCTCACCCAACAGCCCCACCAACTTGATGTCGCCCATCGGCGGAAAGAGGATCGATACAGACCTAGAGTCGTTGGACGACGAAAAGAAGGCGATCGAGGATCAACTCGCCGCTATCACCCAACAGTTGAACGGCAAGTCGCCCTCCTCCTCTACCCCCTCATCACCCACAGCTGCAGGAGCCACATCAAACATCACAGGAGCAACATCAGGAAGCCCGTTCGAGGCAGCGGATGAGGCAGCGTTGATCGAGAAGCGGACAAGACTCTGTGCAGAGCTCGACTCTATCATCAAGAGACGCCGGGAGTTGTTGCAGAGCTGGGCACGCGACTACAAGAACCTCAAGCGGTCCGGATCCCTGGCCAAACGTCAAGAGGATCATTTCTGGGTCACCACCGCCTAAAAAAAATTGAGCGCCCACTCACTCACTCGCTCGAATACTCTTTCCCTCATTGACGCCCAATGCTCACTTGCTTTGAGGAAGAGAGGTATCGAGTGTTTGAAAAAAGAAGGACAAGAATATAACTTACAAAGAGAAACAGGATTTTGAGTTGCAAGGCATCATCGTCATCCTCTCATGCTCTTTTTTTCTTACGTACAGAGTACCTTCCCCCTTCTTGGGCTTCCATTTCCCTCTTTTTTTTCACTAACAACAAACAAAGAATATTTTCCTTTACTCCTCTTTTTCTTCTTTCCCTTCGCATGTATCATAGTTTCAAATAAACAAAATAAAAAAATATAAAACAGCAACAAATCAGCACAGAAGTACACAGAACAAAAGGCCGCCTTTGTGCCGCCTCTCTCTTTCCTTTGCTTGAACATTAGATGGAGGGAAGGGAAGGATGCATCTAAAAATGATGGATATATTACCTTTTGTCGTTGCCCAATATGCGCCGAAAAGCAATTACCAACTAAACTGACGTTCTATCGAGTGGGCCCCCCCATCTGTCCATCTCGTTGTTTTGTTCGTTCGTCTCGATCGTTGCAGTTGTTCCTCGTTCATTCCTTTGGTTCAATAATAGTGGCGAAATGCACCACAAATAATAAAAACACTAGGGCGGCACTAAAGTTTCAATCAACCACAACTATCCACACAACACACCCACAACAAAAACAAGTGCACAAAAGAATCTTCCTTCCACTCCATCTTGACCCTCGCTTGACGATCCCTTTCTTGCTTTTCATGCCTCTTTCTTTGTTCTGCATGTCTGACTTGGAGAGGAAGGACATCCTCCTCCGTTCTGTCTATCGATTCTTATTCATTAGGGTACAAAGAGACAAGGATAAAAATGCGCATGACCCATCTCAACCATATCAACGCCTTTTTGTCCTTCATTCTTTGTCTTCTGTCTCTTCCATGTTCCGAACGAGGGTCTCCCTCCCCTTTATTTCACTTTTATGTCCGTTGTTGCCCTTTCGGCCTTTTACCCGTCCATTTTATAAAAGAAGAACACATGAAAAATGAGGGCATAAGCATAAGCATAAGCATAACGTCGTAGAGTCTCTCTCCCTGTTTATAGTGCATACTTTGAGGGTCCAGTATCTTAATTGAAAGGCAGGGTGAAACAGACAGGGCTGACCGGGCTGTTTGGTTGAAAGATTGGATAATGGGTTTGAACTGGGCGCCAGATCAAAATACTCCTCTCGTCCCTTCTCCGCCCCCCTCCAATCCACAACCCACAACCTCACAACCCACATCCACAACCAACTACAAAGCCAGGGGCGCCCAGTCATACTCAGGGAAAGAACAGCTTTTTTTTTTTTTTCTTCAATTTTTTTCCTAGCCTCCAAGCTCAGCTCAGCTGCAACCAATCAACCCCCATAGAAAAAAAACTCGCCGGACAAGGTTATTTTGGCAGCAAACCAAAGTACCTGTAAGATACAATGAGTGAAAGAAAAAGAGCTGAGCATGAGCAACACAACACAACCCTCGGTTTCGAGGGGTACAAAGAAAAAAATGGGCAAGATGGGCACACGACCAAAATGGGCGGGGGCGGGGTCAAGGTGCGTTGTCGTGTGAGTGAAAAAAAAAACAATATTGATTGCTATCCTTTATTTGTACTCACACGACAAAGACAAAGACAAAGAGCATTATCATTTCGCTCACACGACCACACAAGAAAAAAAAGACATACACTTACACGAGCAAGTACAGTTGCTGGCATACAAACGTAAGTTCGAAACGCCCATCTTACCCTTACATCTCATTTATTACGCTTTTTGTTTGAAAAGCGCCTTGGCCCCTCAATCATCCAACCATCTATCAAAAAAAAATGGTCATCCCCCTTGCTTTGCCCATCCTCTCTCTCGTTCCTGTGTCCATAGCAAATATCCAACAGGGGTTCGTCCGTTTTACCGAGAAACACTAAAGAGAAATGTTAAGGACCCTATTGTTATATCTGACTCTGACTACGTACGAAATGACAATGTATGCTTTCGCTTGTCATCCGAAGAAAAGAACATTGAGAAGGAACGGGTTCTCAGATCGCGGTTGTTACATCACACTTGACCCTAGAAAGCAAACCGATGATGACATTTCCCTCCTAGTCTTCCTCAATGCCGTACGTAAATTTTTATTTTTTTTTTATTTTGCTATATAATTGTTTGGACATATAGAGGGAGGCATCATGCAAGTGCAAGAGGAACAATCGAAAGTGTAAGAAAAAAAGAAAGCGCAAAGTGGGAAGAAAACAGCAAGAGCGAGTGGAAGAAGACAGCAAGAGCAAGTACAAAAAAAACAGAGTATTGTTACAGTGGAGGTTCAAACGAATATAAGCTAAAATGAAAACAAACAAAGGATAGTAGAGTGAGCGAAAGAAAGAAGAGATGAAGAGAGAGGAAGGTATAGGTGCATGGCAGAAAGCCGAGCTCAATAACACGAGCTAAAAGGAAAAACGAAGAGGGATTCAATACGGCGGCGATGATAAAGTAAAAATATGGTAAGAGCTTAAACAAACGAAAGAGACGGCAGTGGCGGTAGAAGCACACCACGAAAAACCGCTACTCGCTGTCAGCGATGTTGAGCTTGACACCGGCCTTGGTAAGGATCGCCTCGAGAATGGCTTGGTCCTTGATGGCATCCAGAACCTCGGTCTCACGAGGCACCAAGGTCAGCTTGCGAAGACGCTCTTCCTTGGCCTTGCTCAGAGTCACCAATCCGTTGGCCTCGAGCATGTTGATAAGATCTTGGTATTCGCCTCGGCTCACCGCCCCGATTTTGTTGCTGCTACGGCACGCAATGGCGTAATGGTCAAAGACCTAAGCGAGAAAAGATAGAAGCGATGGAATATTAATTAATATCTGCACACAACACAACATGCAAATTCAAATACTAAGCAAATGACCCATTGTGTCTCAACTGTACTACGGCACATACCTTTCCAACATCGCAGTCAATAGTCTTGCCTGCTTGAATCTTGATCACCAAAATTGCAAGGACAATTAGCTGGTGAACATTGAGATTCTTCATCTTCTGGACCATGGGAGAGCCAAACGCAGAGGTCAAAGCCCGCTTGACATGCTCAATCGTGACCTTGGGCGCTTCTTGAATAGTAACCCCACTGGTCAGCATTGTTGAGCCGCCACCGTAAACAGACAGCGACGGCACGGACGACGTTGAATGTGTGCGCGGATGAAGGATCCTTCTACCCACCAGAGTTGTGCCTCCGGCAATCCGGTTCTCCAAATCAGCCAGACTGATCTCCTGCAGAGGCATAGGCTTCTCCGTCGTGGGAGTTGTAGGGACAGAATGACGTGCCATCATTCTTTCCTTCTTCTTGGTTTCCAACTCAACCATCTCGATCGTCTGTCGACAGATATCCAGCGCCTTGCGCAGATCACCAGTGGCAGCAGCCACCTTGCGTGCACAGAGTTCAATTGCAGGCTTTTGCATCAGAGGCGCCACCTTGAGCATTCTACCCTTGACCGTTGCTGTCGCCATTGATTCATCGCTGCACTTGTTCTCTGTGTCCTCCTTGGCCGAGTCATCGCTACCCTCCAAGGAGAAAAGTCGATCCATGATGATTTCTCGGATCTCCGAGACTTGGTAAGGGTTGAAGTTCAACAGCTGAGGTTCGCAATTCTTGGCCTTCAACCGTGGCAGGAATCGGTCCGTCATATCCAGAGCGTTGGCGATTCCAATCAACGTAAGCTTGGAGTTCCCCATGCATGACCACTGGAAGAGCTTGTAAAGCACCTCCTGGTCTTTGGTCAGCAATTGGTCCATTTCATCAAGAATAGTGACACTAAATCGATGGAGAACACAAAACACACGATTAGAAAAACGATAAGCAAATTGTTCTCTGAAAGAGCCCTTACACGATTGTTCCATGGTCAAAAATTCAACCACAGCCAAGAACAGAGACATATTTTGCAAACAACAGCAAAGGGCGGCCTCAAAGTCCAAACTTACTACATGATCTTGTTCTTCTTGTCGCCTAGAATCAAAGTCTCGAGAGCATTGATAGCTGCCTCCTTGTCACCCACCTCGGACTTGTATCCGAGCTCTACTAGCATCTTGTGGTAGACTAGCTTGGGGTCCTTCACAGTCATACAATTGATCGTCAAAACCTTGATGGCATAAGGCGCCTTCTCCATGGCGGGCTGCATATCGCGCACTATCTCCTTCAACAATGCCGTCTTTCCTGTACCAGGTTGGCCCGAGATGTACAGGGATCCAGCTTCGGGCGTCAAGATGTGGTTCAGGCAGAACTGACGGATTGTTTCCCGCTCGGCGACACGTCCAACAAGCCGCTGAGGCTCTGTTGTCCTGCGGAAGAGCGCCTTGGCGTCCTGGTAGTATCCCAACGTCGTCGAGGTACCAGTCGCGGCAGACGTATGACGACGCAACTGAGGCTCGCTCAGGCTGACTGTCGACTCTGAGCTTAAATTGTTGCTGCTCAAAGTCCTGCGGATCGAGGACGAGGGCGAGTTCGATAATGGCTCCAGGGAACACCTTGTCCGCGACATCCTCTTTGGGGTAGCATACCCTGTTTTCCGAGTTTCAGTAATATCAACAGGGGCGTTGGCGTTGGGTGTGTTGAGTTCTGCCAAAACTATTATGGATCGACCGAGTAACAAGAACAAAATTTTAGCTTTTCTTTCATACAAACGAGAAGGCATGGTTTTGTGCATTATCACAAAAAAAAGTAGATCATGCATATCTCTACTATCAGCCGAAGCTTTACCTCTTGGCCGCTTTAGCATGCGATTCATGGCCGGCGTAAGACCCGTCGAGTTGTTGTTGGTGTTTGAGAAAGAAGGGGATTGTTCCTTGAGCACGGAGGATTTCCTCTTGGGGGTGGTTGGAATCGACTGTTGTTGACTGTTGGGGTGGGGTGGCGCACTGTTCTCACACGCGTAGGTGATGTTTTTGCGCGAGGGAGGCGATGTGGACTGGCGAGTGCTCCTGCGGGTGGGAGTCATCGGCGGTGTGATTGTTTGTGTCGTCATTGCTGGTGTAGACGGCTGAAGCAAGGAACGGTTCTTGTTGCCAACATTGCTGTCGATGATTGTTGTTGGAGTGGTGGGGGTAGTGGCTCTTGACCTCAACTCAGGACGAGTGTTCTCCTTGACCGACTCGGTATCGACATCCAGGTCAACGAAGACGGGGCCACGTGGAATAGTTGTGTTCTTCAAGTTCAGCTGCAGGCTCAAGCCTTGGCGGGAAGCAGTTTCTCTGCGTCTCTTTGATGGCGATGGGGGGTATGCTAGATATTTAGAAAATCCAGGAGCGGGGGGATTTCAGTATTCCTGCAGGGTAATAAAACGCCACGCTAAAACGCACATGGAAAGGGTATTCAAGGGCAAGGTTGGTTGTTGTAGTGATGTCTCATTACCATGGGTGGCATCGTTCTCATCGTCCGAGAAGGCGAGGGACCGCTTTCTTAAGAGGAATGTCATTGTTGTTTTGTTGGTACTTTGTTGGCTACGCCGCCCTTCTTATTCGAGTACCCCAGGTCAGGTCAAGACTTTGTTTGTAATGTGTGGCTGGGAGGTGGTTAGCTTTGTCAGAGTGAGTGGTGAGTAATAAGTTGGAGAATGAAAAGATAGATCTCTTGTTGTTGACTGGAGAGATGGAGCGAGTAGGTCGAGGTAAGGGGGTGAGGAGGGAGGAGGAAGAAAATAAATGTCGAATGGGATGTCGCAACAGAGATAACAGTAAGAGAAAAGTCTCTTGACCTAGACTTCAAGGGGTCGTCTTTTTTTCCTGCGAAAAAGCAACAACAAAAAAACAAAAAGAGCTTCGGTGACGACAATTTTGATTCTTTAATTCCGACGTACTTGCGGCTCTGTAACTGAAATGATCTACAACTGGCCCTCGAGCTGCTGCTTGCGGTAGTAGTACTCCTCGCACACCTTCAATGCAGTCAAGTTCGATCCGAGCTTGTTGATCGTCTCCTGGTACTCGTCCTCTTCAACACTGTCGTGCACAATGCCGCCTCCTGCCTGCAAGTACGCGACACCATCCTTGACAACCATCGTCCTCAGCGCAATGCACGTATCCAATCCACCAGCATAGTCAAAGTGACCAACAGCTCCTGCGTACACTCCGCGCTTGGTCTTCTCCAGGTCAGAGATCAGCTCCATCGCACGGACCTTGGGCGCTCCCGAGGTCGTTCCAGCGGGGAAGATCGATCTGAATGCATCGAATGGCGTCTTGTCCTCTCTCAGCGTTCCAGAGACGTTGGAGACAATGTGCATCACATGCGAGTATCTCTCCAAGTGCATCAACGAGTCAACCTTGACCGACTCGGGCTTGCAGACTCTGTTGACATCGTTGCGTCCCAGATCGACCAACATGATGTGTTCGGCTCTCTCCTTGGGATCCGCCAACAGCTCCTCGCCCAACTCAATGTCCTTCTCAGGAGTTTCACCGCGTTTCCGGGTACCGGCAATAGGATGAGTAAATACAACACGATCCTGAACCTTGACCAACATCTCAGGCGAGGCTCCGACGAGGGTAAAATCCTTCAAATCCAGATAGAACATGTAGGGCGAAGGGTTGATGGAGCGCAAGTGTCTGTAGATGTTGAAAGGGTGGAGCGAGGTGGGCTTGGCGAGACGTTGCGAAGGAACGGCCTGGATAATGTCTCCGAGCTTGATGTGCTTCTTCAAGTCGGTGACGAAGCCCTCGTATCCATCCTTGCCAACGTTCGAGACGGGCTCCTGGCCGAGAATGACGCGAGGCTGGGGAATCTTGGGCGTGATCTCGTTCTCCAACAAGTCAATGGTGATTTGGATCTCCTCGACAGCCTTCAAATACTGGATTTCAACCTCAGCCGGGTCGGTGACATCGGAGCGGTAGTGGGTCACGACCTGGATCTTTTGGTAGAGATGGTCAAAGATGACAATGGTGTCGCAGAACAAGAAGACGGCGTCGGGCAAGCCAATGGGGTCCTGAAGGTCGTCGCGCTTGGTGCGGGGCTCAAAATACTGGACGTTGTCGTATCCAATGTATCCGATGGCGCCTCCTGTGAAGTCCTGAATCCCCTTGACCTTGACGTAGCGAATGTTCTTCAACTCCTTCTCCAGGATGGTCAATGGGTCTCCCTGAAGAGCCTCCTCTGGTCCTGTCTTGAGGATTTTGTACGGGTCTATTGTGCACGCAAGAATATCGACGTTTGTCAGTTAGCTTCGATACTTTTTGAAGGCTATCTTGCGGCTCCAATTGCTAATGGCGTTGTAGAATCTTGGTCCTCCTCTGGGTCTCAAATGGCGTCAACAATAGGAAACAACGTCGGTAATTAATATATACGACAACAAAGGCACAAAAAAACGTACCACTGCCAATAAAACTGTAGCGCCCAATCTTTTCGCCTCCAGCAATGGACTCGAGCAAGAAGGAGTAGTCACACTTGTCGGACACCTTGAGGTATGCCATCACAGGAGTCAACATATCAGCGGGGATCTCGGCAAAGATGGGGATGGTGTTGCCTGCGCCAGCAGCGATGAACTCCTGAATATCCTCAAGCGAGGGTTTGACGGAAATCTATTACGTCGGGAACAAAAGAAAACAAAGGTGATGAGATGGAAGTTCATTGCTATGCGTGAAGTTCGTTCGAGGAATGAGGAAGGGATCAAGGCAAGCTCTGGTTCCCTTCAAGGTCCGTGCAGGTGGAGAGTGAGAGGAGTTCGTTCTTTTGAGTTCAGCCGAGTAGAAAGTGAGAGGAAAACCGGGACCCGTGCTGGAGTCCAAGCTGTAAACTCGAGAGATTAGCCTCCTGGTTCCTGATGAGAGGAGGACTGACTTACGTTATGCGACATGGTTGTATGTGTGTGGATGAGGTGATGAAAGGATTGAAAGAGATGAAAAAGGAAAAAAGAGTGATGGAAGGACACAGAAAAGAGTGTTCGTTGTTTACTGTTTCGTCGCAATTTTGTGATCAATTTTATCAATTTCGAATTGTGTGAATCTTCCCTGAGTCACCGTTGCTCCGCTTGGCTGGTTGCTGCTGCTCTGGGAACGAAACGACCGCTCACAAGTTGCTTCGATGAACATGTCGCACTAATACACCGATCAATTGAACGAGCCAATATCACAATAACCCATGCGCGCGGTCCAAGACTCTTCCTGGCGCTGTGTCGTACAGCTATGCAGTGGCGCCCCGTTCAAATGCCACTCGAAAGGGGGTGTTCTCATCGCGCCGCTTCCCTTTCACAGCGGCAAATCTGTTCACTCTCTCAGAGTCGTCCTTTTAGGTTCAAAGAGCGTTGCAAAATGTCGTCTTTTGGAGATGGACCCAACATCTTTCTCAACCACCGACCGCGTTACTTCTCCTGGCGCGTACTCTCTCTCTCTCTCTCGCAGTTCAACTCTCATGATCTCATAGGTGGTCCTGACCCAAGGCGCCAGGTTGAAAGACAGCAATGGCAGCGAACGTTGACAGTGATAGGCGTGGTATAGGGTGTTTTTTGTAGTGGGTTTTATTGGCAAGAGTCAAGCTGCTCGAATTCTGGTAGGAAAACGATTGGTTTAAACCTCCATGATCTCGCGGAGACGGCGAGTGGTGGAGCGGACGGTAGCAGCGGCGGTGGTGGACAAAGTCCAGGCGCCACCAGCCATGGTCTTCTTGCATCCACGGCACTTCCAGATACCGACGGACTGACGCTTGACGGCGTCCTATTTATCAAAGAGGGAGAACAGCAATTGAATTAGTCAACGGATTGGTTATGTGCCCGCTTAACCACTGCTCAATTCTAATCTCGTTGCAGTATCCCGCCACTCCTATTATTGAAACAACGCCACTCCCCAGATGTGAATGAGCCCTTGTACTTACACGACCGCAGAAAGTGCAAGTGTACTTGCTGTGCTGGGTGATTTCCATCTTCTTGACCTGCTTACGGAGCGAGGCACCATAACGGATACCGTATTTACCAACAACTCCGACCTTCTTAGTGCGCTTAGCCTGTGTGAAGAGATAAGAGAAGAAGGGGATGATTCCTTGGTTAGATATCTCGATGTAGTTGGTCCAGCTGATAGAATGTGAAAAAAAGAGATCTCTCGTTCTCCTGCGTTTGCTGATCCTTCGGACGAGGTGCAAGAGTGCCCAAGGTAGGAAGTTGATCACGATCCTGCTGCCAAGTCGGCTAGAGGTGATCCAGTTGACCCAAGGTGCAGCCACACTGATGTGTGATGACTGTTGTTTTGGTTCCTCCTGGGGAAGACGATGCTTCTGATCCTCCTTGTTGGGACTTCCTGCAAAAGACGCAAAGTTGTGCTGAAAAGTTGCTGGACAAGTGTTCTGTCGAGATTGATATTGTTGGGTGTGTGCGAATGAATAAAACACAAGGCCGTCTCATCCCTGTCGAGACATCCTGCATCGTTCTCTGTCAAGCAGAATAACACTGCCATTCGTAGGCGCAAGGAGCAGACTGTATCTGTAGGCTGGCGCAACTAAGGTACGATGCTCCTGCATCTTCGTCGAGATGTCCCGTCTTCACGCTTTTTCAAGATGCACCCTCCGGCTTGAAAAAAACGTAGTTGAGCCGAGGTTTCCTTTGAGTAGATGGTGGATGTTGAGGATAACGGCATTCCTAATGGCGAATGATGCTGTTTGTCGATGGATAGATTGATCGATGGGTTGGTTGTAATGGATGGCGATGGCACAGTGCCAATGGTCATGATGACCCTCCACGTGACTTGCCATCTTGAATTGGAGTGGAAATGAAAGGAGGCTCCAACGACAGCCAAACGACGGCTTGTGAAATACAGAATCAACGTCTCACGACTGCTCCCTGTTCTTAAGGGTTAGTCCTCATCCCTCCTCATTGATCTTCAAAGAATATCAGACAGATACTGAGTTCTAACGAGGTCCATGACGAGTGGACGCGTGCGTTATTGTTTTTCGTCACGTCTTCAACATGCCTTTGCCTACAGCACGTTCAAGTATGATGGAACTATGTGTGCCCGGGAGATCGAGGATGTTAGATTCGTCACCAAAGATAACAGTATCTGCTATCTAGTGAACAAAAACAATAGACTCAAACAAAGTTGCCGTGTCTCTATGTTTGTTCATCGGTTCTTTTGTATATCCTTTCTAGCCTGTTATTGCTGCTGTTGTCTTATTTTTGTTATACATGTTTGGCCAGTATGTCCAAAGGGACGGAAAGATACAAAGAAGGAAAAACGGCGCCATAGGCATTAGACAAAGTGTGGATAGTGATGGTTAGTCGCTTAATAAAAGGTACATATAAAAGCAAGACCTCTCCTACTACCGGTGGTGCCCGTGCGAGAGCCGCTCCTTTCATCCCTGGTCATGAGGCGTCCGGCGAGGTTAGATCTGAAGTACAGCATGGATTCAAGGTTGTCGATAGAGTCGCAATCCTAGGTAGCGACACCTGTGCTGGGTATGTTGTTATCAACACCATTAACTTGACAAAGCTCCCCGACGACGTCTCTCTTGGGCAATTAAGTTGATAGGGTTAGAAGATGCATCCATTGCTTTCCTTCTAGTGGCGTATATAACTAAGCGTTACCTCCTTTTTGGTCTTTTCAACCTTAAAGCGCTGCATCTCTCATGCAGGGTCTCACCGCTGTTAGCCTGATCCGCATGGGGCATACGGTACAGAAGAGCGACTGGATCGTGATCCACGCCGCTGTCGGTAGTAGCGGTCTCATCGCCGCCCAATTGACCCACCACCTTGGTCCCCATGTCATCGGTCCCGTATCGACCGAGGAAAAGGTTGCCCTTATCAAAGCCGCCGGTGCCGAACATGTCGTCCTCATAAAAAACGGCCACGGTGCTCTCGAGAAGATGGTCCACGAGGTCACCAACGGCCAAGGAGTCCACACCGTCTTGGACAGCATTGGCCAGGAATCGTTCGAGTCCAGCCTGAACATTTTCCGTCGTATGGGCACAATGGCCCTGTGTGGTCATGCCAGCGGAGTCATCCCTCCTTCCGTTCTTGTTCGTTTGGCAGGCAAGGACGTCAGAGTCACCTGGACGTCCTTAGACAATAGACAACTACAAGTACACCCGCAGCAGATTCGATGGGCTGTATGGAGAACTCGCCGAGTACTTGGCCAAGGGACAGCTGAAGGTCCATGTACACAACAAGGTCTTCGCCTTGGACGAGGCCCAACAGGCTCGCCTGGATCTTGAGGACTGCAAGTCTCCTGGCAAGCTGCTGATCAAGATCGCATAGATATACAAGACTTACACATATACACTGAGAGTAGATACACGGAGAGCTTGTTTTTTTTTTTCATTGCAAAAGGAATATACAAGAACATATGTTTCTATACTTGTTTTTCACAACAGGCGAAGTGCACAATACAAGGAGGAAGTACAATCGCGCCACCAATCTTGCCTTTAGTATTTTTTTTTATCTAAAGTACATTGTCGTACAGTCTTACTTATCGGCACAGTGCGTTCAAACATGATGGCAGGATATAGTGCCCCAGGAAATCGAGATTTGTCACCACTCAAAGACATCGTTCTTGTTTTTTTTCGTGTTTTTATTCTTGGATGGATCTGATAACTGTTTTTCTCTGTCGTTCTTCGGTAAAGGTTCAATTGGTTGTGCATACTTTGTTATCTCATCCTATCATCAATGTATCTGGATTTATTCCCCTTCACATTTAGGATAGAGAGAGGGAGAGATAAAAACGCCACGCGGATGTGACAGTCTGTGCTTCAATTGCTGAATAATACATTTCATTTTTTTTTGTCTAGAAAGAAAAGAAAGGTGACAGGGCGCTAACCAAACTGCATTGCTCTCCCTCTCACCATGCGCAGTTTGGTGCCAGACAGAAAAAAGCAAAACGCCGCGCCTCTACTGTTCCCACCCTCTCTGTTTTTTGTTCTTGTCCACATCGCGTCATGTTCGGTACCACGCACCCATGAAAAAAAATTGAAAGAAATACCCCAGGAATAAAAACCGGTGCATTGCCCGCTGCACTATAAAAACGAGACCATCTGGCGTTGTCACGCAGCTGTATCCTTCACCAACACATTTATTGTTAGACACTTCTCTTCTCAACAACAAACAAGAACAAAATACCTCCTCTCTATAACACAGAGCAATCGCTTATCCACAATGGTTGGCACCTCTATTCGCGCTATCCAAGTCAACCAACACGGCGACCCCTCGGTCCTCAAGCCAACCATCATCCCTCGTCCCACCTACCAGCCTGACCAAGTCCTCGTCAAGGTCGCCTTCTCTGGTGTCAACTACCTCGATATCATTGAGCGAGAGGGTAGCCACCCCAGCCCTCCTCCTGTCGATGGTGGCCGATCAAGAGCTATCCCTTTCATCCCTGGTCACGAGGCTTCTGGCGAGATTGTCGAGATCGGATCTGAGGCCCAACATGGATTCAAGGTCGGCGACCGGGTCGCGTTCCTGGGGATCGACACCTATGCCGAATATGTCGCTGTCAATACCGTCAACTTGGCCAAGCTCCCCGATCATATCTCTCTTGCTGATGTAGGTTGACGGAAAGCGAATACATGAATTGTTCTTTATGTTGTTTCTCAGTTGCATTAGGAAATGTATCTCACCAAGCATTGTCTATTTTTTTTCTTCATTGTATCACTGAAGGGGGCCGCACAGCTCTTGCAAGGTCTCACCGCTGTTGGCCTGATCCGCAAGGGGTACACGGTCCAAAAGGACGACTGGATCGTAATTCACGCCGCCGCTGGTGGTGTCGGTCTCCTCACCACCCAATTAGCCCGCCTTCTCGGCGCCCACGTCATCGGCACCGTCTCTACCGAAGAAAAAGCTATCCTCGCCAAAGCCGCCGGAGCCGAACACGTCGTCCTCATCAGCAACGGCTACGAGGCACTCGAGAAGAAAATCCACGAGCTCACCAACGGTCAAGGAGTCCACGCCGTTTTGGACAGTATCGGTCAAGCCACGTTCGAGTCTAGCTTGAACGTTGTCCGCCGCTTGGGCACGTTGGTCCTCTATGGTCATGCAAGTGGGATCATCCCTCCTTTCCTCTTGGTTCGTTTGTCAGGCAAGAATGTGAGGGTGACCTGGACAGACTTGGACAACTACATCACCACCCGTGAGGAATTCGATGAGTTGTACGGAGAGCTGGTAGAGCACTTGGCCAAGGGACAGCTGAAAATCGATATCCATAAGGTCTACTCCTTTGATGAGGTTCAGCAGGCTCACTTGGATCTCCAGGGCCGAAAGTCTACCGGTAAGCTCCTCATCAAGATCGCCTAGACGCACCTCACATCCATACTCCATTCCACTCCCCCTCCTTCTACATCAGAATAAAGTAGTGCATTTTTTTTCCTTCGTGGAAAGACTGAACAATTGAATGCACCTATGTTTTTTTTTATCAGTGAAACAGTATGTACATGAAACAACGCCACCAATTTTTACTTTCTTGATTGTATGTCCTTGTTTTATCACTGATCATTCCTATTTGATCAAACGCACAGCCACAAGCAAGCAGGCAGTTGGAAATGAATATGAGGGATAACAGGTATATCTTTTTTATTCTTCAAGGAAATGCGCTTCACTCACACAAACACGCTGTGTTTTGACAAAGAGTGGTAATGATATATACATATAATGAGGATGGATGTAGAGAGAGATGGGGAAAGACGAAAAGGTGCTTAAGCGAGCTGAAGAGCAGGGTCAACGTTGGACTTCTCAGCAGCCTCCTTCTCTTGCTTGGCAATGATGGCATCAGCGGTCTTCTTGAAGGCCTCAGCCTGGGTACCGCTGTTTTTAGCATCGTAGTAAGGAGCTTCGCCAGAGACGGTGACACGAACACCCTTGCGGAAGTAAGGCTGGAAGTCTGGGACACCGGTGTGGAAGGTCGAGCGGTTATCCCAGATAGCAACAGAGTCCTTCTTCCATGAGAAGCGGACCTGGTAGTCGAGACGCTTGGAGGTAAGGTCGTTGAGGTACTCGAGGATCCACTTCGACTCGGTGGGCGAAAGACCGTTGATCTCACGTGTGAAAACCGAGTTGGTGAAGACAGACTTCCAGCCGGTGACGGGGTTGGTGCGGACGACGGGGTGGACAGAGTCATTCAACTTGCCAAAGGTCTTGCGGCCGGTGTTGGCCTGGAAATCACGGAAAAGGTCTGAGGTGTGGGTGGCGGTGAGGCCCTCAAGAAGGGTTTTGATGGGCTGGGAGAGGTTGTCGTAGAGTTGGTAGCCGTTCGACCAGATGGTGTCACCGCCAGCCTCGGGGATCTCCTCAAACTTGAGGATCGAAAACGAAGAGGGGTAGGGCTCGAACGAGACATCCGAGTGCCACGAGTTGTTGGTGTTGTAGCGGCCGGGAGGGCTAGTCAAATGAATAGAGTAGAAGGAAGGTATTATTAGGATGAGGTGCATGGTTTTCAATGAATAAAGAAGGTCTGAGAAGTGGCATCAATGAAGACCAACTGGGAGGAGTGACATACCTGAGGCGGGAGTCCAAGACGATGAGCTCGGGGCTCTCCTGGTCATGGGGAACCAAGGGGTGGATGTGGAGGGGACCCCAGCGCTGGCCGAGCTTGACGTGCTCCTTGCGGTCCAAGCCCTCCTGGTCGCGGAAGAAGACGACACCACGCTCGGCAATGAAGGCGGCGAGCTCCTCGGCCTGCTGATCGGTCAACTCGGAGAGCTTGATGCCGTGCAACTCGGTTCCGATCTTGGGGGTGTAATCGATGCGCTTGGTGACGCTGGCGAAGAGAGCCTTCTTCTCGGGGTCAGCGCCCTTACCGGCGACGCGAGTGGCGAAGGTGTTGCGGTCGGCGAGGGAGGCATCTTTCTCGGTAGAGGAGAGGACGACGTTGTCAGAGGGAGCGATGGAAGGAGCCATTTTTGTGAGAGTTGTTGTTCGTTGGTTGTTTGTTGGGAAGGTTTGTGTTGTTGATTTGATGATGAAAAAAAGGGGAGAAGAAGCGTCGTTTTATACTTGGGAATCTTGTTGCAAAACAGAGGGTCTCGGCACTACGCCCAAACACTTACATACTGATTGTTCAGACTGATCATTTACCCGGTCCGGGAGAACATTGAAAAGTTCGACCGGCGTGGGCGATGAACAATGAGTCTTGTAAAACGAGATCTAGAAAGTGAAGACGAAAATAATGAAAGGATAAACGCCATGGGTAGGGAAGGAAGAGATAGAAGCGAGCAGAGTGTCGGTATGAAGGGTGAATGAGGTGAAGCAAAAAGAAAAGAAGGTTGCCAGTCACACGTTTGGAGAGAAAAATTGAGCAGGGAAAACGGGTAAATGGCGACATGGTTGAGGCGTGTTGCATCAATCGGGCCACGGAAAATTAAGTTCATTTCGGAAGAGAGCAAAGTTGCACCCTCTCATCGATGGTCGATAGTGCCATGTGCATAAGAAAAAATGAAGAAGCGCTACGCCCCAACGCTTAACTGTCAAATGGCACAAAGACGCCAAGGAAAAACGAAATATTGATCGTCTTTGGAAAACAAGATAATCGCATCTGTTGCACACCAATAGGGTCAATGTCCTGCAAATCTTCCTTTTCTACACGAACGAGCGGAAGGGGGGGCTAAGGTTGGAGGAGGCTTGACGTTCTGTTGAAAATTGTAGATGGATGGCGACAGAGTGCACCATACGTTAGCACCATGAACGGAAAATAATACAGCCAGAAAACAAAAGGCATCCGGGGATGTGAAGGAAACAGGTTTCCTGCCGAAATAAAAAAAATCGGTCCGTTGCTTAGAAAAAAAGAAAAAAAAGGAAACGCGACAAAATCCAAAGGTACGCGCTAACCATTAATGTGTTGGTGATGGAACAATTCGATCACGACTCACAACTGATCGGACCTGAGCTAGCCATTTTGCTTCGCCGATCACTCTGGTATGTTAGACAAGCTGTATCATACGTGAGAGTTCCGGAGTAGAGCCGGGTTTTGGAACCGTCAAGGCATTATTGCGAGCAACAGCGACCCCAGCTTACTCACCCACAGTGGAAGAAGAAGAGAGTGTGTGTGTGTGTGAGTGGAAAATGGAGGAATGGGGTAGGAGGGAGCACAGATACCAAATCAAGAAGCGGTGTTTGGATAAGGAGAGGCAGACAGCACAGATCGCGATAGAAAGGAAAGAGGTCATTGAGCCCGAGAAAGACGCGTAGGTTGTGAGAAATTGCAACATTATAAGGTTCATGAGGCAAAATTTTCGTGTCTAGCGCTGAAATGTCACACAGAGTCTCTCCCTTTTATGATATCGCTAAATAATCGATGCTGTCCCATATTATCTTAGCAACTAAAAAAGGAGCACATGCACCCTTGAACAACCATCAGCCCGTGTCGAGAGTAAAAGGGTCCCCACACTGTATTATCTTCTCAACTTGCAGAGCAATGCCAATGTTGTCAACTCACGCTGCGCCCTTGTAATGATTGCATCTCTTTCTCCTTTTCTATCCCTCTCCTTCTCCGCCCAATTTTCAGATAAGCATGAGGAGAAATGACCACACTTTCTCCTTACACTAGTTCCCTCCACATCTTCGATACAATGAATCATCGCTCAGACGTTGCTCTGTCATATCGCGCTTCAGACATGGTTAATGCCTTGAACACCAGAAGAAAAAAAACCAAGATCTTTTCGCATTATCGCACCATTCGACTTTGGCCAATCGTCATGTCCATAAACAGGAACTCGTCCTTTGGTCGCCTTTTTCATTGCTTTCGCAAACGTTAAATCATATCATTCGCGGACCCTTTTCCGTCCTTTTTGTTTTGATTATTTTCCATCCACCTTGTCTCCTCCGGTGATATCGCATGGGGCGGTGTACGGACTTTTCTCACCAAAGGATGAACGAAGTCATCAATTCGTCTTTGCCCTTCTTACCACGAGCTCTTCCGGATCCTCAAAGACCACCCCCCTCGTTTATTGTCTTTGTTTTCGAAAACGTGCTCATTCGTTACCCCGAAAAATAGTAATACGCGATGTTGATTGTTGCGGTGAAGGTCAGAAAGTTCTTGTTGTTAGCATTCGTCCTCTCTCGATTTCCCTTTCTTGCCTCAACTTTCGATCGAGACCGAAGTGGACGTTCGAGACCATTATTTCTTGAATGAAAACAACAAAGTCGTCAGAGAGAAAAAAAGGGGGAGAGAGTGAATGAAAAAAGAAAAAGGGAAAAACGAGATCCGCTGCCTTCCTGATGTTATGATGAATTGTTTGAAGTGCAGTTTCCGGCGCTAATTTCCGGCTTTAAAGACGTCAATGACTGCAGCTCTGAAGATATAAAAAAAAACTATAAAACCCTTCAACGCTCTCCCTCCAATTTCTCGGTAGGATTAAAAACTTGAACCCTCATTTACCCCCACCCTCCACTCTCTCTCTCCCACTCCTTCACCCCTTCCACCTTGCAACTGTTGAAGATCTATTCCCCCAAGCTCATTTTTCATCCAATCTATCTCAACAACAGCAACTAATATATATCAACCATGTCATCTGAGAAACAAGAGGTGTATGAACACAATGGCGTGCCCGTCGATCTCGAACACAAGGGAAGCGATGCATCTTCGAGTCTGAACGGCGACACACATGCAGACTATGCAGACAATAAACTTAGGGTGTTGGGTCAATTGAACCCTCACTATGACCACGATCTGACCTGGACTGAGGCAGAAGAGAGGGAGGTCGTTCGGATATTCGATCTGAAGGTCCTCTCTTGGATTGGTGTGATGTGTAAGTTTGCTTCCGTTTCTCGTTCCATGTACTGTTCTTCACGTACATGATTTCACGTTGACTTCTCTTGTTCTAATTTTTGGTTATCAACAACAACGTAGTCTTCTTCTTGCAGCTGGACCGTGGCAACTTGTCCAACGCTCTGACAGACAACCTCATGGGCGACCTCGGTGTCGATCTCAACACCATGACCCTCGGCACAACTGTCTTTATCCTCGTCTTCTGCTTCTTCGAGATTCCCTCGAACCTGGTTCTTCGCCGCGCTGGTGCTCACCGTTGGGTAAGCAGTTTTCGCTTGACTAACATGTCTTTGTAACGTCACAGCTGCTGAACGAACATAACTCTCACACCTGCTTTTTACTTGATAGATTCCTTTCCTTATGGTCCTGTGGGGATTGGCCACTGCTGCCCAACTCTGGATGCACAACAAGGTCACCTTTTTGATCTGCCGCGCCTTTGTCGGAATGTTTGAAGCCGGCTACATCCCCGGAATCGCCATCTACCTCACCACCTACTACAAGCGTCAGGAGATGGCTCTCCGCATGTCGATCTTCTGGTCCACTCTCGCCATTTCCAACTCTTGCGCCGGTGTTTTGGCCTACTTCATTCTGCAGATGCGCGGAACTGGCGGTCTTGCAGGCTGGAAGTGGCTTTTCTTGATCGAGGGAATCGCAACTACGTTTGTTGGTGTCCTCTCCTTCTTTATCCTCCCCGAGGGCCCCATCGCCACCCGCGGTTACCTCCGCTTTGCAGGCTACCTGACTGAACGCCAGGAACTCATCGCTATCACCCGTCTCATCCGCGACGACCCCTCCAAGGCTGACCCTGGCAAGAGGATTGTCCCCAAGGCCGATATCTGGCGCGCGGTCAAGTCCCCCCGCATCTGGCCCAACCTCCTGATCGGATTTTTTGGTCTCTTGCCTTCGACTCCCATCGGCGCATTTGCGCCCCTGATCTTGAAGATGTTGGGGTTCAATGGGCTTAAGGCCAACTTGATGACCATCCCTGGCTACATCCTTGGACTTGCCGTTATGTCGCTTGTCAGTTATTCGTCCGACAAGTTCAACGAGCGTGCCTTCCACGGTGCTGCCGCTACTCTCTACTATGCGTGCTGCGTTGCTGGACTGGCCCTCTTGCCCATCGGTACCGACAAGGTCAACCTCTACATCTGCCTTATCTTTGCCATGGGCGGTTCCACTTGCTGGCACCCTGTTAACGTAAGCCATACTGTCCTCTCTTTGTTATTGAACACGTCTTCGTGCGCTATCGATTCGACAGCTAACCCAAACTCATCTCCCAATTTGCGACTGTATTCTTTATTCTTCTAGGCTGCTTGGATCGCTGGAAACACAGCACCAGTCGGCAAACGCACCATTGCGCTTGCCATGTATATCATGTCTGTCAACCTCACCGGCATTGCCGGCTCCAACATCTTCCGCAGCAAGGACGCACCCCGTTTCATTACGGGCATGTGGGTAAGTCAAGTTTTGTAGTGCGCATCGAACGAAAAAAAAAAGAGCTGAATCCAAACGATCGACCCTTCCTCCCCCCTCATGCACATAGTTTGCTAACACTTTTTTACTCATTGATTTTTAATTATTTAGGCATTGTTCGCGTCGCTTATCATCACCATTTCCCTCTTCATCTTCCAGCGCTACCACCTCTTGTACATTAACCGGAAGCGAGCCTTGGCCACCAAAAACTGGACCGCCGAGGACTGGAGGCATTACGACGAAACCACTACTGACATTGGTGACGACAGACTCGATTTTGTCTTCCAGGTGTAAAACAACTAATTTAGCTTTTTTTGGCGATCGAAAAGACGCGCTTCATACATTTATGCATCGAAAAATAAAAAAAAATGGCAAAATATTTACAAACGAAAATGAGAGGAATGAAAACAAAATAATGAAACTATGGTCGGTTGAAATGCCTGGGCTCGCTTCCAATGGTCGCCCGCTTATAATAATTCCGTCGCCCACTCGACCGCCTTGATCCAGTATCATTTCCTGACTCTGTTTCGTGAAATCCAACCCTTGGCCGCTCCTCGCCCGTCGAGAACGACGTCCTTGGTCCTGGTTTGCCGTCGGGGCTGGATGGTCCTTGCCTGTCCTTTGCCTGATCGTCTCCTTGGTCGACGCTTCCGTTGCGGTTCCTTTCCTGGTGCTGTGGCACCTCTCGTTCAACGCACAATCTGCCAATAACCCCATCGCCCTTCCTGCTCAAAATCTTGGCCGCCCTCATAAACTCGCCTCGGATCGTGAACAACCTACGATGGCAGGCCATAACGAAAGTGTTGTTAGTCATAGGCATATAGCGAATACATCAACAGTTAGGAGTTCAGGTCTAGGAATGAACTTACGAATAACGGTCGACGGGTCTGCCTACGTTATGGTTCAGTTCTGAAGGAAAGAAGGAAATGGTCGAGTGAAAGTCAGAAATACTGCAGCGTTGGAACACACACAGAGGTAGAGTACGTGCAATCAAGCCACAACTGCTACTTACCGAAAGGATCTTCTATACAGAATAGATATCTATTCTTGACAACAGGCTTTGCATCGGCCGCTGGTGCCGATTGGGCCAGCTCTGTGTCGTCAGCAGGCGCCTCCGATAGTGGCTGAAACTGCTGTTGTTGCTGTTGCTGTTGCTGTTGGGGAGGAGGTTGTGTGTGATCCTTTGTCCATTCTTTCACCTCCTTGGTCAAAAGTCCTCCGCTGCGAATGCTGACTACGTGGTTGGCGTAGCGGAACTCACTGGCATAGTAACGGAAGAACTCGTAGAGTAATTCTCCAATCGATTGGCGTTGAGACTCTGGTGTCGGCTGCCAGTAGTAGGAGAGATTGGGAATGTCCTCGAAAAAGTACCGGTTGAATCCTTGGCAATCCCAAAATGGTACCTTGCCGTTTCCTGCGACAATCGTCTGAAGGTTCGGCAAGACTCCCTGTCTCTGGAGAACGTGAATGACCAGCAAAACGTAGGCGTAACTAAAAACCCCAAAAGAGGGAACGACGCGCATATAAGTATTTGCTCCGCCTCTATATCTTTCCAGTAATAAGCCATTCCAGACTAGATGGACTCACCTCGACAGAGACCCTGTGTAGGGGTTGTTGATCTTCCTGCGCTTGGCCCAAATCTTGATGATAACGACAATATCCCGAACGCGCTCATCGATCCTGCAGTAGGCCCTTAGGAGTCGCGTATTCCATATGGCTAGGTCGTTCTGATAACCAATGTCACAAGCGATCCCGTTGACATGGTTCAGCTTAACAATGGGGACTCGGGCTCGCTTCAACTGCAGGATGTTCTCGAAATCCGGATCCTTCTCTAACCGCTCGCCTAACCGCTCGACAAACTCTACCGGCGAGACTTCCTCCGATCCTTCCTTGGGGTTCAAGAAAACACAGACATCCATATCCGCATTGGCTAACGCGAGTCCATTGCCACTGGAACCGAACGGCAAAACCTCAGCCTCTCCAAAGACTTCGATAGCAATATCGGACAGCCTGCGGTAGTAATAATTACAAGGTTGGTAATCGGAGTTAGAAAGGCAATTGAACATGTGGAGACGATGAATGCGTTGCTCCTAAACGTCAACAATTATCAACATACCTTTGCAAGAGAGCCAGCTTCCTGGTTTCTTCCTCTGGTTTGGGCATAAGCTCCTGACAAAAGTCCTTGGCGTCTCTGGTGATCTGGTCAAAGTTGGTCGGTCGGTAAGGGTCATATTTCCTGTCTGAATAAAAGTCGATATCCTTGGCCGAAAATGGCGCCTTGTCGACTGGCTGTTCGTATCGAGTAGTAGAAGGGTCCTGGAATCGACTGTGGATCATCGTAGAGAACTGCTGAGACGACGCTGACGACTGAGAGGACAGGCGGTTGCCTTGAATCTGTGGACCATCACCAGAAATGTGGTCAGTCACCGAGGAGATCGAGCGGGATCGAGGTGGGGATACTGGGTCGCCGAGTGAAAACCTCCGGAATTGACCCTGTAGATCCTTGACCTGGGCCTCTTCAATCTCCTGAACTGTCAGCCGGGGTCCATCCAGCGCCGCAACAGCTGGTGCAGTCGAAGTTCCATCCGCGCCTCCGCCTTGGAACAAAAGCTGGTTGATATGGCTCTCGATATTTTTAATCTGGTGATTCTGCTGCTGTTGCTGTTCCTGTCCGTTCTTTCCATCAGACATCGGTGTACCGGCTCCCTGTTGTTCTTGTTGTTGCTGTTCCTGATGCAAAGGATGCTGAGGACCGTTTTGGAATTGGTACATCTGTTGCAATTGGTGTTGCTGCCGGAGCATCTGCTGATGCATGAACATTTGTTGCTGGTGAAAGTGTTGATGTTGCTGGAGTGTCGGTTGAAACTGGGGTCCAGGATGTTGATGTGAAGCGAGTCGTTCCTGATCGGGGGAGTGAACTGGGAAGTGACCAAACCCAGGAGGAGGAGGAGGAGGAGGAGGAGGAGGAGGCGTCACTCTGTTCATGGGGACGAACACTATACCGTTGGGTGTGTGCATAGGGATCATCCCTGGTGGTCCAAATTCGCCCTCAAATCCCGGAGGTCCTGGGAACATGGACTGCGGGTGTTGGGCCAAAGGATGGAACATTCCCTGTCTAAGCTGAGCGTCCATCGAGTGTCGGTCCGTTGAGAATTGGAGTCTCTCTCCTGCCCGCTGAGGGCCAGCCTGGGCTCCGTGGTCCGACGTAGATACATCTGATCCCGCTGTCACAGATGATTCCTCAATGGTGCTCGTGGCGCCCTTGTCGAAAGCACGTTGCTGAGAGTGCCGTTGGTCCAATGTGCGCTCCTGCTGAGAGTGCTGGTCGTCGAACGAGTCGCCTCCAAGTCCTGGTGGTTGAGTTTTGCTGGGATCATGGAATTGTGGATGCTGTTGGTGCATCATTTGCTGCATGTGTGTCTGCTGCATCAGGTGTGCCAAGTTTGGATGCAAGAAGGGCGGAGGGAAGGGCGAGTGGGATTGCTGAGGACTGTTCTGGTTATGGTTGAGCTCTGGACGTCCGAGGTGAGGATTATGCGAGGAAGGGTCGAGCCAAGGTGATGCAGGCTGAGGACCACCAAAGCCTTGTCCGGGGATGCGACTCTGTCCTTGTCCGCTCGAAAGCGATGGTGGCGTATTATTTACGGTTCGCTCGCGGTCATCCGTGGGCATGGGCGATCCTTGAGTGCGAGCTTGGGCCGCTGGCGGGTGGTGAGGGGGAGGGGCTGGTTGGGCCATTGACGGAGGGGACAGCAATGACTACAGGATCCCTGGCCAAGAAAACGATTGAGCAAAAATCGGTATTGAGGCGTGATGAAGTGAGTGTGCGTGAGTGATGGTTGTCCGTGTTCGTTGAGTCAATTCTGTTGGACTACAACAGGGTACGCGACGACGCAAAGACCAAGTCAAATTCAGTTACTGCAAAGCCACTGATCAAAAAACGACGAAAATTGATCTCGAGACGCGTCAACAAGAAAGAAAGCGTTAAGCGATCCATTGGCAGCCAACAGCTGCTTTGATTTATTACTTGTGTCCCAGAATCCCGGCAAGGGTCTCGTTCAGGAACATGCCCTGCGGGTCGTATTTCTTGCGAATTCTCTCGAATTGATCCAGCTGAGGCCCAGCCTGCTCGCGGAGGTAAGGAACAATACCAGGAATATGCTCCCAGAGTCTCCCCCAATGTACTCTATCTGTTGCACCAAAGCAAAGGCAGACAACATTCGTACCTAAGAGCCAAGAAAAAAACTGTACAAGCAAACTTTGTACCTTGCTTTATATTCTGATATCCAATGCTGGGCGAGCATTGCTGAAAAATCCTCGAAGCCTCTCGTTTTTGCGGCAGCCAGGACCTCGATGGTACAAAAAACTGTTTCTGGATCTTCGTAGTACATGTAGAACATGATTTGGTCAGACGACTTGATGAAGCGCATGTCCATGATCATGTTAACTGGGTACCGTCCACGCGCGGCATATTCGTAGATATGTCACCTAAGTTACGAGGGAGAGATGGTATATGGACCAGTTGCTTTACTCTTGTACCTAACTTATATGAAAGACAATTACAAGGTGGGAGACAAAACACCCACCTTGTCAATGGTAAACCTCCATGCTTCACTAGGTTTCTCAAACCCTTCATCGACTTTGAACAGACACTCAACTCCCACGCAGACCATGTCGTCAGTATTGTAATGGTAATGAATCGCATTCGGGGCTTCCATCACCAGATTTTGAGACTTTACTGATACCGCGATCGATCAACAATGTCATCTTTGGTATGGCGGTCATGGTTTTCAACAAGATCCCACCGATAAAACACAAACACTACGTGTATAGTCGCACGGTCCGAATGGATTCCCATTTAGTCGATCCTGTGGCAGATTGGTCTGTTTGCCTCCATTACTAGACCCACACCTGATCTCTTTCGCGTCCTGTGCCTACCAACATCCTGTAGGACTGTAATGGCCATCAAGACCTAGAAGAGGATCTGACTCTGGTCATTTTGTACGACCATCTCCTTGAACCGAGGACTTCTTTCTTTGGACAGCTAATGTAGTCCACAAGACGCGGGCGCGAAACCAACCATGAAAGAAAAAACAATTAATAGGCGCGGGTAGTAGCGAGTATTAGCCATTCCGTATTTTTTTGACAGAAGGCGCTGGAAAAATAATATTCCCTTCAAAATACCTACAACAGAGTGGTTGAACATCGGCTCAACGCGAAGAGCGTAGCTGTAAATAACGCCAAGGAGACCGAGGTTGCACGCGGCAGCCGAGAATTCAATGGGGTCTTTATCGCGAGTAAACGTGTCGAGAGTGTTCGAGACTAAGTGGCGGCACAATGCTATTTAAAAAAAAGAGGGCGTTGTGATTGAGCCATGCGATATTAGTACTTGGGCATTGGGCTAGCTACAGAAGCTGTTTCAGCGTCAGTCAGTATACATAGTCATCTACTTACCGATCCAAGAGCCAACACTCCCCCTCCCAAGCATACGACGAGAACGCGTGAGTCCTCCTTGCTATTGAGAGAGAGAGAGAAATGCACATGACTGAAACTACACACACATACAAAGCAAAAATCAAATCAAGCTGTGCCATTTACCTCGCCCATCACAATGCGATCATGGTTAGAAGGGGATCGCGCCTTCGTAAATACTCATCCGATGCATCTACTGTAACTCCAGTCTCCATTTCAACTGTCCAGCCCTGACCCTCGATATCGATCGGCGTGTATATCTTGGTCATCTTTTTCACAAACACCAAGAGGCCATCGTCGTGGAAAACGGACGTCGAGGATCAAGTGTACCCCCCTGGGATACACCGAATCTTAGTGTTGTCAGCTTTGGCACTTTTGACAATCTCGACGTCATCTTCAAGGTTCTTGGTTGCAGGTTCTTGAGAGAGTGGCACGTCTGGCTCTTAGCTCAATCGGTCCATTTACAACGCGCTTTGAGTGACTCTTTGGATCTGGTTTCTGTGTGATCAGCGGCGGTGGTAATTGGGATATGGCGAGTGGGGTACTTGGGATATTCTGTAGCCGGGTTCACTGATGCATCTGTTGGTTGTATGCCGTGCTGAACTTGCGCGTCCTTCTTTGGCCTAAAGAGCTACTAGATGATCTTCTTCATGGTTGAGTAGAGGCGTATGAAGCGAGCGATTGGGATAATACTCGTGGGCTGAGGTGTGGAGAGGTGAAGGCGGATCAAAGGGGACAAGCAGCAACGGATAAGAAATGGTCCAGAATAAAAATCCCGAACTTTAATTTGAGCGACATCAGCGGCCCAAAATAGCACACTTCACTATTATGAGTCGGTTGATCTCTACAGGATACGAAGCACAAATTGCGCTGCATCGCTACATGTCCAGTTTCTGCGCTACTGACAACATGGTTCCGTGGGTCAACCCCCTCGTATAACCGCGTTAGATATTAGTGGTACATCCAACAAGGAAGGCTTACTTGTACCTTCAAACCCCGGATCGAAAAATTAGTCCCCACTTTTCTTGTTGTTTCCGCTTTCCACTGCTCCACCTCCATGGTTTCCTGTAGGGTACCTGTCAAGATTCAAGCGAAAGTGAAATGTGAACGTAAAAAACTCACTTAAACGGAAAGAAAGAAACATAAAGCAACAAACAAGGAGCGACGAGCGTATGCAATATCTCTTAGAAAACTCGTAGAGAATATTATTGAATCCACAGGAAGGCCTAGTGCATCCCAGATCGTTAGAATAAAGTGGGTCCAGATCGGTCATTATACACATGCGCGAGCGTGTTTCCTTAAAGTAAGTGTGGTTATCCTTGAAACAAATCGTCGATTCATCGCAATTTTCCTTCTTTATTTTTAGTCCTTGAATACCAAGGATGTCGAAGTCCAAGGTCATAATAATTAAAACTATGGCCTTCAGGGATCATACACAGAGAGCACCGTGTAGTCGTTACTCGTCCTAGTTCTCGGCCCCAAGAAGCGTCCAAGATCCATGTTGTGTTGGTCTTTTCTCTCTTCTTAAAAGTTGACGTCTGGGTTGAAGAACAATGAGTCATCACCCCAAGGGAAGGCCTGGCAAAAAAAAACAAGAGCAACGAAGAACAGCGAAGAACAGGAAGACAGTGCAAAAAGGTCAGTGGTTGACAAGGCATTCCGAAAATTAAATCACTTCATACATGTCAGGACACGGAGGTTCATTGACTGTACCTTGGAGCGGAAACGCATGTAGGGGTACTTGACCTTCTCATGCCCCTCGTGTTTTTCGTGCTCCAAATGGGCCTGATGCTTGGCATAGAGGTTGTAGGCGTTGATGGACGCAACAGTAATGACGGGAACGCAAACGTAGAGGGAAATCTTGCGCCAAGTCTCAGCGGCGGCTATTGAAAAAAAACAAACGAAAGATACCGATAAGATGGCAAGAAGAACGGCAAACTCAAAATTTCGTATGCGGAGCCTAGAGTCAAACGCGTCTCTTCTCTTTTTTTTCCGGTTCCCTTTTCTTCTTTGTCATGATCCTTTTGCTCATCGTACTCTTCCCTCGCGGTAGCGTAATGACAAAGCGCACAACAGCCTCCTAATTGCTGGAAACCAGGAGTTCTAACCAGGCCAGGAACATACAATGACGGAGTAATCCGATGCTCCATAGTTTCTCCTCTTATACTCTCTTTCTGGTGCCCCTGGCCGTTCTTTCGCAATAATAGTCCAGGCTCTCTCTGGAGCCTCGTGTTTAAGTCTCCATGGTAAATTATTCCCCATCCTCATTCTTGTAGGTACCCGATGATGAGCAAGTTAGAAATAAACGTACGTCCAGCGTGCTCCTTGATAGCGATACGCTCAGCAAGCCAAGGGTTGGCGGCGGACGCGGGGGCGTGGGATGCGAAGCGGATGCCCTTGGCGGCGGCGGCAATGCGAGAGGCCATGGTCGGTGTTATTGTTGCAGATGATGATGGAGTTGGTGGTGGTGGTGTTGTTGTGTTGGGAGGATTCGGAAAAAAGAGTGTCTGTTTGCCCCAAACACACGCACGCGCACGCTGATGATACAACCTGAGGGGCCCAAGCGCCCTCTTTCTTCTCCGGGACAGCCTGCACGTGATGAGTACAAGGACTGCTTTTATGTGGCTTGTCTTGAAGCAACATTGATGTTGTTGCTTTTTTTTCTTTTTTTTTTGTGGTCGAGGCACACTTGAATTGTGAACTGACAAGGCACAACTTGACTCTCCCTTCCTTCTTGTACATCACCTCTCTATTTACCCTTCTTCACACACACCCTAATCATGTCCACAGTATTCAAGCAGCAGAAGAGCAAGCGGGACAAGGCCGAGGGCATCGTTGCCAAGACCACAGAGGATACCCCCATCTTCAGAAACAAGCAGCGTGTCCTCTTGCTCTCCTCGCGCGGAATCACTTCTCGGTAAGTGACCCGCTGCTTCCCCTCATGGCGACTTCCCCCTTGACGGTTTTGGCACACACACTCACTCACACACGCACACACACACCAACATACATACTCAAAGGCAGGAACTCAAACGAAGGGACACTATTTCCATTCCTCCTACAACACACTACAGGACTTGCACAGAGTGCTAGACAAACAACAAAGCGAAGCCTGTCTGCACTTGGATCTGGTCGCAGTGCAGAGTAGCATTGTTACTCACTCCTAGAACAAAAACAAGACAACAAAGAAGCTAACCTGTACCGTTGCATTGCTTTCCAACAAACGTGTAGCCACCGTCACTTGTTGTCTGATCTCGGCGACTTGTTGCCCCACACCAAGAAGGATGCCAAACTGGATTCGAAATCAAAACTTCACATCATCAACGAGCTCGCCGAGTTGAACAACTGCAACAACTGCATCTTCTTCGAGGTCAGAAAGAGACAGGATCTTTACATGTGGTTGTCAAAGACCCCCAATGGCCCCAGTGTCAAGTTCCACATTCAGAACGGTACGTACAGGAGATCAGATGGCTTCATTGGACTCTACTGTGTTACGAAGTCAACGACGCATACAATATACCTTGAACTTTCAAAGTCTGACAGACCAACTTTTTGTTTACTTTCAATTACTATTAGTTCACACGATGGAGGAGTTGAAGATGACTGGAAACTGCTTAAAGGGATCGCGCCATATTCTGTCGTTCGACAAGAACTTTGAGAGTTCTCCACACTGGTTGTTGATGAAGGAGCTCTTCACACAGGTCTTTGGAATCCCTAAGACCGCCCGCAGGATCAAACCCTTTGTCGACCACGTCATCTCCTTCTCGATCGTCGACAACCGTATCTGGTTCCGCAACTACCAGATCACAGAAAAGCCCCTCGAGCACCGCTCCGTCACCGATACCACCGACCTGACCCTTGTCGAGATTGGACCTCGCTTCGTCATGAACCCCATCCGTGTCTTTGATGGCTCATTTGGTGGCCAGACCGCCTTTGAGAACCCAGAGTTTGTCAGCCCCAACGTTGCCCGTGCCAACGTCCGCAACTCCAAGGCTGGCCGCTACAAGTCCCGCATGGAGGCTATCGCCAAGAAGGACGAGAAGATCAAGGATGCAGAGATGCCAGAGGATCCCCTCTCTGAGAGCAACGTCTTTGCTTAAAAAGATTTGCCTCGTCTGTCTCTTTTCCTTTTGCATTCTTTTCTTCATTTTTCCCATTTTCTGCTATGCATACTTCTACAAAAAAAATAAACATATTCGTGAAGCATTCTTTAGGTTTGCTATGGGTGGAGTAGTATATGAATTACACGCGCATGAGTTTGCTAATTCGGATGGTACCATCCGCCGATCCCGTCAGGCACGCACCCACCACTGGTGACCAGTCCACACACGTTAGAGGATGGGAGTGGCCTAAAAGTGGCTGCACTTGCTGTCCTGACTTTGTCTATCAACATTGAACAAGACAAGGCAAAAACACGTTAGTTGCAAAATCGTTCCCGACCTTTCAGTAAAGAGGGCAGCTGATTTTCTGAATCCCCACAGTTACCTGGACAAGGACGCCGGCGTTGCCGCAGCCCATCACCAAATGGTCCGTATCTGCACTCCAACCCAAGAGTTGTCCGGGACCAATGTTCATTGTCGTCAGCGCACTCGTCGTTTCCTTTGCACCACCGCCACCATTCGCCGATGTCCTTGAGATCGATGATGTTGCCTGGACGGTAGCAGTTGTTGAATTTGACGAAGACGATGTTGTAATAGATGTCGCGGTTCCGGTTCCAGTTCCAGCCTGTCCTGCTGCGCCTGCTCCTGAAACACTGCCAGCATTATCAGCCGTCGCGACGGTACCCCCAGAGCTCTCAAGCTGTATCCTTGGAATATGAGCCCCGCCCGTATTCACAGACCCAGCAACTCCACCGCCAACGCCAGCAGGACTGCTCGAAACAGTCCTCATAAACGATTTTGAACGAACGCTACCTCCACCAGCAGACCGGACACTCGTCGAAGACGAAGACGCCAACATCATGGCTGACGACAGGGTCGAAGACGTGAACCCCTGCAATGGGTAAGAGTCCAATCTATGTCCCGGCTTATGAACAGAGTCCTGACAGAGTTGTCCCTGAGCATCGACACTGTAGATCGAAGTCTCGTCAAAGCTGAAAGTGCATGATAGAATTGACTGGTTAGACGCGCTCCACTCCATGATCCTTGTGAGCGATCGAATATCATAGATTTTGATGGTCCCGCCAACGTCTCCTGTGACGACCAACTGGCCGTTGTGGTTGAACCCAAAGGCGTTGATAACTTCTTCTGGTCCTCCATCCAAAAGCACTAAGTGCTGAAAATTCAATCGGATAAAAATAGACGTTAATATAGACACTAGTTAAGATATACGCTCCTGGGAGAGTAACACGTAGCCATAGACTTACCTCGGTGGCCATGGTCTTCATGTTGACAGAGAGTAGTGCGCCAGTAGAATCGTCACTAGACGAAACAGCGCACACAAGGATTGGCTCCACTGGGGAATAAGCCAGGTACCTCACCCTATTCATTTTTTAGACAATCGCGGTCGTCAATAACCTTCGCGTTTTGAGTTGCTTCAAAGGATTATGTCATCCTCAGCGAAATCAGTCGATAGCAAAAAGAAGATTTACCGAGGAAACTGTGCATCCGTCTTAATTTCATGCACGACTGTCCGAGACTCCAGGCTGAAGCAGCGGACCAAACTGACATCCGTACCTAAAAAGATCTGCAGCACATACAGGAAGAAATGAAAAGGGTCTTGAGTATCACATTGAACTTGTAGACTCGAAAAGCTCATAGCAAACAATGTCTCACTCAACCAAACTTACATATCGATCGCGGGTCTCCCAAGCAAGCGACAGGATGTTACTAGTATTCGCAATCTTGGCAGGCGCCATGGCACTCGAACCATTATACGCCCAAACCCTCACAATATTCTCCGCATCGCAACTCGAGATCAGCGTCCCCTCGCATGAGAACATAGCATGTGTGATCCCGGACTGGTGTTCCAGAAAGATCTCCTGGGAGACAATAATAAAGGGCTCTTCAATACCGCCACTACGCGAAAGGTCCTCGTCTGAGATGGATGTAGTTCCACTGGATTCGGACCCTGCCTCGGATTTCGCGATCGACGCCGCGTCGGATGCTGCCCGGAGTCGTCGTGCGTTCGTGACAGCCAAGCGATCTAGAGCAGAAAATCAGATGAGGCAAAAGGCGATAAGTACTAACTTCAGTATCCCGCGAAACGCTCATGTCCACCGATTAAGAAAATACACTCTTACTTGTCTGCGAGATTTGTGATGACTGAGAGACGGCCCGCTTCGGTAACCCGTCGCTCTTCACGTCGTCTGTGTGGATCACCACCTGTGGTTCAACCATAGATGCAGCTCGCCGCCTCCTCGCACCAGTAACTTTCTTCAGCGCAACCTAACGGATCAGTTCAGGAACAACATCAATACACAGAGTCATTTGATAGCTACACGAATTTGGAAGCGAGAAACTTACATTTCTTCCTCCCGAGTATAAATCACACGTACCTGGTCTCTCAAGGAGGAGATCTCGGCGTCGCTTGACTGAATCTCCTTGCGCAGGTTCTCGATCATGCTCTGAAGTGTCTCAATCTCGCACTGAAGCGCCTTCCTATGCAATCGGTCAATGTTGAAGCAGAGTAGACTCGGCAATGCTATCAGGGGTGTGCAGAATTGGACAGGTAGAAAAGTATCAGGTATTGGTAATCGATTACTATTTTAGTCTGCACCGAGTCTCAGCCGTGGTTCATTGACAATTCGTGACTTACGCATGTTCTGAAAAACGGTACTCAAAAAGTTGTGAAGGGATATCGTAAAAGTGTCCAACCATGCTTTCGAAAAGAACAAGTCGAATTCTGGGTCTGCCTCAGGCTTTTTCGAGAATGGCAACGCTAAAAATGTCGAAAAAAAGTGAGGTAATATATTAGGATTACCGCGTCCTTCCCTCTTGTCGTGTCGCATCTCGTCGTGGGGTGGAGCATAAAAATAAAGTGTAAAACGCATACCAAACCATCGTACCCACTCTGGGTTGCCCTGAAGTTCCGCTCCATGAATCTCAAAGAACTCGACCACCTTCTCCCGTTTCTTGTGTTGTATAGCTACACATACAAAGTAAACAGAATGAGTTGAGTCAACCTCCTTTTCCGACTCTGGCACCTCAATGACAGATATCCACACTTCTGACACAGAAATCAAAACGCGTTACCATAGATGAGGTAGTAACGGAGCAAGCAGAGCTCAAACTTCTTGACACTCCCCGCGAACCGATGGTCGAGTCGTGAAAAGTAACGAATGTCGAGGTATCGCCAATGATCCAGTAGCGCCGTCAGGTCCATGGCCGCAATCGACAAAAATAGCTCCTCGATAATTTTGTCCGCCTATTTTGTCATCCCAGACGGCACAACACCCAAGGGGGTGATGAACGTAACGTAAAAGGTTGAACAGAAAGAGGGCACGGTAGCGAGTTAGTGAAATGAACAATGGTAAGAGAGCGTGTCAAGAGGCTCGATGGTCACGGTTAATTTAGCGGAGATAAAAAGTCAAGCATGCCTAAGCTAAGCAAGGCTGCAAGAATTCACCCCTCAGTAACAACAACCAACGCCACCACAACCTCTTCAAGCCCTACTGTACCTGAAATCCTTTATCCTTGTCCGTCTTGCTGTCGGCCTCAAAGGCCTTGTACGAGTTGGTGAATCCTCGGAACTATGGTAGTTTCACGTTGAGGGATACGCGATGAAAATGAGTATCAGAGACATATCGTTACGAGAAAATCATCACAAAAGTACATGTTTTATTTTTTATTGAACTGTTTCAAGGTTCCGTGTTGAGAGGACGAGTAGGGTGTATTACCAGGAGGTACTCCTTAACCAGCTCGTCGATATGCTGGATGGAGTTCATGCAAGGCTGTGTGTCGGAATGGGGTGAATGGGAATGGACAAAAGGACGACACTTGTTCTTCTCTCCTCTCTACAAGCTGAAAGCGTGACTGTGTTTCAAAAGCCACTTGTGTCTGCGGATGTCTCTCCACCAGATGCATTCCACGAACGAAACATACATGCATAACCATTGGATGGCATTGTTGAGAAAGGGGAAGGGGGGAAGGGGGATTTGGCTCTATTTTTTTTGAGCGTTTGTTGGATGTGTTCTATGTGGATGATTACTCCTGTCCGTCGTAAAACACCTTCAGGTAGCTCTCTGCCTCGTTGTATTCCCGACGCATCTGGGCAAGCAATGCTCTGATCAACGTCTCAGCCTCGTCGTTCGTGATGCTCTCCACTCCGGCGGCATCCTTGCGGTTTCCATAATGCTGAAGTTTCTCGCACGACTCCTTCACCTTCGTCAGTCCAAGTGCTGCTGACGATCCCTTTAAGAAGTGGCCGAGTCTTGACAAGTCGGGGAAGTCCAGCTTCTCCCTATTGCATCCAAACAAGCAGAAAAGAATAAACAATTAGTGTTTGTTCTTGTCAATGACAACGGATACTCCTCAGTTTCGATTTGGTCCAGTTGAGAGGAAAAACACAGTAGGTTAATTGCTTTGTCAATCAGTCTGTTCCAGTGTGTTTCTGCCAATCCAGTTTGTTTTCTTCTGCCCTTCTACAAGCAAGTAATGTAGTTCATGCATCCCCTCCCCCTTCTTGTAGAAAATGGGTAAAATGATCAATCTCCGCCCAACAATGCCTAGTCCGCAATGCCTTTTAGCCTCCCCCTTTCGCTGTTTGGCATGCATGCCAATGAAATGTCTTGTCCTTCTGTCCATCTTTTCCATCTGTCCATCAGTTTGAGTGCCGATACACTCTGTTGTTGCTTTGATTGATTGTCTGTCATATGTTTTCCGCTCACTTGTCTCCTGAAGTGCCTATCGTATAGGAGGAAAACAAAAAACGAAAACGAGCAGAGACTTACATGGCTTCGTCCATGTCCTCAAATGTCTTTTCTGCCTGCTCAAAGTAGTTCCAGACCAAGGATCTTGAGAACTCATGGTCCTCCTCATCGTCCATCTCCAGAAGCTGGTCGAAGGTTGTGTGGTCAATAATTCCATTGTCCTCAAAATCCTCTACGTCAGTTTCCGGTTCGGTTTCGGCCCCCTTATCTACTACCTCGGGCTCCTCGTTGCCCTTGATGTTATTGATGGGGGTCTCGGCCTAAATTGCATTTAAATGATACATGAGTAAGAGAGAGAGAGAGGAGTCCGTCCAACAAAACGTGTGAGTAATATGTAGCAATTTAATCATGGTAGATCCATCGGGCTCCCTTCCCCTGCTGCACCCAACCAGCCCTCTCTCCTTGATATTCCACATAATTGACACACGCTACTCTCTCACAAGTCTCGAGTATTTTTGGTTTTTCCTGCACTAAAATAAAGTCCCGCGAGACCAAACGTCATTTCCCTTATGTGCCAAATTCCTTTTTGATTGTGAGGGTCGGGTGGCAGACAAGCAAACAACGGATGCCACGATACCAGCAAAGAAAGGTAAGAACAAAAAAAAAATGAAGAATTGAAAAGGAGAGCTACACAAGGTGGTTATGATTGACGAAAAGTCATGGGAAAAGTGGGATACATTGCTCCCACAAGAAGTCATATGAACGGGTGGAATTGGCACAGCTCAGATACAGCTGCGTCTTTACATGAATGCGAAGAAGTAACTGGGGTGGCGTGAGGGTTGGAGAGAATGAAAGTGGAAGAAACAGGTGCGCTTGTGTGGTAAGCGACCGTCTGGGCCGATGATCCGCTCTTTTTCCTTCCCTCTCTCTCTCTCTCTGTCCTCGATGTGCGGTTCTGTGTCCATATATCACCAACAACGAGATTGATGGTGGTACGCATGAAAATGGACATGTTCTCTTGCAGGGGTCAACAAAACACAAACAGAATCAATCCAACAATTGTATACTTTCTACCCCGGAGACTCGCTTCTTGTTGTTTTCTTTTATAGCCGTACCGCAATCACCGCCCTCGTACATACGCCTTGTTTGTCGCCTTCCAAGCATTGATGTCGTGTCCTGTCGTTTCATTTTTTCTTTAGTTCAAAAATGCTCTGTGTTTGTCAGCGTCCTGCGTATGTGTGCGAGAGAGAAGTCTCTACTCCCTTGCAGCGGATGCTCTCGACTTGGTCACTGTAACAACAGCAACTCCTTTTTCCTCGTCTGGAGAAAAGCTTGTTTGTCTGCGTCTATATCCTTGTGCTATTGTAATCCCACTCACTGTCTTCCGGTTGCGCTTCCCTTTCGACTCCTTCCAAGAACAAGGTGCTACGACCTGGCGAGTTTTAAAAATGAAAGAAGGAGGAGTGTTTGATGATATTTACCGTTGAAGGTGATTGTGTTGGGCTTGTTGCGGCCATAGTGAGACTTTTTTTTGTCTGTTTTGTGATGTAGGGTAGGGTTGAGATGGAGGTGATGGGGCTTGAGTAATCCGGAGTGTGTCAATCCAGCAGGATCAAGTTTACTACAGGGAAATATGGGACTGTAGTGTGTAGGGTCGGCGTAGAAAAGGAGACAAGGAGACGAGATTGTGGTTGTGTGGGTGAAGAGAAAAGATGAAAGAAAAGATGAAGAGCACCATCACAAAAAGTAAGAAAAAAGAAAGTCAAAAAAGGCGTGAGTTGGAACGTATAGAAGGTTTACATGGCTCTGGCACGGGCAGGAAAGAGGGACGGGAAGTGAGAGACCTGCTTGCTTTTCATGCATTTGTTATCCATTCACAAGCACGAGTGCATGTCAGGAAAAAAATGAAAAAATGAGCATTCATATCTCTCGCATTCTTAGGATGTTGTGCTCACCCTCACCCTCACTCTCGCTCTTTGCTCTCTTTTCTTTCCTTCTCTCTCTGTCATTGTGTCTCTCTCTTTCCTTCTCTATATCTGTCTGAACACTTCTTTTCCGTCTTTAGGATAATTTTCTTGCCTTCGCTCACTGTCGCCGCTTCAGGAACAAGACACACACACCCACACACCATGTCGATATCGATACACAGGTACTCCTTTGTGTCACCCCAGAAAAAAAGATTCTTTCCTTTCCTCCCTTCCGAAGGATGGATTGCGCCTACCTAGCAGCACACATCAGAGAACTATGACGACAGCGCCTATTGACGGTTGTAGGATCAAGAAGACCGAAAGAGGGCATGAAGCGAATGGTTCGTTTTCCTCGACTCGACTCTCATTTGGGCGTAAAACGCGTCTGATCAGAATGAGAAGAACTTTTATAGTTATTAGGTGGTGATATGTACAATGGCCGTTGGGAGTAGACACGGAAAAGAGAGAGAAATAATGAGCTGAGAGGGGACGCGTAGTTCAAAAGGCATGATAAAGTATAGTGCGCGAGTGTGGGGAGGCTTGAAAAGTAAATGAAAGGATGAAATGCAGGAGATGGAGTGCAAAGAAAGACAAAGAATAATGCTGGACAGAAACGAGTATAAAAGAATAAGAAAAAAAAAGGAATTAACACTCTATGGAATGGACGGGAATCATATCCTGAAAGTCATGCATGGTCGAAGAAACGGCCGAGGGGTAGCTGTCGCTCATCCTGCTGCTGGTGCCAAAGCTGCTGTGGACGAATTTCTGGATGACATCACAGCTGCAGTCCCGATGGCAAAGGATTTGGTTCTTGAGGCGACGGACCTCCTCCTGGAGCTCGTTGAGGGTCTCGTGGAGGGCCTGGTTGCGCGCTGTGATCTCGTCGGCATCGGAGATGGTCTTGAGGGTCTGGAGACGTTTCTTCTCGCGGCACCTAGATGCGGCCATGCGGTTGCGCTCAAGGAACTTTTGGCGTTTGGCTTCAGGCGACTCGTCCTGGCCATGTGAGCGTTTCCGTGGACCTGTCTTGCGGCCGGTGGCTTGGACTGCCTTTTTCGACTTGATAGTCACACCTGATTCGCGATCGATCGGGGACAAGGAGGGAGAAGGCTCGCCGCTCATAGTCGAGGCATGCGCTCCGTTATCACCAGCCATCATATCCAACTCGTGCTTGTCATCACCGTCCTCTTCGTCCTCGCGGTCTTCTGGATGGACCTGCGACTGGTTCTGGCACTGACTCTGGTTCTGGTAGTGGACCGGCTGTTGACTGTGGTTATCGCGGATCAGGGTGTTATCAACAAAGCGGTTGTCCTTTGGTTGCTGAGATGCCTGATGGCGGCTCTCGTGTGTATGGTAGGAGTAGGAGTAAGAGTCTGACGACGAAACTGGAGAGAGATCGCGAAGCGATTGTTCGCTGTGGTGGGGGTTGTATTCATAAGTGTGTGAATTGGTGGCGTGAGGAGGAATGGTCATGGATGGGCGGTATTGGTCCGGGGAAAAGTTGTTTGGAGGAGGTGATGCAATTGGGGGAGAGGGAGACGCGCTCGAAGGGGATGAAGGAGACAGGCCAGGCGACATCTGGGGCATGGGCATAGCCATATCGTCCATCATGATGTCGGCCCAGGGGTGACGCTCAGCGCCACGCTTTTGCTGTATCTTTGCGGCCTCGTGCCGTGTCAGGGCTGATGTTGTGGACGCCGAGTTGGTGCCGTTGTTCGTGTTGACGACAGAGATGGCGGCGGATGGGGTTTTGAAGAAGGTGTCGAAAGGGTTTAGCTCAGCCTTGGGAGTGCCGGTGTTGAGGAATTTTAGGCTGGCGTCGAAAGGGTTGTAGTTGTCCAGGCCAAATCCGGGGGTGAAGGCTCCATACTCCAGGAGAAAGCGCGTGGGCGTTGGGTTGGCGTCTAAAAGTTTAATTTTAACCAAAAGCAAGGGCGGGCGCGATGATTGTCGATGGACAGTATTGTTTGGTAAGTAAAGTTGTAAACAGCAAGGAATAATACTTTTTTTGAGGGGGTATCAAGTCATTCTCATCCATGGTAACAAGACGAGGCATGTCCAATCTATACGTGGCATGACCCTTGTCTCTACTCCTTCCGTCAACTTTGCTTGCACAAAGGTTTCAAAAGGATGCATGTATGCTTCCGAGTAACAAACGAACAACCAATGTCCATCCACGCAAATGAGATCAAGGCGAAGGTAAAGAATGGTAGTGAAGTGAAAACAACATAGCATTGTGCAGAGATTCAAGCGGATGTACTCACCACGACGGAATTCGGCTTCGAGAGACATGTTTCCAGTTGAGTGGTGCGAAGGAATAAAAGAAGGGTAAAGGGGAGTGTTTGCTGAGGGCCGTCAAGGTGGGTGAAGAAGAGCAGAGTCGAAGAGAGAAAGTACGAGATGAGGAGCCGACACGAAGAAAGAGGACGGTATGTGTGAAAGAATTTGGAGTTGAGAGAAAAATGTTTTACAACTACGTGTGTGTTACTGGGAAGGTTGAGGGGTGAGAATTATAAGCGTTGAAGGCGAGCGAAAGAAGTTGAAAGTGAAAGTGAGTATAAGAACAAGAGAGAAAGAAGAAGAGAAAGAGGAAAAAGTGGAGCTCGAGAGTGGAATTAAATATTGTGCGAGTGCGCGAGAGTGTGTCTGCGAGAGAGAGTGAAAAGAGAACAAGAGAAACAGAACGAGCAGCGTCACTTTATATATCCCCATGGGTGAAGGGTCCATGTAATATCATATCCAACCAGCGTAATAATAACGATTGAATTGGACAGAATTAAACCGCCTTTTTTTATTCAATCGCCATTCATTCATTCATTGAAGCTTCTCACCCTTTCTTTTTGGTTTGTGTTTGTGTTCTCTTCAATTTAATTCAATCCCACTCATTTTTTTCTTCTTTTCTTCTTTCTTACACACAAACAATTCCCTTCTTGCGCTCATCGCCATCCTTATTCAATTTCATTCAATTACCTCAAATCGGGAGAAACCGAAGCGTCATCTGTCTGCCATTTCGCACTTTTTACACTAACCACCAACATTTCGCGCACCCACACAAAACATCGCCTGCTTTATTTTTATTTTTCTCGTGCCTCGTACCCGCGATCATATCCATGTCAATGTCACTTTTCTAGTTTCTACATACACACTCACTTAACCAATGGGACATATCAACAGCCAGCGCCCGTCATACCAAACACGTCTATGGTACCCCCTCAACGCGTTTGACTTGTGAGGGCGTGGTATGTTTGAAGCAACCAGCACCATCTTTCAGAAAAATGGGCATGAGAGCTACAAAACATGAACGCCAACGACAACGCGAACAGGCAAGGAAAAGAGAACAAATAAACCAACTAAATCAACAAAGATGCTCGTCAACGGTAGTATCCGCATCATGTGATGTCTGTTGTATGCTTAACCAACTGTTGGACGCACAAGAAACACAAAAATGGGAGATAGAGAGCTGTTCCTAATCATCGTCATGTCGGATATAGGTACCCATCCCATCCCACCCCTTCTCCTTTCCTTCGAGGACACTGTCTTGTCTGAGAAACAGAAGAGAAAAAGGCAAGAGAAGGGTGACCGGGCAAATGGGCTGGTACAAGAAGGAAAATAATTACGGTGACAGGAGGAAGAACAAAAGAGCAACCGAAGAAATAATAAGCGGAAGAAAAAAAAAACTGGGTGTGAAATGAAACTACCAGCAATCGCAGATGGTCAGGGCAACAATGGACAACGGGGCATTCTTTCTCTCTCTCTTTCCTCTTATTCCTGTTCTGTTTTCAAAGTAGACATGGCTCCTCTTTGTGATCAACTGGCTGTTACATGTTCTGGGTTAATTATACATTTTGTCCTTTACAACATTCAATGCGTGAATGTATGTTCAGCTGTCAAAAAAAAACAAAAAAAAAAGTTGTTTCAACTTTCAACTATGGCCGGCCAAAAAAAAAAAGCATTTTGAAAACCAGGTTCCTCCACCACGCAGGAAATTATTGTTCCCTTGTTCTGCGAGATAAAGAAAAATGAGACCTCGCGGTTTGTCTGGAAGAGAACATTCCTCTGTTTTTCTTCCTCCTATTGATCGTCGCCGTTATTCTTGTCGTGGCACCGTGTTTCTTTTCATACTGGCGCCTCTGAAGCCATCATCTTTTGACTCCATCAAACATGTAGGTTCAATGACCAAACCCACTCCTATGAGTTGCTAGAAAGAATCAAAAAACGAGCGTTGGGACAATGAGGATATGTTTACCGACAAAAAGCCTGTACCAACCAACCCGCCCCGTGCAACACAGCGGAGACAAAAATATGCCTTACCAAACTCTTCTCGTACTTTATCCACGCACCTCCCATTCGACTCCTGGATTCTAATCCTCTTTCACCTTTCCTTCCTCCTTCCTACCGCCGCCCCTAGCGAACCTCCGCATGCGCGTTTTGTTCTCTTGGAAAGAGTCATTCGGGTTTGATCAGGGGCGTCTGTGTGGCCTCACAGATGGCGGTAGTGGAAAGACAACGGCGGAACAGAGACAAGGACAAAAAAAACAAGTTGTGTGCGTATATTCGATGCCGCTATGCTAGCACAACTGATAACGAGGTTCAGTATAGGATAGACATTGGATGATGGTTTTAAAAGGGCACGCGTGTGTTGGATATTTGTGTGCAAGATGAGTTTTTACTCTGAAAAATGTAAAACTCCGCACGTTTGTTCACTAGCTTGTTTCTTACAACTCCTGTCTACCTTGTAGTCAAGGGTCCTCATAACGTAAGGCGAGTTATTTCAATGCTGCACCGCCACCCCTCAAAAGACGCATCGAGATACAAAGCGCGTAATTTTGATGAAAAAAATGGGTTGGCATATTCTTCGGCGCTCCTACAGATCAGTGCTGAATCGCGGAAATGTATAAACAGATAAGGTACTCTCATGGCAAGAAAAGTGTACAGCATTGAAGAAAGGGGGAGGAGGAATCGGCGGGAAATTGGAAGGGGAATGGGGTAAGTTGACAGAGTGCGGATTATAGTGAGATAGAAATGGAGTACCTCCCTTTCTTTCCTCTACAAATGTTGCATCTTTACGACCACCATCTCCTATTTCATTGGGGAAACACAAGGCAAGTGATCCTTATTTTTTTTTCTTCAGTGGCGACGAACAGGGAGTGCTTTCGCACGCAGATTGGTGTATGCAGTTGTAAAGAAAAAAGATTGCAAGCCTGCCCCTTATTTGTTCAAAAAAAACAAGAGCGTAGAACCCGAGTGAAAAAATAATAATAATAACGCATCGAAGTAAAAAGGAATGATACTCAAAAAGGAAGGTAGCGATTGGATTAAAGGTTGTCATTATCGCAAAGAAAACACCAATGAGAAGAGGTAGCGATGGTGATGGCGATGATGGTAACGATGATGGTGGTGGGTAGTTTTTGAGCGAAAATAGAGAGTAAGGAGGGACACGAGTAAAACGATGACCGTTTTTCTTTCATGCAAAAGACTGACTTATTTTGATGTGCGTTATTGCAACCTTGTTGTTGACGTTGCTGAGTGTTGCGGGCGGAAAAACCGGTTATTGCCGGATTTTCCACTTTGTTGGTGGACAAGTCTCTTCCAGCGCGTTTTGTTAATAACTTCACAGTACACAGCGAGGTGAAAAAGGCAGACATTGTTTGATTGGATTGAAAGGAAGAACTCTCTTTATCTGCTTTTCTCTCCCCTTTTCCCTTAACATCCCCAGATCGCTAGACCTCTGTCCTTTGCTACTCCTATTGTAACAACATAGGATTGTTCAATCCTCCTTACTATCCTCCCACTTTGCAGGACGACTTTGTCACCCCCTTTCGTTTTCCTTCTTTTTTCATGTCTCGTTTTTTGTTGGTGTGTGTCTTCCTTTAGGTGAAAATGAGGTGTCGTCCGTCTCCATTTTTCCTTTTTTGCGCCCTTGAAAATCTGCTTTGAGCATTCTGCTGTAAATTTTGTTGTTTGCGTGCGAGTGTCTCCATTCCTTGTTCATGGTACATATCGCTGTTTGCCCTTTTGTTACGACTTTTTTGTAACTTGCCTTCTTCATCAAAAGCTGCTCCTTCCCCTCATCCTCATTTTTTGTTTCCTGTTCTTCGGCCATGAAGGGAAAGCCGAACAACGAGCTTGGGTAAACTGTTTTCATCTAGCTTTTCAGACAAAGTAGCTTTAAAGTGCAGTGAAAATGAACGCATTACTAGCTAGCGAAGCGCATATGCGCCTTTTTTTTCTTAATTATCAATTAGGTCTACGTGGGGTGTATGTGTGTGTGGGGGTGGAGGTTCAAGTTTGTCAATCATGAAGTCATGAACGTTATGGCATAGGCGATACTAAAACCCCAGTCTGCCAGGGCTGAGAGCATAAATCCCTCAATATTTCTTTTGACTTTTTGTTACATTGAGAAAGTGGGATAGAATAACAAGCGATGTTTCCAAATCCTCACCCGGGCCAACACACGATGATTGGGTTTATGGATACCCTCGAAAAAAAAGCTTTTCGACGTTCAGAGGCCAACATGCTCAACATGCTCAACATGCTACTGAAAAGAGAGTGAAGGGATATTTTTTTATATTCGCTCAATTAGGCAAACAACCAACAAAGCATAAAACACAAACAGCATAAACAACGTGATGTCATTCATGGGACGAGAGAAGAGGGGAAGGCCGGCGACATCTGATAGACAAACGTAAGAAGTAAATGACTACATGCACTGTACTATTTGCATGAGAACCTTGTTAGACGATGAGGGGCCTCGTCTCAGTCTAGTCTATCCCCATCCTCGTCCCCTGACATCATTGCCCGTTTTCCCGAACAACAAGCCAGATGGTGCCACAAATTACGCTATAGCGCACTTTCAAGGTTCATTCGTCAACAACATACAGAACAGATTACAGTTGAGCATAGAACAACACATGCAAACCTTCCCTTTGCAAACACAAACACGACATCGAAACATGAACATACCCAGAAAAAACAATGCAGGACAACAAAGCTAATGCCATCCCCATTACGACACCTTCAAAACAAAAATGACAGCGATTGCCCCATCTTTTCTTTCGTTGTACCCTGCACCTTAAGCTTCTTCCCACCGACCTGATCGATGTGTCCTTAACCATTGGTATCTCAGATCCGGACTTTCCATTGGGTCATTCCCTAATTCCCCGATTTCTTTGTACGTCTATCATCGTATCTGCTTTTGTTGTTTCAAGAGACGAGAGAGTGACGAAATTGAATACGTAAAAGGGTGAGAAAAAATAGGAATGAGGGCCTGACGAACGCCGATGCCCGATGATGCTCTCTACCCTGACCGATGAGTGTCAACAATAACCTTATCTCCCTCATTCACTCTTCATTATTGAAACTGTTGTTTCCACTCATTCATTCAAGCCCTTTTATTGTTGTGATAAGGGAAGCGACGAGAAATGACGTCTGGGTGCTGCACGATTACGCTTACCTACTCATGCCCCTACACTTCTTTTCTTCACTCTTTGGTGTTACTAGAGAAAGACTAACGCGGTTTTCTGTAATTATTGAACGACTTTATTTTGAGTGGTGCTGTCAAGTCCGTACTTTGGGGTCTATCCTTCACTTTAGCGTGCGTTTTTTTTATGAACAATGTGTTACCGTTCTCTATGATCGTGATTCTGTTATTATCGTTCGTAGTTTTTTCACGCCGTTTTTCACTATCTTGTCATGGCTTCTACCAACATTCATTCTCGAATTTGGGGATGGTATGTCCGTCGAGGATGGCCTAGGAGGACAAGTGAAAAGAATTGAGTTTTGACTGCATCCTTCTTTTCTTCCTTCCTTCCTTACCTCCCTTCTCCTTCTCCCTTCCTTCTAATCTCCTGCGGGCTACCTGCCTGTGTGTGAGCTTCAGCTGTGAGAAAATCAGTCCGCTTTCCCGTACACCATTGTCCAATCTCCATCCAAATTAAGCCTGTCTAGGCGCAACGTTGTGGTCTGACGAAAAGCAAAAAGCAGTTTCAACAAGTCGAACAATCAAGTTTGCTAAGAAAGAGTGGGGAGGAGAAAAAAAAGGAAGGAAACAAGCGGAGTGGGATAAGAGGGAGAGAAACTTTTTTTATTTTTTTTATTTTTTTTTTTATTTTATTCTTTTTCCATTCTCTTATGCAGTACATGCAGTACCTGCAATACCTGCAAGCCCCTTCTTCTCCAACGAGACCTCAACCCAGACTCTCTTTCTTTCTTACTTTTTTTTTTTTTTTTTTTTTTTTACCTAGCCGCTCTAACAATAGCAAGGAATCAACTCTCCTTCCCTGCACCCCTTTGGAGGATCCAAAAAAGCAACCACATACCTGCTGTTGCTATTGAATACTGTCTTTCTTTCCCCTTTCCCCTTCTCCCGCCCCCCTTGTTCTTTGGACATTCAGAGCCCGCAGAAAGTCAGGACCATCGCAGAAAGACAAAAATATCGTTTACAGTAACAGTAAAACATTCGGAGGGTGGGGTCACCAGAAAGAAAAAAAATGTTAATATTTTTGTACCCGATCCTCTCGCTTCTTTCGTTCAGTTCCCCCCCCTACCCCTTTCAAGTTTCTTCAACATCCTTCGGCGGCTGATTCTCGCTGTCACCCAGTTTTAATAAGCCAGCTTTCTCTCCCCTTGCCAACAGTGAGTCGGAGGAATTGCAAAAAAATACGTTCAAAAGGGGGGGGAAACGGACACAGAAGCTAAAGGCTGGAAAAGCAAGGTTTCTTGGCCTCCTTGCTTAGCGGGACGGGGGGCAATGGGTGTCCATTAGATTGGGGTTAAAGGTTGCCCTTTTGCTGCGAAACCCTACTCCTTTCCTTCATTCTTCCAACCCAAAACCAAGACCTATTAGCGAACGCCCAAAAAAAAAAAAAAAAAAAAGGAAGTGGAAACGCGGAAAATCCACGAACGGTGAAAGAAAGAAAAAAAGGAGAGAGGGGATGTTAAAGTTATTTTGAAAACCCTTCCACCATCGTCTCCATCCTCTCTTTTAGTGATGGAGAAGCGAGTGAGTAAGACGGGAAACAGACCATACCAACTCCACTCTGCCAATGAGCATAAAAAATGGAGACACCTCATTTCAATGCACGCGGAGGTAGAGACATTGTAAACGGCCTAGCAGTTGGAATTAGCCAACCACAGATGAACGAGAGATGAACGGTTCCTGGTTTAAAAAAATATGCAAAACCCACAAGGTGATAAAGTATTGCTATGCGCTCCACCCACTCCGAGAAGTAATCTATGGCGTAACAACCTGAACTTCCTCCTCCCAAGTGTCCAACCGCAAACTTGGTTTTATCTACTCGAACTCACATGTCCACAAAAAAAGGATGATGGCCAAAGCGGAGTTTTATCTCTTCAACCGCTTTTACTGCTAGTTGGATGCATGACATGGGCCAACTAGTATAAACGTTCAAATTCTTGGTCCGCTTTTTCATGCAAGCTGCATGCGCTTGCCCACTGGAAGAAAAGTCAATTAACCCGTGAATATGCGTATGCTTCAATTTTTGCATTTTTTTTTACTGTACATGTACATTTGGTGGAGAAGGGAAAGTGAAATGAAAACGGTGATTGTTACAGAGAGTGAGAATGGTTGTGTTGGTATCGAAGGGCAGGAAGAGGAAGAGTCTGATCCTGGTATTGTGGGGCGCCGATGAAGAGCTAGGTTCAGATCACAGAGTATCATTCGTCGACGCTGGTCGGTCGGGAACTACCTCCACTCCCATTATGGCCACCATCGCCACTATTGCTGCCGGTACTCCCTCGCTGGATGGTACTCGTGGTCGAAATCTGGCTGTACATTGATCCCGCCCCGCCTCCCGCCATGCCAGGACCGGCTGTCAATCCTGGCCAGCTGTGGGTTGATCCGCTCGCACTCGTCCTCGACGCTGTTCCTGATGACGAATTCTTGTTCTTGGAGGGCTCACGAATCGTACTCAACTCGTCCACCATCCTCTCGGGCACCCAGGGTCGGGTTAAAAGGTAGTGGAGAATCAATTGCTGCGTTGGGCGGATTCCATTGCCCGACACATCATCCTCTTCTTCGTCGTACGAGGACTGATGCGTAATGTTGCCACCAATCTGTCGGTCGACCGATGATGTCCTGTATTTGGCCGTCCGGTGAAGCGCCGACGAGAGCGAGGGCGCACGGAAGTGGTGGTGGCTTTTGGTGGCAGCCTTGATGTAGGGCCGGGGTGGCTGCGACGAATACTTGGGTCCAGATTGGTAGGCCGTCAGAGTCATCAGGAGGTCCTGTATCCGCACATCATCCTCGGGTGCAAACTGGATGCTGGCCATAGGTGAGCTTGAGGCAGGCTTGACACGTAGACTAGACGTTGCAGGAATTTGGTCCGAGATGGGTGGCGTCGCGCTGTTGGTCTTCTTGACGGCTGCCAATAAATATGTAATGTCCATGATAAACGTGCCCAAAAACGGCACCATCGGTCTCCGTGCTGCCTCCTTGGCTCTGAATCCGAGATGCGATAGACTGTTGCCGACGCCGTTCAAGCTGAGCATGTCGTGTTTCCCAGACGGTGGTGCTGAGGCTGAACCGGAATTAACTGGCGATACAATCGATGGTGAAGTCATGGTTCCTGCATGAAGACTGGACATCATCTCGCGGTATTTCCCGTAATTCCTGGTTTCGCTCATCAGCTCCGAGAGTGTCTCCAGCTTGTGCATACTCTTCCTCGGCACAAAGCCCCATGTCCGCTTCAGTCGCTTGACTGGTGGCGTACCCAGAGCAGAAAGAACAGCCTTCAGGGTCTGGAAGTTCTCCAACTCGTGCAACTTCACGGCCACCTTGACCCAGTAGTGCATGCACTGCGCTCGTCCGGATGCCTCGGGAGGAAACAAGACCGAGTACTCAATCATGCGCGTCAAGTAGTTGAAAAAGTCGGTCGACGCAGTGATAGTCCGGTGGGGTGTTTTGGGCGAGTGGGTCAATAGGGCGGCGGGTGGAATCTCCAGGAAGATGGCGGATTCAACCAACGTGAGCTGGTAAGCTACAAGATATGCCGGGAATTCGAGAATGGACGTGATACTGGCTGACCGATAAAGGAGCTCCCGGACTTTGGTGATGGTGGCCATGACATTGGCGATCATGGAGGTATACTTGTTAAGGTTCTCCTGGAGAGTCTGAAGGTCGACCTCGTCCTCGGACGAGTCGCGTTTCGACTTGGTGCCATTGTCATTGCCCTGGATTTGCAGTGGCCTCTCCTGAAGTTTCTGGCGAGTCTCGGCGAGCTTGGTGGAGCAAGTCTTTTCCTTTTCGACGAGGGTACGATGGGTTGTCCTGAGAGGTGTTACTGGGATCAAGGGGATATGGTCACTGGGTCCGTAAGTCTTTTGCGCCAACTGGTCCTCGTTGTCGCCGTTGATTCGCTCTGCCTCGACCAAGTTGGTAGGGTCGACACTGCCGTCGGGAATGACGGTGATAAAGGCGCTGCTCTGGCTGCTGTGAGCTGCATACTGAGGCAGGGTATATGGGCGAGATCGGCCTGCTGAGGAGATGCTGGAGGATATGCTGGAGGGTGATAGTGTTGGTGAGGTTGGGACAGAGAGTGGTGTTCCCGGACGCCTTGTCGGAGCTGGAATGGCTATGCTAGGTGAGGATGCCCTCCTATTGAGAGGTGGCGAGAACACATGACCTAGATGTGCAGTTGGCACACGCACAGAGAGCAGGCTGTGTTAAATTTTGGAACTTTGTGCATGGTCCGACCATCGTCACGCTGTGAACAGAAACAGGTCATCCGTTTTGAGCCACGCCGATCTTACCTTCTAGGTCGTCATCGTCATCGTCATCGTCATCGTCATCGTCATCGTCTTCATCCGAGTCATCCTCGTCCATAGAATTTTCCTCCACTTTGATGTCGTTAAGCTTCCTGTACAGACGCGCCGGTTTGGGCGGGAGTGGTGGTTTAGATTGAGGGGGTGAATTGAGTCCAGCGATGGCCATGTGTTGGGGCGGCATAGATTGTGGTCGCGTTGGGTACTCTGCTGTTGGGGTAGTTTGATTGCTTCCGGATCCATGGTAGAGGAGATGATTGGGGCTGGTGTTGCCTCCTAAGGACGGCATAGTCCCTTTCTCTGAAAAGCCCAAGAGCGGACTCCTACTGGGTGGAGTTGGCGAGATTGTTGGCGGAGGAGGCCGCCGTGTAGGTTTTGGTGGGATGGTTGGTAGAGATGTACGGTTGAGTGGCGGGGAGACGGGACTGAGAGTAGAGTTGTTGGTGGGTCCAGATCGGGAGAAGGAGGAGATTCTAGAGGAGACGGGCGAGGGCGACTGTTGTGACTCTGTGCCGCTCAGATCCGGGCCTGTGGCCTGCAGTTGCTCTGTCAACATGGTTACTGTCTTTGTCTGTCCTGAGGTGATCCTGTCCGAGTGCCTGGAAAGCGATGTCTTTCGAGGAAGGGCCGAGGGTTCTGTGATAGCAGCTATAGCAGCATTGTGTTTAGATAGGATATCCTGCGCATAGGCGACACTAGACCGCGTGATGGTGATGAGTGACACTGTTGTTGTTGAGGTGATGGCAACTAGTCCAAAGAAAAATAAGAACAGCAGTATAAGGTCATCAGTTCAAGCGAACCTAGTGGACGAGCGAGTCATGGAGCATAAACTTATTTTGACGGGTCGAATGAGTTCTGGGTCGAGTCGAGACACTCTGCAAAGGGGCGAGGAAGGGTGAGGATGATCACGAGGACAGTACCATTGGCAATGAACTTGACTTTCCGGAGCTCGATCGCAGCTGCGTCGATGATATCCAGGTAATAGAAGTAGGCATCCTAAGCAGCGTGCAATTCATATAAGAGGGCGCTCGTCGCGTCAGTGTGTTTTCTTTCTTTGTGCTTTTTGGTCCTGAACTGAGCCCGTTCGATTGTTGTTACTGTTTGTTGACAAAAGGGTGCTTGCTGTCAGGTCGTAGTTTTCCGGACAAAAAGGGTCGGGAGGGATGGGCTGCAGCAAGTACAGCAGCAACAGGTACTTGTTAAATGCTAATATATTTGTTGGTCCTTCCTTGCAAGGCTGTCTGGTTGTACCTTGAAGTTGCCGGAGGAGAGCGCATCGGCCGACCTCGCCAGCATCGACTGGATCTCTTCCATGGCTGGCTGTATATTTGTTTGGCACTACTGGGGTGGATGGCCAGCGGGGCCCAGAGCCAAGAAGAAGGAGGGAATGGGTTGAGGTTGGGTGTTGTAGACTGGTGAATGGTCAGATGACAGACGACAGCGAGTATGAAGGAGTGTGAAAGAAAAGTTGCGGTGTGAGCGAAGAGGATGTATAGATGTATAGGATGAGATGGGCGAGCAGAGGAGGGTTAGGAATGAAAGGGAGAGAGAGAAGGAGAGAGAGAGAAAGAGAAAGAGAATGAGAGAGGGAGGGAGAGAGAGAGAGGGCTGATGGTTATGGTCAGTTGGTCGATGTTGATGGATAAGAAAGAAGGGAAGAGTAAAGGCGGATGAGAGGGGAGAGAAGAAAACAAAAGAAAAAGAGGCTCAGGCACACAACTCACACAGAGAGACAGGCGGAAACAAGGGAGACAAGGAAGCCTGACTACTGGCTACCGCCAAAAAAGTAAAAGAAAAAAGGAAAAAGGAAAGGGACGGAATAGAAGAACAGACGAGAAGAAACAAGGGCGACCGAGACAATGATGAGTGCATGTGTGTATATGTCTGTCTGTTTGAGTCTCTGAGAGGCAACAATGAGGATGACCAGGGTCGAGAAGAGGACAACACACTGTGTTTCTTGTTGTTGTGCAGAAAAAAAAAAGAGTAAGGAAAGAAGCTGGACAAAAGACGGAAGGAACTGAAAAAGAGGAAAAAGAACAAAAAAAGGGTCGCCAGGTTGGATGCCCCCCCCCCCTCCCCAACACTGATGCAGAAAAGATTGTATGTTTGTAAGAGAAAAAAAGACGAGAGCCAAGGGCAACAAGGTTTCTTGTTCTCACATCCAATTGGCAAACGAACAAAAGAGTCAAAATTTCATTTGCGAATGAATCTTGTCTTTCTACCCCCAGCAGCCTGGCCCTGGCTCTCTCTGACTCTCTCTCGCTCTCGCTCTCTCATCTCTTACTCTTGCGGCAATAGACAACACTGGTCAGATGGATCCTGCCCTATATGTTTTGACTCTTTTTTTTTTTTTTTTTTTTTTTTATTCTTGGCTGATAAATAACAAAGTGAACAAACAATTGGAGGTCCCCAACTCACCATCCATCATCATGCCCAAGGTACCGCAAGGATGCTCACCACCCAAGTGTTATCACACTTCCCTCCAGATCAACAGCTCGCACCACGCCGATAAGATCCTGTCCGATAACAACAACAACAAACAACAAAACACTCAACAACCACCTGAACAAAAAAAAACTCCTCCTGTGCCCATTCTTTCATGAACGAAACATCCTTCACTCATTGTCCATTCAACACTCTCACTTTTCACTTCTAGCCAGGAACTAATGCCAACACTCACCTGGCTAAAGCCAACAAGGTCAGCCACAGCTTGCCTCATTGCTCTTTCTTGACGACTCATCATTCACTCTCATTTTACAATGGAAAAAGGCACTCTCGATCACTTGTCACTGACACTTCCTTCCTTACCCCCTCATTTTTCTTTCTCACTTTGAATTGTGCTCAACCTTTTATTTCGCCTCTCCTTGTGGCTCCGCAATCTGCTCACTTCAAAAAAAAAACACTACAACAAATAGCTCACCTCGATTCAATTGAATGGACTCTTTGCCTTGCAAAAGGAGCACACTCCGGAAAGGTATTTCTATTGCCCCTTTGGAACGTTTCGATTGTTCCGACTACTAGCCATTCGACGACAACAGTGTAAGCAAAGCAACCCAGATTCCCCCATACTTCTAACGACCTCTCCACTTTCTCACCCATCTTCCCGTGTGTGGAGTAGATATCCCGAATGCACCCTCTCGACAGTCGCGTATCACATTGACGATATGACCCCTGCGCTCCTTACCTTTGCAATTGACCTCGTTGAGTCTAACATGAGCGAGCTGTAAGTCCGAAACCTTTTCATTTCTGCACAAATGTCAAATGTCACCGTCGTTATAATTCAAATGCATGTGCCTGACTTCAATAATTGCCTATATATCAACACAGGTACATCAAATCCAAGGATGGCTGGTGCAGAGAGGACAAGGAAGACGAGATGCAGGATGTCACGTCGCGGTATCTGATCGCGTTCCATAACGACAAGCCAGTCGGCATGGTTCACTTTCAGTTTGTCGATGAGGAGACAATGACCGATCACGACGCCGAGGTCGCTTACTGGTATCTACTATTTATTTTTTTATTTGAGTATACACCGAGGAGTGATGATCCAGGACGCGTGCTAAAACACCATATTCGATGTTCTCCTCCGTTCACTATGTATGATTCATTTTATTCATTAGCTTTGAGATCCAGGTTATGCCTGAATATCAGCGGCGAGGCATCGGCGCGTATCTTATTAGTCTGCTAGAGACCATTGGAAAGGCGACCCAGATGGAGAAGGTTATGCTGACGGTGTTCAAAGGTACCTTGGAATAGACCCTTTACTGGAGACGACTGTTGTTGAAACTGCTATGAGTTAAAAGACTCGCCGATATACGCGCTGACACTTTTCGCATGCTCCCTCTCTCCATATCCTTTCTGAAATAGCGAACAAGAACGCGATCAAGTTTTACATTGAGCAAATGCAGTAAGTATCTAAGCAGCATTGACAGATGCATATCCAGTTCGTGCCTGGTTCCTGTCGTTACTCTATTGAGCTAATCGGCAACAACATCAACAACAACATGCTGATGTAGTGACTGATGTATTGATGAATGATGATTCTGATCAGAAACATCTCCTTTATTTTCAGGTACAACTACGACGAGATCTCGCCATGTGTCTGTTTAACCCGAGGAAGAGCTTCCAGGTTTGACTACGAGATCCTCAGCAAGCCATTGCAACCCATCATCAGGCCTTAGAACATTGTCTTATGACACAATACAAACAGACCTAACAAAGAAAAAAAGCTCGGACTATTTTGATGTTTTGACTCGAAAAGTCAAGCACAACTCGTGGTTTATATGGACGATAAGGCGTGGAGAAAGAAGAAAGAAGGGATGAAGACCAATGAGAAAAAGAATACAGGGGTTGTAAGGTCTGAAACCATCTGGTAACCCTGACAAATAAGAGGGGTGAGCCCCAAACAGGAAAGAAAGAAAAAAAATTACCCTGCATACACGCGTCGCCCCCCTAACGAGATTAGGGGGTTAAGAAAAGAGGCAATAAGAGGTGCCAGCGTGATGAATGCGACCAGTCGGAGGCAATAAACGAGCGGCAATGAGAGTCTATTAAGACAACGACTGGGCTGCTGGTCGTCCCCCTTGTTTGCCTGACTTTTTATTTTTTTGGTTTCTTTGGTTCTCCTTCTATTCTTCGTTCAATCGAGTCAGTTCTCATTCTTCTAAAGTTGCCTTCTACGTCTTTTTGCACCTTACCATCAATCAAACGAACGTGAGCTGCCCGAAAGACCACGCGTTGGTCTCCTCATATCCCCCCCCCCCCTTTTTTTTTGTTGTTAATAAAAAAACGCCCGGCTCTCTGTTACCGGTAGTAAGCTAAGAAGGAAAAAGTTGCTAATGAAACGACGTACACCCGATGTTACAGTATTTTTTTATCTCCTTGCATTACTGGCGGTGGTTGCGCCATTTTGGATGGTCCGAGTCCAGACTTTCACACACCCATCAACATCAAACAAAATGTGGGCATAGGGCAGTGCCAGTGCCAATTGAAGAAAAAGAAAGTGCTTGTGTTTTCTTCTGTTGTTTATATTTTTTTTATTTGTGGTATTGGTGTCGGTAAGAGTGGGCAGGGGAACTCACTTGGACTCATTTAGAGCACTGTCGACAAACAAAGAAGCGGACAAAATGGATGTTTGATTGGCTGTTGGTGATAATGGTCTCTGTGTTCGTGTCTGTGTGGATGTCAAGCGTGAGTAAGCGAGAAAGAGCTCATTTGGAGACATAAGGAAAAGCAAATTGTTGGACACAAGTTGAGCCATAAGAATGGAAGAAAGGAGAGAGGGAAGGATGGGTGGATGGAAAACGAGAGCATCTTGCTGAACTTGAAGAACAACGAGGGGGATAGATGGAGAAAAAGAGAAGAAAAAGAGAAGAAAAAGAAGTGGAGCGAAGAGAAGAAGAGACGTACAGAAGCATGGATGATGGAGCGATAATCGACTTGTTCTATGGCTGGGCATCGATAGAGATCCGCGGGAATATCGCTGCAGGTTGCAACAACAACAAGGGAAAAAAAAAGAGCGACGGTGTCTTGCTTATTTCATGGCGGGCCCCTTTGACTTAATGTATACATTATATGGCGCACCTGCCACTCTTTGGCTCGGGTCAAGCTCAGCTGAGGCCCCGTCCTACGTGGCCATGTCATTCTTCTTATTCCCTCATATAGCTTTTCCTCAGGTTCGCGACTAGAAGGCGAGTGAAGAGTCAAGAGTGAAGTGAAGATGGGAGTGACTGAATAATAAGCAACACGCTGGATGAGTTGACCAGTCAGCCAGTAGCGAGTGGCAAGTGTTGCTTGGTTGTGTGGATGTTTCCCTCCCATGTCTCGTGTTGATAGGCGAACTCAAATCAACAAAGCAACAACTTGGTTTTTTCCCTCCCTTTTTTCTTTCTTCCCTTTTCCCTTTCTTTGCCTTGTCTCTTTCCTCTTCTTCCTCTTCTTTATCCTTTCCCTTTGTCTCCTTTCCTCCTCCTCCTCCCTCCCCCGCTCTGTTTTCTTTCTTTTCTCTCTCTTTCTCTGTCTTTCTCTGTCTCTCTCTCTCTCTTTCCTTCTCTCCCTCTCTCTTTCTCTCTCTCTTTCTCCTTCTCTTTCTCTCCCTCTCGCGTCCTCCTGCTTCCTACTCCTTTCTCTTCTTTTCACTTCCCTCCCTTTTCCCTTCACTCTGCACTCACTTTTCTTACTTATTTCTCTGCCTTTCTATTCTATCATTTTCACACTCACACGCCTCCTCCCCATCAACTCATCAACTCATCAACTCAACTGTACAGCCTCACTCTCATTCCCCACTCTACTCCTACCCCGCCATCACCTATTTCATACACATACCCTCATCCCACTTTTAAACCCAAAACCAAACAAAGCGTAGAAACACAACGTCCATGTCAAACCTCCGACGCTCTCTTCAAAACAAGGCAAGCAACGGCGGTCTCTCCCCCACACGCTCCCCCGCCGTCGCCATGGCCCCGCCCCGCAAGGTTATCAAAGCCCTTTACGACTACGACTCCCAGCAGACCCAGGAACTCTCTTTCTCCAAGGGCGACTTTTTCCACGTCGTCGGCAACGAGGACGACGAGGACTGGTACGAGGCCTGCAACCCCATCACAGGCGCCAGAGGCTTTGTCCCAGTCACTTACTTTCAGTCTTTGGAAAAGACTGGCACCTCCGGTCCACCTCAGAGGCGTCAAAGGAACAGCAACCAGAGCTTCGAAGACACTGGCAACGATTCTGGCTCCTTTACCGATCTTTCTCCTCACCATTACCAACAACAACAGCAGCAACAACAACATTATCAGCACAGTCATTCTCTCTCAAACGGTGGTGGCGCCGTTGGTGGCGTCTCCTCTGCGTCTTCATCGGCAATGTCTCAAAAAGGCGCCTCCTCTCCTACCCTTCCAAAGTGTCAGCCCCTGTACGGCATTGTCTTGTACGATTTTGGCGCCGAGAGAGCGGATGAGCTTGACTGCAAAGTGGGCGATGCGATCCTGGTCATTGCCCAATCGAACGAGGAATGGTATGTCGCCAAGCCGATTGGACGTCTGGGTGGTCCTGGGCTCATCCCTGTGAGCTTTGTTGAGATCCGAGATATGGCGACTGGAAAAGCTATCAACGTCCCCGAGATGCTTCGACAGACTGGAACGGCAATCCCGCGCGTGGAAGAGTGGAAGAAGCAGACAATGGATTACAAAGCCAACAGTATTCCTCTAGGACGCATTGACGACCAGCAACAACAACATCCACCACATCAGCAACCTGCACCAGTTCAACAGCAAGTTCAGCAGCAACAACAGCCTTCTCATGCCTCGGGGCTGGGCATGCATCCGCAACACTTTATTCAGCAACAGCACCAACAGAGTACTGGACCAACGATTCAGCAGCTCAAGAACAAAATGTCTAGAGGCGACCTCAAATCTCAACAGAGCACGAGGGACCTGGGAGTAAGGAGGAGACCCTCTCAAGAGGATATTGGTCGTCGTGTGGTAAGAAGTTTTTTCAATTTGCTTTGTAACCTATTTGCGTGGTCAAAAAAAACTTTCATGCCTTCGCATGTGTTTATGTTTTGTTTTGTTTTGCCCTGTACCACTGCTCTTTCAGTTTGTCAGGTTGTCTACTTCAACTTCTTTTTTGTTGTTCAAACGCAATAAGGGCAGAAGGAGGGTGGAATCGGTGACGATTTTGCGTTTGTTCATCCGTGGAGATATGGTCATCACGACTTCTTTGTACTCGTGTTTTCATATGCATCAGCCATACCCACATTGACTCCGTCCCGCGCTCATTTCTCCTCGGTGCTAATATTCTGGCACACCACCACCACCCAGCCCGCGCTTTTTCTGCATTTGAACCTGTGGGCTTACGTGATAAAGTGCTCTTATTTTGAAATGTATCACTTACCCAAACCTCCTCTCTATCTGTCCGTCAAATAGGATTCTTCCAACGGAGCAACGGCTCCACTGGGCTCTGCTCGATCTCACCACAACGACACATACGACGACAACAATGGCCATGCAGACCACCCAAGTCGCATCATCAACGCCTCGGTCGAGTCGTTCCACCATGAAGACGATCAGTATTGGTTCACTGTTCGCGTCGAATTGGCCTCTGGCGCGAGTCGAAACCTATTCAGACTGTACGAGGACTTTTACGACTTCCACATTGCCCTTCTGGAAGAGTTCCCGGTCGAATCTGGACGAGTGGGCGACCAGCCTCGGATCCTGCCCTTCATGCCGATTCCCTTGCAGGTTGTAACGGATACTGTCTCGGCTTCTCGAAGGTCCGATCTGGATGGCTATGTCCAGGACCTGTGCAAGTTGCCGTCGAGGATTACGCTGCACCATCTGGTGGAACAGTTATTTGCAGTCAGGGAAGGAGATACGGAGACACCCGCAGGCGCTGCGAATGGAAACGCACACGGAAATGGACATGGAAACGGCACCTCTGTCTCTGGAGGACTCAATTCGCCCTCATTGGGACGGTCTGGTCCCAGCAATGGATCTTCACTGCCAAGCAATGTTCGAGAACAGGAGCGACGGACCTCGCCGGCGGCCAATGGAGGAGGAACCCGCGCGGTCTTTTCTACCAGGAATCAGGGTCAACGCAGCTATGGCGATGATTCGCCCTCGGGAGGCGTGTCGCCTAGTATGCGTTCACAAGCACAGTTCCCTGGTTCCAATAATGCGCTATCTGTAGGAGTTGGAGGGCTGAGTGGATCTGCGTCTTCGGAAGAGATGATCAAGATCAAGATCTCGTACCACGAAGACATTATGGCGATGAGGATACCGGTGTCGATCTCGTTCCGGTTGCTGCAACAAAAGATCTTTGAGCGTCTGCATTTGGATCATAAGGACCTTAGCTACCGAGACGACCGTGGCGATTTTGCGACGATCCAGAACGATGGCGATGTCCGAGACGCCATTGACCGCAGTGGCGGCAAGTTGATGATTTATGTTGACTAACGTTCTACCACACAGTCATCCATAGCCTTTTTATGAGAAAATAACACGCATGCATACATTCACATCTTACCCTATTCATCACCTATTCACACCTTTTCATAAACCACTTGAATAAAAAAAATATATATCCATGTCATATGATAATATAATGGTATTGTTATGTGTCTATGTGTAAACAAGAGCATCTCCTTCAAAGCTTCAACTTCCATCCCTGCACATTCCAAGTCCAGGCCAAGCCCGTAACAGCCGCAATATAAGCCGTCAAGATCCCCAACGCTTGCAAGTTAGATGAATAAAGCGTCTTGACTGTCATATTCACCAACCCAGTCATCACATTCGCAACCAAGAAAACTGCCAGTCCGTTCTTGTTCACAGCTTCCAGGAGAGGTGGGCAGGACAGTGGAGGGAGTTGAACAGTTGCGGCGACGACGCGTTTTTTGCTGCTACCGGTGGAGGCGGTGGAGAGGTTTGCCTTTGCTTGTGCGCGGGCGATGGCGAGAGCGGAGGGCTCGTTGAGGGTGATTGCGATCTCTGCGAGGAGAAAGCAGAGGATGTATCCTGTATTGAAGGTGATGACCCAGAAGAAGTAGGATAAGTTTGCCTATTTGAACGAATTGAGGGTGAATGAAAAGGAGAGGGCGAAGGAGAGAATTGACAAGGGGGGATGGCCAGTCAGTCTCTTGCGTTTCATGGAGAACCAAAAACAAAACAAGGAAAACGAAACGAAAAAAAAAGGAGGGAGGGGGGGAGGGCACGTACCATTTGACGAGAGACGGGGACGTGAAGGATCCCATAGCTGGTGATGAATCCCATGCAGAGGAGGAAGAAGAGTGAAAGCAGAACCATGGCCAGCTTGCCCTTCTTGGCCTTCTTCTTGTTACTCTTTCGGCGCGTGAAGAAGTATGGGTCGTTGGGGAGGACGTACAGTCCGACATCGACGCCCACCAAGAAGATCGCCAAGTAACCTATGTGATTTGATTATAAAGAGGTAGAGGACCTGTGAGTGTTTTTCCTGCTTGGCGCTGCTTCGTTGCTCGAAGGTGTGGGAGTTTGTGCTTACCAGCGAAACTGAAGATGCCCTCCTTGTTCATGCTGACGATGTCGACTCTGGGGGCATGCTGGATGTACTCCTCGAGTCCTCCATACGACAAAAAGTATTGGTAAACTAGGTTATAAGAAATGAAGGACGGAAGTAACCGAAATGTTAATGAGTAAATAACTTAGCGGTGAATTCGATCATACCCTCATTGCTCAAAAGGACGCAGCAGCACCAAGCAAGTCCTTACCAAGTGCGACGCCAGTTCCAAGGATAGAGAAGCGAACATAGTTGGCGAGGCTTCTGAAGAGGGTGACAAAGATGGGGAGGAACCCGAGGGTGAAGAAAAAGTTCCAGTGCATGCCGTACTCGGTGACATGCTCCTGATAGTCGACACCCTTTGTCGAGATGTAGCGACCAAGACCCAGGACCAGCAATGGGATCGAAGTGCGCAGGGCGATCACCATTTGCTTGGCAAAGGGCAGTGTCTCCTTCTTGAGATATCCACGGGCCGATACTACTCCTGACGAGAACACGAACGAGCCCACTCCGAGATCCATCTGTTGCACGTAATCAAAAGAAGTGGTGTTAGAGCATACATTGTTCGCTCAAATGATCCTGCATTGCGATGATAAACAAGACAACTTGAATCGGTGCAGGAATTACCAGAGAGGTGCCGTAGACCTCGACCTTGCCGAAGCGACGAGGGAAGATGGGGAAATCGACGGCCAAGATGGCAATGCAGGTCAAGATCATCATTCCGGCGCGATAGACACTCAAAAAGATTTTGTGTGGGTTATCATCATGCTTGGTCGCCTTGAGTTTCTTGACAGCCGCAACGGAATCGTGCAACTCCAGAGTCGCATGGTCGCCCTTTGAATGACCCTTGCGTTGACGGAACCCATCCTGATGGTCCTGTTCGTCCTGTTGCTGTTGCTCCTGAATCAGCGACGAGTCCTCCACCTTCGACGTCTTATTGTTTTTCTCATCCTCATCGTCCTCTGTAAAGTCATCGTCAGAGTCCTTCCACTTGAACCTTTTCTTCTCCTTCTTCAAAATGTCATCCTCGCTCGGCCCGCAGACCGACTTGATCACAGCCGCAAAGACCAACGTCGCAAACGACCAAAGATACGCATAGTCCGCAAAGAGCGTGCAGCTCAACAGCATGGGCACCACCAGTGTCGAAAAATCCAAGAGATAAGACCCCAAGCTGTTGCGGATACGGGTCTTGGCCTGTTTGGAACCTGCAAGGAGCATCTGGTGGGCGGGCGATTGAGGATGGTACTTTTGGATGGAGGCCCAGAAGATGAATGTGGTGAGGGCGGCTGCGGTGACGAGGGTTGCTTCGGACATGGAGCCACCGGCGTGGCCGGTGACCCAGGCTTCTTTCTCAGCCTTGTAAGCTGCTGCTGCAGCGGCAGATTCTGATCCCATGGGTGGTGGGTAGTGGGGGGCTGGTGCGGGTTAATGGGAAAGAAGAGAGGGAAGTTAAAGTTTGAGAGGACGTTCAGAAGGATAAAAAAAGAACAGCGCTCCACAAAGGAGTAATTGATGTGCCGTCTGTCCACAGTCACTTCACCACCAAAGGGTGTACCTCACCATTCAAATCCCTTTGAAGCTTCAAGCTTCAAGCGTGTCCGCGTCGCTATTGAGAGGCATGCCTGGTGCAGCCACTCTTGTTCACTTGATCATATCTAAGGTACTGTAGAACTATCTTGTTCCACGCCATTGCCCGGTCGGATCAGACATTGTTTAAGGGCGATGCATCACTGGCGAATATCAATTTTCACGCGCAATTGCGTATACGTTAGATTTATTATCGGTGACGCTTACAAATCTGTGGAAACAGGGCCACCAAGACAAATTGATCAGCATTTGTTCGTTCGCTGTTTCCACAGCTCTTCTCATCACCAACACAGGACTCAGCAACACTATGGATATCTACAACAGCGGCGGGCCTGAAGTGTCCATCAGATCCCTCAAGAAGGACAGCATGAAGTTCGTTCTCACAAACACCGACCTGAGGTACCGCATGCAGGACTTTGAGGCAGATGCTGCATTGTCACACATACTTCATTCGCCATGACAGGAGGCTAAGTGCTTCGTTATGTGGTTTGGAGTTTTTTGACCAAGGTTATCTGAACCCACGAGCGCTGACAACCATTTTGTCGTTGCCTTTGTTCGCTCTGCTACTTCTATAACAGTGTCGCCAACGCTCTCAGACGTGTCATGATTGCCGAAGTGCCCACCATGGGTAAGTCGAAGGACAAGCACCAAAATATGTGCTGCGACATTACAAGTCTGTGCCACCAATACCCCTGAAGATCAGTGTACTTACTTATCCTTTTTACTTCTCTTTACAACTCTTGATAGCGATCGACATGGTGGAGATTGAAACAAACTCGACAGTGTTGACGGACGAGTTCATTGCACATCGTTTGGGAATGATCCCATTGACCAGCTTCGACGTTGACAGGATCCAATACACACGCGTATGTGCGCTTCGTGGAGCTCTGGAAGCCGTGCGGGATATGATTACCAAGACCAGGATTGCTAAAGGATCTATCTCTGATCTCTGTTTTTTCGAATATTGCTTATTTTCACTATCTGGGAATAGGATTGCACATGCACCCTGTACTGCCCGAACTGCTCCGTGGAGCTCACTCTCCACGTCAAGGTCAACGTGGACTACGACGACATGAACGACCCCACGATCGACAAAACCAGACAGGTCACCGCCTTAGATCTCATCAGCAGCGATGAAAGCGTGAAGCCCGTCTCTGATGGTAAGCGTCAGGATCAATTGTTTCTGCCCGTTTGATACTCAGGAGGATCATTCGTGCATGGATATGTCGACAGGACACAGAGCTGTGAACCTTGAACCTTCGACTGACCCCCAAAAACGATCACATCTCACCTTTACTGTTGTGCTTAGACAAAGCTCACCCTATCTTGATTGTGAAGATGAGACCCGGTCAGGAGTTGAAATTGAAGTGTATCGCTAAGAAGGGAGTCGCCAAGGAGCACGCAAAGTGGAGCCCAGTGTACGGTATATCGTTCGAGTATGACCCTTACAACAGACTGAGACACTCACACTACTGGATCGAGGAAGACGAGAAGCTGGAGTGGGGTGTCTCTGCCAACGCTGCAGAGGAGACACCAGTGGATCCCAATGAGCCCTTTGACTACAACGCCAAGCCTGACAAATACTACATCGAAGTCGAGGTAAGCATCTTTCCGGTGCATGTTGCCTTTTTTCTTTGCCTGATGTGTGTTTGTGAGTGGTTTCTTTCATGGCCAGGATGAAATTTTGACTCACAAGGTATTCTGATTTTCGACCAACTTCATTAGACTTCGGGATGTATGAAGCCAGAAGAGGTTGCGCTTCGCGCAATGACGATCATGCAGGACAAACTTGGAGGCTTGCAGATCAAGCTGGACGACGAGTTCAAGGAGGACACCCAGCGTTGGGGATATTAAAAGAAGCTGCTTGCAATGAACCAGCTTTTCCTCCCTTCTTTATTCTTGCGTAGTTGCAGCCTTGCTCTCAAATAAAAAATGTACATTATCAAGCCCACACTCTTCTTGTCAGACGTGTCCCGTATCTTATGTAGCATTCTTTATACCTTCGTTCCTTTTTTTTTTATGAAAAGGCTGTTCGTGGATGTACGTTAAACGCGCCACTGATACGTTCTATCCACAATGTCTTCAATAACAAGGACGATTGCGGGCTATCATTATAAAAGCGAGCTACTTCGCTACCACAACCACCACTACATCAACCACCACGATTCACCCACGGCTCCAATAACACGCTCTTCGACATTCAAGCAGTCAAAATGCCATATCATGAGTACTACCACTTTGTTACCACCATCCCCAGACTATCCAACTTGAACTATTCCCAGTTCGTAGAGTCAGTCAATCGCGCCATGAACGCCAGCCAGGCACCTCAGTCATCTTGCTTTGGTTCTGATGGGTTAACTAACGAGGGGTTCCGCAGGATCAACGGACCCATTTCTTCGACCCATGCCGACGTTCGTGATGCTACTGAGAGACTGCACCTGGACCTCTATGCAGAGTGGCATGTTCCCTATTATTGTTCTCGGGCCCTTTCTCATTCTCTTCTTCAGTGCCTCCAGCGCCGTACGTGATCGAATGTCGATCTCGTTCCGAATCGCCAGTGTGCGCCCTCAGTGTCCTCGACTCAAACCTTCATTCGGATCGGCTTCGGCGGCGACAACTAGCTCGACATATTACACCGCCAACCATTCCCTCGAACTTAGCTCTCCTCGTGAATACCCTCGCGACTCTTTCGAGTTGCTAACCGAGTTACCTCCTCCCTCTGTTCGGCAGGGTATTCACTTGATCCTTGGCGCCACCCTGATCGCCAGTACTAGGCAGACTTCTTTAGCTGAAGAAACCCTACACGCGCTTTCTAGGAGAGCAGAGGATTATTATTATCTAGTCTTAGGTTAAATACTAAGACGGAAAGAAGGCGGAAGAGGGTATCTTAAGGGCCACAAAGAATCGATGTGGCTGGCGAGACAGCCAATCAGGATCGATGTAAATTTTTGACCACGACAATAACAAAAATCCGTCTGCGGGTCGTTTGAACATCCTTTTTTGCCAACTTATCATCATGTCTGAGCAGGTGCGTCTGGGATGAACAACATAACTTCATCACTAGGCGTCTTGGGGGTTGAGATCAAGGATCGACATCATACCGATGGAAAGAGAGGCACCTTTTCCCGAGAAAACAACAGGATCAGGATCAGGAAAAATAGAATCGAATCATACATCGGGAAGCGATCTTCACTTTTATTGTTGTCTCCGGGGACACGAAAAAGAGAATGTTGCTACCCAGAAAAACGGCAATGGTCCTTTTGGCCTCCGGAACCTGTGATCCAATCTGGTCCAACACCCTACCGACAATGATCCCAGCACCGAGAGGATCATCCCAGGCTGACTTTTGTTCGAGATCGACCATCCTTGAAATCTCGAATGATCGCTACACATTCAACTTTCTCAGCCTAAAACTGCGATTCGATTCCCAGAACCCGACAAACTATTCCAACCCTTTGGCACCACTACCACTCTCCAACCCAACAAGGAGCCACAATACGTCGTGCGGGACTACACCTCATCAACATCAACAACCCACGACACACCTACCTTACCGACTTGGTTTTTTCTAACATCTCAGGGCAGTGTGAATAATACTCCACGGCGCAAAACACCAAGGCAAACTCGACAACCTGGAGCAATTGAACAATACCCGACTGTTGCCGTCTCCCTGGACAGCTGGCCTTGTCAATTGCTCCATCACCATGCCTTCGTCGCCCACCAGTCATCAGGACCCCCCATAACGCCCATATCAAACCTGCTCACAATTATTCGTTCCTTGTGTGCTAACGCCTTCCACCTGGTTCCTTCCCCAACGAACTGTCTTGCCTTACCATAGATTGAAAAGGCTTTCCAGAAGCAGCAGGGTATCTTCCAAAACGCCAAGGTTGCTGGCAAGAAGTCCGTCAAGAACAACCGCTGGTACAAGGAGGTTGGTCTCGGCTTCAAGACTCCCAAGGAGGCCATCGAGGGTCACTACATTGATAAGAAGTGCCCCTTCACCGGCGATGTTTCCATCCGTGGCCGCATCCTCACCGGTGAGATCATCTCCACCAAGATGAAGCGCACCATCATCATCCGTCGCGAGTACCTTCACTTCATCTCCAAGTACAACCGTTATGAGAAGCGCCACAAGGTACATTTTTCATTCTTTACATGACACTACAGCACTGTTTTTGCAGCGAAGAAACGCACCTGCATTGCGTTGATCGTGAGACTTACAAGGCTCCTTTTTTTTTTACTCAACCTACAACAGAACTTGGCCGCTCACTTGTCGCCTGCCTTCATTGCTGTCCAGCAGGGTGACACCGTCACCGTTGGTCAGTGCCGCCCCCTCTCCAAGACTGTCCGCTTCAACGTCCTCAAGGTCCAGAAGAAGGTCGTCAAGGGTGCCAAGAACTTTGCCAAGTTCTAAATCATCAAAAAGTATTCCTATACTTTTTTTTGTCTCCACTAAATAAACTGTCAGCGTCTGCCAAAGTTTTTCAAGAAGCAATATCTCCTTCGTGAATATACATGTGTTTCTTTTCGTTTGTTATGGTTGAATGCACCTGTTGCTGGGGATAGAAATTCGTTGTGGGCAGAGGATGCCTATGTACTTGCTCTGAAGCAAAACTCTTGAGTGCACTCTCAATGACCACGCGATCTTGACAGTAAACCCTCAGACACGCCATGTGGAGAGACATTGTTGGCTTCAATTAGACGAAATAGGTTTTATTTTGTAAGGGAAGTAGAAAAATGCACTGTGAGTAATAGATAGAGTAACGTACTAAATAAATGGCTTCCTATACTAGGAAGCGGTTACTTTAGACGGAGGGGTTTATACAAAGAAAAATCAGCCAAGCACTTAGAGATGCTTGAGGTTGGCAGGCTCGTCCTCATTGATGGCATCGCCATGGGCGCGAGTCGCCTCGGTAGCGGCAGGGGCGGGGATAACCTTCTGGTCCTCGAGCTCAAGAGATTGCTTCTCTCCGCTGGTGGCGTTGGAGAGGTTGTGGGAGGCATTGAGGGCGTTGGCCTTCGCGATGCGTCTGCGCTTCAATTTCATGAAGACCAGGATGGCGATAACAATCAACCAGTAGGCGATGTAGCAGACCACCGAGCCGATTGTTCCGATGTTGGACCAGCCCTATTAAGACGTGATGACAATCAGTGATGAGTTAAACGGTTTCAAATACTGATGATCAAGCACTCACAGCAATTAGCATCATCAAAATTATCAACTTACGAAGAGGGCGTTGAACAATTGCCAGCCTCCTTGATCGTTGTTGTTGGGGTCGCAGCAGCTGAGGGCCCAGATATTGTAGCGAGGATCGTAGGTGCCACCGTCATCGGACTGGGCATTGGTGAGCTTGCCCCAGACATAGGACTCAAAGGCAGCAACAGCCCTGGCAACCAAACCAGCAGCGAGCAAGAGCAAAAGGCAGGTCGAGGCGGTAAAGAATCGATGCAAGTTCATTCCGTTACCTCCACGGTAAATGATGTAACCGACAAGGAATCCAGAGAGTAGACCGATGACGACAGCCAGAGGGATCGACTTGGACTCGGTTGTGAATGTCACCTATGGGAAAGGAGAAGATGCAGGCCGAAAGGGAAGGGGAGAGAAGTTGGGGTTAGGCAATGCACGATAGGTGTACCATCTCGGAAAAAGGAAACGTTGCTCGTCGGAGATGAAAGCGACATGCAGCTATATGTCATAGTCTCCCAACAACCACACCCGAAAGAAAGATACTTACTCCTCCGATGAAGACAATGGCTTCGAGACCCTCACGAAGGACGGTAATCAAAGGGAGAATAAACATGGCATAGCGACGGGAAGTGTTACCGAGGCCCTTCTCATTCTCGTGGTCCATGGCCTTGGAGAGCTTGACCTTCCACTTCTCTTGCATCTGGGTAGTACGGAGCATGGCCAAACCCATAACCGTGATCATGGCCACGGCAACGAGGGAAAACACTCCAACCCAGATGCCCTCACTGTTAAGCCACAAGTTGTTACCATACTTGTTCCTATCAGATCAAACAAAGCGCGTGAATATAAACAAAAAAGTAAACGTTGTTTGTTAGTTTACCCAGATATGTAAGAAGTGGAGGTGGATAGTCCAAAAAAAAAGCGAGATGAGTAGATGGAAAAGATGCAGGCGGACACATATAGTCAACCAGGTCCGAGATCAGATGCAGGGGAGGAGGTTTTGCTGGTTGTTTTTGTTGTTGTTTCTGTTATTCGTTTTTTTCTTTTTGGCGCAGGGATAGGAAGAGGACCGAGCAGCAGCCTGTGATTGGAGCATGCTGATGGTCCAAGGAGAAAAGTAGGGGGGTAGAAAAAGGCGACAAGAAAAAGAGCGATGGCAAAAGAGGAAAGCGAGAGCCGAGTCCACTAAGCCGAGGAGCATGCACACCATCTCTCCCTAACTTTGCTTCTTCTTTCAACCGCTGTCCATGTTGCCACATATGGCCATGTATCTCCGCCCATGTTTTCTCGTTTTTCTTGCACCTTACTCGGATGGACCTGGCGGGATGTAAAATACAACGCCGAAAGGGCCAAAAAGGGAGGAAGGGACGAAGGGGAAGGAGAAAATGGAAAGATGAACGGAGAGAAGCGGAAAAGGAGACTCACCAGACGACAATGAATGCTGCTCCTATAGCTATGGAGATTAGCAATCCCAGGAGTGTTCCTGCCCAGACCTATTTGAAAATTTTCGAGGAATTCATGCCAAATAGTCAGCAATTGAGAATAAAAAAAGCATCGAGTACGATACGTGTATAAAGGATGTGAAGTGCCATTGCTGAAGTGTTAAACGAGTCCTTGGCACTTTGGAATGCTATTCCCTATGCATTCTCGACCACCCTTGCAGTTCTAGCGGCTAATCATCGTTTTTACCTGGCGGGAGAGGCGCTTTCGCATTTGGTCATCACCGACGAGAACTTGACTCAAAAACGAGAGCAAAACCGACACAATGACGGCAGCTTCCGTAGTTTCACGGAAAATGACGAAATAGATGGGGACCGAGAAAATCGAACCCATAGCGACGTTAATGCAAGAGAAATGGGGACTTTAAGTGGATGAGAAGAAATGGAATGAGTTTTTTTTCACGGATGGAAGAGAAAAAAAATCAACACAACAGCACCGTTGTTGTAGCAAATGAATAGGGAAGGGTGTGGAGGGAGGAAAGGACCGGATGTGAGCCACAGGCGGAAGGAAGGAAAGAGAGGCAATGGTTGGGTGAAGAAGAAGAGAAAAAAAAGAGAAAACGAGAGGAGAGAGTCGCGAGAGTTTTAAATGGTTATCAGATGGAATGGAGCACCCCGGGTCAATCTGATAAAAAAAACAATCCATCAGTGTTGTCAAGCCCGACCAACCAACGGCAGACCTCTGGGCTTATGGATCGGGTGTGATTGGTAAGGGCGAGTCAGTTCACAGGGGTGTTTACTCGCGGTGGTTCGTTGTCCGTCTGAAGTTAAGAGAGCGGCATTTTTTTTTCTCTCCTTATCCCTTTTCCCCTGTCCTTTTTCGCTCACACGCAGTTCTCCTGGCCTGGTCTGCTCTGCGACAGAGAGGAGTCATACACCCTCTCTCTTTGTTTGTGTCTTTGTTTTTTTTCTTTTCTGCATCTCAAATGAGCTCTGAGTGTCAAAACAAAAACCAAAAACACAAAAGATGAGCCTAGTGGGCGGGTACATGTCCCATGTATTCACCATTTGTGTCCGTCTCTCTTTCTCAAACTGAGATTCTATCCAAAAAGGGCCTCCTTCTTCACACTGAGAAAATGGCAACGACCAAAATGCGCCTAAATAGTACAACTCTTCCCTCGTTTTGTCCTCCTGGACACATCCATGTTTTCTCCGCTTACTGCATACACAAAGAGAAACAACACTCACGCAATTTTCCCTTTAGTTTTCATTCCTTCCCTCCTACCTTTCTTTTTCTTTTTCTTTTCAATGTCATTCGTTGGTGCAGATCGACCGTTCTGGGCCATTAGGGGTGACATCTTTACTCCTTCCTCTTCCATTAGCATTTTACACACATCGGCGGTGGTTTTTATAGATGACTTGTTTTTTTAATGCGACTAGTAATAAGAATGAGCTACATGCGTAACTGTGGGTATAAGGGGAACCCTAATGTAAAAGATGAGATGGTAGCGGCAACGAAAAAGAGTTGGACCAGCCAAGACTCTACAGTACAATTGCATCTCCCCTTCTCGCTTTTTAGTCTCCGTTTCTGTGCATGCACGATCGACAGGAACAAAAGGCCCAGGCTGTCGTTGTGATGATAAGAGATCCTGAGTTTGTTGTTGTTGTTGATTGATCCTTGTTGTTTAGACATAGTTCCAGGTGATGTTAAGGATACCGATGGCGAGGTGGTCAAGCTTCTTGAAGGCATAGGGGGAGAGGTCAAGGGAGCCCCAGGCACACTGGTCGCCAGGGCACTTGTCAACAACACGGGCGACGACAGAGCGCTCGGGGTGGTCGGCGTTGACGATGCGGACGCGCCGGTTGCAGACGGGGTTTCCCCAGGACTGAATGCCCATCTGATGGGAGTTCAGTGCCACGATGGGCTCCTTGTATCCGTTCCATTTGTAGCTGCATGCGCCATAGCTGTCAGTGAACTATTTTTCGGGTAAATAAAAAGGGACATGATAGAAGAAGGAAAAAAAGACGCAAAGAGTGTATGTATTAGATTATGCTTGTCCAAAAACGATCTGATAACGTTAAAGTAAGGCGAGGTTTTGCCAGGGCCTGTCGGTCATTCGAAAAAAATCTTTTTTACTTACCCAGGTGGCTTTGCCTCGGTGTGTGATAGAGGTCGAGTAGGGATCGTTGGAATTGAGAGTCACAAGAGGGTCCTCGTCGATATTGCCAATAAGCTCAACAGGGACGGTCTCGTTGGCTGGCGACGAAGGGATGGCGACCGTGGAATTGTCGGCAGTGGGGGCGACCACAGGAGCTGCACCAACCAAGGAGGCAGTAACAGTGGCGGCGAAAAGAATGAAGGAAGAGATCTTGACCATTGTGGATAGAGTTGAATGTGTGAAGAAAAGAAGGTGTTTAGAATGGAATGGGAGAAGCAAGTTATAGTTGTTTGCTGGTAAGGGTTTGTTTTTGTGTGGCTATCCCCTACCTTTTATAAAAAAAGCGTACCTCATTACCGATGCTTGTGAGTGCAACCCGAGTTTTAGTCAAAGACATACAAAGTCGTACTCAGGCCCCAAGAAGAAACCGGAAGTTTCTCAATAGAATGTTTGTTGTACCTAGCTCGCTCGCTCAACCCTCAACAAACATCAACGACTTGCGCAGGAAACTAAACTCAGGTTTCTGGTCGTTCCCAAACATCAAGGGATCTCATCTGAAAGACAAGATCGGTCAGGGACCCGTCATCTTGGAAGGAGTCTACAGGGCTCTGATGAAATAAAGTTTCACAGATATCAATAACGTGGTTCATATGTCTGCTACGGCAGTTACCCTGGCCCACAAATCCGTCGGACTCGACAATGGTGGAAGGCTGAGAAGAAACCTGCGCTACCAAAGTGCGAGGCAGTCAAAAGAAAAAACGGGGCAGGCTGGTGGCACAAACTTCAACAGAGGAGATTCTAACAAAGGGGCTGATTTGCTGGGATCCAGAAGAAAAACTGGCGCCTGCAAAGAAGGTAATGGGGGATACGTACATTAAAGACGATGAGGGGAAATAGTGTTTACGTACATGACACATGGATCATACACCAGCAGAGTTGGTTTTAATGTGCGACAACATACAACAACAACAATAGAGTCGCCTAGGAACAATGTTGTTCATTCTAGTCAATTCATGCCATCTATGCTTTGAAAACGATCAGATAAAGAAAAAAATAATGTTGGTGGCGTTTTACCCGAGGAGCTTGCTTGATAACTCATATTTCTCGTAGCCCACAGATAGGCTCTCTCTTTTTCTTTCGCTTTCATTTCTTTACTTCCTTCAGTCATGTCGGTCCAGCTCGTGAATATGGCGCACGCTTTACTATATCTCGATCATTAATAATAACCTCACAGGGACGAAATGGTTTTTGAGCGCTTTTCATAGGCAAAACGCAATTAGAATAACACCAGTTTTATTAAGCGAATAAATTGATTTGTTATTCAATCGAGCAAACTATGCACTCACGTGATATCTCTTTCCCCATCAGAAAAAAAGTGCTCGAGTTGCATGCTACATATCATTGTCACTATCATCGTCGCTATCGTTGTCGATGCCGCTATACACACTGTAATCGCCAGTACGGTACTCATCGCCTCTATCTCCAATATCAGCCTCTTTACTAAGTCCAACACCAACCTCTGCTTCAAGTCCATTAAGAAGCCCTCTACAAAATCAACGCAGCTTTGGAGAGGTGCAAGTTCATGTACAGCTGATACTGTGGTGGTACGATGGCGCACAAGGGCCTCCTCGTTGCTGTCGTTGTCGTCGCTGGTTACGACGGTAGTGCTGTGGCAGTGGTAGTGGTAGCGGTTGTTGCTCGCTGCTGAGTGCGGCCTGTTCGAAAATTCTGGCCCCATCGTTGATTGCGCCTTGGCCATAACCCGCTCAAGGGCTTTCACCATTTACTGACCTTCTGACCTTTCGCTGATCCACCGCTCGCTGTAACTCTCATCGCTTTGATACCATCAGCACTCAGAGGGTCGCGTCCTCTTGCTAGGCTTTGCAGGTATCCGACGCTTGCTTCAAAGTCTGCTTCTGCTATAGCGGAGCTTACCCTATCGTCCGTATTAGACCGAGCTTGAAGAGGGGTCGACACAAACTCGGCTATTTCGTCCACGTCTTCCACTGCAGGGTCAGCTGACAACGCCTCGTTTGCTATGTCATGTGCATCCATCATTCCATCTTGGCGAAGCTTCCAGTGTCATTGGTCGTTGTTGTACTCCATCTTCTCGGTGATCAAGTTCTCAAAATAGGCTCTCATCCTCTGGAGCAAAATGTCGCGATGCTGGTATCTGATATGTTCTAAGTGTTCCTCTGCTGGTTTTCGACGCCGCCGCAATTGTTCGGACTTCTGGGCAGAAAGGACATGGGTTTTGATAAAGCAATTCCGAACTGTCGAGGGTTTGAGTTGATACCATGTTTAGGAGTAAAAGACCAGGCTTGTCCATTAGTGATGATATGGGACATGTTGGCGGTACGGACTAGGCCGGTTGAACCGCACACCATGTTTAACATGTCCCATTTGAAGACAATGATGGTGCCGGCTTCGAGCGGCTGCAAAACAGAGGTCGAGTTCACGGGTAGTCGTCGGATATGGAAAAAAATTCCAGGAGACGTTGTTGTCTGTATCACGCATGTCGATATTATTGCGCGCCGGGGAAGAATAGAGGGGAAGAAGGGTGGGTTTCTTGAGTTGGTCGTCGAAGGATTTCAGCCATCTAGGAATAGATCGCGGGTCTTCCACCCTTTGGAGGCTTTCCATATGTTCATACTTGTAAGGGATTCGACCTCAACTCCTTTGGCGATAAGCTTGCCCAATCAGAATGAATGAATATATTAGAATCTATAAAACAAAGTGAACAAAGAAGATAAAGGACTGGGGGAAACCGATAATATTACCAATGACCAGAGGTCTCAGAGAATCTCAGGCATCGCCGTCTGCCAAGGCAAGTGATGTCCCAGAGGCATTGACGCAGAGACTCCCGACAACTCTTGTTGGCCTTGGCGCCACCTTTATCTCCAACCACGGTGTACGACATCGAGTTCAGCTTCTTCAGATACATTCCAGTCTTGTCGAAGTTATAAATGTCGTCGGCGTCGTAGTTCCCGCAAAGCTCGCGGATCTCGGCCATCTTGGGTTCAATCGCCTCCAAGTCCACAGATTCTGCCTCTCCATAAAGTCGGCATTGCTTGATCTGGTATCGTTTCTTGAAGCTGCAAAACCACCACACTGAAGAGGATGGGACAGCGCCCCCTTCTGAGTCGGTACTCTCGTAACTGTCGACGAGAATCTTGTAGGTGACCTGAGCGGCGTTCTGCACCGCCTTGCCATGGACAGGGAGTTGAAGCGACCGTTGCTCCTCCAGCCACCGGATAACGACTTCCCCCACATCCTGTTTTTGCGTTGACGAGGTATTTGGCGCTCATAGTGAGCTGTGAGGCCATCTGTCATATTTTGTCCTCCTGAGCCAACCAGCCACTAAGTGTGTTTTTTGTGAATATGAACACCGATGTATTTTTGGAAAGTCCTCAGGCAGAGAAAGGGCGCCGTAAAATAATAACCGCGTGTATTAGATTTAAGGGCTTTTTGTGTGTACTGTTTCTCCAATCTTGTACAGTAGAAGGAGAACTCGCCACCATCGAATCACAAGTCAAACGTTCATTATTTCCAATGGAAACACTGAAAGGCGTTAACGTCATGGAACCAACCCAAGATGTCGTCAGAGTAGGAAGAAGGCAAGCAATAGCTTTTTCAACACAAGACTTTGGGTGATGGTAGCTCGCCACCACTGCACCACTAATAATAGGGCATTGATTTACGCCAAACCTGTTTGTGAAGGGATCTTAGGAGACCCGATTTTCTGGAGTGGCGATAAATCAAAGTCAGCGCAATGGAGATTCAATGTCATTTCCCGTGCACACAAAAACTGGTTTTGCGCCAAAGAGAGATAGTGACTGAGATTGGGTAAGAGTAAGGGAAGCATGCAAAAGCCAGGGAGAAACAAAGGAAAGGCAAAAGGTAAAAAGAAAGTCCAATCTTCATCAAGGGCCATGCGTTTATCCATTCAATTAAAAAGTTTTCAAGTTGAAAAATGTACTACAGTATGAACCTGGTAAATAATAGGAGAGGCCAAGTGGATGTGGATGGCTAATCGTTTTTGCAGAGAGGCAATCGTAATCACGTTGAAAGAAGAAGAAAAGGCAAAGCGTGCATCCTCGTACTTATATGAGGCAAGATATCAACCTCAAATTCTTTCTACAGACTTCAAACTTCTACACGGTCTATTTCTTTTTCTTATTGCGAGACAGAACCGTTGTGAAGAGGCTAGGGTGCATGAAGAGAAGAAGGGGGAGGTGGCGAGGGTCGATCCTTGTTCCACGGCAATACTTTAGTCCTTGATGCACGCCATAGCTCTGACTTTTCAATCCATACTTCTACATGCACTGTGCTATTGCACAAAAGAAATAAACGGTGTTTCTTGCTGCGATCAAATGAGAGTACGTGGCCACTTGGGAATTCAATTGTTCTATGCATTCACTCACTATTGTTTATGATTTTGTAATGCTATGGTTTTGTTGATGCTTGTGTTCAGCAAAGTGGCTGTTGGTTGATGTGTGGCTTTGTTAACAGAAATAGTAGTGGTGAGGCGGCCTGTGGACGTTGAACCACTGCAAAACAACTAAAAAAAAAGGCGAGCAGCTCTCAAACAAATGGTGTGCGACGTTCAAATAAAAGCAACGAGAAATGCAAAGAGGAGGAATGATATGTGTTTTGTCTCGAAAGGACCCCTACGAGCCCAATTACGTCCGCAGAATGCATGGTCTTACAAAGGGACATAGGACGGATAAGAAGTAGAAAAAGGAAAGGAGCGAAAATGGGTAGCGAAAAGGAACTCCCTGGGTGCTGCCCTTTTTTGTCTTGTGTCTTCATGGAATTCCCTCGCTGACCCTGTTTTTAACCATCATTGTCTCTCCCTGCAGGAGGGAGATACTTGTGCTGAACAGGCCATTATTTTCCTTTCGATATGAGGTCAATAATGACGATTGAGTAGGAGTCGATAAACAGTGCTGATCCGAGAGCTATTCTCCGGGTCGAGTTTAGCCATCGTGCGTGCGCGTGTGTTGACAAAACAATGAAAACAACAACAAATGGGTGACTTGGACCTATCTCGACTCTTCGTCACACATGAGCTCCTAAATTATGGTTATTTTGGCCTTCTGCAAACAAACAGAGGGAGGGAAAATGAGAAAGAAGAGCAGGCGATTGAAGTAGGGGAAACAAGCGTAACAAAGAAAAAGATGTGTTTTTTTATTGCAAGCACAAAGAATTGTTGGATTGTGTCCATCATGACGGAATGAATGTTGCTGTGAATGACTTACGATAGGTGTGGGATGATGAGTGAGTGTGGGATGATGAGCGAGGGTGGGATACATGTGGATGACAAAAAAAAAGACGACAGCCAGCCAGTGGTGTAACCCTCATCCGTAACCTGTTTGTTTATCGTAGATGACCCCCGTTGTTCTCTTTTCTGTCAAGGGGCTGGGGAAACAATTAAGGAAGTGAGGGGTGAATGGGGAGAGAATGAAGGAAGGGATGTTTCTTTGGTTTGGACACAGCTTGCGGATGAGGCTTTATCCTTTTATTATTTATTGGTGATACGATTGTTGAATCTTCAATTGAACTCTCTACTGGGTCAACGTTGACCATGCGAGGGGCAATCTATCTATGGACTTTTTTTAATTCCATAATGCTCAACAACAAACCATGTTGTGATAGTGTTCAATAGGGGTTGGTGTGCTTGTGTTTGAGGGTGAGGAGGAAAAATGGAGACAGAGAAAAGGTACAGCCAGGGAAGAGCAAAAAAAGAGGGCATGGTAGAGAGGGTTTGTCATCGTCAATGGCAATCGGAATATAAGAACCCGAACAAAGAAAGATATGTAACTTCTCTTTATTGTAATTAGCGTGGAATGAGTATGGAATATGGATTCCCCGACTGAGTATATTTTTCTGTAGTCTAAAACGAGCAATGCCAACATAAGGATGTCGCACACTCTATTCGTTCCACCTTTTGCACCTTCTTGTTTGATTCCTCGGGATATTGCATGGAAGACTGTGGGTTAGAAAAAGAAGAAATGTTCAGCCTTCTCACCCTTCAGGAACAATCAGCGACAAAGCAACAGCAGCAGCAGTAACAGCAGCAACAGCAGCAGCAGTAACAGCAGCAACAGCAACAGCAACAACGACAGCAACAGCGACAGCAACAGCGACAGAAACAGCAACAGCAACAGCAGCAGCACAGATAACGCGCAGAGATGAGAGCGTGGGCTGATTGTTGATTCATTGATCAGTCCTGATGATGTTGTTGTGTTCAATTGTACAAGACGTGTTTGTGTCGTTGTTGTTATTGTTCTTCCTTCCCTGCTAGTGGTCGATGTAAGACATCCCAAAAATCATAAAAATCCTGTTGGCGTTCACTCACCCATCATCGGCCCCTCCGCCCCGCCCGCTCTCCCGCCAATGTTGTCTTTTCTCTTCCTTTTTGCACAGAACTTGTTTACACCATTGTCCATCCCCAGGCCAAAGTTTCATTTCATTACCCATCGCTGCTACCCATCCTCACTTATCTATAAAGGCCGATCGATTCCCTCTCTTTGTTTTTCTTCTCTTCTCTATATTCTTTCTTCAACTGTCGCTTTCGTTCTCATTATTAATACTTGGTACAACTCCCATCTCCACTCTCTTTCTCGCTTCATCTTTAACTCCACTCCAGCATCCAACCCATCCAACCCACACTACCTCCACTATACCCCACGGCTCACATCCCTACATACTTAATCCTTCTCGCTCCAACCTCACCTTATCCCCCCTTCCATTCTTATCCTAATCAACCTCCGTCAACTTCATCTCCGACAACTTGTCTCAACAGTACATATCACTCACCACCGTACCCATTGAATCTGAACATACTCACCTCGATCACTCTCTCACTAGACACGTTCGCAACACCCAATGTCCAACCCAAGCGAAACAACCTTGGGGGATGCCTCGCCTAATCAGCCTGGTATATTGCGAAACCCAACCCATCCCATCCAACAACAACAACCGCAGCAACCCTCACAGCACCAACAGGAGGCCGTCATCTCTGGTCTCAACGAAAAGCAGGAACTCGATGAGGAGGAGTCCGAGGAGGCTACCTCTGAGCACGGCACCTACGAAGACGCCGTCAGCGGTCGCTGGGGCGAGGGACCTTCTAAGGTCAACGTCATCGCCGCCGAGAAGGATTTCAAGAAGCTTGAGCGCCAACTTACCAGGCGCTCATCCCTCTACAGAGTCGCCACTGGCCAGAGGGGACCCGATGATGGCTTTGGAGGAGACTTTGATCTGACAGAGTACCTTCAGGACGTCATGCCCCAGGCTCGAGCCGCCGGAATCAAGGGTCGCAACCTCGGCGTCGTCTGGGAGAACCTCGAGGTCCAAGGTGAGGGTGTCGGTGCCCAGTTTGCCGGTACCTTTGCCGATCCTTTCATTGGCATCTCTAACTTGGTTAACCCCTGGTTCTGGGCCAAGAAGTGCTTCTCTCGCGCTCCCTCTGCTCCTAAAACCATCACTCGCACCATCATCCACCCCATGAACGGCTTCTGTCGTGACGGCGAGATGGTCCTGGTCCTCGGTCGTCCTGGTGCTGGATGCTCGACCCTCCTTCGTGTCCTCGCCAATGACCGCAAGAACTATAAGGAGGTGACTGGCAACGTCTCTTACGGTCCCTTTACGCCCGAGCAGATTGCCCAGCATCATCGCGGTGAAGTTTTGTACAACCAAGAAGGTAAAGATTTGTTTGTTTATTTTGTAGCTGTCATTGCATGTTTGAGTGGTATGGTGAATGATAATCGATTACCCGACTATTGTCACTAATGGACATCTTCCTTTGCTTTTCAATCCATTAGATGATTTCCATTACCCAACCTTGACTGTCCGTCAGACACTCGAGATGGCTCTCAAGACCAAGACGCCCACTAAGCGCCTTCAGGACCACCGCAAGGAGTTTGTCAGCGAGTTCCTTGAAGTCCTCACCAAGATGTATGGTCTCACCAAACAGGTGGAGACAGTTGTCGGTAACGCCTTTATCCGCGGTATCTCTGGCGGTGAGCGCAAGCGTCTGTCGATTGCTGAGCAGATGGCCACCCGCTCGTCTGTCAACATGTGGGATGGTGCTACGCGTGGTCTCGATGCCTCCTCGGCTCTTGACTATGTTAAGTCCCTCCGTGTCCAAACCGTAAGTCCTATGAAGGATATAGATTTTGGTGGCAACTCGACTGATTTGATCGCTGACACTATTTAGCTTCTTTCAACTTCCTTGATCGACCAAATAGAATCTCCTCCACAAGGCCACCGTGGTCACCATCTACCAGGCCGTAAGTCCATTGTCACTCTCTCTCTATATTTTTCGCTTGCTATCGTCATTCTTCTATTTCTCAGGGACACAACGCTGATATTCTTCCATCCATCCATCATTGCATCGTTAGTCCGAGAACATCTACGACCTCTTTGACAAGACCATCCTTCTCTATGAGGGTTACTGTATCTACTTTGGACCTGCTAACGAGGCTCGTCAGTACTTTATCGACCTCGGATTCGAGTGCCCCACTCGTCAGACCACCGCCGATTACTTGACCGCCATCACCGATCCCCACGAGCGCAGAGCCCGCCCTGGTTTCGAGGGTCGCGTCCCGCGCACTCCCAAGGAGTTTGAGGTTGCCTTCAAGGCTTCGCCCTTCTACACCAACATCGAGCACGAGCGCATTGCCTACCAGGAGGAAGTCCAGGACAAAAACCCCACCGCCGAGTTCATGGACGCCACCAGGCAGCAGAAGCAGAAGCACGTCTCTACCGAGACCCCCTATACCATCAACTTTGTCGGCCAAGTCAAGGCCCTCACCGTCCGCCAGTTCCAGCTCACCATGGGTGACATGACCTCGGTGTTCTCTCGTTATGCCTCGAACGTCATCAAGGCCATCATTGTCGGAAGTGTCTTCTTCCTGTTGCCCATGAACACCGGGGGTGCCTTCACTCGTGGAGGTGTGTTGTTTTTCTCCCTGCTCTTCAACGCCCTGATTTCCCAAGCCGAGCTGCCCATGGCCATGCAAGGTCGTCCCATCCTGTACAAGCACAAGGGATTTGCCATGTACCGCCCTGCCGCGTTTGCCATCTCTCAGATCTGCATTGACATCCCCCTGGTCATGGTCCAGATCTTGCTCTTCTCGGTTTGCCTGTACTTTATGGCTGGTCTGCAAAGGACTTTTGTCAAATGGCTCCTCTTCTGTGTTATTCTGTTCCTCTGCGCTATGTGCATGACCGCCTTCTTCCGCATGGTAAGTTATCTCCTTTTGCGTATTCTCGACTTTTTTTTGGTGTCAACAACATGTACTCATTCAGACTCCTTTTTTTTACCTCTTTTCATAGTGGGCTGCTGTCTCTGCTACTTTCGATGCTGCCTCTCGTAACTCGGGTCTTATCCTGTTGGCCTTGATCTTGTACTCTGGCTATATGGTTCCCTACCAGTCGATGCACCCCTGGTTCATTTGGATCTTTTGGATCAACCCTCTTGCCTATGCATTCAAGGCCTTGATCTCGAACGAATTGAAGGGTCTCCAATTTGACTGCTCGGGTGCCGGGATGATCCCCTTTGGCCCCACCTACACCGACCCCCAGTACCAGGTCTGCTCCCTCGCCGGTGGCAACCCCGGAAACACCTTTGTTCTCGGTGATGACTACCTCTATGCCTCGTACCGCTACAAGACCTCGGAGATGGGGTTGGACATTTTGGCCGTCATTCTTTTCTGGCTGTTTTTTGTCGGTGTCACCTGCTACGCCTTGGAGAGGATCGAGTTTGGCAAGGGTGGATTCAGTACCAACGTCTACAAGAAGGGCACTGTCTTGATCGACCAAAAGCTTGAGGACGAGGAGAACATTGCCAACGTCTCCGTTTCGACCATCAACAACACCAACACCAAGGCCGCCGTCAGCGAGAAGGGAGAGTCCACCATCGAGTTGAAGGACATGGCCAAGGGATCTGTCTTTGCCTGGGAGAACCTCGATTATGTTGTCCCCTACAAGTTTGACCCCTCGGGCCAGAAGCAGCTGTTGACTGACATTGCTGGTCTGGTCAAACCCGGAACCATGACTGCCTTAATGGGATCCTCTGGAGCCGGAAAGACCACCCTTTTGGATGTCCTCGCTCAGCGCAAGAACACTGGAACCGTTACCGGCACCGTCGAGGTTGACGGTGAGCCCCTTCGTCTTGATTTCCAGCGTACCACCGGCTACTGTGAGCAGCTGGATGTCCATGTTCCCCAGTGCACTGTCCGTGAGGCACTCCAGTTCTCGGCCCACCTCCGCCAGCCAGCCAATGTCTCGGAAGTCGATAAGAATGCCTATGTCGAGGAGATTATCCACATTCTCGAGATGGAGAACATTGCCGACGCCGTTATTGGTACTACTGAATCTGGTCTCGGAATCTCGGTCGAGGAGCGCAAGCGTCTCACCATCGGAGTCGAACTGGTCGCCAAGCCCAAGTTGCTGTTCCTGGACGAACCTACCTCTGGTTTGGATGCTCAGGCTTCGTACAACATTATGCGTTTCATGCGCAAGCTGACCGACCAGGGCCAGGCTATTCTCTGCACCATCCATCAGCCTTCGTCCCAGTTGTTTGCCTTTTTCGATGACCTGTTGCTTCTCGCCAAGGGCGGAAAGACTGTCTTCTTTGGTGACCTCGGTCCAGACTCTGCCAACTTGATCAACTACTTTGAAAAAAACGGTGCCCCCAAGTGCGCTGCTAATGCCAACCCTGCCGAATATATCCTCGACGTTGTCAACGCTCGCCATATGGACCTCAATTGGCCCGAGATCTGGGGTGCCTCGCCCGAAAGATCATCCCTACTTACTGCCATCAAGGCCACCCGCAAACACCCCAACGCCGGAACCTCTGCCTCCCATGCCGCCCACCACGCCGACGGTAGTCTTGAGTATGCCTCTGACGGCATGATGCAGTTCAAGTATGTCTTCCGTCGCATGTCCCGCACCTACTGGCGCCTTCCCGAGTACAACTTTGGCCGTATCTTTATGATGATCGTCTTTGCCCTGTTGAACGGCTTCTCCTTCTTCCGTCTCGGTGAATCCAAAATCGATCTGCAGTCACGTGTCTTTGCCATCTTCCAAATCATGGGTAAGTTGCATATCGAAATGAAATTGACCATGGTCAAATCTATGGTTTTCCACGATTTTTTTCACTCACACTTCTCTTTCTTTTCTTTATTTCCTCCTCAAAAAAGTCATGGCGGCGTTACTTGTGAACATGGCTCAGCCCCGTTTCCATACGGAACGTCAATGGTTCTACCGGGAGCTTGCCGGCAAATACTACGGCTGGAAACCCTTCGCCGCGACGATTTTGTTGATTGAAGTTCCCTATGTCATCTTGACCGGCACGGTTTTCTTCCTGGTTTTCTACTGGACGTGCGGCTTTGTCACGGACTCGATCTTGACACTCTACACCTGGTTGATGCTGGTCGTCTTCTGTCTGTTCGCCATCACTCTCGGTCAGGCAATTGCTGCCTTCACCCCTTCGACTCAGGTTGCCGCTCTATTGAACCCTTTCATTTTCTCGGCCCTGAACCTGTTCTGCGGTGTCATGATGCCCAAGGCTTCTATGCCCAAGTTCTGGTCGTCCTGGATGTACTGGCTCGACCCTTACCATTATGTAATTGAGGGTCTTGTCTCCGTTCAGCTCTACGATGTCCCTGTTTCCTGCAAGTCTGACGAGTACTCCATCTTCAACACCCCTGCTGGCCAGACCTGTGGAGAGTATTCTGCCAAGTTCATGGAGACCGCCGCCGGTTACATCGCTAACCTCAATGCTACCTCTGATTGCCAGTACTGCTCCTACCGGAAGGGCCAAGACTTTTACCATGGATTGAGCTTTGACTATGATAACCGCTGGAGGAACCTCGGTATCTTGTTCATCTACCTTGCCTTCAACGTCGTCATGGTCATTGTTGGTATCCGCTACCTCAGATGGAACCGCCGCTAAATAGATCATTCCTTCGATGTTGTACTCGTACATGTCATTCTCAAGCACAGCTCTATTTTCTAGAATTATCTTTTCTGCTTCGTTATGTTACCATGAATAAAAATGAATTTATGCACTCCCATCAAAAAATAATAATTGTTAGTCCTTGCTTGTTTACAACAATCATCGCGCCTGTCCTTTGCTTTTTGTTAAAATTAAACCCTTTTAGACGTCAACCCAACGCCCACGATGGAGTGCGGAGCCTTCGCCCCCCCGGATTTGGCCTGGACAAATTACAATCCTCTCGACGTCAGCCTAAATTCCTCAACACTGGCACTCCCAAGGCCATTCGACACCTCCCTCAAACCTCCCATCCACCACCATCTCTGTCGTCAACGCGAATAACAACATCAACTCGGCGTCCATAACATCAACCCTGACACAGCATGAGGCCCGCAAAGATGCAGCAACTGCGTGTCGGAGGACGTTTTTCGTGGAAGAAACTGCAAAGGACGAACCTGTCCAGGAAGTAGAGACCACCGAGACGACTGTTGCAGCCCCAGAGTCGGACGACAACGAGAGCGACGACGGCGATGATGAAGAGTCGTTGGGTGAGGAGCAGACGGACAGCCTTCGGATTGCGATTCCCAAGAAGGTCAAAAAGGTCAAGTCAAAGGCAATCGAGCCAAAAGAAGCCAGCAGAGGAGCCCAAATACATTTTCCGTAGAGCTTTCAAGCGGTACCTGATCTCGAACTTGCCGCCGACACTGGTTTTACATCTCAAGCGGTTTGAGTCCTCAGGACGGCTTAGACAGATGCGCAAGATTGAGGACCATGTTGATATTCCAGTCGAGATCGACATGGCGCCCTACTTTGTTCCCAAGAACAAGATTGAGGAAGAGGAGGAGAACGGGAGCGAGACCGGGTCCGAGGCACGGAAGGAGGAGGAGGTGAACGGGTCCAAGTCCAAGAAGTACAGGCTTTGTGGAGCGGTTTTCCACATGGGGACGTTGAGTGGTGGACACTATTTGTCCTATCTTCCAAAGTCCAAATGGCTTAGGCGGCGAGGATCACAGCAGAAAAGGCCAAGTCCAAGAGCACCATCAGAGTCAATGGCGTAGAGTTGCCCGATGTCCCCTTGGCGGTGATGTTGGCACTGTAGAAGGAGAAGGCTGAGGAGAATAAGTAGGGTCTGGCCGTTGTTGACAAATGTGCTTCGTCCACTTCTTCGGCTACGGATGCCAAGATAGAGGAAGGGTCAGAACAAGAGGTCCCTGCTGTTCAGGGTGAGTGGCTGTTAGAAGTATCAACACTAGAAGAAAAAAATTACTAACAATAGATCCGCGATCCGTTCGACAGGAGATGAGGCTCTGTCAGGGTTTGAGTGTGTCCCTGCAGAAGGATTGTGCTAATAAATGCACACCCTTATGAAGAGGCACATCCAACAAGTGAGGGAGCCAGCAGTGATGCTATCGTCATTTCCATCATTGAGCTGTTACATGACTCAATCCTTCAACTGAATTTATTGGGACCTTGAGGGACACGGAGAAGAAATGAACGACGTCTTCGAGCAATACTTTCCAATCGACCAGCCCCTGCTGATTACCGAGATAATAGTGGAAATAAATAATGCGTCTCTCAAATATCTGCATTTTTTACTTTCTTCGATGGGGAGCATGTCACACACATCTAGAGCGCAGGACAGTGGTGTGTGCGACTTGAAGGGTACATAGACAATGCAAGTTAGGAAGGGGTGTTAGCTTGAGTCCGAGGAAGATCTTGAGGGTATTACTCCAGCCTAGGTGGGATTGCAGCTCGCTACCGATGTGGCTCAGAGTCCATAGAATCGATCTCGGCCTGGTATCTATGAAAGACGACAAAAAAAAATGAGTGGAATGATTAATTCCCAAATCACATCATATGCAATGGAATAATGAGCATTCTCAAATGGAGCGCTGCTTGGCATCTTCCAGGTCCGGCAACGTGTCCCGCAGCAACCCAATTTCATACTCTCCTTTACGCTTGTCCTTCGTGAAACCATCCGACGAGACAAACTCCTTCATGGTGCCCTTTGCGAAATTTAATCCTCGTTCAATGACGATATAATTTTCGATTGAATAAGGATCGCTGTTAAAGACGCGGTCGATATCAGAGCCCTCAGGTGCGAACGGGAGTCCAGTTGCCACTGATCTTTCCCTCGCACAGTCTCGAGGATAGCGCCATTAAAACTTCGTGAGGTTGAATCTACCAGTTTCGGTAGCGCATGTTGAGAAGTTAATCCAGTAAGTGGTCAGCTTTGGATCCCAAGGCCTCTGCATATCCACATCAACATCGATGCGGAATATCAACTCATAACTTTCGTCGGCAAAGGCCCAATCTCCATTATTCTCTTCACTTGATCCATTAAAAGGATACGCTCCTCCACCGTCCTGTTATAGAATAAGCTAAGAAAGTCACATACAATGCAGAGTAGAATTAGACAGTATTGTCGCATGTAGCACAAAAGTCATATTACAACCACTTTCAAGTTGAAGAATGAGCATGCATCAGAGATTTCTGATCCATATGATAAGGCAGGGATTTGTTGTCCATAAAGTTGAGCCTGCCAAATGAAAGCTTCTGGGTGGGGCATGTCTTTGGACTCGTCGAGAGCTCTCGTTTTGACCAAAAATATTTCGGTGTGGAGGATCTCGCGGCAAGTTGCAGATGTAGCTCACTCCAACTATCCTGTTGATCAGGTGGGATCTGTCGTGACGGGAACCCCTGTACAATTATCTCGCAAGCTACACTTCGGGCAACATCAATAATACCGAAGTCCCTCTTTCGTCGTGTACACCATGTCCTCAGTTGTGCTAGCGATGCTGCTGATGTCTTGCATTCAGTTTGGCGATAATCGCTCCGAGTAAGTTAGCCTCGGGGTCAATGGTGTAAAGGGTTCAAAGAGAACAGTCGATCTAGGTGAGATCTAAATAAAAATACAAAAGTCAGAACCAAGAAATGTCAACAGTACACCAAACAGAAGAAAAAACGTACTCGGAGTCTTCGTCGCAGCAGTTAGACAGTGGGCGCAGACATTGTTCTTGAAATACAATGCTGTCTGGTTTCCAACTGTTGTGGTGATGTAGATGGGGATCTGCTTTTTGAGTGATATTTTGGTGGCGTTCTTGTGACCACCATCTTGTAGTGTAGAAAATGATAATAAAATAATTCGGAACCGAGCGATTGGCTCGAGGTGCTTCCTTTCTCTTACTCTTTTTGATCTATTCTTTTGACGTGTTTCCTTTGAACAAGCACCATCGAAAGCAAGATCAGCGTTCCCTTTATTCTCGACCTCCCTTATGTCGCGACCAATGCCAGGCGTGAAAAGACATACGGGCGATCGAACAGTAGGGACGCGCGACACCAGCATACCACCCAGGGGTCTACTTTATTGTTAGCACTCCTTTCCTCTATTCTCCCCGGCTTGTCTGTCCTATCCTTGACGCTTTGCATCCTCCTGATGCCATAGAGATCCACTTTTCACCCTGCGACGTTTCCGCCAGACCTCCGCTGTTACAGCCCAACACCCGACCACAGGCCGATCTATCGTCTAACGGCGGACTGCGGTGCAACCGTCAACATATATCATGGATTAGACGGCGCCCAGGGGTCTATTTTATTGTAGCACTCCTTCCCCTCATTCACCTTCCCTCTTTTTTTTATTATTTTAGTTCGTTTATTCTATCGATCTCACATATGTGAACTCCTTGGTCCTCTCCCAGTTCATCCTCACAGATATAGTCCTAGCTCGCGGTCCATTTGTTTAGACTAGATCCCCCACAGACAGTCTTTGTTTACATCACCGCACTGTGTTCTCCTGCAGGCCAAACGATCTCCATGATCTGACCGCCCCGCAATCAGAGTATTTCGTATCTTCCACACGGGAGATAATGACAATGTTGTTGTCAATGATGCGAGCGTAACCACTTTTCTGTTGATCCGTGATGGCGTGAGGGTCTTGCAGAAAGGCAACTGGGAAAGCAATAGCATGACCAAGCTACCATTGTTTTAAATTCTGTAAGGGTATACATATGAGTAAAAACATATGGTCAATAAGAAGAGCACATCAAGGCAGCACCCCATTGTATAGATACCATCACTCGCCCGTTAAGAACCTTCGCTCCAGTAACAACTCGACATGATGTTGAGGTGGCTGGTTGATATGTATAGATACATCTCAAGTGTTAATGAAGATACAACGATTTTGTTCTTCATGGACGTTGCAGACGAACATGATAAAAATAACAAATATCTTACCATCTCTGTAAGTATCGTGGGATATAGGAGCGACGCCAATGTTTCCTTCATTATGATATGTGTCTTGGTGACGAATCAGATCGTATTCACTACAGAAACGTGAGGAACAATCGTGTACTTGACAGATGAGGGGCTTATGTACAGCCTGGTGAGCCATACTCTCCATGAAGCCCATTGTGTAGTGGATGTATCTGGTGACGGGGCACAAGTGGATGTTGTGAGCGCACAATTGGTGAGTCTTGTAATCCGATGCCTTGGCGAAAGACACACCGTTATGTCCTGGTTCATTGCATGGCCATCTTGTACTTTCCAATTCGTGTTGCGCAAGGTGGGGTCGTAGGTCACCCGTTCGAACAGACTTCGGATCAAAAGTCTTGTCGCATTCGACGACGGGGCAGAATCCTACCTAATTAATTGTTAAACGGGCAGAAGAAAAAAGGGAGTAAGCAAATGGAAACTGCTTGTATAAAAGTAAAGTTATACTAATACGAAGACAAACCATTGGTTATCGCCTCGAAGCTGTCCATCTGGATCTCCTCAGACTGCTTGCCATCGTGGACGTGTCGTTCGTGTCGAGCTCTCATATTTGATATTAGATAAGGCTGAAGAACAAGGAAGGTATCGACAGCGAAAATGTTTGAAATGTTCCAGGTGCAGTCCAAATCATCCAAGGAGGCGAAGAAGGCGTCGCACGTTCGGAACGTGCCTAAGTGGATAGCGTGGATATTCCGATGATGTTCCCAATGGCTCTCATAGAAGAACGAGGCGCCACAGTCCTTCTCGTAACAATTGTAGAAGTCTAGTTTGAGATGGAGGAGTCCATATACCTGAATACCACCGATTGCGGATCAGACTCTGTGAAGAGTCGCAAACATATTGGACAGTGCTCTACAACAATAACAATAGTGAAAGATTAGTTAGCTGATCATAAAAGCAGCGCGTCATGGTAGCAACATAATGGCAAAATCATGAATACACACTATCACAATCCACATTTCCAGTACCGCCCTTGCGAGACCTCGACCCGGTCGAGACTTTGGCCAACGGAGCCGCTGGACGGCTGATCAAGACGGTGGCGTGGATGCGTTCTTGTTTCTGCTGGTTCGTTGATAATGTAGTCGAGATCTGCATCCTCCCACGTGCTATGTGGACCTTTTTAGTAGTGGTGTCGTTGGAGGACTCGTCTTTGTCTGTATTAGATCGTCGAGGATTTTTGAACTGATCGCCGACGATGTTGCTGCCAGTGGTTGGGAGTGATATGTCGTTGGAGAGCGGATTTGTTGTATGGCTCGTAGCGTGTATATTTTTAATGGCAATGGTGCTGAATCTTAAGCTGCAATCCTGATGCGGGCATGAGAAAGGTGTGTGTGTTGTTAAGTGCGCTTTCGTACTGGCATAGGTTGGAAACGAATGTCCGCAAGAAAGGCTGTAGCAGTCGTATATTCCGCGATGCGATCCGAGGTGATGCGTAAGGATTTTCGGCCAACTGAACAATCCTTTTCTCTGCATGACAACCGTCTGTTGTTCCTATGCTAGTCCTGATGTCTTAGGATCTCCGCGTTGGTGTCGTCTTCTGTGAACTGAAAGAAACACGATCTAGATCTCCTATGTGTGGATATATCCTATTGACTAATATATCCACCAACAGAAAATGTTCACTTCGCTCGGGGTCCATCCACAATCTATCCCCTCCGTGCCGTTTGTCTTCATGTAGGATGCGTCTGGATTCGACTACAAATCTTTCGTTGCAGTCATAATAGGTACATTGGAAGGGTTTGTGCACAGCAATATGCGCACTTTGTCGAGTGTTGCATAATCACAATCGGCTTGGGGACAGAGGAGGAGGAGGAGGAAGAGCTTGTGGATGGGAAAGGATGGTACCAGTGGTTGTTGTGACGTATAGGGAACCATCTTCAAGAAAGGCTTTTACGAAAAGGCCGGTGTGTTTATGCTCATGGCGTCGCACTGTTCCGGGGGTCTCTTCGGAAGGAAACACTCGTTCACATTGGGAATTGTGAACAAGTAAGAAGAAGAGTGTGCATAGGTGTAAACTGGTGGCATTGGATGAAAGGAGAAGAGGAGTGATATGTTTTGGGATGAAAGGAAAAGAAAAAAGAAAAAAGTTGGAGAGAGACGCCAAGGAGAGTAATAATCATTCTTGTAACGCGCGTCTCTGAAAGACAGGCATCTCTTCTATTGATCGCTTCCAGTTACTCCCTCTTAGCCTAAATACAGCATTGTACGCCACATACCTGGGTCCCTAGTTCACGATGATATGGCATTCTTCAAACAAACTCATACGAACTGAACATGGAGTTGAATAATAATCGTAGCAAATAATTTTAAGTCGGTCCGCCACTTAGGAATCCGTGGGAAACAAAAGAGTTGCATGAGATGGTACCCACGAATTGTCATATTCAGCGCCATTTCAAACAGCAGAATATGTTGTATGCGACAATGTACCTCCCTCGAATTGGACAAAGCCATTGTTTTGAAAATCAATTTATTTATTCCTTTCTTTCATCCTACTCGATACGGGTCATGTTCAAGAGAGGGAACCCTTGGAAGAAGACCGGACTATCAGCCTGTCGCGTGTTAGCAGTAGCCTGCCGCTCCGTCATGAGAAATTCCCTGAAATCCATACTGCTCAAGTTGGGGCTCTGTGACAACAACAGCATCCGGTTCTGGAACTCCTCATCCTCTTCATCAATATCCTCTTCCTTCATGCTCTGATCATCTTGGTCCTCGCTGTCACTTTCAGCGTCCGAGAAACTGGTCGGCGACGACGAGGATCCAGTCGAGCTGCTCGAGTCTTCTTCCTCTTCTCCATCCTCCTCACTACCACTGCTGCTACAACTGGAACCGCTGGAACTGCAGCACTTGGAGGGCTTGGGTTTCGGGTACATGATATGGCCATTCGAATGGCGGTCCAGGAACCCCTGGAGGATACACATCTGGATCGAAGTATCTGCAGAACACCTCCGTGCTGGGAGTGGCGATGCGGCTCCGGCTGCCCGAGAGTAGGGCGAGAGTTGAGAGTAGTAGTAAGGCGAAAACCTGCCCGCTGACGAGGCCGGGGAGGGGATCGAAGGGTGTGGAGAGTTGGTGCTGGGAGGTGGAGGTGTTGTTGACGAGTCGTAGGAGACCGAGAAGGTGCTTGTTGTGGTGGTAGTTGTGTCCATGGCAGTGTCGTCGATGATGGGCGTGAAGGCGAGGAAATGAGGTCGCATTGGGGCCGGACGAGCTGTTGGTCTGTAGCATGAGATATCATCTGTTGCCGTGGAGGTAGTCGTTGTCGTAATGGTGGTCCTGGTGGTGGTAGCGAATGGGTGAAGTGAGCGGGTAGGTCTGCTTGCGATGTCCTCCGTTTTGGGAACTGTGGGTGCCTCGGAAGTTGTGACATAGGTGGTCTTGGTGGTAGTGGCGAATGGGGGAAATGAGCGAGTAGGTCTGCTTGCAATGTCGTTCGTCCTTGCTGTCGGGTGAATGGGCCTACTCGAGATATCATTGGTGGTAGGTGCAGGAAGGCGAGAAGGTCTACTCGAGATGTCGTCTGTCGTTGGTGTTGGTCGAGTTGGTCTGCTTGAGATATCATCCGTCCTTGCAGTGCTTACGGAGGGTCGAGTGGGCTTGCCTGAGATATCATATGTCCGCGCTGTGGAGCGCACAGATCTGCTTGAGATGTCGTCGGACCTTGCAGTTGCTGTGGGACGGATTGGACGGCATGAAATATCTTCGGTCGAGGCGATGGCCGCTGTAACTCGGATAGGGGCAGTGGATGGTCGGTAACATGAGATATCGTCTGTGGTGGTTGTAGAAATAGGGCGAGTTGCAAAAGGGGGGAAAGGACGGGTGGATCCTGTTGTGGTTGTGGAGGTAGCAGTGGTTGTAGAAATAGGGCGAGTTGCAAAGGGGGGGAAAGGATGGGTGGATCCTGTTGTGGTTGTGGAGGTGGCAGTGGTTGTAGAAATAGGGCGAGTTGCAAAAGGGGGGAAAGGACGGGCGGATCCTGTTGTGGTTGTAGAGGTAGTAGTGGTTGTTGATATGTTGGAGCTGAAAGTGGCGGTGGTTGCGGTGTAGGTGGGTCTGCTAGTGGAAATGTCGTCAATGGCGACGATGGTGGTGGTCATAGTTTTGTGGGGGAAGATAGCGGTCGAGGTCGAATTTGGGGATGTCAACGACTGGGTATAGTTTGGGTTGAGACTGGTGCTCTGATTGGTGATGTTCTGCTGCCACTGGATAATCGACTGAGCTGCCAACATCTTTCGATCGCTCTCGTCCAGCTTGACCTGTTCCTCTTGTTGTTCTGGAGTTTTATCGCAGCGGGTGTTGTTGTTAACCTCGTTCTTGTTGTTGCTATCCTGATGACGACGACGGCTCGTTTCCTGATCCCTCTTCTCCTCAGACTCGTCCTCGTTCGAACTGCTTCGGGTCATAGCCAATCGATTGATATCAGACAAACAGGTCCACGACTTGGAGTGCCAGTGATGCTGGACCGTAAAATGACCATCAGCGTCTTCATGGTGCCGATCTCTCGACAACGGCGAATGGGCCAAAGCAGCCGACGACGCCGACGCAGAAGTACAGGGCCAAGGCCGCCTGCTCCTGCTCCGCTTGCCAACAGCCGTCGTCATGTCGTTCTCTGCATCGGTGTCCGTGTCGTCATCCATGTCAAACAGATCCTTGGTCCGCTCAGGGTTCAGAGGGTTCACCCCGGGGAGATGATAATGAGCCCGTCTGTTGTTATTGCGATATTGCTGTCCACCGTTACCGACGTCGTCTGTTTCCCGACCCATCTCCACCTCTACCTCGACATCCATATCCATCATGTTCAGCCTTTTGTTGTTATTGTGTGTGGAGCTGATGTGAGGTAGTTTGAGATCTAATGTAGGCGGCCATATGCGGTCGAAAGACCACTGGCTTTGATGTCTTATTTCAGGAGCAGTAGCAGCAGCCGAAACCTTGCTCCTCGGCAGTTCTGGGTGCTATTATGACCGAGAGAGAGGGAGAGAGAGTGAGAGAAAAGAGAGTTGGCAGGAAGGCCGAGGATGTGGAGAAACAGGAAGAAAATGTTAGTATGGGATGGTTACTGGAGATAAGCAGTGTGGGGTTACAGTCAATGATCAGTGAAAAAATGCAAGGAGGGAGCAGCAAGTAGAACAGCCCTCACCTGGCAGTCCTGCAGGGAGATAGGGCGGTTTGTTGTAGTATGATGCATTTGTGTATTCGAGGTGTGTACAGAGTGCGGGGAGAGGGAGTTGAAATGTGAGATTTACAAGAAAAGGAGGGTGGTGGGTGTGCAGGAAGAAAGATAAGAAAAGAAAAGAAAAGAAAAGAAAAGGAAAGAGTGGGGTGATAAAAAAAGAGGGAAATGAAAAATTATCTAGGCTTGAACTCTAATGAGTCTGATCTGTGGGAGAGAAGACGTAGTGGTGACAAAAGAGAAGTGGAAAGAAACAGCAACAAAGCTGAAGGAGAAGAAAAAAAAACCTGCGCGCACAACCCACTTGGATACATACAACACACAAAGAACCAGGTCAATCATTCTCCGAGGAACACTTTCGTGGGCACAATGGGGCAGGTTCTGGCGAGTCCTTTTCTACTAGAAAAGGGTCGATCCGGTTGCTTGCTGACACTGCGAAAACCTGCGACAACAAAACTGCCGGCCTGCTTCATTTGGGACGCGAAACAACCGATTCTAGGCCAAGTCAGTCTGGTCGTAGACAAAGAAGAAAAACCCAGCACGAGACAGAACCCAAGGCTCCAGTCGATCCATCTATATCATATCCAATGCCATGTTGACCTGTTGGAATTGAAAAATGAAGTAACAACCTGGGTGCCATGAGACATGATCGCATCGACACATTGATGTCGGCATTTCGGAAATAAGGAAAAAAGAACCATACGTGTCATAGGATATTTTTTTTGTGAAGTATTGTTTAATTTCCCGTACCGGTGGCAGAGTAGAAATGGTACCATTGAGGCGATGATTAGTGTACAAACCAACTTCTAACTAAAAGAAAGGAACGTTGGGTGTGGTGCGAGTGTGTGTGGATAAAAATATAAAAATGCGAATGAACAAAAGAATGAAATGCTGGTAACTACATGACTGAACCGTAGACGATCGTCGGCTCAGGCACAACCAAGGATACAGCTAGTTTAGAAAGTAACCTTGGAGCCCTGGAAGGAGCCGAATCCACCACGGTTGGTCGAAGAACCACCACGTCCACCACGGCCGCCACGGTCGCCACCGAAGCTTCCACGACCACCACGACCACCACGACCACCACGGTCGCCACCGAAACCACCACGGCCTCCACGGCCGCCACGACCGCCACGGCCACCGAAACCACCACCACCACCCTCAGCACGCTCGGGCTTCTGTCCAGCAAAGTCCAAGCGGCAGGGACGACCAGCGAGGTCGGAACCGTTCCAGGCAACAGCAGCCTTGGCCTCATCGATGGAGGAGAACTGAATGTAACCGAAACCCTTGGGCTGGCCAGACTCGCGATCGGTGGGGAGACGGATCGAGAGAATCTCTCCGCACTCGGTGAAAGCACCGCGGATATCATCCTCAGTGGCGGTGAAGGACAAGTTACCGATGAAAAGGGTATCGGTGGGCTCGCCAGTGGGGGTGTTGCTGAAGTTCTTGGCCTCCTTCTTAGGGCGACCCTCCGAGATATCGACACGGATGGCACGGCCATCGATCTCCTTACCGGCAAGGGCCAAAGCAGCCTGAGCACCCTCAGCGGTGGTGAACTCGACGTAACCGTATCTATTAGGTATAAAGGAGAAGGAGCTTGTTAGTCCAGTGACTCAAAGGATGACAACAATGTTTGAACTGATCAGGAAAGACGAGGAAAAGAAAAAGTTCGTAACATACCCCTTGGAGCGCTGGGAGTCGCGGTCGGTGATGACACGGACATCAGCGATCTCTCCGCACTCGGTGAACTCGGTGCGGAGCCAGTCGTTGTCGACGTTCCAGGAGAGACCACCAACAAAGACGGTGGTAGAGGCACCCTCAGCGGCGGGGGCAGCGGCGGGGGCAGCGGCAGCGGCAGGAGCAGGCTCGGTCTTGGTCTTCTTGACGGCGGGGGTCTCCTCGGCATCGGCCTTACGCTTGGTGGTGGCATCAGTGGCCTCCTCCATCTCGTCGTCAGAGTCAGAGCTAGAGTCAGAGCTCGACGAGGACGAGCTGTCAGAATCCGAGGAATCGCTGGAGGAGCTGTCAGAGTCCTCCTTCTTCTTCTCGACCTTCTTGGCCTCAGCCTTCTTCTCGACCTTCTTCTCGACCTTCTTCTCGACCTTCTTCTCGACCTTCTTAGGCTCCTCCTTCTCAGACTCGGACTCGGACTCGGAATCGGAAGAGTCAGACGAAGACGACGACGACTCGGAGTCAGAGGACTCGGCCTTCTTCTCGGCCTTCTTCTCGGCCTTCTTCTCAGCCTTCTTCTCGACCTTCTTGACCTCGACCTTCTTCACCTCGACCTTCTTCTCGTCCTCAGACTCAGAGTCGGAGGAGGAGTCATCAGAGGATGAGGAAGACGAAGAGGAGGACGAGGAAGAAGAGGAGGAGGAGTCAGAGTCAGATGAGGATGACTCGACAACCTTCTTCTCCTTCTTGTTGTTCTTGAGGGCAGCAGACTTGGCCATTGTGATGTTAATGGAGGGGATGGAGGGGAAGGGAAAGTGAAAGAGAAAAGCAAAAACGAAGTGGCTGCTGCAAATAAGTCTTGTTTCCTGGTTCAATGCTTTTTTTTTTTTTTTTTTTTTTTTTGGGGCAGTCACTCGAGAGCGTTGTAAACAAATATCACGTGCGCAATTGGACCTCTTAAAAAAAAGGTTGCTGCTTCCAAGTGCGTCATTGGTGTGGGTGGGATGTGCCCTTGCGAAGAAAACAATCCGTCGGACTCACTTGAGGTCGTTGGTCCGTTGTTGGTTAGAACTGTAAGTCTCCAGGGGGTGAGTGAGAACTGAAGGTGCACGGATAGCTATACATTCGTATCATTTCATGGTATGTACAATATGTCTTCGTATGGCATGTAGGGTTGTATGTTCTTGTGCTGTTCATATGAAGATTTTCCACCTGGTCCCACTGTGATCTATCATCCCTGGCAATGCACATCTCTTAGTGTGTGGTGTGTGTGTGGACACTGAGTGTGTGTGCACTTCAACAAAAAGGGCGTACCTTGATTTGTTCGTCGTTTCGTTTGCGGCCGTGATTTTTTTTTTTCCTTTTCTTCTTTTTTTTTCTCTCTCACCGACACCCATACTTACCATATTCTCACACTCACACACTCGCTCATTCGCATTCACGCACAACCATCTGGTTCTCAACTTCCTCCTTCCTCCCCCTTTCCCAATCACGAGTGTAAATTGCACCTTTCATTAATCCAACCTCTGGATTCCCTCTCTCTCTTTCTTTTGCTTGTAAGACTCAAGGAAGAACAAAGAACAAGCACCATCGTATTATTCAGCCTGCCAGAAAGTGAGAGCCAGATATATTCCTATTTCAAGGGGGCAGCAGGACGCACCTTACACACACGTCTCGTCATACATTCGGTGTATTTCATCCCCGCCCAGAAGCACAAGGAAGGGTGTATACATGCAGACGTTGTTATTAAAGAAGAAAGAGCGGTTGGTAGACCCTGGGGTTCATAAGGTGGCCACGCTTTTTACACTTACCCCCCTTTACTTCATTTTCTTTTCGTCACGACGGGTACAAGAAAAAAAGAAGCGGTACACAGCAACAAAAAATGGGAAGGTCGCTCTTCGTCGTTTTGTTCACATCAGTCCCTTCGTTCGATCTGACTGTCTCACATCATTCAATCAACTGTATCTCGCTCGAGGATTGATCAAAGGGTATATGGCAATGGCCCTTTACCCTTCTCCCTTGGCTGTATGCTTGCGCAACTTCCTCTGCCATCTCCTTTTTTATCCTTTTTGCCCTTTGCCCTTTGCCCTTTGCCTTTTGACCATTTTGACCATTGTCTCGCGTGTTCTCTCTCTCTCTCTCTCTCTCTCTCTCTCTCTCTCTCTCTCTTTGCATCCATCCAGTCCATATTTTATTACCCATTCTGTCCCTTTCCCTAATTTTGACCGCAGAAAAGGAATGTCCCTTGCGTGTGATGTTCTCTTCCCTCTCTCTCTCTTTGTTTTCCTGCCTCTTTGTCGCTCTCTCTTTGTAGCTCTCTTTGTATGCTTGCACTTTCTTTCTTCTCGGCCCTCTCCCCTTTTTTTCTTGCCTTATCCCCATCCATCCTCCATCAAACATACAAACAACCTGTTCTGCACCCCTTCCTACCTCCGAGAGTGCGAACCTGGCTCCCTTTCTCTCTCTGTCTCTGCGATGAGCATCACGCCATGACTCACCCATCAGCAGCCAAGCATACCACAAACAGCAACCACTGTATCATATCTATCCCCCCCTTCCCTCCAATACTGAATGTGTGGTGTCTGTTAGCCACTCCACCTCAAACATCAAGGACCACTACCACTACCATCCTGGTCTAGCCTCGCCTACGCCCTTTCAATAATATCTGACACATAAACACACATACACACTCACCACTCCCCTGCTGCCCTCGGATTGTTCTTCTGCCCACTCCTATGGTCCAAACTTTTTTTTTTTTTAGCTGTTCCCTTTTTTTCATCCGTTTCTTTTTTGCTTTTTCTCAATTCCCATCACTCACTCATCCCTCCACTTTTACCATTCTCCTTTAGAACCTGATCAAGTTTTATCCTCGACACCTCGCCCCTTCCAACCCACTTCCTGGAAACGTCGTCATTTTCCTCCTCTCCACACTCCTCTACTTCTCCACTCCCTCTCCCATAAAAGGTCTCACCCACTCTCTTCCTTCTCTATTTTAATCCTTCACTTCCAACCTTCCACTCTCCTTGCTAAACCGACCCTCGCAGTGCACCAACGGACACATCATGACAACTGTCGGGTCTTTACCAGCAGACCTTGCTCCAGGCAACGAAGCTGCAGGCAAGTCCGCAATGGGTATGTTGGGCTCTCTCTTTTCTTTATCCCGCCTCGCTTGTCCGTTTCTATTCGTCTGCATGGCCATCGTCATCATTATCTAAACCTGCGCTAGTGCACTTTTCTGGTCACACACAAAACTCATCCATCTAACCATGTGTTGCTGTTTCCTTTCTTTCTCTGTCTTTGCAGACTTGCCACCTTCGCCCACAAACTCTGTCCCTTTCATAGTCGCCACCTCTGCTGACGACGACAAAATCCAAAAGCCAATGGCAGGACCCATCGATGGCGGCAGCCCCATGCGCTTCCTTCAGGCATGCTCAAAGCTGGACATGGAGCCCAACCCCTTCGAACAAAGTTTTGCGGGCGGCGCCAGCTCGGAAAGGCCAGGATCTGCCGGCGGCGCTAGCACAGAGACAGGATTGGAGACCCCCAAGCCTGTACTTCCTCCAATCGCATCCATGTCAGGGCGCTTGGCCCCTGGCACAGATCAGTTTGGGTGGGATGCACAGTCCCTCCGGATGGGCCCACTGTCACCTTCCATGTTGGAGGGTCCCCAACAGCCAATCAATATCGAAGGAAAAACGCAGAACCCACTCCCAATCGGATCCTTCCCACCTGCCGCTGCCTCCATCAACACTGTCTTTACCTCAGGAGCACCCATGGCCGAGAATGGGCTTCCTTTTGTCGGACTTCCTGGACCTCTCCCTGTACCTCCAGTCGCCGTTCAATCAACAGAGCCTTACCCTCCCGCCGTCTATAACCAGCCTCACCCCATGGCACAACCACAACCACAACCTTCACATCAGCAGCAGCAACCACCATCACATTCACACGGCCCTCCAGGCGGACCAGGATTGAGACCACCCCAGCATTTTACGCATCCCACGACGCACCAACAACAGCATCAGCAACCTCATGACCGGTTCATACCACCACAGGCGCCACAACACAACATGGCCGACAATAACAGTCATATCAACCAGTACGGTAACTTGCACCTTCTCAGCCAACAAGCTCAGGCTTCTCGTGGGCCATGGATCAAACGAGAAAGCACAGACTCCAATGGCGGCGTTCCTTACAACCAACCTCCGCACCCATCACATGCAGGCCATCCTCATCACCCACAGAACCATCCTCACCCACCCCAGTCCCACTCTAATTCAAATCCCGGCCCTCACCAGAACAATGGTCAAGGTATACCCGGAGTTGGATCTCACCCTTCACGGAGTAGCGTCGATTCGGGATTTAATCAAGGTACTCGCCGCAGCAGAATGACCTCAGAGGACTTCAGCGACGACTCTGAGCAATCGTCCAAGAACTCGGCCAATGGTGGTGATAATGGCAATAACAAGAAGAAGGCCAAGCTCGGCCCTGTCGATGACAAAATGGACGACGAGGAGAAGCGCAAGAACTTTTTGGAGCGCAACCGTCAAGGTAACAAATGCGGTTTTCTGTCTGTTGTCTTGTCAGGGTATGATGTATCTTTGATATCGCAGCATCCCACTTATCAGAATCCAACTTTGCTCGTTCATTTGCGTAGCCGCACTCAAATGCCGACAGCGCAAGAAGCAGTGGTTGACGAATCTTCAGGCCAAGGTGGAATATCTGACGAATGACAACGAGCATCTTCAGGGCCAGACGGCTGCACTTCGGGACGAGATCATTCATTTGAAGGCACTGTTGCTGGCCCACAGGGATTGCCCCGTCGCTCAGGCGAACGGTGTCTATGCCGACTCGATTGGCTTGCCCAGTCATAGCGGCAATATGATGAACCACAGCCGACCCCCACACCCAATGCAACAGCAGCAACTTCCAGGACCTTTGCGCGGAGGACCTGGACCTGGGCCTGGTCAGCCAAGAGGATCGTTGCCCCCTCACCCACCGTCACAGCAGCAGCATCACCCACAAGGACCTGGGCCTATGCATGGAGGCCCCAGGATGATGAACCAACCTGGCCCTGGACCTCTCGCTCAGCAGCATGTTGGACCTATGGGCAATGTCGTCGGAGGCGGTCGCCCCATGTCGATGATGCAGGATATCACGCCAAATGCTTCGCCTAGCCAGGGACAGGCGAACAGTCGCTACTAGAGACGGTTGTCCGCTATAGGCTCCACCCTCTTTTCCCCTATTCCCTCTCAGCTTCTTTATGTTCAAGCTTTCTCTTGCATGAGCTGTCAGAAGAAACAAAGCGATCAAATCAACTCCCCTACTCGCTTATCCTTCACTCCTCCCTCGCCTCATTTCACAAACCCAAAGCATCATCATCCGTAGCCCATTTTTCTCATAGTTTACTTTCTTTCTTCTCGTCGTGTTTTAGTTTCTCTGCTCATTTTTCCTGTATAATAATTGCGTCTTTTGCCATCAGCTGTCATACCACCAAATATGAAGTTGTTGTTCAACCAAACCACATTATCGTAAAGAGTGTCGGTCAGTTGTTGTAGAATGTTGTTGCCATGCTTTACTACGAGTGTTGGTACACTTAAATCTACTTAGGGGGCTTGATGAAAGGATGGTGGAGTGCCTCCTGAGGAGTAATGCGCTGTTCAGGGTTGAGGTTGAGGCAGCGATCCAAAAGATTGATAAAATGGTTCACCTGGATCACATCGGCAGGGACCATTTGGTTGGTGTAGGGCATGAGGCGGGCCTTGAGATCCTTGGTAGGCTTGGAGATCTGGATCGTTCGAATGACATCCTTCTGCGTCACCTTCTCGACCTCGACCGACAAAAAGTTGCAGTCCTCGTCGAAATGGTTCTGGTTGAACTCTCCCTTGCGAATCATCTTTTTGGGGAAGGGCCCCTTGAGATCCATCATGTGCTTCAACATCTGGTTGTTGCTCCGGCCCGAAAACAAGATCTTGCCTGTAAACAGCTCATACAGCGTACACCCAATCGACCACATATCCAGCGCGGGGTCATACGGCATCCCCAAGATAATCTCGGGCGCACGGTAGAATCGACTGACCAGGTACGGCGTAATCTCGTTCTCTGAGGTATCCGATGCCGATCCCAAATCGCACAGCTTGAGAATGTTCTTGGAATCGTTCACAAGGATATTGTCGGGTTTGATATCCGCATGGAGGATGTTGCTCCTTTTGAGAAGCGACAGAGATAGGAACAGCTGCTGCGCATAGATCCGGACAGCGTTGATATTGAGTCCAATATCCTTGCCAAACTTCTTCAGGACCTCCCGCAGATTCATCGACAGCGACTCAAAAACCAGACACAAGTGCCCGCGGTGCTCGAAATGGCGCAACAGACGGATAATGTGCTTCTTGTTGAGGGGATCGTTATCCATGAGGCGCTTCAAGATATCCAGTTCCTTCTTGCCCGCCTTGTACATCGCCTCGTTGCTACGCAAGATCTTAATCGCAACCTCTTCGTCTCCATTCTTGCTATCCCTTGCCTTGACGACCGACGAGAACACTCCCTTTCCCAGCACGCTCGTCACCAAATAACGGCCATCCAAGAGTTCTCCGTGACCAAATCCTATAAATCATTGAAAATAAAAATAAAACGGAGAAACGTTAGTAATTGATTGAGATTTAGCGGTTGCTGCAAAGATACCTCAATGGCTTGTTGAAACAATGTAAAAGAACGTACGATAGTAACCCTCGGAATCATCCCAGTTGTCAACAAGAGTCGGGTTGTAATCTGCTGCCGTTTCTCCTGCCGCTGCTTTAGCGACTGGCTTGGCGGACATGGAGATATCGGCTCCTTCACCGATCGCAAACATGTCGTCCTCAATTTCGGCAAACATGTCAATCTCAGCTGCCTCCTTAACGGGAGCCTTATTGGTAACTGCCGCTGGAAGGGATGGGGCGCCCTCCTGATAGTCGGCAGCTGACATGTCGTGATCCGCATCGGTTCCTTGTGCAACGCTCTCGTAGGCATCCTTGGACTTCAGAATCGCCATGTCGCTAGCGGATTTCCGTGTCGACAGCAATGCTCGATGGAAAGGTCGGTCTTCCACTGCGCTCGTTGGTGTGCCGGGTTGGCTATCAATCATCGATCCAGGGGTACTGGCAGCTGCTGGGCTACTGGGCTGAATGGCGAGTGTAGCCGCAGAAGGCAAAATTGGGGTGACTCCTGTTGAGCTGGGGGCGGTGGAGGTCGGTGTTGGGGTTGAAGGCTTTGATGCCGATTGGGCCCGGCGCAGCATCTCTTGTCTCTTCTTACGGCGCTCCTCCAAAATCGCAGCCTCGTCCTTTTCCTCCTCGATCAAAATTGGAATATCGACCTCTGGCTCCTCTTCCTTCTTGGCAGGCTCTGCCTTAGTGTCTGTCCTGACAGGCGTTGCAGTGCGAGGTGGAGATTTGGGTGCTGTCTCCTTTGATCCTTTGTGTGCAGCGCCCTGGGATTCGCGCTTGGCATCCTTTGATTCGACATAGGCACGGGAACTATTCAAAAAGAGAAGAAAGAGGAAAGCGTGGCGTACCATTAGTTGCCATTCATAAATCAGACATCATAAAACAATGACAGCAGGTCGAGTGGAATGAGACAGTACCTTGTGGACTTGTCTGCAGGTTTTTCAGACGTAGCGCGTTCGTCCCGTGTCCGTGGCTCTCGAGAGCTCTCTCGGCTTGATGCCTTGCGGTCATCATCGCGGCGGTGAGACCGTTCCCGACTGTAGCGTTCCAATTCCTGTTCAAAGCTGCGGTCCGATCTGTCATTCCTGCCAGAAGTCATGATGGGGTGGGATGATCGAGAGTCCTTGCCATGCGAGCGAGAGGAACGGTCCCTGTCGTAATCACGTCGATCCGAGTAGGAGCGATCACGAGACGATCGACTCTCATCCCTATCGGTATAAGATAAGACGAATAAAAGAACAAAAACAATGTCAGACGTCATGTAGTGTTCCATTCAAGGGGAATGGTGGGAAATGATGATGGCCAAATCACTAGGGGCATTGCATACCTCCGTGAAGATGAGGAGTGTCTAGGGCTGGGGCTTCTTCTTGAGCGACTACTATGGTGACGATCGGTGGACTTATCCCCATGCCTACGACGATAAGAGTCGTCCTCGTCCCTGCTATGCGATCTCCTGCTACGATCCCCATTGCGGTCCTGACGGTGAGAGCTAGTAGTGCTGCGATGATCCGACGAAGCGTTTGATCCAGTTGGGCTGGCGGGCGTCATCTCAACATCCTTGCCCGGCGCAGGCGAGTTGGAGTAGGAAGTGTCGCCAATGTGTATCGCCTTGAGGTCGTCAGAAGGGCTGGAACGAGAGGAGACAGAGGGGGATTCGCCATGGCGGATTTTTCGAACCTTGGCAGGTAAGTTTGAATCAAGCAACGATTGTGAGGAAGAGGAGGAAGGGGAAGCGAGATCACGAATACTGCTCTTCACCTGGTGTTGCTGCTCACTACCGTTTCTATCCTCGCGGCTTGATTCAGTCGACGAAGGTGCGCGCCGCTTGACTCCGGTCTCGTCATGGACTAGCTTTTCTGAGGGAGCGGTGGTTATCGTCGGTGTGGCACTAGCGGGTTTTGTGGTAGTTGCCGTTGCTGCCTCTACTGCTGCTGTTGGACGAGTCGAAGGTCTTGCGGAGTTCAGGGACTGGGCTGGGGATCCTTCCTGCTCAACGATCTCGCCTTCTTCGGCCTCAACGAGTTCATTCTGCATAGGAGAAGGAGACATTTGAAAACAACTTATGAGCACGTTTGGTTCAAATATGAAAATGAGAGAGTTGGGAAAACGATCTTCGATGCAAATAGTAGAGGGGTATTGAAGCAAAAAAGAGAGGTGGAGCCTTTACGGTTCGAGTGAGATTGAGTGGGAAAGGAAGGTGTTCGGAGAGGATTGATGATGCTGCTGCTTTCTTTTGTCGTTCTTTTTTTCTGCTTTTTTGTTTGTGTTGTTACTTTGTAAAGGTCTTTTGTTGACTGTTTTGTTTTTATGAGGTTGGTGGTCGGCAAAGTGGTGTTGCTGGTAAGATCAATAGAGAGCGTGCTGTGTTGAAAGGAGTTAATCTTCCACATTTAGTACCGATCCGCGGGCGGCGGCAATCGACGTCACTCTAGAATCTTCCACGTATTTGCTACATTCGGATTTAACGGATGGGCTGCTGACCTGAAAAATCCATTTGTTCAAAAAAGCATGACACAGCAATCAAACCAGAAATCAAACTACATTTTTTATTTGGCAGGTAAGATAGCATAGTGGGGTCTTTGGGGAGATTTTGCCTAGGATTGTAGTTTGACCTTTCCTTTTATTTTTATGGACTGGTCTCTCGCAGTTATCCGTATCCCCTCTCCATACCTGTTTGCTTTCTTTGTTACTTTGTTACTCCTTCTCTGTCTGTTCCGTTGCAACGTCCTCTTTGATTCACTTCTCTTTCAATCGAGCGTAATATTTTACCGAGTTATCCATCATACCGCAGGCTGTGTTCTACCAACCTCTCTATCATATCCATCCTATTTAATTCTCCTTTATATTTACAAACGCATCAGTAATGCGAACCATATGACGGCAACGCTGGAAGGAGTTTGATTTCCAGAAATGCCGACTCATGGCCTGCTTTGGTGGTAGTTGCATCTGGTTTAAATGATTGCCCCGACGGTACTTGGATCCCTGCGTAGGTCGGTTGGCCAATGAAAGATAAAAGTCCGTTGATTTTCTCACTGGAAAGATTGTGCTGAAAAAAACATCCAACACGCCATGTGCAAATGAATCTTCATTCATCTCGCAAAACGCAATGTATCGCACAGGGAGCTTGACCGAACTAAAAGGAGAACGCAAGTGAAATAGCTGTTAATACGAAAAGGACTACTACATGCGCGGTAAAATAGCACATTCAAATTAACTTACATGGACTGATAGATAAAAACAATTTTATCCAACATTGCACTAATCGGTGACCGTCCTGCAATAGCTTGAGTTTGCATCAGCTCTTGGTCAAGTTCCCAACAAAGTGCTGCCTCTTCTGTTGAGAGAGAAGCCAATGGACAGGAGTTGTGTTCTACAAGAGCCGCAAGCATGTCCTCCGAGAGGTAGGGCAGATTGTGCTCCATATCCCAAATATAATTCATCGCTCTATTGTGTCCACGAAGAACGACATACTTTGGTTAGGAAATATCCCGCTGTCAAAAATACGCTATCAGATAAAATACATGAACTTACAAGAATGAGCGAAGATTGAACAAGGATGCGTTTTCCTCGAGTCGATTCACAAGGCCAAGTAGAACGACGCTGGAAATTAAGGAACAGGCTGCCAACATTCACACCACGGAACTTGTACTCCTGCAGCTCAAACTTGTTTGGATCGATTCGAAAAAAAATCCGCAGATTGTTTAGCCATATGTTGATGTTACTGCTCCTTAGACTGGTGTCGACGTCGTTGCTCATCGCGCCGATACTGATGTTCTTACCCCTCGTCCTGTTGCTCAGTCGTTGAGGCCAATTCTTTTCGACTCCTTTTGCTGGGTGTGACTGCCGAGAGCACCTGTGATAGAAGAAAAACTCTGGGTTACCTCCCCTACAATTTGCCGTATATGCCGACGTCCAGCCCTGTCCAGGATTTCCTCTGGCTGTCGAGGTTTCTGTTTCTTGTACCAATCTTTGAACACATTAGACTGAAAAATACATGTTAGACACAAGGGCATGATCACTAAGCACAATCACGCTATTAAATGAAGTATATACCTTCGTGTTATCGATGAAGCTTTCCGCCCAAGACTTGATATCGGCGGCTAGCTCGCGATTGAGAATACGTTCGGCACTCTTGATTAGCGCGTCGCCGAGTGACCCGCTCATGTTAAAACGATATCGCTTGTTGAACGCATCCAGGAGCGTCTCAAATGGCCTGGTGCATCACTGTAGAAGAAAATCCGCCTGCTCCTCAAAAAGCGCATTGATGGATGACGAAGTAGACTCGTTCGAGGACTTAGATGGGCAGGAGGCAGCTAGGCGAGATGCGGCTGGAGTATTCGATGAAGCGTGCCAAGGGAAAGGTAATTGTTGCGTGAGGATAAAGGGATATGGTGTGGTTAGAAAACGTGCTTTTTAAACGCAAGAAAAACAAACCAAAAGGGAAAAGGTAAAGAGACACCTGAATTACGATGATGGAACCCAAGCTACCAGGGGATTTGACCCAACCGTCGTTGGGCGCAAGGGGCGTCAAAGCGGCCTCTCCATCTATAACTCATATTTGGCATTGCTCATTGAGAGGAGGCCTTACAATGAAAGCGTGACGACTCCACGCTAACCAGGGGATGGCGTGGTCTGCACCCAACACCCATGGAGAATAGACATATGACACTATCCATCATAATTATGCTAATTACGATGAACGGACAATGGCCTTTTTCGTCTGCCAAACATGAATCATATTTCCGCCTCACATACAATGAATCTTGAAATATGAACATGCTGGAGCAATTTCCAAGTGGTGCAAAAAGGAAATCGGAGCATAAAGGTAATGAATGAGTAAGAGAAAAATGTGATGGGATACTGTTGACAGCTTACCAATTGGTGATGTGTAGATCCAGCTAGCAATAAATCCTGGAATTGTGTGAATTCCGACGCAGGGATGATTGTGAGAAGGAGTCAAGGAGGACGAAAGGGTCAGAAGAAGAAAGAAGAGAAGGAAGATATCGCATCTCTGCACAGAAGGGCGATGGAGAGAATGGATGTGGACAGAGGGAGAATGAAAGATGCGAGTGGAACAAAGGGCGCATAACTTACGATACCGAAGTATGATAGTTGCCTTATTAAAAGCCACTGCTTCTTTTTTTCATTCCTCACCATGACTCGAGGGGCTACCTCCAACGCAATCTGTGTTAAGATTCCCTCAAGCGACGCTGTTGATGATCTTCGTGATCTCATCATGGCCAGGAATGTTGTCGTGTTTACAGAGTCGATGCGAAGATCCTCGCTACCTGGGGTGCCTGAATAAGAAGAAATTCGGCCCTGTGGCGCGTCTTTCCAATGTGAAAAGAGAGGATTTCGCGTTCTGGTGAGGGCGATTAATTTCTCTGTAAATTGGCTATAGAGGTTATTCGCAAGGATGACATCAACGATGCGATTGTTCTCAAAGACGCCAGCTATCACCACATCACTAATTCTGTCGACCCGAGGGCTGTTAAAGTCTCTCAGAGGGAAAGACTAGGTCTTTTTAACAAGAGGACTCTGCCCTACCACAAAACAGCAACAGGCACAAGTTTGGCGATATTGGGACTTGAGATGGACAAGCAAGCAAGGACGAGACTTCGCGATCCTGGTGCCTGGCTCCTTCGCTATCCATCCTCGGCTGGCCCCTCCCTCCACATGTTCGTGGTGCCCCTCGGCTCGCTGTTTAGCTCACAATATGCGAAAATAAAGAAATTATTTTTAATCTCACACGCACACAGCGAAAACCAACCGCACTGCACAAGCACACGAATCGTCATTTGTTTATGCACTTGTCGTCAATTGTTTTTCTTGAGTGGCAGAAATAAGCATCCGATATCTGATAGATGAACACAAGATGGGAGCGGTACCATCGTAACCAACTAATCCGTCTCGGTCCGACCGACCCGCTGCTCCATTCTCCTTTGTTTCTTCATATCCTTAATATTTCAGGTCTTGGCACAAGGGAGGCTGGCTGTAATCATGGTTCGGTTAACCTCCCGCAAGGTATAAGCCGTATGTCTTGGCTTTTGATTCTCCATCCATGATAATCCCTCCACATGCACACTTTCAATGCCTATACAGTCTCAGCCAAAGTCTTACATAGTTTATGAGTGTTCCTAATATGAATAAATGGTCATTAATGTTTGCTCACCCACAACCACTGCTCTTGTGCGCATTAATCATGCCAGACGAGGCGTGCAGTGCAGTACATGAATGAAGGGTGCCAGTCTATGCACTACGCCAGGGTTGGGAAGAGTAAGTTGTCAGCAAAGTTCCCTAATCCGGAACTTGGTAGGGGACACCTGGTTGTGAGCTGTGGATTGAGGCATGTGGGTGGTTGGGGTGCGTGTTTGGAGAAAGAGTAAGGGGGTACAACATGCGTGCATAGACTAGACATAGATAGGGTCGGGGATGAGAGACAACGGTCGTTGCTCCTGGATATTAGCAGGCTGTCTGGATCGGAGAAACGAGTGGACTTGAAAGTACAAAGTATGAACTCCGTCTGTGCGTGTCTGTGTTTTGACTTTTACTTCCAGCACACAGTTGTGCAAGAAATCATATGTCATCAATCCCCCTTCGGCTGAACGGGCCCACATGTGTGTCGTATGGCCAAGATAGCATTAAAGGAATGTTTATCATCACACCACCATATAAAAAGGTGAGCCTCTTTCATTTCCTTTTTCTTTTTCTTTTTCACACATACCCACTCTTTACCCCTTCTTTTTATTTATTTTATTAGCGGCCGCCTCAATTTTTACGACAAACAACCCTTTATTTCTCCTTTCCTCATTCTTCGCACACACCCTCTCTTTCTCTTACACAAATCAACAAACTCTCCTCCCCAACGGACACACGCAAACAATGGAGGTCATAACAGCATCAACAACACACCTCCTGTCAACACTCAACAAGTTGACAGACCACTCCTTCTTTCAAACGCTCCCTCAATCACTGCCCGTTTCTCCCTGCGTCATAACCTCCCCCACTCAGATCGCCCTCCCCGACTCCTTCTACTTCTCCCTCTTCTTCATTTTTGGCGGTGGCCTCTACATCCTCCTCCTCTTCCCTTTTACCCTTCGCCAAAAACAATGGCTTGCCGCCCCTCTCATCGCCGGTCTCTTTGCCCTCCCTCTCATCTTCACATCCACAAACTCGCCCGTCCTCCAATTGGCTCACCTCGGTGCCTGCGGTTGCGTCCTCATGCGCCAGATCGATCTCTACTATGTCCGCCCTTGGAGAACTGGCAAGGAGCCTACTATGAACCTCGAGGACTGGTGGACAGAGGTTTGGCAGCCCTTCCGCAAGGTCCCCATGAGCAAGGAGCAGATCCAGCGATTCGAGCTCGAGCTCCAGCAGACCAGACTTCGTCGTGAAATCGAGCGTCAGGAACGGGAAGCACTCTACAACAGCAGCCATAGCAGCTGCAGCACTAGCAAGGAGAACAAGGACAAGGAGACTCAGACTGTTGCTGGCTCTTCTGATGAGGCATCCAAGCCCATGAAGGGAAAGCCCGTCAAGCAGATCTACACCCCCCGTGTCGACCCCAACCCCCAGCATTGGAGCGCCTACCTCCCTCGCTGGTTCTTCTACGCCACCCTCATGGATGTCATCCCTTTTGTCATGAGCTTCATCACCTTTGAGGCTATCCAAAACTTCAACATTGTCCAGACCCTCCTCCTCCGCATTGGTGTCGCCGCCATGGTCATCTTTGACATCTCCCTCCTTAACTACACCATTATGATCCTCTGCGCTGCCATCACCGGTGATCTCGTCCACGACACCGAATGGACCTTAGTCAGTCACTACTTCCCTGGTTTTGCCACCTCCCCCGCCGAGTTCTGGCGCCAGTGGCACCACCTCTTCCAGTACATCTGGGTCGACCTTGGCTTCCACCCCGTCAAGCACATCCTTCACAAGTACGTCAGCAGCAAGACCAAGAACCGTCAGCTGGCCAATGGACTCGAGTTGGTCCTGCCTGTGATGGGTGTCTTCTTGATGTCAGGCTTGATGCACGAGTATATGATGGTTGGAATGTGGCACATCCGCCCCGGCCACATGACCCTCTTCTTCCTCATCCAGGGCGCCGGTACCATTCTCTCCAAGGTCCTTCTTAACACTGTTGGCAAGAAGGTCCACGTGCCTCCAGTCATTCTTATTACTTTGACCTGGGTTTTCAACTTGACGACTGCTGCTCTCTTTATGGAGCCTGTCCTCAAGAACCATGGTTACAACATGGTTGCCAGCCAAAGTCTTTTGCTTCATTCTTACAACCTCTTACGATCCAACGGCATCTTCTAAACCGAAGGTGTTCCATGGCCCATTATGACACTCTTTCAACTTATACCATTGCTTATCTTTCATGACTCTTTGCATACCCATTTGTAGTCTTTTTTTTCATAGTTTTTCTCGCTTACTTTTAATACACTTTTTGAAAACAACTCACCTTGTTCACGTTGGCATGTTCAGGGACGTTGAGACAGCAGTTGGAACTGAGCGCCACCAAAAAATGCAAGGTCACAATTGCGCCTCTTGAACAAACAAAAAAAACAACCTCGCTCCACCTTTTTGCTTCCCAACCATCAACAACACCAACAACAACCACGAAATGGCGCTGTTCGACGAGGTCACAATGACCGACAGCGGGAACGACTCCGAATCAGGCCATTCATCCTCCACCGGAAACGGCGTCTCCATCCACACCCCCAACAACAATCGCTCAAATAATAACAACGCGTCCTCCCCTTCTGCATTCGCCTCCTTGACCGCCGGAGGGCGATTGGCAAAACTTTTGGCCCGTGAACAGGAGCTCATCAAGACCCTCGAGGAACTTACACGCGAAATCAAGCTGTTGGAACAGGCTCCCGAAGAAGACGAGAGTTCGAAGGGTGCTGCTGAAGAGGATGGAGACGATGAGGGGGATGACTTGGAGGAGTTTGAGGCTCCTGAATGGTGTGTGCCCATCAAGGCGAACGTCATGACCTATGACTGGGATGTAAGTTTTCTTTGGGCAGGACCTCTCGGCACTCCTTCGTCTTTTCTGTTTAAAACATGATATCCTGAATTGGTTTTCTTCAGACGACAATATCATACCAACATGTTTGACTGGCGCAAGTTTGTTTACTTTTTTCAATTTCTGATCCCCCTTGTTCCTGGAATTGTAGAGCCTGGCAGCAGAGTGCCAATTTGACGTTATTCTAATGGATCCACCATGGCAGCTCGCCACCCACGCCCCTACACGCGGTGTAAGTCCCCTTTTTCATGATTTGTTGCCACCCACTTGCTCCTAATGAGCCACACTTATCAAAGTCTTGTAACAACTTATTTACCCGTTTCTTTTTTTTTAACCGCCTCTTTTTCATGATAGGTCGCGATCGCATATCAACAACTTCCAGATATCTGCATTGAGGAACTACCCGTGCCGAAGCTGAGCTCCAATGGATTCATCTTCATCTGGGTTATCAACAACAAATACGCTAGAGCTTTTGACCTCATGCGGAAATGGGGTTACAGGTACAACCGTCTCATGGATAATTTGTACCAACCATGACACTTTGGAAGAACATTGAACTGAACCTTTTTTTCCACCCTTTGTTGACAACTGATAGCTATGTTGATGATATTACATGGGTCAAGCAGACGGTGAATCGCAGGATGGCCAAGGGACATGGGTACTATCTGCAGCATGCTAAGGAGACTTGTCTTGTCGGAAAGAAGGTAATTATTTACACTTGTAATTATCTTTCACCATTCATGTAGGATCTATCTTACATCTCATACCCTAACATCTTGATTGCTGTTGCATTGTTTATTTCATAGGGAGAGGACCCACCAAACTGCAGACACTCGATCGGATCGGACGTAATCTTTTCCGAGCGTCGCGGACAGAGTCAAAAGCCTGAAGAGCTGTACGAGATGATTGAGGAACTGGTACCCAATGGACGGTACATTGAGATCTTTGGACGCAAGAACAATCTTCGGGATTACTGGGTCACCGTCGGAAACGAGCTTTAGGTTAATACATTTCAACAAATACACTCCTTTCTTATTACGCAGCAAAGACCTTGTTTGCAGTTTTGTCTTTATATTCTTTTCTATTAATCGGGAGATTCCAAGAACTTTTCCTACTTTCGGAAGGTGCGGACAAGGGCGCTCATCTGCTTGATATCGAGCCACATTCCTTGCTTCTGGTACGGATAGATAAAGAATGGCGCCGTCACCAGGTGATACACCATCATCACCAGAATCCCACCCCCTCTCATCACACACTGCTTCATCGGAGAACCACCGTTATACGTTCGCTGGATAGCTCTCCCAACAGGACTCCTTTCGATAGCCTTGGAGATTACGACACCAGTAGCCTGGATCATAAAGTACGCCACCTGACTCCAGATCGGCTCCCTCCACAGGGCGTAGACAATGTAGGCGTGCATGGCTCCGGAGAGGAAGAAGACTGCATAGACGGGGAGGATCTCGCGCGCCAATTGAGAACCTCGACGACCTAACCGTTCCGGGCCAAGGTGCTTCCTACACCACCGCTGGACAGGGTTGAAACCAAGATCGACCCAGATGTATCGGAAAAGCGTCTGCCAGTTGATCCAGAAATCCGTTGGCGAGTATGCAAAAAGCGGTAACTTGGTATCGAGCATCGTCCACTCCCTTGGGTCGGCTCTGCTCCCAGTCGAAGCCGAGTACACAATGGCGGTGAGGGAGACGGTGGTTCGGATGTAAAAGATCACAAACGAGCATACGGCGAAGACCATGAGGCCGTACTCGAGTGTTGGCGAAGAAAGCATCTCGGAGGCGGTGTAGAAGGACATGAAATAGGTGATGGAGTCAAAGATAGTGAAGTAGACCAGGAAGGATGGGAGGAGGTCTTTCCAGGAGTAGCCGATCGTGGGAGGAGACGTTTTGCCGGTTTGTTTTCGCATGGGGGACCAAAGTTCGCCTTGGAAACGGTCCTTGTCCCAGTGGAAGGGATCGCCGATCTCGATGATCGATCCAGTCGTCGTCGTCGTTGATGTTGTGGCCATCGTCCCGGTCGAGGTTGTGGAAGAAGCGGAAGAAGAATCAGACTTCTTGGATCTCGCAGTTTCATCCTTCGCAGCCCCTGCAGTCCTTCCGGCCAAGAAATACCGACTCGGCACCCCAGTCCAAGGCTGAACATAGTACAAATCCACCATCCTAGTAACCGTCGCAATGGAAGCAACTGTCATCGCAAAGTGGAAAAACACAATCGGACAAGTGTACAACAACGGCACCAGCAACAGGACCAGGATGAGAGGAGCCGCTAGGATCTGTTTGACACGACCAGATTTGGGGTGGGACCATACAAACATCCTGTAGAGGACGATGAGGGCGGTCATGATGGAGCCAACGAAAAGGGCGTCGTTGATGACTCTGTTGTGCGGGAGGAGTGGAGGGGAGGTGGTGGACTTTGTGGTGACGGCGGTGTAGAATGTGGAGCTGGTTGTCCAGCGCCACGGGGTGGCGAGGATGTGGACGATTGGGAGATCAGAGTGGGTCCTGAGGAAGGCGAGGAACTGGCTGCCAGTGCGCTGCAGCTGGGCGAGTGCTGCTTCAATTGCTGCCATTGTTGAAGAAGGAGAATAAGGAAGGATAGGGGAAGGATTGGAGGAATGGTAGGGGCAATGCTTAGTTCAAGATAGGTTTTCTTTGATCTGCGCTGTAGGTCCGTGGGTGCAATTGTTTGGCAAGTTTTTCTTTTTGTTGATGGGAAAAGCACGCCAAGGATGATAGGGCAAGGCGCGTTGGTTGTGAAGAGTAGGGGTAAAGAGAAGAATAAAAAGAACGGGAAGGGAACAACGATGAGGGGGAAGTGAATGAAGAAAAAGAAAAGGAAGAGATGACCAGCTGGAACCGGAACACACTTTATTTATTTTTTAATGAGTATCAAGCCCAGACCCAGTTCACTTCCCTTCTTATTTTCTTATTTTCTTATTTTCTTATTTTCTTATTTTCTTATTTTCTTATTTCTTGTGGCACGATTATTCAGGGCTAATCGATAAGGGACAACACCAGCAAGGACACACTCCCTTCACTCCATGGTTGATATAGATGCGATGTTGACAAGATAAGTTTACTTTCCGAAAATACGAAAGGTGATGCTGATCCCCTTGACTTCGAGCCACATGCCCTGCCTCTCGTACGCAGAGATGAAAAAAGGCGCCGTTGCCATGTGGAATACCAGCATCAACATAACCCCAACTCCCTTCATCGCACACTGCCTCGTCACAGACCCGCCCTTATACGCTCGCTGGATCGCCTTTCCGATAAAACTCCTCTGGATCGCCTTGGAGACAACAACGCCCGTAGCCTGAATCATGAAATATGCCATCTGGCTCCACCCGTTCTGTCTCCACAGCGCATAGACAATGTACCCGTGCATGGCTCCGGACAAGACGAAGACCGCATAGACGGGAAGGATCTCACGAGCCCACTGCGAACCACGACGACCCAACCGTTCCGGGCCTAGATGCTTAATACAGAACCGCTTCACAGGGTTAAACCCAAGATCGACCCAGACGTAACGGAAGAGAGTATGCCAGTTGATCCAAAAGTCCGTTGGTGAATATGCAAGGAGTGGTAACTTTGTACCGAGCATGGTCCACTCCTGCGGGTCGGCTCTGTTCCCGGTCGTGGCGCAGTACATGATGACGTTCATGAAGACGGAGGCTCGGAGGTTGTTGTAAACATATGAGCATACGACGCTGACGATGAAGCCGTACTCGAGTGTTGGGGCCGACATGACTTCCTCTGAGGTGTAGAAGGACAGGAAGTATATGATCGAGTCAAAGACGGTGTAGTAAAATAGGAACGCTGGGAGGAGGTCGATCCAGGAGCGGCCGACTGATGGATCAGACTTTTTGCCGTTTTGTTTCCTCAGTGGCGACCAGAGTTCTTCCTGTAACCGTTCACTGTCCCAATGGAAAAAGTCGATAGTCTCGGCAGTTGATCCATTCGTTGTCATCGCCGTCGTCGTAGTGGTGGTGGTGATGGTCGATAGTGTCGTCTTGTTGAGGCCGCTCCTCGACTTGGTCGAGGAAAAGGAAGAGGTGTCGATTTTCTTGGATCGAGCAGCAGCACGGGCAGCCTGAGAGATGAGGTAATTACGACTTGGCACCCCCGTCCAGGGCTGGACATAATAAAGGTCAATCATCCTCGTAACCGTCCAGATCGCAATAACAGCCATCATAAAGTGAAAAAACACTGTGGGACAGGTATACAAGACCGGGACCATGACCAGATACATAATAAGAGGAAACGCCAGGATCTGTTTAACACGTCCGGGAAAAGGCCAGAGAAACATGCGGTAGAGGACGACGATGGCGAGGACGAGGGGAATGTTGAGAAGTCCGTCGCTGATGACTTTGTGGGGCGCGAAGAGCTGCTCGGAGGTTGGAGTGGAGTAGGTCACGGCGCCGTAGAGTGCGGAGCTGGTTGTGAAGCGCCAGGGTGTGGCGAGGAAGTGGGCGATTGGGAGGTCGGAGCGGGTCCGCAGGAAGGTCATGAAGTTGTCAGCGCCGTGACTTAACGTGTCCTGGACCTGAGCGAGTACCGTTTCAATTGCCATCCTCATAGAAGAAAAGAAGAGAACGACGGAGTGCTTATTTGAAGAAAGGTTTTTGTTTGCGTTGTAGGTCCGTGAGAAGATATGGAAGGTTGTTGTTGGAAACAAACTATGGTTAAAGTGCGCTCGCTATTCTCTTGAACGGATCAAGGCACATCAAGGCGCGATGAGTGAAAAGGAATGAGGAAGTGGATGGGGAAGAAGAGAAAGGAAAGAAGATGAATCGCCGACCACCTTTATTCCTCTCAAGCGCCCCTAAACCCCTTTTCCATGTTCGATCCCCTGTCGTTCGTTTCTTTCTTGTCGTTATTTTGCCTTTGTACCCCGTGTGGGCAATCATCCCACCTGGGGACAGAAAAGCGGCGCATTTGGCCCGAGTAACTCCTATGTCGTTCTTATATTACTTTCTTTGTGGCACGTTCACCTACCAGTCTTCAACCAACAGCCCAATGTCCATATTATCGATGTGGATAGCGGTCGCTTCACTTCAGAAGTGCTTCAGAACTGGCGCGCATCGTAGAACTGCTCGTAGACATGCCACCGCACGTGACTACTGGGCGTCGAGCTGGAAAGCAGCAGAACGAAAAGTTCGGCAACCGATACCACCGAACTCAAAAAGGCTCATCTTTACCCAACAAGCAAGCAAAGCGCAGCTCCTTTCTTTCAAAGGAGCTACTTCCACGTATCTTTTGGGGGAACGAATGAATGGACGCAAAGTTAAAGAGAATGATGACGGGGTATGAGTGATGGAAGTTGGGGCCTAAGAGAAAACCCACCTGGTGAAAGGAAAACTTTAACCATCAATCGTGCCGAGTACAAATTGAACACTCTTTTTCCCATTCCTTCTTTTTATTCTCTTTTCTTTTCTTTTCATTCATCCTCCATTCCTCAACAACCAAAACCCACCAATACTTAACATCCTTCCTTCCCTCCTACCCCCAAGGAAGCAGACGCACGACATCATGACTACTTCTCCATTCCCTATCCGCTGCCGTGGTCTCCTCTTCGATATGGTATATCCTAAAATCCAATTCACTCCTTATCATTACTTTTTCGTTCGTTTTGCTCTCCCACGGTTACCACATCCATTCCAATGACTATCCCATCAATTGACACCCCTATCCTCTTCCAATCGTAACATCACCCCCTTCCCCCATGTAGGACGGCACGTTGGTCGACACAACAGTAATCGTCGAACGCCACTGGAAAGTCTGGTGTGAGCTCCACAACGTTGAATACTCCCGCCTAATCGCCGTCTCCCACGGCCGCCCCTCCTTCGAGATCATGAAAGAATTCGCCCCTCTCGAAAAACAGATCGAATACCAAACCCCTGAATACCTGACAAAACTCGAATCTGCAGTCGCCAACGACAAGAACGGCATGATCCTCATCCCCGGAGCCAAGGAGCTTCTCCAGTCGTTGCCGAAGGGAACTTGGGCGGTGGTGACGAGTGCTGGGTTGGAAATGGCCCAGTCGAGGTTTCAGCAGACCGGTTTGGCAACGCCTCCGATCATGGTCACGGCGACCCATGTCTCGCGGGGGAAGCCTCATCCAGAGGGATACATGTCGGGGGCGAAACAGTTGGGGGTTCCCCCGAGCGAGTGTGTGGTCTTTGAGGATGCTCCTGCGGGGATTCGGGCTGGTGTTGCGTCGGGGGCAAAGGCAGTTATTGGAATGAATACGGGAACTATGCCTTTGGATCATTTGGTTGAGGCGGGGGCGAACCCGATTGTGAGAAGCTTTGAGGAGTTGGAGTTTTCGTTCCTCGAGGATGGAATCATTGAGATCAACCTCCGGGAATCTCAGGCTTAAAGAAGTTTGCTCCCCTTGCACTCTCTTTTTTTTCCTCTCTCTCGATCTCTTCTTACCTTGTCTATCTCCACCCCTATTTTTTTTCTTCTTGTTTCCTGCCCTGAATGGGGTTCATTCCACTAACAAATATCAACAAACGCTAGAAAATAAACAAAATATGTAGATTACCGATAACGCCAGCCAATGTCCCACAATGACAGAACTGCTGACCCTCTTGATAAGGCTCAGAGGTGCATTATCTTGTCTCTGCGCAATTGTAAGGTTTGGGGGTATGTGTCAGTCTGTCTGCCTGGAGAAGATCACGCTCATTAAATTGTTAGTCCCTTTACTTTGCTTTTATTCCTCAGTAGGCATAGTAGACTTTACGCCTTTTGAGGTCTTCCCTCATCAGCTATTACTCTTTATGCTACTTGTCCTCGTCTTCCTCCTCGCCTTCATCCTCCTCACCTTCATCCTCCTCACCTTCATCCTCCTCACCTTCATCCTCCTCCTCCTCATCCTCAGTATCATCATCTTGCTCCTTGAGCGCCAAATATCCACCAGGGATAAAATCGCCCAACTGCAGCGCAATGCTCTGCCCACCAGACCCATCCTCACACAACTTCTCAACCAGAGCCAGGTACCGTGCCTCAAGAGCCTCCTTGCCCTCATTCTCGGCCATCAACATTCCTGCCTTGGTCTCGACCGTCGATGACAACCAGGACTTCAAGAAATCCGCCGTCATCTGTTCAATCAGTTGAGCCTCACGTTGACCCTCGTTCACAACCTCCTCACGGATCTCGTCCAGAAGGTACTCGGCCATGCTGAGGGCCAGACCCAGGGGGGGAGACCAAGCGTATGAGAATTCGTCGCCGGTACCGTCGCGGACTGGGGAGAATGCGAGAGCCATGTGACTGGCGATGGTGCCTGTGGAGAAGGTCGAGCCAGGAGCGGTTAGGGCTAGACGAACGAAATCCAGGAACACGTAGGGACGCATGACAATGAACTTGGAGTGACGGCCAATCGTGTCGATCGCGTGGTTGGCGTAGGCCTGGACAACCATCGGCGACATTGGCTTCTCAATCGCATTCTTCACCGCTGAACATGTTGTTTTGTAAAAATCAAGACAAAGTGAAGTTAGTAAGATGCGCCCATAAAATGTACACAATGATATCGTAGGCATATATATGGAGTACACAAAGAGTACGAACCTTGCATAGTGGGCTTGAAGTAGTCACCAATATCGTTCATCAATTCGTTCCACTTCTTGTTCACCTGCTCCAGCGTGACAGGGTCCTCAACACCAAGAGCCTTGCTGCTCTCAGGGCCTGAACCACCACGGAAGGGGAAGAAGTATCCATACATGGTGTCGACACCCATCTGGTGGTTGGCGATAAACGGCGTCAGATCAAAATCCGCAAGTCGTCCGTGCATATACGCCTCCATGATCAGGACAGTCGCCGGTGAGATACCGTAGCTGGCATTGCGGGGGTTATTCTCTCCAGCCTGGAGGTTGCCCAAAGTCATGGCATACCAGCCAAAGTCCGTAAACTTGTACAGCTGTTCGGGTAACGAGTACGAAACCTGGCCAGAGTTCAACTGGCTGGTAATGGTACCGTGGAGCAACTTGGACGCATCCTTGGGGAAGGCCGTACAAATGATGTTCATGTGCGAGTTCATCAGAGTCGTCAGGATAGCAACATCTGGTCCAGACAACCACTTGGCCTCCCGGGCACGATCCATCATCGGCGTCAGGACCTTAGTCAGCAGAGGAAAGTCTGCCATCTTGCCACCCTTGTCGTTGAACATGCGCACAATCTCGGCGCTAATCACGTTGGCAATGCGCGACCGGTTTGTCCAGTAGAAGGCAGGGTGGTCCTGGTGTGCCAGACGCTCGATAAAGGTGCCAATCTCCTCAATGTTGAAGACGCCTCGATTGCGGTCCAAGATCGAAAGAGCAACCTCGTCCACATGGATCCAATCAATCAACTCCTCGCGGGGTTCCAGGGCGGCAAGTCCAATGAATCGCTTCAGCTCGTCATTGTTGTTGGCCTTCAGCATGAGGCGATCCCAAATCCAGGTACGAACGTCGTGTCCAGGCGATAGGTAACGGTTACTGTAATCCACAATACGGAGAAGGATACGAAGGGCCTCTTTGTTGATCTCGGCCTGAGTCATTCCCGTCTGGGGCTTGAAGACAGTAATCTCTCTTTGCAAGGCGGTTGTCCAGGTGACCGATTCGATACCCTTCTCCAACAGGGGCTTGGCGATATCGAGCTCGTTGCCAGTAAAGGCACCCGCCTCCACGGCCTTGGTAAAGTTTACAAATACTAAATTCGATCCGAGGTAAAGACTGTTGATCCGCTCGAGAGCCTTCTGGCGCAAGGTGCGGGTCTGGGTCTTGTCCAAAAAGAAGTTGACCTGGTCTTGCACAAGTCCAATCAGCTCATTCCAGGCAAACTTCGCCTCATCTCCAGACTCGAGCGCTCCAGACACCTCCTTGCCAACACAGCGGGCGATACCGGCAGCAAAAGAAAGCCATTGCTTGAACTTGTCCTCCTTGATAGGCACCAGCAACGCTTCCATTCTCCAGTTCTTGGCCAAACGAACAGCATTCTGGGGAGTGATCCATCCCTCGTTGTGAGTGAGCAGCTGAATCGCTAATATGCTGACCTCCTTCAAATCTCTGTCCGTCTCCTTCTCCTCAGATGGCTTGGCAGCCATGGGGATCAAGACCTCGTCGACATAGCGGTTGGTCAGAGCCAGGGGCAGGCGGATCACGGCAGTGTCGGTCAAGGTCGTGTTACCGATGTCCCGGGTGGAGATTCCAGACAACAACAAAGAAGGCGTGTTGGCAATGTCTCGGGGGGAGGGGAGAACAGCAAGGAGAGCAATGGCGACGCCGTTCTTCTTATAGGCGTCGGAGCGGGCGGTCTCTGCCACAGCCTTCCAGATCCACTCGACCAGGTCTTTGTAGCGCTCCTCCTTGGCCTCGGGACTAGCTAAGCGACTGATCAATGCTTGAAGCAAGACAAAGCGAGCATCCTTGTGCAACTCGGGACGCTCCCAAAGTCCCTTAATCAGAGCCCCTACGCGAGGGTTGATCATCAGCTCCAGGCTGGCACAGGCTAGGCGGATACCTTCTTTCTGAACCGTAACCTTCTGCTGGCGTTCTCCGACGGCGGGGAAGAGGGGAAGAATAAAGTCGGGGATCTGGTTGGGAGGGACACACTTGAGCGCATTCTCAACGGCGTGGATCGAAGTACGGGCAAAGTGGGACTGGACATAGGCGGGAGCCATAAGGAGCTGCAAGGTACTGGCAGGCTCACCCAGAGTAGGCAAGAACATCAGCAAAGCCTCAGTGATACGCGAAGGGAGGGAAGGAGTACCCAAAGCCTTAGCGACATCCTCAACTGTCGTGGTGGGGATCGACATGAAGAACTGGGCATGCTGAACACGGGTGCTGAAGGGAGTCGAGGCATCCGTCATGCCAGCGAGGTGTCTTGCCTTCAACAATTCGCACTGATGAGGCGAAAGACGGGCTGGGGTGTTGATGAAAAGGTTCCATGCCAGGGCGGTGTCAACCTGGTTGAAGATGCCGATGATGCCCTTGGGCATGGTGAGGAGTCTGTCCGTCAGTAAGTCGGGGCGCTCAGACACGACATAGTCCTTGACACTGGTGATATGAATCGCGGAGGGTGACATGGACAAGAGCTGCTCCATCAGCGCCTCGAACTGCGCCTGGTCCTTCTTGCCGTTCTCAAGCACACAGTCGTCAACACGGCGCTGAACCTCCTGGCTGAACATTGTCGAGTGCAGGCGGAGCTCACTGAAGCGCTGGAACCAGGGCAGGTCCTTCTGGTGCTTGCGGAGCCAGTCGTCGTTGTACACGGCAATGACGCGCTTGACATACTTGGCCGACTCGCTCAGCGCCTTATCATCGGTACTCCAGTCCAGAACCTCATCACTACCAAAGGTCTTCTTGGGTGCCTTGGCTAAGATGACCAAGACCTCGTCAAGGTACTCGACCAAGGTGGGCGAGTTCTTCCAGCGCCAGCCAAGACTGCGGAGGAGGGCGGTACACAAGAACCTCCAGAGCTCCTTGCGGTACTTCTTGAAGGCCGCCAAATCATCGCCCTTGGCCTCAGGATCCAATAGAAACTTGACCTGCAACCAGCGAGAGTAGTACGCATTGACCAGTCCCTGGACGTAGACCTCCTCCTGGCCCTCGGGGATGAGGATATTTCCCCAGGAACCACCTTCAGTCTTCTCAGTCTCGACCTGCTTGGCCAAGATTTGACGACGATGGATCTCCGCCTCCTCGTTGCGCTCGTACTTGAAGCTCGAGTAGCATGGTTCAGAGACAGTCAGACTGTACTTCTCCAGTGCTGCGGTCTCACCGAGCTGGGAGAGCTTGCGCCTCCAGGGGATCTCGGTACCGAGATGGTAGAAGGGGTGTGAGGGGCGGTCGATGAAGCGGTTCAATGCCTCGGTGGCGATCTTATCCATGAACTTTGTGATTCCAGACACAGGCGAGACAGCAGCCGAGTTCTAATATCCGTCACATCACACAACATCACATCAATTAATTAAGATTAGTTTCGTTCAAGAACATTGCTATCAAAATAAATTAGGCCGCGCAGAGTATCCGTACCTGGGCATCCATGGCAAGATACAAGGTGACAAGTTCCTCAGCCTGCTCATCCGTCGCCTTGTCCAAGTATTGGCGTGGGACTCGACCATCCCTCGGCAACAGGAAGGGTGAAAGTGTCATCAAGTTGGGCTGGATCTCATTTCGAATCCTATCAAATGCAATGTACGTTGTTTAGCAACATCGCATCGGGAAGCAGTAAAACTTAAAACTCAAACGTAAATCAAAAAAATCTTACTTTGGGACCAGCCACTTCATGGTGAGAATCCACTCGTTGACATCTCCAGTCAGACGGGTCGCCTTGATAAAAGCCGTGATCCACTTGAGACGATCCTCAAATGCTGGCTTCAGGGTCTCCCTGGCAAGTGCATTACGGACGCCAGGGGCACGGATGTCGACAAAGACAGCCCAGTCCGTAATTTGATCGCCTAAATCGACCGACTTGTCGTTCTTCTCCGCAAAGACCAAAGGGTACACAAGCTTGTGCCGCTGCTCGCTGTTGGTGCACAGCTTCTCTAGCATAGGCAGGACGCTCAATCCCTTGTCCTTGATTAAAAGAGGCTTGAAGCTCGGTAGACCCACAATCCAGGTGACCACCTCCTCCCGTTGCTTGTCCGTCAGATGCGGTGCCAACTTGCAAAAGTGGCTGATCCACGCAGAGTTGAGGCGGATGGGAGCCTTTCCGGGACGGTTCAAGCAGCCGGCGACGCAGACTTGGTAGACCTTTTTGTTGTCCCAGTCTGGAACCGAGGTGAAAGGAGGCTCGACCTTGTCATCGGGGATCGCATAGACACTTGTGTCGCGAGGTGCGAGAATGTTGACCAGGTTCTCGATAATCGACTTGACGAGGTTGTCCTTGCGCAGCTTGTGTTTAAAGATGACCTGGATTTGTTCAAAGACGTGTTGGCCAAGTGGAGGGAAATCCTTGACAATCGACTTCCTGGGGGCATCCCAATCGGAGGGGGTCTGGTCGCCAATGATGGGTTGCAAGACAGTGTTGTACAGTCGCTGGTTGAAGGCTTCGTCGTCCTTGACCTGGAATCGGATAGCCTTCATAGCGGTCGAAATGTTGAGGGTAATCAACTCTCGGAGTGCATCGTGAAAGTAAGTGGCAGCGCCAGTGCGCTCCTTGTAGGTGGAAGAGCCCGTTAAACGACGAGTCAAGTTGCTGACTCCGGATGCGACAAAGTCGAGGATACCATCCAAACGAGATGCCTGGATCCAAGGCTGGGTCGACTGAGTCTTGAACTCCTCGTGGTCAATCAAGGTCAAGGCTGCACGAGTGAGCTTATCAACCACTGCACCACGGCAGTATGCAAAGAGTTTGGAATTGGGCAGGGCCTTGGTCTTGACTAACTCTCCGTCAGCGACCGAGATGAGGTCGAGCCAGTACTCCTCCAACAAGTCACCCTCGGTGTTGTGATGGCACCAGAAACGACGGCCATTGACATGGTTGGTGACGACCTTGGGAATGCTGACGGCAAACTTCTTGTCGGCCAAGGCCCTCCACGAAGTGGTCTTGAGAATTTTCACTACTCTCTTGGCGTCGTAATGGAGGAATGCCACGAGGGAGTTCTCGACGAGAGAGGCAAGCTTGGGAGAGCGTGCCTCGGGCATGGTGCTGTCCCAGACGTGAAGTGGAGGATACATTTCTTGGAGGGTGAGGACGACATCCTTGATAGACTCGCCAGGCTCGCACATTCCTCGCTTGGGCTGGTTGTTGACGTCCAGCATCCACTTGTATTCGTTCCAAACGTTTTCGCGTTCGAACTCTTTGGCCTGCTCGAGGGCCTTCCGAAGTCGTGTCGTAACAGGGGCCTGAACCTCTGCGTTGATGGACTAGTGTGGACATTGAGAAAAGATAAGTAAGAAAATGTGTTAGTGACACTTGCGCTAGGCAGAAAGTACATGTAAGGGGTTTCTTCACCATGCATGAAAAAAGAAAACTTACCTCTTTGCGAGGCTTTCCAAGGATGTCGTTAATGAGAACCTTGCGCCTCTGCTTCGCCAATGCAGCGACGAGAGCGTCACGGACAGCAGGGGCAGAACCTTGAGAGGCAGCGAGAATATCCTCATCCTTGGCACAAGCCGCCAGACATTGAACAAGACGCTTTCTTCCAACTTGGTAAGGATGGTTCAGGGAGGTAAGCAAGATGGCAATTGCACGGTCGCTACCCTTGTTGGCTAACACGGCCGCTAAGGTCAGACCTGCATCGCGTTGGAGGTATCGAGAGGAGGCGTTGGTCTGGGGGAACAATAGTGTCTCGACATCGAACTCAGGATTGGGGTTTCCTCCGTCAGCGTTGAGGTCGGCCTCGTTCTGAGGAGGTCTGGGAACGGGGATGGACCGTACTGTGGGCTCGGTGGCCAGGAGCTGTTCAATCAAGGGGAGGAGGGACTCTCCATGGCCTAGAGCGAGGTCGCGGAGGTAGTTGGGGCGGTATTGGATACGGCGGGAATGAAGGGCCTTGAGCAAGTCCTTCTCAGTAGCAGGCAGAGGAACAGGCGTGGGAGTCGGGGTGGCCATTGGTTTGAATGTGAATCAGTAATGGAAGAACAAGGGTATGAGGTTTTGGTTGTCAGGGTCCAGTTGAACACAAATAGAGTTTTTTGTGTCTCTGAGGGTGCAAGAATAAAAAGCGATGCGTGGTAATGGAGGACTGGCTGACAAAAAAAAGACGTTGCAAAGGAGGTCAAGAAAAGGGAATCAAAGGAGAAGGAGAGAGGGAGAAGGAGGGAGTAGAAAGAGAGAGAAAGAGAGAGAGAGAGAGAGAGAGAGAGAGAGAGGAGAAAGAAAAGGCAAAAGGAACTAAAAACGTGAGAAACGAAGGCTCTTTTATATGCAAAAAGGAGGGCCGGTGGCGATGCGAAATTTCGTGTCCTGAACGAGCACAACTCACATTTTGTCCCTCCGAGTCAGCACAGTTGTATAAACTTCAAGTGGTCTTCACCTTGAAGGAGAGTGAGGGAAAGCCGCGCCTCCAGTCTTCACTCCATTTACCATCCCCGCTTTGTCCAGCAAGCATGGTCTTTTCAAGGTTAGCCAGCCATTGACTGGCTCAGCCTACAGTGACTAAACGCGTTCACTGTTCTCTTCAAGCAGCCTCCCCATCTTTGCTGTCAGAAGGATGATAGGCTGCGCCTGCAACCTTTATTTCCTCTAACAAGTGACGGAATTAATGTTTTCTTGGAAAGTGAAATGGAAAAAAAACTGCATGCAAAGGTTCCTGAACACACTTTTAATCATCTACACACACATCACACAATGCTCCCTGAAAACGCAATTGGCTTTATTCTCGGTAAGAAAGGCCATCTACTTTACACTGCAAGCCGCCAATGGCACGAGTTCGTGAGAGTTCGACTGAACTGTAGGTTACGTTTTTTGTGGGCCGGCTGAAGAGCTGCTTCTCACTCACTCTCTGTCACGGTTTCTCGTATCAATTTTTAAGTTGCCCTCTGCTGGGGATTCACGAACCCTTTCATCAAGAACGGGTCCAAGGGACTCGAGTCGATCAAGCGCGACTCATGGATCCGTCAAGTTGCTGCCGAGTATTGGTACCTCTTGACACGCTGGCAGGTACTGTTCAATGACGAAAGAGTAGGACCAGACTGATCTTGTTCGTTCCCAGTCATACTGTCCATTGAGAGTCCGAACTAAAGAGCCATCTCATATCATTTTATTACTTATAGTATGTTGTTCCGCTTGTGCTCAACCTATGCGGTTCTGTCGTCTACTACCACACACTTGGCAAGGCCGACCTGTCTTTGGCTGTGCCGATCACCAACTCGCTTACCTTTATTTTCACTACCCTGGCTGGTATTCTTTTGGGCGAGAGCATCGGATCACCTCGTGAGTTCTGACGCCCAAAACATGGGATATGGACATATTTGTGGCTTGGTAACATGGATGTGAAGGTAAACGCGTGAGCTGGATACTAACACTTTATGGTATGATTCACTACTGTACATACAATTAGGCTCGTGGTTGGGAATGACAATGGTGGTTCTTGGAGTTGGTCTTTGTGTTCAGAGCAAGGCATAGTTATTCTTCAAATAAAAAGCGTTCACTGTTCTTGACACGCGTTGGTGGCTTAGATGATCTAAAAAAGTGGTGGCGGTTTATTTTATCAGAGCAATTGTGTGGAGAGCATGGTCGTTTCTCTCGCATCAACAACTCAACCTCATACCAGCCTACAACAACATCAGGATGTCAACCGTCGTACTGGAAACCTCCATGGTAAACTACAAAAGACGCAAGCACAAAAGATGCCTCAGGGTCATTGCAGGAATGAATATAGAACGAGCCTGGACTGTGCGACCTAGTACTGATGTCGGCTGCATGTTTTCTGAACTATTAGGGAGAGATCACCATCGAGCTCTACACAGAGCACGCACCAAAGACCTGCAAAAATTTTTATGAGCTGGTACGGATCAGTCACCATGGATATTCATTGTTTGTTTAACGGCTACCCTGTCGCTTGAGACGCAGGCTAAAGTCTGCTACAACAGTGCACTCATAAGCTGCAATTTTTTATTTGATACTCTACTCCCTGTAGGCAAGGAAAGGCTACTACAATGGAGTCGTCGTAAGTAAACAGCGACATCTTTATCAAAGTGGACATGTGTGAATCGAGATCATCAGGAGCATAAAGAGGAGTTGTACTCACAAGCGAAATACTATTCCGTTTGTTTCTCTATTCTTATATCCATTTCAACACGGTTATAGTTCCACCGCATTATCCCAGACTTTATGATTCAAGGAGGAGATCCAACAGGCACTGGCCGTGGAGGCAAATCCATTTATGGGTAAGTTGGGCTGGGTCATACCAGGCCAGTACAGCCGTTACATAATGACAGCACGATCTCAAGGAACACATGTCTGACTAAATGAGGCCTTTTTTTTAATAGAGACAAGTTTGCTGATGAATTCAACTCAGCTCTGAAGCACTCGGGAGCCGGCATCCTCAGCATGGCCAACTCTGGACCCAACACAAACGGATCACAGGCATGTCGACTTTCTTACGATATTTTTTGACACTCAGTCCAACAGTGTCGTTTTTTTCTTCGGTGATACGAGGAGCACACGCGTTTGGTTTAATGTGAGCTAATATGTATCTGCTATGCCTTTGGTTTCAATTGACATAGTTTTTCATTTCATTGGCGCCAACGCCGTGGCTGGACAACAAGCACACCATCTTTGGACGAGTTTCGGCGGGTATCAAGGTTGTGAACAGGATGGGACTTGTTGCTACAGATGCCAGCGACCGTCCCAAGGAGGCCGTCAAGATCATTAGTGCCCGAGTCGAATAAATCACCACTGGGTAATAGCCTTGATCGAATTCATCTTCAATTGCTTCATTATTAATTAATTTTGCGGGGATGGCAATGGCCTTCGATTGAAGCAAAGGAGTATCCTTCCTCCTTGCTAATGACTGTCTGCGCAAGTTGAGCACACCGTCCACCACCAAGAGACATGTGTTTCGAGTGATGTGTATTTCGATGTATCTTACCCAGTCTCTCTTACAGTCATCGTCGGGGGAAAGCAGCCAGACTGGCAGTTGAGTTGAGCAGATAAGAATAACCATAAAAACAACGTGGAAATGAAATGAAGGGGAATCAATTGAAATGAAGCAAAAAAGGGCGAATGTCAGATATTGTCATATGAAAGACAGAGAAGAATGCGGGACTTCATTTTCGACTGGACTCTGGTCTACTACCGATCAACAGGGAAACCTGGGGGGAGGGAAACTTGGGGGGAGGGAGGGATTCCCTTTTTTTTTCTTCTCTTCTTTCTTTTCTTTCTTTTTTCTTTCCGCACAATTACTTCTACTTTCCCACCCGTCTTCCTCACCTTCCCCCAAACCGTTTTGTCCTCTTCTGTCCACCTGCCACTTTTTTTTTGCTATTTCTTTTGCCTCCGACAGCTTTGGTTGTCTCTCCCCCACCTTCGTCTATCCCCTTCCAGCCAACGGCAATCGACCCCGCTCAACTAAACCCGGCGTCCGGAAACACATGGACCCTGTTTTCCCTTGGCCCATTCCGCCTTTTTGAGCAAAGTTCGCCCGAGCTGTGCCCTTCACTAAACAGCTGTCCAAATCATCCTCCTCCTTAATCCTCTCACTTTCCAACTGTTTTCTTTCCTTCCTCATTTCATTTTTCGCTTTCTCACATTCCCTTTCTTTCATCCAGGAATTCTATACAACAAGCCCGTGACCTTGGACCCAACTCCTTCGCCTCTTCCTTCTGAATCATGGGCAAGAAGGCAGCTGCCCCCGCTAGCAACCGGGACGACCGCCAGTCTTCAGAGTCAGGCGCCGACAACGACGACCACGACCACGACCACGAGAATGACCACGACCACGACCACGACCAGGACCACGAACAGGATCACAATGGCAGCGACGAGGCAACACCTGTCAAACGGAAGCGCCTCACACAGGCATGTGATCCCTGTCGCAAGAAAAAGATCAAGTGCGGTATGTCCGTCTTCGCTTCATTCATTCAGCAGCAGCAGCAGCAGTGGCATCTTCTTTATCCCTTTTTTTTGCCTCGCTGTCACTCGAAGTCGACTCTTTGTTCATGGTTGGTCATCGGGATTGCTCAAAAAAAGTATAACGGACGCCGTCTGAACGCACACGCAATCCTCAAGGCTGTCAACAATTTGCTGTGGTGGGACATGTTTGCACGCGATCGGCTCGCTAGATAGAGATGCTGGCGTGGTTCAAGTGCATGGGCAGACTGATGATCGAGTGCTGTATGGACACGAGCTAATATACGTAATACTGTACGACCTTCCCAACTTTAGATGGCATCAAACCGAGTTGCGCCAATTGCCTCAAACTGAACGGCAACTGCACCTATCTCCCCAGCATGAAGAAGCGTGGCCCCCGCCAAGGATATATCGAGCTCTTGGAGAAGCGACTGGACAAGATGGAGCAATTGCTTCAACATGGGCCTTCTGCGGTTGATCCGGAGCTCCTCGACTCAAAGTCGCTTCTCAACTCGCACCTCCGTCCTGGCGCAAGACGATCGTCGTCGCCTCCTGTTGATGAGGCTGAAAGAGAACCGAGGAAACGACCCGATCCGGAAGAACGCTACTTTGGAACAACCTCTGGATACACCAAACAGCACACAGAGTACGACAAGCAGAACGATCCGGGCAATGACGTTATTGGGCCCAAGTACAGTTCAGAGTCAACATTTCCTCACAAGGAACGACCCAAGAAATCGCTCTACGGCATTAAGGACGAGGTCCCCCGGAAGGAGATTCTCGATCACCTTATCGAGCTGTTCTTTGACTCGATCTATTTTCAGCTGCCCATCATCCACCCCGGAACGTTCATGAAACAGTACAGGGAGGGTAAGGTCTCTCCCAACCTGCTGAACGCAATGTGCGCTGCAGTGGCTCGGTTCTCGAATCATCCAGACGTTGTCACAACTCCCGCCTTCCTTGCAGGAGAGCCCTTTGCGACCAACATTCGCGCTGTTCTGGTGGATTCGATCGACGTTCCGACTGTCTCAAACGTCCAGGCGCTACTTTTACTGTCGATGTACGAGTACGGAGCAGCGAGAGGTCCTCGAGCATGGATGTTTGGTGGAATGGCCGTTCGCCAGGCACAGGAGCTGGGGTTGAACCGGGAGGACAGCAGCCCGGTGTTTTATCTGAAGGGAGACTGGGTAATGCGAGAGACGAGGCGGAGGACGTTTTGGGCCTGCTTTATACTGGACATCATGGCTTCTTCATCTTCAGGACGGCCCAAGATGATGGACGAACGAGACTGTGAGGTATTGCTGCCGAGTGAGGACCACGACTGGTATGAGGAGCGCCCTGTTGTTACGGAGATGCTGCAGGAAGATCACGATTCGTCGTCTGGGACTGAGCACGATCCATCTTCAAAGCCTGTTGAAGAGGATTGGGAGAGCAAGGCAGCTGCTCGACATCCTCAATCAGCCATGAACCCCTCTGACGATACCAGCGCGGAGACGAAATATCATGAGAACCCCGATTCTGAGGCCAAGACAGACGAATCCAACCCTCCCAAAGCCAAGAAGCAGGGGGACAGCCACGTCCTCAGCTCCTTCGCCTATTTGGTCCGAATCGTTGCAGTCCTTGCCAAGGTCTCTCAATACGTCAACCGACCTCGATCCAAAAAGTCGATCCCTCCAAATGAGCAAGGTTCCGAGTTCTCGCTGATCGACAACGCCTTGACCGCCTGGCACAAGTCCATTCCACCGCATCTGGCCTACTCGCTAGAGAACGCAAAGATGGTTATGGACAAGGGGGAGGGCTGCATTATTGTCTTTATGCATGTCATCTATCACACGTCTGTGGTTCTTCTCCACCGACCTATCCTTGCTTCAGACAAGTCGTCCCTGCCGCTTGAGACCACGTTTGTCGACAACTCTGTCGCTCGATGCTCAGATGCTGCTAGCAAGGTGTCGGATGTGCTGGAGTTTGTTCAGTACTATAAATGCCCTCCTCGGATCTTCATCTCCGCCTTCTTTGCATACCCGGTTTTCACCACCGCGACCATGTGAGTCTTCTCTCCACGTACATGTGATATCAACTGTTTGATATCGAATGATTAATTTCACGTCACTAATATTTTTTCTCTCATTCCGTGAAAGTCATATCACAAACGCGTTCGCGTCAGATGCTACAGTGGCATCTAGGGCCCGCAGGAGTCTGAGCATACATGTCAAGATCTTGCAGACAATGAAGTCGTACTGGTCGATGGCAGACAAGTTCTTCTATATCATCCGCGATTTGTACTCGATTCAGTCCAAGATCAGCTCTTCTGCGGCCGGCCTCGTCGTCCCCCAAGTGCCGAGCAGCAAAACCCAGGCTGCACCATCGACATCCACTACTAACAATGCTAATGGATCGAATGACGCTGCAGGAGCAAGTTCAGAGGCAGGAGTTGTGTCGAAGGATGTGGGACCGGACGGAACCATCAAGCTGGCGTCTATCAGCTCGTTCTTGAAGAGCGACTCTGGGCTGATTGCGTTGTGGAGACGAGCAACGGAGATGCAAGTCCTGGATGAGGCCAATCAGGAACAGCGCCGACTGTCTGCGTCCGAGGAGACTGTTAAACGCCCTGTCACTCTGGAGAGGAAGAAGGAGATTGACCCTCAGGACAAGGCCCTTCGGGAGCACCGCGAGAAGATGAATGCACTGGAGATCCAGGAAATCAACCAGGAGTTTGACCGACGCTGGAGATCCAAGTTGGAGCCGCGAACCACACGATGCCCTACAGCAAGTATTAGGAGATCCGGAGAGGGTGAAGCAGCCAAGCACGAGGCGGCGACATTGGCCGAGAAACGCCACCAGGACGAAGACTCTGTCAACCCCAAGGCTACAAAGCAGACCAAGGTCTCCAAGTCGACCAAGACGAGTCGTTCAGCACCCGTGCAAAGGCCAACAGAGGACGACACTACGGCCGCAGCAATTCAGAGCCCAAAGGAGTCCATCTCATCCCCGTCGACTTCGAGTACCGGAGGCAGTGATCAGCTAGTCCAAAGCCCGACCACCTATCGTCACTCTGTTCTTCAGCAGCCCCAAGCACTCCAGCAACATGACTCATATATCCTGCAACCGATGCGGATCCAGCGCACATCTGGCCCAGCGTCCGGGGCTACTGTTTCTGTGCCTGAAGTCGACGTGAACCGGCATCTATTGGGCTTGTTTGCGCAGCAACATCAGCAGCAGGAGGCACTATCCAAATCACTCGACATGCTCCAGAACGCCAACATTCAGCGACAACAACAACTTCAGATGCAACAACAACAGGCTGCTCAGATGTCGTCTCTTGCATTTGGATCTCCAGGAGGATATCCCGGCTCGTTCTTGTCAGCACCGTTGATGAACAACCAACAAAGCTTTTCTCAGCAAGCAGCTCCTTCGGCGCCCATGTTTGGACTGCCGCTGGTGTATGGAAGCAATTTTGAGGAGAGCCAGGCTCAGAGGATTCAAACCGAATCGCTGGGATCGCTTTTCGACTTTCCGTTTCCTCAGGAGGATATCTCGTTCTTGTCGAACTCGTTCCAAGTGCCGCCGATGATGATGCAGGAGACGATGGGATTCACAAACACTATCAATGCCGGTGGGGTTGGAGGGTCGACAGGAGGTGGGGTGTCGGGTCCAGGACCTCACGGTAGAAGGATGGCGCCCGAGACAGGATCGGTAGCGGCAGCAGCAACGGCAGCAACGGCAGCGGCGGTGAGTAATTTGAGTCCGGCCATGTCGACAACATCTTCAACCACGCCGCTGGGCCGGACATTGGATGCACAGAGCCCCCCAACAGATTCAGGCAGTCTGTTTAACATCTCTCCTGGTTTGCACTCGTTCCTGATGGCGGATGAAGCGTTCACAAGTGTGGACTCAACTCCCAACAACTTGATTCGATACCTGCAGCTGCATCACCAACAGGAGTTACAACAGCAGGAATTGCAGCAGCAGCAGGACATGCAGCCGTTGCTGAACCAACAGAATTCTTTGATCTTTGACGACTACTATCCCTGGAGTCAGTTATCAACATTACAGCAACAGCAGCAGCCACAGCCACAGCAACAACAGCCACAGCCACAACAGCAGCAGCAGTCTCCACTTGATCGTCTTGGTCACAGTCGAAATCATAGCAACTAGAAATACAGCATTCTTCGTTTTTTTGCCTTTTGACCCTGGAGCTGTTAATTGAAAAAAAGTGTCAATAGCTGTTCATTTCTCGCTACAAACGCTGAGTCCTAGTCTCGATCCATCCCTTATAACCGGAGCCGGAGATATAGAGGTAAAACGGTCAGCGCCATAGCCAACATTCTTGAGAACCTGGAGATGCTCGGGCTCGAGTAGTGTCGCGTCGCCAGCAACTCAGCCTACCAAGGGTAAGGGCAAGGGCAAGAAGGGCGAAGATGAGGGTGGAAGGAATGAGAGAGAGGATGAGACAGAGGATGAGAGAGAGGATGGGGAGAAGGCATTGCCATGGATAACTAGATCCTCAGCAGTAGGATTTAGTCTTGGGTATTTTTTTTAACGAAGATTTTGTATGCAAAACAAGGGCTACCAAATCGTGGACAGTAAGCAAATGACGTGCAGCAATGGTCGAACAGGTCACAAACGTAATTGCATGGTCGCATGGTGGCCTACGAAGTCCAAAAAGCCCTTTAAGAACGCCCTTGGATACGCGACACGGGATTAATGTGTTGACCATCCCAGTTGTGATAGGGTGGGATGCCGTGACGTTGTGGGTGAGTCTCTTGAGAGTGGGGTTCTTTCACATCGCACAGACAGGGCCCTTTGCGTGAGTTTTCAGACCGACAAGGAAAAGAGGGTGGCATACGAAGGAGTGTTTCGTCAGTTCTAGTGTAGTCTGCCCGTGGGAACAAATCCGGGGTGCGTCTTTTGCGCACAAGCACTTCTCTCTGGGCGGGGTCACCAACACATCGAATCAAAAGGGAATCACCCAAGAATGATTTTTGTTGCCTTTTTTTTTCCTTCATTTCTTCCTCTTTTCTTTTCAACCCCCACCACTCCTTTCTCTTCTTTCCTATCCCCTCCATTCCTTATCTCTCCTTTCACCACACCCTCTCTCCCTTTTATTACCCCTCCTCCTCCCCCACTCATATACATTCAAGAGCAAGCATTGACAATGTCCGATCTGTTGACTCCCGGATACGTCCCTGGCCAGACCCTGCCTCATACGGTCAAGAACACCTCGGGATACATCGAGAATGCCTTCCCTGGCAAGGAGGACCAGATGATCCAGGTCACCGAGTACCTTTCCGAGAAGGCCTTCATCCCTGCCGCCCTTGCCCAAAACGAAGTCTCTTGGTTCTACGGGTACGTATATGTTCAACTACTCTTGCTGGGTGCTTAAAAGGACGAGGAAGTGTTCATGTTTCGCGTAGGTTTTGTGTGCGGAAAAAGAAAATCAAAGGAGGGGCATGAACTAAAAATAAAGAGAGGTCAGGGCGGCAGACTGAAGAATTATTCTTCTTGCTTGCATTCAAAGACAACAACGACGATGGAATGAAGGCCTTTTATTTGTTGAATGGTTGAAGGAATGAGCAAAAAGTGCAAAGGTGTTGTCAATGACTTGCTAACTTTCTCCTCTTATCCTCTTTCACCCCATCATTCTAACAATGATAGAAACTTGGGAATTGACGATATGTACTTCGCGTCCGAGTCGGTCGAATCGATCGCCAACCACATCATGGCCCTCTACGGAGCCAAGATCTTTGCCTACACCAAGAACGACAATGGACTCGACATCAACCTGGAGCGTGAGACTGAGGAGGGCGCCGTCTACATTCATACCTCCCGCCCCGGAGTCTCGCAGCTTTATGGGCCTCAGCACGAAAAGAGGTACGCTTATTATCGAATTTGATTTATCAATCAGCTGTTTGTTTTGGACCTCTTAATTATGACTATGAAGAAGGAGAGGGAGACAGGTGGCTGTAAAGAGGGGGGAATGGAAAGGAGGGGAGGGTGAAGAGTTTACTCCACTGTACGTGAATTGACCAACAGCAGGGACAGGAACAGGACAAAACGACATGGATTTGGAGTCATAGATGAAATCGGGTCGCTTTTTTAGCGCGCATCATCTTTCTTCGTTTCTTATTGTTATTTGCCGGTGCAGTTTTGTTTGTTTGTTGTTTGCTGTCATGGCTGATAGACGAAAACGGAATAGGGGGAGGGGGAAGAACAAGAAGGACGCAATGCCATTGGTACGTTTAGCATTGGGAAAGTATGAGAGGTCAAAACACGGCGAGAAAAAGAAGGGGCGAGAGGCGTGGGTGGTCATGATCCGGCCCCGAAAAGAACGCTGACAGAAGAGTACAGGGGTTGGATGTTGCGCAGTGTCAAGTAGTACCCATGTTGGGGACATTGAAGCGCATATTCCGTCTGGACCTGGACGTGGTTATGGACGTGGAGATGTGTGTCTCGAAGGTATGGCTGTTGGTGCATGAATACGACAGTGGATCTGGAATAATGAACGGAAGAATTGTGGCTGTCCAGTTCTTCACGTCTCAACAATATGCGATGGCTTAGTCGTGTTGTCTTACTCCCAATGGCGAGGTAGAGCTGTGTGGGAAATGAGAGGGAGGAATAAGATAGGAGGGGGCAGGGAACCCATGCTGGACGGACTGATCACCCAAACAGCAAACACAGGACTGTACTGTGCATGCTGTAGTCGTTATTTTTAAACCTTCGTTTTTCCTTTACTCACCAACACAAACACCTTTTTCTGAATAGGATTGACTCCAAGTACCTCGATGTCAGCAATACAGAGCGCGCCTATCGTCTCGAGTCCTACCGCTCCAAGGGAACCGTCTCTTCATCGTCCTCGACCCAGCTTCGTACCTATTTTGTCCGCGAGTGCTCCTTCGTCAACCCCGCCCCCACCAAGGAGCAGGAGACCGACATCCGTGAGACCGCCGACAAGTCCTTCCTCGAGAAGGCCACCGACAACACCCTCGAGATCTACGCGGGTGTCATGAAGACCGCCCTGAGCAGGACCGGCCCCGTCATCGAAATGTTTGAGGTCGAAGGCTCCCGCGAGCGCCGTCTCGTCATTGCATACAAGCAGCAGACCACACAATCTTTCTTCTCGGCCATCTCGGATTTGTATCATTACTACGACCTCTACTCGACCCGCAAGTACGTCGAGCAGTTCTCGAACGGCGTCACGATTGTTTCGCTCTACTTGAACCAGATCCCCAAGTCAACCGCCCCTCCAATTGAGCACTCGATCCACCAGATCATCAAGGAGGCCTCGCTCATCTACTGCTTGCCCACCACGCCCCTCCAGTCGTTCTTTCAGACCAACAAGCTGTCCGTCCAGGAGTCGATCTATGGTTACATTGGATGGATCTTTGCCCAGCATTTCCTCAACCGTCTTGGATCCGAGTACTCGTCCTTGGTCAACATCCTGGACCAGAACAACTCGGCCCATCAGGATGTGCTTACCAAGATGAAGAAACGTCTCCGTACCGATACCTTCACTCGTGATTATGTTCTCGAGATCATCAAGATGTACCCCGAGCTGGTCAAGTTACTCTACATCAACTTCGCCATGATCCACTATGTCAACCCTGCCATCAATTCGCTCAAGCCCACCCTTTCCTACCAGCGTCTCCGCACCGACACTATCTTGACCGAGGAGGAGCTGTACGAGAAGATCAGGCGCACGACCTCTAACTCGCACGAGCTCATGGTCTTTGAGTCCTTCCTCATCTTCAACAAGCATGTTCTCAAAACTAACTTTTATCAACCCACCAAGGTTGCCCTCTCCTTCCGCATGGATCCCAGTTTCTTGCCCGAGATCGAGTACCCTACCAAGCTCTTTGGAATGTTCCTCGTCATTGGATCAGAGTTCCGTGGCTTCCACTTGCGATTCCGAGATGTTGCTCGTGGCGGTATCCGTATCATTCGCTCCCGTAATCGTGAGGCGTACTCGATCAACTTGCGCTCGCTCTTTGACGAGAACTATGCCCTCGCCGCGACTCAGCAGCGCAAGAACAAGGATATTCCCGAGGGCGGTTCCAAGGGTACGATTCTTTTGGACGTCAACCAGCAGGACAAGCCTTTGGTCGCCTTTGAGAAGTACGTTGACGCCATTTTGGACTTGTTGATTCTTGGACAGACCCCCGGAATCAAGGAGCGTATTGTGGACCTGTACAAGACACCCGAGATTCTGTTCTTTGGTCCTGATGAGGGAACTGCTGACTACATGGACTGGGCTTCGGCTCACGCCCGTGAGCGCGGCGCGTCGTTCTGGAAGGCTTTCACAACCGGCAAGTCTCAGTCTTTGGGAGGTATTCCCCACGACCTCTACGGAATGACCACCCGCTCGGTCCACCAGTATGTCTTGGGTATCTACCGAAAGCTCGGACTCAAGGAGGAGAACTGCACCAAGCTCCAGACTGGAGGACCCGATGGCGATTTGGGATCTAACGAAATCAAGATTTCCAAGGACAAGACCTGCGGTATTGTCGATGGATCGGGAGTGCTGTACGATGCAGAGGGCATTGACCGTGCTGAGCTGACTCGCCTGGCCGAGAACCGTCTGATGATCTCGAACTTTGATGTCTCCAAGCTGTCGCTCAAGGGATTCCGTGTTCTTGTGGATGAGGCCAATATCAAGCTGCCCTCGGGAGAGGTCATTGATGACGGTCTTTCGTTCCGTAACAACTTCCACTTGAACCCCATGGTCCAGTGCCAGGTCTTTGTCCCCTGCGGTGGTCGTCCCGAGTCGGTTGATCTTCAGAATGTCGGGCGTCTTTTGGACCACGAGAACCACCCCCGGTTCAAGTACATTGTCGAGGGCGCCAACTTGTTCTTCACCCAGGAGGCACGTCTGCGTCTGGAGCGTGCTGGAGCGATTGTGTTCAAGGATGCCTCAGCCAACAAGGGAGGAGTCACGTCGTCGTCGCTGGAGGTCTTGGCTGCCTTGTCCTTTGATGATGAGGAGTTTGCCGAGCACATGCAGGTGACTGAGGACCATATCCCGGCCTTTTACCAGGATTACGTCAAGGAGGTGCAGGTGATCATTGAGCGCAACGCCCAGTTGGAGTTTGATGCCCTGTGGAAAGAGCACCAGCGCACGCGTACACCCCGGTCGATCTTGTCGGACGATCTCTCATTGGCGATTGTCAAGCTGAACGAGAACCTGCAGCACACCTCGCTGTGGGACAATGTTGCGCTCCGCAAGGTTGTGTTGGAGGAGGCGTTCCCTAACCTGTTGTTGAAGCAGGTTGGGCTGGACACGTTGATGAAGCGCGTTCCTGAGAACTATGTGCGTGCCATCTTTGGATCGTACCTGGCCTCGCGCTTTGTGTACAAGTACGGAACGGAGCCCAGTCAGTTTGCCTTCTTTGAGTTCATGAGCCCTTACTTCAGCAAGATCCAATAATCCTCCTTTTTCATTTTTATTATTTTTTCGTTGCAGTCGGATAGAGTGGTATCCATGTTCCTTCTTTTGTATAGTTTCCTTTTTTTTCATAAATCATCATTTCAACGGTACCTTGAGGCTTCTACTTCTTCATGTACAGCTCCAAGAAAACATGAGAGAAGCCATCATCTCGCGGACTTTAAGGCGCACTCACCTCTCTTTGCCATTTGTGTAGAAAGGATAAAACATTTGGTGGGTTGAAAAGGACCCTCGCAACACATGGCGTTTTCTTTGATGGTCTCGACGCGTTCAAGAAAAAAACAAAAAGAAAGAGAATCTGTTCATGACAATTGAATGGATGCTTTTTACCTTTTCATTTCCCGTTTTGCGTCAGTATCGCTTCAAAATAAGATATCATGCATCCACGGACTAGGTCTCTCTCGCCGTGTACCAGTGAACAAAGAACTGAACAGCTTATGAAATAAAACTCCATCTCTGGTTCCTTCGAGGCTTCTCTTGTTATTCTTTGCCCGTTTTATTCACTCTTTCCCCCCTCCCCCCCCCCCTTCCCACCCCGCCAGCTCCATCCACTTTAAACGCTTTTTTATGGAGTAATACTGCTATTGCAGGCACAATCACTGATAACTTTATCTGTCTCAGCGAGAGATTCAAGTCATGATCACAAAATAAAAATCGTTCGTCGTAGAAGGAGAAAAATATCTCGGGCAACAGCGACTCTCTTTCATTCTACTTGCAGTTCAAATGGCATCTGGTGAGGCCATAAACGAAAGAATACAAAATGGATAGGAACAAACATTGGGCTGAAACATTGGGCTGAGTGGGCCGTGACCGGTTGTGGATGGGCTTGAGCTGCTTGGCACTCCTTGCTCTCTCCTCCTCTCCCTTTCCCATCCATCTTCTGCTTTCCCTTCGCATTCTTCTCCTTTCCCTTCGCTCTCTCCCTCTCCTCCTTGTTCTTCTTCATACAAAACGTCACGCATGCATTTTCTCACACGTACACTCTCCCTTTCATTGACCATTGTCACTGTCCTCGCCAGTCTGACAAATGCCACCATCCCGATTCCTCGCAAACCGGTGGTCTTTTACCACGGAATGGGTGACTCTGCTCATTCCGAGGGGATGATGAAACTCATTGCGTCTGTCACTTCTATCGACCCAAATATTTTCGCCCACAGTATTTATGTACATATCCTTTGCGTTTACATGGGGGGGGGGTGCTACTCTTTCCATGTTGTGTTGGTGGGTGGCCGTTGTATGGACTGATACCGTCGGTACTAATGGGGTATAAATTTATCTTTTTTGGGGGTCGCATAGTTGGCAGCGTCTGAGGCAGAGGACCAGCGAGCAGGGTTCTTTGGAAACGTCAACAAGCAGGTACATTTTCTATCATACTCTAAAAAACACATCCAGTCGCTCATCACGCACACATATCAACCGCATTCTTGTATCGTCTCAAACCTAACCAGAGCAATTAAAAATCCACATGCATGCCGTGTGTCTACCTTACCGCAATTAGATCGAAGTAATCTGCGACCAATTGAAAGCCATCCCCGAACTGGAGGGAGGATTCAACGCCGTCGGCTTCTCCCAAGGTGGTCAATTCCTCCGTGCCTATGTCCAACGGTGCAACAACCCCCCAATCCACAACCTCATCACCGTTGGGTCCCAACACGGTGGCGTTTCCGACATCCCGGGCTGCGTCAATCCCGCCGACGCATCCTGTAAACTCATGCGGACCATCGCCCGCAGTGGAGTCTATAGCGGGTATGTCCGGGATCATATCGTCCAAGCCCAGTATTATAAGGATCCAAGGAAGTTGGATACTTATTTGGAGAAGAATATCTTCTTGCCGGATATTAATAATGAGTTGGAGGTGAAGAATGAGGAGTATAAGGAGAAGTTGAAGAGTTTGAACAAGTTTGTGATGTTTATGTTTATGAACGATGTTACTGTCAAGCCCAAGGAGACCGCTGTAAGCTTTTTTTTTTTTTTTTTTTGCGTGTTTCTATTGCAATTGATGTTCTGGCTTCGTTTTTACTCACCACACAACCCGTCGTGTTCATATACTTGTTGTTTCACCAAAATAGTGGTTTGGGTTCCAAGACGAGAACGGAGATATAATCGAGCTTGAGGAACAGGATCAGTACAAGGAGGACTGGCTGGGGCTCAAGACCATGGACCAGGCCGGGAAATTAGAATTCGAGGTCATGGAAGGCGAACACGTAAGTCTGGCCTCTCCTTTATGTCCTTCCCCTCCCCCCCCCCCCACACACACCTGCCCTTTACAAGGCATGTATGCAAATAGGTGATATTGTCACGTCAAATTAATATGATAGACGGTGTCTTTCCCATTCCAATAGATGCAATTCTCGTTGGAGGAGTTCACGGACAGGATCACCATCCCATACCTGATAGGAACCCAAGAGCTGGAGGAAGCCCATCTCGAGAAAGACAAACAGTTACCTGGCGATTCCCAGTCAATGAGCGACCAGACCGAGAACGACGACGCGTTCGAGTTCCCAATTCTGGGCGGACAGACGGTCCTTTGAACGAAACGCATTCGTTCTTGCAGATACACTCCAATCTCACAATAATATATGCGTCTTTTATTTACTATAGGCTCTCGTCAATTTGCATGAGCGGATATGTTTTCTTCATGGGGATGAGGTGGTAGAAGAGGGATAAAGGATCGACATGAGATCAAGAATATGGACTACCGACGGTGACTTCACCATCGGACTCCTCTGAACAATAGTAACCCATTGCTGACTAGCATGAATCGAGAAACTGACTTCCTTCCGCTCCATAATCGCGATCGACGTCAAGTCGATCCACTCTGTCGGGGCACGGGAGACACGCCCAGATTGGCTCTGTGACTGTGAGCGCCGACGGACATCGACATTGACGATCGGTCGTCTGCGCACAGGGCTTGGCGTCCGCTCTTCAGGCAAGGGCACAGACAAAGGCAAAGCTGCTTCAGGCTCAGTGTCAATGGATGGAAGGGGCGGTGTAGACAAATCCTCAGGTGGGGGCGAGAGGGTTGACACCGATGAAAAGATATCATCTAAATCATCCCCACATCCAGTCTCATTCTCCTCCTGTTTGATAGCAGAGGTCACCTGCTGAAGCCAAAGGCTCTGCTGCTGGATGCTTCGCTGTGTAGCGACCTCTGCAAGCGACGGTGGCTCTAGAAGAGACAACTGGATCAAAGGCTCAGGTTTACTGATGTCCCACAGTTGAAGAACGTCCTTGCCGTTGGCCTTGACTTGGCATGCAATGAACCGTGACGAAGCACACGCAGTTGAAATCGAACTATATCAAATATTAATTGAGAGTTGACTTTAGAATCCGTGGACAAATCACAATAAGTTGGCATTTTTCATGCGCCTCTGCTTACCTAGAGCCCTGGTATTGATGAATAAGCTCAACGTGGCCATCTTTCATCGCGTAAAGAGCACATTGGTTGGATTGCGTAGTTTCCCGGAAAACGGAAAGGACAGGCCATGTTGCGGGAAGTGAGCGATTCATGCCAAGCACCTTCTCCTGTTCAAAGAATTGGAGTGGTACAGCGGCATAAACAAGTTGGGGGTTGATGAGCGAGAGACCAGATGTATCCACAACTGACACCGGTTCTTGAAGCGAATTCACATCCCTAAATCGACGAAAAGAGAAAAACGCGTTAATAGTTAGCTCAAAATATTGTCAGCACTAAAGCTCTGCTGAGAGGACCATATCCTTACCAAATAGCGACGGTTGATTCAAAGGTGGCAGCAACCAGAGATGTGTTTCCGATCAACGCAAGCGAGCTCGCCGACTCCTCCGCACCAGGCACGGTCACAGACTTTGCGTGCAACATTTCACGACCATCAATCTCGTCGCCATCGTCAGGAACAGAAATGAATCCAATGGACCCAGCCTCCTCTGCTGCGACGACAATCAAGTGACCATCGGTCGAGTCCTGCTCCACAATGAATCCCTTGCATCCTGGCGAAGGGTTGACCCCTGTCCACGCATATGTAGGGAACGTGACGTCGCTCTGCTGCGAGTAATCCAAGTCTTGTAATGGCACCTTGGTAAAAGAACACTCTGAAGCATCCATCACCACAGCAAACGAGTCATCCGGTGCAAAGAGGATCTGATAGCAGAACAAAAAAGTAACGCGTCAGTATTTTTGTCCACAGAAATGACAAAAAAATATATAACCAAAACGTGGAGTAGGTGGTGTAATAACGCGTGAGCAGGCGGCACTAACCTGAATTGACCGGGAAGAGGCCTTCGGGAGATTGATGTACCGCACCCACTGGCTCTTCACTGATGGCGTATCGTTATCCAGCTTCCAAAACTGAACATGGCTGGTCGTCTCCATTGCAAGCCACTGGTCCTGAAAGCCGCAAACCGTTCCAACGATACGATTCTTCACATCCTCGATGCACCACAGTCCGTCCGCAAAGGCTGTGCTCTCCAGTGTGGAGTTGCGACGACTCGACTGTGAAACAGTTCTGGTAGGACTAGCAGGGCTACCGAACGACGCAACAGGTACGTGATGGTTGGGCTGCTTGGGGTTGACGTCGTCCACCAGCGTCACCTCGGCCTCATCATGGGGTGTATCCTCTGGCAATCCTTCCAGTAAGAACTCAGGCATCGGACACGTCTCCTCCAGAGAGGCTGACCCAATAGATTCTTGCGAAGCCTCCGAACAAGGGATTTCATAGTAGTCGGTGGACGGCTTCCTGGAGGCTAGCTTCTTGTCAGCATGCTCCGACTTGACATAGCGCTCGAAACTGCCTGTCGAGTCCTCATCTTCCACACTCCCTGGGATTTGTTGTGAAATGCCAGCAGATTTGCGGGGAGGAGTTTCCGGCACCGTGACAGTATCACGAGGAGGAGTCTCTGGCACTCTGACAATCTCCTGCTGAACCGGCGATCTCGCCCCGACAGGCCGTTCCACAGTTGTCGCGGGCTCCAACTTGACCACATCCACAGGCTCTAGTTTGACGTTGAGTAGCAAGCGGCCATGAGAAACTCCTTGCTCAGGGGCATCTTTGGTCTTGCTTTTCTCAACCACCGAATCTCTGCTCTGCGATTCCATAGTTGTTGGCTCATCGTTCGGAATGACTCGCTGTTGCGAATTAGGTTTCGCGACTGGCACTTTAGTCGCTGTAGGGGCGGAAGAGGGGAATAAACGCGTCTGCTTTTGCTGCCTTTGCTGTTCCTGCTCTTGCCGTGTCGACTTTGCAGTCTTTGGTATCGCCAGAGGAGCCGCTGCTGCTATGTCGACAATCTTGGATGCGACAATGTTCCGCAAAGCCTCCTTGCCCTTCATGACGCCCACTCTCGTGTTCAATGCATTGTTGATAACGTTGGTCTTCTCGCCAAGGACATTTGTTTTCCTGGGTGTGGCGATGGCAGCGGATGCAGTGGCTGCAAGAGGATCCCGGTTCTCCTTGTCAGAATCCGACTCGTGTCCAGCCTGACCCTTGAGCCGACGCCTCTTGGAGGGTGCGTTTTCATTCTCTTTGTCCTGGTAAACTGCGAAACCCTTGGGTCGCTTCTTGTCGCTCTTGTTGGGCGCGGCCATTCTTGCCACAAGTGAGACTCGAGAGGTATTGGGCGCAGCTGCAGTTGTGGACTTTGACATTGCTGGTTGCAAGATGGCACTACTGGTATTCTGAGATATCACCCGACTACCGAGAGGTTGCCTGACGGGCTTTGACGCGGCGGTCATCAGTGTTGAGTGACTGGATGTTATCGAAAGTGGGGAGGGGGTAGGTTGTTGCTTTTGTGTTGCCGTTGAGACTGGCCGTCCGGAGGAGGTGGCGGTGGGGTATGATACTGGGGTTTTGGTAGTCGACCGTCCAGTGTGTCGCTCCAGCTGCTGCTGCTGCTGCTGCTGCTGTTGTTGTTGCTGTGAAATGGACAGTCGTCCCTGCTGGGAGGAAGAAACACCAGCAGCCCTCTTTGAAATATCCACTGTGCCGCTCCTATGAAGTAGCAAGCTGCTCCTTCCTCCTCCTCCTCCCCCTCCTCCTCCTCCTCCTCCTCCTCCGAGTGGCATCGCTGGAGAAGACTGTGAGGACGTCAATTGCGAGTGGGACTGAGAGTATCGTTGTAAAGAGGGTAACAGACGATTCCTGAGTTTCTCCAATTCCTCCAACTCATGCTCAGTCAACTCACGCGTCTATTTTGTTGACAAGATAGCAGGGACAAATTGGTTAGACAACAAGGTCTGATTCCAAATAGTCAAGAAATACACGATCATCGCAACACATGTGTGCGGTTTTTTATTTCCATGTACCTGTCTGGCAAGGATGTATTGTTTGACGCTTTGCTGGAGGACCAGCATCTCTGCACCGGACATGGACTGTGGAGTTGGAGTCAAGGAGGAGGTGAGGTTGTTTCGCCTGTGGCTGCTCATGGTGAGGGCGTGTGAATCCAAGTGCGACACCGGGTTAGCCAAGGGCTAGTTCGACAGGGGTCGGAAGTGGTGGGTGGTTGTGTGGGTGGAGGTGTAGGTGTAGTTCGATTCTGGAGAGGATCTTGAGAGAGAATGTTTACAGCCGTGTAAAGGGTGTGATTGGAAGGAGGAAGGGTGATGTGAAGGAGGACAGACACTGAAAAAAGTCAAAAAAAAAACTGTCACCTAAAATGTATTCGTTGCCACCATTGAAGAGCACATTATCGACTGTCTAATAATATTTAAAACTGGAAACGGGCCCTGGTGTTGGCGTTCAAGTCCTGGCTCCGCTGGCTCTTCTTCCACGACGCATACGAAGCATTATCCTCCACAGCCTCCTTGACCTTCCACAATGAAGGCGTCAACTCCTTCGAGACCGGGACGGGCACACCACCCTTGGGGACCAACAACAGAATTCGATCCAGCGTCTGCACAACCTTCAAATCCGCGAGCGTCGTGCTCTTGCCCACATAATGTCCATTATCCCCATTCTGCTTCAAGTGCTCCTCATGGATTGACACGAACTTGGAAAGCACTTCAGTATAGAACCTGTTGGCTTCGTCGATACGGGCCTCGGGAGCGGCGCCGACAACCCGGAGAGCGAATGCCTGGATCAGGCCCTCGGCATTGTGGTAGTATTGGTTGATCAAGTTCTCCTCCCAGATGTTGGATCCGATGAGGTTGTACTTGCGAGCGAGGTAGCGTTCGATCGCATTCGACTCGGCGAGCTGCAGGACTGAACCTGACGCGGTGTGTTCGTAGACGACGGGGGCGACCTGAAAGGGCGTCTTGGGCTTTTGCGCTGGCCAATCCTATATCAATCACATCAAATCACAAACGATGGGAATAACGGTTAACAACGGCACCCATCGACACCTTAGCCCGCAGGAATCCATGGAACCCGCTGAGCCCTAGTCTCAGCCCACCTTTTTAGCCGGAGCTGATGTCTGAAGGAGATAGCCTTATTTTCTCCCCTTCTTCCTTCGGACATCGACCCCGCTTATAAGGGTTGGGTCGAGACTACTTTTCAATGGCCACAGCAAGGAAACATACCAACTAACAATTTTTTTACTTACAAGTGCAAGTTCCTCCCATTGAGCACCACTGTAGGCAAGGAGGTTGCGGACCAGCTCTCCGCGACCGTGGAGGGGGAAGTACAGGAGCTGGAAGGTCGAATCGGTGCCCTTGGCAGCCTCGGCGAGGACCTCGGACGAGGCCCTAGTGACAGTGGGGAGAACGGATGTTGGTGACATTTTGTGTTTGTGATGGTGGTTGGGTGAAGAGCGGTGTGGAGATTTTTGATAGATCCCGCTGCGGAAAAGGGGACCTTCTTATATACTTTGGCTAGGGGAGAACTTTCACAACTTCTTTCTACGACATTGAGAAAAAAGAGAAATAGTAAGGTGCCATCGATTGCGCATCACCCCCACCCTTTCCGGACCCAATTGGATTTGAGGGGTTTATGATCGATTAAGTTGAATATGCGTTTTCTGTTCTGTTGTCTGTTGTTGGAGAAGTAGAGTTGCTATGTCCATTAGCCTCGCTCAATTGAGAAAGGAATGCTGCTTGTCAATGGCTTTGGCCGTAAGTAAGAGAGTCAATCGCGCCATAGAAACCGCTAATTATCCAATTCGACGCGCTCTTTAGAACAGGTTCTTCAACGTAAAATGAAAGATTGAGTTTTGATTTACCCATTTTTCCTGTCGACCGCGTGCTTCAACCCCTTGGTGGCATGCTTTCGACCACAACCTCAACTATTCCCCTTCCTTTTCTTTTTCTTTTTCTTTTTGAACTATCAATTACCGATCAGGGTGCCAGTTCCCGTTCTTCGCATGCAGAGTCACACTCAGATCCTGACTCAGGCGGGTCAATTATATAATATATTTCGTTTATTGTTTATTCTTCTAATAGCGCTCATAAAACAACAGGTATGCGCGACTGGTCAACACCTCCTGCAGACTGGATAGCCGCACGCTCGAGTCACTACACGCGATCCATTGACGTTTATCCTCCTCCTGAACAGCAGGGACCTCTTTTTCTGACTTTTCCTCCATCTTGGCATTCGTGGCCGAAAAGGAGGACGAAGAATCCTTGTCAACATCTGCCAGACCTTGCATCTTCTCCTCGGCCTGTTCCTTCTGTTGTGCCAACATTACCGCCAAGGGGACATCGGGCAACTCTAAACCGTTGACGCTGATAGTGCTCTTGGACTTGGCCTTTTCTGCTGCGGTCTTCGCCTCTGCCACTTGGACCTTGGAAGAGAGGACATAGTTGATATAGTGTCCACCACTCAACGTCCCCATGTGGACAACCGCTCCATAAAGCCTGTACTTCTTGGACTTGGACCCGTTCACCTCCTCCTCCTCCTTCCGTGTCTCGGACCCGGTCTCGCTCTCATTCTCCTCCTCTTCCTCAATCTTGTTCTTGGGAACAAAGTAGGGCGCCATGTCGATCTCGACTGGAATATCAACATGGTCCTCAATTTTGCGCATCTGTCCAAACCGTCCTGAGGACTCAAACCGCTTCAGATGTAAAACCAGTGTTGGCGGCAAGCTCGAGATCAGGTACCGCTTGAAAGCTCTACGGAAAATGTGCTTGGGCTCTTCTGCTGGCTTCTTTGACTCGACTGCCTTTGACTTGACCTTTTTGACCTTCTTGGGAATAGTGTTCCCAAGACTGTCTGTCTGCTCCTCTCCCAACGACTTTTCATCATCGTCGTCGTCACTCTCGCTATCGTCCGACTCTGATGCTGCAACAGTCGTCTCGACGGTCTCCACCTCCTGAACAGGTTCGTCCTTTGCAGTTTCTTCCACGACAACGTCCTCCGACACGCTGTTGTTGGCATCCGGCTTGTGGCCCTGCTCTACTGACCCACCCTCCTTCTCTTTAGTCGCCTGAATCAGCTTGTAGCAGTTCTCGCACGCAAACTTGTTCTCGCCATCCAATCGATCCACGCTCGTAAACTGGTTCAAAGATCGTTGAATAGAGAGATCCTCTGACGTCGATGGCCCAATGCTCTTGAGAAGCTTCCCAACATGGCGCAGGTGCGCCTCGGACGGCCGGTCAGATTCCGGAAGAGGGTCCTTCTCGTCTGCGGGTGTATCGTCCGCTGTTGGCTCTTCCTCCTTTGCAGCGGATGCCTTTTTCGACTGAGTAAGCAAACGAGCCTTGAGACTCGAACCCGCCGCTGCTCCAGCTTGTGTCGGCCCACGAATTGGCAGCGAAAGATCAAAGAAATCCTCTGGCGCATATGAGCACTATGAGTTGAAAATTGATCACGCCAGGGCAGTTAGCATTAAAGTCACAACAACTCGCAAAACGCAAACGACGATACCTATGAGCCATGGGTTACCTTCTTGCATGCGTCGCAGACAATGACACTGACGAGCTTTCCTGAGAAACAGCTATCAATAAAAGGGATGAACTTGGGATCCTTCTTCTCGTCCGATCCAGCCGACTCCTCCTCCTCCTCATCCTTCGCCTCCTCCGCCTTATCATCCTGGCCACCACCTTCCTCCGAAAGATGTCTCTTGATCATATCCAACTCCTCGTGCTTGATTCCGTCAAAAAGGTACCGCATCAACTCTTGACTGTCCTGCTGACGGAACCCACGGAACAACTTCCATTTTTTGGCGATCTGGGTAAACAGGTCTCGAGGCGCAATTGTGCCACCTTGGTGCTTCCACATGGTGAACAAAAAGACCTTGAATGTCGTGGTCAAAGGTCCAAGTCCGGCGTCTGTGCTGGCAGCCAGTGATTTTGGGAATCCGCTGGACGCTCTTCCATCCTCTGACAAGATACTCTTGAGCGACTTTGTCTCAGCCAAAATCTACATGGAACAGAATATACATTTAGGTTAATTGTCGCGTCGATTATGATGTTCGCATGCTATTTTGACCTGCAACTGCAGCTTCATCAAGGAAGGGTATGTACCTGGACAACAGAATTGAAGAAGCAGGTGTTGCCAAGGTTCTGTAGGCCTGGTGTGAACACCTTGGCCTTGAGCAAAGGGGCAGCAATTATAGTTTCGGAAGCAGCACCCTTGGTTTTTTTCGAGACCACAACAGAAGCAGCTACCACACACAAAAAATGGAATCGATGTGAGTAATTCCGTTTCCACACACCCACGTATACATGACCAATATCAACTCTCAGAAGAAATGGCAATGACTCGTGGCGTACCTCTCATCTTGGACTGTTTAACTTGGAATGCCTTCTCAAAGGTTACCTGGCACTCCTGAATGAGCTGGTTCCTGTTCTTGGATGGGACGATCGTGTCGTCGCACTCATAACACCTGTATCAAACAAAAAGAGCAGGTCAATTAACTGTTCGCCAAAACTGCGACACCGCATTGACTATCTGTTCCCTTTTATATATACATACCAACAATCCAAGGTTCCAAGGTTGATGGCCAGAGGATGGTTATTCTTCTTGCTGTCATGATGGGCCACCGCATGCTTCTTGATGGCTCGTCCGCAGTTGATATCGTAGCACGTAAGACACATCCAGAGCGACTCTGCAGACAAGGGCTCCTCCGCTCCTGCTGCTGATCCCTCTGATTCCGAAAGACTGAGCTTCGACATCGGCTTATCAACCCGTTGCGCCAGCTTCTTTGCCTTGGACTCTGCAGCCTTACAACCCAGACAGTGATCCCAATCCTTCTGATGAGCGATTCCCTTGCGAAGCTTAGCCAAGTTGACAGCGCCCTTGACATGGTGGCACTTTCCTCCGCCTCCCGACGGTGTTGTCAACTCTGAGGGATCGGCTGCTGCGTTGGTTGTTGTTGAATCGGCGACGATATCTGGGCTGTCGACTGGAACTGAGTTGGTTGATGCATCTTTTGCATTGGCTGCTGCTGCTGCTGCTGTGGGTTCAGGGACAGCTGCGGCGACAAGGACGGGCTTAGATGGGAAAGCAAGTGCACGTTCTGCCCTTGGATCCTCAACTCTTCCTGATTTGCGAGACGAGGTCAAAATCTCTGTCAAGATAGCATCGTCTACGATAGTTAATTGAGGCAAAAGGAAAGGACGTAATCCAATCAGTCGATTATCCTATATCACACTACCAAGGGAGGTGGGAGAGGGTCCGACCGCATTCATTCATAAAGTTGATCGGACACATGCAGATACCATGCGCGCAATATACTTCCTCTCATTCACAATGGCGAGTGTCGTCTGTTATTACCTCCTGCAAAGTCGCTCTGGCTGAGACGGCGTCCTCCTTTTTTCTTCTTGCCCATTGCAAATGTGTCGAATTAGTTGAATAGGTGTAACTAAGAGAAAGAAGAAAAAAACCACACCGCAGAAAAAACAAACATTTGATCCAAACGCTCCAATTGTGACCGTGCTGCACTTAACCTGCAACAACTCTCCGAACTCAGTAGGGCTACATTGCACTCACATAACATATTATTTCAATGCAGGTATTTTTTAATTATGATGTGAGGTGACTCTTGGGAGCTCAGTCAGAAGTGCCCATGTTGTCGACCTTGAGGACATCGTTCTGATCGTCCTTAACCTCCTCCACTGCAGCAAACGTCGTCACGCCAGACTCGGGATTGGCAGATGTCACCGTGGCGTTGGTGGCATAGGCGGCATCGCTTCGGTCTAACAAGACCTCCAAATGCTTGTCGGAAATAACTATATCGTCCTTGTTGACCAATTGAATTCTCTCGCCGTCATCCTGTGCCAACATTGCTGCAAGGTCGGCAAGGTTGGTCTTGCGATCGTTGGCAGCATTCGCCAGCGAAGGAGCCTGCTTGAACTTGCCCTTGTGAATGACCAGCTTTTCCAACTTGCGTTTGCTGTTTGCCCTCTCAATGATCCTGTTCTCGACTGTGTTGGCTGTGACAAGGCGATAAATCATAACGGGCCTAGTCTGACCGATACGGTGAACACGATCCTGTGCCTGCAAGTCCATTTGAGGGTTCTATGGGTGAATAGAAGAAAAAAAATGAAGATATTAGTCGTCTTGGTAACATCATTGGGTGCAGCAACGAGAAAAGAGGGACGATCTTGTGCAGCGCTTAAGCCAACATACCCAATCGCTGTCAAAGATAATGACGGTGTCGGCCGAGGTCAGGTTGATACCCAGTCCTCCAGAGCGGGTCGAAAGCAGGAAGAGTTTGCGTGCTGGATTGGAGTTGTACTCGGAGATCTGTCGCCGACGATCGTCCTGCTTGACCATTCCATCGATACGAGAGACATGCCACTTCTTATAAGTCACTGCCCATTCCTCGATAATGTCCAGCATGGTTGTGAACTGAGAAAAGATGAGGACTTTGTGACCGCGTGCGAAAAGGGCGTCCAAAAGTCGGTTGAGAACAAGCATCTTTCCGGACGAGTTCAAGAGATCCTCCGAAACAACGGGCAAGTTCGTCAAGGGATCCAGAGGCCAGTCGAAGAGGAAGGGGTGATTGCAGACCTTGCGGAGTTGCATGATCACATTCTTCAAGTTCATATTAACGACTGCCTTTGTAGCCCGTCGGATATCAATCTCGCGCGCCGTAAGCTCTTTGACAGCAGCCTCAGCAGGCCCTTTCGCGAGCTCCTTGAAGTATTGCATATCAGACTTTTCGGCGTATGACTTGATAGTGGCTCCACGCGAACGACGAGTCTTGACGATAGTTGTTTGTCCCTCAACAGCCTCCGACGTTGCATCCGAGGTTTCGCGTGTGTCCAATCCATCCTCGCCCAACGCAATAGCATCGGTCTTCTGCAAAGCCTCCTCCAGTTCATCTTCAGAATCCCCAGCATTCTCCCAGCCCGACTTTTTCTGGATAATGAACTTGCGAATGTCCTTGCTTAGCGTGGCATCGTACCACTCCTTCTGCACCGGTGTAAGAGGAGCGTAAAGGAGGTACTCTTTCTTCTTGGGGAGCGATTTCTCGACTATCATTTAATATCGCGCAAAAGATGGCGTTAATAATTAATCCATACAAAAATATACACTGCAAAACACGGACGAAACAAAAAGGAGACATACCATCGGTCTTAACGCGTCGAAGCAAGAATGGCTTCAGGATGTGATGCAAGCTCGAAACAATACCGCTCTGCGATTCCTCACCAAGAATACGATCCTGCCCTTCCTTGGCGTTGATGTCTGAGAAATCGAACCACTCTTCAAATCCTTCCCGATCGTCAAAAATATCAGGCAGCAAAAAGTTGAGCAAACTCCACAGTTCCGACAAGTTGTTCTGAAGCGGTGTTCCGGTCAAGAGAAGACGGTTGGCAGAGTGGTAGGATTTCAGCTCGCGAATGAGCCTGCAGTCCATGTTCTTGAGTCGGTGTCCCTCGTCGACAATGATGTACTTCCACTGGTACTTTGAAAGGTACTTTCTGTCGCGCATGATGACTTCGTAAGAAGTAATGACGACAGGGAATGTGGTGTCGAGTTTCTTGAGTTTGTGATTCCGCTTGTGCTCTCGTTCTTCTGGAGTTCCGTGATACATTTCGACAGGAATACCAGGGACGAATCTATCATTGTTTGCATGGAATATTTTAGTGGCCTTGGTCCACAGCATGGTACACGCATAAAGCATAAAATAAAGAATGTTTTTGATACCTCTCGAATTCCATGACCCAGTTGGCAAGAGTGGAAAGAGGGGCGACGACAAGGAAAGGTCCCCAAACACCCCTTTCACGGAGGTATGCCAGGAACGAGATTGTTTGAAGGGTCTATGTGACAAACAGATAAATAGCATTAGCGATTTTGGTCATATATTACTCCAACATACGTGATCGATAACGATACAAACAAACACGAGAATGAGAGAGAAAAAACTCACTTTTCCGAGACCCATCTCATCAGCGAGGATTCCGTTCAGACCGTTCTCATAGAGACTGACCATCCACTCGACACCGGCAAGCTGATAATCGCGAAGAACTCCTCCTGTGACCAACTTGGGTTGACGGGCAGATATGACACGTTGAGCAGGGGCTGGAGCCGAAGCCTTCTTGTCTGCTTCTGTTTCAACCTGCTTCTGCTTCTTGAGGGTGTCCTTGGTGAGATAGTCCGCAATGCTGTACTCGGTTTCGTCGGCCTTGCGTTTCTTTGAAGCGGCTGAGGCAGCGCTCATCCTCTCCTTCCTGATGGTGACAGTCGATGCTGGCTCCTGTTTGGCGGCACTGTGACGAGTGCTAGTCCTGGTTGCAGTAGGTGCTGTTGGTTTGGCAGAGTTGGCAATCTCTTCGCTGACACCTTCCTTCGCTCTCTTTTCCTTCTCTGCCTCACGCTTCACCTCCTCTGCGGCCGCCTTGTCTCGGGCATCTTGCTGCTGTTTCTCCAACTTTTTTGCCAGGAAGTTGGCATAGAGGGTTGATTTTTCAATCAAGAAGTTTAGACGCTGGAATCGCTGCTTGTTGACAGTATCGGTGAACTCTGAAGCAGCCTACAAGGTGGATAAGATATCAATTGCGAGAGATGTTTTAGAAACACAACAAACACCTCAAATATGTTTTGAATATATTTGCCACCAATTTTCAGGACAGCCATTGACGAGTATTAAGCCTTTTGTTATGACAATTACCTTGGCCTTCAACTGGGCAATCTTTTCCTTTTCTTTGGCCTGGGTTTCCTCCTCCAGTTTTTCTTCCTCCTTCAACATGGCCTCGGTGATGGTAACCTCGTGCTGCGAGTCGTTGGAATCGGCGGAATCAGACGATGGCGTGCTCACAGACTAAAATTCCAACATTCAACAAAACAGAGTTAGTTGAGGTGGGTTGAAGAAAGGGGGTAAGCAAGAGGTAGAAGAGAGGAGGAAGAATTTGAGAAGAGGATTCATACAGGCTCGGCGACCTTGGGCGAGGACTCGATGGACTCGGTCATTGTGTTGCGTTTGGTGATGAGGGAGAGGGAGGGGTGAACAAAGAGATCAAAACAGCAAACAAACAAAGAGAAGCAGAGAAAGGGAGAAAAGGGGGAGGGGTCAAGGTGCTCGAGCCTGTCTATGTCTAGTATTGTTTTGAAGGGTCTCCAAATGAAAAGCCACTCCAGCTCTTTTTTCTTATTCTTCTATTCTTCCCAGTCTTCCTTCACCAGTCAAAGCTCCTTTTGCCACCACTCTTTTCATTCATTCCACACACCACAACTTACACAACAATGCAGACAAAACACGACCTCCAGCCAACCTCCTTCGACAAACCAGATACCAAGCGTGCAAGGATATCTAAGGAAGATGGTACAACATACACTGGACCAACGCCATGCTTGCAGCTTGCCTGTCGTCGTGTTCTTGTGTCAGCTACCCTTTCTGAGGCGAACAACCTTCTAACCAAATCAAAACGCTCACATCATATGCTTAGCCACGCTTCGGAAAAGGGCACCATTGAGACCACAGACCCTCCCAACAGACATCTACGTAACAACATCTTCCAGCTACAAGGGCCAACTCGCACGCGCCAAAAAACTCCTCGTTGAAGACGGACAGCCCTTCATCGTCCTCCATGCCATGGGCGCAGCGATCGAACGGGCCATTGGACTCGCCATGGGGATCAACACTGCCTGTTCGGGACAAGTCCGCTGCCATACCGAGACTGCCACGGTCGATTTGGTCGACGATATCATCCCTGCTGACACGGAAATGGACTTTGACACCAACACTCGCCAGAATTCTGCGGTCCATATCAGGATAGAGATGTTGCAACCCATGCCTGGAACTCAGCGGGAGCAGGATTACTTTGCTAGTCTGCATGGAAACCGGAAACGGCGGTAGTTCTCTGCATGTTCGCGGCAGGATATCACACGGACCAACACCCCAACCCATTGTACCATAGCACCACTTGCATTATTATTTTTTCACCAGACGAATTAAATGCATACAACATGTTTTGCACAAAGATCCTAGTTTTTATTCTCCTTTCTTAAAGTTGCTTGGGTTGACTATCCCAGAAGTGATCGCAGGATTCAACTCAGGAGGACAATCCACAATCGATGTCGACAACTCCTCCTCTTCAACAATCAACGCAACCGACGGGAGATTCGTCGCCATCCTCTGAAACAGTCCCGGGATATCTGAAGGCCGCTCTACACAAGAGTACTCTTTGAGCATATTGAGTTCTTCTCTCAAAGTCTCGTACCGAAACGCCACACGGATATTGGGCACGTTTGTCTTTGTCATGTCGTTGCCTGGGATACCTGGAAGGTACCAATCCTTGCCAATCCAGTGCTTCTTGATCTGGTTCTCCCAACCAGACTGGGCGACAGAGTTGCGTGAGATCTCGCACATGTCTGCTCCTGACAGTTTCCAGATCTACATTATATGGAAGACAAAATGATACATTAGTATTCACGTTTCAATTAGGTCCGCACACGTTTAGAATGGAGCCAAGCGAACAAGACGTACCTGGGCAGCAACACTGTACTCCTCGATCAAGGGCTCCTTTGTGAAGTGGAACTGGAGTGGATCGTCAGTACTGAGGCTGACATTCAGACCTCTCTGGAAAAACGTCGGGAACGGGTTGCGCTCATAGTCCAAGAAAAGCGCGTTGTTTGACAGCGGTGACATTGCGATCCCCATCTGTGTCAGGTAGTACAGGTACTGCAATGCGGGCACCTTCCGGAGAAGGATTCCGTGAGAGATCCCGGATGCAGTCAGGAATGCCGATGTCAAGTGGTCCGTGTCCCCTGCCTCTCCACAGTGCGGTCTGAACACAAACGTGTCTATCAAAAAGGTGAAATGTGAAAGGAATTAGAGTTTTAGTACCAATACGATCGATGCAAGCAGCTTTCCTCAATAAAAACAAAAACGCCAAAAATGACTTACTGAAACGTCGCTTCTGTCGGAAGGCATTGAGACTAGTCATGTTAGCAAACATGTAATAGATATAATAACTATACGGTGGGTTGGTCGGCATGTCCCAAACGCGCGGGTAAGGGTACTTGCGGTAGATCCGCCTCTCGGCCTTGGACTCGTCATCCACAGAATCGAAGCCAATTACTCGCTGCAAAAAGATATACAGATTCGGATGACTCGACGGATCCCGGGTGACCTCGAACAGGGGCTTGAAGATATTACGGATCACGTCTTCAAAGTTCCGGACAGTTTTGGTCGCCTTGTAGACATTGTAGAGTCGTGGGACTTGGATCAGCCAGCGGATGTTGTGGGAGAAGAGCTTGTGTTCGACCACCCAGTCGGCTAGCTTGTCCCATTCGTCTTCACTCCTGCCGTAGATTGAGATTCGGTACTCTGCCATCTGGTACTTGCTCTGTTCCAGATCCGATATAACCTCTAAAAGAATAAAGGAGTGAGATGTTAGGAGATGGGTCGAAAGTATCTCCTCTTTCTCTAACCAAAGTCAGCAAAGGTGCTACACATACCCTTGGTAATATCGGCGAGGTATCGGCCCTTGATCTTGTTGTCGGTCTTCATAAAGATCTCGCGAAGACGCGACTCTCCGATAGGGTTATACTTTAAGTTAAACTTGTCAAACCGGTGGAACGAATCTTTGTGCGCCTGAAAGAAGTACATGAGCCTTGGTCAGCAAAAGCATTCTCAAATAAAGAACCCCTTCATCCGATTGGTATTCGCAATGCACAAACCAAACTTACATGCATGTCCAAGGTATCAATGTTCAAGTCATACGCGGTCAAGTTCAGACTCTGGAAAACCTCCTCCAGCGTCAGATCCTTCCCATCACGGAAAATAACAACATCCTCCGGAGTCGTCCTCATCTTGGACTTGATAAACCGAAGCAGGTGCTTCTGGTTCATACACGAACTATGGTGAACGTGCGTGTCGACTTTGCGGACATTATAAAAGTCGCGGTGGGGTACTCGCTTCGCCTCGGCCAGCTCCTCGTATTCGTTAAGGAGAGTGTACATATTCCACTTGCTCTCCAGGTATTTTAGTCGACGGAAGGCGAAGCTTTTTGTGGGACCATCCGAAATCACGGAGAGTACAAAGTCCAGATCCTGAAAGTAATCCTTGGGTGAAGGGACATCGATGACTGGCTTCTTGTTCACCAGGTCTTCCTTAAACGCATAGACCTGCCAAGAGAAAGAAATGTCGACGCCAAGTCGCAAATCGCAAAAACAAACAATGTCAGCGCTCTCAGACACACTCTCTTTTTTACCCTTTGGAATAACCAAAGCGTCATGGAATGCATACAGCATCGCACCCCAACACAACAACAACAAAAAAATAAACCTTTCTCTCCATACCTGGTATACACCGGTATCGTCCATCTCAAAGAACTGATCACACAGGCCGGGGATGGGCACCTCCTCTCTGACAAAGTCGCTTCCAATACTGTCAGGTCCACCCGTCACCCGACCAGCCTTCTCTGGCTTGGGTAGGGGCCAGGAGGGGACTGGAGGAGGCGGGTAGATAGTCCAGTCGTCACTGTCGCTAGGGTTATCGCCGATCCGCTGCGCAGAGACCTTCATGTACTTGTCGCGAAGTTCAAGGCACTTTTGGAAGTTGGTGTAAAGCATCCGCAGTTCCTCTGTGATCTGGCTGCCGAGCTTGTTCTTGACAGCGCCGATGTCCTCTGGCTTATCTTCTTCCATGATCCCGGCATCCTTGTCGACATATCGCAGGTTGTCGGGCTCGTTATCGAATGCGGTTCCAGAGTCGCTGTTCACTTCGGGTGGTGGCGCCGAAGGACGAACATTGTGGGTCAAATAGTCGCTATCCTCCTGCCATGTGAACCAAAAAGTTACAAGTGTTAACCATTACGTCTTTTTTATGCTTGAAGCCTGAATCGACACATATCTGGTTGTGAGCGTTGCTACAAACCCTTTTCAGCACGCGTTCGTGGTAGTGGGTATAGCACATAGCCTGTGCGTCGTCGCGCTCTGCACGCTTGTCGGGCACGTCGAACGAGTCCTCCTTTCTCAGAGGTGGCCTTCCTGGTGTGGGTCCATCCTCATTGCTCATTTGTATGAATGAAGTCAACCTGAATGAAAATCGAATGCAATTGCTGGCTGTTGGACGGAAAAGTGGAGGAGAGTAGAAAAGGCGTGAGAAATCGGAATATACACTAAAAGCAATTGTAATTGGGAAGGAAAGAGAGAGCAAGGACAGCGCCTCGTCTGTTGGAAAGGAAATACCCTCACTCGTGCACTTTTGGCTGGACGGTTGCACAAATGAACAAAGATGACCCACCCATTCTATCCAACAATCCTTTAATTTTGGTATGTAGCAGTGTAAATGGTATTTACGTTTGTGATGGGGAGTAGCCTAGTCCGCGACGGCGATCAAGGCGCACTAGCCATCCACCTCCTCTTCTCTCCTATGCGGGCTCTTGGACATACAATGTCTCCCCTCATACTTCTTCCATCTCCATTGTAGTGTCAAAAGGGTGCAACAGCTTCCCCTGCTGTCAATATGGCACTCTACAACGCCACCCAAAAGTTCATAGCCAAGACTCCTGTCAGACCCGCCAACAACGCAGACAACTTTGTGCCGACCGACGGCACAAGAGCACTGCCAGCGTTGCCTGGGATCCTGTTGCCGTTGTATGTGACTCCACACAGCTGTCGGAAAGCATCAATGTAGTTGATCAGATGGTTGGCCTGGAGGACATTCAATTGTGTGGGCTGCTGAGTCTTTGCGAAGCAGTCAACACAGTATGGGTAGGCGTCCAGGGCCTTGAAGGTACAGATACACTGCAAGAAGGGCATCAGGGTCGCATAAGTCGTGTTGGGTGTGATTGGGAAGGTGTTGGAGTTGGCGATGACGTTGCATCGAGACAAGGTCGGGAACATGCCATAGCACGTCGAGCAGGTCGAAATGTTTTGAGGGAACATGGCCGGTGAAGTGGGCAGGGGCAATGGACTGGCGACAGGCATGGGACCGCTACCGGGTGCCCATGTTGTATAAGGCTGGACTGGAACTGGAGGTGGAACCGTTGTGGTGGTGGTTGGAATGGCTAGAGTACTGTTTCCGGCTGTGGTCGAATGTTTGCCACCGGGCGAGGCTGAGGTTGGCTTGGAAGCTTCAGTGCTGACGAAGGTTGGGATGATATCCGTGGTGATGATGTCGGCCTTGGTGGGTGCTGCTACGACGTTGTCACCATTGTATATTTGTGCGTCCGTGAAGGATGATAAACAGAGCAGGCAGAGGTGAAGAGTGAGGAAGAGTGTGGGGAGCAAGTGCTTCCATGAGGTCGTCCCTGAAGTCATTATTGGATTAAGAATATAGCCACGAGAGTGAAGAGACGCCAGGATAAAGGAAAAAGGGAGAATGTGTGCTGGTTGGTAAAGTGGAGCAAAGAGCTGAACAAGTTGTAATTATCAGAGATGGTTGTTATCAACTCTACGAAAACAGCAAGACGAAGGAAGCAATCAAGCAACCCAGGCGCTTCCTTTCTACTCGCCATCGTTCTCGGCTACTTGAAAACCAGAGCGAAAGAGATATAATTAATCACGGAACGGGGTTCAAGGAGAAGAAAATACTCAAGGAGAGAGCGACGATAGACGGATTTGAAGGGGCACGAAGGGGGTTCATGGTTTCCAGGATGGAATGGAGACAGAGAGAGAAAGAAAAGAACCCCGCAAAGTCAAACAAAGACTTGGACAGTAGCCAGGGATCGCCAACGTGATAAACAGTGAGCGACAGAACAAACAGCTTTTGACTATCGTGGCCAGTTCAACTATCTCCTCCTCTTGGCGACATCTACTAGAAAAGACTAAAGCTCTGTCATATCTTCGATGAACACCTTGTCGCTGAACCAAGGTGTCTTTTCTACAACCGCGATAGTAATAGGTCCATCTCTCACACGCAGTTAAGATTGCGTGGTTAAAAACGCGCGATCACCCCTAACTCTTACACGTGATCCCTACCTTTGTCGGTCGTGCGCCGCTCTTTCAAAAGAACTTTCTTCTTCTTTCACACACACACAACCCTTCTTCTCGCCATGTCAACAGCAGACAGCCACACATCAACAGGACCATCAACACCAACAGGAGGAGACGACTCGACGCTCTACTACAAGGCCGTGGGATCGATCGCCCTCTACTTCACAACCGTCATCTCGGCCCTCGTCATTTGCATTGCCAGAACGCGCTTCACCGCCAGCAACGCCCTCTACATCCTCATCGCCGTCTCTTCACTCTTTATTACCTGGTACTATATCCTTTCCTTCTTCCAGAAGGAGTATGTTACCTTGGGTTCCGACCTGAATCGGTTTATCCTTGAGTCTGACCTCTTGTAAGTTTTGAGGTGGTTGTTTGTCGACAAAAGGAAGTTACGCGTTGTTTGTGTGTCTGTGTTTTGATTCAAGTGCTCTTTGTGGGGTTTTTTGAGTAAAGTTTGTGGGTCGCATTATTTTAACTGACATTTATCTTTTTTTTTCTTGACCTCCTCCAACAAAAAAAAAAAAAAGCGTGCAAGCATACGCGATTGTGACAAACACCCTCCCGAAATGGTGGTGGAGCAGTCAACTCCTCCTCCTCACCGGCACCGCCCTCACCTGCTGGTCTGTCGAGGGCCAAACCCTCCGTCTCGAAAAGCAAGCCCATAACGCCACCAACCCTGCCAAGAAATCCAAATGGACTCCAACCTGGTGGTTTGTCCTTCTCGGATTCTTTGGCAGCATGTCCGTCGGTGGACCTCTCTTCCTCGCTCAACTGGACCCTAACCCCAAGATCACCCGGACCCAGACCAGAACCGTCCCTACCCTGTTGGCGCTCTTGATCCTCTTGGGTGAAGTTAGCGTCATTGCTACTCCATTCCTCCCATCCATGTCGCGCGAATTTATGATCAACTTGATTGCTACCCATGCGCTCTTCTTGGTCCCGGCGTTGTTGACCTTCAACCCGGAGACCCACAAGGGTATCTCGACCTTCAGCCTCCCACGTCTGTACTTTATCCTGTCGATCATTGGTCTGCTCAGTCATACCTTCTACACGCTCCCATTCATTTTCTCGCCCATCATGAAGCCCAAGGTTCTCTACAATGCCCTCTGGTTCAACCACTGCCAGACTTCTATTAGTGCCGACATGATCCTGAACAACCTCCTTGCGGCCGTGTATATGATCCAATCCAGCAAACAGTTGAAGAAACTCAAGGTTGGCCTTGCCTTGACTTTGGCGCTGCCTGTTCTTTCTGTCAGCACTGTGTTGCCGCTTTACCTTGGATGGAGGGAGCGGCAGTTGGTTGTTAGGAAGAGCGTTAAAGACGGAAAGAAGAAGGCGTAAATAGTTCTAGTTGATTGCATTAAAAACAGCAAAGCTTTTATTCTGTATATTTGGCTTCTTTTCGCGATTGTACTCGTAGTTGTGAAAGTGGACATGAAAAAAGAGATGGAGGAACTATGATACAGAGTGTGTTGTATGTTGTATGTTGTATTGTTGCAATCGGTTCCCTCAGATTACTTCTTGGACCCAATGCGAGAAGGGCTGTTCCAGGGTGAGGGCAACAACCAGCTCTTGGCCAGACTCCTGGATGTCGAAACTGGACTCTCTTCAACAGCATGGGCCGACGCCAGTAAGTTGGGGTCAGATCGGTTGCGGCCCTTCGCCATCAACGCCGAGACAGGCGAGGGGATGTTGATAGGGCGAGAAGTAGAATTGCTGCTACCGCTGCCAGTCGTGTAAGGAGAGGGAGCCTTGGTGACGGTCGTAACAGCGGTGCTGGTGACTTGTTGTGTCCATGCTGCGGAGCTGGCACGTCGTCGCATCATCATTTTGCTGGGTGAGCTTGGGATGAACTTTGACAGACTCGAGAGTGTTTGAGATGTGTACGAAGAAGACGTCGGTTTAGGTGTCGTAGCCGTGTTGGAATTCGAGGGTGACCGGTTCGTAACAGATTTTGGACCACCAGCAGCCATGGATCTGGATGTGGGAGAAGTAGGCATTGACTTTGCAGATTTACCAGCCTTCCCTCCAATCGACAGCGGCTTCAGTAAATCCTTGGACCGACGACGATCCTCCTTGGCCGGTATCGACAAAGTCAATGGCGCCGACGACGTTAATGAAGACGTCAAAGAGGAAGGCGAAGAAGACGCCTTGAAAGAAAAATCCAATGAACTAATCATCGACATATCGCCATCACTAAACTCCCTCGAGATATCCCCGTCATAAGAATCGACTAGCACCTCCTGCTCTTCATACTCGGACTGCGGGGTGATAGCTTTTTTGGTAGACTTGTTGTAGGACGACGGCGAGTTGACCCCACCTCGAGGAGGACTGTTCCTAGGCAAGTGGGTCGTTGGGCTGACGAGCATCGAAGAGGCAACGGTGGTGATTGGCGACTGGTTGGGAGTAGGAACCATGAGGACTCCTGAACGACCACCGACCACACTGTTGGTGCTGTTACTGCTGCTCCTGAACACTGTCGACAACGGTCGTCTGGGGTACCCTCCTCCGTTTGTCGTCGTGATCACAGTCGTTGTAGTCGTCGTAGCAGGCTTGATAGGAACCGGTGCCAGGGGCAAAGGAGGGTTGACAGGACTCACAGATCGAATGGAATCCATTTGGGTGGGCGTCAAATGAGGCAGGGTGACCACCGTAGCAGCAGCATTCGACCTCAAAGATGCCAGGCTCCTCTTGGCAGGATCCATGTTCAACACATGAATAGAGCCTCCAGTACAACCCATGACGAGTCGACCAGAGCTCAAGTCGATAGACATCACCCCTCGACCGTGGCCTGTCGGAGAACCCTGGAAAATCCAGTTCTTGGGTGTGATTTGAAGAGGCGTGTAGTCGTTATTGTAGACCTTGCTGGGGTCAATGATGTCCTTGATCAGGGCAACAGTCGAAAGCTTCACAGGAGAACTGCGAGATCCAATGAGCAATAATGGCGGGTCATGATGGGTGACGTTTCCGCACCACATGTCGCTAGAAACAGTCAGAACTGCTGTCAGACATGGCTTGACTCTAGTTTCGACCGATGCGCCAAACCCTTCATACATTGATCCCGTGCTGATACTCGTAACGAGCGACAGAGTAGATGATGATGGCGCTGGCGTGTCGGGCTGCGAAATCAAATTGGTGAGCGACGACGACGGAGTAGGACCCAGAGGCGTGCGCGAAGGGGAAATGGGTGGCGTATAGTGTTGCTGTGGTTCTGAACCCAAATCTGACGAAGAGGCGAGTGACACGGTACTGAGAGATCGATAACGGAGCATTTGTTGGAGGCTCTGCTGTTGTTGATGTTGTTGTTGCTGCACGAGGCTCTCGAGATGTTCCATTTGCCAGACATAGACCTTCCTGTTGGTCGCCGTCAAGAACATCTTGCCCTGGAGGCATGACCATTGCAGCGATGAGCCTTGTTGGACTTCAAAGAGCTTGACCTGGTGCAGCAGTGTCCGCGAGGGGATGTCAAATACGCGCAAAGTAGCGTCGATGCAAAAGGTGTAGACCGTGTTCTTTGTCAGGTGCACGCTCAGGATCTATACGCCGATGGACAAAAGGAGACTATTAGTACGTGGTGATAGAGAACATATGCCGTTTGGTATGATCGTTGAACGTTTGTTTGGGACATACCACTTCGTTGTGAGCGCGGAAGCTGGCGACTTTGCGCCCTATTGCCCAGTTCCAGACAAGAACGGTTTGGTCGAATCCCGCTGTGACCAAGTAGCTCTCGTTGATGGCCAGAGCCCGGACGCCCTTCTGGTGTCCCGTCAGTGTGTACATGTTCAGTGGTCCGTGTAATGACCACACCTTGACCAATCTAATCATCAGCCGAAGCTTGTGTTAGGAACAGATCACCCTTAATGCCAAATTCAATTCCTTAACGCCACCAAGTGCAAAAAGTCTTACCCAATGTCAACAAAGGCTGCAACAACAACTCCACCTCCTTCCATATTGGCATCAACCAATAGCTCCACACAGCTAACAGCCGAGTCAACCTCCCAGATCTTGACACACTTGCCCGTCGCTGACTCCCAGAGTCGAACCTTCTCGTCGTATCCTCCGCTGATGATCCACTCGCCCCGATCCTTGAGGGAAGTGACATAACTGGTGTGACCCATCATGGCATAAGTAGAGGCAGGCCTGTGCCGCTTCCACCGCAAGTCACGTTCCTGGTACCGGCAGAGTAGGTTCCAGTTCTTTCGTGCATCATCCTGCTTATCCATGTCGACCGTGTCGTCTGTATATGTCACGCGATCCATCGCTGCCAAAAGAACATCATAGGCCATTGTCTTTTGCCTCCATGCACGCGAAACCTATTTTGCCAGTTCAAACAACACACCGTTAAACGGACCCCTGAGAAAAATTAAAAATAACATGTAAACCATTTGCGTATTGATTTGTACTTACCAGACGGCAGTTGGCAAGATCCGAGAAGGAGAGGTTCTTCAAAACGAGAGTTGAGATCTCGGATGGAAACTCGTCCAAGAGATCAAATCCATACACTTGTCCATGTCGAATCGTCAGTTGGTGTTGAAGTTGATATGTCTCGCGGGGTCGACAGCTCCAGACAAGTTGCTCAAACCTACATAATATTCAGAGCCACCCAAAGAGCAGAAGCACAAAAGAGCAATTAGCGAGCTGAACAATATTACTAACCTATTTGACGATACACAATACTTGGGTCCACTCATGCACGAAAACAAAACTTACAGCTCTTTCTTGTCCTCCCAAGTCATCCCTTGGATCAGGGATACCAAAGCGCTGGGCCTCTTCTTCAACACTTCGACGGGCTCACATTTGGAATAGGCGGTCCAGGTTCGACCCCAGCCATCGACAGCCTTGGTGGCATCCTGCAAGACAGCCTCTCGCGAAACATGCTCCTCCCCAAGAGTCTCGTCCAATGCCGCAATGTCTTTTGTCAGCGTCTGGGCTCCGGCATTGAGTGCATTAAGCTTGGTGCGCTGTGCGGCGATCTGATTCAAGAGCATCTCGAACCTGGATGTCGCTCCTCCTCCGCTGGCTCTGGCCGCACTGATGACGACTGGGGTTTCCTGGAGTGGATCCGACTGCAAAGGACTGCTTCGCTGGACTGATGGCATCATCATCTCGTCTCCACCAGTGTTCGATCTGTTTCGACCATGTCGCGATGATTCGATATTGGCTGTAGTGTAGTTGGCGCTGTTATTGTTGCTGTTATTGCTGATGATGCGAGTACGTTCGGACTCTGTCAGTGATCCGGCCGAATCGACGGAGGATTTTCTAGCGTGTGTGAACGAGGTTGGGCTGGACAGGATAAATCTACGCTCTGGCGGGGTCTGTTGCTGCTGCTGGTGATGGTTGAGTTGATTCAAATACTGCTGAGCTTGTTGCTGTTGTACTTGTGCTTGTGTATGCTGTTGGTGAGATGGCTGCTTCTGGTGTTGGTGTTTTTGATCCCAGAGATCGACAACTGGCATCATTTTGAGGAATTGTGAAGAGGATTTGGGGCCGCCATGCACAGTATTGTAACCGCTGCTACTGCTGTTTGAGCTAGATGTCGAGCGCTGCTGGGATGAGAGCTGGTTCAGAGGGTGAAGGCTGTGAGATGGCTGGGATCGGTGGTGGAAATGTTGCTGTGTGTTTGTTGTTGTTGAGGCGTCGTCGTTTTGTTCACTTGTGCTACTCGTTCCGCTGTTATTGTTGGGGGATGTTGTTCTTTTGTACAGATGCTCTTTTTGTTGGAGAGGAGGAGGGAAGAGAGGTGTTTTGTTGTTGGAAGGATTGTGGTGGGTGTGATGCCGATTTGAGGGAAAGCCTGATAGTGGGATGGGAGAGACAGGAGAAGAGGCGAGGGGAGAGAGGGAGGGAGAGAGTCGATTCGTGTCGAGGGATATGGTCGTGGCGCCACAACGGTCTGAAGTTGTCGACGTTGTTGACGTTGTTGTTGATGTTGAGTGGGAAGGTGAGATTTTTTCAGGAACGTCCGTTAAGAACAGCGGAGGTGGGAATACGCCTGCCATTGTTATTCCTGTTCTTATTTGTATCTAGCGAAGACTTGTTTGTTCTTGGGAAGAGAGAGGGAGAGGGATTGTTTGTTGGTGGGTTGGTGGGTTGGAAGAAAAAAAACCGCTTTACTCTTTCTCAGAAGGTGAGGAGAGACTAGGGAAGAACAACTGCAAGAGAGAAAGGGAAAGAAGAAAAAAAAAAAAAGAAGGAAAGAGTGATCCAGAATCCAGGGTGAAAAAGATGGGAAGATGAGGGGTTGGTTGACAAAGAGAGAAATGGCAGCAAAGGTAAGAGTTATGAGTTATTAATAAGCCTGTACGGATGGACGTCGGGTACTTGCATACTAGAGTGAGAATGAGAGACTGGCTGACCAGGGCGAGGAAAGAGCAAAGGAAGAGCACAATGAAAGAAAGCGATAGTGGTGGGTGAGAGGGAAGGAAGGAAATGAAAGGAAGGGGAAGGAAAGAGATGTATGGGTGAAAGGGAAGGAAACGAAGGAGAGGAAGGGAAGAAGAGGCTGCAAGATGTATGTGCGACACCTTCCGTCAGCATTATTAAAGAAAAAAAAAGGCGGAGAAAAAGAGCCACAATCATTGTCTGAGATGCGATCAAACAAGGGTGTGGCATGCAAGTAATGGCTCTATATTTTTACGCGATATGTAGTGATTGACTTGTTCCATAAGGTTGAAAATCCCAAGTGAACGTGGTCTCGAAAGAAGAAGGCACAGGCAATGAGTAATAGAGAACTAGCAAAGAGCACACAACAGCATCCCAAAAAAAGATGTCGACACGAAGAAACGGAGTGACCAAAAGAAGAATGAAAAACAACGTAGAGAGAAAGAGATAGAGGGAAAGAACATGCGAAATTGCACGAGAGCATTCCTTCTCTTATTCAATTGGAAGTTTGGAACCATGTTTGATTAATACTCTTCGTGTCTCTCTTTAACACCACTCATCATCTCACCCTCTCTCCCAACGCGCACATAAAAAACGGGCATGCAACTGAATGGCTCTCGTTCCTGCTTCGCGAGTCGGGAAAAAAAAGAGGTAAACCTCACATCGAAGGGGGTATTTGCTGTTGCAGTAGAAGGCAAAAGGAGGTATTGATTGAAATTTTCGAGGAGTCGAAAGGGTTGGAAGAGAAAATATGGAGACGGAGAGGTCCAGGATAAGGAAAAGGTGAGGGGTTGAAGGAAAGAGAGCGGGAGGACAAAGGCAGCTCATTTCAGCGGGCGAAAGAAAAGCAGCTTTCCTCCTGGGACGAAGCTTCATACCTTTGTTTGAAATGGAGTTGTTCAAAAGAAACCCTGAATGGTAATTTTGGCGGTGTAGAGTCGATTTCAGTCTTGTGTGGCTGGAGATGATACTTGAGAGGATAGGACGGGTATTTGAATGGGTGTGAAGAAATACAAAAAAAGAAGGACGAGATATGAACAAGTATAGATATTGGGGTGAGATGACTATGTAGATAATATGGCGATCTGTGGAGGATGAAGAAAGAACAAATGTGCAACGAGAGCAAAGAAGAGAAAAAGAAGAAAGAAAAAAAAGAATTGGCAAGAACCTCACAAGGCAACATGGTCTTATTTTCAGGCAAAATCGTTTCGTCTTTTTTTGGTGTCTATTGGCATGGGGACGGTGGGCATGATGAGAAGGCATGGGTATTGTACATGGTGTATGTTTCTATTCTCAGACACTCCTCACTCCTCGCTCCCACCCAGCAGATTATCAAAAAAAGGTGATGATATCGGATACGATATTCGGATGATGTGCTCTACACGTACTCAAGTCATATGGGCGCACCCACCCTTTTTAGGAGCAGGAAAGAGAGACATGTTGGATTGCATTTTAAAAATGTGCGAGGAAGGTCATGAGAAGAATGGTGCAAAGTAGACAGCAAGGCAGAACCAGGGTCGACTATCCTTCTGCGGTTTTTGGAAGCAAAGAGAAGAAAGAAAAGATCGAAATAGGGGTTGTGAATGTAAATGTGCTTTTGGAGTGGATGCGCACACGCTACAACAGAGGAGGAGTGGTTGTGTTGTTGTGATCAAAAGAGGGGAGAAACAAAGGGGTCCTTAAAAAAGCGAGGAAAAAAGTAGAAAATGAACCCTTCCTTCCGTTTCCGTGCCATGAACAACAACAGCGAAGTAGGACGCTCCGATGCACCTGTATCTGTTGACAAATATCAAGTTGGAGCCAGAATGGCAGCCAATCGATCGCGTCGAACAAAAGGTCGCGTTTAGATCAGTTTTCGGTGTCGTCAGCTGATCCGAGATATAGTTTTTACTCTTGTCGACACAATGTGGATGAGTGTCAATGAAAAGACAATGAAGAAAGAGGTGGCACAAAGACATCCTGTTGTTGTTGTTGTTTTCTTTTTTTTCCCCTCCTTGCCACACCACCCCACTGGCTATTGGCATAGTCCTCAAGGAAAATGTCGCCACTGTTACTTCAGTCCACTATTCAGGCACACGAGTTACAACAACTTTGGACGCTGAGAAATATGATTTTCTTTTGAACGGTCTATCAAAGGGGGAGTGAAACTACGATATTATGCAAAAACAAGAGAGAAAGAGAGGGAAGTGGACCACATTCATTTTATGCCTCTGAGGCCTTGGCAACTTCGGTAGGGGTCTTGGTGTTGAGGGACAATGCGTGAAGGCCAGCCTCGAAGTCCTTGTTGAGGGCGCCGTAGATGAGGCGGTGACGCTGCATAGTCGACTTGCCTGCAAATGCCTCCGACACGATGTTCACTCTAGCAAAAAGCAAGGTACAAAAAGGAATCAGGCGAAAAGACATGTTAGGTTGGGGTTGGAGATGAACGTCCTTGATACAGGAAAGTGCGCAGTGTCAACTTTAGTGACTCGGTCCAAAAGGTACCTGAAATGGGTCTCCTTGCTGTCGACTCCACGCATGGCAGAGTGGTGGGCGTGCTTCGCACTATCGTTGATGATCTCGAGTGCCTCAGGCTTCAAGAGTTCCGTGAGCTATATGCAGAATAACAATAGAGAACGCGAGTGTCAGCATTCGTTCCTTCGAGTATGGCGCCGTCCAATGGATATCGCCGGAGACTATTACTAGCCATAATAGCAATTATATTCCGAAGTCGAAGTCGAATGGGTTACCGTGGTGCGAATGCTGGTTGTGAGGGGACCTTCCTGCTGTGATGCCATGGCGGAGGAGTGAATGAAAGCCGAAGAAGAGGAAGAGAGAAGGAGTGAACGGTTTGCGATGGAGGGGACTCTTTTGGAATGAGCAAGAAGGGACGAGAAGGCGATCATTATAGAGGTGATGAGAGAGGAAGGAGGGGATCAAAGGGAGACATCCGGCGAGGAAGTAAAAAAGTGACATCGTCAATTAGAGAGGCGAAAGCGATTTGTTCAATTACGGGGGGTACGTGATATCATCACCTTCACCATTCCCAACTGAACCGACCAAATTCTCGAACATCGTCCACTTCCTCTCTCTCCCTTTCTCTCTCTCTCTTCTTTGTCGATCCTTCTCTCAGCACCACACTCTTACAACCCTCCCCCCCGCTTCCTACTCCTTCTTTTCCGACAGCGTCGATCCTTGCCTCGCTTAATACAACAGCCTTGGCACATTCCAAGGAAAATCTCTCGACCCTCCACAGCTCGTGTCACCATGGCGCAATACAACCCCCCAGACCAGCAACAGAAGTACCCTCCGCCTCAGCAGCCATACTACGACCAGGGTCAACAACAACAGTACGCTTATAATGCCCAGCAACAACCTGCATACAGCCCCAACACCCAGCAGCAACAGTGGGGCCACCACCAGGCTCCTCAACAGCAGTACTTCGGCGCACCATCGGATGCCCCTCAAGGTCAGCCCATGACAGGTGTCGTCCCTCCTGCCTACGAGACAGCGCCCTATGATGGAACAGTCAACCCCGAGTCGGGTCTACCAGCAAAATTCAACCCTCGTCCACGCTACAACGACTGCTGGGCTTTCTTCTTGTTTATCGCTCAACTTGCTGCGTTTATCGTTCTGTCGGGTTTCGCAATCAATCAGATCCACCAGAATCGCCAGTATGACCAGAATGGATACTACCCAGCACCGGGACAACAAGTCCCCGGGGTGGCTCTTGGCTTTTTCTCCAAGTCTGGCCTTATTACGATGCTGATCTCTGTGCTGACGGGCGCTGTGATTGCGGTGCTTTACTTTATGCTGACTGAAGCGTAAGTTTTCTTTGGTCCTATCAAATCATGTCATTGTCGAAATTCTTTTTTGCATTCTTATGTGTTACCGCAGACACGACAACGAGGAAAATCCTTCCGGACTAGCCGCGCTATGAGCGAATGGGTTTCACCAGAACAAAAAAAATCATCCATCGTAACTCCATGTTGTTTCTCGTTCTCTCTCAAATAGATTCCCGCGTCAGATGATTAAGGTATCTATCCACAGTAGGAGCACAATGCACGGACACGGGACATGGAACACGGGCCCCACTGCAACACCCTGCTACATGTTATTTCTCAAGGAGCGGAACTAACCTGCCCGTCTGTCTTTTTTTTGTCTGCGCAATTCATCACCTTGCATCAATGTCAATTAGGTCACGTTTGCACTGAGCATCATCGCCTATCTCGCGGTCGCCGTCTACTACTTTGTTCGAGGGCTGTGGATGCCTGCCATCTTTGGCCTCATCTTTGGTCTGCTCTATGCCTCAATGTGGTTCTTCTGGAAGAGTCGCATCCCCTTTGCAACGTATGTCAATTCCTCACTCACAACCATGGTCATGCTGTATTACGCTTTAGTCCATATGAGAATACTCATTCATCCCTTCCCCTCCTCCTTCATACTCATCGTCTTTGTTTCCTTGTTCGCTGGGAATAGGGAAATGCTGAGAGCAGTAACATCCGTGTCGAAAAAGTACCCAGCAACCTTCGCGCTTGCCTTCCTCGGTCTCTTTGTCCAGATTGCCTACTCTGTCTACTTTATTGTTGTCATTAGCGGATGCTATGAGATGTACTATGATCAAAACACGCAAACCACGCCAGGAAAGCTCCAGGCGTAAGTTTGCATAGGACACGCCTCAAAGTGAATGAGCGCGAGTATTGGCCTGTGATGTTGACTACATGAAACGAGGAGTGCTAATTTATATTTCATTTCGTTGGTGAATTGAACCCCTAGGTTGATTGTGTTCTGCTTCTTCTCGTTTTACTGGACGTCTCAGGTTATCAAGAACATTATCCATGTCACCATTGCAGGAGTCTTTGCAACCTACTACTTTATGGCAGGATCGCCCCAGGGCATGAGCAAGTCACCGACTATTGCCAGTTTCAAGCGCGCTTGCACTACGTCTATCGGCAGTATCTGCTTCGGGTCCTTGATCATCGCCATTATCCAGACCCTTAGAGCTCTTACCCAGATCCTGCGAGGCGATGGAAGCAACGGCATCATGGCTTTCATTGCATGCATCATTGACTGTATCCTCAGTAAGTCATGCGTGGTGTTTTTATGACGAAGAGTCGCTACTTTTGAATAATCAGTCAAAAATACCTAACTTCGCAAACTTGCAATGTGAATGAATAGGCTGCATGCAGGGAATAATGGAGTATGTCAACATGTACGCATTCTGCCAGGTGGCCATTTACGGAAAGGCGTATATCCCAGCAGCTCGCGACACATGGACCATCTTGAAGGACAGAGGCATTGTGCAGATAATCAACGATAACCTCATCGGAAACGTCTGGGCAATGGGCGCCATCATGGCCGGGGTCCTCTCAGGACTCGCCAGTTACCTCTACCTGCGCTTTGACAATCCGCCCTTCAACTCGAATGGCGAATTCACCTATGTCATTGTGGTGATGGCGTTTGTGCTGGGTATGCAAATGCTGTTTACTGTTGGAACCGTCATTGACAGCGGAGTCGCAACCACATTCGTCTGTCTGGCTGAAGACCCGGCTGCTCTCGCTAGAACTAAGCCAGGTAACGTGCATGATGATCTGGTACCCGTTTGACGTTGACTGTTAAGAATAGATGACCGAAAAAAAGGGAAAAAAAAGAGAGCAGATGCAAAGCAAAGCAAAATGGATGGCTCATTTTCCATTTTTTGCTTTCATTCTCTCCTACTTTATTTTTGTATCCGATCACTCCACTGACCGTTTTATTTGTTTTCTCTCTTGGACCGTTGGGTCCGTATTGCTTGCTACCTAATTAGAACTGTTTGAGCGCATCCGTGCGACATGGCCTGCGGTCGTTCAGGTAAAGATAACGAAAAGACTGAGAGCGAGAGCGAGAGATGAAAAAATAGAACGGAATTGGGAGGAAGAGGAGAGAAAAAGGGACACAAGAGTTTGACAATTCTACCGATGACACAAACAAACAAACAAACAAACAAACAAACAAACACCAACGAATATAAGGCATGATGGCAAATTGCTCACCTAAACCCTTCTTGTAATCCCTTTTGTGCTTCAATAGGGTGTGAACTAAGAGCTTATCCACGTCCTTTTGATACGTATGGAGAAATGCCATTGACACGGACCCCTCCTCCGCTTGCTTCGTGCTCCTCCAAAACACCAATTTCACAAGAAAAGGCAATTGGCAATCAATCGTTCATTACCAGTAAATAAACTCATCAAGAAACACAGACAGGACTCAAACAGTGGATTTTCTCTCGACCAAAGTAAGATGAACAAGATCAAGATGAAAAGCAAGGCATGAGAGAAAAGTAGTGCATTTGCGGGATGATTGTAGTTGTTTCTTTGCACAAACTCGCATTGCCTTTTGGCCTTTAATGTGGGCAAACGGAGGTCCCAAGATTGAGATTTTTCTGATTGACACGACGTATGTTGGCAACCGTCAACGGATGAATTAACGGTCGTTGTCTTTGTCTTTGTCCGTTAACATTGTTGTCCTCTTTTACTGCTCCGTTAATGCGCACATACATACATGTGCATCATCTCTTTGCGCAAAAAAGAAAAAGTCTAGGCAAGGCAAGGGAAGGGAGTGAGGGAAGGGGGAAGGGAAGGGAGGGTATTCACAAAAGCCGGGAACCCTGATCATTCATTGGTGCCCTCTCTTGCTCTCCTTCTCCTCTTTGGCATTCTCTCATCAACCCAAAATAACATTTCTGTACCCATATCTAGCGGCCGCATGTCAAAAATCATATAGGTCTGTACAAACATAGCGAGCGTGAGTGTGTGCTCACAAACACCCCTTCCTGGGTTTCAACGTCCCCTTCTTTTTCCTTGCTTTCTTGCCTTTCACAATCTCTGGCTATCAACCCTTTACGACCACACCGCGCTGACTTTTACCTTTTGACTTTACCTCACACCACCAGGCAGCCAGGCTATTTTGAAACGAACTCGCGCGCCAGGTTTATTGCCGAAATATTATTACTATATTTCATATTCCATCTCACTCGCCGACGATTGATGAAAATGGATCGAGGCTTGGGGTTAAGTAAGGGCCAAGGGGTCCAATATATTAGCTTTATTTCATTCCAAGCGGGGTCGTCCCCGTCGCTGTATCCTACACCGCGGAGACACCGATTGTTCATTGTTCGAAATGAAAATATCGTCCTCCTCCATCCGATTGTCACACATATGCCGACGTGAGGACGAAAGGAAGTATAAACATTGACAGGATGATAACGCAATTCTCGTTCGAACCACCACTAATTTCCAACACATTCTTCTGTTTTTCTAAGGGAAACAAAAGAAAAAAAATGACCGTTTTCATTGGAGATGTAATCAGACATCATTTATTGCACTGTCCAAAGAAAATGCGCGTGTGCGCGAGATGCGAAGGAGAGAGAGAGAGAGAGAGAGAGAGAGCGAAGAAAGATGCGGGGATTGGTCCGATGCGCGTGATGGAAAAGCAGTTATTTATTCCAGGGAAAAAGAAAGAAAAGTCAAGAGAGCATACCTCACAACAACTACGACAAGAACAACCTCATTTGCATTTCAGCTGGAAAAATAATGCTCTCTTGCACATAATGCGATGTATGTGTGTTTGGGCAGTAATGGGAAGTAGGGCCACTAGATAGGTGCGGAAAAGAAAGAGAACAGCCCGTTGGTCAACATTAGAATGAGGTTTTTTTGACGTACCATCCATGGACGACCAATTTATTTTCGTTCTCTCTCGTCTTCTCTTTCTCTTTCGTTACTGCTCTGCTCATCTCAGTCGTTGTGTATGTGTAATGTATGTATGTATGCGAAGAGAAAAGGGGACAGAAGTACACGCACGACCAGACGGACGGGGGTGTGGATTTGGAAGGAAGGAGATGGACTTCTTGGGGGGGGCATGACTTGAGTGAAAGACATGAATGACATACATATTTCGATTGTCTTATAAAGGGGTTCTTCGTCCTCAACCACTTCATTCTTCTCTCTTTTCTTCTCTTTCTCTCATTCTCTTACTTCCCACCACATCCCATTTTCAGCAGACCATTGACCCCATCCAGCTTGTCAACGCGACTTACTTCTCTCTCTTCCTCACTACTGCACCCCTTTACCATCCTCTTACCGCCAAGCTGCTATTTCTTCCCATTTTCCATTCTTCCCAGCCAGTTCATACCATACCATACACACAGACCTCTTCTCTTCAACTATCCCGTTCTTCCCAGCTCACTCAATCGATCCAATCCCATTGAACAACCCCTCGGCTGTGACACGTCAAACACACAAACAAAAAACGCTAATAGTATATAGACAACACGCAGTGAGAGAGCATTTGCCCCTCTTCCTTTGCTTTTCGAACAGCTTGTTGGTAAATACCACTTGTGCTACCACACCAGAACTTCATCATCAACACACTCTATTTACTCCTCTCTCACTCATTACTCCTCTCTCTTGCTCTCGCACTCTCGCACTCTTCGTACTCTCTTAGTACTCTCTTAGTACTCTCTTACTCATTACTCCCTTGCTCTCTCTCCACTCTCTCATCGCACATAACACGCCCTCGACGTCAGTTAACATTCTCGGACACTTTTTATTATTTTCTCCCTTAACATTTTTTTTGGTATATATACTCCCTTGCTTTCCTCCCCTTCGTACCTTTTTTTTCTCCTCTCTCCTCTCCTTCAATCTTCATTTCTCTTTTCTCTTACCTTTTCATATCTTCATACATCCACAACAACTTACACTCTTTATATACATCATCATATCAATCATGACTCGCTCTCCTTCTTCTCCCACCATGTCCATCGCCTCCATCTCCACAACCTCCACTGTCACCCCCAAGAAGACCCGCCGCTTCTCTATCGTCCGCCTCTTCAGCAGCAGCAACAACTCTTCACTCTCAGCCTCTAGCTCGTCCACAACCTTGAATGACGCCAACACCCCATTCCGCCATTCCATGGAACCCAAATCCTCCTCGTCCTCGTCCTCGTCCATGGATACGATGCAAACAGAGATCATGCGTGAGCGCCGCAAATCCATCGCCGCCTTGACCCACTCACCTCGCTGCTCGATGAATCTCGACTTCAGACCTGCTTCAGGTCGTCGCCCTATCCTCAGGGTTCGCAAGGGGTGTGCAGCCCCACAGGCCGAGATGAACGAGAAGATGCGCGAGTTTGACGAGTTGCTCCAGACCCGCAAGACCAGCACCATCCGCATCTCGCTCACTCCCAGCCTCCTTCAGGACACCTACTAAGTCGCGTTTTGATCGGCACACAATAGTGATACATATCTAGTTCTTTCGACAACACCACCATCCTCTCTTGTACATCTGTCTGTCGAAGATTGGACTACCTCCCTTTTTCTTTCCCCTCTCACTATTTGAGAACTGGATGGCCTGGTTTGCTACTCCTTCTTTAGTGATGGGCCCTTTCTCTTGACTCATTTTGCTTTTTTTTGTTCCTGTTTATCCCATGTACTTTTTCTCTCTCTTGTCTTTTTTACACATTGTACCATAGCACCCAAAATTACTATATAGAACATCGCTTTCAGCGAAGTTGTTTGAAATGAACTCTTTTTCACGACCATTATACCTACTACTTAATACTAGAAACGACCATAATAAACCCTTTATCCCACATTCCATCTTGCTTTGCCTCGCACTTGCCTTACCGTGCCTTGCCTTGCCTTGCCTTGCCTGTGGGAGACGGGCCTGGGCGTATGCACTATGCAAAAAAATGAAATGCAAGGCAAACCCAATGCATCCAGCCCTGCCTGCCTACTCTCTTGTTGGCCTACCAGCATTGCCCTTGCCCTTGCCCTTGCCCTCCCCTGGGATTGAATGCATAACAGGCAAAAAATCTGCCCATCTACGTCTTTGTGCGTCTAACTTCCTCCCCCTTCACTATTTTCTGCTCTCTATGTGTCCTCTTCTCTTCCTCTCTGTCTCCTTGACCAAGTGCTTTCTTTTCATTCATGCTCTGTTGCTTGCTCTGTCTATTTGTGTCGTGTCTAGTCCTCTCTTCCACAAAAAAATGAACCCATGCACACACACACACACACACACACACACACACACACACACACACACACACACACAAAGTACAAATGATTCCAAAACAAACAGACGCTCGTCCTGAGGGAAGATCTTTCATGTGTCCAGCACGCTTGCCTACTTTGCTTAGCAACGAATGAACAAAATAAGGCCGTGATCGCCAAATGCATGGCTCGCTCTTTTCTTCTCCCCTTTCTCTCCCCTTTTTTCCCATTGCCCTTTGCCTCTCTCGAGCTCTGCCTCTCTCGCGCTCTGCCTCTCTCGAGCTCTGCCTCTCCCTTTTTGGAGCATGGGCGTACATGGATTAATTGGATATCATCTTTGGCTTTGTTGCCAATTGCCAGCTCTGCTTGTTTGTTTGTTTGTTTTTTGACATCTGCCCTCCGCCCCCCTATCCTTATTGCATTGCTTTGTTCGCTTATTTGTGTATGCTCTTGCTCGTTGGGCTTGTTTGAACATCCATCCCATCCCCCCTCAAACCACATTGCACAAATGGAAGGAAATTTGTTTGTAGGAGTGCTGTATGCTTGGATGAGTGTTGTGCGACAGGGCTGACAGCCACACGGTAAAAAGGATGGTAAGAAAGATGAAAAGGGGGGAAATAAATAGATTATGAAAAGTGGGAGGCGATGCATTATGGCATCCAGCCAGTCTGTCAATCCAGCCATCCAGCCATCTAGTCCCGAGTCAGCCTACTTGTGTCCAGACTTCCAATCAGCCCAAAGCCCAAGCCCAATTGTCTAGAGTGGGAGCGGAATAAAGGGAGATGGGAAAAGGATATGAAGCAGCAGGATATCTGTAAACACAAGGTCGACAGAGTCTACCAATGCCCAATTGACCATGCTTGACATTCGACTATGATGCCCAGCCGCATGACTTTCATCTCTTATCCCCCTCTCTCCTCTCTTCTTTTCTCCTTGTCCTTTCATCCTGTCAGCCTGTCCAGTAGTCATCCATTCATGAACGAATCATAGTCAAAAGTTCCAACTCCTACCGTATGTCCCTTTGAACATTCTCAGCTCTCCTTTTTTTCTAACAGAAGAAATCTCCTAACACAAGCACGTTCTTCGATGCTTACCTGCACCTTCCTCAGGAATGCGCTATGTCCTGTCTAAAGAGAAGTGAAGGAGAAGGGACAGAAATGAAACGGAGAAAAAAAGACCCTTTTCATTTTACCTTCTTTTTTCTTCTTTTTCTCACACTGTTTTGTAAGCTGACGAACGTGTTGAGTTCCCTCATTCTTTTTTTTTGTGACATACGGTGTCGTGTGAAAGAGTAAGAGGAGAGAAATTGACAGACTTCGTTTACTACGAGAACGCCACTAAAATTCACAGCACACACCCGACGCGATGGAGAGTTCATTCGCAACATCTTTACCTACAACTAGAAAGAGTTCGCTGTTGCAAAAAAAGAAAAGGTACCAATTGGACATGCATCTTCCACTCATTCATTGAACCCTTGAAAGTACTCTCGACCCATCTCTTATAATCGGAGCCGACGTCTGAAGGAGATAGCCTTCATTTCTCCCCTTCTTCCTTCAGACGTCGGGTCCGATTATAAGGAATGGGTCGAAACTAGGTAGCTCAGCGGGTTCCGTGGGTTCCAGTGGGCTAAGCTGTCGATGGGTACCATTGTAAGCCGTCATTCCTATCGTATTGATATGATTACGACCTGATTGTAGGACGTTTATGAACACGCTGCCTTAGGTCTCTGTCGTGGACATTGTCGACTCCTCTTCTTGCTTTTCCTTACTTTCACTCGCTGCCTTTGCGATGCCACCTTCACATCATTTTTCCCCCAACCCTCTTTTACCAGCACCCAGGTGAACCCCGGCAAATCGCTTTGTACGAACTTGTTACAAAGTCAACTCGCACCCTCTTATGACTATCATAATGGGCACCAAAAAGAAGCGTTCCCTCTCCACCCCTAGGACACCCAGCCATTCCTCTCCTTGTTATCTAGTACATTAATAGTACATGGTACAAGACATTCCCCCTGCCGTGAAGGATGTGAGAAACGTCGCCTATTGATCTCCTTCTAGCTCTTAGAAAATAATTGTGCGGCATTTTTTTTTTCGTGTACAAGTCCCTGGAGCTGTTTGGGGAAAGAGGAGTCAACACAGCGCCAAGAAAAACGACTCTAAAGGAAACCTGAGGGAATGGATAACGGAGAAAGGGAAAGGGCAATTGGTTCCACCACCTTGTTCGCCGCCAAATTGTTATTCCTTTACAAGTCTTATGTAGTCCTTGGTCTACCTCCTTTAGTCGTCCTTCCTAACGTACGAACAGCTTCCAGTCTCCCACTCTTTGTTTATTGTTCTCTTTGTCTCCGCTGTGTTTGTTTCCAAGATACAAAGCGCTCTCTGTCGCGGTTACAAAAATGAAAAAAAAAATAAGCGCGCATTGATAGCGGATTAGATTGTTGTCCCACTTTGGCCAACATTTTCTCATTTTAGTTGATCGGCTGTTCTTGAGAGCCTAGACGCAGAGAGCGCAAGGGTCCATTTTCAAGAGAGGGTGTGGGGTGATAGTGTTGACGACGGTGGAGTGGATATGCTATCTAAGGTTGGAGAGGCTTTTTGAAGATGCGCTGTTTTTTTTCAAGCCAGAGAGACATGACACATGTTGAAGTTTTAGCGGGTTCATGTTCGATCCACTTTTTCAAGTGCAACGATGAAGACGTCAGATGGGCTGTAAAGGGAGCAACTATCGTTCTCTCTTTCACACTCCTTCACCCTGTCAAAAAAAAAAAAAAAAAAAAGGTACGGTTGTCAAGGAGTAGAGCACTAGGAGGAAGCGATATCCAGAACGGCGACTAGATATGCAAACAGATAATTTAGGGGTGCAACCTTACTAAGCGATTCTAGTCGTGAGACATACAGCGGCGGTGTTTGGTGAAACAAACACCACAGAAAAGCGCCGTGCCATCATCGTCATCATCGCTGTTGTTGTCTCTCTTTTTTTTTCTTTTTTTCTCTCACTCTTAGTTTCTAGGATAAAGGTCCAACACATTCAATCACCTACGCAACTCAATCAGTCGCCGCTCTTTCATCCGAGTCAGTCTGTTCATTTCGATCGACTTTGTCCGGATGAAAGTATCCTCCCAGTGAGCGAGGCAGTCTGTATATGTGATTGCCCTGGGTCAAAAAAGAAGACACCGAGAACCCAAGGTGCCCCCAATGGGCGATCACCCCACCCGTTTTGACTAAACTCAGGGGATCGGCCTTTAAAAGGACGGCTGTTCTCCTTCTTTGACACTGGTTCTTCTCGGTTTCCTGTCTTCTTTCTAACCTCTTCTCGTCATAAAACTACTCTCCAAAAGTATCAGTCTCTTACACCTTTCTTCTTCTTCTCAGTTGCTGCTGTCACCTTCCAAGTAAAACATATAGTCTCACTCCCACGCCCGCCCCACCACCACCACTACAACAACAACAGCAACAACAGAAAAAGAGACGGGTATGTCCTCTTCCTCCGCATCTCATACAAAAAAAACAACAACATCGTATATTGCCGTCACAATCACAACCACGTCTTCCTCAATCGAATCCACTGCCACCTCCACTCGCCCTCCTTCTTCTTCTTCTGCAACCGCCGCCATCACCACTACCGAGTCAACAGGGGCAACAACAACTCCATCCGACAATACCACTACCAGGTCAACAGTAAAGGCAGCAACCACAAATCCTTCTCCCACCACAGAAGCTATCACAATTCCTTCAACTGCAACAGCCACCACAGCCAGGTCAACAACAACGGCAGCCGCCACAACTCCTTTTCCCACCACAAAAACTATCACAATTCCTTCTCCAACCGCAGCAGCCACCACAGCCAGGTCAACAACCACGGCAGCTACCACAGCTCCTTCTCCTACGACAAAAACTGTCGCAACTCCTTCTCCATCCGCAACAGCCACCACAATTGCTACAAGCATGGATCCCCCGTATACCACCCCTTCGACCACTCCCACGACAAGAACGACTGAGCCCGTTACTACGACCGCCACCACAACAGAGCCCGCTACAAACATCACCACAACTACGATAGAACCTCCCACGACCATTATATCTCCCACGTCCACAACTACAACCGAACCGCCACCAACAACAACTATTACCACAACCGAGCCGCCGCCGCCAACAACCACCACAACTGAACCTCCACCAACAACCACTCGTACCCACACTACCCGCACTCGAACCACCACCAACCCTACCACTTCCTCATACACTACAACAACCACCAACTCAGACCCCATCAACCCCACCACTTCTTCCTCGACAACAACCAGCGATACAATCGTGTCCCCAACCCTGCCCCCTAGCAACGAGACTGGCGGCGGCGGGATCTCAAGCGGGGCGATCATCGGAATTGTACTTGCCGCCCTCCTGGCTTTGATTGCGGCTTTGATCAGCGCCTTTCTGATTAAACGCCGACGCAGGCGCCGATTCAACCAGACCAGCGATACGCTCTTCAACCCCGTCAACAATAATGCCACCCTCGCCATGCAGGAGAACCAAAATTACCATCCGGCGACTTCTCCTAGGAAAGATTATCCTAGTGGTGGTGGGGGTGGGGGTGGATTGAGGGGTCGTGAGTCTGTCGAGCCGCTGAATGCCCAGGCGGCCGGTATTACCATGCTTGGTAACAACACCAACAACAGGGTCAGTATTGGAGGAAGTGATAACTCGGGATCTTCAGGGCTCCAACAAGACAGTTTGTATCCTTTTGAGGCCGACCCCGCCAGGTACTACCACAGCGGTACTGGTGTCAACTACGGAGCTCCGACCGAGCCCACTTACTCCCAATACGGCGGATGGAACGACCCTGCCTCATCCTCCGAGTACAACATGATGTCCGATGTTCTTCCCACAGGCGAGTACCATACCGACCCTGCAGAGGCAGAGGCCTATGCGCAATACGAGCAGGAGCAACGAGACATGTACCTCCACCAATTAATGATGATGCAGCAGCACGGGCAAGACCAAGGAGAGTATTATGACCCACAGACCTCTTCCGATTACTACTCTTCGTCCGTCTACCCACAGCCTCCTACTTTGATGGCCCACCCATCTCAGCTACAGCACCAGTCTCATCATCCCCAGTATGACGAAGACAGGGCGGCTCCTGTGCCTATGGCCTCGGGTTCTGTAATGTCGACGCCACTTATCGCTGCGACCGCCATGGCCCCCGCCCTTCTCCCGACCCCCACGTCCCCTACCTCTGCATCCGTCACTTTCCCTGGAACTCAGTCAACCTCGACCGCGACCGCATCAACCCCATCCTCCGCAATCCATTCCCCCAGTTTAGAACCCCAGTCCGTCCGGCGATATTACGATCTGACCGAGAACGATGTCGCCTACAACTCCAAGTCTGAGCCTTGGGCATCACCAAAGCGAAACCCACAAGTCTTGTTCAATCCTGCTACTGCTGCTTCGTCTTCGTCAGCAGGAGGAGCAAGGACGAGGGAGGCTGCAGCGAGCGATCAATCCGAGGTCTTTGTTTCTGGAGACAGCCCCTATGCGAGCGACGCCATGACACACCCCATGTAATTTAGCACCCATTTTTTTTCTCTTGTACGTGTTTTCGTGTTACACTTTATCACCTAATCTTCCTGTCGCATAATAAAACACTGCAAAAAAGAAGAAAAACGGTATTTATTCGTTCAAGTGATCGGCCAGACATACAACTTGTATGCCATGTGTCGTGTCGGCACAGTCTGTGTGGCCCACCAAAAAAGATCGTCACTGTGCAAAAATATCCTACACACTTTTTTTTTTTTTTTTTTTTTGATGCGTTTGTCGTTGCAAGGACCATGTCCAAAACATGGCTGACACTCGATAAACCCCCCCCCCCCCCCTTCAACAGCACCGATCTCCCGTCCTGAACAATGCCACGTTTCGGCAGTCTGATTTCGGCACCTCCGCCCTGCTTTCCTGGACTGACCACACCACTCTCACGCAAGATGAAAGGCTGACGCAAACAGTGGCCGAGTGTAGAATGAGTGTGGTAAATATGTCTCTGAAATGAGGGATGACGGTACAAAGGAGACCCGCCACGACTCTTACGAGTGAAGAAATGTTTCGGTTTCCGACAACGATCTAGATTTCGCTGGGAAACGCCAAGAGAAGGAGCTCTGTCACGAACGGGGCATGCGGGGAAATGGCGGTGAGCAAAGTGAAAGAAATAAAATGAATGCCTTAATCTATGAGTTACCGACTAAGGATCGAAGGGCAGCTACAGATTGACTGAAAAAAAAGAACGAAAGAAAAAAGAGACGAGGAAAGTGAGGCACCGTGACAACGCTGATGAAGCAGAGCGCGTGGGAGCAATTTGTATTTATTCCTACGAAAGTCCCTGGTATCAAAAATTGAAAAAAAAACTCCAACGCGTTTTGCCGTTAGACCGTTGTTATTCCATCATCAAGATCGCCACCCTCCCCCTCTACTGTCTCGAAGACCTCCTCCCTCACAGCTTCATCATTAATCAAGCTTCAGCATCAGAGAGAGAAGCCCACTGACAAGCCTTAATCATCCTCTTCAACCCCAACTCCAACATGGGCACGGGGACCGAAAACGACAACCTAAAAAACCCAACCAACCTTTCTGAGAACGCCTCCCCCAAGTTCACATAAACGCCTTCCTTCAACATGGCCCTCCAAACCAAATGCTCTGCCGATCGCTCACCAGCCTGCGCAGAGCTGACAAGGTGCGAAGGGATGAACTTACGGAGATCGATCCAGATAAAGTGACCACCTTGGGCGGGGAAGAAAGGGATCTCGTGGTCGCGGAGGGTGTTAACGGTGTGGGTATAGGATTCAGCTAGGCGGGCTTGGTTGGTCTTTGTGAAGTCTTCGATCACGATGGGGTCGCTAAGGAGTTTTGTCAGCATTGCTTCGGTGGTCGATGACATCCACGTAAACACCCTTTGTACATGGATGGGAGAAAAATGAACGCGGTTAGGTGGCTGCATCTTTGAATCTTCTTCGATTGTCAACTGTTCTTTAGTTATAACAGTGACATTGTTACTTACGCAATGGATCGCATGGCATCAAGCAGTTCCGTGTTCCAAGGCGACAACAAGACTCCGCAACGGAAACCATTCAAGCAAAAGTCCTATTCGCGTGAGACAGACATCATGAAGAGACAAAAGAGGGTAATTAGCAATCGAGCATCCTTTTTGACATGTCTACTTTTCTCTCTTTCCTTCTCTCTCTTCTGAACAACGAAACAACAAAGCAAGATACTAAAATGACTTACTTTGCTCATGCCATAGGCAACGTGGACGAGTTCCTTCTCGCAGTACAACTCAATGTTAGGGATGGAGAGGACAGAGATAAAAGGGTTGCTGTCGGGCTGCTCCTCCTTGGCCCGACCCGTCAACGCATAGTCAAAGACCGAGAGCGCATAGATCTCGTCAAACAGGATGTGGATCTGATTCTTGGAAGCGAATCTCAGGAACGCAATGATCAACTCGCGTGTGAACGTTCTTAGCGTAAATGAAACGGTGAGAGATGACGACGAGAAGGAGAGCGGTTAGATAGTGAAGCGGTAAGACAGGTGATGGTGATCGATCGCACTCTGCAACAAAAAGATCAATTATTGGTATCGTCGTGCGACATTCCTCCCCCTCCCTCCTATCCTTCGCGTTCGAAAAAGTACGCGTTATTCTACTTTCGAGCTCAGTTAGCGATAACCCTACTCTCCCTTCCTTCATCTATTTGCTACCCTATTTCTATTGTTACCTTCCAAGGGGGTTATGAGGGTTGGAGAGGACAAACGCCCGAACGCGTGTACCCTCCGACCGAGCATTGTCGACAGCGTCTTGCATCAACTGGATCTGTTCCAATCCGAAGGGGGACACACCGCCGAGATGGACTTCGATAACCCGGGCCTTGGACTTGGCCATAATGTCTGTGTTGAATCCACCTAATCAAGCGAAAAGGTGGAAAAAGAGAGAGAGAGAGAGAGAGAGTTAGGAAGAGTGGCAAGGAATTCGATCCAAACGTGGTGGTTGCTGTGGGATGTTGTTAGTGAGTTTTTCATGCCATTTTTGTTTTCAGGGGTGACGAGAAACGAATTCGATTGTGTTGAGATCATTCGCCTCTCCCTCCACCCACTGTCCAATTGATGTCCCTGACAATAGCATCTTTTCTGTTGTTGTTTTTTCTCTTTGTCGCACAACGATAGCAACCATAAACACGCATACGCAACCATCTAACGACCAAGACAGCACAGAAAAAGCAAGCTGCGAGACACTTCAAGAAATGCAGAAAACGCCCAGTCAACAAGTCATCTGCAAAAACACAAATGCGCAAACAATGATCCCAGCGCCTCTCTGTCTCCACTCCTACGTTACGTACCATAGAAGGGCGTGGTGATGAGGATGCCATCGCCGGGATCGCAGACACAGAACGTGAAGTTGTCGACGGTCGCGCTGCACCCAGCAGTGAGGACCATTTGCTCGCCCAGGACGGGCTCGTACGGCTTGAAGTATCGGTTGAAGATGTTGTTGGCAAAATGGCTGCGAAGAAGTCTAGAACCGGAGGGACTTTCGCCATATCCAAACAGCTAATAGGATTTTGTTTTCAATGACACACACAGAAAAAAAAGATAAGACGCAAAATAAAGGGTGTTTTAGTCAGCTATTGTCAACCACCAGCGCAGCAAAAAAAGAAACGGCGTTTTTTTTTTTTTTCGTTGTTGAGAGTGAACGTGGGATAGTTACAGAAACGCATAAAAATTGAGCAACGACGAGTCATGAATGACAAACGACTTTGGTGATGAATGTGAGCTCTCTTTCAGCTTTCCTTACCTTGGTATCGGCAGTGTCCACCTTTGAGAACTAAGTTATCATTTTTGAATGCCAGAACCACAAGAAATGTTAAAGAATGTTCATCCCTCAAAGTATCCTTTCCGTTTCATGCTCCCCTCCCTCCTCACGCACACGCCTCTCTCTCCACTCTCTGACTTACAATTTCACGCAACTCGGCAGTCATGAGCTGGTTCTCTGCAACTCCAAGGTTGATGATCCCATTAGGATTCTCTTTGAAATCAAACTTGTCCGCATTCGCCTTGATCACTCCCTCGAGCATCACGTTCGACCCTGCGAGGTTCTCGGCCGCTCGAGACGACAGGTTGTTCTGGATGGTCATATTTTTTTTGTGGTTGCTGGAAAATAAAGTGAGTGGAAAATGTAAGGGAGAGAATTTGCTTTTTTCGTGTATATATGAGTGTGGGAAAGAGTGAGACAGGATAATCCTTTTTTCTCGTAAGGGGTGACGAGGAGCAGGAGGGAAGGAAAGAGAAGGAAGGAAGGAACGGTTGTGAAGAAGAGAAGAAAAGAAAGAAGAGAAGAAAAGAAAGAAGAGAAGAGAGATGCACAAGAGCGCGCCGAGGCATTTAAAATATGTTCTGGATCGCCACAGTTGCTTCTTTCCTCCCGCTCAGTGGATTATTTGACCAGCCAGTGTTTATCAGCTGGGACTCCATTTTCAGGGGTGACAACCAATAGTTCCCAAACTTAATGAATGTATTAGAACACCCAACTGTGCATGAATGCAAGGCACAGAAAGAGGGGCGCATAAAATGGTAGAACAACACACGACGTAGATGTTATTATGTGCCTTATTGCAAAAGACCTCCTATATCTACGGGTGCTGATGCTGGTGGTTCATCATCTTTGGGGGCCGCTCGACCCCCTCCATCTCTTCGTCTGCTGGGTTGGGTCGCTTGTGGATGGGAGCAACGGGTGTCTGTCCAAATGCGACTGGGGCCTGACTTGAACCATACGCTGCTCCGTCCGCCCTATGCTGCTGCTGAGCATAGGGTGGCGAGTAATGGCTGGGGTGAGGCTGCACAGGCGGCTGGGAGACACTATAACTGTCAAGCTGATGGGGTCTTGGAACTGCGGGTGTGAGGTGATGGTTCAACGGTGCTGGTGCGTGCATGGACGAGCCCTGTGGTGAGGGCAAGTAGGCTTGGTAAGATGGAGTTGGCGTGTGAGATCCATAGTGACCTGCATGCGACTGCTGTTGTTGGTATGGATGCTGGTATGGCTGCTGCTGGTGGTTATGATGGGAGGGAGGTGGTGGCGAATACTGGTTGTGCGGTTGTTGAGTCGCAGCTGGCTGGTAAGCGTAACCAGGCACCGGTCCTGGGTTGCCATTACTAACTGGGTGTCCGTTGTAATAAGGTTGCGGAGGTTGCACATGATGGTCATGATGATAGCTCGCCTCAGGCTGATATGCGTGCGGTTGTCCTAGCGGTGGGTAAGGCTGGGTCGAGTAGGTAGAGGGCCCAACGTATGCTGCCGACTGAGGGTGGTGCCCATTCGTGAGTGATCCTGAACGACCCTTGGGGCTCTTTACCTTCTCCTTGGGCACCTTCTCCTTGGGCACCTTCTCCTTGGGCACCTTCTCTTTAGGTGCCTTCTTTGGCTCCTTGGGCACCTTAGGCTCTGAGGAAACATTCACTCCAACATTGCCAGCCAGAGCCTCCTCACGCAACTTTTGCTCCTTCTTTTCCTTCCGCATTGCCTTCCGTTTCTCCTTGATGATGCACCTTGGGCAAGTAAAATCGACAGACTCCCAATCCGTCTCCGCTTTTCCCTGTTGTGCGTCTTCCTGTTTCAAGCAAGCGACGTGTTGCCAGACGTTGCATTTGCCACAGGCAATCATGAGCTCGCCATCATCCTAATTAATTGTGAAAATCAACTCAAACGTTAGCGCGCTTGCAAGAAATGAACATAAAAATTAATACACAGAGTTCAGAGACATGGTTCTTGAGAGCTTACCAAGTTGTTGCCGAATACACCGCAAACACAGTCAAAGACCCAGTCTTCTTCCTCCTCATCTTGATGGCGTCCAGCCTCATCCTCAGAATGCTCGCCCTTGTGTCCACCTCCAACTCTCTTCTTCTTGCGTTCCTCTCGCTCCTTTGCTATCCGTTGCTGTTGCTGCTTCTTCTTGGCTTCTCTCTCCCAGATGGCATTCTCGCGGGCCTTCAGGCGTTCTTCTCGCTCCTTCAGGCGATTGTCCCTGATATGCTGCTGCAATTGTTTCTCCTAGATACGAAAGCGGTAACAGAGGTTAGTGTGTGAGAACCTACTTCAGCTAAGTTGTCCATTGGTATGAAATTTGATATTTGAATGACTTACTCTTTCTGCGCGTCGCTCGCGGAGCTCTTGCTTGCGGAGTTCAGCGGCTGCCTGCTGATCCTGCTGTCGGAGGGCTTCCAGACGAGCCTTTTCCTGGACTTCGAACTCGCGAATGACAATTCTCGAAGATCTCTTGCGATTAGCAATGGCCTCCAGCGTTTCTCGCTTCTTATCCTTTTCCTATCATGTATAAGGTACACAAAAGCGTATTAGTCCGACACCCCAGTTGTGTATTTAAACAATATATGCCATATGCCGAAATGCTATAGCAGCCTGTGCATACCTTGAACTCTCCAAGGATTTTCGGCAAAATATCGTCGTTGATAAGATTGTGCAACGCCTTTTCATCTGGGTGTTTTGAGCGCCGGAAGAGATTCGCAAAGTCTTCCCATTCCTGTTGAGTTATGCAAACCGGCTCCCACTGTACGCCAGGGGTAATAGGCGGGGTCTCAAACTCTGGCTCTGGTTCTGGCTCTGACTCCTCGACTTTTTGTCCGCGTGTCGACCGACGAGTACCACGACGGTTATCTGATACTGGCTTTTGTTGCGCCACCTTTGCTGCTACTTGTTTTGCTTTCTTGTTGTTCGCCTTGACTGGAGGGTTCTCTCTGTAGAGCCGATTATCTATTGAAGAGTTAGGTCTGGTGTGTGAGATATGGCTGACATTTTGAATAAAGGAAGGCAAGGAACTTCTTGCGGTATCACTACATACCATCGAACAGCCAGTAGGTGCGATCATTGGCATCGTGACCTATTGGGTCCACACGCTACACGATAGAGAATGAACGGTGGTTAATATATGCGTACTCTCGCGAAGTCAAACGTTGCAAGAAAAGGTACATGATATTAGTCCAAGGATATGCCCTACCCATTCTATGGCGACTTCGTCCTCTTCATTGAAGTTGGATCGGAACTGCTCCGGATCATCCAGCTGCCATTCACAGAGACAAGTCAGAATGAAAAGTTTTGTCTCGAGACTGAAATACTCGTAGTTGACGGCGTCCTCCTCCAGCCATGGGTTCTGATCCTGAGCTCGCTTCTCAAACTCCTTTTGGGCGTACTTGAACCAGTTGTCGAAACTATTACCGTCGATGAAAGTGGTAAATCAGATGGTTAGTGGGGAAACTTCATAGAATGAAAGTTATCGCAAGGTGGCTGCCGATCGGCGTAGAAAGACGAGCAATGCTAGTAATCAAGGAAAGGGGGCACTTTGGTCAACGCCTCACGGACACGCGTCGATCGTAATTGGTCCGTGCTCGACCGTTACACGCGACAGGAAAACGATAGCGACCGTTCACTGCCGCTTGGCTTTGCCTTGACCTCAACCTTTGAAGCCATCCACTTCTTTCGACTCCATCAGAAAAGGACACTGTGCCCATGGGTGAAAAGGATCGCTTTGATGATAGGAAGGACGCTGAACAAGAAAAGAGAAGGTTTACCTACCTAATACGGCGTTCCTGGGTTAAGGCGCGGAGCATACGCGCTTGAAGGTCGACCAGGTAGGGCATCTGTTGAGGATCAACGAGTGCCTGTTCAAGTTGCTATTCAAAACAAATGTAGAGTTTTTCGGTTAACCGAATGTACAAGAGAAACAGGAATGGCGACCGGAAAGGGTGCATGGGTGTTGCGGAGACTAGAACTATGCACGGTTGCTGCTGATCAGTTTTGGTTGCAAGTCCGTTGTAGCACCCGAAGCTGAAGATGGTGGCAACAGTTGGCATGGTGCGCAAGGGTTGTTTCTGGCAGGTTGTTGTCTTTTACCTCAGTGTCAAAGTCGTCGAGAGCAAAGGCTGGATGGAACATGTGAATGAACTGGCAGATGGCGGCAAAGTCCTTCAGAGAGCGTAGCTCTAGAAGTTTTGCATGGTACTCAGGGTCCACGTTCATGGTGTGCAGGTTGTGAGTATGTGCTTTGCCGCCTTTTCTTTTTTTTTTGACTTTTTTTGTGCTGTGCAAAGTTGGGAGTGCAAAAATGGGGTGGTGGATGAAAGTGGTGGGTATAGGCAGTAGACAGTCGGTAGTGCTATGTAAGAGAAGAGGGTGCTGTGTGTATGGGGGTGAAGAGGAGGGAGGTCAGTTGGTGGCGATCGGGTTGATGAGCAGAGAGGGTGAAGTATAAAAGTGTGCCGATCGGACAAAAGTCAGTTCGTTTTGAACAAGTGGCACACAGCGAGAGGAAGGCGTTGCGACTGAACAATCTCTCTCTCTGGCTTGATTGAAATTGAAGAGCAAGCGACATTTTCTTCTCCTGTGACGTCCATATATTTCTCCTCGTGGAGACTTTGCCCTCATCTTCTCTTCTTGAGGGTGGTACTCTCTTTTTGGGTGAGATGTCTTTGACCTCCGCCATCATCATTCACACCTTTTCTTTTCTCCAACTCACTTTTTACATTCCTCGCTCACCTATTCGCCTCACGCTCTCACAACACACACACTTACAACGACAACCATGAACCCCGAATAGTAAGTTCACTCTTCTCTCCACCTTCCTGGGTTCTTCGCTCTTGACCCTTGCTCATCCTTCCCATCCTTACTCGCCTCCGCCACGTTTCTCCTTCCTCCCCTCGTTCTCCCTCCCCCCCGTCCACTCCACGCCTTTTCCTCGTGTTCGTGCTTCCCTATTTTGACAATCCAACCCCTGCGCGTCTCGCACACAATATCGACGACTTGCACACCTCCAACCCAACCCAACCCACACCGACATGCTTCGCCCTTTTGGCGCCTCATTGCTCTTTGTTCCTTTCCCCTTCTCCTCTCGACAATCCTTCCACGGCTCTTCTTTTTTATTTCTCTTATGTCGTCGTTGTGTTTCTATGGCTGCTCTCTCAACCCGAGGAACGACTAGCGAGATAGTAGTCAAAGGAGGAAAAGAAGAGAAAAGACAACAAAGAAAGTAGCAATAGAAGCAACCCGCCCCCATCTTTTCTTCACCATTCTACCATCTTGGACCACATCTTACTCATTCGCCGAGACCAAGAAGAGAGGCCAGACGACAACAACAACCAAAAAAGAGAGGAGGTCACAGGATGGGTCAAGGCCCTTGACTCCCGCAAACCATAACGATGACAACGCCCACAAGCCAGCAGCACTCAACAACAACAACAACAACAACAACCCTTTCCTTGAACTGCTGAGGGCGTGTGTTTTGTGTACTCCTTCAGAAAAGAAAGATGAACACAATGGCGGAGGAACAGATGATATGTCATCGCTACGCACACTGCAAACCTCTTTTAGGCCTTCTCTCCTTTGCAGACTGTGCGCCTAAAGTGTTCAGCAGTGCTGCAGCACCCTTTTGATTCTGACTTGGCCCAGAGTAAACTCGGGGGAGGGGTGAGCATTAAGAGTGGTCGCCTGCTCCCTTTATTTTCCAGAGTGTATATGCTCGCCTCATGGCTGACCTGACCACCTCACCCGCGATAAAGATACTGATAACGACTGACGAACTGACGAGCTGACTGACTGACTTGACCACCTTTGTTCTTTGCTACTGTGCGAAATAGCGATTACCTCTTCAAGCTCCTCCTCATCGGCGACAGTGGTGTCGGAAAGAGTTGTTTGCTCCTCAGATTCGCTGACGATACCTACACTGAGAGCTATATCTCCACCATCGGTGTCGACTTTGTACGTGTTTATACCGTGCTAGCTGAGTTCTCTTATTCATGTGGTCTCTATTCGACCAACGCTTGGGCTGTAACACACTGCGACCACGGCGGGACACACACCAGGCCCAGGCCGTTTCCTCTTGCAACACTTGTGGCGTGATCATCGGATCTCGAGGCATCCCAACCCTATATCCAGCTAGGATCCTTGGTGACTTGAGCTCAGACACGCCTCTCTCCACCAAACGACGGTCCAAATGGAGCAGGACTTAGTCTAACATACACCTATTGGGTTGGACCTTTGCCCACCCGACACAAACAAACTCTCGGTTCACCCCTACTAACCACAACCACCTCTATTTTTTGACAACCTGTGCTCTGTAGAAAATCCGCACCATTGAGCTCGAGGGCAAGACCGTCAAGCTTCAGATCGTAAGAACACTAGTCCCTGGAGTGAACGGACCAAAGCGAGACAGAAAGAAATGACGCTTTCCACAACAATGACGACAACCAGGCCTGCATGTGTGTATATTTTATTAACCACCTCATCTTTCCTTTCATTACGGCTATTGCCTCTCCATATGTGGATATCTATCTGTCCGTACAGTGGGACACTGCTGGACAGGAGCGTTTCCGCACCATCACCTCATCCTACTACCGCGGAGCACACGGCATCATTGTTGTGTACGATGTCACAGACCAGGATACCTTTGCCAACGTCAAGCAGTGGCTTGCTGAGATTGACCGCTACGCCTCCGAGGGCGTCAACAAGTTGTTGGTCGGAAACAAGAGCGATTTGACCAATAAGAAGGTCGTCGAGTACACCGTTGCCAAGGTATGGCGCCCACCACTCTTTTCATGCGATGCGGACGCAGACATATGATCCTTGAACACACGAGTCTGCACGACGTTGCTCGGGTCGCAACGCTGTTTTCTAATAACCTGCATTATCTCTTTTTTACATAAATACAACAGGAATTCGCTGATCAACTCACCATTCCCTTCTTGGAGACCTCGGCCAAGAGTGCCACCAACGTCGAGCAGGCTTTCATGACCATGGCCAAGCAGATCAAGGACCGCATGGGAGCTGCCACCGTCAGCCCTGCTGGCGCCAGCAAGAACATTAAGGTCGGATCTGGACAGCAGTTGCCAGCACAGTCTGGCAGTGGCTGCTGCTAAATCCTTTTCTTTCATCCTTCATGTTTCTACCGTTACTTTTTTTTTTCTTTTTTTTTTGTCTTCGTATCCTTTCATTAGATGCTTACACAGTCCATAACTTCATTTTTTCGATTAAAGTTGATCATTGTTTTCCTTAATTTTTGAAAAGAAAAAATAGGCAATGTATATATGTCTTTGAGTGGCTAGACCAAACTAGTCCATGAGAGCCAAAAGGTCGTCCTCGTCGGGAGCGGGCACCTCCTCATCCACCGCAGGTGCAGAAGTATCTTCTGTCGTCTCTGTCATGAACTAGGATTTCAGAGAAAAAGCAAATTGCATGTCAGTATCATTATTACTTACAATCCATATCAGAAAAGAATAGGTTACAAACAAAACTCACCTGTTCAGCTTCCTCAGCTGACACACCGCCCGCTCCTTCGGGCACCTCGCGTTTTGTGAGCAGACCGAGGTCATTCTTATTTTTGACTGCCAGCTCCCAGAAGTCCGTCCGTATAGGCGAGATCGACGTATTGAGACACATCTGCTTAACCTCCTTGATAAACGCATTCCACGTCTCGACGCGGCCTTTGGCAGCCTCCTTTTGCTCCGCCTCTGATTCCACACCAGCAGCAGCCCCATACTTGGCCATATCCACACTCGACAAGAACCCGCGCAGGCTCTTTAGGCACTCGATCGCCTTCTCATAGAATTGGTCACCGAACGAAGTCGTGATCACCTTATGGATCATGGCCTTCATCTGATCTACAGCCATCGTCACCGTCACAAATCCGGCTCCTGCAGGCCGGACTCCCTGCTGCTGTTGGATCGTAGCAATCTTGACCATCGCCTCAAAGTCCTTCACTGGATCTGATGTTCCAATCTCGCGGACCGCACTCATCTCGAACGAGATCATACCACTCGCCGCAGCATCTCCCAAAGCACCGCCGCGGCTCAACGTCGATCCAGCCCCAAACACTGACCCCGCCTTTGCGACTCCTGAAGCGCCTGGATCTCCTGGCGCTGATCCAGAGGTAGCTGTGCCAAACATTGATTCTGACTTTTGTCGCTTGTTGCCATGTGGGTTGCTGGCAAGTCCCTCAAACAGGAGATCGCCTGATCCATGTTCGTGGTCCTCTGCGACTCCGTCCTTTCCAAGCTCGTCGTCAAGAGACGCCTTATAGCCACGCTTGCCACTCGACGGCTTGTCCAGCTTTTTGATATCCCAAAGGCGGATCAATGTATCCTCGATAGGTTGGGCTGCTGCTGCGAGTTCAGGTAGTGGCAACAGTTGTTTGATCAGAGCATTAGGAATGGGTGGCAGGGCCTTCTTCGGGTTTAGCGCTCGGAATTCAACCAGTTGCATCTGTCTTTGGAGTGCAGGATTGAAAGTCGTCTCTGGCGCAAGGTACTCCCTAGTTATAATAAATAATTACATCAGTGTTAAAATGAGTCCTACGTGTATTCAGCTTTCACATACGTAGGAAATATTTTCCCCGCGCCGAACTTACTCTCCATCGTTGATGTTCATGAGGTCCAGTGCATTGATGAACTCCTTAGTGTTATCAATCATCTCCTTCGTGGCCAAGAGTCGGTGTTTCTCCAACTTCTTGCCGGTCACTGTCTCGATGTCTGTCAATGACGAAAACACATGCCGCCGAATATCCTCGTTGAATGCCGTCTAATTGACCAAATGTCAAAATACAGTCTCACGTTAGTAAAGTTAGGAGTTTCAATCCATCTCATATACACCACAGCCAATCGTAACTGAAATAAAGAGGCGTTACCCTTGCAAAGAACAGACACTTGTGCTCAGACGAGATCTCTGGCCAGAGAACGCCCAACTTTGGCTCTGAATCGTTAATGCGAACATAGCGGCACAATGCGAACGAGTTCTTCTCAAAGAGCGCAAAGACAAGCCCTGCCATCTCCACTTCGGCCCGAGGGTTGCCTGGAGCCGCAAATACAGAGTAGACATTCGACATGAGCCACTCTCTCTGGAACTAGTAGTATCAACGGTGAAGGTGACTTGATCGTCAATAAAACCTTCAAATAAAATTCCATCCCAAATAACAACGAGCATCCTGCTGGTGCGACTTACTGTAGAGGAGGCGAAAAAGCCCAGGATAGTAAGACTCTTGACTGTCGACAACTTGAGCGCCTCCAGATCGACCGCACGGATAGGGACAATAGTCTTTCCGTACATAAACGCCTTCTCCAGTGCATCCTCAGGAACCTCGGTATCCTCTTCCATTTCCTGGGCAGCCATGTCTCCCGCGACCTTGAGTTTGTATGTCCTGGAAGCGTTGACCATGCCTGTACGGCCGCCTGGTAGATTATCCTCTGCTGCAGACTCGGACAAAACAGAGAATTTTTTGGTCGTTGGGATCTTGGCCTGCATGGTCCTTCCGTACATGTGAACAGGAATCGCTAGTGAAGCATCTGGGAACTTTTCGCTGTCTCCTAGATTGAGTGTTCCTCTGTAGACTGCTGCTGGCTTGACTTTCTTGGAGTAGAACTGTGAGGTCAGATCCTGCGCCTCGTCCAATGAAAAGACATCGCCGCCCGATTCTTCGCACAGCGTCTTGAAAAAAGCCTCGTTCTGGGCTTGCACAGCGGTTTTTGGCTTGTTTTCTTCTTCCTCGACATCGTAATCGGTTCCACTATTACGTTGTCCAAGACTCAATTAGTTCGTGTTTTTTTCGACTCAATTTCTATTGTGCTGTCAGAACTTGGAACTACAACAGAACCATATCCTATGAATAATAAAAACTTACATGACATTCAGTTGAACGTTATCGTCATGGAGAGCGGTCGTGATTTGCTCCGAGCCATCGGTGTTCATCTCTGAGTAAGAATCAGTGAGGATATAAATCTTCTTCTCGTACTTTAGCTTTTTGCAGAACTTGGTCATCATGTCCAGTGCAACGATCAGTGCATCCATGCCTAAAAAGTGCAGCGGAGCAAATTAGCAGTGATAAAAAGAGTCAGTTTCTCTACGACATCTCGATAGAAACGACCACAAATGGAGGCGTGTCTCCTGTCCTTTTCGTTGGAGACTTACAATCACCGGCATGCTCGCCGAGCTCAACGTCATTTTGAACGCCCTTCATAAGATCCAGGGTCGCGACACCAAGTGGTTGCAGAACATCCACGTGCTGATACTCCTCGCCATCGTCGTCCTTTGTCGCCAGGTCGTTATTTGTAACTATTTAGCATTTGAAAATAACAATTGAAGTCTTGGTTAGGCACAGTAACAATTTGTATGAAGTACATCCCTCCAAGAGTTATCCAACTTACCGTCTGAGCCGACCAGAATGACCGAGACATAGACTGTCTTTCTGTTCATATGGACCTGAAAGATAAAGGAACGACAGAGGACAGGAAAATTGGTGGCAAAAAGCGAATCCGTATTGTGTCAAAACAAAAAGAACGGGTGTTGAGTGAGCAGTCTTCTCTTTTCATGCGCGCTTTACAACAGCAACCCCAACGCCTACACGCAGCAAAGAAAAACGAAAACAAAGTACCTTGTTGGCCAAGAGTTTAAGAAGAACTTTCTTGGTCTCTTCAAAGCGGGACACGTCCGAGCCTTCGCGCTTTGTCTTGAGTGATGGACCGACGTCGATTATGTAAATGGTCGCCTCCTTGTTTGCCATGGTGTTTAGAGAAGGAGTGTGTGTCTTGATGGGTTGTGGTGTTTTACGTGATGAAAAGTGAAGGTGCTAAGAGGATGTGTTGAATTGTCAAGGAGTGATGGAGTAGGAGGGTGTGTGCGGGAATGATTGTGTGTGAGAAAAAGTGAGAGAGGGAAGTAGTGAGGGGAGAGAGCGCCGTTTATCTATTTCAGCCTCAGGTCAGCCACAGAAAATGGTGGCAAAATCGAGGCAAGCCGCGTCCAGACTACTCCCTGTCTTCATTTTCGATGCAACACACCCTTTTTCATTTCAAGTTGACTTTAATAAAGAGTGAGCGGAATAGAAACCAAGTTGTGAATCCTACTACGCACCCTTGGTCTCAGAAACTCTGGATCGTAACAACAAGTGTATAAAAAAACACCAAGAACCCAAACAGAAGCAACACAATATCGCTAATCTTCCTCCACAACGGCTGGTGCGGAAACGCCTTCACATGAAACAGTGGCGGGAAAATAAACAACAACGGCGCACACGCAAAACTACCAATAAAACTAATCACAATATCCAGCTTAAAATACCCGGCATAGGCCACCGCAGCAACTAAAAAATCAATCACGATCCGGATCACATTCTCCTTGACTATCCTCCTCGTAGTTCCCACGTCCTTATCGCCGAGGACCGAGAAGATGGCATGCTCTATGATGCGGATGCATGGGAAGAGCATCAGCGGTGTGGTGAGGAAGATGGCGATAACATAGAGGATTTGGATCGCGTTCTTGCCGGCTTGTTCGCCGCCTGTGGAGTTGGGTAGGTTGTCGAGGACGATGGTTTGGACGGAATCCCCGTAGGCTGCGTAACCGAGGGCTCCGAAACTGACGAGGAGGACACAGACGACGGACAGAACGATGGTCAATGCGCGGGGGAACTGTTTGGGGTTGGCCATGCTGCTGCAGATCGGGATCACCATGCCAATACCCTCATACGAGAACACCGCTTTTTGAGCGACCGAAGTATAAAATAAATGTCAGCGCATGGTTCGATCGGCTGCAATTCAGTCCACTTTCCAGCAATCACAAGGATACAGCCAATCGCATACCTGTGCCGACGAAGAGTCCAAAGTCCTTGCTGTTGAACAACTGCAGTGGGGTAGGCGATCCCTGGTGGATGACCAGCTGTTTGATGTCGTAGGCGTACAAGTAGATCAGACCGACGATAATGCAAATATCGGCTACAACCGCGCTGAAGCCCAACCGTCCAATGTTGCGGATCATAGTGAAAGGAATCAGGATCACAAAGAAAATGGCGATCCATACAATTCTGTTCAAGTTGGCGCCTCCCATGTTGTCAACCACCGCTGCGAACTGTTGTGCAAAGAAGATACAGTAACCGCTATACCGATTGTAAACAGGGGGTGTATGGGTAAGACTGGTATACAAGCACAAAACATTCAAACAAGACACAGGTGCAATGATATCTTACCAGCAAAAACCAAACTGGGAGATGGCAATGGCAAAGAGAACGATGTACCGCATCCAGCGTCCATAGAAGGCCTGTCCAATGTCACCATACGATCCGGGGTGGAGCTCGCGACACTTGACCAGCAACAAGAACGAGTGAAGACACAAGACTGCAATCAAGGTCATGACCAGAGACGCAAACAGAATACCGCCATTCTTGAACGCGTTCGGCAAGAACAGGATTCCACTCGCGATAAACCTGATTCGAAAGCAAGTACAACAAGATTAAACGTTGGAAACATTGGAAAAAAAGTGTAGAAGTGTAAGACGGAAAAATAAAATATAAGGTGACTCACGTTTTGAACAGCATGCCGACAGCTTTGCCAAAGGAGATCAACTCATCTGGCTCCTCAATCACCAACTCATCATCATCTATCGGTTGGCCCGGGTGGTACACCTTCCTGTTGCTATGCAGAGTCTCCGAAAGACTCTTCCTCCTCTTGTCTGCATCCTTGGGTACCACAATTGACCGCCTGGGGATCGAATGAAAGTTCTCTCCCGCAAAATGGTCCATCTCGTACATGTTGAAGAGCCCCAAGAATTGAATAAACGACTTTGTGGGCAAATGTGGGGCCGGTTCCCCGCGGGCTGCCGCATCGGCTTGCATGAAATGGCGTCGGAATCCACCAGGGGCTCTGATATTGGCAATGTCCGGGTCGTCACTGGTCGGCGCTGCGTGGTAGGTCTGAGAGCGACCTCCTAGCATCTGGCGGCGCTGCTCCTTCTCGTGCCATTTGTAGACGTCATTGGAGACATCTGCGCCGAGGAGGTTGAAGTGGGACGATGGGGCGACAGCAGGCTCTTCCTTCATCAATCCTGTAGCATCGTCGCGTGGATCGCCGTCAGCCCCATTGCCTATGAGACCTGAGGGTGCGGAAAGGGTGGTCGAGGTTGCAAAGGAGGACAGGGACTGTCGATTTGCACCAGTGCGCGCTATGTTGCTGCCACCGTCGTCCATGGGGATGCGTTCCAAAGGGCCGAGTGGCGACGTAAGGTTGTGAACCGTCGAAGGAGTTGGAGGAACGACGGGCGAAGGAGTTGGAGGAACGACGGGCGAAGGCATAGCTGTGGCCTTTGGGATCGAGGGGGTGACAGCAAGGTGTTGTCCAACGATGGCGTGAAGTCGTTCGTCATCCTGGGTGGTGGGTTTGGTATTGATGGTAAGCCCTTCATGAGTGGGCCGGGCACGAAGGCGTTTGGTGGACTTTGAGCGAGCGAGACTTTCGGCCTCGGTGAGTTCGTCCGTGTCAATCGTGTCGGCAGCATCGGTCGACTGAGCTGAGGTGGGGTCGATCGGTATGGAGTTTGCAAAGGCTATGCGTGTGCCTTCGCCATGGTCTGTGGGTGATAGTGGTCCAGGTGGACGATTCTCCATTGCCGATTATATGATAGTAGTAGATTTGCCTGTAGATGTCCGCTGTGCTGGTTTTTAGGATGTGAAAGGGGTGCAAAATAAATCAATGGAAGAGGGTTGGGAAAGCAAAGAGGCAGACAAAGAAAGGAGGAGGAGGAGCCGATAGGGAGAAATGGAATGAGGACAAAGACGTGAAGGTTCACTAGCTTCAGTTAGGGTGCGCTGTCATTAGCCCATATATTTTTTTCGCGCCTCTTTTTTTTTCAACATGTCTCACTCCAGAAACCGTACAATATTTAAAATGTTTCATTTCCCCTTCTTCAGAATCTACATACGTGTATCGTCACTGGGACCCTTGAAACCCTAGCTCTGGCCCGCCTCCCCACCACCCATGCCTTCAACCGCATCCTCCTCGCCTTCAACATCGCTACCGCCTCGACTAGAAGAATTACCCCACAGTGCATCCCGAGCGTCCTCCCAGATAGCTCCAATCGAATGGACGTTATGGTCCGTGTAATCGATCCGATGATCCGCAGGGGTGAAACTGTACTCGTGCCACTGCTCCGTCGCCTTCCAAGCCGGCTCATACAAGTCGTTTACCCCATCCGTCTTCAGCTTGAAAACCTCGAGTTCTGGACCCGTGTTGTAGATCTGGCGCCACGTCAGTCTCAGACGACCCTTTTGTGCAAACGTCAACGGGTAGAAGGTATCATAGTCGCCGTCTTCGTCCTCTGCTTCGTCTTCCTCCTCCTCTGTTTCGTCTTCCTCCTCCTCTGCCTCGTCTTCCTCTTCTGACTGTTGACCCGCTTGCCCGTCCACTACGTCATCCTCACCCTCCTCCACCTCATCGCTATCCTCGTCGTTATTCTCGTAGCTGCCGTCATCGTTATCGTCATCGCTATCTTCTTGGCTTCTGGCTTTGTTTACCGCCGCAAAAGCAGCCTGGAACTTTCGATGACGCCCACCATCCTCCAACTTGTGAACCTCTTCCACAGACATCATCCCACCTCGGACATTATGCATCTCTGTAAACAACAGCGCATCGTCCACGACTTGGAGCCCCGGGAACGTCGAGTATGACATGGGTCCTCCTCGCTGCGCCGTCGTCCTGCCTCCAACCACGACTGTGGGCACTCCAAACTTGGTGTGCATCATGTTCGAAATCAACGCACAGCTCGATCCACAGTACCCATCCGTCAGGATCGCCAGGTTCTCGGGGTCCCAGGGTCGGTAAGGGACATCATCGTCATTGCCTTCTGTCGTGGTTCCATATGTTGAGGAGGCGCGCTTTCGTCGACTCTCCTTCACAGGATCATACGCGAGAGTATACTTGTCCGCAATAGCACACCGATCCGATAGATAGTCTGAGAAGGTAAAGTTTCGGTGTGGGTGAGTCGTAGGCTTCAAAAAATGCCCACTCTGAAGGGCGGCAACGGGCGATTCGCCATAGGAGCTGATGAAATGATCTATTCCCATGGCGCCCGCAGTCATCATCTGGGTCGAGAGAGGAGACAGACGGATGTTGGTGACGAGACGAGGTCGTTCTGGGAAGAAGATCTGGACCATGGTCACACCCAGACAGACATACCCTCCAGTGTTGTGGCTCAGATCGAGGATCAGGTTCTCGGCCTTAGGTCTCAACACGTTGATGGCTCGGAGAAGTGAACCTGCCCAAGCTGGGTGGACGCGGGAGTAGGCCTCGCCACGAATCGTCGAACTCTCAGTCCGAACTGTAATCACGCCCGTCTTTCCGTCGTTCAGCATTACTAGCGAGGATTGTTAGGAAAGTAGATAACAGCTTAGCATATACATACAATGATAAGAATGCAGGGGGGAAAAATACTACCAATAGTTCACGTACAGGCAGAGATGCCGTGTTTGCCTTGATAGAGCTCCTTGACGGGCAAAGCACCCATAGCTCGAATCATCTCGCTGACACGTCCTCCATAGTCATCATAGAACTTGACAACAGGCAACCGCTCAGATGAGATCATATCCAACTTGGACACAATCTCGTCCACATGCTTTGAAAGATCCTTTTCCGCGCTCGTCAGCGGTAGAGTCGGAGTTGCGGCGCCATCCGTTACTGGAGGGTGAGGCTCCAGTGGCAGAAAGTCAGGTAAGGGGCCAGCAATCTTGGAATCTGAAGGACTAGGCGTAGGAGTGGCACTTTGTATAAGCAACTCCCGCAAAGACGACTTGAGTTCCGAGATATCCTTCTTCTCAGCATCCTCTTGCTTCTCCTTCTCGAGCTTTGACCTGTCCCGACCTTGACCCTCATCATCATCCTCATATCCGTAGAGATCAGCAGCATCCTTGATACAGTTGCTTGTAAAGTACGACTCGGCGTTTGTAAAGGGCTTGGACTGCTCGTGGGTATAGAAGCCAACCCATCTGACATTCAGCGTGAGGTTCCTGTCGGAGGGGCATCGGAACGAGAAGCTCAGGGATTTTTCGGTGGGGAGGGTGAACCGTTCGCTAAACTTGCCAGGAAGGAAAAAGTCTGCCATTCCTGAGCGATATTGGGGTGTCGCCAGTGCAGCATTGAACCTAAGCAAGATAAAAGCAGGTTGACATTTAGTGGCTAGACCAACATGACCCCAATTGCTCTTGGCAGCTTGTACAACAAACAATAATGAAGAACATAATGAGATACATACCGGACATTCTCGTCCTTGGACATGGATATATGTCGATCAGCCCAGTCCTGGATATAACCGACTGCGTCTCGACCATCAATCGCCAAGACATCACAGTTCAGGATATCCTCCTTGACACCGTTTTGGTACGGGAAATAAGGCGCCACGGAATGGACCTTGATAACGGGCTTGCCATCGCGTACGACATGGCTCATAAAGAATCCGTGCTGGAACCGGAACGCGCGGAAACAGTCAGCGTCATACGACAAATGTCCATCGCGTGCTCTGAGTAGAATTCTGGAGATTCCGTCATGGAACTCGCGGTCGGTCATCTTTGTGTGGATTCTGCCCCATGCTCGTTGAGCCTCAAGTATCTTTGTATCGACATCGTCATCCATCGCTGCTTGCTCGTCATCCGTGGCGATAGCAGGGACTTTGCTCTGTTCGACCCAAGCATCAATCTCCTTGATGAGCTCGACCGGCTGGAAGCTCAAATGCTGCACCGATTCGTCTCTGGGCGGGTGAGCTGCCAGATCCTCAAAGACATAAAAACTCGAGATGAGACTCTTGATCGTGTCGACCGTATCCTTACGCACCTCTGCCGGGAACCCAAAGTCGGAGTCGAGACAGGCCTTGATCAGATCGTACGATATGGGCCCTCCCTCCAAAACACTTCCTACTCTTGCACAAGGGTCTTGATTGACATCATGACGTGGCGCTGCACGTCCTCCTCCTCTTCTTCCTCCTCCTCCACTTCTTCCTCCTCTTCCTCTTCTTCCTCCTCCTCCTCTTCTTCCTCCTCCTCCTCTTCTTCCTCCTCCTCTTCTTCCTCCTCCTCCTCCATCAGGATTGAGCGGTTTCTTCGTCTGCTTCCGAGGAGGTTTGGGAGAGTTGAGCCACTGTTGTGTCTTGGCGATACGGTCATCTGAAATGGCTCCTCGAAAGTCGCTTGTTGCTGACTGTAGTGACGCTTCCCTGTCACTTGAGTTGATATCGATGTTGTTATTGTCGATGATGCTGTCGATGATGCTGTCGAAGATGTTGTTACCGTTGTTGGCATCGCCATTAGACTGGGTGTTATGCCGGGCTGGTTTGTTGTTAGGGCTACTATAGACTGGTGCGTGGCCTAAAGGGTCCATGATCGTGTCCGGCGAGAAATCCTCCAATCCCAACGCGACCGCTGCTGCCTCAGCTCCGGTTGCTCGCTCGGCCCCAGATCTAGACTTGGAGTTGGACTGGCTGCCGACATCCAGTGCGTTGGCTACGGCGTGAAGAAGCACCAGAGCGCTCGAGAGGCATAAAAGTGGCCCTGAGACTGTTGACCACCGCATCAGAAGGTATGGGTGATATGACTGAAAGCGGAATAACCTGAGAGATAGAAAAGAGGGGGTGTGGGAAAACAAAAAAAAAGTGCAAAAGGAGGTATGGATGATTGAAGAGAAGAAGAGGAAAAAAGGTTGCGAGAAAATGAACCATCGATAGTGAACGAGCATTCTGTGAGTCGACCTGCCCCTTATTCAAGCTTTCACTGTAGCACGTCTTTCATGTTTACACACCCCCTTCTTTCTCTTCTCCTGACCTTAATAGGTTCCTTTCACCTGAACAGAAAGGAGCACACACCAGGGAAGAAAAAACAAGACAAACGAGAAAAGACAAAAGAAATAAGGGCAGTGTTGTATCTCTCGAGAATGAATGAAGAAAGAAATGGGTTCACTCATCCTTTATTCACAAGCAAGTGGAAATTTTTTGGTTATTTTTGTCAGTCGAATTCAACCCTGTTTAGAACTGGAGAGCGTGGGGAGCCTGGCCCTTGGAGAGAGAGAACTTGGCGGACAAGTACTGGCGGAGGTGCTCGACCTTGTTGACAGCCTCAAGGATGACCTTGTCGGTAGCCTTCTGGAGAGCGACCTTGTTCTCGGCAAGGGGCTCCTTCTTCTTCTCACCCTCGAAGAAAGCCTCCTCAGTGGCGGCCTTCTTGGTAGCCTTGGGGCGGGCGAAGTAGGCATCGTTCAACTGAGCATCGATCTATTTTATATTCCAACGAAGGCATTTGTCTCCTGATTAGTATCCAGTTGAATCCGTAACTTGGTTCCTGATAAAACAAAAAAAGAGTTCCAGGGAGCCTTCATGTTCTTACCTTGGTGGCATCAAGCTCAACCTTGGTGGAGGTGGCAATGACGTAGGCCTGGTTGACGCGCTTGAGAGGGACGCCGTTGACCTTGAAGGGGCCGGAGACGAGCAAAAGGCCAGACTCGAGCTGCTTCAAGAAGACAACGCGCTTGCCGCGGTAGCGACCGGCCAAGAGGATGAGGACGGTACCGGGGACGATGGTGTTGCGGAGCTTGGCAACACCGGCGTGCTTGCGGTTCTTCTTGGGGAGAGCAACATCCTCAGCGGCGTAGAAGCGGGGGGCCTTGGCAGCGGCAATGACGCGGGAGCCACCGTTCTTGGCGCCCTTGACCTCAACGGTCTTGTTGGCGGCAGGGGCATTGATGGCAATGGCACCAGTGGGCTTGCGCTTGTACAAGACACGCTTGGCAATGACCTGCGAGCGGCTGTACTTGTTGACTCCAGCGGCGAGGAGAGAGTTACGGGGCTAATTAAGAGCAGCGATATGTCCAAAGTTTTCCAGTTAATTTCTTCGCCATGGTCACTATTGCTGATGTCGGCGTTCCTATGAAGGGGTCGTTTGTAGGCTGTTCTGTGGCGGCGAGAGGCTTGAGGCTATCGCCTGATCTGTCCAATATACTTTTTTGCATATTTTCCCGCCTTTCTGCGAATACGAGGTTGATCTTGTATCTCCTGTTCCCGTTTGCCCCCACTTGCAGCAGACAGTGCCTTGGTGTTTCCTGATGACTTGCTGAAATGGATTCCTTGCAAAGACACACCGACCGCCTTTTTTAGGCCCATCTCATAGGCACTATGGGTCATCACTCTCACTGCCCTCCATCGTGCATATTTCCGGACGTAGCTTCCTGATGGTTTGGTGGGGGCAGTTGGGAACCAAGAGAACGCCTGTTGGCGGAAACGTAGTTGTGTTGTAGAAAAACAGCTTTGGCAGGGTGTTTGAGTCCGGGCGAAGCCGTCGTAGTGTCGTTGGTGTTGTAAAATAGTGCTGGCGTTCTGCTACCATAGACTGATCCTGCTCCTTCCGGTTGAATGCTTATGCTGCAAGTCCCTGCTTCTGTGAAGGCACCCCAAGACGAAATGGCTGTCACTGCAGCATACCTTGTGAACCATTTCTGATATCTAATTGAGCAGCAATCGTAATAAGACAGAGGCGGGAAGAGGTTAGGTTCTCGATCATATTCGGTTCTGTTGAAACTCCTAGAACAGGGTCTCTCCACCATAAGTAACAGCGATCCTCCTGGACAGTACTGCCTTCAGTTTGGTTGGTCTCGCTGTGATATAATAATACACTGTCGCTAAGGGGTTGACGTGCAGTTGTGGTCGAGATCAGAGTGATGGCTAGCACTCGTCGTTTTGATGTACGTGTAGCCACTTCTTTTTGCCTCTGCCAGTTTGATGGTGAAGGCTGCTGTTGAGTGATGTTTTTGTTCATCCATGTCTCCTGCACTGTTTATGGTCGCAGGGTATTTTTTTTGAGGTCGTTTGACAGAGTTCATGCATAGATGTAAGTGCCATCTTATGCACAAAACAAGAGAGCAGCGAAAAGGTCGGGTTTCTGGTATCGATCGGCGTAAGTTGAGTTTTTGTGTGATTCCTCCAGGTCGATGGGTGGTAATGATGGTGTCGGTGAGGGATCGATGGTATCCGTCGATATGGATGCGGCAATGGATGAATGTAGCCATCTACGATGTGGACATCCTTTCCTCTTTGTATATGGTGCTGGTATGGGTGTCTCCAATTACATTTAGAAGTACGAAAGAAGGATTCAAAGTCACCCAAGCCAACAAATGATTAATAGTAGCGGGCTTCAAGAGTCAAGGGTAGGTCATGTGACTCGCCATATTTAATTTTTCTCGCCTTGAAGTTTGAACAAATGGTGCTGTTGCTTTCTGTCGAGGAGGCATCCATGAACAATAAAGGAGCAGCAATTGACAGTAATTGGCACCAACAAAGAAGCCATTGAGGCTGGTTGAAAAAGAAACCGAACAAAGAAAAGCAACCCTTGTTAATGGCTTATCACACGCACCCAGTTGTCGGCCCTTGCTGGTTCAATTGCTCATGAAGGGAAATAAAAGAAGGGGGAGTCAAGCAAACCACAATCACATCAAAAGAAACGAAAAAGAGGAGGCAGATAAGCACGCAAGCAAGCAATTGCGATGGCATCTGAGGTTGCCACTGTAGACTTGATGTGTTTGTCCGTTGGGATATAAAAAGCAGTGTCGGTTGTTATCACCCCTGCTGCTGTTGATGTGTTTGTATGACCAACCCATGCCTGATACTTTTTCCTCCATGTCTCGTTTGCATAGAGACAGGAGTCGGTTTTTCCGTGTTCCTGAGTTCAGAAAAGGTCTCGCCCGCTCCTCTCTTCTCTTTCTCGCCCACTCTTTGCATTTTTTTTTCTTTTTGTTTTTTTTCTCTTCCCTTCTCTTCTCTTCTCTTCTCCACTTTTCTCCCTCCATTTTTTTCCCTCGCACTTCCCTTCTCCATCAACAACATTACCATTACCACCACCATCCTTCCTTACACTTCCTACCTTCTCATACCCCTATCTCATACCCCTACCATACAAGTTCTTCCGTTTTCCTATCCTACCCTCAAACACTCATACCCTCAACAACACAAGTGTACCACCACCTTCCCCTTTTGACACCCAACATCCCGGCTAAAAAAAGAGCACAACAGAAAATGCTCATACCTACAACAACAACGAAACCACTAGTTGTCTGTGCCCTCTTGGCCTTGACCCTGGCACTCGTCCTTTCGCCCACCGCTGTCGATGCTGCCCCCTCCGACATCATCGAGACCTGCATCCACAACGGCTGCAGCAATGTCTTTTCGATGCTCGGCCCCTGCGGAGGAGGGGCCACCAACGAGACCCTCCAGCAGTCGCTCATCTTCACGCCAACACAGTCCCTCGGTGGATGCCAATGCAACACTGTTTTTTACAACGACTTCTCTTCTTGTCTTTCCTGCATCGCATCCCAGGGAGAGTCCTCCCCCGAGATCCAAAATCAGCAGGACTGGAACGCGAACTGTGAAAGCTATGGCTTCAACGTCACATACCTCCCTGTCGTCAACTCGACTAGCGGTATCAATAACGGCGACAGTGGCAACAGCAGCAGTGGAGGAAGTGGAGGGTTGAGCACGGGAGCGATTGTAGGGATCGTGGTAGGCGTCCTTGTTGTTGCTGCCTTGGTGGGCGCCTTCCTGATTGTCAGGAGACGCAATCAAAGGCAGGAAAAGTCCGCCGTTTTTGAGCAGGCAGGTGGTTCACCCAATGGATCTGACCATTACAATCATGCAGCCGCAACAGCCGATACAGCCGACCACATCAACTACAACGACAATCACGCCTATTCGCAGGAGCAGCAGCAGCAGGATTACCCCGCATCGTACCACTACCAGGATCCTTCCTCCAATTCGCAGCACTACCAGAGCAACAACTCGTACGCAGCTCAACATGCTCCAGACAACTACCATTCGAACGATTACACCAACGACAATGTCAACGGCAACGGCAACAGCTACTTCGATACGTCCAACAGCGTCGGTCCTCATGAGACCATGATGTTGCAGAACCTGAACACCAACCAGGGTAATGACGAATACGTGCCCCCTCCACCACACCCAGCCTCGCCAAACCGCGAGGCCTACGCCACCTCGCCCCGATCTTCCGATACATTCCCTCAGAGTCTCCGTAACAAACCCAAGTCTTGGGGCACACCTGCAACATCATACGTTACGCAACCTCTGGAATTGACTTCGGGACTGATCGCGACCGAACAGCAGCATCCCTTCAGCAACCATCAACACCAGGGTTCCTCTTCGCAATTCAACGACAAGACCGAGTATGACGATGGCGAGGAATTGGAGCCGCCCGCACCTTACTCGAACGAGTTTGTGCCTAGACGGTCGATGACACCTCCTCGAGCGACGATGCAATCTTATCGTGACGAGTTTAACCGACCCAGCTTTGAACGCGAGCCAAGGCGTAGTGGCTCTGACCGAGGATCCATCTCGGGTGCCGCCAATGGGTCCAACAGTGGGTATGGCTTCAACAACAACAGCAACAGCCATGTCGATTATGATCAGCAGGGCGAGCAACTGGACCTTTCGAGGGCTTCGCAGGATAGTCCTGAGAGTGCCCGTCGTCGTGCGCGTGCCGCGGAACTCTTCTCGGCTGAGGGCACTCGTCGGTAGAAAGGCAAAACACTACCTACTATGGATCCTTTTTCTCTTTCTCTCTCTCCTTTTCTTCCCCTATTTTTTTTTTAACTTCCTTCTGTACCAACACCGTTTTCATCATCGTTCCCTCATCGGACGCAATCCTTGTCCCTCCCCTCTCCGTCTCAAGCACACCATCCCTTCATCCACAACTACAAGCACCTAGCCTTTACACTTTTCTAGTAATAATAATAACCCAGTTTTGCGATACTCCCCCCAAGGAGTTATGCAAGAAAGAATAATAATCGTCATATCCGTGCTTTTATATGTGTGTGTTGGTTAGTGTGGTTCATTTTTACATCTGTGCTTATGTGCGTGTATGCGCGAATGCTTTTTTTTCGTTCCCTTTGTTGTTTCCCGCAAAAAAACAAAAAAATACCAACCAATGCAAGAATAGATCTGTTGTTGTTTTTGTGTTAGTTCATAGTCGACATCAACAAACAAAGAGCAATTGTGAAATGGTGTGGATATGTTGTGGCCCAACCTTTGAGAAGAAAGGACAACGTGCATGAAAAAAAGAAGAAAAAAAATAGGGGACTCTTCCTTTTTTTTTTTTTTTTTTTTGGTGTATTTGTCACTGTCGCTATTGGTTGTTGAGCATATATCTAAGATAAAAACAGATCTACAAGTGCAATGGGTGAGCACAAATAAACCGTAACAGTGACGGAATGAGAGAAGAAAGGAAAAGACGAAAGAGGGCGAAAGAGGGAGAAAATGAAAAACAAGATAAAGAAAAATAACGAGGCGGTAGAACTATTTGTTATGAAGCTGTTGTTGAAGGAAGAGTTGCTTGTCGTGTTCGAGTTGTGCTGCGTGTCGTTTCTGTTGCAGTTGCAAGTGTTCCTGTGCCAGTTCGTCCTGCCGCTTCTTTGCAGCCGCTGCTTCTTCGTTTGACATAGTCGACCCCGAACGCGAAGACGAGGATGAAGAAGATGAATCTTGGGCAGCATTTGGCTGCTGCTGTTGTTGTTGTTGGTTGTAGATCTGCTGCTGTTGTTGAACTTGTCCACGCCCGCGACTTGGCTTCTTCCGGTTCATCTGCCCAACCTGACAACACTTTCCCCAAAGCAACAACTCTGCAACGCTTCCAAAGGCACAGGTGGTCGAGACATGCATCACCTGCGATTGGAACTCGTGACAGGTCGATTCACACTCGTGCTTGAGTCGTAGACAGAACTCGACTGGTGGGATGGGGCCTACCAAGACCTCGGCTCCTGAATGATGAAAGACCGTGGAATCTCCTCCCCCTTCTGCTCCTTTATAGTGGTCGTGTTGATGTTGATCAGAAGATGGCGTGGAAGGGTTGTCGCTGTTGTCGTTGGCATTCAGGATCCGCTGTTGTAGGTGATTGTTGTTATTATTGTCGTAGCTCATATTGTCGGGGGTGGTTTCAAGGGACTCCGATCCGGCATCGCGTCTCACTCGGTCGTTGTAGTTGTTCGCCACGATATCACTCTGTTTCGTCTTGCTGCTGTTTCCGTGATCTTCATCGTCATCGTGGTGGTCGTCGTCAAAGTGCATCTCTCCATCATGGTGGTCATCGTCATGATAGTCGTCATGATGGTCGTCGTCGTGTTCGTCGCCGTGTTCGTCTTCGTCGTCGCGATGGGGTCCGTCGTACCAGACTATATCATCATAAGCGTCGTTATCGGCATGATCATGTTCGTGGATGATATCATCCTCGTGTCCCGTAGCAATCTTTTTCTTCTTTGGAGGAGTCGACGACGATGAAGAGGACGGAGAAAAGACCTTTTGGTTTGCAGCAGGATCTGCAGCTCCTCCTTCTTGTCCTCCTGTTGATGCTGCTGCTGCAGAGTGGGAATCGATAGAAGAGATAGAGCGCGCATCAGAGGCAGCGTTATGGTTGTTGTTGTTGTTGTTGTTGTTGTTGTTGTTGTTGTTATCCTTCTCGTCATTGTTGATCCCGTTGTTATCATTGGTGTTCGCATTGTTGTCGATACTGGTATTGTCGTCAGCAGGAAGAGGATTGGAAGAGGATCCTGCAACAACCACATTCAACAAGTCCTCAATACCCTTTCCTCTCCTCTTGCCCTTCGAGACGCGCAGTTTCTTGTCGTTGTCGTTGTCGTTACTGTCGTTGTCGTTATCGCTCCTGCTATTGCTGTTGTTTGCGTTATCGTCGGTGTTTTCCTGCTGGGAAGAGGAAGAAGAAGAGGACTTGAGAGCTTTGAGTCGGGCAATTGCTTGCTCTTCTGCATCGACTTGGCTCGGACCGGGAACTGGTACGGCCTGTTTCTTGAAGAACGAGAATCCTTCTGCCGCCACCAAACCCTGGGAAGAAGACGACAGCGGGAAGGATGATGGTGCGAGGAGGGTGAGGAAGAGGAAGAGCGCAGTTGTTGTGCATAGGTAGGTGGTATGCCTAGGCCACATTCTTGAAGACTTCATATTTTTGATTTGGTGTTTACGCTCCGAAGGGGTGGAAAAAATAAGCGAAATGGAGCCAAGGTGGTGAATGAGATGGTGGAGATGGTGGAGGTGGTGGTGGTGGAAGTGGCGAGACGGTGATGAAAAGAGAGAAGAGAGAGGAGAGAGAAAGAGAGAGGAAGCAATGAATTGAAAGGTGTGGTTTGGTCCAAGGAGAACGAGGAGTATCTCCATCCTGTTGGTATGCCAACGCAGCAAGAGTCGCCGGGGGTGGGTATTTCCCTTTTCCTTGTCCAGGAAGGGATGACCCTCCTCTGTCCTTCTCTTTCACTCCTTTCGATCTCCTTTATTTCTCATCTCTCAGGGGTTGTTGCAAAGTGATCGAACAAAGCACGACGAATGGAGGTGTGAATAGACATAGACGCCGAGTTATGAATGCAGTAAAATCTGGGCTTTCCGCGAGCGTCCGTGAGGTCGAGAAGCACAAAAGACACAAAAGATTGAATTGATAGGCATGCAGCAGCAGCAGCAGCATTGCTATTGGCATGTGCGTCAGCGTATGTTAGTGTTATGATGGTGGTGGAGTGTGGTTCGTTCATTTTATTACAAGGTTACTTTCGGCATGAGGGATAGAGATAACCAAAAAGTGAGGAAACCACAACCATGGGTACGATGCACACCGTACAAGTACAATACAGTACAGTAGAGTACAGTGCAGTACAGTACAAGTACACGGGAAATGAAGTGGAGAAACATATCCGATGGTCGGTGGTAGGCTGGTAGTGAAAGTGGCCAGTAATAGGTGATGGACGGTGGGTCCGATTACGTTCTGATAGCGTGTCTCTCTTTGCCCGTCGGATCCATTAGACTCGACCATTCGCCGTTTTTTTATCTTTTATTTTGCGATGGGTGCCACCGTCCCATATGATCGCAGAGTTATATGAACTGACTGTGAGTGTGTGAGCACATGAGAGCCAGGACCGTGTGAGTAGAAGTGAAGGTGGAGTAAAGAAAAAAAGAAAAAAAAGAAAAAGTATGAGGGAGTGTGTTTGTCCTTGTCTTGTTCACGCACTCTCAGTGCTAGGACGCTCCTCTGTTATAGTACTACGGGTGGAAGGTTAAGAGAATGTGAATGTGAGGAGAAGGAAGGCATGGCGATGAGACCTGTCCAGTCAGCAGGAGGTGACCTGATAAAAATAAAGTCGACGAAGGAAAAAGAGCAAAAAAGCAAAGCTGGCAGCAGTAAAAGGTCCCAGTCCATTGAGTCCGCACAGAAAAATGCCCTGTTCCAGGTCCACATCGGCAGAAGAGAAAGACGAGAGCACAAGACAAGAGAAAGAGAGCGAAAGAGAGAGCGGAGAAAATAAAAAAGAATGAAAGTTGTTGGCGAAGGGAAAAAAAAGGGGTGTGTGATGGACTGTGTGGACTGGACTGTGGACCGTGGCAGGACAAGGCACACACACAGGAACAGGAACGAGAAACGAGATAAGGAAAATCTGCTCTCGGTGCTTTTTTACTTTTCTTGTCCACTTGTCCTGTGTCCTGTGTCCTGTGTTCCCTTTCCGTTCTGTCTTGGCTTTCTTCTTTTCTTTTTTCTCTTCACTTCCCTCCCACTTCGCCTCCCTTCACTCACCCACCCCGACTTCACTCTCATCCTCACTTAATCATTCAATTCTCATTCACTTCACTCTGCCCTAACATACACACGCTCTCCACTCTCCACTCTCCACTCTTCCTTACCCCTTTCCATCCTTCTCCTTCTCTGTCTAGCCACTTTCTCTCTTTCCTCGTTCTCTCCAGCCTTCCCTGCAATTCAGTCTCCCTTCCTCCTCTTCCAACCTCACACACACAAACTCTTCCCAGTCGAAAGAAAAAAACCAGGAGACACAAAGTAGACTCTCAACTCGCCACCAAAAACTAAAAGTCGACTCAAGAAGGTAACAAGGCCTCCTTTCGGGGTTTATTTTCCTCGCCACCCTCTCCTACGCTCGACTCAATTTCCACCCCGAAGAAGGTAGGAAGGAAAGAAGAAATAAGAACAAACAAAAAAGAGAAAAAAGGATGGGCATTCACCCGGAAAAGTCTATCTATCCAGGGACAAAAGTGAAAGAAAACAAGCTACTGCGCTGGGACACACAGTTGAAGCAAGCAACCAACAAGCTTTTTCTTTTATGGGTACCAATGCACCAAATGAACAAAAAAGAGGGCAAAAAAAGAACAAGAGGCAAACCTTGTACACAAGCGATCGGGCCTCTGATTGGTCAAGCATCGTCCTTTTTTTTCTTTTTTCTTTTTTCATTGTGCCAAGTGACCCTTTCTACTAGCCTCGCCTCTCTCCAGCTGTCTCTTTGACGAAATTGACAAAAGCAAGGTTGTTCTGGTGAAAGGGGTTATGCCTTTTTCTTTTATTTTATTTCTTTCATGGGCTGCTGACATGGCTCAGGTGGACTGCAGCGACAAATGAAATGGAAAAAAGTGGCTTTTTTTATTTGTTCAAGTGTCTGCTTACTTTCTTCTTTGTGAGTGTGGGTATGTGAATAATATGTCTTGTACTTTGCTGTACAAGACAAGACAAGACACCATTTCGAGCCAGGGTATGTGTGTGTGTGTGTGTGTGTGTGTGTGTGTGTGTGTATGTGCGAGTTGTGTTGACTGATTTCCCTTCTCTGTCCCACTGTACCCTCTTTGTTGTATTCGTTCCCTTCTCTCTCTCTCCACCAGTGTCTGCCCCTGTAGTTTTGTCAGCCAGTCCCCTGCCTTCGTTCCTCAATTGTATTCAATACCAATTAAATAGAAAAGTCACCAGCAAACAACAGTGCAACCAATAGTATCAGTCCTTACTCTATTCCTCTCTTCCCTCTCAGTCCATATGTCTACAGTATAACAACAACCATTCGCTCTCTTTTATTCCCTCTCTCTCTCTCTCTCACTTCCTCCTCCTTCCTTTTACTCCACTCCTCTCTCGTCGACCTTCTTTTTTTTTGTACACATCACCACCCCTCCTTCCTTTTCTTCGTCATCCTCCTTCTCTCCCTCTTGCTCCTCCCTCCCACAACACTCCCACACGCCACCAAACAAATACCCTCTTCTTCTCCTCATTCTCCTCCGCTCGTCATCATCTTATTCCATCATCTTCACCCTCCCCTCCCCTCACTCACGCTCTTTTCATCATCATCATCTGAGGTCCCTTTCTAACCCAATACTCTCCTCCGCCTCAACCCTCCAGTAGAGACTCCTCTCTTCTCCTCCTCCGTCTCCTCTTCTCCCACCACCACCACCACCACCACCGCCACTCGACTACCACATGAACATGACATTTGCAGCAGTCGACCAGCCTCCACCACCTCTCACAAGAGGAAACTCGGTCGTCTCTCTCTATCAGTCCTGCCTCAACCTCATCGAACGACTCTCGGGCGTACCTGACTTTGAAGAGTACCTCAACCCTGAAATCCTCCAAAACACCCTGGTTGGCTCCCCCTCCAGCTCAGGACCCAACGACCCCGTCAATCAGCTCTGGATTCTCTTCCGACTCGGTTCCCCCCTCGCCTGTATCTTCAACGGTCTCCGTCCCAAGGAGCCCCTCAAGATCAACAACGCCGACAACAACCTCAGCAACGTCAATGCCTGCAAGGCCACCGTCTTCCGCTTCTTAGTTGCCTGTCGCCAGGAGCTCCAGTTCAGCGAAGAGAACCTCTTCACCATCTCCGAACTCTACCAGGACGACACCAATGGATTCGTCAAGGTATGTTAGCTACCTTACCTTATCGCATCCCATCCCATCCCATCCTATCCTATATTATCCTGTGCTTTCACTTTTCAATGGTCTATTTTTTTGAGTTTTTTTTAATATCTCACTTCCCGCATAACTCCCAAATACCCTCTTTTTTTTGCACCCTCAATGGCTCTTTGGCCTCTTTCCCTTTTTCGTCTCTCTCTGCACTACTATTATTACTCTTTTTTTTAATCGATTTTTTTTGGGATGGATAACTTCCTCAGTTCTTCCGAAACGCACCCAATGCTGCACGGCGCTTGACATGTTTTTTTTCTGGCCAGCGTCTCTATCAGATCAATTGTTGTGGACAGTTACACCCGGCCGCTCCGGGTCGTGGCTTTGTCATACAATGAAGCAATTGTCTGTGCTGTACACTACCATCATACCATTGGAGATGATATTCATCTCATCTTTTTTTGGTCTTTGATATTATTCTTCTGAAAATAGGTCATTAAAACTGTGAGCATGGTGTTGGATCGCATGGAAGACCAGGGTCTGCTCCGTGCCAGACGCACCAAGCGCAACTCGGACCCAGCCAAGCCCACTGATAACCGTGCCAAGGTCGTCAACGAGATCCTCGAGACTGAGCGTAGCTTTGTCCAGGATTTGGAGAAACTTCAGGCCTACATGCGCGCCCTCCAGAGCGACGGAACCATCATCTCGCCCGAGACCATCCATCTTATCTTTGCCAACCTCAATGCCCTCGTCGACTTTCAGCGCCGCTTCCTCATCGCCGTCGAAACCCAAGCCGCCTTCCCTCCCCAGGACCAGAACTTTGGCCAGTGCTTCTTGACCCATGAGGACGCTTTTGCTGTCTACGAGCCCTTCTGCGCCAACTTTAACGAGGCCAGCAAACTGATTCTCAGCGAGGCTCCCAAGCTCCAGGTAAGATCCTTTCTCCGACTATCTTTCTTTATTTTGCACCTTTTTTTCCCTCGTTTCCTCCAATTGAATCCAGTCGTAGTGACCCGGGCACCTTGCTAACTCCGTTGCTCTTTTTTTTTTTTTTTTTTTTTTGCTTTGGCTCCCTTACCGCTCTACTAGAAAATGTCCCACATGATGGAACCTATTCACGGAATCACCTCTCAATTGATCAAGCCCGTCCAGCGTATCTGCAAATATCCCCTGTTCATGCACGAGTTGATCAAGTTGACCGACCCCGAATTCCCCTACTACCGCGATCTCGTCGATGGTCAAGGCGCCATCAAGCGTGTCGCCGACCGCATCAACGAGACCAACCGCAAGCAGGATAACCACTTGATCGCCCAAGCATTGCAGCACAAGGTTACCTGGAAGGACGGGGAGTTTGTCTCCGACTTTGGTACCCTTCTTTTGCACGACAAGCTCTTGAACCCCCGCGGCTCATCTGACAAGGAGCTTGAGGTCTATCTCTTTGAGAAGATTCTCCTCTGCTGTCAAGAGATCCCCCAAAAGAAGAAGCAGCCTCGCGGTGCCCGTCCCAAGCCCACTCTCCACTTGAACGGCCGTATCTACATCAACAACATCAAGTCTATCCTCCCCGTCTCCTCCGCCGGCTCATATGTCCTCCACGTCGTCTGGAATGTTGCCGCCGAGGAATTCGAGTTGCGCTGTCGCAACGACGATCAGCTCAAGAAGTGGCACAGCGTCCTCGACAAGCTCGTCACTGAGGCCAATTCCCAAAAGACCAACATTGTCTCGACCACCACTTTCATCGGCATGCCCACCATGACCCCCGAACAGAGCTCCTTCTACCGCGAGGACGACGAATATTTGGATGACGATGTCGACGGTGACGAGGACGATATCTATGATGAGCCCCGTTACAACCGCAGCAACTCTCTCCCCTTTGGTCTTATCCCCCAACCCACCATGCTCGGTTCTCGACCCAGGGCCAAGACCGAAGATGGCTCTGTGCCCCCAGTCGGTCCATACGGTCGCGTTGGTGGTTACACTGCCCATGCTGCCGCCAACGGACGCCCCTCTCCCCCAGGCATGTCCCTCCCTCCTCTGCCTCGCACAACCAGCAGCTCCAGCACGGCCATGGGTGTCATGTCCCCAGGAGAGTACCCCTATTCTCCTCCTTCGTCCTACCCTGCCTCGCCCACCGTCTCCACCCCTCGCGGATCGACAAGCAGCAGCAACTCTTACCAACGTCGCAGCAACGGCGATGGACACTCACCCATGTCAGACACCATGTCCAAGTTTATGTCTCATGATGGCTCGGATGATTATACCCCTGGACAGCCCCTCTCCAGAAACGCCTCGACCGGCTACGCGTACAATGTCACGCCATCAGCAGCCCCACCAGTACCCCCAATTCCAGGACAGCTTCGCGTTCGTGCCCAGAGCAGTCCCAACATCCACGCCGCCAACCCATCGTGGCACAACGCCCCCGATATGCCTACCCCTTTGGCCCACCATCGTCGCCCCTCCAACGCCAGTGGACCAAACTCGCCCACAGCGCCTTACTCCGGTGCCAACTACCCCAATATTCCCGCTGTGCCCACCATCCCTTCGCGCCACAGTTCTCCTCGCCCTGATGTCAGCCGCACCTTGCGCCAGCAGCCTTCGAACAGCAATTTGAGCGCCGGTGTTCCTCAGCTCAAGATCAAAGTCAACTTCCAAGAGGATGCCTATCTGATCGTCGTTCCCATCCAGATCGGATACAACGAGTTGATTGAGCGTGTCGAGAAGAAGATTCGCCTCTGCGGCTGCCGTCGTTCGGACTCCCAGCCCTTGCGTCTCCGCTACAAGGACGAGGACAACGACTATATCATCATGAAGGACGACGATGATATCTCTCTTGCCTTTGAGAGCTGTTATGCCGAGGGTGTTATGAACTTGCACGTCAGCTAGACGTCATATTCCCTTTCTTATTTTTTCTTACTCTTTCTTTACATTTTCCTTCTCGCTTCTGCATCTTTTTGTAACTCTACCTATGGTTATTGCGATCTATTTATTACCCTGTTTCGTCCTCTTTTTCTTCACACCTTTTTTTTTTCTTTTTTTTCTTTTTTTACACCCTCCTCCAATTGTTCGGGCACTCTCCTCTGTAACTATCTTTCGTCGATTATTTCTTTGGAAATATATATACCATCTTGCTCCTACTATTCCTCCTGTCTTTTCCGAGTCGAGATCTGGGATGCCTGCCTGTCAAATTGGTCAACAAACAAGGATTCACTTGGTCAGCTAAACCATTCAAAAATCTTCAAAAAAACAACAACCACGACAACAATAACGACCTTTTCTTCACTACCACCCTTCTGCACGACCTGACGCCCATTTTATTTACGACCGAAACGACACCCTTGCTGGAACAGGATTTTTTTTTTGGCCTTCGACAGAAACAAAAAAGAACACAAGGAAGCAACCATTTCTTCCATTTTTTTTTACCCAGAGTCTGGGGACTTTTCTATTTACTTGGGGCCATGAAACCAATGTACCAAGTGCTATTTGGTGACCCCAGTGAACCCCCGAGTCTCTTCTTTTCTTTTCTTTTCTTTCCCTTCACCTTTTTTTTTTATTTATTATTATTTTGCTTGAGTGGATCTTGATTCCACTTCCCTTCCTCGCGCCAACGGCCGAAACCTGTACTTAACGTTCTCATTTTTTTACTATTGCCTTTGTACTTTTTGCTTGCTTTTCCTTGTAATGTATTTTGTTCCCGCTATTATGACCCTAAAAACACCGCTATAGACTCTTGTAAATACCTATTCCTCTATATAAGTTATCATCATCCATCATTTATATATGCTGTTGTCGCTGTCTGTTGAGTGGACCTCCCATGCTACTAAACGCCATCCTTTCACGTTGCTTTATGACATATCCATGCCGGGTGCAAGTAGTGACTCTGCACCTACTCATCGTCTGTTTTAGGCAATGCCGACCAGAATGAATGGCCTGCAATGCGCTTTTTTTTTCAGTGGATGAGTCATCTTCGCAGTCATAGGGAGTTGGCGTTCGCGCCATTTCAAAGGGAATCTACTTTTCTTTCTTCTTTTCACCTCTTCTTTCTTTTCTTTATAACCCTCACCCTCGCAACAACAACAACAACAACAACAACAACAACAGGACAACAAAGGACACAAAGTACCAAATAAAATGTCACCAGCGAAAAACCAATTCTTATCTCTCTTCTCCCACATCACGCGTCGAACCCGTGGCGTCGGCAAACTGTCGACCCCATGGTTCACAAAACCAATCGCCTCGGCCCCCATGAACGGATGGTCGGGCCCGAAACTCGTCGCCGCCGTCGCCAACCATGGGGGTGTCCCCATCTTCCCCATTGGGTACTTTACCGACCCGGCTGCGATTCTCAAGGATCTCCAGAGTATCCTGCCTTTACTCTCGGATAACGGTTCACAGCAGGATGATATCGGAGATAGCAAGGAAGAAGGGGCGGGCAATAAGACAGAGTTGTTGCCGTATGCGGTCGGATTTATTACATTCTGGCTTGATCGTCAAGGACCAGACCTGCTTCTCAAGATCCTGGAGGGTCAAGGCGATCTCCCTCATCCGACACCCTCCGGCGAAACCACCACGACAGGAGGAGCCAAGAAGGCACTTCGACCCCCAGCAGCAGTTTGGTTCTCCTTTGGTGACTACCGACCCTATTTGAAACTCGTCCGCCAACACGGTGCGGCCGGCACAAGGGTCATCGTCCAAGTCCAAACCGTCCAAGAGGCCATCGACGCTCAACGGGACGGAGTCGACGTGATCGTTCTTCAAGGCACCGAATCTGGAGGTCATGGCGCCCAGCGTGTTCGACCGCTCCTGTCTTTCATCCCCGAGGTCGTCGAAGCTCTCCAGGAGCGCAACAAAGTCAATGGTCTCAAAGTCCCCGCGATCCTGGCAGCCGGTGGCATCTCACTCAATTCCCAATGGCGTGCCGTGGAAGCCCTAGGGGCATCAGGAGTCGTCGTCGGAACAGGATTTATGCCAACCTTCGAATCCCCCGGCTCTCAACACGCCAAAGAACGGATCCTGAACGCCAGCGATGGAGGGGACTCGACAGTCCGAACCCGGATCTTTGACGAGCTCCGAGAGTTTGGATGGCCAGAGGGTTACGACGGTCGAGTGGTTCGGAACTTGGTGACAGATCGTGAGGAGGAGGATTTGAAGACCCGGGGTGTGGTTGAGCCCAAGGGTGCGGAGGCGTTCAAGGTTTTGAGAGAGGATCGGACTGGTACGAAGGAGGATTGGAAGCGGGCTGTGAAGGACCAGGACCTGGATTACATCCCTCTCTGGGCGGGGACTGGTGTTGGTTTGTTGAAGAAGCAGATGTCTGCCGCTGAATGGATGGACCAGCTCCTTGGTGAGAGTGAGAAGAACAAGTAGGAGATCAATATCGTTCGATTTTATGACATGATACAGATAGGTGGTTCTTGACAGCATTATTTGGAGTAGGAGCAAATGCTAGTGGCGATACAGAAGGGAGAATAAAGCATAGTAGCCACACTATGTGGCATCGCCGGACTATATAATGGGAGCGAGAAAGGATTATGTGCAAAGGGAGCTGGAAGGTGAATATACAAGAAGGAATATACGATACCAAAAACCCCACCACTGGTGCTGACTGATGGGTGCCATTGCCCAGCTCCCCATGTCCGCAGTCATGGCTACCACCGATGATGAAATCTTGAAGACCAGGCTCCCCTAGAAGACGGCCGAGGACAAAACCTCCTCCACCATGCTCGCAGTTCCAGAAAGCATGTCTGAGACCCCTCCCACCAAAACCAGCCCACCAACCACAACGCCATCTTCAGCGACTTTGAGCACTAATTTCACATTCGTCGCCTCTGCCTCATCCACGTCAGCCAGCGGCCACGGCCCCCAGCCATCGAGAGCGCCGCCTCCGCCTCCTCAAACACATTTCCAACCGTCGCGTCGCACGACTTCCCTAATTTCAATCCCTCCTTCAAGTTCCATATGCCTATTTTACCAACCGCAACGGCATCTTCTGTAACAGGATAATAAATCCTACTGCGTCTCATCAGTCAGCCGGGGAGGCAGGGAGAGTGGACTTGATGTGTGAGTTCGACGGGGCGCAAGTGTTGGATATAAGAGCTACGCCGGAAGCCGCTGGACGTGCAGCTGAAGTGGATGGCACGAAAGGCGTGTGGGTGCGCCTAGCACCGGTTGCTGTAACGTTTGAAGTCGAGAGGGGTGCGGGGGACAGACGAAGATTGCTTGCTATTGTTGGTTTGATAGGTGCGATTGGTGTGGAAGGAGAGGTCGGCAGCGGTGCTTCGATCGCGCCCTGGTCATCCTATACTGGATCGTTACCCTCAATGGCGGCAACGATGTCCTCCACCATATACTGAAACTTCTCATCGCTCTCGCCAGACTCAGTACCGTCGTCTGTATCAGGGACAGTAGTCTTGGTGAACGTGTCGACAATGGCATTCTGCACTTTGCCTCGAGCAGCGATGTCAGGATCATCCGTAGCAAGGACGATGGCTTCATCAACGGGGATGTTGGCCTCGGAGAAGGTAAGTGCAGTGATACGATCAGAATTAACTTGGACAGCGGTGAGGATGCTCTCAGTCAAGGCGACCTTGCGGTCAATGAAGACTGTTTTCTTGGTCACCTTGGCAGTCGTGTCGCTCTAATGAAGGCATGGTAGGAAAACAACACGCGTTAGTCATCGCGATTAGCATGTTCATGTCCTCTTTTCGGCCTCCATTTGTCAACACTTAAAATTAACAAACACAATTTTACCAGCAGCTGTTCCTTGCGCTCCTGCCATGCAAGTTTACTCTCCAGCGTCATCTTCCTATTAGCGTGCCAAGTCCACTTCTCCGAAAAGCGAAAGTGGCTCCCGCCTGCACGAGACACAGGAGTAGAACAGGCGAGATGACGCGACGGGAGAGCTTGCTTGGGGAGGGATTAGAGATGAGGTGCTGAATGTGGTGACGATGCGACGTTCTGTGAAAGTGACTTCTCGAGAAAGATGTCCAGCTTAGCCCAACCGTCCAGAGTGATGTCTCTGTCCTCCTTGACAATCTTGTGTTCAGCCTACAATTAGGGAAAACAACGCGTGAGCATGAGGTAGAGGCAGCAAGGTAAGAGAGCAACGAAATGGATAGGATTGATTGTTTGTGCTATTGACAGCCTGTCATCAAGGTGGTTTCTTACCTTCTTTACTCGGAGGTCCATGGGTCCTACTCGAGAGAGCCAGTTGGTGACTGATGACATGATGTGGCGGACGAAGGTCTACAAGAAAATTCAAAAGGAGAACAGCAAGAGGCGAAAGGACAATACATCAGCTTCAATCAATATCATCTTGATATCCGTGGTGGGGTAAAGACAAAAGGACATCTAGCTCGCAAAATGACGGCACGGCAAAGAATAAACGTGCTTGACAATTCGGTCACCATTAAAACTCACCTGGGGCGTGGACAGCTTGTCTGGAGCTACATGTGACCCCTTCAAGTCGGCTTGGTCCTTCTCCGCGTCAGTGCCCGTTTCCTTGGGATCCAGCCCTTTGATGGTAGCAACCAGTCCGTAACAGGAGCAGTCATTGTAGCCTTCTTGGCCTCCCGGAGAGATCTCGGTGTAGGGTACTCACCAATCATTTGCGATTGGTGCTATGTGGTGGCGATAAGTCTGTACGTGTGTGTGGAAGAGAGAGTGGGAGTATAGTTGTCCCTGTTAGTGGCTGCAAGAGATGACTTTGGGAAAGAGTGATTGCTAAAAAGGCAAGAGTCGCAGATGAATGCTAAAGAGCAGGTGAAGAGTGAATGGGGAATGAAGAAGAGGAATGAAAAAGGCAAGGGGAAGACGGCCTTAAATATCTCGAGGCGAAGGCAAAGAAAAGTACAACATCGTTAGACGTTTGACGCGTGTTGTAACGTCAATAATTACAGTTCGTTCAATTAAAGAAAAATTTCATGTGGCAATACTAGTATCTTTTCAAGAGAAAAACGAAGGTCTTCGACTTGGTGCAGCAAAAAGACACTGAATTTCCAAGTGAAGAGAGCAAGAGGTCGTGCGAAGCCATTCCCTATCTTTATTAGCAGAGAAAACAATCGTCAGCACTTAGGACCTTGTGGTAACCTTCTTCTGGCGCTTCTTGAGAGCCTTCTTCTCCTCCTTCGCGGCCAACTTGCGCTGGGCATCGGGTGACAAGTTCTTCTCGGCCTCGCGCTTCTCACGAAGACGCTTTTCCTCCAGCTCGCGAGCCTTCTCTGCCTGTGCCTTCTTTCCGATTTCCTTTGAAGCCTCCTCGCGAGCCTTGACAATCTTGTTTTTGATCTAATTGCGAGTTGTTGGCAAAGTATTTTGAGAATGTTGTTAGCAACCATCTTCATTTCTTACAAGCAGGTTTGATCGAAGTGACATCCAAGGACAGTATAACAATGGTGTGTTTTGTGAATTGATTCCTGACGTACCACAGTGCTGACATGGCAATCCTGAGGAAGTCCATCCAAGCATGCAATCAAAGCTTCGACGAGAGGAAGAACCTTGCGGGCCTCAGTTGCCTTGGGCAAGCGGAACGACAACGAGATACGCTTGGCATGGGGCTTCGTAGGGAGACTAAAGGGAATAAACAACATCCAGCCAATTAATTACGTTTTTCTTCTTTTCCCTCACTGGCAAAGTCTTTGAACGATATCGAAGGAAAGAGAGGGGACTTACGACTCGGGCTTGTCAGTAGGCTGGTCAGTGACAATAAAATAGTCGAGCCATTCGGCAGCCTGGTTCAGCTTGTCGGCAACTAAAGGCAAGATGGCCTCGGTCAACTCGTTGGACTCGGTCAAAGTGATCAGCGATTCGTCCAGTGACTTTTGGTTCGATGCTTTGGTGAAGGTGGTGAGATCGTAGTTGCGGTTGCGGATCTTGGTTCCTGACGATTTTGGGACGACAGCAAAAACACCATCGCTGTACTCGTCGGGGTTCATGGTAACATTGAGCGTGCAGGTGTCGAGCACGGGAGTGGAGAACAAGGTGGAGATGGTCCTGATCAGGTCCTGACGGGGCTTCATCTATTGAAGGGTTGATATGAAGATGCTGGTCGTTAGATTTGAACGCGATCTGTCGCCCGTGTGGGATACATAGCAATTTACACAAAACGAAAAAAAGAGCTTGCCTTGATCAACCCGTGGACAGTAGCAACGTGGCGACGACCGGTCAAATAAATGATGTACTCATGGGGAGCATCGATAGCGAGCTCTGCTCCGTTGTCACCGACACGCGAAAAGTTGGCGCGGAAGAGAGGGAGCATGACGGCCATGGTGGTCTTGGCGAGGACTTCGTTATGCTTCTTGCCAAATATATACGTGATGAGGATCAACAAGATAATGCTGAGATACATGACCTCATGGCCGAACTGCTCAAATAAGTCCTGCATCGCTATTTATGTTTGCGACAAAGGAGTGAAGGAAAACGATCGAGTCAGAAAGTGCCATCAGGTGCATAGTTGCTGTTCATCCTGACATGGGCTCCCACAGTTGTTGCTCCATTGTCGTCCCGTTCATCCGGGTTGTGTTGTTGCTTATTGTCGTGTCTTACAGTTAAACCGAGGGAGCGCTGTGGTAGCTTGTTCGAGGAAGCCAGCTATACGGATGGAAGGAAAGTGAACAGAGTTGTCCTTGTCAGTTAGAAGGGTCGCTGTTGCCATGAGTTTAAGAATGAAAAAAAACTGGCCCTGAGAGTGACCTCTAATGGGGCGAGTTGTGTTACCTGCTTGGACGGATGCTAGCGTGGCGATGGAGGCAGCCAGGCCGAGGATACGCGACATTTGGAAGTGGTGTGAGGGAGAGAGATGGGAAGATGAGAAATGGGAGTGAGATGATGACTTCAGTCCAACCCAACATCCCACAAGAAAAAGACGGAGGGAGTCAACGGACCAAAAAGCCACCAATCATTTCTACTTTCTTCAGCAAAGAAGGTTCGTTCACAAGAAAATTGCGCGATCAGTTTTTATTCAACTCAAAAAGGGGCATGGTGGGTATTATTGAATGCTGCATACGGCAAGAGAGCGACGAGCTTCAATCTCCCGGATCCAGCCCAGAACCGTCTGAAGTCGCTGTCGCACCGATATCTGCTTCAGCAACTCATACTTTTGATCCTGATGAACCGGCAAGATCGACCCGACCCAGAAAGAAAACGACCGTCCGTCATCCTCAATCATCTCGCCAAACTCCCGCTCAAGGCGTTGTGTTGCCAAGGGACCAAGTCGATTCTGCATGTGGGATACAAATCCTTGAAGGATCTGCATCAGTTGCTTTTGTGAGATCAACTCTAGCTCCACGTTGTGTAGATCCTTTAGGCCCAAAACCACCTCCTGTTCCTCCTCATGCTTGGCATATACAGGCGGTTGTTCTTCAGTCCTTGATGGCTGTGAGGAACTCGAAGCATCCGCTGAGGATAATGTTGTAAAACGCGGATAGATTGGATCCGTATTTGTCGGTACAGATTGCTCTGAACGGGTCAATGAAGGCGAAAGAGTTGAAAGGGGCGACGATCTTTGACCGTTCCTGCTCCGCCGCCGGTCCAACAGCTGTTCTGTGTCCTCGTCTCCGCTACTTTCGCCTTTGTCGCTGTCAGTGTTGCTGTCGATGGCATTGTCCTTATCCCGATACGCAGAGAATGCGTCAGCTGATCCGTCACGGCCGTTCGTCATGGATCGTTGTACTTGCTCCAGCCGAAGCGAAGCAACATCCATGACCGCCTTTTCCTGCCCTCGCTCCTGCTCCTCTGAAATGTCGTCAATCAGTTCCACTGCGGTGGCCGTGTAGTAGCCGTCGAGCATCGAATAAGTGAGGATCTGGAAACGCGACAGTCCAATAGTCTCGACCAAGGCACGTCCGTCGGGCAAGAGTTCCAGCGACACAATTTTGAGCAATGTCCCGTACTCTCGACTCGGCTCCCACCTGGTGACGGCCTCGTCCATGACGTATCGGTGCTGTTTCCGCTGTTGGGGCGGGAGGACCATGCCAAAGACCTTGCTCTCGGTCTTGAGGATGTTTCGGAGCATCCTTCGGTAACGAGGTTCAAAGACCAGGAGGTAGCAGGGCATCCGAGGGAATATGAGCGAGTTGATAAAAAGTGGGGTCACAGCCAAGTTCGGATCGAGATCGCGTTGTTCCTCCGGGCTTGTGGTTGTTGCTGTCGCAAAATCGGAGGGCCCATCGATGTCGTTTTCAGCGCTTTGGCGAACCATGAAATTAATTAGCCAAACAAGGGCCTTGTTGACCGGCTGGTTGTGATAGAACATGTAGAGGGGCAGCTTACGTCGGCAGAGCGGACAGCTGGGGTTGTGATCGAGCGAAGTGATGAGGCAGCTCTTGCAGAGGGTGTGACCGCAACACGTAGTGAGGGGTTGGTCAAAGACAAGGAAGCAGACTTGACACTCGGTCTCCTGCTGGATCTTGGGCTGAAGTGTTTCCATGACCTGAGGAACGTTTTGGTAAAAATGTGGGATCGGCGCCGGCTCAGAAGAGCTATCGAGGTCCTTGTGGGTAGAGGGAGCAACAGCGACGTGGGCTGAGGAAGCGGAAGAAGTTGAAGACGAAAGGGCTCCGGTATGAGGGTCCTGCTGGAGACAGGCAGCGCGCCAGGCCGTGGTGAGACTTTGGAGGGTGACATCGATAGAGAGCTGGTCGGCCGAATGGATGTTGGAGCGAGCACAGGCGGGAAAGGGACAGTGAATCTGCTGGCGGAAAGCGATTGACTGCAAGGGTGGCAGACATGCATGGCAGGCAGTGAATCCACATGGGAGGGTGACGGGGTTGTGCAAGAGGTCTTTGCATATCCTACACTGTAGAGGCAGCATGGTGTCTAAGGTTGAATCCAGTTGCGCGAGAAAGAAGATTGGTTGCTCGAGTGATGGATGAATGCGAAGGAAAGTTGGTATAAGGGATGGTGATGGGAATGAGGAGTGTAAGAATAAGAAGGGAAGAAACAAAGAAAGAGAGGAGGGCAGTTAAAGAGAGGAGCGATTACATGAAGTTGTGGGCTGAGTCATCGGGTTTAAAAGAAACGTAGAAAGGGAGCGTAGAGAAGTCAAGGAAGGTATCGCTGGGGTTTGGTTGTTTCCATGGGGAGGGGATGACAGGGTTTAGCTTGCTTGGCTCTCTATGAAATTGAGATGTACAGGTGTATCAATTTGAGGGACAGGTCAGGCACGAGGCAGACGATGTTTTGATGGGTCAGCACGAACGACGCTGAATCCATCATGGATACATACCGGTTGATTGTGATTGTGCCTTTTTTTGGTGGCAACAAAAAAGATAGCGAGATCGATTCCGGGGCATGATAGGACTGACAAAGGAAGAAAAAAAATGGGCGAGGCTGGCCCCCTGTTTTTTGTGTGCTTCTCCACTCAGAACAAAGCAAAGTCAGGGGCAGAGGAAGGAATAGAGAGAACGATGGCGAGTACAAAGACTATTCTCGCTTCCAGATCCACATTCAGCATTGATAAAGGGCGAGGAGATGACTTGCTTGCTCTGCACAGCCCACAAACTGACTGACTGACAGCAACAACCCCCCCCACTCGCCGCCGCTCTTTTTTCTTTATTCCTTTCCCCTTCTTCGCTTCTCTCTCTCCTCTCATCCTTCATCCTCTCCTCCCTCATCCAATCACCCCTTCCTTCTCATTCACCCGCGACATCAATGTACCCGCACCAAGGGCAGGGCATCCCCCATCCCTACCCCCAACCACAGCAACAGCAACAGCCGCAGCACAACTACCCTCTTCCTCACTTGCAGCAGCCCCATCCCCACCCTCAACATCTGCATCACCACCACCAACAGCAGCATGGCGGCTGGCCTGGATACTCCTCCCCCAACTCAGGAGCCCCTCCACCTTATCAACCTCAGACACCGCTCCAGCAACAACAACTGCCCCGGACTCAATCGCTCTATGCTCCTCAGACTCAATACAAGCAGCAGCCACTAACCCCCGTCACCAGCTATGGCTCCTCGTCCTCAACCTCGGCTACGTCCTCGCCCTTCTATCGACCACAGTCGACCTTCTCTCCGACAGGGTCAGTTGGCTCTGGGACTCCCGTCACCCCACCCATCACCTCAATAGCTTCAATGACTGGTGGAGGTGTGTCTGCCTCGACGCCTATCGCTGGCGTCCGCGCCTCGTCGCCCATACCCACCCCTGCTCCAGCGCTGTACAAGGTCGAATTCAGCGACAGTCAGATCCAGTCATGGCAACAGAAACAGCAACAACAGCAGCAACAACACAACATCAAGGTCGAGGTCTCTTCGTCAACAACCCAGCCAAAGCCCCAACCTCCCCCCTCTCTCTCTCCCAGTCCAGTTGTTGCTTCTCCGGTCATCCCGAGCACCCCATCCCCTGTTAGGGACGTGTACGCCGAGATCCAGCTCCAGCTCAAGCGCCAGAGTCAGCTGCAAGCGATTCAACAGAGTAGCCGCCGAGACACGAGCATCGGAGGTGCGTCTCCTCAACTGTCCAACACGTGGAACACCAGCAACTCGACTACGTCGCCCGTAATTCCTTCAAGCATGGGCTCCGCAGGACACAGCCCCTTCCCTACACCTTCGACCCTGCCACAGACCCCCGTCGGAGGAGTAGCAGGAGGGTGGCAACAGCAGCCCACGCCTGTGGAGCATCAGTCCTCTTTGACGGACATTACTCCGCCCGCAGGGGCCTTCTCTCAGGAATCCTCATTGACAACACTCGATCCAGCGCCCTCAGCAGCCAACAGCGCCAATGTTCGAGTCTCTCGCCCCTATGGACCGTCAAACCAACAGGCGTCTTATCCCTCGGCGATAGAACAACAGTCATCCTTGACAGAGATCGATGGCACCGTCAAGTCTGGATTTGGACCAGGAAACCGACCTTATTCTGGAGGAACCGGAGGCTACTTTACTGACAGTCGAACCCACTCAAGCCAGGGACAATCATTCAACCCTGCTTACCCGTCCGCAATCGAACAACAGTCGTCTCTTACCGAGATCGATTCTATACCCTCCGCACTTACGGAAATCGACAACATCCCTTCCTCGTTGACAGTTCTGGATGACCTGCCTCACAGGCTTGAGGATCAATCCCCCTTGACGGCGGTGGATGACTTACCCTATGGACTCCAGGAACAGTCGTCTTTGACAGAGGTCGACAATCTTCCACATGCATTGTCGCAACAATCACCTTTGACAGAGTTGGAGGAGCCCAAAATGGACTCCCCGTTGTCGCTCATGTCTGGAATTACTGGTGCCAAGGACAGCGGGATCCAGCGGAAGAGAACTTCGGTCACCTCGGCCACTGTCGCCGCCACAGCCCGAGCGTCTACTTTCTCTGCTACCTCAGCAGCATCTCCAACGTTATCGACAACAACCACAGCGATGGCCTCGCCGATCTCGCCAGCTGTGAGAGTACTCTCGGACGCCAACTCGGCCGCCTTTACCATGAGCAATTGGTCCCTGCCTGACGACTTCACCGAGCCGACAACAACAGCAGCAACGGTGCAGGAGAGTAACGGCGGCGACCGTGTCCAGTCACCTCCATTAACTCACACTGGGCGCGCACCTGCACTGATAAACATCAACACCACCTGGGACGAGACTGATTTTGAACCATCGGCCCCAGTGGACAGCGGCAAGCCTGGAGTTGATTTGTACCCTCTCAGCCCAACCACAGCAGATGAATCTGGCGGACGAAATTCCCCGATGTGGAAACCTCCTTCCCTGTCAGCAGCCAACTCGATCAACAGGAAGCGGGACTCGATGCCTCCAGTGCCACCAGCCAAGCCAGCCTCACTCCTGCAGGCCAATGCCAACCGCATACTGAGTCCACAGTCGAGTGCCACAGGGGCCGAGTTGACATCGGACGAAATCCATGTGGAACCTCCACCGCCGATCTTGCAGTCGACTCCCATTCGGCCTGTGATCGAGTTCAACATTGATACTGAACTTGTCGATAGCGAGGACGACATTCACAGCGTAGGCACAGAAGAGGATGATAATGACGATGGCGCCGACATTGTGAACGAAATTGACGAGTTCGAGGCGCTTCTTTCCAAGAGCGACGGCGTCACCGCGCTCATTCGGGACTTGCAGTCGAGTATGTCATTATCGAGGTCACCATCCGGCAGTAGTTCATTCGCCAAGGCATCGGCTGGTACTGGAGACAGGGACAACGGCAACTTGAGCCCGGTTAAGAGGAATGACAGTACGAGCAGCCATACCAGTCAGCGAGGAAACGATCTAGTGGCAAGGTTGGCAGACACACCACCCGAAGGTACAAAGTCCAAGATGACGTCTCCACCACAGCAAGCCGTTGTCCCCGCACCACCTGTACTGACTACGGTGGAGAGCACCGAGAGCTATGATTTGCCACGACTGGCCACGACCCAGTTTGAGTGGACCTTTTCGGAATCGGAGCAAGCGACCTATGAGCGAATCTACAGTCTCTGGGAGCGTCCAGCCGAGGAATGTGTTTCTTGTAAGTATACCTTTGCATTTTCTTGACTGACTGAGTTGAGTAGTTCGGGGTCTCTGACTGTGCTTTCTTTTCTTGCTTCCAATTATAGCCGATATTGCAGGAAAGGTGTTTATGACCCTTGGCTTGTCCAGCCATGACCTTTTTGCTATTTGGTAAGATCACGGCCATTTTCCCCACATTGTCTCGACAAGGAGTAGACAAACAAACTTAATTGTTCTCTAACACGGTTAACCTTACTTCTACACTTATTAGGCAAATGCTGAACCCAGAGGAAAAGTCGGTGCTTCACAGGACCCAGTTCATTGCTGGTCTTCACTTGGTGACCTGTAAGGTCATGGGGTATGCCTTACCGGATGAATTGCCAGACGAGCTCATGATTTCAGCAGCTGGTGTCGGTCGTATTGCCATCCCTCCTCGCCCTGCTCAGGGACCCGCCAGCATTTTGCCTGGGTCTGTCTTGTCTGAACCTGTCGACAACCCCCAATTCCAACAGCAGAAACAACCAACACAACCGCAGCAACCAGCACAGCAGCAGCAACAACAGCAGCAACAACAGCAGCAGCAGATGTATAATTACCAGGGTCCGATGTCACCTACGACAAGCTATGCCGCAGGACCCCCACCTCCAACGTCCTTTGGATCCAACTTTATGCACGCCTATGACTTTACTGGGCTGGGTGGAGGCAACAGTGGTCCCATTGATTCCAATGGAATGAACGGCAACTCGTCTTTCAAGCCCAACGAATCGAGCCCCTTCATGGACTTCCAACAGCAAGGACAGCAGTTCTACTACCCGCCAATGCAGCAGCAGGATCAGCAGCAGCAACAGCAATGGCCATCTATGCCCAATGCTGACCACTACGTTCAACAAGCCCTTGCGGCTCAACCCATGTCACCTTCTGTCTCCAAGGCATCTAGTCTTTCGCGAACCTCGAAATCGACTTCGAACTCGACCGCCACCTCTGCTGAGGTCGTTCCTGTTGTGCCATCAAAACCTGGACCTCACGCGTTGCACAACCTAGCAGCCGATGCGCCTGTGGTTTTGTCGTTTGAATCCAACCCCTCCAGCAGAGGAATAACTCCAACACAGGACTCTCAAAAGCCCACCAAATCGACAACAGCGTCTGCGGATACAACTTCAAAGACAACCGGTGGCGTCTCAAATGGCACGACTACAACCATGACAGTGGTGCCTCGTGTCCCACCAATCGACTATGAAAAACTCTACGCCTCACCTCCCGACGCATTCGATCACGAATCAGCGCCTCCAGAGCTCGACGTCGAAGGCAACAACATCAAGTACCGCTGTAAGTGGGCTAGCTCTTTTATTCCATTTGGAGCTGTGATGGTTTATTGCTGTACTGAGAGACTGAACCGGACACATGTTTCTTTGTTATTTTACAAATATAATAGCTGACTTCAAGAACGATATGACGGTGTCGGCTTCAGTTACGGCCAACCATCCTATCAACCCTAAGGTGGGCGTCTTTTACTTTGAGATCACGATCGACCACTTCAAGGGTAACAGTGCTCTCAGTATCGGTATTGCCAGCAAGTCTCTTCGCAAGAACTTCCAAGTTGGTAGGCTACCCGCTTTTTTTTATTGTGGTTACTTTACTCGGATTGTTTCGTCTGCGCCCTCTTTCGCATACTATTGTAAGTTCCAACACCGTCTACTTCTTTTTTTGTGTGTATTTCTAGGTTGGGATTTGAACTCGTGGGGATTCCACAGTGACGATGGCTTCCTGTATTTCGGAAACGGAAAGCAAAACATCACGTACTCGTACGAATACCGCGAGGGAGACACGGTCGGATGCGGTGTCAACTTTTTGGACAAGGCCGTGTTCTTCACCATTAATGGAGAGATGATGGGTATCGCTTTCCGGTTCATCAAGGAGTCCATTCCGCTCTACCCTGCTATTGGGCTCTCCCAGGCTGGCACTGAGATCAATGCCAACTTTGGTGACCAGACGTTCTTGTTCAACATTGTCGACTACAAGAAGGTATTTTGCAAGGGATGAAAATGGCATGGTTATCCATTCAGGAGTGGCATGTTGCAAGTTGGGCGAATACTAACCACGCAAGCGTTTGCTTAATACCATTTTGTAGAGCATTATGGCCAAGACAATCCATACGCAGCCTGTGATGACCTGGAACAACGGAGCCAAGAACGAGAAGGTTTTCCAGATCCTGCCTGATGGACTCTCGGTCATTGCCGGTGGTAAGGCTACCTTTTGCACTTTTCTATTTTTTACCATGCCAACCCACCATTTGGATCGTCCTTTGAAGAAAAAAAAAACGCTAATTCATATGCTGTTTACTTTTAACCATGTAGGTAAAGATATTGGATGTATCCGTGGACCCAAGGTGTCACCTCGTGACAAGGATGTCTTTTACTTTGAGATCGCGATCCTTTACATGCCTCCCTCCGACCTAGGGTATGTCTCCGCGAGGATATTTCTTTCTCATGCCTGAAGGGACAACGTACTAAGTTCACTAACCCTATATCTGTTCACGTTCATCATATCTAATAGAACAATCACGGTAGGAGTGTGTGGCAAAGAACAGTCCGTCACTGATGTTCTCGGTTGGAAACCTGGCTCGTACGGATTCTCGAGCGAGTGTGGCGATTTCCTTTCAGTCTCCTCCAACCGGTCCAGCCTACACGCTCGTTCCCAATCCGGGTTGATGAAGGCTCGTGCGCGTGGTCCACCCTTCCGAACTGGATCCGTTGTTGGTTGCGGTGTTGATTTCGCCTCCAGAGAGTTGTTCTTCACTTTGAACGGCGAGTGCCTTGGACACGCGTTCCATGACCTGGATGTCCTTGACTGCTACCCATGCGTGTCGGTTATTGATAGCGGTAGTGGCGGAGGAGTTGGAGGACCATTGTCGACTTTGGCAGCCAACGGCGGTGTGGGAGCAGGAGCTGCAAAGCCCAAGTCTTCTGGGACCAATAGTGGAGATCGTGGTGGTTTTGAGTTCAAGGCCAACTTTGGTCAATATCCGTTTATGTTTGATTTTGCTGCTTTTGAGACCAATGGTGGGCAATAGTATTAAACACTCTTTTTTTTTTTTTTTTTTTTTTTATGGAACTTGTTTTGTGCTTGAAGGAACTGTACAGGAAGCAAAAGCTTTTTGACGTATGCAAAAAAAAAAAAAGTGCAGATGCTTTATTTTGCTTTATCATCTGGATTGGACGGAATTAGTAAAAAAAAAAAAGGGACAGAACCAAAAAGAGGTAAACCATCCGCCTCGCCTACTTTTGTGTTGTGAAACAAAAAAAACTCACTCGCCTGCGCAAACTCTTTTGAGTTGAAGGGGGGGACCCACTCGCCGTGATAACCGACTGGCCTTTTGCTGAAACCATAGATAGGTGAGAGCAGGCGCTTTGCCGATGTGCCTTTTTTCCCCATGAGACCGAGTGAGAGCAGGAAAAAAAATAGCCGTTTAAAAGGTGACCGTGTTGAGCCGAGCTCTAGGAGCAGGATGCAGTCTGTGGAAGAGGTCATTGCCGTTTTGTCGATGAACTAGGCCCGAGATGGGCGAGAGAGGAAAGAAGAAAATATAAAAAAAAGGAGTCGAAAAAAAAGTCGAGGCGTCCACGACGCCTGTTAGTCCTGTCTGAGAAAAGAACGAGAAAAAAATGGCCATGAGCCCCTGTATATCAGTCTCATTCATTCAGGAACAAGAGCGTTTCTTTTTTGTTATCAGATTCGAGGGGTACAGTCAGCCGTCATGGACAGAAGAAGAGGAATGGAAGTGAAGATAGAAACGCGAATTAAATAAATACTTCTCTGGACACCCTGAAAGCGAATGTGTAGGTTGGTGGCGTCTTTCGGTTATATATCGGTCACGTGCGCTTCTTTTTCTAAATGTCCTTTCTTGCTGCCTTGTTGTACTGCCATCCAACTTCTCTACCCACTCCAACACGGACAGTACGGTTGTTTGATAGACCTCACGGAAGATTAGATTTGCCGCTGCTACATGCTGCCAAGAGTGAACAAGAGTTCAGAAGAAGGGGAGGGAGCATGGAAGGAAAGTAGATGACAAAAAAATGGAGGCCTTCGTTAGATTGATATACTTTGCTATGGATCTGGGTTCAGAAACCTCGTTCTTCGAAGGGCTTACCCCGACTTTGCTCTGAGCCTTGAAAAAGTGGCGGTGTTGAATAGTGAATTGAAGGGCAAGTCAAAGCATTCTTTGGAGAAGGCGAAAAGAAAAAGTTGAAAAATGAAAAGGAGGAGCCGACAACAATAAAAAGGGGATGCTTCCATTTTTCACCCCACATACCAATTGCTCTTTTTTGTAATCGTGCGGCGTGCTCTTGATCTGCGTTGTGGAGAAAGTGACAAGGGTTTATGTCCCTTTCGGCTGGGCCATGTAGCCGACACACAGGGGTAGAAAAGGGCTTGAACAGAGTGACAGACAAAAAATTGAGCACAAAGTGGCCCTATTGCTTTTCTCTTCTTTGGTTGCTCCGCATTGCGTCTTCCCCATTCTCATTCCTTCCTGTCCTCGACATCAATCTCCTTCACCCCCCTCTCAACCTACTCTTTACTCATTCTAACACACACTCACCCATCCACTCCCTTCACGAAATCACAATGCATCAGCTGAACCAAAAGTCACTTGATGCACTCAAGAACCTGCGCAACCACGTCTGTCCACAGGATAACTACCAGACCACGAAACGTTCGGCTGTCCTTGTGGCACTTCTCCCCAACGAAAAGGGTGACCTCGAAGTCATCCTCACCTCTCGCTCCTCCTCCCTCCGCACCAACGCCGGCGATTCTGCTTTCCCCGGAGGTAACTCTTACTTCCTCTCTTCTTTTGTCTGTAAGAGTTTGGGCTGTGTCAATTGAAGGAAGAATGGATGCTAATAGAGTAATGATGCGCGCGCTTGTCTGTTGCATTGGTTTCTAGGAAAGAGGGACCCTGAGGATGTCGATCTGATAGCAACCGCTGTAAGTGACCAGTACTTCTTTCAAGTCCGCGTGCTCTTAATTCCATGCACCTCCTTTGTCCACCAAATGCATCTGGAGAGAAACAATCATCCTCTTTGTATCAAAAACCCTCACACACTTTCCTCTTGTAACATAGAAACGCGAAGCAATGGAAGAAGTCTGTTTACCACCCTCATCCTCACAAGTCATCACCCTCTTCCCCCCAGTCCTCTCCCGCCACATGCAAGTCGTCACCCCCGTCGTCGCCTATTGCCCAACCCTCACCACCACCGATCTCTTCAACACCCTCTCCGCAAACCCATCCGAGGTCTCGGCGATCTTTACTGCCCCTCTCGAGAGGTTCCTGAGTTCACGACCGGAAGAGTATGATTACTTTGATATGTCGTGGATGATGTCTAGCCATCGCGTTCATCGGTTCGAGCGATGTGGGGCCGACAACTTTCTTCTTACTCCTGCTAGACCTATAAGTGCGATGGTGCCGGATGAGGGCGACACATCAACATCACTCTCGTACTCGTACTCAAACGACGGTGATAATGAAGGTGGACCAGAGACAGAAGTGGTGGATCGAGCAAAGGTCGGGTGGCCTGTGTATGGGATGACGGCAGGAATCTTGATTGAGGTTGCGAGTATTGCGTTTCAACGGGCTCCGGATTTTCAGGTCTATGCGCATGACCAGATGACGGACCAGGACCAGATCGTCAAATGGTATAACCAGTCTAAACATACATTCCGTCGTTCTTCTCTTTGATGGATGGGCGAGGGGGTTGTGTTTTTTGGATGGAGCGGCAGGACGCGTTGTTGCTTTGATACAAAACAAAAAAGAGTGTTATTAAAATTGCGTGTGGAAATGAAAACTATACATGTGAAATGAACAATGAAACAAACGAGCGTGGATGGTATGATAAATGGAAGACGAGAGACTACAACCGACTCCACCCGTCCCTGGCATGCAGCGCAACCATGGACCGTCTAGCAGCTGTAGAAGACTGTAAGATCCCCAATCGAGTCCGGTCCCTCGACAGACGATACGTCAACTCCAAATATTTTTTCATCTCTCCTCTCTCCTCCTCCTCCTCCTCTTCCTCCTCCTCTCCTTCCTCTCCCTGGCGCCCTAGACCCATCTTGGTTACCAACCCATCAGTCGTCCCACGCAACCGCCCAGCTATCTGAGAAATATCCAACGCAACGCCCTCGAGAATAGTCGCCAATTGGTGTCGCTCCTGTTGGATCGAGACTGTATTCCCCGTCCTGCGAACGTTCTCGTGCAACAAACAGCCGACTAGTTCGCCAACCTCGGACGTCGGGAAGACGTCGCAGCCGACTAGGAGTTCTGTCCATACTTTCGCGTGTCCCTTCTGGTGGGTGTAGACCCGGTACTCATATTTTGTCTCCTTGGCTGTGGTATTGTTGTTGGCGGTGGTGGTAGTGCTAAAGTGGTGGGGGCGGCGAGAGGATGAAGGAGGGTAGGAGGGTCGTCTAGAGAGCTGCTTACAGAAGCCAGCACTGCTATTCGGATACCGGCAATCGCCATGTCCAAGATTACTCGTGACTGAATCAACAGGACAACGGAAAAAGAACGGGTTCCGTGCAACATCCAACTCCACCAACCCTTGCTCGCGACATTGCTCCTCCAACCTACGATTCCAACTCGGGACAACCACCAATTGGACATACCAATCCTCCTTGACCAGGTAAAAGTCTGCAAAGAAAAGACGGAACTCGGGGAAGAGTCTTTGTTCGAGGTCTTCGAAGGAGACTTGATAGCGTTCTTTGCCGTAGGGGGATGTTTCGACTGGGGCTGACTCTATCAGAGGAGGAGGGGGAGGTGTTGTAGGATGCTTCAACTTCAGGGCACCCCTTGATTCTTGATCGTCTCCGGGTGTGGGAGTCGATGGCGCGGTAGGAGGAGGTGTCAGAGTCAGCGTAGGAGGAGGAACGGCAGCAGCGGTGGCGCAGAAGAACAGTCCCAAGAGGTTGAAATACGGATTGACGATCGGCGAAAGGTCCGGGAGGCGGGTCGGGATCTTGTACTTCTCGGCTGGGTAGGACATCAAGAATGTGGTAGGTTTCTTCTCCTTGGATCCTGAGGGGTGGTGGTCGTCCTCACTGATTGAGGAGAGGAGGTGCCTCTCCTGGCGCTGGAGGTCTTCGGCGTGCCAGTTACGGTAGATCTTGTAACACGGTAATGACGATGGGCTGGAGATTAAGGATGGGGTAAGAGGGCCGGTCGGCGCGGAGATAGTATCCTGACCAAGGGCGCCACAGTGGCGAAGAGCTTGGAGGTATCGGTCTCGGGTGAGGGCTTGCATCTTGGTGCAAAACTCTTGGATGGCGGTGGTCTTCTTGGGAGCCTTGGATTCTTGCACAATGTCGATCGGGTACATGTTGGTGGTAATGGGATTTTTTGTGGTAGGTGTATGTGTAGTAATTGAGTGGAGAATTGTTGTAGAATGTGAGGTGTAGGAAAGTATGAACAAGAGGAGAGCGAAGCGGAAACAGTGAAAGGTGACGATAAAAAAAAACGAGGACGACTGGCGGGAACCATTCACCTTTTTATGAAGAAAACAAAATCAGAGAATGGGGTAAGTGGCATGGTTCATATGCTGGTATCAATGGATGTGGATAACCGAGAGAAAAGAGAGGGAAAAGAGCTGTAGGGTGACAAGGACCCATGAATAATATGAACCTGTAACAGGGGTCCGACGAAATGAAAAAGAGGGAGAAAACAATTGTATGAATTGCACCTGCAAGAAATGTGTGTGTGCGTGTGTGTGTGTGGAAAAAAAGTCTATTTTTTGCCTGCAATGTTTGGTGTGCATGTAGGAAGGGGCGGGTGATGCCCATTGTCTTGACGTTCTTAATGTGGGTATCAATCAGATGCCAGAAAGGGGACGCAAAGACACAACATATACTCGGGATGGAACCCTGGCATGTGAGTGGACCATGCTCAGATATGTTCTTCATATCAAGTAGAGACGTCAGTGTGGATGTGCGAATGTGGAAGTGGGATCCTCCAAATGCAGCCATGAAAGAACCCGGGCGCTCACTCGCGGTATGACTGAAAATAAAAAAACGAGTGGCTTGGTTCCTTGCTGCTCTTGCCAGAAGAAGAGAACACGCGCACCTTGGTCAAGGCGCCCTCTAGGAAATCTCTTGTTGCCCAGTGGCCCTTGATTCAGATCTGACTTCTAGGGAAAAAGAGACGGGGTCTGCGGAGTGGAGGCGGACGAAAGTCTTATCAGCGTGAATTGCCCTGTGCTCGCTGCTCGCTGTGCGCGTCTACAATGGGCCAATCGGAGCTCGACGTCTGCAAAAGAATGTCCATCGAGTCTTGACTGTGTCCGCATTCCTCTTGATTGATGACAAATTTCACATTTTGTTCTCGAACCTGCGAGACAAATCGAGCATTTAGGACGTCTACGGAAGGGAACTTTTACGTGACCCCAAAGAGGATAAGCCGTCAACGTACATGTAACTTATCAACAGTGCCAATGCTGAACCTGTCCATTTTGCTGTTGCCAAGCAGGGATTTGCGCGGCTGTATTATATCTGCACTGATATTCACCCGGGAAAGTTAAAATTATTTTGAGTATCAAAAATGAAAATGTCATCAGCACCAATAGAATCACATCCTTCCATCCGTCCACTCTTCCTTTTCTTCCTTTCTTCGTTCCTTCCCTTCTTCAACAAAAGCCTCACCGCTGCCTGCTCCCTCTACTGCTACCTCATGATGACCATCCCCTTCTCTCCTCCTCCTTCAGTCATTTCGTAAGCATCCTCTCTCTTACTCACTCACTCACTCACTCACTCACTCACACTCTATCTATCTATCTATCTATCTATCTCGTCCAGTTACCAGTAATTTACGTGGCCCCTTCTTCAGCCACTAAAGTAAAAAGTCTTGGCTCCCCCGATTGGCATTGCTTCGATCTACTCAGCCAACCCACTCACGCAACAGGCACGGTCGATTGACACCCATAGCCACCACCCCCGCAGCAGCGTAGTTGCAATGACATACATCACAACAAGGAGTGCGTGTACCCCGCAGACGTGGAGACGCGCAAACGACAAGCAAGGTCGACGGTATCCGCGCAGTTCCTTTTTGTCACCAGGGTTGCAGTTGTTGTTTTGCGAATGGAGACTGTAAAAACTGCGCCTCGGCACTTGCACCTTACTGACGTCATTGTTGCTGTTGTTTGTTGTTCGAATGCTTGGCTCCCGTTTCTTGTATTCGATTTATTTTTCTACCCGTTGTGTCGTGTGTAGCTTTGTCAGCTAACAAAGGAAAGGGAAGGAAGAATTTCTAATGGCGTCCTAAGCCCTCCCATTGTATTTTTTCGAGAGAACAGGGAATAACAGTTGAGCCAGGCCACGGCATTGCATGGCAAGTGAGAGTGAGAGAGTGTGAGAGAGAGAGAGAGAGAGAGAGGGATTTTTAAGGTAAGATGATGGCTTATTATCAGTATGTGGTCGTTGTACCACCATAAAAACAATTGACTAACAAGCGTTCGTCGTTATGCTGGCGAAAAAAACAAGAAATAGAGAACAGAAGGGAAAAGGAAGAAGAGCGATATTGACATCATCTTTTGTTTACATCTTGGCCTTGCTTCTGGTCGGAGAGGGAAAAAAGGGTTAAAAAATTATCAATGTCCTAGGCATTAAGGCAGAGGAGATGAAATGAACGAACGACGAAGAACGGGTGGATGGAAGGATGGAAGGAAGTTGAAAAAAAAGAAGGGGACCTTTTCTTTGTCAAGAGAGAGGAGATGAAAAAAAGGCGAGACAAATTGAATGGGAGGGAAAGGAGGTATTCTCAAATTCCCGGATGACTACATCTGGGTCATTTCATTTATCCTTTCTCCATCCAACCTATCCATCCTCTCGTGCCTCATGCTCCCTTGTCAGTTGTCAGTTGTCAGTTGGCTTGTTTGCTCTTAATCTAGTGACCTTGTGACCAGGTTTCTCATTATTATCGGGAAGGGAATGCAATGGAATGAATAGAAAGACAACGAACACAATGCAAGAAGGGCCGGGTAGCCCTTTTGCTGTGCTAATCAATTGCACATGAAGACAGACAGACAGACAGACAGATAGATAATTAACGGGAGCGGGAAGGCGTTGTCCACTTGATCTCGCGACCTTGTGAGAGGAGGGGAGGCAATTTCCTAGGTGCAGAAAAAGACGTAGGGATTACGTCTGGATTCTGAGTGGACACAGAAAACAGGAGTTGCATTCACCGAACGTGAAAGAACAAGTATTGTTCAGGAAAGGTAATTTTCTTGTATTACTTCCAATGCTATGATTGGTGCCATGATGATGACGGGGAAGCCAAGACTTTTTATTTTGTTTCTTGTTTTTTTCAACATATCCCCTCGGAAAATGGAGTGGTCGATTACTTGTACGTGAATGGAGGTGGAGTGATAACCACCCTGGGAAGAGACCGTCGTTAGAGCTAGTCGCTTCTTGCTTGAAATAGAAATGTGTCTCCATGGTCTGTCTCTGGTCACTTCTCTCTGTGTGCGTGTTCATCTTTTCTGCGGGGTTGGTCGATAAAAATAAGGTGCTGGGCTTCGATCTATCCTTTTCGAAGGCTTGCCTTATTCAAATTGGTCCGTTCACGAATTAGTGGAGTAAGTGAGTGAATGGGTTAAAAAATGAAAGGCCAGAAGAAAAAAAAAGGGATGATCACGTTTGGCGGAGTTTTGGAGGGATGGAGGGCATGATAAAGAGAGAGAGGAGGAGGAGAGAGGGTGGTAAAACGGACAAACAGGTCTTCACAAAGGAGAAAGGGGACAGTGGCGGCTGGTGGCAAACAAAGAAGGCGAGGAAAACGACAAAGAAGATGCAAGGCATGAAAGAAGAAAGAAGGAAGGAAGGAAGGAAAGCCTGCCCTGGAGCAAATGTAATGCAATTGAACGGGAAGAAGGAAATGAAGGAGGAAATGGATGCGAGGGATAGAAAGTGACACGAAGGGAAGGATTAAAGTGAAAGGGGGCAGGGGGGGAGGAAGCATAAGCATAGGCTAGAAGTAGTGTAAAAAGGGAAGAGCGAGGAAAGTCTAATAAGGATAAGCAGAGGGAATAGACCCGATCGGAAAGATGCCCAATAAAGATAAACGGACATTATTGTTTGATGAAGGAGAAACGCGGTGGGAAAGGCAAGGAGAGAGCAGAAGCACAAGGGAAAGGAGATAATTCAATATGGGACGAAGTGCGGATGGATTAATGGAAATTTTCGATCGCAATTGCATGTATGCCGATTACTATGAGAGCCAAGAGGGCCTGGAGAGGGAGTGCTTTGAATACTTGTTTTGATTGTGTGTTTGTTGGTTCAACTGTGTGTGTGCGGAAGTGTTGCCACTGCTTGGTAATGCGGTGCTCTCATTGTCAATTGGATATAGAATGAGAATCCAATTCAATTGAGAGAAATACATACGCTGGCCAAAGGGCACAGTACTTCATTCTCCAGGGGGAAGGCATACCAAACTGAGATAATGCCGAGTGTTGTTGACAATGAAAAAGAAAAAGAATAAAAAGGCGGCAATGTCCCCATTGGTTTGCTCCGTTTTTCCTTTTTTTCTCTCATTTTCGCCACATCTTCTCTTCTTTGTCTTAGACGCACACCAACAGCAACTAACAAACACAAGCACACAAACATCTATCAACTACGCCCATTTGTTCTTTTCACTCTCTCTCTCACCTACTCTTCAAACTCAACACAACTCAACTCAACTCAACTCGGACCATCTCTCTTTCTCTCGATATATCTCTCACTTTTTCCTCAGCTCCCCATCTCTCTTTTTTCTTTGTTCGCAAACACCAATTCGCTGCTCGACAAACACCTGCCAGCCAACCAACACCATCAACACCACCAAACCATCGCATCAATTCGCTCATCCATCAACTCATCCGAGAGCCAATTGACTACCAAACCAACCTTCCAAAAGACACATTTCCAACCAACCATCGTCGATAGTAAGTCCACTCACACTACACCATCTCGCCTTTGTTGTTCTTTTTTTGTCCCTTTACTCCTTTTTCAATTGCTCTTTTCACCCCCTTCTTCGCCATCGCATCAGCCTCTTCTTTTTCTTGTCTTGAAGTCCACACGCATCCACTCTTTTTGCTCCCTGACCTCTGCCCTGTCCACGGCACATTACCATTCGCCATTTCTCCCTTTTGTCAAGCTTCCTTTTTGTGCATCTTTCCACTTCCATCTGTCAATCTCGTTCTCTCTCTCTCTGGCTTACTTGACACCACAGCAAAATCTACACATCAGAGTGAGCAGGTGGAGAGATACAGTCTTGCCGAATTTGTCTTACTAGCTTTTGTAGTAGTAATAATCCCTTTTTATTCCTCCTCCTTATGATCACTGTTTTTTTCAACCTTCAGTCATCATTTCAACATCATCATTGTTGATTTACCTCGCTTTCTTTTTAGTCCCTTTAACACACCTTTTGTTGTTTGTTGTTTTGTGTATCCGTGAATTGCTCGTCCTTCGTCACTTCCTCTCCTCTTGCTTCTTTCCCTTGTACTCTTGCACAGTCCTGATTTTCTTTTCATTCCTACTACTTTCGCGAAAACAACAGTCCATCACCGCCCACTGCAACACACAAGCACTTGCGCCTCATACCATCAAACACTGCCTTTGTCGCGCCGTCTATTTTTTCCCTTTTTTTTAATTCTTCAATTGCTTTTTCCTATTTGCGCCTCCTCCTCAGTCGAATCGCGAGCCCTTTTTTCGTTCTATCCCTTGTCCCTTCAGCCCGTTCTCAGTTCAAAAGGTAATAAAAAAACACCCGCCCAAAAAATTATTTCTTCGCGCCTTTTTGCAGACATAATGCGCCGAGGAAGGGAGCAAGGGACAAACACACTGGGCCCCCGATGTGTTGGGTGTTTATGTTCGATGGATGTTCCTTGTGATTAGAATTTAGGTGTGTCCAGGAGGTTTTTGGGAACGGGGAGAGAAGGCAACAGAGGGAACACGGAGAGTTATTTCACGCACCCTTCTCCACTCGTTCGTCATGCGCCACCACCACGTCCAATCGTTTTTCTTTACTACTCTTTACTGCATTCTGGACACAATTTCTTTTCTCCCGCCCAAACTTTGTCGTACCCAACCGCAGTTCTTTTCGTTCTTCAACTTACTTTTTGCTCCCCCCAAAACTTGGCCCAATTGACATTGACACGACACGACTCGATTATACACAAACAAAACAAAACAAACGACGCAGCAGAAGTCAAGAAGAACACAAAGAGAAGAAGGAGCACACTAGAAAAAGCAGCGAGATCTCGATGACACCTTCTTCCACTCCCCCTCCTCCTCCCCCCCCACCCCACAACTGCCCATTTTCGATTGACCCAGACAGTCAGACAGACCCTCAAACAGCCGACCAGAGACTAGACCTCATGACCTCCTCTTGTCTCGTCTCCTCCTCTTCACCACCTGCTGCTCCTCCTCCACTTGCTGTCCACTCCGCCTCTACCCATTGCTCCAACTTGGTGCTCTCCCTTTCTACATTGCTCTCTTCCCTTCACCCCTCCCCACTTCCCCTCCCTCGTCGTCGTCTCGCTCACTTTTTTCACTCCTGCTCCTTTTCATTCATTGGCAGACTCAGACCGGCAGTTGATCGCCCTCCTCCTTCACCTGTCACTGCTTGCTGCTGCTCTTTGACCTTCTCTTTTACTCTTCTTTTCTTCTCCCACTTCCTGCGTGCTCCTTTCCTTTACTCTCCACTTCTCGATTGTCTGATGCCAAAGGCAACTGAGGTATTTCAGTGAGCACACGCATACGCAAACACCACCTATTTTCAACACACCATACAAATATTCACTTACCCTAAAGAAGACCACTCTTGTTTCCAAGCATGTGCAACTCGGATCCAGAGTCATTTGTGCCACATTCTCGGGTAATGCATGGCTGATGTATATCTACAAAAGAGGAACGTGTAGGATGTGGTTGTGGGCTTGACTCGCTTGAGAGACTCTCTGTTATTGTTTGTAACAATTGAGGATGGTGCGAGTAATTATTATTTTTCTATAGTACATTTTTTCTTCTCTGTCTCCAACATCTTCTTTTCATGCACTATTATCTCCACCGGGTTTCTGCATTACATCCCCCACATACATACATACATACATACATACAAACGCAGATACAGCTCATTGCGCCTTTATGCCTTTTGTTCTCAAAAAGAAGACGGTCTTGTGGATTCTTCTCCGCCACTCTTTTTTATATCGGTTCTGTGAGACAACTCAGAACAGTGTCGTGCACGTACCTTTTGATTGCTCCCTATTTTGTCAATTCCGTCGCATTACATCCCCATCCACATTCACACATACCCTCAATTGTGTGTCTCCTTTCCCTGCACTACCCCTACCTTTTGTCAATTGCCCAATTGTTCCCACCACGATCATCTGTGGTTCTTGGTTATTGTTTTGCCTTTTTTCCTTTTTCCCTTTTGCGCGAGAGATAAAGACAAGACAGGTGTACGAGACGTGATAAGAGTCAAACAAGCGCCAGTGAGTGAATGAGTGAGTGAGTGATGGAACTCCTGAAGGGATGTCACACGTGTGCCTTCTGTTCTGTGCGTGACTGATTGAGTTATTTTTCAACACGACAGACTTTCCTTTCTCCCCTGTGAACTATGAACACCTCGTTGTCATTTTTTTTTCTCGTGGTACAGTGTGCCCCTTCTACGATCTCCCTGATCAATTGAGTTCAATTTTTGTTCGCAACACAGAAAGTGTATGTGACAAAGTATGATGGGAGTGGATGTTGTGCATTTGACACACAACAATGTCATGCAGTTTTCTCCTTTTTTTATTAATACTCGTAATTGTCGAAGTGTGGTAAGAACAATAATAAGTGGCGGAGGCGCAATGAATGATCAATGGCGACTGGTGAAGAGAGAGTGTGAGTGAGTTTGAAAAAGGGAGGGACCGAGGGAAGGATGGAGAAGAGATGATCCCTGTTTTTTGGATTTGATTTCCTTTGGACAAGTGGACGATCCATAATCGAAATGCAGTGTTGTCTGTGTGTTTGTCGGTATGTTATTTTTGCTTTTCAGCGGCACAAGTCCTTCCCATCTGTTCAAGTCAGTCAGTCAGACGGCCTGGCTGCGATTGAAAAAAAACACCCCATTGTTGTGTGATTTTGGAGGAGAGGGGCAATTGTACATTGTGCTGATCTTACGAGCAGCAGCAAACAAACAAACATCGAATGAATTGAGGGTATTATTCAATCGAGGTGAATTATAAGCAATCGAGGAAGTTTAAATTTAGCCATGGGTTGAATGCCCTCCTCCTTTTTCACTGATGACTGATGTCATTGTGCGAACTTTGTTTTTGTTTCCTGTGTTTTTTGTTTAAATACGAGCTTACTTCACTGTGCATGCCCATTTGTTTTTTTATTTTTTGTTTTTGTTTTGTGTACACCCTCATATTGCTGACCCATCTGTCACTCAAATCAACTCACTCACATTCCTCTCCCTTCTTTCATCTTACCAACCAACCAACCAACCCTTTCCCGACTCTCTTACTCATTCTCAGTCATCCACTCCTCCCTCTCCAACATCCTCTGACTTGGTAAATTTCCTTTTTTCCCTTTTTCCTTTATTGCCTCGCTGATTAATCACGTTGTCTCCTCTGTCTCTTCAATTTTCCTTCTCAACCCTTCCCCTCCCTTCCATTCCGTTTATCAAATGAATTGATTCGTTTGACGTCCTCTTCTCCCGCCCATTTTCATTATTTTATTCCTCCTGACCACCACCACCCTTCCTCTTTACTTTACCTTCATCCTCACACACTCACTCATCCCCTCTTTCGCTCCTTCAACACTTACACTCACTCACTCACATACACACACATACACAAAGTACGCTTTGCTCATCACTTTCACTCATTCTCTCTGATCTGTCTGGTCAACTTTTGTTCATTCTCTCTCTCCATCGCCTTCTCTTTGTATGGACGTACGGACGTACGGACGTACGGACGGTCTTGGCATTTTTCCCTTTTCGAAACATTTGGCCACAGACCACTTTTGTGATCACAGTCCCCTTTTTTATCCGGAGATAAAAAAACTATTTCTTTGACCCTCTCTCCACTTCTTTCTTCTCTTCTTTCTTCTCATTTGAACTCTCTTTACTTACCAACGCTCTCTCTTTCTCTCTCTTTTCTTTTCTATTCCCTTCCTTCTTGGCAACTACAGCCCATATCCCCAAGTACACAAGCAAGATCGGTACCGACCCTCGCCACTCCTCATTCCCTTCCTACCTCTTCTTCTTCGACTGCCAAGAATAGCATCATCTTTACCATCTCCACAACCACAAACAGCAGCATAGCAATCGCCATTTCTTCGCCACAACAGCAACCACTTTCGACCTCTCCTCCCTCCTCTTCCATTTCCCCTTCTATACAACAACAACAACTGAACCATCCCACCGTCATGATGGTCGGACATGACCTCGCCAGCTATACGCAGTCCTTGCCACAGCCACCTCACTCACCCCCACCCATGCTTCCAAAGGAGACTTCCTCTTCTTCATCAGACCCACACTTGCATTCATATCATCGTCACATCCCTCACCAACACCAACAGCAGCACTCCCGACCAGTTCTCTTCCATTCGTCGTCGTCCACTCACCAGAGAGCTTCGTCACCATCACGAGGGCTGCGCACAGACTACCAAAGGTTCTCAACAGCCTTTTCTTCCCCTTCTCTTTCTTCTTCTTCCCTTTCCTCTTCTTCAGCTTCCCCTTCTTCTTCCACCTCCATCAACAACAACTCAGCCGCCAATCTCCCATCAAGCTCGACTTTGTCGTCGATTCTTCGCCTCCCCCCGCCTAGACCCTCCTCGGCAATGTCGACCCGTCTACCCGTGCGACTGGGCCTGGGCGATCCAAGGCTCCAGAACTACATGATCTCTGCCAAGCCAACACCATCATCTTCATCAGCAACTGCAGCAACGACCGCTTCTTCCTCTTCATATGGACGCCAAGATCGGATCCCAGCCGTGGGTGTGACTGCGCCAGGAGGTTCCTATCCTTCTGAAACTGTCCGTAGTGGCATCAGTAGCAGCAGCAGCAGCAACAGCCATCATCGTGCGATACCGCCCTTCCACCCTCCTTCCTCCTCACCTTCCGCACCCGACCAGAGCTCCAGCAGGACATACCCCGAGTCACCATCAACGAGACAGACCTCAATAAGCCATTCCAACAACGGACAATGGAACGACGTCAACGCTGCAGCAGTTGGGGGTCGACATTCTACATCGCCCGGATCACAACCTAGGTCATTGCCCAGCCCAACACCTTCAATGACACCCATGTCACCTGATTATCGCCACAGCCATGACCCATCCCACCAGCAACAGCACCCCCAGCAGCACCGAACCCACCAGCAGCACGACTTGTTGTCGCCTTTGGCTTCTGAAATCGAATTGGGTTCTGATACCAAGCCATTGACACCGCTGTTCCGATCCAACTCCCCACCTGCCTTCAACTCAATGAGTCACCGACCTTCATCGTCAGCGTCTCACTTGGGATCTGCCCACATGACCAACTCGCTTTCTGCGACAAGCAATGGGTCTGCTGGTGTATCAGGTGTTGTTCATCCCAGCCCTGCCTTGGACCGCCGCGCGGTGACTCCCCCAGCGACCAGTCTGGGCTGGTCCGCCAAGCACCACCACCACAGGATACCCGTCCGTTCTCCGGACCGTGCTGACCATGAGCTCTTGACAACCTCAACCACTGACAGTGAGCCCAGCGCCTACATGAACATGAATTTTTACGATATTTACCGCCAGAACCCCAAGCTCCTCCGTCCCGAGGGAGGCCGTCACGAGGAACGCCGACTCCAGGCTTTCCATCACCATCAAGCCAACCCTCAGTACCACCCTCATCCTCACCCCGACAGCGCCTGCCCTGGTGACTATTCCCGTCCCATTAGTCATGCCAAGCGATCTTCTGCTGGAGGACTCGGTGGACTCTCTCGTCGTCAATCGATGCCTCTTATCTCGACGGCTACTCAACGTGTCCTCCGACATGAAGATGCCAAGGTAGAGCAGCAGATGTCGTTTGATGAGCATGTTGATGATATGGCCGTGAAGCAGGATCCGAACTACCATTACCACAGTAGACATCATGGATTGGGCATTCAGCAGCAGCAGTCAACTTACGCAGGTGCTTACAAACACACATCCGTTATTCCGTCTCTCCAGGCTCGACCAGCACCCATGTCGATCCACCATATCCTCAGCGATGATACCACCCATGGATCAGAACAGGACCGGTTTTCGTTCCGCAGCGATGACGATGATGATGAAGAGACGGATCGGTATTCTGAGACCATGGGTCTGAACTATGGTTATCACAGCGGTGCTGCGCCCTACTCGTCGTCGTCGAAGGCATCGCAGAAGCGCAAACAGGACGAGAACGACGGCGAGCCCAAGAAGCGCAAGCGCATCTCGAAGAAGCAGGCTGCGGAGATGGGATTGCTTGGTCCCGAAGGTGTTGTCAAGCGGAAGCGCACCAAGAAGATTCGCGAACCCGGTTATGTCTCGCCCACAGGATTCTCTCATGGTGGAGAGCGTGTTGTTCAGGAACCCGAGGAAGTTGTTGTTCTTGAGCCCGATGTCGGACCCGTCTCTATTCTCGATCATCAGTCGCTTCCCAAGATCATTTGGAAAGGTATGTAATCACTTCCAACATTCCAATGTTCAATGATCTGCTTCGATTTGATTATGTAACATTTTCGTCTTGACCTTAGAAATTAACCCTTTTTATTTTTCTGTTATCTTTTGCTGGGCTTAGGTTACCCATTGAACATTTCGGGCAAGATTGGATTCGAATTGCTCCATCCCTATGAGGTCCACATTGCCTCGACTCTGCGTCTCTCGCCGGCTCAGTACCTCGCCTGCAAGCGCACCCTCATCCTTGCTTCGCGAAAGTACCTCTCTGTCCCCAACGGCAAGCAGTTCAAGAAATCGGATGCCCAAAAACTGTGTCGTATCGATGTCAACAAGACCAGTCGTCTCTGGGAGATCTTTGCCAAGGTCGGCTGGTTGGCCGGTATCACCGAGCAAGACCTCTAGATTGACCGTTAACCACCCTCAGATCCTTCTTTCCAGTCAGGAACATTGCGAAAGCAGCAATTAGCGATATATCTTTTCGCACCTTGGCGCTCTGCGATAAGGCGCCACTTTTTACATTTTTTTCGCACAGTCGTTATTCTTTTTCTTTATCCACACTCTTTCGTAACCTATATTGCTCTTTTTTTTTCGCTCTTTCACTTTCGCACAAAAAAAAACCTACACCTTGTTTACCCTAATTCCTTCCATTTTTTTTTCTTTCTTACATTTGTTTTGCAGAGCGCAAACTTGTCACCACCACCCAATTGTGTACTTTAAAGCCCCCCAAAAAACACTTGCTACTTTTATTTTTCTTTACCTTTGTACATCCACCCATTACAACAAAAAAAACTTGTACGATACTATACTCTTTACATCATTCCTTTCTTTCTTCCTTTTTCTATACTTCTCTTTGCTTTAACGACTTGTACGACATGGATGACAAACACAACGTCATGCTATGCTTCTCTTGCTATTGTATTGCTGCAACTACCCCCTCCTCTCCTTTCATGCGAAAGTCCACAAAAAATGAAATAAAAACAACACGATTGAATAACTCTACACAACGATGCATGGTATGCAAGGCAAACTAATTGGTATGTGTTTTGATGCATGTGCATGCCCTGCCTGTTCGGCCTGCCCTGATGACAGGCTTGTGTAACTATTATTTTTTGGTAGGCCTGGACTGGGCTTGCAAAGGGAAGGGGGTCCCTTACTTTCTTCCAGCCCTGCCTTTGCATTTCTCTCGTCCCCCTTCCCCTCGGCATTTTGACAGGTAGCATAAATCCATAGAGTTACTTTTACTCTTAATTGCTTTTTCGGCCAATTTTTTTTTATATTTCATTTACGACAGTTCTGCATGAACACATATCTTTCCTTTTTTTTTTTTTGGTTTTGGTTGTTGCTTACGCTCCCTCACTGTCATTCAGGACTGGGGTGGGAGGAAGGGAGTAGTTCTGTACTTTTGTAGTCACTGTTCATAGAACAGAATAGAGATATTTTCTTTTCCTTTTTTTTCATGCCTTGGTATTGTTTCTGCATATGCTTGACCTTCTTTTATTTTAGAGGATTATATTATTGTAAAGTGGGGACTCATGATGGGAACGAAAAATTATGGTAAAGTAGAGAGAGGGACAAGCGAGGGGAAATGAGAGGAAACGAGGGGCGTGAGAAAGAGGCGAAAAAAAAAAGTTCAGGGTAATGGGCCAGAGGTAAAACGGTCAGGGTAATGGTCAGGGTAAAAATGATCAGGGATTTCTAGGGAGGGACAATACAAAGAGACTAAAGACTAAAAAAAGGGTAAAGGATTAAGTGTGAAAGGGGACTAGTCTCTAACAACGTAGGATTTTTTTTGTATAACCATGACCATGTCCCAAAAGTGCTCGTCGTCAGTTGGTTATTGGGATGAATGAAGTGTCCAGGAATAGACAACGCTAGATGGAGGAGGCGAGTCATGGTCGAGTCATTAGGCGAACGTAGGTGCTAAAGACTAGTATTCTCCTTGCTGGTACAGTGTGTTGTTGTCGTTGTATAGGAAAGGCTGTTGGTGTGGTAGTGAAGCTTGGGGGCTGTTGTGAGAGCTATGGCTGTTATTGTTCCGTGGAAGGTGCTGGCTATGTTGGTAACTGTGCTGCTGTTGTTGTTGCGGCTGTTGTTGAATGTGGTGGTGGTGGTAGTAGTTGTCGTAGGGATGATCAGGCGACCGTGGACCCCTGAAATTGGACCCTGACCTTGCCCCTGAGTTTTCATTTGCACCTGATCCATCACGTCGTGGAAAGAGCATTGAAGGTGGTGTCGGTACTGTTGGTGTCGTACTCAGAGAATATCCAGTAGGCGAGATGAGCGGTGAGCGGGGGTTACTCCTTGGACTCGTATGCATCATGGCTGTTGTTGCTGCTGGTGTCGTCAAGATCGACGCGATATCTGAATCAATAGGTTGCAGTTTCTGAGCCCTCGACATCGCCATCGTCCTGCCAGTATCACTATAGTAACTCTTGTCGTTCGTGTTCTGAAGGGAGGGTGCAGAATTCGACCAGGGGAAGGGTGAGATCTCACTACTACTACTACTACTACTACTGCTTCCTGCAGTGGAGGGAGTCATCGTCGTACAAGGTGAAATAAGTCCCGAGGATGACGCATATTGACAAGAATTGCGTTTCAGGGACATGGACAGGGGAAGTGGTGAGTGTACAGGCATGCGTTTAGATTTCGTGCCTGTTCCCGATCCAGATCCCCTGGTCGATGAGGGGTTTGGCGAGGGGAGTGAATCGAAATCTGGATGATTCCATCCCCCTGTGTACGGTGGGTAATACGAGTCTAGACCTTCTCCTCCTCCTCCTCCTCCTCCTCCTCCACTAGGCGAAGTTGTAGAAGACGTGGAAGGCGAGTCCAGAGAGTGTTGTGTGGAGATAAAGTCGACGGGGGAGGAAATTACATGGGCGGTTGGGGCCGTCACTGCCAATGGTAACCGCGACGGCGCATCTTTCTTCTTCTTGGCAGGTAAGCTAGTGCTAATAGTATTGGTGTAGGATTGTCGTCGGAGAGTTTTGAAGAGCCCCTTTGAAGATGGAGGGGAAAAGGTGGAGGATGTCGGCGACTTTTTGGAGTCTTTGGGATCATCAACGTTCCAGAACTCTGTCATCTGCGCTTGTTGTTGTTGAGGTTGCTGACCAAAGGAAGGCGACAAAGGGGACACCAAAGACGCCGAGGAGGAAGAAGAAGCGCCAAACAAAGACCTCAAACTCGGTCGCCGCGGAGGACCAATCCCTTTGCCATCCACGCACACCACTCCTCCGTTGCTGGAAACAATACCGCGCCGCCGATAGTAACAGCATAGTGCGAGTCGCGAACTGCCCAGGATACAACAGAAGCAGCCCGCTAATCCGCCCAGTGCTGCACAGATGGTGAGAATAACCGTGTTCCGTGATGCTGTAGGACTTGATTCGTTGTTCTGCTCAGAGTCGGGGTTGGAGGTTTGATTGTGAAGGCGGTGGTTGGGATAGTCGTGTGTAGATACGGTGTGGACGACGATGCCGTCGAGGTTCTTTTCGCTAACTCTTTTTGGGCCTGTTCCTTCTGGCGATGGGGTATGCGGCTGTTGTTGTTCTGGATGAGGTCCTGGAGGGATGTGAGGTTGAGGTTGAGAAGAAGGAGGAGGAGGCTTTGTCTTAGGTTGAGTCACTGTCGAGGAGTCGTGTGCTGAAGCAGTAGATGGTGGTGGAGGAGGAGGAATATCGACCGCACGAACGACCAGAGGACGCGACGTGATGACCGCATGCGAATCCCTCGCCTCGTTTTCATTATTGTCGCTCTTCATCAGTCCAGGGTCCACTCCACCAAACTGCGGTGCTGCAGCGTTCGTCCTACTACTGTTACTGCTGTTGGTTGCTGTCGTTGGGCTGGTATTACTGGAAGAAGGAGAGTCCTGGGCAGAGAAGAGGATATGGAGATAGGACCAGGTCTGGACAATGGAGAAGATGAGAAGGATGATGACTACCAGGACAAGGAGGAGGTTGAAAATTGGACCCCATGGTGTTTTCTTTTTCTGCGGTTGTGTCTGTGTTGTTGACGACGAGGAGAACGAAGTAGAAGTGGAAGTGGAAGTGATGGTGGATAATGGTGCGAGAGAGGTTGTGGAGGTACCAGAAAGCGGTGCCTGTTCTGTGGATGCGCTAGAGTGGAGAGTTATGGCTGACATGGTTCTTTAAAAGAAGGAGTATAGGCACAAAGGGGGTAGGTATGAACCCTGTTTTTTGAGGGCTATGGATCCTGTACTATATCTTAAGAAGAAGCGCTGTAAACAAAACACAGAAAGAAAGAAAGCAAAAAGTGAAAACAGACAAACGAAAGTAAAGAGTTGTGCAAAAAGATAAAACGAGAGCGACAAAGCGAAGCGAAGACTGTGAAGCAAAAAATAATAATTGAAGGAGACAACCAGAAAATCGTAACAAAAGAGCGGGAGACAGAGAGAAAGAGAGGGAGAGAGAAAGAGAGTAGCTACCACGTTGCCGCCGAGGACGAACAAGGGATGAGATGCCTTGTCGCGGAGTCGCGCTCAACAAGGGACAATATCACATAATGCACTCTCAACGAACGAATATCGTGAGTACAATCCTCAGAGCCATTCAAGTGGATGACGGATGAGAATCCTTGACCATTGTAGAAAAGGGACAAAGAGGCGCACCCAGGAGTGTTTGACGGGGAGGAGGTGGATGAGTAAAAGCATATAAGAGAAGTAATCCCTTTTTACCTCTTTCTCTCCGACACTACAGCAACACAGCAACACACCATGCCCTTATTCATGTAAAGAGATTGTATTACCTCATCGGTCAATGACATATCTAGCACTTCCTATGAACCGGAGCAACAAGGGCAATACGTCAAAGGCGGTGAGATTAGTGGTCATGAGCAACGATATTGGTATACTCATCTCTCTCTCTCTCCTTCAAGGAGACAAAAAAAAGGGAAGGAGGTTTGAGAAATCAGATACAAGAACGCGCTCTCATAAGTGGAGATAGAAGGGAGACAAAAGACGTTCACGCGCGTGGCGATTGGTGAATTTGAGTCCTTTGTCTTCTACGATATGAAACTATTTTTTTGCCTCTGCTTCTTTTTCTCGTTCTTGAAGATGTTGATAGGGGAGCGAGAAACATCGTCTAAACCTTAGATATGAACAGAATGAAAAAGAAGGTATCTCGATCGAGAGAGAGGGGGTTCCCACTAAACCCATTTTGTCTTTGAAAATAAGGGCTTGCAGGGTGCACGAAGGAATGTTGCCATGCACAGACAAGTGGATCTATAATATATATGTATATATGTCTATATATTTTATTTGTTGCTGTACATGAATAAACCAGAAGTGAAAAAAAAAAGAACGATGACAAACAAGTGGACTTAATGGCCAGATTTGACCTCATCTATGACATGGTAAACCTCCTCAACATTACCAGGACCCTCGATGCAGAGTCCCAAATTCCGGATAACACCATCGCTCAACCGATAGCACCATCCATGAACACTCAGCTTCTCGCCCCTCGACCAGGCCTTCTGGACAATACTGGTATGGCAGACATTCAACGCAGACTGGATGACATTCAGCTCTGTCAACAGATCCTGCTGCTCTTTGCCTCCATGGGGGAGAGTATCGAACTTCTTGCGGTGGATCGTGTATAGATCCTTGATGTTCCTCAGCCAGTTGTCGATCACTCCAAACTGCTTCTGGGTCAACGAGGCAGCGACACCTCCGCAGCCATAGTGTCCGCAGACGATGATGTGGCGGACCTTGAGGACGTCGACGGCGTACTCGAGGACCGACAACAGATTCATGTCGGTGTGGGTGACAACGTTGGCGATGTTGCGGTGGACGAAAATCTCGCCGGGATCGAGGTTGACGATCTGGTTTGCAGGCACACGCGAATCCGAGCAGCCTATATATTTGAATGATAAGCAAATAGAATTGTCAATTAAATGTCCTTTTGTTTCGTTCATTTATTCATTTAGGGGATTTGCAAGAAAAGATTGTTGGGGGAAACCAAAGCAGCCACAATGACAAACAACTTTTTTTTTTCTCTCGTCCTTCTTTGTCACTCCTTGTCACTCTAGTACGGATGGGTGCCGATGGAAAGCACAAATGACACCATCGATCTCTTCCTTATCTCCATCTGGTTTCTTCCTCGGGAATGCCAACACCCGACACACACTCCAAAAAAATAAAAATCTCCATCAGATAGTTAAAAAAAAAAAACTTACCGATCCAGAGGACTTGAGGCTTTTGCTGCTTTTCCAACTTGGCAAAGAACCCAGGACGATCCTGCTCAGTCTTGAGGGCCCAAGCCTTGTTCTGGCCTAACAAACGCTCAGAGAACTCGCGGGCCTCCTCGGAGACTGGAGGGAAGTTCGAGGGCTCAACACGTGTATCATCGTCACTATCAGAATCCGTTCCTGCCGCTCCGTGGTGAGAGCATCCGCAACCCTGATGCGCTGCAGACTTTTGAAACGTTTCCTCAGCGTAAACACTCTCATCAAGTGTAGGGATATTGTCATGGGCGGTGCGGCCGTCGTGATGGACCTGTCCGAGACGCATCTGGATGATAGCATCGGTGGCCTTGGCGGCAGCAAGGGTAGGGCTCTTGGGGTTCACGGGGAGACGACCGCTCGAGACGGCAGCGATCTTCTCATCGACAGAGTTGCCTCCATTCTGGTTAGAGGCATTGTCCTTGTTATCGCTAGATGAAGAGGGGGAGGTAGCGGATGTAGAAAAGGCAGAGGAGAAGACGGACTGGTTCTGCTGTTGCGCTTGGGCAACGGCCTTCTGGACAGTGGTCTGGAACTTGCGGAGGAAAGGATGGGCACGCGAGTAGATGGGCGAAGACGAGGTGAAGACTGAGGACTCAGGAGCGGCGGAAGTGTTCTGGAGAGGAGCCGAGATGGAGAGTGGGGGTAGTGCTTCGGTGGCAGTGGTCTTTTTAGGAGGGACAGGGACAGGTGAGGAGGGAGAGGGGCCCAAAGTCATTTTTGATCGGGTTTGGATGTAGTTTGGTCTGAATGAGGAAGAGGAGAGGGAAGGGAGGGAATGAGAAGAAGAAGAAGAAGAGAGGGATGAGGAAGAAATAGAAGATGTGGAAAAAAAGGACAATGACTGGCGGGCGGGATCAGTGACCGAGGTAGAAAAAGAAGACAGTCTGGGTTTGAGATGGGCCAGGTGGCGAGAAGGGATCAGCATATGGGATGACTTGTTGCTCTTGACTGCAGCAGTCATGGCAGACTGGGGCAGTCGTGTGAGGAGGGATGACCGTGTCTGGAGGATCAGCATCGCTGTTTTATGGGTTGGTTAGGTATGGAGTGGTAGGATAGGTGAAGGTGGTGGCGGGAGGGAGGACCAAAAGTAGTCGGTTGGTAGTACTGTACAAAGGACGTTGTGATAAAGTGAATAGGAAATGAGTGATATAAGGGCGCGAGAGGGGAATGAACGGTACAAGGAGATGATATGTGTAGAGTGGGGAGTGTGGAGTGTGGAGTGTGGAGTGCGAAGAAGGGTGGAGGAATTGAAAAGAAAAGAAAGGGAAGGAGAGAAAGAAAAGGAGCGGTTGTTGGTTTGTAGAAAAGTGAAAAAGAAGAAAAGGAAAATGGGAACCGGCAACAAGGATGCCTGGCTATTTATGTCTGAAGGAAGAACCTTTGCTCTTTCTCGCTTCTCTTTTTCTCCTGCGCCTCGGTCCGGGTCTTGTTTGTCCTGCCCAAAACGACGATGATGTTGACCGAGTCAAGGGTCTTCTATCGCATCTCCTTGACTCGGTCAGGCACCCACCACCGTTGACCCGGATGGATCTCTCTAATTGACAATCCACCAAGAAAAAAGAAATGTGTGTCTGTGGCACTGACACCTGTGCTCCCCTTTCCATATTTTTACAAAAGTTTCCGAGGTGAACCCTACCTTATTGCAGATGTCGTGGGAAAAAAAATACAACAACCAAAAAAATGCCACCCAACTTATCCACTAAAAAAAACATACAGATTCTGACCCCGCATTGCATTTTGTGGTCCAACGGGACTGTAGAATCAATGACATACTCTGACTCTCCACAAGAGGGTTTACACATCTTTTACCAATGAAGATGCTGACGACAGATCCACTGTTGCCTCGCTGCTAAACCATTGGCTTCTTTCATCCATCCTAGGTGCCCATCCACATTACTCTCCGCAACTATCCTCTTTCCGTAGAACCAACGATATCTACACTATTCATTTCTAATTTTATTCAAACTGAAAAGGCGTCAATGTTGCTCCATGTCAGGAGGGAGTGGGCGCGGCCAGACTTTCCGCCGCTGATTCTCAAGATCAACCCCAATCAAGAACCCAAACCGCTCAAAGAACTCGTCCGGCAACTCCCAATCACTCGGATGTAAAGGGGACCCATGACAGATCGCCTTGTCAACCAACAACTGGAACACCTCGTCCATGTTGTACTTGTGCTGGTGAAGAATCATCTGTGCCCGCAGTTTAGGGCAAGGGACGAGGTTGATCCTGGCATCGTGGGGGATCTGGTAGATCTGTGGGTCAATCTTGGGGTCCACTTTGAGGGGCCCCGCGGCGAGGACCTTGAATGACTTTTGGAGGCGATGGGTTGTGTGCAGTAGCTCGGACTTTGTCAACGGCGTTTGAGTTGTTGTCCTTGATGATTTTGTGGATGTCGTCTCTGGTGGTGTAAATACTTTTGAAGAGAACGTCGTTCTCGCTCCCTGTCCGTCGCTCGTTGTCATCATAAATGTCGTATTAGTAGTCGCACTTCCCGATGCTGCCGTAGAATCCTCGCCCTTGTCGCCCAACTGATCAAACAACTTGTCGTTAACAACATCCTGCGGAGAGGCCATATTGGCGCTAACTAGTGACTGAAGGGTTCCAGGCGGGAAGAGTGACGACTGGAGCTCATCAAAAACCGTCGGATGCTTGGTATACTCGGTGATCTTGGGTAGGGGTGTTCCTGCAGGGAAAAACGGTGACAGAGGCACCACTCTTCCTCCTCCTGAGAGTGATGTTGTTGCTGCTGCGAGGAGGCCGCCTCCAATCATGGTTTGTGGTGATACATCCTCGCCTGCGCTGTTGAGTTCCGAGATTTGGAAAGATGCTGGTGCGCGATACAAGATCTCTCGGTTGATAGAGTAAGGTGTTGGTGTTGCTCCCGATCCTGTTGTTCCAGAGTCCGAGGGATTAGATGCTGGTGGCACCGATGGTGATGGCGACGTAGACGGGACTAGAGGATGAGGAGAATTTGTGCCTGCCCTTGAGAAAGGCTCTCCTGCTCTTGCTCTTGCTCCTGCTTCTGTTCCCGTCTCCTGAGGAACCTGTGCCGCGAGCAATTGAGGCTGACTCTCCGAGCTGATGATGTCGCTGAGCGATGGTATTGTCGAGGCTGTCGTCGACGAGCCAGGAATAGCACCGACAACGCTTGTCGCAGCTTGGAGGGCTGGGGATAATGAGGACCTTGATGACGCCAACGAAAGAGAAGGCAATGGTGGCGGTGGCTGTTGTTGCTGTTGCCGCTGTTGTTCCTGTGGCTCAACTGTGGCTGTTCCTGAACGTCTTCCCTGCTCTAACCGTTGAACCTGCTTCCCAACATACCGCCGATACAACCCTTGCTTAACATCCTGCAGCACCTCTATATCCCCTCGATAATTCAACGCCGACTCGAACGCAAACACAACCTCCTTCAAATACTGGTTCTCCTGAACCACGACCTGATTTTGAACTTTGAGCTGCTGAATTTCGCGTTGGAACCGGGTCGTGAGGACAAACTGTTGATCCTTGAGGTCCTGGATGAGGTTCTCAAGCTGTTGGAGGTGTCGTTCTTTTCGGTCCCGGAAGGCTCGTTGGGCGGCACGGTTTTGTTCTTTGCGGAGGGCTACTTCTGGTGATACTCCTCCGTCTGCGCCTGGTGCTGGGGGTGTAGGCTGAGTGGTGGAGGGGGAAGCGGCTGTCGTTGTGGTGGTGGTGGTGTTTGTGACGGAGGGTTTCTTGGCAGTGGGAAGGTGCTCGTCTTGGCTTGACTGGCCTCTCTGACTGGATGACCGTGCTCGCTTCTTGGTGGTGGTGGTAGCTGCCTTGAGCTTGGCTTCGTCGGCCTCTGATGAGGTCGACTGGTAAGAGCTCATCATGACGGGGTTGATGAAGAAGCGAGGAGAATGAGTTTTGAGAGTTGTTGCTGTTGTTTTTTGTTGCGAGTGAATGAATGAATGAAGACGTGTGATCTTGTCGTACTTTGATGTCGAGGAAAAAAGGAGTGGAGAGTGGAGAGTTGAAGTAAAGAGAAAAAGGGGAGAGGAGTGAGCTTGTTGTTTTTAAAGGTGGGAGAGTGGTGTGGAGATGATATGAATACCTCAGATACTGCTAGCCCTGCGGTGGCTCTCGTTCTCACTCACTCTCACCCACCACACATTTCTCCAACATGCCAGCCATCCAGCCAGGTGCAACCCCGATCGAATCGCAACGGTCCTTCTTTCCACGTGATGGTTTTTTGAAACTGGTTTTATGTTGTTTTTTCTAGTGGGGATGGTTAAAAAATTGAATGCTGAAAGAAAAGAAAAGAAAAGGAGAGGAAAGGATATGCCATGCTGTGGTGTGGAATAGTGGTGATAATGATGTGCTGGCCCAACAGAAAGAGCCAACTACTGTAGTGAACTAAGGTCTTAATGGTTGATCGTCCGGTCGTGTGTGCGCATTCCAGCGCTAGGCGTAAATGCTGCAAGCTCCTTAGCCATCTGACGAACCTTGGGGTCAAAATGCGACTAATAGGGTCAAAGCGTGGAGTACAAGACATACAGAAGAGCGTTAATATACTTTGTCTTTCACAGTTTTCCTCCAAAAGCAGCACCTCTCCGATGTTCACTGCAAAAGAAAGACATATTACCTTCATGAGCTCAAACTCCCAGAGACTAGCGGCCATAGGATTGCAAAGCTCAGGATCATTCAACTCTGGGTGATAAACACCATTTCCTGCTCGGTCCTCATCCGTGCCCGTCAACAGCTGATCCAACTGAGGCTGCTTCTGGACCAACTTCTTCATGATCATCAAAAAGTCCTTCATCGACTTGTTGGGGAACTGTAATGAGGCCACCGCAATCCTCTTCATGAACGATGCCGAACGGATCACGGGAATCTTGCCCTTTGTCGAAAAGAACAACAACTCAAATCCCTTCAGAATCAACTCCCGGTCGCTGCTCAACACCACCAAAACTTCCTCTTCTCCTGAAATCTTCTTGGCGTTCTTGCCCTTCCACTGTGACTTGGCCGCCTGCTTCTGTCTCTCCTTCTCCTTGGCCGCTACGTCGGCTGCCTCAAAGATGTTGCCCTCGATATCAGGGTTCAAGGCCACCGTCAGGAGCGAGGTATAAAACGCGTTGTAGAACGCCTTCAAGTCAATGTTCAACGCCTCTCCCTGTCCCTGAAGCAACTGGAATGCAGTGACGATGCAGAGCAGCTGTGTCCGGCGGTTAGCGGGTGTAAAGATGTCAAACTGATGGGCATCTGTTCCTCCGATCATAATCTTCTTCAGCACCTCCAGCAAGTCTGTGAAAAAGTCGACGTTAATCAAATGTGCGAACCTATGGAGTGGAATCAGTGAAAAGGGGAAAAATACGTTAGTAGTGATTCTATCACCCCAAAGTCATGTCACACAAACAATATCAAACAAACAGAGAAAAAAACACATACTTGGCAAGACCCTCCAGGACGGCGGGCAAAAGTGGGGATCCAGGAGCATGCTTGAGGATACGGAAATAGGTGATAAAGACCAGTTTCAAGGTCTCGGTCTGCATCCTCATCTTCTCCTCCTTGTCGACCACAGCCTCGGCCTCCTTCATCTCGACCTCAACCTCCTTCTTGGCCTTGAGCAGCTTGCGGTTCTTCTTACTAATGTGGACCTTCTCCTTCTTCTTTCTCTTCCTGGGGTTGTTGTCCTCGTCACCGCTGGCTCGTGTAGGCAACTCCTCCTTGAGACGCAATGACAAAAAGGCGCTGATGACGTTGGGGTGGACCAGGTACGACTTGGACTTGATCATCTTGGTAATCAGCTTGACAGCATCCAGTGACACCTCTCCTGCTTCGTCCTCTGCGAAAACCTCCTTCAGTGCCTTGCTGCAGGTCTCCGAGAGCTCGCTCCAGTGACGGCGACTCATCCTGGCGATCAAGGCCGTCATCAAGTTGAGACGGAAGTTGAAGTGGGTGACGCTGGTCAACAGGTTGCACATACAATGGACCGCGACGGTGGCCATATCCGCCTTGGCCTTCTTGGTCGCTGCATCATCAGTTCCTGCAGCAGCAGCGACAGGCGCTGTCAGTGAAGCGGTGGCTCCCTTGCTGGCAGCTGCCTCGGCCTCCTCTTCCTCCTTTCCTGACTTATCCTGAGACAGAACCTTCTCGAGTGATTGAAGGTAGTGCTGGTAGTTGAGAAGCAACGACTGTTCGTAGTCACGCAACTTGGCAACCTCCTTCGAGACTGTGACACTCTGCTCCTTCTCTGACAAGGGACGAATCCTGTATCCGGGCAAAATATCCTTGTAAACCGCCAACTGTGTCAACAGCGCCAACTTTTTGATCACATCGCTAGGATCCTGTGACATCGCCCTCAGCTTCTTCAATTGTCCGACCTATGATAGTTGATATTAACATTTTTGTAGGTTAGCTCTCTGTGTCTCATGGGATACATGCCTCGGATGAACATTGAAAATCGAAAAGTAGTAGAAAAAAACGTACGTGGGCTTCGGGGTCGGCGATGATGGTCTGGGCAATGGTGGCCATCTCCTCTTTCTTCTGAGCAAGAATGACCTTCTTGGGAACCTTCTTGGCAGGCTTCTCCTCTTCCTCTTCCTCCTCATCCTCAAACACTGTGTCCTCCTCTGCAAAATCACTATCAATAACCTCCTCCTCTCCCTCACTGTCATCATCCTGCTTCTCGCTAGGACGAACACGGTTATCCTCGACCTCCTTGATTCGACCATCCGCCAACTTGATAGGCAAACGTGTGCTTCCTTTCTCAGACCAGCCTTCGGCCTTACGAGGCGCCTGTTCGTAATCCTGCTCCTCGTCAGAGTCGACTATCCGCTCGTCCTCGCTGTCACTGCCCTCTCCTGCTGCTCCTCCCTTGGTCTCGTAATGGCCAGCCTCCATATCTGAAAAGTCCTCCTCGGACATGGGTTCATCATCGCTGTCCATGTCGATCTCCATGCCCTCCAGATCACTGTCGTCTCCCGAGTTTTCCGATTCTGAAGCAATATCGTCAGCAGTCTGTTCCACGGGTCCCTTCTTCAACGCACTCATCGTCGTCTTCTTCTTTGCCTTGATAATTTCGTTCCTATTCGATATAAGGATATCAATGGTTAGATTTCCACATTTGTTTTTGCTGGATAACAACGTGTTTGGAACATCGAAACGACAGGGGAAGGAGATGGAAAAGGCGACGTTACTTGGCGAGCTTGACGGTATCCATCTTGCTCAAGAATCCAGAGAGCTGACTGTTCTCCTTGAAGAACTCGATATCCTCCTCGTCAATCTCGACATCTTCAGAGACTTCAAAGTTGGGGACCACAATCTTGGGGACCTTGATCTGCTTCTCGCCCTTGTTATCCTTCTTTCCAATGGGCTAAATGATATCGTCGGTAAAAAGAGGGGGAGGAGGAGGAGGGAAAGTTTTTAGTATGCATGAAGTTAAGAGGAAGCGATAGTTCAGGTTGAGGTTGAAAAGGGGAGGGGTTGGTACCTTTTTCTTGGGCGCACTCTTCTTTACGGGGGCGGGCTTGCCGCCTTTCTTTGGAGGCATGATGTGATATTAGGGTGTGAGGGGGGGAAAGTGAGGGTGTAAGAGAAGAATGTGTATGTTGTAGTGACAGTAGGAACGAGACAAGGTCAGAGGCGTCAATTGGCAGAAGTAAGGGAAAAGTGAGAGGGGATGGAATGCAATGGGGGGCTACAGGGATGGTTGTCTCTGGTTCAAGGTTCTCGCTTTCCCTTTCTCTCCCTGGAAGTCAATGCCCTTGAGGGGAAAAAAAAAAAGAAAAAAAAAAAAAAAGTGAGTGGCTTGTTCCAACACAAACACTCTCCTCACCGTGACTGCCCCAGCCCAGCATTTCTCGACCCAACCCTCTCGGACTTTTTTTGTTCACCTGCCGCCCAAAGCTCCATCATCACAGCAGGACAGAACCAACAACATCATGGACAACCCAAACCAGAGCCCCAGGAACGAATACACTCCCATCTCCGAAGAACGGAGACGCTTCCTCGAGGAGAAATACAAGCGCAGGAACCTCGCCCCAGAAGCACTTATCATCCGCCCCGGTCTTCGTAAACTCCATCTCGCCACCGTCATCTTCGCCATCGGTAAAGAAGCACGCCATGGAAAAGCAAAGGGGCAGTTCGAGGAAGAAGCAATTGAATTGAAGGAGCAGGACCACTGGACTTTTTTGTGACATAATCCAAATGATCTCAGGAGCCAGGGACAAACCCCCCAGCTTATTGAAAAAAAGATTGGATAAGGAGTCTCTATCGGCGAAATCAGGGACGAAAACACCTTAGAGACAGAGGGGACAAGGGACTGATCTGAAATATCGATTGGGGGAACTAACCAGCGGAATCGCTCCTTGTAACAATATAGGCACGGCTGGATACTTCACATTGTATGCCGACTTTGGCGACAAGGAAACCTGCTTCTCACCGGTACGCAACCTTACTCCACTCCCTTCCCCCTTACCCGCCGCCTGAACTATTACCCGTCCCTATACCATTCGGCGAAAACTGACATTTTCTTTTTCCTCTTTTGATGAAAAAAAAAAAAAAAAAAAAAAAAACAAAAAAAAACGACACAGCTCAGGAGATTTTACCGCCGGAAGGTCAACGACTTTTGGTCACTAAGCGAAGAAGAAAAGAAGCAGCTCAAGGAACAAGGACGCCTGTAATATCAACCCCCTCCCCCCCCCCCCCCCCCCCCCCCAACAAACACCTACATCCTAGCGTTCGTCAGCAAGCAAAAAATCGCTCAACACACAAAAATCGCCGACACCCCTAGATTCCATTCCCCCTTCATGCAGTCACAAGAGTTCTTGAATGTGACATTCCCCTGGAAATTGACTGACGCCCTCTGCGAAAAACACTGGAACGACCCTTCTCAGAGCTCCCTTGTTCTGGGCGATGTGCTGCCGCAGGACGTTTTGTTTGTCCAGGACATATCATAGATAGGCCATCTTCAACTTTGTATTTTTAGCAAACCCCTTCATAAAACTAACAACAACACGATGAACAAAAAAGGTTACGAGAAACACCGACCTCCCATGACGGGGGAGATCGGCGCTAAAAAACAACCTCAATCAGATGGAGGTTTCTCTTTAATTTACGACACCAGACTGCTGCTGGTTCTGGTTCTGGCCCTGGTTCTGGTTCTGGTTCTGGTTTTGGTTCTGGGTTTGATGCGAGTTCGACTGTTGCTGGTGGTGCTGCTGATGATCCTTCTTGGGCACACGTTTCGCACGGCTGTTCCCATTGGACCCATCAAAATGCCGACTCGTTCCTCGGCTATGATTACCGCCGCCACCAATATCCTGCTGCTCAACACCTGTAGAAGCACGACTCCTTCGAGACTCGCTATCCTTCCCACCCGCACCAGATCCACGTCCAAGCCTAGAATGACCATGGTTATGGTGTCGACCAGACTGCAAGGGAGCCTCAAAACCGAGCACACCAGCACTGTTGCCTTGGATCCCGGGAGATCCATGATGATGATCACCGCCGCCGACTACTGAAACAGCTCCTGACGATGACGATGACGATGACGATGAAGTTGTAGTCGTAGCAGGCGGGAAAGGTAGGAAGAAAGATCCGAGTGAGGCGGATTTATGGTGTCCTGAACGACTCCTTCCGTGCCTTGCGCCTCTCTCTCGATGCTTCTTCTCTCCACCCTCAGCTCCTCCGCTAACTCCTCCAGTTACTCGGAAAGCACCAGTGCCTGTCAACGAAGATGATGACGACGAGCTCGGTCCACCAGCGCCGCTCAAAGATCCAGTAGCAGCAATGGAAGAAAGGCCGTCATGACCAACTCCTCCTCCTCCTCCTCCTCCTCCTCCTCCTCCTCCTCCTCCTCCTCCTGGTTTGCGATTCAAATCCGGGATCGACAGTTCAACAAAATCGTACATGGGTTCCTCCTGCATCAGAGGCGGTGGCTGATTCGCTGCCGCGGCCAGCGACATCTCAACAGACGCAAAAGGATGAAATCCGCCTGTACTCCCGCCGGAGAGATCCCCAGAAAGCAAAGGGAGGGATGGGGTCGAACTTACACCGGTGTGGTGAGCCAAGTTGGGGAACAAGAATCCACGCCGAATTGCCTCCGACTCATTGTCATCCCGCTGGTGTTGATGAAGCTGCGATCCGATCCTCGGATCCATATCGCCACCGTTGCCCAGGTCGATGCTACTACCAGCACTACCGCCGCCGCTATTCATCAACCGAAGCAAACTCGACTGTCGATCCTGATCCACCTGAAACTGGTGGTCGAGAAGGTTGGTACTGCTGTTGTTCAGGCTCGAGGAACCAAGACCAAACGGCAGGAATGTATCCGACATGGTATGGGAGCTTGACTTGTACGGATAGTTGGACTCCCAGGGGTTCACAAACGCCGTGGATGGCGACGAAGCCGGAGCCGGAGTCGATCCTGCCGCTCCTGACAATCCTGACAAAAGTGGATTGGCAGTAGTCGTGGACTCGAACCCAACATCCGACAGCAAACTGGTTTTGCCGCTGCTGCTGCTTGTTGAGATTCCTGATATTGCCGCCGTCGGGTTGGTGATAGCCATTGGCAATTCCAAAGTTCTCTGACCTCCCAAAACTGGTGAATTCGAGGCTGAGGAGTGGGCTGCAACTGCTGCAGCCTGAATCCTGCTACTGATCGTGGCGCTGAAGTGATGTGGTGACATGAAAGGGCTGTTTCCCAATAACGAGGGCTGGTTCATGCTCCCGGAAGCTCCCGCCGACTGCTGGCTGGAACTGATGCCGCTCTGCGACAAACGGGTGCTTCCATATGACGAGTCCGACGAAGCAAACATCCTGGCTCGGCCGGATAACAGCGACTCTGTGAGATTATTCTCAACCGAGCCCCGTCGACTACTGCTCGCGCTCCGACTGCCGCCAAAATAATCCATCGGGTCAACACAGTCAGACTCCAATAAAGGCGTCATTGGTGCTGCAATCGAAGACGATCTTGTCCGCATAGACCAATCCTCATTCCCGGTCAGCCCCATTCCGATCACAGATCCTGATCCTGATCCTGATCCTGCATCACGTCCGAAATTACCCCCAGAGTCCTCTCTGTAATGCTGACTGAACGGCATGATCCGAGGTGTGCGGGGTGAAGACTCAAAGAACGAGGAGGGCGGTAAGAATGAGCCCAATGTTGGTCGCGACTTGGACTGCAGGGTAGCCGCATCGATTTTTACCCGAGGTCGCGTCACAGATCTTGATCCATGTCTCCCTTTCTCCTGGTCGCTCTCGATCGTAATGTCTAACCCTGACTGGAAAGGTGAGTACCAACCCGAGGAAGGACCGAACAAGTCGTATTCACCTGCTCCTGAGGTCTCCAGTTTGTCGGTCTCTGACAAAGTCGCAGATGTAGCTGGCGCTGTAGTCGAAGTTTGCGAGGAGGAAGCATAGGGGTCGACATGTTCAGCAGTGAGGTCCACGGGAAGCGTCATCTGGTTCAGAGAGGACCCGCCAGCAAGTTTCGAATGACTTGCTCCTGATGTAGACCCTGCTGCTGATGTTGATGAATGTGGGATACTCCAAGGAGACACTGAAGGGAGTTGTGCCGATTGGGAGCGCTTGTGCGAAGGCTTCAGTCGAACAATCGAACTTGTCGAGTTGAGGGCATGCAGCGGATGAACAAAGGTCGAGTCGGGTGCCGAATCAAGTGGAGTTGAAGCTGAAGTTACAGGCGGGAGTGAGACGTTGGTGGGTGTAGGGCCGAGTGGAGTCTTTGAGTGTGACTCTGCCTCGTCTTTGCGCCGCGTCTGGGAAGCCGATTTTTGATGCTGATTCCTGGTCTTGCTTTCCTGTCGCTGGTGGAGGTTTCCTGAAGGTAGCGGATGTTGAGCTTGAGATCCTGCTGCTTTTTGAGAATTATGGCCATCCTGTGGGTTGCTTGTAGAAGTGGTGGTAGTGGTAGAAGGATGTGATGTTGGTTGAGTGGGGGCCGACGAGCTGCTGGTGCTTTTGTTGATGGTGTTGGTAATGGTCTTGGGCGGATCTGGGACGGGACTTGAGCGGGTGGATCCTGTCGATGGGTTTGATTGGCTGCTGCTTGCTTCTTTTTCGTCCTGCGGGCATGGTGTCGGCTAAAATCATACCCAGAGTACATTAATGGGGACTGTAAGTTTACCGCTCAATTGAAATACCGCATGATATAGTTCATATAACGTGCACAGTAGCCAAGTTTGACCATGGTTACCTTGATGAGAGTCTCTGAGGAGTGGGCATCGAGGTTGGTTTTCAAGCCCTTGGCTCTCCTCCTTCGGCGACGGTCGGTGGAGATAAAGTCGTCGTCGTCCGCTGTCTCGTACACAATTCCAGAATTGGCGCTTGCAGCAGTCGGTATGCCGGCGTCGCTTTTTTCCGATTTCAGTGCTCCCGATGCATGTGCTGCAGGGGCGGTGGTAGTGTTCGAAACGTTGTTATTGTTTGATATGGGAGTAGCAGTTTTCGAGTCCATGGGTGTCGCCGTCTCAGGCGAAGGTGCTGTTGATGGTGGTAGCTCTGACGACTCTGAAGCGGCGGGTTGGGTAGGCGAGGACTGGTTGTGGAGTGGCGAACGTGGCATGGACGATATTTCCCGCAGTGTGGACTCCTCTGGTACTCGCGGCTTCTTTGACTTTTTAGACCGTGGTCTTGATTCCGATCCTGATCCAGCCGAGATGGCGTCCGTGTCGACGCAGCTCGAACCATTAACCCGGCGTGGTTCATAGCCCGAACGAAAGGAGGAAGAGATGGAGTTGGCTCTGCTCTTTGCCGAGCTGGAGTAATATTGGTCGTCCGACTGGAGCCCGGAGGCTTTCCTGCGATGCCGTTGTCCTGACCGTGTCGGAGTCGATTGGCGGAAGGACCGGGAGATTTTCCATGGGAGGAGTCGTTCGATGTAGGACCAGAGAGCCCCTGGGCAGGAGAGGATCCAAGACACGACATTATCAGGGCTCCAGAATGACCGTGGTCTTTGTCGGTTGCTCAACAGTGTACTCCAGATCTAAGTTGCATGCAAGCAATAATAAAAGCAGAAAATAGACACAAAGTCCATGTTAATCCAGGCTAGCCAATGATGATGTCCTGCATCCTTTCATTAATATTTGATCCCCTTGATGCCGGTGCTGCCGTCCTCTCGGATATCGAGTAGCTCTGTCCACGGGGAGAGAATGATGGAAAGATATAACGTCATCGAAGGGATATGACCCGGGGATTGCAATACCATACACACACACACACACAAACATACACACCTCATCCTTTTTCTTCCAGGGAAAAAATAACTAAAAAATGACCTCCATTTGAGAGCAATTTATCCCATCGGCCGCTTTTTTTTTTCCCTTCTGCAGCCTTCGGTCTTTTGTTGTTGTGCAGCACCGTACTGTACACTGCACTCCTTTTTTTCACTTTTTCTCATGTCTCGAACCATATCCTAGACGCCCTTCGGGGGAGGGAAACATTGGGAAACACTTTCCCCTTCTCCCGTAGACCCCCATTCCATTGTTTGTGTGTCTCAAAACAAATACATGGTCGGTGTTTTGTTATCCCCGCTTTCCCTTTCTTCTCCCCCTGCAGCGTGGCAAGATTGTTGTTCTTGTTGCTGTTGCTATTGCTGCTAATGCTGTTAATGCTCGCATTATATTGTCCTTTCTCTGTTGTCCTTTCTCGTCAATTCAAAAAAAAAAAGGGTCTCCTTCCTTCCTCCTTTTCCCTCCTTCTCTTTCAGGGTTCCTTCTCCGCACTTTGATCCTGCGATGCGGTCCGGTGATGGTCCTTTTACAGTAGGGATGGAAAGTCCTGTGTCGATAATATTGTTGATGGTGTTCCTGACAAAGGAGCGATGCACAGACATTCCTTCTCATTCCTGAGGGTCGGTAATAACAACAACAACTACAATAACAACAAAAAAAAAAAAAAAAAGAAAGAGAAAAGGGCCTTCCATCCATATTCATCCAAACGACCCTGGAGCAATGGACAAAAGGGAATACGCACTACACACGAAACTAATAAAGAAGGAATATATTACCTTTTCCATCCTCTTGGAGATGATAGCGAACCCACCAAAAAAGAGAAAGCAAAAGACGATGCGGAGTGTCCATTGGATGGTGACTGCATAGGCCCCCTCCTGTCCATCCGGCAACAGCGGCTCCAGAAAGTAGCAATTGTCGCTGTTGCGCGCACAGGCACTGTAGGACGACAGAACGAGGACCAAGAACTCGATTGTCGTGGTCACAATCCGGAGAAGCGTCGGCCAGAGCGCATTGAGAATCGAGAAAAAGAGGATGATCTGCGCTGGGACAATAAAGTCCTTAAAGGCCGATCGGACACCGAGACTGGCGCTGCCTTGGCTGTTGAGGTATCCTGCTCCATGGGCCGAACCGTGGTGGTGGGAGTGGTCAATTGGGCGGCGGTAGGGTCGGGTGAAGAAGCGGGGTGGTGGGTTGGTTGGAGGAGTGCCTGGGACACGTGTGAGCAGTGGGGCTGAGGATAATACTGGAGAGGTTGGCGACGAAGCTAGTTGAGACGAAGCTGGTGAAGGGGAGGGTGAGGACGACGACGACAAGGCAGCAGTCGAAGCTACGTGTTTCCGTAGAGGTGTGGTTGTGAAAGTCGCCAAGTCTTCCTCGCCGGGCTGTTGTTCAGAGGACGCCGAGAGCTCGGTGTGGGTAGGAGAGTCGGTTGTGGTTGCTGTTGCCTGGTCGTTGGTGTTGTTAACAAGGTGGTCCTGAGCGAGGTGAAGGTGTGTTGAGCGCAGAGGACCGGGTGGGGAGGTGTGGTGGTGGTGAGGCTCCATGCCTCGATCTCTGATGAGTGATCACTTCAGCAGGGGAGAGAAAAGAGAAACGAGGAGTGGTAATAAAAAAAATAAGGATAGAGGGGGGTATGTGTGTGTTTGGGTATGCGTTGATGGCGAAGCAAAGGAGTGATGGAGTGTGGAGAATGGAAGAAGGGGTTGAAGGGGTCGAAGGGTGTGTGAGTAGTAGAGGAGGAGTGAACGATTGAAGGGAGGGGTGGCGCAGAGAAAGAAAGAGAGGAAGAAGAAGAAGAAGAAGAAACGGACGAGTGGAAGGGGAAAGGGAACGAAAGAAGGCAAGAGAACAAGGTAGCGCAGAAGTAGGAAAGTTTTTTTTTTTTTTTTTTTTTTCTTCTGCGGATACTTTCAATTGTGTACATGGATGCACCTCGATTGCCTTTTCTTTTCTTTTCTGTTTGAAGTAGGTATTTTACAAAACAAAACAAGGGAAGGGAGACATTCCTTCACCCTGGCAATGTTTGCCACTCATTAATCGATATTACCATTGACGCATGAGAAAGTCCCTTGTCCTTTTTCTCTCTACCCCATCCCTTACCTTTCTCTCACTCTCTCCCCTGGTGTCTCAGAACAGTGGCAGGACTGCTGAAACAAATACGAAAAAAGAGAACGATGGCAGAGAGAACGAAGGTGCAAAGCGTCCAATGCTCACTCAAAGGTAAACACAAAAACGAGATCGAGAAGACGACATACCCCTCCCTGTTCTCCTTTTGTAGAATCATCCCAGTGAGCAATCGGCTTAGTCTTATTGGCATTGGCAACCAACTGTTGCTTTGGCCCACCTTGCACTCTCCACCCGCACACACGATAGATCTCCAAGAAGGGGTCACGTGGAAATTGTTGCCGCCGAAATGGCTCCTGCGCCTGTTCCTTTATATTTTTTTTGCTTGTACGCTTTTTTTTTGCCTTTTGTTCCCCTTACTCCTCCATACTCTCACTCATCGCATGCATCCACCGTAACATACAACACAGCACAAACAACAACTCCCTCACAGCCACAACCACCAACACTCAGCAACAACACTCAAAGCTCCCAGTGCAAAGAAAAAATAGATCTGACAGGCATCACACAACAAGCTCAATGGACTCAACTTCTGCAGCTCCGCTAAGCGATGCCAAAGTCTTCAAGGAGCAACCTTCCAAGCACAGTGCATTACCCCAACGCAACATCTTCAACGTCGATATCGTCGACAGTCAGAGCGGCGCCCTTCAAGTACTCGACAGCCTCCAGCGATCAGGTCCACTCCACTTCAAAGGCTGGGTTCCCATCGAAGAGACCAAACACGCCAATGGTAAACACAACAAAAGCTTAGCACGACATCCCCTTTCTCTTGAGTGTCTCCGTTACATATCCCAGGATCGACTTACCGTATTTGCTCCCTCCTCTTGCTCACTCTCGCCTTGCTGTCTTTATTCAATGCTTTAGCTAAGGACTCTGGAAAGTTCATTTACATCTTTGGCGAGATTATCGAATGGACGCACCAATTTGATCCAGCACGTCCCAAGAGGCCAATCTTTTGGCTGAAGTCGTATGGAGTGGGATGGTACAAAATCGAGGCAAGTTCTAGGGTGGCCAAATGTCGTGTTTCGCCCATTCGTCAGTCGCGTTCATAAGGGTAGCTCTTACTTGTGCTAACCTACCACTGTTCGTATTCATGCATTCGCGTTGTAGTCTGTCACAACAGTCTATGAGCCATACTTTACCCCTTTGGTGAAGGTCTGCTCGTATCTCGGTAGGTGACACTTGGCGTTTGTAATACTCAAGAAAAGCTATCAAGCCTGTGTCTAGTTTTAACGTTTATTTGATTACTTTACGTCGTGTAATATAGATGTGCTAGTTCAACTTGTTGTAGAGATGAGGATAAAGGACGACTTGAAGGTGCTCATTCCGCAGGTAGACAACTCGACTCTATTGTAAATGCCAGTTAATTATTTCACAAAGACCCTAGGAGCGAAATTTCATGACACGTTGCTCTAACAACATGCATGTCTCTAATGACCTGTAGGTTGCCGTCCTGCTTGCTGAGCCCGAGTCAATGGTTTCACGGATGCTTCAGAGGCACAGGAAACAACTATTGGCATTGGGCGCCAGTGACTCTATTATCCGAGGATCGAACTTTTACAAGTCATGGGCGGCACACCCAGCAGGATCATCAGGAAAATCAAAATTAAGTCATTCACCTGGTGTATTCGGGCATGTGGAATATGATACTTTTACAGACGACATAGGAAAAATCTCTGACAGTGAAATCGACGCCCAGAGTCCTCACAGCAACCACTACCAATATCACTGCCACGTGGGTGACACCGACAATAGCGACGTCAACGCCAACTCACCGCCACTTGTTGCTTCAAAACCCCTCCTACCGATCGTATCCTACGACATGGCAGACCGCGAAGTCATTCCAGAAGTAAGTCTTCGACTCGCCTTCGTTGTGATTATAATTTGGTCCGCACCTAACGCACCACACCTGAATTCGCCGCACATGTGACAGCCATAGTTCTAACGTTCATATTGTACCGACAGCTCGAAACAAAAGTAGAAACATACGAGGAACTTCCAGCACCATGTGCAGACGACTTTTGCTTCCTTCACCCCGTGTTCAATGATATTACATGCAACGCCATCAGCACTGACATGCGGTTACTATCAAGCAAGGTAACTTCCGGGATTTAATAATGAGTAGCAAAGGCTATTGTTAATATCCAAGAACCCGTTACTCACAAGGTCTACATTCATCTTTTAGTTTGAGCCGCCAAGACCACGGCGGCTGTTATCGCAGTTGGATCCAGTAGTAAAAATAGAACCTGGACTGGAATACTCAAGAGAGGAATCGAGCACATCAGGATCCTCCTCGGTGTCGGAATCAGGCTCTTTCTTTTGTCCTGTGCGGGGATGTCTGGCAACTATACCCAACACAACCTTCCCCTCAAGCATGGAGTTCATTGCCACGGTGGCGCATCACATAAGCACCCATGATTTGAGCGAAGGAGACACAGAGGTAGTTGGTGGTATTTATACCAGCCGCTGGTGAGCTTACTTTGGTACCTGGATAATCAACTAATGCAAATGTCCCTGTGCGATATTATCTATCCTTATATGATAGAGAGTTCTGAGGACCTATCTCGCTAAGCCGTGGAAGAGACCCGTCAGACCAAAGGCATGGGATGTATCTGCCAAGCAACTCAACAGTACGTTTATACGTGTTTTTTTTTTAATACCCAGGCTGTAATTCAGTTGTGGTGAGTGTAAATGGAAGGCCTACCTACTAAATGGATTTCACTATCATCGATTGTACTCCGTAGTCAAAACACCGACGCTAAATCTCCATGCCTACTGGATGCTCAACGCAAAAAGGGACCGCGACCCACGAGCACCATCACATATACCAACAACCGCTTTGGCTCGCTCGACACGAAAGAGGGCAACATCACGAGCACGAATCCAGACCACCCCATCACTCCCACCAACAATATCCCCACGTTCCACACCAGTGGTTCGTCAAATGCGAGGTGCTTCAATGAGCTCGGTAACTCAATTCTTGGAGCCTCTAGAGGCAATACCATCGACCACGCCCTTCCATCATCTCGCGATCGAGACTACAGCCGAGAACACCCGAACATCCCTCGTTCAAGAAACCATTGCCACTTCAACATCTTTTGTCAGGAAGAGTCCAAGTCCGGAGAGGTATCAACGCTATGAGCGGGACTCTTCGGGCTCGCCTGTTCACCGGATACGGTTAAAACGCCGCGTGCCTTCGAATGACAGCAATCACAGTGGCAATGAAGACGTCGGTCCTGGCAGGAAGCGGCAGGACGTTGGTCATCCCTTGCGAACTGATGTCTCAGAGGATAACGATGGCGCAGGAACGGAGATGAGGACAGGGAGTGCTCATGGTTCGATGCGTCGATCTCTGAGCCGAGGACGGGCGACTATGAGGAGGAACGAGATGCAGCCGACAAGGCGGAACAGTCGATCTAGGAGCAAAGCCAGGCCAGACATGAATGCGACTGGGACAGCATTGAGGCGAAGCGCGCGTTCACGGAGTAAACCCAGACCATTTGGAAGTTCGAGTGTGAATGAGAACCAGTCATCAGGTCGTGCGCAAGGCCGGTCAAAGAGTAGTGGACGATTCGACAACTTTGATGACAGCTATGCGGACGGGCAGTCGGGGCTAGGGTCTGAGAAAGGCGTGGATAGTTCTGGTTATGGTCCGGAGCCTGTCTACGAAGAAGTCACTATACATGAGCGCGGCCGATCAAGGACTCCGAAGAGGATAGAACGGGCGGTAATTGGGTCAAACGTGAAGAGCGGTTTGATCAGCAGGTTCTGGAATGTCTATCGTGCACCCTCTATGCTTTTGGCAACGACGACGGTACCGAAGTTCATGCGGTGCTACAAGTGCCAGGCGTTGATAAGATCGTCTGACGACCATCGGTCGTGTATGGAGCTGGGCAGCGAGGAATTCCCCGTTGTTTTGACTGCTGATGACTGCTGATGGAGAGATGAAGCGGAAGGACAAAGGAATGGTGGCCGCTGCGAAGGAGGGAAGCATTTTGGGATCAAGCAGATTCCACGTTCGAGCAGAGAGGGCGAATTCCCGAGAAAGGGGAACGACACTAGAGAAATAGAAGTGCGTCCGCCACTTCTCACACGTTTTCTTTTATTGTTTTGTTTTATACACAATTTTACACAACAAGCATACATCTCTTAACAAACGATCCATCGCATCCATCTTATCCAGATGTAAGGATTTGCCCAATGAGTGAGGATGGTGTACATGATAAGCAGGTGTCATACAATGCGATGACAAGGCAAAGCACAGACACTCATAAACACACTAATCGAGTGGGAAATCACACAAAGGGCGAAAACTAGGGGCTGGAACAATCTAAGGCTAAAACTTTCTATTTATTTCTTACCCATTCCCTTTCTTTTCTCCTTCTCCTTCTCTTACTCTTTCTTTGTATTCTTCTTCATCTCAGTCCTCCTCTTCACTTCGCATTCACTCTCTCCCACTTGCTAGGAGAAGTCAGGACTATCGCAGGAGTACATCACTTGGAGACAATACGCCTTTCTCATTCCTTCTTCCCGCTCTCCACCGACCTGCACTTCATCAACCAACATCTCTTAACTCTCACATCGCATCCACCCATTCGAAACCAACAGCAGTCAAAGAATCAAGACCAAGACAGAGACACAAACACGTTGCACCCCACCACCGCCACCACTGCCTCCTCCTCCCCTCCTTCGTCAGTCAGCAAGGCAAAAAAAAATGACGGCGGCTGCACCTCAGAGCTCGTTGGCCAACTCGCCAACCATTAGTATTATGGCTTACTGCACCTCCAGTATCCTTATGACTGTCACCAACAAGATGGTTCTTTCCCAGTTCGACTTTAACATGAACTTTTTGCTGCTCTCCATCCAGGTATTTGGGTTGTTCGTTTCTACCTTTTTTTGGTGGCACCAGGGCTATATCGAAACAAATACATGGACCATGATTTCTGCCACCCCTCACCAGAATACCATCCGTTTCTTGGAATACTGCTCCCATTTATCGAACCAACACAAAACTTAGGCGGCAGCGGCGGTGATAATGCTCTGGGTCTTCAAGAGGTTTGGCCTGATCACATACCGCAGACTGGATCCCACTGAGGCCAAGAAGTGGTTCCCTATCTCCCTCGGCCTTGTCGCCATGATCTACACCGGAAGCAAAAGGTGAGTTGAGTCCTCTTTGGACTACATTGATTTAGTCTCACATAGACCCTTCTTCTAGCTACTGTCGTCTAAATTACGTCGTTGTTCGAAGAAAATTTGTGCAGGCACGCGCTCCTAACCCCACAACATCCTTTGGGATTGGCTCGACTATAGTTTACAATTCCTGAGCATCTCAGTATATACGATCTTCAAGAACTTGACCATTATCCTCATTGCCTACGGTGAAGTTCTTTGGTTCGGAAGCAAGGTCACCCCAATGATGCTTCTCAGCTTTGCTGTCATGGTGAGTGAGAATCTTCTTTCCGTTTGTTTGTGGTGATCCGTGGCGTAACCATGTGCCAAGCATTGATACTCCAAGTACAATTGGAATGTGCAGCAAATGAAATTGAGTCGACAGTCGACTATTAGAAATTGAGAACGGAGGACTTGAGTGGTGCCCCATTTTGACGTGGAATACCAAAATCCTTCAGCCCACATCAATGGGTCGACATTTTACCGACTGCAGCCTTATGTCTAACTCATTTATCTTTGACAATATTTTCTATCACTTTCTATGGTTTACGCCCGCCGCCAACTCGTCTTTTCTGATATTAGGTCTTATCGTCGGTGATTGCTGGCTGGTCCGATATTCGTCACCATACCTTGGCAAGCAGCACCAGCGCACTCTCTTTGGAGCTGTCGTCGTACAACCCGGGGTATCTCTGGATGGCAGCCAATTGTCTCTCTTCGGCAGCGTATGTCCTCTATATGCGCAAGAGGATTAAGCACTTTAACTTTAAAGACTATGACACTGTCTACTACAACAACTTGCTGAGTTTCCCAGTCATGCTTGCTCTGAGCATGTGTCTTGAGGGCTGGAGATCAGGAGAACTCCAGCGGACCTTGTAAGTATGGTTTGGGTTGGTGGTTAATCCAAGAAAACTCGCGTCTCTTTTTTCCTTCTACAGGTACCACAGCTCTACTTTAATTGTGCGTGCCTATTAACACATAACATTTTTTCTTGTTACTCTAACGCGTCGGTATATAGTGCGCCTGATGTCCGTTCATCCTTGGTGACTGCGATTGTTCTCTCTGGAATCTCGTCCTTCCTGATCTCGTATGGTAGTGCTTGGTGTGTCCGCTGCACATCCTCAACAACATACTCGATGGTCGGAGCCCTGAACAAGTTACCCGTCGCAGCCAGTGGAATCCTGTTCTTTGGTGAACCAGCAACGACAGGAAACGTGTCAGGAATCTTTTTCGGACTCATTGCAGGATTGTTGTACAGCTACAGCAAGACTGATCAGGCACAGAAGAACCTGGCCCTGGCCAATGGATCGTCATTGTCGAGCAAAGCCGATTCTGTGGGGCTGTTGGCTACCGCCCCCGGTGGTGGGGACGGGTCTGCGAGTGCTGATGATAGTGCTGGGGGGTTGGAAATGAGCTCGTCGGCGGCTGGGTCTGGGTTTGGCAAGAAGGCGACTGCACTTCCTTTGTACCAGAACACCAAGATTGCCGACTAGTCGAAGGGGCCTTTTTTAGAAGTTTTGTCAATTCTTTTTTGTTTATAGTGACTTTGGACTTTATATAAAAGTATTTTTACTTGTTCATGTTAAAGGTTTGTTGTTCTTAGCTGTGCGCCTGTAGTGTTTACACCGACGGTCACACTCCGGCATATGGACCGCTAAAACCTACCAACAGATGGACGGATGAAAGTCTAGATGGAAGAGAAGAGAAATGGGGGGAGAAACGTCATATTCGCCTGGTTCCTGCGGGGATAACAAAAGAGCTTTTCTTGGTTCAGGAGAAAGAAAAAAAAAATAGCTCTCGCCCGGCTCTTTCATGAATGATCACATCAGCCTGCGTCGTTATCCATGCCGAGGTCATTTGTGAAAGGAGCTAGTCTTACTTTCCAATGAGAAGGTCCCTATGCCAACGGTCTGGGGACACAAGGAATGACTAGAGGTGGAGGAAGAAAGGAAAGAAAAAGGACCAATGGATTGTGGCGGAGGGGACCAGACTAGACTGCCTTTCTGTACATTTTGCCACCCGCACACCCTGATATTGAACTCGTTTGGAGCGGGCTCTCATTCAATCGAAATGTAGAAGGGAGGTTCATCCGCGTTAATTTTCTATCAGGCGGATGAACGTTGGTTGTGCGCCTGAAGAAGGTGGAGAAGACGAAAAGGGGAGAAACAATAACGTAAAGAAAGGGCAAGGGCTGAACAAGGTATAGAAAGGAGAATACGAAAGGAATAAAGAGGGGTGATGAGAAAAGCAAGAAGAAAAAGCTAGGTGAGGTTTCTGGCAGATTAGATAGCTGTTGTTAAAAAAGAAAAAAAGGGTATTTGCCCCCCCTGAAACCTGTTCGTTTGAAACCAGGCACCCAGCTATATATTTTGTTCCTGAAAGCACACTGAAAATCTGACAATTTTCCGAGATGGCGGGGTATCTGCTGAAGCATGGAGTGGACCTGTGGCTAATCCTTAGCGTCGTTGGATGGCAGTTCGATGCGCCAATTTGGCGAGTGTAATGAGGAGGAGGCGCAGAGTGAAAGAGAGCAAGATAGGAGTAAGAGAGGGCAGTGTAAGGCAAGGAGATGTTTTTAGCAGCAATGAAGTAAATGAGAAAGCTAGCACGAGGGAGCAAGGGAGCAATAAGGGAAAAAAATAAGATGGGAAGAGTTGTCCCAGAGAGGAAAAAGTTGACCCCGCTGGACAAACGATTGCGAGAGCGAAATTAGGGGGGAAGACCAGTCTAACGCAATACAACACTCAGATGGACGAGAGCGGACATTATTGTTCAGCATTGTTTGATGACTAAAGAAAACTTGTTTGGAGCATTCCATAAAAGTCATTTGTGTGTCCAGCCGACTCTCTCTCTTTTGCTCTCGTCTGACTGTTCTCTTTCTTTGTACTTTCCTGTGGACCTCTGTTCATCGAGACAACACAACAAAGAGAGCAAAGTAATTACTGGACGGTTATCGAAACGACCAATCGACTGTCGACTTTGTAGCTGAACGAAAGAAGAGGAGGGTCATAACGAAATGAAAAAGTGGAAGAACTTGAATACAGAAAGTCGAGGCGAAGGGAAAGGGTTGTGTGGCCGATTCAGTCCCTCTCTTGCTGCATGTGAGTTTGTTATGAATAACCTTTCAGCAAAAGTGGTGGCAGATCAAAGCTCCTTGTCGTCTTTGCATTTAATTGACAATATCACCAAAGGCATCAGGACGTAATATGCATGTGCATTGTTAATCTTGACAAGCAAGACCGAAAAACTTTTAGACAATTTGAAGGCAGGAGTAGGTCTACTTTCCACCCGTCAGATAATCCGTTTTCCACTCTCTGTCTGGCATCATAAAGGAAGCTCGACAGAGTGATAGCCTAAGAGGCAAAGTGAGGACAAAATATGTCACAACAAAAGTGAGAATACACGACGAAATGAAGAGCTCTCAAGAAGTCCTCACCACTCAACCCCTATCTTATTCACACATTCACTCACAAACTGTATTCATTACTACCATAACGCAACTTTACCTCTATGGCGAGAGCAAACAAGACAGTGAGATGTGGTGCTACGAGTTGTTGGCCTGGTCCCTGCGGATCAACTCCAGCTTAATTACATTCCATTCCGTTACGCCGTCCCCTCTTTTCCCCTGTACCTGAATAAGACTATCATGTTCATCCGGCACAACCACTCGTTATGCACACTTCTTTTCACATAAAAAGGACGCAGGGGTGTCCGCTTCCTTTTTTTTTTTTCCTTTCTTCATCGCTCTTTTCAAGTCTTCGTAAACAGCCTTCCCTCACCCACCCCTCACTAAGCACAGTACCCCTTCCATTGCAATTCCTTGCACCCCCATCCTTTCGTCCCTCACCCTTTCTCTTCCTTCTCCCCTCTACTCTCTATACCCTCAACCAGCACTCCCCTCCAACACTTTTCGCCTTCCACGAAACCCCATTTTCTCACTACAATCATGAAGTCCGCTCAAATCGCAATCCTCCTGGTGGCCATTGTCGCCACCCTGCTCTCGATCGTCGAGGCCAAGGCCACCCAAGTTGTCCGCTTCGGCAAGAAGCATTCCGGCAAGTCGACCTGGTTCAACGGTCATGACCTCAAAGCCGTAAGTTTCTGCTGGGAAAATTATACTCGAATGCGGAGGTTGTGCCTAAGAGAAATGCATCCACGCTCAAGAACCTGACGCTATGCATATCGGTTCGCCCAAACTAAACCCCACCCACTCTTCTTCTTCCTCTTCTTCACCTTTTACCCTTTTACTTTATAAACAAACAGGTGGCATGCTACGGTGACTTGGAGAACAACTCGCACGTCAACGCCGGTGACTCCTGGTTGATCGGTGCCGTCCACATGAACTTCTACAAGGGCGGCGAGAAATCCGCCTGCTTCGAGTGCGCAAAGATCACTGCCGGCAAGCGCTCCGTTGTCGTCCGTATCATTGACGACTGCGCTGGCTGTGCCCCCAACCAGATTGATCTCACTGCCTCTGCGTTCAAGAAGCTCGCTCCTCTCAACCAGGGAGTTGTGAAGACTACTTATGAGTTTGTGAGATGCCCTACAAAGGGAAACATCAAGTGGCCCAAGTCTCCCAAGCCCAAGGCCAAATAAGCCTTATTTTTTTTCTGTTCGAACATGGTGGGAGTGGCAGTAGTAGTAGTAGTAGACGTGGCCATACACCCCCTAGTTTACGCCAAAAGAATATGAGGCGTGGAGACAAAAAATAAAGAGCTGGCCTTTTTGTTGGTAATGTTTCAATCCTCAATCAATTTCCCGCCATTTGCTCTTGTACCTGAACACACCCCTTGTACCTGAACAAAAGACTATTATGTTCATCCGGCACAGCCATCCATCCCGGCATTCTAGCAATCCCTCCTCCCTGACTTCATTCTTCAACATAAAAGGGACACCTGGGTATTCGTCATTTTCTTTCTTCTTTTTTTTTGTCATCGCTCTTTTCACGACCTCGCCAACAGCCTTCCCCCTCCCTCCCTTCCACACAACAACCCCTTCCATTGCAATTCCTTGCACTCCCCCGTCCTACTCCACCCACCCTCCCATACTCTCTATACCCTTACCCAACAACCCTCCTTCCTCCTTTCCACCTTCTACACATACCTATTTTCTCTCTGCAATCATGAAGTTCGCTCAACTCGCAATCCTCCTGATGGCCCTTGTCATCGCCCTGCTCACAATCGTCGACGCCGGCAAGTCCAAGCCCAAGCCCAAGCCCAAGCCCAAGAAGAAGCCCAACCCTACCCAGACCGTCCGCTTCGGCAAGAAAATCTCTGGAAAGTCTACCTGGTTTAACGGCCATGACCTCAAGGGTGTAAGTACCTTTCTTTTTTTCGTTTTTATGCGTCACCTTGAATTTTGGGGTTGCGCCTGAAATCAATTCTCAAGTAAACCGCGTTTTCTTTGACGACGATGATTTTCTCACAAGCTAAAAAGAACCCACCAAACCTCTCTTACTCTATCCCTAAAAACAAAAACAAAAAAAATAGGCGGCATGCTACGGAAACTTGATGGGCAACTCCCACGTCAACGCCGCCGACTCTTGGATGATCGGTGCCGTCCACATGAAACATTACAAGGGCGGCGACCGCACAGCTTGCTTCGAGTGCGCAAAGATCACTGCCGGCAAGCGTTCCATCGTCGTCCGTATCATTGACGACTGTGCTGGCTGTGCTCCCAACCAGATTGATCTCACTGCCTCTGCGTTCAAGAAGCTCGCTCCTCTCAACCAGGGAGTTGTGAAGACTACTTATGAGTTTGTGAGATGCCCTACAAAGGGAAACATCAAGTGGCCCAAGTCTCCCAAGCCCAAGTCCCACTAAGCAGTGCTGTAGTAGAATGCGATACCCGGCTCTCCTCTCCTTCCTTTCTCCTTTTCCCTTGATTACGTAGTTTTATACCAGGAGAAAAAAACGATCTTTTCGTTTGTTCAAACCAAAAAAAAAAACAAAAACACATGAGTGTAGAAACACATATAATAAAAAGCTGGCCTCTTTGTTGGTAATGTTTCAACCCTCAATTCCTCAATTTTACAGTGCAGCGGTTTTTTTTTTTTGGTAACTTATTAGACATCTCGTTCATTCCACATGCATAAGGTGCAGTTTTTGCATTGGAGCTGAATTGTTTATTTTGACATACTTTTTCTCCACTTTCCTCCATTTCAAGACTACCCGTTTTGATAGAAAAACATGACATCTGAAAGTGTGAGACAAATTCTTTGCTCTCCTCCGAGATGGAATGACAGAGATGTAAAAAATATAAAATAAAACGCGTACTGCTGCTAATACGCCACCTTCCATGTTCACTCCATCTCTCGACGCCGCCATCATTGGTGTTCTTTTGGACACAACACTAGGAGAAAGAAAGAATAGAGCAAATGCCATATTATTATTTTTTGAGTGAGACGGAACGCGAACGAGATTGAGGGATGTCGGGTGTGAGTGAGCAAAAAATTTTCATTCCGTGAGACGTGGGCGTAAGTAAGTACCTTGAAGGTCTTTGAAATGTAAACTCAGTATGTCAAAAAGTAAATTTCGCGCTGTTTCACGCTCAGTTGCATTGGAGAAGAAAACATTATTACATGAGAAAAAAAAAAAAAAAAAAAAAAAAAAGAGATGAGGTAAAATGACATTTGGTATGATAGAACTCGGGATTGCCAAAGAGGATTCCAGGAATTGGCCAGGATTAGTTCACTGGCTCGCTTGGCTGGTAAGTAGACGAATTAGTTAGTCGGTTAGTCCAGCGTCGTCGGTTTCGGTGAGTTGGCTAATTGCCTTTTTTTTTGTTTTTTTTTGGGGGGGTACGTATGAATCTGGACAAACTTCCAATCGACTGGTCGAGTGGTATGAGAGAATTATTCTGTGGAATGTTATTCCTCCATTCGCTTATTACATGCATGCATCCATCTGTGTGTTCCACTCCGTTCCTCGGCTTCTATGAACACAATTAGCCTTCTTACCCTTGTTTATTGGCGTTTCCTTGGCGGCTAGCGCCAGAACTGAAAATGCAAAATTGAAAAAACGCGTCTCTAGGCTGTTGTATCAAATAGGTGACGCCGTATGGATTATGAACTACGGCGTATGGAATATACCTGCTGCGAATAGGTAATTTATAATAGGCAAGTCGCGTCTGTCTGCAATCCCCTATCTTTACTTCGGTAATCAGGCACCGCAGTATCACAAGGAAATCCAGGAGCCGTACAGCTTTCTGTCCCCTCCATTCTCCCACTCAACCGGTGACACGAACAAAAAACATAACCAAGGGAGTAACCAAGGAGGGGGGATCACCCACTTTCATACTCTCGCAGAAGCATGCTAATCGATCATTGTGTCTAGCCTGGATGCAAGAAGGGGATGGTACGAAATGACGTTTAGCTGCAGATAAATATATAAAAAAAGCCCCCCAAAGACGGTAAACGATTTTCGATCGCAATCTCTTTTTTTTTATCACAAGGCATCCAGGTCGGCAAACGCAACCTCCGAAACCCAAAACGTACCTCTGCGATTGTAAAACTAAATTACTAAGGTCATATCGAAAAATGCATTGACCTAACCAAGATGGCAACCTTCGCGTGCGAGGGATCCCCCTGGGACACCAAGAAATACCTGGCATTTCACAGGACAGACAAACACACGATGAAGTGGCAATTAGCAAAAGAAAGTGGTTTAATGTACAATGGGTGTCTTCACGACGATTAAGAAAGGAGTAAATAATAATAGTAGAGGAGTGGAATGATCAAAGCAGACCGAGTAAAAGAATTTTCTAAGGAGGAGAAGGGGTATCGCAATAAAAGTAAGAGTAGGGGGGAAAATAATAAAGGTAGGAGGAAACAGTTCAAGGGTACTGAGGAGTGGTGGATCCTGAGTAGGCAGGCTGGTGGAGACCATGACTCCGAGATGGGTTGTGATTGTGATGATTCTGAGAGTGGTTCTGGTTGTGTTCCCGCCAGTCCTTGACGCTCTTTCGCAGCTCTTCGTCCGTCACCAATCCAGTCATGACACCTCCAGTCGTAGTCTTCCAGACAGCCCAACCCTCCTTCAGGTCCTCGCGCCAGACAACGCCCTGGTACTGGAATGTCCAGAAGCTCCACCAGCACATCAGAATCAGGCCCATAACCAGGTTCGATACCAGCATAGGCCAGATCGCAAACTCGAGAACATCAGTCCTGTACCGGACCACGGTGGCTGCCAAACCAATGCCTTGTCCAAAGGCTCCCGAGCCGTCCTGCGAGTTTGCTGCCGCCGCTGCAGCTTCAAGGAGATCCAGGCAGCTCTTTCCTGATGAAGCGTACCGACAAAATGTGGGATCATCCAGAGGCATAAAGGGAACCCGGAACCACCACCGGCAGAATCGCCATGCAACCGCCCATCCTGCGCCGACACCCGAAAGGCACCATGCTCGGTACCACTTCAACTGTCCGATCTGATCCATTCTCGTCAAGTGCTCCCAGGAGATCAAGCCCCAGAGGTTCCTCCGGAACATCAACAGACCCAAAAAAGTGGCGACGGGCATGTAGAGGATATACCAGTTGCTGTACTTCTTCACAAAGGGCGCCAGGGGCAGTAATTGGTTGATGTTGCTGCTGTCGTTTCGGACGCTGCTGCTGTAGGAAGAGTACTGCGTGTACGAGAACTGGCTCCTGTACCAACTACTGCTATAAACGTCATCCTGACGGAAATGGCGCTGATGGCTATCCATGCCATAGGCGGCACGGTGTTCCTGCTGATGGATCTCCATGTCGGGATCAGAGAGCCAGATAGCGAGGCCCCAACCGATCCAGACGACCCAAGTTCCGTAGATGACGGTGATACGCTCTAGCTTGGGGAAACGGAGGAGGTGCCAGGCGAGGGAGAAGATGTGGAAGGCTGTGTCGGTGAGGTAGACGAGATGGGTGAAGGAGACGAGCTGGAAGGGCGAAGGGGTGCCGAGGAGCATGATAATCCGGTAGAGAATTAAGCCGATATGTCCGATGAGCGAGAATGGGGTATATGTTGTATGGCTAAATCGAATATTTCATTTTCACAAGGGCAAAGCATAACGGCGATAAAAGAAAAACAAGGTTAGATAAGGAAAACAAGGATGGTCCTTGTTCGTTCACACGCGTACACAGGATATCATAGCACACAAAGAAAAGAAAGTGCTTACATTCTCATGGTGTTCTTGAGGTATTGGCGAGCATGCTTCCGATCGCCATAGGAGCGAGCCTTTTGGCGGGGAGAGTTAGGCGGTGTGGTCCTCCGGCGACCGCTGTTTGATCCATTGCCACTGCTGTGTCCACCGCTAGCGCCGTTGCCGTTGCGTTTCCAGGACTCGTTCGGACTTGACCAGAAACCGCCTTGGCTAGAGTATCCACCCTGACTAGAGTAACCGTCGTCCATGGGTAGTCCCTGTCAGTTGTCGATGAAGATGTATTTTTGTTTTGGAGGGATGGTGTGAAAGGTGAATGAAAGAAAGAGGAGGTGGGAAGGGGGATCACTTTTATTTAGTGTGCCCTGTGGTGGTTGATATGCTTTGTGTTTTTTAAATGATAAGGGCTGCGTACGATCAGATGAGTACAAAGGAGGGAATGCGAGGCAGGAAGTATGATTAGGAAGTGGTGTGAATGGGAGATGAGTGGATGAGGAGAAAAAGAGAGAGAAGTGAGCGGCAAAGAAAAAAGACAGGAAGGATGTAAATTGTTGGGGAGGGTGTGTGTGAGAGTAGTGTGAGATAGAAAAAGACAGAAAATAAAAAATAAAAAATAAAAATTAAAATAAGAAAGAGAAAGGTAAAAAGGACGTCGACGGAAAAGAAAGAAAGAGAAAGGAAAGAGAGAATCAGAGGAGAATCAGACGACCTGAAAAAGGGTCTCGGCTGGCTCGAGGGGTGTCTTCTTTGTTTGTTTATGATAGCGTGTGATAGTAGAAAGAAGAGATATGTGGTGCGTGCAAGAAAAAAAAAGATGGACAAGGAGAAGGGCCTATTTTCACAAGAGAATCAGAACACAAGTGTTCAAACTAATCGTCGGGGTTGAAGGTTTGAATGGCGCGTGCCACTCACAGAGACATGTGAGAGATCTTCATTTTTTAGATTTCGCCGCGTCACAGAAACAACTAATCGCAATTGCTACAGTACCTTATGAGTGAACTTTATTTTGGAGCGATCATTTTTCAGGAACCATCATTCCACCACCTTGCCCTGTCAAGAACGATAATTCGCTAATTGATCGTAGTCTCTCTCCTTCCACTTTCACCTTCTGCAGGAACACAAAATATAAAAAAGAAGAGGGCTCTCACGACCTCACGACAAGGAAGGACGGTGTCTTCTTCTTCTTCTTTCCCTTCCTTCCTTCGTCGTTTTTATTTTGTGGCTCAACCTTCTTCTCTTCTTCTTTTCTCCTTTCTCTTCTCACTCACATACACTCACTCCACACCCTCTCCTCTTGTTCTCCATCCCTTTATCTCTCACCCATTGAACACCCTTTCAGCTTCTAATTGCTTTCCCCCCTACTCCCACAAATAACCTCTGCTCTTCGTTATTGTTTCGAACCCTCATACCCTTTTTTAATTGCTCTCCCTCCTCTTTTACCCAACTCTACGTTTTACCCTTTATTTCTTCTCTCTCCCTTTCTCACACTAACCCACCCTTACCCGGCAACACCCACCACCATCCTCGACACTCATTCGCACAGCCAGACATAGACCATGCAAAGATCTAACTCGACAGGAAACAAGCTCCCGTTCCTCAGGAGACCATCAACCACAGCACCCCCTCCAGTACCTTACGCTAACCCTGCAGCCACACAATTTTTGCGCCTTGGCGTCGGTATTGACCATGTCGATGTCGATCAAAGCGACGACGAAGATATTATCTACCAGGGCATCGAGAACGGCATGGAAGGCCATGACAGTGAGGCTCTTGATACCAGCGACGAGGAGGAACGAGAGTCTGACGAGGATGAGGAGGAAGATGAGCAAGTGGACCATGCCGATAACGACAATAATAATAATGACGACAATGCAAGCAGGAAGGGAGAGCTGTTGTTGCAACAACAAACACAACAACCTCTACACACAGGAATTCAGGAACAGGAACAACAACAACCAGCACTTGACAACAACAATGACGACAATATTCGCATACACAAACCAAAGTCGTCCATTGACGCAACCGCCATATCCGCACAGGCCCAGGCTTCATCAACGGTGAACGCGCCGTCCTCGTCCTCCGCTGTCCCTGCATCATCGACGGCTCCTGACCCTTCCTCGACAACCGTGGCCACTGCTGTCCCGACCAGCCCAACAAAGGGCTCCTACCCTCCTCGATTCATCACCAAGATTGATACCCAGCTTCGGCACAAGGGTGAGACCTCGCCTTCTTCTGACAATCCATCGCAGCCCATCTCTCCCCAACACCTTCAAGGACCCGCCTCTCCTCGCTCCCCAACCTCACCCTCGCACGCCCTCCCCAAGGGTCTGCCTGTATACCACGAAAAGTTCACGAAGGCGGCCTCGACCAAGATCCATGGCGCTAGTCCTTTGAGCAATGTCAACAATGCTGTCACCGCCAATACCTCCTCCTCCTCCTCCAACGAAACCAAACCAACATCACCTCGCCCTCAATCCACTCATGCTCATCAGCTCTCTGAGACCATCCTCGCTCCTGGAACCGTGGATACCCTTATTTCTACTGCTACTGCAAACACTCCTGCGCCTTATCTCCAGGTCAAGCGGTTTCCAGAACAGGTCGGATTCGCAACGATTCACAACTGGAAGGTCCACTACAAGATCTGTTACCCAACATTCGATCCGGCCTACCGAATCAACGGCAACGGTCGTAACATTGTCCTCTTCCACGGCGCGCTCTCTAACCTCAGCACCTGGCGCAAGGTCCAGCAGACGCTGGCCGACCGTACTGGATGCAGAGTTCTCTCCTATGACCGCGTGGGCCACGGTCTGTCAGGCAAGCCTGAAAAGTGGCCCAAGAACGCCAACCCTTACAAGAACGGAGGCGTCCTTGCCATCTGCCAGACTTTGCTCGACACTCTGGGAATGCAGAACAACTTGATCCTGATCGGAAACGGAACGGGCGGCACAGTTGCCTCGGCGATCGCACTGTCAAAGCCCATGTCTGTTCGTGGTCTGATTCTCTTGGCGCCTGCGATTCAAGATGAATCACCACCACTTTACCTTCGTGCCTGTGTCTCCTACCCACCTCCTCTCTCATGGATCTACCGAGGACTCTATGGCGATCATGGTCCGTTGCAGCAGTACTACTACAAGCCCAAGGCGATCATGGCAGAGCCCAGTACAGTCGAGATGTACATGAAGCCCCACAAGGAAGAAGGTTTCTGGAGGGGTCTTTCCAACGCCACTAAATACCGGAGCAGCTACAAGGTCGAGAAGCATCTTGATCGATTGACAGAGCTGTCAACCTTGGTCATGACGGGCGATGTAGACGATGTAGTTCCGACGATTGAGACCCTCCGTTTATTTGAGACGCTTCAGTCCGTGCGCAAGTTGAACGTGCCCCAGGTCCTCAAGATCATCAAGCATGCTGGACACTTGCCCCAGGAGGAGAAGCCGAGCGATGTGGTCAAGGTGATTTCGTTCTTTATCAAGAAGGTCTGTCTGGGCTCGCTCTCGCGTGAGCGGTCGCTCGGTCGTAGGATGTCGGGGGGTGTGCAGAGATCGTCGTCAAAAAAGTCTGTCAATGCGGCGACGGCGGAGGCTAATAACCAGGCCATCACCGACGCTAATACTCAAGCCAATGCCCAAGGCGCTCGACCCCCCGCTGGACCTGGACCTGCTGTAGGGCCAAGTGGAGCAGCAGAAGGTAGACCACACCCTGACCAAGGACCCCGACCCAACATGGCGCCTCCGGTGAGCGCTGACCTCTCTGTACGCGGTCCATCTGCCATCACAGTCAATCCAGCACTTGGGTATGCCAGCCAAGCTATCAAGACCCACTAGAACATCATATCTGCGACGCAATAATAATAATGAATAGCGGCCATTCTTTTACTTGACTAATGCATGTAATGATGGCCTGCTAAACTGTGCCTCCGGTTGTAGGACCAACAGCCCAGGGTCTTGGCTGAAGGAGGCGATGTTAGTGGAAGAGGAAGGAGGAAGGAGTCGAAGAACAAAAGAACGAAAAGAAGGAAGACGGGAAGGGCGGGAAGTGTGCCGGCCACAATTTTGCAATGACGTTTTGGTGCACACCTTTGAAAAAAAAAAAGACTTTGGCCAATGGCAGTCAAGAGGTTGTTGCTCTCGACCTGCTCATACAAGCAATATAAATGCTTTTGTCGTCGTTATATTTTTGTAGTTTTCTTCGTTTTTCCCCAATTCACCCTTTCCCCACAAACACACCATCGACATCACCCATGCCTCCTCGCTTCGTCACACCCGCTGCACCAAAGTGCCCCCGCTGCACAAAGTCCGTCTACAGCGTATGTCTCTTTTTTCTCGCTTCTCTTCGCTCGAAAGCGCGTTTCTCTCACTCTTTCTTGGTGCCATTTATAAACGACCTTCTTTTTTCACACCCAGCAATTGCATGACTAACGCTGGCAACCATCTCCTTTCTCTCCTTTCATTCCTTCCTTTAGGCGGAACAAATCATCGGACCCAACGGTGCAGCATGGCACAAGGCAGTATGTGAACCTTCAGGAAATATTACCTACACTGACACGGTCGAACAAACGCCTATCACGTCAACGGACGTGAAGAAAAGAAAAGAAAAATTCTCCTACTCACTCCCCATCGTTATCGTCGATTGTCTTGCCTTTTCCAATAGTGCTTCACTTGCCGCGAATGTAACCGACGACTGGACTCCAACATTCTCGCAGAGCACGAAGGCGAGGTAAGATGACTCCTCTTGTTCTCTCCTCTCACGTTTTATCTTTCTTTTGTCAACTGTACGAGAAAAGGCAGAAGGAGGATGATAGAGGGATGACGATATTAACACTAACGCACCAATTTTTTCTTTTGTCACGCCGTTTGTGTGTCATCGATGGTGGTTGATAGGCATTCTGCAAGACTTGCCACAAGAAGATGTGGGGTCCTACAGGATACGGATATGGCGGTGGACTTTTGGTTCGCGAGGATCCCGAGAGTCAGTTCAAGCAGAGCATCGGTCGCCCTCCAAACAGCACCGGCAGCCAAAACAACGATAACGATAACACCAACACCAACAGCGGTTCATATGCCACGCTCGATGAAGTGGCCTACAACAACACTGGCGGAAGCAACCGGTCGGCTGGTCGAGGACACAACGACAGCAATAGCAATAGTGGTGAGACAGAGGAAGAGAGACGCGAGCGACTCACACCCGTCAACGCAACTCTCAAGAAGAGGAACTCGCTTGAAATGATCCGGGACCAGGCCGAGGCCTCCCGCAGAGCTTACGATGAGGCTCACAACCAACGAATTGCCAGCAAGTATGGCAAGGTCACTGCCAACTCGACAGGAGGTTCGACAGCCAGTGCTGGTAGCCGGTCTGACCTTCACCTCGGCGGAAGCAACAGTCACCTGCATGCGCAGTCTGGATACATCTCTGCGGGATCTGACACCTCATCTGCCTTTGGATCGACCAAGGCCACTACTTCTTCCCCTGCTCCATCGTTCTCATCCATCTCCTCGACCACATCCAGCCAGCCTGCCACAAAGTCTTTGTTCTTGAACCAATCTTACAGGACCACCTCTTCAGCCTCGACTGCCAGCTATCAGGATGCAGAGTCGGACTATGCTAAAAGTCGCCAGGCTTTGAACTTCCAGACTGGTGCACCTGCTCCCGTCTCTTCTGGACCTCCTTCGCTCCCCAAGAGAGCTCCTGAGCCTGTCATGGAATCCATTAGGGAACCTACACCCACCCAACAGTACCAGGACGAGCAACGTGCTGCTGATGATGACTTTGAGGACTACATGCCTATCCGTGTTGTTGCCCGCAAGGAGGAGCCCGCCCCTGCTCCTGCTCCGACAGCAGCGTCCGCAGTCGAGGAGGATGAATGGGACGCAGCACCTGCCCAGAAGCAGCCTGAGCAGCCCATTTATCGTTCCCAGTACTTGAGACAGCAGGACAAACGTGAACATGAGCAACGCGAACAAGCACAGCGTGAACAGGAATACCTTGACCGAGCACGCGCCGCCTCATCAGCAGTTCCTGCACAAGTGTCGTCCTCGTCGGCGTCCTCTGTCTCTTCGACTCCTACGTCTTCAGCTCGTCTTAACCGCCTCATCAACGAGACGGACAAGTTGACCTTGAACGATCAGGAGCAACGTCATGCCCAGCCTGCTTCTTCTGCGGCTGCTGGTAGTAATGTTGACGAGTGGGACGAGGATCCTACCCCCACCATGCCCTCCAAGCCCCAGAACTTAAGCTACTCTGCTGCGCGCAATGTGTCTCCTGCCGCTACTCGTACCTGGACACCCACTGCCAACACTGCGTCCGAGACTACCTCCCAGCCTAGCAGCACCAATCACTCGCGGATATCCTCTGCCGAACTCAACAACCCCACCGCCACCAGCCCTGTGAGCAGCCAGCCTACGCTGACACCCAAGACCAGCTACTACCGATCGGGAGGACTCATGACGCCAAAGAAGATGACTACGTCGTTTGGCGGTGGAGGAGATATCTGCCCACGCTGCCAAAAAACCGTCTACCATGCCGAGTCGGCCCTTGCCCCTGGCGGAGCCAAGTACCACAAATTGTGTCTGCGCTGTGTTGAGTGCTCCAAGTCGCTGGATTCGACCAACATGACGGACCGTCAGGGCACACCCTACTGCAAGACTTGTTATTCGAAGTCTTGGGGCGCTAAAGGGTATGGGTACAATAGTGGTGCCTCTGGGCTCCACACCGAGGTGTGAACGCGTCCTTTTCGCAGTTTTTGCTTGAGAGTCGCTAGTTAGCACAGAGCGTGCATGAACAAAAAAAATACAAAAAACTACAATCACGATTGTTGAAACAGTGTTTATATGATGAGATATTGGATTTGCTCCGCAGGATCAAAAGATGGAGAAAGAGGGAAAGAGCGTGGATCAAACGACGTTGAACTTGATGGACTGGGCCTCAGGCCGCATCGCATTCACCGTCAACGTAAAACTACCCTTCTCAACCCGCTTCCTCAAATTCCTGCCATGATACGCCAACGCCGACCGACGGATCCGGAACTTGACGTCCTTGGACTCCCCGGCGTCCAGGGACACCTTCTCGAATCCGCGGAGCATGTATGCCTCGGGCATGATGTCAGACCGGTAGTCTTGGGTTATGTACCAGAAGACTGTTTCTTTGACGGGTCGGGTGGATGTGTTTTTAAGGCGGATTGTTGCACTGATGCTGGCGGGTGGTAAGCCGGAGGGGTGTTTTCGGAGGCGTGTTGTTGTTGTATCGCGTTTTTGGTGATGGTGATGATGGCTTTCCTTGAGGACCTGGGCGGCGTTGCTGCTGTCGTCGTCGTCCATTTGTATCTCCTCGATAGCCTCTGCCTCCTCGCCATCATCATTCTCATCCCCCACAGCTTCCTTACCCTCCTCCAAAAGATCACCCGGGTCACCAACATCCTTCTTCTCGTACGTCGTAGTATGCAACTCGGGGTGATTCAACCTCAACCCGGAATACTCGATCGTGGAATACGACAACCCCGCGCCAAAGGGGAACAAGGGCTTGTAAGGATCAATCCCGGACCGATAATAATTTGCACCCATGTCACTGGGCCCTCGTGGGTATGTTATAGGCAAGCGCCCTGAAGGGTTGACAGTTCCGCTCAGCACCTCGGCGATCGGGTGCCCGCCCCAGGGACCTGGGAGGTATGCCATGACGATGGCGTCGACATGGTCTGGGAGCCATTGTAAAGTCCGAGGACGGCCTTCGACGAGAACGAGGATGATTTTTGTGTTGGACCCGCGGACGCGTTGGGAGATGTTGAGGATCAGTTGCAGTTGGCCCCCGGGCAGGTCGAGGGTGTCGATATTGCCGACTATCTCTGCGTAGGGTTTCTCGCCGAGACAGAGGACCACCGTGTCCGCTTCTGTGGCTGCTTGGAGGTATGAGCCGTGCTCTCCTTCTTCGATCGAGTTTCCGTCAAAGTCGACGCTGGGCGCGTAAGAGACGGAACGAGATCCGAATTCGTGGCGGAGCCCTTCGAGGATAGTCTCGCCACGGTTCTGGTACCATTCATCCTTCTCTGCCCCCTGCCACTTGATCGACCAACCACCCGACAGCGCACGGATAGAATTTGCAGCTGGCCCCGTCACAAATATCTTCCCATTCGCCTTCTTGGACAAGGGCAAGACCCCCTCCTCATTCTTGAGTACAGTAACACTCTCCCTCACAGCCTCCTTTGCAGCTTCAATATCTTGCTGACTCCCCACAAGGGGCAACAACGCCGGATCACTCAACGGCTGTTCAAACAGCCCTACATCCTTCTTGAGCTGCAAAACCTTGGCCACACTCTCCACCAACCTCTCTCTATCCAATCGCCCCTCCTGAACCAGCGTCACCGCATCCTTTGCAAAACTCTCCGACTCTGGGACCATCACCATATCTACAGACGTCTGCCTCAAACACTGTGCCGTCGCGTCCTTCAAACTGGGCACACTCCGGTGTTCAGTAAAGAGCCGATCCACTTCAGCCCAGTCGGTGACAAGCATACCTTCGAACCCCAACCGGTTACGGAGAAGTTCGGTGAGGTAGAAGTGTGACCCGACGACGGGTTGACCATTGACGTCGATGTAAGTTTCCATGGCCGTTGCGACGCCGGCGTCGATTGCGGCCTGGAAAGGGGGGACGAAGTAGTCCATCAGGTAGTTATCCGGGATCCACGCCGACGACCTTTGTTACAAAAATTAACAGGACGAAGAGAGAAAAAGAAAAAAAAAATTCGTTAAGCATTCGTTGTAGTTCTTATACGAGAGTGTGTCGAATCATAGTTTGGGGCGGCTGGATAACAAAAACAGGAGAGGAGGGGGACGCTTACTTGTCTTGTCCGTTGCGGGAGCCAGAGTATCCGATAAAGTGCTTCATACAAGCCGCGACGCGTGTACGGTCCTTCTTGTAGTTGCCCTGTAGACCCTTGATCACCGCACTTCCCATCACCGACGCCACATGCGGATCTATTTTTTTTATCATGAGAGCAATACAGAACATGGATACGTTAGTACCTGAGTTACAGATTAATCAATGTCAAAAAAAAAAAAAAAAAAAAAAAAAAAAAAAAAAGAATCAATCATGGCACATAATAACCTCCATTCAAAACACACGGTAAAGACATACCTTCGCCAAAACTCTCATAGACACGGGGCCACAATTTATGGACAGCAACATCCAAAATAGGCGCAAACACCCAAGGGATCCCTGCCGCACGAGTATCTTTGGCAGTGATCCGTCCAGCCTCATAGGCGTGGGTGGTATTGAACGTTGCGGCGAGTCCGATTTGTTGCGGGAACATTATCGCTCCGTCCACGTAGTTTGCGCCATGCACTGAGTCCAGTCTACCGAAATGCAGATTGGTGAGAGAGAAAAAAAGAAAGAAAAGGGGGAGGAGGATGTAAGGTCAGCAATATGGAAGGAACAGGGGGAACTGTGAGCGACTGGGGGAAGGTACTATATCAGTGTATATGCACGATGGTCTTGGGGTTGTGTTTTGGATTGTCACTTTACCCATAAATCATCGGGATACCCTTGCCAGTTGATAAGGCGACCTTTTGGATTGCATCTGTAAGTGTATATTCATGCATGTCATGCAAATGCGGAAATGAGCATTTACGAAGTACGAGGTACAAAGTAGTTCCCAGGGTTAGTACTGCATGCACATTCAGAAAATCACTCAATGGCAGAAAGAATGCATTGGCACGTTGGCACACTGGCGTTATGATTTTCTCACGGCCAGAAATGAATAAAAGTGAGAGTGGGTAAAAGAAAGAATAAACTTGCCTACAATCTTTGCGAACCGTTTAGCAGAGTACGCCAGGTACTTGCCGCCATGGCTATTAATTTAGATCAGAGCAAGAGAAGGGGCTGTCAGTTAAAAGGTAACAAAGTACCGCCAGCTGGTTGCTACATCGCCATGAAAATTTTGAAACCCAGTTCAAATTCACAACATTCCTCAACCATCCGTCGGTAGACATCCTCAGTTCTTTCCCACCCTCTCTCCTGAAGCATCATTCGTGACTAGTCTCGCTATCACCTTTTTGTCACTACCCAAAGAAACACACACGACAAAGGACTTACTTGGTAGGAGTATCCAAGAAACTACCAACACCCCACTCCCCAATCCAATACTCAGCCTTGCCCAAATCCAACTCGCCACTCTTATCCAACAACATCCCAATCTGAATCTGCGTCATCTGGCCCGCCAACTCCCTCAACGTCAACGACTCTGCAAGCTTCTGAATATCAGCATCCACCTGTGTCGTGGGGCCCGGTGGATCGTAGTCTTCAGAAAGCGCGGCAGAACTAGAGAGGGTCTCCATGGCTGGGTCGTAGGTTCGGTAGGTTGCCTGTGGGGTGCGACCGTTGTAGGAGTCTTGGTCGATGAGTTGGGTGTCGGGTGTTGGTTGTTGTTGCGGGTTATAGTCTGGAGCGTCTTGGGCTGCCATGATAGCTTGCTGTTGTTGCTGTTGGTCGTTGTTGAGGGAGGAAGCGAGGTTGTCGGGTGCAGGAACGACGCCAATGGGTGCGGGTGTGACTGCCATGGTTTGGAGGAGGAGGGTTGTCGAGAGCAAAAGGATTAGTGAGCGCGCCACGACGCGTCGACTGTAGTGCAGGTGGTGTTCTACTTTGCGCGGCTTTGAATGGGGAGTTCCATCCATGGCTGATAACACTGCGGGAAGAGGAGTGTGGACAGTGGTGAGGAGTAAAAGTGAAAGGTGAAGAGAAGAGAAGAAAGAAGACACGAAAAAGGTGGGAAAGGCAGGTATTTTACTTCCTTTCACGACTCGCACCCCTTCTTTTCACTCCCTGATGGATTACTCCAATCTTTGAGACGGGAACCCTTGTCTCTTGCACTCCTCTCTTCCCCCTTTTTTAATTATCTCCTTTACAAAATGTGTCAACGACGATATCATTGCACTAAAGGCCGAAGGGGACAAAATGGCACTAGAGAAAGAGGGAATGGAGTGAGGTAGAAAAGAGAAGGCGTTTGTGTCCCGACCCTGGTTATTTTTTTGTTCTACCCATCCAAACCACTAACACTAATCCTCCTTCTCTGATGACGGCGATACCAATGAAGAATGGGACTTTTGAGTGGGATGCAATGTTCTTTTTATTATTTACATAAGATACAATACGAGGAGAGGAAAGAGAGACCATTCTCCTTCCATTTCCTCACTTCACTTCTTTTCACCCTCTTGTTCTCCTGAAAGGCAAGTCCAAAGGTAATATTTTGAAATCACCTCCGAGCCCATCCCCTCATATTCTATTCAAAAAGCACCAATGGTTTATCCGATGTGCTGGTAGGGGTGAGTTTTCTGGTACTGAGGGTGGGGCACAGCCTGCTGCATGGCAGGCTGGGGCTGAGGCTGCAAGAAAGCATAGCCCTGGCCATAGGTGTAAGTCAACCCATTCTTGCGATGCTTAACCTCACTCGTGTACGAGCTCGCGACCGACCCACCAACAATCATCAAAAACAGTTGTACACTCGTACAAACGCCAACAATAATCATGGTCGTCCTATAGCAGGATCCGACATCATCAGCCAGATCCGTGGCAGAGTAAGGGGTATCGCCAGCGTACTTGGGGTTATCCCCGAGAATGGCAATCTGGCAGAGAGCCTTGACATCGTCTTGTTCACGGGTAGCGAGGAGGACGATCCCGAGGACAGAGAGGATGGTGATCAGGATGGTGGCGATCCACCAGAGGACGGAGAAGTTCTTGGCGACGGCGTATTTCTTGATGAGGACTGCGAACATGCCGGACACGCCCAGGAGGATGTAGACGCCTCCCAGGATGTATGATGCCCACTTTGTCGTAGAGTCTATTGTACGGTAGATAGAGAGAGTAATATGAGTTTCATTGTTACTGCAATGAACATCCAAGGAGCAAAACGAAGAAGAGGTTCGTTACCTGTCATGCCAGAGCGGACAAAGCTCCAGATAGTCCCGCCTCCAAAGGCGAGGGCAAAGAGGGAGACAATAAAGACCGCAACGCGGTATGGGATGCAGCAGCAGCAGTAGTTACGATGTGTGGGCGACATTTTTGTTTGTTATGTATGTGTGGGTTGAAACGTATTAGATTAGAATATGTGGTGTCCTGAAGGCGAATGTACTGAAAGAGAGAGTCCCTTGGTTCTTGTTGCTTTGTGATGAGTGGAGTGTATATACAGCGAGTAAGAGTGAGTGGGGATGATGGTGATGTCTATGAAAGATGACCGACTGACAGAGAGTGGAAGAACAGGGAGAGTGGATGAGGAGTGAAGAGTAAGAGAAAAGAAAGAGGAAGGGGGTGACTGCAAGGTCTTTTTATAACCCTGTTCTTGATCCATGGGCGAAGTGTAGACCGGGCTAGGCATATGGATGAGCTTGTCGGTGTTTGACTCCGACGAACGACCCTAGATGGAAAGACGTACACGCCGCGACTAACACAACACTGCCATTGAAGACAGAAGGATAGAGGGAGGGGCTGAGAGAGGATGTCCAATGGGGCTCGTCAACAACGACAACAACAGAGTGATAAAACAAAAGGGACGAACAGACAAAATAGAGACAACGAATCAAAGACAGGGATCACCAGCCCAAGCTGGAATGGGCGGAGCAAGAGAGAAGAGGTGCGGCATAGCATAGCCATATCCCTCTCCAAGAAGGCAGAAAAAAAATATTGACACTGCCGCCGAAAATAACACACATTCAAGTCCGCGCGCCATTTTTCTTTGTGCACTGCCTATTCTTGGATATGGTTTTTATTCGCGCTGTTCCTCATCACAGCCCCATTTATCCATCGACCGTACCAATTGAAGGGGCACCACCCCCCCTCCTCTTCCCTCTCGACTTTTGTTGTTGTTGTATGTCTATTGTTTGGCTACAGAATCCGCGTTGGAAACAAAAACCAGCGCAAAGTTTTCACTCCCAGCAGCTCACCTCCTTCCCTTTCTTTGACAAGTTTATTGCAACATAGATTGAGAGTGCGGAAAGGACGTCAATGCACACTGACAACAATACCAACAAAGATTCGGCCACGGTATATTCAACTCCCTCTGTCGCATACTTTTTTTTTTACCGTCGTAGTTTCCACCCTTTCCTCCTCAGCCAGAGACATACTTGTCGGTAACCGGCAGGGTCATCGTCTCATTGCAGAGACCCCCCAACTGCGACCCTTACATTCGTCTGCGGGCGTTGGACGACTGACATGAGAGAGGAGAGGAGGCCTGCAGCTCATCCCTATGGATGAAAGGCCAGACTTTTGACGTGCTTTTATTATCTCTTCGTTGTCAGGCTGTCATTCAGGGAAGAGGTTGAGGGAAGAAGGCTGAGTCTCGTCAGGTCATCTTTTACTGTACACCTGACTGTATTACTGTCCAAAGCTACACGCGCCTTACGTTTCTGGGCTGTTATATGTTAGCATTAACGCGCATTACTCTCTATCCTTCTATTAATGGCAAGAAGAATAGAGGCTTGCATATTTTTCACGGTGTTCCCTTGCCACCATCAAGAACACCTGAAACCGGTGTTAATCATCCCTTCCAAGAGAGCAGACCTTTACCTTCTCGTTCGTATTTTCCTCAATCATGTACAGACATATCTATTCGTAGTTATATCGGACGACACCGTGAAGCATGAATGCCATTACTACCGCCATCCTTCTTCATTGAACAGTCAAATGTAATAACCTGCATCCGTGTTTTTCGCCTGCGTTTATTGCTCTCGACTCCTCATTTTCATTCTGTTACATAGTTTCGCCTCCTGAAAAAAAATGACCTGAACAAGCAACAAAAAGTATCATCCAAGACGGTCCAACAACCCAGCACTTTTACCTCGACTCATTCTCATTCTTTTTTTTTCCTTCCTTTTCCTCACCGCACCTTCCTCTGCAACAACACCTTTGCGCCTGACACCTTATCAACACCAAAAACAATGCTTGCCAACACTTTCTGTCACCGCCGCAGCAGCCTTCGCACATCCACCACAGCCAAATCCACAACGCTGCTCATCGCAACAATCGTGTTGCTGTTCAGTCTAGTGGTGGCGACCACCTCGGCAACACCTATCCCTGCGCCGGCGCCAGCACCCTTCATCGTGTCCCCCTCGAATGCGCCAGAATTAGCGCCGGGCAAACAATATGGCAGTACTAAACCATAAAAAAAAAAGCAGCTAGTCGGCGAAACACTTCTTCTCGCATCCACCAAAATCGAGGCAACTCTTTTTAACCTGAACACACTTCCGTCTCAGAGTCCTTCTTTTCAGCACCCCTACTTACTTGTGCTGGAGTTGAACATAGCCATTATCATAAAAAATAAAAAAATGAAATATCCATTCTTGATTCACCAAAAAAACGGCACCGTTCTCTTTGGAGTACAGACATCCATGTCTCCAAAGAAACGAAAACGACAGGTATCTTCCATCTTTCCTTCCACACCGTGCTTTGTTAAAAAATGGCAAAAAAAAAGAACGTTCCCAATCCGGGGTTCGAACCCGGGCCGCCTCGGTGAAAGCGAGGAATCCTGACCACTGGACCAATTAGGAGTTATTCGTTCGATTTCAACTTCTCTTGCATAGATCTTTAAAGTAAATTCCTTGGACAAACATGTGAAAATACCTGAAAATAGGGGGTCTGGGACCTGGCCCCGGAACCAGGTACCCCATAGTGTGCCCTGGAGCGATCAAGTACTTGGAAAATTGTTGTTGTATAAGGATAGATAGGTTGGTGGCGCGGTGAGAGATTTGACGCGAAAATAGAGCCTAATGCCCGAAAAAAAATCAAGGAAAGTAAGTCCAAGAAAAAAGTAATGTAAAGAGCGTCGAACGTCCTAATACCCTTAGAGACAATGCAGAAGCTCGAAAGATCTACAATGAACAGGAGCCGGGGACCTGTTTGTGGTTACTGGGATATTTTTTTTTTAAAAAAGCAGAATGGTTCGATGTTTTTGGGTGGCGGCATGTAAGCCATCAAACAAGAAAAAAATGACTATCTACACCCTCACCACCTTCTTTCCTTCTCACTACTCTCCTCCTAAACTAAGTGCTGACAAAGGCGAGCATGACAATGGCGCCGACAGTGCTGGCAATCATAAGAAGATAACACATCTTTTCCCTATATTTCCGTTGGTGCTCACTCGCCTTCACAATCTCCTGCTGACCCTGTTGAATCCGACCTCGTGCCTGCATAATATTATCCTGCAAAAAATCAACACCACCTCTCTGCTCGTGCACCAATGTCCCCAACTCCTTCATCACATCTAGGACCTCGACCATTCCAACCTCGATCTTGCGGATCTCAGACTCACGCTCTTGGAGAATGTTTTCTTGCATTGCCAGTTCACCGTCCATGGCCAAGAGTTCTTTGAGTAGAGCCTCTTCTTGAACTGAGAGTTCGCGGTCGTGGTGGAAGACTTGGAGTCCTGGGAAAGAGGTGTTGCTGAGACCGTGACTGGTTCCACTGCTATTGCTGCCTTGACTGTTGCCAAGCGCTTGAATCTCCTCGGGTGATAGGTCCATCAGATCAGACCGCCTTTGACTCAGTCGTCGCATCGAAGCACTAGACGACAGTCTCCTCAAAATCGCAACTTGACACCTCTCAGCCTCAATCGCCTCCCTCTGCAGCACCTGAAAATCCTTACTGACCAACGCCAGATCCTTGGTCAGCTTTTGATGTGTCTGTCGTCGACTCACAAGCACTTTCTTCTGCCAGGACGACATCTCGACCCGCTGCTGCCTTTGTTGCTGCGACCGCATACCGATGCCAACACCCGAGTGCGGGATCGAGGGGGGTTGATGGTACCGAGCCAGGACCTTGACCAGACCATGGGCAGACTTGACCAGCTCGTGGGTCCCGTCCAGAACTGCGTGCAGACCGGCTCGCATCTCGACAGTGTCCTTGTGGCGCTGGCCCAGACAGGGGACCAGTCGTTCGAGGACTGCAATGTTGGAGGAGATGTTGAAAATTTGTTGGGACAGGTGGCGGACCATGAGGTTATAATCGAGTTCTTGCTCCTGGAGTGCTGTCGATGACGTGGGAAACACCGATGACGTGGTCACTACTGCTGTAGACGAGGATGATGAAGAAGACGATGCTGCTGCTTGTTGTTGGTGGGTAGTAGATGGATCGATGTCGATAGAAACTCCCTCGTGTTGGTAGGTGTCTATCCTGTTACTGCTTTTTGGTACACGAGCAGAGGAGGGAGCACCCACCCCTGACGAAGACGATGTTGCTGACATGCTTGTTGCCCCTGAATCATGTGGCCCACGGTTATCGACCCTTATAAATCCTTGGTACTGCTGGTTTAGGGGACTCGACTGGGGTGGGCTGGTCGGTGGTGAGAGAACCTGTCTCTGGTGATTGCTGTTGTTGTTGCCAAGGACACGATTATTATAGTTGTTGCCAAGGACACGATTATTATAGTTGTTGCTCTGACTGCCGCCCTGGAAGGACGTCAAGACCGATTGAGGGGATCGAGGTGGTACTGTTGTTGTAGTAGTTGTCGATGATGTAGTCGTTGTTGTAGTCGTCGACGGTACATTCTGGTCTTCTTCCGGAGATCCAATCCGCTCGGCAGCAGCAGCAGCGTCGGCAGCCGTTGTGGGCGTCAACGTTGGCCTCGGGGTATCAATCCGTGTATTCTCGTCGACAAATCTCGAGTGGTGAGCAATAGGGCTCTTATTCTTCATGTTGTCCTTACTGTTGGGTGGTGACACCGGAGGTGGATAGGGCAAATGTACGTTTGAAAGCGGTCGTCTCTGTTGTTGTTGTTGCTGTTGAAAAAGTTGTTGTTGGTGTTGTTGCAATTGGTTCTGTAGTCCGAGTCCGATACTATCACGACTGTTGCCCCGGGTCACTTGCATTCCACTCGGGAGCCTCACCGGCGGCGACGACGACGATATTGTAAACGGAGGAAAGTGAGGGGAGCCGGAAGTCTCGACTGAAGACGAGGACGACCTTGGTGCTGGGATTGGGAAGGGGATACCATTACCATCGGTGGAGTACTTTGCCAAGTCCCGCTCTCGTTGATGTTGGTTGGGCGACAGGGGAGGGGTGCTAAGACCTCGTTCCAGATCCGTGAACGACATGACTTGTGTGCGCTAAGGTATGGTTGGATTGTGGAGTTGGGTTGGGTGGTCGAAGAAGGTATGTATGTTTACGAGATTATATCTTCGTTGTTTTTGTTTTTATCTTCGATGCTTTGAGTATGTGGGAGGAAGGGATCGAAAGGTGGAGCGAGGGGTAGAGAGAAAGGGTCGGGCAGGATGAAGAAAAGCGACAGGGAGTGAAGAAAAGGGCGACGAAAAGAAGTAAAAAGCGACAATGGACAGAAAAACGAGATAAAAAAAAAAGCGAAAGGGGCTTTAGACCACCACTGTCATACTTCTTTGTTTTTTTTGTCGCATGGTCAACATACAGAGAAACAGTGCACAGACACAGATTCTACAAGAAACATCAAGGAAAAAAATAGGGGCAAGATGTTGCTGGCACGCGGATTTGTGCTCCTTCTTGTCACAGATAGAAAACAAACATGAATGCAGGAAAAAAAAGGAGTAGGAAAAACAGGACAACGAAAAAAAGGAGTGAAAGGGTCAGTGGTGGGTGGTGACAATCATTATTACTTGCCTGATCGACGTTGACGAAGAGGAGAAAAAGGAAGGCGAGCATTAACAGAGGAGGGATGGAGAAAGTGGTTTCTTTTGATGATGTTAGATATGTTCCGTTCATCCAAGAGGAAGAAGGGGAAGGGAAAGGAGAATGAAGAACGTGAAGTATCGAAGGAGGAGTACGATCCATTGAGATTTTGTGTCTCTGAGAAAGATGATCGTCGGCGTTTGGAAGAGGACGGTGCAGCTATTCGACGGATTAGAGAGGCATGTTGTTTGTTGCTGAACTATCATTTTGTCAGATGTGGGAAGGATAATTTGGGGGTTCTTGTGCTGCCTTTTTCTCGTGGACGAATGAATAGATTGAGAGACGAAAGAGAATTGGGGGACAAGCGCATGGACGGAAACAGAAAAAAAATAATTAAGTGGGCCACGTCGGAATAGAATTGCCTGTGGGCAAGGCACAATGGGCTGGAGCAAACAACATCAGTACTGTAATAACAAATTGTATATATACAAATACGAGGGTACACTCGTTTTGTTTGCGTCTCTTCTTCTCTCCTTCGTCCTCTTTCCTTCCCACTTTCTGCCTTTGGTTCTCTTTCTTCTCTTTCTTTTTTCCTTCTTTTCCTTCTTCCTTCGTTCCTTCTGAACTCACTTTAGGCTGACATCAAACAACAAACAACGACCAACAAACGTATCGTTAAGTAGGTATGTCGTTGTTGAATGATCTCCCTTTCGTTTCTTCTTTTTCAATCCTTAAACGAATAGAGAGCAAAAGAACAATATTTGATATCCACTCTAGTTTTTTTTGCCTCCGCAGAGGATCCTCTCTCAATCCTTTCCTTACTCTGATTCATCAAAGCGACCGAAGCGATGTTCTCAATTCGAGTTAATTAGTTAGCTGTCAAGCTCGGCAGAGGAGAAGTGAAAAAAGGGAAGATGTCAGACCATTTCTTCCACAACACACCCACCTCACTTTGAACATAGTCATGAAAAAGAGAGTTTCGTTGGTACTTTGAAAGTGACATAGAGGAAAGTGTGAGAGCATTGAACTAGCGAAAAAACCGGAAAGCACAGATGACAGGGCGTAGCGGACAACTCGTTGTCCAGTAGCCGTAATTTTGAATGGCGTACCCTCCGTATGGAAGGAAGGAAAATGGTGACCAATAGGCCATTGTCATTTGTCTTAACATGGATGAGGGTGCACGTTCACATTCAGCTTCAGTTTTCTTTGTCAGTCTGCAAAGGCATGACCCATATGTCGATACGTATCAAATTGAATGGGGGAAAGGAAGCTTGCGATACATAGTCCTGACTAAGAAATAACGCATTATAAGGAGTGGAATGGCGATAAAAACAAAAGAGGTGAGCAGCAACAAAGAAGAAGTCAATGGAAGGAAGGAAAAAAAAGAACGGGTGCACCCTCGATCGATGACAACCCAGCCGGTCAACGGACAGGTGCTCTCGTCTTTATGCTTCCTGCACAATTTTCCTGTCGTATGTGGATGTGATCGTGGAAGGCAGGAAGAGGGGTTGTTAATTGTTTATTGATTGTTTGTTATGCGGATGGTCGGTCGGATGAGAGCCATGTTTTTGTTGACTGACAAAGGTGAACAGGCGATGTCGTTTTTTTGTTCGAAATGGATTTTTGAGGTTAGTATCTCTGGCATGGCGAGTACGGCCTTTTTTACAGTATTTTATCTCGTGAGAAAACTGTTGTGTGGGCTGGCATATATGGCATATATGTTGTTAGGTAGATTGAAAAAGAAGGATAAGATATGGAGGCTCATCAACAAAGTACATGTTTGTACCAAAACTTAAGAGGAAGAGTGAAGGAGGATGAGAGTCTACAGGTCAAGCTGAGATGGGAGATGATGGGCGGAGATGCAAACCCTTTTCACCTCCAACCCCACCCCTGGTTTTTTTTACTACTATAGTTTCTTTACGTTATTCAATAGCTATTTTTTGTGATTGTTCATTGCACATGCCCTTCTTTTTTTTTTTTACCTGCTTGGTCTGTGTGCGTGTGTGTCTCTGTGTACAATTGATTGAATGCAGTCTATAGTACATGTACCATGTCGGTGTTTGTTGTCATTTTCAAAGGCAGTAATGTTTATGCAATACGCCTTTTTATGTCCAATCCCTCCTTTGCCCAAAACAGTGCGATAGTCTACTACAGTTCGAGAGTGGCAGCAATATTTTTCCTGCTTTTTATCCGCACCCCTTTTGTCCAACACATATGCTTTGTGGAATCATTGGGGTGTTGAAATGAACCCTTTCTCAACTCTTCTACACGACAGTTATTTTTCCTCCCTCTCAGGAGACCTACACAACACAACATAACACCCCTTTCCTCAACTCATTCATAAGTTCACAACAACCCCTTGATAATCTGTCGTTCAAGACCAATTGGCCATTGTCTCAGGAAGTCCACAGAATAGCCATATTAGATCAACGTGTTCATGCCCGCAAAATATTGAACAAACGAGAACAAACGAGAATGAGGGTGAGAATGAGATGGACAGCCAAGAACAGAACAGCGTTTCAAAACACCAATGAGTCCACCAGAATGGGACCTGAAAACAAGAAAAAAGTAATGAAAGGCTGCCACTTGCCAAGGAACGAAGCAAAGAGGCGGGCAATTGTTTGTGATAGGTGGTGTATTCATGTGCAAGCCGCTGGTAGGTTCAACATTTGACCGCAATTATCTCCCAATCATCTTCGTCGAGAAACCCACTCTGCTGGGAACCAGAAGCCCCTCATTCTCTCTTTTTATAAGTCCTTTCCTTATTACGCTCAGCTGAGCTTCTGGCTTTCGTTCTTCAATATTTCGAGTTGGCGTTGGTTTGTTTACTTGGCATCCAGGCGGCGATTGGCTTGTCGATAATATTTTTACTGGGGCTGACACAGTGGTTCTTCCACTTGACCTACCCCTTTTTTCGCAAAGGGAAGATGCAATCGCAGCCAGGAAGGCGTTTTCGTTTTGACTTCCCTGCTGTGGATCCAATAGTTGTCTGGATGGTGAAAGGTGAAAGGTGAAAGGCAGGGCGAAGAGTAAAAAAGATAAAGCTGATTATAAGTGATCAAACACACAAAACAGGCACCATTGATCATCAATTATTATGTTTAATCACCAATGGGGCTCGAGACGGAATGAAGGAAAAAGGAATCGGCATCTACCCTGGGATCCGAACCTTCTTGGTCTCTCTCCTATTTGTTACTTTGTTCAATCAATTATAAGCATCCTATTCAATCTTTGAGTTGTTTGTTTTTGGCAAACAGAATTTAACTCGCGTCCTCCATTTTCCAATTCTGTGGGATAGGGAAGGGAAAGGAAGGAAGTGATGGACGTTTATTATTTTTCTATCTCCCGCTAATGTCGAGAGCACTTTTGGTCTTCTCTTCGTTGTTCTTTTTTCATTTTCAGGTGTCTTTTTTTTTCTCTTTCTCTTCGTTCTTCCTTTCATTCCTCCCTTTTTTTCGTCCGGTTTTCTTGTCAAAGGCCCGCGTACACAAACAGGGAGTAGCAAAAAGAAGGTGAGAAGGTACCCATTTGAACGGTGGTTACTGTCGCACTGATTTGCTTTACTTCAGAGTCCACAATTGAACTCCTTAATTTACAGCAGACTTGCAATGCGGTTCATCGACAACCAACTTACTAGTTGAGCAAATCATCGGCCTATGACTGATTGTCTTGTCAACCCCTCTTCCACACCCCCTTTTCTTTTGTTTGACGATACACCGATTGAAAAAACGAGAGAGCAGACACAAAAACAAGAGTAGCCCAATTGCTCGTTTCCATGCACGGCTTGCTCTCCGCCTTCCTGGGTGCGCATAAAAATAATGTATTCAGGATTAACTGACTGAATGACTGACAACGCCAACTTATTTTTCATATATATGCTACTTGAACTGACAGACTCAATCGAACCTCTTCTTCTCTCTCCTCTCCTTCCTCCTCCCTTCCTTCCTTCTTATTCTTTTTCGTCTCTTTTCTCTTCCCTTCCTTCCTCTTCTCTTCTTTGTTGATATTTCCCTTACCCTTTTTCCTCTTCTATTCCTTTTCCTTTCCTGAGCTCCACTCTTCCATTTCTATATATTGCTCTCCTCAATCCACCTTCCCATCCCACATTGTGTATAAAGAACCCTACTTCAGTCTCTCTCGCAGTCCAGTCGCCAATCGCATTTGTCCGCAACTTGATAGCACCTTCTCAACCCACACCCTTTTCAGAGCTGGCACTATCATTTACGAACGAACAAAAAGGCACGTTCAACCTTTCTGTAACCTCGCCTCGGGTCACCCGTTTTTTTTCTTCTAAAATAGCAGTGCTTTGCTTCCTCCCTTGCCTGCAATGCCCACAATTGGCAATGTTGTTCCATCGATCAGTTTCTTCTTCAGTCGCACGACCGCCATTCTCTCCTTTTGTAATTCTCTTCGTCCATCCTCCCTTCATCGCCCTCACCGTTCTATTCAACGGTCCATACTGTGTACGGTTCCGTCGTCCTTCAAAATTTCCACCCAATCTGTTTTGAATCCATTCCCCACCCATCTCCACACACAGATAATCTTTAGCCGGGCATTGAAAGGCACACAGAAAAAAAAAAGCGAGGTGGGCGATCCTGCCCTTGCATTTGCATCATGCTTTTCCCATCTCCTTCACCCCCCCCCCTCCCCACTTTTTTTTTTCTTTTCTTTTTCCGCCGCATTGTTCCTTCGGCCCAAAAGGAGCTCTCCTTCACCGGTACCTCATTTTTATTTATGCTGAAAGTTGATCTATTACCTTTCAAGGAGGAAACAATCATCGCCTTTATGCCCGCAGCTTCCTCGCATTGTTTACTTTATACTTTCCATTCATGGACATTCCATTCAAGCACGGCGAACGACTGAAGAAATATGACGGCGCAAACGCCATCCCCTAATGACGACTGCATTCGATGATTCGATAAATCCTTTCCTTCCTTTTTTGCCTTTGAAGGATGCATCGTTGAGATTGGATCGCCTCATTTTGCCTTACATGACCCAGTCCTGACTTGGCTCAAATCTCAACCTTGCCAGCCACATGTATGAAAAAACTCGACTAACCTTGTTTTTGCATTGTTCGTTTAACCCCTGTTGCCCTCGGTGTTTTATTATTGCATACAGGGCCGTTATCAAGTACTGGGCAAGAATACATCTACGACTATTGAAAAAGCCGTTGTGAACTTATCGGTCCCTTCCCAAATCAGCTACAAAAAAAGAAGGGGTCAACTCTGCGGTCTCAGATGAGCTCTTCACAAGACGAGAGTACACTCTCGATGTTCACCAGGTAAATATGGCCGGGTAACTTTACCCCAAGCTGGGAACTGAGCATTGTCCAAGAGAAAATGGCTAAATAGAGTGGGAAACAATGGTGCGGATGGCAAAAGAGAGTCCATGCCGATGGATGAAAAGAGCATGTATTCCAAGAGTGGAGCAAGGAACAACTACGACCGTCGATGGAGAAGAAAAATAATGCATCGGCGATTTTTTGTGTTGCTGTTGTTTACGTTCGGCAATCGATTGTTATCCGGATTATCCTTTTTGTACCTTGTTCATGTACTAACCATTGGATACAAAAACCCAACGACAACATGTCCTTTTACATCTCCTGATTGCAATGCGCCAAATGTAGCATCGTCGACTCTGCGGTGAGCGCTAGACTATCATTCACACGAGGTTCTGTGCCAGAGTCAATAGGAGTTTTACAAGATGTCGAGCAGATGGCCAGGCATCTGGAAAAATGGCTGGCCGACCATCATCGCGTACAGGCAAGTACAAAAAATAAACCACCATGCATGGTAGCTACTGTATCCACTCTAGCAAATGCACATGCAGCTTCTTCTTTCGGCGTTTTTTTAATTTTTCTTGGAGTTGATTGTTCCATCGCAGAGGCCATCCAACAGACGCTTCTTTGCGTGGGAGGGTTTTTTTATTCCCACTATCACTTTCGGCTGCATCCAATCCAATCAAACACGCGTACACAAGTTACCCAAACTTCTTTTTACAACTTCATTGCGACAATCACGACTTCATGAATGATGGTTCCATTCTCAGCGTTTTCAATGACCAACTCGCACCGCACAAACACATGCCCGGGCGCAATGATGCATTACTTCTTTGATTCCCCTATATTAGCCATCTTTTGGGTCTCCATTGGATGACCGAACTCACACATACACACGCAGACAAAAAAGAGTGATCTTCGTTCAGGGACATTCTCATTCACGACGGACTGAAGAGACTACGAACGCAATGAAGTACTTTAAAAGGACGGTCGGAGGACACCAAAGGATGAATGCATGTCCCCCTTTTTCATCTGTGCCAATGAATTTGCGCCTTTCCTCATTGAGGATTTTCTTTTGTGTTTGTGACTCTTATGCATGCAAATGCAAGCCGATGTCCATCCCTTCTTGTTTTTTGTTGTGGTCTTTTTCATGTAATCTTTCATCCGCGGGATTTTGTTTGAATTGTTCCTTAGTGTTGCTACATTGAATTTTTCTTTTGTCTATGCGTTGTATTTTTTCAGCTACTCCTCATTCATCTATCCACCTCTTATTCCGCTTCTTTATCATACTTTTCCTTGTTCTTCACTCTCCACTATTCATCCACCATCCATCCACAAAAACTCGCTCACTCACGCACCTACTCACGCCCCCCCCCTTTTTTTTGCTCGTTATTATTTTTCAAACAGCGCTCGCACACGAATGGTTACGATGAAGCAGGTCAAGAAGCCAGTTTATCTCCGGTCGGAAAGAATAATCCTGAGCGCCAACAGGAACAACAGCAACAACACAGTCGAGGCTCAATATTCCCTCACTCTCCAATCGCGCCAATCTCTCCAGCTCCTCGTTCTCAGCCAGTCAGCAATACCCAACATTCTTCCTTTCAAGGACAATCGTCTCCAGGGCCAAATTCAACAGCTACTGCAGTAGAGGGTGGAGCAGGAGCAGGAAAGGGAGGACAGGGAATTTTTTCAGGATCTATCTCTGGATCGGTGTCAAGACCGGGATCCAGATCCGGTTCTGAAACCAGTTCGGCCTTCATGCCAGCTTCCTCGACATCCACTTCAATAACATCAGCAACACCAGCAACAGTAGCACCAATTCTTGAAAGAGGAAGTGAAGGCTCTTTGTCGTCGTCGGCATTGGGATCAGGAATGGGGTATCAGCACCATTTGAAGGCAGGATCCAAAACCCATGATTCGTTGCCAGTCTCAGCGCCACATTCAAGTCCCACTTCTGGCGCAGCTCCTCTCACTGGTCACAGCACCTCTCGACCTTATCTGCATGAGGGAACAGCAGCAAACGATGACTCGAGGCGGTACCCTTACCATTCGCATCCAACATCGTCATCCTCAGCTCTGGGCTATTCAGGACGAGGAAGACCACTGCAGGAGCATGGAGATTCGAATATTGAAGAGTCATCTTCATTTGCTGGTGAGGCGGGACCAATTTTTCCTCGCCAGAGACATACGTCTCTGCCCCAGGTTCTGAGCCACCAGTCCCAAAACTACCCTCACCCACATCACCCACATTCGCAGCACCCACCACCAGAAGGACTGCAACAGCCGACAGCAGTAGGATATTCTTCGGACCCTCATAACCGTCGTCCACCATCGCCTCCACAATACCATTACCCCCATCCGTCTCACCATACCCCAGGAGCATCCATGACATCGACGTCTTCGACATCGTCCACATCGTCGTCTTCGACCTCGTATTTTGGCCTGCAAAGCGCAAGTAGAGCACAGCAGCAGCGTCAATATGAGCAACCAGGGACCAGTAGCAGTGGAAGCAGCAGCAATAATGGCGCACAGACACCTTACTCGATGTACTATCATCCAGAACATTACCGTGCGCGCTCGCCTTCATCCCCGTCCTCTAATGGATACCCTTACGAAGGCCATCCTCACCACTTTCATCATCCTCACGGGCCTTACTCACATCCATACCACCACCCTGACAGGGTCCCGCCACCACCGCCTCATCGACCGACCGATGAATGGTACGACGAACGATCATCTTATCATCGTCAAGGACACCCTTACCACTACGACGCAACAAATCGGTACCAGCCACCTTACCCACAACCTCGCCTGTACACACCACCACACCACCTCCAACACCATCACCAGGACCGGAGGCACCTTACATCACTGCCGATTCGACACCACTCTCGCTTCCCTCGACGCATGTCTCAGCCCTTGACTGCTCCTGATGGCGGATCTGATCCTGAGAGTCGGTGCATGCCCTTCTTGAACGCCGATTTGCACGAGCAGGATATTAGCGATCCCTATGTGAAGCGGTTAGCGAACTCGGATGATCGGCTTCCTTCGTCACCACCGCCCGTGCCACAGCCCAGGAATCTCGGACCGTCCAACACTTCTACTATGGCGAACTTGGCATCTTCATCATCAGTAACAACATGGGGTGCATCAGGATCAGGATCTACATCGGGCTCTCAGTCAACAGGAACAACAAGCGGAAATAATGAAACGAACCTCGCAGTACGCGGTGGTCCGAGCACAGCATTTGGTGGACTGTTAACAAACGCATCCGGGGCACCGACAGCAGCGATTCCTGGATTGGTGTTTTCGTCGCGCGGAGATAATACGGGGTCTCGTACTCAGTTTCACGCACCCTTGGAACCTGAGGTCGTCGCCAAATTGGACGATATCTTCTTCAAGTTCCTCCAGCGCATCTGTTCCGACTGTAAGTTATTTACTTTTGTGGGGTTACTTGTTACTTATGTGTCTCGCATTCTTATATGTGTAGAACAATTGTTAACATTCAACATTCACATTGTTACCTTTTGTGTTTCTAGTGAAAGCATGCGATGCCAAGGGTGACCACATGTAGGTCCTTATTTGTTTTTTTTTGTTCGTGAGTTCTTGAGGGAAAAGACTTGAATTGAGAGGAGAGAATGAGCGTGAGCGAATCATCAGTCAAATCACATATTTGGAAAGAGAAGAATGATTTTCGATTCCGAACTTCTGTCCGTACTGATCCCAATCAAATACCGTGGTGCACACGGAACGACGATCTTTTTTACCTTTATCTCCATGTGTACCGAGGTCTCTCACAGACAGACAAATCAAAGGACAAGAGAGGGAATGTACAAAATATTAAGGAGTGCCCCCCGGAAAGGGGTGTCAACACATCTCTCTTGCAGCATGATGGTGACAAATAAAAGGGGTGCCCAGGCAAAGAGGGAATGAGAATGCGCATCTCGGTTTCTTCCGTTTGCATATAGAAATAATGATGCACCGCATTTAATTTTCATTCTTCCTTCTTTTTTCTAACACCAGCTTTCATTGACTTCTAACTTCCTCATTCATGGAATCATAGTCACCAGCCGCTTATGGCCAAAAAAATGGAACGCCTCGAAGCCTCGACCGAATTCCGGCCCTTCAAATTCCGGATCCAAGCCTTCACCAACGCCTTCCACGACTCCTTGATCCAACACGGTCTCACAGAGGATGTCCTCCCGCTTCGAAAAGTCAAACTCTACCTTTGGAAACATCGGTATATCTCGCGTTTTAATGAGGATGGCAAGAAGCAAAAGTCGAAGGGGAATCATGTTTGGAATATTGAGGCGCGCAAGATCTCGAACGTTGTGGATACCTCTGGGCCGGCTCCTGGGTCTGGAGCGGAAGGGCTGGGTGCGTCGGCGACGCCTTCGGTTGCTACGCCTTCTACATCCTCAGCTGCCTCAACACCCTCTATCAAAGCATCCACGACGACGACAGGATTCTATGACCTTCTACCACTAGACATGGACCCGAAATATATCGGACCCGAAGCGATTTCTGCAGCAGGAGGCGGGTTGGGGATTATTCGGAGACCCACGAGTCCGGTGCGGTGGGAGTTCCGAGAGTACACTGGTCGGATTGCAGGACAAATCATCAAGTATGCCCGTGTGGGAGTTCCTTATGTCTATTCGCCCCGCATCTGGGATGCTCAAATGTCTTGTAAGGTCTTCCTTTTTTATATGCATTGTTTGTTTTGGTTAATGTCATGAAGAAAACTAGGAGATGCGGAAAAATTGTACGACCCACTGACCTTCTCTCTACCCCACACAATCCAAAAAAACCTCCGCAAACACAATAGGCCCAGCAGCAAAGTTCAGTAGCCCCTGGCTCCCCAGCTGGCTAAAATGGCACCGCGGAGAACTCAAAGGAATCCCAAGTGCGGAGGACAAATCCTGTACGATCCTGGTAGTTGCAGAGTACGTCAGGGAGGGGGAGGAATGTCGACTTGAGATGTCGTTCCCCTTGACGGTTTGTGATCCTTCCAATGAGATGCAGGAACTTCACGAGCCCTCTGGTGTCTCTGCAGAGGATGATGGCAATGCAGGCGGGTTGTATGAAGGTGGTGGTGACAGCGCGGGCGCTGTCGACCTTACTCCTTCTGCTGGTCATGGACAGGGCAGTGCGGACTCTTTGAAGATGCAGGCAGAAGAGTTTTCATCCTTTCGACAACAGCAATCAAGTCGCGAGAACTATGGTGATGAGGAGATGATGATGGCTATGAAGGAGGACGAGGACATGGAAGGAGAAATGGAGCAAGAACATCGCGAGCAGGCCTCGTCTTACAACCAGCACCAGCACCCTTATTCCAACAACTACTCCCCCTTCCACCACGACCACCAAAACCTACAACTTCCTCAACATGACTTGCAGACAATTTCGCCGCGTCAACAAGAACACCAACGCGAGCAGCGACAAGCCCAGCAGCGGCTGCAAAGACTCCACCTTCAAGAACACCATCAACATCAGCAACAGCAGGGGGAGGAGGACCAGAAGCCTTCACTCTTCCAGTCGACAGCTGCTCCTTCCTCGGCAGGGACGACCGCCAGCTTCTATATGAACCCTCCATCCAGCCGAGGCAGCATCAGTAGCAGCAACGGCAGCAGTGCCTACGTCAGGGAGGAAGAGTCCAATGAAGAGGAAGAGTCTGGCGATGATGAGGATGGTAATGAAAGCGACGGAGACGATGAAGAGGACGAGGAAGGTGGAACCGAGAAGACAAGGAATATGAAAACGAGGACCAGCACCAGGACTACAACGTCCACGTCAAGAACGCGTCCAGGTCGTCCCCTTTCCCACCGCCGGAAACCCTCTCGCGATCAGCGGTCAATAGTCCCGCAAGAAACCAACAAGCGGCGGAAACACGATTGATTTAAGCAAAGGACTTCAACGAAAAAATATTAAAGCCTTTCATGTTTTCTTCTGCTTGAAACACACTGAATTATTATTATTATTGTGATAGAAAGGAGTTGGTACATGGAATAGATAGAGTAGAGACACTGAGAGAATAGATATGTGTTTTCAAACTATGGTGTTATTACAATTGTGCAAAAGAACAGGGCTACTACATTTTGGTTTCTCAAACAAAAAAAAGTTTCTCAGAGGACAGTGGCAGAGATCTCGTCATCTGATTCAGTATCAACACCGCCCCTTTCCAGCTGAGAAGGGTACCCACGACCGTGTTGATGCTGCGACGACCTCATAGGGTCATGACCTCGGGAGACATGCTGGGCCGGCGACGACGACGATGTTGAAGATGGTGGTCTTGGACCTCCACTGCCTCGCATCGACTGCTGCTGATGCTTGAGTGGTGGAAGGACAGGCGGGGGTGGGCCATGCGATGGAGGTGGACCTCCACGACCGCTGTACCCGCCATTAGGGCTCGAGCCCGGGTGGTGAGGCGATCGATGACGGTGGCTGCCGAGGGAAGGTGGAGGTGCCGAGGGGGGATGATGGCGGTCATTAGGGAGCATATGCGGCTGCTGGTGCGAATGTGGGTGCAGGTGATGCTCACTAGTTCCTCGCTGATGATGATGGTGCACGGGGGAATGGGATGGAGGAGGAGGGTAATGGCCTTGCACAGGTGCATAATGGGCCGAATCCCTTCCATCACTGCCACCGTCAACTCTGCCTCTACCACCGCTGTTACTATAGGGTGGCAAACTCGTGCGTTCATGGCTTGACGGAGAATGCGAGTGAGATTGGGATCGAGAGTGAGGCGACGGAGGCGTCAAGGGTGGTCTGCCATGAATCGGCGCCAGTTGGACGTGATCTCTAGATGGAGGCTGGTATGGAGGCAAGCGCGGACTGGAACCAGAAGTTGAAGGTCCATATCGTTGGTGGGACTGCGATAACGTCTGCTGTGGCGGCGGCGCGTGATATCTTGATGATTGAGTTGGTGGCGGGTGAGAGTGAGACGGGTGGGGTGGTCCGTGCGAGTGAGGGTAGTGAGGCGACATCGAGTGAGATCCTCCTGTTCTTGGATGATGGCTCGAGTGCGGATATGGCGCCGCCTGGTGGGAATGAGGAAGCGCGCGCGCATGTGAAAGCTGTGGCGGCGGCTGTTGCTGCGAATGTGAGAATGGGTGCGAGTGCTGATGAGGATGCGGATGGGAAGGGTGAGGATGTGAATGAGACGCGTGCTGCTGATGCTGGTGTGGAACATGAGTACGAGCATGAGGATGTGGTTGTTGCTGCTGCGGTGGCGGCGGCGGGTGCGGGCGAGAATGAGAATGCGAGCGTGAGTGGGATGGCTGTGAGAGATGAGACGATGAAGGATGATGAGACTGAAGTGGAGGAGGATGCGAGCGAGATGAAGAGTGCTGTTGAGGTGGTGGTCCATGTGGGCCGTGCGGGTGATGCTGAGGGAGACTAGGAAGTCGATCATGGGGACGTCTGTCCTGGGGCAACAGAAATCCTTCGCTGAAGGACGGAAGGACAGGAGTTGCCGTCGATCCGGATCCGGGACCCGGTGCAGAAGGCGACTGTGGCATCGGTCCATTGGTTCCAGTTGGGAGCATGGACTGGACAATCGACTTTCGGCGTTTCGGTTTGGGTTTGTCGCCATTCTCCGCTAGAGGATCGCGTTTCTTGTAAGGCCGTTTCTTCCTTTCCTCAACTGGTCCAGTCAAAGTTCCCATCGATGACTTTGGCCCACCCCCCTGATCGCCTTCCGTTGCTGCGTGTGCAATAGCTGACAACTCGGGCTCATCCTTGCTTGACTTCCGTCGCTTCCGACGAAGCTCAGCCTGGTCCTTGTTGTACTGGATCCGCTCAGTAGCTCTTGCTTGGACTATTACGAGATAAAAACACAAAAGTAAGGTCAGCAAAAATGAATCCAAAGTACACAAAGGATGTATAACACATAACATGACAGCCTCGTAACATGATAGCCTCATAACATTATAGCCTCGTTTCCTTACCTTCGTCGTGGTATTCTAGCGCGCCGTATTGATACGTCTTCTTTCTCAGCACGGTGCAGACGGGGCAGTAGAACCTGTTGAGTCGCTGAGCCTGCTCCAAATGAAGACCCACACAGTGGATGTGATGCCAATCCTGACAGCCTCCACATTGGACCAGAACAGCACCGTCATTTCCTTTTGCCTCTGCCTCGACAAATGGTTTGCGGCAGAGACAGAGGTTGGTGATGGCCGACATGGGAGGGGCCGTCGGGTAGTTGGACAACATTACCACAGGAACTGGCATCGAGTCGGGGCAAAGACGAAGAACATGGCCGCGAAGTGCCTCCCGCTCTTCCCGGAGTTCAATGTCCATACCCTCAATCTTGCGGAGGTACGCCTTGACTTGTCCAATGTCCTCCTCCATAATGGGGTTGTAGTGCAAAAACCTGTCCACCCTCTGCTGAAATCGTGCTGCCAGGTCAAAAATCTCGCCCAAGAGCGGAACTTCTGGAGTGTAGAACCGGAGACTCTGTCCTTCATGAAAGCACCTCGCGAGCTCATCCAGAGTGGGGCGCGGACGGTCGCGTCGGATGACAAGGCTTAAGTTACAGACCGGGCAGATGTAGTTCGACTTCAAGCTGGCCTCCCGTTTGGTGACGCGTACACAGGTTCCGTGGTACCATTCGTGACATTCATCACACTCCACCATCATTCCAGACTCTGGGTTCCTGCACAGACAATAGATTGGCTCCTCGCGATCTGGATCCATGGTCTCAGACTTCGAATACAAGAGGGTCTTGGTTGCCAGATTAGATATTTGAGCGACCTCTTCCGCAGTCAGGGGTGCCTCATAGGATCGTTGGGAGGGCTCGGCGTTTCCATTCTTCGCAGGCGGTGCTCCGTTGGCTTCCTCAGAAGGTCTGTCAGTGTGCTGAGCGAATCCAGACACCGCCTCGACGTTGCGTGCTGCTGTATATCCTGCGCCGTTCTTGATTTTGTCAGCCTTTTGAGACTCCAATATCCCATTCGCCGTGACCAGTATCGGTGGGATCCTCTCCTCCATCGTGCATGTCTGCACATTCTCCTTCAGGTCCTCCAATGACTCCTCTAGTTCAAATCCCGAAGACCTCCTGGAGCCTGGTTGCAAGAAAAGCGACTGGGTCCACGCCATCCAGTCGTCAAACTTCCTGGACTCTTCCTCAAACATGCTCTTGTGAGCAATCTCAATCGGGACGGTCTCCGCGAGTTTCAGTGCACGCTTCAACTCTGAGATGGATGGTCGGTCCTCATACTCTGGTTCCCCGCTCCGTTCCACCAGCTGGTCCGACGACTTGGCCCAATCCACTGACTTGTTGTAGAGGTGCTCTGCCTTGGAGAGAATCGCTCTTGATACTGGAATGTCCTGTCCACTCCTGATGACGTCTTGCAGCTCTGCCAAGTCGACTGGGTTTCTGTTCAATGCTGCCTGGGCCCTGTCCTCCCAGAAATGCCCTTCTTCCTCCTTCTTGATGAGATCCTTCAAAAGAGGGTTCGATAGCGACACACCGCTCTTGCGAGCATCTGCAACGAGACTGCAGATCAGGTGGTAATCGTCAGTATCGACGCCCTTGGCATGAGCTCGCTCGATCCATATGAGATCCTTCACAATCGTCTCCAGCTGGTCGATCTCGTCCATGCCAATGTTCATCGAAGCACCGATTTCGTACAGTTCCCGGCACTCATTGAGGTCATGCTCGGGTTTGTTGAGTGCTCTCCGAACATCGTCGCGATATTCCAGAATGGTGTCGATCGAATCCTCCAGCTGCTTGATTTCAGGACAATCAAACCGCATCCTCTCCACTCTGCGAAGCATATCCTGAAGATCCTCCAGTCGCTTCCCGCTTGTTCCGTGAGCTCTCTCCAACAGTCGGCGACCCTGATGATGCTTGCGGACCAAAACCTTTGTTGTCGCCTCGACCCAGTCATTCGCCTCGGCCACAAACTTTCTTAAGTGACCAGCTTCCTTGATAGGAAATGGAATGCGATCGGCTTCGGCAAGAAGTGACCGGAGGAGCTTCAGAGACGGCGTACGGGTTTCCATCATCATAGTCCTGTATTTCTGAGTCCATGCGTCAGGGATCGCAGCGGTCTCCACAATTTTGTCCTGAATCTCCTTGAGACGATCATCCGAGTACCGCAGACGCAGGAATCGTTTCGGCGAGTCACATTTGCAGAGCTAAATGATACAATGTAAACCCAGAAATGTTAAACGCTGTTTCCTTGAAAAACAAACACAAGGCAAGTCTGATTAACTTCAGCAAACGTACCTCGGAAATGTGGTCAGGGCATACGACCTTTGTCTGGCATTGGCATCCGATCTGAGAAAGGTAGATGTAGGTGTTGCAGTGAAGACATTGAACCTCTTCCTCTGGTCGGTCAGCCTCTTCCACAGAGATCTTGATGTTTGGATATTCCTTTTTCACGTCGCGGCGCTGAGAGATCTCCCGTTCGAAAAGGTCCTGTATCCCATCCTTTAGCCAGTATGCTGTGGCGATACTCGGGTCATTCAAAGCAGTCGTAAGAATCAGCTCGTCATGTGAAAACACTGGGTGCTTCCGATGCTCCTTGTACCGCTGTACACATTCCAGACCGAACTTGCACCAGTCAGGCGGCGCAAAATTGACCGCCTCCGCAAAGTTGAACTATAAAAATAAGAAGCCACAATTAGTATCATTCTTATAAGGATTGTAAACTTTTGTCTCGATCGTGCGCTTAGACCACTTACTCCATGGTTGAATCCTGCATGATATGCCTGCGGGAACGTGACCACAAATTGTCCAGGACGCTGATCAAGAGCCAAGACCTTGACTCCGTTGGCGACAAGTCGTTCAGGGGACAGCATGGTGACAAGTTGGAAGAGCAGGTCGGGTTGTTGTTCGAACAGTTCTGGAACAGCTCGTCTCATAGTGTCCTCAAACTTCAGCGCGTCCGATGCGGGGACGCCGTACCATGTTTTCGTTTCGCCCCAATGCATATAGTTGACCGAGTAAGTGTAATGATCCTCGTTGTGCCAACAGAACGTTGAGAAGCACATGCCGACATAGAGCCATGGGACCATCATGCCCGAGATGTCCGATTTGATGTGACAAAAGAGCGACTCTGGCAATACTGGCATGTTGTTGAGATTGGATGGATGTGTCGAGTATTTGTCGTTGGGGTTTCGTTCCAGAGATGGGAATCCACTATCAGGTTCAGATAAAATGGGAAAAGCGTTAAGATCCGTACTTCTTACAATACTCATATGACGCGGCAAGGCAGAGCTTCACAAACCTTCCATGCTGTGTGGAATGAAGATCTGCACCATACTCCACCTCCACGGTCTCAAATGTGCTCTCCACCAACCTCCAGAACTCGCGCTCAACAGCGTCCTCTGGCACGCGCCCATCCGTGTATCCTGCCTTCTCGAACCAGTTCTTCTTGAAGGTGTTACATTTCTGCTGGAAGCTACTGAGGGAGTATTCTTCGCCTTCCTCGAATCCGAATTCGTCTCCTGCAACAAGACATTTGGCACAATACCAGTCGGTCTTTGGGATGTTGTTCAGTGGTGGTGTCAAGCAGTACATGTGGTACCCCAGCTCACATCCGTCACAGATCAACATCTTTTCCAGGTCGCGTTCCGTGTGACAGATCTCGCAGACGTCCGATGACTCCTCAGCACTGTCCTCTCTCTTAACAGATCCAGGTTCACTTGACATCCTGTCTGAGTGTGATGGTGACGAGGGTTCAGAATCTACTGTTTCGGTTCAATTTTGGTGGCGAAGTGTTAATATGAAAAGTTAAAATCACAGCAAAAAGCCTATCTGGACCTGGGCGAGAGACTTGCCTGCATAAGAGACGGGATCTTTCTTGATGCGCTTCGACTTTCGAGTTTCCGGGCCGAGGTTGGTTGTTGGAGGTATACTGGGACTTGCACGTTTGCCGTTGGAAGAGGTGTCGACTGGTTCCTTTTTGGCGTCCTGCGCTGGTGGTTCGGGAGCGAGCTTTGCTTGTTTTGAAAGATAAATCTCGTATGGAAGGATGACTTTGATGTATGCCGATTTGAGAGCGTTGGAAAGTGATGTGCATTGTTTCCTGGTGTAGTCGAGGCCTCGTCCGATCTCGGCCCATTTTTTCCCAGATGTGACCTAAAGATGTAAAAGAAAAGAGGGCGGTTAGTGATTGTTTGTTGTATCACAGGATTAAGGATCCGAGTGAACGATGTTGCATTTGCTTAGCACATCAGACTTGCTCTACCTTCTGATATCCTCCTCGGGCAGTAACCTCCTTCTTGAGGCGAAACAAGTCGATCGGACGCTTATCGAGCTGCGGGATCTTCAAGACTGGTTGGCCTTGCTGGCTGTGAAATTTGTAGAGTTGTTCCAGATAGTTCAAGTTAGTCCTCGTTTCGCCCTCCATGCTGTTGAGTTTTTGAATCCTGGTCTTGAAGCGAAAGACCTATTGTAGCGCACAGAGCAATATAGACCAGTTGTTAGACAAAGACGATCTGGGGAGCAGGGCGGGTGGTTGATCCATGTTTAACAGTCAACAACAGATGATCAAAAAGACGGCATTAGTCGCCCTTTCTCCTCTCCGCGTGAGAGTATCCAAGTCATTGTATCAACTCCTCATTGACATCTCATTTCCACTCTAGCTCGCTCTTTCTCATCCTCGTTGATTCATCTGAGATCGACAAGGAGACGATCCGGTCTATCCTAAAAACTTCGCCATTGATGTTTACCTCGCTATCAAGGGCAAATGTTGGTTTCCATCCAACGGGTGGGATGATTTTGCAGATGCCAGCCTTCTCGGCCTCGGGTCGGATGCTTTCGATGTATTTGAGAGGCTCGGTAAACTGCTCCGCTGTTGGATAGAAGCAAGGCGCTTCGACGAGACCAAAGATCCGTGTTGGGGGATGAATTGATGGGTTTTCTGGAGGGGCGGTTGTAGCGACTGTGGAGAGGTCGAGAGCAGGGGCCTTGTGGTGTGTGGCCTGGACAGGCCTGTGTTTGGCCTGTTTCATCATATTGTGGGTATGTTATTTCACAAAAGGGCGAGGGTCGGGAGGCGAAGAAGAGAGGACCACGGCGACTGTGAGGTATGAAAGTTGGAAGTGGAGGGAAGGTGCAAGTTGGGAGGTAAGGATGGGTTCAAATGGTCATCAGAGTGGGTATGAAGGGGACGTGAAAAAGTGGCGAGGAGAGAGTGTGAGAGAGAAAGTAGAAGGGAGAAGTGATGGAGGAGTAAGAGGGAAGGGAGTGAGTGTGTTTGTCGTTCTCTTTTCTTTATTTGCTAGCGTGGTGTGAATGACCGACAGACAGACAGACGGACGGACAGAATAAAAAGGGAGTGAGAGAGAGTGAGAGTGAGCGGGAAAAAATGAAAAAAGACAGAAACGACGAAAGAATCAAGCCAAATGGTTCGCCACAGCCCCACCACGCTCTGCCTCTCCACTTCTTCTCATTAAACGTCACCGTATGACATTATAGTCGCAGTTGCTACACTCAGGAACAAAAAAGAGTGTTGGTGGCAAAAATCAAAAAAAGTTTTTTTGTCTCATCGAAAAAAAATCAGTGGGGTGAGGCGTGGCTCTACACAGCCATGCATGGATACATAGACAGATGTGGGAGCATATGGGATCAGTTGAATGAGAAAAATAATGGGGAAGAGGGGATGGGGAAGGAAAGCGCCACTCAGCGGCGACAGGCAAAGGCGCCCATCTCATCTTGATTTGAACTAGAGTTGGAAAGAAAACTTTACCAGTTTGTCCCTTCTTTTTCCCCGTTGGGTCCAACTGTTGAAAGAAGAGGATGTGGGGACTTTCTCGTGTTTTTCCATGTGACCCGACCGTACCACCTTCTCTTTGTCTCTTCTCTTGGACAGTATTGTGTGTGCACGTTGGTTCGACTTTCTACTCAATTGGCATTGATCCCGTTTACGATCGTGGCATGGGTCTCTGTTCAGTTGAGTCCTGGTCGGATTGGATCGAACTGAACCGTCTGCCAGGGCATTACAGGATAAATGGCAGGATCACAGTGATGCAGACATATCATGCCACCAAGACAATAGCACTGGCGTGGTGAAAGGAATCCGTGAGCACACAGCGGTGTTCGACGGGAGCATTTTCAATAATACACTCAGCATGGCTAAAAAAAGTTGCCCAATGATCCAATGATGCCAATGGTACATGCATAGTGGGAAGAGTGAGGGAAAAGGGAGAGGATGGGAAGAATGGAAGGGTTATTATGTTATCGCTCCCTGTTTTCCCTTTTCTTTCCCGTGGGTCATTCTCTCTCTTTTTTTTCCTCTTGGGTCTGCTGGCTCTTTTGTGTGTTGTGTTCCCTGTCTCTTGTTTGTCATGGCCCGTCGTACAGGAGGATGCATACAGCAACAAGGTTCACCGAGGCAAGAGACAAGAAGCAAACACAGACAGAGAGCAAGAAGACAAGCAAGGGGAAAAAAGAAGACTAGCCAGCCAACAGCACCACACCCTCTGTGGCCTTTTTTGTTTATTGTTGTTTGTTTTTCTCTTCAACAATGCACATGGCCGCAGGCGCACGTACGACCGAGACTTCCTTACCAGGCTCAATTGCCACGAGTCCCCTTTTCTTTTTTCAAGCGCATTCTTATTCCGCCCCACTTTGCCTTCTTTACCTCCTGCACTTCCACCTCTTCCTCCTCCACTTTCACTTCTTCTTTCCGTCTTGCCACTCTTTCTTTCTTTCTTTCTTCCCTTTTCTCTTGCCTTTTCATCTATCTTTCTTCGTCTCCACTCTCCCCACTCCTCTCCCCACTCCTCTCTCCACTCCTCTCTCCACTCCTCTCTCTACTCCTCTCTCCACTCTTCCTCCTCTTCACTTTACTCTCTCCTATTTTGCCCCCTTTGCCACCCGTTTCTTTTATACCTCAAAAAACGAAAAAATCCCTCCCCACTCCACACCTTAGCAAAAAGAACCAGACACAATGAACAGGGAGTTCAGCTCATTCCTGCCCTCATTCCCTCCCTCAAAGAGACTGTCGGCCCTGACCATCACCTCACCAACTCTTCTGAGCCCCAAGGGAGTCTCCAGTCCAAAGGGCTTCTCGAGCCCTATCATGACCCCAGAGCCCTTGCCCTCTCCTCCAACACCTATGCCACACCTCAGTGCCAGTCGTGTCCTCTTCGAGGAGGGCCTCTACAGCGACGTTACTGTCGTCCTCCAGGTCCCTGGATCCTTCAAAAAGTCGCTCCACCTTCACTCCCGTATCCTCTCCAAGGAAAGCGAGGTCTTCTCTGCCCTCCTTGCTGGAAAGACGAATCTTGCCGATAAGGCCATCACTCTCCAGGAGGAGCGCGACAGCCAAGGGTCCCAGGTGATCGAGATTCAATGTGTGGATGCCCAAGAGCTCTACGCTTTCGAGTCCTCCCTCCGTCTCCTCTACACAGGCAGCTGGTGCTCAGACCGCGATTTCCAGACCAGCACCCTTGACACTCGACTCCGCCGTGGGTTGGACGTCATGAGCCAGGCCGGCCGCCTCGTCCTCAAGGGCACTACAACAGCATTGCTTCAGGAGGAGATCACACAGATGTGTCAGAGTCAGCCCGAGCTGTTGGAGAAGGTCTCTAAGTCGTTACGAGCAGAGGACCGCGAAGACGACCAGGCGATTCTGCGGTTCGATCGAGATGCATTGCAGCAGATGTGTCGCGTTGCCCTCGTCAAGGTCGAGATCAGAGACCACTGCGAAATCGCCATTGCCCGGAACTTGTATGGGTCCACAAAGTTCCGCGAACTCCGCATGGCCGAGGTCCAACTCTCTGAACTGCGTCCCGGGTACATCTTCCCACCAGGCGGTCAAGAGTCGATCTATCTCCTCAAGGGTGCCCCCTCCTTGCCTCTTCACCCCTGTAGAGCAACTAATGTCGAGGCCCTCCGCCACGTGGTTGACCATTACACTGCCTACAACTCCCAGCAGCCATTGAGGACCCGCGAGTTCTATGCCATCCCCAGCGACGAAGACGATGACGACGACGATGACATGCGTAAGTCAACCGCCACCCTGCACGACGTGACGTTTTACAGAGTGGCCTTCTCAACAGGCTACCAATGGCTCATGGACCAAGTGATCAAGGTCAGGGCTCCCTTTGAGCTCATCATCCTCCTACTCAAGGATGCTGTTGACGAAAACTCAGATCAAAACAACAATGTCTCCTTTGGCGAGTTTGCATCGACCACAGACGGAGACGTGTACCTGCAAGGTGTCAGCTACATTGCCGATGGACTCCTTCATGCCTTTCAAGACCCTACCCTCGAATCCTTCCGCAACCCAGGTGCCTCGGGTTCGCTGTTGAACATGATCTCGTACGGCATCAATTCGCTGACCGATCTGCCGCCCCTTCGCCTCCGACCAAAGTCCGTCAATGCCGACGCTAACTCCCCCCATCATCATCAAGATTACCCTGCCCTCTCCACATTGGTGATGGAGTTCTTCTGGCAGATCCTGGAGTTGGCCCTCAAGCGCCCGCATCACCTAGAGTTCATCCAGCTGTTGATGGATTCAATCACCAAGATCGCCCCACTATCGCCTTTCGAAGTCGTCGATCGTATCGAGGAGCGCCTTGCGGAGCTTTTGGAGGAAACTCGTAAGAAGATTATGGAGCAGCGCGGGGATGTTGGCGGTCAGAACGAGGACGAGGCAGAGGACAATAAGGCCGACAGTGATGACGATGATGACATTGTCAGCCCAAGAGTTTCTGGAGGCAGAAGCGACGATGGATTCGGAAGCATCAAAGGAAGCTTCTCAGAGGGCCACCGTAGCGAAGTCTCCAGCCGATTTGACGACCCTGACGAGCGCCGTTCGATGGTTAGCAGCGTAGTTCGGATCTCTGACCCACCAAGATCCTTGTCTGTTATCGGTACTCGCAAGGACCTGGACGATGCCTCGTCCATCCAAGAGCCCGAGAACGACGATGAGGACGAAGACGAGGAAGCCGAGGCAGAGACAGAACCCGCATGGATGAGGTATGAACGCAATTGTTTACATTCCAGCCAGGGGTATGTTCGAAGATTTAACAAAGCAGCTGACCATGTCGATTCTGGTTTCTTTTTTTGCACATTTAGGCCAGAGTACCTGCAGCCCCTTTGTCTCCAACTGTTGACCACTTTCCCCATGAACATCCAGTCGTCGCTGCTGTGGGCCATTCATGACCTTCAGCTTTTGTAAAAACAGGGCCAAGGACGATATCGACCATACCCGCCCCCCACCATACCCTCCCAATCCAACCCAACTAGACCTCCCCACTCAATTGCTTTTTTACATAGTTTTCATTCATCCTTGTCCTTTAGATACTCTCCACATGCACATATCATATTTTTCAACAAAAACAACCTCACTGTTCAACTTCAAAAAAAGTAACGTGACTGCTGGTAAGCTGCTCTTGTTCACAGAGCGAAGCAAGAGCGAAATAGACGAGAAGAGAAAAGAAAAAAGCGCTCTGCACAACTTTTGTGCACTTCTCCTCAAAGATGGATTCATTACCGACCTGCATTCCACCCGACGACCCGCCTAGTTCACGACAGGTCGAGGACGAAGACACTCACGCCAGTAACACTGTTCAACAGGCGCAGGGGCAAGTTTCACCAGAAGCCACCACAACCACCACCGCTGACATTATAGACAACAAGAGCAATAGCCCCAGGCACGACCCAGAACAACCACCGCGACAGGACATTGTCCTTGACGAATCCACACCCACCCAACTCGCAGACGCGTCTCATACCCCGCAGGAGTCTCTCCTCCACGACGACAACATTAACAATAGCGCATCCGCCTCGGCCGCCGAAACATCCTCGTCAGAAATGCCGGCTACACGAGGGTCATCATCATCATTCAGACAGCCATTACCCCACTTGACTCCTCAAGACACACCATTACCGACCGTCTCGTCTTTCAACCTTTTCCCCCAGCAGTTGAAACAACCACTCTTTGTTGCCATAGCAAGAGTCCTCGTTGTTTATGGGAATGCCTGGCAGAGCGCACCGGAATTAGTTGGTAAGAAATGAACGCCACGAAATGCATGTCTCCATTGTTCACTTCTTTGTTTCTCATTTTACTCATACTGACTCATTGTCTCCCTCTCATCTTTGTGTACTTTTATTAGACGGAATAAGGCTATACCAGCTTGTCACTCTTCGGTAAGCAGCAGAGACAGGATGCTTGGTCAGAAGGGCGCTTGTCCGACAATGAGACAGAAAGTTTTCGATAGCATGTCGTGTGGGCGCACCCTGTACCTAACACCGTTGGTTATTTTTAACCTCTTATCATCCCTTCTTCCTCCAGCGGTAATACACCCAAAAGCACTGTTCAGGGCGCAATTTCGACGGCACTTTCGCTCTCACATACGCTCAAGACATTCGAACCGATTGAAAAGCGACGAGCGCAAGGAACGACATACTACCGTATGGCACCCAAGGCACTGGATCCAGCTCTTGCACAGAAGGTCCTCGATTCTGATGCAACCGAGTCCGACTCTATATCTAGTACAGCAAGGAAAAGTGAGTTTTCATTAAGACGATGCAAGCGATGCCTTCAGATATCACTATTCGAGATATTATAGGATAGCAAATGGTAAAAATGCATCAGCACTGACTAACCCTCGACTCCTTTTGTTTTGGGTTCTGTGAATGACTCATTTAGGACAGTCAGGATCATCATCCCTAGCTCGATCTGTCATGACGAGGCCAAAGGCGCGTGTAAAAGCATCGACAACCAACACCAAACGAAAACAAAAATATTCAAGCGACCCATCTATCAAAAGCAAGAAGCGGAAACCGACAAGCGGATGGGCATCGGACACCCTCAGCTCAGGAAGCTCGGACGATGACTCTATGGTTTCAGCAGACACCGACCGCAAGACTAACGACCGCACTCGGCGGAAATCCATAGCAGACACCAGGAAGGGCACTTCCAGCTCAACCACTAGTCACCCAACACCACCAGCCAGAAAGGACTCTATCCCGAACGGACTCAAGAAGCTCCCCAAGGGCTACGTCTACGATACGGAGATTAATCAATCCGCCCTCATGAATCTGTCTGTCAATCCCTCACAAACAGGAGAGTACATGCAGCATCTCAAGTAAGCATGCAGCCTTTTGTGCAAAAAATTCGTCGATTAATTATTCCATGCTTTTTTCCTCGTATCACATCTCTTTCTTCTCTCCGCTGGAAACTAAAACTCAATTTTCTTGTGTCAATGCTCAACTGCGATTTTAGAGGCAAAAACGCCTTGGAAAACAACTATCCAGACCGACGAGGCGAGTTCCGCGTGGACCTCACTCAGGAGCCTTCAACATTTGCGCACGAGCAGCAGACCGGCTACACATACCCAAGGCTCCGCAACAGCCGCCGAGAGCGACTCCCCAAGGCACATTGCGAGGACGGCTATGCTATTACGGACCTGAAACACAATGGCGCTTTTTTGGGCCGGATGTTTTGCTTAACGGACGGTCACGGTGGCCGTGCCTGCTCCTCGTTTGTGATTGCAACGATACCCGGCGCCATGCAAGTCATTTTCGAAAAGTACAGGCCCCAGGACCTTTCCTTGCCAAATGTACAAGAGCTGCTGAGGAGTCAGATTTCCGAGGCTGTGCGGCTGATCGATAAGGAATACCTGGAATACAAGAAGCAGCAGTACCTGCTTTACAAGGAAAAGAAGATCACCCAGGATCCAGGGAGCGATGGCACGACCCTTATTGTCAACATCTTTATCGACAAGTGGATCATCTGTTTGAACCTCGGCGACTCTAGATCGCTACTCTCTAGTCGAGACGGCCTTGGACGGTGGAATGTCGAGTTTCACAGCGAGGACCATACCCCAGCGCTCGAACGACTTGCACTGACAATCTACGCTAACGGAGGCGAGTTTGTCACGCACGATGATAAGGTGATCCGATTCGACCCTAACCTCCGAAACGACAAAAAGCATCGCCAATCGCTTAAGGAGGCCCGGATACGAGTCAGGGACGGCGCATTGAACGAGTATGGGATCCCTTACCGGACCAAGAACGGACAGGCGGCCTCGGTCAACCTCGGAGCATGTATCGGTGACGTCCTGTACAAACTAGATCCCGTGAACCCTGTACTGAACTGCAAGCCTGACATCACGTTCATCGACATTTCCAACATCCAGCAAGGATTCCTTCTCATGGCCTCGGACGGACTTTGGGATTATGTACAGAAGAGCCACCATCGGACGCAGGACCAGAACTTGACTGTCAGCCAGTTTGTTGGCGACAAGGTCGATCGCGGCTGGAACCACCAGAGGGTTGTCCACACACTTGCGGATCGCGAGTCTTCGGCAGGTCTCTACTCCGATTCGATTCAAGAGTACGACGATTTCACAGCGATTCTGGTGACGTTTGGCAAACAGCAGCTTCTCCAGCAACAGCAGCGGAACCAGGAGCACGAGGAAAGGCAATCATTGTTACAGCAGCAGCGTCTACAGGAGCAGTTTCTTCTGGAGCAGAAGATGCGGGATGTGGAGATGATTCGTCTGGAGCAAGCGAACCTTCTCAGACTCGAAGCTGCGGCGAATGGGAGCGGAGACGAGACACTCTCGGATTCATCTCTTGCCAACAACGGCGTTGTCATTCCAACGGCACATTTAACGACGGCTGCTTCGGAGGCGGAGGCGATGATTGTGGAAGAGGAGGCGACCTTGGCACCTTCAACAGTCACAGGAGGAACATCGTTTTCAGCAACGGCACCATCACCATCATCACGGTTACGGAGACAACAACAGCCCCCCAAAACAGCCCAACTGCTTGATGCGACAATGGATGAGCAGCCGCCGTCGTCCACGGCAACTGGTTCAGAGGCAACTGAGGCTGACGACGCCGGGGCACAGAACCATGTGTCACCAGAAGGTGCCCCTATGCAGGTGGACGATCGGGATGTCGATATGTTGTCTGCTTAGACCTCGCAATTACACTCTCCACTCATGCATACAACATAAACACGTACATACGCTTGTACACTTTCCCCTTTTCTTACCATGCCACTTTCGACCGCCGCAATCTACTTTCTTATTAGCGAACACAAAGATGATAACATAAACTACATTACAACCAGTGCCATTTAAATCTTGTGTTCTGTATTCTGTATTCTGTGAAGAATGTCTTGGGAGCAGGAGGACATTCGTGAGTGCGAATACGGTTGGTAAGAGGGCATGGACCTCGTTCTTGTCGCCGAGGAGGTACATGGATTCCCAGCCGGGATTGTCCCAGAGGAGATAGAGGCTCGAGGGGGCAAAGATGAGGGGGAGGAAGAGGAGGGTGTAGACGAAGGAGGGGGTCGACCAGAATTGGGATTTGGGGATGTTTTTGAGCGTGCTGGCGGAGCAGGCTGCGAAGACTGCGCCGAAGGAGAAGCTCCAGAAGACGTCCGCCTCAATCATTGTTGGGTGATGTTGTTGTTGCTGATGTAGAAATTGTGGGGGTTTTATGAGTGCCGCTTTTTTCGATACCCTGCACTTTTTGTACCTTGGGACAAGGGAAGTGGGGAGATGGGCAAACAAAAGATGAGGAAGAGGAGGAATCAACGGAAAGAGGCATATTCACTGGTAAAAAAAACGGTGGCATGGGGAAAGGGAAGGCAGTGTGTTGGTTCAGCTTGTGTTCTTGTTCGTGTGGGGACATATATGGGACGCGAGACGCATGCAAAAGAAAAGTCCGTCCGAACCGACTTTGTTTCACATCGAAAGTCAAGAAAGAAGGACGCGCTTGGTCCTCTTATTACAACACACAGTGGCATACATACCTAACTTGCCTTCCAATTCTCATGTGTAAGAGGAGCTGGAGGGCTAGGCTTTGTTGCCAGACATCATCGATAATGGATTACGATGCATAAAGGAACATTAGCTAACATATCACTCCTTTCATGCAGGTGGGAGGGTAAGGGATCAGAGAGCAAAAGCAGTGGAGACTATCACAACTCAGACTCGCTGCCTTCATGTTGAGCTCTCTCAAAGACGTGCGTCGCTTTGCTGGAGAGGTTTCGAAGCGCACCTCAGTCATAGACCTCCTTGTCAACAGTGCGACACCTTGCCAGACAGCTCGTGCAGACGCACCCAAACATCAAGGTCAATTGTCTGCACACGGGATCGTGCAACACCAATCTGTTCAAGAACTCGTTGCTACTGAGCGTGTTGATGACGATCGGGCTGCAGTATCTGTTGAGACCGTCTGTTCGTGGAGCGAGGACGATAATTTATATGAGTCTGACCGGTGGAGGGAGTGAATGGAGAATATTGGCTTGAGAGAGGATCCGGGGTCGTAGGGCCGCTTCGGGTGATCCCGGCAAGCTGGAGAAGTTGATCTGTTGTAGTAATAAGGCTGTTGGCATCGAGAAGCTCTCAGAGGTGCGAGGATCCCAGGTCGACGTCTATTGAAGGGAATAAAAATGACTTCACGCGCCGCAACAGGCCACTTGGCCTCCTCTTCTGTGACGTGATCAATTTTTTTGTGCCTCGGTTTTGGGCGTTCGATTCGTCTCTTCTTTATTCACCATCCAACAGACTACATAGTCGAATCTCATCTTATCCTTGCACTTTGCAACAAGTTGCTATATAAAAACAACGTATGTCTTCTTAACATGGCTCGCATGGTAGAACACATTGGCGAGGGAATGCAGGATGCAATAGGATCTGGCCACTCGTCATCTAGACTGGAAGGGTGCACCACGCGACAACTTTTGTTTCTCCACAAACCCGCATCGACTTCCCACGCCCTTCTGTCGAGTGAATCAGCGCCACTAGAGTATAAAGAAGATTAAGGATAGAGGCGGCCCCGACCACAACTACTACGAAGGAAAGGCAGGACCATCTTTCATCAGGAGCGTTTACTCTGATGAACTGGTTGATGAATCCGCTAACTCGGGAACAAACTACTGGCAGGAACGCCATTGTCTTTACTTGACTGTCTGTGCAGTGATGCGCTTTGCTGATCAGAACAAAGGAACTCACCTTCTCTCCCCTCGGCACACCTTCCTCAGACTAATAGAAAAACACTTTGCACAACACACAGTTTGCAGCACTCAGGAACACACAAGCTTTTCCTCTCGACGCCTTTTTCAAAACATAATTCTTTACCCACTTCCGTCGACCAACCACGACACTTTCCTCTACAGACATGGATCCAGTTTGGGGCGCCTCCCGCAAGTCGTAAGTTCTCTTTTTCTGTTTGGTTGCATGAATTAAAACTCACCTTCAATCAACTTTCTAAAACGAGAAATACCGATTGTGTTTAACACAACCCACAATCAACCCCCTCCTTGTCGAAACGCCTACAGAACTCGTGTGCAAGGCGACATCATTGCGCCAGGAAGCGGTGGATCAAAACTAGTTCAATTGCAACGACAGAGCTCAGGCATCGGATCTGGACTCCCGACACTTTCAACAAACTCTCTCTCTTCGATCTCCTCGGGCCCTCTCAGCAGCAGCAGTCTCAACAGTCATAGCGCCAACCTTCATGGATCTGGCATAACTCAACCAGGACTGTCGGCATTCCTGACTGGACCTAGCGCCCTGGATTCTCTAGAACTTAACAGCCACAGTAATACTAGCGGCACTGGCAGCAGAATCAATAGCGATTATGGCATTACGGGTTCAGGAGGACTTGGATCGAGAAACGCCCTGCTCTCGGGAGGAATTGGGTCTGCAGGGGTATCTGGATATATCGGATCAACTGGAGGCGGCGGTGGCACTGCAAGTGGCGGCGGCGGAGCTGGAGGAGTAGGACAGGCATCAGCTCATACGGCAGGATCGTCCCTCAATTCCGGAAACGGATCGAGTGTGGTGGCCTCGTCTGAGATCCACCCCTTGCACTTCAACTGGGTCTTTTGGTTCATGCACCGTCCACCTGGCAGCAAAATCGTGAACTATGAGAGTGCCATGAAAAAGATTGCCACCTTTGGCTCGGTAAGTTCTCTTTCCTTCACCTTGTTGCCTTTTTCCAATTCACCTTGAAAAATGATCAATGTTCATGGACTAATGTCGATATGAAATTTCGTGGTTTGACATACTTAGGTTGAGGACTTTTGGGCTGTATACTCGCATCTCCGTCGACCACACGAGCTGCCGAATGTGAGCGACTACCATATGTTCAGACAGGGAGTCCGGCCTGTATGGGAGGATGCAGCCAACATTAACGGTGGCAAATGGATCGTGCGACTCAAGAAGGGCTTGGCCAGTCGGTATTGGGAGAATTTGGTAAGGACTTGGCTTTGTACCTTTGTTGAGGACAACAAGGATGGTTATTTCAGCGTCAATTAGCTATCATACTGACACTCGTTCATTTGCAATTAATAGATCATGGCTGTCATAGGAGATCAGTTCGATGTGGGATCGGAGATTTGCGGCATTGTATTGTCGATCCGCGGCGCAGAGGATATTCTGTCGATATGGAACCAGTCATCCCAGGGCGGTCGCACCAATCTGAAGATCAGGTACAAATGGGTTTAGATTTGTCGGGCTTTAATTATGTCCACGATCACTGAACGTTTTCAATTGCTAACGAGATGTGCGTTTGTGTAAACATTGTCTTATGTAGGGATACCATGAAGAGAGTGCTGAGCTTGCCTGCTGATACCATTATGGAATACAAGACCCACAACGACGCCTTGAAGGATAACAGCAGCTTCAGGAACACGGATGTCTTCAGGTGAAAGGGCCTCGCCCCCCTTTCTTTTTCTCCTTCGGTTTTGAAGATCTTGCACGCCTGTTCATTGCTCCTCTTATCCGACCACCACCCTTTTTTTCTTTTCTTTTCTTTTTTTTTCTTTTCTTTTCTTTTCTTTTCTTTTTTGTTGTCCGGATAATCTGACTGTTCAGGAATAAATAAAAATACGATTACAGCAAAATATATAGAATTGTTTATTGTTTTGTACAAAACTGGTTTTCACGAGTGTGGAGATGTTATGTTGAAGCATTGTTGAGTGTCGCAAAATGAGCCGACCTGTGTTAAGATTGAGAGTTCTCAAAATGAGCTAGTTTCTTGCTATATCGAATGGGAGGCTGACATGCAGGCAAGGCTTTGATCAGACTTTAACCCTCCTTGGCGGCCAAGGACTCGCCGGCAGGGTAGAAGCGCAAGGCGACGCTCGAGTTGGAGGAGGAGAGCTTGATATAGCTGGGATCCTCTGTGCCGCGGAAACCCTGCTTGGCTGACTTGTTGTTCTTTGTCAGAGTCAAGTTTGTGCCCTCGACGGTTGCACTTGAGTTTGAGGTTGACAGGTCGAATGTGCCCTGGAACGCTTCCGTCTAGAGAAAGAGGAGGAGGAGGAGGAGGAGGAGGAGGAGGAGGAGGAGAGTGAAAATGATGTTGGGTTAATTGTTGGATTTTTTGTTGGATCACAAGAATTTTTGGTAAGAAAGAGAAGGAAGGAAGGCTTACGAGGTTGGTTTCGATGGAGCCGTTGGTGGACTGGATGTGACCCCGGAAGGGCTGATCGACAGGGATCATGAGGTTGCTGCGAATGGAGCCATTAGAAGTCGACTGCTTGACCTCCAAAGGTTGACCCGTCACACTGGCATCAATATCGACCTCAACCCTACCATTGTTGGTAATCGAATGAATTATGGACGTGCGATCGGCCCTGTTCAACAACGCGCCCACAGTAACGCTTCCATTCGTCGAGCTATTGTTCATCCACAATCCACGCGTCGTCTGGGTCGCCCGAGCATGGATATCCAGTCTTCCATTAGTGGTTCGAGTGTTAACACGAGACTGGGACCCATCCTGGGCGTCGCGGACAGAGATCTTTGCGGTGATGGAACCGTTGGTGGAATCGAGGTCGATATGACCGGCGTCGAAGGAACCCGAGACGGAGCCGTTGGACGTTTGGAGGTGAGTGAATTCGCCGTTGAGGTCTTCCAAAGCAATGGATCCGTTGGACAGAGCGGTTTTGATAGATCCGAAGGCGAGGCTGGACAGGTCGCTGCCGGAGAGGGAGGTGTTGGGGAGGGAGAGGGAGAGGGAGGAGGTTGAGGTTGTGGTCGAGGGATATTGGACCATGGTCTCGTAGTAGATTGCGTTGAAACGTAGTTCCCTGGGTGTCTATTTGGATTGGAGGAAATTGGGTTTGTTGGTTAGGATTATTTCATCCATGGCGAATTAGCTTTTTTTTGCCAAGACTCTTTGCTTGGCCCTTCTCCACCCAATGCTGCGCGTCATCCTCCAAAAAGAGCAAACAAAAAACCACGCAAACAAACAAAGAACAAAGAACGTACCTTCAAATGGTAAGTGTGAGTCTCCTTATCGAAACTCACAGAAATAACAACCTGCTCCTTATCCGCCTCATTCACAACCCAAACCCTCGTCGAAATCAACCCCAACCCCGTTTCGTCCGTCTCGTTACCTCCGTGGACAAGGAGGACTTTTCCCGACATCTTACCCTCAGCAGAGACGATGACGTGAGGGTACTCTTTGGGGTTGAAGGACGTGTCGTCGTTGGGGATCCGGACGGGGATGTTGGGCTTTTGAGGGAAGCTGAAGGCTGAGCTGATGTTGGAGAACATGTTCTGCATTTTTTTGTTCGTGTTTTGTTGGTGGTGTTTGTTGGTGAGAAAGGTTTGTTTGTTCTTGTTGTGTTGCTGTTGGTGGTGATGAGGAAAGAAAGGAAAAATAGGGAACATTCTGATATAAATACTCCAGCTGAAAAATTTGCCAAGGCCAGTTTGTCAGTGAGCACAAAGATGACACAACTCTTGTGAGTGGGTTGGACAAGACTTTTTGTTCGCACGGTTCCTTTCTCGGCGCTCTTGGCCAGCCAAGACAGCTAACCAGAATTGAGGGTGGGACAGAAGGATACTTCCAGAAGGAGATTAAGGAGAGCAGAGAAAGGGAGAGGGGAAGGGGTGGGAGACGCAAAGGTGAAAAAAGGAGTAAAAAGAACGCTGCGCTATCCTCCTACAGCGTACCTCATTTTCATTTTCTACTTTTGTGCAAGCAGCCCTTTATCCAATGCACACGTTGAGAGCCTTATGTTGCACGCCGTCCGTCGAGCGGTAACACTGAAAAGGCCTAGTTGTTTCATTGTTTTCTTTTTTTTTAATTTTTTTATTCGAATTGCAAGTAAAAAAGACTGAACCAAGGCTAATATGTAAACGCGAAACTTATTCGTACTGAGCACGGTGAGAGAAGAGTGAAGAGAAAAATGAGATACTGCGACAAAGGGCAACCGCGGCCACGACGGGACCATGCCAGCCATCTGCTTCTGTTCATGAACAACTACAACAGCCTGCTCCAAAGACCGCAATAGAATCCAACAAAATACACTCTCTTTCACGTTCTAGTCCTCCCTCACCCTGCAATGCTACGTCGCTGCTTCTTGATCTCGCTCCTATCTGATAGGGCACGGTCTGTCCCTGAAAATCCGGTTATTCATTCCCGTTGTTGCTGCAGTGCAGTCTAGGCGCCATCAAGGTTTGTAGTGTTGTTGGAAATAATGTATAAGTGGTTGCTGTTGTTGTTGATGGTGTTGCTTGTTGATTGGCTGGTCAGTTCATCCTTGTCGCAGTCGCTGTATCCCTTCCCGTTTCCACGCTGCTCATTCAGCTCGACTCCTCCAGGAACGATGATAATCGCCATCTTGCCGGTGCCTAGCGAAAAAGATCACAACATAAATCAATGATATCAATACAACAGCCAGCCAACCAACGCGACCAACTAGCTATCAATTGCAGTTTGCAAAGAGTGTGGAAAAAAAGTTACGACTAGTACCTTTAGTACGCGTTTTGTTTTGGATGTGTCCAGAGCCAAGTACTCTCGCACCAGAGTCGCCTGCTTCACAATCGTTAACAATGCAGGCTCGCAGGACATGCCATTGCATCCTTGTATGTTCCACGTACACGCACGAAAGAAAAAAAAGATAATTTGAGTTAGCTTATTGTCATTGACAGACGGGATCAAATACACAGTAAGTCGGAGCACAATCCCCTTCCGCATATTCAGCCCAGCTGGTTAAACCTACCAAGAACTGCGCTGTTCATAATGTCGGCGAGGTGGTCCCGTGCTTCCTGCTTGAGGTGATGACTGTTGGGCGAGTCCTCTGGGTTATTGAAGGCAATGACAGTGCCAATCTCCTCCATGTGTTTGATATACTTGTCCTTGCCTAGAGGGTCCAGTCGCGTGAAATCACTCAGGACCTGCTGGGCAAACATTAAAGCATCGGAACCTCGCTCTGGACCCAACCTTACGATCTCAATGAACTTTTGGCACTGCAGCTTAAAGTTCATGTGGATAGAGCTGGGTGTGGTGAGAGGGCTGTGGGGATCGATCGACAGCACCCCAGGAAACGCTGCGTTGCACATATCCATCGCTGGTCCAATGTCGCCCATCGAAATCAAAGATCGGATAGCTTGAGTGCAGAGAAAATCAAGGAGCCAAAAAAATGGGTTAGTGTTTTCTACATGTTCCGTACATTGGATAGGCGAGAGGGAGAGAGAGATTGCTGTAAAAGAGTGAGTGCTCCCGTGCACGTACACACAGAAACACACCATTATGCACACGCACGGGTTACTCAGATAAACACACGAGGTACATGGGTTTGGCATGTTCTCCCTTTCCATCCTCTCCTGCTCCTCCTCTTCCCCTGCTTCCCCTGTCCCCCTTTATTCGTGAACCCTTGTCCTTTCTCCTCGTTCTCTTTTTCTTGTGTGTAGTGCCTTTTCTTGTTGTTGATGACGAATGTGGTGGTGGTTCTCATATGTGTACGTGTATGCGTACCTTTGCGTGTCTCCAGGTTCTTGAGCTGTTCGTCAATATGGAGTGCGTGTGCCTTGTCGGCGGTAAAAGTGCTGGCGCTGAGAGAATCCGTTGTATCCAAATAGCTCTCACCCATGGGCGAGTCTCCTTCTTGATCAAGCACCTCCTTGTCAGTGTCCATCATCAGCGATGCAGGATGGCGTGCTCTCCGGTGGTGAATATCGTCGTTGTCGATGTTGTTGATGTTATTGTTGCTCTCAGAAGAAGCATTGCGGGTCATGGCACCTCCTTGTGGTACAGCCACTGCAGAAGAAGCTCCGTTAGTGGCCGATGCGCCGCTGCCATTCTTTCGGCCATTGGCGGTAAAGTCGCTTGAGTCCTTGACTGCGTCGAGGTCGTCCTTCATGAAAGCACGGGCGGTTTCGCCATAGCAGTTGTGGAGGAGGTAATCGAGGACGAGCTGACGCGGGTTTGCGATATCGAACTTGGAGCTTTGTATCTCCGAGTCCAGGTCCATGGCCGTCAGGTTGTAAGTTTGTTTGAGTGGGAGGTAAGTGTGTTTGCTGGTGAGGTTGTTGCTTGTGTATTTTGGATGAATAAGAAGAATAAAAAAAGAGAGAAGAGATTAGGGAAGGCGAATGGGAAGGAAGGGAAGAAGGGAAAAGGGAACAGGGAAAAGGGAAAAGGGAAGAAAGTCAAATAAAGGGGGGAAAAGAGGGAAGAGGAAAAGTGAATGGGTTAAGAATGGGACTTGCTTGGGAATGTCGAAAGTTGAATGCTACAAACACACACGCAGAGTGTGAGAGGCAGAAAAGAAATGATTGGGAAGAGTGAGGACAAAAAAGAAGAGAAAAGAAGAATGAGAGGAGAAGAGGACATAGGCAACAAGACAACAGTGGGTATGAAAAAGGGAGGGGGAAGAACTGGAGGAGTGAGGTAGACGTGTTCCTTGGGCCAACAGACCATTTGCTACATATCTTCCAGTAATCGTTGTTCCTCTTGTCCTTGCGGTCGCTTGTCATTTGGGTGGAAGACACATACCCTTTCCAGTTCGCCCCGTCCAGGTCACGCCACCTCGTATTTATTTGTCGCAATTGTAACTTCGTCTGGGGAGCGCGCAGACACTAGTTGGTCAGCAGCCCGACCGGGAGTCACTTAAAGATATCGGATACACTCCACGCGAAAGCTGCACAAGTTTTGACAAAGGCAAGGACAAGCTTGACATCCTTGACCATTTGGCGCTCTTTTTTTTTCTTCCGCCAGCGTCCTGGGATCGAAATTACGCCACCAAAAAGCTTCGCAGTCACCTCATTATGCACAGGTTTATTTCAAGAATGTTCGTCGCGCGGATCAAATCGAATAATCTTGGTCGGCTCCTTGACAGTCTTCGCCATCATGATCTTGAAAGGGTTACTCTTTTCTGCGCTGACAGCCTTTGAAGCAATGGCACCACCGTCAGTTTTACCGCCAGGTACGCCAGGACCACCACTCCGAATCCACCTGTCCAAGTTAACGGTATCGCGCTTGGTGTCATTGAATTGAAACTCGCGGATCACCGAGGGCTGAGTTCCCGTCGCCGCTATCGCCAAAGAAATTGGCTTCTTGTCCTGACTGCCAGCACCTGCACTGCGCTTGGAAGGGCTCTTCACCGGCGTGGGTGAAGGCAAAGGTAACGGTCTCACTTGCGGCTGCTGTCCCTGCTTGGCCCACTGCTGCATCATCGAAGACCCGCCACCAATACCACGTCCTCCAATCCCGCTCCTCATCGGAAAAAACGTCGTCCGAGGCGTCAAAACAGGCTTTTTATCCGCACGTGTCTTGATCATCGTCACTGGCTTTGATGCTGGACGGCCCCCTTTCTCTTGTTGCTGTTGTTTCTCCTTTTGGGGAGATGACTGGGTAATAAAGATCGCGCTTGAGGTTTGTTCCGTCGCAGGCTTTATGAATGGCTGAAACTGGTAGTTGTTGCCAATGTCCTGTCCAGGACGCCGGCGAGTTGGGATGTTGTTGACAAGAGGACCCTGAGACTGTTGATATGGTATTGGTTCCTGCTTGCGAGGAGACGTGCTTGTCGAAAACACCCAGGACGATGTGCGTGATACTGGTGAGGTTGCTACCTTGGCGAATGGATTGAGGGGTATCGCCTTTGGTACAGGGCGTAGGTCATTTATATCCTCTTGCTTGTAGACGTCGCGCCTCTGGTCCTCCTGAAACTTGACATCGTCCTGCAGGTGGTCCTGGGGCTCATACTTGACATCCTCCTGCTTGAAGGACAGATCTGTTAAAGAGTCCTGAGGAGCCGAGTCGTGGTAGTCTGTTTTGTCTGATTCCACTGGTGGTGGTCGATTTCGAGTCTTGAGTCGGGCAATAGTAGAAACCTCAACGCCATTAGGACCCATTCCTGCCGACCATCCTTGACTGGCAACTCCTTGTCGCTTCTGCTGCTGAGAAGCAGAGTGAGGTTCCTCCATCTCGATATCTTCCGCCTCCAGGAATGTCAACTGCCTTTCCACTACACTCCGGACCCGAACAAACGCTAGACCTTCATGATGACCAGACGACTTCCCGTTCGAGGCGACGGATCGAGTCCGAGTACCGAACGTGAGCCGAACATAGGATAACACCTTTTGGTACATGTTGAGGTTGAACATGTGGTCGAGTCCGTTCTCTCCAATAATCACGTTTTTCTCAATGCTGGCGAGGCTGGTAGTGGTGTTCTGTTGTTTGTTGAGGGGTCGCCCTCTTCCCGCTGGCATAGTGGTCTTGATGTCGCTGCCATCATCCTGACCTCGACTATACTTTGTTCTCTTCTTGGACCGCTTCCGATTCTCTCGCTCCTCGGCAAAAGTCCTCCTCATCTCTTCTCCTCGTCGGTTGTACTCCACTTGATGAGGCGCAAGTGGTTCCGAAAGAGGGAGGAAATGCACTTGACTCAGCTTGGACAGCGCCAAACACTCTGACAACCCCAATCCATCTTCCCCACCCAAGTCAGGCTTTTGTCCAAAGGTGAGTTTGTAGGTCCGGTTCAATCGATCCACCCATTTCTGCGTAGGGTTCATCCCGTTCTCTTGTTCAAAGTAGCTGTTGGGGTGGTCGACATAGGTTGCCGATTGCTGCTCCTGTAGTGTCTGACTTGGGAAAAGTTCGACGTTGCGCTCAAGTTTTGTCCAACCCCCTTCCTCTGGTGCCAAGGTCTGTTCCTGAAATAGCGTCTCCGCCAAACTCGGAAGAACCGCCGTTCCGGACAAGTCGATGCCCAAAAGACGCTGAAACACTAACTGCTTTTGAGGGCGGTGCTGTTGCTGCTGTTGAAGAGACCACAGCCGAGCGATCCCCCTGTGAGATACATCCGTTCCTGCCAGGTTTAGGTACTCCAGCAACGTCGGTCCCGAAGATCCAAAAGTAACACTGCGGACCAGATGGCTCAATCCCGTATCGCCGATTTTTAGTCCAGCAAGATTTAGGACCTTGAGGCGAGAGAGTCCCGACAGAAACGCCATATCCTTGTCCTCCAAACCAGGCGAATTCCCCGCTACACAGCCGCCCGACAGATCCAAATAGACCAGACACTCTGCAAAGGCTCCCAGGTGCGGTATGTCATCCTGAAGCGAACATCGGATTCCTGTGTACTCGGAGCCCAAAAAATCTTCACCGTAGGACTCGGAGAAGAGAATAATCCCTGCTTGGCGTTGTTCGGTAGTGAGTCGCCATTGACTGGCTCGCTTGACAAACTCTTCAAAGAGTGGTTGACCGAAGGGGTGGAAGGGGAGACCGTCAAAGGTCCCATAGATCTCGAGGTGAGAGATGCAGGTCTGGATGGCGATGTCGAAGAGGGAAGGAAAGTTGGATGAGTTGTTCTTTTCCTTCTGATGTGTGAGATCCTGAAGGGCTCGTTTCCGGGACAGGGATGTCATGGTTCGTTGTTGTCCATGGAAAGGACGGTGAAGGCAAGTAAACAAAAAATAAATATTAGATAGCGCGTTAGCAGTCGCCACATTTCGCCACCAACCACGATAAAAATCGGGAAACTAGAAACATTTGACAGTCGTAAACATGAGAGAGACGCCAGGACAGAATCCAAAAAACGCGATCGTCTTTTGTTATTGTCAAGTAAGAATAGAGACCATCTCTAATCGGGTCAGGCTAGCCTCAGTAGAAAAAGAAAGCATGCACAAGTATGGTTCAAAAGAGAAACTATTATTGACCAGCCCAAACACCAAGCCCAGCCTAACCAGCCCAACCAGCCTAGCCAGCCCCAACCTAATTCTCCTTTTTTCGTTCCTTTTAAAAGCCTTCGCATCTTTTCGTTCGATTCTTTTCTTCTCCAATATCTCTCATCCCTTACTCACCCATCCTTCCCCCAACTTCGTTCTTTAATTCCTTTTCTTACGTACTACATATCTATTCCTGTATTCTTATAATGGCTCGTCTTCGTCTATTCCTTCTCGCCATCATCGTCAGCTGCGTAGGCCTCGCCTTTGTGCAAGCCTGTGGTAAGGCACCCACCCTCCCATTCACCCGCCCACACGTCGACAATCGACTTCAATCTCAAAGGCACAATAGGAATAGTCGCCCCCAGGATGCAGTGCTACACCTACCGTCAACACCGTTTCATTCATATCCATTCATTCAACAATCAACAGCACACTCACAAGCAACCCACTAAATACCCTCTCCACCGACCTTTACTTGTACTCTTCAACAAAAAAAAAACATAATAGAGGAGGCATGTCGTGGAGATCCCGTCGAATTCCTCACAAAGAAGTACGAAGCAATACTAGAGCACCAGGCAGCAAAGCTCACAGGCGTCAACGCCGCTAACGCTAAGAAGCTGATTAAGCCCACAGTTAGCAAACTCATCGGACGGCACAATGTCATCGATAAGGCTATCTTTGACAAGTTCCGTGGCAACTGCCCCGCCAAACCAGGGCAGCGAAGTCCCGATGAGTTTTGCGGATCTGCGAAATCGATTGCCTGCTTTGCAGCTTGGGGTCATAAGGATAGCGTCTTTGATCTTGTCCATGCTAAGGTTGTGGAGTCTGTGAGGAACTCTTATAGGAAGCAGTCGAGAGAGGTCAGGATTGTCATGGTCAATGGGCTGGACAAGTTTTGTCCTGTGAACTGCATGAAGGACTGGATCGAGCCGTAAGTGTCTTTTCACTTGCTTTTTTTTTTTCTGTGTGTCTGTGTTTTTTGCGGGTAGGACAAAGAAAGAAAGGGTTTTGGGATGAGCAAATGACTTCCAGACTTGTTCGAATACCCAGGAATGTGCACTGGGATAGGATGATCTATTTTAGGGACATGGGGATTGTCCTTGCGCCCTTGTTTGCACTGCACTTCATGAATACTGACGAATGTCTCTCTTTTTCTTTTTATATTTATATCCATTCGGTTGCATGGATGCATCTGTGCTCTCTTCGTCTTTGCCCTTATTTTCTTCTCTCGCCATCACCACATTTGGACAAAAACTTGGGGACCCCACCAATAACAACAACACCAACAACGCATATACAGCTTTCAGCACATCATGCTCGCCTGGGAACAAAAGGAACACCCGAAGCAATACCGTCAAACACCCAACTGCCTTCCTCTGGGCCATGGCGGCATCTAATTTCCTCTCGCGCCTCTTCTTTTCAACCCTGCTCGTAGTGTCGTTTATTCTGGAAATAGAATTGGGACTAGAGTATCGTCTCTTTCATCGTCTCCTCCTCCATATTATTCCTTTCTTCTTGCTCCCCCTTTATCGACCCATGTCCTTGTTCTATCACTTCTGTTTGAATAAATATTTTCTTCGCTTTGTGCCCATTCGCAAGAAAAGGAAAAGAAAAGTGGCGCTCTTTGTGTGGACGAATGACTGAATTGACTAGTCGGTAACATTTTTGTCCGTGTGTATGCAGGTATATCAGGAACATGAACAATATTAATGTCTCTATCATGTTTCTAATCCATTCTTCCTTGAGCACCTCCTTTTTTTTCAGTAACAAATTTCATTTTTATCTGTGCAGCGTTTGTCAAACAAAAATAGCTAGCGGGACAACGATGTCGCATAATATCCTCACGACAACTTCCATTTTTTTTTATCAAAAGCAACCACAGAGGTGACCAAGGGAACTCTTGCGGATGGGCTTTGAGCAAAGTGCTAGCTGAACATGATGTCGACACGACGTATCCAATTGGATTTTTTTCCTGGTGTGGGATACGATCTTGAGTAAGACCCTTCATTCTTGCTGCCAACTGTTACAAGTCATACTCGATCATTTGTACTGAAAATATTGATGCGACGTTTAGTGATGATGGGGGCTACCCAAATTTGTCTTCTACGATTGATGGTCTTTTTGCTCGGGTGGATGCCTCACAGCGCGTAATTTAGTTTTTCTATTTTTCATTTTAAGCTGAGCTGGTTACGAGTTGTCCGGTTGAAGGCCATTTTCCTGAACTACCAAGAACTTTCGTGGTTGTTTGTCGACATTGAAGAAAGAGGATGATATGATCTGCTTGCCACTCTTTGATCTTTTGTGGCAATTCTTATAAAACGAGAGACACGGATAGATATTTCATCACATCCTTTGCTGCATTGCCCCTACATAATGATGGTTGATGAATAGAAATGAACATTTTTCATGTTTTTCGTGTTCCCGACTTGTGCACTATCAAAACGCCGTGGTATGTCCCACAAACGACCAACATCAACGATAAGCACACGCGTAAGATAAATAACACCGATTCGTTGACCACGCGAGATGAGAGTCTCTAGAATCAATATCAATGTACCTCGATATCGCATCGTGCCCTGACTGTGTGCTCCGTCACATCTCGTTTTCAATATGGAGTTGTTGCTTCCCATAAACGATACACTTGTGTGCCTGTTAGGAAGAACTTTTAGACGTTTGACGGTAAGAAGATAGGGCAGCCATGCGTAAAATCTTTGCATGACGATATTACGTCTCGGACTCTTCTAACATTTTTTTCTTTTCGTACAAAATGTTATTTCTCTGACAAACAGCACAGAAAAGTCATTTGGAAATAAAAGGGGACTACAGACCAAACCCTTCCAGGCGCAATCCACCAGTTGCAATCCGGTCCGGAACCTGGCTCTGCCCAACAATTGTCCTGTTCTTCACAGCTTAAACTGAAAGAAAATAAAACTAATTTTTTTGTGTCTCTTCTCTTAAAAGAATCGGATTGTTTGACTGTTGTGATATTTCTTTCAGATGCGCGGGACGGTTTTCTTTAGATGATGCAAGGATGGGAAGGATTGGTAAGTTCCTTGTTCCTTGCTGGAAGACGTTTCTTACGTGTCCTATCAATACACCTTTTTGTTCATTATCCTCGCCAGGACGACATGGATCTCTCGAGTGAGCATCTTGATCGATCTCTGCGTCCATCATCCTAACATTCGTATCTCAAAATAGAACATTCATCAAGGATTTCTGTCGTTTGTTGCGAGTGCAGGATAGTGTGTGAGTTCGGAGAAGCCAAGTTTTCGATGTTATTCTTTGCAACCAAGACGCAAATTCTGGCTCTCGTAGGTTCTTGCGGTTCTCACTGAACTTCTCGCACATATCGATGCCTAATGCGACCTTATCTCGCTCGCACTCATCCTTATGTGTCATGGGATGTGTTTATTATGATCGCGTGTCTTTTGTTGATCTCTGGAGGATGTTCTGAACACCACTGGATCCTGCATTAGTTTCTTTCTTCTCGCGAGCTGCCACATTTATTTTTGCTTACTCTGCACGAGGACTCGTATAGTATATCCGACGGGTCCGAGTGGGCGTCTAGCCTTTTCGGCTCCTTCTATGTTCGATTTTTTCAACATGTAACGAACTGCGATACACGCACGTTTCACTCGCCATTGCTTCATTATAGTACTTTCATAGCACGATAATCATCCACTGTATTTCTTTGAGGGCCTATTTGATGTTTTTGCTACTTAACGTATAGGGAATAATGTATATACTGTGCCTGCCATTCTTTGTTTTTCTTTTCGGATTGATGACCAATGGAGCAGATGCCCGATTTATTCTTGTTAGTACTCGGATAAAGAGGACATTTCTTAGGACGATAAAAGAAAAGGTTTTGAGAAGCATACACTGTGTTTACAGAATACGACGGCTCGAGGTTTTGAACAACATGTTGGTGAAGTAGCGGGACGCATGAAGGAGGTGAAAAAAAAGGAGATGGTGTCTCGTCTTTCAAAGAAGAAGGTAGTTTTAATGTCATCGTTACTTGCTGGGACATGTTGGCATTTTTTTTCCCCTGTAGGTGATGCCATCATCCAAGCATGTATCTCGTGAACAATTTTTTTTTGACTTGAAGATATCGCGTCCTTGGCACGCGGCGGGGCGTCATGAAAATTGTTATCACCTATCACACACTCGCTCTTTGAAAAGTGAGGCTCGCGGTTGCATCAACATAGCTTTTTTATTTTTACTTCTCTCCTCGTTCTACCCGCTGCAGCATTGAGTGAAAAGATGATTACTGCATTGTTCATCGTTCTACGTCATTCGTATAACCCTCTGCTAGACCCTTTTTCGTTCTCTGTCGACTCTCAGCAACCCAATACCGCTCCTCATTGAGTGCGAGAAGACAAAAAATCAAACCGCCTGTCTGCAGCGCGCAAGTCAAATAGGTCCCACGCCCTCGTCCAGTTCGAAACTGAGTTTCACAAAAATCAGGAAAAACAAGCCGAGCAATCAACCTGTTTTGTGTATTTGTTTGAGCATTCCACTTCCCCCCCATCCAATCTCTAATGCGTGCATTCCCTCATCCACAACTGTAACACATGTCAAGGGGACTACGTGTTTTTGTACTTGTGGAGTTGGGGCGAGGGGGAAATGGATGCATGCCGACAGTTGAATTGCGCACATAAATTTTCCTGTTTCCTTGTTATTGCGCCAATGCATCGGTGTGCCATTTTGTGCGATGGAGGAGGAGGAAGAAGAATGATTGTCACTTTAGGGTACCAAAGTAGCTAGTTGACTTGTTTGCTTGTTTTTTTGTTACTGATAGAAGGGTCGAAGCGCAAGAGCAAACGAAGCAATGGCCAAGGGTGTTACATGGATCTGAGTCTAGGTCTGCATGTGTGAGTGAGAGTGGGAGAAATGAGTAAAAAAAATGCGAACTGTAGTCCCTCCTTCCTCCCTGTCAATCCCCCCCCCCCCCAAAAATCACTTTGCGCAAACAAACAGAGAAATGCAAATGCGCCCACAAAAAAAAAGGAGACAGGGACAACTCTGTTTCTCCACAACCGCAAAAATTCAGGACCAAAGTGAACATATAAAACGACAGACAAGAGATGACAGAAAAATAATACTCTCAGATAGCGATGAACAATGTGTGTATATACAAGTGCTTTGTGCGTTCGCTTTATTGCGGTGTTTTTGATGTTATCGGTGGGTGCAGATAGGGTATCGACAATGAAGGAGTATCAAACTTCTTCTCGCATCCATGTCTGTCGCACAAAGCTCGCCTCAGAAAAACGACGATTTAAGCAGAGGCGGGAGTGAAGGAAGCCTGACCATTGGAGCCACAGGTCAATCCAGCATCCTTCATATTGGGGGCATACGAGCTCTTGAAGGCAGAGATGGCAGAGCCGCACTTGTCAGCGGTGGCACAAGAGTCGATCCAAGAGCCACTGAGGGACGAGCAGAGGCAGGCTGCATAGGCGGGCGAGACCGAACCGGCGGTCGCCTCGACATTAGCGCAGGCGGGAAGCTGCATGAGGGATTCTTGGAGGCACAGGGTGCATGTCGAGGGGTCTGCTTGGGCCGAGGAGGTGGAGGCGACGAGAGCGACAAATGCGGCGGCGAGGATTGTGAACTTCATGATGGGAGGTTGAGTGTGTGTAGGGGTGAGGTAAAAGGAAGGCGTGTAAAGGCTTGGGGGATGAAGAATGGGACCAGAGTTGTAAAGAAGAAAGAGAAAGAGTTAAATGGGTGGGAGGGGTGGTTGCTTTAATACGTGTCCAAGGGTGAGGTATGCTGACAGCACAAAGTTGGGTCAGGGTAAGCGGGATGGGGGACCCTTGAAGCGAAATCTCTGTGGCCTGTTGTTGTCAATGATCGAGAAGGACAGCGATGTGGAGAATAATGAATAGTTGCTCTCAACGTCAAACAACGGCATTCTGGTCCGTTTGGGGTTTCTCCTCCACAAAAGCAAGGGCGAAAGAGATGGAATAAGACTCGATGTAACAAATAGTAAAGTAAGCGCCTTTCGGTACGCTGTATAACCGACAGAATTGAAAGGGTGCTAAAGAAAGTTCGAGTGGAGGTCGACAGGGCGCAGAAAACGAACGAGATGGAAAACAGCCATTGGAGTGGGATAGATTGCATATGCATCCGCCAGTCTTAATTCGGCGGTTCACTCGTTTTTCAACTCTTGTCTGTTTGTATCCACTAGTTCTTGGTGCGACATTAGGTGAAAGAGGAATACCTGAGTGGGAAAGAAGAGAACAAAGCGAGGGCTCTGATTTGTTTGCTGTTCATGTTGCGTTTTGTGAAGTGACGACGCCGGCGATGGATGAATGGACACGGCATGTTTCCGCGCAAGCGGGTGAGGTCTAAGAAAAGGAGCATGGAGGTTCGACCAACCGCTCAGGGATAAAGATGACAAAGCGAGCCTCTCTCTGTATCGATAGACTCGTTTATGCCGTAGATAGAGCAAAAAAATACGACAACAATCTTTACAGCATGATTTAGTGCATGGTCACATATGTACTATTGTTGGATCTTTCAAACTTCTTAGGCAGCTTGCAAAGTAGACCGACGGTCTAGGAAAGTTCATTTGCCTTGCTATCTCTCTCCTTTAATCCCGAAAGATGCACAATGGTTGAGAGACGAATAAAAGAATAATGCCGATTGATGTGGAGTTTAATGAGCAAAGAATCTCATAGTCGATTGCACTATGGACCATATTGCTGCTCTCTTTCTTTTTTGACAAGCCCATTGGGTTGCAATATTCATCGCCGACTCAAACTAGTTGTTGGTCAATGCATCTGGTGGCGGTGTTGATTCTGGAAGAGAGGTGCTTGAACCGTATCAAATTAGACTTCCGCCTCACTTACAGGGCCAGCAGTTGTTTCATGCCTCCGGCATGCGATTTTTTTTCTTGAGCAGACTTACCCATTGCACTTTTAGTGTTCCCTCTGTTTTGTTCCCCATGTCCATCGTCTTTCTTCCCTTCTCCCTCATTCTTCATTCACTTTGCCTTCTTTGCCTCTGATCTCCGTACTTACTACAGGATCGACCTTAGGAGAAGTCCGCACAACCACCAATATACCACTCTTCTCCGCCATGGCAAAGGCGTGAGTTCTGGAAACCGTCCTCAACACGTCTAGGCAACAACGACCCAAGGAAATCCCCATTTCGAGGCTACAACGCGTTGGTTTCGCGTCTCCGTCGTCACCGTTGCTTTAGCACTTCTTACGAACAACAAGCGTGTGATTGATGTTGACGAGGATCGCACTGCAAACCTTTTTTTTGTATGTTATCAGTTTGATCATCACAGATACGAAAAATGCGCGACAAACCAGCCACTTATCAGTTTCAATCAAAATGGACCCTGGAACAGTATGCTTCGCCCAATTCACCTTGACACCAGAAACAAGGGATGACTAAAGAAAAAAACGCGTATATGGGTGCAATGTTCAAGACTTGATTGTAAACGAGCCAAGAAAAAGGTTCAATGAAAAATGCTGATGCACATTTTTATTCAAGAGGAGTTTTTGATACAGTGGTCCTGACAACGAGAATTTACTTCTTGTTGGTAAGGATACTATTCGATTGCAAGAAAAAAAAAAGGGCTTTGGTTAGTGAAATGTGCCCGCGAAAAAAAAACGTCCAAAAGACCCTCTCAGCCTGTAAAAAGTGCCAAAAAAAAACTTACCCATCGTAACGCTGCTTGAACCAGTTCTGGGTCTCCTCCTTGTTGACACGGTGGTTGGCACCAACCTTGGCGACGCAGCGGCGACGCTTGGTGATACGGTTACCGGGGCGGTTCATGCAGACGAAGAAATCCATACCGTAAATACCGATGGAAGGGTCGTACTTGATACCCAAATCGATGTGCTCCTGGATACCGAAGCCGAAGTTGCCGGTCTCGGAGAAGTTGGCCTTCTTCAACTCGTACTCCTTGACCTTGAGGCCACGCTCGAGAATCTCCTCAGCCTTGGGGCCACGGACGGTGACGTGGACGGCGATCTTCTCGTTACGACGGATACCGAAGGTACGGACGGTGTAGCGGGCCTTGGAGTAGACGGGGGTCTGACCGGTCAACTGCTCGAGAACCTTGGCGGCACGGGTAAGTCTGTCTCCGGACTCTCCGACGCAAATGTTGAGGACGAGCTTCTCGAGGCGCAACTCGCGCATTGCGTTGGTGGACTTTTGGGTCTGGTCTTCAGCGGACTATTATACACATTGGGGTTTTAAGATAAGATATAGAGAGTACAAAATAAGACGAAGTTATTAAGACCGCAACTCTTATCGAAAAAGTGTATGTGTATGCCCGCTTCTGAACCGCCCTCTCCCAGTTTTGTGAATGGTCTTTGTCGGTATGTTGATAAAGGACGATAAAAAAAAGAGGAAAGGGTGGGTCCTTTGGATCCTGCGTGGGTAAAGGTGCCGTGTAGTTGGAGTGTCCTGCGAAGAATTGGGTCGCGAAGTGTCCTGCTTCCCGCCCTTAAAGACAAAGACGACTCCGGCTGAAGAGGCGATCCTGTTCCCGTCCAACTCTACCCCAGAAACTGACATCCATCAAAACAGCCAACGAAAACACGACAAGGGTACGCCCTCCTTCAGCTTTGGCCAAAGAAAAAAACGTACTCAGCCAGTCTTCGAACGACTCCTTTTTTTGACTAACAGCTCCAGCGATGTCGTCGTTGTAAGACGTATCCGGGAACAGCAGCGAAGGTGATCCTAGCGCTTCAAGCGAAGGCTGGTGGTGAATCAGCGTCTCCCCATGATCTTTCGCTGATCACCGGTGCCTGCTCCAGAGGTGTGATGATGTTGATGTCGGGTGCCCGAAAAAATTGGCAATAGTAGGGATTCCTGCAAGACCGGTTGCATGCGCTAGACGGGTAGACGACGGCGCTGGCGATGGTTGTCGATGGCGTCGATAGATGAATGGATGGGTGTATCGATCGATCGATTCATTAGAATGGATCATATACCATAATGAAAAAGTCTCGATTAAGCGAAAGAAGGATCCCTGTCTCGCGCGCCGATCGAAATAATTATCTCTCTCAAACACGACTGCACAAGCCACTGTATCTACTACGCCCAAGGGAAAGAAAAAAATGGCGGCAACACTCCCAGAAGGTATAGAGGATTATATTCAGAAAATGGGTATCGTAAAAATAACTAAAAGAACCAGGCAAAAGCTCCAATGACAGCACCGGCAACACTAGCGGTCAACTTGCTGGCATCGCTCTTGACAGGAGTTTCAGTCGTCTTCTTCGAGTCAGCTTTGGTGCTGTCACCAGAATCATTCTCCACCAACAACGCACCCTTAGGCTCAGGAACATCTGCGGGAGAGGCCACATTAATGTCCAGCGCAGAGGTGACAGGTTGAGCATTGCTATTGCCAACAATAATGCTAGCGGTGCTCTCGATACCCGACTTCAGTTCATCGAGCGAAAAGTGGAATCCTTGATCAGCAAGCTGTTTGGCCAAGTCATTCAATGGGCCTTGACCAAGTTCTTTGTAGGAAATGACGCGAGGCAGGTTTTGTTGATCCAATACGCTATGGCAAGAAGTAAAATATGAAAAAAATACATGTCAGTAGTTTCTCGCGCGTGAGGGTTTTGTGCCAATGAGGACTCCAAAAAAGATATATGTATATGTTGTACGTACACGACACCGCAGGTGCCTTTGAGTTCGTTGCATCCAGACGAGTGGCTGCAGTGTAATGTCGATCTACCGCAAAATCCACTACACATGGATGACATAAAAATAGAAAAGAAGGGCATCGGTGAATGTTTTAGTTTAATTCGGGTTTGCGATCGCGTGGTGCCTGAACTGCAACAACAAAAACATATGCAATGAACGTACTGGCTGGAGCAACAGTATCCTTCGTCACAGGACAGGGCACCGGTGCACAATTCAGCAGTGTCCTCGCGAGCCAGGACGACAGAGCAGACTATAGCCAGCAGTGCAAGGGATTGGTAGCGCATCTTGTGTAGTGATCAAGGGCTAAGAAAAGAGGAGGGGTTGGTGTGTAGAGTGTCAGGGAGGAGAAAGAAAACAAAAATAAGGTAGGGTGGCGGTGTCCAGCTTTTTATGCGAATGTGAATCTGAGTGTCCGTATCCGATTTGTTGCCATTGGCAATGATTATTCACAACCATTCTCATGTTCTGATGGTCTCCGAAGCAGTGCGCGCGAGTGAGTTGAATCGTTTGTATGGAAAAGGAGTTGCCATGGTGCTTGGGAGGATAACTTGTCGTTTGATTCCGATTCTTGAAAATAGACACGGAGGAAATGGAAGGGGACGAGAAAAACAAAGAGTTGGCTTCCATTTGTTCGTACTGAACCTAGTTTTTCTTTATGTTTTGATATCCAGTATGGTCGATTGCTTGGCAGCCAGGTTGTAGTTGTTATGGTGTCGAATCGATCGCACTATTGTATTGGGGCCTCACACAAGGCGTCCGTCTTGTATCCTGTCTATTCCGATGACCAGCCTGGATGCCCTTCTATTGACCCAATGCTAGTTTCATAGAGAGCGGGAAAAAAGGTATTTTTGTTGACGGCGATATCGAGAGAGGGCTGTTGCGTGAAGGCGTGTCTGCGTTGCCAAGAGCTTGTTGGATCTCAGCCAAGAGTCGAGGATTCGAACGACTCTTTTCTTTGCGCTGTGAGGAACACAGGGCCGGCCCTGGGGAGATGGACAGAAATGAGCAGCAGCAGATGCCAATCTTCTTACGTGGCAAGGGGTCCTGCATTTCTCCCCTGTTTAACTTCCCACATGTGCAAAAGCACAAAGAGATAAAAATCGACTACACACCGACAACATTTTTTCCTCTTTCCTCTTTACTCACACGCCCACCACCGTCAACAAACAACTACCGACAACTACAGACGAATATACATATCGAAAATAATGGCCGCTCCAGCTTACACCCCCGTTGCCACCAACCCCTTCACAGGCGGATTCCCCTCATCCGACGAGGCCTCCGCCGTCGCCTCATCCGCCGCCAGCTTTGGTCTTGGATACCTCCAGAAGCTGCGTGAGGAGCGTCTCTCATCCCTCAGACCCGCTGGAGAGTTCTTTGACCGGAATCGCTTCTCCCTTCCCTCTGGATTCGCCAGTACGTCTTCTACTTGTTTTTCTTTTCGTTTCCTGACGGGAGCGAAGACGAAGAGAAATGGCGGAGCAAGATGACCTTAGGATGAACCTGCTAGTGCTGTGAGACTGAAGCCTACTTTTTCTCATCTTGCTTCCAATTAGATGTCACCTCAAGATTCAACTACAACCTCAACTACTTCCAGGGCAACTACCTCTTGATGTTCCTCGCCATCACCGCCTACAGCTTGTACGTTTACAAAACGCACACAGAACAAACATACGCACATGATACACTGGAAAATACCTCAGGGTCAAAGGATGCAAAAGCTGAACGGACCTGCACACAACCACAACAACATGCGCTAACAAAAATACCACTACTTTTCTCCACTGTTGTCTTGTTCTTATTCGACCAAAATCACTCTTTCTTTTCATGCTATACACAGGATCACAAACTTCTTGTTGATGTTCACCGTGGCCTTTGTGATCGGAGGCTTGTACTTTATCAGCAGGATCCCCCCAGAAGGTGTCAGAATCGGATCCAACACCTACCAGGCCGGTCAATTGAAGACCATCCTCATTGGTATCTCTGTCATCCTCTTCTTCTTCAGCTCCACCATCGGGACCGTCTTCTGGATCGTCGGTATGTCATCGCATTTTGCCATTTTATTTATATCTTTTTTTTTGTCTTATTTGCCTTCCGCCCACCCTGCCACAATCACTCACTCATATGTTTGTTCTTTTATCTCTTGCAGGTGCCAGCGCTGTCACGATCCTCGGACACGCTGCAGTGATGCAGGAGGGTGTCGAGGGTGAATTCGCTTCTGTCGTCTAAAGGAAGAATGTCCACCTCCTCAACTCACCTATAATATCACCCGCCCTGTGTAATAAAATCCTCCCCCACTCATTCATTTCATATCATATTTTTCAAGGGTTCTAGTTTGCTCAGGGTGCTTGGGTCTGGGCTTTTGCGTTTCAAAATATGTCGTTATCATTAGAAAGTCGTCAGAGGTTACTACTATATGTTCTAATTTTGATCCGCGTTTCGAGTTGTGTGCAGTATGGACTCTGCTTTAACGAAGTCCCGAATTGGCCAACCACTCCCTACAACACGACAAAACATGGAAAAGAAGTGAGGATTTGAGACTCGGGGCTATGAAGAAAAAGCTGGCAGCAAACATCAATTCCTGATCAATCATCTGTAAGTTACCTGAACATGGCAGAGTTCATGAGAAGGAGCGTAGCAGTGCCCATAGATGCAGCTGAGAAGACAAGCATGGCCGCCATGTTACGACTGTAAAGCTGCAGTGAGTTCGTGGGGTACTTTGACAATGCCGAGGCACCCTTTTCCTTCTTGATCCTGGGTTTGCTCAACAGTTCGTCGATTGGTGTGAAATCAATGGGTGTGGATGAGATCTTTTCGTCCGCGCTATCGTAGAGGTGAATTCCCGGCCGACTGAACGTGTTGACGCAGGAACTAGTACAAATACAAGGGTTTCCAATAGCGGGTCAGTTGCCTGTCAGGGGGACGCGTAGTGAGTTGAAAATGGCTCAACGATAACTGTAAGAAGTCCTTACTTTTCATCTAACCAGATTTCGGAGCGCTTCTGGAGTGCTTCTGGTGGGTATGTTATGTAGAGTTGGTGGGCGTGTGAGATGATCAGCTCCAGATCGACGGTCTTGGGGAACTTGGTCAAAAACGTATGGACCATTGCGTTGTCGCATTCGACCTCCAGCAGTTCTTCCCGCCGTGACATGACGACCTATAACAAGATAAAACCGTTCGAATAATTAGTAAAGTCGCAATCACATATCCTGAACGGACATTCTCCATATCCACACCAACGATGGTCTCCAGTAGTTCTTACAGCGGCGGCCATATAAACGGACATGAGGGGGTTGAAGCAGATCAAAAAGTCGTAGAGTCGGGCAATCTTGTTAAAGTCCTGAAGGTCGTGAGCGCACCATGTGATAACCCAGCTCAGCGGGAAGAACGGGAGCGTTTCCGATCTATGTTAATTTTCAGCAATAGAGATGTAAGCGAATGTGTTATTATATCTATTCAGTCCATCCTGTCTTTTCAGCTTGCTTGTTCTCTTGATGTGGCTGTTACCTGTCCAGGAACTCTTGGACCTCTGGATCTTCCAGCTTCAAGAGAGCAGTCATCAGCGAGAGTTGCTCCAGCACGGGCTCTAGATTTTCCAGCATGCAGTCCCTAAAAAAGAACATCGCCAAGGTCTCTGCCGCCAATGTTGCGGCCTCTTTGCCCAAGACCACAATCAAGCATGTACAAACATCATGGAACCCCTATGACCGACATTGACAACGACAACACGATGTAAGTATCAAAGTGCTTGCATTTGCTCCGGTATGGCATGAAATGTTGGTCTCTGTACCTGGTAGTAGGAGAGTTTTGGGTGTCGCTGCAAGACATCGAGGATCACATGCAAGAGTTCGTCCTGTTTTTGCTTCTTGTATGCTTGTTGACTCTCTATTCCATGGTTAAAAGTAGACAAGAGATTTTCATGAGTCCTTCATGCCTTCTCCTATTTCTCCTTGCTCTTTTTTGTTCTCCTGAATATGGAGCTCGTCTTACTTGTCTCGCTGCTGAGGTGAGTGAAGGATCGGATCACGTCCAAACGGACTTGGTCGTCGTCTTTGTGCGGTACTGATGTGTTAGCGGCGGCTTGTCGTCTTGGAACATGGGTGCGCAACAACAGCGGCCTATTCATAAAGGTGGTCAATCAAATGCTTTTTTATGTTAGAACATTATGTCGTTCAAAATCAACGAAACAAACGCGCGATGTGATTATGGAACATATGCGTACCATGCTCGGCGACGGATACCGTCGGTGACAAAGCCGGATCCGGTGACAGATAGTTTACGAAGTTCTTCAATGTTTCCTGTTACAATGGCCTCGTCCAGTCTGCGAATACGTTTTTCCTTTTCAAGAGAGTCCTTGGTTTTGGGCCGTCGGTTTCGAAGCGAGCCGCCTCTGGACGAGGAGTGGTTGGAGGACCAGGAGCTGTGGGAGCCTGCGTGAAGCTGTCTTGCGCGCGTCATGACCAAGATAACGGCGACGACGGCAAGGAGTGTTCGTGGTTTGAGGGAAGGAATGGTGACGGAAGGTGTTGTCGTCTTGTGTGTTTTTTGAGCGAATGAATGAATGAATGAATGTATGAATGAATGAAAGAAAGAAAGAAAGTAAAGTAAGTAAAAAGTATAAAGCTCAAAAGTGAAGAAGAGCAAAAAACGCATTCTTCCCCAATGAGCCCTGACATCACGTGTAGGATGGCCGTTGCACGTTGGCCATGCCACGTACAAAGAGTCCTCCAGTAGCTGCAAGCTGCAAGGTGTGAATGCGTGTCTTCGCGACACTACTTATCGATAATTTTGCCCTGGCACAGTTGTATTTTTCCCTTTTTTCCTCTTGTTCTTCTTTCTTCTCTCCACTCTCCCCCTCACTCACTCACTCACACTACCCTTGACCCCAACACACTTTCTCACTACCATCGCCACTCATCAATTACAACACAACACAACTACCTTCCACCTCCGCCCACACTTACATCAACGTCTTATATAAGGAAGCAAACTTGTCCGTCTGTCTGAGGGTCACTCTCCGTCTTCGTATTTCATCACACGCTCACCGCCTCATCTACTCACACCACCCCCTTCTCGGTATGATATTCCATACAGCACTTATTGTTATGTCCCTCTTGTTGGTTGCTCTGCTTGTCCGACCTTTTATTTCTTTCACTTGGCACACCCTGTCTTCAATACGTAATAACCTGGACTTGGCTCCCTTGTTCTATGAATAGAATAAAACACATACATAATGGCGGAACCCCTGCCCATTCGCTTCCAGGAACACTGCCAGGTACAGCAGCCACAACTGTCGCAATGTCGCGTGAGGAGAAGCGACTCCAGTTGCGCGCTTTTGTTATTGTTTTTGCGGCCTGCGTGTGTACATGCAGTAGAAAGTAGGAGAGGAACCTTTTACAACGGCACTCCAAGAAAGACAGCTTCGTTTTCTCTAACGAACTGCTTTTCTATTCTTCGACTTTGTGTATTAATTTGACTCTCCGTCGGACACGTAATGATATAATGATAGCTCCAAAACTTGGGCGTCAACGCAGCAAGTATCGGCTTCAACACACTCACGCTGGAATCAGACCGCTTCATCTGTGTCCGGGATACGACGGGCGAACAGAACCTGGTCGTCATTATCGACCTCACCGACCCCACCAATGTGATCCGCAGACCCATCACAGCCGACTCGGCTATCATGCACCCCGCCAGCAAAGTCATCGCCCTCAAAGGTACGATTTGCTTTTTTTTGCCGTGAGGATTGTTTTGTGTTCTTTTTGAGCAAAAAGCCTTTTTTACGAACTGATATTTACAATGTGTATTACGTCTTTCCATCACTTGCAACCCATTTATTACTGCCATCAGCCGGACGACAGCTGCAGATTTTCAACTTGGAGATGAAGACCAAAGTAAAGTCCCACCTGATGCACGACGACGTTGAGTTCTGGAAATGGATCTCTCTCAAATCGCTTGCCCTTGTCACCAGCACCGCAGTCTACCACTGGTCTATGGAGGGCGACTCCCAACCTATCAAGGTCTTTGACCGCCACCCCAGTATGAGTGGAACCCAGATTATCAACTACCGCATCAACTCGGACGAAAAGTGGATGGTCCTCGTCGGAATCTCGTCCAGGGTGAGCCACAATCGATTATGACGCACGGGATTATGGAATAATAGGCTCTTAGTACAAAGGACTAGGACTAACAAGAGCTTGTCACTTGTCATGTTTTCTTTTAGGAGGGACGCGTTGCTGGTTCGATGCAGCTCTACTCCAAGGAGCGCGGTGTCAGCCAGCCTATCGAGGGTCACGCTGCTGCATTTGCTGAGCTTACGTTGGATGGTGGCAACTCTCCCACAAAGCTGTTTGCCTTTGCTGTTCGCACCGCAGTTGGAGCCAAGGTAAATGACTGTAGACATTCTCCAGGGTATCATTTTTGCTGATACGAAAAACATATGTTTTTCTGGATAAACATTGACAACGACTGTTTACACCGTATATTTTGTAGCTGCACGTTGTTGAGGTTGACCACAAGGACGGCAACCCAGTATACGCAAAGAAGGCCGTCGACGTCTTCTTCCCTCCAGAGGCCAGCGGCGACTTCCCTGTCGCCATGCAGATCAGTCAAAAGTACGGCATCATCTTCTTGGTCACCAAGTTTGGATTCATCCACCTCTACGACCTCGAGACAGGAACCTGTATCTACATGAACCGTATCAGTGGCGAGACAATCTTTGTGACAGCAGAGCACGAGGCAACAAGTGGAGTCATCGGTGTCAACCGCAAGGGTCAGGTCCTCTCCGTCAGCGTTGATGAGACCAACCTTGTCCCCTACATTGTCAACACTCTTCGCAACTCTGAGTTGGCCCTTAAGGTCGCCTCCCGTGGTGGTTTACCCGGCGCTGATGACCTTTACGTCCAGCGTTTCCAGCAGCTCTTCCAATCTGGAGATTTCAGCCAGGCCGCCAAAATCGCCGCCACCTCACCAAAGGTAAGCTCATGCTCATCTCATAAGCTCGCATGACAATGCCAATGTGCAGGACTATTTGCTTTCCTGAAGATTGACTCTAATGTTTTGATTTGATTTTGGCAAACAGGGAATCCTCCGCACACCTCAGACAATTGAGCGTTTCAAGGCGATTCCCACACAGGCCGGCCAGGTCCCTCCTATTCTGCAGTACTTTGTGACTTTGTTGGAGAAAGGAGAGTTGAACAAGTACGAATCGCTTGAGCTCGCCAAGCCCGTTCTCGCACAGGGCCGCAAGCAGCTTTTGGAGAAGTGGCTCAAGGAGGACAAGCTGGAGTGCAGTGAGGAGTTGGGTGATATCGTCAAGCAGCACGACTTGAACCTCGCTCTTTCCGTATACCTTCGTGCTAATGTCCCCAACAAGGTCATTGCTTGCTTTGCCGAGACAAAGCAGTATCCCAAGATCATTTTGTACGCCAACAAGGTCGGCTATACCCCTGACTACGCCACGCTCCTTCAGCACATCATGCGCATGGATCCCGACAATGGCGCCGAGTTTGCTACTCTTCTCGCCAACAACGAAGGCGGACCCTTGGTGGACTTGGAGAAGGTATGATTTATAATGTTGACTCCTGGCGCGAACTGGTGTTTCAAGATATGAACAATTTTACTCACCGCAATCAAATCTTTTTACCCTTTCGAACACCAGGTCGTTGATGTGTTCATGTCGCAGAACATGATCCAGCAGGCTACCGCTTTCTTGTTGGAGGCTCTCAAGGACAACTTGCCCCAACACGCTCACCTCCAGACCCGTTTGCTTGAGATGAACCTCATGCACGCCCCTCAGGTTGCTGATGCGATCTTGGGCAACGAAATGTTCACCCATTACGACCGTGCTTCGATCGCCAGCATGTGCGAGAAGGCTGGTCTCTACCAGAGAGCTTTGGAGCACTACACCGAGAACGCTGACATCAAGCGTGTCTTGGTCCACACTCACCTTTTCCAGCCCGACTGGGTCATTGCCTACTTTGGTCGTCTCGCAGTCGAGCAGTCGCTGGACTGCTTGCGTGAAATGCTGAGCTCTAACATGCGCCAAAACTTGCAGATTGTTGTCCAAGTCGCCACCAAGTACTCTGAGCAGTTGGGCGCCTCAAAGTTGATCGAGCTTTTCGAATCTTTCAACACCTTTGAGGGACTTTACCACTACCTGGGCTCTATTGTCAACCTGAGCCAGGATCCTGAGGTTATCTACAAATACATTGAGGCTGCCTGCAAGACTGGTCAGCTCAAGGAGGTCGAGCGCATCTGTCGCGAGTCCAACTACTACAACCCCGAAAGGGTCAAGAACTTCCTCAAGGACGCCAAGTTGACCGACCAGCTTCCTTTGATCATTGTCTGCGACCGCTTCGACTTTGTCCACGACTTGGTCCTCTACTTGTACCAGAACAACTTGTCCAAGTACATTGAGACCTATGTCCAGAAGGTCAACCCCTCTAGAACCCCTGCCGTCATCGGTGCGCTGCTGGACGTTGGCTGCGACGAGTCTGTCATCAAGAGCTTGTTGATGACCGTCCGTGGCGATATGCCCGTCGGAGAGTTGGTCGACCAGACCGAGAAGCGCAACCGCTTGAAGCTCCTCCTGCCTTGGTTGGAGGTCAAGGTGAACGAGAGCAGCCAGGACCCCGAGGTCTACAACGCCATTGCCAAGATTTACATCGACAGCAACAACAACCCCGAGCCTTTCCTCAGGAATAACGCCTTCTACGACTCCAGGACTATTGGAAAGTACTGCGAGAAGCGCGACCCCTACCTTGCCTTCATTGCCTACGAGCGTGGACAGTGCGATGTCGAATTGATCGAGATCACCAACAACAATTCGATGTTCAAGCACCAGGCCCGCTACTTGGTCAAGCGTCGCGATGCCAACCTATGGGCTCATGTCTTGAGCAACGACAACCCCAGCCGTCGCGCATTGATTGACCAGGTCGTGTCGACCGCTCTTTCCGAGACCCAGGACCCCGAGGATGTCTCGATCACCGTCAAGGCTTTCATGGCTGCCTACCTCCCCAACGAATTGATTGAGCTCCTTGAGAAGATCATTCTCGAGGCCTCTGCCTTTAGCGACAACCGCAACCTCCAGAACCTTTTGATCTTGACTGCCATCCAGGCTGACAAGTCCAAGGTCATGGACTACATCAATCGTCTGGACAACTTTGATGCCCCCGATATCGCCGATCACGCCATCCGCAACGGACTGTTCGAAGAGGCGTTTGTCATCTACCAGCGCCACGATGTCCATGCCAGCGCCATCAACGTGCTCATTGAGCACATTGGCAGTATCGACCGCGCCTATGAGTACGCCGAGAAGACCGACACCCCCGAGGTCTGGAGCCGTCTCGGTAAGGCTCAATTGGATGGCATGCGTATTAAGGAGGCCATCGACTCGTACATCCGTGCCAACGACCCCAGCAACCATGTCGAGGTTGTTTCGCTCGCCTCGCGCGCCGACAAGTACGAGGATTTGGTCCGTTACTTGCAGATGGCTCGTAAGATCTCGCGTGAGCCTTTGGTCGAGTCTGAGCTGCTGTTTGCTTATGCCAAGACTGACCGCTTAGTCGACATGGAGGAGATCCTTAACGGCTCCCCCAACGCTGCCCAGGTCCAGGTAATCGGAGACCGCTGTTTCGAAGAGAAGATGTACGCCCCCGCCAAGCTCCTCTACTCGAGCATTTCAAACTGGGCCCGCCTTTCGACTACTTTGGTTCACTTGGGCGAATACCAGGCTGCTGTTGACGGTGCCCGCAAGGCCAACAGCACCAAGGTCTGGAAGGATGTTCATGCGGCATGTATTGAGCGCAGGGAGTTCCGTCTGGCCCAGGTCTGTGGACTGTCGTTGGTTGTCCATCCCGAGGAGTTGGAGGAGTTGATGCGCCTGTACATCAGCCAGGGCTTCTTTGAGGAATTGATGGCCCTGTTGGAGTCTGGTCTGGGTCTGGAGCGTGCTCATATGGGCATGTTCACCGAGTTGGCGATCTTGTATGCACGTTACCGCCCCGAGCGGATGATGGAACATCTCAAGATTTTCTGGTCGCGCATCAACATCCCCAAGGTCATTTCTGCCTGCGAGGAGGCACATTTGTGGACGGAGCTGGTATTCTTGTATGTTCACTACGACGAGTACGACAACGCGGCGATTACGATGATGAAGCGGTCGCCCGACGCTTGGGAACACAGTGCGTTCAAGGATGTGGTGGTCAAGGTGTCGAACCTCGAGATCTACTACAAGGCCCTCCGCTTCTACTTGGATGAGCAACCTATGCTTTTGAACGACCTTTTGGCTGTCCTTGTGCCCAGAATTGACCACAACCGCGTCATCCAGATGTTCCAGAAGTCGGACAACTTGCCCCTGATCAAGAACTACCTCGTCTCTGTCCAGAGCATCAACAACTTGGCGGTCAACACAGCGTACCACGATCTGTTGATTGAGGAGGAAGATTACGTCCGTTTGCGCAAGTCGATCGATACGAACACCAACTTTGACAACCTGGCGTTGGCTGGACGGCTGGAGTCGCACGAGCTATTGGAGTTCCGTCGGATTGCTGCACACCTGTACAAGCGCAACAAGAAGTGGAGACAGTCGATGACGCTCTCGAAACAGGACCGCCTCTACAAGGACGCCATGGACACTGCGGCCGAGTCGAGGGATACGTCTGTCGCCGAGGAGTTGCTGCAGTACTTTGTCGAGTCTGGTCACAAGGAGTGCTTTGCGGCATGTCTGTATATCTGTTACGACCTGGTCCGGCCCGACAGGGTGATGGAGCTCGCATGGAGACACCAGTTGACGGACTTTGCGATGCCCTACATGGTTCAGTTCACGCGAGAGTATGTTGAGAAGGTCGACATGCTGAACAAGGCCCATGAGGAGCGCGAGGCCAAGGAGACCAAGGAGCGGTCAGGAGAGACACCCATCTTGGGACCTGGTGGATTGGGCAACAGCAGGATGATCACAGCCGGCCCTGGTGTGGGTATGATCCCACCCCAGCAGACTGGCATGGGAGGCATGGCCATGGGATACGGCCAGAGCGGATACGGATTCTGAACGAGCGCTGGTTAGCAGTTTCGACTTCGTGAAAAAAAGCTCGAGTGAAGTAATAAACGAGGCTTTGTGTACAATTGAGTTTTAATAGCATTTTTTGTGTTACTTCTGTATGTTTTACTTTTTGTGGGATGTGTGTGTGTGTGTGTGTGTGTGTGTGTGTGTGTGCGTTTGGAACAAAACTTGGAAGGTGGACTTGGGACGTTAAAAAAGGTATGATTGAGTGAAGGCATTATTAGGTGTTTCATTTTTGAGTGGTGAATGGAATGGGTAGAGTATTAGGAAATAGTACTGCGAGCTGCTTCGTCATAAAGTGCTTCGAACTCAGAACCGCCAGTGTTCTGGGCTTGCATTCTTAAAGGTGCAGGCTGCTGCTGCTGCTGCTGCTGTTGTTGTTGTTGTTGTTGTTGTTGTTGTTGTTGTTGGTGAGACATGGTTGGGGATGATGCAGATTGGAAAGTAGAGGCACCGTTTCCAATCTTGGGAGAACGCCCCACTGAGCCGTTGCTGTTGGGTGGTGGTGGAGGGCGAGGAGAGCCTTTGGGGGGTTGGCCCGAGGGTGGGGCGGGGAGACTGCCGGTGGGTTGACCTGAAGGAATGGCTCCGGAGCCCAACAGGGGCGAGGACGTGATGCCCATAGAGCGGGTGGGTCCAGAAGTGATGTTACTAAGAGTAGCAACAGGGCTTGGTGCTGCAGCGGGGGCAGAGATGGGAGCGGCAGGGGCGGCGGCGTCATTAGGGAAGCGAGCACGGATAGACTCGAACATCAAGACAATCTTGTCCTCGTTTCCATTAAAGATATCCTTGACGGTGTAACCCTCAGTCGAGACGCCGACCCGATCCATGAACTTGAAGGCTGTGAGGAGGTTCTCGAGCATCTGGAGGGTGTAGGTTGCGTTAGGGATGCGCTTATCGACCTGGTCGCCCGAGAGCTGCTCGATCAGACGGACGAGGACAACGCCGGATCTGAGCGAGCCTGTCATGTCGCTCACGGGCTCGACGGTTGAGGGCAAGTTGCGGTTCATCCAACTCACGTACTGCTCCTGTGTCTATGAAAATAGGGGAATAATTCAATCAAGAATGATTAGTGAACAAGTCAAGAACATTGAGGCGAGACAAAGCTTCTGAGCGACAAGGAGAGGAGACTCACCCAGCGGCCGTTGGTGTTTTCCTGGGCTTTTTCGGCACGCTGATGGAAGGAGTCAAGCTCACTATCGGGACGCAAGTTCTTCAACAGCTGCTGCTGAAGAGGCTGGGAAGGAGGGGCCAAAGTCTGGCCATTGGCAGCCTTGCGCTGGCTGAAACCCTCATCATCCTCATTCCTCCAAGGATCGTCATCGCCGTCCTGCTGATCACCAATAAAGCTAAGACGCTGCTGCTGACCGACGGACGACTGGGCGAGTGGCGACTGGAGGATGGGACTCTCAGGCTGGATCTGGACATGTGCCTGGTCATGGCTCATACTCATGCTGGTCGAGTTGCTGTTGCTACTCAAGTTGTTGGCGTTGTTCATGATCTTGTTGTTGAGCGCATTGGCGGGGCCGTTGAGGGCGTTGAACTTGCTACCATTGGGGCTACCGTACTCGTTGGGGAGGTAATCCTCACCGTCAGAGTCCTGGTCATCATAGTCGAGTAGTCGTTGTTGGAACGACTTCTGCTGCTGCATCTGGACTTCCTGGTGCATCTGGAGTTCCTGCTTCTGCTGCTGCAATTGCTGTTGTTGTTGAAGCTGTTGTTGTTGTTGCTGCTGGAGCTTTTGGTCGTATTGCAGTTGGTGCTGCTGCTGTTGAGGGTGCATAGGCTGGCCATTAGGTCCCAAACCACGGTTGCGTTTTGAGGGCGAAGGAGGGCGGGGCGCCATCTGACGGGCGACATGGAGAGGGATGGTCGGGATGTTGCTCGACGAGATGACTGGAGCCGTAGGGTCACGGCCGATGGTGACCTTCATCAAAGCCTTGAGCCAACCCTTCATTTCACTCTCGCTTTCTGTGTAAAAGTAAAAGTTGCGGAGCTCATCGTGCACTGCCTTGAAGCAGTACTTGCCAGCATAGATGTTCTCATCCTGAATAATCTTGTAGCCGATCAGGTTGATGTAGTCCTTGCTCGCGCTATCCTTGGGTGAATTCATGTAGTAGAGCGTTACACCCTTCAACATGAACCAGCGTGACTTCCAGGTCCGGTAGGTGTCGCCTCGCTTCTTGAGCCATCCTGCATGGTCGGGCTTGCCAATCAGGTCCAAGGGCACGACCTTGTCGCTTGGGTCGGCCTTGCCGTTCAACTGCCGGTTGGTGTTGTCAGGATTATGGTATTTGCGTTGCTTGGGGGTCGGCTGTTGGTAAGGCTCTGATTGGTACACCATATGCTGTGGGGGTATCTCTGGGCTCAGTGGTCCATTGTTACCGCGGTCCAATCCGTTCGAGTATGGGTCCATTGCTGACTGCGGCTGCTCCAGGGATCGACTGTACGATAAATCTTCAAAGTCGCGCTGCTGGGGGAGAGCAGGGTTGGGCATCTGTGGAGGGCGAGGTGCGATGCGCTCCCAGGGGTTGCGATTGGGGTTCGAGTTGGCAGAGTAAGCCGAGGTGACGCTCTGACGCTGGGCGCCACGACCAGAATTGGTATCGCCAATGCTTCCACCGCTGAGGACTGAGGCGATAGTGTCTGAGCGCGCCAATGACTGAGCCTGCTGGTGATGGGTTTGTTGTTGAGGTTGCTGTAATGGAGACCGAATGCTTTGGGACTGAACAGAGGCGGGAGCTGGTGGTGGAGGTCCGGTAGGTCCGCTGCGGGGGTCATGAAGATCCTGACGTGGGTCCCGCATGTATTCTGCCCGTGGGTCGTACGAAGTGCGAGTCGGGTTGGGGACGATAATAGGTGCCGAGGCCATGCGAGGAGGAATATTGGGGCCTATTCCGTACATCGAAGTCGGGTTGGACATGACACCATAGAGACTCTTAGTGGACTGCTCGCCCTTGGTGATCTGCTTCAAGGACGTGATAGCATTCATAATGTTGAAGCGCTTTCCGAAAGAGTTGATGTCCAGTTCCTTCAGGTTGTTCAAGTTCAGCTCCAGCAAGATTGCTCCGGAGATTTCGTTGTCTAGAGCACGTTTGTCGGCGAATTACATGTAAGTTATTTAGCTCGGAGAAAATATTAATTTCCGTAATGATTCCGACAATAGTAGATACACCAAGAGAACTTACCAACAAAGCTGACAACAACACTGTCAAACCCGCACCAACGCAGCCAGAAGGCGACTTGTTCAATCGACCACGCAGCAGGGTGTCCAGCCAACTGCGGCTCGTTCAGACTATCCTCAACAGTTTGGGCAAGGACCTTGCTGTTGGGGACACCGCCATTCGAGCCGACATTACTGGAGGATCCTCCGTAAGTGGTCCGGGTTCCTTGTCCTCCCATAGGTGGACTAGCAATCGCAGGGTTCTGGTGGATATGCATGTTGTTCAGGGTGTTGGTGACGTTATTACTGAGGCTGTTCTGTTGTTGTTGTTGGCCCATCATCCGACTGGAATTGCTGTTGTTCATGTCGAGACCATACTGGATGTGGTTGTTGGGAGTTGAGGTAGTGTTGGAATTTGACATGGTGGCGGACCCAGTAGCTCCATATTTGGCCATGCCGTTGCCAGCAAGAGCATTGCTATCTCCGCCGCTATAAGCATTGGGGACCGCTGTCTGAGCCTTCTCTGGTGGGTCTAAAAGGATGTGCAGGACAAGGATGTCAATGTAAGCAAACGTGTGAGCACTGACATCAAAATGTCCTCAGGGATTTCTTTTCCAGCCCCAGTTTTTCTTCCTCTGCAGCCTGCTCCTTTGACATGGCCTGGGCACCTCTTGCCCCTCCCCCAGGGGTCCAAAGGTACGACATAGTCGGCAATGAGTACACTGTATAAAAAACTCTTATTTTCGACTCATTTTTCATGTCCTGCTCTCCAAGGAAAAGAAAAACGTCCTTTTTTTTCTTGTGTCCACATGCAAAGGAAGAAACAACGAAGCGACATGCTCTCGGTATCTCATTGGGGCTCTCTATCCTGTGTCTTTTTCTCTCGTTTTTGTTCGCTCTCAGAAAATACAAAACTCATTGGCTTTTGTTGTTGATGTTGGTGGTGTTGCTGTTGTGTTTTCAATCCCCTGTTAGACGCCGTCTCAACTTACTTTTAACGGTGTAGTTCTGGGGGAAGAGTCCGGTCTCTCCTCGTGTGTTGATACCCTGGCATTTCGGAATAGAAAGGATAAGAGTTGTTGGTTAGGTAAACGAGAGTACATGGAACATGCTTGTTCGTGGGTAGGTGGGAGTAAGAAGTAGGCGATGGGGGCGCCGGGAGTGTTGATGGGTCAAGGAGACAAAGGTGGTCAAGCATTGACATAGCAGCGTTGATCCGGATAGGTATAGTTTCAATCGATGACCACATCGAGAGCTGAGCAAAAAGACATGGTCAGTCTCATATTTCTCAGCCGTCTGGGAGAGAGAGAGAGAGAGAGCAAAAAACGAGTCGGGCTCCACTCTGTTGTCGATGTTGTTATCCTGCTGCCAAAAGTCAAAATTGATGTCGCAAGGTGCAAGGTAGGAGCAATGCATCCACGTTGTCGCTTTGTTCATCCTTCTGCATGGCATGTTTGATAGTCGATGTAGAAGAAAGAAAAGAATAAAAAAAGGAGCCAAGGGGGAGTTGTAATAGGGTTCGAGTCCATCATCATTTATCCTGTCGAGTATCGTAAGCAATGCTTTTCGTTACCCTTGCGCCCAATTTTAATAAATCGTGAATATAGAACTTCATTTTTTTTATGTTGCTTACCTCCCACCAGCCATCCTGGTACAAATCATCCTTCTGGAGTACGATAATCGGCTCGTCAACATGGAAAGAGATCTCGTCGTCGGCCTCGGCCACAAAGTTGTGGATCGCCCACACAGTTTCGGTCATGGTTCAGAGTCTCGCTTGTCGCCCTTGGAGGCGATGGCGAATGTCTGTGCGTGTCGGGTAAGAAAAAAAAGCGAAGAAGTAACAGCTACTCGTCTAAAGAAAATGAAAACAATGAGAACAAAGGTTAGAGGTTATGCACGCCAAGAACACAACTTTGATGGAGCATTCGGCAGGACAAGAGTGGAAGCGATGCCGAAATGGAGTTAAATGAGTGGGTTGTTGTCGGTTCGTCCTGTTCGTTTGTCAGTCTGGAGGATAGATAAAGATGTCTTTTTGTGCTCTCTTGTCTTTCTCTCTCTCAGTTTTACCAAGAGTGTTCTTGTTCCTTTTAGAGTGTTTAGTTGAAATAAGAAAAGAAGCCGAGTCGAGTTCCCGCGTAAGAGGCGAAATAAAAGGTGGGAAGGAGGGTGGAGGGTATATAGTGGTGTAATTAAATGAGGGAAGAAGAGGAGAGCGAAGAAGAGAGGAAGACAGGCAAGAGGAATTGTTTTTCTGAACACAAGCACAAAAACACGCACGAAAAATGAAATGTCAACGGACTTTTTGGTTGTTGCCACGAGGAAGGAAAAAGAAACGAGGAGTAGGTGCAACAAACACACACACACCCTTGAATATTATTGTTGATGATAGCAGCCAACGGCTGGCCAAGACGAAAAAGGGTGGGAAGGATGAGCGAAGGGGTTTTAAAAATATTATTTGCCGTTTTGTTGCTGTTACTGTTGTTGTTGCTGTTGTTCAAAGAGGCGGCTGGAAACACAGTGAGGACAAGGTAGATAGAAGGTACAGTACGTATCAAACGAATGTGATATTGGGGTAAACGGGGAATATTAAGGGAGATGAGTGGTGGATATATGTTACAACAGGGAGCTGTTGTCTGTTAACGTGTGCTTACTCGGTAATGAAATAAAGGAGGAGGAGGAGGAGGAGTAATGGCAGGAAAGGGTTATGTGTGTGCAGGGAAAAGGGGAGGTTGGGGTGGGGGGGGGGTGTCAAGTGTAGTATGATATAAAGAGAGAGCCGAGGAGAGAGAGCGAAGTGTAAGAGTGGGGGAAGGAATGAGTGAGTGAGTGAGGGAGTGATTAGTGCTGTTGCTGTTGGTAGCGGGGTGTTGGCGGTTAGTTCATCAGGTCGTCCATGGGAAGAGAAGGAAGAAGGATGGATGAGGGACGGAGGGAAGGGAAGGAAAGTTGGGGAAGGAATGAGGATAAAAGGAAAGGAGGGAAAGAAGGGAGAGGAAGAAAATAAGGTCATCGGTGCACTTCGATCAACCAAAAAGAAAAAATAATAATAATTATCAGTCTTCGACTATATGCCATAGGGTGAACAAGGTGGTGTCTAAGGAGAGAGAGGCCAAAGAGACACTGGAAAACAGAGGGACTGGTGTTGTTCACCCTCCTACCCACCCCTACCCTCCTCTTTATCATCAAGGCAACTTACCTACTCATAGGCAGACAGGAAGAAAAAGAACGACGAGAAATCGGCCCTTTGGACGGAGCAGTGTCCCAGCTGTAGTTGGCTGTCTTGCTGTCTGACTTCGCCAATCGCATTCGTAGGTAAAAACTCCCGCCAAAATCTGAAAAAAAAAATAAAAAAAAATCGGAACCTTGGATAGAGTTGACCTGCCCTTGCCCCTTGCTGTTGCTGCTGTCCTTGTTATTGTTGGGGTCTTACTTTATCCCAGGTGTGTATGTCATCGTTGACAGCCAGTTTGGACCAACCCAACCACATACTCCAACAGATCCCTCCTGCAGTAAGTCAGCCACCCAGACTAAAAGCATCGTTGCCGAAATCCCTTCTCGTTGTTCAATTTGCGTTTCTGTTGAACCGGACTCAACTGCACCCTTACGAATCAATCGCACCTTCTTCACAGCCCAAGTAAATATCATCATATTCATCAATGCAAATCAAACAAGGCAGGCTGAAGAATAAACAACAAATAACATAGTGAGCCCTTTATTGTCTTGCTCACTGCTTTGTGGATGGTAATGTTGACTCGCTTGACTATTAACAATCTGACACGGACAGAAGGAGCAAACACTGCCTTCATACTCTCTGTCACGGACTCGTGAAAGCTTCCCACTCGGACATCTCGATCTCACTTTACATTTTTGCTCTACCCTCACAAGGTTAATTTGGCTCGGCGACCTTTTCTTCAGTACCCGGACAAGGGTACGAAGAGAAATGAGAAAAGAAACAATGTTATCGATATACAGGTTCCTGTTCAGCGTTTGCTTGAGGGGTGCAAGAACTGCGAGCGAATATAGTACATATCACGTGCACTGAGATCAACTCAGGGCGACTCTTTTTGCCACTGAAGTCAAACGCGCTTTTTGACTTTTCCCGCAACCACTCACTCCTTTCTCTTCTTCCTCCTTTACGCACACAGACGACTCCAATCAACACAAACGACTCCAATCAACACAAACACAAACATTCTCAGATCGCCGCTCCGACCTGTACTTCAATTTATAGAGAGAAGCCAGTTACAATGATCTCAAAGACCGAGCCTGGACTGTCCAGGCCAAACGACAACCCCTTCGACATGACCTCCTCAGCACAACACACTGCCCATGTCGGACTTTCTGGACATGCTTCCGTTCAGTCCTACAAGTCCATTGTCGACTTTACTGCAGAGGAAAAGGCACAGCTCGACTCAGATCTTCCAAAATACCTCCCACCCGAATTTACAGCCACTCGTGCCGGACCTGGACGGTCAACTCTCACATACATCGAAGGCTGGAAGATCAAGAACCTTGCCAACAAACTCTTTGGCTTCAACGGCTGGAGAAGCTCTATCACAGATGTCACCGTCGACTTCCTTGAGGTCGAAAATGACGGCAAGGTCACCGTCGGCGTTTCTTGCATTGTCCGCGTTACCCTCAAGGACGGGACCTTTCACGAGGTACATACAACGTTTCTCTGCAGCACTATGGATGGATGGTGCAGATCGGACAATGATTCATCTATCCAGCAGTAATTTGACTCACTAGTTTTGTTAACACTTTTGGCTATTGATAGGATATGGGATATGGGTCAAGCGAGAACCAGAAGAGTAAAGGCGCATCGTTTGAAAAGGTACGACATCATTCACTCTTTCTGGATCAGCAACCACCTCTGGGATTCACAATTGAAAAGCAGCGCCCTAACTGGTCACTGCCTAATTACTTTATCACTATCACATAGGCCAAGAAAGAGGCTGTTACGGATGCTCTGAAGAGGGCCTTGACTTCATTCGGAAATCTCTTGGGTACATGTCTCTACGACAAGAACTACGCCAAGTACCTCAGCACTCAAAGGTCCGACAAGGTAGGACATACAAGCAATCGCAGTTGGGCTATGTTATCGTAGACAACCTGTGTTAAAGGCTTGCATTTATTTAGTACCACTATTAAGTCTTCATTTTGCTCCGCTCAATATGTCTTCACGTAGGCTAAGTACAACGAAGTAGAGTTCTACACACACCCAACCGAGGCACGGCCACAACTCCAAACAGTGAAACCTCTACCTCCAAAACCACAACAGCAGGCACATCAACAGCAAAACAGCTTCAACCCACAGCAGAATCAACAACAGAGCCCGTACCAGAATCAGCAACAGCAGAATCCCTATCAGAACCAACAAGCGGAATCTAGCGCAAGCTCGAGCGCGCAAACAAGCAGTTGGACAGCTGGGCAATCGAATCCTTACAAGCCGGCGACTTTACAGCAGGGATTTGCTGCAGGAAAGCAGCCTCTTGGTGGTCCTTCCTTTAACGGGTCATCAACTTCGACATCCACTTCTACAGCGAGCTCATTGGCACCGTCCAACAAAGCCCCTGTGACAGGCAACAACGCGGCAAGCGAAGCAGGAGCCCAGTTGCAAGCCAACATCAAGGTTGAGGAAGATGATGGTAAGAGCCCTAGCGGTCACTACAGGGCACGTCGAAGCGATTCTAAATGTTATTCAGATGTTGAGCACGATTTTGGTTGGGGCACGCTTACTGACCTTTCTGCAGACGATCTCTTTTTTGGTCCTGATATCGATGACTCTGCACCCTCTCAGGCATTGCCTGAGAGCCCGCGGATGAAGGATTTTGACAACATAGATCTCGATGTGGCAGATATGATGAACGATGACTCGCCCGTCAAGCCCAAGGCAACAACGCCCGACTTTGCCTCAGTTTCGAGTACTACTTCAGGAAACAACTCTGGATTTCCTTCAACTCCAAAGCGCTCGGGATCTTTTGGACGATCCACTAGTAGTCCAACTCTTGTTCAAACTACGCCAACCAAACCCACTGCGCAAGATATGCAGCGAACACATGGTCCACCACCAGCAGCGCCATTCAGAGCGACCACCCCCTTCGCAGGGCTCAATGCGCTCAAGAATGCTGCGTATACCCCAAAGTCATCTTCTCCGTCAACTGGGACAGCTACGACTCCACAGGGTTCTGCGTCACACAGTAATCAAGGAGGCGCAAACTCAACGTCCCAAAATCAACAAAACGGAGCAAACAATAGTTCTCGAGCTACGACACCTCTGAGCTCACACAGCGGAAGCAGCGCCAGTCGAAACCCAACGGGTGCAGCAAAAACTGCCCCCGTCAATGTTTTGAGAGCCAACAGTCTCGCAGCTGCAAATGGTCAGCACAGAAACAACAACACCAACAACGGCAGTAACAATGCCGCCAGTGGATTCCGAGCTTCAACAGGACACAACCCAGGTGCTCAGTCCTACAACGTCTCTGGCAGCAATAATTATCAGCAAGGCCATGGGCTGAAGCGACCCTTCATCAACAATGGGTAAGGCGCGCCACATTGTCGAATTGCTCGTGCTGTTATTGTTCTTAAATGAGCTGAAATGGCTAATATTGCAATTGTTCTCGTTTCTTTCATGTTTGAATAGCTCGCATGACCTTCATGGACCGGCATCCAACAAGGAGCCCCGTTTGGACTGAAGACGCCGCAGGTTGTTCAGTCAAGGCCCAATTTCGACATTTAATTTTCCTTTCTTTTGTACCGTTCTCGCTGTCACCTCAGATTCTTCTTCTTTTGCTCATTAGTTATCTTGTCGAGGCTATCCTTTTCGCCTGATTTTTTGTACAACGCTGTACCTCGCCGCCATCTTTTTTCCTCGTATCCTTCCTTTTCCTCTGTACTTTTCTTACATTCCTCTCCTCTCTGTCTTCTCTTTGTACCAATTCAAAACTATAATGTTGTACAATAAACGCTTTCTTTTGCACACTTATTTTTGTTTGGTATTTTGTTTATTATGTGCATTATTGGAATGATAGTTCAAAGGGCTTGAGGAATGTTGTTGACGGGAGTGAGGAGGGAGCCAGAGGACAAGAAGAGGTCAATGTTCTTCATCGTCAAAGCCTCCATCTTTGTGATAGTCTCGATGGTAAATGCGCCCAAATGAGGCATCAATGCAACGTTCATGTTCTTCAACAGCTTAGGGTGGACCTTGGGCTCGTGCTCAAACACATCCAAACCGGCACCAGCGATATGACCCGATTCTAGGACTTGAACGAGAGCCTCTTCGTCGACGACGGGCCCACGGGAAGTGTTGAGAAAATAGGCTCCAGACTTCATCTTCTGGAACTGTTCGGCGCGGATGAGGTGGCGTGTCTCGGCTGAGAGGGGGACGTGGATGGAGACGACGTCCGAGGTTGTGAGGATTGCGTCTAATGTTGGGAGATACTCCACTTCCTTCAAGTAAGCCTCGTCGTCGTCTTCCCCATTGAAAGAGATGGGACGGCGGTTGTGGTAGACGACCTTCATACCAAGTGCCTGAGCTCTCTTGGCGACGGCTTTACCAATCCCGCCCATGCCGACAATTCCAAAGATCATGCCTGAAGGGTCTCTTCCGATTCTGGGCTTGTTGGGCAGTCCATGACGCATGTTGTATTCGACCTCGTATTGGTGACGGAGAGTCGAGAGGAGGAGGAGGATGGTGGCGTCTGCGGTGGCGTCGTCGACGACTCTGGGCGTGTTGGTGACCCATTGGTTGTTGCGAGTTGCTGCCTCGGCGTCGACGAAATCGTAGCCGGCACCGACGGATCCGATGAGTTCTAGGCCGGTGGGGAGGGCAGAGAGGAGTGGTTCGTCGACTCTTCCGAGGGTCTAATAGGGGGTTTTAGTATTTTTTGAATTGTAGAAAATGAAGCGGGGGTCTGGTGAGTAAGGTGTGGAGAATGTGTGGAGAAAGCGAAACAATCAAAAAAAAAAAAAAAAAGTAGGTGAGACTTACATAGTGGGAGGCGAAGCCGCGGTAGAGGGCCTTGAAGGTGATACCCTCCCTCTTCGCCGTCTCAAGCTGCTCGAACAGCTCCTTACGCGTCGGAGCAGCATACTATCCTCCATCGTCATCAACCAAGAACAAGAATGAATAAAAAAAGAAGCAAGAAAAAAATATTAAAGAAAAGTGTTAGCAATGGTATAGTACCCTCCCCCCTCGCTTGTTATTTTGTTGGGTAAGTTTTTTTTCTTTGATGGATATGTGGCCAGAAAATTCTTTCTCCAGATCATTGATCCAGGGACATACAAAAACGCCACTAATTTTTTTTTCTTTTTCTTCTCTTCCAGGATGGTCAATTGAACTTACGTGGATGTTGTATTTTGCAGCGAGGGCTGCTTCTTGAACTTTGGCGTGACGGACGCTTCCAATGAAGAGAATGTTTTCTTTGGTCATTTTTTTTTTTTGTTGTTGTTGGTGAAATGAATGCAAAAAGGAATGGAATGAGTGGGGAGGGTAGAGTGAAGAGAGGAAAGGTATAGGCAGGGAGGAAGGTGAAAACTGGGGCAGGAAAAAAAAAAAAGGAATTGGCGTTGCGTTTATATCCTTCGGGCATTCGCTTTCGCTCGTTAAATCAACCACTTAATAACAGAAACAGGCTCCCTCCACATAATCAACGCCTTAATAGCGGCGGACGCTTTCAGGCACAAAGGGGAGCGCCGGATAAAGAAAGGGCCAAAGCGGGCCCTGTGATTGGCCTATGGGAGACTCAACGAGAACAGAAATCTCGTGTAGAACAAAAGGGTAAAAGTCCCCTTGATTTTGATTTTCAGTGTGAATACAAACCATAAAAGTGTGACCTACCGATCCTTTAGTCCCTGGAAATTTCAGGCTACTACCCCTTTACACGCCCTACTTTTCTCCAAGACCTACGATGAAGATACTCTTTGGGAATGAAATTTCCAGTACTTGAAATCTATGCGAAGGTCTGGGTCGAAACTAAGTAGAGCGGTCTTAGCGCTCACAGTTGCTGTTATGTTCCTTTCTCTAATAAACACTGTCTTCTGACTCATGCAAAACGAAAAGACCAATAATATTTTATTGAGCGCCTGCCTATTCACTTATTCTCTTCAGTTTCTCCAATAGTTTCGACTTTGCAGGCTTCGTAGGAGTGTGGACGACGACACTCTCCCACTCCAAGGTTTCCATTACATTCTGCGACCCCTGGTCCTCCTCGTCGTCTTCGACAGCTTTCTTGCGGAACTTGGATCTATTCACTTCACGGACTACATTCCGACCATATGCATCGTATTGGTGCTATTTGGATTGCAGAAAAAAAATAATTAATAGCTGTTCAGTAGACACTATAAGAGCACACAATGCAATAGATCAAGTATGTATCAATAAGTTCATGAGACGCTGTAGGTGGTCCGAGAGGAAGTGCTCAAACTCTCCTGGATCGCATGCCTCTGCTCCAATCCAATTGTCCTTGTACTTGACGATCTTGAAGATTGTTGCCGACAGACCTACAGTAAGAAATATTTTTGTCAGCCTGTTATCTGCACTTTTTTGGTTGTTGTTCAGGTTATAACCTTGCTTCATTTACCGTGGATGCTCAACAACAGCGGGCACTCCAGCTCATATCTCTCCAGCTCCAGCAGGATGCTCTTATTGATCTTCAGGTTTTTTCTTAACTGTGAAGCAACCTCAACCTTAGCGGAGCCTGCCTTCTTACACTCGATGTTGCCGACCTCAATGCCGCCAGCGGTTAGCAAACAGTCACACTTTCGAGGTGATGAACCAGTGCTGAATATCGCCTCAAGCTTTGACTTAGAAAACGCTGTCGCAGCACACCCTTGCTCCCCTCTTCAGGGAAGAATATAAGCTTGTTAGAGTACGATGGAGTTGTTGAGGTCTATGCCGGTCATAGCGAACAGATCAGCGCAGACGATATAAAAACAACTTAAGGCGAAACGCTACTGGCGTGTCCATCGGCAGACCCTCACGGAAGATGCTCGACCAAACATGGAGAGCATCCGCTTCGAACGGATTCCATTTGCCATGCAGTGACCTGATGATATTCCTGATGCTACATGACCAACGCTAAGAAACAAATTGTTTGCAATGCATGGCTTCCAACCAGTCAAGCACGAATCCATGCTCTACTTCGTGAGAACTTACATGACCTGGAGGACGTGAAGAATACGCCGCAATGATGGAGACTGAACCTGGAGGTCGTAAGTCTTTTCCATGACCTCTTCAAGCGTGCCGGTCTCAAGAGTCTCAGCGAGCACCTTCACGAGGTCGTCGACCTCCGGCTCCTTCTTGTCCATCTCCTGAACCTTGCAGAACGCATGAACCTCCTGGAGCTGGAGCGGTGTGAATGCTTTGTTCGCTGCGACGGAAAACGTATTCCATATGCCAGAGAGGGCCACGCTAAGGAAAAATAGGTAATCAAAGTCATTAGGGTGCGATCTGGTTAGCTCAATACATACACTTACAACGCATCCTTATAGTCAAGGCACCGTTCTCTGTTAAAATGCGGCATCGACGATACTTCCTTAGCTTTCTTCAGATGGTGCAGAGCAAGCCAATGAAGGCTACGCCTGTTCTGGCTGCAGTCGACGGCGGTATCCTCATTTGGCAAGTCAGCATCCCATCCATCGTACTATGACAAATAGAAAAGGGAGCGTTAGCTCGGTTTCTTGGCAAGCAATACACTCTGCCTCCCTCCATTATAAAAAGTGCCTTATGTAGAGTTGCTAATATGAAACGATAAGAAATCCCCAAATATATACCTGATACAGTGCCGCTTCGATCAAAGCATGCCAAGGCTCTCGTACTCGGACCACTGAAGACTGCTTGCTAGGATTCGAGCGTCTGTTTGGCCGGCCTCTCTTCAAAGTAACTGTCTCAGAAGTCATCGAACTAGATTCTGGACAGACTGGAGGCTATAATGACTTCTGAATTTAGTTTCGTTGGATGACCTCCACAGGGAAAAATAAGGCGATGGCGACAAAATCACAACTTACACGATCTGTGTGGACTTTCTGGTTCGTTTGTTTCCTAGTGGCTTGCGCTACAATATAAATTGATACAATTACTGTAGTCCGCAAATAGACACCACAGGCGTAGATCAAACGATATACCTTCATCGTGGCATCTATCTTCCACGCGCTTTGCGCGCAGATTGGATACCGCTAGCTCTTACCGGGAAATACTCTGAATGAGCGCTTCGAGATGGTTTCGCTAGAAACAAATGAACGGGGATTGTTATTCGTGCGAGCCTCCATCAGTCGAGGTCTATGAGAAAGTAACCAGTTTGTCCTACCTCACTAAGCTGTTTGTCTGCTGTTGCATTGACTTCCTGTGCTGTGTATTTTCGAAGACGGGCTCACAGTTGCCGTTTGCCAACTGATGGATGCCGCTGGAGGTAGGGTAATGCGTCGCTTGTCCAGATGGTCAGAGTGCGCTCCTTATTATTAATTTCAGGGAACACTCTCATAAATGATATAAGTGAGATATCGCGCCAATGTGCATCGTCGAGGAATTCTTGGAGCCCGGCAAGCATCGTGATTTGGTGAACTGAATCTACAGGAAAGAGATATTCGTTCATTGTCGTTAATAAATACAACATGTCAAGTATCAATCCACACTCCAAAGTACAAACAATAAACCAATCTGGTCTATTTGATCAAGTGAAGGTACGCCCATATTACGCTGAAAGTAGCACTATCAGCACCCACGGATCTTCACCGCACTTCCCCTTGTCATAGGAAGGAAGTATCGGATACATGGCCTTGAGACTCGCGACGCGTGGACCAACTTCACACATCTCCAAGCTGGAGTAATCACAGGCCCAATGATGTGCATAACCGTTCACAAGATTGTTCCCAAATGACTGACCAAGAGAAATGAGAATACCGTCCAATCAAATCATCAGAGCAGCAATAGGAAAAGAGATGGAACGCCTTTTTAACCCGAAAGATGCACTATCGGGCCCCCGGTCATGGCCAACAGCTCATCTTGCCATGAAGGACGAGCTGTTGACGAAAGAAGAATGAATTCTTCCAAGCTGAGCGAGGGTTAACTTCACACACCGCAATTCGCTTCACGCATGCGCATATCCAATCACAAAGTTTTTCTCAAATGACTGGCTAGGAGAAATGAGGATCCCGTCATCCACTATTTGCTGCTGCTCTGCAATCCAGACTTTACCGAACGGATTAATCTCTTAACTTAGGAAAGAAAAGGGCGACGATGAGCGTGGCGGGTGACGAAAAGAGGGTCGGATATAGATGTAGTGATGAAATAGGCGTGGGGGTAAAAAGCAAGCAGCGAAAAAAAAAAAAAAAAAAAAGCGAGCTGGTGACATCATTATATCTGGACACACATTCCATTTGACAGTGCATTTGACAGAAACAACTGATTTGACATTGCTATCTATTTATTCACATGCACCTTCGACCGGCATGAACCGTGTTCAAACCCTTCACCCCAAGAAGGGTGCGCTCAAGGTCTGCTACCGTGCTCTGAAAGTACTGAAGAGTGCACTTTCTTATTTTTTTTGGCGCGTGCCTCATCCCTATCGACTTCAATAAGTGTAACAGTCTTTTCTCGCACTCGTTGAACTCAATTGCACGCTCAGACTCCCTTAATTTCCTCCGCTCTGCTTTCTTCTCAGCACAGGCCCGCTCCATTTTTGAAGCACAACAAGAGGCACGATAACACGCCACGCAGCCGGGATTTCATCCTCGTATCGTCGTCAGGCGCGTCTTCATCCCGGACAACCATGTCACTTCCGTCATAACTGATACCCATGCTATTATGCTATTGTAAATCTGGGAGACCAAGTACAAATGCTTGCAGGGTATTTTGTGACGGACGTAGTCGGGGCACGTGCAAGAAAGAAGTCGAGCTGCTTGTGCGTCTATCCTGACGGCGCACTTGACATCAGGTATAATGAAAGAGTTCACAATGAACTACAAATAAGAAAAAAATCAGAGGGATGTAATATTTCTTAAAAGGTAATTCAAAGGTCAGCACACATGCAAAAAAAGGTTTCTTACCTCATTGTTCTCGTCCAGTTCGGCAACCATGTCCTTGGAGGCAGCGAGTGGCAACGCCGTTGCCTTTTTCTTTATAGCTTTATCATATGCCGAGAGTACGATAGGCTCTAATCCATGTACAACCTTGAAGTGATGTGTCCTAAAGTCAATGTTAACGACGCCTGTCAGCAAATGAATCAAATCATGTCCGCACATATCCCGGATATATTCCATGTGCTGCCTCTTCAAAGTCGCATGCCAGCTCTCTACAAGATTGTTTGTGTTGATATGCTGGTAGTCCTGTTGATGGAGAAGAAGAAAAAAGACGTGGGTAAATATCAGCGTTGACTTGGTTATATGTAACGATCAATGATCAAAAGAAAGGTTAAATGTCTCACCTCTTGTTGGTAAAGTACCCATCTGATCACTTTCTCTGGCGTCATCCAATCTCTGTTGACATAATCGATCATCGAGGTTTGACCCGGAAACAAGCGCTGAAAGTGGTCTGTACTGACGTAAAAAGATTTTGGTGTGCCTTGGAAAACTTAATTCTACGCCGAAGGCGGCATGCTCATTGAATATACATCGTCATCGAGGGGAAATGAGGGGAAAGTGGAGAAGGGCCGTGTACAGAGAATAGAGGGAGAGGATCGATAATCGGACAAAGGAGTTGGTTAGACCAGTTGACCTCTTTCAATGCGACTGTTCAATGTTAGTGCCTCACTTTTCAATCGCCATTCGAATCAGAGCTACACATGTAGGCTGGTGAATATGTTGCAGTAGTGAATGAACCTGAAATGTTTGGAGGCGAAGAACCGAGCAACGCATTCGATAGTGGCCAAGTCCTAGTCCGTGATTGTTTGTTTTCTATTCGGGCTTGTCGCTGCATGCAACTGTGTCCTTGCCCACCTTTGAAAGAGAATTGTAATTTCGGGAGGGCAAGGTTGCATGGCGCAGAAGGAGAGCAGTGATCAACGCCTTTGTCTTCTTTTCCGTTCTTCTCAAACAAGCAAGGAAGCAAAATCAATGGTTTTATATCGGCCAGCGCCCACGTCGACGTGGGTTAAGCAAAAAGGAGGCGCAGAACAAAGGCATCATTTCTTTATTTAGTAGACGCGTTAAACGCGTCGTTTGTTTTCTTCGACTGATCAACTGATAAAAAAATTAGTTTATCGGACAGGCATTCAGGGACGCATATGCATACAGTAGACAGAGGGGTAGAGACGATCGTGAACAATAAAGGAGGAACACAACGACTCGATATATTCAAAAATAGACATTGCTGTTGGATGTGAAAGCCGTCCGACGACCAAGGTGAGGGGAGGGGGAAAGAAGATCGACCAACAGCACCACATGATATTTTCAATAAAATCGCAAGTGAAAATTGACAAGCCGTTATTATATCATGAAACGCCAAAATGCATGTATTTCGTATCTTTCCTATAGCCATATCTTTGTCTGTCTTATTTCCTTCAGAACCAGTTCTCAGCGAGTCCTGTGCCGCTGAATCCTCCAACATCGCCAGAGGCAGGTGTGTCATCTAGAACAAAATAAGGAGCCCCCTCATGGTCAGGTATTGGTTCCCACAGGAAAAACACGTCCGCAGACAAAACAAAGACGCACCCTCGAGGCAAAAACTTACTGTGGAATGTGTCAAGATCGAGGTCATCCGCATCTTGATCGAATGTAAGGACATTCAACACCGCTCCGGGAGGAATGGCTAGCTCTGCGATTGTTTTCTCGTTGTCATCCAGCTCGACCTTTCCATATAGCAGCCTTTGGCACAGAGGGAAAGTGCCCTTGAGCTCCATAATCTGTTTGTAATTTGGCACAGGATACAAAAGTACATTTCGATGAGACAAACTGGACTTGCACACGATGTCGAGCAATAGGAAATGAGTAGAGAGTAAACTTGCCTTCAATTTTAGGTCCAAGACTGTGGTGTCCTTGCTAACTTCTGAAAACCTGCGCTCATCATAGTGGACCTTGCCAGTTTTGATTCGCTTCGATTGGCGTGTTCCTGTGGAGCCGAGGACTGGTATCTGCTTCCGCTTGGACTTGGCGTTCGTGGTGGTATTCGAAGGTAGGCTGTCGTCAGTAGGGGTTGGAGCTTGCGAGTTATCAGCGCTCGCAGGAGTGGAGGATGCCTCGTCGTTGACTACAAACTCGTTGGCCTTATAGATCCGAACAGTCAACGTCGTCGTTGAGAAATCAAGGATCCTACATTGTCCCAAGAGAAAAAAGGGGGTGAGCCTGCTTGTTTTAACGCCACTAAAATTAGTTGTCACTAGCAAGTAGTCAACATCCGCACCTTTCGTACCTGCATTCTGGGCAATGAGCGGGAGTCGACTGCACGGCGGAAAAGACATGGTCGTGTGCAGAACTGTCATCGCCCTTCACGGACTCTTGATTAACGATGACAATATCGGGTCCTCCTCCGTACCTAAAAAGTTGAGTGGCGAATAGTATTTATCAACGGTGGATCAGCGAACAAGTTTCTCAGCTGGAGTACGCAAAAAAAAAGACGGGGCATTGTAGAGGTGTAACGGCTATAGTCGTGGACTCCTTACATTGCTCTGAGGTACGACCAGTCGTCCTCCCTGACGACAGCAACATTTTCGTTGTGTTTCTTGTCCGCCGGATTGTTGAGGTCAAACAGGAACAGGTCGTGCTTGCAGAGGAGACCACTGTTGTCAAGTATCGTCGGTCGCTCATTCTTAACAGGATCTTTGGTGAAGCCCATCCATTGTTTCATGAAATCTATGGAAGCAAAGAAAAGGAATCAAACATATGAATTGAATAAAAATAGGCCAGCAGTAGCATGACCAATGGTGCACCGTTCCGCAGGGTTTACACCAAAGCACATGTGGGACGAACCTCTTGACACTGCGTAGTATCGCTCTCCTTGTACCATATCATTTGGAAATCCATGAGTGTTCATGCCTCTCAGCTTGTCCTGTTGTGATGAGAAAAAAGATATGAGCGGGTAATAAGGTAGTCTGTACCATTTGTGAGATGGATGAGCGCAATAGATCGATGTTGATTACCTTTTCTAAGGCGGCTGCGGCAAAAAGTCCGTAGGGATCGTTTTTTTTGCACTCTTGGCACTCAGGGACATCGTGTTTTGGCAGCTGGATTGGTCCAAAGATCTCGGTAAGCCTTTTCAAGCACTATCAGGCATCAAAGAGAAAGAAGGTATTATGAAGAATGTAGCGAGAATGCGAGAACAACATCATGACCCTTGGATACTCAACGTACCATTTTGTTGATGGCTCTGCGACGAGACTTGTCCACCCTGAGGTTGGAGTGCTCACAGAAAACATCATGTACGTATGGCTCTGACAAAGGACTGGGATCGGCGGCTGTGGACGTATGGGGGTGGTGGAATTCAGGGGAGACTTTTTGCCAGGTTGTCAGCCATGGTTTCGATATCCAGAAAGCTGGCGCAAGCTTACTTTTTGTACTGGTAAGTTTTTTTATCGCATCGATGTCTTGTCTGTGCATGATGTGGTACCACTTGTCTAGAACAGTGGCGATATTGGATAAGTTAGAAAACACTCAGCGTGCCAATGACAAACTTGGATCCATTTAGAAGTAGTTATAATGAAGAAAAACGCACCTTGGAACAAGTTTCGTGAGCATGGCAAACAAACGTCCATTGGAGTCAGAACCGGATCGATCTTGGCGCCTTGCTCAGCCAATAGGCACTGGGCATACTATGGCCACGACTTTCAGTTAGGTTCGTGTCTTTCGTTGTCCTTTCAACCACGTAACAGCGAGCATGAAATCGCAGTAAATGTGCTCTTACCATGCTGATACGCTTGCTTTTTGAAACAGCAGTAGGACACAGATTTTGGTGTTCACAGGCCACGGCAATACTGTCCAGATCGACAGTGGTGGAATTCTCTCGCCAAAATCCGTCCTCCGACGTTCGGCCTCCATCCAGCTGCATGTATTTTGAGAGAGCCGCTGAAGAAACGTAACAGCTGTCGTCCTATCATGCGTCGATATTACTGTCAGCGATCGAGGTATACCATAATATGAAAGAAAAGACGAACTAGCATCACCATAACCAAGACCTCACCTCATCATCGTTGACATCCCAGCAGCAATACACCTTTCGGCGATCCTCTCGAGCTTGCTCAAACTTGACCCTGGTTTTCTCTTTGCTAAAATTAAGTGGTCAAAAGCTGTTGTCAGGAGAACTTGCCTCTTCGTGAAAATCAACATAAAGGGGTGACAATCACCGATGCACCTACAGTTCAGTGTAATCCTTCAGCTCGTTGTCGAAATCGGCGTTGTCTGCCATGACAAGGTCAAGGATATCGGATGGAGGCTTTCTAGGTGTGACCGATGGCTCTGAGGTCCTTCTTGTGTAGGTCAACATGTACGCGTTCCGAGACGAAAGAGTGCTATTGAGAAGACAACGGGAGATGTCAGCATACGATTGTCGCTTGTATGAACAAAACCATGCAGAGCAGACGGAAATTGCCGCATTGCAAAATGCCGTTCATACTTCAAAAATCGTTCGGCATCAGATGCTCCTGCTTTTATGGTCGTCTTCTTGGCCTTTGATTCGGAACCAGTCTCGGCATAGTCCTGTGGATCGAACACAGTCGAGTCGAATTGCGTAACTTCCTCATCATTCAGAACGAACCACTTGTTTAACCTAATACGAACGATATTGAAACTGGTGTAAGTTACTGAATCTTATATTCATAGTTGAGATGAGAAGCTTACTAAAGGAGACTTACGGTTTGTCCAGGACATGTGCCATAAAGTGACCAGAGTGGGCACTTGGCCCGCTGTGAACCAGTACGGCAGAGAGGTCGTACAGTGTCGAGGTTTGCGATCCCGTCAGTTTGGAAAAATCGATTGTCAAGGGGAACCGAATTGTGTCCTTTGACTTCTTTTTTGTTGAAGTCGTGACATCGTACACAAACCGCATCAACTGAATGTTCAGGATCTATTCGAATGAAGCGAGTGTAAATAACTTGCAGTCGGAGAATCCTTGCACGTTGTAGTGCTTCTTGTTTTGCATCGACAGTTTCAGCGGTCATCTCGGTCATACCTTGGGCAGGATATCCAACTTGATCTCCCTTGTAGCATCCTGGAGTGACTCGCAGAACGAGCACGAGTACCTATTTTGTTCGGTCAAATTAAGGTGTTAGCCTGAGTAACATATGGACCACCTTCCCCATTTGAAAGGTCATGGCCTGAGTCGACACCATTCCATGATTTTGATTTGCTTACCTGTCCAAACCAACAAGATCCTCGGCCTTGACAAACTCATTGAAGCAATCCATAAGGCTGTGGTTCTCCTTAATGTTCAGCATCAGCTCATAAAACGTGCAGTCCCTCACGGAGGACTTTTTGCATCTTTTGCAGGTGGTGATGTAGGAGTAGTGGCCCTGGAACTATCGCCGATAGGTAAGTATCGCTTATTGTCAGCAAAGGTATCATCTCTTCTTCTGCGCCACCTTTGAGCGAGTGGATCAATGATCGAGTCTACGAACCTGGTCCTTGATGAAAGACCTCAAATATGCATCTTCCTGGGATTGCAAGTGGCTGTCGATCAGCGCCATGAAGAGATTGCAGAACCTAAAGACCAGCATAAGGTAATCTGTCAATGTGAGCTCCACTGACTTGTTACTTGTAGTGATACCCAAGACGATGTTTTATGTGACTCCAGTCATATTGTCGATACCTACTCTTGCGCATCCTGTTGCATGTTGGTGTCCAGTTTGAGGGATGTCACAAGCGAGAGAGGGTTGTATGTGTTCTTGGTGCCGTAGTCGAGAAGAGCAAATAGATGCTGGAGCTGATACAGCGCATCCTGAGAGCGAGAAAGAATTGTTAATGATGATCAACGGCACACAATCCATCGAAAAGAATCGAGTCCATATCTCCCGCAGTATCCTTACCGAAGATTTGTCAGCATCGGTCCTGAAGCGAGATCGACATATAGCATCGCGGAAGGGCAGGTCGTGGAACCAGACTTGGAGGAGCGAGTTTGCGTAGCAAGTTGCTCCGAGGTTCTAACCCGTTTAAAATATTGGTTTTGGTCAGTGAAACGTCCATATAATTTCGTCCGACGCGTTGTGCTTTGCTCAAGTTGTACCTTCATCCCTGCTGGACAGTCTGGGTTCCGCTTGGACAATTCTGGATCCGTCTTTCTGCTGAAAGTCGCATGGTACTTGTCGAATGCATCTGTGTAAACAAGAGAGTATTTGACGTCGTAAGTACAGACTCTCGCCCATAGGTACCTTCACGCTGTGAAATGGCAAGCAACAACGTTGCCGCTGGTGAGTGTGCCTACCTTCTTTCTCCCACTGTTCTTGCCCCATGTAGTTCAAGCAGTGAGGGTTCCCATCTTTGCATCGGGCAGCTGTGCAGGTACTCCCGGTCCTCCCTTTGGACACCATAGGAGATCCTGAAGGGTTGCTCTTGTATCGGTTGCCGCAATAGGGATATGCGCTCCCGATCTTCTTTCCCGTAAGTTTAGTAGTCGCGGATGAGCCATTCTCTTCAGTCTCTCTAAGTGGTCCCAGCCCGTAGATAGCCCGGATATGGTCCATGGTCAGATCGTCCACGTCCCTGACTTCGTCCTCGATAAACTGCCACTGCTTGTCCTTCTTTGTAATCGGAGGCATGGCGGAAATGATCTTCTCGGATGGTGACAATAGTTCCAGCTTCTGACTCGAATGACGTCAAGGAGTGAGGGCGGCTGTTGAATGGCGATGAAGGAATGAAGAAGAGCTTTAGGGAAGAGACGTGTTCAAGTGCATGCTCCACACATGAGCCTTTTGTTCTGGGAAATTTCGCCCGTGACTCGCAATAGGGCGCTCATATGAAAGTCCAAGTGAGCCAACCAACCTCGAATTCATCATCTCTCTTTTACTTCCTTACCCATCCTCACACCTCGCCGCGCCGGATACCCATCTCTCATCGCGCCGTTCGATTCTCTCATGGAAAACTACGTGGGTCTCGCCGGATGGGCGTTTCTCCCTTCCTTCGTCACAAACGTCATTCAGAGCATCTGGTATGCCATCAAGTATCCCGTCAACTCGGCTGCCAAACCAGCCGCCAATACCCCAAAGTACCGCCGACACTACAACCGCATCTACTGTGGCGTGGTCCTTGCTTACCTCGCATACACGATCGCCGAAGTCGATAGGGCCCTGCCCACCAACGCCTATGAATACCTCGACCTTGGCTTTCACACCTTTTCGCAAAAGCAGCTTAGGACCAACTTCAGGAAAGCGTCCCTGCTCTATCACCCCGACAAGGTTGGACAAGTCGGTCAAGGTAACGTTGCTTGACCTCGACGTGTTGTGGATGGGACCTCATCTCTACTTGCTATTCAGGATTTTGACTGACCGCGATATACCTTCAACCATTGTAGACACGTTTGTCAGGATCCGAGCTGCACACGAGATTCTAAGCGACCCTGTCCTGAAAATCGCATATGACCGCTTCGGACCCGAGGTGGTCATTTGCTCGACTTGCAAAACCAACAGGGACTTTGTCAACTACGGTCTCACTTCCTATTACCCCTTCTACTTTGGCTCTGGACTTGTCCTCACCCTGATGAGTGTGGTCGGAAAGGGCCAATTTGGGCGTTACTGGCGATTTGTTGTGCTCTTCAGCATGGCAGCACTGGAGCTGATCATGGTGACGCGTCCGGAGCCCCACTGGATACTATCCTGGATCATGCCCAACCGTGTCACGTTTGAGCAAGTCATTATCCTTCACCAGATCTTTGTGTCAAGCTTCATCGCCATCTCACAAATTGGACCCATCTTGGTTCCTTCCAAGGAGCAGGAAAAGAGCAACACCAAGGAGTTGATTGACCGTCTTGAACTCCTTACCGCTATTTCGAGTAAGTTTTCTTGCTGCTTCGTCATGGAGAGAATGATAGTCTCAATTAAGTGCATGTGCAAGATATGGCCACTCATTAGAGATTTCTTATTATTTTATGTTGAATGTAGACGCCGAGTCGATTGGTCAGCTGCAGAGCGTGTTTGATGTGTTTAGGGGCGACGAGGAGTGTATGACCCAGCTGAAGCGCCAGATGGGCATGATGGCTCTTGACTCTCGCTTAACGCAGGACCAGCTGCTGAACGAGACCCGGAACGCTGTTCAGCGCCGACTCTGGCAGCGCAAGACCGCGTAGAGACGCATCATGAACTAAATAAATGAAGTCTGTTGTGCGGACTGTCTTTTGCTGAGCATGTTTTCTCCTCTTCATTTTTTTTTCTTCTCTTGTGTTGTTTGGTTCAGCAACGAATCAATCCCCCTTCGCCCAACTCGCATTCATTCTCTTCACCCAACTGAACATGGCAACCATGGATCCCGTCGCCCTCCCTCTCTTTCAACAACGGACTCTCACACCTCCCTCTACCGCCACATTGCCTCCAGGCCCAGGGAGACTGAATGCATCACTCCTCTCACCCCTTTCTACATCCTCAAGCGACCGATCACCTAAATCTTTCTTACCTCGCACAGCCCTCCGCAACTCGCCCGATCACAGCACTAACTTCCAGCAGCTCCTTTTCCTCCGAGAATGCTTCCACAAGAACGAGTTTTGGGATGAAGTCGCTATCCTCGACAGAATGCACTACAAGAACAAGAATCAACACAGACAAGCAGGATACTTTCAGCGCCTCAGCGAAGTATGACGCCTAAACATACTTCGAGTCTTGTAGTTTGTGCTTACAGCTCTCCGCTATCGATTTCTCACCCATTGTTTTGTTGCACGTTCATAGTGTCGGCGCATTGTGGCTCGTATCAGGGAACTCAATGTAACCGGACTGATTGACGAATTTGTACAAAAGTTTTACTCTGGCAGAAGGTAACTGCGACTCACCAGCTGTGATATATATGCAATGTCCCTTTTGTGGTTAGGCATCTGACAGCATGTAACTAATACACATGTCATGTCATTGTAGTTTGAAGTCGCTAACGTCAAAGAGTCAATGGGACTCTATACCATATCGGTCAGCAGTAGCCTTCACGATGACTCGAATCATTGGAGGAGTACTCTTGTTACGGAAACTCCAGTCTGTGCTTTACGAAACATACGGGTAACGTTGAAACCAAGGCTAAGAAGATATGATCTTTTCCGTACCTTTCATAGGAGTGACTAATCTGTAGTATGTTGCCGCGTGATAGGGCGTTCTATCAACTCATGTCCAAGACACAGTTCATGGCGTTTGCGTTGATTGCGATCGGACTCTGCAGTAGACTGTCGCTCCTCTCGAAAGCATGGGCAAAGGAGTACGTGGACTGTTACAGACTTCTGGAGACATGGATGAAAACATTCCCCAAGGAGGAGACGCTTGTAGGGGAGGTAGACTATGAGAGGCAACTTCCGGAATCAATTGACAGCGTACTTGTGGCCAGCTCACCCGACATCCCAGATACCCAACCGCCATCGACACCACTGTACCAGTCAATCGATCAATCGCCAGCACCACCTACGCTGGCAGCTGCAGCATCGGATCTGGGCGAAGTCATTCAACGGAGGGAATTACTGCCCTCGGCGCTGGCGGCAGATTCGACATTAACTTCGAGCCCCTCACCCAGATCATCCTCAACACGGAAACACAAACTGTCGAGCCGATCTCCGAGTCTGGAACCTGAGCGTATTCAGGATCGACAGGTCACGCTCGAAGCTTCGGATCCACATAGCAATCTCCTGGACGAGCTCGACACTATTTTCGGGTCAAAGTCGTCAACGGCAGCCAGTAGCCCTAGCAACACAAAGAAGCAGGAAAAGGAGGTGCTACCTGACCTGGACGACATCTTCAAAAGCAAGAAAAAACAAAAGTCAAAGGACAGGAAACCAGCAGGGTCAGGAACAGGGGTCTCCAACAGTTCGTCGCTAATGTCGTCTGCTCCATCAACACCAGGATCAGGGTTCAGAACAATGGGCAAGGCCAGTACGGGATCCAAGAGCAATTTTGACTCGATCTTTGATTTTGAGCGGGGGTCTTCGTCTTTGTCAGCCAGCATAGGAGGATCTGTATCGATGCCCGCGTCGCCGTTGTCTGACACCAAAAGCAACAATCTGAGCAAGGTGCGCAAGGACAAGAAGGGCAAGAAGGAGATTGACGATATATTTGGATCGATCAAGAAGCCCAAGAAGAAGGCGACTGTGTCTGAGATAGACAGCATCTTTGGCCCCCCCAAGAAGAAGAAGAAGACTCCCTAGTGTGTTCGACACCATGCTTTTTTTTCTTTCGAATAAAATAGTTGGGCGGTGCAGACTTCACACGTGATACACCCTTCCTCGCCATTCACCAGTCGCAAGCAAACCCTGTCTTGCCCTGTCTTGCCCTGTGTTCCCCTCACACACTCCACTCCACTCTCTCTCTCTCTCTCTCCCACTCCTCTTCCCTTCCCCTTCCCCCTTTTCCCTCGCTAACCCTTTACCTTTCTTTGCCATTGTTGTTCCATCCGTTTCTTTTCTATTCCTTGTTGACTCATTCCACACCCATTGCCCTTTCCCACCACCGTCGCGCCACTCCTTCGGCTGTGACCTTTCTTTTTTCCTTCTCACCACCGCAGCAAACAAAAGGGCGCGTCCACCAACGCCCTCACTCTTTCTCTCACCTTCCACCCTTTTCACTTTTCTTTTTTCCGTCAATACTCTTTTGCCGCAGCATACACGCATAAAAGACACCTTTTACACTTCACCTTCCCCCCCACCCAGCAACAACGACACAAACCCCTACTCCTCCTTATACCCCAACAAACTTCAACTCAATGGTAAGTCGATATGTGAAAGCGACAAGCGCACCTCTTCAAGACCTGTGTTAAGAGAAACAATGGCTAACTTTGTGTACACTGTTAACACTGAACTATGATAGGAACAACCAACAGCAGGTCTATTGACAGGGCCTCAAGGAACCCAAACCACACTTATAGAAGCACCTCAACAACCACCACCAGTCGTCGTCGTCGACGGCCAGGAAACCGTCGCCTCACTGGCACCAGCAGTGGAGACACCGACAGAGGCAGTCGTAGCTACGCCACCGCCTCAGGAAGTCAACCCGACCGAGGCAGCCGTAGCTACGATACCGCCTCTGGAGGCCAACCCAACCGTGCAAACAGACCTTACAGTCGAAGTGCCTACCCAACAATCACAGCCTGGGCCCCCTGAAGAACTAACAAACGAAGCACAACAGGTGAACGAACTAGTCGCTCCTACCAACGGCAATACACAGGAAAACGTACCTGGCGAACAGCAAGAGCAGTCACAAGTGGACGGAGCAGATGCAGTGAATGTTGCCCCAGCTTTGCCCGTTGAGCAGGAAGTAGCCGCGGATCAGGAGCAGGCAGTTCAACCCGTGGAGAACGTCGTTCAGGAAGCAGCAGTTGATGGCGCACCAGCGGAAGAGGCTGTGGTCGTGGATGCAGCTGTGGTCATTGCTGCTGGGGACGAAGCACCTGCAGCTGATGCTCCGGCCGTCGACGCCCTTGCAGTTGAAGCACATGCTGCCAATGAACCCGCCGCAAACCCAGACGCTGTAGAGGTGCCAGCAGCAGACGTTGCAGAGGTACCGGTAGGAGATGCTGTGGAGGTGCCAGCAGGTGAGGCTGTAGAGGTGCCAGCAGGAGACGCTGTAGAGGCGCCAGCAGCAGACGCTCCCGCAGATGGAGAGGCAGCTGAGGCAGCTGACGATGCAGAGTCAGACGATGATGACGACGATGATGCCGCAGAAGCAACGCCCGAGGTCTTTCACCGCTGTGACGATGGTATGCCACCTTTTATAATGTTTGGGGTTATGAAACATCCACCTTCTTGTATCTGGGGTGCTAATGGTATTCAATTTGCTTCTTCAATGCATCGTAGCTGAGTGGATGACTCGGAAGCACATTCCTCTGAAAGGAGAGCTGGAAGAACGGACGTGTGTATACCACGAATGGCGTATTGACGACTGGGCTGGCCTGGAAAGACGAACTACTAGCCCCGAATTCGTCATTGGAGGGTACAGATGGTAGGTGCACTTGGTTAGGTTTTCCTTTGCAGTCGTTCATCTGTTTTTTGTTTTGGAAATGTAACCTCAGGTCGCTAAATAAATTGCTCCGCAATCTTGTGTCCCTGTAGGCGACTTCTTGTTTTCCCTCGAGGCAATAATACGACCGATCAAGTTGCTGTCTACCTCGACTCCGCTGAGCCTCAGGGAGACGACAGCTGGCATGTGTGTGCTCAGTTCGCGCTTATAATTTCTAGCCCCGATGACCCCACTGTTCATTTCACCAACTGTAAGTTCGGCTAAGCCTCTGTCACTTGTTTGACTCGCTGGTGTCGTCCATCGATTCGTTCGGAGAGCACCCGTAAGCTAATGTATTGTTATAAATTCTTTACCAGCTTCACATCACCGGTTCAACAACGACGAGTCCGACTGGGGCTTTACCAAGTTCTTCGCTATCGCGGATCTGGAACGCGCTCGGGATTCCCGCGGTATTTCCATTCTCAACAATAACCGACTCGTCATCTCGACATATGTCCGTGTCTACAAGGATCCTACGGGTCTGCTGTGGCAAGAGTCAAATGGATACGACTCCAAGGCATCGACGGGCTTTGTTGGATTAGAGAATCAAGGCGCTACCTGTTACATGAATTCGATGCTGCAGTCGCTTTACTTTACCAACTACTTCCGCAAGGCGGTGTACGACATTGCCACGGACGAGGAAGAGCCCTCACAATCTGTGGCGCTTGCTCTGCAGCACGTCTTCTACCAACTGTCGATCAGCTCGAAGGCAGTGTCGACAAAGGACTTGACACAGTCGTTCGGATGGGATGAGGTCGAGAGCTTCCGACAGCACGATGTCCAAGAGTTCAATCGTGTCCTTCAGGAAAGCTTGGAGCAGAAGATGAGGGTAAGAAACGCTTTGTAATATAGTTCGAGTTGGTGGCGTGTTTTGCGAAGACACCTTGTATGTTAAATATTCGCTTCTATGGGTTTCGTTTCTAGGGGACCAAAGCTGAAGGGGCGATTCAGTATCTCTTTGGTGGAAAAACCAAGAGTTTCGTCAAGTGTCTAAACGTCGAATACGAGTCATCTCTCACTGAGACCTTCTGCGGTAAATGTCAAATAGAGCTTAACAACTTCGAGGAAGGAAGTCCATAGGAAAACTTCTAACATTCGATATTTGACCATCATTTAGATATCCAATTGAACGTCAAGGGTTGTGCAACTCTTAGAGACTCTTTCGTCGACTACGTGAAAGTGGAGACACTGGATGGCGACAACCAATACTATGCCGAGGGTCATGGTCTCCAGGATGCGAAAAAAGGCGTAACATTTGAGTCCCTTCCTCCAGTGCTCCATTTACATTTGAAGCGCTTCGAGTACTCTCCTGAGCGACAGGCAATGGTCAAGATTAACGACAGACACGAGTACCCCGAGAAGATTGATCTGGCAGAGTTTGTCGCCGATGGGGAGCAAAAGGAGAAATTGGGTGAGGATGGGTACAAATACTCTATCTATGGGTAAGGTTTTGATTTAAATTAATATGAAGCTTCATTTAAGGAATGCCATTGCCTTGCAGCAAGTCGTCTTAACTAACCTCCTACGTGCCTCTTGATCATACAGAGTTCTTGTTCATTCGGGCGTCATGAACAGGGGACACTATTTTGCGCTCTTGAAGCCCCAGGCAGATGGCAACTGGTATCGCTTCAACGACGACACTGTTACCCAAGGAACTCTCGCCGATGTTCTGGAAGACAATTACGGCAGCGGTGATCCTGAGGAGGACACTGAGGCTATGGCTCTTCCTTTACGACAGGCAAAGAGGCAAAAGCGTGTGACAAACGCGTACATGTTGATCTACATCCGAGACTCTGCCGTTGAGGAGGTTCTGAAACCCGTGACAGCAGAAGAGGTCCCCGAGAAGATTCTCAAGCAACTGGAAGAGGAACGCAAAACTCAGGAGGCCGAGAAGAAAGCCAAGGAGGAGGCTTTGCTTTGCTTTGATGCGCGTGTTGTCTCGGACAACGACTTTAGGGCGCACAATGGATTTGATCTGTACAACACCACTTCAGAAACAACAGGCAAGGCGCTCAGAGTCAAGAAGAAGGACACCTATGCATCTTTTAAGCGCACTCTTGCTGAAGACCACGGGATTCCCGAGGACCAGTTGCGGGTCTGGACGCTAGTGAAGCGACAGAACGACACCTTCAGGACAGACGTCCCCATCCCCGACACCGAGGCCATGACCCGTAAGTGAATGTGTTTTTGAAGTCAGGCAAGGTGGCACATCACGTTTCCGCTCCACTGGTAACATGTTTAATATAGACTAACAAGTGAATTCTACCTTCGTGAAATAGCAATGGAGGCAGTGCGGGAAAAGTACGGGACCCGAACTGCGACGGACTTGAAGTGCTACCTGGAGATCCCTGAGAGACCGATCAAGGCCAACAATGGACGAACGTCGTGGTTCCAGAACGAGACCTACAACGGCAACATCATGATCTTTGTCAAGTTTTATGACCCTTTCACGACGACGACCATGCGGTAAGTTCCTTGTCTGCCGTGTCCCTGTCTAACTAATCGATACTGTTTAGCAGCAACTGACCTTCTTCCATTTTGCAACTGTTAGGGGTCTTGGCAAGCTGTACGTCCACAAGCAGACGGTGGTGGGCGATATAGTCGGTCGTTTAAACGAGATGAAGGGATTCCCCGCACACACATCCCTGAAACTGTTTGAGGTAAGAATTGCACGCATCGCCTTTGCCCCGCATATGTTGTGTATATGTCGCCTTTCATAATGTCCAGGCATTAACATATGCTTGTTGCTGTCACTCCACTTACGTTTAGGAAATTAAACCTTCCATGATTGAGCCAATGAAGGTCAAGCTGACGTTCCACCAGTGCGAGATCCAAGGCGGCGACATCATCGTCTTCCAGAAGGAGCTGACCCAGAAGGAGTAAGTGCAATTGGTTGTAGGCATTATATCTCGTTGTTTGATGGACTCGCCCCTGACGAAATCATGTCGTTCTAACTATCATTCAATTTGAACTTCCATCACCTCCTTCGTTCATTCCTTAGGACCGAAGAACTTGAGCAGCGAAAACTCCGGGGGACCGTGCCGCAGTACTTTGATTACATTCACAACCGTCTCATGGTCGAATTTACGCCCAAGACGGAGAATGATGCACATCTGCCCACATTCCTGGTTGAGCTCTCTAAGAAGAATACCTACGACGAGATCGCCGCTGTAGCATCTGCGAAGCTAGAGATCGACCCTCTGTTTGTCCAGTTCACCTCGTCCTCTGTGGGCGGCGTTCCTAAGAAGGTGATTCTCAAGGACACGAAGCTGTCGCTGGAGGAAATTCTTTCTCCAGGATATGTTCAAGGAAACGAGAAGACGACATTGTTTTACCAGAAGCTGGACATGAGTATTGTCGAGCTAGAGACTAAGCGAATGTTCAAGGTGATCTGGCTAAGTCCTACCCTGAAGAAGGAGGTACGTTGTTGCATTCCAGCATTGCGCGTTGCGTGTGTGACAGGTCATTTTGGTGTTGCTCACTATTTTGGGGTTGTGTCATTAATGTTATGTCCTTTTTATTTTACAATAGTCGACACATGAGATGCTTTTGCCTAAGGCTGGAAGTATCGCTGAGGTTATCGAAGAACTTGAGAAACGCGTGGCGCTGAGCCCCGAGGGCACTGGCAAGATCCGAATGTTCTCATTGTACGAGTCCAAGATCCAAAATGAGTTTGATCGTGACGACCCCAAAAGCGACCACGACGACCAGAACGAGTTGTTTGCGGAGGAAATCCCCAAGGAGGAGGCTGACAAAGCTGAGAACGACAAGCTGATGAACTGCTTCCATTTCTCGGGAGAATGCACCAAGCAATACGGGATCCCTTTCAAAATTGTGGTCAAGGAGGGAGAGCTGTTCTCGGAGACCAAGGTTCGGATCCGGGCACGTCTTGGAATGGAGGAGGAGGAGTTCGAGAAGGTCAAGTTTGTCATCTATGACAGCAGCGACCAGATCACACCCGTCAAGCATGGTAAGTGTTATTCAGCCATACGTGTTTGTAAAGATGCTTGCCTTCACAGGGATTATTACTGACTGCATTACTTTTTTTTCCTACGCAATTTTCTCGTTATAGACGATAAGCTGTCGGAGGCGACCACCCTTGACAACGAGTCGTTGGGACTTGATCACGCCGAAAAGAAGGAAAAGCTCAAGCCTCAACCCGCAAATCCTGAGGCGGAGGCTCCCATCACCATTAGCGGATAGCCGCCGCAACAGCATGTACAGACACACCCAAAGCAAAATAAAACATTAGGTACTTTGCAGAGACAAACCCTTTATGAACTACGGAGAATGGTATTAGTAGAAGAAATACGAGAGGCATGTGCGTGTTGAAGGCAAGAAAAAGGGAGGAGGAGAGTTTTGCTTGGCACACTAACTCTTCGGCCGTCAAGGATTCTGCAGGACCATACGTTAACAATGCGAGAAAAGAGAGTTACTTTAATAGGGTACCAGGAACCAGGTACCGGGTTTGCAACTTTTTTTGTTGTTGTTGTTGTTGTTGTTTTTAATACATATTTGTAACTTGAATTCTGGTTAGAAGAAGGTATGAGGTATGTGGGTTTTGTGTGGTGCGAGTTTAAGAACCATGGTATTCTTTGTAAAAGTTGCTGGTCTTAGTAAGGCACAGGGGGTTCATTGGAATCGCTTTTGCAAAGAAAAACATACAACGGTTGACCAGCTCTCAATCGACCCTGACGTTGTTTTGTGCTAGGAATCCATTTCTCACATTGTTTAGTGTTCACGTTTTTTTGGGGGGGTTTTCCATTCTGCTGTTGATGTTTTCTTGTTGATGTTCAGAACACACTTTTTTGTCCAGTCATACACACATTTGCGTCATGTTTTATTGGCGAAATGAATACCATTTTCCCTTGTTGATCGTTTGACGACCTCTTTCTTTTTCTTCCTCTCCTCCAACAAAACTGTACATGTCTATGCTACTGAACACATCCTGCCATTCTGTTTTCGCCCACCTTGGTCGTCCACGGCCCTTCTCCTCCTCGCTAGCGTACGGTACGTGTCTGTGTTCCTAAAAATGTCTGACGCGACGCGACGCGAAAAGCGCGCGTCTTTTAAATAAAGACTACCCAATCGATCTGCGCTATGTTAGATACACATCGAGTGGTTTGGTTATGAGCTATGCTTGATTCAGATAATTTTGCGTGTAGAACGACTCACTCCTGTAGTAGGGGTCAGACAAAAAAAACCAAAATAGCGCAGGAGAGAAGAGGGACGCAAAGGATTAACTCCTTCACAGCTGTGTTTTCCCCCTGACATTATGTTACACTTTGAAAACGAACGGAGTCATCCAACTGCTACTACTCGCATGCACTCCATGTTGCTCCCTTTCCTGTCAAAGTTCTGTCTGCCCTCCTAATGCATCAATATCTCCAGTAAGCCGAAATAAACAAGGACGCGTCTCTTGGTAGCCTGGAGGTGCGACACGTGCGTCAAGGACCTTCTTTAACTAGGGACGGAAAGCTGGGCTGGAAAGGGAAACAAGGAGGTGCAATGGGAAGTGCCGGGCATCTTTGCTTTTTTATTTTGTTGTGTCTCTTTCCTGTCGATACTAGACGGAAGGGCGATGGGAGAAAGTGAAGGGGGTTAGGGGGGAGAGGTAGCGAAAAATATAGGAGAGGGGATAAGCCATTTATTATTTTGCTGGATGGCGATTCGTGCATTCTGGTTGGCTGGCTGGCTGGCTGGATGGATGGATGGTATGGCAGTGAAGAGTGGGCGTAAAGAATGGATCCGACCTGGCTGTTCAATTGCTTTTTTGTTATCTCTCGTCCTTTTGTTTTTCACGTTCCTTTCTTTTTTGCCCTTCTCGCTCAATCAATCTCTTTGCGCATTGCCCACTTTTCTTTTCCTGCCTTTGTAAGAACTCCTGTACCACCATCATACCACCTAATCCTTAATTCAACAGCACACACAACAAAACAATGAAGAGAGCAACAACAAGAAGATCGCCACCTCGGATATCCCTCCGCACAATCCTAATCACCCTCGCCCTCCTCATAACTCTCTTCATCATCCCCGCCTACGCCCAAGACGAAGACGATGACTCTTCCTCTTCCTCTTCCTCCGACGACAACCCAACCCCTGCACCTTCTCTGCCAGCACAACCATCACCTTCTCCCGACACCCAACTCTCCCCAACCTCCACCAACACAGCACCGTCACCATCACCCAAGAAAACAGAACCACCCATAACCCTCCCCTCAGTCCTCTATATCCCACCCGAACCCTTCAACATCAACAACGGCGCCCTTGAACCAATATTCCCCTCTGGCTCCGAATCCTGTCAGAAATGCAAATACTTTTATCCAAAGCTCAAAGTATGTAACCAGATCGCCAGCCAGACCCTTGCACTCCTCCCACGGCTCGTCCCAACCGGCAATGAAACTACAACCCTCGTCTACCCCAACTCTACCACTACTACCACCACCACCACCAATGGCACGGACGTAGCAGGAGCAACGCCTACAGGTCCACCATCAACATTCACGACGCTGATGCCGTTCTTGCAATGTATCTGTCCAAATCAAGGTCTGGCTGCGACAAAGGTCTGTATGACCTGTTTCCGGGTCTCGAACCAACGTAACTTCTTGAACCAGTTGGCCTTGCAGAATGTGAGTAGCTCGCTTTCGTCATTCCAGGAGGCTTGTCTGGACTCAAATGATGGGACTGTGGTCCCACCTGCCGGGAAAAAAGGTCAAAGCGCCAGCTCTGCGAGGAAGAGGATGGTGCTGTCTTCTTGGACGGAGGGGTTCTGCATGATCGTTGTCTTGAGCGTCGTTGTTGTCCATCTAGTTTAAATTTCCTTTTCTCTCCTTTGTTTTCGTTGTTGCGCTTGCCATGACCCAATCGGCATTCCACGGACAGCAGAACACTCCTTCTCATCTTACATAAAGCACACTCCACTTCGCATAATATTTAACACTGCAAATACAAAAACAACAAAAAAGAGAAAGGAAAGGGTTATGTATTATGTACATTTTTTTGTAATTTATTTGCTGAGCATGCTAGAGTACAAAACAAAGAGGGGGGGATACCATGCCAGGTCCTTCTACTTTTTTTTCTCCTCAATGTTGGTTGGCGGGAGTGTGTGGTGAATATGTTAACGAATCCTGATCCAGCAGATCCAAAATTTACAGCTTGGACTTGGCAGGGGCGTTCTTCAAGGCCTCACCCTGAAGCTCGACAGCGGCGTTGGAGATGACAATGGCATCACGCTCGACGGCACGCACCTGGAAGAGGACCTTGTTGCCCTCGCGCCACATGGAGGTCTCGAGGGTCTCGCCGGGGTTGACAGTCTTGGCGAAGCGGACCTTGATGTTCTTGAACTGGGTGGCGTCGTTGCTGCAGTAGGTGTTGAAGATGTGCTTACCAGCAACACCGAACGAGCAGAGACCGTGGAGGATTGGGACATCGAAACCACCGATGGCAGCCATATCGGGGTCGATGTGGAGGGGGTTCCAGTCACCCGAGAGACGGTAGAGAGCAGCCTGGTCCTCGGAGGTCTTCTCCTGCACAACAAAGTCGGGCTTGCGGGCGGGGATCTGGTTGTTAGCGGTGGCGGCACCACGGTCAGTTCCGTCCTTCTTGCCTCCGAAGCCACCAGAGCCACGGATGAACATGGTGAACTCGTTGATGCAGATATCGTTGCCCTCCTCGTCGGTGGTCTTGACTCCGATGGTGACGACGCAGCCCTTGCCCTTGTCGAGGATGTCGACGATGTAGGGAGTCGAGGTCAACTTGCCGCTGGTGGGGAAGGGGCGGATGATCTCGAGGTACTGCTCACCGTGGAGGAGCATCATGGGGTTGAACGAGGGGAGAATATCGCCGAAGGGAACGGCGTTCATGGCGGTGAAGGAGGGGACGACACCGAAGGTGGGGACGGCGCCAAAGGCCTCGTTGTTCTCGTAGACGAGGTGGAGATCAGTGCGCTTAGCACCGATACCGAGGTTGTAGAGGATGACGTCGCGCTCAGAGTACTCAAAGACCTCCGAGGCGAACTCGAGCGACTTGGCGGCCTCAACATCGACCTTGCCGTCAGCGGAGACGACGGTGGGGCGTTCACCAGAAGCCTCAGCGACGTTCTCAAAGTTGGCCATGATGCCCTCCATGGACTCGGCGGTGTTGGTGGGGTGGGTGGCGCGGCCGTCCTCAAAGTCGGTGATCTTGGCCCACTCCTCGGAGATGTGCTCGGGCAGGAGGGTCTTATCGATGGGGAAGCCGTGGCCTCCGGTACGCTCCCAGCGGAGCTTACCGACGAAACCGGCACCGACCTCGAAGATGGAGCCGCTCTCGGTGGTGTCCTCGTGACAGAGGTACTCGACCAAGGGAGTGACCATCTCGGGCTTCAAGGAGGCGAGCATGTCGGGGGGGAGAATGGTCTCGGTCATGCGAGAGGCAGCCATGGGGGCGATGACGTTGCAGTGAATGTTGTCCCTCTTTCCCTCGAGAGCCAAGGTCTGGGTCAAACCGACCAAAGCGAGCTTGGCAGCGGAGTAGTTAGCCTGACCTGTTGGTTGAATATGATGAATGAAAGGTGGCTCTGTTAGTCTTTGTTTCCTCGTCGTCTCTCCTGAAGGTATCAATTGCAATTGCCAGTGGCATTAAAAGAGGAGGGATGTCGATCGTTGACTTACCAAAGTTTCCGTAGAGACCGGCAGCAGAGGCTGTAATGCGCAAGTGCAAAAAGAGGGGACAGGGAAAAGGAGCGTTGGTGAGTGAGAGCAATCATGTGAGAGGAAAATCTAATGCGTTTCATGCGGGAATCCTTCTCCAATCCAGTCGAGTCCTGTCTCTTTGTCCCATGTTGGTTGTTGGTGCTGACACACTGCAATCGTCACTCTTGTTTCTCCCACACTCCTTGCTTCTTGCTACTCTTGCTGCTGTTGTTGCCATCGTTGCTGGTGTTGCTGATGCTGTCATAGCTGTTGCTATTGTTACCGTTGCGTGAGAGTTTGCTGTCCTGCCTCTTCCTTGTCCCCTTCATTCTCTTTCACACTCCCCGTCACTTTCCCGTTCACAGAACAAATAAAACAAAGCAAAAACGCAAGAGGGCTTACTGGTGTTGATGATACGACCAAACTTCTGCTTGCGGAAGATGGGCCAGGCAGCCTTAAGGACCTTGTAGGCACCTTCAACGTGGACCTGGAAGATCAAGTTCCACTGCTGATCAGTCATACGGGCAAAGGAAACATCCTTCAAGATACCAGCGTTGTTGATGACAATATCAACGCGACCGAAGGCCTTCATGGCGGTCTCGACAATCTTCTCACCATCGAGGACAGAGTCGTAGTTGGCGACGGCCTTTCCACCGGCGGCACGGATCTCCTCGACGACAACATCGGCAGCACGGTTCGAGGCTCCCTCACCAGTGGTGGAACCGCCAAGATCGTTGACGACAACCGAGGCACCGCGGGCACCGAAAGCCAAAGCGTGGGAGCGTCCGAGTCCACCACCGGCACCGGTGACGATGACGACACGGCCGTCGAAGCGGAGGTTGCTGTTGTCTGCCATTATGATTTAGTTGATGTTATAGGAATGAAAAAGAGGAATGGGAATGGGGAGAGGAGGGAGGAGTGTGATGAGAAGAAAAAGAAAAGGAAAAAGAACAGGAGTAAAGTCTCTTTAAGTATCGTGAAGTGATCAAGCGTGTGGAGTAGCATCATGACACGACACCCTATTGGATATAGGGGACCGGTCTTAGTTCGATCAGTTCGGTCCAGGGTGTGCCGTCTCTTTCTTCGATTCCCTTGTGAAAATCAAAAAAGAGAGTTACTACTGTAGGACAATCAAATACACTTTACCGCATTTCTTCCTTCTGTCTGTCATCCGATTCTTGCTTTGGCGTGTGTGTTACACCCTGCTGCTGCTCCTCTCCATTGGTGATGACACAACAACAATTGAACATACCTCCTCCTCTCGCCATCTCATCTCATATACTTCTTGGCTTGTTTTATATATCAACTGCCCCCTTCTCTTTCGTCATCTCTCCTCCAACCTCCTTCTCTTTTTCATTGTCCACGGATACACAAGCAAAAAATCCGGCGCCTTTCAATTGCCCACTTGCACTCGTCTTGTTCACTCCAGGCACGATGACAACGAAGAAAGAAGAGACAGGGCTATTTCATAAACCTTCTTGATCATCACTTTATGAGCACATCAAAATCATTCTGTTCAGTCCACTTCAATACAGCTTTCTTGCTCTCCTTTTCATCGTATCCGCTTCATTCCTTTTCGGACCCCACGCAAACTACCATTCATCTCGTTCGCTTCATGTCCCTTCTTCCTTGCCCTGTCCCCAGCCTGGATGTCATCCTCAATCGGATTCACGCATGTTTGCCAAGGATACGTTCCTCTCCATCCACTTCTCTCACAGCACAATAGCACTCCCCTGACAATCTCTCGACCCGATCAACGAGTAACCCAAAAAAACCTCAGCGCTAAAAAGAACAAAGATGAAAGCGTGTCCATGGATAAAATTTCTCCGCGTTCATGGCCCACATAAAAAAAAAAATAAAAAAAAAAAAGAGCCACGGAGCAAAAATTCCTAATTATCACGTGTCAGAGAGATTCGTTTTTCTCTTCTTCTCCCCCACCCTTGTGCCCGCTTTCCTCTTCAGGTCCCTGTCTTTCGCGTGTCATCTCCACGCCCACAACCTTCTCTCGCTCAGTGTTTTGTTTTTGCGGGGTCATGCTCTATTTCTCATTCAAGCAACCAATCAATTGAAGGACAAACACGAATATGAAAAATGTAAGGAACCGTTTTTTTTTTTTCATTCTTTCATGTTTTCTTTTGTTAGAATATTATTAGCGAATGATGCTGCATATGGGCAGAAAACTACAGGAGAAAGTAAATGGCTGGATGATGGTCGAATAAGAAGTATGAAAGGACTATGGTTTTTGTGAAGAATAGAAAGATTAACAAAAAAAAAAACAGGAAAAGGTATCGTATGCTGCTGTCAAGATGATCAGATGTACGGGGAGAGTATACTGGATGGAACATAGAAAGGAAGTGTGACAGGATAGCGAAATCAAACACAACTAGTTTTCGCATTCAACCTGCTTGACTCCCATCTTTATTCCTTGTATATCCAGCGGCGGTCAAGAGTCACGGCGAAATAAAGACGAGACTTGTTCAATCGTCATCAAAGCTGCCACGGCGCCATCCTGGAGGCGCGCCTCGTTGCACCTCAAAGCTTTTATTGTTGAGTCGCGTCTGCCCATGATTATCTTCGTCGTCACTATCCGGGTTCATCACTCTCAAATTTCTATTTCGCAAAAATAATAGAAAAGGTTATTAGTCGCTGCTCGCATGTAGCGAATGGTACATCCATTTCAACAAAAAAAAAAAAAAAAAGTCAAACAACGGGGGCATATCCATACGTGAGCTGGGGCAGGGAAGGCAGGGAGGACTGGATCATGCCGGTGTACTGGGGAAGAGGGGCCTCCATGTAAGAGTTGCGAGAATTCTCCTGGAACTTGTAGAGGTCCTCTTCTTCCTTTTGCCTGGCCATCTCGCGCCTCCTCCTGGCGTATACATATCCTGCGACCGACAAGGCGACAATCAACGCAATTGCCGAGACAACACTATTTCATTTGTGCAATGAAAGGACAAATCAGTTAGATATATGTAGCCTGGGTTGCCTTATGGGTAGTAGACATACGAAATGATAGTGCCCAGATTGCCCCATGAGCACAAGGTGAGAGAGTAGTACATACACTCCAGCGACAGCTCCTGAAGAGAGACCCGAATGGCTTGATCCTGATCCGCTGTTGTTTTCATCCGAGGGCGATGGCTCTGAGGTTGGTTGGGTTGACTGGGAGGGAGTGGTGGTGGTGGGCACAACTACTCCTCCAGGAAGAAAAGGGAAGGTCGGTTGGTTATAGTACACACAGAGGGCCTTGTATTCCGGCGAAGACATGACGGTGTAGTTTGCCGTTGAAGATGTTTGGCATTCCAAGCAAGCCGAGATCTAATCGTGTGCAAGTATACGGGTTTGATCAGTGTTGGTATCCATTGGTCGCCACCAAAATTAACAGTATTGGGTTCCTGATTAAAAGCCGTACCTGACTGTAAAAGTTTTGGTTGCATTGACAAACAGCTTCAGCCGCATTGTGAGGCCTGCACGGGAAAAAGTAGTTATCCAGAAATAAAAGCAAGTCTGGTCAGCATTCGTTCATAACTATCTCAATTTACAGCACCCCAGATCTGCTTGGACTATATCATTGTCGTCGTCCTTGTCGTTTGCGTGGTAGTGTCCTGCAAAAGGAAATCAAGATTGCTACACTTACTGGTAAACATATGGACTGGACCAAGTGTCAATGTTGAGAGCAGTACCACATGGCTTCAGGATGCTATTAGCGACGTCACATTGGGGACACGACACTACTGCGCCTTGACACAGCGTCGCAATCGCCGCGACTACTGCTGCAGCAAACTGCCATTTCCTCATTGACAATCCCATTAGAGCTGGTGTATGTGTATCTTTATCCTGCTGGTTGACCGATGGTTATCTATCACACATAGAAAATGAAAGTAAAGTGCTGTGAGTGGGTGATTAAGTTACCACGAGTGTCACGACGTGGTTGCTGCTGTTGTTGTTGTCGGTACTGTTGTTATGTCATCGTTTGAGTGCTCCTCTTCTCCTGTTTGTTTGCGCCTTTGGTTTGTGTATCCAACGTGTAAGGAGATAAAAAAAAACTCGTCCTGTGTCGGTACAAAGTGTGCGAGTTTATAAAGATGGAGATGAGCCGGTTAAGGTGAGAGCCCTCTGCCATTTATGAGCGAGTAAATTTTCTATCGCCTTGCTTGCGTTTATATCCAGCCAACACATATTTTGCCTCCTTGAGTGGTTGAAACCGAACCACTTCATCCTGTCCCGAGTTTCGCACAAAAGGCGTCAAGTCCATCCATCTGCCCCCTCTGGATAAACCCAACCAACCAAACAAGGAACAGAAGGCCCGAGTTGCCAAAATAATGTTTGCACTATTTCGATTGAGTGTGTGCCTGAATTGCCCCATGCATGGCATACAATGGTCAAAACCCTCGTTGGGGAGAGACTCCTGCCACAACAGGTGAGAAGTTTTGGCGTAAAAAGAGGCAGTAGGTAGGGAGTGGTTTTTTTTCTACCCCCGTCGGGTCCGCCAGCTCATAATCCATTGATATCTCACTTCCTCTTACAGTCTCTCACATACATCCATACACTCTTCTCTTTCCTTTTTTCGAGAGCTTTTTGAGCAAAGACGAATTGTTAATATTGCAATATTCATCCGATAGCTGGATAACAGACTTTTGTCGGGCGAAACACACCCAAAAAGAAAGAGAAAGGTAGTAAAGAGAGCAGTGGTGAGCTGGTTTGAGAGAGGAGAGGGATGGGGCGAATGAGGAGGGAACGAAGGGGGGTAGGCGTTGCATTAAAACAACACAAGATTGAATCCTTGGTTGTATGGTGATGGTGGTAGTTGTAGTTATCGTTGCTGTTGTGTTGCAATGCTGAATGGTAGATGGAGTGCCGATGTGATGTTGAAAAAAAGGGAGACTAACGGCGTTGAACGGGTATGTGCCTGAATGTGGAAGGGAGGGGAAGAGAGAATGGTTACTTACAAGTTGAAGGGGGGTAAGAAGAGCGTTGGTTATTGTTGATGGAGAAAGGAGAGAGAGAGGGAAGGGAAGGGAACGGAAGGGAAGGGAGGATGAGTGAATGAAGTGATGAGGCGTGAAGAAATAAGGATAAGACAAAGAAGGGAGTCGGAGGGAAGGAGAGGGGAGGGTGTGAGTCTGAGAATAATAATAAAAAATGATAGGAATGGGAGTGAAGGGAGGGAGGGTTGATACTAAAAGGCAAGAAGAAGAAGAGAAAGAAGAAAGCAAGAAGGCGAATGGACAAGGGAACAAAGGGAACAAAAACAAAAAAGGACCATGGAGAGAGGGCTTATGGTTAACGGAAGAGGCGGGCGGGTGTGTTTATACGAGGTCGATTGGAGTCGGTTCACTTGACCACTGTCTCATTGAGTACATTAGACAGGCAGGTAGACAGCACCATCGGACAGGAAATGCGCACAAGGAAAAGAGAAGGGGCACCGTGACCATCTGGCCACTTGCTTCTTGCACTTGACTAGACCCTACGTTCAAGAAAAAAAAGATACCCTCACCGTCAATAGAATCGTATCGTATCTCTTTTGTTGATTGTGTATTTTTCTCTCCTTTGGTCATTCTCGTTGCACTTTGTCAACAAACAACAAACAACAAACAACAAGAGACTCGCGTTTAGACTTATTCATTCTCTTTGCTCCGTCTTGATCGAAGGCATCTTCTGTCGTCAACAATTGACGTTGTAACTCAAATGACGACGTCGTCTTCATCTCTCTTTCGCTCTAAGTAATAGTCGGGAAACGACTCCTGTTTGACCATCATTGTCTGCCATCATCATCGAGTCAACGATTTAATTTTTGACCCATGCAACTCAGTCATGTCCTTCTTCATACTAATGCCTGCACAAACATTAACGCAAAATACCAACACCACTTACTCCGCCTAATTACCACGACCCTGCCGCTACCATATTGCCTCTCCACCAGCCACCCACACACATTTTATTTTTTATTTTTGTTTGTCCGCAAGCAGCAGAGGATTTATTTTTATCCTTCTAGGTCCAACAAACAATCCAAACAGAGTCGTTCATTCGAATACGGGCGGAGAGAAACAGGGGGGACCATGAAAAAAAAGGAAGTAACAATGCGGTAGAACTGAACCCTGTTCATTGTTGAAACAAAGGAGAAAAGGCAAAGGGAATAGAAGGAGGTCAGTGGGCACATGGATAGCTCACCACCACTCCCTTCCCTCCTCGCCCATCCGCAGTCCCAATCAACCGCTCCTTCTTTTCACTTCTTTCTTCTAAAGCTTTTTTGTTTTTTTTCTTTGGCTTGTTGTTTTCTTTTTTTGTCGTTTTGAGCTGGGCAAATGGACAATCCATAGTTGCGAGAAGGGAGGCATCGTTCAGATTATTGTACTGTACCTGAAAAAAAAAAATGAATGAGAAACGTGCGTCCGACCGAAGGTTCGTTAGTCAAACAACAATCAGGAACAATGCCATGCACTCTCCTCACACACCACGAATAGAAATAAAGTCTACCTCACCCCCCTGTCCCTGAGACACCCTGACCATTCCTCTCCCTTTCTCCTTTCGCCCCTTGCTTATTTTTAAAACCCTTCGTTCAGCAAGCAAAGGGATCGGCATAGCACCCATGCGATCGAGGTCATTGGTTTGCACACCTCTTTATTGCGGACAATGAGTATGGTAAAAAAAGAACGAACCACGGTGTTGGAGCATGCAAAAAGATTTTCCATGCTAGTCTTGTTTCTATTCCTGGCTCGTGGTCCCTTTTGGTCGTTGATGTTGAAGGGAGGTCCCACGCAAAAAAAAATGCTTGTGTGCCTCGAGACGAAGGAAGAAGATAAAAAGGGAGAGGAAGTGCAGAGAGAGATCATGATAACGAGAAACAAAAATGCAAGGGTGACAGCGAAGGGCGAGAGAGATGAGAAATGACTGCCTAAAATATGCCTAAAATGTTCTAAAGGGACGCACACAGACAGAAGGTGAGCGTGAGAAAGAGCGATAGTAAAGCATGAAGGTATCCTTCGAAGCAAAGAAAAAGCAAGGGAAAACGCGCACACGACCAAACGAAACACTCATTTTAGATCCCTTCTCTCGGCGTTGTTTGATATCGTCATACATTGAACATGTACCCATCCTCACCTCCGTAATGTACTCTCTTCACCCACTCAAAACGCATTCAATCGTAATTGTTCGGATATTATTATTATTATTATGTGTATGTAGGTAGACTACGGTACTGAATAGATGTTAGATAAAAAGCGTGGGGCAGACATGTACCACCCCCAAAATCCTTCATAACGGACGCTTCCCTCATCCAGAGCCGTCATAGACATTAGCTCCACGACGGGCCAAAAGATCCTGCTGTCGACGCTTCTCAACAAACGCAGCCCACTCTGCCTCCTCTTGCTCCTTGGTCAACCACTGGAAACCAAACGCCCCAATTCGGACCAACCGTCCAAACACTCTCATCCTCGCAAACTCCCCATTGGCCTTTGGCAACAACCTATCATGGATATGAGTCCCCACGAACAAGAGGAACAGGAATCCAACACAGGCAACAGCCAGGATCCAATGCAAGTTAACGGAATACACAAATGCATCACGGATGGTGTAGCCAGACTCGAGGAGGTGGTTGTAGATCCCGGTGAAGAGCAGTCCTCCACCGACACCGGCCAGTGACCAGGCGGTGAGGATGATGCCATGCAGGGCGCCAATGTTCGAGGGTCCAAACATGTCGCACAGGAAGGCAGGGATACAACCGAACCCGCCACCATAACAGGCCGTCAGGACCCAGATGACCAACAAGAACGCCCAATAAACCTGCTTCTCCAAGATGGTAGGTAGTGCCGCGAGGATGATGACCTGAGCCAACAACATCACAAAGAACGAGTTCTTGCGGCCCAGACGGTCAGACATAGTCGAGAAGAAGAGTCGTCCACCCAGATTGAATCCACCGTTGATCGCCACAATCGTCGCCGACGTGGCCTCATCCTTGTTGAAGATATCCTTTGTGATGTTGGCGAGTCGAGATAGGACGACGAGCCCGGCGACAGAGTTTCCGAAAAACATGATGTACATAATTCGGTACTCGCTCGAAAAGATGGCCGAGCTCAGAGCCATATTCACGCCGGGATCCCGGAAATCCTGCACCGCCTTTTCGTCCAAATGTGCCTCCACATCTGGAATCACTTCTGCTTTATCGCCATGAGCAGCAGCAGTGAGAGAATCGCCTCCCTCGACTTTGTTGCGGTACATATCCATCCCATTGACCTGGAACCCAGGTGGTGGGACACGGAAAACCATCGCACAGACCAACATCGCAGCAAAGTAACAGCACCCCAACACCACAAACGTCATCGGCAACCCAACCTCAGCAATCAACGGCTGAGGAACCTTGGCCAAGATAATCGATCCAGCACCAAACCCACAGACTGCGAAACCCGCAGCAAGACCACGACGATCAGGGAACCATTTCTGCAACGCCGACACGGGCGAGATGTAACAAAGACCTAACCCTGCACCGCCGAGGACACCGTATCCGAAGTAGAGAAGGGCCATGATCTTGGCGTAGATGCCGATGGCGGCGATCATGTTGCCGAGGAAGAAGACGGTTGCTCCGAGGATCGCAGCCAGACGAGGGCCGTTTCGTTCTAGCCATGGACCATTCACTGCCGCTGAAATACCAAAGCATCCTGTTTGGAGGGGAAAGAAAAATGGACAGGTTAGATCGCGCGGTCAGATGGAAGATAAAACATGAGGGCTGGGCCTATTTGCGTTCCTTCTGTGCACTGCCCCTAAAATGCTTTCAATTGGCAAACCAAACGTCCAAAATCTACAAAAAAAATATGTTCATAGCTGGGCCGCTGAGGCAATAAAAAACAAAAGCAAAAGAACTCACCGACGGCAATGTAGAAGGTTATGGGGGCGTTATGGACAAGCGGTGCATATTGGCTTGTGGCGGCGTTGTGGCTCAGGCCATAGATGTATCCGTCAATTGGATCATTGAATACCGACCCTACGGTATGCAATGGAGGAAAAGGAGCGAATGTGTCAGCGTATTTGATAGTCCCTTTTTCACCTGAGAGGAAGGCTGTTTCAGAGAAATCAAAATGGCAATTGGTCTGTGCGAAGAATGACTTACAGGCATAGAGGGATCCACAAATGGCTTGGAAGCTGCAGTGGAAGGCGAGAAGAGAGAAGAATGCATGAGACGACAACACTCTAAGAGATTTGGATGCATCAAACACAACCTCGCATGCGGAGTAAAGAAACGTACATGAAGGCAGTAGGGAACATGACCCAGCGGTTGAAAGGGATCCCACATAGAATGGTCTTCTCGCTTTCTATGGTACGCGAGGACCTGTGGTAGGTCGTGTCACTATAGTGCTTATGGATCGCTCGGACAAGAGCATTGTTCGACATCGACTCTGGGTTCGTAGACGCCTGTGTCGCCATCTTGTTGTGCTACTGTTTGAGGAATTTGAAGATGGCGTGTTTGTGAGTGAGGGAAGCAAAGAATAGCGGCGGAAGGTGTGTTCGTGGGCAGTAAGGTGGACGACAAAGAAAGAGATGCATGTTCCTGGTACCAACCTGGGTGTTTGCCTCGAGGATGGGGATGAAGGAAGAGAGTTCAAGTTAAATATGAAGGAGATGAAATGAAAATGGCTCGAGATGAAAGGACGAGAAGGAGTAGAGAAAGAGATGATATGAATGACAAAGGCGATAAGAACAGGAGAGATGGAAGAAGCGTCGGTGTAGCGGGGGACGAAGGGAGACGACGCTCATTTTATGAATGAAAAATAATATCAGCGCGTCCAGGACACCGAACGGGGAGATGAGGACAAGAGGAGCATGGGGCATCTTCAACTGGCTTGTTGCGCTCATCCCTCTTCCTCCTTCCCTCCTTTCCAGGTCGGTCGCCAGGATAAAAGAGAGAGAGAGAGAGAGGTGGACATGACCCCCTTTCTCACCTTTCTTCTTCATCGTCGTCATCTTGGACACCATGTCATCCAGTCGTTCATTCACTCGTTCGTGGTATACAACAAGGTTGCCAGATCTCCCTGCATACACATGTTCATCCTCCCATCCCTCTTTTTTTTCTTACTTCTCGTTTTGCATTCGTCCCCTTTCCCGCCTCCCCTCTCTTCTCTCTTCAAAAAAAAATCCATCCCTCGACTCCTCTTCTTCCCTCCGTTTTGAACAAAAAAATTCGTGATTTTAATTCTTCTTTTGCTTACCTATTACCCACTCCTCCTCTTCTTCTCGTTTTCTAGGCATCAAAAAATGAATAACACGGATGTCTTTAGAAGGGTTGACCAAACCAAGGAACAAATGACTACTCAGATTGTTCGATCCCTGGTAACGAAAGGAGGCCAAAGGAGGGTAACAAAATCTGAGTTTGATAGACATTCGTGCAGAGGAGGTGTAGTTTTGTTATTTTTTTTTTTTTTTTTTTTTTTTTTTTTTGGCCTGGTTTCAACGAATGAGCTAGTAAAACAACTGGCAGACTGGCAGTAAAAACGTTGTTACCCGCCCCGCAACTCTCCCTCCTTGAACAACCAAGAAAAAAAAACGCTCTATCGAAACGAGGCCTTCCTACTCCTAGACACATCCTTCTTCACTCCCCTCTCCCCCTTGAAAAAAAATTGGCATTCGTCACAGAAGAATGTGGCCAAGGAGGCGCAAAAGGGCGTCGTGAGGGGTGAGGTGAACTGACACAAGTAAGCATTGGTAAACGCACAAAGAACGAAATGTACGAAAAACGACTACATCTAAAAATGAACGCCCCCAACCCCCTCTTCTGCCTTTGTTTTCTTGGGCTTACTTTTTGCATGACCATCATCATCTTGTTTTCTCACATTCCTGGCTTTACATATCGGAAAAAAAAATATAGGGACAAAGCAAGAGAGACAATGCATGCCACGGGGTAGTTCATGATTGCCTCCTGTGCTGCATAAGCACTATGTTCTTTGTTTTTCCTCCTCACTCTTTGCGGACCATCAAGAAAGCCGCCGAAAGCCAAAAACAAAAAGATAAACGGTTGGTTTTGGTAATATGTTACAATGCTTCTAAATACGAAATAAATGAAAAACTATGAGCAGTGCGCCCAGAGTCCTGTTGTTTAAAATGTCTATGGTCCTGTCCTTGAGTTGCTTCCCTGTTTAATTGTCCTTCCTAGAAAGCATTGAAAGTCATACGCGGGAAGGAATTAACGGTCGGCGTATAGTCCTTGCATAATTATCCAGTCCCGCCAGCGAGTGAGTGCGTTCAATACAATGGAATGTATGACCACCACTTACTTCTGCTCGCTGACGTTCAAAAGCAAGGTGTCGGCATCCAACATGACACGGTTGGAGGAATGAGAGATGATGGTAGCAATCTCACGAGCAACCTCAATCTTCCTGAGCTCAATGAATCCAGGCTTGTTCTTGATGGCTATTTTATCATTTCGTCAAAACAATGTGAATAGTATTAGAACCAGCAATACAGGGAACTGATCATAGCGGATCGAAATGAAAAGAACAAGGTGCAAACGCAATATTGAGGTATGTACCGTCACCAAGGAGCTCGGCGGAACGGGCCTCTCCCTCAGCCTTGACAATGATCGACTGCTTCTCCTGAATGGCGCGGTCGACAACGAAAGCGGCACGCTGAGCCTCCTGCTGGGCAATTTGCTTAGCCTCGACAGCTTGGGTGAACTCGGGCGAGAAGGCCATGTGGACAATCGAGACATCGTCAAGAACCATGTTGAAGCGAGCGGCACGCTTGATCAAGTTCTCGCGAACCAAGCGGGAGACACGGTCACGCTGGGTGATAAGCTGACTGGCGTTGAACTGGGCGACGACCGACTTGGCAACCTCGTTAATAATCGAGGGCAAGACGCGCTCGTCATAATCCAGACCCAACGTGCGGTAGATCTCGGCCAAGTCGTTGACGCGAGGGCGGGACAGCACACGGACGGTGATGTTGACCATCTGCAAATCTAAAATAGTTGCATTCCGACGAAAAAACGGGATATGTCGGGTTTGAAACGGTCAGTTGCTGCAACTCTACAAACCAAGGTAATTCACGAAAGCCATCGCTGATGATAGCCTCTTCCTTCTCGGAAATGAACCCAACTCCGCTGTTCTTTGTTCCTTAAGACCTTTTGCACAAGTGCATCCTGTTGTTATTCCTGACGGTCGCTCTTTGATCGCCACCGCGGATGAAATCCAATGACCTCTCAAGGCGATCTCCCTGCGACTCTTTTACTTCCACTTGTTCCTGAATGTCATGTCCTCTGCTGTTTTCCTTCTCAACGGCAAAGAAAGGTCCACCTTGATTTATCCAGTCGCTGTGCAAGTTGTATTCAAGTGGAAGCTAGTCGGTGAATTACCCTTGGTTCCGGTCAAGGAGGCGACGTTTCTGGGCTTGGCACGGACATCGTAGATGATGGGGGTCTCAAACCAGGGGATCACAAAGTGAGTTCCTTCGTTGAAAACCTCCTTCTGAACACCGAACACGCGCGAGTACTTGACTGCACGGTGACCTCCATCAACTAATACAATGAAAACAACGAGAAAAGGAGATGAGGGTTAGTTTCATAAGCCTTGTATGCTCGTTTTACCGACTATGCTGCTATGTCTGCGCTGCTATGTCTGCGCTGCGCTGTCTTTCTGACTTCCTGGCCACAGCAAGGCAGTTTTACTGAGCGTAAGTTATGCCAGGGTGCAACCAAGCAAAGCTGATCTGCTGCTTGTCGGCAAAAAACTTTCTCTCCATGCAAGGCTCCGCCCTTTCCCGAATGCAACATAAAAAGGGTGTGCAAGGTGTGATTCCGGGCGTCGGTGAATGAAGAAAAGTCGAGATTTGCTGTATGTGTGGTTTACCGTTGAAGAGAGAAGCGTTGAGTCCGTATCCGACTCCACCGAGAGCCAAGAGGGCGCCAACACCACCGGCGATGCCCTTTCCGCTGCCCTTGGGGAAGATTCCTCCGAGTCTGTTGAATGCCTGAGCCATTGTTGATTTCTGTTGTTGGTGAGAGTGGTCGGGTTGCGTGTGTGTGATGTGAAAAGAAAAAGAAAAGGGATGTGTTGGAAGCGGAGAGTGATCTGATCAGCTTTGCATCCTCCGGAGAGGGTGTTCTGGGACAGTCACACCCTCCAATGCATTTTTTCCTTTTGCAGATTTCAGGTCCGATCACTCATGTCTATGTCTGAGATCCAGTTGGTGGCAACATCTATAAGCGTAAGAGTTTGGTCGCAGCCAACAAGATCGAGGAAATAAGGGCGTCATTTTATTCATTTGGCATGGCAAAGAGGTTATTAGAAATGGTATCAAGGGCATGGAAATAGGAAAGGACAAAAGTCAAACAAGGTGAAGCATATAGTACATGAGAGTTGAACGAAAAAGAGGAAGAGTGGAGAGGGAAGAAAGGATAGAGGAAGGAGGAAAGAGGAAGGAGGAAGGAAGTGGTATGAGAAGGAAAAGAGTCGTTTAGATAGGAACAAGCTTCTCCAGATGGTCAGGAAGGTAGCTCTTAAACACCAAGGGTGCAACAATCAACATCACAAAGACAACAAACAGCAGCACAAACAGAGTGCCATATGTCCAGGCAACCTTCCTCCTCTGAGACCGCAGCTTGGCGGAAAAGATGGGTGGACGGATCTGTTTGCTGGGGCGCAACCAGAACAACATGGTCGAGTGCCACCGGTCAATCCAGGGGATCAGACAGATCGGGAACAGGATGAATAAGATCGTGTGACCCATGATAAAGTCGCAGGCAAACATCGACATCTCGATAATCTTACAGACGTACTCGCGGAGGGGCTGCGAGATCGCATGGAATCCAAGACCACGGCCGTGCCATTTGCCCGTCCACCAGGCGCGGTTGGTCTCGTCGTGTTTGAACTCGCGTGTCAAAAAGACGGCGATCAGGACTTTGAAGACGAAGCGTTGGACAGATATAGCGGCAATGATGCCGAGGACAGCGTGGGACATGTTCCAGGCTTCGAGGGCCCAGAGGGCCTCAAAGTGAACAATCAGCGAGATCACGGAGATGGCGTGGGCAGTGGCAGCAATGATGGATCCAAACTTGACGCAGCACATGTTCATGAGGGGGCCAAACAGGATCGAGACTCCAAACAGAGCGATCAGAACTCCGGCGTTGACAACGATGGGTCCAAGAGCAAAGACACCGATGCGGAGGAGACCACTCGTAAAGACGGCTGCGCCTATGTCGTTGACGTCGCTGGGGAAGGACCGGACAAACATGTAACAGATCACGCACAGGGCCATCTGCAGCAGAGGGAAAACAATCTCAGAGACAAAGATGACCCCGAAGTTGGCCCTGGGGATGTCTCCACCGAGCTTCTCAGAGGGATGACCAAGTCGCTTGCGCTTGTAGCCAGTGATTCGAGTGCGGAGGGTGCGACAGTAAGAAATCCAGGAGGATACATGGGTCCTCGAATTACCGCGAGACAGCCAGCGCAAGAACTCTTGGTAGTCAAGCAGAAAGTCAGTGAAGGAGAACTGGTGTGGGTTGAAGAGGAAGGGCGAGATGACTAAAGCCAAGACTGAGACCCAGAAGTAGATCAGGTGTGGAACCCACATCGTCAGCGAGGCAAAGATCAGCATGATGAGGGTTCGCATGCCAAGGTAGAGGGATGGACCGGCGAAACGAGAGTAAAGTAGCACAAAGGGAGTACGAGTTGTCGCGAATCCACGGCCAGTAGCGATGTAGCGAGCTCCTCCGAAGGACAGGTTGGTCAAGATAGAGTTGGTGTAGATCTGGGTGACAAAGACCTCGAACAGCGGGGAGAGCGACATGAAGTGCTTGCCCAGACGGATCGTGCTCCTGGCGAATCCACGCTCCATAAACTCTTGGAGGAACAGAGGCAAGAAGGCAATGAAGAAGACTATAAAGATCGACAGGACACAGCGCTTGATCCAGTCATAGACGGGGATCAGGTTCACACAGCCATCCTCCACGATATCCGAGCAGACATCTACCGACGACGCCATAGAGCCGATAAAGAGCATCGAGAACAGGAACATCTGGACCGACAGCATGATGAAGATGTTGTTGATGTGGAAACCGGGGTGAGCGTAGTAGAAAGTCAAGAACCGGTCCAGGGGCAACTGAGTTCCGAGGTAGTAGTACTCGCGCGACAGCATCTGCTCTCCCATGCCCGTACCGATCTTGGTGTTGAAGTTGAGGATCGAGCCAAAACCGAGATCACGGCCCTTGCCGCACTGATAGTACTCGGAGTGCTTGATGCGCCCGCCACGGTTGAAGGCCGTCATACCGGCGTAGATATCCTCGTTCAAATGGAGACCCTTCTGTGCTTTACTCACACCTATGTCCACAGTTGCAAAAAGGAGGTGATATTCAGTTAGTCGCAGAAAAGACAACAAAAAAAAGAGCAAAAAAGAGCATAAAACAGTAGTAGCGTAGCTGAGTTACTTACCTCCGCGAGTGCTCATGTAGATAAAATTGAGAAAGTCAGGGTGGCCATAGTGGAGCTTGCCTCCGATCTTGGCCATCATGCGTTGGGTCAGAGTACCAAAGGTCTGTTCCTTTCCAGCAGCAACATCTCCAAGAACACCAATATTCTCCGAGAAAATGTACTCGCGAGCACCAACAATGGCCACAGGCTCGGGGACATTCTTCGAGACGATCTGGGGCGAATAGGGCGAGATAGCTGGGGTGTGGAACTGCTCAAACTCCCCGAGGACATTACGGATCTTGAGAGCTTCCTCCAAGTAGTTGTCCTGATTGGCGTCGATCAGCTGGATATACTCGCCGCGGGTAAAAATAATCGAGTGGTTCTGGTTGTCAGACTTTCCATCACCCAAGATGGGGTTACCAGGCAAACGAATCCTGAACCGGGGCTTGCGCTTGCCATCGGGCATCAGCTCGCACTGTCCATCGATCAAGATAGAGTAGACTACCGGTTCATCGCCTTCGACCTCGGGTGGGCGCTCATCCAAGTAGGCGATCTGAAGGTTGGGGTATGCACGCAACAAGAACTCTGCATTCTCGGCCTCCTCCTTGTTGAAGATGGTGTAGCGCTGCATCGAGATCACAAACTTAAACTTTTGATTGGACATACGCTCAAGTTCGCGTTCAAGACGGTCACCATTGCCACCAAATCGTTGCACCACCTCGGGGTTCTCGACGCGGTAAAGCAGCTTGATCGCCTTGGAGTAGTTCATAAACCCAGAGACGGTACGGTACAACGTCTGAGCACGGAGTGAGGCCCAGATTCGGGTGCGGAGAGTGTACTCAGGTGCTGCTGACTTGAATCCGATGCAGTAAAAGGGCAGATCGTCGTTCTTAGACTTGCCCATTTCCTTCATGTTGTCCCTCTCTGCCTCGCCAGCCAGACCAAGACCGCTCGTCGCGCTGCTTCCAAACATGGTCGACTCTTCAGCTAGAATCTTGGTGTCCCTGACAAAGTTGTCCCATTCGACTGGGTGAAGCTGCTTGAGGTACTCCAAGAGGGTGACGCGGGTGTTTTGGTCCTCCTCCCTAATAATCTCGCGGAGCGAGAGCAGAGTCTTCTCGGAGTAGTGAGGGACCAAAACGGTGAAGGTCGGCATCTGATCGACGGGAAGAGGCTCAGGGATGGGAGTCGACAGAGACTGGGCAAAGAAAGTGATACGACGCTCGGCCTCGGAGTGCTGGGGGTAGAACTCTGCCTGGAGAGAGGCATCCTCCTGTGCGACAAAGAAAGTGGGAGCCTTGAGGGTGCGCTTGCTCTCGTTCTCAGAAGGGACCTGCTGGTAGAGCAATCGCTGGACGTGCTCAATCGACAGGAGATGCTCGCGGTACATCGAGATAACAATGGCGTTCCAGACCTGGGAGCAGAGGACCTTGGGCTTGTACTTGATATCCATGTCGGCAGTCGCGAGCAACTTGGCATAGATGCGCTTAGGCAAACGAGAAAATATGTTGCGCCAAGGGGTCCAGATCGAAATACCGAGCTTGAAGGACTGGAAGACGGAGAAGACGGTGTTCCAGATGACGTACCACAGATAGGTGTCCAAGAAGAAGAGAACTAAGTCCGTGAAGAACATGACGATGACCGTGAGGACAGGCATAATGGAGCACAAGGACTGACCCAGGTACTTGTCCTTGCAGTTGGGGATACGCTCGTCGTACAAAGCCTTGAGGGGATCCTTAAAGGAGCGGGCCAAGAAAAAGTAGGACTCGACAAGCTTGCAGATAAAGACCAAGGCCCAAAGGAAGATCGAAAGAGCGCGATCTGACCGATTTAACTTGGGGAACGAAGCTGTAAAAGTCTGAGAAGCCAAGTTCTTGCGGTTCGTCTTGGATGATGCACCAAAGAGCTGATTGGAGGGGACGATGGAGAAGACGGCGGTGGTAATCAAGGAGATGACGAACTGGACAATGCCGACAATCCTAGACGCCGTTCCTGTGCGCTGGAAGATGCAGACATAGACGGAGGGTCCAGCATTGACAACCAACACGACCAACAGGATCATCAACCGGCGAACGAGCATCGAGGTGTTGGCCCAAGTCAAAGGAATGAACATGAACTCACAGAAGACGCCGAGCAACATGAACAAGGTCGCGATGGCTCCACCGAGAGCAGGAACTGACCAGGTCACTCCCTCTTCGTCCAGATCCTCGTTGGAGTACAAAAAGGTGGCGTTCCATGCGGTGAAGTACCAGAAGGCAACCACGTGGATGATCCAGATGCGAGTGAAGTTGACAGCCAAGTGAAGCCAGGTACGCTTCTCGATGTAGGTCTTGCGGAAGGCCGATCCCCAGTTGACTCGCTCCAATGCTGACCAGCGCTTGCCAATATGAATGTCCACCAATTTGGTCTTGTCGTCCAGCTGGATGCGAGCAATACCCTCTGGGCTCCAGAAGGCCTGGTTGATATCGTCGTATCCGATGATAGCGTCATGGTCGCGCTCACGCTTGACGTACTTGCCTCCCTGAAGCTCATAGGACTGGTCGCGGATGAACTTGTAGAGAGGGGTGACGACGTTGCGGAGATAATCGCCTTCGGGGACAGGGTTGACAAGCTGCTGGCACTCCGGCGACACATAGTAGTCCTCTGCGCACTTGAAGATGAAGCAAAGACACTCGGGTAGGAAACGGATCTGGGACGCTTCGCCCCAGAGCAGGAGGTAAAGTGCTACTTGACGAGCTCGGTCAAAGTGGGACATCTGGTTCATCCTCAACTTCCAGTGCTCCTCCGCCATCCCCAAGTTGTCGTGCGCCTCGATGTTGACGGCGCCTGGCTGGGGAGCCATTGAGTTGCGGTTGACCTTCTTGTTCTTGCCCGGAGCAGAATGGTAGCCCATGTGGTCGTCCAGATCCAGTTGTGCTGCAAAGTACCATTTTCGGTAGTTGGCGTGCTCTCCTCCGATGTAGTCCGCATGGATGGTGGTTAGGGCCTGGACAGCGCCCATGCGAGAAGCTCTCGAGTCGAGCATGGTCATGTAGGCGTCGAACTGGTTGCGCATGTTGTCTAGCTGAAATCCAAATTTGCGCGTCAGGTCCATCATGATCCCCTCGATCTCCTCCTTTGTCAGCGGCACCTGCTTCTCGATTGTCCAGGCTGGGTAAGAGTTTGGCGGTGGTTGGTTGGGCTCGTCATAGTCGTGGCCGTCGGAGGTTGATGAAGGATCGTCGTAGAGGTAAGTCTGTCCGGGGAGAGGACTGCGCTTGTTTTCGAGGAGAGAGAGGAGGGCATCGGAGGAGGGAGCGTAACCTGTGTAGCGGCCATCGTCTGGCCCACGGAGGGGTCCGAAGAGATCGACGTCGTGTCCATTGATGGGCGAGCGACTGGTTGCTGACCGTGAGTAAGCGTAGTTGTTTTCGCTGTATGTTTCTGAGGTTGCACTCTGACGCTCATGGCGGTCGTAATGCGCCATCCTTGGATCTGTTTTGAGTGGGTGTTGTTCGTGTGAATGGTACGGATGAGCATCAAACAAAAGCAGAATAAGATTTAAAAAAAAGAAGATAAAAGAAAATGATTCGATGTCAGCGTTCTGTGAGAGAGTCCGATCTGTGAAGGCTGCTGGGAACCATGTTTTTTTGTCCTCATTTGTTCATTCTTTTGTCAGAATCAAAAAAAAAAAAAATGCTCTCATGTCCCCCTTCCTTTTCTTGTTCCTGTGAAAACGCACAGATAATGTACGACAACATGCATGAAATGAATACAAGGAAGATGTACCTTCACTCATCCGCGGATCTCCTAAGGAGGAGTGGACAAGAGGGTTCTGCGAACCAACAGAAGAGACTCCGGTGGTGCGTCTAGAGAGGTCATAATGTTGCTGATGTTGTTGCTGTTGTTGTTGTTGCTGTTGCTGTTGTTGTTGCTGTTGCTGTTGTTGTTGCTGCTGCTGTTGCTCAGAGTATTCTGGGTAGAGTGTCCTACCGTATGTCTCTCCTTGTGAGGGGGAGGACAAGTTGCTGCTATCCATCGAAGGATGGTCGTGGTGCTGGCCGTCCTGATGCATCGTCTATGTGAAGTTCCCGCTTGTCTGATTTTTTTTTGTAATTTTGCTTCTGAGATGATGTCAAGAAGAAAAGGAGGGAGAGAGCGAGAGAGAGAAGATGGCGCAGATCAAGGGTGAGAGAGGAAGGGTGAGAGAGGAAGAAACGATGATCACCTATGGAACAACAAGAATGAAAACTGGTTTATCAGATTGAACGGAGTAGTGAATAATGATTGATGGATAAGTACAGTTAGATATATGTAATAGTAGAGGATGAGAAGAAGGATGAGGGATGGAAGGGATGAAGGCGAGGATGAAGAGAAAAGGAGGATGAAGAGAAGATGAGGGTGAAGCGAGAGCGAGAGAGAGAGAGAGCGCGAGTGAGTGAAGAGGAGAAGAAAAGAGAAAGAAATGAAATAAAAAAGAGAGAGAAGAAGTAGAAGTAGAAGTAGAAGTAGAAGAAGAGTAGAAAGAACGACGCGAGAGGTGAGGCGAGGTAACTGATTTTCAGAGATAGAGCGAGAGTATGGATGAAAAACACAGAGACAGAGGAAAGGAAGGGGAAGGGAAGGAAAGAACATTGAATGAGCAAAAGAATAGAATAACACCACACACACACACACACACACACACACACAACGACGAAGAAAGAGAAAGAAAAAAGAAGGGTCTCCTCTTTTTCCTCCTCTTGTGTTAATAAGGTTCTTTTGTTGTAGTCATGGGCGACGGCTGCCTGTCTACCTCATGCAGCATATCTGACTTGCATCTACGCTTGCATAGGCTGTAAAACAAGCTCATCCGACACAAACGCAAGGATCCTTTTGCTCATCCACTCCCCGATCATTTTTTTTCCTTTCTTTCTTTCGCGCGCACATAACAAACTAAGGCGCACCCACCCCATAGGCTGCTGCTGTCCCTAGTTTGTCTTATCCCAGGCAATTGACCAAGTTAACTTAACTCATCAATAGATCAGGGTCCAGCTCTTGCGAACCAGATCTCTGTTCATCCTGGACCAAGCCGGCCAAGACCATACATAGTCCATGCTTCTCTGCATCCCGGTATCTCTGTGGCAAACAGTTTTTCCATCTCATGTCATCCCGGACCTTCCGCCTCCAATGGCTCTCTTGTTTCTCTCTTCTCTCTTGTTACAAGTCGGTGTGGTGTTTAAAAATCAGTTCTCTTTCTCCTTCTCTCTCTTACCCCCTTGGGTGCGACTCTTGACTCCTTTTCTCCTCTCCTCCCCCCTTGCAAATCCAAACTGTCCTTCCTTTCATTTGCCTTCACTCCGAACTATAATAATAACAATTATACCCAGAAAACAATAAAAATATGATGAACACGGAGGTGGTGCGTCGCCACGGTTGTAGCAATCCCACTCTCCACACATCCACGTAGACAATTGGGCACATAGATTGGAAGTGGCGTTGTCATTTTTTTTGCGTGTGTATGGGAATGCAAGACGTAGCGTGCAAAAATAAATGAAAAAGTTCCGTCCGTGCGCCATGTCAACATGAATGTATGGATATGTTCTGTCCCATCCTTTCTTATTTACCTCCTTTAGATGCACCTCTCTATCCTTCCTCTGCTATTGCGTCCCTCTTTCAGTGGCTACAATTACTCCTTAGAGGTACAAAGTCCAACTTCCTTTGCCACCCCATTCATTCAACATTTTGTTTGGAGCCAACCCATCAACATGCATGGGATTGCAAGCAAAGACAAGGCCGATAACATGGATCAAAGACATGCAGTGGTTGTTTCGTCCTGCTTCAAATCGATCGCTCTTCTCGCGCGTTTTTCTGGTAATTGTTGTTTGTTTGTACGACCCAAGTCCTTACCTCTGACGACATCAGCTGTCACTGCCCTACCCTCAACGTAGTTGAAGAGAAAACAAAGGAGAGAGAACATACACAATGCTCATTTGTTTCCGTATGAGTTCAGCAGTGACATTGTGTTTGTTGAAGGGAGCATACGAGTCCTCATCTTGGGCCAGACACAGTCGACAAAGTTTGTGAATGTCATTGCCTTCTCTCAGTTCTCTTTCACAACCAATGTTGACATTGAATCTCAGGCACCTAGCTCTAAAGACCGCGCCACCATGCATTCCCCTCAGAACAGACCCTGTTCTCAGCCCTTCCCTTCATAAATCTCACAGCTTTCTTTCTGTTCCTGAATTTTCGAGTGTATGTGGCCCTCAGATCGCTGTAGCTTTGACATCTCCTTTGTTCTTTCTCTCACAACTCAAAATGACAGAGGGTTCCTTTCCCTCTCTCCTCTTTGAACGATGAAACAGTACTGTACTTGAGGCACCCGAACGAACAGTGCAGAAGCACTCGATCAAAAAAGAAAAGTCCACTTGGATCTTGCTTGCGGGTAGGCAGTCTCTCGACCAAAAAAGAGACTACAAGCCAACCATCAGAACGAGACTATTCCCTCGCCCTCATTGACATTCTTGGAACTTGAGTTGCCCGCATTGACACTCAACAACCATGACCATGATTATGACCACCAAAACTTTCGGCACTCTCGACATCCTTTCTCCATACCGGATTCTCACCCTTCTCGATTTCACCAACATAACATTCGTGTTGTTTCAGCATCGCACTCGCACACTCGCGTATTCTCACATAAGAAAGGGCGCCCTTTCTCGCAAAATGCACGTACATCATGACGATCCTGATGGGAATCGCCCATAGCCATTCGTCTAGCTCCCAATCCAACCCAATTCGATCCGATCTGCTTCGACTCAGCGCGTCGGACTCCAGTGCCGGATACCTCCACGAGATCGATAATGGAACCCTGATATCCACACACCAAGTCACTCCTCGATGCACAGCTCCATATCTATACCGACATTGACATCTACATAAATACAATTGATCGCCCCCTCTCCATTTTTCTCTTCACTACTCGAACCACATCTCATATGTTCAGCAACCCCCAACAGCACAACCCGACCATCATCATTTGATACAGCAAGAGTGAAAAAAAATAATTAACACGAATGGTTCGCCTCACGCCTCTCCCTACACTTGCTCTCATGGCAGCTGTAGCTTTGCATGCTGTTAGTGCATCCAATATCATCACGATCAAAGGAACAAAGTTCTTCGACTCTGACACCAAAGACCAGTTCTTCATCAACGGTGTTGCCTACCAGCCCAGGACACTGGCGGGTGCTTCGACAGACCCTCTGGCTAAGCCTAATGACTGCAGACGCGATTTTGCGCTCATGAAGGAGCTCGGCCTCAACACCGTTCGCGTGTATCAGGTACTTTTACACACTCGTACTAGATTCTTCCACCTCCTTTTTTTGGGTGTTGCTCATAACTAACATCGAATGTACTACTTTCATCGTATCTCGTGCGCTTTGACAGGTCGATGCATTCCAAAACCACGACGAGTGCATGAGGGCCTTGGAGGAAGTGGGCATGTATCTGATTTTGGACTTGGCCTCCTCTGAACACTCCATCATCCGCACCAGCCCTCAGTACGATACCAAGATGTGGAACAATGTCCGCAATACCATCGACGCCTTCAAGGGCTACTCCAACACTCTCGGCTTCTTTGTCGGCAACGAGGTGACAAACGACAGCAAGACCACTGCAGCCAGTGCCTATGTCAAAGCACTCCTCCGCGACACCAAAGCCTATATCCGTTCTTCTGCACCTCGTCTGATCCCCGTCGGTTATGCTAACAATGACGATCCCGAGATCCGCCTCCAAGTTCAGGACTACTTTAACTGCGGTCCAGACGATGAGCGAGTCGATTTCTTTGGTATCAACATGTACGAGTGGTGCGGTGACAGCATAACCTACCAGACGTCTGGCTACGTCGACCGCACAGCTGATATCTCATCGTACTCTGTCCCGGTCTTTCTCTCGGAGTATGGCTGCAATCTCGTCTTGCCCCGAACCTTCCCCGAGGTCAAGTCCATCTTTGGTCCAGACATGACGAACACTTGGTCAGGCGGTATTGTCTATGAGTGGTCACAGGAGGAGAACAACTATGGCCTGGTCCAAATCAACGGTGACAACTCGGTGTCTTTGCTTCCAGATTTCCAGGCTCTCAAGACAGCCATGTCGTCGTCTCGCCCCACAGGCGTCAACATGGATGCATACAACGAACAGAGACCCTACTCTGCCTGCCCTGCTATCACCGCCACTTGGGAGCCAAGCGCCAACCTGCCCCTTACTCCGTCGCCAGAGGCATGTGATTGCATGATGTCGTCTCTTGGCTGTGTCGCCTCTGAGCAGGCCCTCTCTGACTCAGACAGCCTGGGAACGGAGCTCAACACTCTCTGTGGTATGACCTCTTGTGAGCACATTGGTACCGATGGCAAGACGGGTGTCCATGGTAAGTACTCTTTCTGCACGCCCGCCCAGAAATTAGCGTTCCTCTACAACGAGTATTATTCCAGTGTGGGCCAATCCCAGTCTTCGTCCTGTCATTTCAATGGCATGGCTATGCTCTCGACCGCCGCCAGACCTTCGGACGAAGGGTGCGTCGCGCCTCAGGGTATCCATGCCAGGTCTCTCGTCACTAAGCGCGCGGCTCACCATGTCACCTCCGATGCGGTTTCGCACCAAGAAACGTCTGCCCTTGGCCTGACCGCCATGGTTGCCCTTGCTGCCTTTATCTAGTTCTGCGTACTTTCTGTTCAATATATGTGGGGTTGATTCGGCTCCATGTCGCGAGTGACTGGCTTCTGAGACAAGTGGAGACGGTAGAGAAGACATTTATTCTTCGAGCGGACAAAAATTGTAGTCTCCCTTTTGATCCTCTTAAAGATGGCAAGTCACGTGGAAAGAGACCACCATCCATGCTTGATGGATTCGCCAACGGGGAGGCCGGATAGCCACACAGCAGCACCATGCAACCATCCATCCAACTGGAGAGCCATCCACCGCCATTTCCATGCACCATCATATCGGAAAACTGCCGCCAAGGCCCATTTTTAGTCTGGAACCAACTTTGCTCGACACCATCAACCTAAGGGTGATGGAATCCGTCTTTTAAGTAATGGAGCACCGAAAGGAGGAGAGAGACTCGGACAGGATTCGCTATTTTCCATCACGCCGTTACCCCGATCCTTCTTCCCACTACAGCAACCATACACCACTATTCCGACCGAGTTAGGATGGAGGAAACCCTTTTCAACAGGGACAAAGTGTTGTGGTACTTCGCCATGGGGAGGCTGTGATCGATGTGATCGTGCAAGCTCTCGACTATGTGATCAGGACGGCAAGGGCGGGAATACCGAACGAGTACAGGAGCTTTGACAGCGCCCATCGTTGTCAGAGACATCAGGACATCTAGATGAACTGGCGACCATCAAACCAAAAAAAAAGTCCGAAGGAGATCGTGATGAGACTAACATCAAGTGTGTGTTTTTCGTTTCTCCGATTGCAACGTTTTAGTTGGCTGTTGATCTCTTGAACCCTTCCCACGCTCTCGAGCAGAAGACCCACAAGTTGAAGAGACTCGTGCAGTCTCCCAACTCTTACTTCATGGACGTCAAGTGCCCTGTAAGTCTCGCGACCGAACAGCAGCAAGCACCTTGTTGGTGTTATTTAGAGCGACCATTATTGCGACAGCAGGAAATCCACTCGGAACAATTGAACGCCAGGAGAAATAACGGTTGCATACAAGGGGTGTCGCAGAGCAGCTTCATTTCAGGAGTTCCTATCAACATCGTACTTTATCAACTGATCACCAGCAGACGCAACTCTGTCACAAGCAGCAACCCCCCCAAAAGGCGCAAAAAGAAAGACTCCAGATCTTAATGCCTCGCAACACAGCAGGATAAACTAAATGCCTACACGGTCCGCCAACAAACACAGCTTGTCACACAACCCGACGATCTCTTGACATACGGGTTATCAGGATATCACTAGGACCAATTATCAATATGGGAGCAAAAGAACATGCCATACTGACGCATTGTTCCTCTCTTTCTTGAACCATATCTTTCAAATCTTCAGGGATGCGTCCAGATCACCACCGTCTTCTCGCACGCCCAGACCGTCGTCATGTGCTCGAGCTGCGCTAACGTTCTTGCCCAGCCCACCGGTGGTATCACCCGTTTGACCGAGGGTATGTGTTCTTTTTCTTTATCTTGATGTTGTGCGCTCTTGCGACATGAATTTGTTTGATCTGTGGCAACATTGGGCCAATTTCGCAAATCATGATCCGCATGTATCTCAAAGAAACGAAACATTAACGGTCTCCTCCCTTTTATTTTCGTTTTATCCTGTTACAGGCTGCTCTTTCCGCCGCAAGCAGGCTTAAGCGCTTGTTTGAACTGTATTCTTTGCAAGCAATAAAACGCTGAAAAACAATATGCGAGCGCATTTCTTATAACTCAAAACGCCCTTGGTTCTCCATGATATCAATGAATGAATGAATGAAAAGTGGTTTGTGCGTGAAAGATAGCTGTGTACTGGTTGAGCGGGAAGCCGGAAATTTTGTTCTTCCAATTGAGTGTGTCTTTTCGAGTCAGCAAACAGGAAACTGACGCTGGCGGGGAGCCTGAATGACAGCATTCGTCTCCATTTTTTTTGTTCTTCGATCGAGTCAGAGCCAAGCTGTTGAGCCTTTAGGGCAGAATTGTTGCTGCGAGACGTTCTTCAAAGTTCGCTTGACGACCGAATTCAGTAATTTTCCAGATCAACGTACGCACTTTTTTGCAAGCCACGTACACGCTGTTTACTTTTTCTTTTGCAGAGCCTCTGATTCATTCACCATCACACCTCTTTCTCTCCATTCTTCCTCCCCTCTCTCTCTCCTTCTCTTCCTTTAATCCCGACTATGAAGACCTCGACCATCGTTGCCGCCACCGTCGGTACTCTCGCCGTCGCCACCGTTGGCTATGCCATCTATTTTGACCAGAAGCGCAGGAACGACCCCGAGTTCCGTCGCAAGCTGAGTATGCCTCCCGTTCTTCCCTACCCCTGTCAATTTTTTACCCTTTCCTTCTTTTCTTTTTTTTTGCCCGGGTGTGCACTTGAGAGCTGCATGTTTCAAGAGAACAGTTTCTCTCCCGAGATCTCTCGGCACCTCTCATTCAACAACCTTCCATTGACCTACCCCACCAGCTCCAGAAAGACAACAACTGCAGAAACAAAGAACCACAGACACTAACCACCGTACCCATTCCTGCCTGTTCATTAGAGAAGGAAAAGAAGCGCGCCATGAAGCAGCAGAAGGAGGAGGAGAAGAAGAAGACCACCCAGACTACCCAGACTGTTGAGGAGGCTCTTGCCAGCATCAAGGAGGATGACTTCCCTGCATCGATGGAGGAGCGTGAGAAGTTCTGCATGGATCAGCTCTCGGCCGGTGAAGCCCTCTTCACTCGTGGTATGTCCGTTTGATCCAGGATTCTCGAGGAGTGGGTGATGTCATTGCTTTGGATTGTCAACCGGAACTACCACTGACTTTAATCTCCACCTTTTAATGTTACCTCGATGGCGATATGTAGGTCCCGAGGGTTATGACATGGCTGCTATCTGCTTTTACAAGGCCTTGAAGGTCTACCCCGCCCCCGCCGAGTTGGTTATGGTTTATCAGAAGACCATCCCCCCAGAGGTTTTCACTTTGGTCATGGGCATGCTCAGCATGGATGTAGGTGTCTTGTTCAATGCGTTCTTCAAATCGTGCTCGGCGAATGCATGGTTAGGCCTGAGTGATTGACCAGTTACCGGTTCATCATTTTGATCTTTCTCAATAGGTCCACAAGAAGCAGGAGAAGTACTACACCGTTTTCCCTCCCAAGGAGATGAACGTCAAGGTTGATGAGTTGCCCGAGGGTGTCACTGCTGAGGGACAGAGTGTTGTTCGCCGTGGATTGATCGCCACCAAGGACTTTGCTGCTGGAGAGACCATCTACTCGGAGACACCCATCATCAGCTCTTTGGAGCCCTCGTTGGAGGGCAAAGAGTTCTGCCACTACTGCTTGAAGCAGATTGTTGAGGACGAGTCCAAGGTCAACTGCCCTACCTGCACTAAGGTTGTTTTCTGCTCAGCATCTTGTGAAAAGTCAGCCACGACTGAGTTCCACGCTGTTCTCTGCACCAAAGATTCCGAGGATGCCTCGACCCCTGAGCGCTCGCTTTACGACTACACCAAGGAGACCAACAGCAAGTACCCCGAGATGATTGCCAAGTTCTTGGTGCGCATGGTTCACGAGGAGACCTTGAACAGTGGCGAGGAGTACAACTTGTTTGATCACATCGAGCGTCTCCGCTTCTTGGAGGTCCGGCCATCGGCTGCTGAGGAGAAGGAGATTGAGCTTCTGAAGGTTGCTCTCGGCTCTAAGATCCCTGGTATTGAAGAGTTTATCAACGAGGAGCGCTACTTGACCCTTAAGGGCAAGTTGCTTTACAACGCTTTTGGTGTCTCTACTTCTTTGAACGCTGACCGTTCCGTCGAGGTAAGAAACTCATTTTGGATCTATTATTGCATGCTTGTTTATGTCTTTGATCTTCTCATGCAATGCAGAGTGGTTTTGGATTTCATCCTTGAATGTTGACCCATTATTTAACCCCCTCCCCTCTTCTTTTGGAATATTTATATAGCCTTCCCCAGAGCAGTACCGCAGTGAGCGTGGTGCCCCCGTTGTTGGTGCTGGATTCTACAGAGTTACTTCCTACATGTCGCACTCGTGCGAGCCTAATACCAAGATTGCTTACCAGGATCACAACAACAACTTGGCTGTTGTTGCCACAAAGGCCGTCAAGGCCGGAGAGGAGCTTCACGTTGGATTTATCGACCAGAAGAACGGTGAGCTCTCGACCGAGCAGCGTCGCCAGGAGCTTTTCCAGCACTACCGCTTCAAGTGCATGTGCCCCCGCTGTGAGGCACCCGAGCCCGTTGCTGTTGCTGCTGCTGTTGTTGCCGAGGCTGCTGATGTTGCCGAGGCTGCTGTCGAGGCTGCTGTCGAGGCTGCTGTCGAGGTTGAGGCAGAGGCTAAGGCTGAGGTTGAGGCTGTCGAGGAGGTCACCGCCTAAAAAGATTTTTTTTTCGTTAGTATAGTTCATTATTTTACCACCACCACTTACCACCACCACCACCACCACCACCACCAGAGCGGAGACGACGAGGTTCCACCTAGCATTAAAGACTTTCATTTGCACTCAGTTCACGCATCTCTCTCATAACTAAGATATATGGTAGTTGCGAGGTAGTACTGACTTCTTTTTGCGCATGGGGCAGGTCGTATTGTTACCGTGTTGCCTCAGAGCCGCAACGCAGCCTTTAAAGTTCATTTGATTGGTCAATTCGATTACAATTGGCACGTCACACACTGGTTTTCTACCTTGTTAATCCTCCAGCGGCTGTGAGAGTTTGCCACCACTTATTCCACTCCCACCCCACCTTTACCTCAGAACAACCGTCTATGGAGATGACAGAGTCAACCATGATAGGAATGAATACACCCAAGAGTCCACAGATGAACAGAGTAATAACCAACAGACCTACAACAACATCATCAACCTACTCCTCTCACACACACACACGCACACCCTCCCTTCTCTTTCTTCCGATAAACCTCCCCACGAACTCATTCATTCTCCTTCTCGCCCTGCTCTCTTCCGTCTTTTAGAACACTCATCAGATGGACACGGTTCATCCACTAGCACAGGCACCACCCACAGACTCGAGGTAATAAACCTTGCCTTTATTACACACACAGCACAGCAGGAGTTCTCCCGCCCCACCTCCTACTTCGCCCACACTGCTCTCTCCCTTCTTTTTTTGGATACCACCTTCTCTCGTTAGCAGCTGACAAAAAAAGAAAGCAGACACCAATCTCACCCACGTTCCTTTATCAAATGACGTCCTTACCCTATCCTCTCATCACTCCCATGCTTTTATTGACTTCAACCTACAAACGACTAAAAAATAGCTCCATCGCAGCAGCAGCAAAGAAGCAAGGAAAGGGTGTGCCCATCCAGGTCCCCACCAACCAACGTCGTCTCTCCAACTTTTCGGTAACAAAGTCCAACCGAGCTCTGGTGACAGGACACAGGGACGGAGGAGGCACCAGCTCAAGACGGAAATCCAGTGTCTCCTCGCAGGGCCATCAGTCCCCGCCTTTTTTTGCACACAAAGGTACTCCACAAGGGAGGAAAGAAAGACTCTTGCGAAAATGATGCCTTGTGTGTCCGATGCTTTTTTTTTTTTTTTGCAGAACACTCAGAATCAAAAGACGAATATGTTGCATTTTGCGAATTGTTGTGGAATAGATGAGTTTGATATTATCGGGACCTTGCCTGGGTTTGAAGCAGAGTCGAATAGACTGGCCAAGGGCAAGTTGGTAAAGTCTCTTTCTGGTCCCGTTGTTTTTGGTTGTTCCTCCTTCACTTTTGCGTAATGCCATCAGCTGACACCGGTGTCGCCATCCTTATCATCCTTAACCTTGTTTTTAGAGGTTGGGAGTTGAGGATACATTGCCGGAAACAATCGAAGAGAACGAAGGTAATAGATATGGACTGAGAAAAGATATAAGAATGTCCATTCCTTTCTCTCTTGCTTCCCCCCTTGCAAAAGTCACACCTGATCGAAATATAGAGAAGTGAGATAAATGAGGAATTGACCAACCAAAGCACTCCTTAGATCACACGCCCGTCAAGAGGAAACTGTCGCACACAAAGAGGGAACACTCAATCTCGGAGGCATCCCCCACCACCACCATCTCTGGACCATTCCCCAAAAGGCGGAAAAGCGTAAGTTTTTATGTCTTTTTGTCAGGATCAGGTCACTTTTATTTTCTACTCGACCAAAGCTGAGTAAAAGAAGGTCATGTTGCACCAATTGTACTTAACGTATTGCTCCCCTTTTTCTACTTGATAGTCATTTTCATTGGAGTCGCTTTCAAGACTGGGTGGCCTCTCGAAGATCACACCACCTTCGCCACCTTCAACAGCATCGCACACCCCCGAGTCTGTCCAATCACCCTCAGACTACCTTGCGAAGCACGCAGTTGGATCATCTCGGTCGACATCAGGAAACTGGCCTCAGATTGCAGTAACAAGTGTTCGTGTCGGACCCAAGACGGAGTTCTTGACTAACGGGATCACTGTTCAGTTTGGATTCGACCGGTTAGCATTGACCATCAAGCGGAATTGCACCAGAATTCCACACACGGATCTCAAACTTGTCGAGGTACTTAGTTTGTTCTTAATACACAGATGTCTTTACATGCAGTGGATGACAGACAAGGAAAAAGCACAGGATGATGATGATTGACACTCTTCTTGTATCACCCCTTCTCTCGGATTACCTAGTATTACACTGGTTCTGTGGTCAAGGTGATCCAGATTGTCACACATAGGAAATTGCCAGATTCCTCGATCTTAGCACAGTACTACGACCCTGCAATGCATTCAGGAAAGGCGCGCAAAATTACTCTGTACACGGAAGCGAGCTCATCTCTTATTCTCGACAATTGCGCATACCTCAAGCAGAAGGGAGTCGAAACCAAGCCTCTCAGGTGAGTTTCTGTCGAAGGATGTTTTCGATATGCTCGATGGCCCGTTGGTGTTCAAGCTTCCCATGATCACGACGCTCATGCCTTTCCAACTATATTTTTTATATGATAGCATGGACGCGGCAGAAAAGATTCTCAACTCAAACAACTATCGGTATGGCAACTCTCAGGATCACTCATATTGGACGAGTTGGACATGGACTACTGTGGTTGGCGGCCTCCCTAATCTGGATCACATTTTGCCTCTCTTTGTTTTCGATAGCATGTCGGCCGCACGCCCACCGGAGCAGTCCGAGGAAACGTATGTGCACATCTGAATACATCAACAATCCAGATTGCAACTTGTGTTCAAAGCAAGACTCGAATATCTAACCTCGCTATCATTATCCCTTCATTTCTCTCAAATAGACTGTTTGTGTTCCCATACAGCACGTCGCCAAAGACAAAGTCAATCGCTGTCAGGGCTGAGGATGTGTTGCGGTTGGAAGACGGAGAGTTCCTGAACGACACGATCATTGAGTTTGGGCTCAAGTAATTCATTCGGCAATTTGATCCAATGCTTGCACAGGCGTTTGAGGGGACGTTTGTCGTTTGAGGACAATTCAACTCACATTGGACTCTTGGGTCTATTGCTACATTTTACTTTTTAGATACTCTTTAACGAACATGGAACTCAAGAACAAGGCACTCTCTGATCAGGTCTATATCTTCAATACGTTCTTTTACCAACGATTGCTTTCCAAGCCAGCGTAAGTCTTCCTTTCCGAGAGTTAGGGATTGCTAAACTGCGGAGATTATTGAGAATTTTGAGGGACCTCATCTGATTTTTTTTTGTCCTTGCTTCTCTTACCGATCTAAAAGCAAAGGCGCCACGAGTTCGTACAATTCTATCAAGAGCTGGACAGCCAAGGTCGACATATTTTCCAAAAAGTATATCGTCGTACCTATCCACGAAAAGTGAGTATCAACCGCGACTGATAAGGCATCTCGAGTTTGTTTGTTTTTCGTTTTGACCAGCTGGAAGACCTAACTGGCCTCGTGGCGCTCACCTCCTTCTCTTGTCTGTTAGTTTGCACTGGTATCTGGTTGTGATTGTCAACCCAGGACTACTTCTCCAGATGGCGGAAACGATTGAGCAGTTGAAGGTCTCAGTTGCACCTATGAAGGCCGACTCTGGTATTTTGCTTCAAAGCGCGGACAACAGCGGATGTGGCAATGTGTCATCGCCAGGAAGCGATGCCAAGACGCCACCCTCAGGAGACGATATGGATGTAGACGTGGAGACCAGCCCGTCTCCAAAAGCAGGGCGCACTACCGCCGAAGAAAAGTAAGGATCCCCTAAATCTATGCGCGCTTGCTGAACAAGAAGCTAATTTTCCGCCTGTTTGAAGCAGACTGGACAATAGTAAACTAATCCGGACTGCCAATCTTTGTTGTGCGTCGTTAGACCTTACATTCTTTGCTTGGATTCGCTTGGAGGCACACACCCTACGGTGTTCAAGGTTCTTCGATCGTATCTGCAACAGGAGCTGTCGGCAAGGAAGGGTCTCGAGATGGCGTTGACGACCAAGGAGATTGCAGGAAAATACTCTTCAAGAGTAAGCATGATGTGATCAAACTTTGCTCTCTGCTATATCTCACGCTGAAAAGGCGTGATGTCTTTTGCTAGTTTCATTACTGACTCAAAGATAATTTCTTACGTATTAATTGTAGTGCCCAAAGCAGGAGAACTTGTGGGATTGTGGAGTGTACCTGTTGCACTATGCTGAAGTCTTCTTGCGGAACCCCAGCGGACTTTTGGACGGCATCCAGGTAAGGGCACTGACAACTACATGCACACCTCGTTGATGGAGGCAACATGTCCTTGTACTATTTTGTCACCTACTCATATATGTCCAATTGATATATTTTCTATATGCGAAATAGAGCAAGACTGACGACAAGACGACTTGGGCCACATCAGAGCTGCCCACGAAGCGCGAGAAGTACAGGGAGATCATGGTGACACTCAAGCAAGGATACAAGGCCTACCAGATCAGCCAGGAGTTCATTGAAGATTTTAAGGAGAAGAACAAGGAGAAGTCGACGACTGACTCTGCGCGACGTAGATCTGGTGGTTCCCCATGTGAGGCAGATTCAAAGGAAATGGCACAGAAAGAAAAGTCTGTGTCTCCTTCTGGCGGGTCGAGCGAGTCTGGCGGTGACGGGGAGGGTGGCAATGTCAATGACAGACGGTTGAGCAAGGATTGTGGAGATCGGGGCGGTGGAGATGATGCCAGCTTGGCTAGGAAGCCGAGCCGGGAACTTCGCAAGATGGACACTGAGCTGTAGATAGAAAGGCCCTCGTCCTTCTCGCTAAGAATAAGATATATCCTTACAAGCGCCGAGCGTCGCGCATCTTTTGCATTGCAGTCCCACACAAACTCAAGAATTAGGTGGCAACATTCAAAAAAGTGTAATGGCAGTGGCCAATAAAAAAGGCACGCTAGAACCGCCCTGGAAACCTAAAAATCAAGCTTGTTGGTCGAGACACCTCCCTTGAAAACCTTCCTTTCACACACCAACAAAAAAAGAAATAGAACGAATGCAAAGCTGATCAGCCATGCGCGACTTCATTCATCGCCTCTACCCCTACCAAGCCTTCAAACTGATGCTCCAACGCGTCCAACGACAACACCAACGTCTTCCTAGTGCAACAGCAGCCACCACCACAACAACTCATTCCCCATTGTCCAACTCGTCGTCTACACACCCTCCTCCTCCTCCTCCTCCTCCGCCATTCAACCCAATTCAGGCACGCTCTCACCTCGTCTCCTACTTTACGGCCCTCAAACAAGCTGCCACAGCCGCCGCTTCTCCTTCTTCTACCCAATCACTACCAGCAACAAGAACGCAACTCACCCAATCCCACCTCGGCTTCAACCTCTCCATCCGTCCCTCCCAAATCCCAAACTCCGGCCTCGGCGTCTTCCTCCACCGCCACGACCACCACCCAACCTCGACATCCACCTCCACCAAACCTCCAACAATCCCCACAGGAACGATCGTAGCCCTCTACCCAGGAACGCTCTACCACCCCGGCGAAGCAATCTTCTTCAACTCGCTCCAGAACCGTTACATCCTCAAATGTGAAGACGGTATCTTTGTCGACGGTAAACCAACTGGTCTCTCGGGGTCGATCTTTCGATCGGCGAATGGGCGAGATAACTTTCCTGGTTGTGTTCCTACAGCCGATATTACATGGATGGTCAATTGGTCCAAACTTTGGTCCTCAACCCTTCTTCCTTCAGCTTCATCATCATCATCATCATCACCATCGCCATCGCGGTCGTCAGTACCCTCAGACAAAACTACAGTCACTAGCGATAACAACAACAACAACAGAGAAGAACTACAGGGAATCGATACATCAACACTACTCAAGAACCCACTTGCAGTCGGTCAGATCGTCAACAACGGAACCGCACAGTACCCACCCAACGTTCGGTATCAAGAACTTGATATCCAAACACGCAGCTTTCCTTTGGACCTACAAGAGTTCCTCCCCAACATATGGTACTCTGGCGACTGGCACTCTTACGACCACGACTACGAGCTTGAAGATAATGGAGGAGATCCATGTAGTAGGGATATGGAACGGATAACAGGGAGTGGAGGGCTGGATCGATTAAGAACCGTCGTGTTAGTCACGACCCGACCTATCGAGAAGGACGAAGAATTGTACTCCACCTACATTGAGTAATAATTATTTTGCGATATTTTATTGTCTGTGTGTGTGTTTATTTGAAGTTCTCCGAGGAGATCAACAAGCTGAAGTGTGTGGTTGTGTGTGTGTGCGTATGGGAGTATGTCGTTTCAGTTTGGGTCATCAATGATATTTGGTATGAAGTAAAAGAAAGTCATGAAAAGTAAAAGCTATTGTTGTTTTTGAAGGAAAATAAAATGAAACGATGATTGCGAACGAGATATAAAACAAGAGAAAAGAGTGCTTCACGCTCATGCATGATTAGATTTCTTCTTTCCTCCTGTTTTCGTCTTGCTTGCAGACTTGGCGGGCTTGGACTCTACAACGTCCTCAGAACCGACAACGTATCCCTGTGCACTATCCCTATCCTCGTCCTCACTCTCCTCATCATGGTGAACCCCCTCAGCATCGCTGTCATGCCAGTTGTTGACAAACTCGATATCATCCGACTCCGAAGAGCGCTCTCCAGTAGGGACATGGTCTGAAACAGGTTCGGGGCTAGTACCTTCTGAGAGCCCAGGTCCGTTGTGGTGATGATGATGCTGATGATGTTGATGCTGGTCGTCAGAGCGAGGTGATCGGTCCATTGAAGGTGCGGGCGAAGGCTCTCTGGAAAAGGGCAATGGCTTCTCCACGGCACGAAGAAAGGTGGAGTCTGGCTTGGGTGATGAGCCAATTCCTGCAGCAGCCAGGCGTGTTCTTCTGCGCGAAGGGTTGAAAAAGTTGCACTTTGGACACACATATTCTAATAGAACAAAAAAAAAACATCCATTGATTAAAGCCTGTTCCTTCAACAGTCAATTTAGCGAATGTATCCAGCAACGATACAACAGAGCAAGATGACTTACGGATGTCTTCAATCTCCTGGGGAAGGGCAAGTCCGTTGTGAGCAAAGCACTGTCCACAGATGAGTGCATACTTGGTATCGGGTCCCTCCTCGCCAACAATCACATCCACAATCTTGTCGTACCAGTGCCTTTCATTGCTAGGATATCCGTATGGTGGCGACATGGCATTGTTGGGGTGTCCAGGTCCGAAGGGCGTCTGTTGTGGGGCACGGGGTCCGTTAGTGTGACCTTGAGGTCCTTGACCCATGTGAGGAGGTTGAGGTTGCATTCCTGATGATACACCCACAGGGCGACCCTGGAGAGCTGGGTTCATTGGTCCATTCATGACACCCTGTCCCTGGCGCTGTCTCAGTCCGGGATCCAACATGTTGGGCTGTTGAGGTCTGGGCTGTCCGTTTTGCTGTGCTGGGTTGGATCGGCCGTCAGGTCCTGAAGGTCTAGCGCCGTTGGACCGCTGTTGCTGAGATGACGGCTATGCCATGCGATAAGAAATGGTAATACAATCCGTCAGATGTATGAACAGTAAGGCAAGATAATAGTGCGTGACGAAACTACAAAAGCGGAATGTCAACTCCTGGATGCGCCAATGCATATGTTGTCTGTCATCTCCTTACGTCGTATCGTTCCAGAAGGGTCTTTGTTGAGTAGTAGGCAGTCTTCTTCTTGAGCTCCTCGACCTTGAGCCTTTGGTCAGCGCGCAAAAGGCTCAGTTGCGACTCTATTAATGCATTGATACCCAAAAAAAAACAAAAAAAGGGCAGGAGGTCAGTTTATGGGGTTGGGAAAAAATTAAGGCGAGGAAAAAGGCCAAGAGGAACGTGAAAAAAGGACAAGAAAAAAATCATGTCATCATTCTATCGTTGGGCAAATTGGTCGTCCACGTCGACACGCGCCTGAAGAAAAAAGTCCCGTCAATGTTTCCAGTACCTTCGGTGGTCTTTGAGCGCTTGTACCAGACAGAAATTGCCGAGCGTCCAGAGTAAATGCTGTTCAATGGGAAGATGCCAACAAAGCAGAACAAAGGAAGAAAAATACCGTTAGTCGGCGTGCAAATGCGTCAATCAAAATATCCCGCCTTTGAATTACCCATCACCCCTGGATGGGCTGACAAGAGATGGAAAATGTTGACCAGTTGACCAGACCGTCACTCCTCCCTTGCAGTGACGACCATAAACAACATTAACAAGCATCATCAACAAAAGAAACGAAGACTTTTCGCTTACACGGGGATTCCGAGAGCGACGACAGCAAAGGCAAGTGCCCATTTCTGGGGATCATCGTAGTACTGCTGATGGAGATAGAGGCCAAAGACTGCAGTGTATCCAATCCAGCTGAGCACAGAGTAGATGAGCCAGAGACCCATCATGCGCTTCTCCCGAAGGTTAACGATCGAGAGTCGCATCTCTGCCTTCCTGATATTGCTGTCGAGGTCCGACAGGATCTTTTCATAGTCAGAGTCGTTGCTCTATTTGTAGTGAAATGGTTGGTGGTGCATCCAGAGATGGTAAAAATGTAAAACGAGGTGCAGATGTGAGTGAGTTGGGGTGTGTTATGTTATGATGAACAAATAGAAAAAGAAGTGAGCCTGCACTCTCTATGATTGTCCTAGCACGAGCATTTTGCATTTTGCATTGTCGGATGCTTCTAAACCTGTGTCGTTCGAGACTTTTGTATCCGCTGTCGTCTGTCGTGAGCATGAGCTGAACGAGAGCGCATTGAAAATATCCAGGAATCCAGACTTTCGCCTTTGTCTTTCCGCCGTGGTTGTGTATGACCATTTGGTGTCCAGTCGTCCCTGAGAGTGTTTATCCAGTTGTACAAAAGAAAGTAGCAGTGCCTCTTGTTTGGTTCCTGCAGGAGTTTGTCAGCACTCAGGGTTGAGTGGGGTTTGCTGTGTCTTGTGTTTCTGTCTTGGTAGCTCGCCTGACACTTCCTGCGTTCCATTGTGATCCCGCTCCTGTTCTCACTTGTTGGATGACGAGCCAGTAATAAGAAGACTCGTGTTCGTCCAGTGACCGAGAAGAGGAAGGGGGAGAGAGAGAGAGGGAGGGAGAGAGAGAAGAGTCAAGTTGGTGAGAGAGTGTACCTGACGCAGCCGCGAGATGATGCCACCCATTGTTGTTGCAAGTGCTGATGGTTGAGTGAGTGTAAGAGTAAGTGAAATAAAAAGAAAAGGAGTAAAGAAATAGAAAAGGGTGTGTCCGTTGAGAGTGTGAAGTTGTGGTTGGTTGGTTAGAGTTAGGTCATTCAGAATAAGTGAAAAAAAGGAAAAATAAAGAAGCGTGAAAGGAAAGGAAAGGAAAGGAAAGGAAAAGAAAGGAAAGGGAAAGAAAAAAAAGTAAAAATGAAGGAAAAAGAAGTAATGGGAGGAACAAAAGGAAAGAGTAGACAAGAAGAAGGAAGAGACCATGCGCGTGTTCGCCTGCGAGTGGGGTTGTCACTCTCCAAGAATATTAACAAAAAAGATATATCATCACGTGTGGAGTTATTGTTTATGCCGCCAAAACAAAAGTCCTTCGTCTTTCAACCATTCACTTCCCAAGTCAACTCATCGCACAAGGACACCACACTCAGGCACACACGGACACGCAACATACACACCAAAGGAAGAACGCGCTATATTCTTATCATACAAGAAACTACACCATGGCAAGACTCAACTTGAACTCGCCATCAAGAACGAATAATACATCAGCGCCCTCTACGTCAAGAAGAAACAGAACAGTCCCTACCACTACTTCTACCTCTGCTTCAGCAACGACACCGCCATCATACCGCTTTCAAGATTCAGATAATCCCTTTCAGGAGTCACTACCGTCGTCCTCTTCAACAGCAAAAACAGTAGCAGCAGCTCCCATACCTTCAGATACCATCGCATCATCAACATCTAGAACCACACAACAATCCACCACCACTAGTGATAGCAGGACAACAACAGCACAACTGCCGCCAGTAAAAGCAACATCTAGCGCCAACATTACAATGGCAGTAACAACAACAAATCGCACAATAGCTTCAGGGCAGAACGGTCGTCAGGAACCAAGAGACGACCATGACGATTACGACAACGATATCCTAGAAGACGAACACGGCAACGGAGACGATATGGACGACAACAATCACCGCGGTGATGAAATGGAGAAACAACAAGATAACCCACTCATACACCTCACCCAAAACCAACGCGAGGCCGCCGTGGAGAACCTAGAAATCGAGAGTATGTCCCACCCTTCATCATAAAGTTATAACTGGATCATTCGACAGTACCGTTATTCTACATACAAACACAAAACTAACCCCAAACCCTTCTTACAACACTGACGATAACAGCAATGGACAGGATACAGAAGCTACGAGCATCGATCGGCGTATTAACAAATTCGCTCAAGTTCAGGGCCGAAGCAGAGGTCAACCGTCTCCCCGCCGCCATCCGCACAATGACTGTCGAAGAATTCTGGTTCACCTACAACGGCAGCGCAAAGGAATACCTCGAACAACAGGCTAAGTCCAAATCCGTCGCCAATACCGCCTTCCTCCATGCCCTTGGCATGGTCGACCACAAGAGGTATCCTTTTTGTTTATTTTCATATCAATATATTCCAGTTTGGCTTTCCTTGGTCGTTGCAAAGCTAACAAAAGGGTTTACACTCTCTTCTTGCACAATTGTAGGAAACGGGAAACGCCAGGACCAACGGATGACTTGTGGCAGCAAACAAAAAAGAACCGGGATGAACAACGTCAGGTACAAAAAAAAAACATACGTTCTCGCTGTTCACATTTATTTGTGAATTTGCTCCGCAATTATCTGCTGCATAAGTGCCACTAACAGCGAACTCTCAAAATGCGAATAGAAACAACCGCAAGCGTCAGGGCAGAATCATAGTAGCAGTATGAGCAGCAATAGCACGAGCCACCATCATAGACCCTTACACCAATCAGTACGACACAATCCATACCAAAGTCAGCATCAACAGCGTCGCCAAAGTCCATTTGTAGGATCCCGTTCAGGACGTCAATGATACCATGGAATAAACTAGCAACATGGCGGCACTCGAGGTTTTACTCAATTCAATACTTTACAAACATGAGCGAGGAGTATTTTATTTTGCACTTGTTTTCGACACAGACTGATCAGGGTAAAAAGATCTTGGAGTACCCTTGGACATCGCTTCGACAACAAGGGCATTGTTTGTACCGCTATGATCAAACACAAAGTTGAAAAAAAACGGATATGGGTTAGAACTCCTTCCATTTCGCATGCGTCAATCAAAAGCGCCCGGCCAAAGAAAAAATATCAAGAACTTACCCTGGACGCCAGCACTTCACGACATTCATTACAAAGCGCAAGGCATCGACAAGGCCTCAACAGTACGCCTCTGGGCTCCGTTTGACAGACCACGCACAGTAGACGCCCATACATCGTCCCCTCTTCATCCTGTTGGTTGGATGTTGCTCCCTTGGACGCCAGCGGTGGGGGAGTCATATCGTCTCCATGCAACGACGAAGGTGGTGTTGTTGTTGTCGGTGTTGGTGCCGACACATCCTCTCCAACGGTTTTACGGTACTTGTTCAAAACCGCCAACAGCAGTCGATCATCCGCCTCTGGGTCTGACGAACGACGGCCCCTCCTCCTTGACCGCTTCTGCTGTTGACCACTACCGCTGCTGCCGTTACTGTTGTTGTTGCTGGCTCCTGTCAACACGAGGAGATGTTGTGAACGGGTTAACGGCGTGTCCTGCATTCGCCCCGACAAGAAAATGCTCATGAACGACGTGTCCAAGAAGAAATCCTGCAATGAACCCAATCTTGGCCATCCAGAGGGAAGTCGCTGAACAGCCGAGCTCTCCTCATCGTCACTGTCGAGTTGCTCAAGACTTTCGCTTTCCTCCTCAGAATCCAGCGGGGTATCATATGCACGACGTTGAATGCCAAATGGTGTTTCCGCGCCTCCAATGTTGTCTCGGGATCCAGCAGCATTATCATTCTCATCCTCCGTGTTACTCCCGTCATCGTCATACTCGCTGTCCTCCAGATCCATATAATCGACATCATAGTCTTCATCCTCGTCGTCGGAAACAGTCAAGTCTCTTGACAAGAACTCGCTATAGAGCTCCTTCTCTTCCTCCTCGTCCAGAGCTGAGGCCGCGAGGTACTTGCTGACCTCAAATTGATGCATCTTCGACTCCCGTTCCTGCCGAGCCTTCTCCAAAGCGTTTTCGATCGACGTCCTCAGCTGGATATAGTCCTGCACGGACATGCGAGCATTGGGGATCGGCCGGATAGTCCGCTTGAACCGAGCAGGAACAATTCTGTTGTAGGCGCCGTAGGTCATCTCTGCTACTAACTTGCCGCTACTCACACAAAACTCCTTCATGACATTGAATCGATTGCGTCGTCGGGAGATCGTCTGTCGTTGTCCGGGTGTCTCGACCACATCCGCCATCTCGTTCGAGAATCCTGACGCTGCTGGCGCCCGGAATCGCTGACCGCGTGTTCCAAACGAAAATGAGTACGAGGTCGAGGACGACCCTGCCTGAGTACCCTGAGTTTGGTCGCCCGAGGATAATGTGGAGCGCGACTTTGGCTTTTTCTTGTCGAGCAGGGTTCCAAAGGGCACAATAACCGCATCCACCTCGTTCCTGAACCCTACGCCTCGAGTCGCCTCCATGCAAGCCCGCCCGACTTTGAACACAGCCAGTCCATATTCCTCATCCCGGGTTGGCATAGCTCTGGGCTCAAACATCTGCCTCCTGACATTGCCTCCAGTGACGATATAAGTCAATGCATGAAGCGTCATCTAAAATAGGTTGGAGAAGCATAAAAAAAGGGTCAGAGTTGTCCTGCGTAACCGCTTGTTGTTGTTGTTTGTTTACTGATGCTCCTTGCCCTATTCCGATCGCAGTGCACTCCTTCTCTCCTCTCTCCTTGCCTCTGTCAAACTCTGTCCACACCTCTCTCCCCTGCATTTTATTCTTGGTTAGTTTATCCTTGTGCATTGTGTAGCCCAATTTTTAGCCGCTTACCGAAATGCCCACCATCAGGATGACAACTACTTCTGGCAATCGAGTCAACATTTGAAGAGACGGGTAGGTGTTGGATCGATGGTAGATGGCAAACGCAAAGTGCAAGAGATCCAAGACGCCCCAGAATGTCGTTACTGCCAGTCGATAGTTCTTGCCCTGGCTCGAGAGACTCAGGAACTGAAGCATCAACAGCTGGCAGACCTGGATCAACGAGATGACGAGGATATCGCGTCCATATGGCGTGAAATGGAACAAGATCGCCCACTCCAGCATGTTGGTCGCCTGCTCATGGCTCCCGTTGAAATGCAGGTTAGTGATAAACGAGTCGATCGTACAGGAGACGCCCATGGCAATGAAGCTTAGCCAAAGGGCCTGTGATTCATTATACGACGTCCTAAAGTTGGACATCCAGCTCAAGCCCAGTCCTGCCCCCGCTCCGCTGTCCTGAGTGACGAGTGCCAGGGTGATGAGTGCGCTCTTCGTCAAGAGATAGAATGATGGCAGTTTGAGCGCGAAACGGACAGACATCTTCAAAGGGTGAGGGTTCCTGGGGGCGACAATTGCATTAATCCTGTTCAGCACGATGCTCTATATCCATCCGAGAAAAAGAAAGTAAATACGGCAATGGTCAGATTTTGCTTGTACTTTGACGTGCGTGCATTTGCATGAACTCTCGTTTGTTACACCCGGACCACGAAAAACCAAGAACGAAGAAGGAAAGAGAGAAAGAAAAACGAAATAACAAAAATGTCGACCTACCATGAAACAGAGCAACAGAAAGTACGGACTGGTGAAAAAGTGGATCATGGATGGTTGTGAGTTCAACAATCTTCCGTTATGAAGTCCGTATCCATTAATACCTCCTGATCCACTACCACCCGTCGGCACAGCTGCTGCTGCTACTCCACTTCCTGATGCAGCACCAGCGCTGGCAGCGGCAGAGGCATTCGCATTGACGACGGCCGCGCCTCCTCCTGTCAATCCAGTTGTTACTCCAGTTCCAGCTCCACTGCTGCCGCTACTTGCCACGCCGTTGAGGGTGCTGCCTGCTCCAAAGCCGTCAAAGGGTCCGACCAGTTTGGATGAGCCCAGCACGGTGTGTTCAATCGCCCGTCGCATATCCCAGAGGCCACTAGGGATATGGTCCCGGATAGAGTCAGAGACAAAAAGGAAGGGCTGACGGACGTAACCGCGGAGGGGCAAGTAGAGTGCCCTGGAGTATGATTCCAGGGTCTCTACAAAGGGCATCTGGATTCGTTGCAACAGGGTGAAAGAAGAGAATGTTGAATGTTGTGGTGCTTTTCCTGGGAAGAAAAAAAGAGTTGCTTCCTGGTGTCGACCTGTCGCTGTTGCAGTCGCTGCGGTGGTTGTTGCTTCGTGTGTATGAGTGTTGAATGAGAAGGGTATGGTCGTTGCTAATGAGACCTGGAAACAGGAGAAGAGGCAAACACAAAGTGGAGAAGGTAGTAGTGATAAGAAGACGACGAAGAGAAGTGGCTAATTTGGCTCTTGAAGGTGAGATGGGCGAAGTTTGAAAGGGATGGGACGAATGCAATGAAGTGAAGGATGAACAATAACGGCGTGATGATGAGAAAGGAGGAATAAAAGAAAACTGTGGGAAAAGGAAGAAGGAAAAAAAGTAGGGAAGAACGAGAGCAAACGACAAAGAAAGAAAGAAAGAAAGATATCATCTCCCTATGTGTCTGCCCATCCATGGGCTGAAACAGCTGCCAATTCGATCTTTGTCATGGACGCTCTCCCTTCATTGTTGGGGCAAATGGATGATTACTATGTGTATTTCAAGCCTACTTTGCTCCTGGCGCTGGGTATGTACTCGTAGTGGTGCTCACATCGGGCAACTACGACGATCCTCTGCCTGGGTCGGAGTCGGCAGCAAATTGCCATGCCATGCTTGCTGCTTTCTCTTCTCGGCCTGCATGCCGAAATCGTCGTGTTGGTTTTGGTTTACCACGACTGCTTGACATGTTCGTCTTGTTTGTCCTGTCCGAAGTAAACATACGATGCGCAGACTGGTGCTTTTGTTCTCGTCCATTCATTCCTCTGCCTTGTCCTCCCCTCCTTCTCCTCCTTGGGCTCAACTCGTCTCAACAAAAAACGTCCAGAAAGAACCCGTCAGCACCACGCAACCCAACCAACCGATCAGGAAAATGAAATAACCTTACTGGGTCGACGATCGCACCTGCGCCTGCCTCGACTGGAACGATATCCGATTCCCCGTCAACACCCTCTCCTTCTCCGAATCTTCCAGATCTGAAAAGAATGCCCCCACAGACGGTGAGGTTGGTGACAGTGGTGGTGGTGGAGGGTATGGCAGCTGTCCTTCCCAATACATATCGACCTTTTGTTGGTCCTGCAGAGACAACAGGATGAACTCTGATGAGTTTGGTCGATTCCGTCCAAACTTGCCGCTCTTATCCCTGTTACCACTGTTGCTCGTTGTGCTATTGTTGGTGTTGTTGTTGGTGGCGGAAGGTAATGGGCAAGGTGGAGGTCGAAGGAGAGAGATAGCTGCTTTGACTCCGGAGGGTCCGAGTGAAGTCGAGCGGGGTCGTGTTATGGCAGTTGCAGGAGTGGTGGAGGATAGAGATGTTGCTGAGTAAGATCGTCCTTGGCCGTTGTTGCTATCTAACGGTACATCGGCAGACAACGATCGAGACATGCGGTTCGACTGTCGAGATGTCATCGATGGCGTAGGAACAAGAATGCTGTTGCGGCTGTTCCTATGCGAAGATGGACTCGCACCGCTGGTATCAGGCATCCTGACCGAGAACGACGAGACGGGTGATGTTGAAGGGGGTCCCGAATGATGGCTGCCCCTTGTCCTGGGCCCTTCGAATTTGGTGGCAACTTTTGGGACGGCGGAAGTTGTATTGATCCGTGGGGGTGCTGGAGGATGAGCCTTTCCAGCTCTGCTTGTAGGAGTCAATACCTCCGTTCCTGCTGTTGCTGCAGCTGACGTAGATGGTGAAGGTTGTCTCTTATCCTGTTTCTGCCGTTGCTGCATGGTGCGACCATCCGGATGTAATGTGGATGAGGACGATGATGACAACGAAGGCAAACACGACGACGAAGATGAAGCTAGAGATCTACTCCCTTGCACTTCTTTCTCAGGAGTAGGAAGAGGACGACGACTCTGTTTTCGGTGCTCATCGAGATCGCCCTTTCTACTATCGTGCCATCCGACAGCAGCAGTAGGAATTGGAGTGACTGGACTGTATACGCTCCCTGATTGATTCCATTGCACCGGACCTGAAGGCATCATTGTTAGCTCCAGATCCGAATCGCCCCTCCTCCCTCCTCCGTTGTCGTTAGCAGCGCCAGCAGTCGGAGCCACAGTGTGTTGAGACAAGCCCATCCGGACAACACTGCAACCATCGTCGCCAATCTCCATCTCGTCCGGCCGTGGTGCCTTGTGGAACGAGACAAAGAACCAGAACGCAAACCAACAGAGCCAGAGCACGCTCTCCAGGAACACCGCTCCAACAGCGCTCTTGGTCGACCGACAGAACCCCCTCAAGGGCTCATCATACAACAAACAACGAATTCCTTTGCGGATTCGATAGCCCTGGAGGATGGATGCCAACAGGGTCAAAGCGACCAGTCCCAGAAGGATACATACCCTCGGTAGCGGGCAAAGCACAAATGCGGATACTCGGAGGATCTTGCTCCGACGGCCAGGGGTCAAAGCACCATTGCTGCTGCTGCTGGTCGGACTGTTGCTCTTCTCTGCCAATGACCAAAGGGAGGACGACGAGGCTCGTGTGTTTCCCTGCGCTGCGTGAGCCTGCACCTGTGCCTGTACGTGTGCAGCCTCGATCGCTGCGGTATGTGCCAATCGGACAGACATCTTGATCTCCTCCTGCACGCTTGCTGTACGAGTCCACCATGCCAACAGACCATACCCGACCGCAGTGGTGATAGAAAAAAGGCAAGCCAGGAGGAGGAACCAGGCAGTAGGGGAAAAGTACCCGTCGATGAGCTGAAAGTGGATTGTCGAGACGATGTTGTAGAGGGCAAGGATGCTGACACCGGTCTGGACAGTGTGAAAGACGATCTCAGTGGGACCTCCTACCCTGGTGAGACGGTGGAGATCGCGAGGGTTCAAGGGGTATGTCCTCCAGGAGGAACAGGGTGATGGTAGTTGTTTGGATCTGGTTGGTGATTGAGAGGGCAATTGTCGATGTGGGGGAATGGCTCCTGAAGGCATTTTCTGAAGGATGGTGGCGAGATGCAATGGGAGGCGGATATGAATATGCTAGAGGGAGGATGCACAGAGGGAAAGGTGAGTGAAATAAGTGTGTGATGGACAAAAATGAAAGGAGTGGCAACAATGAAAAGAGATGAGAAGGCATCTAGGAACCAAAGAAAAAGTACACTCTTTAAATATCAATAAGGTGATGTGGAGCCAGGATGGTTACATCCAAGGAACCCACAGATATGAATTATCATCTCAAGGCATACCGACCCTTTCTCTTTCACACGAACGTATTAAACGCGATGAATATCCGCGATAAAAAATATGTTTAGCCACATAGCACAGACAGCATGCAACAGAACACCTCGACAACCAATCCTCCTCCATCCTCCTTCTCTATCTATTTGCCCTCAATGTTCCCTTTGACCCGTCACGACCGTTTGTCAGCCAAACAGAAGATTAAGGATCCAAGTAAAAGTCATCAACAACCAGCGATCTCCTGTGTGGTAGTGCCAGCTGGAACCCGTTCTGTTCTGACCCCTTCCACGCAAACTGTGCTCACAAACAAACACATTTTGCTTTTTGGGCCAATCCTTGTATTATTCCATCTTCCTATTGAGATTTGCTAATGTACAGCTATGTATTTGTGTATGTTTTGAATGGTGGTGTTCCTGAAAGAAATGAAGAAGCTGCTTCACTGAGGGGGGCGGAAACCGGGAGGTGGGGGACGGAAGCCAGGAGGTGGGAGACGGAAGCTAGGAGGTAGGGCTTGAAATCTACAACAGATAAGGTAAAACAGCAGATAATTAGCTCTGTCGCATTTCAAACACCAAACATTGTGCAAAGTTCAGGTACAGAGCAAAAGGTTCTTACCCTGCGAGCGGTTGACCCGGACGGAAACCTTGAGGGGAAGCAAATGGAGGCATGCCTGGACAGAATCCAGCTGGCGGAGCACCAAGCGCTGGAACACCAGTTGGAGGTGCATTGGACTGACCCATTGATCGGAATCCAAGTGGCGGAACTCCAGGTTGGCCCATCGGGAGAAAAGAAAACGGGGGGATCACGCCTGGCTGAGGCATACCTGACGGTGGCGGAGGACGAGGTAGACCCATTCCCATTGGGTGAAATCCTCCTGGAGGCACTCCAGATGGAAAGATAAATCCTGGTGGAGGGACAGCTCTTGGGTGGATACCTCGACCATATGCGAAAGGAGGTGCAACAATTGCGGATCGGCGAGGCAGCATCATTCCTGAGGCAGGTCCTCCAACTCCTCGAACAGGTCCAGCCAAACCAAAAGGTGCTTGTCCAGCGGGCGCCGCCATTCCTGTTCCTGCATAAACCTAATTTCGAGGACAAGCATGGTAGACGACACAGATCATGGTGTTAGCCTTGTGCTTCAAAAGGCATCAATATTTTACTTTTTCGATACACATATTAAACTTTGTCTGATGAGATTCCCACGAGTTTACTCATACCTGCGGAAGCCGAGCCTGCTGACCCTCGAGAGTGGGGGGAGGTGCTTCAACCCTCATGCTGACAATAGTCTCTCCACGGAGGATAACTAACCCCAGTGTCCGCTTATGCTCCTGTTCCTGTGCTGCTGTGCCCGAGGAGCCTGCCTTCGTCTTGATCTTTCTGAACTCTTCACAATCTGACAACACCAAATTCATATGCTTGTCAAAGGCAAGCATATGTCCTGTCATAATGCATCTGTCCAGCAGAATGACTCTTAACCTAAAGTTGAGAAGATGTATCATCTTGGTGCTCTTTGAAACCGTCTACACATAAGAGTTAACAAGAAAAAGGGTCGAAGGAGGTTATTACTTCTCTCACTGTGGTGGCGTACACGGACTCTCTGTCATCCTCTGAAGATCGCGGGGTGCGGCCCTGTGTGCCCGCAGTCGTGGTTTCCAGTTCCCATGAGTTATCATAGCCAAGGAACTGAAAATATATGTTCCTGAATTGCAGCTCTCATAAACATGGCTGTCCTTTGTTCCACTCCCTCCCAAGTGCCCGAGCGCTATTGACACGATCTTTTTTTATGTCATTTTATCGGACTAGAATAAAGAAAAGATATCTGAATCCAGTGATTCGGTTGGAATGCATATTCACATTGTCCTTGAGAGAGTGTGAATGAGTTTTCGTCGGGATCCTTTACCATTGTGTAGGAGATGCGTCTTGCTCGGCGCGTTTTAAAGGGGGGTGTCAGTGAGAAAGGGAAAGAGAGTTCTCATGTTCCACGACCTTTTAAAAGTAAAATGATGTCATAAATTTTCACCCCATTGGAGTGTAAGAACGAGAGCGTGACAACAACGCGTTGTTCTACGCGATTTCCTCTTTTGTTTCCTCCTTTCATCATTTGTTTAGTGAATCCCAGGGTGTGACCTCGCATACCTTGGTCCTGCAAAAAAAATCAAAAACACAAATCTCAAGGGTGGTTAGTGTGCCCCGTCGCCGGCTATTATTTTTCACTGCAGAAGTAATAGAATGGAATTTCTGAAAAATCATTTTAACTTACATAGATTCATTGGGGATCGTCTCCCATGCTCATTGTGGAGAGGATGGCCCCGATAAACCGGACACCCATCATCCGACTTTCCTCCTGCAAAGGATGACCTTCGAGACGATGTAACGCGTCGCTCCGTAGACCCCACTATAGAATTGAGACGTTTGTGATATTGGTTAACGCACTTTTCTTGTCGACCTGGACAGCGATATGGCATCTTAAACGGACAAAAAACACACGGTCTTATCTCCCATTCTCCTTCATGTATCTGAGGGCCAGTCCCAGATCGGTTGCCTTCACGATGACCTTCAAACCCAAGGAGATTGTTCTCGCAGTGAAGGTAGCCGCACTCATGAAGACAGAGTACACCTTCGATGACTTGGCGCTCCAGCAGACGAATCTCTTTCTTCCCTCCTCTGCGGCGGATCAGGTCCTCGAAGTTTTAAAAGTAAGTGCCTAAACTAAAAAAAAAAAAACGTGAAACGGTTGCTGGATTGAGAAAAAATGCGATTCAAAGTACATTCCTTAAAACAAGCGTTGTTACTTACCCGCGTCCATACAGAACTCCATACCGACGTGCCTTTTGGCTTTCCTGCTTGAAAAACGTCATGGAGCGCGACGGTAGCAAGTTCAACCCAATTCTGTACCTTTGACAAAGCCCAACACCTTGGACGTAGGAGTTTCGGACTCTTAACAATATCGTAGTCTTCGTCACTTTCCTCGCCCGCCGCTGTCCCTTATCCGAGTCTTTTGTTACGTTTCAGGCTCCTGCTTTAGATGTTGGTGGCGCTCCACTTTTTATTTTAGGTCGTTGGCGAGTCACTCATGTTTCCTGCAAGCGGTTGACAATTCCTGTCCAGATGAATGACAAACTGTTCCCCTATTATTTGAAGAGAAAAATGACGTGAATGAATGAGAGAAGGCTGGCAAGGAGTGAGGCGAATGGAGAGTTTGGGAATGGGTAGGAGAAAGAGAGAAGGAACGAGAACAACTGCATGGGAAATAATGGAAATGAAGTACACAAAGACATGAAAAGGGCGTGGGATGATGGGCTGGAACCTTAATTGACTTTTGCCAGGAACCAGCTTGATCTCATCCCTCCCATCTTTCCGTTGCTATGAAAAGAACAGTTGGATCAAAGTCAACTTGTTATCCATCACTCAAGCATTCAACCACCATCAACGATGAGAACAAAAAATGGATGCGTGGAGACAAAGTTTATTCAATTATTTCAAACAAAGAGCGGGAATGCACGGCTCCTTTCAAAAGTGGTAGACGACCTCTTCCTCAGTGGTGGTGTAGAAGATCTCGCTTTTGCGGAATCCGTTGAACTGAGACGCGGCGGTGATGGTGTAAGCGCCCATGTTCTCAAAGTACATCCAGTCGCCAGTCTCCATCAGCGGCAAGACAGCCTTGGACGAAATCAAGTCAATGCTGTCGCAGGTCGGGCCCCAGACGGAGGCAACTCCCAGATGGTCGTCATTGTTGATGCATCCAGACTCGTAGGCGTAAACGCCGTCGCGGAGAAGGACCTTGGGCTCGCAGATCTGGTGGTCAAACATAATGCAGTTGAAGGATCCGTACATGCCATCGTTGATGTAGTACATGTGCGAGGGAGTCTGGTCGAGCTCTCCTGCAGCGGCTGCGGCGGTAAGGACATCGTTAGAGACAGTACGGCGAGCAATCACCTGGGTGGCGAGGGTGAAGGCAGATCCAACAAAGTAGCGGCCGGGCTCGGCAATGACACGGACGTCGGGTCCAAAGAGAGAGTTAACAGTGGGTCCCAAGATACCTGCGACCTTCTCAAAGGTAATGCCCTCAGTGACATGGGCAGAGGGGAATCCACCGCCGACATCCAGGAACTTGAAGTCGAATCCATAGTCGCGAGCCTGGTCAAAGACGCGGCGTGCGCGGATAACAGCCTCTCCAAAGGCATTGGCGTCAAAGCATCCACTGCCGACGTGGAACGAGATTCCAATGACATCCAGCTGCAACTCCTGAGCGAGCGCCAACAATCCTGCGGTGGTGTCAAGGGGTGCACCAAACTTGAGTCCCAACTTGCAGAGCGACTTGGAATCGTCGGTCAAGATGCGGAGGACCAATTGGGCCTCGGGGTGGAAGCGCTTGATCTTGTACAGTTCCTCGGCATTGTCAAACGTCATCATGCGGACATTGTTGTTGTAGGCAAACTTGACGAACGAGTTTTGCTTGCAAGGGTTGGCGTAGATGATGCGCGAGGGGTCGACACCCATGTCGAGGACCGACTGGATCTCGTTCTTGGAGGCGCAATCGAATCCTGCTCCGAGCGAAGCCAACAAACGCATCACCATAGGATCCGGGTTGCACTTCATGGCTAAAAAAAATAGCGTCAAAAAATAAAAAGAATGTAAGTGTCAATTACAAACACACCATGAAGATTTCATGTGAAACGCTGCAAAGAAAAAAAAAACTTACCAAAGAAGGGCTCAATGCGGGGCAAGAGGGCCTTCCAGCGAAGGTGCTGGCGATAAACCTCGCCCAGATCGGCGACATAGAACGCATTCTCGGCCTCTGCGTCATCGCTCTCGGAAACAAGCGAAGCCAGGCGAGCCTGGAGCATCTGGGAGACGGGCAAGGCCTGAACCTGAGGCAAGTCGGCGGAGGGGCAAGCGGCCTTCATCTCGGCACGAACACGAGACTTCAAGGCCTCGACCAGGGAAGGCCGAACCAAAGTAGGGACGACCTCGAGGAACTGGTCATGCTGGTGAGAGATGTCGATCATTGTAGTGGTGGCGGAGGAGTAGGCGGGGGCGAGTGAGAGCGAAGAAGGAGACAGTGTCGAAAGTCGGCGAGGGCACTCGGACTTGGTGTTGGTCAGCGTTGACAAGTGCTGAGGAATAAAGCAGCAGAAAAAAAGCCTTTCCTGGAGAAAAAAGAGTCTGTTGAAAAGGGTGGAGTGCGAGGTGTTGTGGTTGTTCACACTAGGCCGTCGGTTCCGGGATGCCAGGGAGGCGGTCGCCGAAAAAGAAAGGACCTAAAGCTGTTGTTTCGTAGCGCCGTGATGATAGGCAAGCAAACCTGGTTGGAGGAACCGGTCTGCTTTTGGGGTGGGGGTGACTGGGTTGAAGCCCGGGGGGTAGAGTATTCTACTGGTTGTTGTGGTGGTTGTCGGACGAGAGCGGGAGTAGACTTTGTAAGTGTTTGTCTGACTAAGTCAAAGGGGTAATGGGGGGGGGGGGGTGAATGAGTGTTGGGAGGGTGTGGTTGAGTGTGGGTGTGTGAGTGTGTGTGTGAGTTGTTATGTGTTTGATGAACATAAAGTGGGCATGTTTGCTTTTATATCAGAACGAAAATGCGATATGGTAAAATAATCGCGCATGGTCCGCGATTTATTTTTAAAACAAGTCCGTTTTGCCCTTGCAGATGACTGGTCGGAACACCAAGAAAGAAGGTTTTCTTCACCACCACCAATGGACCTCTCTGGACTGACTGTGCCTGACTGGAGGGAAAGACGATCGCCAGGGTAGAACCAGAAGTGATTACAAAACATAACAAGGCTTCCAGAAGCAATTGACGGAAATGCCAAGACTCTGGTTCCCTAGATAAAAAAAGTTGGCTGCCACACTGGCCATTCGCCCTGTCTCGCCCACTCCACTCCACCAAGGTGCATTCTTCCTTTGGCCATTTTATTCTCTCTCAGGAAGGGGACCCATGTCAGCATTTTTTTTTTTTGTTTGGACAAAGAAAATGCACAGTAGTGCACCGAGTCAGATTAAGAAAAAAAAATGTGCGCATGGGTGCTATACTAAAAAGAGGCATTTTTTTTGTGTATGTCTTAGCACCTCTAATGCATTATCATGCTATTGACGATCCATTGGTCCACTCCACTTTCCGTCCCTATCCAAGGAAAAACACCTTTCATTTGAAAACGGACTCAGGGCAGCCTGTGCGCACACTCACACGCACACAGAGGGAGAAGGAGACGAGAACCACAACATATTTGAGCGATTCCAGCATGAGCGGATTCTCATAGGAGAAAAAAAATCAACGTACAGTCGAAAATGGTTTTTGGGCCCATTTTACTAGTGAAAATGGGCCGATAAACGAAACAAACAGACTGAATTACCTCCATGAAAGAAGTATTCTAAAACTTGAAAACACAGTCCCGAGTATATAGTGCACGTGAGCATTGACGTGTAGTTTACATCTCTCTTACATTCACCATGGACGCATCTTGCAACTTCAGTAACCAGTCATTCACCATGGCAACGAATAAAGTCAAGCGTCGACACCGCTCGTTCGCGGATGAGGTTAAGACGCGAGCCCAAAAGCAGAAACCCGCCCCTCCTCAGCTCACCTCCAAGAAGGACAAAACATACACCAGCCGAAAGCTTGAAGAGATCAACGCCACTCGCCGACTGCGATACAACGACCTTTTGAACAGCGCTAGGAACGATGACATGGCTGCTATCATTGTATTCCCTACTGCCGACAAGTTCGAGATTCCGCGTGCAAGAGTCTCTCGCTCCCTACAAGCGCAAGTCGAGCTGCTGGACATATATCACTATCTCGAAAAACGGAAGGAGAACATCCCCTTTTTCAAGCTTTCCCCCCGCTCCTATGGACCTGCGATAGGAGTCAACCTTCCAAGAAAAACCTTTGAACGCATGCTGAGCCGAGAAGATAAGGTATATTATTATTTTCAACAGGCTGCCAAGAGCTGTATACATTAAAAGTAATTTATTAAGATTCCTGGTACTTACAATATGTCAATCAATAGCTACGTGCTGCAGCTAAGACACTTCCCGATGGCGCTCATTACATCGTCAAGCGGAAGGGTCTAGTGATCGAGCAGGCCCTGCTCTACTGGCTGCACGATCAACGCAAGAAGAATGTTCCTGTGACGGGCAAGATGATGAAGGAGGCAGCTCATTTCGCATGTATGGTTCTTTGCGATCTCAAGGACGATTCGGGTAGCACTGTATCTGAGGTGCCGTTATCTTTTTCGGCCTATTGGTTCGACTCTCTCAGGAAACAGCATCGTATCTCGTATTGTCAGCTTCATGGAGAGGCGGGATCGGTCGATTTGGAGGCAATCGAGCCCGAGCTCGTTGAAATTCGCCAACTTTGCGCCCAGTACACTCCCGACACTATCTTCAACTGCGATGAGACTGGGATGTATGTAAAGGAACTGGACACCAAATCTTACACGACATCGCTTTTCAAATCTGGCGCCAAGGCTCTCCGGGACTGCAAAGTATCCATTTTATTTTGCATCAATGCCTCTGGCACGTCTCTCGCCTTGGCCAAGACTAAACAGTCATTGAGGCCAGTGGTTATCGGTAATATACTATATGTATGACAGTGCTACAAATGACAGCATTCTTTTTTTCAGATCGTAACCTTTATGACTGCTTGATACCCGTTAGGCGAACACATCCCTAGAGACGTTGAAGAAGAGGCGGCCTCGAAGATGATCATGGTGAGAACGAAGAAAGGATGGATGACCGGCGATGTATTCGTACGATGGCTGGAACAGTTGGATGATGAGCTCTCACAGCCAATTCTTCTCCTTCTGGATTCCGCAGGATCACACAACGATGTCGATATGCGCGACCATCGACATGGAATTCCTTGGAAGCATCTTTGCATCCGGCGACTACCCACAAACTCGACATCGGTTACCCAGCCTCTCGATGCCGGCGTTATCAGCGCTTTCAAACGAGCGTTTTTGGAGAAACTTGGCCGTGAAATATATCTTGCTCGTAACTTCGACCAAACTACGACTATCTCCAATGGGCGCGCTTGGACACTGATCCCAGACTCATGGGGTGAGATCAAACCTTCCACACTGCGCAACTGCTTCGCCAAAACCCCTGTCCTTCCAACAGAAATGCGCGAGGAGCTTCGACGACGACGGCCAACTAAGGATGAGCAGATAAAGCCTCAGTCCACCCAGCACGAACGATACAAAGAGCAGGAGAAGGCATATTTCGAACATATCATCGCCGAGATTGGGCCAGCGAATGTAGTGGGTTTCAGAGCGGTAGAGAACAGGGATGAGCAGGCCGAGGAGGAGCTACAACAAGTGGATGAGGAGGGAAGAGAACGTGAAAGAGTGGACGGCTATCAAGTAAGCACTGGCGATTGCTCAAGCCACGAGGATCCTGGAAGCTCACCCATCGCAGACACAGATATCTATGGAACTATCGAGACGCTGAAACGTTTGGCAGGAGACAGTGATGTTCTTACAATCGACGGTATCAAGCGAGTGCGACAGAGTGGGGGACGAGGCCAAGGAAGTAAGGAGGAGGTCCGAGAAGCAGTAAAACACCTTGTGCGTGCTTGTACGGCCGCTAGGGATGAAGAGTTGGTTGAAGTAGTTGCGAATGGACATGAATAAAACACGACTTTCCTTTTCTTTCTCTGTGCATGGTTGCGTCAATGCTCACGTGCACTATATACTCGGGACTGTGTTTTCAAGTTTTAGAATACTTCTTTCATGGAGGTAATTCAGTCTGTTTGTTTCGTTTATCGGCCCATTTTCACTAGTAAAATGGGCCCAAAAACCATTTTCGACTGTACACAAAAAAAAAATGCCTCTTTTTTTCGATTTATCCAGGTTTCCAATAAAACGGGTTAGAAGACTACATCGTGGGAGTGTCCTTGTCGTCTTCGTCACATTACATTCATCACTCTCGAATTCAGCTCTTTTTTTCTCATCATCATCCCGCAACCCATTACCTTTTTTTCTCACATATCGACTTCACCCTACTCACTCATGGACTCCAGTCTCGAGTTCCTCGGTTCCTTTGACGTTTCTGACTCTCAAGGCACCGTAATAGCATCTGCGGAGGAGGTTGACGAGGCACAGGAGGAGGAGTTGTTGTTTTCGGTCCGTTGTCGTACTCGACCAACGCCTGGTACAGATAACTCTGGGGACGAGGAGGAGGGGAAGGCAGGAGATGAAGGGGTGATAGATGCTCCAGCTCCACCGACAAAGAAAATGAAGGCTGCCAAGAAGGCTGCTAAGAAGCCCGTTCGTGAGACTAGAGAACTCCCGCCTGTACCAGATTTTCGACAATATCTTTCGCCACTACAAGGATGGACACCCAGCACAATCCAACGTTCCCCGTGCTCCTCAACTCGATCAAGAACTGGCACCAATAAACATATTCAGCCTATTCTTCAGCGGCAAAGTATTTTCGGATATGACCACCTTCACTAACGCATATGCAGCATCAAAAGGAGCCGGCACAGGAGAGGGATTGCGCCAATGGGTAAAGACCACACCTGACGAACTGCGCATATTCCTCGGCATCATTGTCTACATGGGCGTATTCAGGCAGAACTCTGTCTCTGAGTATTGTTCAACCTTCCCTGAATGTCCTCAACACAACATCACTAACTTCATCTCCCTCGTCCGCTTCGAACAACTGAGGCGTTTTTTTCATGTCTCCAACCCCAACGAGCCTGAGCAACATTGGTTCTCAAAAGTAGAGCCTGTGATAGATAGGTGCTTCGCTTCCTTTTCTTTTATTTAACGAAGAGAGTTACCACTCTTGCCCTCTGCTAGGCTATAAAAGCTAACTGCGACAATCGCCAGACCCACTTCAGGTTCTTACCGCGTTCTGGATGGACAATAGACCTGTCTCCATGCTCTTCACCGTCCATGCCCTCAGCCTCGGCGACAACGACTGATCCGCTGTCTAAGATCGCAGACGCCCTCGAGAGACAAGCGCCAACGCAAGTCAGTGCGGGATGCTTATAAAGGACATTCCAGGGCGTTACTCCCCATCCCAAAAATCATCGATGACTACAACCACCACATGAACGGAGTCGACATCGCCGACCAGTTACGCAGCTACTATTCGACTCAGCTCAGGACTTATCGCGCATGGGCTCCGATCTTCTTCTGGTTACTGGATACAACAATCATCAACGCGTACCTCATCAACAAACTCTTCGGCTCTTTAGTTCAGCCATCGTCGCCTTCTCCCTCGACACGCAACGCCGGCAGCTCGCAGCAGGCACCGTTTGAATCCAATATATACAATTCAGGGATATTGTCAGATCGGGGACAGACACAACCTCGCTCAACACGTGGCTCGCAGCTTATCGGCGCAACTTTCGACAGGCGACTCAACAGCTACACCACCAATCTTCCAACATCGCCGCGCGACGAGGGTGCCCAAGCTGACCGATGAGTTCACGAACCATCCCACCCGTTCCACCACGCAACCATTTCGGCGTCATCCCACTCTAGTAGCCCTGTTGGGCAAGGGTCAAGATTATCACCATCAGGGCGAACCACAGATGCGCCCAACCCATCAACGTTCCAGGACTACGATAGATCCTCGACGGTGTCATCAGTCTCGACGCCGTATTCACAAAGTAACAGCGCATCGCAGATTTTCGAGGAAACATCATTCTTCAACCAGCTCTCGTCGAACGATTCTCTTTCACGAGAACAACATCAACAACAGCTGCGTGCGGATCAATTGAATCGGGAAGGCGAATATCAATCGTCCTCGCTCTTTGGGCAGAATCAAAGTAGATATGGCCTCGGGTTCATTGACAACAACCCGACGTCATCTCTGAACTACCATCATTCAGAACGTGGCATCAATCGCGACGATGATGACGATACTGACGGAGATCATACGGACAAGGATGATGATGGGTCAAGTCAGGATGAATCTGGACCATTGAGAGAACAGATCAAGCAACTTCAATTGGAGGATGTGCTGGCGTTCTTGCCTGTTGGTGGGGCATCTGCCTCGGGGATGCTGCAGAGGCCAGCTGATTATGAGTACCAGAGGAGAACCGCCTCAGGAGACAAAATGCCGTTTCAGCTGGATGACGAGTTGGCGAATCTGGAAACCAAGTCTCTTGAGGAGATATTGGGGCACGATGGTGGAGATGAGGATGATGGAGATAGAGTCAAAGGCATTCGGTTCAAGGACACTATGGCGCCCAGTCGAATGCGGGGGCTTGGTCGTGAAGGTAGCGTCATGATCTTTGACAGGTGTAAACGTCTTGGACAAAGCTGTTCATTTACTCACGGGTTGTGTCCTTTCATTGTTGTAGGTGACTCGCCGGCGAAGATCAGGATAAGCCCGGAGCGTTCAGGACCCAATTCTCAAAGTCAAGCGCCCACAACTCTGTCGGTTCATCATTCAGTGATCTATCGGGTACGTGTACGTGCTGTTTATTATATGTTGCTCTTCGGTGCATTAAACGAGAGTTTGCTGACTCTCTTTCTTATTTCGTCCGCGTAGATTCTTCTGTTACCCAATCGGCCATGGAAGATGCTTACTTGTCGGGATACAACAACTCAAAGATGTAAGAGGCATCGTTTAAGATATGGCTATTACGTTTCAAATTACCAACCTCGCAGCTTCTTTCTTGACTTACACGCTATTTTCTTTTGTGTGATAGATCATTGTTCATGCACGCGTCTACCAGGAACTGACAATGTCTGTCGCGCGTCTTTCAAGGCCAATGTAGAGTAGCGAATGAAAATTTCGGGCCTCTTTTTTTCACTTTGTTTCCGGCGGCACCATTATTCAGGGCTAATCGATAAAGGACAACACCAGCAAGCACATACTTCCTTCACTCCATGGTTGATATAGATGCGATGTTGACAATATAAGTTTACTTTCCGAAAATACGAAAAGTGATGCTGATCCCTTTGACTTCGAGCCACATGCCCTGCCTCTCGTACGCAGAGATGAAAAAAGGCGCCGTTGCCATGTGGAATACCGGCATCAACATAACCCCAACTCCCTTCATCGCACACTGCCTCGTCACAGACCCGCCCTTATACGCTCGCTGGATCGCCTTTCCGATAAAACTCCTGGATCGCCTTGGAGACAACAACGCCCGTAGCCTGAATCATGAAATATGCCATCTGGCTCCACCCGTTCTGTCTCCACAGCGCATAGACAATGTACCCGTGCATGGCTCCGGACAAGACGAAGACCGCATAGACGGGAGGGGTCTCACGAGCCCACGGCGAACCACGACGACCCAACCGTTCCGGGCCTAGATGCTTAATACAGAACCGCTTCACAGGGTTAAACCCAAGATCGACCCAGACGTAACGGAAGAGAATATGCCAGTTGATCCAAAAGTCCGTTGGTGAATATGCAAGGAGTGGTAATTTTGTACCGAGCATGGTCCACTCCTGCGGGTCGGCTCTGTTCCCGGTCGTGGCGCAGTACATGATGACGTTCATGAAGACGGAGGCTCGGAGGTTGTTGTAAACATATGAGCATACGACGCTGACGATGAAGCCGTACTCGAGTGTTGGGGCCGACATGACTTCCTCTGAGGTGTAGAAGGACAGGAAGTATATGATCGAGTCAAAGACGGTTTAGTAAAATAGGAACGCTGGGAGGAGGTCGATCCAGGAGCGGCCGACTGATGGATCAGACTTTTTGCCGTTTTGTTTCCTCAGTGGCGACCAGAGTTCTTCCTGTAACCGTTCACTGTCCCAATGGAAAAAGTCGATAGTCTCGGCAGTTGATCCAGTCGTCGTCGTTGTTGATGTTGTGGCCATCGTCCCGGTCGAGGTTGGGGAAGAGGCGGAAGAAGAATCAAACTTCTTGGATCTCGCAGTTTCATCCTTCGCAGCCCCTGCAGCCCTTCCAGCTAAGAAATACCGACTCGGCACCCCAGGCCAAGGCTGAACATAGTACAAATCCACCATCCTAGTAACCGTCGCAATGGAAGCAACTGTCATCGCAAAGTGGAAAAACACAATCGGACAAGTGTACAACAACGGCACCAGCAACAGGACCAGGATGAGAGGAGCCGCTAGGATCTGTTCGACACGACCAGATTTGGGGTGGGACCACACAAACATCCTGTACAGGACGATGAGGGCGGTCATGATGGAACCTACGAAAAGGGCGTCGTTGATGACTCTGTTGTGCGGGAAGAGTGGGGAGGTGGTGGACTTTGTGGTGACGGCGGAGTAGAATGTGGAGCTGGTTGTCCAGCGCCACGGGGTGGCGAGGATGTGGACGATTGGGAGATCGGAGTGGGTCCTGAGGAAGGCGGGGAACTGATTGCCAGTGTGTTGCAGCTGGGTGAGTGCAGCTTCAATTGCTGCCATTGTTGAAGAAGGAGAATAAGGAGAATAAGGAAGGATAGGGGAAGGATTGGCGGAATGGTAGGGGCAATGCTTAGTTCAAGATAGGTCTTCTTTGATCTGCGCTGTAGGTCCGTGAGTGCAATTGTTTGGCAAGTTTTTCTTTTTGTTGATGGGAAAAGCACGCCAAGGATGATAGGGCAAGGCGCGTTGGTTGTGAAGAGTAGGGGTAAAGAGAAGAATAAAAAGAACGGGAAGGGAACAACGATGAATGGGGGAGGTGAATGAAGAAAAAGGAAAGGAAGAGATGACCAGCTGGAACCGGAACACACTTTATTTATTTTTAATGAGTATCAAGCCAGACCGCAAAGTCCCTTTTACCCTTTCCGTCCCAGTTTTTCGGAAAGTGAGACTTTGCGGTCTGGCAGTGGAGGAGACGAGATATCCTGAGAACGCTTGGAGCGAATGAGAAAGGGAGTAAGGAAAATGTACTTGAATGGTGGCGGGTACGTGTGGAGATTAGCTTCGGGTCCGGGGTGAATGACCGAGTTAAGGACTCTAGTGGACATGAGGGATCCGCAGAAGAAGCATGGGTGTGGGTCTGCCACTGTCAATTTAATGTGTGGTAGATGGGTGGATAGGAATGCGAGCAGTGAAGAAGTGAGGGCAGGGTAGAGAATAAAAATTAGAAGGGTCAAGAAGGAGTGAGGGAGAAAGGTGGATGTGAGCGTAACAAGGTTTCAGATCAATTCGCTTCATGAAATGTCAAGTTCAATGCGTTCGTAATGATTGTCTAGGAAATGTCTAATAAAAAAAACACAAACCGCCAAAGAACAGCCCCTGGCCACAGTCCTTCCTCAACAACCTTGTCCATGTCCATCCACTCTTGCCCTCTCTCTACCGCTTCATTCTTTGACCGCACCTACTCCACAGTAATCATGCTGTTACCCCTAGTCCGTTTTAAAGAAGTACACATTTATTGATTTCTCATCCACCAACATGTTCTTTCGCTCCCTTGCATGGTCATCCTAAAGCAGACCTTTCAATAAAAAATGCTGTCTGTGAGTGGCGACACGGTGTCAATAGACTCTTGACCACGAACGTATTTATGCCAAAAACTGTGGTACTTTTTTTTTTCTTTCACAAACGTTTAGCAGGACGCCTGGTCCACTCGTACTGTACAGCAGACCTTCGTCAAAGAGCTAAGTGACTTTTTTACTTCAAAGAGAGGAAGCAAAAAAAAAGAAGCACAGATAGACAGCGCCTTCGATTTTTAAATAAAAAGCTGGAGCTTCCTCGGTTCCCTTTTTTTTTCTTCAACACACTCTTTCGTCTCCACCACTTATACACAACACACACAAACACTCAGCCCCACACAAGACCCAAACACATCAAGTCCGTTCCCTTCCCTCTCCAATGTCTTTGATCCCCAAACCCTCCCATGAGGGAGCCAATCTCTCCGCTACCCCGCCTCAAGTCGAGTCCGAGGATGTCGGCGCCGAGGCCAGTGCTAGCAAGCTGACGCCCCAGTCTGCTTCTTCCGTTCTGCCCGCCCGAAGAACCAGGCAATCCGATAAGTCTCCAGAGCCTGGTATGTGTAGTACAAGACATGGTTCCTGGCCTGTGATAATTCGTCCTTTTTTTGAATGTGAGATGAAACATTGGGCTAAATGGATCAACCACTCAACTGCACTTCTTTTCTTCCTCTTTTGAATTCATCCTCATGCATAATAGTCGTAGCCAACCAGACTCCCATCACCATCATCCTCTTAGATCAGCAGAGCCAAATCGGACAGGAGCACCTGCCCGAGTCCCTCCCCGAGTCCCAAGATTTCGCCACCCCCATCAGCGTCCTCCTCACTCCCAGCGCCAACGAGGCCGGCGCCTATGACGAGGACGACAGTGAAGATAACGAGGCCGGCGCCTATGACGAGGACGACAGTGAAGATAACGAGGCCGGTGCCTATGACGAGGACGACAGTGAAGATGACGAGGACGACAGTGGAACTGACGAGGACGACAGTGGAACTGACGAGGACGACAGTGGAACTGACGAGGACGACAGTGGAACTGACGAGGACGACAGTGGAACTGACGAGGACGACAGTGGAACTGACGAGGACGACAGTGGAACTGACGAGGACGACAGTGGAACTGACGAGGACGACAGTGGAACTGACGAGGACGACAGTGGAACTGACGAGGACGACAGTGGAACTGACGAGGACGACAGTGGAACTGACGAGGACGACAGTGGAACTGACGAGGACGACAGTGGAACTGACGAGGACGGCGATGAAACTGACGAGGACGGCGATGAAACTGACGAGGACGGCGATGAAACTGAGTACGTCGACAGTGATGATGAAGATGTAGACGCCATGCATTTTGACTCTCCCTTAAAGCGTGATCAATATATATCCAGGAAGGCGGAATTTAAGGCGGGCAGGAAGGCGGCCATGATTAGGACCGGAAGAGCGATCAGGAAGTTGAGGAGGAAGTATAAGAGGAGGGCGGCCAGGAAGGCGGCCAGGAAGGCGACCAGGGAGGCGAGCAGGAAGGCTTCTGAAGGTGGAAAGAAATATGGTAAAGCCGAGGATACTGAGGCTGTCGAGGACGACGGTGGAGATGACGATAGTACAATCTTTAAGAAAATTAGGGCCAGAATGGCGGCCAGGAATGCTCCTGAAGGAAGAAAGGAGGATGACAACGCCGAGGATGAGAATGATGCTGGAGAAGGAGATGAGGATGGTGGTTCCCAGGGCGGTGCTGCTGGAGCTGGTATGGAGGGAGCACAGGGTGCTGATGAGAGTCAGGGTGGAAACGGCACCGATGAGGAAGAAGAAGTTGACGAAGGAAATTCCAATGTGGATGAACAGGAGGAAGGAGGTGAATGTGGTGAGGATGGTGAGGATGGTGAGGATGAGGATGAGATTGCAGTTCCTGCTGTTGTCCGTGCAGCTCGTCCCCATGCAGTTCGTACCCGTACAGCTCGTCCCCATGCAGTTCGTACCCGTGCAGCTCGTCCACGTATAGCTCGTCCCCGTGCAGCTCGTCCACGTATAGCTCGTCCCCATGCAGTTCGTCCCCGTGCAGCTCGTCCCCGTGCCCCCAAGGGGTACAACAGAGCCAAATTGTGCTTTGTCCAGATGATCACCGTAAGTGTTTATCTCTCTTTCTCGTCCCGTACCACCTCAAAACATCCCTCGTCTGTGTGTTCAATTATCCGGATGCTAACTTAACCGCTGTTCCTCTGTTCAATATTTGATGTTTATAGGAGGCCCTGAACTACTACCGCCACGACCCCAAGGGCACGACCCCTACCTCGATCAAGAGCTGGATCTCGTATACCTACAACCTCGATAACTTTACCATAGAGGCACAGTTTAAGAGTGCTCTTGATGTAAGTTTTTATGTTTCACTTCCTTTCGTTTGTCTGGATTAGTGGCAGTGTTTTGTTTGGATGTGATGTTCTCTGGAACAATGTGGATGAATGCAACTGACAGTTCGTGGTTTCTTTGTATGTTCTTGTATCTTTTTTTGCGACTCGCGTCTTACTTTAGTACGGTCTTGGTGTTGAGAAGATCTTCAGGTGCAAGAGTAAGTGTTCTGCCTCCCTACTCCTCATCCATCCACCCACTCATCCACGTTTACATCTGACTACTACCCACCTGCGTTCCCATCAATGTTCATTTCCAAAAATACGGTACCGAATCCATGCACTAAATGCGAACAACATTTATGTGATATTAACGACCAACTCTTTTTTTTTTTTTTTGATTCTTTCAATCTATAGAGAGTCGTTCTCGCTTGGCTCTTGTTGACAGGCTGCAGCAGGATGGCGAGGATTCCGACAGCGACGATTATGAAGAAAGTGGAGATGAGCAGGGTGGTCCTCATGGTGGCGGTGGTAGTGGTCAGGGCCAGTCTGGATACGAAGACGAAGACGAAGAGGATGAGGATGATGATGAGGATGAATATGGAGAAGAAGAGGAGGAGGAAGATGAAGAGGAGAAGGAAGATGAGGAGGAGGACGATGACGATGATGATAAGGCTCAGTCTGACAACAACAAACGGTCCTTCCGGACCGTTACCGCCAACAAGTCCATCGCGGCTACTACCACCAAGAAGCCTGCTGCTCAGTCCAAGAAGATTGCTGCCCCCGAACCCAAGACTCCGAAGGCTACCAAGACCACCAAGGCTACCAAGACCACCAAGGCTACCAAGACCACCAAGGCTACCAAGACCACCAAGGCTACCAAGACCACCGCTGAAAAAGCTGAGATTAAGGTTGAGGGTGAACCCAAAACTAGTACCCACAAGTCGAACAAGAAAACTACTGCCAAGAAGACTCCTGCCGTTTCCGCCGCCGAAGCTGCCACCAACACCAAGCTTGCTGCCTATTCCAAGAAGGACACCGCTAAAGAGACTTCTGCGTACAGGAAGGCTGCCGCTGCCAAGAAGGAGACTGCCAAGGAGGAGACTACCCCCACAAAGGCTGCTATCCCCAAGGCGACGTACGAATACATGAAGCTCGCGGCGACACAGCCTGCTGCCGCTATTATTGTCTCCGTCCCCGCTTCTGCTTCTTCCACCGTCAAGCCAGTCACAAAGCATGCCACTCGGGTCACCAAGAAGCGAAACGAGGAGAAGGATGAGGAAGCCCCCTTGCGTACTGAGGGCACCACGATCCGATCGTTGAAGCGCAAGGCTGATGAGACCACTGATGCCAAGGAAGAGGACAAGAAGAAGGAGGGTACTCAGAGACTTCGTGGCAAGGATGTGGGCTTCGCTTCTACTGCGTCTGGTTCTTCCAAGTCTCACGGTTCGTCTGGCCCCTCAAAGGCCCGCAAGGTTTAAGTGCATCGCTGGACGATGCACGTTTTCCATCAGCCTTTGGATCCCTTTTTTTTCTGTTCTCTCCTAGTACCGCAGATGTTGTATGCATCGCACATTCTGCTTCCGCGATTGGATTTTGTTTCTCTACCTTTCACCTTTCACCTTTCACCAAGTCACTGGTTGATGCCCTTCTATATTCCATATGTCATCTTTTCTTTTCGTTTTTTCTACCGCTCTGGGTTGATCGGCCAATGAACGATCCAACTCCTTTCTTCCAATATGCTGCTCTACAATAAACCCCTTCTACTTCTACCACTCCTCGACCACTTCGTCCTCCTCATGCTCCTCGCTCTCTGAGAGCAACTTGAACAGCACAGGCTGGGGTTGAGCAGCGGGAGGACTTCCATCTACTGTTTCCTCTGCTAGGGCCTCCTCCCATGCCCTTGCCCGAGCCTCCTCCCATGCCTCCTCCCGAGCCCTTGCCCGAGCCTCCTCTCGTGTTCTTGCCTCGGCCCTTGCCCGAGCCTCCTCTCGTGCTCTTGCCTCGGTCCTTTCCCTTTCCCTTGCCGCCTCCTGTGTTCTTGCCCTGGCCTCGGCCCTTGCCCTTGCCGCTTCTCGTGTCCTTGTTGCCCTTGCCCTTGTCCTTGCCGCTTCTCGTGTCCTTGTTGCCCTTGCCCTCGCCGCTTCTCGTGTCCTTGCCATTGCTTGGTTGACGGGCAAGGAGCCGTGGGGGAGTTGTCGGTGCTGCTGGGAGTCTTCCTCTTCCTCGGGCCATTCCTCGATCTCGTCATCGTCTACTTCCTTTTTCTTCTTCTTGTACGCCCCTTCAAAGTAAAGCTCCGTTTCGGTTTTCTGTGTGAATTCTATCTGGTCATTTTTGAAGTCGTCGTTACTCATATTTGTTGTGGAGCGATTATACAAATGAAGTGAAAATGAAGAAGAGGATCGAACTTGTAATAACAGTTTGATAGGTGACTAAACTCTTTCGTAGTGGCTTCTTGTCCAAGGAGGACCAGTCCCCAATGATGCCCTCCCATCAAGTGAAATATCAATCATATCATGTTGAGCGCCATGAATAAAAGTCGAATCATCGGTCATGTCGATTTAGCGGCTAGAGGTTCCGTGCAGTCATTCTGCCCTGTGGCTGTTGATCCTATCTTTCATATCCATTGGATTCCGACCACAATCCTCCCCTCGTTGTTCTCCTTATCTTCGTTCGTTTGCTTTCCTTTTATTTCTTCATTTTCCTGACATCTTCCATTCATCAACAACACCCGCAACATCACACACCAGCGACATCACACACCCAAGCAGCTACAGCAGCAGCAAGGCCGCCTCTCAAACAGAGAAAGTGACATGACTTTCCATTTTGGACGGACGACAGAAAAAAACAAAACGGACAAGGGCAATCGCCACACACTCCTCCAACAAGTCATGGACAGATTTACCAACGAGTTTATTGCCTTCCGCATGGACTATGTGGAATAAGCAATAAATGCTGGAGCAGAAGCAGAAAGAAACCGTACCGTACCACACCGATTCATAGAGGCCCAAAACGGCAGCGAAGGAGACGAGCCAACTAATACCGGCTATCATATCATAAATACAACAAAAGCAATAAACATATTGCCACCACGTCCTCATGGATTCAGACGCACAAGGCTTCATCAGGAGTCCCAGTAAAGAGGGCAAGTCAGGCGCACGCGACATATGTGCTTTAATAGTTCAATGGTGGATAAGAGAAAAACAAGGTGCGTCATGACATTTGCAGTTACGGGAGAGGAACAAGCGATGGCCCGAGGAGCCACCAAACATCTGTTATCGTCCGCCACATAGAAATGAGAGTGATTGCAAAGACCACCGCCACATTTCGATACCAGGACTTTTGTCTCCAACTCTATAATCAAGTGGTGTCGAAACAGTTCATGGATAGCTCGTTATCAACAGGAAGCGATCATCGATAAGGGTGAGATTACGCCATGGATGGGAGGTGGTTGCACGAACATGCAGCGAGCGCATGAATTCAACATCGTTCGATTAGGTCAAGAGTCACAATGGAAAAGGAACGGAACGAGAACGAGGATTTGGCAGAAATGGAGACACGATACCAGAACGGGACAGCATCGCAGGTGGACATGAGGATGCAAACCACCAGACGCTGGCACCTGGAATGGAGGGTGTAAAGGGGAACCAGGAGGTCGATTCGAGACCACGAGGGCATGAATTAGTTGGACACTAATTTCGTTATACACTGCAATAAACCAACCAACACCTTTATCAGCTCTCAGCAGGACACACTTGCATGCAGCCACAGGATAAAGTACGTCCACTACATACTAACGATTATGAATGACCTATATTCAGGCACCCAAACTTTTGCAACACTCAAAAACCTGCCCGTCCTCCTTCAAAAGCTACATTCTCAAATGCTTTTGCACTTGTTCTTTGTCTTCCCATTACGCATGGGGAGCGAGGGGCATTTGATAGACTCGGGAAGAGAAGCTTTACAAAAATCGACTGTCAAAACAAAAGAACTACTCAAGGTTTGGTTTTTTATCACATCGTATAATGACCGCGTACCGTTTTCTGGAATTTTGAACGAGTACAATGAAAAAGAAAGGAAGAGCTGTATTTGTTCAAGCTGTGAGTGAAAGAAGAAGAAAAAAGCTACAATTCTGCTATGTTGTTGCGTTGGATGAGAGATGGCGTCTGTGCCTATGTGCCCTAGATTGCCTCATCGTCACTACAATTCCTCCATCTCGACATCCTCCTCCTCCTCCTCCTGGATGTCTGAACTCTCCACTTCGCCCTGCAGATGCGGGGGCAGCTTTTGGACGAACGTTCTCTTCTCTCTAATTATATGTGCAATGTCCTGGTCCACTTCCTGTCTCTTTTGGTCATCGTGCTTTCTCTTAGGGTCGAACTTACTCCGCTGTCGTCGTAAATCCTGGATCAGCGCGTTGCATTCATCCACCTTATCAAGTATGGTTTGTTGCTCAGCCGTGGCGGGAACCGTTTGGGACTGTACGAAGAAGGCAACATACTCGGCCGAACCGGGTGAGGCCATGGGGTCTAGCTTGCTGAGCATATCCATGCTATAAAGCGACATTGTATATGAATTGGTTACTGACATGCTCTTTTCGTTACCTCCTTCCTTTGCACATACTGTATGGTAAACGAGAACAATACACTTACCGAGTAAGAAGTTTGCGTGTTGGGTTCTTGGGTATGGGGAGGACCTTGAGGGTGTCCCAAAATAGATCCCAGTCCTTTGCAGAAGGAACCTCTGTTTCTCTTGTTTTCTTGGGCAGGGCGGCCTTGATCAGATTCGTGTACAGGGTCGACAGATTTTCATCCGTATATCCCGATGCTGTGAGAGGGTTAAACGCATTCTCTTTCAGCGCCTTCGACCACATGGCAGCCAATCTCTTCGTACCTCTATGAGATCGAGCTCCTCTGACCTCGGACTCAAACGACTAAAGTAACACCAAAGTAGAAGGTCAAGTTAATGAAATGTCGTTTTTTCATATACTTTTGTCCTTTGGTTTAACTCACACCCAAACACTTCATACCTGTGGCAACGATGTACTGGCAAGTTCGATGAGGTCCTCCAAGGCGTCCACCCTCTTGTCCGTGGTGAGGGTGCTGTTGAACGTGTACAGGTGGACACTGTTCAGTAGATCGGCCAAGGGTTTTTGAAAGTGGTATTGGAGGGGCATCGCGTGTGCCAGCATGGTGGTGGCAGGCTCGAGACCAATCAGGCGTGCCTGCACTCCAGCGATAACTGCGTCAATCAGATGGGCCGCCGAACCCCCCGCACATTCCTGATAGATCTGGAACTCCGCCACCTCAAGATAGGAATCGCGTCCCGTCGAATCCTCGTCTTTATGCATCACCTTCTCGATGACCCCCGCCCTTGTGGTCACGCTCAACATTAACTCGACGACGGCGTTCTTCACCTGTCGAGCCAACAAATTCATCAGTCCGTCATTGAATATAATCTCGTCCTCGTTGTCGGTTGTGAGGGTGGGTGGTGTTGAGGCGGACATAATGAGTGCAATGTCCATCCAAGTTCGAAACCCCTCTAGCACCACGTCGGTTGGCATGTAACTGGAAGTAAGAATGGGCATTATGTGCTTGCACATCTCATTGATCCAGCCGTTGCGATTGGCTTGGGTGGCTTGGGCGCCTTGGGTGCTCTGGGTCGTTGAAGTCACGTCGCCGTGTATCGTTGCCTTCATTAACGAGAGACAGCAAGGAACGATCTATTTGATAGAAGGCGAAATAAATTTTAGTCTTGTTGCATTCATTATAAGAGGCGTTTTTGCAGCATGGCCTGTTTCACCAAGAACTTACTTTCTCCAAGTCCTGCTCCTTTTCCTCATCCTCCTTTATGAACCTGTCCAACACTTGGGCCGTCGTTCCAAATACTTTGACATACTCCTCGTGTCCGAGACCCTGGTCGCCGACTGCCACGTTACTAAGTATGGTCGCAAGGGACTCGATGGCATTGATCAATTGAACGGCCTGGCTCTACATGATTGATTGCACGTCAAAAATTAGTCTGCGCCAAACATATAATATTGTCATATCATCACGTTGAGACAACGGCATTAAACGAAAAACCATTGGTGTTAAACCAACCTCATTGTAAGTACCCTAAGCGATCAAACAAAAAAACAAAAAAAAACAAAAGTTAAAACAGAGTAACGTCATCAGGAGAACGCCGCATGGTGCCCCAGTACATCAGACTTTTTTGTGTTTTCAACTCACCTCACAGACCTCTTTTCCAAGTTTCAAGTACATCACCTCCCCGGCCTTTACAAGACCCCGGACCTTGCTGTGTAATGTATTGTACGCGTGAGCAATGTTGATGTTTTGTTGTGTCGGGGACGGCTGCTTATCGGGACCGACAACAGAGTACATGGCAGCTTCCCATGTCGCAAACGCCTTGGAGACTGCGGCAGCACAAGAACTTGTGTATGTTCTTTTTAACTGGGCAATGCAGACATCAGCAAAGTTGCCAAAGGTCTGAAAAAGAAAAAAAACGAATGATTTGATTAACACTTTGCATATGTCATTGTGTTACGGATATCGTAGATTATTTCATCCAGACCACCAAAGAAAAGAACTCACCTTTGGGTCGTTGTTCACCAACAAGGTTAGCGGAAGATCCTGAAGAATGCTGAAGACGGCAACGGTAACGTCCGTGTTCGTACCACAGGTATTTACAAGATCAGTCCTCGACGCGGCAAATCTTGTCCGCATTGACAACCTTTTCGTCTCCTCCACCGCACCATCGTCTTTCCACACGGCGTGATACGACTGTTGCAGAAAGATTGACAACACGCCTGTCTCTTGGTGGTCCAGGTTAAGGTTGTCGCTGAGAAACATCTTCAACAGTAGCTCGTCATCCTAAAAACAATGCAAAAATAAACTCTATGAATGTTTTGCAAAGACACACATACTTTTTCCTCCTGAAAAGAAGTATCAAATACAAACCTTGATTTTCTTGTCAACAATCCACAGCAGCTTGACAGCTGTACGGCAGCGGTTCACGTCAGCGGTGGTGAAATAAGCGAGAGTGGGCTCGCCAAGGGCTGTGCGGACAAGCTTGACCATCTTTAAGACACCCCAAATCAGACCGCGGATATATCGGCCATTGTCGCTTATGCCTGTAAGCCGCCCAAGCTCTACCTTCTTGCCCTTGGCAACCCTTACGAACATGTCGTGAAGAATATTTGCCATTGACGTGGAAATTTTCATGTTGGCATTCATGGCATCATCAAATGGCATGAGGGACAGTAGAAATAGGCGCCGTTGATCTTGCCTATTCAGGGTCATCATTGGCAAAAGCTGCACAAGGGTATCAAGAGCAAAGGATTGAACAGAACGATCTGCCTCTGAAGCAGCAAGAGATATGAAAGGATCCTTTGCTGCTTCAAGAAAGCTATCGCCGTCACCTTTTTTGCCTGCCTCAATGGCAACCACTCGTCGCATACTTTTCTGTGCCTCAAGACGTATGACATTAGATGGACTTTTGGCCAAAACCAAAAGGAGATCGAATCTGGATGAGGACGCAAACGAAATGGGGTTCGAGATCGACCATGATGACAGGAAGGCCATGAAGGACGTCTGCCAATCAGGACTGTCCCAATGAGGTGATGCTCGGACAGCGCTATTAAAAAAAGAAATATGGGGTGTCTGTTAGATAACAGTTTGACAGAAAACCAAAAAGTCCAAATTGACCACCTTGCACATGCGAGTAAACATTCATACTTACGCTTCAAATGCCATAATAGACTTGTCCAATGCAGCAATCTTGGCGGTGGATGATGATGTCATCTGGCTAATGGTGTGAGATATGAAGCTGCACCCCAAAAAGAAGGCCATTGAGGAAACTCCGAGACCCCTAAGGAATGGTTCGATCGATATCCAGATTAGAAACATGAAAAAGGGGTGAGAACTCATTCTGGTTGGAAACAACAAAACAACACCTCTGCGAAATTCATCTCAAGCACTACTGCCATACCAGTTTCCTTGCATCAAGGATGTGCATAGACGTATCATCAAAGGAGCCGGAGGGGTGGTCGTCTTTGTATTGTCCTTGCCAGCGAGCGAAGGATCCATGAGCCACTTTTCCTTGCAGGTTTGAGCCCATGTCCTGATGGCAACATCGACAATTCGTTGGAGGTCATTGTACTCGTCGGCGTCATGGTTTTCTTCGCCTGGCAAGTCTTCCAGCCGCTATATGAAATGAAAACAATGAAAAAAGGGCGTCAGTCTAAAATCAACATGTTCTGGTAAAGATACAAAAGCCCAAGTGTTCACAGTTTCAGATTCTACCTTGTCTGAGAGGTTTTGGTTCGAAATGTCAATGTGCGCTTCTTGAACAACCATACTGGCCTTGAGCTTGGACAACTCGTCAATACCGCAAAGGACCAAAACAAGGTTGACCAGGTGAGTGAGGGCCAGAGTGGCGTTCTTGGAATAGTTGATACCCCATCGCTTCATGGAAGCGATAATGTCGTCCTCGGAACTGCGGATGGCATCTAATAAAAAAAAGAGGCCGTAGTGAGTACCAAGAAAAGAGAACTTTTTTTTTGCGAGTTACTCGATGGAAGGGATGGACAATGTTCTTCCTTACGGTGAAGATCGGCTGTGGCTCTTCCTTTTTCCTTGGTGACTCCGGGAGCGGCAGGCGTTTCTTCGTCTCCTTGTGACTCAGTCAGACTTGCGACATCAGCCTCGTCTACTTTTCGCTTCTTACCCGCAACCGTGGCGGAAGTACCGGCTGGAGGAAGGTAATGACGAGTACAAGTAAGCATTTGCTGACGTTACAGGAGCCTCAAATGAGAGACTCCAAATGTCAAAGTACTGTATTATTCTTTTTCAAATTTACATAACTATGTCTTTGATACGTACCACTTTGCTGGATTTCCGCTTCGTCCATCTCCTGGGATGACATTGCTGCGTCCTCGATATTACTTGTATGTCGGCTTACTGACCGACCTTTACCTCGACGCGCCGCTGCTCGTCCTCTTGTGCTCTGCAAATATATCAAACAAAAGGGAGGAGTGTTATTACTTGTCAAGTCGTCTAAACAACAGTTTATCGCCGTGTGCCATTCATATTTTTATATTACGTCGGTTTTGCTTCCACTGTGTTCGCCTCGTTCTGCCATGGTGAATCAAAATAAAACTGTGTGGAAGAAAGCGTAGAGGTGGTTGCTGTTATATGTGTATGTGTATGTGTATGCGTTTGTGTGTACGGAAGTAGGCAAAAGTGTTTTAGGTGGTGGAGTGAAAGAAGAAAAGTCAGCACATCGCACCGGTATTTATTTGCTGGGAGGGGGTTGCCTCTGTGATCGCTAATCTCATTAAAAAAACTATCGCCACTGTTGTTTGTTCTCAATGCCTGATTGTAATTTTCTTTTACGCCTGATTGCCATCCAGTGGCCGCTATTGTTTCAGGGCTTCATAGCAAGTAGAATAAACAAATATAGACAGCATTTTTGAAAGAGGAGGTGTTTACCAAGACAGGCACTCAAAGTGAGGTCCGTGGCATTTGTGCATGGAGGATAGTGCAAGAGCATGGTGGTAAATAACCAGTTCGTCTGTCCTCCCTATTGAATCATGCATCGGCGCTTGAGGTCTGATTGAATAATACAAGATGAGCATGACACAGGGAACAATAGGATGGTGAAGGACAGACATAGAGCAAAAGAAAAGGGAAGAGGTTATAGACAATCATCGTCCCAAATCGATAGACAGCTTTCTTTAGTTTATCTTTGTAGGCACGAGAGGGTGAAGACACGCGAAACATTCATTGCCTTATTTCTTCCTGCGTCTGCTGTTGACAATACCAACTTGCTCTTCTTTGCCCGTTCATTTGTTTAACTTGACCAGTATGCTCGTTGTTCTTCGTGCAGTACTATATCTCAGGTATAAAAGAAGCTCGCTATGCTTGTCACCTTTATTTCATAGCTTGGGAGAGTTATCATATATAAGCTCTATTGTTTCAAGAGAGACACAAATACAAAGCGAAAGGTAGGGCATGTCAACGAATGGGTTGCATTTTTGGTTGAAGAGAAAGAACAATTAGGAAAATATGATGACAAGGATGAGGAGGGAGAAGGATGGAAAAAAGGGGGGAGGTGCGGGAGGCGTTCAAGGACACAAAGAAAGTGGCAACTGTAAAAGGGGGTTTGAGCCCATTGATGAAATGACAAGACGCGACCGAAGGATGAGCGGCATCGAGGAGGAAGGGAATATCGTTTTTTGGTTAATTGTTCCTTATCCCCATGACAATGTCGCGCCGGATACTTTTCCTTTTGTTTCCACTGTGCATGGACAGGACATGGGCTGTTATCCAGGGATGAATAGCAGCTGTCTTGGGTCATACCCCAAGCCTTTTCTTCCTTGAAGTGGAAAACAAAAGGACAAGCAGCCTGGTGGATAATTTATGTGGTATTTCAAAGGGAGCAACGCCAGCACCTTCGGCAACGAATAGTGCACCACGATTGCCCTCTTTTCGTAAAGCTTTCTTTTTTCATCAGCAACAGTCAAAAGTGGATAGTTTGGTCATTGTAGTAATAGGATCAGTTCTCTTTCAATCACCCTGTCAGTCTCGTATATCATACATATTAAACCACAACCATCCGTGAAGGCTTTGCAGTTCTCTTTCAATCACCCTGTCAGTCTCGTATATTATACATATCAGACCACCACCATCAGTGAAGGCTTTGCTGTTCTCTCTGCTATGTCTTTCAATCGCTCCTCTCAACCTCATATATAAATACATATAGTTTTGTCTCTTTCCTGCTCCTCTTTTCTTCTCTCTTTTCATCCTCATCCTTCCCTGCCAACCCTCTCATCCTTCCCCTTCCTCTTCATTGTCGACGCCTGCCTTCTACACCCATCTCTTCACACATTTTCGAACTAGTTCTATTTCCTTCCTCCTCTCCATCCACATCACACTCCAGCACGTCCTCGTCGAGACGAACACCCTCGCACTTCTCATTGCAGTCCTTCTGTGTTCTCTGCACAAAGGGATTCGCCCCACTCACCCTCTCCCCGCGTCTCGCTGCTCGTATCAAGTACGTGTTTCTTTTCTCTTTGTGTTTTTATTTCGGCTTAACTCTGCATAGGCTCACATCTTTCTAACTCAGGTACCTTACATTGCTTTCTCTTCTTGCGCTATCTCCTAGATCTCCTTGGCCTATTGTAATCTACTCCCTCTTTTCACTCCCAAACATCTTGCCCTTGATCGTTCGCGTCTGCGGCAGCAGTTACACAACTCACTTCGTCTTTTTTCGGTGAGTCCTTTGAGGCATTGCGTTACTCCGCAATCTACATACAGTCCAATGTCGACACCAAAAATATGCCAACTCACCATAATACCTCTCTTTTTTTTTTGACCGGTCTTCAGGCTCCCTCAGGGTTCCTCTTTAACTCAAGCCGACAGACCTCTTCCTCTTTCTCAAGAGCTCCTGTGTTCGACAGTACGTCTGCTGCATCCATGCGTTTTCTTTTTATCACAATGAACAGATTGATCACAACACAGCCAAAAAAACAACAACAAGCTAATATCTCCATCACTCTTCCTTGATCGTTGTCTCCATTAGAGCCTCATCCTGCGTTATGGGTATTGGCGACACATTCCAGCTTCTGGAAGAGAATGCCTTCGTCCCTACGCCTTGCGATCCTCTAGGGTTCGTTCCCCAAGGCAACAAAACAGGGCACGTCGATGTACTGGCGTGGATGCGCCAGTATTTGATCGCCACCTACTGCAACATCCTCTTCAAGATCTTCAAGGAGGATAGGTTGGCTGGTCGTGTCGATTGGAATCGCTCTTTGGAAGACGATGTTGTCCGCATTGCGTCGGAGCGTCTGTCCGATGCCCTAAAGAAGCAGCTCGCCAAGACTTTCATCCCCGGAAATGTCCTACTTCATATTGATGGGAAACACAACGATCAAAAGGCGCTTGCTCACTCGATCCGTGCTTCCAACGGCGACAAAGACAAACGAGCTTTCTACAATAGTATGGCTAAAGTCAAGACCCTGATGGGCCCCTTCTATGGACGCAACATTCCCAAGCCCCGCTCCCGAACCACAGGGAACACCAGAGACGACGACGATGATACTCCAACGGATGGTAGAGTGCCCTACTCTGCCAGGCACAATGTCTTCCACCGCTCTACCAAGGACAAGATTGTCAAGATTAGAAAGACCATGAAGGCTCTCTGGAAAAAGGCCCACCCCATGGACGACAACATCAAAAAAGTCACTTGCGCCGCCTTGAACAACCTTGGTCATAACGTCCACTCTTGCCGCGGCGAGGCTGACGTATGTATCTCCACTCAAGGAGGCGAGATTTACAGCTTCTCGGGCGACTCTGACTTTTTGTATCATCCCATCCATACATTCGTCCGCAAGGATCCAAAGGACCCGACTACCATGCTGGCGTACCCGACACAAGAGGCTCGCACCTCTTTCAACCTGACTCCTGCCGGTATGGCTGCACTTGCTGTTGTCAGTCGGAATGACTATTCGGTCCATGTCCGAGGATATTCCTTGAAGAAGAACCTTAAAGTCCTCCAGTCGATTAATGGAGCCAAGCCCAGCGATGCTATCCATCTTTCCTCAGAGGTCCTAGTCACAAGATACTGCCGTGCTGTCTCCAAGCCATGGGAAATAATTAACCCTACCAGGTTCAGTTCTGCAATGGACATTTTCGTTCATCACCAGGAAACCTTCAACAATCGTCCAGTCCCATCATCAACAATGTCATTCGATCACGACATGAGGATTTTTGAAGAGGTGTGCGACAACTATCTTCGGCACTTTCGCAACCCCGCTCTTCGTGGACCCGTATCTCTGGACAATCTGCCTCTATCTTTCTTCACGCCAAGCGTTTATACCCGCAACAGGGACAGGACAGACTTGGAAGACATAAGGACAGAGTGGCTGGAGGTTCAAAAACGCCTCCGGTTGCAAAATCGGACAGCCCTCATAGCCCCTACCCTTGTGCTTGCTCCTGCACCTGTTCCAGTCGTCCCCGCCTTGACCATGCCTGTTATCCCACGCAGGATCCCTCCTGTCGAATCTCGTCCAGGTGTATACTCGTCGGTCATGCCTTTTGTCCAGCGCCCGGCCATCTCCAACTTGACGATGCCTGTTATCCCACGCAGGATCCCTCCCGTCGAATCTCGTCCAGGTGTCTACCCATCCCCCTTTCCAGCAAAAACTCTCCCTTTAATCATGCCGGTTATTGCGCCTCGGATTGAACCTGTCGGCTTGCTTGCTTTAGAAACTCTCTATCCACACCGTCATTTTTATCACGTTGACTGGCCTCGTTTGCCTATTTCAGTGTCTGACTTTCCAAGAGATCCTCACTACCGACCGCACAAGGGCTGGATGTCGTCCAACAAGTACCGCATCCGTAACTACACCATCCCGTCTGGCCCCTCTCCCTCGGCCGACGACGATGATGCGGATCAGCACCAGAGCCAGAAGAAGAAGAAGAAGAAGAAGAAGGGAGGCATACGCATGAACAAAAAACAGAAAACGGAGGAGGAGAAGCTCAAGGAGGAGGCAGTGAAGCGCGAGAAGGCAGCCGCCCGACGACGACCCGATACGTCCAAAAAAGGCCGAACCGAGCCCAACCCTAACGCCACGCCCAAGAACGACGATCCCGCCACGATATTGGACAGGGTATTAAAAGGAAAGTACGCGCTGAACGTTCTGGAGGTTGGAACGGTCGGTCAGCGACTCAAGGACTCTATCGCCTTCCACTGCAGAAAGAACCTGCCCGAGGTCCGGGAGCGGATCTTCAACGACCTGAACGACTTTTTCCTGGCTCTGGTCAAGATCGCCACGGACGTTGTCCACGCTGCGCGAATTGCGCTATCATGCTACATCGCCAAAGTCATGTTGGAGTTTCCTGCCACCACCCAAGCTGAAATCATCGCGCGCAAGAACAAGCTGCAGGACATTGGCGACATTGGCGGAAAGCATTGGTTTGGCAGCGTACTCAATGTTATTTTTCGATGGGATCAAGCCCGCACAGGGAACCAGGTTGTTCGCGAGATTGTTGACGACTACCGTGCTCTGTGTGCTCAGGCTGGCCTTGTGCACGATCGCTGGACCGATCTTATCTCCGGCGGAATGAATTTTTTCTTGCAGCAGGTTGGCGGCGACATGGAATCGATAATCCAGGGCCACTTTCGCGGCAACATCAAGGAGCTGGTTGAGCGCGTTAAAACGACAAACCCGACATGGTGCCAGGGCGAAGGCGCTCCCCTCCTCAACGACATGTACATCAATCCCACCAATCCTAAAAACGACAAGCACATGTTTCGCAACTATGGGATCGTTGCAGCATTCTGGACCTTGAACGCCCATCTGCCATCCCACCGACGATTTGCAATGTTTCCAAAGTACAAGCACAAGGATCTTTATGTCACCATCACGGAGAAGCACATCATGGAGACTTTACCCTTCAGACCAAACACCAGCCCTTCCACGCTTGAATTCCTCGCTCCTTTTACTGTCCGCTCGGTCATTGCCCATCCTGGAGAACTTGTGTACCGCCTCTTCATGACCAGCACTGTCGGCTACAAGACGACGTCATGTCTGATGAACCCATCTCAGTCCGGACCCGACTTTCCTCCCTTCTTTTTACCTCCAAGTGTCGACGGTGATGACTTCCAGGATGCCTACGACGCCCTTCAGAGCGAGTATGAGATCCGTGGCAATCATGGAGCTACCCCAGCTTTCAGCCAAGCCAAGCGTAACTTCATAGCTGCGATCGACAAGGCTATCATGGAGGCCAAAGACGTCAGATCTGCCATCAACGACGACGACCAAAACAAGGAACGCCACCGTCGTATGCATATTCTTCACGGATCAATCCAAACAAACGGTCTTGACGCCAAGCTCCACGCCTTCCACACCGCCCAAAAGAAACACCTTGCTGGAACCTACGGCCCCAAGACAACCAAGAGTCTCCTAGGCGATATCAAGACAAAGTATCCTTCAAGAGACGAATTGCTTCGTGATCATCTCTCTCCCGAGGTGTATCGGATTGTGGCCATGGATCCAGGTCTGGCCAACACCATCACGGCTGTCATTCTCGACTCTCGCTCACCCAACAGAGTCAGAAACTTGGCAATCTCCAGTGGATCGCAGAAGGAACCAGAGCGGCACCACCGTCGAGGTCTGAACGCCGCCAAGAGCAAGAGAGGGATCAACTTTTTGGAGAACTCCATCGTCCCCGTCGAGTTTCCTCAGTTCCGAAATACTGGAGACGATTGGGTTAATTGGTTGTGCCTGCGAGATTCCATCCGCCTAAATTGTGTGTCGGAACTTGGGGTGTACAAGCGGCTTCGAGCCTTCTATGGTTCCATCATGTTCAAAGTCAAGAACAGGAGCTTGAAGTTGGCTCAGAACGCTACACTAAACAAGGCTGTCGGCGTAATCATCCGGTCGTGTGGAATCAAGGGCAAGTGGAGAGAGGGAGACAATAGGGTGCGCCCCTTGTTTGTTGCTGGCGATGGCAACTTCACATCCAGGCCCGGTCGGCCCATCCGACACTTGCAGTTCTTCAAGAAGCTAAAGACCAAGGTAAGCATTATTATGTTCTCTCTCTCCTCCCTTTTTTTTTTTTTTTTTTTTTTTTTTTTTGGTTATTGGGTAACAAAAAGACATATCAAACCTAATGCTTACATCTTTTCTTGTCTTTGCATAGTTGGTGGCCTTGGGGTACGTGATCGTGTCAGCTGACGAATACTTCACCTCCAAGTCTTGCTGTCAATGCCACACCAAGAGTGAGGACCATATCACCATGGAGCGTCGCTCCATCCAATGCACACAGTGCAACCGAGTCAGGGACCGTGACCATAATGGGGCGCACAATATGGCTCGTGCAGCATTGAAATGGATGACGGTCTTTTCTTGGCCTCAAGAGCTGTGTCGTCCCACCCCATCACCACAACCTCAACCTTAACAGTCATGTTACTCACTAGGCGCCCCTTGCTGGGACTGCTCATTGTTGATATTAGATGTTCAATTACGTTTCTTCTAATAAATCTTAATACTTCACTGCCATGTGAGTATCAAGTTGCCGTATCTCTCTCTAGCCAGATGATCATAGGCCTTCAATGTTGTTTTTTGTCCGTTTGCTTCATCAATGGATGGCGGGATGGAGAACCCATGCCAACCATAAAGACATCAATCCATCCCTCCTCAGTCTCCCTTGTCTTCTTTGTCTGTTTCCTTCTCTCCCTCCCTCCTCGTTGTGGCGGCTTTCAGTCGATCCGGATACTCTTAGCCATGCTACTCTACTGATCAAAGGCCACGCGTTGCGGACAGGGTTCCTCAGATCACGTTCATATCTTAGCTTTGAAGACCACATGGGACTACGCCACCATTCGCGCCTCGATTTTCGCGCTTGAAGTATCATAGCTTAAGATCTGGATGTTCAATTGACCGTTGTTGCTGCAACACGAGAGTTTAGCCCGCATTGTGGAATGAAGTGATAGAAAATCAAATTAAAAAGTGAATGAAACTATGCGAAATCAAGCAATCTAAAAGCCCCAGGGCCGTCATGATCCCGTATCCCCTGGTGACGAGAAATCCTGTAGCCACGATGGACATAGGAATGCCTGCCTTCAAGAAATCCAAAGTAGCCTCCTTAAAATAATAAAATTGTGATGCTCGAAAGAAAGAATAAACAAGGGTTTTCTCTTCTTTTTACAACAGCAACTTTGAACAACTGTCTCCATGGAATGGGAGGTTCACCTCTTGTTCTATTTGTTCATAACACAACACACTCCAACTCACACATACTCATACTCAATCTGCACCTTGTTTTTCATTTCACCATCCCTGGATGCTTTGTATGAGTAGTTTTCCTGTGCATGTTCGCCGAAGCTACGTGTGCACTTGTATGGATGAACGGTCGTTTTTCAGAGTGGCAGTGAAGAGGAGAGCATATCCAAATATAGAGGGTTGACGATGGGTCGTGTAAAACACGTGTGCAATTAAATAATAGTAATTTCAATAAAGCGAGAAGGCAACGGGTGATAATAAATATCGAGCAATGGTTTGCCGAAATGAAAGCGCGTTCGCCTTAATGATACTACGTTCATATCTAGAATCCAAGAGCCAACATGATACCGTAGCCCATGGTGATAACTACGCCTGTCGCCACTAAAGACAAGGGAACACCTGTCTTCAAGAAGTCCTTCGTGGATAAGAAAGGAGTGCCCAACTCGTCAGTTACACTAATAGCCGCCATATTAGGGAATCCTGACACTAATGGCGTTGAGAGACGATTGGGAAGAAAAGAAGTAGGCGAGGAAAAAAAACGAAAAAAAAAAAAGAGTTAGAAACATACAATTTTTTTTAGGAAGATTGGCCGAGAGACGCGTCTGATCGCGCGTATAGTCAGGAGACAAGGCCCTGGAAGGTCCACACAAGAAAACATACCTGGAAGACCCATGGCAGCACTGCAGATAAGGCCAGCGCCCATGACGAGGATTCTGGGGTGAGGATCGGGTAAGGTAGCACCAATCTGGGCGACAATTGGTAGAATGATCAACGCCGCGACAGTGTGAGAAATAAACGTGGCGATAACAAGCGTCAGTCCCGAAAAGATCACAAGGACAACCCAGAGCGAGAATCCCTCGACATAGTCCTGAACGGCCTCAGCAATCATGTGCAACAGCCCTGACGACTCGACAGCCTTTCCGAGAGCAATTCCGCCCATGGCGAGGATGATAACCGTCCAAAGAAAATTGTTAAAGTCCTCCTTGGTGAGGATTCCAGTTCCGAAGAAGGCGAGGAGGGGGATGATGGCAATGAGTCCCATATCTCCAAAGAGCCACTCGAGCTGGTGTTCAAAGCACCAGAGGAGGATGGTGATGGCAGTCACGACGCAGACAAAGACTTGGGTGCCGGTGATGGGATCCTTGGTTGAGCGGATGGTGGAGATGGTGGGAGTGTTGGATGAGGGCTGGTAAACCCAGAGGAGAGCACCCCAGATGGCGAGATCGCAGACCAAGCAGATAGGAAGAGCGACGGTGAACCATTCGAGCCAGCTGGGGGCAGGGTGCATGTACTCAATGGCAATGATATTCTGGGGCGAGCTGATAGGCGAGGCCATACCACCGACGTTCGAGGCCAGGGCAATGCCGAGAATGAGGCACTTTGCAAACGACGAGCCAGGAGGCAGCGTGCGAAGAATCGGCTAAAATGAATGCGCACATACAACAAAAAAGCAGGATCCATACCAAAAGGGTCTGTTAGCCAATGGAGACAAATCACTCCGTCCCTTCACACACACAAAGATAAACATTAATTGCAAGATAGCAAAACCGTACCTGGATAAGAGAAAAGCAAAGGACAGGGGCGGCGACGTTACTGATCCACATACTGGCAACAGTGGCGACAAGCATGTTGGCAAGGAGGACAGCGCTAGGATGAGTGCCGGCCTTGGAAAGGACAACAGTGGCCATGGCTTTGGCAATGTGGAACTTGCTCATGGCTGCAGCGACGGCAAAACCTCCAAGCAGCAGCATGATGACTGGGGAAAACATAAGCGAAAAGATTTTCTTGGCGGCGGCATGCGAATCCAGTCGTGTATGGTCCTCATCGTCCGCCCGCATGACTCGGAGCATGACCACCAATAGAGGGACCAACAGCGATGTGACAAACAAGGGCAGCGACTGTGGATAAAAAGTCCGATCGAACGACACATCGCAAAATAACGCAAGGTAGATCGGAAATCAGATAGAGGGGAGGGAAGGAAAAAATGAGGAGCAGCAATGCGTCAGTAAAAAAGAGCATGGCAAATTGAGGAGATAGACAACGTAGTGAGAACAATTTGTTTGGGTGACTCGGGAACCAATGAAAAAATAAAAAATCGTCATTGTTACCTCCGTGGCCCAGAGCAAAGAAGCAAAGACAAGAATGGCAAAGCAGTTCTGCTGCTCAGGTCCCTCGAAAAGTTCGATGTTGAGGAGTATGGCAAAGACGAGACAGCAAAGGAGGAGCGTCCAGACATTGCCAGTGAGCCACTCAGGGAATTGAATTGATCCAAACGGCGTGCTAATGTTGATAGGTCCCGTCTTCAACGCAGACGAGGGTCTCACACCAACAGCCTGGCTCTTGCGCTCGATACCAATCATGTCTCGCCAGACAGTGTTGCGCTCCCAGACCATATGTTCCTTGAGGTGCATCTTGAGCGAACGTTTGGCAACCTCGGTGTCGCCATTGGTAAAGATCCTGGCGTAGATATCACGAACACGGTCAATCTGTCCCTGCAGCTTTTCGGTCGTCTCCTGCTTGAAAGGGTAGGCCTGAAGGACGACTTGGTTCATGTAGACCTTCTTAGTGTTGTTCTCAGAGATCTTGTCGTACTTTTTCAGGATCTTTGAGAATCCGGTGCAGTTCAGCTTGGCATAGGCCTGCAGCTCTGATAGGTTGACAAACATCTCGATGCAATTATGGCGGAATCGCATCTTTTCGTGCTCCATCTCGGGATCGAACCACATAGACTTGGCGTCATCCTCATCATTGTCGTCCTCGTCGTCCTCGTCGCGGGGAGTCTCGGGTTCGACATCGGTGACAATGCTGGTCGAGATTTGAGATGACGTTCCGACTTCTCCGTGCCCTGGAACAAAGGTCGATGACGACGAAGGGTTGGGAACATGACCTACATCCTGAACGGCCTCTGTTGCAGTATTGTGAGCAGCGGCGTCGGCGTGAGCGAGGGCCTCATCATATCTCCAGCTTCCTGAACGCGCCAAGATCGAGTGTCGGCTTGCCCTGCTGTTGTTGCGGCTCCTTGTCTTGCGCACACTGCCGCTATTGGGGGCCTTGGATCCAGAGCCGGCGGAGCGAGAGGGGATGGAGGGATCAAAGTTCTCGACAAACTCAATGTCAGCGGCCAGGGCATCGACCTCGCCGTAGAGCTCCCGCTCCTTCTTGAAGTAAAAGGATATGATCTTTTCCAGCTCCCTGTCAAGGGCGGGCAAAAACATGTTGTTGGCCCTTGCTCTGGCCTGTGACCGTGCGCCAGTTGAGAGCAAACCGGAACGCTCGTTTGGCTCGCCTTGGTTGGGAGAACCCGATCCTGATTCCAGATCATTGCTGGCACCGGCGGCGACCAGGTCCTTTTCGACCTGGTAAATAATCTTTTTCAGATTGTCGTATCTATTTCACACATTAACAGTTTTGAGAGAAGAGGGTGAGGAGAGAGTTAGAAGCGGTTCCAACCGAAATGACCTCTCCTTTTTTTCCGCAACGATACCAGTGCAGATGGTCCACGGTGTTATTCAAAGCGAAAACACCACATAAAAAGGATTGCAATTGATCCAGGGTGAAAGAACACCGAGAGAGTAGAGGAACCAAGAGACAAGTTAGACAGAAGTGAAAAGATGAACGTGGGGAAACATGAACAAGGACATAGTCAGGAAGAAGGCATTAACAAAGTTCAAGAGAAGAGTAAAAAAGAAAGAGGGATTGAAGCCAATAGGAAGCAGGGATGCGAGAGTGTGCGTATGCAGAGTATGCGGGGATGTATCTTACGCGAGGTAGTAGTCGACCCACTCGGGCACGACGTTGAACTGCAGCTGATGCGAGAACTTCATGCTGACAGCAAAGTAAAAGTGGACAGAAGTAACTGATGGCGGTGAGTGAGAGGTGAGTGTTGAATGAGGAAGAAGGAAAAAAGGAAGAAAGGAAGAAAGGGTAAGGGATCAATGAGAAAAAAGAGAGATCTGAAAAGTGTGGGGAGAGAGAAGAGTGGGGAGAGAAGAGTGGGAAGAGAGAAGAGTGGGAAGAGAAAAGAGTGGGAAGAGAGAAGAGTGAAGAGAGGAGAGAAAAAGGGTGAGGGAGATAGGAGAGGATGAGACAGAGGAAAGAAAGAAAGAAGCGGGCAGCGAAAAAAGTAATAAAAGTAAAAAAAGAAAATGAAAGGCAACACGAAGTGGACACGCTCGGAAAAGGAGGAGTGTCTCAATCAAAGTGATCAGTGACTCTGATTCTTCTGAGTATGGCGAGACACTACCACAGTGATCAGCAATCAGAGAGTCAGCTTTCCTTTTAGGGAAAATTTATAATCAGCATAGCCTCACGATGGTCAAACGAGCGACCATGGGTCAATTGAAAAACTAGGCACTCATTTGCCTCGCTCTCTCCCAATAAATACCTTGCAGTCTGCATTCTTTTTTTTTCTTCCTCACACAACAAGTTTCTCTGACAGCATCCTCCCAACTCCACCTTCTCATTCTCTCATTCTCAAACAGCACAGCACTCTTCGCACCTCCCTTGTACCTTCTTGTCCTTCTCCGTGTGCGCATCGGTTCGATCCCCCATACACCCTTGTGCTCCCTTCCTTCCCCACTCACACCGTCAACAGTAAACCACTGAGACAAACATAAAGAACAAAAAGAACAATGTCGTTCCCTCCAAGATTCATCCGTACCCAGACCCCTCATGCCCTCCAGTCTACACTCGAACAGGACTCCGTCGACAGTCAACTCCACAACAGCAACAACAGTGACAAGCTCTTTCAAGACCTCGACAACAACAACAACAACAACAACAGCGACACTGACGAGAACGACGACGAGGAAAGAGACGAAGGCCGGGAACAGTCAGACTCCATTATCAACCTCAGCCAACCCTCCAGTCTTCCCACCTCATTCCCCCGCTTCGCCTTCCTCAGCGCACCAACAACGACACAAGGCGACAGCTTCGCCCTGCTCGCCGACAAGACGTCCAAGCGCGTCCGGGTAACACACCCCACGTCTTCTCAAAACAGGAGCTCAAGCAAGAGCATGAGCAGGAGCAGGAGTACAACCCCGACTCTATTGGACGTTGACGACAGCGATTACAAACCCGCTACCTCGTCCCCCACAAAAAGGGTGCGCTTTGACGAATCCAAGAACAGGGTACACTGGCACCACCGCAGCAGCAGTGTCAGCCCACCCGGCAGCCCTGTTCCCGCCATCAACCTCAAGGCGCAGCCACTTGCTTCTGCTCTTCTCCACCGATCTCAATATGGTGGCAATCAGTCGCCTTCGGCCTCGTTTGACTTTGACGAGAGCTTTACTAGTGTCAGTAGCAGCACCAGCGGTAATGGCAGCGCCGGGAACCAGTCCCCGGAAAAGTTTACTCTCTCGCTCGAGAACACCTCTCAGGACGTCATGGACTTTGCATCTAGTCTGACCCGTCTCATGGGTAGTGGCAACTTGGGAGGATCACAGGAATCCGACAGCAGCAGCACCACTGGCACAAGCTTTGCTGCCTTCAACAGCCCCCTGCCCATGTCGGCATCGTCGCGGATCTTTAGCAACATGTTCCAGGCATCGCCTCCTTCGCCAGTCAGACCCTCCTTCATGTCGTACTCCCCACCTCCTTCCTCCTCTTTGAGCTCCTGCTGGTCACCCACCATAGACGACGACGAGGACGACTCTATGGAGACGGCCCCTAGAATCTCGCCTCCTCCTCCCCCAGTTCCCGTCCAGAAGGCCCGCGCACCATTCGTCCCTCGACGACCCCGCAACACTGGCAACCTCTCGCCTACGCGTCCCGGCGCAGTCCCCGGTGCTCCCAGACGGTTCCCTTCGATGTTGAAGCGTGAGGCGTCAAATGCCTCCTTCTTGGACAACTACCCAGCTAGCCTTGCGCCTGGACCCGACGACGACGACTACAATCCTTCTCCGTCTTCTGTCTCTTGCGTCTCTCCACCTCCTCCTGCAGCAGTGCCAGTCGTTCCAAGAATTCCGACCCCTCCACGTGAAGCCTCCGCGAACCCCGCCCTCCAGTCTGTTGCCTCTTCTATCATTCCTGTCGTTTCTCTTCCTTTGATGTCGGCAGGAGCTGCCGCCAGCACCCCCTTGCTTCGAAAGTCCCTCTCGGACATTCCTCTCCGATCACTCAAGAACAGGTCTAATATCAACTTTGGCAACTCTCATTTGGACGCTCAAAAGATTGTCCCCCAGTTCAAGAAGTCTGCTTCGTTCAACGAGTTCATGGATACCTGTAGCAGCAACAACAACAACAATATCCACAAGAACTTGTCGCAAGAAGATGTCATTATGTCTCTTGCTCCTCTCTTCCCTCTTCAGAGCTCCATCGACTCCCAGCTTGTTTAGATGCAGTTACTTTTACTCTTTTTCGTTATTGCCTTCTTCCCATTTGTTTTTGTTCCCGGTGTAGACGGCACCTTGTATTATTTAGCTTCTCTTTTCCGTACCCTTCTTTGCTTACTCCTCCATATCCACCTTTTAACTATACAACTATACAGCTCTGTACCACTAGCTTAGATACCCTTTCACGTCTTCTCGTTTCCCTACCCATTGCCACCATTAAAAAGCACACTTGCTATTCAAAAGAATAAACCCCCACCATGCACAAGAAACCACCACCCCTTCAAGTCAAACAAATGTTTTGCCACCGTTGCCATCAAATATAACAGTTGAGCTGAGGGGCTGCAGAGCTAATTTTTGCACACCCTTCCGATCTATGTTTTTTTTTTTTTTTGCCACCCAGAAAAGCGATGATGTGTTTGTTTATGTTTGTCCATGCATGCTTCCTGTCCTTTGCCGCCAATTTCTGTTTTATTGCTTGCGTTTTTGTTTGTTTAGGGATAATACTCGGGCTATTTTTGGTCACAAATGACGCACATGCACAAAAGGCACCATGAGGGACAAGTAAACATTGACGAAAGCAACAAAGGGGGAGAGGGGGGGGGGACATTGACAACGGCTCACACACCCCTCTAGGTTATCGTTATTGTTCTGTTGTGTATGCTTCTTTATTTAACTTTGTACAATTCATGACATCCCCACGCTCCTTTAGCCCCTACATTTCTTGTTCTGTGAAAACGAAACAAAAAAGAGAAGGGGTGACAAAAGAATAGGGATAAGGAGGAGGGTGAGAGGGAGAGGGGGGAAGCATGACAAAGGTTGTGTTGGATGGTTGTGTCGGTGTATGTGCGATGAAAGAGTGGTTGGTGGTCGGTGGAGAGTTGTGTGTGCGTGTGTGTATGATTTTTGCGTGCATTAATGAACTTTTGCATCCGTCTGCGATTCGCAACTGTAAAGGTGAGAGACGCTCAAGAAAAACAAGAGGCTCATCATGAAGTCATCCAGGAGACGACAGTGGTTCTTGAGGAAGGATCCAGATCGTCAGAGTCTCCGACACTGACGAGTCCATTGGCCTTGTCGGATCCCAGGATGCGCTTCTCGAGGAGGATCAGTTGTGAGACAAAGCCAATGTTAGGGGACATGCACCGGCGCCGTTCGACCACATGATCGTATGCTCGCTTGAGGGGCCACCGGTGCTCCTGGATCAGGTACCCAATCACGGTTGCGACAGACCTCGACTTGCCAGCCTGGCAGTGCACATAGATTGGTGTCTTGGACGATGCTATGAATAACAAACAATCGATGGAGAAAGTACAAGATTAGATTAGAGAGTCAGAACAATAAGAAAAAAAAAGATTTCTGCAATTGCAGAGAGGGAGAGTGCGGAAGCTGTATGTGTATGCATCTGCATGAACCTAAATATAAAAAAAATTCTCTGTCAAACAACTTACCGATGAACTTGATGGCTTCGTCAAGACCATCTTTCAAATCCTGATCAACATGGTCCCGGAGACCGACCTTGAGATACCCAGCCTGCCCAAAACGTTGGATCCAGAGGTCATCGTCGCAGTTCACAGCCACGTTGAGCACTCGCTTGATTCCGAGCCGTTCCAATTTCTCGACCTGCTCCTCGTCAACCAACTCGCCTCCGAGAAAGAGAAAGTCTGGAAGGATCATCGACACTTCCCGCTCGGCTTTGTCATTGTCTTGAAGATGTGATAAGGGCATGCAATTCGTGGAGGAAGATCCTGATCCTGAATGGAAAGATGACGCTGACCCATTCGACAAGAGAGAAGAATTGGACGAGGACAATGCTGCCGAGAGGGGTGGGTGGGGTGCGTTGTTTGAGTTTGGTGGTGTTACTCCTTGTCTCCCTTCTCCTGTGGGATATTGTGTCGATGGGTGCACTCCTGGAAAGACTCCTGATTCAGAAAGATCTCCGTAGGATTCTATTGTTGTGTCGCAAGCTGTATTGTCCCCTTGCCCTGCTGCAGCTGCGGCCGCCGCCCTGGCTCGTGCGACGGCAATGGTAGAGTAGGACGGTGAAGACGGAGACGCCAGCGAGGAGGAGGAGCCTGGTGTGAAGGTGAGAGATCCAGTCGAGAGGTTGAAGGATGCCCTCCGTCCTTGGCCTTGAATCTGAGACAGATTAGAACCAAGAGACTCTTGACTGTCGCTCATCGTTCCGTTTTGTTGCTGCTGCTGGGCCAGAAACTGTTGTTGCCTCTGAAGGAGATGTTGTTGTGGATCGATAGAGAGATAGGTGGGTTTGGGTGGGGTGATACTGAGGGTGAGACTGCCGCCGCTTCCATTGGAACTGCTGTTGCTGTTAGCAAGTTGCTGGCGTTCACGGAGGGTGAGCCCGCTTCCTGAGGTTGGCGGTGATCTATGTGGGGACTGCTGGGTGATGCCTGTGCTTGCGTTTGTGCTTGCTCCGTTGACGATATGGCTGGCTCCGATAGGGTTGTCTAGACTGTCGTTTGAGTCTTGTTTCCTGGCGGCGGCCAGTGTCTTTGACACTGGAATCGGACGAGGAGCGGTATGTTCCATGACTGATCTGAAGGGTGGTAGTAGTTGTTGTGAGGGAATGAGTGGAGAGAGTGTGACGACTTGGCTGGACGTAAAGAATGAGAGAATGAGAGAATGAGAGAGAAGAGAATGAGAATGAAGAAGTGAATGAGGAGAGTGTGAGAGGAGAGGAGTGTGGGGTGAAGGGGTGAGAAGGTGAAGTAAAAGTTGAAGGATAGGGAAGAGAAAGAGAGGGTGAAGAAGACGACGAAGAAATAAAGAGGGGGTCAAGCAGCCTCTCTTTTATAAGTTAATGAGCGGAGAACGGATGCAAAAAAAGAATTGTGGTGTGTGCAGTGGTTGAGTGTGTTGTTTGTCTGTGTCGCTGTGGGAGGGGGTGACAAAAAAAGATCATGACAAAAAAGGGCCACTTTTGCTCTCTTTGAACTCAAAACGAAAGTGAAGTCATCCTCCCAGTGGTCCAAAGAAGAGCGACAACAAAAAAAAAAAAAAAAAAAAAAAAAGGGAGGGAAACAACAGGGTTGAAAATAGCATGCAGCATCTCTTGGGGGGTTGTTGGATGTATGGGTTGGGGAAGAGGAATAGGGGGGCATGCTTCGTGCACTCTTCTCTATCTCTATCTCTATCTCTGCGCTTACAACTCACCATCATCATTGTTTGATGATGCACAGTATTTTTATCTCATGTCCGCCGTTCTTTTGTTTGATGTTCGATCGTCCAGGCAATGGTCGCCATCAAGTGAACGAACAAGCATCAACAGGAACCATTGCCAGCTTTGTTCCCACCCCTCCCACTCCCCAAGTCGCACTTGGCACCGTTCTTTCTCCCCCAATGCCATGCCAATGATGAGCTAAAAATAAAAGAAACTCAAAAAAAACCATATGGTTTGCCTCCTTGGCAGATGGACCAGCCACACCCTCGTTCGCACGCAGACTCACTCGCCTGCAAAGAAAAATCATCGTCACACCATTCAACCAAGCCAAGGCAGCGTGCTCCCTGCCTCTCTCTCCCGGCCCTTGTGAAAATTTTACCTTTTTTGCATGGCCGAACACACCACTTCCTTCTTCCTTACCCACTCAAAAGAACCGCACAGGACAGGAACCACCTCACACCTCACGGACACCCATACCCTTCTTCGCCTTTCTTTATCAAAGGATAACAACAACACAGCAACACCTCAGCCGTCTAATAATACCAATATACCCCCCAACAGCAACAATGGAAAGAGGACACAGCATCGGTTCAACAGCCTCCTCCTCGGACGACTCAACCTCGCTCGACAGAGGCAGTGTTACCTCCGGCATCCCATCCTCCTTTGCATCGGCCCATCATCAACACCAGTCCAGCAACGACTCCAACTCTTCCCCATCTACTCCCGGAGGTGGAACACTCGGTCGCAACTCGACTTCTTCCGACCGCGACTCCCACCGTGACTCCATCTCTCTCAGGCCCACCTTTATGCAAAAGTAAATTGCAGAAGAAGAAAAAAAAACCAAAGATGCCAAGCGCAATGCAGGGAATTGGCCAGGAAACAACCCAAACCCTACTTTGGATGTAATGCTAATCATGCACGTCACTCTTTTTTGTTCACAAACGATGATGAGAATAGGTTCCGTCCAGCAGTGGCGACAAAGTTCATGCAACAGATCCTTCAGACACACCTCCAACACAAGGTCTACAATGCCGACGAAGCACAACGGATGTCTAAACTTATCGCAGAGGAAGTCAAGGCCAAACTCATCGGTATGCTTCAAGGGGGAGGCAGCAGCAGTAAACATATCACACCGATGCAAGGGACATCAATAACAAAGGAAGGGAGAGAGGGGGGAGACATACAACACACGGCATGCATCTCATAAAAAGTATCAATGTTGCAAGGGAAGAATGCGGGAGACATGCATATTGAAACACCAAAAGGTCTCGGCGAACCAGCATTCATCACAGGATAATAATAAGTACAAGGACCCCAACAACCAGAAAAACGCAAGAACTCGGCAGCAGGAGAACTTGATAAAAGCAATCATCCATAGCGACTTGACAACGACAGTAGAACAGGGACTCGATATCAGACACAAGGAACCTAACATCAAGCATCGAGCATCAAGCAAGGGTCATCCAATATTGCTTCAAAGAGTCGGGCAGTAGCAATTGCATTCTCAGATATGACAAGGAAACAGGAATATCAATACCACTCAAAGAAAAGACATAAGAAACAGGAACACCAACCTCAACTGAAGGCACGACAAAAGGAAAACAGGAATAGTCAGCACAGATTAACCAACACCATGTCTCCCTAAACTATTTCGAACGCACACTAGAATTGGACTTGGGACGGTACAAGTATGTGGTCAATGTGGTTCTGGGCGAGAACTTGGGCGAAGGCGCAAGGATGGACGCTCGATGCTATTGGGACCAGGAATCCGACGGCTCTGCACAAGCATTCTTCACCAACGTAAGTTTCTTCTCCATCACGGAGCTGAGGCCGGTTTTTCTCGACCGCCCAAATGATGGCAAAAAAAACGCGTCGTGTCTCACTCACTAATCGAAAATTATACCTTTCTTCCAATTTGTACTCGATTCTTGTACATTCAGGACACGTTGTGGTGTGCTGCTGTTGCGTTTGCAGTCTTCTACTACTAGGCCTTCAGCTAACTGCACGAAAAGTAATAAAAATAAGGACCAAAAAAACAGTGCATGGCAATCAACGGATACATGACATCCATCCCGCATATGCAAGCAAAGACGCAGGAGACCTACGGGAGTTACGCCACCACGGGGAGGAGGGACTTGACACCGCATATGCGGGAAAGCTACAGGAAGACAAAACATGGGATGTAGTCTACAATGCATAAACGCCGCCATCGAGCATGTACTCCACGCAGCAAGGAAGGAAAGAAAAAAAAATGCTGAAAAATAGTGCTCACAACTGTTCGCCATCACCGTATCTTCTGGGAAGGAGAAAAGGAGAAAAGGAGAAAGAAAGCTGGGGATTGACAATCCAACTACTGGGAGGACCTTCTGGGAGAAGCTGGGCGTAGTTTATGCAAAAATTACCCCCCTCCTCCCTCCTCCGAACGAGATGAGCTACCTCCCACGGTGGTGCGGGGTGCGGTGGAGAAGAACAAGTGTCCAGTCGCCGAAGGGCATGGCAAGTATGACAACTATGACGGGACTACGGGATGAATCTGCTGGTTGGTTTGGCATGTTGAGTAATGTGCGATCATGCGGGACAAAGAGGTAACAGTTGCGCATGTGTTGTAGATGGACTTTGAACGACAACTCATCGTGCCTCGCTATCATCATCGATAATCGTCTTTTCTTTATCTGTATCTCTAGATTAGAACATTTTTCTATCAGATAGAATGAATGAAACTGCAAGAATGAGCAGGTTGTGTAGATTGTTTTTTTTTTGCTTGATGATGCTGTTTGTGCGCGTATGATGCTCTTTTGGTCGCGTTACTGCTCTGCTTGCCGAGAGAGAGAGGGACAGGGAGAAAGAGGTTCCTGCAGGCAAATGGGCAACATTATACGCTTGAGGTGTGACAAAACTGAAATGACGAATGATAGGCTCTGAGGGAAAACGCGGCTGGAAAAAAAAAAGGTGAATAGAGAAGGTCACAGAAGACAAGGGAGGAAGAAGAGAAGAAGAAAAAAAAGCTGCATATACCACACGTCAAAAAGCGGCCGCAGTGGTATACCGCCGGCGTACACGTCTTCACCTTTTGCTAACCACCTCCTCTACAAGTCGACGACCAACAAAAAAAACAAAGAAAACACCAACAAGTGAAGTAATGCAAACACACATTCACACGGCCAAACCAAAACACAAACGAACGTGCAAAGAAGAAAAAGAGTGAAAAAAGAATAAACAAGGGACCAGAAAAAGTGCAAAAAAAAATAATGCCAACCTTGTCTACCTGCCAATCTGGTCTGCTGGTCGGTTGTTTACGTCCACCTTGTTCCTTAGTTTCCTCCCGCTAAAGCATCGCATTATGCCATGCGGGGGGGATCAGAGACACAAACAAAGCAAAAGAAAGCTGCTATCTTTCTAGATGTTTTATGGTTCGACTTGAGTAATGCCTTGTGTTTTTTGCATGAATCACAAATAGACTTTCCGATGGAGAGAGAGCGTCATCGGAAGATGCAAGGACAAGGAATGGAAACACAAAGGAAACAATAACAAGGGAAAAGGGAAAGAAGTGAGAGCGGAATGCTGTCAAGAAAGGGCGCAATAGGAGAGAGCCAGGTAGGGAGAGTGACACGAAAAGTCAACAAAGAAACTGCCGAACAATCGGAGAGGTTGCGTGAGAGTGGAGTACAGTAGGGGGATAGCTCAGTAGGACTACGAAAGTGGTCAGAACTCAAAAGGTGCCTTCTTTGTCTAGCCACTTCCTCGAATTTCTCCTCGGCAAAAAAAACAACAAACCTTTAGTGCAAAAAAAAAAAAAAAAAAAAAAGAGAGACTACAAACCTTTCCGCTACAACCATGTTACACGCCCGAAATCCTAGCCTTCATGGCGCTTGACTCGTTCGCTTGCTTCACTTTTTGTCAACCCAATCTCTTCGCCCATTTTTTTATGCAATTGTTCGACCTTGCGCTTGTTCTTATCTTCCCTTCCCGATTCTAGGCACTAGACATTGGCCCAACCTCACTTCTCTCGCTCTATCACTCTAACTGTCACTCCATTCAAAGTGATTTTCATTTGTTGTTCAAAGGACCCAAGAAAACAAAAATGCAAACTGCATCAATTCCCGCCCATCTCCTTCATCTTGTCCCCTGTCCTCCCCTGCACCCAATACACCCATCCATTCACTTATTCATTCTAACACAGATGGACAGAAGAACTGGGCATAAACAACGTTCTGTAACTCCAAAAAAAATAATGCATTTCCCTCCTCACCTTCTCCCACAATAGGGCAAAACAAAGGGTAAACAAAACCACACATACAACACGTCAACACTCCAATCCCCTCTCAAGCCGCCCAATTCCTTCTCCACCTCCTTCCTCCTGACTTCTCTTCCTCCTCGTCATTGGTTTCCGCGCCCTTCGCACTGAGGACAGAGAACAGAGCAACCCTCATGTGGTGTGGTTATGGGTCGGTTCCCCTCCCTTCCCTTCTCCCCTCTCCGCCCCCTTTTTTCAGTTGGAAGTTGAACGCAGGACAAGCAGGACAGAACATGTATGAATGGTTTGTTTTTTTTCCCGCGCAGATTTGACTCGGGCGGGAGAAAAAAAACCCAGCATTTAGATGAGAAAAAAAAAGGGGAGGAAGTAGGGTTGGTTGAACAAAAAGACAACCTTGCAGCACACCAAACAAAAAAGCACAAACAAATCAACATTGAATTAATAGGAAGCGAATCTCTGATTGAATACAAAGAACAACTCAAAACGTATTGTAAAAAATGGGACTGAATACCCTGGAAGGAGTCAGGTAATAGAAAAAAAAGTCATGGATAAAACTGTATTGATAGGACAAAGGGAAGAGAGGGGCGGGGGGGAACACAAACAAACGCGTCGCGTGCGTGAGATAAAGTGTGCGTTGTATGTGTGTATGTGTGTGTGTGTATGTGTATGTGTATGTGTATGTGAGGAAAGACCTTCTTCTGGCCCTTGCAGCATGTCTAAAATTACGAACAAAATCTCTCGACCTATCTTACATCAACGCTCTCTCTCTTTTTCCCAAAGACAAACATAAGGTACCGACAGCACTGGCGAGAGAAGCGCAACCGGAGCTTTGAGATCCCACACTCCACCTCAGCCGATCTCAATGCAATACCGATCTACCAATGAACAGGAAATCAAAGGAGGAATAGAAAACAAAGGCTCATTTTTTCGGCGCTTATTTTTAATTCTTTGGAGTATTACGATAGATGTGGATGGGATGGGTATGATGATGGACGAATAGTATCTCTCGCATGGGCCTATTGGTGCACCTACCAGTGTGCTGCTGCTCTGCCGCAGCCCTCTGCTTAGCAGCAGCGGCGGCGAAAGAAAGGGGATTGAGTGAGAGCAGTTGATACAAAAAGCCAAAGCCGAGGCAGCATGCAAAATAAAGGGCCAAAAGAATCACAACGGCATGCATGAAGGAAGGGAGACAACTATAAGAAAAGACTGAATAAGGTACACGGAAGGAGAATGAATTGATCCAAAAGAACAAAGGAATGGTCGCGTAAGGCAGGGAAAGGGAAGGGGATGGGAAGAAAGTCTGCATGAAAGAAGGTGTTTCTGGGAAGAGAATAATTCGCCGAAGGGAAGAAGAGAGAGAATGGAGAGCGCGCTTACCATATATTTTTTCTGTGCCTCCGTCCTCCTCGTGTCCTCTCTCTTTCTTTCTCACTCTCTTATCTTGGCCCATGAGATGGGTACGACTTACTCTGTTGTCTTCAATTCAATCGATGGATAATAAAGTAAAGAGAATAAAAATAGGACTGAACATAACCCCCGATGTCCATGATCCAATGGTCTAGCGTCTTTTTTTTCTCTTTGTTGTTGTTACTCACTCCTTTTGAATGTGATTCTTTTGAATAACAAACAACCCATGCATTATTCAATCATTTATAACATTTTGACCAACAAACGTACGACCCTCATGGATTTTGGTTTAGTTTGTGCCTTGTGTATGTTAAATAAAGGAAAAGGTTTTTCTCATAGTTGAGCATGATCCATTTTTTTTCCCTTGTGTTCCCATAAACACACACACTTGCACGGCACAAAAGAAAAAATACGAAAGGAGGCACACAGGCTAACAAATAAAAGCATAAGGAGTCAGACACAAACAACAACATCAATATCAATACAAAAAAAAAGAGGGGTGAAAGACCATCGACCGTGGACACGAGGGAAAGGGGGGAAGGCAGGTTGAATAGGATCGTTGGTATTGTAATTATAACATTTTTCCCTTGCATCAAGCTCACCGATCTCTGTTATGTGTGCGTGTGCGTGTGCTTGCGTGCATCATGCCGTTGCCTTCCCTGTCGGCTGAAGAAAACAAAAAGAGAAACGCGTCGATCAGGGGTTGGAAAAAGCGGTTGGTTGGCTGGAAAGTAGGGATGGTAAAAAGCGCGGGAAAAAAACAGTTCGCGCAACAAGGGGGGGGAAAGCGAGGGAAGAGATGCTAGGTGGGTCGCGAAAAAGTATAAAAGGGAGCAAGACGAATGGTTAGCATCCCTAGATTTTGCATTGGGACGCGTTATTTTTTTTGCTCATTAAGGGATTTGGGATGTTTGAGGCATTGGGACACACATACGACTATTGCTGCCATATACCACCAAAATCACACACATATCAAAGACACTATATGACTCGAAACAACAACACCCCTGTCGTTTCGTTTCGAGACAAGCACTACTTCTAACTAACTGACTTACACCCTGCTTTTCTCTCCTTGTCCTACATGCTCTTCCACGTATGCGATTGTCAGGGGTATGGGTACCCATGTCCGTGGTGTATTTGGCTCTCTTTATTTTTCTTTTTTCTTCACTTTGACACTGCACCCATGAAGTCCCTATTCAATCTCTTACGCCTTCCTCTCCTTTCCTTTTTCCCATTCGCCGTTCTCTTTTTTTGCATTACTCGCATCTGGTATCATGACGCCTCCTCCTCTTCCTGAAGTATGAAAACATACTACACCTCCAAGCA